TAACCCTAACCCTAACCCTAACCCTAACCCTAACCCTAACCCTAACCCTAACCCTAACCCTAACCCTAACCCTAACCCTAACCCTAACCCTAACCAATGCGAAACAATCGTCGAGCCATTGCAAAAGTAAGTCGGCCGGGCCCCTGATGCCCGCAACTCCTTCTGGCCAGTACCACTGGTAGTTTTCGACCACTTTATCAATCACGTCAACAGTGGTACCAGATACGAGGATGGAATGTTCATTAGTCGGATGCAGCGTGATCGAGGCGTATTCTTTCATTGGATAGCCAGCTTCTCCATATGCCCAGAAGCCCTGGGACTTAGAAGGGCAGTTCCAGTCTGGGCACCACGAGGGAATATTCGCGGGCTTGAGGAACGATGATGCCGCTGTTAAGATATCATCCACGGGGAAGTGCTGTATTAGGAGACGTCCTACAGATCGATACACGTGTTGGTAGAAGTCGGACCCCTCCTGACCATACTCGACAGGGACTTGTTGTCTGATCCGAGAGCTAGCAAGCCCTAAGAAGCCATAAATGCGGTCTTCTGGCAACCGACAATATCTGTTGTTTCCTCTTGCAAGGATCAAGTATGTCAGGAAGCGATCGCCTTCAACATTATCTGTGAAGTCGAGATGACTTAATCCGGTGGATCCTGTGTGTTGATGCATCCACAAAAGCTGGGTATGTGCCAGTTTCAACCCAATAGTTCGGAACATAGCCCAGTCCATAATATCTGAACCACAAATTACCGCCGCCGCCTCCGGCGCCAACATAGCTTCCTGGAATGTCCAGACACGTTTGAACCAGGGACGTAAGTATAGTTTGCGTAGAGCAAGCCAAATCGGATGGCTAAGCCGCGGCAAGTGGAAACTTTCAAATGTTCTGTTGTCAATGTCGATGACCAAGTTCCGATCTAGTGCACTCGTCAATGCCATAATCTCTGCGTGTTGTATGAGGGAATCTCCATTGAATAGTGATTGTCCTGCTTTATGTTGGGTGGCTAATGATCGAAGTAGAGTCATTGCCATGTCACTATTGTTATGATGGATGCCGAGCCAGATCTGCACACTTCGTGCGTGGCTGTAGATATCCTTCATTTGCGGTATGACACGTCTCTTCTCCTCCTCATTTGATTGATCGATGCATATGGCATCAATCCAAACCGGTGCGATGCTGAGACGACCGAGGTACGGCAGAGCTTCTGCGAGACTTGGTGATATCCCAAGATTGGCACCGTTGGTGTGATTCTCATCTCGGCAAATTTTAAAGTGCTGAGGAGGGTCGGGTGTATCACCCCAGACATAAGACAATGCATGATATTGCGGAGTAGCGTCTAGCCTGTATGTCGATATCCGGAGGCCATCGTTCTCGAATGTTACTAACCGAAGGCTGTTCGATGGAAGTAATGTGTGACGATATATATCCATCTTCAAGGCAAGAGACTCTTTTTGGGGGTAAGGTGTGCCTATATATCGAACAGTGCCTTCGCCAGATATTGATCTTTGGAAATAAAATAGTTCCTATTGTTATTGTTCCGGGGGCCAGCGGATAAGCATATCAATATCGCTTGCCCCAACGTCAACACATAGTATTAAATATGTGTGATGAGCAGCCTTGTGGCTAGCGGCAAGGCGTCGTCATAACTTCAGCTATTTACGTCAGTGGCGCTATGTTTCATTATAGCCTAATATAATAATTTACGTCATATTTTGGACTCCTTAATAGTAATGCGGCAAAGAACGGACGTTAAGTTCTTTGAACGGGCCAATCAACCCGGCCATATCCCCTCCACTCCCACCGTAAGTTCTTTGAAACTATATTATGAATCGCTTTACTTTAGTATCACGAGATAAGGGGTTCCTAAGTAGAGGGAAGTACTAAGATATAGCGGTAAGAGGGTACGCTTATAATATAAGCGAGACTAATCAATACTTAAACGTATAGGTATAATCGTTAACGAAGTTAACTACGTAGGAAAGCTATGGACTTGTTAGTCGTATATATAACCCTTCCCTACTATATGATCTATACGATCTATATAATCTATATAATCTATATAATCTATATAATCTATACTAATCAATAAATCAAGTAGATTAAATAGATTAGTATCACGTGATTTAGTCTAGTTATTAGCGAAGCTATAATCTCGGTAGTCTTGTCTATTAGTAACCTACGCTTAGTGGAACGGATAATCTATAATCTAGTCGTAAGTTAGTTCGTAATATAATACTTAAACTAAAACTCGAAATACTTTATCGCGTTACTAAAATAAATCTATAAATTACTTCTAGAATAAGTTATACTAATATTATCGCTTAACCCTATATTTACGAAAGTTACTATCTTCCTTACGAAATACTTATTAATATATTGTATATATTAAATTAATCTTCTCGCGTATAAATTAAAACTAAACTTATCGATAAATAAACTCTTTATTTATTTAAAGCTTTATAAAGTCTATAATAAACTATAGTAAAGTACTTATTACTCTATAAGTCGTAACTTTAATAATTTTAATCTATAGTAGTCTTTTACGTAATATTTTTATTCGTATATAATATTATCTTAAAAAACATTACTTAACTTTACTTATCGATAATATAGTTCTAATAGCTTCGATAATTTTATAATTCGAGATTCTTAATTATTATACTTATCTAACTAAGTATCTAAATTTTCTTGAAATTATTCGCGCGACGTAATTAAAGAACTTACGGTCAAAGTTTCAAAGAACCTAAGGTAGGAGTGAGGGGAATATTGCTGGGTTGATTGGCCCGTTCAAAGAACTCACGGTAAGTTCTTTGCCGTATTATGATTAGGGTCCTTGAGATTATTAGCTTAGGATGGCGCTTTTCTGGGGTTGAAGAACGGATAGGCAGGAATGGATGGTTCTGGACCTCAAGGGTCAATTTGTTTGCTATCGGGCTCAGGGCGGGTTCAGATGATTGTAGAAACATTGCGCTCCGGCCTTGCAAAAATACTGGGAGCTGAGCCGAGCAGGATTTCTCTCACCGAGAACATCGACCAATACGCGTTCGACTCTCTTACACTCATGCAGCTACGAAGTGTGATACTGCGTGAGTTTAGGATTATATTCCCTATCATGAGGTTTTTCCAAGGACCTAGTCTTCAGGACATTGCATTGAAGGTGGAAGGATCCTTTTCAAATGGTTCTCGTGAAGGGCAAAGCATTCTCGATATAGCCAACCACGAGGCTGAACCAATGTTATTCACCGGATTATCAATCGCGTCGCCATGGTTCGTCCGGAGGGAGTCAGCCAACAGCTTCCATACGCAGGTGGTATGCTTTCATTCCATGGGCACCAGAGCCTCCCTTTTCGCACCGTTCTTGTTAAATCCACCGGATGGAATGGATGCAATTGCAGTGCAATTGCCAGGTCGTGAGACACGGGCCGACGAAGCATTTCTAATCAACATGTCTGACGTTGTTTCTGGCATACTTGGTGTGTTGGAAACGTCTGTTACCCGGATGGGGTCGCAGGTTGAAGGACTTACACCAAAAGCTTTAACCTGATTGAGTTTGATGGAGATCATTGGTTCTTACATCGAAATCGGAAGCTGTTACTAGAGACGTGGGGCGGCCATGGCCAGATGAGTGATCGATATAATGCATTGGGTTTCCCACATATTCCTCTCGTTACCTTACCCTGGTCTATGTTATGTAGTGTTTGCTCGTAATGCATTTTCATGTTCGCGCATGAAGGCTTCAGTGAGACCAAGGTCGGTGTTCACTTACGTTGCTGGCCTTTCTTGATCGGTGCATCCTAGCACCCCTTATAAGTTCTTGCTTCCAACGATCGTTTTGATCATGACCGTCAATGAACATGATATCTTGCTGGTCCCAGGGGCACAATATCACGAAAAACCTAATCAACACTGGAAAGAGCTCCAACTAGATTTTTCCTCACGATATTTGACGAATTTCTGCCATGTATTGGTTAGTACAAGATACTTGATACTTTTCTCTGCCGCGTTGAACACGTCCTCGCTAAAGTCGTCTCTGATCATCGCACGGGAAATGCCCAAGGGCGCCACTGCTGGATGAGGCTCGAATTTGTGTTCGGCCTTCTCCACGGGGAATATATATGAATGCAGCGCCATTCTTGTTGTCGCACCCTGTCTAGGGACTTCCTGAGATAGGGTCATTGGCAACATGTCTGCGGTATCATCCTGATCGTGGACTGGTTGTATAGCTGCACTCTCGAAAGATGCGACATCACTGTTGTGGCGGTGTACGTTTGCCGGAATTGCTGACGCGAAAACATTGTCTAGATTTCGGCGGATCTGCCATTCGATGTTGATTGGGAATTTCGTAGTTCGTTCGCAGACTCGATCCATGTAGATTTGAAGAGCGGATTCGAAGAAGTGTGACCTTGCGACATCTGTAATCGCACCTCCAAGGCACGGTGCTGCCTGGAAAGCTTGACGCCATCGGCTGACTTGGACAAGGAATAGGATATTCTCCGCGGTGAAATCTTTGGTGGCGGCGAAGTGTAGTAGTGGATCAGGGTTAACTGCCAAGGCTTTTTCCAAAGACGACATAGAACACAACTCGCGGTGCAGCCGTGACGATGCTTTGGAACTTGAAACGTTGGTGCCCAATGAATGGCTACTCGAACTGGAGGTGAGGTATCGTTCGGACTCCGCTGCATTCTTCTTGTCCTCCCAAGCTTCCAAAATAGCCAAGGTGGTGCGCATAAGCGACCTCGATTGATATATTTCGTAGACTGGAAAAAAGATCGTGGTAAACTGCATGACAATGATCCCTGGCGCTAGCCTAAACTGTGTCAGAAGACGTGAGCATCTCTCAAGGTCTGTGAGTAACTCACCACATCGGTGGAACAAACCAGGGATTGATATGCACGAAGGCGGTCGAGAAGACAGCAGCAAGCCATAGTGGTGTTCCTGAAAGACTTGGAATGTGTGAGAAGCGTCAAGTAAGAGACAATACAAACTACCCTACCCAGAGATAACACTGACAATGACCTGCAGACGCCAGTAATGTGTGTCGTGTATATTGCGGACACTGAAAAGGATATATGGACCATACAACCAAGCCCAGGCCAGTTGCCAAAATGCAGACGGTATCCTATTAAACTCTTAGCATTGCTCCATAACAATGTGATTGTAAAATCACCATTGAGGAGATTTTCGACATAATGCCTGCCCTTTGTCGTGGGTCACTGGCCCGTAACTTGTGTAATCATTTTGCAGAGTAGGAGTGGTTGCGTAGAGGACGGCCGTAATCACGAGCTGCCGAAGCACGTTAGCCACACGATCCTAAGTCTCATTCCGAGAAGGAGAAAGAGTACCTGAATCAACATTCCATATCCGACTAGGAGGTAACTTTTCTGCACGTCCCGAAGTGACTGCCATTGAGCACGAGCGTGACCCCAGACAGAAGGATTTAACTTGTGAAAAGTGGACGGTGGCTTTGCAAGAAGTTGCCTTTGTTGATCACTAATGCTCTTGAGTCGGATAAGATTCGCCTGGAAAAGTGCTATTCCGAATGGGAGGTATATGCTCATAATCCAGAATTCAGCCGAGCAGAGGAAATGGCCATTGGTGGTGTATGCAAGGAATATCTTGACCAGGTATACATGCAGAAAGCTCACTGCCGCAATAGCTAGTGGGAGGTTGCGAATCTTAATGAAAGCAAGACGTCGATTCCATACAAGGCATACTGCTCCAGCGTATAGTAAGACCGTCCATGCAATAATGAAAGCAGCATAAAACTTTCCCAGATCATCCCAGTTGATAAGTTGACCCCAATTGCGGCCTTTGGCGTTGAGGCCCATGCCGCGAATGTCCAGGTGATGAGGTAGAGAGGAGATCACAAGCGAAGTGAAGGTCCATATGTATGGTGACCGCTTTATGGGGTTGCTGAGATCCGGGGCCAGAAAACTTGGGCGGCGCTGTAAGCGAAAGATCGGATCTGCAAGGGGGACTATCCGAACCGAATTAGACGCCACCTACGCACTGGATGCGGTAAGATCCTTGTACATATGCATTGGTGAGACTGTTTGGCTGGAGGCGTCCTATTGGGGTCGAGAACTGAAAGCCATAAATTGGGCGGTGATTTTTCCCCGCCTTGACACGGGAATGAGAACAACTGCTTGTGACGGAAGTGGTAATGGTAAGAATGTGCTCGCGTTCTCGGGCATTATTCGTACTTCGGCAGGACCAAAACAACTTGGTAAATATACGGGACAAGAATGACCGACTTCAATGCTCATCTCTATGCCCATGAAACTCCCACCTTGTAAATAATTTAGGGAAACAATTGCCGGTACTATACATGTTCCCATACCACGAGGCACGAGATAGTTCGCAGATCCCAAGATCGAAGGCTTGTGGGGAGAAAAAAGAGGTTTATGCCCGCGCATCAGTAACAACAACACTGGCCCTAGTGCCAAATAGCCCGGAAATATAAGGTAGGCAAATATGCACACGACATCATTGGAAGTGATGGTAAGAAGTACTTCCAATCTTCCAAAACAAGACTGACATTATGACAAGGTGTCACGCCGGCTACTTTCGAGCCAGAGCCCGACAACAGATCGCTGAGTACCCGACAGCCACAATGCAGATTGGCACTGTCACCAGTATCGAACGGTTTAACAGCACAGCCTTTCTTGTGACAGAATCAAGTGGTATTCAGTATCTCAGTCGGAAGGTCATCCTTGGCACTGGTCTGCAAGACATTCTACCTTCAACTCCTGGTATCACAGAGAACTGGGCTCGTGGTATTTATTGGTGTCCGTGGTGTGATGGTTACGAGCATCGTGATCAGCCACTGGGTCTTATCGGTCCCAATGAGAAGATCCCAGAACTTGTTAACGAGGTGAGAACCTTGAATACCGATGTTGTCGCCTTCGTCAATGGCACGATGACTGCAGATCAAGTCGGCGCCTTGGACTTCTCCTTACCAGGATGTGAGAACTTGTTGATGACATATGGAGTAACTGTTGATAATGGGACAATAGACAGGATTGAAAGAATACGGGACGGATCTGTCTACACCTCACAGGTTGACAAAGCGGAGTACGATAAATTCCTAGTGAACTTCGACAACGGAACCACGATTGAACGTACAGCTTTTCTGACGTCGTTCCCTACTACGCAAAGATCCACACTTGGCCAATCTCTTGGTGTTATCCTGGTGGAAGGCGGGCTGCTTGCCAATATGACTGGTGGTATGAGAACAAACGTCGATGGTGTGTATACAGTAGGTGATGCGAACTCCTACGGCAGTACAGAGATTCCTCACGCAAGGTGGAGTGGTAAACGAAGTGCCGTCGACATCCAGTGTAAGTTACATCTTCATCCGAGAAGAACCTTCTGACAATCATAGTGCAATTGGCAAAAGAAGATGCAGTGTCGGCAAAAGCTCTCGCAGGGATAGAGAGACGTGATCTCGAAGACGAAGAGACTGCCTTGTTAGATTCATGTAGTTAGTGTAATAGAGCGTTTACAAAAGCTTGATATTATCGGAGGCATATGTTATCTTCTTACGGACTTATAGTATTCATTCAATGGACGTCGATTTTAAATGTGTAAATCCACGAATCTCACCCGGTTGATTAAGTATTATAGTCGAGAGCTCAAGGCAGACCAGGACAAAGAAGAGTAACAGTGTGAAGATCGTGGGAGATCAAGTAACTTAAGAAACTCTGCTTATCTCCTGACCTAATAGTAACAGAGTGAACGATTGTGCTTTCGACAGTTCTATCTAACTCCTTTCGAAATAATATAGTAGATAAGGTAAGTCCGTTAAGCACCAGTCGCCACGTCGTGCCAGATACGTTCAATACTATACTCAGGCCTTCCTCCATATTCTGTTGGTAGCCTCACTTCTTGAGAGCCTATGGCAACACGAAGGGACTCGATGTTCCGCGCATCGTGCTGCCGGCCATAGGACTATTCGAAGAATTAGCTTAGACCTTAAAGTCACCCGAGGAGTACTTACATCTAGCACCCTCCAATGTAGATTGTACTTCAAGAAAGGTAGCACGTCGTTCGGCTCTAGACTACGAAGGCGCATATCGCAGTGAACCTCTTCATTCTTCCAATATGCTACAAGATTCGTTGTCAAAGCGATGGTATCCGAGTCTTCGAGGCCAAGCGAGTCCTGACGTTTGCAATTTTCACTTCACGTCTTCTTAGTATCTTCGAAGGAACTGCTATAGAGAAAGAGAGGGGGAATACCAGTGTTCGATATGTCGGTTAGCAAAGATGCCATCTATACCCACCAGATGGCGTTCATGTGGCCAGGTGCGAGGGTCATCACTAAAGTCACCTAGGAAGAAGTAGATCTGGAATGAGCCGTTCAGCGCGAATCTATAGAAGTTAGTCAGCTCCGATGTTGCAGGCTCGAAACACGGAACACTTACTTTCTGACCGTGACAGTGAGATTCCAATGTGTCAATGTGTGACCTCTCATGAGTGGGCGGATATGCTTGTAACAATCAATATCATCACCTCGTCCGACATTTCTGCTGGCATCACGTCCGTGGAACCAGCTAATAATCCTGGTTGAGATGATGGGCTTAGGCTGAGGCTTAGTCGTCGTTGTCGTTGCCGTTTCGATTGAGATGGGCTTGCCAGTACCATCTATTCTCAACACCTCTGGTAGTGCCTCAACTCGAGAAAAGCCCTCCGACTCAAACAGCGATTGCCAAGGAGGAGGCTCGCCATATATCGTGGACCATTCGTATGTAGTGGTCACCCATTGCCGCAATGGGCGAAGATCGTCTGCTTTCTCACCATGCTTCACTAGTTGAAGTTCTGGGTACGTATAGCCCATGTCACTGCATCTTCTCAATGCATCGCTGGTCCACCACTCTACTTTTGGTGGCCTTCTAGGGGACGAACCTGGGTCAGCAAAAGGATCGAAGTCCTCTTCAATTTTGCGCCTGAATGGAATCAACCAAGACGTGGAAGTCTCGCGATCGCCAATGGCCCTGACATAGGTCGGCGAGTCCAGTAGTCTCTGATCCCAGCTCCACGTATCCGGGTTCAGTGCTTGCCATATTGCAAAAATGCGATCGATATTGGCATGATGGAGCCAGAAGATTGGATCAAAAGCAGCATATTCGGTGAGACCCATATGTCCAGTCCGTCCGTCACCACCATTCCCACACATGGTATGAATGTCGTTGTGGAAGCCTTCTAAGGAATTCTCTTTGTTTGTGGATGGGCCAGCTTGGGCAACGTATGCGCTGGTCGCCATCTGCGTATACGAAAGAGGCGGCCCTTGGAGTATGCGATATATCTTCGACCCAAGGGGTAGAGCTGGGCCATGTGCAGTACTAACGGCGTTTGTCAAGGTGTTATTCACATACTGATGGCTTGTCCATCCAGTAGGTGTTGGTCCTCGGATCGTATTCAGCGTCATGTTTGGATTGTTTATTACGTCTCTGAAGACCTCTCGGAAAGGATGACCAGCTACTTCGGCCCAATCGAGATTCCCAGGAGCAAATTTGTAGGTATACAGCGGATTGGGCGCATCGATAGGCTGATCCGGCTGTCGAGGAGTCCTAATCCGAACGTCTTTCGATGACATGATGACGGGAATGCCACACTTGGTGATCGGATACCCATACTTGTTCAGAATCTTTCGACGAGGAAGGAATGGGTCCCAATATGGTATACCAAAATCTTCACAAGCATCGAGGTATCTCTTCTGATATTGCGGCGGGAATGCCCTTGCAATGTTGACCATCTGGAGAAAGAGGCTTTGCTCATACATGGCGAGGTATGCTCTATGCCACGTGGGGAAAAGATCAGAGGAGTGAGAGCAGTATCCAGCTTGAATACTTGGTTGGTTCATTGCATCTTTCCCTTCCTGCTTCCGAATCCCTAGATCTTCCTGACTGAGTCCGTCCCATGGGTGGAAAGGCTTGCCATGGATGCCTGCCATCTGGAAGTACGAGAAAGCTGCATTCCATCTAGGACGGCGGGTGCCAAAATATTCTTCTCCGCGGGTGCCAGGCAGTCTTTGGAGGTCGATCAATGCCAGAAGGTACAGATTGAAGCATTCCGTATCCTTGATGAACTCATCAATCTCCTTGCGCGTGCGAGTTGCACCCCCGAGAGGAACAACACCCACAGTGATTCCTCGTTTTATGGACTCCTCGATATAATTGATGTCAATAGCCATGCTAAGATATATTGGAGAAATCTACATCAGTTGACGAAGAGGACAAGCAATTGCTTAAGAATAGAGGCTATAACTCGCGATCAGGGAGCTCTTCGCGTTTTCCATCAACCCTAACGTGTCTGACAACCTGATAAATTTCCGGATCGTCGCGAACGATCTGCTTACCCTTGAAGAAAACCCTGAAGAGTTCGTGACAAGATATGAAGGTGCTTAACTCGCATCATGAGATCGGCGGTCAAAGGCATCCCATCAGCAGGCTTTTCTTCGGCTCGCAGCTGAGGTTTCCGCGTCGGATCCATGGCCGCCCTCGTATTTGATGCACGTTGTCCTGAATAAAGAGCAGGAAGACGCGAGAAGTCAAGAGTTGGTAATCTAGCTGAGGTCGTGCGGAGAAGAGCCTGCATGGCGTCCGGCCAACCAGCACGAGGCAGTGACAATCACCTCCGACTTCAAAGCACAATACCACGGCTCTTTCGCGATACCAGCTCTAAGCTGAGTGAAGTCTTTTGCAGCCTCTTCATCGTGACTGCACACGGGCGGACTAAGCCTAGAAGAGGTGTATATTCATGCGGCTCGAGGTCATGGCCAGCTCGTCAAGTGGTGTGGCGTCAGCTGAATCGGTAACCACCTCAACTAGCTCTGCTTAGTCTACAGGCAGCTGAAACTCGGTTTACTTCGAAAAGCTGATGAACGAACACCAGAAGTCTGCAGAATATTTTTCGCTGTCTTGACGAATCTTTTGGGGCTTTGTAGCTTTGCGAATAGCATGTACGGTGTGCAGATGCTTTCCGTCGCGCGACAGGTCCATCAGGCGGACAAAGAGTTTCCAGCGCACGCCCAATCATGTAAATACTACTGAGGTAAGCTCTGATCCGACCTCACAATTTATCCCCCATTTCAATCTGTCATCACCGCAGCAGCAGCTCAAGATGCTTTTTCTTTTTTCGCTGGCTGCGTTGTTCTCAACGACTTTTGGTGCTAACATTGATTACAAGCGAGGCAACTATGGTGGTAAGAGTACTGCTAAAGGACCTGGTTGGAGTGACTGGGAGTCAACGACTTCGGTCCTGTCCTCAAGCTCTGGATGCTCGATGACTGCAGTCACTTGCACGGTCTCACAGCCATGTCCGCCCTTTGCGACCTCGACCGTGACAAGTACGGTCGAGACGACAACCACTCTACCAGGGCAGCCCATAACAAGTACAACGACTTACACAGAAACCGTCACTCATACTATGTCCACATATTGTACACCAAGCCCTACACCTACACCGTGCTGCAATGGCACGATCAATTTCGACGCGCTTCTCGTCGCCATAAAAGCGTACTTCGACACAACTTTCATTGAAGAACTCAACGCGACTTTGGTCGAATCGATCTCGAATACTTTCACCGAGGTAGCAGGCGTTGAAATCGATAATTCAGTTCATGAAGCAATCAGCAAGGAGTTCGTTGCTATCAGCACTACACTCTCCAAATTCGAGGAGAATATTACTCAAAGCATCAATATCTCGGTGGATAATAGTCTTCAGCGCTATGTTGACAATACACTCATTACCACTATAGACCAGTCCATCGACAAGACCATTACCGAGGCCTTCAACCAAGATATCCTGACCAATATCAACGAAACATTCTTTGCAGCTCTCCAAAACTATACCTACAACACCAATATTACGCTTGACGGATCCTCATTGCACTACTTAAACTCATCGATCTCGGACGTCATGTACGGATACATGCACACCCAATTCACGGAAACGGATTCCTCGTTGATGCAAGATCTGCGACAAAGCCTCTCATCTTACTCATACGACGACAGCCCATGGTATGCCATTACTATTCTAACACTACTGGTCATCTTCGCCATCTTGACGCTAGCTGGGCTGCTTTGGCTGATCTTTCGCGATTCTAAGCCTCACAATCAGATGGGTCGCTGCCCAGATTGTGGCGCGCCGCAGGATCAGTGTGCCTGTGGGACGTAATGAGTCAGGAAGAATGTCACATAATGGCTACTTTTCTCTGAAGCCGTATTACTGCCATGCCTTCTTGACGAGATGCCTTGAGTGGTAGTGCATGAGGAGATAGTGGTTCGGACCACGGCCTTGTATCCGTCAATCAGGAACAACGCCTGTTTGCCTCTGATGCTGCGCCTGAACTTGAGCTCGCACGACTCTTTCTCTACGCCCGCCATGGCATGGCATGTCTCTAAACAACGATATGACCATGATCCACTTGTTCTTGCTGTTCTCGAAGTGGGACGGGCAGTTGTTTCTGAACGAGAGCTTGTCCAAACTATTGCCAATGACCGTTACGCCTGTCCAGTCAACACCATATCCGTCAACCACGAGTTGCCCGTGAACAGGTTCTTCCGGAAGCAGAGACTCGGCTTCTCTGTCACAGCGAATTTTTCGGACGAGAAGTAACCAGCAAAGGTATGAAGAACTAGATCAGGGTCACGCGTTGACCGAGGTGGTAGTGTAGTTCCTGTTCTTCTGGTCAAGGACGCAACTCGGAGGAAGCATGTTCATACGTTTAAAAGTCGTGTACTTTTGACGTGCTATCTTGGAACTACGTCAAGATGTCCTAGGAGGACTGTAGGTACAGCGTCTTATGCCACAGTTGGTTTGGGAAGCGAGCAAGTCACTCACTAGCTGTGATGCAGTGAGGTCGGTAGATACAAGCTATGAACAGCTTCATTCCGCTGTGACTGCCAGACCCAGAAAGTGCTGTAACTCCAGTTGGCAAGCTATCGTAGTGTAGGATCGCCAGGGGTATCGACCAGGCGACTGATCACATCTATGCCTCTGGCTTTCCCTTAAGGGACCTGAAGCTCAGCTGGAACTCCTTGGTCGAATCAGGCAACCGTTAGAACATGCAGGGTGCCCAACTAGGGTTGGAGTCGAAACGCTGAACTGCAGTCGAGACCACAGATGCAGTGACCCCAATCAGTTAACTCTACCTTTGTTCTCGTGTTACGGCTGAATCATCTGTTTGCTGGCTGGCTGGAGCCCGCATGGTCCGTGTACTAAGAGCCTTGCTCTGTGCTGTCCTGATGTGATGATTTACATGCAGAGGATGGAGGTGCTTGTGCAGCGGGTTTTGACACTGTACCAGGGGTTCAGCGTCAGCTTCTGTTGTAGACCTAGAACCGATCACTCTGTCGCCCGTGGTAACCACTCTCAGACCATCATGGCCGATGGCGACGGACAAAATGGCAGCGACCAGGCCGTCAACATACTTGACAGCGATAACAACTTGGAATCGGCTTGGAAGGTTCATCACACAGTCACAAACTCGTTCCCAGCCGACGGTGACTGTGATTGGCAGCATCACAGTTATCTCGTCGTCGAGTAACAGCAGCACCTTCACCACATCGGCAGTATCAACTCGAATGCAGCGTCGACTAGAAATCCTGCCGCTCATGGCGCCAAGTTCGTAGGCAACAGTCAAATCACACCAATAAAGAGCATAAACGACGAGTTTGACAGCAAATTGTACTTCAAGAGGGCAACCTCATGACATAGATGCACTTCGAAGATTCATCCAGTTTTGTTGGCCCCGGGGCACCATTTCATTGTGGTATACAATGACAAGACTGGCTCTACAACTTCGTTGATGCAATGCTCAAGCTCGGTCGCTTGGAGCTCACTGAGATATGCGCCGTACCACGGTGTACGACCAATGAAATTCGGCATTGGGCGTAAAGAACCATCTTTCGGTGGAGGATATTGATACCTTTGTTGGTGGCAGGATCAACATTGCCAGAGAGCCGACGCCAGAGACCCAGCCTCGAGAACAAATCTTTGCCATCTGACGCAGATAGCTCTTCTAGCATATTATTCTATACAACTCCCACAAGACGGCTCTCTCCTTTGTAGCATTCGCAGCCCATTGAACTCAGGAGTTGATGCACGACGTCACTCTTCTCTCTGGTGTTTGTTGACGAACTTTGATCCTTAGTCGGCCGGAATGGCCAGTCTCCGGGATCCATGTCAAAAATGTTTGAACTGAGAAGAATCCATTGGGTGGGAAAACATGCCGAGAGACTCGTATGACAGTGGAGGCTCGACCACAAAGGACTCATAGGGTTGACCATAGTCAGCCATAGATCGCTCTGACTGAAACCCAAACCTTCACCAGTGAAGTTCTCCTGCGATGCAGTGGAGACTGCTTGGGTTGGGGATGGGCCTCGGTCAACGTGAAAAAGGAGTTGGTGGTCATCTCGGCCGTCGACTGGTGCAGGGCCTTGAATGCTTGGACTCGTGCTAGTAGTAGCCTCTTGCTCAACCAACGCGGGAGAGATTCGTAACTGTGACGATGTATCTGGGAGGCTGACTAAACATCTCAGCAAACCCCAGCAGCTTATTGGAGTTTCCATCTCAACTATAATGCTTGATGTACGTCGTGGCTTCAGTGGACGTTACCCAGAGCGATAGGGCCAAAATACTTGGCGAACATGGATTTAGTCTTCATTCATCATTAATGATTACCAGTACACGGACTTGAACTCCTAGCGATGCTCGGCCAAGTGTGTGACGGCGTAGCTGCAGAGGCTGTGCATTCTTCTAAGATCGTGAACAAGTCGGACCGTGAGCCCATTACTGCTGTCGGTAGCTAGTGTCACTTATGGGTAGGTTGTAAGCGAGAAGGGCGGGTACTATAAAGATACACGAGTGATCACACTGTTTTGCCCCTGACTTTTGCTTTGCTTATTGAGAGTAAAGACCGGCGCTCATAGATATAAGCCGACATTAAGTTCATACATAATTATCGCGAAATGAGCGTATCAAGACGTGCTTTCCCAATTGAGATTGCAAAAACTGAAAAGTGGAAGAGGCCGGCTGGTCCATCTCCTCAAAGGTTTTCCTTCCTACCGGGCTTATCCATAACAACAAGCCTTCTACTCCTGTCAAATCCTCTTTCCATCCTAACGTAGACATGACTCACCTAAGTTCCAGCATCGAAGACGCTCGCGATGGCGCCAAGGACTAATGGAACGCCATCGTTGACTGCTAGCATAGTGACACTATTGTCGCTCGAGGTGAGTTTCAACGAATCGAAGCTAGTAGTATTCGATGAGCTGCTCGAGCCTAAGGGCGTGAATCAGCAAGGTCTTCAAGGTGTTCAACTTGGGGAGATGAGGCATACTGTCATTGCTGTAGATACAGCCAAAGATGCTCATCGAGTTGTTGCTAGTAGATGTGTCTGTGCGGACTTGGTGAACAGTGTCCCAAGCTGACTTGGACAGCTTGAAAGTGATCTCTACACCATAGGCGAAGAGAACTTTCTTGAACTGCTCGAGAATGTTTTTCTTGACGCTATCGTCTGCACTGGCGTAGAGATCTTTGAATGTAGCAGCAGGGTTGCCGTTGTACCACCTACGAAAATGGTTAGTTTAAATTGTAGAGAGGTCACTCTATAGGCACTCAACAACACTGAGATAGTGGATCTAGGTCTGCGCAAGGGATGTGTTGAGTAGAAGAGAGTACTTACGCGCCGTAATTGATATCAAGAACCTGGTGGCCCCACATCCGTAGCGTAATCTTGCCTTGAATATCTGAGCCGGTAACATCGACGTTTGTTGTCGTAGTAGTATTGGTTGTCTCGTCCGTGTGGTTCCAAAAGATCCATCCACTCGATCCTGAATGATGAGTAGAGGTAGAAAAACCGAGATCCGCCCATGTCGATGTAGCAGCATCCTCGAATGAGAATTCAAAACTATGGGCTTTTCGAAGATACTCGGTTCTATCGTTGGGGTATGCCGCTGGGAACGACGTGACCCACTGGGAAGCAACACTGTCCAAGTCCGCGCCAAGGGCATAAAGCGGCTCGCAAAGACTGGGAGTAGGGGTTGCAGTCAGTTGACCAGAAACCACCTGCTTTACAGTGTCAGGATCGATGATAACTGCTTGCATGTTGTATCCTTGGAATCCCAGAAGATTACTAGTCAGTAAGATAGCCTTGAAAGGAAATAGTTCGTGGGGGACATGAGTGCTAAAAACATCCCAACAGAAAGCCGAGTCCAGCATGTATTCCGGGAGGACACAAGGCTTGCAGATGAGACCCATACAGCCCAGAAGCAGTCAAGTTTTCGGAGAATCGAGAGCTCCCACCTACCTTCTGCGAGAGTTTGGCTTGCCCCCTTTGCCAATCTATCTCTGAAGTCCTGGAGTTGAGCGATGATACCCTTTTGTTCTTCCTCATTGAGAAGCTCGGTCCATCTCGCGTTCGCGTTGTTGACGGCGTCGATCAGAGTTTGCACCTCGGGATGATAGGTCTGAACGCGGACACACAATTCGTGTTAGCCACCTGATATTATAAGAACGTCAAGACCAGGAAGGGAAAACAGACGGGCGTGGGAGTGTAAGAAACTGTATACCTTTAAGTAGTTGGCGAACGTGATCGGACTCCCAGTGATCGCGTCAATACCATTAGGACCTACAGGCTCGAGATTAACGTAAAGTCGAATCAAGAGAGCACAGGGGCAAAGTGAACTCACAATCATCTTTGTATGACTCCGTAGCATCTTTCACAGCCTTGGATCGTTGTTTCTCCTTATCCAAGACATCAGCTTGTGCATCTTGCACAGCTTGCGGATTCTGAAGTTTGACGCCCTTGGACAAGTCTATGTTCGCCAGATAGGTTGTGTACGCGGTGAAGTAGCCAAGACCTGAGCTGCTCAACAAGGGTTCATCGTCTCTAGGAATATTGTTGCCGAAGGCGTAGATATTGTAGTTCTGGTAGAATTCATTCGTAGTACTAGTCAAGCAAGGACAATTAGCTAGGTACAGATTCACCGATCCCAAGAGTCCGGGGAGTAGCACGTACGACCGGAGTGGGATAGCTTGATATGAAAGGGGGGCTATATGCAGCCGGTCTGATCCCAGCGATGTCCCGCCCACAAGGCTCTCATTGATACATTTCCCGTAGGCAAGGTACATTTGGTCTGTCGAGTCGGGAAGAGACATCTTGATTGTTACGTATTTCGAAGTAGAGAGCGTAAAGTAGGTGTGTAAACTACGGGCCAAAGTAGTATTGCTGGTAGTTGAACTGCTAATGGAGATATGGAACTGATGATATGGAAGGAATGCTGAACCAAAAATCAAGTCAAAAAAAGGATTCGCATATTTATATTCAAATCAGATCCGGTCTCGACAGGAATGACACACGAGGCAGACAGTCTACCACCCGAAAGCATTCAGCTCTGCCATGGACTCATATCAGCTCATTAGAGAGAAGAACACTTACTCAATGTGTTCGTTCAATGCATGATGCCTCGCACCATATTACAGACAAGTCACGATGATTCTCTCGCTTGACTCAACATAGGTGGCATACCTGGTGTTGCTCCGCTTTCATGACCAACCTTCTTACTCGCTGACTATACGGTCGATACCGTACTCGTAACTCGAGCTGGGAGAATCTAGCTTCGGTGACTGGACATCAAAGTCGGTTGTGTAGCTCCTTCCTGTATTGGCAAGCTGAGATGGGCCTTTGGGTCGTGCTGCACGGGGGGGAAACAGTCCAGATAGAGCAAGTGCTGAGTTAGGGGGTTTAGCCGTACTTATGCGAGTAGGATGAACAGAGAGTATGTGCTTTTCACAGAAGGCAACCATCGTAAGTTTGCATGAGCCGGTTACCTGCAGCCGCACACGCCGCAGAATGCATCTCGTTTTCCCAAGCCAATTGGAATCGAACTTGTGTGAAGCACGAGCATGTCAGGCAGAGGAATGTAAACCACAATATCATCTTCAGAAGTAGGGAACAAAGATGACCAGTAGCACATAAATCGTCTGCAGCAAGTAACGATTAGTGAATCCATGCGCCAAGCAGATAGCGGCAACTTCAACAAAGCTGGACGTCTCCCAGCAGCTGAGCTGAGGAGTTTCGTGGCTGCCTACGTTCGAAATGGACAGATCTGGTGGCTGGCTGAAGCGTAAGTGTGATGTTCTGGTCCTCCGCACGTGGCTAAGGTTGAAGATCTCCAGCCGGGGTAATTACAGGTGGAGAGCACATTCACAGTGGCGCTACACCTATCCTGGCTTGCAAAGCAAAGAAGAAGAAGAACACAAGGCACAGAGCGAAGTCAACGATATTGTTTTGGGTGACCCGACCCTAGTTTGCGCCGGTATCCTGTAGATCAAGACTTACTTATTGAAATATAATTATGCTCTTCGTATTTCGCCATGTGGGAGCCCCGTTGTTGTCTGGTACACATTAATTTCAAAGTCTGGTCATCAAATAGGCTTGGGATCAGCGGAACCCAAAGGTGTCTGAGGCATTTCACGATATAAATATTATGCATTATCTGCTCGTGCATTTCCCTCGTCGCGCATGGAGTCTTCAGATTTAGACCAACGTTGGTGGTATTATGGTAGTGCTGGTAGGTAGTCCATAGAAGGTAGACGCGCACTCGTTAAGTTCGCAAAATCAGCAATCTCTCGGAAGCCCAGAAGCCGATAACCACAAGCCACAACCGGCAAGGTTGGGGTTCATGAGACCAAATTCAGGGTCCCAGGATAACTTAGTGTGGGGTTCGTGGCCTTGAACCGGCTGACTACTTCTTCCTTCCCCTCATTCTACTAAGTTAACCTTGGATGAATTTCAAGTCTTCCACAATAAATTCCAGTCTATTAACCTCACACTCTCTCACCTAACCTAGACGTATAGTGCGTATTATGGACAAGCAATGCTCTCATTGCGGCCGCACTTTCTCAAAGACTGAACATCTCCAGCGCCATGAGCGCTCGCGTGCGTGATTGTTCCTGCTATCCCACTTGGCCGTTTGACCTGACTACTGACCTTCAACGCGTGGCAGATACCAAAGAGCGACCTTATCAATGTACATTCTGCCACAGAGTATACGCTAGAAGGTATGGAAATATACATGTCTTTGCTGAATGCTAGCACTTTCCGACGTAGCGCTAAAGTCGACGCAGCGATGTCCTACACCGTCATATGAAGGGCCACCATTTACCAAAATCAGGCGTTGTGTTCCCACGTGGCTCGCAGAGACGATGTAGAGGCCCTCCAGAGACAATAAATCGAGACGATTTATCGACGACAGCGCAAAAACAGGCTGTGAGCCAGGAAGTAAGCTTGAACGACACCGATTTTGGAGCTGATGCCGAGCCTGTGGTTGTCCAACGATTTGTAAAGCCCAACATCCAGAAGCCGGGCATATCCTCTCCAACATCCATTGTCCAAGAAAATGTTTCGGAAGATTGTGACCATGGTGTTGTAGATCAAGCGACCGTTGACTCAAATGCCGCGCTACCTCTCACAGACTACCGAGAGATCCATTCAGATTTTGCCCCGCCTTTAACACCGTCTTACCCAAACTTTGACCTTGACATGCAAGGTGCACTTATGGAGGAACAAACTTCAATTCACGATGGCTGGCCAAACCTGTCACACAGTCTGCTGGGAGACAAAGCTCAGCCTATTGCCGAATCCACAGCACAGGGCACGAATTCCAGAGGCAACGATAGCCAAGCAGAGCCCACCGCCTCTATGCAGTCCAGCCGCACACAACTATCACCCGACCTTTTTGGCATCGAGTTTGAATCCTCCACCGACTTCTTCCAACTTGGCAACGAAGACTTATTTGCGAACCTGGTCGCTCCAGGGATACACCCTGGCATGCTACATGCCTGGCCGGATAACACGATTATGGATATGTCCCCGAATGTACAAATCCCAGAGTGGGCACCTCGCCCACTTGGTACTTCCGATACCCATCTTCGGTCTCATACTCGCCAGTGTTCTTCTGAAGCATTGACCAGTCGTGGTCAGTCGCAGTTGAACATACTCTCTTCTAATCGGATTGAGGAGGTGCAGAAATGTTGGCCAATAGATACAAAGATGAATTCGATGTTAAATATGTCTACCTGGGACTCAATTCTGCGAGATGGCGCCAGAAATCTTTTCTCGATGGAAAGTGAGGCCGACCCTGGTCATGACTGCGACAATCATGTCGCGAGCCCATGGGACTTCGATCTCGGCTGCTGGTCCAGGGTCAAAGACATCCTCAATTCTCCGTCACCCTCAACCTCACGAACACCATCAGCAGAGTCTGCTCCCCTTCCGTCCAACAACTCAGAACCGCCTGAAGGTTCTGCTGTTGCTATGCCACCGTTTGACAACTTTGAAATGATATTGGACCTTTTCTTTCTGCAATTCCAATATCTCAGCATCGTCCCAATAGTACACACGCCAACATTCTCAGCAAAAGCTTGTCCCACAACTCTGCTTCTTTCTATTGTCACTTTGGGATGCAGCATGATAAGGACAACGGCAGCGAATCTATTTGTCTCGCAAATATTCCCTGTAAGCTGCATATTCTCTGATCAAACCCCACAACCATTTTTGGCAGTCTTGTCCATCCTAATGATTTCTGTACAGGGTGTTGTCGATATACTTCAGGCCGAATTGAAGTCTCGCGCTAAAGTGGCAGGTTTCTCGCGTGAAGTCATCGTCTCTTTGGCGTCAGCTCTTCTGATCCTTTATGCCGCGCTCATATCAGGCGTAAGTAAACAAAGCCCCCAAGCTTGACTGTTTATTCCATGTCGATTGTTTGTCAAGCCTTTTTCCACCTGTAACTCACCATCCCTCAGGAGAGGGGCAAGATTCAAGAAGCGAGGACACTGTATATTGATACGCTCTCAGTGAGTAACTCGCCTGGAAAGTCCCTGGGGCGATGTTGATCACTCCAAACAAGCTTGCCCAATGGTACGGAGTTTTCACAATATCAGAATCCGTATTCTGCGGACCAACGCTCGACGACGGAATCAAACTTGAACAGATCTGGACAACGTGGTCTAAGGCTGAGTCCTTGAAAAGGTTTGATGGAGACTTCTACCAATCAGACACAAGCTCACCCCATAAAGAATACAAGGAGCCTTCATCGAACTCGACTCCTGGTACTCTGGTTACTTCTCGACGATGCCCATACTGCGGCCAGAAGCCTTACGCATTGCGGCACCCGCTCAAAATGATCTCTTCCAGGCAGATTCTGCGCAGCGCTGGGGACAGTTGTTCAAAGGCCAGCAGCCCCTATCCACTGTTCTTGCGACCCCTTTCACCTTTCCTCGCTCACTTGACCTCACCAAATCGGCTTCGCTCTACGCATATCTCAACATACTATATCACAGGACCACTGAGATCTACTGCCGTTTGATAACCTCGCCAGAGATGGCACGCGAGATTGAGCCTTGGCGGAGCTATGAGAAGGACTTTAGAGACCGTTCTTTACGTCCTCTTTTGACTGCGATTCCAAGGGAGCGTGCCGGTGGCCTACGCTCGACAGATTTGAACTCGTCGTTGTTATGGAATTTCACGAGCATGCTTCTGTGCGTGAATGTTCGCATGCTCGAACATTCTTCTGGGCGATATGGCGGCAAGCTAGCAGCGCAAGGGCTTGAGGATATCCGAGTTTGGGCGCAAACACCAAGTGCACGGAGGGCCGTTTTGCACGCCGGACAAATTTATCGCCTCCTTTACGACCGCAGAGCCTCGGATCCGTTGGGACCACATGCCATGTCTGCTGCGTTTACAGCTGGGCTGGCAATGGGATTTTATTATGAGTTCGCTACGGCTACAACACCAGTACATCCAACAACATTAGCGGACCTCTTTTCCGAGCTTGACTGGGGATCAATTGCCGACTGTGGGCTCGCCAATGGACCTGAAGCCTTGGACTCCATGCCGCAGCCTGACGGATCCGAAAGTCTCCGTCAATTCATTCGAAGCGGAGGTCAATTCACCGTCCGTGGACGAGTTCTCCCTTGGAAATGCAGTACTGGACGCAAATCCATGATCCATTTCGCCGATCTCCTCGAGAACATCTGGCGTAAGAAAGCTTCACCGTACTCGTGCGTCCTGCATGCTGTAGCTGAGACCACTTCATACACAATGCCATGATCACTACGAATACTCATGGCACTTTTGTATACTCTCGACTGATAGCATCTACACAAAGAGACGGAGTCAATTGCTGCTAGTACGGTGCACGAGCTCCTTCATAAATCCGCCACAGCCGCCTTAGACATGAGTATGGGTTAGCTGTCCTCCCCACATCATCACAATCTGACTTCCAACCGACTGCACTTGAATAACATCAAGACATGAATGTGGCAGACACCAGACCAGTTTGACCTCGACCAACTCATTGGCCTGTCTCTCCACGTGACTCTGGCGCTTCCCCACCACATTAAATGTCATCGTAGATCCTGCTTGGGCCGCCGAGCCGTACTAGGTCGTGCTTATATGAGACTGCTGACAGGGGCCGCTACAGCTTATCTAGCTGGAGCTCGTGAGCGCTTGATTGCCTCCGTTACCGAAACTTGGGTCCAACCTCGACCAAGCACCGTCGGTGTCTCTCAGCTTTCTCACTAGGTCTGTCGTCTTCAAGATATTGTTCAGAAGCCTGATAGGGTAAGTGCGATTTGCGGATCGCGATGATGCTGGATCTGTTATCGTGTCGTCATAATTCACCCGCGTTTGTTCCTCCATGACCTCGGGTTTTGTCTCGATACTGCCTCCGTAACACGACTTCGACGGCCAACCCGTCTTCTAAAGGGCTTGCCACCGCCCTTTTCTCTTGGCTCTCGTTCCTACTGCACATTTCTCGACCAGACTGCATTTCTCGACCAGACTGCATTTCTCGACCAGACTGCTGTCCATGCCGCGTGTACAACATCGCCCCCGCCCTGCGGCTCTGGGCGCACTTCACGGCCGAACTCGACTGCTCCCATACAGGCAAGAAAGACAGCTCCGGTCGCCACTACTGGAATTTCCACGCAGATCAGGCTTGCCGCCCGAGGGGTATCCTTTCTGCACGACCTGCAAGACTCGTCTTGGCTGCAAGGCTGTCAGAGATTTTGTGGATCATCTGAGACTGGGCCATACTAAAAAGCATCGCCGAGACTGTTCTCACATTCACTTCTACACCAAGGATAAGGTTGAAGGCCATGAGAAAGAACATAGCTAGGGATCGGCGGGCGTGCCATTCTTACGTTGTCCCGTCAATACTTGTCGATTTGGTAAAGATGAACATATATCGTTAAAAAGGCTTAAAACCCATTGCACCACCCACCAATTGCGTCTCGGTTCCATCAAGCCAGCGGAAATGACACTTTCAAGGCTCCCCTGGCATGGCGAAGGGCTGATTACTTGATCCAGCCAGCCGAAGCCCTACGCTGCTATCTTTCGGCAATCTCAAAGGTAGCAGGTCTCCCACGGACGTAAGCTAACTGCCAGGAGATCCGGAGGAATCACGTTGTACGTGGGGGCCATCTCCGCGCCTTTGCAGAAATTCCAATTCCAGCCCCTACCAAAGGAGAAGACAATTCTGGAGCTGTGGGATATATTCGCTGGGCTGTACGGTCGTGTTCTCGTCGGCAAATGGGTTCAATTGCCCAGTATTTCGGGTCGACTGCACGGCGAAAGATGCTACGAGGGCCTGAATGACCCAAAAGCAGCAGCAGCAAGAATTGACGTCCTAAGGTCCCACTTATCTTTAGACACCCAGTATGAAATCGTGTGCCTGTTTGTGATGTCTAGTTTGTCGATCGCGAGCACTGGTCTATTGATACACCAACGAGCATGCCTCTTCAGCAACTTTGAGGCGGCCCGCCAAGAGATCCAGTATGATTGCCACAGCTCGCGGGACCTGCGCTAGTGCTGAACAGGCGCTTTGTAACGCTCAGACTTGGCTGATGGGAGGCCTTGAGGGGAATAGCTTCAGGCACCACCAATTCTGTTGCCGAAGTCGGCGAACGCGCCTCACCGCTAGCGGTCCAACCCACCGGGGCATCTTGGCAGCGGAGTGAAAAAGGCCGGTCGTTACTGGGAGTCATCTGTCCAATGAATATTCCTTAATGTCTGATTCCTCATGAAGAGGTCTGGGACGAAAGGTCGTGTTGATCTTCAACTTAACGGTGAGATACGGCCGTTGACGAAGTACTTTACTGAAGCTATGTCATGGGGCTGAAAAGAAGGGGCGCCGCATCTTTCCAACAATGGATCTCACAGCGCAACTCACAAGCAGCGATGCGATATAAAACAGTGGGATACAGGCTGCATCTCATCTGTCCTTCAACTTTCCTCCCACATCCTTCATTGGTTACTGTTTGACTCTCTTGCAACGATGTTATTCTTCAAGCCTTCCTCCACGCTGGCTCTGGCAGGACTGGCCGCCTTCCACTGCTGCATCAGTCCCGCCTGGACATGTCCAGGTCTGTCCCCTCGCGACGCCGCCGACAACAGTACCTATCCCTAAGAGCCTGGCGATGAGATCCCTGCACCACCCGCCACGAAGGGCTACTTCATCAATCACCTCTGCATCAACATCCGCAACGCGACCGAGAGCATCGCCTGGTACAATCGGGCGTTCGGCCTCAGGCTCATGTTCACGGTGCACGCCTCGGAGCACTTCTCCATCAGCTACATGGGCCACTCGCACGGCGGGCGCAACGGCACGGGCTACCAGAGCAGTGACGAGATGAACCGCGATAAGAACAACATCGAGGGCCTGATCGAAATCCTCAGCCTCGACTACCCAGGTTGGGACTTGCCCCCGGGCACCCGGGTCCCCAACACTTTCTCGCACATCGGCATGGTGGTCCCCAACATCACGGACACACAGGCCCGGCTGGAAGCCAGGGGAGCCAACATCATCAAGGGCGCCGGCGAGACCTTCAAACTCGACGGGGAGTTTGCGGTCACCTCGGGCTTTACTCAGCCCGGAGTCGCCGATGTCATTGATCAAAAAGAGATTGACGCCCTCACGGCGGTCTTAGTGCAAATCAACACGCCATTGATGTATGTCGCGGATCCGGATGGGACCATCATCGAAGTGCAGAGTCAATAGACTCGCCATATATCCCCATAGAGTTTCAAGACTCCATCGCCTGTCTCCGATTAATTCATTGGCTGTTTCCTTGTTCCAAATTTCATCAAAGCTAATATCGAGGCTCTGTTGCGAAATGTTATCTGCCTGCGTATGTGCCACAGACCTCGGGAGGGACAGTACTCTCTATCGGATGTTTTATAGCAAAGAGCTCCAGATTCGCCTGCAGCCTACTTACAAAAGTGTTGGTGATTTTGTCACGGAAGAGTCTCCGCACTGCGGTCGAGTGTGTGGCAACTGCTTGGCTGTCCTCGGAGAAGGTCTCATACGCGGTAATGAAACACTGCGCTTGGAGGCAAAATTGAGCTGTTGTCAGTGGCTAAGGATGATGTTTCATACGAAAATGATTCCCCAACGGGTCAGCCCGCATTATCCGTGCCAGTATCAAACTGCGGCACAAAGTGTGATTGGAGCGAGAAGGACGAGCGAGGGTATTGATACTGCATGCTTGGTATCAAACTATCCAAACATGGAAAGATAAAGCCACGTGTTGGAGAGCACCTTCAAATGATAGTGTAGAGTCTACAAAATCATCAGGTGATTGAGACGCTTAATCTGCCGCCGCTCTAGGATTTAGACTCATGGTGAAAAAACCATGCATATATATTTATATCTTTACTGCAGAGAAACACGACAATCTTACTGATAATTCAACCGCTTTCAAGGTCAATTGGAAATCTGGTTAAGTTTCTTCAACCAGAAAAAGACTACGTCCCATCCTGCTGGATCTCTAGACCGCTTGTCCAGCCTCTGCGCATTCTCTTTCGACAAGTTCGACATGGTTGTGGCTTCGAGGTACAATCTCTATCTGAAAAGGCGGATGATCGTGCGCTAATGGATCTATCTCATTTTCATTGATTGGTGCTCCCGGCACTTCCTTGAAGTTGAAGCAATAAAGCAGCCTTGAGAATGCAATGAACATATTTCTCGTGCCGAGGTGCCACCCTGGACAGATACGTCTACCTGTAGACGGCCTTGTTAGCTCGATATAACTGATATCATTGATGGAATAACGCCCTACCAGCACCAAAGCCCAGATGGCCTTTCAGCATGTCTTGCAAATCGTCGTTGAGAAATCTCTCAGGTAGAAACTTTTCATTGTTAGTGAACTCGTCCTCGTTATGACAGATGCCGAAGTTATTGTAGCTAAAGATAGTCCCTTTCTCGAACTTGTAATCGCCGTAGATATCATCCTCGATTAACGTTCGAGGTGTTCCTGTGGCGGTCATATTCGGCCGCCATCGGAGAGACTCTTTGATGATAGCGACGATATAAGGTAATTGGGCCCAGTCCTAGAACATCAGCAAGGAAGCATTGTGCATGATCCACCAACTTACATCCATTGTAGGTAGTCTTTTGGCATCGCCGCAAACTGCGTCAAGCTGAGTTTGGGCAGTGGCCACCCAGGCAGGAAATTTTGCTGCTGCTGCCAGCATTATATTGAGCTGATTTCGAGTTGTGTCACTTCCGGCCTCGATAATAGATCCAGCTATCGTCGCATTAGACTATCAATTCAGACAGTGAACTCCTATTAGCTTTACCACAGAAATATTTCTGAGCATCGTCAAAGCCGTACTTAGTTGCTAAGTCGGTCATATCTCTAGCGAAACATTTCGGATCCTGTCCTTGTCTGATTCGCTTGTCAAGGTCATCCAGGAAGGAGGCGTAGACCCTGGACATCATTAGCTCTTGAATGCTCTGTGCAGCTGCCGAGGCGAGCAGGTTACCCTATCGTTTTCTTGAAGACTCTTTCGGCTTTAGGTCGAAACCATTGCAACCGCCTTGGTATAATCTTGATGAGCCATGGAAATTGCTCTGGTAAACTGGTTGAAGGGGAAGCTTGTGTTTCCATAAAATCGTCGATCGTAGAAAAAAGCAGACGCACGTTCTCATCCCGCATACTTGTTCGCCGTCCAAAGACACTATGGCAATAGTTAACACCGAGATGAACCTGCCAGGAAAAGAGTTGTCCGGGCACAGATGCTTACGTACACCGAAAAGATTACTATCAACATATTAATTCCGGGCACCGAAAGATGCATGTTGGATTTGTACCTGAGTTCGCGAAACGCGCTCCGTGCTGATAGTAGTCTTCTGGACTTTTGAGGTACTGCCAAAGTAATGCACGGGACTCCATATCCTGGAATGGCTTGTAGATGTCTGACTGCAAACTAGTTAGCACGACCCCAAAGCCTGAGATCTGTCTGTTGTACTCACGTTACTAGACATCAAGAGCTGGTGCATAATCTTCCTCAGATTTCTCCATCTCTCGGTATAGCTCATCATGATTATTCTGTTCCCACCCGACAGGATATCCTGAGTGATGGGAAATTCGGGACGACCGATATAGAGCCTTCCGCGTCTGTCGAGAAGCTCTCGAACTGTCTGCATTGAGTTGAGGAAAACCCATCTTCTTGCGCCTAATCGTATCGTGAACCTGTCCAAAGAATTAATACTTCACGGTTAATAGGATTCAGGAAATGAGAAGCTGGCACACATATCTCCGTATTGGTTACCCCATTCTGCAAACTTGGGTCCAGCATACTTTGGTGGCACCTGAAACAAATTCCCAAACAGAGGGCTCCCATTTGGGCCGGCAGGATAACGATATTTCGTTTTCGGTTTCAATAAAGCTCGACCGACCAAGGGAAGAATTGCCACCACGAATAAGATTGCTAACCCGCCACCGAAATGTAAGTTGTCGAAAGCCAGCATGTCGATTGTCCACTAAGTTAGGCGAGGATTCAGTCGTTGTGAGAAAGAGAGCTTGTCGTGATGTTGTAAAGCTAAAGCCACATCAATTTTTCGAAATAATGTTCAGTAGACGAGAACGCTTCCAGTTTGACTCAACAGTGCAGCAGCTTTCTCACAATCCTTCGATGGCTTTATGTGGTGGGGATGGGTGGATGTGGGGAACAGGACCCCAATCCCCAAGAAATGTCGTTGTGCTTCACAAGTCCACACTTTCCCCACTAAGCGAGCCGCCTCCAGCAGCCAGGTACACGCCCGGGCGATCCCGTTGGTCTGAATTTGGCAAATACAGTTGACGAGAGAAGGTTTGGCAGTACAAGCACAACCTCTTTTTACGCGCCACAGCCCTGCCCTCCCTCCCTACCATCCCAACCGCAGAACGGGAGCCATCAAGACAATGGATCCCAAACAGTTTGGCAGCTCGACACTTCCCTATCGACATGAGCCAACTGGACCGTTAGCAGATGAATGTCTGGTAGGCGCTAATAAAGGCAGACTAGCGGTCGTCACCGGCGCGGGTAGAGGTACGCTCACATTTGCCTTCACTGTTGCCATGGAAATTGACTCTTGAACGAGGTATTGGGCAAGCTATCGCCATTGCGTTGGCAAAGTCGTCTGCAAACGTTGCCATTCTCGACCTCAGTGTTGAAAGCCAAGAGGAAACAAAGCTTGCATGTCAAAAATTCGAAGGTGTCAAGGTTGAAGCCTATAAATGTGACATTACAGACGTTCAAGCCGTTCGAGCTACATTTGCCGCCATCGATCGAGCTTTTGGGCCAGTCGACATTCTTGTCAACAACGCTGGTGTAGCTCATGGAAAACTTGCTTTCGAGGAAACCTTTGAGAACTTTTGGAAAGCCATCGAAATCAATTTCAAAGGCACGATGCTATGTATCTATGAGGTATTGCAAAGTATGCGCGAAAGAAAGTCTGGTTGCATCATCAACATGGCTTCACGGGCAGCAACAGTCGACATGCCGGGCGGTGTTAGCTATAACTCGAGCAAAGCAGCCGTTGTACGAGCCACTGCAAGTCTTCAGGAAGAGTTCGAGCAGGAAGGGCTGGGCCAGAATCTACATACGTACTGCTTGCATCCCGGTGGAGTTTGGGGAGCCATGGTTACAGGTAAGCCAGATGCTTGTGAGTAGATGGACTTCGTACTCTAACACTTCTGAACTCAAAGAAAACACCACTCCTGAAGTGCAACAACAGATCCGACCAATTTTCAAGGATGCACCGGAGCTCTGTGGAAACACGATTGCATACCTTGCAAGTGGACGGGCGAAGGAGTTGCGAGGCCATTATTTTGACTGCCGGCAAGAGATTGAACGAGTATGCAGCTTCGGGTACAAGACCCTCAGGGACTACGGCTTGTACAACCTCGGGGTGAAATTTCTTCCCGGCTATGAGAATGAGCCTTAGGTTATAAATTGGCATCCCAGAGGTGTCTGGGCCTCATATGCCCATCGCACCTATGCGGACGTCGTTGACCCAGACCAAGACCTCTTCACAAACTTTTTCAGGCTCGTCAATATATACCATATGTCCCACACTTTCAATGATGACTAGACGGCTACTGCCAATTCGCCGTGCCATCTCTTGGTTGACGGAGAGAGGACTGGCAATGCTCTTAGCTGGTGCAAGGATGAGGGTCGGTACGCGGATCTTTTCAAGGTAACTGGATACGTCTACCGTGGCCACAAAGTCACAGTACCTCGCAACGCCCTCTAGGTCGTGTTTGCATAGCATATTATCGTACCATTTCAAGTACGCAGCACCAGCGAATCGACCCATCTCATTGGTCTCTGCAGGTTGCTCCGTGCCCAGTCTGGAAACCGGCCGGCTCTTCTGCCATTCGACGATACCCAGTTTTCTCATTGCCTCACCCTGACTCTTGTATGGTTCGGAGACCATTCGTATGAAGATGTCACTATTAGTGGTCAGTTTTGCAAGGACTAGTGCTGTGGGCGACCAAAGGAAGACTGGAAACTTACTTGAGAACAAGGGGAGATGACATGAGGATTAAGGACTTCAGCTTCTCGGGATATTTTGCTGCAAAGGCGATACTGATCATACCCGCCGTGCTCTCACCTATCCAATGAACTGGACGACCAGCAACCTTGTCAACAAAGTCTGCCATTTCGTCGACCAGGGTGTCCAAGGTATAATTGCTACATCCACCAGAACTTCTTCCATGACCACGTAGGTCTCGTCGCACAAATCTCACTTTTCCGCCCATTAGGGGCACAAGGTGGTAGACAAACTCCGTATGGCGCAAAATTCCTGGTTGGAAAACCACAATTTCAGCGGTGGCGAATTTCCATGGGTCTGTGAAGTCGTCGACTTCATAGTAGTCGACCTGGCCGTTGAAGAGCTCCACTGCAGGCATGTTGGCAACGGAGACCACAAAGGCGACAATGAATGACGAATCGAATAGTGGGTGAGATAATGGATATAATCGATTTCATGTAGACTTCCGTGAGAATTGGCTGCATGACAACGTCGCATGAGTTTTTCTGCACTTAAAGGCCACATGTAGCCATGAAAGCCTACCCCACAGAAATGTATCGTTCGCCAACCCCAAACTTTCTCAAAGTCGCGGATGTGGGATCAGAAGCACGGGCGGTTTCTCCTCAACTCAAACCTCGTTAGTCCTGCATCCTTCGGTGGGGAAGCTGTACGTGTGGAATATATAGGGATTCAAAACCCTCCTCCACTTCTTCGATCTCGGAACAACTATTAGACACTGAAAGCTTTCTGCATCCCACCAAACCCGTCCGTTTCAATGGTGCTCTCCAAGGTAAGCTCCTATTATTCTGGAGCTCATGTCGGCGAAATGACGTTGTGGTGTCTAGATCATTATCGTAGGTGGCGGACCATCTGGGCTAGTACTCGCACTGCTTCTCGCCAATGCAGGTGTCATCGTCGAAATACTAGAAGGTTCCGACAAGCTTGATGAGTCGCCACGAGCGTCGCATTACTCATGGCCTGCACTTTATGAGCTGCAGCGCGCAGGACTTCTCGAAGAGATCCGCAAGCGAGGTTTTGTGGCCACGGATGGAATTTCGTGGCGGAAAGTCGACGGGACACTGCTTGCAAAATTCAGCATCGATGCCATTCCTCCAGACTACAGACTTCATGCGTTACCTCTGGGAAGGCTGTGTGCACTTTTGAAGGAGCGCATTGACGGAAATCCGAATGTCGAGATCAAGTACTTACACAAAGTGATCAGGATTGACCAATCCGATGAGAGTGCTCGTGTCTTCGTTGACACGCCGCAAGGAGAGCAGCTCCTTGAAGCTGATTACATTGTTGGCTGTGACGGTGCTAATAGTCAGATACGCCGGTCCCTATTCGGCGACGGGGAATTTCCGGGACGTACTTGGGGCGTTCAAATAGTCGCGACAAATGTATTCTCACCTTCCCTTTCGACTCCGTGATACTTTCTCATATCGTCTTACTGTCTGATAGGTCTACTACGATATCGCAAGCCATGGTTGGGGCCAGGGAGCCTTCATCGTCGATCCAGTTCATTGGTCAATGGCAGCCCAGATTCAGCCAGATGGTCTGCTTCGTGTCAGTTACGGAGAGAAGGTCGGCCTCTCTCGGGAAGAATATATTGCTCGTCAGCCGGAGAAGTTCCGCACTATTTTACCAGGTCATCCGTCCCCCGAACAGTATAAGATCGTCAATTTGAGCCCATATAAGATTCACCAAAGATGCGCAAAGAGTTTTCGAGTCGGACGATTCCTACTAGCAGCCGACGCAGCTCATCTATGCAACCCCTTGTACGTCCATCGCTCGTTAAGATAAAGGGAAGCTAACAGAACCTCACAGCGGTGGACTAGGCCTGACCGGTGGGTTGGTCGACGTTGGAAACCTGTTCGATTGCTTCATCGGCATCCATAAAGGATTCACAGACGACAGTATCTTGGACCGGTACAGTGAGGTGCGGCGGGAGAAGTACTTCAGTATCATCGACCCGGTGTCAAGTGCCAATTTACGTCGGTTGATTCAAGATCCTGATATCGCTATGAAGGAGGATCCATTTTTCACCATGGCCAAAGATTTCGAGAACCCAGAATTCTGCGCAGGCCTTGCTGCTGTGAGATTTGCCTTGTGATCTGCAATTCTCGACACTAACGACATGCGAAACAGGGTGTCAACGATATAATGCACGACTTCACAAAAGAATATGTGAAGCCTCGGTAAACCGCATGCATACGGTGCTACTCGCAAAGCCTGATAGGTAGATCGTGGATGGGTTTAGGCGAGGGACAACTCCCCCATAGGAACTGGTCTTTCGGCGATTCATGGAAAATCGGAAGTGGAAGGTCGGAAGTAAGTTTTCATGGTCTTCAAAACCTGGTCTGCGGTTTAGGAAGCGAATGGAGATGATGTCAGTCAGGTCGAGAGTAAATTAGAGTAAGATCTGCGAGGTCATCGCTATGGATTATTTTTTGGTCCGGTCTAAGGGCTGACCTTGCTCTCTAGAGGCCAGTCTGATCTGTCGGTATTTCAGCATTTGGCCCGATTATGCAGGGGCTGTTTTAGCGACAGATTCGCCGATCCTACTGGACATTGTCGCAACGGACTTATTGGCTTTCTCCACGGGTGCCTTTTCACTCGAGATGACGCACACTGTGCCTGCGAGGTACTTGATCAGCGTGGTGTACGACGACATCCCATTGATCTCGAGGGAAGTTTATGAATAAGTACTACAAGCCGAGCGGGGTATCACCAGTAATCGATGACTTTTCCAAGAATCTTTCGTGTGGCTGGCCTTTTTTTCGCCGAGCAGCGTGCACTTTTGCTTGATTGGGACAACCCTACACCGTTTGAATTTGGAGCGAAATCACTTGGAGCACCTGATGATCAACAATTTTTTCATCGACAGGCATTTGTTTCCCCCTCTCCCCGCAAGCCCCCATCCCCGGCCTGGTCTGAGCCAAGCCTAGTACGATGGGATAGGACTAGATGTTTGATTTTGCGACCAGAAACGTTTCCCGAATTCCGCCGCTAACTGATTCGAGGGTTGTAATACTACACTGCACAGTGTGAATCTGTGTCCGCATAAGAATACATCCTCCACATATGTAGTCTGGATAGATCACCTGAATTGCCTCATAAGGTTGGCTACGTTAGTCGGCTTCGGAACACAAAAGCAAACCCTACACTTTTAGATTAACATTCTGCACCTCTTCCTAAGTCAATTGTGAGGTTCGACGGGTGTAAGATAATAGTACTGGTCCAGCTCTGCTCCTAACAATGGAGTCACTCCGACTTACAACCTTTCTCAACGTTTTACACGTATCCTAGCCTTGCCATCACAAGGCTGAAGCTAATAGGCTTTTCCCCGCAGCATTTCGTTCCCCCGCATCCCAGCCCATCTCATGCTCGATCGCTATGTCGTCATCAATCCCAGCTGCACATTTCCAAACGACTTACTGTTTCGCCGCATTTCTCTCGAACACATCTGTACCACAGTACGCGAAACGTAACAACTATCTTATCGGATGTTGATCTGTCGTCTCAGGGCGCAGCAACGCACGAGTAGTGGGTGATGCAAAGCCTTCTGACGGGCGTAGCGCGCTTCAAGTTCTGAATGCCGCCAACGATACGCATTCGATGAGGTGTTGCTGCGATTACCTAATCTCTCTATGCGTCCTCCAACTGCATGTGTTGCATGTCGGTATGTTCCCTACTCTGACACTATGTGATGTCTACGTCTCATCTGTTGAGCAATACATCATGACCGGAGGCATACTAATCCATCTCCGCCTCCAGCAACCGCCGATGGAAATGCGAGGTCGTAACTCCCAAATCTCCATGTACGTGGTGTCAAGACCGACAGCTGACGTGCTCGTTCACATCGAGCACGGCGCGGAAGAAGGATTGGTCCGAAGCCCATTGGGAACCTCGCCCTTACGATTCGTCTTCCGAGACGGGCATACGCGATGAGGTGGCATCTTCTGCAGATTACCAAGCAGCTCCCAGCACCAGCAACGGACTACCATCGAATGCGTTGCGTATCGAGCTTGTGGAGCTGTACTTCCGCTATATTCACGATACTTTCCATTCGCTATTCCATCGACCTAGCTTGGTGCAGGACGTGATCGATGAGACAATTCCCGAAGTTTTGCTCTTTGGCATCATCAGCCTCTCTTCTCGATTCTCCAACGACCCTGTCTTCACCGGTGTCGATCCACGCGTTCGCGGCGGACCATATGCGCGAAAAGCACAAGCTCTGCTGGATCTGCGAGAGGTGTCTTTGACCACGATCCAGGCTTGTGTGCTTCTGGGGGCCTTCGTCATCACCGAAGGCGAAGCTGCCTCAGAAGCCGTCTTCTACAGCATTGCTTGTCGAAGCGCACTCGTACTCGACCTACCGAATCTCCCTGGACAGTCTCTGCTTGACCAGGAAGTCAATCGTCGAGTCTGGTGGACGCTTCGTATGATCGACGTCTGGTCATCTAACGGCGTCCGGATACCACGCGCTCTCGGTGCCACTTGTTCCGACGTGCCGCATCCGATGAACGAGATTATATTTCATCGACTCCGCCGCGGCGATGATTCTGAGCGTACTGACCACCTTTCCAACACGACACCACAAGCATTGAGCCAGGAGAGCGGGTCGTCACTACTGACCCAGATGGTCAAACTTAATGCCATCCTTATTGATATCAGCTCAGTAAATCAAGCGGCCGCCGCGGCATCGTACGCTCACAGTCCAGACTATCACGACATGGGCCACCAAGGAACTGTCGATCGGCTAACAAGGAGCTCAACGGATGGGTGGGCTCTCTCCCACCAAATCTTCGTGACACCCAAGACAATTTGTCCCATTATGCTGCTCTCGGTCTGGGACCGATGTTTGTCGCGGTACATCTGGGCTACTACCACTATGGGGCGCTATTATACTATCAGTACCTCCACAGAGACTCCTACGACGAGCACGCCCCAACATATTCGTATGCGGACAAGTGTAAAACTCATTCTGTCGGCCTTAGCGAGATCTTGTACCGCGCATTTTCTACCCCTGGCTGTGAAGTCTATTACACCATGGTCGGCCACGTGTTGGTCATCGCTTCCACGGTACCGCTCCACATACTCCTATTCAACTCGGATGAAGAGCAGACACGAGCTGCGCGAGGCAGACTCGAAAAGAACTTCGAACTCTTGACGTGCCTGCAACGGCTGTGGCCCACGTTAGACGTCAGTTTTGCACGCTTTCGCGAATTTCATAGAGCGTGCCAGAACTATAAAGAGACGTCCTTCCGCATGGACAAATGGCTGTTGAGATTCTTACTTGAGTTTGCTAATCCCGTCGGCGAGAAGGATCCGGATGAACCATTGACAGAGACCCACCCTTGGTCAATGCAAGAATGGGATCTCAGTCCGTTTTGACTGCAGGAATCGTCGCTCAGGACCATGTCCCGATGGATTGTCACGGATCTTTTCCGCATGTACCTTGGTATTCCAGGGACGGTGCTTCGGAGCAAGATTATCATTACCTTCGCTTCATCATCCCTTGCGATAAGAGTCACTCAGTTCAGCACTCTTCGGCAACGACTGAGACCAAATAAATTCGAGCATAAGGATTTTGGTAGAAGAAGAAGAAGACGAAGAAGAAGAAGACGAAGAAGAAGAAGACGCCCAGGGCATAGGAATGTTCTGACGACGCTTTCGTCGTATTTTCGTAAAAAAGTATCCGGTGCACGATATACATATTTATCACCATGAGAAATAGGCGCTCATAATGTGCATAACGTGGCAAGACGTTATTCGTATTTCTTTCCACATTAAACATCAAACGCATGAGGATACGAAAGCGCGAATAAAGCTTGGGGAGGCTTATCAAAAGCTTGGCTACTTAGTGCGATAAATCTCCCTCGGCTCGGACAATCGATATGTCGACAGTCACGTGGAACCAATCAGACGGTGTTCGCCACCTCGATGTTGACGTAGCCAGGTTTGCACAGCCTACGTAGTCTTACGATCGTACAAATATTTCTGATACTGCAACACTTTGCACCGTTTCTTTCAGCAGAGATAAAATCCGACTTTCACAAATGGATTCGAAGCACAGTACCTACGGCATGGACCAGAAGAATGCACTCAACGGCTCGCAACAAGTAACGGATCAGTACGTGTGTGATCAGTGCCACGAATCAATTGACTCGACTCAGAGAGATGAACATAATGACTGGCATTTCGCGAAAAGCCTAGAGGAACAAGAGGCTGGAGGGTCTGTCGTAGCGAGTCAACCCCGAATCGTTCCAAATGTCAAACAAACAGATATCAAACAACCTATGGATCAGAAAAATGACCAACCACCAATGTACGCGCCACCATCCCATCCGCCACCGAAGAATGGCCCCAGCATGGCAGCACCGGTCCGGGCTCACACCAACCAAGTTATTGAAGCCGCCAAAGTTCGTGCCAGAGATGAGGTGCGATTCCTTCATTTCACGATGAAGGACATCAACTGACAGTCTGACAGCAACAAATGCAAAATGCACTACAGAATCTCCAATTACAATATCACATATACAATACCGAAATCGAGCCTGAACACGAGGCAGATTATTATTGTAACTGTCCCATTCACAATTACCAGAGGATGAAATGGAATCGGTATGGAGTACAGGAGATGTGGTCAAAGGCAGTCATGTATCCTGGTCAGTAATCACGTGCCTTCCTGCGATCTCCCAACTTTTTACTGACCCTCTCTGCCATCTTCGAAACAGGTGAAAAGTCATACAACGATAATAAACAGAACATAGGCCTATTGAGCAGGAATCCTTACAGGCTCCGCGTGGTGTCGCCGTATGGTTTCTACCAAACCGCCTGGGGAGTGCAACGCCCACAGCCAGGATACCATGCCCAATCCATCCACCAAACGATTGCGCTCAACAATAGTTTGAATAGTCAGGCGCAAGCTAATATCGATGACAAGGAGCCCAAGGTCAACATCTGGGACGACGATGCACTCAGTGCCGCAATGTCTCAAGTCCGCATTGCCGCAGCGAATGACAAGAAGCAAGCAATCAATACACCGAACGGGAATGGTCCTGTGGCGATGGGAGAGAAGCCTTCCTCCTCTTCTGGAGATCGGAAGCCAGAGAAATCCAAAGTGTCGAGGTTCTCGAGTTTCCGACAAAGCATTGGCATCAAGTCCTCAGAAGAAAAGGTGGTCGCGAAGACGGAAAAGTCCGTGTACAAAGGACGCGAAATTCGCGACGCAATCGTCGCCGAGGAGAACGGGCGTTGGCCTGACGAGGAGTGGCGATATATTGTGCAGGTATACCAAGAAAAGGTTGGCATGACCAGAAAGATCGCCGATCTTCGAAACCGCCATCCAATACAATACCTTCATCTGCTCAGAGCTGGTTACTTTGAGCCTATTCCGGTGGCCTGGGCTAATCAAGCCTCGAATCCATTGAAGTTCAGCATTGAGGCCGCTGGAGGTTGGAGAGGGATCACTCCTAACTGGAGAGGCTACGAGGATACCGCGGAGGAGCGGTTGTACTGGGTCTTGAACCACAGAGAAGGGAGTGTTGGAATGAGAATGAAGCCGGACTTTATCTCTGAGATGGACATGGCTCGTGCGAGAATGGCCAAGGCTGTCGAGCCGCCTCCCGAGTATTTCTCCAGTACAGACACCTGCCACTTGCAACACACCTCGGAAGGATACTCCAAGCAAGTTATGCCTGCGCCCTTTCTGGCCTATGATCGACCTGAAGTGCCGACGGATGACACAATGATTCTGTTGGATGTTTCTGGCTCAATGGATTTCGACCCTTTACGGCCGAACTACAATCAGTATCTCATTACTGGTTATTCCAAGTCTACACAACCGAAAAATAAAGGTAATGCCACTATCTTGGCGAAGCCATTGATACTAACGATGCGCAGATGTTGCGAAAGCAATCATTCGACGTTTTACCGACGCCATGTCCAACCACGACCACGCCTTTCAAGGCTATGATCTGACCACTTTCTCGAGCGCAGCTAACTACATTGGCACCATCAACCACAAAAATCTCAATGAAATGTGGCGGAAGGTCAGAATAGGGGGTGGAACTCGTGTCATGACAGGCTGGCAGAAAGTCAAGGAACTGCATTTCCAGAAGCATTCCGAGTCTGCAACGCATCATCCGGTGTATGGATGGCAAGCCGGACCCGAGACGCCCATGCTGCGTCTGCTACTTCTGCTTGATGGCGAAGCAACCGACATGGACGAGTTCGAGCTTGATCTTCTTGGGCTCTCGTGGGCCCATGTTACGATATTTCTCATTGGCGTGGATGGATGTCCACATCACCATCGCCATGCTAACGAGTTGCAGCGTATCGGCGATGTCAACCATCATGTCTCCTTTGTTGATGCGCAGGGAAACACGCCTGAGCGTTTCGTCACGCATGAACTACTCAAGAGGCATTTGGGTTATGAGCTTTCGATGTCAGAGTTTGAGCAGATTGAAGAGTTGCCGGGCTATTCAGAATAAGCCCAGGTTCAAGACTGTATGCGTTGCTTGATAGTGACGCCTTTATTGGAGGATTGGTGACCATGAGATGTAACCATGCTGATGCCAGAGTACACATCAGGGCTGCCTTGCACATGTTGCGAGAGCTGGAGTCGTCGTCCACCGCCTTGACATTGACTGAATTGGTTCAGTTCTTACAAATCAAGCCTGTCGTCCATCATCTTAAGTCAAAAACTTGCGACTCGACTGATTAGCGTGACAGAAGATGAAGTGTTTGCTGCACGACACCAGCGAGGCGAGGGAGCCCCAGGAAAAATGGCGCTTATGACTGGGGAGACTAGAGCTAGTCAATTTTACGAGTACTTGCGATTCCCGTCCCATACCTGTTCATCTTCATCCCGTCATAGGCCGGTAGTTGTGAAGGCAAATGCGTAGACCCGTGATAAATATGCCGAATGAACCTGGTGATTGATGGTGGTCGTCGATTCGACCTAACTCCAGTGCGCTTGTGCCGCTACGGTGTCCGCGCGTGACAAGGACTCTCTTTGGTCGTATTCTGTACAGCTTTAGGCATGAGGCTGTGCATGGCGAATCTGATACGATACAATAATGCCTTCGCAATCGGTCCAGGCCGTCTTGAAGACAAAGAGTCCCGTTGTAGGATTTAAGAGTGGCGCCGCTTATCAGGTGGCGTCGAGAAGCTATGACGACACTCTTCGTCCGCGTCAGCGTTTCCCCGGCTAGTCTTGTTTCCTGGTCTTCGCTCAAGGGCAGAGGAATAACAGCAACAACATATGGCGATCGGCTCACGGAGTCGTACAGGATGTCTGACATGCCGGTTACGCAAGAAGAAATGTGATGAGCAGCGACCGGTATGCCGGATTTGCCACTCGAGCGAATTGACATGTTATGGTTATGATGCACCTCTTCCGAATTGGTATACCAGCAGAGCGAACTGGGAAGAAGTGAAGAGGTCTAATGAAGCACATGCCATACATGCCCTCGCTGAGACTCGTTATAACATTCGCCGAAAAGATGCAGCGAAGACTAACATCAACTGTTTTGCTATTCCTTCCGATATCGCAGAGAGTGACGAGCGTCATTATTTTCATGCATCTACTTCACGCTCCGGAGTAGCAGTGGGCAGCATCAGTACTATCTCAACGGTGCCCTCCAGAGTTACAGTCACCCCGAACACATGGCAACTACGTCCAGAAACGATTTGGTGGGATAGTGCAATCAGCAATCTAACACCGGAGACTCAATCTTCAGCTGGCAGAGACACGAGGCTGCTCACAATGTTCTTGGAGGTCATCCATCCAATTACACATGGCCTCTACCCATTGTTGTCCGGTAGGGACAGAAGCTGCCTCCTCAACCCTCTGGTGAGCGATTCAGCTTTGTATAGCGCCGCAATGAGTGTCAGTGCCTGTTTCGACCACTCTCTTACTGAACTACCAAAGATTGATGAAATCGGCATCTGTCCAAAGGTCAAAAGGTTACAGAGCACTGCGATCCATCAACTACAGAATAGGCTTCACGCCTTCACCACAGAACGGAACCTGTCGCTGCAAGAGTTCCTTTTCACCGGCATTCATTTGCTAGATGTGGTCCTAAACCTCATTAACCTCGAAATCTTTAGCATGCTACAGGGTCACTGGGAGGTTCATCACCAAGCTGCAAGGATACTTTTAAACCACCTTGAGATCCGGTCAATCTCCAAAGGTGGTCATGGCATAGAACCAATGACATCTGCAATTGACTTTGCGCTGTCAATAATGTCTGGAGCCGACGATCGCTGACGCTCAATGGAGTTTTGTATCATGAATTTTATATTGGTTGACGTTCTTGCCACAGCCACATTTGGGCTTGCATCTTACCCGCCTTCGGCGTTTGACTATCTTCCTCTTCTTCAATCGGGACGAATCAAGCCAGAGAATCTCATGGGATGTCAAGGGTGGATCATGGCCATTATCGTGGAGATTGCAAGGTTTGAACAGTGGACGATGATGCAGGATATTCAGAAGTACGCATTGAGTGTAACAGCAGATCTAACACGACGGGGTAATCAGCTTGCAGAAAAGCTCAAATCTGGGATCGAAAAACTGGAAAAGAAGAGCACGCAGACAGGTGCATCGTCGGCTGCGCCCAGCCTCGAAAAAGACTGTAGACTCGTCAGTCTCCTCTGGGCTCATGCTGCACAAGTCCTCTTGCAAGTCGCGATGTTTGGGACAGGGCAAACCCAACCACATGTCGACCAGACGATCATTCACATTTGCCTCCAAAAGCTCGAGGAACTACCGGCTCGCCTTGTCATTCGTGTATGTTGGCCATATACTATTGCCGGATGCATGTCGACAAGCGAGTACCATTACAGATTTCGCCAAATCGTGACGGGGACAATGCAACAATCTCAACCTCCTGGCATGACATGGAAAGGTCTGATGGTCATGGAGGAATGTTGGAGGTTGCAGAAAATACATGGAAGTTCCGGGGTTGGGTGGAGGGAAGCTATGGAAAGTCTAGGCGCGAGAGTTTTGCTTATTTGAAACGAGAACAAAAGTGCACCTTAAGTCAGAGAAGCTGATCCATTGCCACTCCATGTCGCTTGAGGCAAAGTGCAGATTTCACATTCGAGACAGACGTTCACCAGCCACTCAATCAATCTGCCACCGCTGTGAGAAACCCACCCTGGCACGGAATGATGCCCTATCATTGAGGGAAGGTTGTGCAACTATTGACTTGAACTTTAGGGTGGTGGTTCGCGCGAGACGATCTCAGATGTCGACCTCGTGCTGGGGATCATCGGCTGCATTGCCCTCGCCCACTCTTGTTACTGTTTTCTTCATTGCGACCCCGCCTGGGACAGAATGGGTCCCCAACGGGAAGATATCGAGCGGTGTAGTTGGGTGGAGAGGTTCATCGTCCTAGCTGACCTGGGTGCAGAACTCAAGATACGGGTGTCAAGAGGTCGTGTTGAAACCTCGCAAATAACATCTCAATCATCACGTCTCTTATGGTACAGGTCCACATGCTGGGGATCAGATTGATGAAGGTTGCTTTTGACGGTGGATAGCACGGTTTGACACACTGAACTTTCGACCAGGCTAGATGCACGCCCAAACGGGCTCGAATGGCAGCTGGCTGTAACGTCTTTTGAGCTGCTGCTCGTTGAAAGGTTTGTTGGACTCGATTCAAGCGCTGCGGGCGCTGAGCTTATGCATCAATGTTGTCGTGTTAACATGCATACCGACCCATGTTGGTGGAAGCCTAAACAGAGTCGTGCATCAGCATATCATATCTTGATTCCAAGCTGTAGGTACTTTTGCTTGGATTAAAGTACGAACACCGAAATCATAGGGGCAGCGGGAACAATTAATAGTTGAGACTAAGGTAGGTGCTTACGGGACGGTGGAGGATCTCTAGGCTACAGGAGGTTTAGCTTAGCCGCAGTCGATAAATGCTGAGGTCATTGCAGCCAACTGGGGTCGTCTTCGCTAATCGTACTCCACGGGACCGGCAGACGCAGGGATCCCAACAAACAAGTCCCCTGCATCAACGCCCAGACCAGGCGAAGGACTTTACCTGAGTACATAGATGCAAGGGTGACCGTCTGTGATGCGTGTCCTAGATCTCGAATCAAAATTATTGTTTGTTGTTATTCCTCTTCTACTGTACACCTGTGCTTCGACCATATCTTCGATTACGTTCGGAAAATATGTCGTGTCCACAATGCTTCTCCGGCCATATCAACCCTGGTACACCGCAGGATAACAAGATCCTTGCGGATCATTACGCTTCGCTTGGACAGTACCTGGTATACCTTCCAGATTTCATGGATGGTGAGCCAAGTTACCTTCTACCTGCGGCACTGGTCATCGTCCAGACCGCAAGAGCCCGCTGTTTGTGTTTGTGGAGATCAGTAGTGATTTTGAGATACAGGCAAAGCAGCCTCGGTCAACACGATGATCAACATGGCCTATTTGACAGACAAGCAAACTTCCTGGCTCTGGACCCCGTGAGTCGGATCAGCTTTATGTTGCCTTGCGACTTAGACTGGCTTATACCTTGTAGCTACTACCTCCTTGCCACTGTATACGATTTCGTTCCATTTCTGTACAGGAACAGGTTCGGCGCATGTTGGCCAAGGGTGACATCCTTCCTCAAAGCACTTCGCGAAGACAAGGGCATGGAGGTCCCAGTGGGAGTGGCAGGCTTTTGCTGGGGCGGGCTGTATCCGATCAAGCTCAATCACAATATCCCTGAAGCCAAGACTACAAGTGGTCAGCCGTTAGCAGATGCATTCTTCTCTGCTCATGCCTCCAGCGTCACAATTCCCCAGGACATAGAAGGAGTCACAATGAACCTTTCGTACGCGATTGGTGACGATGATGCGGTCATGAACATGCAGCAAGTTCGTCAACTGCAGAAGGTCTTGAACGACAAACAAGAGGTGGATTCAGAAGTCGTCATTTATCCTGGTGCGAAACACGGCTTTGCTGTTCCGGCTAGCAGAACAAAGCCCGATGCACAAGAAACCATACAAGCAGAAGAGGCAGAAAAGCAGGCGATCGCATGGTTTCAACGACAGTTTGCGGCTGCCAAGCAGAGAGACATGGGTTGATTGATCGCGACTTCTCAGTAAGCTTCACGGCCGCGTTCGAGTTTTGTCCTTCCGGCCCTGTGAGTACAACCACGATCGGTAATGAGAGCTTCATTCCTTGCCGTGTGGGCCTCAGTCCCAGCTTGTACACATCGACAAACCGCTGACGGCATGCCTAATTCTAGTATGAAAGAGCATGGACATATCTACCCACTCGTCCTACCCCAGCACTTGGTTTCAACTCAAATGAAGAGATTGGATCGCACATGTGGACGGCTCCTTGGCACTCCATTTGTTCAGAAATAACAGCCATGGGACCTCGATATCGTCAAGTGTGTGCCAGAAGTAGCATAACACAAGCAGCAATTAGCTGTCCAAAGCCCATCGCCGTACTCCAGCCTCCCTGCGTCTCATCCCATAGTACGACGGAGAGCCAGATAATGGTAATTCCCGTTTAAACCCAAGCAATATTTCGCGGCAGCACTGAATGCAGCCGGTTTTTCTGCCACCCCAAGGTATACCTGAGACCTCGGAGCTCGTCGGTGAACTCGAATTCTCTACCAAATTAGTCCTCGGATTGTTCAGCCAGTCAGACCACTCACCCAATCCGGTAGATGCAGGTAGTGATCGGCCTGAAGAAAGAAGAGCCAGCACGATTATCATGCCAGTGAGTAAAGTAAGAACTCACGTTCACGGGTAAAGTTCCATTCACAATGAATCCTGTCATAGCATCGACATAATTGACAAGGTAATCATCGATATCAAAACTCGTGATGTTCAATGCCGGCAGACGAGGGCCTTTCATGTGAATCTGATAGTTCTCTCGGTGATCAGGGCTGGCAGTCAGACCATGGAACAAGGTATATCGAGGGTCTCAATTGGCGGGAAAGTTGACGCCAGCATTGTAGATGAGATTCTGGTCACTTCGAACAGGAGGCGAGCTGTTGGCAACAAGGTACTGCGACAAACCCGACTTCTGGTACGTGCCAATAGCCCCTCATTTGTCACGGTCATCCTTCTGGGCGTGGAGAAAGTGGGTGTTGACATTCCCCATAACGTCAAAACCATGGCCGTGATCTACGGTGACGAGAACGAGGGTGTCATCCAACTCGTCAAGGGACTCGAGGTCTGAAAGTAGCGTTGATGGTGTCATCAAGCTCGAGGATCTCACCCAATGCACGATCGTAAGCGAGAGTGTGCATTTGCTTGTCAATGCTGGCGACTTCGGACATGAGGAAGAGACCATCTGGCTGATGACGAGTGTGAAGAATTTCGAGAGCTTTGACGGTCATCTCGTTGAGACCAGGCTAGTCAGTGGCGCTAGCATTCGACCCGTCAGGTGCGGTCTTGGTTATCTTGAGGTTGTCTGCGTAGACATCACGGTCGAGCTACTTGGCCATATTGCTGACGGAGAAACATACCAAGCGTTTTGGACCAGTTGGAAAATTTCTGAGGGCAGTGTTGTTCTGAACTATGGTGTAGTTCTTTTTGGCAAACTCGGCGTAGTAATCCTTGCCTTGAAATGAGACCTTGCCAGGGTAATTTTTCTCAGTGAAAATACCGAAAAGTACGTCTGGCCCTGACTAATTGGTCCAGGTGCATTTGGTAAATCCATTCGAGAAAGAGTCAATGACAGCACCATACTGGCCCGGGTCACAGGTGTGCGCTGTCAAGGCTGCAGGTGTGGCGTCAGCAATGAAGGCAGTGGAAATGATGCCGACAGCACCTTTGTAGAGGCGCTAGAAGATCTTGCTAACGGTCTCGACCTTGGGGTCGTCGAAAGTGGTCTTGGAACTGTTAGCGTACACATAAGCATTGACGCTTGACCTGTGGCCAGTGTACGGTCAGGGTTCGGGTTATCGAAATTGTCATTGCAGGACACCCTACCGGACGAGGCTGCGCATTTCGCACTTTTTGCTCGATGCATTGCATGAACGAGGTACAGTCGAACCGACATTCGTGGGCCGGGGATAGGCTGGGTTGCCGTAAACAGTCCGTTACAGCACAAATATGGCAGGGAAGACATTGGAAGTTGCCCATGTCAAGAGCACTCATGTAATAGCGTAGGCAGTCGGGCTCCTAGTCATTGAACAGCTGATCAGCACAGCACCCACGCCCAGGCGACAGGTGGAAGTGATAGGGGATGAATTACACAACGGAAGTTGTATGCCACAATGGTGTGCGTGCCGCAGTTGGCCGCCGTTTCCTAAAGCTGTCTCATTCCTGGTCTTTTCCTACACTACCTTAACCACTGGTCTCGCGTCTGGGTGTGGTATGTGAGCCCTCCATCTTTTCAATCCGGATTGATTCACTTTCAAGGGTTCGGATGTTGCTTGGAAAAGTCGTGGTGGACGATGTGCGAACTGCGGTAAAGAGTTGACTCATCGCTGTCACTGAGCATGTCAGACAGGTGCCGAGGACGAGAGTGAGTCGACCGTAAACAATTCGCGTCATTCAGGAGAGCCTCGGTGAAGGCCAGTGTTCTGTACAGGGACTATAAGACGTGTTTTCTGGTCAGTGGGCTCGAAGCTCGCATCGACATGCGCCTTGGTCAGCTAGGCGGAAGCTGACGACATGGCGGCTTTGCATGGGAGAGTCATTCGAGACGACACGATATTAGGAGATGGGACCGTGAAAAGAAGTAAACTTAAGCAGTAAGCGTTGCCTCTCGAGAGTGAGGCGCATATATAGTCATTCGAACAACATTGTAGGAGTCGAAGATCATGATGGAGGAAAGTGACAAACGGCTCTTGGCGTTGCTCAGATTGTCAAACCAGCGGACATAATGGAGCAAGGGGAAGATCTCGAGCTCAAAAAAGGACCTTTGGGATTCGAGAACTGGTCACAGCTGATGAAAGATCTTGTTTAGCTTACGTACCATCCGTACTTCAGCAGCTACAGTATCAAGGTTATCGCTCAAGGACTCCACAGAGGGTCTAAGCTTAGCTAGGTCAGAAATCCAGGCCTGGCACACCCGAACACAAGGGGGCGTAGTTTTGGATCCGACGATAAGCGGACACATCTTTTCAAGATGCCGGTCGTTTCCCTCAGCTGTGCCAACGATAAGACTTTGTTTGGTGTCTGCGACCGTGATAAGCTGCCTGGAGACCTGACATCCCCAAACACCCCTCATCCATCATCTACTACTACCAAGAAATCCATTGCCGTAGTTGTGCCGTTTCTTCTGTCTCGCATCATTCCAGCCTTGTTGCGCCAGCGCGTCAATTGCCAGTGCAAATTCCCGCCACTCAATGCAGCTCTTATCGACGACATCTAGAGTCAAGGACTCAGCCCGGCGACCCAGCTCCCTTGGCACTGCCAAGATTGACTGCCATACTTGCTTAGCTTTGAACCAGCATTGCGATCGCCAGCGTCCGCAGTGTGGTACTTGTTTATCAAGCCAACGGAAATGCGCCGGCTTCGTGGTTGAATTGGTCTGGAAGGGCTTTGGGGCGGCAAAAGTTACTACGAATTTGTCTCGGAGTGGCGATGCTGATACGACAACTTCGGAGGTTAACCACGACTCCGGAAAACCATATATGAAACGTCAGGGTTTCAAGTTTGTCAAGGGCCGACCCATCAGGAAACGAAAGCCCAAGACGCCAGAACCAAGTGCGAAAGCAACCCAAGCCACCACTCTTGCAGAATTTTTCAGTTCGTGCAATCAACCAGACTGTCTATCCATGCCAAACCAACCGCGATCCTCGGACTTCGAGATCCCAACTTTCACGTCAGCTCTTCCTGCGACATCATTTTACGAGGAAGAGGAACTTGATGCGTCTAGTACAAGATCGGAAGCACCTCATGAAGACCCTCCGCAGGCGGTAGTGGTAGCGCCGAACGTGGAGGTGCCGGCTGGAACGATTTTTCCCCCTGACTTGACAACCTTTGAAAACGCGTGGAATGCTACGGCTTCGCTAGATGGATTTCTCTCGGAGTTCAACCTGTCTATGTCATCTTCCCCCTACCTTGGCCCTTTGACAACAGTATTCGAAGAAGTCATCAAGGAGGACCCGATCAATTATCGCAGTGCATATCTCCAACGAAGCCTAGACATGTCAGTCTTACCATGTGGAGGAGTTGAAGATGAGCCTGCGCACGACGCATGGTTTCAACTACCGGTTGGTGTCCGCTGGCAAGATCTATCCCACAAGTACAGTGGAATATTTACAATGTGTTAGTCTCTGCTGCTAGCAAAGCTGGTGACATCAAAGGATGTATTTGACTAACGCTATCTAGATGACGAGGAATTTTGCATAACGCCATTGAGCATGGACTGCCCGACCAACCCGTTTCGCGTGAATCGGAAACACTTTGAAAAGTCCGCTTTCCTTCTACATGCCATAATGGCCATTTCTTCGCAGCACCTGGCCAAAAAGAGTAATTGTTCGGCATTGGCAAGTCAAACAGAGATACATCGATCCACAGCAGTGCAGATGTTCACTGAGGCCTTATGCCAGTCAAACGACATCACCTTTGCGCTTTTGGATACTCTTATCATACTGGTCAACTTCGAAGTAAGTTTGTCTCATCACAAGTGCATATTTGGCTGATGTATCGACCAGCTAACGCAGTCCGCATCTGGGATGTGGGCTATGCATTTGGATGGCGCCCATACACTTCTTGAAGGTGCCGGTGCCGTCAAATGTTGTCAAAGAAGTCCACGGCTTCGTGCACAAATTGCAATGCTTGTCTGGTATGTCAGATGGCCAGCTCAACTGATTTAACAAAATCGAGGGTCTGTTCTCCTTTCTAACCGGTGGTATAGGTGGGACGTCACCGTCGCCTTCCTTGAGCGGAGAAAATCACGTCTCCCCATGCCATACTTGGAAGCTTTGGTTGAATACGACGAGACCGATGGTTGGTCGTTCCTGATACTGAACGGATGCCCTCCGGAATTTGTGCTGGCCATGGCACGCTTGGCTGACTTAGCAGTCATCTACGAGAAGATCACTCATCTGCAGTGGGCGATATTCGACAGACATCCTGTCGATGCTATTTTTGAGGAAGTCAAATGCTACGTCAATCACGAAGATGTGAATTTGGAAAACTTAGGGCGCCCTGGGGACAACCTCAATGACAGGCGGGATCGATTCCACTGCATTGAGGCCTGGAGACATGCCGTCCTTCTTTACATCTGTCGAGTCTTTACCCCAGAGCAGGATTCATATCAGATTCGGTTGATCGATCACCTTTCTCGTTCCATTCTTGACCATGCCCGATGCATAACTGAACACAAGGTCATCCAGAAGCAACTACTCCTTCCCATATTCCTTGCAGGTTCGGAGTTTGGGGATCACTGCAGTCGCTCTTTCATTCGCCGATATTGTACACACTGGAGCAATACCTCCCGATTTTACATGTTTGAGACTGTGGCGATGCTGCTGGAAAGCATATGGGATGATTGGGATATCTCAACAAGAGATGTGTACTGGTGGGGCAAAAGTATTGGCCGTCAAAGGTGGTCTCAGGCGAATAGTCATGAACAGCCTCTAGCACTGGAGCTGCTGTTGGGTTGATGCAGTACATCATGAGTGTCGAGTCAATTTACATAAAACATGAGCATAGTCGGTTAGCAGATGCGACTAAAACACGCGAGAACCGACCCCTTCCTCGAAAGATTCTCCGCACAACCCGACTCGTCAAGACGCAATCCTGTCGGGTCTGATCCGCATGGTATTTCAAAACTACTCGATAGTGAAAGAAAGCCGACAATCATATTGATTGCCAGCCATGTCTGATTCAGCTCTACCACACCAAGTCGAAGCGCCGCCCAACATGCCTTGAACACCACCGACAAGGAAGCCAAGTCACAAGAGAGAGTATGAGCCTGGGCGAACAGCATATAACCTTATGCAGATAAATCCAGAGGGCTTCTGCAAGTAAAGGCATTCACCTCGGGGATCTTGAATGCCTCCATCATTCCCTCAATGGCTGCATAAGCACCGAGACCGGCCGTGGCCAATGCTCCACATGCATGGATAACGTTCCAGACGTTTAGATACCACCGGCCAGCAAGAAACCCTCTCAGTAACCGTCTCGCACCGTGGTCTTTCCGAATAGTCTCTCCAGTTGTCACGTTAAAGCCCTCCCCTTTGCCGATCGAGTCTTTTTGCATCGTATATGCCAAGTGGATGATAGCTGGGAATGTGTAGCTGAATTGAATGACACAGAAGGCCGCGATAACCGAGACAAAGGCGAAGTAGTCGGGGATCGCCGCTGCAATGATGAATGCCACGCTCCAATAGATAGGAACGAGCGCCGCAAAGATGTATCTGCCGGTCCTTGTCTCTAGCGGCGGAGCGTGGAAGAACTCCAGGAGTACCTGGTTATATATGACTTTGATGCCGATATTACCGTAGAGACCAGCAGCGACCAGGCCAACAAGGACAACCAATATATCACAGGTAGCTTGAAACCCGTAGATACTGAGACCCATGTATGCGTTAGTGAATGAATATTGTCCTTGAAAGTAATAGACGTAACATCCGTAACTGAGGTAAACTGTGTAGATAAACAGCTGAGCAATACACATAGCTTTAATGAAATCCCAAGGTCGACGCATTTCTGCCATGATTTCGATAAAGATTTGTGCGCCTCCATAGGCAAAGACTCCAGACATGAGGCCGTTAATAGCACCAATGAAGCTGGTCGAGTCGGGCAGTCCATTGTAGTGAATGATAGGAGGATAAACTCCATTCGAGTCTGGGGTAATAGTGGCAGAGTTGACAGCGGAACCCGCAGAGCCAAGGGTGCTGATTCGATAATTCGGTGGTGAGTGCGCCATAACGCCCATTGAGATGAAGATAACCAATAAGTTGGTTCCCACAGCAATCATAGAAACAATTCCGTAATTTCGTAGCGTGCGAATCTGTCCGACGAGGAATCCACCGACAACGAAAATGACGATGCAGACAACGTAGCAAAGTTTGAACTTCGATACCTGCGAAATACCTTGTCCGTTCAAGATAATCACTTGACCGCATATCAGGATCAGCTGAATAATCTGCAAGAAGTTGACAAGGTGGCGGGCAGATGCGCCCATCGTACGAAAGGCGAGGTCGCCATAGTTTCGAAGTGGGAATTCGTAGGAATCCAAACCAAGGTAGACCTGCCACAATAAGTATCCAGAATACCCAGCCATGAAAGCGAAGACTGTATATAGAGCAATGCCTGGGCCCCAGCCAAGTGTGCCAAGCGCAAAGCCAACGCCATAGGGCCCGAGGATGTCTGTCGTTATAAGATAAAACCCTGCACCCCAGCTCGCTGTCCTTAGTGCGCGAGCTGCATTTCGCCATTCATCCTCGGTGATGATGGCCTGAGTGAGTTGGTGTGCTTGACTCTTTTGGCCTTGGTGAGGCAAATGATCGTCAGGACTCTTCCCCACAGGCATCCCAGTCTCATCACCACCTTGGGCTCCGGTGGCGACGTTTTGTGGCGGTATTCCAACGACAACAGGGGCACTGGGGCCACTTTTGAACACTTGCTGCAGAATTCCTGGACTGGGAGTCGCCTCTTCAGTATCTTGTTCAGCTCTGGTACGTCTCGCATAGTGCATATATTCCTCTAATGTCACATCAGGGTCGTAGAGCTTCCGATGCATTGGGCTGGTGAAGGTATCTGCGCGTTCTGGGTGCTCGGTGCCGGCGAATTCTGTAGGAGCTTGGATCAAAGACATGATGAACATAACGCTTGTCAGTATTGGAACAGATGAGCAGAAGCGACATGCTAGTATTTATATGTTGAACGTAGGTCATTTGACGACTTCATTGGAATCGAAACAGTCAAAGTGAGGCAAAAGATTATTTCCAAATAGGGGAATGTCCGGAAGGGGAATGTCCGGAAAGGGAATATGGCGGGATGATGTTGGCCGTCGATACGAGCTTTGCTTCCACGGTTTCCAGATTTCTTTTAGATTGTTTCCTCATCAGGTAAGTAACACGCGGGTAACAAGTATACTGGTGAGCGGCATCGCAATCAGTGCGGACTTTCGACAAATCGAAAAGTTCTTCTGGTTGTCGATGCTTCACGGTTGTTCCTTCCTTGACCACCAGTATCAACCGCATCTGAGTGCCAGGACTACCTCTTTTGTTATCGCCGAGAAATCCTCCGCACCTACAAATCACAATTTCAATCCTTGAACAAAGAACAATTTGAGAATGGGACAGTTTATCACGGAGAATCAGGTAGCACAAGCGAAACGCATGCGCCTGCCTGCCAATGCTATCCCAAAGCATTACGACGTTACTATTGAGGTGGACTTTGACAGGTTCACGTTTGAAGGCACCACCATCATCGATTTGGTAATTGCAGAGCACACCACATCTATCTCGCTGCATACGTTTGAGCTTGATATCATCTCTACCTCCATCTATGTGGATGGCGCCTTGGCTGTCGAATCTCCATCTCTCTCATACGAAATTGATACCCAGATCACGACCATTGACTTAGGCACGAACTCCATTTCCAAGGACGAGAATGCTCAAGTCGAACTTGTATATACGGGTCAACTGAATGACAAAATGGCCGGACTCTACAGATCCCAGAGAAAAGATGGAGCCCTCCTGGCGGTTACCCAATTCGAGCCAACCGATGCACGACGAGCACTGCCTTGCTTTGACGAACCTGCTTTGAAGGCTGAATTCACTGTCACACTTATTGCCGACGAGGATAAGACATGTCTTTCGAATATGGACATAGCTTGTATCAACACGATTGATTCTACAATTACTAAGGGAAAGAGAAAGGCCGTGAAATTCAATCGCTCGCCCCGAATGTCAACCTACATCCTCGCATTTGTTATTGCCGAGCTTAAATCAATCTCTGTCGATACGTTTCGACTACCTATCACGCTCTGGGTAACGCCTGAGGAGAACTTAGAGCACGGCAGGTTCGCTCTTGATGTCGCAGCCAAGACGCTTACCTTGTACGAAGATCTCTTTCAAACACCATATCCCTTACCTAAGATCGATATGGTGGCGATCCCCGACTTTGCAGCCGGTGCCATGGAGAATTGGGGTCTTGTTACTTATCGGATGGTCGAGATATTTGTCGATCAACAACTGACGAGTAACACGACAAGGGAAAGAGTTGCCGAAGTTGTGCAGCATGAAATGGCACATCAGTGGTTTGGTGACCTAGTAACTATGTCGTTCTGGGACGGCCTCTGGTTAAACGAAGGGTTTGCGAACTGGATGAGCTGGTATAGCTCCGACAAGCTCTTTCCAGACTGGAAAGTATGGGAAACGTTTGTCGTCGACAATCTTCAAAGAGCCCTCGACCTGGATAGCCTGCGGAGCTCCCATCCTATTGAGGTTCCCATCTACAGTGCGCAAGATATCCATCAGACTTTTGATGCTATCACGTACTCAAAAGCCTCAGCTGTACTAAGAATGATCTCCAAAACCCTCGGCGAAAAGGAGTTTCTCGAAGGGATCCGGCGATACATCAATACGCACGCATGGAATAATGCAGAACAGAATGATCTTTGGAGCGCACTCAGTAGTGCGAGCGGGATGAACGTCGGAGAAATAATCGACCCATGGACGAAAAACGTTGGCTACCCTGTCATCTCCGTCACGGAAAATTCATGGGATTCCAGTATTACTATCATACAGGACCGGTTTCTTCTGACAGGCGATCTTCATCAACAAGACGACAACGCACTGTTTCCCATCATACTTGGTCTCAAAACTAGGAATGGTGTGAGCAGGAACCTGATAATGACCCAACGTATACAAACATTTACCGTCGATGGAGGCATCGATTTCTACAAACTCAATTGCGATCATTCAGGATTTTATCGAACCTATTATACTCCCCACCGGCTGACGACTCTCTCTGGACAGAGTGCTCTCCTTTCCGTGGAGGACCGTGCCGGCCTTATTGCCGACGCTGGTGCTCTTGCAGTTGGTGGCTATGGGAAAACGTCTGAATTGTTCAATCTTTTGGAGTCTTTCAGCAATGATGTGCAATATGTGGTCTGGAAGGAGATTGTAAATCGCATTACTGTGGTCAGAGAGGCGTGGATGTTTGAGGACCAAAAGGTTCAAGACGCTTTGAAAGCATTCCAATTAGAGCTGTGTTCGCTGAAAGCACATCATCTCGGGTGGGACATATCACATGGAGATCACATTCTTGGCCAATTCCAAAGTCTCATGTTCAGTGCAGCAGGTGCCGCTGGAGATGGAATCATCCTGAAAGCAGCAAAAGAAATGTTTGGTGCAATCATGTCTGGCGATGCCACAGTCCACCCAAACTTACGAGCACCAGTATTGGCATTGGTCCTTCGTCATGGCGGTATGCAAGAATGGAACGCCATTATCAGACGTTATCAATCATCCCGGACACCCGACGACAGAGACTCGTGTTTGCGCAGTCTAGGTCAAACTGAAAACGTGATTTTGATCGACGAGACGCTGGCGCTTGCTCTTGGCGGACAGATCAAGATGCAAGACGTTTTTATACCTCTGAGCGGTCTTGGAGCTACGCCGAAGGGAGTTGAGCGACGTTGGGACTGGATGTGCAATAATTGGGATAAGCTTGTGGAGGAACTGCCGCCGAGTATGACTCTGCTGAACAATGTTGTTGGTATCTGCGTGTCTGGTCTTAGCAACGAGCAGCATGTGGCCAACGTGGAAACTTTCTTCAGAAACAAGAATCAAAAAGGGTTTGAGCTCACTTTACGTCAAGGTATTGACAGGATCAAGGCTCGGGCAAATTGGGTCAGACGAGATAGAGAGGACGTGTATGCATGGCTCGAGTACAACGGATACTTGGAAGAAGGGGCATAATCGGGTCAGTCATACCCCGGAATATCAATTCGCGACTCAAATTCAGAATTTCGAGAAGTATGCAAAGGGTCCTACTATATGGATGCGAGGAAGGACAACGAGGTTCTTGCCAGATCTCACCGCCGTCGATTCAATTCAGAAGCATGGATGAGGCCCTTTCCATCTCCAGGTCGTGAAGGGTAAGATCTGGAAGGTCCAATGTGGCAGGTAAAAGCCGCCAACATATCTAATCATGTATCTTCAGTGAAGCAGGGGTGGACGCTTTTGAGCAGCAGAGCATTTCGCCACAAGCAGGCTTTGAATGTGTCCGTTCAAATCTGGGAAGTACGTGCAGATGCAGAATTAATGGGCTGGAGGGCATAGCATCCTTCTTTCACGCGGCTTGCAGGCTGGTCGAATGGAGGGCATCTAGGTCTACAGAAAAACCCAAACCTATTGTAACTCGTTCTTATCGGGTCTGTTTGTCGGATTGTGCCTTCCATACTCCAAAGAGGGTCATCCTTAGCCGACCTAGGTAGGTCTATGCTGTTGGTCTCGCACGTAACGAGCGCATTCAGAATAGGAGTTGAGGGCCTTTTTACAGTCACAGAGTCGCGCTGCACAACTGATATTGAAACAGCTGTTAGAAAATCGGGCATTTTAGTCCTCAAACTCGTGCCGCGAAAAGCTGATGCTACTGTTCGATGAGCGCCTGACATGCATCTCTCGCGTATGAATTCTGAGACAGGGACCGCAGTGTTATGGATGAGTTCAAGTTGTTCAGGCTGTCAGACACTCCTCAAGCCTTACCCGACTGGAAGGCGAGAAATGTCTTACTTAGGGTGCCTATATAAGATAGGGTGGAGGCAATCAACGTCAATGAAAAGAGGTCTAGGTTCCGAAACATTTGCCAGATCGGGCAATTTCGAATGAAGCAATTGATCGCCGTTAGCGCTGCCATTGGGCAAACCGAAGGCCGATTTTGATAGGGTAAATTGGCATTGGGGTACGGAGTATGACACCTTAAAACACCAACATGGAGAAGCAACCAACAGATCTTAGTCACGAGAACCTAAATCTAAGTTCAACTTTTGTGTTGAAACCGATCTTTTCGAGATCTGGCCGGTCAGCCACGATGCAACTTGCTCAGAGATGTGCCCCGATGCACCAGTGGAGCTTCTAAATCATGCCTGAGACACACAGAAGAATCTGACACATCGGAGCTTGGGATATCAAGGTCTGTTCACTGTGGACATTCCTCAATGGACATTCCTCAATGGACATTCCTTTGAATAGGAAATCGAATCTCGCAGATCTGCACCTACCGGTCATGGTACGCCTCACGCGGTAATGGGCGGCTTATCGCCTGAGGCTACTCAAACCGCCTGCTTGTTCGGGTAATTATGACTCCTGGGCAAGATCTCCCAGTACGTCTCTGATTACTTGATGGCAACACTCGAGTCTAGCATGAATCGAGAAAGCAGCGAAAGGCAAACATTGTTCCTGCTTGGCGACGTTTGGGCCTGGGTTCTTTTTTTGTTACCATAGGCGCAGGCTCTGTTGTCTATGCCTTCGCCGTTGCATTTATAACACGGATTAGTGAATTGTTGACCCATCAAGTCGCGTCCTGGCCATATTCGAATCAACCTCTTTTCATCCAGCTGTGTTGACCATTCCTACACGACCTCGCCAGCGTGTCACCCAGGATCAGCTTGATCGAGGAGTCAGCAACTTCTCGCGAGACCGAGTTCGCCAATCACAATGGGCTACCCGGAGACTTTCGAGGGTTTCATGATAGAGGATCAATCGCAAGGGCCAGAATTTAAGAGGCATACTGTGAGACTCAACGCCTGTACGAATGGGAATGTTACTGACGACTTCGTCATAGTTCAAGCCCAAAACATTCGGTGACTACGACGTTGATATCAAAATCGAATGCTGCGGCGTCTGCGGTTCGGACGTCCATACCATCACTGGTGGCTGGGGCGCGGTGCCTTTGCCAATCTGCGTGGGCCATGAGATCGTTGGCCACGCTGTAAAGATCGGTTCTAAAGTGAAGACAGTATCCCCAGGGGACCGGGTAGGTGTTGGTGCTCAGGTATGGTCCTGCCTGGAATGTGCTCAGTGCAACAACAACAACGAGCAATATTGCGCGCACCAGGTCGATACCTACGGAGCACGATATCCTGCAGAGGCTGATCCGGACGAGACCATTACTCAGGGCGGGTTTTCTTCGCACATTCGCGTCCACGAATATTCCGTCTTTCCTATACCAGACGCAATTCCATCACATCTTGCTGCGCCTATGCTCTGCGCGGGGCTTACAACCTGGTCGCCTTTGGTACGCGCAGGGGTGGGTCGAGGCCAGAAAGTCGCAGTTGTCGGCTTTGGTGGCCTGGGGCATTTTGCGGTCTTATGGGCTAGCGCCTTAGGGGCAGAGGTGACAGTCATATCTCACTCCCCGGCTAAAAAAGATGATGCTCTTAAGATGGGTGCAAGAAACTTTGTGATCAGCAATCATGCGGGTTGGGCGGCCCCATACGCTTATGCGTTCGACTTTGTTCTCAACACCGCCGACATGACCCACACCTTTGACATCTCTGAATACCTGTCTTTATGCAATATCAACGCCACATTCCACCAAGTTGGGGTTCCAGATGAGCCATTGCCCGTCATGTCACCTGTAATGTTCATGCGTAACGGCAGTTCAATTGGCGCTAGTCACATCGGAAGCAGGTTCGAATGCCTGGCCATGTTGAAATTGGCGGCGGAAAAGAAGTTATTCCCCATGGTCGAAACGATTCGAATGTCAGAGGAGGGCTGCAAAGAGGCGGTCGGTCGAGTATTGAAGAATAAGGTCCGATACCGATTCACTCTGACTGATTTTGACGAGGCATTCAAAAGTCGTGCGTGAGTTGGATTATTGGAGGTAGACAGGGAATGCAATAGCAGATCATCATAATGCGTCTGCTACAATCAAGGTCTCTTTGAATATTTCCTCTGACGGAGTGTCATCCATGCGCCAAGTAAAGGGACGCTATCATCTACACTTGAGATCAGGTTCGTAGAATGGTCACGAAACAACAATATTGACTGTTGAGAACCAGTGCAGACCATGGGGCAAGTCTCAAGTGCCGTGATCCCCACCATAGAAGAGTCAATGAGAGGCAATGGAGCTAGGACTGTAAGCGTTCAGATATTGTGCGCAGGCGACGACGATGCTAAAAGTAGATAGGAGATTTCCCTATCGTCCGGTGAAATATCAACATCATCACTACGCCCCGCGTCAAGCATAACAACAGCGCCTGGTCCAGCCTACATAAAAGACTTCATGTCCGTCAAAGAACGCATGACAAATAGTTCTTCTTCAGTCACCTTCCCAACTCTGTTAGCACCTTTCACATTCTCGCTATCGTCGTCGATGGCGAAACTGAAGTTTGGGTCGTAATGCATGGCCCAATAGCCGTCCCAGATGGTCTTGGAGATGGGACCAATCTGACCGTCCTTGATAGGCACACCATCCAGTGACGTGATTGGCATTATACCCCCGGCAGTTGTGGACATGAAGCACTCGTCGCAAGTGTATGCCAACTGTGTCGGGACGAACTCGACACGGACTTCAATGCCATGAGTTTTCGCCACATCGAAAACACTTTTGCGTGTGACACCTTCAAGACAGCCACGGAGCGGAGTATAGATGGTGCCGTCCTTGACGAAAAGAACGTTGAACCCAGACCCTTCTGTCAGATTTGCATCTCCGTCGGTCAGGAAAGGATACATCGCACCCCGATCCATTGCCTCGAACATACCACGCGTCAAATCGCCCCATTGTAAGTTCTTGATTGTGGGATCAAACGATCCCGGTGGAATTCGTCTGACAGTCCGAGTGATAACCGCGCTGCCGGAGCCAGCTAATTGCACCTTAGGCTCTTGGACCCAGATATATGGCTCGATCCACATGTATAGGTTGTTCTTGCAAATGTCTTCGGGTCGAGAGCCCCGTACACCTTTCAAGCCACGGGTGACTATGATCTGAATAAATGCGTCGCGTATGCCACTCTTTCTCGCCATGTCAATCAGCGTGTCCTTAATCTGCTCCTTTGAGATAGGGAACATCAGACGCATTTTCTCGCAGCTTGCCTGCAGCCGGTTCAGGTGATCCTCCAGACGGAAAAAGCGACCATCCCATATCGACGGCACATCGTACGTCAAATCCCCGTGCATGAAGCCTTGATCTTGCAGCGGAATGCGAGCTTCTGCAAGGGGAACCAAGGCTCCGGCGACCCAGGCAATTCCCTGAGCATAAGGATTGGTGCTGATTCTATGCATAGCTTTACGCGCCTCGTAGGCCGCAAAGACTTTCTGCATGGTGGCCATGTTGGTTGTAGTTAGTTCTTCCGCGTGGAAAGAGTGATATCTCAGGAAGCCCCCAAAAGCCTTGTAAGAATTGTGGTATATACACGTACAGAAGGGATGTGTTTTGTCGCAAGTACCAATCTCTATCCGAATTTCACATTGGAGGTCGTTGGAAGCTACACTGTACTTGCCAGATAGGGTAATTCTTCTTATGGAAGTGCAGTGTTTCCACCACATAGGTGCGAGGGGTTACTAGCTGTGGAATGTGGATTCAGAGCAGTCAATGAGCAGCGCAGAAGGGTCTCATCTGCGGAGATTGAATCAAGCTTTCTCGGTGGTCGAAACAACCTATCGTAATATTTGTCTGATGACTGGTATTGACTGCTTGTTTCCGTTCGCCACTCGCAGGTCGCTCACATGATACGGAATGGTCCTGAGTACACGCTGCGTAAAACTTTTGACAGAACGCCATGCATTTGGAGGAACCGTCAATTTCATCACCATTTCTCGCGTAGAGTTCTAATCCATACACCAGATCAAGTATGCACGTTGCCGGCAGTTCTCAACTTCGGAGATCAGTGCTTCCTTGGCCGCAAAATCACGTTATAGTTCTTGTCCGGCTTGATGATGGTAAATTCCTTCGAACCCAATGTCAATGCTGGATCTTCAAGTTGAATGTCGTATCTCAACAATAACGTCGCGATCATCTTCATCACAAACTGATTGGCCACGTTTCTACCGATGCATTGTCTGCTGCCATAACCAAAACCCAAAAAGGACAATTTCATGGTGGAGAGGTCTGCCTTTTCGTCCATCCATCGATCGGGATCCCAGGTATTGGGATCATGGTATACTTCAGCATTGCGACCAATGATTGCGGCAGGGACTCCGACATCAACGTTACCAGGCACGTAAAGTCCACAAATGACCGCGCCACTGGGTGGCGTCATGCGCGGCATGGCATAGCCAATCGGTGGATGCATTCGAAGGCACTCAACTTCAGTGGCCTCCAAAAGGCTCAAATGCTGCAGTTTCGAGGATGGGAGAGGCGTTAAGCCGTTGAGATTGTCTGGGAACATGTCTTCGAGCTCTCGAATGATGCGTGACTTGACGGATGGGTTCTTTGACAAGTAGTATGTCATCCAATTCATCGTCACGCTGCCAGTACTTGCTCCTGCAACCCTGTTCAAGTTCAGTATGTCATCGCCAACAGGAGAGTCAGGGCACTCACATCAATGAGGAAGCTTCTGCTCGGAGCTCCGGAAAGTCCATGCGCGCCCCTGTTTCGGGATCTTGTGCTTCAATAAACCGTTGCATAATATCCTGCCGAGGCTTACTGCCAGGGAGTACTTGTTGACGATTGTCTTGAAATCGTTTCTCCAACGCCTTCCTTGCGTAATCCAAGTATTCCAGCCTGGCCTGGTACAAACTCTGAATATATGGAAGCGGTACCCAGCTAAGGATTTTCACATTCAATTTGCCAAATGGCAGCATACCACTCAAATTGGCGAAACGTTGGGATAGTTCGACGAGCTTGGAGTATCTCACGGGTTTTCCAGCTTGGAGGGCGCCAAAGTTTTCACCAAAGGCGAGCTCTCCCATCAAGTCCATTGTGAAGAGTTCGAACCAGAAGTAGATATCGAATGACTGCTGAGTGCTTGCAAATTCGTCCATCTTTGAAAGGAATTTCTCCATGGTCATGTCCATGTATGGTTCAAATGAGTACAATGATTGCATGCTGAATCCATGAGCAATCATGCGCCGCTTTGTTGCATGCCTCTTCTTCGAGCGCGTTGAAAATAGCGATTCCCCTGTGGTAGAGAATGCATCATACCAGCTGGACTTGCCAAAGCCCTCTGCACCTTTGCCATGGCCTGAGCACTGGTCAGCAAGTGCTTGCTGAGAATTACGATGCTCACATACCATAGATGGCTTTGACAGCATCAGGATGATTGAAGGAGACCGAGTTAGGACCTGTCCGCACAGCAACGGTGCCCGGATTCTGAGCAAACAGCTGGCCTACCCATTCTGTTCGGCGTTTGTCCTTCAGCGCGTTGGCTTCAGGAACTGCAGATATTCTGGTGATCCATGGACCCGGAATTTTGCTCAACGGCGAAAATAACAAACGGTATATCAGGAGAGCGCAGTACGACAAAAAGCCCAGACAGACGAGGGACGTCACTGGGAAAGCGCGCTCGGTCGAGATTATGTCCATTCCAGCCATGGTAGCGGCAATCCCAAATAAATCTGAGAATACGTGTTCGTTGAGAGGGATCTGGTTATCAACTGGGAGAGTTTGATTCGGAGGAGAAAAGTGGCTGGACCGCGGAAGTGCACGGAGTACTGTTAGGCCCAAGGCCACCACGGCTACCGCTATTTCACTGATGCCCCCCCGCACTTGTTCTGTGGTGCCCTGCCATAGCCGCGGCAAGTAACTTGTAACCTTTACTACCACCAAGGCACTCAAGGATACTTTTTGCTACACTTTCTGGTCGTATATTACCAATGGTCACTTCATCCTTCGGCAATCGCAGCCCCACAACTTTCATGTGGTTGCAAATTGGCCTGGCGCCCAGAGATATGGCAACAGTGAAGGACCATGGTGTAATTTCTTGAGAATTCGCAGGCTTCTTTACAATTGCGCAGGTTCCTCACATTTGAAAGGGTGGCAACTATCATCAATCTCAGACGCGATTGATTTTCGCCTCTGCAGTCTATTTCCCTGATGATCTCTCCATCTTTCGCCGGGCCTGCTCCCTGGTCGGTAATTGCTGGCCCCATGCATGGTCATGGAAGGCCTTAGGGAATCTCCCACCACCAAAGTATAAGCGACCTCCACCTCCCCGTATGCTCGGTATGTACCAGATCTGCTTGGTAGATTGTTCCGTGCACGGCAAGCCGTGTCTGACAGACGGTACGTCGAGGAAACAAATTTGATATCCAGCAAGTTCAAAGCGATTGCTCCTTCACCAGCAAACCATACAAATGATCTTGGGAGACATGAAACCCTACCCACGTCAAGCATAGACGCCACAGCGTTATACGCAAAAGACTAGACAAATGGTATATGGAGTATGCCGTGAACCTTTTTCGAGGTGAAGAGAACAGCAGTCAGACAGTGCCACTTTTTCTCAGCATCCAGCTCGGATAGCACCACAATTTCTCCCATACGGCGGGGTCAATCCGCGGAGTTTCTCCGCACGTAGACTGGGGCAGACTGGGGCTTTTCGGCATGATCAGGGAGCACTAAGTACAAGTAGTCTAGATCTCGCATTCTGCGCTCGCGTTTTTACCCCCTAACCATTTGACCCTTTTCCCGTGACTCGCACCTCAGTCGTCAAAATGCATGACACCCCAGAGCATAAGGCGCAGGTTGAGCATGAAGTTGAGCTCGCCCATCGGGAACATCACGATGTCTCCCTCGGCTACCAAGATCCACATAAAGCCGCTCTCGAAGACAACCCAAAGCATGCGGAAAAGCTCAGTCTTTCGGTCATTCTCTCTGCCCTCTTCCTCGGAACCTCCTTCACCGGCCCTATCATCTTCGGCTTCATCCTTGCCACGCCTATTCTCGTGCAACTGAGTGAGGTGCTCGGTGGTTCAAAGATTGATTTCTGGATACCCTCAGGCTGGGGCGCCGCTGCTGCAGTCGGATTTTCAATTGCAGGCAGATTGTCGGACATCTTTGGCCGCAGATATGTCATCCTGGTTGGCCAAGTTCTTACAATCATTGGAGCTGCGGTGGCATGTAGCGCGAAGTCCATGAATCAGCTCATTGCGGGTGAGGTTATCCTCGGAGGTTCAATTGGAACAGTGTCAGTTGCCTATGCAGGTAAGTAGTATGAGACTATGACTCAAACCGTACTCACCAATTTCCAGGTATCTCTGAAATTCTGCCGAACAAGTGGCGTGGAGTTGGTCTCGCCTGGACCGAGTTCAACCTGGCCACCTGGGCTGTTGCAGGAACTCTTCTCGCCAATGCGCTGCTGTCTCACGCCAGTTGGCGCATTATGTACTACATCGCCATCGGTTATGGTGTATTCTCTTTCGTCGGAACGCTCTTCGTCTACTTCCCGCCCAGCCACCCACGTCCAGACGGTCTCACTAAGTGGCAGGAATTCAAACAGCTTGACTTTGTGGGGACCGCCTTGTACGTTTCTGGTCTGGCTGTCTTTCTCTATGGCCTGAACTCCGGTGGAAACACCTATCCATGGAAGAGTGCCGGCACTCTGGCACCACTCATTCTCGGCCTCTTTGTCTTCCTAAGCGCCTTTGCCTACGACTTCACTGTTGCTAAGGATCCACTATTTCCTTGGTATCTGTTCAAGAACTTCCGCGAGTTCTCGTCCCTTCTCATGCTAGTGTTTGTGGCAGGTATGGTGTTCTTCGCTGCCTCTGCTTTGAACGCGGAAACCATACTATACCTGCACACTGCGGATCCCATCAAGATTGGTGTCTATTCCATTCCATCTGGGTAAGCACGCTCCATAACCACGTCCGCTTCGAAGCTAACAGTGATATCGTGCCGGTCAACTTATCGGAGGTGTCCTCATCCCAGCTCTGGTGCATTACATCAAACATGTACACATTCAACTCACCGTTTCGGTCTTCATGCAAACCTTGTTCTTTGGTCTTGCTGCGCTGATCACCCCACACAATCTCAATTGGCTCATGGCTGTCCAGTTCCTTGCCATGTTGCCTTTCGGTTGGATCACGTTGAATTGTTATACCACAGCCTCGCTACATGTACCCCAACGAGACCTTGGGGTCGCCATTGGATTGATCGGCACTTTCCGTTCTCTTGGTGGAGCGATTGGGTCTGTCATCTTCTCGTCCATCTTCAGCCAAGTTGCGGCCAAACAAGTCGCCAGTCGGATCGCCGACACTGCCTTGAGCGCAGGCACCTCAGCAAAGACACTACCGGCGCTGATCGAGGCAGTTTCTCTGACGCTTCTTGGTGTACCTGGAGAGGCCGCAACCGTGCCGGGTGTATCAGCCTCGCTCTTTGCAAAATGCGTCGAGTCTGCACGACTCGGCTATGCTTATGGATTCCGCATCACTTGGCTGGCATCGATTCCCTTTGGTGTCATTGCTATGGCTTGTGCAGTGGCCGTCCGTGATCCTTCCAAGTACTTTACCAACCATGTGGAGGTTCATCTCGAAAAAGAAATTGGAAAAGGACATGTCACGGAAAAGACCGACGCACCACAAGTGTGAGCGTCTCGTTACGTCATTGTTGGCGAGCTTGCTCAAGAATCAATGGCTGTTGCAACATTCGACTCAAAGTAGACAGCTTAGGCCATGTTCAATAGGTCAAAGAGTGCTCTACCATTATTCAATTTGCTTTACGGCCGGGAGTGCCTTTCTCTCTCAAGAACCATTAATTAATGTTATCGTGCAAAAACTGTATCACGAATGAGTGATATCTGCCACGCTATTCCCAGATTACCGAATCGGCGAATTGAACCCCTAATCGTACCACGACATTCTGTTACTGTCGACAGCAGGCAGTAGTGTCCCAACCAACAGGAACAGGAACGTTTGGAGCCTTTATGTCGCGAATTACGTCCCGTCATGATTGAAGGGCTACACTAAACCTTGACGAGTCTGGCATGATTATATTGAGTCCGTCAGAAAGCCATAGGAAGACCGTGGTAGAGTAGGCAACAAGTGGGTATCAATTCTCGCTAAATCTAACTAACATGCTACGGACCACGAAATAACTGCAGTCCTAATTTCGTACACACTCCCAATAAAAAATGTTCTGCTCTTGACACTTGTAGCCACTCGAGCAGCACGTAGCACCGTTCCAGAACCATCCACCACATTGGGCATTTGCGGTAGCACAAGTACTTTTGGAGCTGGTGCTGGTGGTAGTGGTGGTGGCCTTTGTCGTGGTTGTCTTCGTGGTCGAAGTGGTTGTGGTGCTGGTAGTGCTTGTGGTAGTGGCCTTTGACGTGGTAGTGGATGTTACGAGCGTGGTTGTAGTCGTCGGTACAGTCGTGGTAGTACTGGGGGTAGTTGTAGTTGTTGTAGTAATCGGAACTGTAGTAGTGGTTGTGGTGGTTGTGGAACTTGAAGTGCTAGTTGTGGTAGTCGTCGGAATTGTGGTAGTCGTGGTAGTTGTAGGAACCACGGTGGTTGTTGAAGTGGTCGTGCTCGTGGTTGTTGTACTTGTCGAGCTGGTCGTGGTTGTTGGCACGGTACTTGTAGTTGTCGACGTGGTGGTGGATGCTGATGTGTTTGCGGTAGTTGTTGATGTGGTTGTCAACGTTGTTGTAGTTGTTGTAGTTGTTGTAGTGGTAGGCACGGTTGTAGTCGTCGTGGTTGTGGATGTCGTAGTTGGTGTGGCTGTTGATGTGGTCGTACTTGATGTGGTCGATGTGGTCGTACTTGATGTGGTCGATGAGGTCGTGCTTGTAGTAGTTGATGGCGTGGTTGATGATGAGGTCGTGCTTGTAGTAGTTGATGGCGTGAGTGATGATGTGGTTGTTGTTGTTGTAGTCGATGGTGCGGTTGTGGTCGTTGTGGTAGATGAAGTGGTACCTGTCGTAGTTGTTGAAGTCGTGGTTGTGGTTGTGGAACTGGCTGAGGGAACATACGCGCCCATGACATCGGCATCAGCATCACCAACGGATACACCATTTTTCATGTAGCAGAACCCAGAGATGGTCCACGACAGTGCAGTACAGTCCGAGTCGGAAGAACATGCTGACACGCAGTCCTCGAAAGTGCTTGTTTGAACCATGGAAATATCGTAGCCATAATAATCAAATCCACAGGAGATGGTGTAGGTCTTCGAACCAGACGTGAAGGATGACCCATCGCCTTGATCATTGATGCAGAGTCCTGTAGCTACTGCTGTAGTAGTAGTGCTGCTCGTTGCCGTGGTAGTTGATGTAGTGGTAGTCGTCGTCGTCGAGCTGAAAGGGAGACTGGCAGCGTTGACGTCGGCGTTCGCAGAACCTCCGACGCCGGCGCTCTTCAAGTAACACCAACTTCCAGTCGTATAGGAGACTGCATAGCATTGGCTGTCAGCGGCGCATGCGTTCATGCAGCCCTCAAAAGTAGTGGTCTGCTCGTTTGAAATGTCATAGCCACTATAGTCCCAGCCACAAGTAACACTGAAGGTGTCGTCTCCACTAGTATAGCTCGACGCACTACTGTCGCTGGAGCAGGGACCGGTGCTTTCAATCATGGCTGCGATCACGTTTGCAGAGCTGGATGTGCCTTCCGCAACGTTCTTGAGATAACAAAAAGGCGCGACATAGCTGACGGCCACACAATCTGTCGTAGATACGCATGTGTCAATACATCCATCAAGGGTGGTTGCCTGAGTGGTACTCAAGTCACCACCAGCGAGATCCGTGGCACAATAGATCGTGAAACCGTTGTAGACTTCGCCATCGGTGCAGTCCGACCGACTGATGAGAGGCGTTGGTGAAGCTTGAGTCAGTTGCAGCAGGGTAGCCGCGACCGTGAGGGTACTCTTCCACATCTGCATTGTGATCAATAATTGTACAACAGTGGTGACTAGTAGAAATCGAACTCAAGGAGAAAGATGTGATGTGTAATGCTTGTCTTTGTCCATAATCGGGGCTGAATGGGACTCTATATGGTCGCCTATCCAGATATCTCTCTCCCACGTGCCGGAGCCTTGCGGCCGTGTGAGAATTTTGAGCCTTACATCGACGGGGAAGTTCTTCTCGAGAATTCTTCGACCTTACTGGATCTGGTTACAGTTCCATACCTGTGGCTCCGGATGTCTCTTCTCAAAGAAAGCTAATCTTCGGAACAGCCTGGATTAGGAAGATCGCCTGTTCCGAAACGGCAAAGATCCCAGATTTCAGAAGAATGGCGTTGCGGAGGTCGCCATAGATGAAGAATTGGCTTCTCTCAAAAACGTGACCTGACGTCTCGCACAGCGCACAATTAAAAATTGTACTTCTCGGAGAACGTGGTTTGACGTAGCTGTCAGCGCTTTGATGCATGTCCGGCACATTTTCCGTGCGGCTCAAGTGCTCTGGCGAGGTATTAAATGATGAAAACCATGTGGTGGATGCTGCTGGATCCGGCCACACAGACCACTCTGTCGTCCGTGAGGGATTGAGGTTACGCTCGCTTGGATGTGCTGTTAAGCTCTGGATTGGAGCCGCGCGCACGGACCGGTTCACACCAGCATGATGGGAACCATCGAAGCATACTTCGTACAAGCTCGTATTTTGGAAACATCGTCAATGCGCATCTGAACGGAAAATTCATGAGCCCGGACTAGGGTCGTACATGCGGTGCTCCTCCAATATCCTCGGCTTACGGTAAGGGTCGGCCTCGTTTGGTTTGCATCGTTTCCCGGATCTCAGCTCTCCGCCAACATGCTCGCGACTCCGAAACTGTAAACTTACCCAGTACTTTGCCCCCCCGTAACCGAAACATTGGGATCGCCTGACAGGAACCGGCACAATCCGCGGCGTCGAGCTTGTCTATGATTGCAGCCGAACAGGACGAAATGTGTGGCCTTGAGAAGGGAACAATTCAACCCAAGAAGAGAAAAATGCTCAAAAACTGCATGTTGTTTCGGTTAAAAACGTACGAGACATTTGGTCAGTCGTTGGGAATGTCGACACAAGTCGCGGAAAGATGACCTGCATAGTCACGGCTCAGTAAGCCACTTCAGCAGCTCAGCGCAGCCTTCATGACCTTGCTGGTAGGCATTTCAATGCGCCAGCTCATGCTGTACATTGGCAGAACGCTCCTCCGGCACCAGTATTGTCGTGTCGACAACTCGACGGACAATATCTTGGAAGCGCAATAAGTAGTACATGCTATTTCTTTGCGGCTGGGCGTTTCTCTGACCTTTGACAGTTTGCCTGGCAAATAATAGCTGTTAGATGTAGAATGGCAAACGAAGCGCGGTCCAAGATCTTGAAGTCAGGTTCTATGGCGCCGAGACAAAACAAGATTCAAGTTTGCAGTTCCACCTGCAGACGCAAACATGCCAAGACCGACATACAACCTTGTCATTTTCGCCTGCGGCCTGAGTGTAGGAGAGTTGAGTCCATCGTTTTGACCGCAGTCTGCTTTAACAGCCGCTTTGAGCTTCGCTGTGGCATGTACAGCCATTTCCTTCCATCACCAGCCGTAGCATCCTGGCATGTTGGCTGGTTCCTCGACCCTCGTACCCATCACGACCTTTACACCAGCGACGAGCTTAACCTCTACCGGCCTGACTATGCACGGGACCTCCAACAGCACTCATCTCCTTAACATGCCGGACAACGAGGAGAAAGAGACAGGAGCACGTCGAGTCGTTGGACTCATTCCGCATTGGTATGCTGAAATTACTTCGGAATGAGTACCCAATGCACGTTTGACTACAATTTTGCCCGGAGTGGGACGTCCTGCCTGCGGTCTTTGTCATAATCCACCCACGCCTTGATCTTCTTGCCCGTGAAGTCTCCAGTCCGATGGCTTTCTCCCGGCGGCGGAACATTTCGGGGTGTGTACGGTCCGCCGGTCAGCACTGCGTTCGCCGCTGTCTCGAACTCTTCATAGGCATATTCCTGAGGATCATGGCCAAACAGCCAATCTGGACGAGGCATCTCGATTGAGCGTTTGTCTTTCTTGAACTCTTCCACATCGAAGTTGTGCCATGCATCACGGGTTTCGATTCCGATTTTCTGTGCCAGGGTTGCCCGAGCATATCTGATTATAGTTAGCGTCCACATCATTGGTTGCCGAGCACTCGAGGCCAGAGCGTACCGTATCTTCTCACAGGTCTTGAGTGCGAGCTGCACCCTGTCTTTACCGGCCATTTCAAGACAAATTGCAATGGTTCCTGCATCCTCAACGGCCTGCCCCGCGCCCTGCCCGCTTGTGGGAAGAAATGGATGGGCCGAGTCACCCAAAAGGATCATTCGACCGTGTTTGGACGTCCAACCAGGCAGTGGGTCCCTCCAGACCAGTTTGTAGTCAACAAGTTGACTCTCTGGCGTCCACTTGACCAGATCAATAATCCGTTGATCCCAACCCTCCACGACCTTCAGCACGTCCGCTATTTTCCCCGGATATGACCATGACTCTGCGATATCCCAGGTGTCCTTGTGAGTGCACGTCCAAACAATGTCCTGGGCTCGCCGACCTGTGCCGATGATGCAATGGACGTCGCGGCCGATGTAGGTCTCCATCTTGTCATGTTTGCCCTCGAAAGCCCAAGCTAATTTGGGGTCCTTTCTTGCTTCCTTCCCATCGAACCAGGCGCGGAATACGGCATAGCCGGTTGCGATGGGCTTGTCACTCCGACCTATGATAAAGCTTCTGGAGTTGCTGTGGACACCGTTGCAGGCCAGCACACAGTCGGCCACGATTCGCTCACCATTGACCACGACTCCTGCCTCGTTCTCATCCTCGAAAAGGTCGGTCACACGACGACCAAGCCGCACATCGATGCCAAGTTCCAGAATGTGCTTATAAAAAATGACCTGCAGGTCACCTCGGTTGCTGCATCGGTCAGTGTTTGTACTCACGGGTCGGTCCATACTGAACTTACGCTGCGTAGCCAGAGCCAGCTGAGTAACCGAGCATGGTATGTCCGGTCAAGTATTCGCCCGTGTGCGTGTATAGGTTCATCCGCGCATAGTCACACAAGATTGGTTCCAACTGAGCATGCACCTTGCCATCCCCCCATTTTGAGATGATGCCCGCCGCGTTGCCTGTAATACCTATCACATCCCCTGTCCATGTTAGTCGCACGTTTCGGTGACGTAGCCGGAGATCGTACCTAACGCTTTGATCTCCGGAGCCTGCTCGAACGCAATGACTTTGTGACCTTTTCGATGGCATTCGATGGCCGCAACAGACCCTGCATAACCCAGACCAATGATGATCACTGTGATGCCGCTGGAGTTGGGTGGTTGTATACCATTGGGTCCCGATGGACTCAGCCTAGCCTCCCCCATTATGAGCCTTTGAGCGTTCGTTTGGCCTTCCCGAATGAATCACTGCCAGCCCCCTATCTATGCCTCTTCAAAGTCTTGTCAGCGGACTCTTGGAGCTCAAATCCAGCAGTGGACGCTTCCTAAATGAGCTTGGAGGATTAACCTTCGGCTTGCAGAATGCCGCTGATTCCAAACCGTGTGGTAAAATTGGAGCCTCCGGTGTTGGGGATCCTATTCACCCGGAAACTCCACAAAGCCCCTAGATTGCTTTGATCGGGACAGCCGTGCACGGAGATCGCCTGAACCGCATCTGCGGTGCATGTCTTATGCATCAGACGCCCGGGTACAATATTGTTCTGTGTGAAAGAATCATTGCACATTGCACATTGCACGCCTTTCCACGATGTCACTTCTGCAGAACTTAGTACAGGACATCTCGTCCTTAGGGACAAAGCTGTATCAGCGCTTGGGTGACGACACTGGACATCTTTACGAAGCAAAACCATGGAAGACATATGATCATGAACTTCCGGATCGCGAATCATGGCAGCTTAGCCAGCAACTCATCGCTGATTGCGAAGAGCTCATAGCTCTTCTCACGCCCACCAAAATCAAGCTCGTTACTGAATGTGTTGCCAACAACAGCACCGTGGGACTAGGCGTGGCCGCCGACTTTCGCATTGCCGATAAGATCATCGAGAATGGTGGGGAAGCGTCGTTGTCCCATCTCGCCCGGAAATGCAAGACGGACGAACACAAGCTTGGATGTGTCATGCACATGCTCGTACAGAGACACATCTTCAAGGAAGTGGCTCCAGATGTGTTTGCAAACAACCGCCACAGCTACGAACTGCGAAAAGAGACCGGTGCCACCGAGATGATGCTGATAGAGTGAGTTCTCCTACGTCAACACCTACGTGGCCTTGTTTTGTGACTGGTGCTGACTTCATAGGACAAACGAGGGTTATCAAGCCGGCCTGGGCTGGCTCCCGGTCATGAAAGACCCGGAAAAAATGCATGAGCACGACCCTGCCAAGGGCGCCTTTGCAACAGCTCTACAAGTCGACTTGGGGGTATTGCCGTATCTTGGGACGCCCAAGGGTGCAAACCTACTGAATAACTTTAGCATCGGCGTACCGTGGCTCTCTGGCATCACAGTTGTGGCTACAAGAACTGACTTACCATGGGACAGCTTCGGTCCAACAGTTTGTGATGTTGGCGCCGGCCCTGGCGGTGTCATGCTTGAAGTCCATAAGAAGTATCCTCATCTCAACATCATATGTCAAGAGCTGGAACAGATGATCCCCGTGCTTCAAGATGTAAGTTCTCGCATATATCCAGCATTCAATGCCCCGAGTGTGGTCCACCGAAGTGGGCAAGAGTGCTAATATCCTGTCCGAGCAGACCTTTAAGGACTATCAATCAGACCTGGATCACGGCAACGTCAAACTCGAAGTCTACGATTATTTTACCCCCCAAAAAACTGTTGCAGACGTTTACTGGCTACGGGGCGTAGTGTAAGAACATCTCCTCTCGCTCACTTGTATGCAAATATCATAGCCTCCACTAATACTTATCTCGCCGCATTTACAGCCGCGACTACGACGATGATACCTCGGCCCGCCTCCTTGCCCAGCTGGTTCCTGCGCTCAAGAAGAATCCGCGGGCCAAAGTCTTAGTCAACGAACTCATAGTGCCCAGCTTGATAACTCCACAGTCCCAGATCGAAGCCAACACGCCAGCCGCCAAACGACTGCCACCGAACCAGTCTGGCTATCCACAGGCGTGCCACATGATGCAACTTAGCACTATGGTCCTGATGGGAGGCAAGGAGCGCACTTTCGGTGATATTGTAAAAATCGGTCGGGCCGCTGGCTTGCGTGTAAGCAAGTTCCATCAGTTCAGGATGTTCACTGGGACAATCGAGTTTGAGCTCGACGACGTGGCTGGTTGGGAGACAGGTACGGGGAAATCGAGACTGTGAGCGGGCAAAGACACGCTCATGCAGGACTTAGGCATTAATCCCCCTTGAGATTGGTTGGAGACGTCTGGCAGAAGCAAAGAGGAAGAATTCGCCCATCCTGAAACTCCTACCGCACCCAATCAAGCATGAATTAAGATCCGTCCATCGAATTCACGTATACATCAGATGGCAGGTGATACACTTGCAGATAGAGTTCTGCGCGCCATCAAGGGTTGTCTGTATGTAGAAATGCGCGTTGTCTGTACGATGCAGTGAAGCGATACAGTGCGAGCATCGCAATACTCCTGTTTATGGTTGCTAGACACTCAGTGAGCAATGCATTATGGGAATTAGTGTTGGTGTTCATTGACCTCCGCAGCAAATCCTTTCCCTTGGCTCGAAATCTCTCCGTAATGCACAGACAGACGTGTTCGATCATCACGTCCCGGGAACAACACTCCGCCACCAAGCCGGTTGGGGTACAGTCTTTGTCGGTTCGGCGTGCATCCCCACCAGGTGCGAATTGTCCGGTAGTCCAAAGTCGTAGACCTAACTATAGTGGTGGCTCTTCAATCAGCGAATGTCAACGGCTCCGAAAGGCTTCATCAAGTACAAGTCCGCAGAGTCAACCGAGGCTCAGCATTACACGGAAGGGAAGAGCTGCAAGAGACGAAGGCCGAGCACCATACACTGTTAACCTATATAGCCAATATGGCGATTGCTGACAAGGTAACCCCACAAAAAAGGCTGTTGCTTCTCTACTAAAAATGCGGCAGAAAAAACAATCCCATGTCGCCATAATCGGTGCCGGCCCGGTAGGCATGATGTGTGCTGCTAAATTGGCAAATGCTGGAATCAGAGTGACTGTGTTTGAGAAGGTAATGCCCAGTCTAACACCACCTACGCAATGAGGGACTAATCAGGGCGGAAAGGACGCAGAGATTGACCCACGGCCGAAAGCATTGACATATACGTGAGTGAGGCTCATCTACACAGCATGGCACGAACATGTAGGGTTTGACCAGGACTGCAGGGCGCCGGTTTTGGCGGATCTTGCCAAACTAGGCATCCTCGAGGACGTCGTCAAAATCTGCTTCGCCGATGAGCGTGCAATCTGGACATGGCGGAGCCTCGGAGGCGGTGTCCTTGCTGAAATGCATTGGTCTCTCTTGGAAGATGTGCAGAGACCCGACTTGCACAAACCATACACATTGCAATGCGGACAGCACTTACTGGCGAAGGTTTTGGTGGAATACTGCAACCGCTTCGAACACGCCAAGGTTCTGCACGGCTACCAGCTAACCAACCTCACCCAAACAGACGAGAAAGTCACCCTGTCGATCTCCGAGTTGGGAATGGATCCGTTCACATTCGAAGCGGATTACGTGATCGGCGCCGATGGAGGAAGGTCGGCGACTCGCAAGTTGATTGGGCAGCACCTCGACGGATTCACCTGGGATGAGAGCTTTGTTGCAATGAACATCCATTTTCCTTTCGAAAAGTATAAGTGGGGTGCCGCGAATTTCTTGATCGGTGGAAAGGATTGGGCAGTCGCCGGCAGGACTGGACCTGGTAGTGATCCGTGGCGAGTGGCGTATGGCGTGGAACCAGGCTTGACAGACGAACAAGTCTTGGAAGGAGCGCCAGACAGGCTCAAGGCAATCTTGCCTGGTCCAGATGAATTTCAGATTGTGCAATGCGCACAATACAAAGTGCACCAACGTCAGGTAAAGCAGTACAAAGTCGGCAAGGTTATGCTCGCTGGAGATGCCGCACACCTCAACAACCCCATCGGCGGGTTCGGCTTGACCACGGGCATGACGGATGCAGGATGCATTTCAGATGCATTGATTGCTGTCATCAGTGGCAATGCGCCCGAGCAGACACTCCAAGAGGCCTGCAACATCAGGCATGAGATTTGGGCGACCATCAGCAATCCTGGGTCTCAAAACTTCAAACGCATTGTTCAACAAGACCCAAAGGCTATCTCGAAGGAAGACATGGATTTCTTCAAGCGTTTGAATAATGATGAAGAGTTCCAGAGATCGGCTTTGCTGGGCTCTTTGCGCATCCATACCCCACTCGGCACGTTCCCAAGCCAGCGAGGTACTGAAAAGGTCTATGGCCTGGTAGACTGATCAAGCCTCAGTCTGGCTTTCCGTGACAGCTCTTGGCTCTACTCAGGTCTTGGTGGGTCCGCTTACCAGGAAGCCTGTTTCCGAAAAGAGTGGCATTGTCTGAAAAACAGTACGGAGTACCCCAATCATACAACTTCATCTTTCAGCAGGCTCAAGGCAGTCGGTACCTCGACAGCAACCCAGTAGAATAGCACTGATAAGACCGATAACGTTCCCAACCTCAAAGGCAAATCGCGACGTGTTGAATACGAAAAGGTCCCAGTGCCTATCACGTTACCTGTATGCATTCGATTTGGGGGCCCACAGCAGTCAGACTGTGCCACCTTTGCTGGGAACAGGCTCGCCAGTCCATGAGTAGGACACTTGGGCTTACATAATCGTCTATTCAGGACTTGGTCGATTTGACTAGGTGCCAGTGTGGAAGCTGTTGAGTTCCGACAACCTGACACTTGAACAGCGGCTGAATGAGAGTGAATTTACAAGTTCACCCGAAGGTCACTGGAAGGGGTCTGCGAACGTTAAGGGGAGTAGATATTTTTCGTCCAACGACAGGAGCTCAATTTGGATCTGAGTACATCTGCATCGCTGTGCCTAGTATGGAAACAATGCCCCATGTTTCGTGTCGTGTGAAGACTGTCGCCCACATGTACATCAGCTGGGCCGAAAATGGTTGTGTCGATTGGAAGGAAGCTGGGTTTGCTTCGTATAACGTCCGCTGCACGAGATTGTGGACGTTTTGCTCGTCGTCTGTCAGTGGTTGCGCATGCTGCGTAGCTTCAAGATTCTGCAGCCATTTGCTGATAAACAAGCCTGCATTCGGTCAATGGCAGTCATAAAGGTCATGAAAAACCTACAATTGTCGAACCAACACAGATAAGATTGTGGACTGAGTTCTAGAAACCCCCTCCTTGCGACGACGTTTACACCGGCTTTCACCACCCTTCGAAAAGCGTGGACAGCGAAGAGGGCTGCTTTGGAGGAGATTCTCGATCGTTGTATGTTGCTGCATTGGGTGCTCATGGCTTGAGCAATGTCCTGCACATTTTGCCGGCAGATGACCGCCTTCAATCGAGATATGTCTACGCACAACATGACGTACGCAACCCGAAGCATAGCCATGGAATCATACGGCAAAGCGATTTTCTCTTTCGTCCTGACGGATGCTTCTGACGCAGAGTTTGTAGCGATCAGATGCCAGCTTTCAAGTGCCGCTTCAAGTCTCCCAGACCCAGTAAGGCTGTCCGAAGGCGATGCTGCTTGCCGCGACTGCCATATTTGCTGGAGGAGGGCACTCAGTATGACATGGCATCCAAACGTACTACACCTGATAGACTGAATGTCCGCGCCAGACATCAAGTTGCGCAATGTGATTTGGAATGAAACGGTCGGAGTACTCCTGTGACTACCCCAGGACGCCGCGCTGTCCGCTATCCATGTGGAATCGTGGCAAGGCAAGTCCATCTCAATTTCCGAGTTTGTCAAGACTGGTGGAACATTGTACGCCATGGTCAGATCATTGAAAAATGTATATATGACAAATTTCGTCCTTTTGGCAGACTCCAGCTCAATCCAATCATGCCATGAGAGAGACGAATCCTGAGTATCGTCGACCCAGCGTCCGCCTGGGTTGCTGACATAACGAACAATGTGGGCCAGATTGGACTGGAAGGCTAGTGATTCTTGGACGGCGTCGAAATCGTCGCGCCAGACACCAAATACCATGGTAAAAAGAAGTGATTGGAGCACCCACGTGGGCCGGCCTTTAGACGTAAATGACGTCCTCTCCATCTGGTTGAGGATTGATAATCGAGCAGCTCGGTGTAGTTGTGTTGCGACATCTTTCTCCTCATGATAAATCGCGCCTATGGCAGCCATGGCAAGTAACAAGGGAGGTTGAGTCCCCTCCGCTTGGAAGGTGGGAACATGCACGCATGGAGCGTGGATCAAAAAAGCATCGAAAAAGGCCGTGATATATCGTTCCAATCCCATGCATGATGGCAACAGAAAGGTATCCGGAACCCTGGCTAGACTGAATACGTTTTCCATGTCTTGCACAATAAGATCTCTTTTTCTTTCAGATATATACAATGGACTCTCAAAGCCATCCGGTTGGCTAAAAGTGATGAACTGGGCCGGGTCTACGTCGAGGGTGTCGCCTGCATTAGGCGGTGGTCCGACAAGACTTGCCAGTGATTTGTCTATATCGAGGCTGGAAGCGTGGGGAGTAAGATGGTCCAGCGATGGTAGGTCCAGAAGATAGTGCATCGATGTGTTTGGATCATCGTTCAAAATCCCATTCGATGCCGAAGGCGTCTGGAGTAGTAATTGGCTTCCGTCCATTTCTCCCATAAGGCTTTCAAAGTCGAAGTACTCGAGCGAGTGTTGAGTTGTTTGCTGGTCAATTGCTACAGGTAGGGCTAGATCGGCGGCGTGATCCATGTGCTGCGCGTTTCCTGTCGTTGCCGTTTCCAGTGAAGAAGCTTGGAAATGAATCTCCATCTGTGGAGGAGCCTCAGCATTGGGCGGGGGAGTTTGACGCATGGTGGTTGCCTTGGGTGATGCTCCGGAACTGAACGCATTCCTCCCTGCAGAGCCACCACTTGCGGGTGGCGGCGGAAGCTCAGAATGGTTGCGCGCAAGATGTCTTTTGACAAGGTCCTTTCTCGTGAACGTCGCATCGCAATGCGGGCAGCCAAAAGGTCGTTCCTTTCTATGGGAGCGTTCGTGCCGAGTCAGATGCTCCGCCCGAGCAAACAATTGTCCACATAGAGAACATTTATGCTGCCGGCGCTCGCGGGGGCCAGATGAAAGACGGGGCGAACGTACGCGCGGTCTCTTTGTCGGTGAGCGGCCAGACGCGTTTTCAGAGCTCAAGATATCCGGCGCAGAGGTCGATAATGGAGCGTGGTCGGCAGAAGTGCTGTGTCGACTGCGTGATGCGTTGGTGATCTCGCCTGTCCCATCTAGGCTTGATGCAGGCGATCTAGGTCTCGGGTTGGAAGCAGCTGGTGGGCGCGGCCGTATCTCAATAGCCGGGAACCCGGAGCCTCTGCCTACTTTCGTGCCCCATACCATAGCAGTGAGCATCTTGACGGGGTTTGTGCTCCTCCACTCCTTTTAGGAATCCAGAGAGCAAAAAGAGCGTGGAGTTGTGTTGGAGTAAGAACACACCAACGGATGGAAATTTCCTTAAGTGAAGATGCAGTGTGAAGAATGACAGGCCACAGCCCCGCGTGACCCGTCCGGCGATTACAGGGTGCCCCGCACTGACCTCGGGCATGTCAAGCCGTGGGTTAATGGCTCGCCTGCCCAGGCATTTCTTGAACCCACCAAGATAGGCCTCAGTTAACAACCTTGGCCTGCGCATAATCCCATCGAAAACGGAGACTGTACTGCAGAAGCTCATACTGTCCGTGCGCTATCTCGAAAACGTCAATACGCCTCGCTCGCTGATATCCCACCAGCACAATCCATGATCGATGTTACCACTAGCAGTTAATCCCCATGTACTATTCATACTAAGAGAGAGCCCGACTAGCCGCGCTTTCGCCCAAATTTGTAAACCTGTCTTCCGCGCATTTTTTTTATCGATGGGCGCGACGGATATTTTCGACTCTTTGATACCGAGAGTGGCGTCTCCAAGCCCCGGGCGTCGTAGGCCTGACGCTATAGAGATTCTCATTGAACAACGAGTATGAAGAATAAGTCTATAACAATCATAGACATTAGTCTTGGGGACTAGGCTCTAGGCAATTAGACGTAAAAGAGCGGAGTTTCTCAAAGTACACCCCCTTTTACAGGAAATTAGGAACCTCGCAATCTGAAGGATGTATTGTAGGCTTGTTTCAGAGGGTACGTATTTACATATCCGGAAACATGTACTCACAGCCTTCCAAGCATACTATATCCATGCTGAGTTGAATTGCCCCTCTTGCCCTCCCCTAAGATGGCCTGCTCACGAGGGCAGCCAGATAGCGCGAGTCTGACCCTGGAAGCTCTTTCTGCACCCAGTTACAGAGCCTCAACATGGTGAGCATCAGCGTGCTTACTGGCAACAGCAGCGGTCTCGGTAAGAGCAATGTTGGTGGTCCTCACACACTGGTACCGTTTGAATTTTAGCGCAGGCACCTTGTTCTCGAACATCTCGTCAATCTCTTCAAGGGTGCGATCTTTGGTTTCCTGATCATGCATTAGCAGATGGTCTCAACACCATTCCTCATGGGGCCACTTTGAACTGACCGGAAGGAAGAAGAAAACGAAAAGGATGATGACGATATTGGAGCCAAACCATACATAGCCATAGCGGCCGCCCTAAGATAGTTCAGCGAAATGCTTTCCTGAGGCATTAGCGACCGTCGACTTACCCAATTAAGCTTGAGGGGATTCAAAAAGTATGGTGCTGTGAAGGTAACAAGCCAGTTCCAGAAAAAGGCGATACCGATCGCGCTGCCCAGAGTGTATCCACGCAGTCGTTGTGTCGGGATCTCACCGGCGCTCAAGTAAACATAGGGCGCGATACAAAAGTTGTAGAAGAAGAGGTAGATGATGGTAAACGCAACCAGGACCTTGCCAGCAGTGACACTCAGGGTACTGCCGTGGTAGATGACGGCAAGTATCAACATGCAGATAGCCTGGATGAGGAAACCGACCAGCAGTATGGTGCGACGTCCGATTTTCGTGATGGCCCACATAGAAATAATGGTTGCCACCAGTCCGGCGGCAGTCATGCCGATACTTTCTTCAAAAGCCTTCGTCTGGCCAGCCACAGAAAAGAAGTATGTGCCGTAGACCAGAAACATCAAGGCTCCGGAGCCTCCCAGACAAGTCATTATACTCCAGGACAAGAGGGTGCGTCGAAGGTTCGTCTTACGGAAAAGATCCAGCATTGCCACTCCGTTGACCAGAGCCTTCTCGTTCTCGAAAGCCTGTTGGATTGCTTCCAGTTCCAAGTCGATGACTACCGGGTTTGTCTGTTTGTTGCGGAGTCTCGTCAGAGCTGCCCGTGCCTTTCCTGGTTGGTTGTGCTCGATCTATGCCACATTGTTAGCCAGCCAGTAGTTGAAATCACAGGGTAAGACATATACCAGCCATCTCGGAGTTTCCGGCATGAACGGCAGCGCAACGGCCATAATGGTTGGCATAACAAGAAAAATCCCAAGCGGAATCTGATAAGACGCCTTACTGAGTATGGGTGCGGTATAGTTGTCGGCGATTGATCCGATAAGAAGTCCAATGCTCACGAGAACATTGAACATACCCAGGAGTGAACCACGCTGATGAGCTGGAGCGGACTCGTGGATGTAAAGCTGAGGAATCACATCAAAGAGGCCGTTTGCAATGCCGACGATGAAACGCCCGGCGTACAGGGCTCCAAAACTTGTTCCTGCCATCATCAAGATGACTCCCACTGCATTGAAAACTATGGCGAGGGCCATGGACCACCTTCGGCTCACGTATTTTCCAAGTGGGCCAGCGGACATGCCAGCTAAAAAGGCGCCGAGAGACATGAGAGAGTTGATCAGTGTTTGTGCCGTGGGTCGAATGCCATAACCAAAGGTGGCCGTCTTATCTGGGTAACCGAATACCTTCAGGAAGCCTGGCATAGCCTGCATGCCAGCAATAGCACCAAGGTCAATACCTGCGGTGGGGTGTCAGTATCCCTTGTCAGTCTGAGGCTATAGAGGGATGCTTACCGAGCTGGAGGCCACCAAGGCATGCGATAGAGCAGTATACAAAAGAGCGCCAGTGGTGCCAGAATCCTTCATGGGCAGAAGTGTCAACATGGCGATCGTTTCCTTCAGCCATTGCTGTGGTTGAGGCTTCTTCTTTCGACATGTTTGGGTCGCCCGGTCAGTGTGCAGCACTATACAGGATGTCTATCTGTGATGTCTTGAGGTTGATCCTGAAATCAGAAATTGAGCACTCGGACGTCCTCCTCGAATGAATTATACCTGTACAGGATGGTGAAAGACCAGCATGGGGTAATTGGGATCGTGGGGTAGAATCTGGGGTCAAGCATGAATTGGCAGTGAACTAGAAAGGTGCATGGTTTACGTTGGACCGAGGATTTGCAGACTTCGACCTGGAGAGTGTGCGTCTTCAAGGCTGAAGAAAAATTCGCGGCGAGCCTGGACCTCGCCAGCTGCTAATTTAGCGACGGCGCTCACATGCCGAATGTCGAAAACGCCACTATCTTTGATTCTCTTCGCCAAAGCTTAAGCGTGCAGCGCTTGGGCACCCGCGAAATCTTGTGCGAACCCGACCCAGATGTGAGGGTCAATGTCACTCAAGTGTAGATGTGGCTATTACCTAGGTAGTGCATTTACAACACGGTTGGCGACGCCTTGACCACGATACACGCTTTTCACAGTCTCAAGCTATGCGGCCATCGTCTTGATCCCCCGGGGGCCCAGCGCTTACATTTGGGGCCCCGCACATATGTATTGCCTTTGCGCAACTCAATCGATGGCGTCTCGATAACTTTCGCGGGAAATGGCCCAAAGCCCCTCCAATCTTGGAGTTGGGCATAAACTCCTAAAGCAAGGGCCAGAACTCTTGACAAAGTGGCATGGAGGAGAACTAGCGGCTCTGCCGGCTCCGGACGCCGGCTTGGGGTAACTAGACACTGACCAAAGCCAACAAACCGGCAATGTCAAGCCGGTGAAGCCAAGATTCCCCTGTCAACAACCCACAGAGCCCGATGCAAACCAGCTGTGTTTCGCTTTTAGGGACCATATTTCGTCTGGAGTGTACGCACTGCCCAAACGCGGCCCAAAGTAAGTACGGAATAAAGTACGGTACTCCCCACCAGTCGTAGAACTCCAAGATTTAATGGGGACCCAGAGTGTCTGGACTCTACGTATGTCACCGTAAGTTAGCTCAAAACGCAGCAATGTCTGATGGATATCCACGATCCCCTGAGACAGATCTGCACAGGCCATACTTGGGATTGACTGCAGCATGATGACAGTTGCATTATTGTCGCACTCCGTACTGGACGCGACCATTGAGAACGCATCTGACGACTGTGCCCTCCACCCAAACTTGGAGGTTACTCAATTAGCCTGGCGCCAACCACTGGACGGATTCTAACGGGCTAGTGACCGTCAAGGTCATTGTTCTAGAGATTAGTGCGGACACCTACCCTGCAGAGCTCGACTTCAGTGAGGTATTCAGGCTCTCATTGTGGCGGTTTTTCGGCTTAGGTAACTGTAAGTTAGTGGGCCTGGCCTTTCACCGAGGCTCACCAAAGCACGGCAGGTAACTGCTAGTGCTACCGTAACTAACTTAATGTACCTTAACCATGTGACCGTCTCCGTAGACCTGGGCGGGGTCTGTAAGTTCCCCGCAAGGAAAGAGTTCTTTCCTCCACAATCTGCAAACGCTGCTGGCGACATCTTCTCCATCCTCACTTCTCACTGTGATAAGATCGTCCCGAAGTCGCTCACAGGTCTATTCCAATGACGGCCAGCAACCTTGCGAACGATGCTACTAAGTTGTCGACGCAGGATCGTTTGCCATCGGGCAAAGCTTGCCTCGGTTGCCGAAAAAGAAAGAATCGATGTACTGGAGAACGCCCAGTCTGCAGCTTCTGCCAAAAGCGGAATCTAGACTGCCATTATGCTACAATATCACGAAGAAGCGTTGCTAATCAAAGGTGAGAATCCTGGCACAATTTGCAAACGGTAACTGATCGGCGCTGGACAGCTACATTTGGTCACTGCAAGAAAAAATTCGAAGACTTGAAAGAGAGACAAAGAATTCACCGAGTGAACTGGTGCAGGACATACCAAGTTCTCCTCCAAACACCAACCACAGCGATGCACACAACATGGAGCAAACTGAAAGCCCTACGGATCAGAGGTCCTTGAATGGTTGCTCTACAGCTGATAATTGTGCCTTTGATGAGGTGGCATTGGTTGACGACTCCTCTCCAAGTGTTCTGACTTACAGTAAGCACGTGGTGATCGCTACAAGACTTTCTTTGCTGATTGATTCCGCAGATGAGACTTCAGTCCACACTATAGTCCGTGATGTTGTACTGGGATCCAATGCCAGTCTGTCAGAGAATAGCAGCACGCAATCCCGCAAAGCCTCGTCTTCCCCTCACAAAAGAGTCAGACGGGAAACTGTTATCCGACGTAGCAACGAGCTCGACTCCGACAATTTCATCCTACCACCGTTCGTACTCGCGAAGGAATTGGTGGACAATTTTTTCATCCATGTGTATCCTTTGTATCCTATCCTCCACGAATCGAGCTTTCGCAAAGAGTTCGCGGCTGCCTATCGAGATTCAACCCAGTTGACGACTGCTTGGCGATCGATTCTGAACCTGGTCTTCGCTTTCGGGTGCGACTATGTCAATATGACGCTGCAGGAAGCATTTGACCTGGCTCAGACGTTCCATGACCGCGGTGCGGACCTTATACTCTCTGTTTGCTTTGAGCAAAGTACCGTGCAGATTGTGCAAGCTCTGTTTCTACTGACTGCTCATCTACAGAGCGATCTCAAAATGAACAAATGTTGGTTGAGTATTGGTTGCCTAGTGCGGACCGCGCAAGGTCTCCGTATGAACCAGGACCCTTCCAACTGGGACATCACCCTGGTCGATCAAGAGATCAGGAAGCGCTTGTGGTGGGGGATATATTGCCTGGACCGGTAATTCATTCGAGTGGCTCGAGGAACGAGTACGTCGCTGACAATGGTTCTTCAGGTTTGTTAGTCTGAAGCAAGGACAATCGCCAACGCTCTTGTCAGAAGACGCGCCTCCAGTAGGAGTGCCCTTGACGTCGTCCAGTGGCCTGTCAGAGGTGGACACTAGAATGTTGCCAGAGCTGCTCGAGACACCTTCGCCGATTTATCTCTTCAATGCCATGGTACAGCTGTCACACATGGCCGAAGCCATTCCGATTCCCGCGTTCGGAGGTTTCGATGTGCTATCAGAGAGGTACATCGCTAGGCCTGACGGACAACTGGAACTTGATGAGGTGCAACTGAGCCTTCAACTCGCTCAAGTCAACGAGCAAGAGGCGAAGCTTGCGGTGTGGAAGAGGAATCTTCCCGACCATTTGCGACACGAAATCATGTGTGCCGATCGAGAGTCTAGACGTCAGTATCTTATGCTTCACCTGCGTTATCTGCATATCCGACTCCTCATCCATCGGCAGATGTTCTCAATGGTAGTGAGACAAGGCAATCGCAAGGTGATCATGCCTTCACCGGGCTATTTGAGGTCAATCATCACTGCAAGCGTCCAGCAATGCGCCGAGTGCGCCACACAAACAGTAACAATCATTACGAATAATGAAAATGCACGAGCTATCGGGCCGTGGTGGTATAACATCCAATGTGAGCTGCGAGAATGACAACAGAAACTGTTGAGAACCAGATGCTGACAGACCAGTGATGTTTACGGCTCTAGGAACACTTCTTGCTGTCCATGCTAGTGCCAACCTTTTTCCTGATACAAACACTATCGCTATTGCGGCCTCGATCAATGATGCGAGTAACTCAATGAGTCAGTTATCAGCCGTTAATGGACTTATGGCCTCTTGCTGCAAATACTTTGAGTCGTTGAGGAGACGAATGGTCAAGGTGAAGGTGGGAAAAGAGACGAGATCTAGCGAAGAACTCAATGTCGCTCAATCCCCCATGTATGCTGCAGGTGACGCCGACCAGCAGGATGAGCACCGGCAACAGGCTCCGCACCCCAACGGGACAACAAATGCCTCCGTGAGCCCTGAAACAGATGGTGCTGGTTCATTGGACGAGGATTGGACCAGGCTATTTCTCGAACCACTGCTACCAGATTTTACCAACGATGTTTTCAACATATAGCACACGTTGGCAAGAATATTCATCGAGCTGCATGTTTTATCAATGGAAGGTTGCTCCTCCTCCACAATCGAATATTTGACCTGTGATGAATTGTGCCTCGGGACTGGCAATGAAGTTGACCGTGTGAGCGATATCCTCGGGTCGTCCATGCCTCTTGACGCACTGTTTTTGAATCAGCATGTCAAACAGGCGATGCGATCCATCGGGCTGAACGTGATTGTTCCAGACCGCCTCCGTTCTGATCAAGCCCGGAAGAATGATATTAGCAGTGACTCCCGGTCCAGCCTCTACCGCCAAAGATCGTGTGAAGCCCAGAATTGCCGACTTTGCAGCGACATAGATGGAAAGACCCCTATCGGGCAACTGGAGTGTTCCCGAGGATGTGTTGATGATTCGCCCGTAACCGGCCTTTTGCATGTGTGGCAAGACTGCACGAGCAAGGAAAAAGGCCGCGTCCATGTTGACATTCATGATGCGCCTGTAGTCTTCTGTCGAGTGTCCGAGGAGTGGAATGAACGGATATACGGCGGCATAATGAATCAGGACGTCGATTTTGCCGTACGTGCCGACGACGTCCTCGATCAAGGCATTGACCTCGGTGTCGCTTCCGACATTGCAAATGCGATATTCGGCTCTACCGCCACCAGCGGTGTCGATTGCAGATTTGACCCTCTTCAACTTGTCTTCCTGAATATCCACCATGACTACCGTTGCGCCTTGAGAAGCAAAGAGCTTAGAGGTCATCTCACCGATGCCCTGGGCAGCGCCATCGATAACGACGATCTGGCCTGCATATTTGTCTGGGTAGACTTTGATGGGTGGAATGTTGGCGCCGGCTTCTTCCATGGTGATTTTGCTGCGTGGCTCCTTGTCTTGCTCTTTTTGAAAGAGATTTCACTTCCGTGGCAGATTCGAATTTTGGCTTCCCCCTGAATAAATGGTCCGACAGTGATACGGTCGCAGATTGCTCCCTCCCCCGGCTCGCCGCTACTTGATACTTCGCTGAACACGGCAAACCGCTGGCCGCTGTATGTGCAGAAAGATATCACAAATCGGTTGATGCAAACCGCAATCGATTCGGATTCTGAGCTCCTCTGACAAACGGCACCAATCTCGGGGCGAGGCTACCGCAGCCCGGGTGAGAGGGGTACATTATTTCTGCCATGATAGCCCGGACCTCCCCCATCAACCTACCCCAAAGTGCCTTCCTTGACTTCACCACGGAAGCTAGCCCTTCGAGCCATAGTCAGGCCGGTAGTTGATCACGTTCTCAAGGGCGCAAACCGTTTTACACCCGCTCTCATCAAAACGATCTTCATCGCACAGGCTGGTCGATATTTGACGAGTTTGGTTGTTCATGTGCACTCATCCTTCGTGGGTATATACCAGGACCGCACATGGCGTCGCCCAGGGTGAGAGAACAGCTTCGCTTCCCTCTGACGATGGAGGCATTCGCACTGAACACTTTGGTGTCGATGACAGTTCTGCTGCTACTTGTTGCAGTATACCTCGTTCGACAATCCCGATGGCGGTCGAAGTACAGGTTTCCGCCCAGTCCTCCTGGGTGGCGACCTTTTACAGGACATTCTCATTTAATGCCTAAGGAGTTTCATGGGGATAAAGCCAAAGAATGGGGTAATGCTTCGCTGGCAACATGCTATGGTGTGGGGCGCTGACTGAATCATAGCTGATCAACTGGGTACTGAGATGATGCACTTGAGGCTCGGTGGTGTTGACTGGGTCTTTTTGAACTCTTCACGAGTTGTCGAGGACCTGTTGGAAAAGCGCTCATCCATCTACTCGAGCCGGCCAGCGTTTGTCATGGTCGGCGAAATAATCTCCCGGATGAAGCGTTTGGTCCTGCAACCGTATGGAACAGAATGGAAAAATTTACGAAGAGTCATGCATATTCTCCTCACTGGTTCTTCTGCCGATTCTTACAGACCATTGGAAGATCTCGAGTCTAAGCAGGCCATGTGGGAGCTTTTACACAATCCTGAAGAGTGGCATTTGAGCACTATACGTTACGCTGCATCTTGTAAGTGGCTTCGCAATGAGCGCGATGCTCGGTCTAACCGGATGCTGATGAGTCAAAGTCACCATAGGAATGGTCTATGGCGTCCGTCAAAAAGGCCACTCCGACCTCTTTCAGAAGGTGTCGGATGCTCAAGATGAGTTCTTGCGAAATAATGTGCCAGGCACTTGGCTGGTAGATGATTACCCACAGTTGCAAAAACTCCCACGATATCTTCACTGGTGGCGCTCATATGGCGACAAGCTCTTTGAGATCACCCGGGATGCATTCAGGGGCTACTATGATCTCATGGTAGAGAACACCAAGAAGGGTACCCAGAAAGATTGCTTCGCCACCAAGTTCTATGCAGAGACCGAATCCAAAAAGGGGGGAGACTTCGACTTCGATCAAAAGCTTTTTACCACTGGCGGCCTCATTGAGGCGGGCAGTGATACTACAAAGAACCAGCTGAACATGCTGGTGGCAGCCATGGCGGCGGACCCCAACACATGGGTCAAGAAAGCTCGGACAGAACTTGACAGCGTCTGTGGAACCAGTGCAGAGCGTCTTCCCACCTTCGATGACTGGGACAAGTTGCCCTATATCCAGGCTATCATGAAGGAGAGTATGAGATGGCGGCCTAACGTCAATCCCACCGGCTTTCCGCATGCCCTGATCCGTGACGATGAGTACGAGGGCTACGTGCTGCCCGCTGGCACCGTGGTTACGATCAACAATTGGGCTATAAGCCTGAACCCCGAAGAATATGAAAATCCGACCAAGTTCAATCCGGACCGCTTCCTGAACGACGATCTTTGGAATCCTACCAAGGGACATTACGGCTATGGTGCAGGCCGGAGGACGTGCGCCGGTTTCAAGGTTGCACAGAATTCCATGTTCATCTTCTTCAGCCGCTTCATCTATTGCTTTGACGTGCTTGAGGATCCGGTAAGTTATCATCTGCTGTTATGTCGTAATGTCCTCGGCAAACTAACAATCTTGGTTGCTCAGAATGATCCAATCGACACGTATCACATCCCATTGACCCCGCCACCAGGGAAAGCTAATGACCCGCCTTTCAACGCGAAGGTGAGAGTGCGGAGCATGGCTCATAAGGAGCTGATTCTTGGCTCCTGTGCGGATGCTCTGGAGGCATATGACTGATGCAAATCTGGGTGCCTGTGTCGAATGGTTGGCATGTCACCAGAAAGAATCACTGCATGATCGAAAATACAGATTATCCTTCCGCAAGGAATGAGTTGCGATGTAAAGCAGATACTGAAATATAGCTTCCCTCATAGTAAATGCAGGCTTTGCTCGACTTTACTACATCTTTCTCAATACTCGAGCAATCCACTCTTTACAGTCTTGGCACCAGGAGGTAACTCTCTCCGGCGTATTCCCCTCCAAGGTGCAGACGGTGTATACCCCTGTTAAAGACAGGCTCCTGGTGTTTGACGTGCGGGTTGTCCCACTCGGGCAGCGCCATTGTTTTACCGGAAATCTGCAACCTCAAACCTTCCCCCTTCTCGTAAACAACCCCCATCGGCCAGATTCCAATATTCATCTCTACAATCTTGCCTGGAGGGCGGACAAGGTCCGTCCGGGTGTGCGGGTGAAACGGCCAATATTCAGTCGACTTTTCGGGATCTGTTTCGCGGTGTGAGGCACGCAAGATGCCTGTGGGACCGAGGTACTTCACTGGATTGACGTTCTTAACGTCTTTGACCGATTTGATGTCTAAAGGTAGCTCGTGTAGGGGGACGTTTGATTGTTCCATCAGATCTCCATCTGCAGACAGCTTGCGAAGCATGACATAGATATCCAGATCGTCGTGATCAAGACAGGACACGAAGATGCGGAGCTTGGAGAAGCCAGCTAAGGTAGTCTTTTCGGGGAAAATGTAGTCATAGGATAGTATCTCACGTGTCGTAGAGTCGTAGGAGTGGATCTCATCAGCAGCCACATGAGTTTTCGGAGCAATCTCTAGAGACTTGGACGGAGTAAGGAAGAGCTTGGTGTATTTCGTCCTGGGACTCGGGTAATCGGCTTCGATTTGGTCGTATACAGGGTATTTATCGCCGTAGCGATACAAGGAAACACGGACCTTAGGTGTCAACTCCCATGCGTTGTCTTCGCCCTTGAGGTATTTAGTGAAAAAGCGATCGAGGTCCTCGACGGATTGGTGATAGTAATCTTCGTACCACTCTTGATGGGGGTGGAAACGAAGCCATTTATCCTGGTTGTCAATGCCTTGCCAAGCTCGAACGGCGCCCACTGTGTGTAACATACTGGAGTATGAGCCCAAAATGTACGAGGGTACCTTTATTTTGGAGAAATCGACTCGTTTGTTCTCCCAATATTTGTCAAAGAACTCGTGCCGGAAAGCCATAGTAGGAACGTCTTCCTGTCTTCCGCGCCCCGGCACTCCCAACAGCACCCACTTCAGGAAAGGCGCCCAGGGAATTCCGCCACGTCGCATCATGTCTCTGTAGAGATCACTGTAGCCCTCCCAGGGAGCAATTGCCTTGAGATGTGGTGGTTGTTGCATTGCTGCCCAGTACTGAGAGATGCCGAGCCAGGAATTGCCAGCCATCCCAACCGCACCGTTGCACCATTCGAGTTGAGCTCCATACTCGATAATGTCGTAGCAGTCTTCACCGTCCTTAGGGCCGAAAAAGTACAGGTCGCCTTCGGAATCGAAAGAGCCGCGGGCATTGGGGTCCAGAACAGCATATCCACGTCCACACCATTCGTTGGGATCGGGCCCCTCAAATTTCTCAAGTCCGCTTTGGCGACTCTTAGGAACGCCGACCCTGTAAGGCACAACATCCATCAGGTTCGCACCGCCGCCTCCCTTGCCGTAGGGCGAGTAAGGGACTATGATGGGAATCTTCTTTCCGTCAGTTTGTGCTGGACGGTAAATGTCGGCATATATTTTGACACCATCTCTCAATATAATCGAGACATCCTTTTCAAAAATAATATCAAGGTCGAGCGGCTTATTCTCTGGCGTCTTCTGCCATCCTCGAGGCAGTGTCTTCTTCTCATATCCCAAGGGAATGTACGCAACTTCTGGATCCCGGTTAGGCTCATCAGGAGGTGTTGCATCCTGCCAAGCCCAGTCAATCCCTAAGTCCGGAATTGTGCCTTTGGCGTAACCTGACCACGATTTGTCGATTGGCATTGTGAAGGTCTGCGAGTCAGCAAACTGGTGTCGACATGAGTCGCCAACGTTCATGCGTTGCTTCCAAGTTATATTGGGCAGCACTTGTAGCGTGCTGCAAAGAGGATTACCCCATTGGTGGGCGGTGTTCGGTGGGTGCCGGGATTTCATCCAGGATGATTTTGTCGGGCATTGGGGTAGTCAGAGGGTCTTATGAGCCGGCCGGGCATATGTGAATGATTACGCCGCGTCACATGAGCATGGAAGGTCCCACGATCACCCCGGCAATGTAGATACAACGAATGATACCCGTTCCTTTCGTTGTATCAACAGCTGCATTGAGAAACGAAAACGATGAACTGGACGACACATTGGGTACGCATCAGTGGATTGGACATCCTTGTCACGAGCGCAATCTATGTACCTGTTCAAGTCCGGCTGTTCTTGCGAACGCGAACTCGACAGAGTAGACCTGTCTGTTTCACAAGCCACCAATTCACTGTATGCCATGGCTTCTTCCGATCGACTAAGTCAAAGTCGAAGATACGGAAGATCTCCGGGACCAACTTCGACATCTCCATCAAGCTGATATTTTTACCCAGGCAGGTGCGAGAGCCTGTTCCGAACTGGCATGCAGTCAGTAAGATGTAAATAGACGCACATAAATCATCCGTACCTCCAAGAAATATCTGTCCATTCGCTTCGTTGCTTCTTCAGACTCCAGCCACCGCTCAGGACGAAATGACTCCACGTCTTCGCCAAAGACGGATGCATTGCGGTGTGCCACCCAGGAGTTGATGCCTACAACTGTCTAAATAGTCGTCAGTGCCTACCGTGGCACCAGGGTGGAGATTATGCACTTACGTTTTCCGGTATAAAGTGGTTCAAGAGCACAACACCCCCTGCCGGGACGACACGGCCAAGGGTAAACCCCGTGGACGGATGTAGTCGCATTGCCTCCTTCAGCACCGCTTGAAGATAGGGCATTGATACAGCTTCGCTGTAGGTGACAGGTTTTGACACTTCTGCAGCCATATCTCTTTGGTCGATTTCTGATCGCAGTTTCTCCAGCTTGTCAGGGCTCTTGAGCAAGAAGTAGACCACAGCTCGCAGCGCGATCGCAGTGGTGTCAGATCCTGCTCCTGTGAGGACCATGCACATCTTGTACACTTCTGACATGGGAAATTGGTCTGGCTTCTGATTGTGAATACGCAGGAAATGGGCGACAAAGTCTGGGTGCGAAGTCTCGGACGCCTGGCGTTTTTCAACAACGTTGCTTGCGAACCGCCGCAAGCTCTCCAAGGGCGCTCCATCCGCGAAAAATGTTGACATGAGCTTTGTAAATGGAGCATGGAACTCCGGAACGACACCCATCCACGAAGAATAGGACAGAAACCCATCGAGAACATTCATGATGTTGCCAATGTCTTCACCACGATCAAGGAAACCAAATCGCTTTGCAAAAGTAATCTCGCCAATCACGTCAAATGCGTAACATTGCAACCAATGGCCAACATCGACCACGGCATTTTCTTTGCTCAATTCAAACAGTCGTGTCTCGAGTACTTGCACGCAATCACTGATGTATGGTTCGAGTGCTGCTAGTGAGGTCATGGAGAAGCTGTTGGCCACAAGCCGCCGTTCACGTGCGTGCCTGGCAATATCCGTGTCTGTGAAAATGGAATGCTGTCCAGGGGCATCTGACGCTTGATACCAGGGAGACTAAAGATGATTGTCAGTTTTGCCTCAGCGATGAGCGATCCAAAGTCGAACCTTGGTGAACTTAGTTCCATGGCCATAAATAATGCCGAGGCTCTCATCGGGATCATCGATGCTGACTTCATTGGGGCCTATCCTGACGATCGGGCCTGCGTACATAGTCAGATTTGTTTACAATCCGTGGGGTTAGGAGTCACTCACCATAGTGACCGTGAAGATCGATGTTTGTCCACTCGAAGTCACCACTCAATATCTTGCGCAATTTCCACAGCCTGGTCACACTTGCCAGAAAAGGTCCCGGTACATTTCGCAATGGTGTGCCATACCGCACGTAGATAACATAGCAGATCACCAAAAATAGCAGTAAGATGTTCCATGCTCTGATGTTGATCAGATTGCAAAGTTGCAATAGGCCACTCTCTACTGCCATGCTGGCCGTGTATCCATGTACAAATCTGAGCAAGCAGGTGGCTGTACCTTGTCAAGGACTTATCAGTCACCTTCGGTCTCATACAGAGCTGCTTTGCCTCCAGCAGGATTTACCTTGAGCTATGTCCGGGCGGTGCCTAGTTGTGTTGAGGTTAGACAAGCAAACATGATTGGGCAATGAACACCTACGGAACAACATTCGGCATGAATGAACCGTAGGGATAGGACTACCCCAACACTAATGCTACCCCACAGCTAATGGGACATTGTTAAGCAATTCTGCTGGTTATTTGCGTCGATATCAGCTGCCTGCTTGTGACCTTGGCCGGCTGGAACGGAAAATAGTCTACCAGAATTTGATGATGTCGCAGCCCTTGGGACGCTCGGGAACCAACATGCACAGCACATGGGCTATGAATCAGGTAGAATACTCGTCACACACGTTGTTCCTCAGATCACTACAGACGTGCTTTTGTTGGTGTGCCATCCTCGAGAAACGCCTCAAGCACCTTATTGTACATGTAAGGCGTCTGCACAAATGCCATGTGACCCGTACCCGGCATCTCCAAGAAGCTCGAATTGCGTATGTAGCTGTGAAATCGTCGATGATGGTCGGGAGGAATCCAGTCATCGTGATCGGCAGTAACTACCCAGACAATAGGTGCTGCAGAATGCTCACCTCGTACAGGAACATTGTGAAAGGTTTCGGCGCTCCAGGACGGCTCTCGCATCCACATGTCCACGTACGAGCCTATAAACTTCCCGTAGTCAGCAGCTGGGTTGAGCACCTGCCACTCCTGCTCCATGCGAGCGAAGTAGTCCTTCACTCCTTGGATTTGAGCCACCCGCTCCCCATCAGTCTTGCGGTAGTCGTCAATGGCAGAGTAGTGGAAAGCTCTCTCGACGCGATCAGGATGTTGGGACAAGAAAGACCACGAGACAACGCAGCCTTCCGACCAGCCAATCAAGGTGGCTTTCGGGATAGAATGATGATTGAGCAGTCCAAGAAGGTCCTCTGTCAGCTTGTCGTAAGTTAATTTTGCATCGGGGCCTAGAGGAGATCGGCCATGACCCCGAAGATCATAGACGATGATGGTATATTTGGAGGCGAAGTGTCGGATTTGATGTCCATGATAGCCCGAGTGGCTAACACCGCCGTGCAGAAAAATCAAGGGAGCCTTCTGTGCATCGAGAGTGGTTTTCAACGGTATACCGAAGACGGCGTGCCACATCTGAACGCCGCTGGGCAGATCGAGTAGACCGTGTGTTTGCGCAGTCGAGAGATCTGGGAGCCCTGGGCACTCGGGGAAAGAGTCCCAAGGGAGGGGTTTGCCAGTCATGGCCATTTGAAACTACAGCTCGACTTAGTATTCGGGCAGGCAACACCCCTTAAAGATTGATGATTATAAGGAGAGGTTCAACCATGATGGACCGGACGTGTTTATGCCAGGTTGGTGGCAGCTCGTGCCAAGTATGTTGGAGCGAACGGCATTGCCAGCGTGCCCGCATCAGGTTACGAATTTCACGGCCCACGGCGACGGGGGTGCCACAACAACAGAGGTTACCCCACATGCTTTGGACTCGTGTCACCATCACCTGCAAAACGTGGCACTTGCTGACCGCCGTAGCCCCTAGGCTCCAGATGGATACAGGACACTTCTACTCCGTACTGGTTGACCACAGGGCAGCGACTCCCTAGAACCCTGGGAGAACTGTCGCTCCACGTTCGAGGTGCTCTGTGTCAGACATTGTCACTCTTGCTGGGAACCAGTTCGGCAGTAACTAATCGTGCTTTCTGACTGTAGGTAGTAGCACTGCACTGTATTGAACCTCTTTCAAGGTCAGAGTCCATTGATGCCTGCTAGTCAAAGTCGCCGAATATGTGCTTTTCATGCTCTCTCACATAATCTTCCCACCTTGAGGCTTCTGGAAATAACTTCAGCGTTTCAGCTTGATTGCGCACACCTGTTTCGGGCGGATGCTAAATGCTCAAGTCAGTCATACACAGCACAAAAGATCGTACACGCTGCTGTAAGACATACCGTCATGTAATATCTCGTCATCCGGTACAAGTCTACAAATATTTCTCCTTTCTCCTGGGTTTGCTCGAGCTCTTTCTCAGTACATTCACGTGCCCGGATATCACGACCAGTTACTTTCGCGGCAGTGGCCGCCATGTCCCTGGTTGTAAGCCATTCGACTACCAATTTCACGTCTTTGTCCAGATACTGCTCCGGATGCACAAAGACCTGTACGATCCATGCTCCGATCTCTCTCCCGCTGAATGCAAAGAAAGCGCAGTCTGGCGGGATAGTGTTGAAATCAATCTCGTAGAATGTACCACCCGTCGCAGCATCTTCCTTTTGTGTAGGTCGAAGCTGCATCTCGAAGTTTTCATAATATGCTGCTGTGTATATTGAGGTCCGTCCAATTCCGGAGTCCAGGAGGTAATCGTTAACTTTGGCTTTTGAATCGAAGTGCCAGATGTCCAGGTCTCCCGAATGTTCCATCGTGGACCAGACAAAATGCTTCACACCCTGTTCTTTCGCCGCATCAATCATGTTCTTGCCTTGGCGCGTCTCCGCATTCCAGCCATGTTCCCAGCAATTCGTCACGGCATAGATACCGTAACAATCCTGGAACGCACGCCGCAGACTGTCGACGTCGTCCAATTCCGCTTGGACTACTTCAATCCCTCTAGCGAGGAGCTTTTTCGCAGCGACACTGCTCGGCTTCCGCGTGAGTCCGCGGACTCGAAACTGACCTGAAGTGACAAGATGTTCAATGACGGAGCCTCCTTGAAGTCCTGTGCATCCGGCCACAGCGATAAGTGGTCGTACTGCTTTACCGGTATCCATTTTCAGCAAGAAGTTATGCAAACCTCCGGAACACAATCGTGGTGCCTAGATGTCGTAGTTTGATGTCTGCTCTGAGTGCTTCGCCATCCAGTCACAAGAACTTCACGACTACGGATGCAATTCGTGTGCCGTTAGAGCTCTGCGGCGAGTTTGTGTTGTGGTAGACTCTGCCTATCTCTGTTAGAGGTTGAACCCGTCCGCCGATCTGCTTCTTCATGTCACCCAGCAACTCTAACCGGTACTCGGGTGGCCGGCTTCCTGCTAACGTAATTGGCTCCAATGGTATGCACTCCCGGAGTACCCCAGCCGAAAGCCGGAGACTGAGCAGCGGCATTGCCATCGATCATGTGTCTGGTTTAAAGCTGCAACAACAATGAGCTTTGCGAGTGTTCATACAACAAGCAAGATGGCTCCCGTACTAGAACTCATTGTCTTCGAGGTCCGCAAACTTGACTTCTCCTCAGAGATATATTTGCTGACGAGACGCCCGTGAAGCACAAGGAAATTAAGGACATTCAAGAAGCACTCGAATCTTGTCTTGCGATTTTTGAACGGTGACTATTGATGGGACAATGATAACCTGGCACTCTCTGACCGTCGCAGTGCACATGGCGTGCAATCTGCCTTCGTTGGCCCTGCGCAGGATGCTGCCAACACCACTGTCCTGGCCTCAACGTGGTCGTCGTACGAGAGCGTGATCCAATTCGTTAAGAGCGAAGATTACGCCAAATTCTTCGAGAAGCTTCAGGCCCTGACCACGGCCGAGAAGAAGCCAAGCACGACGCATTGCTATCTCTCCGACAACCCGAAAGATGATCTCGAGGTTCTATTCACCGCGAAAGCCATAGAAATGGCACCGCTCACGCTCTTCGGAGATAAAGTCCATCAACACTATATCAACTTCGACACTGCCGGGAAGATGATCGCTGCTGCTCCAGGCTACGTCGCCCAGTTCCAGGCACCGCAGATTGAGGCCCCGTGAGTACTTTCATCGTCTAACTTTTCATGTCTTCTGATTCCTGTATCATAGGTACAATCAGTGGAGCTTGGTCGGTTGGGATTCGATTGAGGTACGTGGTCCTCAACTCTCTACCCCGCCAACCCACACACATACAGTTGCTCGTGGCTGATTGTAACATAGCTGCACCATGCTTTTAATGATGCTCCAGAATTTGCCGAGTTTTTGAAATTGGTTGCGCCAAATGTGAATCTGCCGGGGCCGCCACCCATTATCCATTGTTGCTTTACGAAAGTGTTTGGTAACTTGTGATGCGGGAGTTTTCTAAGCAAGATATGACAAAATCAGAGAACAATCCTATATACCAAACTTTTTGCTGTAGGGTGCTTGTCGTAGACACCTCCACACCGGGCTACAATGGAATGACAGTTTCGACAAGGCGACAACCCCCGAAATGACTCTGCCGCGCGGTATCAACGACGGCGAGGTCGGATGTGCTGCGTCCGAGAGTTTGCACAAGCATTCCTGGAGGACGCAGGGTAATTGTGGGGACAAAGTGCAAGTCGTGCTTTCCGGCAAGCTGTTAGTGTCAGGTAGCAGTGGTCGGGGAAGTCTTGAACATGTCTCACCTCGTCAGTGGAGTTGGGGACACCACAAGCCAAGCCATGTATTCCCTTACGGGGGGCACCACGCCTCCATAAGAGTGTGGGGGACGCCATCCACATCCACATCCGCTCACCCACCGGCTCCCTAATGCCGCTGAACCCCAAGTCAGGTGACCCTCACGGTTCATTCCGGTCTCGCGATATGAGCCAATTTGAGATGGTGATAAGGAGTGGTTTCAGAGCAGCGTAGAAGAATAAACAATCCCCGCTGAGATTGCCAGGAAGTAACACAAGATCTACAGCATACCAGGGCAATATGACAAAGAAGTCTGGCATCAAGGTCATCATTGTCGGAGCCGGCTTCGGCGGGCTCGCGGCCGCCATTGAGTGCTCCCGGAAGGGTCACGATGTGGAAGTCTTCGAGCAAGCACCAGCATTTGCCATGCTAGGTACGACCACCCAATGCACCCTTTCCCTCTAGGCGTCGTGGCCACTGATAATCATGGACAGGCGATTTGATTGTGATGACGCCAAATGCATGCCGAGTCATCGCAAAATGGGGCAATGTTCTGCCAGAGGTCGAGAAGCGGTGCGTTTTTGCAAAGGAGGCCACCATCCACAACGATAAAGGAGAGGTACTCCATGTTCAAAAGATGATTCTTGAGAACAATGGGTTTCCCTTCTGCAACACTCACCGAAGCTACTATCAAGCAGCCTTCTATCAGTATGCGCTCTCGCTCGGAATCAGAGTCCACATGAACGTGCGAGTGACTCAGTATTTCGAGGACGATCACCAAGCCGGCATCGTTGTGGATGGAATCAGGCAAAGTGCTGATCTGGTGATTGGCGCAGATGGCGTGCATAGTCGATGCCGGCATTTCGTGACTGGATCAACAGACAGTCCTGTTTCGTCAGGCTTTGCCATTTATCGTGGCTGGTTTCCACTGTCCGCATTGAAGGACAATCCTTTGACGGACGCCATCAAGCACGGCGGGGATTCAATGAACGCGTGGATTGGACCCGACGTTCACGCTTTTGTGACAGTCTGCGGAAAACTCAACAGCATTGCGTATGTGCTGACACACAAGGATGAATACGAAGCAAAGGAGACATGGTCTTTTCCTGGTAAAGTACAAGATGTGTTGAAAGCCATCAACGGATGGGATCCAGCCTTACAAGCTATTGTAAAGGCAACACCGGCGAGCAAATTGATTGACTGGAAGTTGCTGTGGCGAGATCCAGTCAAACAGTGGGTGTCGTCCAAGGGCCGGGTCGTGCTACTCGGAGACGCCGCTCATCCTTTCCTCCCTAGCTCGGGGAACGGGGCCAGTCAGGCGATCGAAGACGCAGCGACGATAGCGACGGTCTTGGAGCTGGCTGGCAAAGACAAGGTGGCCTTGGCCCTGCGAGCATACGAGTCGTTGCGCTATGAGAGAGTTTGTCTCGCCCAAAGAAATGGATTCGAGACCCGACACCGATGGCATAAGACAAATTGGAAGGAATTCAACAAAGATGCAAGCACAATCAACCTGCCGCAGCCCGACTGGTTATATGCTCACGACTCTGAAGCTTACACATATGACAGATGGGACGACGTAGTCGCATCTCTGACACAAGGAAAGCCTTTCAGCTCGACAAACACTTACCCAGGCCATGTCCACGAGGATTGGACAGTAGCTGGGGTCATGGAGGCTGAGAAGGAAATTGCACCGCCGCCGGCACTACGTGCTCGTCTATGAGGAACGGAGAACATTGAAGGGTATTGTGAGCAGATGTTTCGAAATAGTGGCAGGTCTGATTCTCAGAGCTACAAGCGACAAGCCGTCGCAATCTTCAGCATGGTAGCGTGTTTGTCGTGTTGATCCCCAGATAACCGGCCAAGCCAGCCTTTTCCAGCACTTCAATGACATTCAAATTGATGGTCAAATTGTTCGACTGCAGTGCCTGGTCGTAGTAAGGGAGGTCCTGGCCGTTGTAACTGGTCCGCTTTGTGACTATGTCGACAGGAAAGACCCCACATTTGTACTTGTTGAAAAGCAGGGTCACGACCGCGGTCTGATTTGTGAGGGCGCGAAACGGAAGAGTGTTGTTTCCGGGTTTTAGCACCACATTATGAAGCGTCGAGTTGCCGATGAGTACGCCGTCGGTGTACATATCCATGGTCAGGTTGCCCATTTCATAAGTCGTCATGCTTGGGTTGGGCATGAAGACGGTGCCATTGGCGTTACTCCCGTCTGGTTGGGCAGTTGTGAGAAGTTCAAAATCAGTAACATTGAAGCCTTTGAGGCCGTTCATTCCTAAGTTTGGTGTCAGCTAGAGCCAGAAGAACACCGGGAGCCCTACCTTTCAAGACGATCTTTTCATTGTAGTTCACGGTCGTTTTCTGAAGTTTCCCATACTTCAGTCCACCCTTGCCCTTGATATAAACGACGTACTCGTCGCTCAAGAGACTGGTCTTGGCATAATCATAGAATTGTTGCTTGTTTTGAATCTGCACTCTCTGGCTAACGTTTTCTTCTGTGCCGTTGGCGGCTTTCAAAGCGGGGATTGAGAGCTGTGCGAATGGAACATCGGAACCTTCGAGGCAAAGGTCAGCCTTGAAGGCATCGAGTTGAGCGTGCAAGCTGGAGTTCGACAAGAAAACGCTGTTGAGTTGCAGATCGAACGCGTCCGGGGCAGGATTGAGAAGCGACTGGGAAGTCACTACTAAGCGCGACTTGTTGATTTCTGACTGGGCTATGTGCGGGTACGCGACAAAGACGCTGGCAAGTTATTAGAAGGATTGGGGCAAAGTAAGGGGTCCAACATACACGGGCAAGGTCACCACAAGCACAATGAGAATCAATATCAAGAGATGAATCCACCAGAATCGAGGACAATGTCGCTTGAACTTCTGCCCGAAGGTCTTGTTTGATCCGACTCCTTCCTCAACGTGCGTGGGACTCTCCTTTGGTACCTCAATGGCCATGGCTTCGAGCGGATGGGAGAAAGGCGGAAGAAAGGCAACCGAGCTGGCTTTGGCGGGCGAAGGGCTCTCAAAGAATGTTCAAGCAGGAAGAATTGAGGGTATGGAGTTTGTGGACTTCTCAGGTGTGCGAACATGTTGTGCCAGTCACCACTCTTCCGGTAGCCCATGGCTGTCCGAGGCTCGTTCACAGAAGCGCGGAAGTATAGGCGGGGATGTCTCGATGCAGTAATCGCAGTGGAGGAATGAAGCTTGCAATCTCTGGATGTTGCTCAATCAGTGTCTGCGACGGCCTCGAACCTACCGTCAGCATCACATGCAATCGAAGTTCATGTCTTTACAGTCGAACCACGCGGCGTCAACCGAGGATGTGGAAGCAACACATGTCAGATTGGCCATTTTCTCGGCGGGGCTGGTGAGGTTGTGTAGCATCAAAATCTCTCAAGTTTGCGGTCGAGGTTGAGATTGATTAGGATAAACAAGGAAGCTAAGAAAGTTGCAAGGAGCGCATGCACGATGGAAATGATGTGCCCCAGGAACCCGACAAGGCTGATCCAAACATGGAGCCTCATCCGTGGCAAGCTCGACCACTGAAAGGCTCTTCCCGGGCTCCTTCCAGCGACGATCTGGGGGCTAGGGCTAGGGGGCCGACGCATGGGGTCTGGGGGCTTAACAGCTTCAAACTAAACTTTCTTTTGGCGATTGCGACCTCTTCCTTCTTTGCAACTGTCAGCGTCAAGATTTTTGTCGCGCCTTTGCCATTACGTGATGGCGCAGCGTCTTGTGCCTTCTTTCTCGGAGATCGACAACAACCTGGACTTTCACGAGCGACCTCGGCATCTCTTACAGTCTCGAAATTACAAGCCTAGTTGTTAAAACTGATTGTTATGGACCTCGATCGATCAGCCTACTCCCCAGCAGCTCCACCACGAAGGACCCAACACAATGCGACGGGTTCACATTCGTATTCCTTACCCCATGAAATACGGTGTCAAGAGCTGGGAAGATATGACCTTGCAGTGAGGAGTCAGACAGAGGGCGTCGTTTACGAGTGATACCGTCAAGTAAAGAGAGTTCCCCGTATCAAGAACGTCCAGCGACAAGTCTCTATCAGGGGCAGGACTTTACAACAGGTCAGCTGCAATAGCTGTACCGGAATCTCTTGCCTGCTCTTGTGGTAAAGCAGCCTGCACCGGGAAATACCGGCTGGCGCAACACACGATGGAGCATCACTCTAATCCGATTCCGATCTCGACAATGCGTTCTGTGCGAGTGGTACCATGACTCCACCGGGGCGTGTTCCTTTGTGACCTGGTGCTGCTAGGCGAGAGACCTGCTGAATGACCTGCGCGAAGGCTCGTCAACCCAAACCCTAAGGCTGCTATTGACACATTATTGTGGTACGCGCAGATGCATTGTTGTGGCAGAAGACCCAACGAAACGGACAGATCATCAAACGGGCACAGGCGGCCCTACAGCTCCCACCTCTTTTTTTTCAATACTTGCAGGAATGGTGGTCGCCGCAAACAGCGTTGAACTTTGTTCTCGAATATGTACTGACTAGTGATGACACGCTAACCACCCTTTACGGAATGAGCAACTGTGCTTCTGGGGGTACCACCACCTCAGCGTTAGCGTTGGTGGCCTCCTTCAAAGCAATCTGACTTGCCTGCTCTTCCGGCGTCAGTGCGTCAAACGCAGCTTTGTTGGCATCCCACTCTCGGACACAATTCGCATCCCAATTGCATCTTTCGACCTCACCATGAACGGGATGCATGTACCGTGGATGGGATGATGGCCAGCCAGACGCGTGATAATGATGCTTGACCAATGCCGTCTTTGCGTTGTGGTTCCCGGAGTCTGAATGGCCTTGCCCTGCTGCAAATGCTTCAACAGTAAGAACCAGGATGCCTCCGACAAGCTTTGACTCGCCCATATTATGGAAGCAATCCCAGCTGACGTCCTCACCTGTTCGTTTTGCCATATCCGCCAATATCGCCTTTGTAAAGGCCGACGGACCTGTCCCACTGATCACTCCATCAAAGTCCAGCTGAATCTCCGATATGGACACTCCTTGTTCCCTCGCGACATCGTTCAGCCACTTCAAGATATTGTTGATGAGCCTCATCATCACCCGAAGTCGTGGCATGCACATGAATGTCCATTGGCAAAATGATTGACATTTTGCTCCCAGGATGCTATGATTTCTGAACTCGGGCTGATCAATTTCAACGCCAATGACCATGTCAATGTCTTTCTCCTTGTATCGACTTGGTATGAAGCGGTCAAGGGGCTTCAAAGCTTCGACATCAATGTCTGTGTACACGCCGCCCTCGACGTACATGACCAGGTATCGCAACAAATCGGCCTTTATGATCTTCGCAGTGAGTGACCTGTACATGTGCACAATGTCTGGTCGGTTGAAGCCAGCCGGGCCAAAATGAGTCTCCACATAGTACAGGTCGTTCTGGTCTGTCAGAACTTCGTACCTGTGTTCTGGGTTCTTCGAGATCCAGGTTCTGGCTGTTGTCAAATCTCGTTCTTCGAAGTCGAGAGGATCAACCTTCCATGTCTGCCAGATCTTCTTGGGAAATCTCCCGCTGGCCAAACTAGCATGATATGACACTGCGACACTGAATGCTCCCATTGGTCCAGCTGTTGACAGACATAGGGCCAGTAATAGCAATATTAGGCATACTGGCAAGGCTCTTCGGATCTGTTTGGGCAAACAGCCGCCTAATACAGGTGTTGTTGGGTCGTTCATTTGATGGGAGAATCCAGACTGTGAGCACTTGTTAAACAGTGGCAGGGTTGAAGCAGATTGATCTTTTATGGCCGCTAGGGTATCGTCCTTGAGCAACTTGAGGGGCGTCCGAAGCTGGGGCTTGCATGCCTTCCGGCCTGTTCTCCATGACGACCCTGCTGGAGAATATGAGCGGGGGCGCGAAATCTGGAGATGTGAAATGAGTTTGTCTCGAAAGCTCTGACGTCGAGTCGGGCACTTACGGACACCATAGTCAGGGTTCCAGGAAGAGGCTGTCACAACTCACCATTGTCGACCTAGGTATGGCTTTGCTGACAAGGATGAGGTTACACTGCAACGCTGTAGCCTTGCTCGATGTTGCACGGAGATATGTTTCCATTCCTGTTCTAGCACAATAGCTGCCAACAATCATTGGGTACAGTGTTGCTTTTCGGGGTTATTGACAAATCAGCTTTGACCTTGATACTCGCCTAGTCTCACATCAATCCCCCACAAACAACAGGACTATTGACGCTTCTCTAGAGATCGACAGAGGTGACATACAGTACTCTGAGACTATCTCGTTATGCAAGACGCCGTGGGGAAAGCATCTCTACGCATTGATGTTGGCCAATGATATTTCAGTTGAAGGTGTCTTAGGTGAGCAACCCCGGACTGACTCCATCTCAGATCCACAAACCGAGGCTCTCGAAAGGTGGAGTAGGACTAAAGGTGGATTGATACATGTGATTGCTGGTATGTCGACATGATTGTTAGGGAGCGTGCTTGAATGACAACAGAGAACAAGGTCCAGATGCCTCGGAGCCATACTTCATCCCAAATGGCATGTGATGGGGACCTACACTTCGGACAAATGCTGTGCAAGAACGAAAAAGCTGGGATGACATTGCTGGATCCCGAGTATCGACGAGCGAAGCTTAACGTCCCTTCGATCACCTTTTTCTGAAGCTCGACACCCACTGTCTTCTTTCTGACCTGGCTTTGTCTTTCTCGTCGGTTTCCAAATGTCTGTTCAAAGCGCAAACCTCCTTGAAAAAGGCTATTGGGAAGTGACCAGCTCCAATGAAGAACGCTCTACAACTACCAGAGCCAAGCAGTGGTGCATTGACCTTGTCAAGCCATCCTGTGTCAAGAGATGCCCAACACGAACAGAAAAGCTCAGACGCACAGCCTACCTTGATGGGGTCAGAGGCTTTGCAGCATTGCTCGTATATTGGGGTCACCATGAGCTCTGGGCTCACGATGCGCTGGGTCCCGACCGCATTCTCGAGAATGCTTATGGTTATGACAATCAACGCTATCTTGCATGTCTGCCTGGAGTACGCCTCTTCTTTTCAGGCGGGCACTTTGCAGTTACAGTCTTCTTTGTCCTGTCTGGATATGTTCTGTCGACCAAGCCAATGGCGATGATTCATGCTGGAGAACACCTGAGGTTGGGAGACAATCTGACGTCTGCCCTCTTCAGGCGATGGCTGCGACTATATCTCCCTGTTGTCTGCACGACCTTCCTGTACATGAGCTCGTGGCACCTCTTCAAGTATCGTGCAGACCCAGAACCCAAATCAACTTACACCGAAGAACTATGGAGCTGGTATGCAGAGTTCAAGAACTTCAGCTATGTGTTCAGAGCTGGTGGTGATCCATGGTTCAGCTACAGCTTTCACACATGGTCTATTCCCGTCGAGTTCAGAGGTTCGATTGTCGTCTATACAGCTCTTCAAGCGTTTTCGAGATGCAGGAGGAATGCACGTCTGTGGAGTGAAATCGGCTTGATCCTATACTTTATGTATATCGTGGACGGCTCGTTTTGCGCATTGTTCGTGGCTGGAATGCTGCTTTGCGATCTGGATCTGCTCGAGCAAGGTGGAGACCTCCCACATTTCTTTCGCAAGATGGCATGGTGCCAATCATATCTCTTTTACGGCCTGTTCATCATCAGTCTCTACCTAGGTGGTTCGCCGTCTTACAGCTCAGACATCCATGTCCTGCGAGAGTCTCCTGGCTGGTACTATCTGTCTTTATTGAAGCCACAAGCTGTCTTTGACTATAAGTGGTTCTACTTGTTCTGGGCCTCGACATCCTTCGTTGCATCAGTCCAGAGGATTACATGGCTCAAATCATTCTTTGAGACGCGGTTCAACCAATACCTAGGACGAATCTCTTTCGCATTTTACCTGGTCCATGGCCCGTTATTGTGGTCAGTCGGCCATAGGTTGTACGCGGCAGTTGGATGGACGAAGGACTCTCAAGCCATCAACATACCTGGCTGGATCAGCATAGTTCCACTGCCGAAGATTGGGCCTTTCGGGCTGGAGTTGAGCTTCTTGCTCCCTCATCTAATACTTCTGCCGCTGACTTTGTGGGTGGCCGAGATGGCAACGACACTGATTGACGAGCCTAGTGTCAGGTTTCCGCAATGGTTATATGGTCGAACTCTGGCTCGAGCAGCCAAGCTGTAGAACGCACAGCATACGAGAACAAATAGTGACATTTGATTCGAGAGATAATGTTAGGTAGGTACCACTTGTAGGGAATATGCAGCGTGCCCAAGCCGGCCAAGGTCACACTGTGCTGGGCGAGGGTTTGCAACATTACTAGTATACAGGGCCCAAATGGACGAGTTGAGCAGGTCGAGTAATGAAAGATATTGATGATGCACCAGTTGAGTGGTTGATCTGTACAATTGCATTGGCACATGGGATAACGCCCATGTCAACATGTCGCAGGTAATGCCGTGGGCGATCGCTCTTGACGTACCTCGGCTGACAGCTTGCAGCACTGTGGTGCTACTGTAGGTCTCACCTAATTTACCCCGGGGGTTGGTCGTTGCGGGGATCTTCAGGTCCAAGATATAAGCACCAAAATTCCCAGTCAATGCCTGATGCAACCATCTCAATTGTCCCCTCGGCGTCAAATGTCCACGCACGGACCATGTTGGTCAAGGGGCACAAGCCTTTACCTATCTGCATTGCTTTCCTGATTTTCTTATCTTCTGCGACTCTCATTTTCTACTGTCGAAACTCTCTGGATTCTCCCTTTCTCAAGCGCATCTGGTCCACGACTGGTCATGGTTATTCCGCAAAAGCGCACTTTGATCAGCATGTAGCGTCTTTCGAGCTTGCCAACAGCGAACTTGGTTCTGCGCGGCATGACATATCGGAAACTCATGTCGAGGTCTTCTCGGTCTCAGCAAAGGACAAGAAGTATTTTCTGATCGAGTTTGGCGGCGAAGAAGCCATCAACCCAAGCGTAATACCACATCCCACGTTACAGGATACGTGGACTATTGTGGCCCAACAACGGAGAAGCCTCATTGCAAGCTCTGTATGGTACGCCGAACTCGTCTGCGATGCCAAATTCGTGAAAGGAAAGCTAGCATGCATCAAACCACCCAAGATACTGCCTATAGCAGTCACATCGGGTGACAAATGTGTGGACGACCTATCGTAATTCTCACTCAACATCGGACCCCACGACGCACGCGTGTTCTACGGCCCTCATTCGCCTTACGTTGTCTATGGTTCCAACTCGGCCTACACCTGCTTCGGACAATGGATTCAGGACTTCAGGGTATTGGTGGACTGGACCTCAGAGACCATCGCTGGCAATGAGTACCGGGTTGCCACGGAACTCCAACGACCGCCCCCGATTGGCGCCGTTGAGAAGAATTGGTTCGTGTTCTGGGACAAGGAAGGCGATCCATATATTCATTACGACATAGCACCTCGTCGTGTCTTTGCGAAGCTGGGGTATGGTGGGTCTGTGGGACAAGATCTGACACCATGGGCTGCGGCTAGCGATGAGAAGTGCATGCAAAATTACATGCCGAAGGTCGCTGATCAGCTGGAATCCATTCATCAAGCGACAAATTCTCTTTCAATCACGCTTTGCAAGCGATCAGACTTGGGCTGCGAGCCAAATGACTCTAATACCTACCTGATGACCATATTTCAGCACAAAAGCTTCTACTCTTTCCACAGTGTGTATGAACCATATGTTATGCTCTTCAAGCGCGCTTCCCCGTTCGAAATCCATGCCATATCATCAAAGCCAATCTGGATTCATGGTCGGGCAAAGGCAGGAGAGACCCAGAGGCCGGATGGGCCGGAGTTCGAGGTATTGGGAACATGGAATCAATCCGAGATGGTGTATGTCACCTCGATAAGTTGGAAAGCACATGGCCAGAAATACCATGGATACATCGATGACGTGGTCTTCATCAACTTTGGAATCGAGGATGCAAAAACCGCAGGTATTGATGTTCTTGCGGGAGACCTCGTGACAGCTATCGGGCTATGCTTCAACTCTTGAATTGGTGGACCTCCCCAGACTATCCGTCATGCTTCATGTCGAACGTGGCTTCACCACTGTCTAGTGGATAGTGCTTTGCCACGGTCCGCTCTGTGGCTTTGATCGATGCGAGCAGGATGTTGTCCTCTAGAGGTGAGGGAGAGCGTGAGGCGACCTTCATCTCGTACTCGGTGAATCGACTGGCTTTGGTCTACATTAGCTGGCAACTTTCGACTGTTCTACAGAAGAGGGGGGTCATACTTCATTTGCAAACATTCAGAGGGAGGTTGAGCTTTAATCCCTTTGATCATTGGCTCTCTGCGCCGCGGCGAGGATGTCATCCTGGGTTTTCCGAGGGGCATCCTGGGCCTTACTGAGAGCATCGAGCTTTTGGGAGATCGCACGTAAACCAGGCATACCAGCACCTAGCAAGCCGGCTTCCAGAAACAGTGGCACCGTCTGACAAAGGAGTACATCGACCATTTAAATTGAAGTTCTGCAGGTTTCCGACAACGGGTGCCTTGACAGCAAGCCAGTAGGGATACACGATGGAGCTGATGACCCTCTTTCTGACAATGCATAAAGCTCTACAGGTGTGTGCGAAGGACTTTGAGACGACAATAAGAAGCAATACTCATCTGCACCTGACGAGCGACACTGGTCAGACCGTGCCACTTTTTCTGGAAACAGGCTTGCCAGTCAGGCTGTTCTTTGGGCATGTCCTGGTGGAAACCTTCGATGAAGGCATTGAGAATGGAGATTTCCGATTTCGCTGAAGGGGATGGGCTGTGGCAAGACATCGCTGTCTCGGAAGCCGAAGTTCAGGAAACGTACCAGAAAGCTGCCCATAATCCTGCCTTGTGGATATTAACAGTTCTGGTGCTGTCACAACAAAAAGTGCTGCGTGGCGAGGGAGAAGACTCGTTTACCGAAGGAAGATTCATGAGCCCAGAGCAGCTTGCACAGTATGTTCGGAAGGATGCACAGTTGAACTCAGCCGTAAAAGACGTGGTTTCGAAGGGAGACTGGGAGAACGTGGCTGATATTTTCGGAAAGCAAGGCCGGGATTCCAGAAGTTGAGCGCAGTAGGCGCGAAGGGGCGAAGCAGAGCAGAAAGCATACGATAGAATGTGTGAGCTTTATGACAGTGCAACATCTAGCAGTTTCGATTACGGAGGAGTGAAGTTTAGTGCTGCTTACCGTCGTGTTTCTTACCCTGACGAGAATGACCACATTAATCAGAATGAGCGCGAATACCGAGCAGAACAGCACGAAATTGATACTGTCAGCATAGTTCTGATAGCTTCAGATAGCATTAGAGGACATCCAGAGGGCGACGTGGCAAAGCGTTCCAGTAGCCTCCATCCAACTTACCTTGCCACCCCTATGGGTGCTACTGGCACGTTGTTATCAACGAGCTTGATATCTTGAACATCCTTCTGCACTTTTGAATCGGTCTTTCCTGCGGCCAATTTCGCTTCAACCTCCTCGTTCCAATCTCTGACATGGAGAGAGAGTCCTTCAAGCGTGCCGGTCCCGGTATACCCTAGCTCCTCCCTTGCCTTGGAGTCGTCGTACACGATATTAACGGTCGAGTAGTTGAACAGGGCTGGTTGAAGCATGGCTAGATCGCCCCGGACTTCGGGCAGAAATCGGAGATAGCGTCTCTGAATGCTACTGTAAGCTTCGATGATGTGCGAAATAATCACGATCGGGACAGCGCCCGTGGTCGGAAATTTGATTGGTGTTGTCGGATGTGCTGTGACTTCGAGGAAGCGGTAAAGGTCACCGTATGTGAACGGGTGACTCATGTCGTCGGTCACTGCATACACTCTGCCACCAAGATCATGGGATTGCATGCGAGCTTCGTACAGTAGATGTGCGAGAGAGACATTCTGAGCGGACACCACCTGCAAGGCGACGTTGGACAACCAGCTTGTTTTGCAAAGTCAGTATTACGACACACGCAATGAAAGCGACGCAATGCAGAATGAAAAAAGGCCACACGTACCTTGGCATACCGCCTCTCCTCAAATAGTCGTATACCACACTGCTGGGATTCGCGTCGCCGTGGCCGTAGATGGCATGACCAGGTCTGATAGCGCCTGTGCGGAAGTCGGACTTCTTGTCGTCGGCATCCCGGACCAGCTTCTCAGCCCTGGCCTTGGAGTAAGCGTAGCAGCCGGCAAAGTCTTCCAACGGTCCCTCCATGTCGTTGGGCTCCGCATTGTCCGAAAATTGGACGAAACTGTCAGGGTATTCCTTCCACGGCGCAAAAAGCAAGTTCACCGGCTTCATCGCAATCGATACGGAGGACGTCACAATGAAGACGTCACATCCCGCTGACTTTGCGGCATTGACGGCGTTCCGGGTACCCTCGACATTGACCTTCATGAACCGCGGGAGGAGATCTGCCTTGCGCAAGCCCGGGTGGATGAACGCGACCGTGTAGAACACGGTAAGCGGTAAGTGGGCGTGCTCATGCGGCCAAGGATGTTCGAAGACCTTGGCCACGGAGCGGGCATCAGTTACATCGGTCTTGAAATACGGCACATTGTGTTCGACGGCGCGCTGTCGGCGTGGTGCTTGGAGATCTGCGATTCGGACGGCATTGGGATCTTGACCCCGTAAGATCAGATGCTCGACGATCCAGCCACCAACGACTCCTGCACCATGTCAGATGCATTGAATCCAAGATGTCGAAGTCGCCCCGAGATTCTCACCTGATCCTCCGAACACGATATATCGCCTGTCCTGTTTTGGCGGCAGATACTTCTTGAAATCATCGTCCTTGCTGCGATACTTTTCATATGCCTCGCGGATAAGTTCATCGGTCCACGGTTTGCAGGTCACAGCGGCAACTTCTTTAGGTGTCTTCTTCAGGGCGCGATCGACGTGCAGGAGATAGCACGTCAATGCCACCAGGATGAAGCAGAATGCCCACAGAATATTCCCCGACACCGCCATTTTCCATCAACCTAGCATCATGCAGGATTGTTTCGGGAGTTGTGCGCGACAAGAAACAGTCCAGTTCCACGTTATCAAGCACGCTCACCTTTCATCCCGGGTCGTTGCACAAGTGGTGGGCGCCTGAAACAAATGTCAGATTCTTGAGGTCGTACACTAGCGGTGGCATGCTGCGGGAATTTGGCAGCAATGTGCCGAAGACCGATGCCATTGCGTGCGATCTAAGAAAGTCAAATATTCCATCTGAGTGTAACTTCTGGCACTTTGCCCAGCTTGGATAGTGGTAGCACCGCCTAATTGGAGATTCGAAGGGTATGTGACTATGAGTCTGGACAGGTGTGTGAGTTTCTCAGCACGAAACAAGCTCGATTCTGGTTCCTATCGACAAACTGTTGATAGGATAAGTAGTAAACACCCATGTCGGACATAGGAACATTCTCAAGGTCAAAAGGGTAAAGTGTACGAATACGTGGCATGCCTCGTATCACGTGATATCATGGCGCGAGAATAGGTTCGACAGTTGTATCTGGTTTATGAGCGTCTATGTACATTTATGTGATTACTATTGTGTTACCACCACTTTACCTCATTGAAGGGGTCGCCAGATATCATGAACTTGCCTTTTTGTCGTATGTCCGACTAGTTATTACCTGGCCCTTTGAGGTCCATGCAGTTCGCATAATAGGTAACGGTGGCCGACCAATCAGCGAACATGCCCTTGATCCCAATGTCACGGCCCATGATGTCGAGCACCTCATACAGTTGACCGTCGTAATGAACAGCATCCGCAATGGAAGTGTAGTAGTAGTCGTCATCTGCCTTCACGCGAGTCAAAGGCCCCGAACGCTCGAAGGACCAGGCGATGATGTCGAGTCCGGCATTCTTTGCGGTAATAGCATAGTCCGAGGGTACAATAGTCTTGTTGTCGGCAGCAACAGCAAGCAAGTAGTTGATGGGAGGAGAGATAATGTTGACGCCAGAGGCCTTCAAGGCGGGAAGTCGGTTCACGGCAGTGGTCCAGTTTGCCGGGTCATCTCCATCCTCATCGAGGAAAACAGCTTGCTTTCCGAATGCCGGGTACTCGTTCAACCAGAGATAAACATCGGCTGGCGTGAAGGACTGCGGCCACACGCGGCTGGGGTCGATGCCGTGGTTGATAAAGGTTTGCATGAAATCGCGAGCATATTGGGCTTGAGTGTAGCCTTTGAATGGCATTGGAACCTGGGAGGGTGGTGTCTTCAATTCGGGGGTAAAGTTGCGGTAACCTGGAAGGCTGTCTACCAAATCGATGTAGCTGTCGAGGGACATGGGCTGGGCACAAGTGTCGTAGAGTTCGGTGCGAAAGAATGGCACACCATGTTGGTAGGCCGCTGGGGTCGTGGCACTGGAGTTGGACCCGTCCATCTTGGAGCAAAGCGACATGAACTCATCCTTGGTGATGTCGGTTGTGCAGCAAAGAGCGGTAGCAGCATGGGTTGCATTAGCTGGGCTAAATGGCGTGTGGCATTTCGCAGCAAGTTCTGGTCTGAGGAGGATGTCGGTGGTCGTGTGCAGATCGCAGATTGAGTGTCGGCAAACCAAGCCCAGATCCGAAGTCAGGGCCGTGTCACACTCAAGGATACCAGCTCCCATGCGTGCACCAGCCATTGTCGACTCGACAGACTCCTCGGGGATCATAAGAGTGCCGCCACCCCTTGGAAAGTAAGCATGAAAATTCACAGGAACCATCACTTGAATGGGCTATACCTATGTCCGATACTCCAGGTCGTGATGCCGAAAGGCCCGTTCTCGCATGACTCCAGCTTTTGCTTGAGGGGGCCATCGGTCATGTTCTGAATAATATAGTAGGGTCTTGGTCCTAACGAAATATAGTAGTCATCTTTCGCTGTGTATGGGATACGATCAGTGTGGCCACTGTAGGTGGGGGCTGCAACAGCAAGCTCTACCAGCAGAGCCGTCAGGGCAATGGTGCTGATTGTCGTGCGCATGGTGAAGGGTAGAGCTGTAGCTTGCTGGATCCCGGTATCTGCTGGGCCGACTGGAGAGTGGAAAGGAGCACGAGTGGTATGCTCGTGCGCTGAGCGAACACTTTGTAGTCGAGGTACAGACCGAGCTTTGAGCTAAAGCTGCAAGCTTGAGCTTCGAGCTAGCTATCATCGTCAAGCTAGTCAAGCTATTTCAAGCTCCAAATACCGCCTAGTCAGCGGGAATGACCTACCCCTGCCAGCACGTGAAGCCATCGTCAGGATGCAATTGCTCAACTGGGTACTTGTATTGAAACTCAGGCTTCCACGACCTCGGATCGGATGAACACGAGAGAGTCAATCGGTCATACCTTGCAGCAGCTCCGCCTTGGTCATGCTAAGCACCTGAAAAGCTGGACTCGGTTTGCAGAGCGAGCGAATGGTGTTCAACGTTCGAGAACGTGGACTAATGTACCTGAGTTGCATCCGGCAAGGTAGTGTATGATTTGCGGGATGGTTGGATGGGGCTTACTTCTCGCACCGAGGGCAGGCCAGACATGAAACGGATCAGATCAGATAACGGCAGTCTTGGCCACGGTGCAATGCAAGACCATTCCTCCACCGTCAAGGTCATACTCAGCCTTGGCGGTAGAGAAGCGGCGCTTCCAGTCCAATGGCATTGACGCCTACCTGCATACCAAGGCTTGGACAAGGCCGTAGCTCCTTGGCCCTGGGAACAACCTGCAGAACTGATGATGTTGCGTCTCCAGGTCTCCTCCGTTGGAATCCCTCGGATGAGTGAGAATCGTCCAATGAACGTGTATAATGCAATCATGCTGATAAGGACCAGCAACCAATCTGGTAAACCGGCCTACGTCTACCATGCAATGCTGTGTGAGATTTTGTTAGCAACTTAAGAAGGCGGAACGAAGTTGAAGCTTCTGCCTCGGGGAAACCGGGGCAAGCTTGGCACCGCCGCTTTGATCATTCCAGGTCACATGACAGAGGTCACCAAAAGCAGCATCATCCGAAGGATTGCGAAACAGCAAGCCTTGTTACGTGTCGTGCGTGGAAATCCTTCGGCAGGACAACGGAGCCTCAGTGCAGGTCGACCACCCTTAGTACCACTCATGGGTCGATCTCGCACGATGGTATAATCAATTAATTCGATACCATACATGCCTCGCTATGTTCAGCTCGGTCGCATGCCAAGATCCGAGCTTGATTTCAGTGAAGCCTTCTCTGGATCTACTGGCGACTTTCCATACTCGGGGTATATCGACTACCAAGTGAAGTTTGTTTGCAAGACACCTCTTGATGGATGTTTACCTCGAAGTCTCCCCATCCTTCAATCGAGGTAGAACAAACATGCATGTGGTCGTTGGTTTTGTATTTCAACGACCAGCCGCATAGTGTCGCAAGGATGGCACCCGGTACGGACTACACGGTGCAAGAAGTCGCAGGTGACAAAAGAATGTGAGCACTGACAAGCGGTGGTGGATGGGACACTCGGGAGACGATCTAATCAATAGTCAAGAAGAAGCCATTTCCTGTTTTATCAGTTCAAGTGTATTAAGTCTACATTCGGGCTAACCACATACAATGGTCAAAAAGACACCATGAAAGTTGTATAGCAAAACAAGCTAGGCCATGATGACCAGAAAGCTTTTAAACGCTCTTCTCAGCAGCCTCCTCGCTGGTCAAACCCTGGTTTGCAGGCACGTAAGAATCCTTCCTGTTGTGACCTGAGGAGGTGGCGTCGTAGTTCTTAGTGCCAGGTACTTCGCCAGCAAGCTCCTCAAGAGTCTTGCGCTTGGTCTCGGGGATCAAGAGAGTGGTGAACACACCGCAAAGCATGAAGAGGGCGAAAATCTCCATGATGTGAGGCAACCAAGGGGTTGGGTTGGCAGTGGTGACGTGACCCCGGACCTTGAGAGGTCCGAACACACACTGAGCGATGATAGCACCGACTTTTCCAGAAGCGGCGGACAGACCGTGCGAGGTGGAACGGTATCGAGTGGGGAAACATTCACCAGGGACGATGAAGGTGGTGGCGTTAGGTCCAAAGTTGAAGAAGAATTGAGCGATAACGTACAAAGCCAGAAGACCATGTTCTCCGAGCTTGTGGTAGGCGAAACCAATGATGACGAAGATGATGGTCAACATGGAGAAACCCATGAACTGAATAGGTTTGCGTCCAATGGTATCGACAGTCGCAACGGTGACCCAGTAGCCAGGAATGGCACCAGCGCAGACAATGATCAAGTTGCCAACGGCGGTGTTGTAGAAGGTCTTGTAGACAGTGGAACCAGAGGCAAAGCCAATGGCCGTAAGAATGGTAGAGTTATTGAGAGAAAGACCGTAATAGGCGACATCGAGGAAGAACCAAGAACCAGCAGTCCCGAGAAGAACCTTTCCGTGTCTCCACTGGCCATAATGTCTCCAGAAATCTCCCCAAGAGGCCTTGGGTGTGTCTAGGCGGGTACGCGAATCTTGCAAGACAGCGGCACGGCTGACCTCGTCGGGCTTGCCCTCGCTTGAACCGTTGTGGTAGGCCTTGACGTCAGCGACAGCCTTCTCGGAATCGCGAGCGACATCGAAAGTGTAACGAGGAGTCTCCGGAATGGTGAGACGGAAGTACAGGGCAATGCAGCCAGGAACAGCACCGAAACCGATGATGATACGCCACATCTTGTCGACGGCAAGCTGGCAGACACCGTCGCAGTGGGCAACGGTCTTGGCGGTCTCTAGGGACTCCTTGAAGCCAGAAACGCAAATGAGAGCAACGATGGCCGCGGCGAATTGGCCAATCCCCTGCATGGCAAAGACAGAACCCATCATGGCACCTCTCCACTTGGTAGTAGCGAATCTACAATGACAGTTAGCAAAGGCAACTCAACACGGTGTTCCCGATGACTTACTCAGAAGTGATGATGGAAGACAGAGGATAGTCACCACCGATACCAACACCCATAAGCACACGCCAGAAGATGATGATGCCGACGACAGACATGGCAGGCGAAGGTGCGGAAAGAGACTGTGCCAGAGTTGCGAAGATGATGATAATGAGCTCGAGACCGTACATTCTCTTTCGACCGACGACATCGGCCAACCATCCAAAGGTGACTTGACCAATGACAGTACCACCAGATGTTGCGACCTTGATTGCGGTATCAGAGTTGGAGGGGATTTTGCCTTCCAGTTTGCCCCAGTGGGAGCCTTGCCAGTACACAACACCAAGCATGGGAGTAACCAAGTTGATGGCGAAGATATCGTAGGCATCGGTGAAGAAACCAATACCGGCGACCACGATGGCTGCAAGGTGTCAGCAAGTTGTAACATAACGCAATCTTTCGCAGAGAAGAACACTGACCTCGAATATGATACCAACCAAACTTTGCGTTGTCAATCTCAGCGAGAGCAAGTCGCCGACGTTCATTGGGGTCTTGAATGTGGGCAAAATCGTTGTTGAAGTTGTGGAACGCGGAATTTCCGCCGGAAGTCTTGTTAAGGTGGGCCATGACGGGCAAGCAACTTGTCACAAGAGTGTTGCCGTCTAAGATGTTGGACCAAGTAAAGTCCAATGAAGATCAACAAGGAGGCTTGCTTCTTGCAGCGAGGTGTGCGAAGAAAAGGTCAAGACGCTGTGTCCAAGCCGGCAGGCGTGTGCTACATATACCTTCCTGGCATGGGTGGCACCATGAGCCAAACAGATGTGGTGGAGACCTGAAGGCGAAGTTTGCGATGGCACTAAAAATTTTGACAAGGGCCGGATTTCGACGTTATGCAAGGCCAATGAAAGAAGCTGACAGGGGCACGCAGGCGCTGGCCATAAGGACAAAGTCACTGTGGGCATGAACCGAAGGCAAGCGACGTCTTGGATCTGGATCAGAAGAAGTCGACAAGTCTGGGACGAAGTGCTCTTGGCCCGAGAACTAGCTTGGGAGGGTCATGTACCAATGAAAGCTTAAGCAGGGGTCGGGAACGCGTAGCTTTCACGGAGGGTGACGATGGATTGCTCGCTCCGAGGGGCCACTTTGTTCGAGAAGCCTTCGAACCCATGGAGCCAAGCAGTGTAGTGTTACTTTTTCCAAGACCGGTTGTGATCAGTGCGAGGACGGCGCCCAGGACAAACCAGGATGAGCATCAAGGGAACGTGCGCCCAGCCTGATAGCCTAACGCTCTGGGCGCAGTTGCGGCTGATTTCACGATCATGATTGCTGTTGAAGATGCCCTAAAGACGAAAGAAGGACGTCGAGATGCGTATCTTTTTCCGATCCAGATCTGCAAATTGCCTCTTCTCCAGATGCCCATTTCAGGATGTCTGCCGCTGAGCAGCTATCGAATCGGGACGTCAGCAAAAGCCCAATCGAGATCGCAGAGGCGAGCAGGGGAAGACCTGGGGTGTCATTGCTGCAGGATGACACGGCCTCAAAGGCTCAAGCATGCCGAGGCTCTAATTATGCGGGTTTTCCTTTGGGTTCGTTCGTGCGGTATGCTTGTGTCGTATGCTACCATCAACGTGGTTTGAACGATTGACATTTGGGAAATTTTCAGGTCTAGCCATCGAGCCTTGCCATTCAACGAGTCAGCCGGCCCCGTCCTGTTAGGCAACGGACTGAGAGATGAAGATTTTGATGTCCAGTCGGGCAAACGCGACGGGCGCAGCAAAAGGAAACGTGCCTGGAAGAAAGTGGCGGCGCCTCGACAACCAACGAGAAAAGGAAATTGGTGGCATGCCCGGGCCAGTCCATGCCAGTCTGTGCCTTTGGTGGATGGCGACAGCTTACAGGATGGACTAGATGGCGGAAAGCGGGCTTGATGCTGAATTCGTGTCTAATAGTCCGAAGTCGACAGGGCACGTGCCGGCTAGTCACAAGTCAAGCTTCACCCACGTTTATGCTTGATTGGTTCTAATTCAACGACATTCAACTTTCGAGCCAAGCCTTCTCAATACCAAATCTTAGACTCATTCAATTGTCAGAGGTTCACTCGTACACAGAGAGAGAGAGAGAGAGAGAGAGAGAGTTGCACCTGGAATAAATGGATTCCTTTTTTTTTCTTTCTCAGCCCTCCCTTGCTACTGTATGGTTCTTTTTAGCGTCCCTTCGTACTCGGAAGGTTCTGCACGCTGCCGAAGTCTCACCTGTGGTCATGCTACAACCTTATACCCCCCTTCCAGCAGCTGAAGACGGCAGAGGGCAGGGCGGCATGACAGACACGAAATAATATTCCGGCAGGTGAGTTCGTCAACACCATATCGAAAGTAGACACAACAAATTTTTCCTCTTCCGAGAAAAGGAGTGGGTACGAACCGGAACATTGGTTCATCTAGTACCAGGTACCCTTTCGACTTCGTAATCTGGATACTCTAGGGTCTGGATACACTGGAAAGTGGACTGCGACAGCTATTACTCATTGTCAACATATCAAATAGCGCGGACTGTGAACGTTATGGATTCGTGATGAATAGTTGTCAAACATCCACCGCAAAGACCCTTTTGCGGCTCAATGATTATCACTGAATCTCGAACGCGGTACATTCAGTTTTCGATCGTCTAGATGCTAGACCATCTCGAAAGGCTCCGCGTCATCACAATCTCGGAAGAACTTATTCTCACAATCATCACAGCAAGTCATCAGATAGGTTGTCGTGGTCTGATCTGTCTCATGGAACCGGATCGCCTCTTTTGGCTCTATCGTGACCAATTGACACATCGCGGTTTCCATGTGATCAGCAACGCCTCCCATACAGTTGATGCGTTCATCTAGTTCTCGTGATCTGCGGTTGACGACATCACCGGTGCCCCTGGAGTCCTTTCTCGCCTGCGTCGACCACCGGAGCCATCGAGTCTTGTCCTACGTCGATGAAAAAGCCGTTTTCTTGTCCTCCGTACATCACCTCAAGGGTTTGCCACGGGTCCACTCCATGGTCCTGATGATTGTGGAAATCTGCAATACACAACAAAAGAGATGCGGACAAGGCTCTCCGTCTCGACGTTCCTTTTCAGCGATATGCGCGCTCGCTTCATCCTGCTTTTCTTCGGTTGCTGATCAGAAGAAACGTCTGGCAATGGTCACAGCGGTGTGGTTGTAGTGGCGAATGTCCGTCCTAGCCTCGTGTCTATGCTTCGTTCTCGTCCGTGCTTTTGAACCCCGTGCTCCCTTGCGCGTGCCGATATCCGGTGGCACATCCCATGCCAGCAAATCGAGCGTGTGAAGGAGAAAGTGGCATCGTCTATAGAACATCACACCCAATATGCATCAACATCTGAGCCGACTTGGTAGCAGTTGAACTCCAACAACAGATCGTTGAGGTATGTTCATGGATGTAGCAGTCCACATGGTGTCAACGATGACCGATATCACAACTATATGCGACGAGCAATGGACAAAGAACGAGGAACGACTTCCATCTGATGCTCCATGGGCCAACAGCGCCACCTTTCCGGATACGGGCTTGCCAAACATGCACGATACGTGCGCCTACTGTACAAGAGGCAACTCGTCCATATCATGTTATGTTCTAACCTCGTGCAGTCAATGACCAAGCAAAGCGACGGATCTGTCCTTGGATCTGCACAATCATCTTTTTACCCTCTTTTGCAGTCTTCGAGGGTGTCATATCTAACCACATGTAGCCCAACTTCCTGTCTCGCCAGGTACGAGATCATTATTCCACCGATGCTCCAACATGCTCGACCTATAGCTTGAGACTATGCCCGTTCATCCCGCTCTTCGAGGCCGAGGCCTCCACCACCGCTCTCCCAGTATGCAATGCTCCTGTCAGTCCAAACTGGGTGGCAATACCTTCGATACGGTGGGTGCTATTCAGATTCTTCACAAGGGTGATCTGGAAGCAGGTCGCACTACCTTGACGAGAAATGATCGTGGAGTATGCAAGGAAGTACTCCCAGATACGATACCAGCGGACACCATACTTGGCCTTCACCTTGTCCTGGTTGGCAATCCAGTTGCGGTACCACTTCCACAGGGTTGCTGAATAGTGAACTCCAATGGTGTCCACACCCTTGACCTCAAAACCCGCACCTTCGAGCTTGTCGATGACAAAACCCAATGGTGTCGAAGCGTCTGCACCAGGGAAGACATATTTATTCATGAACAAACCCCAGACGAGATCTTCGTATTGCCACGATTTGCGGAGACCGGCAATTTGCAAGAAGAAGACTCCGTCATCATCGAGCATGTTGTTCACCTGCGCAAGGAACGAGCCAAAGTGACGGACACCAACGTGTTCTGCCATCTCCAGGCAAGTGATGCGTTTGTATCCACCTTCCGGGACTGCGATATCGCGGTAGTCCATACACTCGATCCGGCTCTGGCTCTCAGGAATGCCTGACTTTCTGAGGCCATTGTTACCCCAGGCCGTCTGATTCCGTCCGAGCGTGACGCCTGTAACGTGAGCGCCATAGTTGACACTGGCGTATTTGGCCAGAGTACCCCAGCCGCAGCCAATATCCAGCATCTTGTCGCCTGGTTCAAGACCAATCTTCTCGCACACAATGGCGAGCTTGTTATCCTGCAGTTGTTCAAGTGACTCCTCTCGATTGATGTCTGAGATGATGCCAGAAGTGTAGATCATCCGCGGCCCAAGGAACCAGCTGTAGAAATCATCTCCACGATCGTAGTGGTCACGGACTTGCTCTTCATCTTGGGATCGAGTGTGCATAATGGCTTCGGGGATGAATCCAGTGAAGAAATGGTGGAACAGGCCCAATGTGAACCTGAAGCTGGCCCAGTCGTGCCTATACTCCATAACGTCCAAGCAGTCCCCTTTGAAAGAGACCTTTCCATCAAAATACATTTCGTGGAAGGTCTCCATAGGAATACGGTTCTTGCCATGGTATCTTGCCCGATCCTCCTCTTCATGGAAGTGCAGATAGTGCTCAACCGGTCGGCCGGGATAGCGAGCCTTCTCGTTTTTACGAGGGGAGATTGAGGAGACGACGGTCCAAAAAACCATCAAGATCGGTATCGAGGTCAGGGACGCCAGGAAGATGGTGGTGTAGAAGCCACCGTGGAGTTGTCTGGCAAGGTAGGCAGGAATGATGAACAACAAGCCGAAGAGAACATAGTTATTGAAGGTGTCGCTTCCAGAGGCATCAGCTGGTAGTGGTGCATTCTTGATGGCAGGGTACTGATCATTGTAAGTATTTCTGCCATTGGTAGGGTATTCAGGCATCAACATACGGCAGTGGTACGGACGCCGCAGTCTGCTGCTGGTTGAGCCGTAGGTGCAGCTGGAGTTTCAATGAACTCAAAGTCCTCAGTGGACTCTGGGTGAAGATTCGCCATGGTGATAGTTGGTGGTGAGCTGCAGTCCGATTCAGAGGAAGCTCAACTCAAGTTATTCAACATAGCTTTTGGACATTTTGGCATCAACGAAAAAGTGGCGGTGGGGAACAAATTGACAAGCTGCACATGTGAAATTCTCCGGGCTTGACTCGCACTAATATTACTCGGCAAGTCGGTACCTGCATTGGCGCATGATACGCGCGGCACAGACGCGTTCAGGGGATTCAGGGGATCTGATTCCATAGTGGTAGCAAACCACATAATTTCAGACCACCAACGTCACCATCATATCTCCTATGGTACACTCATTTCGTACTCTTTTGTCTATAAGCGGAACGCACCACTCAATTGCTTCACATTTTATCATTACACACTCGAGGCGTCGTTATTTTCGAGGTCCTGATCCTTCGAGCATGTTAGCTAACCAGGCCAAATGGCGCAAAGAGCAGCACTATTCAATCCTCGTCCACCTTGCCTCCAAAATCTCCCAGTAGTACATCATCCGGTGCAGGTCCACGGTTGTTACGAACTGAGAATGTCAGCGAACAACATTGAAAGAAGAGTTTGGTAGAGTACTCACCCCATTCAGTCTCAACACGCAGGAAGATCCACATCCATCGCCGCGCAACTTCTGCGAGCTCCATCAGAAATATGGCTCCTTCCAGATCGTTGAAATGGTCAAGATGCGGCGACAATTTGTAACTCCAAGTACACCGCAAGAGCAGATCTACGACAATCGCCGTATAATACACCTCCCTTGGATGGAAGTATCTGTACCGTCTGAGGCCGTAGGGATGCTCGGGGTCATTCCTTTCTCTGGCTGATGAGAACAGCGACAGATCCCAATCCTTCGCCACGTCCCAATAGAAGGAGTAAAAGGAGTTGAGGAAGACGCAAAACAACCTGCACAAGTTAGAGGATAGAAGAAGGGCTGCATTTAGTCCTTACCATAGTCTGAATAACCCTGTCTCACTCATGTGGAATGTCGCAGGGTCATAGCCTCGCTGCAGAGCGCTCAGGAGAATGACTGGGAAGGCCGAGGAATACTTCAATGCGTTCGCCAGATGTTGACCTCCCCAACCTGTTGAAACTGTCCGGTTCCTGCGGACGCGCAGATAGTCGATCAGACACTGTCGAAGTCGAATTATGCTCGGTATGCTGATGATCAATGGGACGAGATATGCTCCGCCACATCCTCGGTCTGGTTTTGCCGTGCTCGTAGTCTTTCTTGAAATTGCCATGCATGTTGAGACAAAAAGATCCCCCAGCACCTTCGCGTAGCTCGTCAAAACATCAGCCAGCAGTATATCCCCGAATTTGCCATCTTGCACCTCGGCGAGTCCACCCACGCTGATTCTCTTTAAGGTTGACAAGAAGTGTAGACGACCGGATCGAGACATGCGCTTGACTGGCGCAATGATGCAGAAGGCGAGGAATAAAAGATAGGACTGCGGCAGGATCTGCCATGATAGCGCAGCTTCAACATTGCCTCGTGTTACCAGCCAGAAGAGAAGGAGGGATCCTACCAGCGGAAGCGAAAGGAGTGTCGCTAGCCGGTAGGTAGAATAGTGATGAGGGACATGATGCTGAGCTTGACGCGCAGGATATCGAATGAGCGCGGGGACGTCCTGTAGTCGTCAGTCGGCGTCTTCCCGAAGGGCGTCTGCAAGCATACAATCTTGAGCAGGTGCAGGTAATGCAGATTCAGACCCCATGCCCAAACACCGAGGACGATTATAATGGCAACACGGTAAGGGAGTGGAAGAACTAAACTGAAGGCATCGACCTCAGGCTCGACAGCCGGGTCATCGTCCATTGTGCCCAGGATATCTCATGCTCAAATTCACGCGCAAGAAGGAGAAAGATAGGAAAATGATGTTGGCATTGAAAAGTTGAAGGACACTATTGAAGATTGGTAGGCGTTGACGTGTGGAATTCGGAGCCCAGGGACGCGGGCGGACTGGATACGGCAGGGGTAGAAACAATTAAGTGTGTTGCTGCTTTAGTGGTGATCATCACTCGGCTGAGCACCATCCTTGTTGTCATCCCAGAGCCCTTCACACACGATGACATAGCGTTGGCCTTGGGCAGAGAGGAGGCCATCAGCTCTACCGTACAGTGCTTCTATGTTGCTGTCGAGGCATCCGCTGTTGTGAATCAGCTTGACCACGAACTTAGTGTCTTCGACGTGCGCCCTGTCAAGTTTTTCTGGAAACAGGCTCGATCTTGCAAACCCCCTTTTTCAACCAGCCTACTTAGGTTTTAGAAAAGGCTTTTCTCGCAGCAGCGCACAGGGCTAGCCGTCTAGGATCATCCATACTATCAAATCAAGTTGTCTTCAGACTCTCCTTCCGGAAAGAAGTCGTTTTCACCTCCTGGATCAGCGACTCGCCAAAGTCCGCCTCATAACCATGGGCCGCAAGGTATTCCCTGAACTTGATATCTTCACTGTCCAATTGTCGGTCACGATCAGGGATCAGTGTCCAGGCGATAATGCCTCCCACAGCAGCAAATCCGGCCCCAATGAGAAAGACAGCTTGCGTACCCTTCTGAACATCTGAGAACGAGTTCTGGATTGGTGTGAAGACCTGTGTTCCGATAGCAGCACCAGCCTTTCCAACAGCAGCCGCAAAGCCCAGGAAGTGTCCCCGCAAGGGGGTCGGGAAGCTTTCGGCGCCGCACAGGAATGTAGCAACGCCAGGACCCATTTCACCAAAGCTGTTGAAGATACCATACAGGACCACGAAGAGCGGGAAGACTGATTGAATGGGACCTAAAGCTCCGCCCAGGATGAAGCCAAGGACTGCCCAGCACATAAACTTTTGTTCATGTCAGCAAAAGAATGCAATCAAAAGGAGGGGGTCAATGGACGCACGCCCAGGCACATCGTTTGACGTCTACCTATCCGATCCATGAGTAATCCCCCTACTAGACAACCTGGGATTGTTAGTCTCCAAAACCCGTGTGGTGAAAACATGGGAGAAAGGTCAAGGTAAAGATTCAGAGAACAACAAGGCAACTTTTCAAGAATCACCCACCAGGAAGATAGAAGCAGTTGACCACCTATAACACTTTGTCAGAAAGCTCTATCGTGAAGAATAGGGATAGATAGAAACTCGTGCTTGAATGGCACAGATTCTCAGGAAAAGAATACTGACAGTTCCATAGCCGATATTCTGGATCAGGGTATTGTTAGGGTTCAGCTGGCCGATGATGGTTGAGCTAAAGATGCCAAAAGGGTATGTCACACTGTCGCCGGCATTAGAAGTGCAAATAGTACCAGAGATGCAACTTACAAGTCGTAGCAGAACCAGGCCAAAGAGGTACCTAGCATAGGTCTCCAATAGCGCTTGATGATCAGCCAGTAAGGCAGAGTCTTCTTGATCGCATGCTTGCGGTATTGTGTAGACTCGATCATCCGGATACGGAAGAAGAACAACGCCACTGGCAGGACAAACCCAAGACCGAAGCAGACTCTCCATATGCCCGACGAAATGTGGCCATTGTACGCTTCGATGACAATGAGGGCAACCACTCCGGCAACGACGAAGCCCAAATCGATGGCGAAATCGGTGGCAACCGCGACCAAGAACCCTCTGCGGCGACGAACAAACTCGCTCTCGTCCGAGGCTTCGGCACTACCGGTGCCGCAAGTTGGGTACTCGCCTATCCATACATATCAGAGGACGACTCGACAGGATACTGCATCCATCGACTTACCTCCGGCGCCGAAGCCCGCGACACCACGAGCAACAATCATCATCCAGAACATACCGAGCTCCGTGGTCCCATGCGCGGCAGTGGCCAGTACAACACCAAGGACCAAGAAGGACGTAGCAAATACGATCCCGCTGCGCCTGCCTATTTTGTCGATGACAAAGCCGAAGAAGAGCATACCGAAGATCTCGCCGACGAGGTAGGCATTGGACAACCTGGTCTTGATGATGGATGACATGCCCTCCTTGTAGAGTTCCGTGAAGAGTGGCTCCATGTAACTACAAATACGTTGTCAGATGATGTACAGGAGTACCCCTGTTATATTGACTGACCCGATGATCTGAGCATTATAGCCATCACTGAACAACGCAAGGCCGGCAACCAAGACCGTAACGACAGAAGAGATCCTGGTGATTTTGGCGACAGTTGCCGGTTCTATTCCGAGTTCTGCTTCATCCCCTGAGCTCGAGGGTTGAGTCAGGTTGGTGTCCTTGCCTGTAACCTCGTAAGACGGGTCGAACTTGTTGGTAACGGCAGCCATTGTTTGGCCTGAACACTTGTTTTCGGTTGAGGGACCATGCTGATAAGCGAGGAGAACACGACCTGATATACCCTCGCCAGAAGCAAATCTCCTCTGCTCCTCTCATGGGAACATCGTTGCATCGTAGTGGCCAATCCCATCAAGGCCGATGCGATGCAAATGAGAATCCTTGACAAATTTCCACGTGCAATGATGCTCCAGTGCCAGTTGTATGGGAACGTGGACCTGTGTTAGTGTGGTTCGAGTACTCGAGACGAGGTTCAGCAACCTCTTGCAACGCCACATTCCGAATGCTTCAGCATGGGGTTAACCACGTGCCAAGTTGAGACAAGGTGATTCGGATGCGGAGTTGCAAGCATCGAGGATCTTCTCTACCAAAAAGGCAATTTCAACACCACTTCGGCAGGAAGGGCGACACTTGCTCGTCAGACCGGCGATTTATGGCCTCATTTCACGACATAGCCCGCTAGAAACCGAGGGCGAGCCCCGGTCAGACGAATCGGTCTACATGCAAAAGACCCTGGAGGATTCGCGCCTCTGGGCTGCTGAAATCTTTGCACGCACCCATGACAGAAAGAGCAGTGAAGATACATGTAAAGCACTTTGAGAAGTCTAGTACCGTGGACACCCTGGACTGGACAAGACCGGACTTTCACCGCACACCCACATCACGTCCAAAGCGATCAGAACGGCGATGATGTTATCGCATGAGCAGTGCCAGTTCTTCCGCGAACATGGTTATCTGATTTTTCGCGATGTGCTTTCGCCCGAAGAGACCACCGATCTCAGGGGTTGGGCTCAAGAAGTACACGACTGGCCAACAAATGAGGACTCTCCATGGATGCCATACGAGGTATCTGTCGGTATAGCCGCTGGACGATCATGTAAGCTGAAACTGCTTTAGGAAATCAACGATAAGGGCAAGAAGGTCTTGTGCCGCACAGAAAACTATGCCAACTCGCACTCCGGGTTCAATGGACTCCTCCGTGGATCGAAATTTCTGAGTCTGCTCGGCGAGTTGGCCGGTGAAGAAATGTCACTGTTTAAGGAAAAGATCAATTATAAACTTGCGGGAAGTGGTGAGTCCAGCTGTTGAAATGGTCACAGGTGTTCTCCTCTTACTGGAATTAACAGGTGGGTTTGCACCCCACGTCGACTCGACGGCGTACACCCACATCAAGAACGTCAAGCATTTAACAATATTGCTTGCTGTCGATCCATCCAACATGTCGAATGGAGGGCTAGAAGTCGTGGATGGTAGCCATGACATGGATGTTCCGGTTGGAAAAGACAACTGCATCGAGCCAGAATGGGTCAAGAATCAAAAGTGGACGCCGGTAACCTTGGAGGCAGGTATGTGTGCAAGCCAAACCCGACATTCACTGCGAGCCTATTTCCAGAAGAAGTGGCACCGTCTGTCAGAGCGTATATCGAAGGCACCAGGTCGAAGTCAAGCTGCTTCACGACAGCGGATTCCTCGACAGCAAGACAGAAGCACTGTACAGTAGAGCTGATGGCTTCCCCGTGCCAAAGGCCAACATTATATCGTTGTGTGTGAAGGGCTACGCAATGACAACAAGAACGGTATCTGCGTGAACCTGACTAGCTACAGCGGTCAGACTGTGCCACTCTTTCTGGAAACAGGTTCGACGGCTCGGTCCTGGCAACCCCACGCATTCGTGACAGATCTGTACTGACTTGTCAGGACAATTGCTCGCCTTTGGGTCGTACCTGGCCCATAGGAGCGGTGCCAACCATAGTAACGTTGACCGGAAGGCGATCTATGCCACGTACAACTGTGCTCGAGAAGGCGACCTCCATGACGAGTATTATGCACACCGGAAGGTGATCTGGCCTCCAATGCAGCTCAGAAAGCAAGGCAACCAGTACGAAGAGGGCGCCCTGAGATATGGGTTTGGCAGCCCGATGTTGAGTGTAGACGCTGGAAAACAGCTTGAGGTATGCTGCGTTCGCTCTGGAGCATTGTTTGCTGTGGGACACTAATATTCCTATCTTGGATAGTTCGACGGAGAGAAACCGTCCCCTCAGAATGCGAAGGCCGCCGAGACTGCGTTAGCTATCATCGACATCCTTCGCTCGTATGGTCAAAGCGACTATATTGGAGAACCCGTCTCACAGATCGAACACTCGCTACAGTGTGCAAACCTCGCCGCAAAGAATTCTGCAGACTCCCAGACGGTCGTTGCTGCACTGCTTCATGACATTGGCCAAATCATGCCCGCGGCAGAGGCAGAAAAGCTTCTGGGTGGCCGCAAGGTTCAGGATATGCGCCAGGAGGGCACCGACACCAAAGATTCGGGATCGACTAACAGTGTAGGACGCATCTCTCATGAAACCTTGGGTGCTCAGTACCTGCTTGCACTGGGTTTTCCGTCAAAAGTCGCTGAGCTTGTTGAGGCGCATGTGCCTGCTAAGAGATACCTTTGTGCCACGGAGAAAGGTTATTATGATACCTTGAGCGAGGCTAGCAAGGAGAGTCTGATATTTCAAGGAGGTCCAATGAGTCAAGAGGAGGTGCGCCAATGGCAGGGGGATAAATGGGCAGCCGAGAAGGCCAACTTGCGGAGATGGGATGATGGCGCGAAGGTAGTAGGTTTGGACGTCCCAGGCGTTGAGACTTATCGACCTGCGCTGGAACAAGTTCTGATTTCATAGTGCGAAACGATGTGATACTGAAATCGAAGCAACTTGTCATCGAGACCTGAAGCTGCTACGAGGGAAAAGCCTGTCTTAATACTCAGGAAGGCTGCTTGACAAGGGGCGTTCAGGAGGCTCAGCCGGCTCGTGACCACTAAAGCAGCAACACAATTGTTTTCAGAACCTCGGCGCGCTGGCTAGTGATCGCAGCGATCTTGACCAACAGCAAATGCGACAATCCATCCCATAAGTCGACGTAGGATGCAATAGACTTCTCAATTCGACGTACCTCTACTTCACTCGGACGGCAGTGGCCGAGTCGCCCATAATGGCCTTGCAGCCCTCCCCTCAAGCGATGGAGTATCCATTCGCAACCTCACCAGACATCCTCCGAACACACCAGAAAGACGCCTACATCACTGGTACACTCTCTACACAAGCCTCCACAATACTACGCGCGCTGCTCGGCGCCCGGTTCGCGCACAAGTATTCCGATGCGACCAACCACCTAAGCGAACTTCTCTATCTATGCGTGACGACTCTGCTGGGCAACCGGACACTGGGCGAAGAATACTGCGATGTGATCCAGGTGGAAGACGACACTCTCCGACTTGCCGGACTAGGTCGACGTGTAGGATACATTTCCAGCATCATTTTTGCGCCTTGGATGCTGGGGAAGACGTTGCCGGCCTTGAGACGGAAACTGCGCAGTAAGCTGGAATGGAATGTCGAGCACGCCCAACAGCGGGGAACGAGTGCACAGACACGAGCGCTGAAGGTCCAGGAATATATCCTGAAACACATCGATACTTTTACATCGCCGAACCCCATATACGCGCTCAGTCTTACGACCTTTTACTTCACGGGAGCGTACTACCACCTTTCGAAACGATTGTTCCGGCTACGATACGTGTTCACCAAGCAGATAAAGCCTGACGAGCAAAGAGTTGGATACGAGGTGTTGGGCGTGCTGCTGGTGCTGCAGATGGCGGTACAGTCAATCTTGCATGTTCGGGAGACGTACCATGAAGCCACAGCCCAGACGGCAATGATGGGCGACGCCGAACAATCGGCAACGGCCATGGTTGGTAAGGGTGTCGAGATACCGCTGGGGTCGACGCTGGGCTACTCACCTACGCATCTGCTTGCGGATATGGACACGCCACACAAGCTCCCCCCAGGGCTGTCAGCCAGTACTGCGACTCCTGTGCTTGAAGGTGCACGTTACGACCTGAAGGACTCGGAGCTCATGGCGTGGATCCCGGAAGGTCAGCAACGGAAATGTACGTTATGTCTAGAACCATTTCGTGATCCTAGTGCGACCACGTGCGGTCATGTCTTCTGCTGGACTTGTGTGCAAGATTGGGTCAAGGAGAAGGCTGAATGCCCTCTCTGCAGGCAGAGCGTGCTTCCTCAAAAGGTGCTCCCATTGAGGTAGCCATCACCAGTACGAGAAACGCATCTTTAGCAAGCGAGACATGACTTTTGATGATCATATTTATGTACTATGCATTTTAATTACTCAGACCGTCAGATGCAGTCATGTCGACGTAGACCTCATTTCACCCCTGTCATGCCGCAAGATATACTCCAAAAGCAACATACACAGCAGCTCACACCGCCGCTTCTTTCTTTGCTATCCGTGGACTGTCCCCTTCCTCTCCTTCGCTGATCAGTCCCTCGAGCTCAAACTCCTCAGCATCTCTAACTTGTTGGCTGTTCGTGTTGCGGTGGTTAGGTAGCCTCACAGATCCGTTTGCTGGCCGAGGAATGACTCCATTGCCATTCAAATTCAATGTTGAGGCCTTCCTCGAATGGCTGGCGCTTAGCGTGCTTCGGCCTCGCTGGTGGTTACCGCGAGTACCATTACTCTCGTCTTCTGGCCAGGCGTGTGCTGCGTAGACATAGAGCAGGATGTTGACAAAGAGGTAGAGCATGAACGCAACTGAATAAAGGATGAGAATATAGGTAACATGAGTGACATCAGCTTCCGACAGCAGTTTCATCTGCTCTTCAGTGGCACCCATAAAGAGGAAGCCGGATGCGTAGAGAAGCTTGAAGCGCGTCAGCGAGGGCATTCACGACGGGCTAAGACACAACTTACGAAGGGAGGAAGATGCTGCCAGCTGTTAGCCTCGCCACCTCCTCTGCTATCCCTGAGCAGGAAAGATATCTCGATGATCCTGGTCGCTCCGGCCGCCATGAGCGTGTATCCAAACACGGAGTGCACCATAGTACTTAGAGGCAGATCTTGCGGATGTGCACTCATTGCCCAGCCGGTCAGCAGGATGACAATTCCTGGCAGGAGGTTGCGTTTCGGTCGTCCTGTTCTTGATCGGGAAAGCCAGACACCCAAAAGACCAGCACACCACCAGACAATGCCCATGCTTGTATGTTGCAGATCATTCTTCACCCACGGGTGGCCCCAACGATGTTCGGTGAAAGTGTTGACACAACCCCATGCAGCGATGATGATACTGTCGAAGAATTCTTGGCTCCGACCGGTCTTTCTTAGCCATGCTTGACCCACGAGTAGGAGTAGGGTCATTATTATGCCATAAGCGATGAAGGCAGATCCCATAATGAAGTGGGCCAAACATTGCCCGAGATGGTCACCTCGACAATAACCCATAGCCACAATACCGCCAAACAGCATCTGTGTCCAAGAGACCACGGGCATAGCCTTGCCCAGCAAACCATGGGCAATCACCACGATCCGTCTGCCGCCTCTTCCTGTTTTGCTTCCGAACACTCTTCCTATCCATCCACTCTTGTCCTCAAGGTGTAGTTTAAGCCCGACTCCGAGTCCGACTTGAACGATCAACATGAAGACCAGACTGTTTGCGAAACTGGCGTGGATATTTGGATGCGCGAACTGCCGTCCCTTATGCATATGACCAAGAAAGTATGCCACTGTAGCAATAACGGTCCCGACGATTTGTACAGGAACATGCCATCTGCTCCTGATAATGCCCAGTACCATACCGTAAGGGAAGATCAAGCCAAACGACAATATCATGAGCAGGATGTGGACCCATAGCCGCGAATCGAGAGGATCTGGAGAGATCGCCTCCCCTTCTGGGATTTTATCGGTGTGGCCGCCATGAGCGGACACGTAGGAGGCCAGGAGCAGCGGCGAGAGGTAGAGGAGGTTACGTCGGGCACCTGACGAGGGGCGCGTCGTTGCCATTGCGTTGGAAGCCAGGGGACGTGGTTGTTATGACAAAGGGTACGACGGCTATCAACTATCGACCGGAAGCCATCACAAGGTCGGTTTTGCTGAGTACGGAAAGGTGCGCAGCGTGATTGACAATGATATAGGTATACTGTAAGGTCAATGGTACCAGGAGAGATGGCAGTGTACGCAAGCGGGCAAAAATACTCGCCCGGTCGACCCGCAGCCAATGCGGACCTTCACCTCGCACCAATAAGAAGCCCGCCAGATCAGCAACGTGCCAATGTCGCTTCAACACAACGACCAAGTCCATAGATCCGCCCTACGCAAGTCGTGAAGCATCAAATTTAGGACCCAAGAAAGGAACATTGACTTTGTTCATTCATAAAAATGCACTAATCTATAACTACCCAGCATCGGTACAGACCCAGCAATGGGAGTGGATGCCTCTGGAGCTCCCTCGTGGACGGGTGCTTCACCAGCTTCTCAACCACCGCCACTTCGCTCTGTTCCAAGCCTTACAGCGATCCATCCTTCTCCCTCATGGTTGGTTTGAAAACCCAAAGTCCTTCGTCTCGCAGCTGATATTCGGCGTCATGGTCCCACAGGATGCACAATACAAGGATTGAAAATCACAGATGTTCTTCATGTCATCACAGACCGCGCCTTTGTTGGCGCTGTTACAATCGTCGACCTGGGTGTAACAGTTTCTGTTACTGTCATCACACTCTTGCTTGTTTGTGAATACATTCAACGTCCCACAGAAGCCATTGCGAGAGACGACACAGCCATCAATCGCCATGGTTGCTGGCTCAGTCCGTGAAGGCGTGCGATACCAATTTCGAGGGTCGTCACCCAGACAGTCTGCGAGTGTGCTGACTGTTGAAGGGTTAGTCAATGACGTGGATGTGCACCAGTGAGGCAACTATACCTTTCCACCCTCTCTGAGTGATGTCCATCAAGATATATCTGGTGAGATTGATAGCTGAGACCGAAAATCTTTCGTGCTGCATGAGCAGCATACTTCCATTAGGGAGTGCCTGACCAAGTCCGGAGTCAAAAGTATCGACCATGGCACTGAGATTGTCTGGGTTTGCCCAGTCTTGGCTATCCAGTGAGTGTGCTACGACGTGATATCCCAGGTTGTTCATATCAGTCAGACATCCACTCTCGCTGTTACAGTTTTCGTATGGGGGACGCATGTAGGTTGGATATTTGTTGAGGATATTGGCAATTGCCCTCTCATTCTTCCTCATATCGACTCCACGATCTTCGGATGACAAGTTGTTCAAGTCCGGATGAGACCAGGTGTGAGATCCAATCTGGTGTCCCTCGGCATCCATACGCTTGATGGCGCTGACCCATTCAGGAGTCCTGTCAATCGCGCCTTTTCCATTGGTGTTACCCGACACAAAGAATGTGGCGTTCGCACCAGCGCTCATCAGGATGTCTAGGAGTTCTTGAGTGTTGTTTGATGGTCCATCATCGTAGGTCAACGCGAGAGTTTGTGGCATAGTGCAATTGAAGATGAATTGACCGTAGGGCACCGGTCCTTGTGCATTGCGTTGTTCAGCGGAAGTGTCTGGGCCAGTGGGCGTAATGTCGGAGTCACAAAAGCCGTAGTTCGGTTGGCAATTTTGAGGAACACTGCAGAAGTCGCTGCCAGTTCCCTGAACAGTGTCAGCAGCGATCGTGACTTGATGGACAGTGGACTCACGCAGAAGCCGGTACCTGAGCAGCATGTACCGAGGCCACATAATTGATTGCCTTGTGAGGGTCCACATCGAGGCTGGTCGGCTTGTCTCTTGATGAAGACGGACCCAAGCAACGCTGGCTGTGCCTGGACATCATTGCCTGGGTTTCCTCCTGGGCAGTAAGCTGGTTCAGAATGATTCAGAAATGAAGGAGCTGCAAAGACCGTGGGAAAAAGGGAGTGAAGTATTGGCAGGAGTGCAAAGAGTGAGTGCATGATGAACTTGAGCAGCTTCGAGGGATGGGTCAAGCAGAGGAGTGCAGGTGAGGAATGATTAGACACCTCGCTTCGGAGAACAGCAACAGATGAATACAGTCGTAGCAATGTTGACCAAAAAGGAGTGGCAGCCCAAAGGATGAAGTGTGGTGTGATAGAATGAGAAGCAAGAAAAGAATAGCAGAGTGAGAAAGATAAAGAGGCTGCACGACCACGCAGCACTTGCCATTTCCACTCTCTCATTTTCCAAGATGCAAGAACGACTCAACAGTATCAACCAGGCAAGAACATCTCAAACTTGTCATGGCATCGTACTGGAATCCTTCCATCTCAATTAGCTGGATGCAAATCACAAACGGTGTACCTGCTGTAGTGAGTCTACGCTATGCGTTTCTTTTTCAATTCCCATCCCGCTTCAGTCGTTAACATGGCATCGCTTTCATTCGAAAGACCCTGGCAAGGTGTTGGTTTCTCTCGATTCCTCATTAGGTGTTGCAGGAACCGAATGAAAACCTTGTTCTGCATTGTCTTGAGCCGTTGTTGGCGAATGCACCTGATCGCCGTTATGTCTCTCCTCCGAATTGCCCTCCAAGGATATCCTATCGAACCCATCCACTGGAGCTTGAATACTCGAAGTAGGCGAGGCCACTCTTCCAGGGTTTCGTGGTGGTAATGCAGGAGGTGCGCGCTTGGGCAATTCGACAACCCTTGCTCGTGCCATCACAGGCACGGCGGTGTGTACCTCAACATCAGAATCCACGTCCTCCAGGTCCGAGAATGACTCGCTACGCTCATGATGGTCGTGGTCGTGGTCGTGGTGATCATCGTTGTCATTGTCATTGTCGTTGTCGTCGGTCTCATCGTCGACATGCTGACTATGCTTCATGGGAGTCTCGCCGCCCTTAACTGAATCTCTCTTCGGACTTCGATTGGCACTGTTGGGCTCATCTTCATTGGTTTGTGTTGCCCGATCGATGCTGGCCAGGCTGTGAGTACTATCTCTCCATGTCCGACTTCTGACAGAGCCGTCAACGCTCTTCCGTGAGAAATGCGCATATATGGGACTGGTTGGTGACGGTCTAAACTCAAACACTTCCGCACTTGGCCGTTGATGTGTCCCTGCTTCTCGGATACTCAGTCCTTCCGCTTCCAAAGCTTTCACGCCGTACGGGTCGGGATCGTCCTCCGCAGGGATGCCAAAGGAGTTTGCTAGATCCAGTCAGCATACTCCAGGCAAGGACAAATGAACACCAACCGTCTGTGAGAAGCTCCATATCACTGGGAGCCTGTCCATCTGGGAGCAAACTCTCATCTACCTGCTCGCCTTGAGCGGCTCTCAGGGTATCTAACAACACTTGATACTTTTCCACGGGCGGATACCGGACTTTGCCAACCAGAATGTCGGTGACGCCAACGCGCTCGCCGTAGAATCGTTCATTTTCATCCGTTCGTTCGATCACTACATTGCCTTCGAGTGCCACTCCAGCATAAAGACCACGGCTCTTGACGTATGACCAGATCGGAGAATGACGTTTGACCACCTCAGTATCAAGGGATCCTCCCATTCCAACAGGACCTGCCGCAACGCCAACTTCAGTTCCGAGAGTGCATCTCAGCTTCGTAAATGCTTCGAGAGCTTTGTATGAGTTGATCACCAGCACCGAGTCATAGATATCGACACCGGCCAGGAAACCAAACGACATATTCTGTGTCTGAATACCGCTTGGGGGACTCCATTCACCTGTTTCTGGATGCCGGCCGACCAAAACTCCGGCACCACCAGATCCGCCAAAAAGCCATCCTGTACGCATTGTTGTGTATATGGCCAGGCCAACGCAGTTCTTAATCACCTTTGCGGGAATCTTTTGTAGTACCCTCTGCCTTCCCACGGGTGCGCCATCTACTGTTGCTTTGCGCTCGGCCACCTTTTCCGCCTGTTTCTCGTCGACTTGTTCGTAGAATCCATCTTTACAAAACCCCCGCAGAATGCGCGCAGCCTTCTCCGACTCCTTGTCCAACGACGTGGGCCAAAAGGCTTCCGAACCGACTTTGTTGGATAAGCGATTGACAGGCGCTTCAAGCTTGTTGACAAAGCTGTAAGCCTTATTGAACCCTGGCTTCAGCGCTTTTTCGTAAGCGGTGCCCGAGTAATCCTTGGTCTTCTCCCAAACCGTCTTATTTGCCCCATACGCTGTGCTGGCAGAATCGGAGGCCTGCGCCATAGTCGGTGACGGTGAAGCTGGAGTCGGCTCAACCGCAGTGGGAAGGTGGGCAGTGACGCGGCTCTATCTGCCAATCTGGCTTGGTTAGGACGGCGCAAAGGAACGTCTCGGTATATTTCTTTTCATTCCTGCAATCTGGTGAGTTCTCAGGCGTGTAGGTGGACGATGCTCAGCCGCGTACACCGCAGGGAGTATTCAGAGTCGTCCTTCAACTCAGGAACTCCGGTGGCAGCCGAACAAAAATGCTGACCTGGTGGTTACAGAAGCACAACCGCACGTCATTGGGTTTCTTTGACGCAGCCAACGCAAGCAGTGCGTGGCGGAGAGGCATATCTTAGTCACTCAATAGTACCGGGCGGAGAGCCGGGATGCTAAGGTAAGGGCTTCATCGCTGGCAGCGAACAGTAAGAGCTAGGGACCCGGTTTTCAGGATTCGGGCCTAGGAAGCCTCACTAGCCTGAGGGCCTCCAAGGCATGTGCTCCCCCAAATGTCATTGCGAGGGTACTCCGCGCCTCGGCTCCAAAGTCATTCCAGACTCTCCGACTAATCGTAATCATAGGCTTATTGCTGATATTAAGTCATACACACTGTTATATCGAATTCTTTCCATCGAACGAGGATCTCACTCCAGCAACAGAGAGGAGTCGAGCTTTCTGGAGATGATCTGAGTTGAGGTATCGCTGTGAGGAAGTCAACATGCCGCCCATTCCACCACTTTTCGTTCTCCAGGTTCCGCCAGCATCAGTTGTCTCGCCAGCTCATAGTCAGCAAGGAAGTTTCATCTGCACGCAAGCAGCGCCTCAAGTCTATCTCCTTTCATTCTCAAGCCCTCCGGACAATCGCCTTGTCCCTGCTTTCAACCAGGCCTTTCTCCTAGCACTCGATATAATCGAACAACGTCTACCTCGAGGGGTCGTGATCACAACGTCCTCCATCACGAAATTCTACTCGAACGGTCTTGATTACGAGAGTGCAATAGGAGATCCTGCCTTCTTCCAAAACAGCTTATATCCCTTATGGAGACGACTGGTCACCTATCCCATGCCTACCGTTGCTCTGATGAATGGCCAGTAAGTCTCAAACACCATGGAAGATTCGAAAGACTTTGCTGATGACTTCCAGTGCCTTTGCCGGCGGACTTATGACCGCGATGATGCATGACTATCGCATCATGAACCCCCACAAGGGCTTCGTGTGTCTGAATGAACTCGATTTCGGCGCGGCACTCCAACCTGCAATGGCGTCAGTGTTCCGGGTGAAGTTGAACATGACGACATTCCGGAACATGGTCCTGGAAAGCAAGCGATATACAGCCTTGGAGGCGCTGAAAGAGGGCATAATCGACGGTGTAGGGAGCGTCGATGAGACCTTGGCCTTTGTTGGAGAAATGAAGTTGACCCAGAAGGCTCAAGGCAAGTCGTACGGGAAGATCAAGGAAGAGCTATACCGTGAAGTGGTCAAAGATCTGGATGAGGGCGGCGAGGCAGGCAAGAAACTGGCGACCCGGGATCTTGATCGAAACCGCAGAGAGATGGAGGCAAGGAGAAGAGTGGATGACTACCAAACCATCGTCCAAAGAGCGAAGTTGTAAGATAGATGACCATGGGGTCTTTACCTATGATCGAGTGCGCTTCGTCGGCCTGTTTGCATTATTGGGTGTTGAATAAAGGTGTTTCCGTGCGCAAGCTTTATAATGCTGCGACTGTATCTTGATGTAAGTATGTTCGACCACACCTCGTACTCGGGTTCAACAGATGTCAGGGTCGTACTCGTAATCAGGAACCTGGGTAAACACTTTGCGGCGACAGCCGTTAAAGCCGGTGTTCGGCAGTCTGATCTAGGCGTCCACCGGCCCAAATGAACGCGATGTCTATTTGGCGACCTTCACAAACTCCGTGGCAGGAATGGCCCTACACTGCCAGGAGGCCACCGTCGCCATGACTAAGATACAAGTCTACCATGTTGCTGTACAGACATTCGACGGCTTTATGACTTGTGCAGCGGTGATAATAATGAATCCTGTCAGACCGGACTCTTGCATCTCATTTAACCGCCACTTTATTTATGTACCACCTTCGGATCAAGACAATCCCGTCCGACTGTGGATGAATTGTGCTATTCCCGCTCAAGTAAGGAGTGCGAGGTGGTGTCCGCAAAATACGGGCAGAGGCACAACCGGGTTGAGACAACCGTGGACGACCCAGTCAAGCAAGGCGTTCACAGTTATTGCCCCACGATTTACGGGAATTCAAGCTTTCGCTCCGGTGCATACGACGATAACAACATTACGCGATAACAGCAGTATGCCAATAGGCAACCAATCTCGTGGGGCTTCTCCCATTAGACGAGGCGCAAATTGTTACGCGTAGAGGCCTAGAGACCTGGGCTTCCCAGCCTTCCCCAGTGTTGCCTGCCTGTCAAAAAAGATAATTGTTCGGTAAGGTTGCAGACCCCGACAAACAACAAACGTCCGGAGTTCGCCTTAGAGTCCGACTGCATGAACTCTCCCATGACACTTACATCTCAATCAACCTACATATCCTTTTCAACACTCGTTCGGGGCCGACACGGACCGTATATTTCTTAATTGTTGCCTGTTCATACACATAATCACGCCCTCGCATCTATTCTCCCACCGTGTTGGTCTTGACGACGCAACATATCCGGACCTTAATATTCCATCCTCATCCTTTTTCCACGACGGCCGCACGCTTCAAACACAAAGATATAGGAGCCGACCACATATCGTTATCATTCATCCTTACAGTCGCGTCAAGATGTTATGCTGAGATCCCGCATCTGCGACCAGTCCATCAAAGACACCCTTGAATACACCTCGGCAGCATGAATCCAAGCGGCCAGGGAGAGGTGCCTGCGGGCGCAGCAGCCATCGAAGAGAATATAGGAGAAAAGCAAAGATCGGAGCTGGGCATTGTCACAGACCAGGAGAAGGCCACTGAAGTGCCTCCTGTAAAGCAGGCTGTATCTCCGAATTCACCTACGTCCGTCCCTACGCCTCCTTCTTCCTCAAACTCGGACACGAACCCCGACTTGCGGAAAATCGACTCCAAAATCGTCCAGGTTCGTGATGTGCCAGAGGGGGACGCTGCTTTCGCGCACTTGCCGGAGCATGAACAGGATGTGCTGAGGAAACAATTGTTCGTTCCAGAAGTGAAGGTCACCTATGGGAAGTTGTATCGGTATGCGACAAAGTGGGATAAGGTGTTTATCGTCATTGCGGCCATCGCAGCCATCGGCGCCGGCGCCGTGATGCCTCTGATGACAGTCATTTTCGGAAACTTGAGTGGCTCCTTTTCGTCGCTTGTTCTTGGAACCATCTCGTCCTCCTTCAACTCTATTCTTGTCCGATATGTGCTCTACTTCATATACCTGGCCATTGGGGAATTCTTTCTCGTCTACATCTCCACCGTCCTTTTCATCTATACAGGGGAGCACATCACGTCAAAGGTTCGAGAGGAATACCTGAAGGCAATTCTACGCCAGAACATTGGGTTCTTCGATAAGCTTGGTGCTGGGGAGGTGACCACTCGCATCACAGCAGACACCAATCTTGTTCAGGAGGCCATCAGCGAAAAGGTCGGGCTGACGTTGACCGGTGTCGCTGCATTCTTCGCCGCATTCGTCATTGGTTTCGTTCGGTTCTGGAAACTCACGCTGATCTGCATGTCGTCCGTCGTCACCATTGTCGTACTTATGGGCGCCGGAGGGCGGTTCATGGCTGGCTGGAATAAGAAATCCCTCGCCGCATACGCAGTTGGAGGTTCAGTGGCAGAAGAAGTCCTCGGCTCCATTCGAAACGTATGTATCCCTCTTTCCGAAAGATTGTGGCACTGCTGACAATGCCCAGGCTGTGGCGTTTGGAACACAGGATAAATTGGCTAAGAAGTACGACGTCCACCTTCAGGAAGCAAGGCATTGGGGAGTTCGCAGCAAGGGAGCTCTAGGCTGCATGATCGGAGCACTACTCGGAATCATCTTCCTGAATTATGGTCTGGCATTCTGGATGGGTTCCAGGTTCCTTGTTGACGGCGAAACCAACCTGGCTCACATCCTTACCATTATCTTTGCCGTTATGATCGGAGTAAGTTACCCCTTCTTCGAGGGTGTGCCCCTGAAGCACGAATCTTCCGATGCATACCTATTCCACAATCATACAGCCTTCTAACAGCATGTAGGCATTCAGTTTTGGTAACGTAGGCCCGAACGTCCAGCATTTCGCAAGCGGTGTCGCTGCTGCATCGAAGATTTATGCCACTATCGATCGACATTCACCCATTGATCCGCTCTCCGAGGATGGTGAAAAGCTGGAGCACGTGGAGGGAACTGTGGAGCTGAGACACGTCAAACATATCTATCCTTCTCGCGCTGAAGTCGTGGTCATGGACGATGTGAACCTGGTCATCCCTGCTGGCAAGACTACTGCCTTGGTTGGTGCGTCAGGTTCCGGAAAGTCTACAATTGTCGGCCTTGTGGAGCGTTTCTATGACCCTGTAGGCGGCCAGGTACTCTTGGATGGTCACGATCTCAACACACTCAATCTGCACTGGCTCCGTCAGCAAATCGCTCTTGTCCAGCAGGAGCCCATCCTTTTCAGCCAAACTATTAGGGAGAATATCAGAAACGGATTGACTGGCACCAAGTACGATCAGGAACCGGAAGAACAACAGACGCAACGCATCATTGAAGCTGCCAAGAAAGCCAATGCTCATGATTTCATTACGTCTCTACCTGATGGATACGAGACTCATGTTGGTGAGCGAGGCTTTCTCCTGTCCGGTGGTCAGAAACAGCGTGTTGCGATCGCAAGGGCCATTGTCTCTGATCCCAAGATTCTCCTATTGGATGAGGCCACGTCCGCCTTGGACACAAAGTCGGAGGGTGTTGTTCAACATGCCCTGGAGGAGGCCTCCAAGGGTCGCACGACTATCGTCATTGCTCATCGTTTGTCAACAATCAAGGATGCCGACAACATTGTGGTCATGCGCCAAGGGCGGATCATTGAGCAGGGCACACACAATGAGTTGTTGGAGCTGAGACAGGCGTACTACAATCTTGTCTCTGCTCAACGCATTGGTGGCGACGAGGATGAAACCCCGGAGAACGAGAAAGGAACCGAGACCAGCGACGATGAACTTGTCCGGATTCAGTCCTCCAGGTCTGGCAGCAGAGCGATGGTGGATCCTGAGGACGAGAAGCTTGCACTCGGACGGACTAAAAGCCAGAAATCCATCTCTTCCAAAGTTCTTGCGGAAAAAGGCTCGGGTGGTCCCCCAAAGTACTCCCTCTGGACCATCATCAAGTTCATTGGTGGATTCAATCGTCCCGAGTGGCACATCATGTGTGTCGGCTTCTTCTTCACTGTTATTGCCGGCGCCGCTCAGCCAGTGCAAGGCATATTCTTCGCCAAAGCGATCGTCACCCTGTCTCAGCCACTGACTCTTCGACACAAGATCCGCCATGATATCGACTTTTGGTCACTGATGTATCTGATGCTGGCTCTGGTGGATTTCGTTGCCATGTGCATACAAGGAATCGCCTTCGCATATTGTAGCGAAAGCTTGGTTCAACGAGCAAGAGACGGGGCCTTCCGCAGATTCCTCCGACAAGACATATCTTACTTTGATGAGGACGAGCACTCGACAGGCGCTCTTACCTCCTTCCTATCTACCGAAGCCACGCATCTCTCATCGATATCAGGAGCGACGTTAGGTACCCTACTGAGCTGCTCCACCACCTTGGTCGTAGCGATCGTGGTATCTCTTTCCATCGGTTGGAAATTGGCGCTCGTATGCATGTGTGCATTGCCAGTCATCCTTGGTACCGGGTTCTTCAGGTTCTGGATCCTCGCCAAATTTACGGCAACTGCCCAGAAACATTACGAAAAGTCTGCTGGATATGCTTGCGAGCATACCAACGCAATACGCACAGTGGCCTCCCTGACAACAGAACGTGAAATCTACAATGAATACCGGGATCAGCTTGCGCATCAACTACGAGAGTCGCTCAAGTCGAACATCCGCAATTCATCCCTCTACGCTGCGTCGCAGTCAGCCATGTTTCTTGCGTTCGCACTTGGCTTTTGGTACGGCGGCACCCTACTCGTCCGTGGCGAATACAGCTTGTTTCAATTTTTCATTGTCTTTTCTGAAATTATCTTCGGCGCGCAGTCTGCCGGAACAGTCTTCTCGTTCGCGGGAGACATGTCGAAAGCCAAAAATGCAGCTGCCGCGCTCAAGAGGCTATATGACGCCCAACCAACCATTGACCCATGGTCGGAAGACGGTGAAAAGGTGACGCATGTCGAGGGTACCATTGAATTCCGAGATGTACATTTCCGATATCCAACACGGCCGGATGTACCAGTTCTTCGAGGTCTTAACTTGACCGTCAAGCCTGGACAGTACATCGCCCTCGTTGGACCTTCTGGTGAGTTTGCACCGACGTTAATCTCAACGGCAAAGCTGACAGATTCCAGGCTGTGGAAAATCGACGACAATTGCGCTAATGGAGCGGTTTTATGACCCTCTGGCTGGCGGCGTTTACGTTGATGGCAAGGAGATCTCCTCCCTCAATCTCAATGATTACAGATCAAACATCGCGCTCGTCTCTCAAGAACCTACACTTTACCAAGGCACCATCAAGGAGAACATTCTTCTAGGCGCCGACAGAGGCGAGGTTGGCGACGATGAGGTCATTCAAGCCTGCAAGGACGCGAACATTTATGATTTCATCATGTCTCTGCCGTAAGTGTCAGGTAGCCGGAATCTCGCGCAACAATACTGACCAAAAATCAGGGATGGCTTTGCCACCGATGTGGGCAGCAAGGCGGCTCTCCTATCGGGCGGTCAGAAGCAGCGTATCGCCATTGCCCGTGCTCTTCTTCGCGACCCCAAGATCTTGCTCCTCGATGAAGCAACATCTGCGCTGGACTCGGAATCCGAGAAGGTGGTACAAGCTGCACTTGACGCTGCTGCCAAAGGTCGAACAACTATTGCCGTTGCACACAGACTGAGCACGATCCAGAAAGCCGACATCATTTATGTGTTCGACAAGGGCGTCATTGCAGAATCTGGGACTCACCACGAATTGATGGCCCTCAAAGGTCGATACCGAGAACTCGTCAGCTTACAAAGTCTGGAAAAGCAGCATTAAGTCTTCCTGTTCAGCTGCGATACTGGCCCTCATTGTTTTTCCGGAGTTCTTCGAGCCCACCGTCATCGCTTTCGCTCGCACTTCCCATGAGGAAGGCCATCACCTCTAACAAGATAGTCATATTGGACTACTGTCATGGCACCCATTGTGGTGAACCTGCTGGACCTCGAACATACATCGTCGACATACCCTCTGTCAGACGATGCCCCTTTTTCTGGAAACATGCTCGGTGGATATACATGCGTGTTGATCCTAGAGCCGTGTCGCTCAAACGAAGCATACATATTCCGTACTCGCTGGGGTTGAGAAGGCGACGTGACTGTCCATGTCAAGGTGGCTCGGTAATGGGTCACATGGAGGTTGAATTGCATCTTTGACTGGACAGACAAAGCACACTTTACATTAGAATATAGATGGGGATTTTCGAATACAGAGACGGAGGACTTCTTGGAGGATGTGGGCATCGATCAGCGAGGCCAGTGCCTGTATCGTTGTATGTCTTGTTGGCAGCTTCAGCTCCGCTCGTTGTAGACAGCACACTCATATCATCTAGCACTCTCATATGATCAAGAGGCAATGCACAAGTATTGCAACTTCATCACACTGAAACTTGCCAATTGCTTGGTGGCCATTCAATCCTTCTCGTCCAGCCCATACTCCTCCATGATCTCTGCCATTCGTCGTCCTTCTTTCTCGGCGATGATTGACAGCATTCCCTGGGTGATGTCTTTAATCTCGTTGTACTTCTTGAGCAAAGAGATGTGTCGTGAAAAGACGTGGTTTGAGTAGGATAATGCGGCTTGATCATTATCAGTCAGCTCGACTTGGACCCCCCGGAACTGCAAGTCTGAGGAGGTAGATGTTGGCACTGCTTGCGTAGGACACAACGGAAGCTCAGAGATCTGGCGGATGGTATCAGACAGCTTTGTCTCCGTCTCAGCGATCTTGGATTTCAGCGCCTGGACAGATGTGGATGATTTTGAGTCAATACTCCTCTTCATGCTTCGATGTGCTGCTGAAATCGGAGGATTGCGTGATTGCCAATGATCAAAAACAGGAGAAGAAGCATTCGGACTGTTAGCAACCTCGAGCTCAGTAATCTTTGAAGCAGCGTCTTCTTCAGATCCGTCAATCGGCTGTTGTGCCGTGTGTTCGTATTTGACCATCCTTTCCATTGCATGAATTTAATTCCCAGAATTTATCCGGCACCCATGATCGTTGCATGCATCTCAACTTGTGGACAGTGACTCAGGTCTGGCAGAATGTCAATATACTGAAAGGGGGGTGACAGTATACTCAGTCGGACCCCGCAAGATCAGTTTCGGGTCTTCAGTCTGCCTCTCATCAGGAATGCTCTCGACAAGATACCTGAATCCTTCCTGCCGTTGGATTTGTCAAGCTGCATTCAAAAGACGTCCAGTTGCTATTCTAGCCGTGAAAACGGACGCTTTGCGGAGGATTAGCCTGTCAGACAGAACTGCTATAAAATCGTCTTGGCAATAGCGTCGATGGTGAACTGCGCTGAAAGTCCGCAACAACCGTCACAAGCTGCATCTGAAAGCTCGTCCAACGACTCTTCACGACATTTTGAGATCTGTTGCCGCACTCTCAGACGCGACATACTCCATGAGGGTCGTCTTAGACGCTTGATCTCGCTCCGACATGCTTCTGCGCACTTCCAACAACGCGCAGTCATGTTCACCTTCACACCCTTACTAGGGGCCCAGAGCAATTCCCGAGCTCTGCAGTCTATACTCGAGCTCGATGGAGGAGTCAAAATTCTGGTCGATGTCGGCTGGGACGAGCGGTTTGATACTCGACAGCTAGCTGAAATAGAAAAGCATGCATCGACACTCTCTTTCATTCTTCTCACTCATGCCACAACTTCTCATATCGGTGCATTTGCACATTGCTGCAAGCATATCCCCATCTTCTCCCAGATTCCTGTCTACGCCACTCCGCCAGTGATTGCCTTCGGCCGCACCCTCCTACAGGACCTCTACTCCTCGAGTCCCGTTGCTGCCACCTTTATCCCCGGTTCAGGCTCCCCGGAAGACGATTCCAGCGTCGATGACAAGTCCCGGTCGAACATTCTGCGGCAGGCTCCAACATTCGAAGAGATCAACAAATATTTCACTCTCATTACGCCTCTGAAGTACTCCCAGCCTCATCAGCCCACGCCGTCACACTTCTCTGCACCCGTCGATGGGCTCACCTTGACTGCGTACAATTCTGGACACACACTAGGTGGAACAATTTGGCATATACAATATGGAATGGAATCGATCGTATATGCGGTGGACTGGAATCAAGCGAGAGAAAATGTGATAGCTGGAGCTGCATGGTTTGGAGGGGTGGGAGGCGCCGAGGTGATCGAACAACTACGCAAGCCTACTGCTCTCGTCTGCAGTAGTGTGGGTGCGGCTCGCCTGGCGCTGTCGGGTGGCCGAAAAGCTAGAGATGAAGCCCTGCTGTCCCACATCAGAAGCAGCATCGCGAAGGGGGGCACTGTCCTGATTCCGACCGATTCGAGCGCGCGAGTACTTGAGCTGGCCTGGATCCTGGAGAAGGCGTGGTCAGATCCCTCGAATATCTCCTCATTGAGAAGTGCCAAGATGTACATGGCCAGCAGGTCTGGCAATGCCACTCTACGACATGCGAGGAGTCTGCTGGAGTGGATGGACGACAGCATAGTCCGAGAATTTGAAGGTGATGATGAGAACCCTGTGCAGACCCACAAAAGAAGTGGTAGTAAGCAAGTCAATGGAGCAACAAAGCCATCGAGGCCCTTCGAATTCCAGAACGTCAAGGTAGTCGAGCGAAAGAGTCAATTCGAGAAGCTGGTCAAGACTGAGGGTCCGCGAGTCATCATTGCAAGCGACCTGACGCTCGATTGGGGCTTCTCCAGATCCATCCTTGAGCATATGGCCCAGAGACCGGAGAATCTAGTCATTCTTACGGAACGAGTCGATGTTAGACCTGGTTCACACAGTCCAAGTCAAGTCTTCTGGACGTGGTTCGAGCAACGTCAGGATGGAGTTGCTCTCGAGAAGACGGGCACTGGTGAACAATTGGAGCAAGTTCACAGTGGAGGAAGAACACTCAAGCTCAAGAACGCAGAGAAGGCCAGCCTCAGCACCCAAGAGAGTCAAAGATATCAGCAATATATGGCCACTCAGCGACAAATACAAGACTCTCTTGCTGCCAGCGAAACAAATCAGCCGGATGCGGACGATAATATCGACGATGCATCAACATCATCATCAGAAGATGAGTCGGATGATGACGATCAACAGGGTCGTGTGCTGAACGTTTCAGCAGCGCTCGGTCATGGAGCTAGAAACAAACTGGCACTCAGCGACGAGGACCTTGGTGTCAATGTTCTGCTCCGCAAGAAGGGCGTGTATGATTTTGACGTGCGAAGCAAGAAAGGCAGAAATGCTGTTTTCCCATACACGCACACAAGAAGACGGGGCGACGAATTTGGAGACTTCATCAAGCCAGAAGATTTCCTGCGAGAAGAAGAGAAGGAGGAATTGGATGGTCTCAATGATAACAAAGCTGGAGGCCTCCTAGGCCAGAAGAGAAAATGGGAGGAGGCGGATAACGCGAAGGACAAGCAGCAGAAACGACACCGAGGAAACGTCTCTGGCACCAATGCTGGGCAAGAATCTGGGGACGAATCAGACTCGGATGGTTCAGACGCCGAGCTTCCCATGGATACAGAGGGAGTCCAAGGTCCTGCCAAAATTGTGTATACGACAACCGAAATCACCGTTAATGCTCGACTGGCATACGTTGATTTTGCTGGTTTACACGATCAGCGCAGTTTGCAGATGCTGATACCGCTTATCGGGCCCAAGAAACTCATTCTCATTGGCGGCAACTCCTCAGAGACAAGCTTCCTCGCATCCGATTGTAAGGAGCTCCTGGGCATGAAGGTCGCTGGAGCAGAAAATGAAGCATCGGCCGAAATCTTCGCACCTCTTGTGGGTCAAACGGTCGATGCAAGTGTCGATACCAACGCTTGGGTCGTCAAGCTGAGCCGAGAGCTTGCGAAAACACTGCAGTGGCAGAATGTTAAGAACATGGGCGTTGTCACGATACAAGGTCAACTTAAGGGCGAGGCAGACCATAATCTGGATATTCAGGACGATCCGCAGACCAAGAAGCAGAAATTGGACACAGAGTCGTCTCTTCAGACCGATCCTCAGCCCACTCTAGCTGTTCAGCCAGTGCTTGATGTCTTGCCTGCGCACTTGGCTGCCTCGACGCGATCCGTTTCCCACGCCATTCATGTGGGTGACCTTCGACTTGCTGATTTGCGAAGGATTGTGGCCATGGACGGCCATGTTGCGGAATTTCGAGGCGAAGGAACATTGCTTGTGGATGGGATGATAGCAGTGAAGAAACTCAGCAGCGGAAGAATCATTGTGGAGGGCGTGCCAAACGGTGCCACAACCGTGACTCCAACCACAGCAGACAACTTCACCAGAGTGAAGCAGAAAATCTATGCTGGGCTGGCTGTCGTTGCGGCTGGCTAGGACAGTATGACTGCACTTCTACCAATCCTCGTTTGCTTTCGCTCCGGTCACGCCATCGTTATACCCCCACCGCAGAAAAGCATTTCACCAGCTCATAGCCTTCTGGCCACTGCCAGCGGCTCAGTCACGGACGTGCAATCAGCCCGTTTGATGGCGATCAGGTATGCGCCAGTCATCCTTTGTGACATGGTCAAGGATAGCAATGAAGAGAGATGGCTGCTTCGCGTATAAGTATGTTCTGCCTGCCCGCTTGTGAGATCTTGATGGTCGTACAACTCGCCCAGTCAAACATCGAGCAATCTTGAGTAGCGACGCACAAAGCATATCGCAAGAAGTTCCTGATGGCCGGTTTACCACCTTTCTTCCCCTTTGGCATGTCTGCGCCGCCAGGGTTGTCCGGAAAGACTGCGTATCACTACTTCACCAAGGATGGAGGCCCTCCGAACAAAGGAGCACCTCCCAGTGGGTCTTCATCGTCCCAAGGACAGATGATGCCACCACCCTACTCATTCATGCCACCTTCTTGCGGAGCTCCGTCTTCTCAACCGGGTCCTATCTTCGTCTCACCCAGTTCTGGCTTTCCTGGAGCTGTATGCTTTCCTAATGGGGGACCACCACAGCCGCCGCAGCCGCCATCATGGTTTCCGCCACCGGCGCCTCCTCCTCCCGGAGGGTCAGGTGGAGGGTTCAACGTCCCAGGCGCGGTGGCCCATGCGGCAGCTCAACAACCCGAACCTCCAGTTAGTGGAAACCGTGTCAAAGATCGACTTCTTGTGGTCAAGGATAGCGGTGGTACCGGCTATGTGGTGCCCAAGCACAACGTGACCTTTCATCTCTTCACCCACAACATCTTGGACAAGTATCCTGTGAACACCAACAACCAATTATACATACCTTCAAATGCCTGTGAGCCTTTCCGTGTGATGACTGCCGCATGTTCGATGCCAATCGAGGAACTCATTGAGCAGCTCGATTGCATCAAAGACGCTCCTCCAGGGTATCCACGGTATGCCATTGGCATTGCAGAAGCGTTTGACTGCGGTAATGGATGGTTCCAAATCGGCACCAAGATACATTTGGACGAGTCCAAGGCATCCATGACCATCAAACAACTCTGGGGAGAAAGTGTGGGTGAAGCAGGAGAGACCAGACCGCGGTATCTGGTTCGTCTGCCGTGAGTCTCAAGCTTTCCATGACCAAGAGGGCAATTTTCCCAGCTGACTATTCCATTAGAGGCAAACAAGCCAGCTCTTAGCCTACCGCGGGAGCCGCGTATCAGCTTATGATTCCGAATCAGTCATGGATGAGGACAAAGCAGTTGTGGAATGATTATGAGCTTGTGCAGCGGACATTGGCGATTGAAAGAACTCATGACATGCTGGATCTATGCTGGCTTCAGTGTTCCTCAACATCTTGGGAGTGGTTGGTCGGCTACACACCCCTTGACTGGGTTTAGTCTTGCTTTTAGTGGGCGGACCTATTCATCTCAAAATCAATGACAATCCCATGGGTCTTTTCGCCGTCAATCTCTCTTTCCTATTTCGGCCATTATTTCAACCACTGCCCCTCCTCTGGTGACCCTCGTTTCTATCGTGATGCCCCTCCCAACGGCGCGCGGATTTCATGTTCATGCCAATCTCTAGGCAGTCAACCACGGCTGTACTTATGGAGTATTGTTCGCGGAACAAATCGTGATTGGATTCAACTGCTAATCGGCCCTGTTGGTCGTGGCCCGTCTTATCTCGTCGTCCAGTGGCTGGCCTTGTCTTCGTTGAGACCCACGTACTTTTCCCGGACCGCAATCACTATCTACTATAGTCCTCTTCGATATATATCATCTTTCTTGCCTCTCTGCCTTTCCCTTCCATACGTCTTCCTTTCGTGCCGTCTACAATTCTCACTATGGCTGCCCAACAACAAGACTTCTCAGACTCTCCGGCTACGGCCAAGTCATCCGTGCCTCATCCTTTGTGCCCATTGACCGCAGCGGAGTTGACCACCACTGCTGATTTGGTGAGATCAGTATGGCCATCCAACATTGACCTTCGCTTCAAGGTCATCACCCTCGAGGAGCCTCCCAAAAAGCACATGGTCCCTTATCTTGAGGCTGAACACAATGGATCTTCTCTGCCTCGGATCCCCAGAAAAGCATTTGTTTCATACTATATCCGAAACACTGTAAGCAGCAACTTTAAGCCGATATCTCTTCTGATCCTCTAACTAACACTATCAGGACCGATTCCACGAGGCCACGGTCAACCTCTCATCCGGCAAGGTTGAGAGCAATGCCCGTCTTGGACCAAACATGCACGGCAATGGTGATTACGACGAGATCCTGGAAGTGGAAAAGAATGCCTTGGAAGATGAGGGTGTCAGGGCTGCCATTGCCAAATTGCAACTACCAGAGGGCACTGCTGTTACAGCCGACCCTTGGATCTACGGTATGACCTAGATCTTGCTCTGGAAGCACCAAGTAGCTGACATGATCCAGGTTCTGATGGTATCGGAGATGACGAGCGACTATACCAAGTCTTCTTGTATATGCGAGATCCCGCCAACCCAAGTGAACTCGACTCCAACCACTACGCATTCCCACTCCCCATTGCCCCTGTCATCGAATGCAATGACTACAAAGTAATCCGCATCGATTACCTCCCCACCGGTGCCGACAACACCATTCATGAGCCACGACCGTATGAAGCCGTTCCACCCAACGAGTACATCCACGAACACCAGCAACTCCGCACAGATATAAAACCACTCCGCGTCATCCAGCCCGAAGGCGCTTCATTCAGCATCACGCCAACCGGCGAGACCGGTGAGATTGTCGAGTGGCAGAAATGGTTCTTCCGATTGGGCTACAACCAACGTGAAGGTATGGTCCTTTACGATGTCCGCTACGACGGTCGCCCACTGTTCTATCGTCTGTCCCTCTCGGACATGAACATCCCCTACGCCGACCCCCGACACCCGTTCCACAAGAAGTCTGCCTACGATCTAGGCGATGCCGGTGCCGGTTCCATGGCCAACAACCTCAAGCTTGGGTGTGACTGCTTAGGCAACATCCACTATGTCTCATCTGTGATCGCAGACGACAAGGGCGCCCCGGTTCCCATGGAGAACTGTGTCTGTGTCCACGAACAAGACGCAGGTATCGGTTGGAAGCACACCAACTACCGTACAGGCCGCGCGGCTGTCGTGCGCAACCGTGAACTCGTCCTGCAAAGCATCATCACTGTGTCAAACTACGAATATATCCTGGCCTTTATGTTCAACCAGGCTGGTGAAGTTATCTACGAAGTCCGTGCGACCGGTATCCTGTCGACCCAACCTATCGACCATGAGCTTGATCAGGTTGGTGTTCCCTTCGGCACAGTCGTGCACCCAGGTGTCCTTGCCGTGCACCATCAACACATCTTTTCTCTGCGTATCGACCCTATGCTGGAAGGCCACGAGAACCGACTGGTCTACGACGAGGCGCACGCCATGCCCCTCGACAAAGAATGGAACCCGCACGGCGTAGGCTACACAGTCAGCGAAACCGTCGTCGAAACCGCCAGCGGTCTAGACCTCGACCCGGACACAAACCGTGTCTTCAAGATCCAGAACCCGAACGTACGCAACCCAATCAACGGCAAGCCAGTCGCATACAAGATCCACGCGCCACCATTCCAGAAGATGCTCGCCCACCCGACGTCTTACCACCACAAGCGCGCCGAATTTGCCGACCACAACATCTACGTGACCACGCACCGAGATAAAGAGCTATACTCCGGCGGATGGTACACCAACCAGTCTCGCGGCGGCACCGGCGTACGCAGCTGGGCCGATCGTAAGGACAACGTCAAGGACGCGGATATCGTGGTGTGGGTGCAATTCGGTATCAACCATGTCCCCCGTATCGAGGATTTCCCCGTCATGCCATGCGAGATCCTGAAGGTGTCCCTCAAACCTGTCAACTTCTTCGACAAGAACCCGGCGCTCGATGTCCCTCCTTCGGAGCAGAGTTTCAATCAATCTACTATGGCGGCGGAGCAGCACCATCAGCCCGCGCAGGAACTCATTGTGGGTAAGGACACGTGCTGTGCGCCGGAAGAGAGCAAGAGCAAGCTATGAGTGTCAGAACGCAGCAAATGGATATTGATTTGGTGGCCGCCGAAAAGCGAACAATAGTGTCCAAACACGAAGATTAGAGTAAGATACCATATATGAGTATGCACAATGCCTTGATGCCGAGCCATTTGAGGTCGATACTTTACCAAATGTGTCGTGCCTTGTAGCCCATCGTCGCTCCCGTCGAGACACTCACTGTTCCCGCATCGCAGCCATGATAGGCTCCATATTCTGTCACCATATCAGCATCACGGTGCATGGTGCATGGTGCATACAGCTTACTGCCCCTGCCTCATGCACCTGGGTGAAAGAACAAGGAGATTACATACCGACCAAACACGACTGAACTTCAACCTCACCCCATCATCCCCATTCGGACTCTTGCTCTCAAGTGTAGCCTCATCGACCACGAACCTCGCGACAAACTCCTCGTTCACGGTCCTCCCGTTCCTCACACCCATTTCGACGCGCCCGATGACCAATAGATCCAAGCCCAATGCGTCGTGGGCGTACACTCTGAGCATTTCGTGCCGGCGCGAAGTGTAATCTATCCAGGCGTATTCGCGCGACTTGCGGATTTCGGCTGTAAGCACATGACGTGCGAAGGTCAGCTACTGTAAGGTATCTCCCGACGGGAACTCTCCCGTTCGCATCAATCATCGCTTGGTAGTCGCTGTTGCCATGACCATAACCATGACCATGGCTATGACGCATGACGATGATGGCCGCTGCGATACATCCCTCTCCATGCATACGAGGTATTGTAGAACATATGACATACCTTCACCGTCAAACCCAGGCCCCATCCCGAACATGACTCCATCTTTCGCAAAGACTTCCTCGGCGAATCTATGCCCGACGCTCGTATCCGGGATGTCCAGCAGGGAATAGAAAAGGGCGAGGAGCCGCTGGACCTCTGGCTTCACGGCCACCGAGGTAGGCCATGCTGTGTGTGCGGTTATATAAGACGAGGACATCGGGCGCTGTAAATGACGAATATCGAAAGAATACTGACGGGGAAGACATTCCAGTCATGTTGCACGTCATACGATGAACTCACTAGTGAGGTGCGAACACCGCACCTGGTTTTGATACATTCAACAAATTGTTACAGGAGAATGTCCCTTTTCCGAGAACATTGTCATAAAGTCATATACCAAAATTCCGGCTCATACTCCTACAAAAACCCTTCCCGCGTCCTATCCTGGTGCCCTGACCTCGGATCTCCAGAGGACGGATATGGTGGCCTCGAAGGCGACCTATTGTCGTACTGCCCATAGGGCTGTTGTGTTGGGTCTGCAGACGGCGAATATTGCGGCCTTGTTGCCCTGTTGTCATACTGTTCATACGTCTGTAGGTGTTGTTGCTGTTGTGTCGGAGGCGGATACGGCACAGTAGCGCCACCTTCTGTGGGATAGGGAGGATACGTCGACTGCGGAGGTTGATCGTATCGCGACATGTATTTATCGTCGTAACTCGAACTCGCAACGCCGATGTCGCTGTCCGGACTGTTGTCTCCACTGACTCTGACCGTCGGGTACTGTGAAACGGGCATACCCTGGCCATGGGCGAGCAGGACATCACCTTCTTCACCACCATAACGTGGTGGTGGAGCGTTGGCTCCAGTATATGGAGTTGGTACAGATAGTTTCGACAGTTTCTGACCTTCGGCGCCAAACTCGCTTCCCTGCGTGTTCTTCCTCGTCATGTTGTAGCTTGCATCTTCCATACGCGTCCTGCGACCCTTAAACAACCATCTTGCTCCGCGACCTGTCGCTTTCAGCATATCCCAGGCATTAAATGCATCGTAGATGGCTTTGACACCCATAAAGCCGCCCTGGAATTGGAGTTGGCCCTCTCCAGGCACCGCCTCAGACAACAATTCTCTCGAGCCGCGTGTGTAAGGTTTCCAACTGAAAGACCAAACGTGGAACGCAGCGAAGAACGCCATCTCGATGCACAGCAGGAGAGCTGGGATTCCCACCTTGATATCCGGTGTTTGTACCTTGTTGTTCGCTGTGATCACGCCCGAGCTGGTCAAAAAAGATATCAATGTCGTCTGCCAGAAACTCAGGAAAATGACGAGCTTAACAGCTGTGATCTTCAGCAAGGGCTTGTGCTGACGGATGTCATCCTTGATTTGATAGTAGAATTGGATCAGGGCATACATCGCAATCGAAACACCGACTGATTCGAATCCCATGATCCAAACATGCGAGAATGCTGGCTTGAGCGACTCTAGACAATACAGATCGAAGGATTGTGTGACGACTGCGACGATTGTGAAGAACACCCTTATGAAACAATATTGGAAAACGCAAACCCAGATTACCTAATAAATCGTCAGCACGTATTGGCGCAAAGAGATGTGAGAAAAACATACGTTGAACCAAGTGAGACCGCTTCGGGGAGTCCTCAGCCATCCGTTAGGCCCCCCAGCACACCTCTGCATCTGTCTTATGGGGAAAATCCAATTCTTTGGTGTGATTGTTCTGAAGTAGATCTTCTGTTGATGCAAGTCGGGCGCAATGTATGCGCAAAGTAGACTGAAGAAGGAAGCGATGGCGAAGGCCTCGTAACAATCTCGAATGACTTCAAAGTATACGCTGTGATTGTAGTAGTAGTATGAGAGGAGGGAAACGGCGGCGTAGACTGGGACCATGAAGAGGATGCGAATGATGTGTTTCTGCTCCCAAGGTTTGAGGTAATGTGTCGCGTGCATTCCTATGAGGAAGAAGGAGATGACAATGGCGATGAAAGTGAATATGCAACCGACCCCCAGACCAATGTCGTGAAATGAATAGCCATGCCATACTTTGTCTTCCGTGATCACCAAGTCCTCCAATGTGCTGTTGCATTTCGGCCAAGGCATCTTGACCGGTGTGTAGCGGTTTCCTCTCAATTGATGTCTTGACTGCGGTCGGATCGTGGTTTATATTCGTATTCGCATGGGTATTGCTCGGAGTAACTGTTGCGCTGGATGTTTGTAGGGAGAAGTCGAGGGCGCCAGGCCCAACGTAAAGCGTAAAGGAGACAGACGCGGAGAAGATGCCACGCGACGCGCTGAGGGCAAGTTCGTTTGTGGTGGGATCAGGCAATGAGACCGAGAGCGTATTGGGTGTGGCAGTCTGCACGATTGTACAGTAAGGCTTTGTGTGAGGTTTCTGAAGAAGGTTCTTTGTTCAAAGAGCGTGCATAAGGGAAAGGCGTTGACAAAGTGGTTCGTTGGCCGCACAGCTGCGCCGCAAAGATGACGGGGGCCGGGATGCGACTGGCGACACATTTAGCTGCAGCATGTCACTCTTTTAGCGTCTCTAGAGGGGGAGCGCAGGCCATTTAACGACCACCTAACGTTAGGCTTCACGCCTGATGGACACCAAACCGAGACCCTGAAACCTTCTTAATTTTATGCCCGGAACTGGCATGATTGGTTTGATCCTGTCATTGTGGCGCCCCTCAGCCTGTGCGAGGCTGCCTCGTCCTAAGTTCTCCTAACCTCTTCCCGCTCAGATCATGTGGCTGGGCTCTTCAGCGTAGGCCTAGGGAGCCGGGTAAGCAGCCATAGCTGGAGTGATCCATACTCCTCGTCGTTCGGTGCATCTCGTGTGTCTTCATACCTAGGTCCACCGAAATAGAGCCGATGAGGAGAGCTGTTAATCGTATGTGGAAGAACAAGTTCGTTCCATTCGAGTCATGCTTCAAAATATCTAAACCATATACACCCCGGGTATCTTGTGAATGCGGCCTTACAGAACCGACGACAATGATACAAACACTCCGTCAATATGTACAGACTCGCTGACAATTCGTCTGTGGCGCCACCAAGAGTCCCTATCCAGAGTTGAACTGGCTTCTGGGACATATAGCGTCTCATTTCGAACCCATCTGTTTCCCGGGTTTTTCGTGTTTCATAGCAGGCAGCAGGCTACCATGCAGTTACCAGGCAGTCAAATCGCCCACTTCCGCTTCTCCAAACGTGCTGCTCTTGGTCATTGTGCCCACTCCAGCTTGCGCTTCATTTTCTGTTCCTCCAATGCCAGGCTTGCCCATGATATCCGGCAGGTTTTCGCGGAAGAACGACAGCAAATAATTGTTCACTTGCTCAAACTGCAACAGAAAAGCGTCGTGGCCTTCCGGGCTGTCGATTTTGCCTAGCCGTGCGTTGGGTATGCATTGAGCAAGTTCTTCCTGCTCGGCAATCGTGAAGAGTCCGTCGGTCTCGATGCCCAGTACCAGAGCGGGTTGTTCAATTTGCGCCAGCGCTTCGCTGACACTCGATGCCCTGTTCCGGGATACATCATGAGTATCAAGCTTGCGTGTGATGGCGATATAACAATTCGCATCGAACCGCCCGACAAACTTCGTGCCTTGATACCGCAGGTATGACTGGGCAGAGAAGTAATGGTTTGTAGGCCGTGAGGTTTGTCGTCTGGGAGCTGGTGCGGGCACAGAGAACTCCGTGGTACCTGTGAACTGAGGATCTTGGAAAGTCTGTGTTTGTGCTTCCGCTGGCGAATTTGTCTGCGACTGTGGTTCGGAAATCGTGCCGTTGCGAGAAGCTGGTCGAGAACCTTTCGCGCGTCGATGACCATCATTATGAATCGACCAATGCTCATTTGAATTCGAACCATTCTCCTGATTTATGTTCTGTCTCTTGGATAGGTCGGGTGTGTTTCTCCCGAAGCGGGATTCAAAAGAGTCGCGACTTCGATAGGTAAGGAGTGCTGACATGCGAGCGGCGCCCAAGCCAGCCGTGGGAGGATCCTCAATGTCATAATATCCATCCTCATATTTCGGATCAGAATATATTGCTTGTCGTTGTGCTTCACCCCAGCTGATGCCCCAAGCACTGTGCGTTGCTGATGTCGCGATCGGTGCTATGCACCGAACATAGTCTTTGCCGAAATATGCGTATTCGAGACATAGCATGCCGCCCATAGAACCACCCACCACCGCCGCTATCTGACGGATGCCGAGGTGGTCGAGGATAATCTTGTGTATACTGTATTTGTCAGTGCCTTGCTCACAGCTAGGTGCAATCTGACTCACTTGACATCGTCTCTTATCGTGGTCAGAGGGAACTCTGGACCGTATCTTCCCATCTCGGGGTTTCCATCCTTATTTGTCACAGGACTTCCACTGCCGTATGGACTTCCCAAGCTGTTTAGACACACAATGAAGAATCTCGTAATGTCAAAGGCCAGACCTGGTCCTCCCAGTAATGGACCCCACCAATCGGCCACATCGGCGCTGCCACTGAGGGCATGGCATATCACCAGTGCGTTGTCTCGATTTTCAGAGAGCTGCCCCCTGGTAGTGTATGCCACAGGAACATTTTTCAGAACAACGCCGGACTCGAGGATGAAGGATGGTACAATGGCGTAATCTTGTTCGCCAACCAGTTTTGCGAACGGGTTTTCAGGTTGGTCTTTGGCACTCTCTACGGGATTTAGTAGCCGTTCAAACATGACACGCGAGGGTGAGAAGGGAAGGGGAGGGTGGGAGACACTGACGGAGTTGTACAGCGGGAGACTGGCTCTCGCCGTTACTTGCTGTGGAGGCCATGATGCACACGAGTGGAAGCCTCGTCTGTCGCATGCAAAGACTGTTGTGAGGAGGTTACTTTTGGTCGCAGATGTGTGAGATTTATGTGAGATCCATTGGCGATGACTCGAAGGTCTTCTCCAATGCTTGATGAGTCAACCAAGGTGCAGTCGTCTTTTGGGTGGATACGAAGCAGAAGATGGCTGACTTGACGGTTCCTGGAAACAAATTTTATGAGTAACTTGCTTCCACAATTGCCGGCCCCCATTTCTGTATCGGCATTGTTAACGGACTCGCGGAGTAAGTAATCCGATAAGCAATCACATCATCCCAAGCCTCGGTAAGGGAAGCGAGCCTGGCACGCTGCACTGAGTACACAGTACATCAGGGAGTCATAATTCTTCGAGTCTTCATGGGTTATGACTTTTGTATGTACATTCCGTTGCTATGCTCCAAATTCGTATGTTAATGCATCTTATACTGCGCCTAACCGTCGCTCAAATGCCAGATTTTGTGTTGTAGAGTTTCTTTTCTCACAAATTCAACTTAAACCTCGGGTGGTTTCTAATCCTCTCGCCGTATTTGTTGAAGAACCAGATCATGGGACTCAAGGCCATACAGATGAGGGCCAGCATGGTATTTCCCCATCCCAGACCAAGGGACGCTGCAAGATTTCGACCTGCTAGGGGCAAGAAGGCTCCTCCTACACTGCGAAGTACCGTGTTTGCCGCCATCGCACTCGCCGCGTACGTAGTATAGGCATCAACCAGATATGTTCCCACAGGCATAAAGGACATGATCATCCCTGCTCCAAAGATAAACGTACCGATGAGCGGAACGATCCATTGAACCGCATACTTCGCACTCCAACCATAGATGAGGAGTCCCATGGGCACGAGCACGGCACCTGGCCAAAGTAGGGGAAGACGGTGCTCTGCCTTGAGGGCGCCACCTTTGGCCCACTTCTTGAGCAGTCGGTCCGAGAAAGCCCCAAAAGCAGTGAGACCAGCGAGTTGTCCCAGGCCAATGCCAAGAAAAACCAGCCCAACATTGCTCGAACTGATGCCGTACTGGTCTTCGAAAACGAAAGTGATGGTCGTGAACATCAGATACAGATAACCGTAGGTGACTGCGATGTATAATGATAGGCCGAAGATGATAGGTGAACGGAAGAGCATTTTCAGGGGCCGGACGATAGATAGGAAGAACAGCTGTCGAGGTGATTTTGGGGATTTGAGGGCGGACCTAAGCTTCTCATTGCCCGTCTCCTTTCGAAGCCTTGCAGCTTTACGTTCCAGGAGAACAGGCGGGTACGTCTCCCGTTGGAAAATGACCGTCAAAATCAGTAAGATTCCGGTCTGTCCGTGGTCAGCGTGAAAGACTCCCAAGCAAGACTTGACATACAATGATGGCCAGAAGATAGAAATCCCATCTCCATCCAGCTGCTTCGGAAAGGTAAGATCCTACCACAGGACCGAGACTGTCGAGGGTCAGATATGAACGGGGTGCGCGCCAGTCCCATGCGATGAGCTGGCTCGATACCGGGTGGATGCATACCTGGGTCCAAACAAGATCGGGAAACTCCATATTGACATGACTTTGCCACGTTCCTCCTGTCTGAACGTGTCTGCAATGCTTCCAGAACCCACAGTGATCGGAGAAGATCCAGCGACACCGGCGAGGAACCGAAAGACGATAAGCATCGGTATGCTGGTCGACGTGGCGCACCCAATCGTGAAGGCGAGAAATAGGAATGTATTGACATGATACACAGGGATGCGACCGTAGAGCTCCGAACAGGGAGCAATCTGTGGTTCATCAGCATCTCTTCTCAACCATCTCAAGCGATCCGGAATGAAGTTGGTCCTTCATCTGGATGGTTCGACAAGAAACGTACAATCAATGGTCCAAAGACATATCCAAGCACATAGACCGACACGACGAAAGACGCTATTGCGACACTGTCTTCGTTGAACTCCTCCATTACCAATGGTACACCGGGTGCAAATGTCGATGATGCAAACGGTCTAAGAAGGCGGTCAGCATGGGACTCGCGTGTCTTGACTTTTCGAGGGCAACCAACGTCAAAAAGGTGATCGATGACAAGAATGCAATGTTCGTCCATTTTTTCAACGCCGTCCAGTTCAATGGGTTCTCAGGATCATCGGGACCGTCCCAGTTGACCACGTTGGGGTCGGTGGTCACCTCGACAGTAACGGCAACATCGCCGTCTTCATGTTTGGACATGACTTTTTCCAGATCGCTGGGTTCCATACGGACATACCCATCTTGCTGGGTATCTGAACTGGCCCGATGTGAGGAGATGGCGTCCACCTGTACTGGCTTTTCCGTGAAAGACATGCTGGCGTCGTCTCTGGCCTGCTCCAAAAAGACGAAGGAGCGCGCAAACAAAGATTGGCAAACGTTATTTCATGACTGAATCACACAGGAGATGCCAGGACAGTACTGTACCTACCGCGTCACGACTATTGGGGGCATCCCGAGGCACAAAGCGCGAAATGCATTCCCATTTTTGCATCGAATTGCCGTGGCTTAAGTTGGGCCACTTTCATGGCTCTTTGAGCCGCCCATAGCGGCTGAGATGGGGTAGATTTTGACCTGAACGGACTTGACGGTTAAGACGGCACACAATCTTGCGGGGCAGGGGAGATTCCTCGATATGTCAAAAGTCGGTCACCCAACTTCCCCACCATCACCCGGATTTTGCATCAGGCAAGGCATAGCAGGCTAAAATAAATGTTGGAGATGGCGAGGGCGAGGGTGGCCGTCTGCAGGGATGTTTACCCTACTGGATGCATTTGCCCAGTTGGGCAATTGTGGCAGGTACTGTATGTACCTATCACCAAAGTGGCCAGGTGCCTTCAAATCCTTTTTCATCCATGTCCATTGCAATAGACGGGTATGTTTTGCTCTTCATAGCAATCACTTTGGGCGACATATTATCATTACAGATCATGTCCAGTATGGCGCCTTGAGCCCCGTCAAACTATCTAAGATACTCGCTTGATCGGCGGCATCATCTTTCTTCCTCTGCCCACTCAGCTCCATCTGAATGGCACGGTGTACGTGGACCAGCCAATCCACATAACTCTGTGCTTCGTTATTGCGGTCTTCGACGAGCATCCGAGCATATTCGAACTCCGATCCATCCAATCCCTGTCGGGCTAACGTGAATGAGGCAGATTTGCTGCCACGTACCGTCGAAATGTACTGAAGCAGGTTGCGTACCTGGGCGTTCAAGTGAGTTTCCAGCACCGGGAGCTCGTTCATCATGGGATCAAGCTCCTGTAGACCGGTCTTGCCTTCGCCAAACAAGTCTTCCAAGAAGTTCGGGGATACTTGCGAATGCAGCCAAATCAGTACAATCTGCCCATTGTCTACCAAATACACCCCGCCCTCCTCGACCCTAGCAAAGGAAGCTCGCATGGTCGGCGGAACAACAAGCTGCATTGTCTCTGGGTTGGCGAAGCAGTCTTCTGGAACCAGATTGTGCAAAGCATATATCCTGGGATAGAGATACAAGGCTGTTTCATTTACACCGGAAGATCTCATGAAGCGTGCCGAATGTACACGACGATCCGTGGGCTCCACGCCACCTATAAAAACAGTGTAAGCAAACAAAAGCTAGCCACGGGATGCAACGAAACATACCTTTGAATGCTCGGCTTTTGATGAGCCCCAGCATGTAGATGGCGAACTCTTTGAGATGCTCTGGGAGAACCAACTGTCCCGGTGGATGTGAACCAGAGAAGTTTTTGCGGTAGGCAGCCAAAATGTCGATCGTCTTCTCGGTGATACCTGCACGGAGATCCTTGAGTGACTTCTCCGAGACTTTGGCAGCTGCTTCCTTTGCGATAATATTTACAACGGCGTCTTGATCGACCGTACGCATGGTTTCCGTGGCTCCTTCGCTGATGCCAGCGACCACGTTGATGCACCTCACTCTTCTCTGCCCTGTAGCAGAAGTATAGAGGAGGGCAGCCTGGAAATGGGCATCCTGCTTGGCATCCAGCTTACCATCGTAGGAGAACGTGACGCCAATAGCTTTGTCAGCATCGATCGTCCCAATCTCCAAGTCAGCGCCGAAAGAGTGCTGAAGAAACGAGCCGTGATAGGATGAGACCTGCAACCCGTTGGAGCATCTCACTTTCATCAATGCTTGATATCCAGTTTCTCGGTGCACAGCATGTTTGACCTCCTCCTGAAGTTTGAGCGAGTCCCGTGGCGACACGAAGTTGGGGTAGAAGAACATCTCTCCACCAGTCAACCGTGATAGATGCCCGATAGTGGCTACATCCACGTAGGCACCTCCAGCTGCCGCAAGGAAGAAATCGACTCCTATCCCCGCCGTCACCATCGCGCTCGCAGTCTTCTTGAAGCCGGGATGTTCTGTGGTGAAGAGTCTTCTTTCAGCGTCCGTGTCACGACCTTTGCCGTCATCTCGCATATGCAATTTCCCGGGTCCCCAAGTTGGCAAGGTAGATAGGGAACAGATGACTTTTCCTCCATTCGAGGCCATCGCTGCCAGAGCAGCATTGAGAGCCGGTAGTAGAGCGGGTTCTGGATTATTGGTCATCAAGAACATGGTGGGAATTGCGTTGAGAAGGGTGGTGATGACCTCCTTGGACTCTTGCGGGTCAACAAAAAGTCCACTTGATAAAGGCACAAATGGGTCATCAAGATCTGTCATGACCATCATCTGAGCATTTCCAAGCCCTGCAGTCAAATTGTAGAATTGGATTTCTGTGTCATATGTGACAATGCCCACCTTGCTGCCTGCCGGCAGTTTAGGCAGACTTGACTCCTCCGCCGTATCTTCTCTGTCGTGGCCATATAGTGCATCCAGGATACCTTGACATACAGAAGATAGCAGGCCTCGCTTGATGGCTTCTTGTGTGATGTCAATCAGGAACAGCCACCGCAGAGGCTCGGGTTGTTTCGTATAATATTCCTTGGGCACCAAGAACTCGACAGTGCCCATCATTAGTTCCGGTCGTTGCATGCGATCGACTCTAATCCCAGCCACGTCTGTAGGGGCGAAATATTCAGGCGGAACATCGTTCGGAAAGTTACACATATTGCAGACCAACTTGTTCCCACCAGATCTGAACGTCATGAAAGGGTTGACATACGTCCTACACCGCCGGCATCGAGGAGGTCCGATGTCTCCGAAGTCGAGGACAGGTACCGGCTGCTCTCCTTCTTGTAGTGCTGCCAACGGCTGCAGCACAAGTCCAAGAGGAAGCCCTGTCGAGGTGAGAGCCTCGGATGTCGAGGGGATGTTGTTTACCGTCAGCCGTGCAAACTTCGGAGCTGAGTTTCCTTGATCGTGGGCGACAAACGGTACGGCAGCGGGTGGTGGAAGGTGTTTCTCCATCGTAGGATAGACATTGGCCTGGTAGTATTGTGTCCCGAGATCTCGTGCCCTCGATACACTTGGTATCTGCTCAGGATCCACGCGACCTTGTGTCGTTACAGCTTCCTCGCCCATCCGCAGCTTGTCTCCGGAATTGACGAACGTACTCTGCGGGGGCTGACCTGGGACTGCGCCCGCAACGGCCTGTGCCTGGTTGAAGAATTGAGGACTGCCTGTCGTCGGAGGTTGGACGACGCCAGGCGGCGGTGCAGTAGCAGGTGCCGGTCCAATGTCATGGTATGCATGTCTTTCTTTCTTGCGATGAGATCGTGCCGGCGCACCGGACACGTCCAGACCACCCATTTGTGCACTTAGACCGTTCATGGCATCCTGTTGAGGAGGCATTTGCGCCGACAGTTGACCGGAATAAGCTTGTTGTGGATGGGCGTACATCTGCTGCATGGGCATCGTACCTGGCTGCTGGTACCCTGGCTGTGGGGTCACAGAAGGAGGGATGTTTGGGGAGTATTGCTGGGTTCGAGGGTCGCTGAACCTGGGATCTTGGTATGGTTGGCCAGGACCGCCGGCGTACGGTCCTCCATAGTTGGCCATGTTTTAAGGAAAAATGATCGGAGGGGTCGGGTCAAGGCGTCGTCGTTCTTCGCTTCATAGTGGCATGCGCTGCAGGGCGAAATCGATGGGAAGAGGTCGACGAACAAGCGGGCGTGTGTAGCAGTTGCCCGACGGTGTCCCGTAATGACGGAAGGTGAGTCGCGGTGAAGTGGCGTAGGTGGCCTCCGACTGTAGGACGAAGTGACTGATTGGAAAAGGACTTGCTCATCAACATAGGCCGCAACGCTTGGTGTGAGGTGTCAAGTTTGCGGTTTTCCTCCAAGATATCGGCACGTCTGACGCGGTCAGTAAGACGCGCCATCTTGTCACCAACCAAGATTTTCATGCCTATCGACAGCTCCACAACTGGTCAGGTGGATTGTTTATAGATGTCATTACAGTTCAGTATTCGCATGGGATGCTGTATCACCTCATCAGGGACTAAGGTAAAGTAGAAGGAATACGTTGTAAATGCTTAAACATTGGTGGAGTAGTAAAACAGTCTCTCCAAAGATATCTGGCGTTGCAGCAGCACCCTGTAAACCAGCACCGGAGACTGCCACCCGTTTGATGCTGCTTCCAGATCCGCCCTCGATTCCAAACCTTGAAGCAGACACGGTCAAGCTCCTCGTCGCGGTCTCTTGCTTTCACTGGCGACTCTTGAACCGCCTCTGCTGCCCGCTCCTGGCCCAGGACCGCCGGCATACGGGGGCCCATCTTCACTTCTGCCATGCTTTCTCGAAGACTGTTGATCATCCCGAGGTGGTCCACCAGATCTTGGATATCCTCCTCTCCGGTCACCGCTTTCTTGTGGGAACTGCTCTCTCCGACTTGGCCTCTCATCCTTGCGTGAATTGTCTCCGGGCCCATGTCTGTCTTCCCTGCTATCACGATTGTCCCGATCGCCGCGATGATCCCTGTCTTCACGCGCATCTTCGTGCCGACCCGAATGGCGAGTCGGCCGTCTCTCTGACCCACGATCGTCGATCACGTCACTCCTACGGTCTCTGTTGCTATCATGACGCGTCGTAGGTGGCCTGGATGCTACAGGAACATCGTTAGGATTTTGAGGTCCAGGTCCAAAGAGGTCCTGCTGTTGCGAGTACCCACTGGCCCCATAAGCCGCAGGAGGGCCGCCAGGTGGTGGAGGTGGTGGCGGTGGCATGCCAGCTGGACCGAACGCGTCAGTGGATTGCCTCGAACCTCGTCCACGAATGCTAGGTCCATTTGCCTGAGCAAGCGTATTGTTGACAGCATTGATTGGATGACGATTATTTCGTCCGCCGCGTCCTCCCATATCATTTGCAAGCGGCCCTGATGGTGGACCTCGGGAGTTCGGCGAAGGCCCAGAAGGAGCACCAGGAGGAGCATTACCCCTTGGTCCTGCTGGAGGTTGGCTTTGATGCGGAGACTGAGGTGGCTGATTAGACCGTGATTGCTCCGTTGTCGAAGGCTCGATCTGACCCATACGGGACGGATGAATACCAACAGCGTCTGCAGGCGTTGCTGGAGTCGATGGTGCTTCGTTATATGAAGCATTACGCCCATGGCCCCGTCTCGCAGGTCCAGTAGGAGTTGGCCTATCGGAAGCAGCGTTTGCAGGGACCTGTGTATTGAGTGGAGGTGCCCTTACTGGACCGTTGCTTGCTGATGACCTACTACGAGGGCCAGAGGGAACTTCCGTCTCGTGAGGCCGTTCAGGACCACGCGCAATCGGAGGACGGTGTGAGGGTTCCTGCTCAAGGCGACCATGCTGCATGTCGACTGGCGGTGGCTGTCTGGAGTCTCTCTTGAACGCTCCATGCGTGCTAGCACGAGAACTTGGCCCCATCGCGGAAGGTTCCGTCGTCGAAGAGGCATGGGAAGGTGGTCGTGAAGCCGCCGAGTCTGGTCGATTACTCGGATGGTTTCGGTCATCTGCATCACGGCGCGAGTGTGTCCTCCTGTCCTCCTCCCTCCGTGGTGAGCTGGGGCGCGATGAACGTGACGACTTGTCAAAGCCTGGGCCTCGAGTCGCTGAACTCGAACGCTGGTCTCCACTCCCTTCAATAAGTGCAGCACGTGCTGGATTAATGGACACCTGTGGCGACTGTGCTCCCTCTCTTGGATTGTCTTGATCAACGGGATCTCTCTTCTGAGGAGGCTGGCTTGTTGGTGCCGGCAGCTCCGACGGTGGAGGGCGTGATCTTGGCGTAGGTTCTCGATTATCACGCGTACGATCGACAGACGAAGGGGGCCGAAGGGGTTGTCTGTCTCTTTCCTGCGGCGCTGCTCGATCGTATGGAGTGCTTCTGTCGTGCTCGCGGCCATAGCCTCGTTCGTCCCGGCCACCACGTGGTGGACCATCTGGTCTCTCATATCTCCGGTCATGGCGGTCAAATTCGTCCAAAGGAGGCTCAGGGCCACGGTAGCCTGACCTTATATCTCGACTGTGACTGCTTCGAGGATCAGCAGCGGACCTGTGTGAATCACTCTGTAACCTTGACGGTGCACGAGGACTGTCCCGGCTACCGTTGCGTAGATCAGGAAGCTCTGGACGACTTGGAAGGCTTGGTTGGGTTGTGCGAGATGGCGGAGGTGAGGGTCTTCTCGGAAGGCTCTGTGGTCTCGAGGCTTCCGAGCGTAGAGATCTTGTGTCTGGTCTGGCACCTGAAGTCGTGTCGGGAGGTTGCCTAGTAGGTGTAGAAGCGCCGTTCGGAGCCACGGCTCTAGGCGGCGGTGGTCTAGAAGCTGGGCGAGATCCCGGCTTGAATGGCTCGGCCTTTGCATCCAGGCCAACAGACTTTTTGGAATCATCAACAAGCTCTTTCTTCCCTGAAGCTTGCTTCTCCTCGGTCTTCACAGGAGCATCTGTCATGGCAGAATCCTTGACCTCGCCATCTTCGCCATTGTCGACTTTGATCTGTGGAGGTTTCGTGTCTTGTTCTCCTGCTTGCCCTTGTCGGAATGCTTGTGGGTCCATCCACACTTTCTCCCTCCTATGCAGCGCACCAAGCAGAGCCTGTGACGAGACCTTGAGATCTTCCTTGTCCGAGTCGTGGAGCTTATCAATGGCTTTTTGTAGTCCAGCTCCATGAGCGTTGACCACCGGGTAAACTGCAGAGATGGACCGTAGGATAGAAATTGCGTTGCGCACATGCATGTACTCCGGCGAGCCAATGCACTTTTGCAAGGCAGTGTACAAGTTGGCATGCCATTTGTAGAGGACCCTGCGGAAGCTTTCAAAATCCAGAAGGGACACGACCTTTCCAGCTTCGACTTTCATGGCGAACCCAGGCAGGTTCTTCTTGCTACCCCATGCCTCTCTTTCGTACGTTGTCTTGGAGCTGTGCCATCTTGACAGATCTTTCAGCACCTCGTTGAGGAATCTACCAAGATTGTCTGCTTCTTGCGATGTGCACATGAAGATGAGCGATACCAGCCGAGGCGTCTTGAAGAATAGATCGTAGAAACCGAGCGTTCTGAAATTGGGAGTACCGGCACCATGCAGAAATTTGACAAATTTGAAGCAGAAATATGCATCCAGTGGGGAAGACAAGAGTCGTGGAAGGAAGCAGTGCTCCATAAGCGCTGTGTTGAGTTGCTTGTCCATTCTGGCTTTGCCAAGAAACCATTGGTCTTTTTCGCGTTGTAGTCGAGCCTTGCTCTCGGCAAAGGCCTTGAGGTGCTGCTTGTTCTCAACCAACAGCCGGTCGACAAGCTCTGTTATTTCCTTCTTGGCCAACTCTTTCTTCTTGGTCCCAGAGACGCTCACGTCCGACCGGTCGCCCGATATAGCGGCAATCTTCTTGTGCTGGCGTGACAACTCGTCTTCATATGACTTGCCCGGTATCGTGATGTCGTAGAGTGACAATTGCCAGAAAGTCATGTAGAAACCGGTACCAATACTTTCGACCACTTCATCAGATAGAGATGGCTGAATGGCTGTCATCAGCTCTTTCATCACAGGATGCCAGCAGTTATCTGAGGGTGTTTCGGTGGCAGCCGGTGTTTTGCCACCAGTTTCGAGGTCCAGGTTTGGATCCATGGCATCACTGTCGGCTGGGGTCTCATTTGCGGCGTCCGTTTCCACAGCCTCGCCATCCTCTTCAGATCCGCCATTGATTTGATCGGACATCTCGATGTCTCCATTGACTGCCTTGGTGTCACTCACGTCTTCAATACGTTGGTCTTTACCATTTTCTCGGTCGAGCTCCTGCATTTGTTTGGAAAGGACGGGCCGGCTAATCCAGAATGCAATTTCTGGGCGAATTTCGTAGTCGACAAGAAGACTGACAACATCAGGAACAGTTGAGCGGAAATCCTCTTGCGACAGGTTTGCTCGTAAAAGGTCAAGGTACTGGACCATGACGCGATGGATCTCATCATAGGTGTTTCCTATAGCCTTCAGCGGCACATCACCTTCTTCAAACACGCAAGCTTGCTGTTGCTGAGCCATGGATATCAAGAACTTGGCTGCCAAACCAGTATCTTGAAGTGACTTCATCAATCGCTCTGAGGTCTTTTTGGAATCGTGCCTCGTGTCAAGCAGTTGCAGAATGGTTTGAGATTGCAAGAGAGGTCCACCACCCATAGCTTGTAATTGTGCGTCGTTGTAACTCGTGTCTGTGGCGATTCCACCCATAGCTAGCACGATTTGCTCCAACATCTTGAGATCAGTGGTGTTGCCGTGCTCGACTTGTTCCACGACATATTGCAAGATTGGTCCCGGCCTCATCATGCCATATCGTTTGTAGATTTTCCCGGCAAAATGGGCAAGAGCTGATAGCCAACGACTAGTGAACATGCCACCTTCTTGAGTCCGGCTTCTTCCTGCCTTTGCCATTGAACTGACAATTGCCCAGGTAAGGACATCGTATCCAAGGTCGGTAAAGTAGCGTGCTCCTTCGACGAAGACTTCCGCAATACTGTCGTACACCTCAATTTGAGTCAAAGCTGTGGTGATGACGATGTGAGGGTTGGCGAAGGCAATTTTCGCTAGTGCTCGAGCCATAGGTCGTATATTGGTTTTGGAAATACGCTTGAGGATGTCCTTCGTCTCTGCTCGGGCTTGATCAAAGGCTGATTTGATGTCGGGATTGCGAGATGTTCTGCCCGACACCCATTCAAGGTACATCAGGTATCGAACGCTGACAGGGAAATTGCTGATCAATTCGAACACTTCATTGACCACGCCAGCATTTGACCTCGTCAGGCTGAGGGCAGGCAATAGTATGCGTTTACTCAAGTCCAGCCAGCGTGAGCGATTGTTGTCTCTTTTGTCGGCCAGTAAGCTGTGCTTGCCAATGCGCGCGATCTTCAGCAGCAGGCCGGGATCCTGGCCGATCTTGACACCAACAAGAGGCAACAAAGTGTCGCAGAGCGTGAAAACATCGTCAACAGTTTGACATATCGGGATGTTATCGTTCCACTCGTCCCAGTAGAAGCGGTAATCTGTACCATCTGCGCTGTCATTGCGATCCAGCAAAGCCCATCTGAGCACCTTCTTTTCTGCAGCGTCGACAATCTTGACCTGCCCCTTCTGGAGGCCTGGGATATCAGTTTCGTAGCTGGGCTTCAGTTCGTGAAGAGTGGGGCGATCCTTCAGTGGTCGTACGTCACCATAGACCTGACTCAGACAATGGTGCAATATACGGTGGACGTGCTCGGGTAGTTCAGGAATGAGGTCAACCAACCAAGGGAAACGACCCAAGATGAAAAGAGCCTCGGGAAGCGCACCAATGGCAAGTAGACTCTTCAGCAAAAGCACCTTCTGGTCAGCAGGCTCGTTGGAGTCCTTCGTAGAGAGTTTGTCGGCCTCGGGCTCTTTAGACGGAGTACTGGCACGGGTGGTCGTCTCTCTGAGCCGTGACGGGACAGGCGGGGCAGTGTCATCCACAAGTGCGCCTGCCATCAGCAATGCATTTCTTGCACCAGCCCCAGGTCTCGCGGCTCTTTCTCTTTCTGCTTTATCTTTCATCTTCTGTTGTTTCAACTCCTCCATGTGTTCGTCGGTCCGCCAAATGTGGGGATAGAGGTCTTTGAGGGAGATAAACCCGATTTTGATGAGAAGTGCAGAGAGATAGATGAGGTTGTCTGGCAGTACGTCTGTCTCGTCTCGTGCTGAAGACGAAGAATAGAATCGAAGTTTGAACCCCAACAACTGTGCGGCGTCGCGATTCCCGCTTGGAGGGACAGTGCCAGTTTCTCGAACCCATTGCGCTAAGAGATCGTCTGCCGAAGATGAGACAGCCGAATCGAGCTGGTCTTGGGAGGCTGGTGATCTTCCAAGAAGATGGAATGCACGCAGGCCTAGTTCTTGGGCCTGAGGCCAGAAAGCCTCATCACGCTTTCGGCTCTCGGTTATAACTGCATCCTTCTGATCTTCGCTGAGATGCCAACCCTCGGAGCCCGGAAGTGCCCATAGTGGAAGTCCGGTGAGAATAGTGTGTTTTCGCGTAAATGTAGATGAACGTGGCCACCACGGACTGGCGCGGAGGAATTTGACAAAGAAGCGGAACTGCTTGACGAGCACTGCTCCAAAGACATCGAGAACGACATCAAGACTTCGACCGACGTCTAAATCGAAAGCACCGATCATTGCTTTGACCTTCTCAACCGTCTCCTCAACTACCTCCGCTGTGGGTGGTTCGTTCCCGCTGGTGGTAAATAGCTCCGTCATCAATTTTGCGAATCCTTCCGACTCTTCTCGTATAAGATTGAAGTTGGCTTGGCGATACAAGAGGTTCGTCTGTTTTCTTATGTTCATCCGGCCGAATGTATTCCTGATAAGATCCAACTTTTCAAGTAGTGGTGCATCGAACTCGAGCCGAAGCAAATCGTGGGGTATCTCGGTCGTCACGATGAAAGCAGAAAGGCGGTCGATTGGCAAGTCATATTTTGCCTCAAAGAAGGTCGAAATAGCATCGAGTAGGGCCATTTGAAGAGTCGTAGGAGTGGCCATAGGCTGGCCATCGCCATTTGGCTGCTCTGTCTCGATCATGGTCTTGACCAGTTTTCCTGCGTCAAAGGGATCCAATCTTCCAAACACCACAGATTGACATATCTCTTCCATGATTTCCGAGATTTTGGTTGTGTCGTCCTCTTGTAACGCAGCTATGCCTTGTCGTAAGACATCCTCACTACCGCCCTTGCCCCATGTATCGCAGGCTTCGGTCGTCACATAGGTGTAGTTGTAAGGTTGCGCCTCTTTTGGAGGATCTGTGAGTTCCGGAATGGAAGGAGCAGAATCCTGTGCTGTAGTCATGGCGCTGTCGGTGTTGCTAGACTCGACCTCTACAGATGAGTTTGTGGATGGCACTGTGGTTCCGTCAGGCCCGTTGACCGGAGACGACACGTCGAAACCGCCTCGGCCACCTCGAATGGATCTTCTACCACCTCTACCACGGAATTGCGCGTTGTCGCGCTCATTGCTTGGGGACTGAGAATGGCCCTGTTGGGCAAGATTCAGGCTCGCGGGTCGATGCGGCGAGGGACGGGAATACTGCTGGTCATCGGAGTATGTTCTGTCCCCTCTCTTTCTTTTACCTCCGCCGGGAGGTGGCATTCCTGACACTCACAGCTGGAAACCTCCGTCGGTGGTCCGTGGATCGTCCTCTGCGTTGTCTCATGAGGTAGGCTGCAACATTCGAACTGGAATGAAAAGGTTGATATCAGCGACAATGGCAAGGCTGTTGTCAGGCTGTGTAGGACCACGTAGCCAAGCAACTGCCTCGGAATGAAACGTTGGCTATTATGGGTGGTGGTGATGTTTCTCTCTGAACTTGCATGCGTCAAAATGCCAGAACGAGCAACGGGAATCAGATTTCTTGGAGCCCGCGCCGACGGTCACGTGAAGGCCTGTACTAAGCTTAAGTGACGAGGCTACGATTTGCGGGGGTTGCCTTCACCATTTCAACCATATTCGTGGGACATGAAGCCTTGCTATCGCTTCTCATTTGGCGCTCTATCTCTCTATCAACTCTACGTTACGTCGTATGGGATCCTTTGTATATACTAGGTACGTTCATCCTATCAGCCTGTAAACTTCGTGATGCGCGTATAACGCTGTCGCCGTTGTCCGGGGACGAGTGGCGTGCTGCGTCTGTTAATTGTGTACCATGTATAGCGTCGGCGGCACTGGCAGTTGATGCCGTTGCCGAGCCCTGTGGTGCGTACTGCTGGCAGTTGAGTGCTGGTCAGACACCCGTGCCTCTCTAAGTCCACACCTGGACCTTCTTAAAGGTCTTCATAACCTTTTTGGCTTTATGTGGTTGGAGATCACGTTGCTCGGGAGTCTTAGCCATTTCGACCAGCTCATCCCGTTCCAAATCGAAGCAAGAATTTTGGTTGTTGTCGCAGACGGGATACACGATTCGGGACTCCATATCGCAGTAGAGATTCTCTGCGAGACTGACAAAGTCAGGCCCTTTGGCAGATTTGTCGGCGCAGAGTCGTACCGCGCTGTTTCCCTCTCGGCTGCTCTTGACCAGCTGGGTTCGAAAATCGAAGTCCCTTGCCTCCCCAGGGAAGCTCCTCTTGACGGGCTGTGATCTTGGTACAACGAAAGGCGCCGTACACAAGTCCTCCAACGCCGTACTATTAGGAATGCCCCCCGACATCGTATCGTCCGCCTGGGTAAGATCGAACAACAATCCGGGCATCTGGATACCATTTGAACCATGACGGTCAACCCAAACGCATGCACTATCATTGGTCAAGACACCGATTTGTGATGCGTAGTTGTCCACATGGCAGACCTTTGCCAGATTGCCGGATATGGTCAAAACACCGTTGCTCGTGGGGATCTGAAGACCAGCGACACAGATGGGATCGGTACCCGAGTTGGTGATGTAGACCGATCCAAGACGGTTCTCGCCGTTCTCGAGGGCTACAAAGTCATACCAGGAAATAATGTCGCCGAGGACGATCTCTGGAGTTTCCATGATGTTGCCATCGGTACCGAAGGCGCCGTATAGGGAAACACCAGCAATCCGCGGATCAGCCCACGAGCCCACGCCGTTGAAAACGGTCACTCTTCTCTGAGTAAGGACGTCTTCGTCGGACCAGTCACCAGTCTGCATGGCAGCACCGCAGGACCTCTTGCATTTCCCGATACCCTTGCCGTCGCATGCGCAACCAAAAGCTACCTGTATTCGCAGTTAGCATGATGACATCCTGGCGAAAAGGAGGTTACGTACCCCGGTAATTGCGCCTACTGCTCCCGCTGAAAGAACCGACGTTACACCCATTACGACACTTGGAACAGTCATATAGTAAGCAATAGATCCGAGGATCGGGAGGGTCAGTAGTACGCCCATGGCTTGTGAACGTTGTGGTGATTTGTTTTAAGGGGAAGCTGTGTGATAGGTTGCAACGGTCGAGGGAAAATGAGTGGACATATTCAGCAAGAACAGATCCTGCCAGACGCAGACAACCTCGCCTTTATAACAAAAAAGAAAACCAGGTCCTTGCCCATACCTTTGAAAGGCTCAAAAGCTGGTACATCTCACACATTCATCGCGTTATTGCGAAAGGAAAGAAAGTCATCTTCGGTACCAGCGATTGACAGCGAAGATCGACGCCTTGCTTGGTTCAACCATGAGTGTTGCACGAAGCAACCGACCAGAATCCAAAGTCTGGCATCAACGTGCGGCCAGAAGTCGAGGAGAGAGGTTGATCTGGTCGGCGCTTGCAGATTTCTCTACATCGTCGGGACGGAAGATGGTTGGCGCCAGAGTGTTGTGATCGTTAACATGTTGTTGTTGCTCAAATGTGCGAACCTTAGTTATCTTTACTGTTGTCAAGGAAAGCTTTTCCCATGTAGTGTGGTGATGCCTGAGTAGGATGACGTATTAGGCTTTGACCCGCATAGGCTAACTGCCTTTTGGTATATGAAATAATCAATCAATGATTCAATCAATCAATCGACATCACTCTACCGAGATCCATCTTCTACAACTATCTTACAAGCAGTTTCTTCGTCGTCTACTATCTGTCATGGGTCCCACACCAGTCATGGTCCCAAAGCTATTCCTGTATGTGTTCTTTCGGAGACCTGCTAAGCATATTCTGACCGTAACAGGACCGGCACAACTGGTTATATCGGAGGCGACTTCCTATATCTGGTTTCTGAAAGACATCCAGAATGGGAGTTTACGTGCTTAGTACGCAACACTGACAAGGGAGCAAAGATAGCGAGTATCTATCCCAAAGTCCGACTAGTCTACGGAGATCTTGATGCTGTCGAATTGATTGAGGAGGAGGCTGCGAATGCCGACATTGTCTATCATTTTGCCAACTGCGATCATGAAGGTTCTGCACAAGCCATCGCCAAAGGCCTTGCACGGCGAAAGGGCCAAGGACCTGGCTTCTGGATTCACACCTCAGGCACCCTTATCCTGGGCTACGAGACAATCAAGAACAATGAATACGGCAACCAGCTAGAGAAAGTGTTTGACGATTGGGACAACATCAAAGAGCTCACTTCACAGCCAGACCCAGCACCACATAGGAATGTCGACAAGATTGTTCTTTCATCCTATTCTGACACGGTCAGGACTGCCATCGTTTGTCCACCAACAATTGTACGTCTCAAATGTGTGGTTTTCACAACATGCTGACAGCGGACTAGATCGGCAAAGGCAGAGGCCCGGACAACACCCGCTCCGTCCAGATTTACAAGACGACTGCAGCATTCCTCGAGCACAAGCACGCCTTCAAGGTTGAGAAAGGGGAAAACATCTGGCACCAAGTCAATGTGCAAGACCTCTCTGAGCTTTACCTGTTACTGGGCGAGGCAGCTGTCAACGGAGGACCACCAGCGACCTGGAACGAGGAGGGATACTACTTGGCCGAGAACGGATCCTTTGTATGGGGCGATGTACTGCAGTCCATTGCCAACATCGCACATAAGAAAGATCTCCTCCCAAGTGCGGAACTGAAGAGCTACAAGCCAGATGAAGCGAACCATGTACTTCCAATCTGGATCTCGATCGGCACAAACTCGAGAGGTGTGTCAATTCGAGGCAAGAAATTGTTGGGTTGGAAACCTAAGGAGCGGAGCATTGAAGATGAGCTGCCCACGGCAGTCGATAGCGAGGCTCGTCTGCTTGGTTTGACCGAAGGCCACGCCGCGAAGGTAGAGAAAGATTAGCCCCGGCGACGCACGAAAAGCTTGACGATGAACTATGTGTACATGAAGCGAATGGTCCATTTCCTGGCATGAAATTGAAATCCGAGAGTTGAGTTTTAATTTAATGTTCTGCCGCAAGACGCGCTTTCCCCTTGGATCCTGTTTATATGCAAGCTCGGATCCAGGCCAGCAGCCAATGACGTACAGCGTAATTAATCTCTACGTAATCAGGCCATAACTTTTTAGATAACGTCCCACAACAAAGGACATTACCAGCATCTTGGACGTTCTGTTGACCCAGCATCCCAGAGCTCGCCGCTTGACCTTTTCCTTGACCCCTTGGCTTTTGCACGCAGAGGCACGGCGTCCAGCTGCTCACCATGAGTGTCTCCAAGCTCACAGAATTCGGCACCCGCCATGTTGCGAGGGGAATTGGTCGACTGGCAACTGAGGTCATTGAGAGCGGTTCCGGCTCCTACGTGACCATGGCCAGCGGCCGCAAGATGCTCGACTTCACATGCGGCATCGGCGTCGCCAATCTGGGCCATTGTCATCCCGCCGTAACCAAGGCCGCTCAAACACAAGTCGGCAAAATGGTGCATGCACAGGTAAACAAATAGTATTCACGTATGAACTTTCAGCTCATACAGTCTCAAACAGGTCAACATCGCATTTCAAAAACCATATCTCGAGCTCATAGAATCACTTTTACCAGTCATGCCACACAAGTCACTGGACACGTTCTTCTTCTGGAACTCGGGCTCTGAAGCAGTTGAAGCAGCCGTCAAGCTCGCCAGACATGCCACCAAGAAACCCAACATCATCGTCATGCAAGGCTCGTATCACGGCCGGACATTCGGCACCATGGCCATGACGCGGTCCAAAACCATCTACGGCGAGAATTACTCCCCTCTGATGCCCGGTGTCTTCTCCGTTCCATTCCCCTACTGCGCACAGTGCTCCATTTCGAAGCACTCCAATGGCAAATTTAACTACGAAAACTGCTGTATGGATCCCGTCGATCAGCTCGAACTCCTTTTGAAGCGCGAGACTGCCCCGTCAGACACAGCAGCCATCTTTATTGAACCTCTTCTCGGCGAAGGTGGATACGTCCCCCCTCCAGCAGGTTATTTCCAACGTATCCGCGAGATCTGCGACAAGAACAATATCCTCCTTGTCGCCGACGAAGTACAGTCCGGTTTCGGCCGCACCGGCAAGATGTTTGCCATCGAGCACTTCGACGTCCGACCAGACATCCTGGTCATGGCCAAAGGCATCGCAAACGGATTCCCGCTGTCAGGTATCGTCTCCAGAAAGGAATTGATGGACACCCAGAAGCCCGGCTCAATGGGTGGCACGTACGCCGGTAACGCTGTCTCCTGTGCAGCAGGTATTGCTGTCGCGCAGGCTTTCAAGGACGAAAAGATTCTGGACAACGTCAACACTCGAGGCAAGGAGATGATGGATATGCTGAAGAAAGCCAAGTCTGACTTTCCCGATATGGTCTACGATGTCCGAGGACTGGGCTTGATGTTGGCGTGTGAGTTTGTGGGCGGCAAGAGCTTCGCGTCAAAGGTCCAGGCCAAGTGCATGGAAAAAGACATGCTCATTCTCACGACCTCAATCTACGATACCCTGCGGTTCATTCCTCCTTTGAACATTACCAAGGAAGACATGGCCAAGGGTTGCGGCATCATTCGCGAGGCGATCGAGGAGGTTGCAGCAGGAGAGGACCCCCAAGAGACGAAGACCAAAGGACAAGCGCCAGAGTAGAGTTCTGAAAGATTCATGCTGAATTTTGTTTGGTGCTTCTGCTGGGGATTTATTGGGGCGACTGCAACAAACCTGTACTTGATTCCCTACATGTGAGGTTCAGGCTTGTTGGCGTTGCTCTGTCATTAGGTAGCCGGCAAAAGTTCCAGCGATGTCTCCTTTTGTGAAGCAAATGAACTATGAAACCTCACGGCTCTCAGTTCCCACAGACAAATCCGGTCCTTCCACCATACTAAAGAAATAATAATTTTCATTCATCCCAGGATACAAGGGCTTCCGCAGGGTCACAGCATCGTAGCTCCCGGTGTGTCCCTGCAGTTTGAGCAGAGCATCAGCCTCGCTGATATCCAAGCTGATAGGCCAGACGAGATTTGCATTGCCCATGATAGGTCCAGGGCGAATCTCGATAGGCCCGAAATCGTCGTGACCAGTTGATTTGACTGTCGCGATGCCATCGTCTAGGCGGAACATGATTTCCATTTCCGTCAATTTCGAGGGAAAGGTGACACCCTCGGGAGTTTGGGTCGTGGCCTTGACATAGTACAGCTTTGCAGTAAGGTGCTCTTCCAACACTTTGCGGCGGACAGTCTCGACGCGTGCGAGGAAACTAGGAGGATTTGAGCCAGGTTGCGTCGTGGCGCCGCCCATGATGATCACGCAGGTTCAAGCAGTATACAGGATCGTCTCGAGATTTGTCTCCATATGTGAATCACAATGTTGAGTGCTGACCGAGGTAGGATATTGTCAAGATGTCGATCTCTGGAGAGTGCGGGCATTGCGGGGTGAGCGGCGTATAAATACTGCAACTTTGACATATTTATTTTTTCCGCGTTCAGTAAATGATTGACTGCAACATCAGTGTTGGACGAGTACGGTGCACTGTCCTCATCCCTCAGCGCTGGCCATTTTGCAGGAAACTACTCGCCGCTGAACATATCCCGTAACGAATTATATGCTGTCTCCCTACCAAAACCAGACGACTACGGCGCCTTGTGGTCTTAGCCACAGATTAGGTCTACCCACTCGATGGTATCCTGTTTCGAAGCATGTAGAATTCGCATGTCTAAGAAGATTACGTGAAGATCAAGGCATAATTGAATTTGACTCGATAACGAAGCTCGAAGTCGATCATACTGAAAGCAATACTGTACTAGTGTTGAAGGGAACGCATTGCTGTTGAAAGCAATGCAATCGTCTCAAAGTAATGCAGTCGTGTTGAAACCATGCATTCTTGTTTGACGCCATCAATTGTGTTGAAATGATGCGATCAATCGCGACCAACGCATGCAGTCGTGTTGAAGCTATGCACGCGTACTGGAGCTCTGCCTACAGAGTTGAAGGGGTTGGTCCTAATAGTCGGTACCTCGACTGAGCACCTCCTTGCACGACTCTCGGAGCAGGATTGTCTGCTATTCATCAGCAGATGGCCTAGTAAAGGGGAGGGAACATACATGTTCGAACTGGGCCGAGTAGGATCCTTTGACATCTGCGAGGGGTTGATAAGACTCGACTATCCCATTGCGTTCCAGGCAATTCAACTTCGCTTCATTAGTTATGATCTTCTGGCTTGATCCACGGACGGAAAACTTACGCCTGCCAGGTACCTTTCAAGGCCAAGACGAGCAAGATAGCGGTGGCAGAAAACAAGGGTTCCAAAGTTCTTCTTGATGGTCTTGTACAGACGGTTGGCGGAGACAAGAGGCAATGTCACCTGCTTTGGAGCGTCATGACTCAAGCCATAGCCATAAATTCCCTCCTATATGTGGCGTAAGTATTGAAACCCTGGCAAGCATACATGGAAGAGGCGATACTCACATCGTCAACTAGAACTCCACGTCCGGTAGTTCCAAACGTCTCAATGGCGAATACTTCGCCTTCTTCCATCTTGGTCTGGTCTGCATTCTTGACAAATGGTATCGACTTCCCGCCATGAATGCGGTAATGTTTGATGTCGTGGGCGCATAGACTCCTTACAGCCTTGACAGGGAATGTTTCACCGCGGATGTCAACCTCATAACTTTCCATGGCCTCTTGAATTGCAGCACTGACGTCGCAGATGCGGACATCAATACCAGCAGTCTGATAGGGTTGGTCAGCGCCGTGTTCGCATTGAAGGTCAAGTAGCTCCTTTAGCCTACCTGTATGCCGGCGTTGGTCGCGTCTTTAGCAGCGGCCAAAAGATTGTCGTACATAGGGTCAAAAGCCATGGTGAAGGCGCTATCGATAATCCAACCATTGATATGAACGCCGAAGTCCACCTTCATCACGTCACTCTGCTGCAAAACAATATCCCTTTGACCTGGATTGGGTGTATAATGAGCGACGCCATGATTGAGTGAAAGACCTGTGGGAAAACCCATTCCGGCCTTGAGACTGTCTCCAGGTTCGAGCCCAGCGTTACCGAGTAGCGCCCGGACGCCATCGTCGATACCCATAGCAATGTCCATCAGTGTTTGCCCAGGTTTGACATTCTGTTGAACCCAGTATCGTACCTGGCGATGCACTTCTGCTGCTTGTCGGTAGTCGCTTAGGAAAGTACTTCCTTGGACGACCTGGCGGTCGTTATAACGAAGCTCTTCAGCCGTCGTCCGAGCCGTGGCCGTGTGCACAGAGTCATATTCTTGCAGTTCCCCAGTTGTGTAGTTGGCTTGTGGAAACAGTTCAGAGACCGGCACTCTTGGAGGCGATGACTGCTTGGGCGCTGAAATGGTCTTCTTCTTCTTGTGCTTCTGCCGCTTCCTTTTGGGAGGGATGGTGGTTGATGCCGAAGTTGCTGGTGGTGAGAAACCAGTCACGTCGGCATCTTCGTCGTCGTCGCCATCATCTCCTTGCTCGCCTCCCGTGACACCGTCCCCATCTCTTGCAATGTGAACACCTCGTGCTTCTCCACCAGTTGGGTTGAGCATAGGCGAGGAGTCTGGACCTGCAGGAACTTAGCACGCAGCACCGGTGACGGGTCGGGATGGGTGTACCATTGTATCGAGGGATATCATCTCCATCGGTTTTGGATCCCATCTTGACATCGGGTTTCGTACACTTGCGATTGTAACAGAAGGCTGGTTGCGTGTTCAGGCGGAGGAGATGGACGTCGCTCACTGACGCCGCTCACGTGATTCTGGAGTTTGTTATGTTTGTAGGGTATGCTTTCTTATCCGATTTCTATCTACGACATCATTCTGACCTCCGTTCATACCTGCCACCTGTACTTCGGGTACCAAGACGGCACATCATGATCAAGGGAAGCTGTGCCTGCGGGCGCATTCAATATAGCACCGATGCTCAACCCCTGTCCATCAACGTTTGCCACTGCGGGACTTGCCAGCGGATCTCTGGTAGCGCATTCCTAGCGTTTGTAGATTTCCAAACTTCGCAGGTCACTTGGACTCAACAACCAGACAAATGGAGTTGCAGCGACATCGCAGGGCGTGGGTATTGCAAGATGTGTGGTTCAACCATGTCCATGATCTACCATTTTGAGAAAGAGCAGACGTACATCTGCTTGGGAACCGTTGTTGAAACTGATCACTCGCTACAACCTGGAGCACATATCTTCTTGAAAGACAAGGCGCCATGGTTCACAATAGCGGACGACGGGGCCAGAAGACGGGATACGTTCAGTCTTGAATTTGAAGAGAAAATTAAGAAGTGGAAAGCAGAGCAAACTCACGGTTGACTTCCAGACTCGTGGTTGAGGACTTCTCAGAGTTGTGGTTGACGAATACCATCTGAATGCAAACACTCAAGAGTCATACTTTCACCAAAGGCAAAGCAAAAAGCAAACCGTGTCAGGCGCTAAGGGTAGGGTTGTTGTATGAAAGGAGCGTGCTGGGTGCAATATTGTCGTTGAAGCAGGAGCACTCTACACGGCTATTGAGGATGCGTTATGCAAATGCATTCTGAGTGCCCGTCCAACAAACGAGGAATCATTCATTCACTTCTAGCTGACGGCCTCCACGCAGACAAGTCGCTATTCTGCCTCACCATCTTTGCCATTTCACTTATCCGTCACCTTCACTTTGTACATGCGCATTTGACTGGTATAGGTCCTCATCAACAGGTCCTCATTTTCCTTTTCACTTTCATACTTAAACAATCTCTCTTTCCTCCCTCTCTACAGACGTTCTGTCCATCTACATCTCTCGTTCAACATACAATCATGTCGGACGCTCCTCCAAACCCCCAACCGCCCCTGCTGGCTCTCAGAGACCGCAGACTCTTGCGTAATTCGGCGTCGTCCACCACGGTTTCGTCACTTCAAGATCAGTCGATGCCTTGGACAGCGTCTGCTGCTCTTCGCCAGACTAGCAACCCTGTCGTTGGAAGTCCACTACAACAATCCTTTCCAGCTTACCCAAATACATCCTCTGCTCCAAACACTCCCCAAATGCAGGATACACCGTCTCGCCCTGCTCGCGAGCAGCATGGCCGCAGACGAGGCGATACACGCTCCTCTTCGGTTCCATCAATCGTACGCCAACCATCAGGAAGCCAACACATGGTTCATGGCACCAGAGGCCCGTCCCGCACTCAACCTTCCTCCCACACCACAACACCTTATCGTCACTCTCCCACCAACTCAGGCACAGGTGGACCTGTCAAACCAAACCGTAACTCGGTCAAACATCTGACATGCTACTGGTGGCACAAGACATCTCGGTGCCGCCGCACGGATGAAGAATGTCTCTATGCCCACTGGGATACAGGAAGATACACCGACCCACCCAAGCAAGTCAACCCTGGTGAACCTGCTAAGGCTGGAAAGTCTCTCCAACGTGCCTTGCAGAAGAAAGAGGAAGACGAGAGACGCGGGGCGCACTTGATGCAGGCTCTGACCCACGTTCAGGGCAGTTCGACCGACGTTAGCTCCCGAGAGGTAACCCCACCAAACGGTCTAAACAGTCAGGCGTACGGCAGCTCCACAACACCATCCCCAGTGGCCGTTGGACCATTTGAGGAATTCAAATACAAGCTTGAAAACATCTGCGCTCAGGCTGAGGCGGGAATCCGCAGAGACTGGGTCCAGTCCGAGGCTGTCGAGGCGTTACAAATGGCAAATAGACAGTTGCAAGAGGAGAATGACTTCTTGAAGACGGAGCGACTCCAGCTGCTTGCCGACATCGATGAGCTGGGTGCCTACCATCGCAGCTTGCTTGCCGAACGTCAGGTTCTCCGCGACACCATTATGAGGATGCAATATCCGTACGGCCCACTCACCAGTCCATGGGGTGCTGTAAGACCCGGAGCCCACCAGCCCGATAACAACAACAATAATGACAACAGCGGCGCGCCTAGCGAGATTCAGAGCGACGAAGTCGAAAGCATGTTGAAGACCCTCGGCCCGGAATTCTAGAGAATTGACCAGCCACCCATTCTTAGCAGGTTCAGATACGTGCAATCTGCCCCTGCTTTGGATCAGTCGTCGACTTCGGAGGCATGGCATAGTGATGATGGTGATGAGGACCTGGGGCATGTGTCCGAGGAATCCTTCAAACCCAATGAGCGTGGTTCAGCACGATCTGATTCCGGTCTGTACAGAGTACAACGTAACTCACTCCGAAAGGATGGAGTGTGTTCTCTCCTTGTTTTGCCTTAATGTCCCCAACCAAAAGCAAACAGATCCAACATACAAAAAGCACTTGAACACTGTGGGAACTTTCCAGGCTGGCTACATTGCAGACAGCTTATAGGCTGACAATTCGGGGGAGCTTGGATAAAAAACAGACTGAATAATGCTAATTGCTTTGATATGGTCTTCGCTTCTACCATTCGTGCACTTATTGTGATTAAAACGTGCTTTGAGCCAGCCGACTTGCCGCATTCCTAGCATCGACACGATCATCATCCTCGTCTTCCTTGACACGATCCAAACTGGCAGCAGTGCCGCTTCTAGGCCTACCATTTGTCCCGGCCTCAGAGCCAGTACCATTCTCCTCCACCTCAGGTATAGTTCCCGGCCCAAAACTTCCACTCAGACTGCGAGTCATGGCGTCCCTGCTCCGTGGCACACCACTCCATGCATCGCCCTTGGCACCCTGGCTGCTGGCCTGACTGACTCTCCTCACCACAGGATGATTCTCTCGTCCGAGTCTGCTTAGACCACCTGTAGCATCGATCGCGCGCACATCAGGCCTGACGGACTCCAGTGTGGCCAGAGTCCTACGCTCCGCCTCAATTTGGCGCAGCACATATTCTCTCAGCGAAAACATGAAGTCGTTGGTAGTCCGGTCGAACCATCTGCGCTTCTCGAGCAGCAGATTCGACGTGACCCGCTGGGTCTTGGCCCGGAGGTAATTCTCTTGGCTGACAGCTTCATCAAGCGAGGATATCGCCTCGTCCACCTTGTCGCGTCGGACATTGGAACTGCTTTTGAGGCGTTGCACCGCGCTTTCTTTGCTGCGTCGGCCTGCTTCGGCTTGGACGAGCTCGCGCAGCAGGATATGTCGGTTGGTGAGTGTTTCTTTGACGATGAATGCGTCGTTGGAATGGTAGGTCAGCGAGTCGCCGAGGGTGGTGGCTTCAGCGGTTCCTTGCGCCGCGTGATAGTCGCCGCACGTCTGAATGATGCGGCCGAGTTTACGGTAGGCCGTGGAAAGACCGGAGTGCGTTTCTTGTACGTGCATCAGCGTCAATTTCTCGCCCAAGGAGGACTCGGCAAGACCGAGGGCTATGTGTTATTAGCATGAGGAGGAACCGTTTTTGGTGGGTATGCGTACCTCTTCTGGCTTTCACGACCTTCTCGAGCTTCTGACTTGTATCCAGAGAACCCAAGTAGAACATCTTCACCACGGGCCGGGCCTCGTGCAGCTCGGGTGTATCGTCGGGTGGAGGTGCGAATTGTTTCAGGACCTTCCGTCTCACCCCAGTGGCTGGCTGCTTCATTCTTACCACAGGCGAGTATCCAAAATCACTCTCCACAAAGAAAACCATCTCTTCATCGCGCATCAGCACGTCGTTGATGCAGACGGAGTTCAGCCATCTCTGTATGGAATTCTTGACACGGACTTCGTCCTCGTCGGTTCCAGCACCAGCGGATGTGATACTGGGAGGTACCGCAGGAACGAGCGCTTCAGGGTTCGCAGATATTAGGTGGTCGGCAAGCTTCACGAATTCAGAATGTGTTCGGCGGACATCTCGGAACTGAGTTGTTCGGAACTTGGGGAGATTGGTCTTCCACTGTTAGCATATCCCCTTGCGCATAGTTTGAAAGGTTGCAACATACATAAACATCAAAGCGAATGACTGGATCCTTCCGCCCAGTTCTTTCTAGAGCTGTGACCTTGGCCTGCAACCTGTACTGCGGTACAGGCCTCTGTGGTTTCGTGCTGTGGTATCTGGCAGCTTGAGGGCGCTGCTGAGCTTGACCGGTATATTGTTGACCTGATATTGGCGCCTGCCCATCCTCGCGAGCATGCTCCTCCCCTTCGTGCGCCCCCGGGATATGTTCACCTTCTACTTGCTGTGATGTCTCTGTGGGGCTGTCTGCACCAGGTGCTGCCAGATACGGAGTGCTTGGTAGACTATCTTGTGATTGACCGTATGAATGTCCTCGAGGGACGGGGGAATCTGGGGGACCGGTGGCTGCGGGATAGGTCCTGTCGGCGCGCGGAGATGAGGAGCCCCAAGGAGACGATCCGTGAAGAGCATCCGCTTCCGTGGGAATGGCGGAGTAGTCCATGTTCGTGGTCGAGGTTCTAAACAAAGAGGAGGCTTGCTGTGTTCGGGTGATGTCGACTAGGCGGGGAGATGGAGCATCCCCAAGCCAGACCACGGAGGTGGAGGCCGTGTAGGTGGACCGGTTGTATGTGGACAAGAATTGGAATGAACGACGTTCCTTTAAGTCCTGCACTGTTTCAGTATGTAGTTGATGCCTCTCCTGTATGGCCAGCGCATTGATATGGTGGTGACATTGGTGTCTCTCCGCAGCTGCTTGAGGGACGGAACTTCTTCAGCCTTGGCGCCGACATCGTCTTCGAGATTCTTGTCAACGACTTTTCGCCTTTGCGATATTTATACCTGCCATTCGAATTGTTCCTCTTTGATTGATTCTTTGACAGTCCTTCGCCTTTCATTCATTGATTCTGTTGCTTCATCATTTACCCTGGTTTATATGCGAGACTTCGCTGCTTTAAGATAGACACGGCGTCGAAAGGGAATGGTAGTCAGATATGGCCGAGTCCTTCGACACTCCACTCTAATCAGTTTGCTTCGCCCTACTCGACTCAACAGACTACCTTCTGGATACTACAGGGGCATCTCATCGTCATCTTGTCTCCAGAATGCTGCAACGACAGTGCAACACTCTCAAGATGCTTTACGTACTCGAAATATTGGCATCATAGCTCACATCGATGCTGGCAAGACCACGACCACTGAGCGTATGCTCTACTACAGTGGTCATACTCGAAGAATCGGCGATGTTGACGAAGGTTCGACGGTGACGGATTTTCTGCCTGCAGAAAGAGCTCGAGGGATCACCATTCAATCGGCAGCAATCACTTTTGAATGGCCCCCAGCAGACGTTGCTGTCCCCCCGATCGTTGGAGCAGGTGCTGATATCCAGCCAAAATCTCCTGTTTCCCATAATATCAACCTGATCGACACCCCCGGGCATGCAGACTTTACATTCGAGGTGCGGCGGTCATTAAGGATTCTGGACGGGGCCGTGTGCATTCTTGATGGCGTAGCTGGGGTCGAAGCCCAGACAGAGCAAGTTTGGGCACAGGCTGGTGAATGGAAGATCCCGCGGATAGCCTACATCAACAAGCTTGATCGTGATGGTGCGGCATTTGGTCGGACCGTTCGAGAGATCGGATCACGACTATCTGGATGGCCCGCTGTTTGCCAGATTCCATGGTTCGAAGGAGGAAAGGGTCGCTTTACGGGGGTTGGAGACGTCGTCAGCCTCGAAGGACTTTTGTATGAGCCCGGTGGGCACGGGAAATCATTCAAACGCCTGACACTCTTACAATTGGATCAACAGTATCCGGAGCTGGCAGATGAGTTGCGTCGAGCAAGGGTGGCTCTGGTTGAACTCCTCAGCGAACACGACGATGGGCTCGTCGAGGCATTCTTCAAAGCCGAAGAGGATCATCTAAACGTCACTTCTGCTCAGCTCCTACAAGCTCTACGTCGCTGTCTACTTGCCGACAACAGCAGAGTTATACCAGTCTTTGCTGGGGCGAGCTTTCGCAACATAGGAGTGCAACCTCTTCTAGACGCTATCAGCAATCTACTCCCTAGTCCAGTTGAACGACCTGATCCCGAGATCAGTCTCGGCTCTAGCTCTGGTAGATTGTCTCAGCTGATCGCAGGCGAGCTTGCTATGTCGAATGACAGTACAGGGAAGGCAAAGAAGAAAGGCCCAACTACAACCCCAATCGCGGTTGGAAACACTCTGCAAGGCTGTGCGCTAGCATTCAAGGTGGTCAACGACCCGCGCAGGGGCATCCTGGTATACATTCGTGTTTATTCAGGTTCGATCGAGCGTAATGCAATGTTGTATAACACAAACCTGCAGAATTCCGAGCGCGCTACCACTATACTACGGATGTACGCATCAGAATCGGTGCCTGTACAGACGCTAAACGCTGGTGAAATAGGCGTGATTGCAGGGTCCAAATTTGCCCGCACGGGGGATACTCTGATCTCTTACACTGGCAACAAAGCTACTCCTCCAGAACCTCTGAACAAGCTCCAGCTGAGGCCAATCAAAATTCCACCACCAGTCTTCTTCGCCGCCATCGAGCCGAACAGTCTGCGGGAGGAGAAGGACATGCATGAGAAGCTCTCTTTATTACTACGTGAAGATCCTAGCCTGCAGGTTTCTCAAGATGAAGATACTGGGCAAACTCAGATCAGTGGTATGGGAGAATTGCATCTCGAAATTGCCCAAGATAGGCTTGTCAATGAGATGAAGGCGAAAGCCAGGATGGGCAAGATCGCCATAGGCTATCGGGAGACACTTCCTGAGGCCTCGAAACCTATTACCAAGACATTGGATGGGGACCGTGTAGCCACCAAAGGTAAAGCAGGATGCACAGCCGTCGCAGAGCCGGTGCAAGAGACCAACGCGCCCGAGGATGTTTTCAGCTACGAACAAGATGGCAACATCATTGTGATCGAGACACCGACCCTGGATGACCGTGGACGACCGCTCGACGCAGACAATGAGTCCTTGCCACCGAACCTGAATCTCCCAGAAGTCCAACAAGCATATATCAATGGGGCCCTGGCAGCGCTGAGCCGTGGACCATCATATTCCTATCCCATGAGGGACACGAAAGTCACTCTTACACTGCGCCCTGAAGAACACACATTTGGTTCTGACACCACCTACGCGTCACTCACGTCTGCAGCCAGGCTTGCGACGATAGCTGCTTTCAAGGATGCAACGAAGTCGAACTCTTGCTCACTCATGGAACCCGTGATGAATGTCGACATCAACGTGGATGAAGCCAGTCTTGGTACGGTCATACAAGACATCTCTTCCAGTCGTGGCGGTCAAATAGTCTCTCTCGGAGACCAGGAGGATGAGGTAGCCGAACAAGGCTCTGGGGCTCGAAAAATTGATGTAACCAAGATTTACGCGCCAAAGGATCCTTTCGAGTCAGGGTCATCTGTGTCCGGAGAGCAGCATGACCGGGTGAGCTTTCAGAGGACCATCAAGGCGAAAGTACCCTTGAAAGAGATGGTAGGATATCTCAAGCACCTCAGAAGCATGACGGGCGGCAGAGGTACGTTCGTCATGAGCGTAGACCGATTCGAGAGGGTTACAGGTCCTCGGGAGAAAGCACTGATCGCCGAATTACGAGGCGGAGTGTCATAAGCTGTCAACCCACTGTCAGGATGAGGACCGCGTGTGGGAATCTGTAGAACGCTAGTATATTTACATAGCCCGTACCAACAGACACGTTTGAACCACACTTCTGGCTCCATTCTTGTGCACGAGACCATTCATTATATATTTCTATTTTATTTCTACGTGGTTGTTTCCTGGAGTATGCGGTGCTGACACGATATTGGGGAGGCTTCTGAGCAGCTGAGCACACGAACACACTTTCACCCCGCCTTGCGATCAACTGCACCGGCCACAACGCAGTCAATATGGCCTCCAAGGCAATGTGGGAGGTCGATCCAGAGACCAGGAGTAAAGTACGTTCGTCGCGAATAGGTGTTGATCCTGGGCTGTTCACTGACCGGCTTTCAGCTCGCACAGTTAGGAAAAAAGGAGGGTGCCGGTAATGACAGATGCTGCGACTGCGGTGCACCTTCACCACAATGGGTGCGTCCCTTCATATGCTTGTGCTTCAAACATTATCTTAACACATCGTCTGGGCTAGGCATCACCTAAATTCTCGACCTTCATCTGCCTGCAATGCGCCGGCACGCACCGTGGACTCGGTGTCCACGTCTCCTTCGTCCGATCCATCTCCATGGACGCCTTCAAACAGAACGAAATCCTACGAATGCAATACGGCGGTAACAAAGCATGGCAAAACTTCTACAACAAGAACTCGCCCATATCTTTCGATGAGTCTACCATCAAAGAGCGCTACGACAGCGAGATTGGAGAGGAGTGGAAAGAGAGACTGACCGCACAAGTCGAGGACCGCGAGTTCGACAAGGCAGCATTCCTCAAGGAGAGACAAGCCATCCTACAGAAACAAGCCAGTCGGACAGCAACGCCGGTCGGCGGAGTAAGAGGCAGCAGTGTAGGAAGTGGTCCTGGAGGCCGAACGGTATCACCTGCGCCGGGCAAGGCTGGCCTCACAGCCGAGCAGAAGGCACAAAATGAAGCATATTTCGCTCGCATGGGTGACGCCAATGCCTCGAGACCTGACAACTTGCCTCCAAGTCAGGGTGGAAAGTTCGCTGGTTTCGGTAGCGCGGCACCCGAGCCACGACAGTCGTCGGCCGGCGGTATCCCCAGTGCAGACGAGTTCTCGAAAGATCCTGTCGGCGCCCTGACGAAGGGGCTCGGCTGGTTCAGTGCCGCGGTCGGAAAGCAGGCCAAGATCGTGAACGACTCGTACATCCAGCCTACGGCCAAGAATGTAGGTCACAGCTTCTCCTCGAATGAACATCCGCTAACGATGATGAATAGATCGCATCGACCGACTTCGCCGCACAAGCACGACAGGCCGCGCTCGTAGCAGGCAAAACTGTCCAGAGTGGCGCGAAAGGCGCGGCGGACACCTTGACCAAGTTTGTCGAGGGCCAGGATGAACAGGCTAGCCGCGCTGCTGCGGCCAAGGGCGGGGAACCTGAGCGCAAGGACTTCTGGGATAGCTTTGGCGCTGGGGGTGGCGCCGGGGGTGGTGCTGGTGGTGCGTCCAAGTCTGGCGGCAGTCTTGGGACCAGTGCGATGAAAAAGCCTACGTCGGGACCTCAGACGAAGTCGAAGGAGGATGGCTGGGGAGACGACTGGTAGGGGGCTATGTCTGGCATCTGTCGGATACTATCATACACCGCGAAACAGGGGCGATATTGCATGAAAGGGAAAGATCTTGGTGTTCAGCCACGGATCGTGGTATCGTACATTTTGGTTAGCACGTCGTCACGCAATGAATGAATCTGCACAGTTTCTGCAAGAGAATGTCTGTCCTTGGCTGACTTTCTTCTTTATACGGCCTCGACGGGTATCTCACAAAATCGTCAGCGCAGCCACGCCTCATCAAGCGTTGTCTCATTAGCTGGCCATCGCTTGATAAGCTTCCAGGTGACCACAACGTCAACATGTCGCCTTTAATGACTCTCGCCTACTAGTCGTACACGGCATGACCCGAGAGGTCCTACCTCCCACCTCCACCACGCCACGAATCACCTCCTCGCCCTCTAAAGCCACCTCTCCCACGAATACCCGCGAGCCGATCCTGGCCAAGCTTGCCATACCCAAACTCTGGCCCCTTGTCGACCCATTCCTCGCGCTCCTTGTACCGTTCGAAAGAATAGCGCTTCATGCCTTCAGCTCCGCTGCGACCCATGTCTGCATAGCCCGGCCGTAGGCTGCGGAACATATCCGATCTCTCGGTCGCAGTGGCCTCCGAGACAGGTTTGTAGTACAGCTTCGGTTTGGTCGTAGTCGACTTGAAGAGCTCGTCCAGCGCTTTGAAGCCTCGGCCACTGTTGTTGTCCACCACCCCTGGATTCTTTGGGCCAGTAGGCGGAGCTCGACCACGATCTTGGTGCTCGTCTCGTCTTGGACCGCGTGGTATGAGTTCTGTACGATCAGGATGGACACCAGGGGCAATGGTCGCCGCCTTTGGTATGTCGACAGACATACGAGAACTTCGGCTTGGTTCGATAGGTGGTCGTGGTTTGCTACTGTCGATTTCCTGGAAGATCGCCTCGACTCCGTCCCCACCTTGCTCGTATACCACTTCGTACCGACGTCCACCTCCACCGCGACCGAAGCCGCCGCCGGTCTCGCTGTCAATCCAGGCTTGCACCTTGTCGTCGGGGATGTAGTCGATGAACAAGGATTCTCGCATGGCTTCGTCAGGAAAACGCGTGTCGTGCATTGCGGTACGGACGCGCGATGCTGCGGCAACAGAACTGAATGACACAAATGCGTGGGTGCGGATGCTGTCAAGATAGAAGATGCTGATGGGATCTTCGTCGTCAGTTGAGGATGGCGGTTTGGCCAGTGATACAATGTGGCTGCGTAGAGAGGGGATGTGAAGCGGTCTTTTAAAATTGCGGAGGTAGAGCGAGGAAGTCGCAGGATGTATGGCTGGCGGAACGTCTCGCTCGCCTGAGGGGTCTGGTGATCTTTGTGGTGATGTGGTCTGCATATGGTCGGCGTCTCTTGATGCGCCCTCGTTGAACTTCACGAGAGGCTCGGTGGTGGCACTCACTTGCTCATTGATGCCTTCAACGGTGTTCCCGTCCGTTTCGTTCCGAATTTCTTTCGCTACTTGAGTATTTGCTTTCATTTCGTCCAAGGCGCGGATCTCTTCGGCCTTCAAGTCATCTGCGGTAGTACTGAGCCGCGCTTTCTTGCGCGCCACTTCCTCGGAGGTCGGCACCGGTGTAGCACTTCTTTTTCTCCTCTTCTTCTGGTCTTCCACGTCACTCGGAGTGACCTGCGACGAAGTACTTATGTCGTGTTGCTGTGCAGACCGCGGCGCATCTTGCTGTACCGAGCTATTGGCGCCGCCGTCGTCCACCGCCTGGGTATGCTGATCTGTTGACTCTACCAATTCTGACGTCGTTGCTTGCACCTTCTTTTCGACATTGGCGGGTTCTGGTTCAAGCAGCGCATCGCTGGCGACCGCAGGTTGGACTGTCGGCTCTGCGTCTAGGTCTTCTTTCGAATTGAGGTGAGTTTCTTCGGCTTCTTTGCGCAGTTCTGCGGGTTCATTCTCTTCGACCACAACCTTCGAAGATTTGCCTACGGCCTCTTTACCTCCATCAACGTGCTCCGCATCGTCAACACTGGTATCCTTCGTCTCGTTATGCGTCTCGTCACTGTGGCCGTTGGCTGATGTAACCTTCAGGTCAACCTCGTGGACAGGGCCATTTTCGGTCAAGGTTTGTTGGGCCGTGTCACCAGCTTCGTGCTCTTCAAGTTTGTCGATATATTGTTGCTTCAATTTGAGGCCTGTGAGAGGGATGCCGCGTGCCTTGCACTCCTCCTTAAGGTCGGCAACCTTTAGTTTGGCCCAGTCTGTCATTTTGGCTGAGTCGCATATGATTTAGTCGATGGGGGTTATTAGCTGCGTGTCCACATAAGTGATAGAGCCATCAGGGTATGCGCTGAAAGAAACAATTTCGGTCAACTATTCAATAGTGAAACTGCGACGCGAAAGAGACAAATGCGACAAACACTTCAGTGAGGAGAACAAACACGCGCCGTGAACGGACCGCTAGATTGGCGATCACGTGCTACAAGAATGCTTTCAAGGGATGCCCTAGGTGAGGAGTCATTCTGCTGGCTGTTGTTTAGAGCCTGTTGTTAGGATACCGGCGAGACGCCCTGTCCAGCATCTACTAGTACGCTCTCTGTATATGTATTGGAAGGGTTTGCCTTGATGTTATTTCGGAGTTCTTCGCCCACAACGACATAGCATTAGGCTTCAACACGGGACGGCCATCAGGTCTACTGTATACACCTCGCAGCTGGGAGTAGAGGCACGCGAACCCACTGGATCTCAAACTTATATCGTTGATGAGTTCCCTGTCAGACAGTGCCATATTCCTGAAAACAGCCTCCCTATGCACAGAAACACAAAGGAGGGTTGAAAACGAGGGCGGCGAAATACCGAGGCGCAAGGCTGAATCGTGCTACGTCACAAGGCTGCGATGTGCATCTGAAAGTTGCAGTTATTAGTGATTCACCAGTGGCACCTGCGACTATTTCAATTTTGCTGCTTGTTTTGTCTTTTCACAACTGCGACTTTCCTTTAGACGTTCTCTCGTCGATGATTCCTTTCTCGGGCATATCGTCAAGATGAGTGGTTCGGCGCCGGAGTTCAAGCTGAGCGCAACGCTCAAAGGCCATCAGAGCGATGTATGGTCTCTCAGATGTCTTCCTCGCGTCCATCACCTAACTTGTGCAATCAGGTCCGAGGTGTCCTCCTACCAGACCCCTCCTTTGCCGCAACAGCATCTCGCGATGGCACAACCAAGGTCTGGAAGCGGACGTCCACAACTCCGCCGAGCTACGATCCATCGGAATCGTCCCAAGGAGCACAATTCAAGACATGCTTAGCATACGTGCCACCCTCGAAAGAATTCCAGGATGGTCTCATTCTCTCCGCTGGACAAGATGCCCTCATCGAGGCAAGACAGCCCACCTCCACAGCAGAAGTAAATGCCGATGCGATCATGGTGGGCCACAGTCATCAAGTCTGTTCTCTAGATGTCTGCGCCGAAGCCAATTACTTCGTGAGTGGAAGCTGGGATAGCACAGCAAAAGTATGGGAGATTGGCAGATGGGAGGTTGCATTCGATTTACCAGGTCATACTGCCACTGTTTGGTCAGTCCTCGCATACGACCGAGAAACCATCCTCACTGGCTGCGCCGATCGAGCCATTAGAGTCTTCGATGTCCGTGGAAAGATGCTTCGGTCCTGGGATGGGAAAGATATCGTCCGTGCACTGACGAAGCTGCCAAAGGGAAATTCTACAGGGGCAGAAATTGCTTCAGCTTCCAACGATGGAGTGATCCGGTTATGGACCTTGAAAGGTGATCTCGTTGCCGAACTGTTTGGCCACGAAGCCTTCATCTACTCACTAGCTATTCTACCTTCTGGTGAGATTGTCAGTTCTGGAGAGGATCGCTCAGTACGGATATGGCAAGGGACGAATTGTGTTCAGGTCATAACACTGCCTGCCATTTCTGTGTGGACCGTCTCTACATCTCCTAACGGCGACATCATTGTTGGATCGAGTGACAAGCTCGCACGGATATTTACCCGGGACCCAGAGAGGACGGCAGATGCAGAGAGTCTGGCACAATTCGAAGAATCAGTAAAAGCATCAAGCATACCACAACAACAAGTCGGCCAGGTTAACATGACCGATCTACCGGGCCCAGAATTTCTCCAACGCAAGTCTGGTACGAAAGAGGGTCAAAGTCAAATCGTCAAGGAAAGCGATGGCAGCGCATCCCTGTATCAGTGGTCGATGTCCCAACAGTCATGGATCAAAATCGGTCAGGTCGTGGATTCTACCTCGTCAGGTGGCAATAAGACGGCCTACAACGGAAAGGAGTATGATTATGTCTTCGACATCGACATTGAGGACGGCAAACCTCCGCTCAAGCTGCCGTATAACGTCACAGTAAACCCATACGATGCGGCCACGAAATTCCTGCAGGACAACGAATTACCCATGACATACCTCGAAGAGACCGCCAATTTTATCATCAAGAACACGCAAGGTGCGACCTTGGGACAGTCACAGCCTGTCGGAGCTGATCCATGGGGCACCGAGAACAGATATCGACCCGGTGAAGTTCCTACCTCGTCATACCAGCCACCTCCAGCTCCAGCCAAACAAACCTTGCCCCAGAAGGAGTATCTCCCCGTAGTTATAGGAAAACCAGCGGCGGCGATGGCTCAGATCTCTAAGAAGAACGCCGAGTACGGCGGAAGTGAGATGGTTGTTTCGGAAGACGAGATCAAAACATTGTCGGCAGTGGCTCAGCAGTTGGAAAAATACAATTTCCAAGGCAAGCCGTCGCTGGCCAGCTCTTCAGAACTTCAAGAGGCGGTGTCAATACTGATACGGGTTGGGACGCACTGGCAACCTCCCGCAAATCGACTGGCTGGCCTGGATCTCCTGCGTTTCATTGCCGCCGCCGCGAAAGAGTTCCCTGTCGCTGATGCCGACGGCGTCGATGTCGTTGCAAGTATATTAGGAAGCGGCATTTTCGACGCTGACTTTGTTCGTTCCAACAACAAACTTGCCATGATTGCGATGCGCTTTTACTCCAACCTTCTCTACACCTCTGGCAATGGCAGGGAGCTTGTGCGGGAACATCTTGAGAGCATCCTGGAAAGTCTGAAACCGTTGTCAGCCATCGTGACGACTGACGTCTCTGTTGCTGTGGCTCTTACAACACTCTATCTCAACATCGCCGTACTCATTACTAGCGACAAGAGCAGCAACTCCGATGCCAACGCCAACTATGGCCTATCTTTAGTGGAGGAATTGTCTCAGGTCTTGGCTGCGTTTCCTGCTGTCAACCATACCGCATCTGCGGCTCCTTCAGCGCAGTCAACTGAACCTGCGTACCGGACCACAGTTGCACTTGGAACGATATTGGTCGGATTAAAACATGCAGCGCTCACATCAGCTGCAAAGGACATCTTTGATGTACCGAATGCTCTGGCCCATTTACGCAGCAAGAAGTACTTGGAGGAACCGAGGTTCAAGACGGTGGTGAGCGAGATTCAGGCTGCTCTGCGGTGATGCTTCTGCCAGAATCGACAGTGTGAATAGCGATCTGGTTAACGTCAACTGAGTTGATACGATGACCGGTTGGCGTTGGCTTCCGCCATCGTCTAGTTGAGAGTATCTTTGCGATCTGAACAAGGCGTACTGAGCACACACATCTCATGCCGCGAAAGCATCTTTATTTGCAGATTTGAAAAGGACACTGGCAAAAGAAAAGCATAGCAAGGCGGGTAGAACGGTATCATGAGATCATGAGACATGATTTATCTTTGTAGACAGGAAAACCGGGCACTTGCACGGCGCCCCTGCTTGGTAAGATAGTACCCAAACATCGCCTTCGTTCTGTATGTTGTACTTTGTCAATATTGTACATGCTTTCCCGGCAGGACTTTTCGAAGCCTCCAATCCAAACGCCAACGCTATGCTACAAAAAAAGCTGCAACTCGAACAGTCAATTCGTTAATGCGTCCGCTGGAGGAGATTTCGAGGCTGGAGGTTGTATCGTCGGTGAAGTATTTTGCTGTTTCGTCGTCGAGGGTTTCGGTTCGATCAAACCAATCTAGAAACGCCCATCAGCATCAATTCCTCGCACGTAGTACATCCGCCAATGAAGACTACACGACCACACTCGATCGAGTAGACGATCTCGACAGTCATGAGAAGCACAAGCACATTCGATCAAGACTTACCAAATGTAATAACTTTGCGACCGGCTCCGTCGGCTGCGCACCCACACCCAACCAGTATTTCGTCCTCAAGCTGTCGAGCTGGATATCTTTGAACTTCTTGGGGACGAACTTCTCGCCGTGCGGCAGGAATTCGGGCGTATCTGGGGTCGCGAGCGGTAATTGAGGGATCGGATTGTACGTGCCCAGTACTTCGATTGGTTTCTTGCCGCGTGCGGATTTGGCCTGCGCCAGGACGATGTTGTAGACGGGCTTGCGTTTGGTGCCGAAGCGGGCAAGGCGGATGCGGAGGACCATGGTGGGCGATACTGCTCTCGACTGGCGTGAATATATACTGATGTTGTCGCGAATGTAGCTGGAACGAATGTATGTGGATTGAAGATGAGCAGGAAGACAGCCTTTTGCGGCCAAATTGTTTGAAGAGCTTTGATTGGTGGAAGGAGAACAGTGTTAAAGCGGCGATGATGTATGACGATATGCTTGATGCATGATCGAGTCCTCAGCTCGTCGATGATGAGCATTGCATTACAACAGGCCTAGTATCACGAAAATCACGACAATTTCTGGAAAGCCTTCTCAATCGGTCTACCATACTACTTGATCGCCGGCCCGTTTGATCGACGCCGTGCTGTTTACTGCTTTGACTTAGCTGCTCTGGTGACTTGGAGAACTGACTATCTGAGTGCATCTGTCAACCACGCTTGGTACACATTTTATGCTTCGAAGTATCCTTCCAAAAAGGACTATCAGACCACTGCTCACGGCGAGGAGCTTCTCCAAAATGGCGCTCAAGGTAAGTTCACCCTTGTTCTCGGCGAGTCTGGCATCAAAAGCACTCGAGACCCTTCGGGATCTACGCTGTACCGTTCTGCCATGGGTCCTGCCAACGACCATTGCCGTTGCGTTCACTGGTTACTAATGACTTGCTTCGCGATGGTAACAGACTCTTGGACCAAAAGCTGCCGCCGACCTAGACAAGGAGCTCATGAGCGAGGATGGAGGCTTCACAATCGACCAATTGATGGAGTTGGCTGGACTGAGCGTATCAGAGGCCGGTATGACTCACCGACCTGCCCTCTACAACGTCAACATTTCATTCCAGAGCTAGGAAAGTGGTTAGCGCTGACGATGAACAGTCTACAAAGTGCACCCACCCTCCAAAGGAAAAAACGTCCTCATTGCCTGCGGGCCGGGGAACAACGGTACGCTCTAGTGCATATCGTCTGTCAATATCCATCTCCATCTAACCCCGGTTCAGGAGGTGACGGCCTTGTCTGCGCCCGTCATCTATATCACTTCGGCTACACCCCAACAATCTACTACCCGAGACCAACCAACGCGGCCATCTTCACAGGCTTGACGAAACAGCTAAACCACCTACACATCCCGTTCCTCAAGGACAACGAGGACTTTACATCCGCACTATCCCAAACGGACTTCATCGTCGATGCCCTCTTCGGCTTCAGCTTCAAGCCACCCGTCCGTGAGCCCTTTGACGCTATTTTGCAAGGCATCATCGACAGCAAAAAGCCTGTCCTGGCAGTTGACACGCCCTCATCTTGGAATGTGGATGATGGACCGCCAGAAAAGGGCCAGGTTGGTCACGACTTTATGCCGGAGTACTTGATCAGTCTGACTGCCGCGAAACCGTCGGTCAAGTTTTATAAAGGTAAACGACATTTCATCGGTGGTCGGTTCTTGTCGCAGGACGTGGCGAATAAGTATGGCCTTGATGTGCCGGATTATCAGGGCGTGGATCAGATTGTGGAGGTGCCGGTTGATGCTTCGATCGAGAAGTTATAGTACCTCGGAGTAGTAGGGGTCGAGATTGATACAAGTACAACAGGCACGAAAGCAGGCAGAGTCAGAAGGCTTTTGTGCAGGGTAGATAACACATGAACGACATGCAAAAATTGATGATATCCATGGAACACAATTGGAAACATGATTGAAAATGTAGAACATGCAAAGCACTTCATTGTAAGCTATTGGTGAACTGTTTTATTTCGACATCTCGGCTATCATCATTCTCCTGACGAGGATACCAGCAGCGCGCATATGGTCCAATAACTCTGTGGACAACAGCACATCATAAGCCACCCATGATCAACCCCTTACGCCATTAAACTTTCCTTTCCCTGCATCGAATAGACTGTATGCATTCCATATCCAGAGTAAAACGCCCTGCATGGACGCGACGTCCTCTGTCCTTCATAAATCGTCTCAAACCCTGGATCGTCATCGACCATTGAGTCGCTGAAAACGCCGATCCTTGTCGATAAAACTCCTTTTTCTTCTGTGCACACTCCAACAGTTTTAAGGAAGTGCTTCTTTGATCTTGGCCTTCTGTGCTGCCGTCAACGACTTCGGAAAGTTGACCTTGACCTGGACGATAAAGTCGCCGCGCTCGCCTGGTTTCTTGCTTAGAGGCATACCCAGACCAGGGAATCTCTCCTCGTATCCGGGCTGAGTTGGTCCGGAACCTGACACGCTCAACTGCTTGCCGTCAATGGTCGTGACGGTCTTCTTCCAACCCGTCAGTGCTTCTTTGAGGTCCAACTCGATCGTGGTCTTGACATCATCGCCGTCCCGGATGAGTGTTGCATGAGGCTTCTCGGTGACGATGAAGTGTAGATCTTGAGTGCCTCCTTCCTCCTGATCGCCCACACCAGAAAACTTGATCTTTGAGCCAGCTTTCAATCCAGGTTTGATGTCCATCTCCAAGATCTTATCTTCTGTGGTCCGTTGTCCCTGTGCGTTGAATGTCTTCCTCTTGATCTTCATCTTCTTGTGTGCACCTTTATACATCTCCTCCAGACTGACGGGTAATTGTCGTTCGACGACGGAGACTTCTGGTGTTTGAGGTCGAGGTTGTCGTGAACTGAATCCTGTGGTGCTCCTCCTAGTACCGCCTCCTGGTCTCCCACCTGCACCACCGAATGCGCCGCCGAATAAGTTGAAGATATCCTCATCTTCTCCTCCTGCTCCACCACCGCGTGCAAAACTCGAAAAGATGTCATTGGGATCGGAGAAGCTGAATCCTGAACCACCACCGTTGGTACTGAAGTGGAAGCTTCTCGTGCCACCACCACCCCCTCCTCCTGGCATTCCACTAAAGTTGAATCCGCTTGGCATTCCTCCGAAACCACCACCGCCAGGCATACCATCCATACCCTCGGCACCTGGCGGTGGGGCTTGACCTCCTCTTAGCAAGAATTCCAGGCCATATTGATCATACACCTTCCTTTTCTCCGGATCCGAAAGAACTTCGTATGCTTGTGAGACCTCCTTGAATTTTTCTGAAGCGTTGGGACTGTCTTTGTTCTTGTCCGGATGCCATTTTAATGCGGCTTTGCGGTATGCTTTCTTGATTTCTTCTTGTGTAGCAGTAGGAGATACCGAGAGGGCATCGTAGAGTTTTGTTTCCGCTACCATGATGTTTCGTGTGTGTTATGTGATTGGTCGTGATCGAGGTTGAGTGTGAAAGGTACTTTTGAGTTGTGAGAGAACAATGAAAGAGAGGTTGAGTGATATTAAATGCCAGGACAAGGCTGGATTGACGGAAAGGAAGGCCGGTTATTCCTGCGAGAATTTTGGTCGCGTGGAGCAATGGAAGGCTCGAGAGCGATGTTCCAATGCGTTCAATGTGTCTGCATGAACATGTGCTGAATGCAAGGAATCGTACCTAAGAGAGATCAGGTTATGGTGAGGACTGGTGACTTCCCATGGAATACAATGACCTGCGGAACTGGGAGTTTGCTGGAAGGGAAACTGCGTCATTGGGGCACCAGTGGAATGACCGAAGCGCCCAGAACCTTCCAACACGCTAAGCCCCGGCGAGGCTGAAGATTGTACTTTAGTTAAAGCAGGCTACATCGAGGCTTACCATGGGGAAGCATTTAGATTGTGCAACTGGCTTTGACCTCCAAAATTTTGGGACTGTCTTCACCGCATCAACTGTCCGCCTGGTAATACGCACTACCATTAGATGCCCCTATACATGCTTCTCCAGCCAACGCACCTCCAGAATCTGGCAAGGCTGTATCACGTGCAAGGCTGTCGTTAGGGTGCCAATCACAGCGAGCTCTAGAAAAAAGGGGGAGAGTTGATGGAGTTGAGTAATAATCAATTACTTCTTGTAAAAGTATTCGCAGTCAGTTTCTCATCAAGTACATTCGTGTCGTCGATATCGTAAGTATCATTATCCACATGCTCTTTCGCTTCCACGCGGCCCTCCATCTTTCAGTGCTTACCCTTGGAGAGCGTTGTCCACTTCTCAGCTTCCGCCACAGCATGAAGCTGTTCATTTGTGGGCATATTGACAATCATGAGGTACAAAACATGCTGTTGGCAGATGATGTTAGCACACGTTCGGACGGCGCTGTTCATGGGTCGCATACCTCTGACAACAGTTTCTTCTTGAAACCACCATTGCTACTCTTTGGCGTCCGCCCTGCCGCAATATCCTCCTTTGCCTCTCGCTCTTTGCGTTCACGCTTCTTGTTATCCTTGCTTATTGCGCCACCTGTCAAGACACAAAGAGGCCCTCCCTTGTTGACGGGATGATTGGGGTCGGCAAACCGGGATGAGAACTCTTTCTTCGGCATGACGTTCAGGACTGAATCAGGATGGGTGGCTTCCTATATCTCATCATCAGCATCAATTCGTGCATCACCCGCAGCTTGGGTAAGGGCGAACTGACAAACTTGGCCTGCGCTCGACGATCACCATAATCTCCCACAAACGCCTTAGCTTTGATAAAGGCGTTCTGCTTCTGCTCGTGTCCGGCAGATTCCAGGTAAGGAAAGGTCAAAGGCACGGCCTCTGGCATTTCGGTCTCTCCATTCGTTGCACCGGCTGCAGAGCTAAATCTGCTGCCTGTTCCACCGTGCTCTTGAACAGCGACGGCTTTTGCCGTGGCCGTGTCAACGTCGATCACCTCATACGCGTTGGTGGAATTCGGGTTGTACGTCATGATCAGGGCATAGAGGCCTCTTGGTTTGAAGAGCCTCTCGTTCATTTCGAAGAGATAGTCGTTTGTTCTGCGACCCCGAAGTCAGTCTGCAGGCAACCTCTATGGGATATTCCAGACTTACTTGTGCGTAACATACATCCTCCTTCCCGCCTCGAGTGTTGCATGAACCAAGACTCCTGCAATATCAACCAGCGGGTTCGAACCCATCATCGCGGTAGCCGCAAGCACTCCTCCAGCGACAGGAAGATTTGCAACGAAAAAAAGGCTTTGTTTCTTTGTTGGAAAATTAGCACTCTGTACTCATGGTCCCCAAGCCCTGCTTACCTTGATAGCAGCGTCAAATCCTCCGAGAAAGTGCATGAACACCTGCTGATCGATTCCACAATTGGCAAGGTCTGGAGCGTACGCCCTAATGAACCCACGAGTCTTGCTCTGCGGTCTGCGTTGAGGAATGATCACTGCCGCTGGAAGACGCCCTATGACTTGGGAGAATGACGGTGGAGGTACGCCGTCCTGATCGAAGATGTTGTCATGTCCTGCAGCATCTGTGTGGTGCCCATTGACTGGGCCAAGCTGATCTTGGACATCGTCGCACATCCAGGCATGTTCTTCGTCGTCATCGTCGCCATTGTGGGCAGCATGTCCGTTTTTCTTTTCTTTGTGGGCAGCAATGGCCTCCGTTGTGATACCGATCAGGCCTGTAACTGCAATTGAGATTGGCCCCCGCATCGTGATATACTGTTCTGGCTTGGGGTTGGATTTGGAGATTGGGAGTGATCGTGATGAAGATGGTACTTTTCGACGCACAGCGATGCTTGTTGTAACTTGATCGGTTTAGACCTGAAGCTGAAGGTTGCGGAGTGTGACAGAGGGAAAGTCCTAAACAGCGATATGGAAACGAGAAGATGAAAGGTGATGATGCGTTAGGGTAGGTGTATCTAGGACATGTTATAAATTCACTGAATAGAGGTACAGCCACCAACTATCACCACGGCTGATATCGTCACTGCTCTCAATCACGTCCAACCACAGTTGGGACATTCCGCGAGAGACTGTGAACCTCGCGAACCATCTTCAACGAGGGCCGTTTCGCGAGATATCTTGGAAAAGCGATACACAATTGACGTGCATCTGTAGACCGTCGTTCATCAACTCACACTCGGTAGTTGTAGCGTCGATCGCGCTACTGTAGGTCTTGTCCATCAAAAGTCACTCGATACGAGCTAGTTGTGGCATATATTCAGGCGCCCACACATCGGCGCTAGACCGGGGATATACCTGTTCGCTAGGCTCGCAAGGCTCGCAAGCTGTGGGGTTACTCCCGAGGCGGGCTGGGATCTTGGAAGCCTATCTTCGGAAAACAATTTCGGGCCATGCATCGTGACGTCTAGGCGCCTCACAGGTGAAAGACGCAGTAAGAGCAAGTATTTTGGTAGATACGCATCTTGATTGCCAGTAATGGGCTCCATTTATGTGTCTGCACGAGGTTAAAGGTACACTCGGGAAGCCAATCATCTTCATGAGAATGCGCGAAAGCCACGAGGTCAGCAGATGATGAATGATTATGCCACGCGATGTTGTCCAGATCGGATTCTCCTCATGATAGCCATTTCATTATCCTATTTAGGGTGGCTATACGAGCTAGTATATTCTTCCCACCAGATCTCTACCCGTAGACACCGCATTCCAAAAGTGCGATTGATGACTATGCGATCGAAACCAATCGTGAGGAGTGTTGGATCTGTCGATGCCTGCCTCGTGTTGGTTCATGCTGGTCTCAGAAAGCTGTCTCAAGCCAGCCCAACATTGCACGGTTCGCCGTCTCAAAGTCACCAGCCTGGCAATGGTAGCTTGCAGGTCCAGTGAAATTGTGCAAGGTGACATTTTTGTTTTGCGAGACAAGTTGGTGGTAGACTTGACAACTTTATTAGCAGGAACATGACCATTTATCTGTGGATAAGGATGACTTACCCTCCATAGCCTGACCCGGAAAATCCGTGTCATCCACTGCATTGCCGACTAAGATGGGTATGTTAAGCAAGTGGGTGATGTTTTGAACTTTGTACGCTGCGGCTTGCTGCAACAAATTGTATGTCGAGTGTGTTTTAAATGCCCAAAGACCTTGATCAATACCCCATCTGGCCGACGACGACGCCGAAGCGTTGTTGACAATCGCGTCATCAATGATAGTGTCGAATTCAGTCTGGTTGCCTGCGGCGTAGATCTGCAGTAGCTCTGTGGGAAAACCGCTCTCAATGCTCGCCTGAACATCCCACACACCATCATCTAGCACCAGTGCTTTGATACGAGGTTCGTATGCCGCGGCTCGTGCCGCAAGGTAGCCACCCATGGATATGCCTGCCAAAGCCAACTTCGACATGTCAATATCAGTCCTGTTCGCAAGCCAGTTCACTGCTGGTACGAGTACTTTCTCATAGTCGGGGATGAAACCAAGGCCTTGGTATCTGCGAACCGTTGGTTGTCCAGGTCCTTCGATGGTCAGAACGTTCCAACCCCTCTGAATCGCAGATGCGCCCATCTGCATGTAGCTGTCTTCTTGTGCAGCATCGTAGCCCTGAATGATGACGAGAGTGCGGCGTTTGGTGGTCGAGTTGTCCACAGCATAATAAGTGCCAACGGTCTCAAATCCATCCGCTGGAAGAGTGATGCGCCGGCCTGGAACGGGCAGGGATGCTATGGCCTTATTGAAGGCGAGTGTTTGTCCAGTCCAGTATTCAAAGATCAGAGGGTCACTCCAATTGCCATGGAGAAAGAAATCGGCGCTTCTGTAGTAGTTGCTTGCGGCGAAGTAGGTGTTTCGAGCATTGACCGGGTTGGGCACAGCCGCTTTTTCTGCGGCAGCGTAAGTCGCATTGGCAAGTACGGCGAAGGTTGTGTTGAAGCTGTAGAAGCTATTCTGTACAAGGACAGCAGCTGCAGCCAGGATGTCTCCTGCGGCATAAGGTAGTGATCCAAGGCTGATCAGAAGCTGGAAGTTGAACTCGGGATCTGGGCTGAGGGCGAGTGGCAGGGAGGCCAATGCGGCCTTTTGTGTCGCATTCGCAGCTTCCACAAGAGAAGTAGAGATGGTGCCGGCAAGGGCGGAGGCGAGAACAAGGGAGAGACGCATCGTGTCTTGTGAGTGCGAGCAGGTTGAGATGGAACTGAGCAGGATCTTTGCACACAAGAGACAGTGAACTCACCACAGTTGAAATCACAGCCTTTATATTTAGGTACATATGCATGAAGTCCATCTCTGTTTGTGGGACCATGATGCTCGTGAACAGGTCCTTTCCTGGTGTACCACGCGAGGATTCAAGGCAAATACCCAGTCTTCACGGGAGGCCTGAGGAATGATGGATACCGGCTCTTTGAATGATGATGTGCTGTACGAGCCATACCAACCACATAGTATCTTGTCGTTGTGGCTATCGATAGTTTGGAAAAAGCTACAAGGGTGAAGCAACAAGCAAATTATCCTGGAAGTTGATGCTGCAAGTTGATAGGTTGAGATGTTTCCATGGCCGTAGAGATAAGGCCCCCTATTATGCCCTCGTTAGCCCCCAGATCTGGCAGATCTTGGGGAAAGACGTCATCATTGTATCCGTCCACACCTCGCAAGCCTCGCAAGCCTCGCAAGGTCGATTATGTGGGTTTGCGATAAGATCAAGACCCCTATAAGGTGAAGAAAAGCGCCAAAGTCGCAATTGTCGCAACCCACTTCTGTCTCATATCATTAGCACAGAATTCCGCACTGAACCTATCCCATTGTTGACAGCTAAACGATGGTGTACCCTGGACGCCCCAGCCGCGGTTGTCAGGCATGCATTGCACGGAAAGTCAAGGTACGCCCGAGCATGCTCCACCGATCCAATATGCTGACTCAAATTGCAGTGTGACGAGGGGAAGCCAGAATGTAAGCTGAGTTTCGCATCTCCCCGCTCGAGATGGCAGGTCCTGGACGCCAATCATGGGGGTGTTCCTGGCCAATCCTCATGACGTGACGGACCAGTGGCTGGAGGGCCAGTACGGCTGCTTTGGTTGATGTGCACGGATGCTGATTCTTGATGCGATAGGTGAACGTTGCAAGAAACGTGAGCAGCCATGTCCTGGATATCGAGATCCAGAAGAACGCAAGTCGATGCAGAGACGCAGGACTCGCTCTGCTGTATCGACGAGCGGTCCCTCGACGTCATCATCGGCGGCTCCAGAAGCATCAGGAGCTCGACATCATCAACCGGCGAGCTCAGTCTCGCGCAGCCAGAGCCTGGGTACCCCCGCTGTACCACCGCAACAGAACTTCTGCGATCAAGCAGTATGCTTCTTCTTCCACCAATATATCATTGCCTCCACCGACGGTGGGAATCCGGGATTCCTTGATTTCCTGCCGGAGCTATATGAACGCACCAGTGCAGACGATGCCCTCTCACAAGCTGTCAAAGCAGTCTCGTACATTACTCTTTCTGGCCAGTCATCCGTCAAGATCCTGTCTGACAAAGGCCACGAGCATTATCGAACCACCCTGCAGAGGATAACCCAGATGTTGCAAACGCCAGAAGGTGCTGCACAAGACTCCCTGATCGTGGCGATCATGCTTGTTGTGCTGTTCGAGAATGTCACATACGAAAAGCCGGCGGTTATGATGAGCCACGCGAAGGGTCTTCACACCCTTCTACTACATCGTGGCGTTGGACAATTCACCAGCCCCCAGAGCCGGGCAATATTTCGTCATGTCAACTCTCACACTCAAGTGCGCAACATTGAGCTTTCTCAGTACCCAAGCCCCGAGACCGAGCAATGGCTTCAAGGACTCGACATGTCCAGTCCGACTGCCGGCTCAATCTCTGAGAAGTATCGCATTGCCAGTATTCGGGCGGCGGCCAAAGAAGCACTGTCACACCCTCATAACACCAGAGACATTGAAGCGAGGCTGCTGGAAATACTAGAACAGGCCAGAGAGCTTGACGCTGATGTCGCACGCTGGGCGCGAGACCTGCCCCCTTCATGCCGGTACAATGTCTGGAGGCTCGATGCGAACGGCGATGCAGGGCAAGTAATGGAAGTCCCTGGATCTTCCACCGCGCTACCGGGGCTTATGGAAGACTCGAGCCAGCACATACTGATATACGCGGACGTCTGGTTCGCGTCACTATGGGCAGGCCACAGGACTTCGCGCCTCATGCTCAACGAGACCATTATCCGAATTGCACGCCGGCTGAATCTCACTTATGCTCAACAAGACGCAATCACCGTCATACAGGAAATGTGCACCGAAACATGCGCTAGTATCCCTTTCTCGCTTGGTGATGTTCAGGTCCGCACTGACGGAATGGGTCGCGAGGTTCTGGAGATGAACATTGATTCGCGAACAAAAAAGGGCGCCGGTGCGGGAGCGTATTTCGTTGTTTGGAGTTTAAGGCATGTTGTGAGTTGTGAATTTGCGACCGAGGCGCAGATACAGAGTGCTAGCGAGGCGCTCGTGAGGATCGGAGCCCAGTATGGCATTAAGCAGGCACTTACGCTGGCGAACAGGCAGTACCAATGCCACCCGGGTGCGACAAGCAGATGATCTGGATCTTGGAACTTTAAGGACGAACGCCAGCCTGCGCTTCTGTACTCATATTCCTAGGTCAATGTCCTGCAGTGGCAACCAGAAGGCTTTCATTTGCATCGAGATACCCTTGTTACTTGCTCGGATAGGTCCCGGTACAATTTCCTGGCCACATCTGCAGCTTGGCGAACACACAGGCTCCGTCTGGAGTTGTTGCAAAATGACCTCAACTCTCACTTTCCTTTCTTTCATGACACATCACAAATATCAACATAACATGAGAGCCTTTTGCCTACATTGCAATAAAACATACCTCTACAACGGCAGTGAAGAACTCTGCCGGTTGTGCAATTCCCGACTCTGGATTCAAGCGAGCCATGAAGCTCACGAAGTGCTTGACCAAAATGCGCTTGGACAAGGTCAAGCGTTTGTATTATACCCCGAACAGGGCCTAATGAGACCGCTGGGTCTGGTGGCCAATTTACCCGAGCTAGGTCCTCCAAGATTGTACTGCGCGTCAATTAATGATCATAGTGCCTTGCAAACGTATCAGGGCCATGAATCTGCCAATGACCGGACCTCCCATCCCTCCCATCCCTCCTATTCCTCCCGTGGTCGCAATTCAGAAAGACTGAGGAATCGGCTAAATCATGCCCTAACACCCCACAAAGTCGTGGGTTTCAAAGCGAAAGTCAGAGCGAAACCTCCAGTGACGGGCAGTCCAGTGAGGAATCCTCCAACGAATCGCGCAGTTCACGAGAACACCAACGACGAGTTCAATCTCACAGCCCGCAAAGTCGTGGGTTTCAAAGCGAAAGTGAGAGCGACACCTCCAGTGACGAGCAGTCCAGTGAGGAATCCTCCAACAAATCTCGCACTCTAAGACGATATCGTACGGAATATCGTGGCCGCAAAATCCGCAGTCCAAGACGAGATCGTGACAGAGACCGTGGCCGTGCTGGCAAAAGACAGCATTCCTCGCAGAGCGAGACCTCAGAGAGTGACGTGAGCTATCGCACTCGAGATCGAAACAATTCTTCATCAACGAGTCGTTGGGGAAGGGGTGGGCGGTATGATGTCCGCAGCTCGTCGAGAGAGAAGACATGCGACTCGCATAGGCCCCAGCGAAACGAGTCACGTGGTCGAATTGGCCGATGCCGCCTGCGAAGAGCATCGAGCAGTTCAAACAGTCTACCAGCACGTCGATGTCAACGAGGCAACGACAGTGAGTCAACGAGCCCACCAAGACGGCGCAAGCGAGACAAATCACATAGACCCGTCAGAAGTTGTCGGGTGCAAAATAAAAGTCCATCAACAAGTCCACCAAGACCGCGGCATGGAAAGGCATCGCAAAGTGCGCGCAACAGACGTCGCCAGCGAAGTGGCGGTGAATCAAACACCCCACCAAGACATCGGCGCCGAAATAGCGCAAAAGCAATCCCACGACATTGTCGACGGCAGCAAGACGCCACTGAGTCGCCTAGCCCAAAGGGCCAACACCGAGAACTTGGACCTCACATTTCACCATGTTCGAGATTGCGGAGTGTGGGTGAGTCCTTCACCAATTTCTACACTTCAGAACAATAATAGCCAGAAGTCCAATCTCAAAGTCCGCCAGATGACTGGCAAGGTGCAAGTGAACCTTCCATGAGCCTGGCTCAGATGAATACGACTGGCAGACTCGAGAAGGATACAAGCAGAGTAGCCAGAATGCATCGCCCAGTCCACGCGGGCATCAACGCGATGTTGACTCTCACAGTCCACAAAGTCTTGACTGGCGAAGTGAGGATGAATCCTACAGTCCATTAAACCATCGGAAGCGAGACAACAAGACCTCGCGCGTTCCAAGGAAACATCGTGAGCGGAAGAACAAACCTCGCAGCCAACGAGGACACCGGCAGCGAAACGAAAACACATCGTGTGGCCCAGAAAGACATTGGCAGCGAACCGAGACTGCAGGGCACAGCCCATGATCTGGTAGTAGGCTGGTAAGAACACAAACAGTCTATCATTCTTGAAAAGTATATACCTGCAGGAGTCCCCCTCTATGTTCGAGGCTGGTCGACGTTAGGATCGAACACCTTGATGTCCAAATGCCCAAAAACCGAGGACAGGAGGACAAATCTGCCGTTTCAGACACAACATTGGTGACGTCCTGAAAGGCGAGTTGTGAGGTCAGTGGCGTTACAGAATGTTTTTCCAAGGCCTTTACGTTGATTCCGAGCTGAAGTCAGCAATATGCTTCACAAGCAACAGACACAAACGTCCCACATTGGCAAGAGCTGGAGTCAGCAATATGCTTCACAAGCAACAGACACAAGCGTCCCAGAAAGCTCGAAGTCCGCGCACTCCGTTCCCCTCCTCACAACGATACCAAATCATGATAAGCTCAGATTCCAAGCGATAAAGCGATGAAAACATATCAATGACGTTGCGTATACCACCATTGCCGGCGCCCCAGATAAAGAATATGAACATCCACTCAGATATGGAAGTGACCGAAATGTGCCACTCGGTGGGGAATTCCACGAAGACAATATTTCTTGGAGAATCTAGGAAAGTCGACACATATTGATCCAACGAAACGATCGCCGTTGCTGACGAAGTCAATAGAAAAGAGACCATAAGCAGCAGATCACTTCCGAAAGGTGATGAGTATCATGTTGATCCCGAAAAGAATTTCGGCATGACTGACTCGCACGGACATGACTTATCAAATCTGATCTCTCAAGAAGCCGCAGAATGTCCCCCGCAAACCGCTCCCAAAAGATACGCAACAAACTGGGTCGCATGGGCATGAACGATCGGAACCCATCTCCCAAATACGGGCGTGAATGATCAAGACCCCATCTCCCAAAGCAGCAGCACGTCCACCAAATGTTGACCCTGAGTGGGTCCGGTGGGCGATGTTGACTGACTCCCAATGGCACAAATGATCATACCAAGATCGCGCCGGACAGCAGAGTATTCCCCACCATCCTCGAAGACGGGTTTGGCTGGCGAAGATACCACGGAAAAGCACGATGGGCAAAATGACACACGGAAACGTCCGAAATGGCCAAATGTTCCACTGGATAGGTGTCGCGGCTCTGCGAGAAGAATGCTGGCGTGTCGTTACGGACTGACATTGAACAGACACCTGAACTTCTCATCACCGTTGGGCTATATGCCTGGCTTTGGAGAAGACCAAAGAGCCTGATACTAGAGATATTTCGATGAATAGAAGTAATATTCCCGAATGCGCTTATTTTGCCTTCTGTGAACCTTGTAGCGTCGGTGCCTTTGTGAGCTGTAGTGTTCGATGCCTTGCTCTGCTCCATACATCCTGATGCTAGCCCCGAATGACTTTTAGTCGATCACAATGCAATCTGGTCGCAGATGCTCGTGGGGAACGAAGCTTTGTGTGCCAGCGAACAGGCGGTTGTATCGACGCCTGGGCAGCACCAGTATCATCCCGGTATGACCCATATACAACATGGATCCTAGATTTTCAATTGATGCTTCCAAGTTGTAGTCCTCAAGTCATTTATCTGCAATCGAATAGCTCGTTCCGTATGAAACTCTCGAGGAGTAAGACTTCACCCGCAATAACATAAGTCACTAACGCTACCTGGAGAATATGGGTGCGGTGTAAGTAACTGCCCCAATCATATATGCACATCCCTGCTTTTGATGCTACCAATCCTGAGGGAAGAGATAACCCCGGCTTACCCGCAAGCAGGGTCCTTAGGCCCACCAAATCCCCTGGCCTCGCCCCACATGCCTGGCTCCGCGCTACAAGATCTAGCATTTCGCCAATCGGAACACGGCCACTCTCCCAATGACGGCACCAGACGTATACGAGACTCGCGTTCGTGTTCACCCGTCCGGTCACCAACAACATCCCATCGTGGTCGAGATCGTTCCCACTGCCCTCGGCGATACCGCGAGCGCCAATATCCAAGTGAAGAGAAGGCACATAAGCGCCGTGGCAATTCCCGCAGCCCAGAAACATCCTCAGAATCTGATCGAGTCCGAGGGGGCTCTCAACACCAACATTTGCAAACCAGTGGGCACGTCAAACACGGTACACGGCCCATCATAAGCAACAACCAGGATCCACCACGGTCCGGCCAGCCAAAAGACACCATAAACCGCCATGATTATGAAGACTCGAAGCAGGAACAGCAAGGAAACCCGGGCAGGTGGTGCCTCCGCTGCCACCAAACTGGTCACTGGATGGCCGACTCCTGGAAGGAAAGCTCTGGGCAAAAGTACACGCTTCCGGAAGAGTGGTCCAAATGGAGAGCTCGGTTCTCCGGCGAAGATATGTACCCCATCCCAGAAACACCTACCAACATGGTACAATGTCAAGCTTTGGTCTTTGAATGGTGGGCGCCATCAACGAATGGGACAAGTTCATCGATGAGCGAGACACACACTTATTACAGCTGGATGAATACCTTCAAAAACATGCTCCGGACACTTATGACCAGTGGCGCGTCTGTATGGCAAAGTCAAACACTCTGATGAAGAGCACCATGCGCGAAGTGAAGAGGGTAACAAGATTATTCCAAAAGTACTCCATCAGCTTACCGCTGTCCATGGAAATGGCGAAAGACCCGAGACACAAAAATCAGAAAGAATACTACAATCAGCATCAAACCTACTCTGTTGACTCGGTGGGCGAGTATCTCTGGTCCATCAAGGATGATCAAGACAAGATCAAGGGGGATGCTGAGAAAGTGGATAAGTCAATCCACTGTCTCGCGGAATGCTACAGAAAGTATGGGTCTCAGCACCAAGCATGGTGTTCCGAGATCGACCGACCCATTTCCGACAGTCCTCAGTGTAGGGAAATGCCCAAGGTCAGAGAATGTTTTCTCAATCTGGGCAGATTGATGTTCTCAGACCTGACCAGAGGTGAAAAAGTATGGCCATTCAACTTCATAGATTATCAGGTGCCACTCTTGTACCCTGCAATCTACTTTTTCGAACATCCTGGAGCGGATGATTGATGATGGCTATTGTGAGGATTGGTTCAAGATTGCTGGATTGGCACCTTGGGAGACATGCTCCGGCTTTCAAGCACGGTGTTTACTTGTCGCCACGATTTGGGGAAAGCAATGACCTAAAAACCGTTGCAGTTGAGATAGTTTCGATTATAGAAATGACTATTCCCAACGCATTTATTGTCTTTTGTTAGAATTGTATCGTAATCACAATGGTAAGCAGTGTGTCAATCGATAAACATCAAGACTCTCGCCTTGTGATGTGATGGAGAATAGATGAGGTCAAAACAAAGCGCGAGAACAAGTGTGAGGAGTGATGTCACTGAGTCTTCGGCACGAGACTTGGACAGGCACCAAATAATGCTTACGAGCGCCTAGATGGCATGAAGTTAGAGCCGGTAAGGGGTATTTCCGGGCTCCATGGATTGCTTAAGGACCCCTGTCAACCGAAATGTACCCTGGTCGTCTCTCCTCTTCGGCTCCCTTTTATCAATTCCTGTGGTCACTGCCCTCAAGTATCCTTTCGTTCCCCAAACAACACCTGGTCCGGTTTGAGGTTCTTCAATCTGTTTCCCTACATCAGCCATTCTCCTGTAGAATGCGACCAAGACTTTTGCACTCACCCATCCTCAATCAGGGACACCCGTACGAACCGGTTTGCATCGCCGTATTTCATGGGAATTGTCCACAAAGTACAACCGCACGAACTGCAGAAGACTTTATGTTTCGGTTGACCACTCGCAGTGTTGGTGACGATGTAATGCTTCACCAGATCCTCGCCAGTCTGTACAATGACCTGCGATTTGTCATATTTGGCAACCTGTCGCGTTGATGAGTACGGTGTGAGTTTCGAGGATTGGAAGTCCTACGATTTGAAATGGGGCACTGGCATTCATTTGACAGTGGTCGCAGTAGCATTGCATGACCGTGTCAGGTTTGCCGTGAATCTCAACTGTGATGCCGCCACACAGGCAGGATCCGTGGACTGCCGCCATAATCGTCCGAAGTTTGTTATTGTTTGTCAGCTTGTGTATACGAGACGAGGTGTTTTGTGCTGGAGACCATGATAATGTTATCTGACCATCTACCTTGACTCTGGCCTGAAAATGAATGACTGACATTTTGTGAGCGGAGAAATCCGCATACACAATGCCTCGGGAAGTTCATTCATTTCCGCAGCAGCAACTCACCTCAGTATATGTAGTCTTCGACGCATGGTTTCGATTACACGTAGTCAACTAGTTTGCTGATAGCTTTTAAATATACATCTGAAGTTTCAGGTTACTACTGATTTCTCTAATTGATCAAACACTGAAGCTTCATTTCGACCAAGATGTCCAGCCAGAAAGTATCCTCCCCACAGTCGAGTCGTCGCCACAACTCTTTGACCATTATAGGAGCTTGCTCCAGTGGAGGATAGCGCAGAATCGCGCGCATACTCAAGAGCCGATTCACAAGTACTAATCGACTACGCCGGACTTCGGCATCTGTGATTTTGGTATGCTGCGTTGTGGTGCTGGACTTTGGCTTTCATCAACACGGCAACAATCTATATCATGGTGGCTCTGTTGGTTCGAACACATCAAAAGCAATCCGCCACCGCGGTTTTCACAGAGATTATCAACGAGACAGGATGGTCTTCAAACGGTCTCGTTTTTTGTCTGAGCATTCTACCTGGAAGCGCATCAGTTGGCCTTTTCGACACTGCAGCTCATCTGGCAGAAGAGATCCCGCAGCCCGAGAGATCTGTTCCACAAGTCATGGTATTCACGGCTCTCTTATCGGCCTTGAGTGGCCTCATCATGACCTTTGTCTACCTATTTTGCCTTGTCAACCCAACGGCACTTCTCGCCCCACTCGGTGGCCAACCTATTTTTCAGCTTATGCATGATGATCCGATCTAAACCACTTCTCGTGATTAGTGCCCTGGTATTTGTTGTTGTATGGGCATTCGCGTCTGTGTCGTTTGTCACCACGACTAGTCGAATCTTTTGGTCGTTTTCGAAGCATGCCGGCATTCCGTTCAGTCGGTGGATAGGATTCGCCGACCCCAAAAGTCAGATTCCCAAATACGCAGTCTTCGCCACGACAGGGATAACATGTTTGATCGATCTACTTCAGTTTGGACCAAGCTTGATCCTTACCGCTTGCTATGGCGCCGCGGCGATTACTTCAAGCATATCCTTCGGCATACCAATCTGCTGCCTCATTCTCGGAGGAAAGAACGACTTACCTCTCAAGCGATGTTTTTCGATGGGGAGATTTGGTCTTTGGGTTAACTTGGCTGCCGTGCTGTGGCAAATCTTTCAGGTCTTCTTTTTGTCGTTCCCTCTCTCCTATCCAGTCACAACCAACAGCATGAATTGGGCTTGTCTTGTGGTTGCTATTGGCGTTTTGGTGTTCGCGGTCAACGGGGTGGTCTACTCCCGACGACGCTACCATAGCCCTAAACCTTTACTCATGGGAACGCACTAAGGTGGCAATGTCGTCACGTGAAGAAGGAAGACAATAGTTATATGGGATGAAGGGGGAGTGACAAGCAGTGCTGGAAGAAAGTCGAGATTGGAGCCGTCCAAATAATATATTGTCCCACAGCCGAGGTGAAGTTTTGCTTGCTATTCGTTATTTCTCGAGGTTCGCGGAAGATGCTTGCAGAAGTTTGACCAAGTTTTTGAGGCGCGTACTCAACCAAGCGGAAGATGCACTGCCGCAGAGACAAGGTTGACTGAAGGTTGACTAGACGTAAAAATCTGTTCAAAAGAGAGACAGCAGGTAGACGCGTGCTGTTGGCTCGTAAGCCAAAATATTCAACCTGCACGTCAATGGAAAGAGTAGCCATCCGACGCGTTCATCGGCTGTTTACTATTATCATTATTGGTGATACCCCCCACGATCCTCGGCGAGATTGGCTCCGAGATCTCGCTGGCCGGCTACGACTCCTGCTAAGATTGCATGTGGAGGCGCTGGGGAAGGGGGTTTTCCCGAACCCCCAACTCCCGCCCACATCGACATTGAAAAGTCCATTCCATTAAATTCATTGTTCTTCCCAACATCAGGGGACAACCGTGTGCAGCTTGATAATCGGACTTCAGGACGGGTAAACTCCAATTTTCCTTCTCATTGTTTCATGATACTGTCGCCACCATGCCGCATACGACGCTGACCAACGGCACCTCTGCACCCAGTGCCGACGTCATTGAAACACCTTTACTCATTGTCGGCGCCGGACCAGCGGGTGCTTCGCTAGCATGTTTTCTTTCAGCGCCGCCTTATTCCATGACGGGTTTGCTCATATCCGCAGCACCCACGACATCGCAAACACCTAGAGCACATATCACCAACCCTGCTGCCTTTGAGTGTCTCAGAGATATCGACTTGGAACAGGAATGTCTCGATCATGCAGTGGAAGGGGACTGCATGGTCCACACGCGCTGGTGTCACGACATGACTGGTGAGGAATATGGCCGAATCTACTCTTGGGGTAATGATCCGAAGCGGAGAGGCGAGTATGAGGGTGCCAGCCCATGTCATCACGTGGATCTGCCTCAGACCGTGTTTGAGCCCATCATAGTTCAGCGGGCGGCAGCTCAAGGGTGGGACGTCAGGTTTCGTACAAGCTTTGTTGACTTCAAGAAAGAAGACAATGGCAAAATCCTAAGTCGAATCCGAGATGACTTGACAAAGACGGAATACCTGGTTCGATCAGATTACTTGTTTGGCTGCGATGGGGCAAGGAGTCAAGTGCTTAGAGAACTCCAGATCCCTCTGATCAAGAAGCCTGGTCAAGGTCTGGCTCTCAATGTGCTGGTAAAGGTTGATTTGAGCGAGTACGTGGACGCCAGAAGGGGGAACTTGCATTGGGTTTTCCAACCAGAACGAGAATATCCCGACTTTGCCTGGAATGGTTTGATTCGAATGGTCAAGCCGTGGCATGAGTAAGTGAGCATTCATAGTTTTCAGGGCCTCGCTGATCTTCTCAGGTGGATGTTCATTCTCTTCCCGAAGCCAGGAGTGGAATACAAAGAGCCGACTATGGAACAGTACACGCAAAGATGCAAAGAGATTGTCGGACGAGACGACTTGCCACTAGAAGTGCTCGACGTGTCGAAATGGTATATCAATGAGATCGTGGCAGAATACTACTCGGATGGAAACATCTTTTGTCTGGGCGATGCTGTACACCGACATCCTCCATTCAATGGTCTCGGATCCAATACTTGCGTCCAAGACGCCTTCAACCTAGCTTGGAAGATCAAGTACGTCTCACAGGGACTTGCATCACCTACAATCCTCGATACTTTCAGCACAGAGCGACAACCGGTGGGCGTGGGAGTGATTACCCGTGCAAACCAAGGCATTCGTGACCACGTCCCTGTTTGGAAAGAGATGGGTCTGATGGAAGAGACGGTGGAGAAGAGGATGGAGATCTTCAACAGTCTCAAGACCGCCACTCCGGAGGCTCGAGAACGCAGAAAGCGAGTGAATGCGGCCATTGAAGGGACGAGTCACGAGTTCCATGGTATCGGCGTGGAGATGAATCATCACTATGACTCCGAGGCAGTGTATGTGGCAGATGAGGTCAAAGCAGGCAGGACGAAACCGGGATGGCCCGAGGATCCTATCTTGCACCACAAGGTCAGCACATTCCCGGGCCATCGATTGCCTCATGCGTGGTTGAACAAGACAATGCCGGAGAAGGATCATACTTCCACCATCGACCTCGCTGGACATGGCCGGTTCTGCCTGATCACCGGTATTGGAGGCGAGAAGTGGATTAAGGCTGCACAGAAGGTGTCTCAGCAACTTGGTATCGAGATCAAGGCTTACAGTATTGGTTGGGGACAGGAGTACGTGGATGTGTATCGTGATTGGTAAGTTGTTCGGCTCTTGCTATGATACCTTGTTGACTGACCAATTTTAGGGAACGGAGAAGAGAGGTCGAAGAAGATGGCTGTGTGCTGGTGCGCCCTGATCGTTTCGTTGCGTGGCGGTCTATGGAGCTGAGTGACAATTGTGACCAGAAGTTGGGAGAGGTCATGAAGGCCGTGCTTGGGAAATCTTGATATTTCGTACGATATGTGAGGCTTGGGATAATGAAGAGTGCATAAATTTGTTTTTACCTGGCCTGGGACATATTCTGCATACACCAGGAAGAGGTGTATATTGCAGGATTTTCTACGATTGGTGGTGTTGAGGATGCCTCATTTGTCATGCTTGGAGCATGTCATTGGATACTTGAAATGATCCTGATCTCGAGACAACTGCCTTCACCCTTCCCGAAACTGATCAAGACGGAGGATAGTCATGGAGCAAGAATTGTAAACGCAATAGGATGCCCTACGAATTTCCCCCTCAGGGACTCCCATCAGGGACTCCCCCAGGGGACTTTTGCCAAGACTTCCCAAACACCCTCAAAAGGCAGGCATACCTACCCGAAGAGGAAATTCTTGCTCTTTTTCATGATCCAAGGAGAGTGCGACACCATATTCGGCTCGACTTCGGCAACGGTCAATCCATTTTACCAATAAATTCCGGGCGAGTTCACCCCCCGCATCGGAGGTTTCGGCACAGGCAAGCAACGGTCTTTTCAACACATATATACCTTACCAACACATTTCTCTTCAACAATCAGCACAGACTTGATTTCACTTCAAATCTTGAAGCATCTTCATCCCTATGAAGCGCCGATGGTTTAGCGGTAAAATCCGTCGTTGCCAAGACCCTCTAAGCCTTTTCAGGCATAGAACCTTCGAATCGACGGGCCCCCGGTTCGACTCCGGGTCGGCGCAACTTCATCTGTCTTTTTTGGTTTTTTTTGGATGGTGTTTTGATCTTTTTTCATGGGTTGAAGGCTGGCTTGTTTTAGCGGTAAAATGCTAGCGGCTTGCAGTCTTGGCATGATTGGCCATGGTGCTGGAAACTACCTTGGCATGATTGTGAAGGTTATTCTCACATAGTGGTTGGCTGTCAACGTTCTCTTCGATGACTTCTGACATTTGCTAAAAGAAAGATAAGAGCAGCAAAATCCCGACGAGATCATTTATTTCCAGTGAACTCTGTCGATTTAGCCGTGAATATTTCGCCTGAAGGGAACGGATATTCGGTAGATGAGATACTATCAATTGCATTCATTGAAGCGCGTAGTATGTTCATACTCTCTCTCTCTAAGACCTTCACATCTACGCCCGTCTAGATTTCGCTTTGGTCCACCTCCTTATCCTACAAATCTCTTCCTCATTGCACCACTGCTCCCCGTACGTTTTCTGTCCATTTGTCAATCTATGCTTTAAGCTCTTCCCTGTTTGGCGATTGAGTTCCCGAGGGCAGGGATGAATTGTTTCCATCTTTAGGACGGCCCTCAACCACCTTCTTCTTGCCGGTCAACTCGCCGAAGAGTTCAACCCAGAAGTGTCGTGTTTCCCAGATGGGAAGGATACCGCACATGAACAATGCTGCAAAGACCCATATGAAGCTGACGGCAATGTAGAATGTGAAGAAGGTCTTCGAGTAGATGTAGTGGCTGAGGAACATGGGTACCGGAATGACGACATCCATGGCCAAGGACAAGACGGTTGCAACAATCAGGGCCATCATGTATGTGCGGTTCAGCGACTTAGGATCGTCAAGGAAGGCCTTGTCTTCAGCTTCTTCCTTCTCCTCGTCGATCACAGTTGGCAATTCCGAGTGAGGGTTGGCAGCTTTGTGGTCTTCTTGTTCGCCTTGTGTCTCACCAGCAGCCACCACACCGCCAGCTCCTCCTGGGACCGCATTGCCGTACAGCGAATGCGCAGCGTTGATGTTTCTGGTGATGGACCAGTCAAAGTCGTCAGGTTTGATCCATGAGACAACGAGGGTAAGAATGAGTCCAGTGAGGACAGCTGCCATGTTACCTGCTAAGGTAGGGTACGATCCACCAGTGGAGGCAACGGTGAGCTCTCCGTAATATACGTGAGCCTCGACCAGCCAGGCTATAACACCTGCTGCCAGACCGCCCAGTGCTCCGGTCAGGGCACCAGCTCGAGTCTGCCCTTTCCAGGTAACAGCAAAGGCAGCAGGGAAAACAGCACCGCCGATAAGGAGGCCCATGACCAAGAAAAGCCACCCAAGGTCAATACCAATAGCGTTCCAGATACACGCAAATGCGGCCATGACCAAGCCAAAGACGCAAATCATGACATGTGAGATGAAGATCAGATTCTCAGGCGTGGCGCTTGGTTTGACGTAGACTTTGTAGACATCGAAGGTGAGGATCGACGACACGGCGATAAGCTCGGAAGATGATGAGGACGTCACTGCCATGAACAGTGTGAGAAGCAGGGCAATAGCACCATGTTTTCCGAGTAAAGCCGCCGCACCAAAAGGAGCTGCGAGTCCTGCGGAAACTTGCGACGAGGTCATGTTGTTTGGGTAGGTGGGATATGCCGGGTTATCCGTAAGAGCGACTGCAGCTAGACCGAGAGTGGTGGCAAATCCAAAGGGAATGGCATACCATGCCATGCCTCCCATGATATATCCTCGGACTGCTGTTGTGGGACGACTGGCGATGGCTCGTTGCCAGTAACCCTGATCCAGAAAGACAGTACCCATGCCAGAGCATAATTGAATAACACCAAAAATCAAGCCGAAGTTCGATTTTTGCGTCAGGTAGGAGCCTTCCGTGTTGCCTGCAACTGGACGAACCTTGGAGGCATGGACGAGGAGATCGTACATTTTGCCAGGAGAGCCAATGAGTTCATTTGAACAGTATACCTGGATCTTATCAGCAAAAGCAATACCTTGGGGATCGGCAAGAGACATACGTCGAACATGAAATACAAGATGATGATCATGACAATCACTGTATGAGTGTAGTCGCAGAGGAATGTTGCACGAAGTCCACCCAGAACCACGTAGACGCAAACACCCATGGGAATCAGGAACACCGCGGCGTACACATTCATTCCCGTTAGAGCTGTGACGACAGCGCTACCACCCAGTAGGAGCTGGGACGCAACAAGGATATTGGTCATCAGGGCAAAGAAGATGAAGACCATATGCGTGACCGCGCCGTATCGATAGTAGATGATTTCGAGAAACGTGTGGCACCTTGGAGCATTCTGTTTGACCTTGCATGCCAACACCGAGAACATGAAGATCTGGACTGTTGCTCCAGCAGCATACTGGGATATATTAGTACGGGTGTCTGCGGAGAGGGATTGAGATCGTGCTTACCCAAAACGGCCCTGCCACGCCGTATTCATAAGTGACACTGCCCGATTGTAGCAGAGTAGCTGCCCATGTCCAGGCGGAGACGACACCGCAGGCAATAAGACCGGGCTTGACACTTCGACTAGCCGTGTTGAACTCTTCACTCATCTTGGTCGAATATTTGGTGTAGCGATTCTAATGGACAGATTAGTTTTCCCTTCTTCAGAATTGCTTGTTCTTTCGTACCTGCATGTAGGCGATTCCAGCCATGAGTAAGGCGAAAAAGAAACCGATGCCAACCACGACACCGTAGCCGGCGCCCTGAGGCAGAACTGTTGCAACCGAGCTCGACATCTTGACACAAGGCAGATGTTGTGCAGAAGGGGAGATTCCGGTATGGGTATGGAGAGATTTGGCAAACGTTCTTACGCATGATCTGTCTGGTGGGAGGTTTATATAGATACAATCAATGGACTTCCGATGAGTCCCGATAAACTGCCCAAGTAATCATGACCCACCTTGGGGTAGAATATCGATTACCCAGGAGATAGTCAATCCTTGAACGAAAGTGACTTATCTTTCGTCACTCGGAGTAAGTACCCTTCTGACGGAATGCACCATCAGAGATCTTGATTTGACACTTACCAGCATACCATGCTGGGGCCAGAGGGAGTATCCTTGGGTGATCCATTGTTATCGAGGGCCTATCGTTATCTGGGGTGATATTAACAGCTGCTTATTACATCAAGAGGGCAGGCTACGACGATGTACAATCCACATCAGCATGGTCTATCTTCGGTAGCAGTGCCGATATCGAAAGCTAACCGTGGCTATGGGCATGCATATCGTCGTTGCCTGCCTCTTTCGCAACGATAAGAGGTGGAAAGAGCACGACAATACTCCACGAGGGTCCGTGAATCCTCGCGATCTACATAGTGATTTCCGGATAATATAAATGTGGATCCTGGTTTGGGCCCTTATCAACCTTTGCTCCATGACGGCTGGGCCTGACCGTGGATATTCCCCAGGTCAAGAACCGTTAGTAAGACCCGCAACTGCATGTGGCAGACCAGGAAGAGGAACCTCGGTGCTGATATCGCGAAGACCCTGCCGCGATATTCACGATGGCGCGGCATCTTGCGAGGTCTCAAAGGATGGGGCTAGAGTTTAGCAATCCTCTGGGAAACCATGTAAACACGAGACCCCCCAAGTAGTAGAACTTTTTCTCGAAGTCCAGTCTCCTCCCGTCGAAATCTCAAGAATTCGCCTTCTAGTTCTTTCCAACATCACGCAAAATGCTTAGTCGCTCAGTTTCTCGAGCAGTCCTCGGTAGAGGCACTGCCACTGTCGCCAAGAATGCCTCCCTCAGACTCACAGCAATGCGCGCGTATGCGACAGTGCGAAACTCCCCTCTCTCCGAGAAGTTGTCGATCAACGGTGATAGACTATGGTAAGCCAGGCCAATGATCATGATGGCAGCAAGAGTTGTCTAACAGAACTTCACTGCAGGCACGATATTCACTACACAGCCCAATGGAGTGCACCGTCACCGGGAGGTGTGACTCGTCTTTGTGCAGACGAGAACGATAAAAAAGTTCGCGATTGGTTCCGAGATCAGTTGCTTGAACTTGGGGCAGACTACAAGGTCAGTTGAACAAATGCTCGCCAAGACGATCATGCTGACGCAAAACAGGTCAATGCGACAGGAACACAATTCGGCGTATTCCCAGGCGAGGATAACAGCATCCCTCCCATTGCCATGGGTAGCCACTTGGACACTGTGGCAACCGGCGGCAAGTTCGACGGTCCCCTTGGTGTCATCGGAGCCCTTGAGTGCATGCGAAGCTTCAAGGAGCAAGGCATCAAAACCCGTGCGCCAATTGTTCTCATCAACTGGACCAACGAAGAGGGAGCTCGCTTCTTCCCCCTACTAGGATCCTCAGTCGTCTATGCCGGTCGCTCGACGGTCGAGAAAGCACATGCCGCTTCCTCCAATGATGCCTCTGAGTTGACTATGGGCAGCGAACTCAAGAAGATTGGATACGTTGGTGATGGACCCAACACTTTCAAGGAATTCCCTATTTCTGCACATTTTGAGATCCATTGCGAGCAAAGTACCGATCTTGAAAAGGCCGGCAAGCCTGTCGGCTGGGTCGAGGGTTGGCAGGGAATGACCTGGTACGACGTCACCTTCCACGGTGAGAACGGCCACGCAAACACCTACCCTATGTACGGCCGGAAAGACGCGTTGGTTGGCGCATCCAAACTGGTCGTCGAACTTGAAAAGCTGGCTTATGAGAAGGCCGGTGCAACCACTGTCACAGGTCTTCACAGCCGACCTTGGGGCGCATGCAACATTCAATCCAAGTGCAAGATCACCTTCTGCTTGATGCACAAGGAAGCTGAGGGACTGGAGTCAATGGGCGAAGAGATCATGAAGCGCGTCAAGAGCATTGCTTCGCTACACGGTCTGGAAACCGAGACCGACAGAACCGTCCACTTACTGCCTGGCAACTTCTGGCCTGAAGCCATTGACTGTGTCAGACTTGCCTGCGGTGACAAAGGTATCGCTTCTCGGACAGGAACTGGTCACGACTCAACCATGACGCAGCTGTTGTGCCCAACTGCTATGGTGTTTGCACGAGCCAAGGATGGTATCAGCCACTCTCCGAAAGAGTGGACCGATAAGGACGACTGTGCGGAAAGTGCCCTGGTATTGGGCAAGTCGGTGTTGAACTTTGACGACTATCTGAAGGCCAAGGAAGCCACAGCTTGAACGAAATGGGAAATGTAAATAAAGAAACCGCGCGATCGTAGGGGGCGAAGACAGTAAAGTGCAGCTGTTAATTGTCGAGAGTGATCTAGCACCAATCATAGTACCGAATCTGACGCCCGTCTTCCGGATAACGCTATCTATGCCTCGCCCGAAAAAATGGGGGCTCGAATACGAATGAACTGTCAAACGTGGACTCGGATCCCAGATGGTGGGTTGACACTATCCACAAAACCCACAAGGCTCTGACATGCTAAGTTCAGTGGTTGAGGTGATGTCGATCGACGAACCCCTGGTGCTCATCTCCGAGTTTCATTGACCTGCAACTGTAATAAGTACGAGGCAGCAACCAACGTCCGTTTCAGAAGTGCAAGTGACATGCCCAGGCCATAGTCGTCCTTTCCAACCGTCTATCATTAACCTACAACCACTTGGCATGCCTCGATGTCTGGGCAATTCCTGTTACCATCTTCTTGGTATTCTTATACGTGGAGAGAAGCCTAAAAGGAAAGTGGGCACGGTGCAATTCCATTTTATACTAGGCCAAGATTGGTGAATGACGTGAGCTCCCTGGGAAAGTACCACTACATGAGTACCTATGAAGTACTTCATACACGTTATCAAAACTCCGTACCAAGATGGCATGCTGGGACTTGGCGGACCTGGGCGCAGCGGAGACACGAGAACCATCGATCGACATGACATGTGAAGCCACTAAGATAAGTCATATCCTTCCCGCTCGTTATGACGCCCATATTTGGTATTCTCGTTTATGTTTTGTTCAAGTAACTCTTTTGATCCACTAACGAACATTGAACCTTATACTCGAGCCTATGTGTTCCCCTGCTTATCTACCGTGCCTGATGTAGACTCCAGAAGTGGGTATGTCACTGCCATTCACGTTCTGATAGTTGTCAAACCACCACTCAGATCAAACACTGAACGTCCCAGAGTCATGGTCCTCAGATAAGGACAATAGGTACACAAGGCTCCTAGACAGGTTTCCACTGCTCGCCGTTGCCTTCTCCATTCATCAATCTGCTCACAATGCGCAGACTCCCAAACTGTCAGCAAGGTACTTCCCGTTGAAACGGACCAGCACCCGTGCTCAAGCCAAGGGTAAACGTTGTTCCGGCCTCGGATAGCCCTCCCTACGAGACACGGCCATATCTGCAGCGGCCGAATGGGTTCTTATCTGATTGAACACTTGCCCGGTACGGAAGTACATGTCCATGAAGATAATGCTCAACCGCGTGGCAATTGATACCATGGCCACCTTCCTCTTCCGCCGATATGGTATCTCACTTGCATGGATTTGGAAGCTGGGCATGAACGAGTGTGATCAAAAACTTACGACCACACGCGCCTTCGAAGATCAACGTCATACTATGACCAAGCTCCATTGATGCAGGTTAATGTTCAGTAAATGCACCGGAGAACACACCGGCGCGACTGGAGTAAGGGAGTGTCCGCTTGATAGGGTCATGTCTTCACCTGTCTACCCCAAGACCCAACGCAGAACGAGCCCTCAGAGAGTCTTTCACCTGGCATCAACTTACTTGACCTCGGACGTTGTCGAAGAAATTGAGCAGCACGAGATGGCCAGCATATTCCTCGCCGAAGCATCACTCGCTTGCCTTCCGACGAGGCTCGCAGCAGGTGGGCTCACCTGATATCGCTATGCTGACGTGGAACCATAGCCTGCCCAGGTGGCCAGCAGTAAAGACTCATTTCGTCCACGACCAATGTTCGCTTCGAGGGTACCAGTATGTCATCGTTAACCTGAAGACCTCCATGTCAGTGGCGCCGCAAGGCTTGAACACGCCGTCGCACGAGAAGCGTAAACAAGTCTGGGTCGCTGTGCGACGAGTCGCCTTCGAACGGGCCCAAGGTTTCGAGTCGAAACAGCCAGGGGTGACCGGCATGCACGACATGAGGCATGCTGCCATGCATATGTCTTCCACTTTTATCTTCACCTATGCCGATCGCACTCATTTCGAGACAACATCTATGGCACCACCCCACTGGGCTGCAGTACCTTGCGGCTCAAGCCGTCCAGTCCGTCGAGGACCTTGAGCGGCTAGGGCCAGACGCCGTAGGAGGCACAGTGATACCCATGAGTGTCGTGGTAGCGTACGAGTGCTTGGCGCCTGATCTGCAGCATACCATGCTCGAGCTGTACAAGTCAATGGTACGTGACGGCTTCAGAAACCGATACTGTGAGTTCTTGCCCTTCTCATTGCAAGGGTTACGAAAATGCAAACGTGCAAGGCTCATTTCATTGATCACTAATCCCGGTTCGATCTCTCGAGCATAAAATGGCTGTATCATTCCGCTACATTCCCGTCATGACGACAACCTTCCCTATACTCTCATTCCTCTCCACATACTCGTGAGCATCCACAATATCGTCCAACTGAAATACCTTCCCCAGCCTTATCTTCAAAGTGCCCTCTACCATACGTCCAACGAGATCCTTGAGAGGGAAATTGCTAGCATTGAAGAACCGCTCGCCGTACGCTGTCAAGTACTTCCCCGTCTGGATCATGGCAAGTGGGTTGAAGTCCGCGACCGCAGCACTGCCGCCCACGAGACCTGTGAAGCAACAAATGCCGTCGTTCGCCAGGCATGATAGTGAGTCCGGTAATGAGCTTCCGCCAACGAGATCCAGCACTTTGTCGACTCCAGAAGGATGAATCTTCAGTACTCGCTCGCGCAAGGCCTGGCCGTCATCGACAATGACCTCATTGGCGCCGTTCTCCAGCAAGATCTGCCTCGTTTGAGAGTCTGATCGTCTCGTCGTCGCAATGACTCTGGCGCCAGCATCCTTTGCAATGGCAGCTGCAGCGAGCCCGACGCTTGTAGTGCCGCCACGGATCAGCAAGGTATCCCCGGCCGTGAGCTTCAGGCATCGAAAGAGAGATCCATGCGCCGTCTGCAACATCTCCGGCAACGCGCCCAGCACTTCCCAACCCAACTTGGCGGCACTCTCGTCGACGAGCAGCACATGGTCTTTCGACACGCACACGAACTGCGCATAGCCTCCGTCAAACACAATCCCCATACCACCGACCGCAGTCATGGCGATGGCGCCCTTGGGAAACGCATGCTCGTGACCAGGGGCCGCCTCGACCAGTCCTGTCGCCTCGACGCCGAGTACGCGGGGAAGTTGCACTGGGCCGACTGGCGCACGGCCGAATTGCCGGGTAAGGATTTCGGAGCGATTGATGCCGAATGATTTGACGCGAATTAGAACTTGGCCTTCTTTTGGTACTGGGATCGGGAGGTCGACGACGCGAAGGCTGGATGCTGGGCCGGGGGCTTTGAGTTGGACGGCGCGCATCATGGTTGCGGTAGGTTTAGCAATCATCTTGGGCTGTTGGGCAGTGTTGTTGTGATTGTTGTCAAAGAGAAGAGTCTTGGAGGGTGAAGAATGTTTGCTATATCGATCTGTTTTTCCATGGTGGCTTCGCGCAGTCTTATAGGCTCGAGTTCACTCCCGCGCAAGTTATTGTTGTCCGTAGAGCATGTCTCGGAACAGTTGGGGGATAGCGTCTCGTCCGGTGCACAGTTGAGGTATCGGCGGAGCCGTCCACGTGACGCAGTGGCGTTGAGTTGACCGGCCGCGATCCGAGATCTCCAATGGATCTCGGACGAACTCTAGAAATTGACACTTCGTCCGTTGGTGGCATTACTCGTCCAGTCCGGCGTCTAGATCGCCATGATTTGGGTTGCGGCCTTTGCCTGTAGACTCGTCCGCAGTCCGTCATGATAATGTTGGTGTAAGACACTCCCGCATGTTCTGCTCAATCTCTTCATTACAAGCCTCCCATCCAGGAATTGTCGTCGGCCATTCCAAAGTTGTCGGTTGTCAGGCCCTGACTCCAATATGGATTGCTATCAAATTGAAAGGACCAGGAGAGGTCATCAAGGTTGCTGAAAGGGTCTACCATCGTTGCCGGACCTGCGAGAGTGAAGTCAGCGTCTGCTTGCATTTCGGTGTTGGTGTTCGCGGCGGAATCGTCGGCGACAATTAAGTTCTGCCTCGCAGCCTGAACTTCTGGAGCATCGATGTGTATCCTGCCAAGCAATGGAATCTTCAGCGTGAGCATGGTGGTTCGATTAGATCGGTCTCCGTGCACTAAGGAACGCAGAGATGTCAATGCCGCGACGGCTTCTCGAGCAAAATCTGAGCCGGGTTCGGTGGCGACGCTCCTGAAGCAGTCCGTCACCTGTGAAAGGAGGTATCCGTTATCCAAGCTATTGTCAATGCCTCCTTGTGAGGTATATTCTTTAGCTGAACGTCCTTGGGAGTTGAGAAGAAGAAACGTGGCGGCCGTAAAGGCTTGCACATCAAGAATGCGACAAACGAAGAATCCCGAAGGCACGCACGATCGAAACAAGACGAACTGTCGTATTGCGCTTTGGCAAGCATCCCAACAGGTGTTGCGACTGTATGTGTACTGGCCGTCGATGTCCTTCACCATAGCTGGCCGGAGATGGACGCGAGCTAGGATATAGTGGTGCCAAAATCCAACGCATTGCTCAGCCAGCGTCTTCTCGTTGGACGCCTGCCACCAGTCTTGGCTCGCCGATGCTCTTAGAGACCGGAGTTGCTGGTCAGCGTTGAGGACCTTCTCATAGCATTCGGCTTCTGGGGCTCGACGCATGAAGAGTTCATCGATCTCGAACACTGCGGCACAAACATTGGACAATCGATAATTGTATGCCTGCGCCGAGATGTGACCATCTTTCCATATGGACTCGTCAAGGGGAAATTTGTATCTGGCTGTGCCGGTAGGAATGTTTAGCATCATACTGAAATTGCGATCGGTGGCGCAAATCGCATCCCAGAGTCCAGCTTTCAGCTCGCTCTGCTCGGAGGGGGCTGCGATGCTTGCTTGACCGAAATGTGCGGACTGCCGCGCAGCTTGTACCTCCTGGAATGCTTGGGGCAACCCAATCAGTTCACCAAGGGCGATTGCTCGACGAAATATCAGCCAGGTAGACTTGATGCTTCCGCGACCCATTAGACTGGCAACGAGAGTCAGTATGGTCAGCTGTACGGAGACGCAGCGGGGCAGGACGTACAGCCTGATGAAAATCACGGTGAGTTCCAGGCCTTCCTCGGTCCCTGCAAAATCATCATTGTCCACGATGGTCTCTCGAACCGTAGTACAGACAGAATCCACAAAGTCCTCTACGCTGCGGTATTTGGCAAATGGGCCCTGTACCATTCGATCTGTGGGAAGCTGTTGCGATGTGATTGCAAGATAAACCAAGTACATAGCGACTGACGTTGGACGGGCGTCAGGGCTGCACATGGGGTCATAGTTCAGCCTGAGCTGTTCCCCTGTCCTATAAGCAAAGAACGTCGGGAAAAGAGAATGATAGAATGACATCCATGCAGGGGCAAATTCGGTGACTTGCCATACTTCGTCTGCTGATGGCAAGAGTAGTTGCAGCCTCGATCGCGCGTTGCGTTTGACAGCTTCAGATGCTCCGCGTGATGGCTGTCCGAGAGTTTGATGCTTCGACGTGCGATCCTCGCCATCGAGGTGATCGAAGAGGAGTTGTAGATGAGCTGGAGGTCGTGTGTCGTCCACGTCTTCATCGTATGGTTCGTCCTCGAGCTCATCAGGAGGAGTTGGTCCAAACCCGGGAGTCTTAGAGCCAGTCAACGGATTCTGCTTATCCCTCACGAGTTCTGAAAGGGAGGCCATTTCGCGCTCCAACTGGCTGATCCGTTGTTTCGCACTCGTGTGGCGGGCAGAAGATGCACGAGGCTGGACCGACTGGGAGACACATGAGCGCGAATGCTTGGTGCACTCGACGCATGCCATTGGCCTGGAGCCGATCTGACTGTCTGACTCCGTTGCCCATAGGCAGCGGATCTTTCTTCTCCGGCCTGTGCGATTGGATCAGCGATCTCTCTACGCTTTCTTGACGATCAGTGGGGAGGAGGACGCACATTCGGTACAGCTTTTTGCCCCAGCACGCACCCTTCTGTCAACAGGTGGTGAAGGCATTCGAGATGCCTCAGCTCATGGGATACACGCTCATGCGATGGATCGATGGAGTTCCGGACGAAGGACGATGTGGTAGAGTTACAACCGCGGCACAATCATGGACGTGATGACGCGCACTCGGTGAACCTGCCCGTTACACGCCACGTGCGTCCAAGGTGAATTCGTGACGCGTACCGAGAACACCATACTTAGTATTTGGTACAAGATAATACGGTGAAGACAACACTGATGTTGAATACCTATCTGAGTCCTACGTGAAGCTTTGATGTGTTCTAGTATTCCTTATCTGGAATAATCTTGAGTTTACGCCCCAACTCGATTGCCTCTGCTAGAGCTTTGTTCATATTCAGCACGAGTGGCCACCAGCAATAGATTGCATAGTCTACAATAGCAAACCTGTGCTGTTTGAGTATAGTCGACAGTGATGGAAGCGAAGAGAAGGTACTCACATATATTAGTTGACCTTTGTATCCGGACCTCAACTCAGACTTACATGATAAGCAGTCGAGAGGTCCACCAATTTGTCCCACCCTCTCCGATCTGATTCAAAGTAAGCAACAATCACTTTTAGTAAAGGTCGAGGATTCTGTTTTCATACCACCTGGGAACACCAGTTCCTTCTTCCCCTGATAACTTCGACACGGCTGCATACAGCATAAGAGGGCTGAGGAAATTGAGATTGTTGTCCTTGACCAAACCAACAATGAAAGATGGCCGACTATCCACCCATTCAATGCCAGTTCTTTTGCAAAACTTCCAAAGCACATCCTCTTGGCTGTAGTAGAAGTTGGGCTCTTTGTAATTCCGGGCGTTTGGCACTGAATCTTCGATCAGGGGACATATCATAGGTCCATAATGTTGACCATAGCCCTTGCATCCAGTTTGGAGGAGAATCCGCTTTGGTCGTAAGCCTGCTAGATAGAGACCCTCTAGGAAATTGTGAAAGATCTTTCCGTTGATCTCAGCTAATTCTTCTGCTTCCTGCTTACATTAGTAGCTTGAAATGCGTCCATGCATGGATGGACTCAAGGGCCAAAACCAAACATACTTTAAACAAAGTTCGACTATCACTTGCAGCAACTGGCATGAATGCGTAAAAGAAGGCATAATCAATCTCCTTTATTCCGGCTGCCTCAATGGTTTTGGCAACGCCTTGAGCATCAGTGTTGAACAGATCAATAGCATGGGAGCTGAACCAGTCTGGCACGTCATTCATCTGCGGCCTTCTGGAAATGCAGTAGACTCGTTTTCAAATATCAGGCTAACAGAATATCATAATTTAGCTGTGGTGCTGCAAATGGTCTTGAGACTGGTGGGACATCACATACATAGTCTCTCATAACCTTGAGCATGTACGCCCCCGAGATACCATTGGCACCAGCGATCAGGGCGCTCTTGCCATGGAACTCTTCTCCGTAGATCGGTAGACCGTGGTAAATCTCTCTGCTTTCCACATTGATTTGCTTAGGAACTGGGACCACGGGAGCTAGATTCAGCGGCAAAGCTTCCCTTGGCGCATGAACAGTATAAGTGGAGGAGTCCAGGTCCTTCGCAAGAAATGGAGACGACATGACACGAGATTCAGTAGTTGCAGCTGTGTCGTGAATATGTAGATGTTATCGTCAATCGGCTGTGCGACTACTCAAATTGAGAGACAGGAGAACTCGATTGACAATCTATAGGGCCTGAAGTGCCACTGGTTCAAGTAAACTCGGGTATGGTATCTGAGGATACTTTTATTTCGAAGTACCCTGATGGGTTGAGTTAGCTCAGCCCTCGGTTACTCTAGATCAACCACCACAACGGCCAGACGGCGGCACCCACAACATACACTGTCATTTTTGAACCATTGCATCAATGTGGTGAGAGGAGTTGTGCTTGAGATATTCAATTCCATACATCTGACGATGGGAATTTCCTTGTCAATGGTGCTACAAGCGCGGCGCAGCATTGTGAACTGGATCAGCCATTGACACGCCATGACGGCTCTTCACATCGAAGCATCACGCATAGATGGGGGCTGAGGGGAAAGCATGGGGATGCGGGATGGTCGATTATCGCCGCGGACGACCTCTACCCCACACAACGTTTGGTGGAAAGTCCCACTCCATCAAGCATTGTGTCTGATCGATCGACGCATCCTGTGTCCATGCATTCAAGCCGAGTTCGCATAGAGCCCACAAGCTTCCACTTCCCGTAGCCAAAGTCCCCAAGGTCGGTGAGCAGACGTCTTAATCCAGGAGGTAGTATCAGCCACTTCTTTCTGGCTTAGATACTTGATAGGCGCCGTGGCTGAAGAGTCAGCAGCCCGCATGCTCAGCGCAGTCGTCTGAATAGCCGCGTTCTTTTGCGTGTAGATGGCCCGCATCACACAATCCTGAATGCCTGCAGCTAGCACCGTCAAACCATGACCTCGCATTAACGCGACAACGTGCTGTGGCGAGCCATCTTTGGAGTCAGACGTGCCAAACGTTGCTGCAAGAGAGCTGCCAAGATGCGTGTTCCGGACCAGTAGATCGCTGATATCGTCAGGTTGCTGTGCGTCTGCGAAGTCCCAGACAGGGACACTCGTACCAAGAAATCCCGCCATGTGGTAGCAAGCACGTAGCGAAACACCACTAATGGTATAAGGCACCACGGCTTCGGAGTGGCTGTGAATAACACTGTGAACGTCCGGGTAGCGCTTATAGCATTCACTATGAATGCAGCGTTCCGCGAACCCAGCGGCGGCATTTGGATCGACCGCCCGAGCATCCTCGATGTTATATTCGACCAAGTCGTTAGGAGAAGATATTACTCCGGGGGCAGCGTTCCGGGACATGATGAAGATTTCAGGCTTGAAAGGGTGTCGTACGGACAAATGACCGAAAGCGTCGACGACATTGTGATAGTGAAGAATATGACTTCCGGAGATGAGATCGCGATAGTACTGCTGCAAGATGACGCTTTCGCTGGATGATTGCGTTGTAGACATGGCTAGTTTGATGAGCAGCCGGAGAAACGTCGAAAGAAAGAGAGTGAAGCGAACGGGTGATATCAACTTTGTGGAGACGAAGACAAAGACAGAGAAACAACATGGACTGAGTGAGGGTGGAAGCCGTCGCAGCAATGCTGAGAATTTTGTATCGCGTGCTCTAGTCGGACCACGGGCTGCTCGCAAAGTGACACTTCAAGTCGTATGGAAGGTCGGGTCGGGAGAGAGGCCAGTCTCTTTGTGCTTTCGGCGGCCAAGTGTGACCGGATAACAATATGGTAAGAAGTCCAGGTGCCTCCCACTAGGTCGTTTGAAGTGCATACATTGTGAAGTCAGGGGCATGAAAGTATGGTGCTGCATAGGCCTTACCAGAATTGAGCAAAGGCAACTGTAATGGGCTATGCAGAGTATTAGCTTCAGGTTGTGATGATGTCGATGATACACAACAAAGTCCTGTTATCTCCGGAAACTCCAGCGCGTAAGACTAGCCTTTTCGAGCATGGCGCTTGTTGCCCTTGCGGTTAGTCTTGCGCGCTGTTCATCGAAAGGTGCCCATAGCTTCCCACTCGACTCGGCTTTGAGGGCTCGGATTCGGTCGTAGTCAATATACTAGCATAATTACTGGAGAGATACGCGACGGTTAAGATGCCACAGATCGGCCTTTGATGAATGTTCGGTCCTAAAGCCTGAACACATCAGCGAAGAAGCAAGTATAAATATGCCAGCTTTAGCCCAGCAGGTGCTGTCAAACACCAAGTTCATGCTCTGCAAACTAATCACGCATGAATCGAAAGGTCTTGAGTCCATCGCATTTGGTTTCCCGCCTAAGCAAGAGAACTACGAGCATTCCCAGACTCACATCCACAGCCCTGCGCCTTAACTCCTCCACCAACCAAGCAAACGTCAGACACATCTCAACAATGTCGTCCAACAGAGCTGCCTGGCTCCCGTCAGCCAAGGCACACCCTTTTGAGGTCAGGGACGCTCCCATGCCAATACCAATTGACAACGAGATCCTTGTTCGTAATCACGCTGTGGCCATAAATCCCGTCGACGGCAGTCTGCAAGCCTTCGCATGGTACCCATTGGACTATCCGACGATCCTCGGCCAGGATGTCGCTGGCGAGGTCGTCTCCGTCGGACCCAAGGTCACCCGCTTCAAGCAAGGCGATCGTGTCCTAGGTCATGCAGTCGGAATGGCAACCAAGCGTAATCAAGATTGCGCCTTTCAGGCTTACACCATTCTCCAAACCAACATGGCCAGCCATATTCCAGACAGCATCTCCTTCGAACGTGCGGCGGTCCTCCCACTTGGACTATCAACAGCCTCATGCGCCTTGTTCCAGGATACACATTTGCATTTGCAATTTCCGACAGAGCCTGCACAGAAGCCCACAGGGAAGACACTTTTGGTCTGGGGCGGTGCATCAAGCGTCGGAAGCAATGCTATTCAACTTGCTGTCGCTGCAGGCTACGAGGTCATCACCACCGCATCGCCCAAGAATTTCGAGCACGTCAAAAAGCTCGGTGCAAGCGAGGTATTCGACTACAACAGTCCGAGCATCACCGAAGATTTGATGACTGCCTTCGACGGCAAGACCATGGCTGGCGCACTTGATTGTATCGGCGAGGCTGCGTGGAAGATTATCCTGGACGTCGTGAGCCAATCCAGGGGAAACAAGTTCATAGCAACGGCGAAGCGTGGTGCTCCCGATCCGCCGGAAGGCGTGACAATGAAGCACATCTTTGGAACGACGCTCAAAGACAACGAGGTGGGCAAAGCCATCTATGAGGATTTCTTGCCCAAGGCGTTGCAAGCAGGGAGTTTCGTGCCGGCGCCGGAGCCATTGATAGTTGGTCATGGACTGGAGAACATTCAATTGGCAGTGGATCGGTACAGTAAGGGGGTGTCTGCGAGGAAGCTCGTGGTAACGTTGTAAATGTAGCCCTGGAGCCGGTACGGGATCGCAGCGACGGAAGCGAGGATAGAACAATGGCATGGCTGAGTGAGTTGTCTTCCAAGTTCTTTCATTGCTTTTGTCTTGTCATCCCAGTCGCACTTTCCGCCACAGCCGCAAGCATTCAAGCATGTCTGCGCCAGCCTTGGCTTGACCTGAACTCGAGGTCGCAAAATCGTTTACAATGGCAACTAGGGCCACCGCGAAGCAGAATGCCACCTTGTTGTCCGCCAGTACATCGATTTGTTGCCTTTTCATTCCACCAGCCGTAGCCCATGACATCCATTCCTCAAGGATTCTGGCGATTTTCCTTGCTTCGCTCTCTTTATCCGGACCTTGGTCTACCACAAGTAGATATAGTACTGCTTCGGCGAGCGAGTCCAGCGTCCATTCTCGACCTATCTCGCCCGCGGCAATGAGCCAAGCCAGGCACGCCTCAGAGACTTTCTTCGTACTCATGCGTGGACTCGAAATGGCTTCTTGCAATCGACGTTCCTCACGTTCTTGGCGCGACCTGCTCGAATTATTCATGTCATCAATCATTTGTTGTCGCTCGGAGGTTGCCCGATTCATTTTATGGATCCTAGCCTGCTCTGGTGGCATCGTCGCCTCGAGCCGCTCTGCTGCTTGCCGGGCCTGGAATCGCGCAAAATGGCGATGCGAGGTAGCAATTGCCTCTTCGCGCTGCGAAGCTTCCGTTTCTGACGACCATTGAGGGGCGTCGGCTTCTGCCAATAGTCCCAGAATGACCAAGACACCACACGGGATCGACTCATTCCGCACAAAACCTTGAATGTCTGATGGAATGTCGAAAGCCCACAGGCCACCGTCAGATTGTTTGCGGGATAGCAGGGCGGAAGCCCCGCATGTGAACCAGAGCGAACCGATCGATTGCTCGTACGTCCGGAAGGGTTCGTCTATAAATCCTGTCTCGATGTGATCTCGTTCCCAGTAAATCCTTTGTACTCTGTTATCTTCTGCCCGGAACCGCAAACTTGAGCTGTCCATGCAGTGTTTGTTCGCAGATTCCAACTCTTCGATCCGGGCTGGCAGATCTCGTGTCTCCTCTTTGACCTTGTCACTGGATTCGAGCAACTGAGGTTGGCCGAGTCGACCCCAGCCAGGTGGAAGACTGGCTGCTCCCCTTGTGGTTGTAAGTCCTGTCGTGTCGTTTGTCCATCTGATAGTCAAACTGAGAACGCCGTCGCTCTCATCAGGCATGCTTGTTCTCAAAACCCAGTCGCCTTGTTTCTGTCCATTGTTTTTATCCGCTGACTTGACGAGGAGTACTGTGCCAGTCGGGGTCCACAGACCTCCAGACTTCAGCTTCTCCCAGCCCATCGCATCAGGGACCGCTCCCCAGTCCAGCAACAAGTGTATGAGTTCAGAGAACTCGACTTCTGCCGGAGGTTCGCGCAGGTCGTCCACGTATTGTATTCTATACAGCCTCTTACCCACAACCAGTCTCTTCCAATGAAATGCTCTCCATGATCCGCCTCGAAGGGAGCCCCTGACCCGGCCTTCTTCGATCATGCTCAGGGTACTCTCCGCTCGATCCAGCAACCTGTGGTGTTCCGCAGCCTGCTCTTGACATTCGGTCGTAGTTTTCCAGTAATCATCATGATTCCGTTCCAAAGGTGCAATCGCGTATCTGGGCAACTCCACCTCAATCAGACTGGTCATGGGAGAACTGCGAATGGTGAATCCATCGTTGGATCGGGAGGTGCCCACGGGTCGATGGCCATGATGGACCAGGGAGGCGCGAATTCGTCGTTGCGTGAGGATTACAAGGATGAACGTGTAGAGAATGGGTAGCACGCCGAGGACCGCCAGCGGCACACCGACATAGGTGATGATGTCGGTAGCGGACGTCATCCTGTACACGGGCTCAGCTGTGACTTACCACGATGACATCGACGTCGCGAATCTGACACTCGTCAGGAGCTGTGAGATAGCAAGTCTTGCGCCGCACTGAGACAGGCCCCATCAACACAAGTTTGATGAAGACTTGTATAGCATTTTCATTTACGGCGAATCCAGGGGCGCAGCCACCATTACCTATAGGTGCACTCATCGCATTGCCTGCAAATTGAAGTTAATTTAATCGCCCCCGGCCACGGAAAAAGGGGGTGCCTATGTGATTATTCAGCCACCTTGGCTCTGCCAAGGGATATAAAGACGGCCGAAGGCCGTCAACTGACTTAGGTAGATATCGTATACGATATACGACCTTCGGATAGATATATAGTCTAACGAGCCTCTACGGCCCTTAAGTAATAATAAGTCCTTCGTGAAATTATATCTAGTAGTAATAATTTAATAGCTCTCTACCCTAAGCTAAAGCTTTTAAAGCCCCTATACTTTTTCGAAAAGGGAAGAAATATAGTTAGAACGATTTTAAGATCGCGAGAATAATATAGTCTTTAGTTTAGAGTATATCGTAAAATATTAGGAATTTCGATAAGTATTATTTTTATAACGACGATATCTTTACTCTAAAGTAGCCTCTTTTTTCTCGAGAAAGGACTCTTTTCGCTTTTCTCGAAGATTATTAATATATTAAAGAAGTCTTAGAATAATAAAATAAAGAAGATATTAATCGAGAAAGAATTTTTAATATATAATTATACTAAAATAGATCTTTTATAAATTTAGTTTCGTTAATTATCTTAATCTTATATAATAAGATAAAAAGCCTTCGAAGATCTCTTTATAAACTATACGAATATCTTTAAAGATAAAGATAAGATCTTTAGCGACTTCGAAACTCGATGAGTTCTTTATTAAAACTTCGTCGAAATTAATAGTTAGCTATAGATTTCTTATTTAAATTCCTTAATAATTAATAAATAAGCTATATAATTATATTAATATTTTATTTAAATTAACGAATAGCTATAAACAAATATTTTAAATCTAGTCTAAATAATAAATATTTCTCCTTAATAATTCGAAAAATATACTATTTATATCTTAGTACGAGAGAAGATTTTAGAAATAATTCTTTCGAAAGAGATAATTAGGCTTCGAACGATCGAAGTTATAGTAATAACTATTCGAGATATAAGACTATTAAATAAAGATATACCTAAATATAAGAAAAATATCGTAAGAGAATACTCGCTAATCAAGATAGTTACTTCTATATAATATATTTTATTTAAAAGTCTTTTTCTTTCTTTCGATATTAACTATTATCTCTCTTTTATTTTACTATAATTCTTAAAGCCTTATTAAAAGAAAACTTTAAAATATCTTTTATATTTAATATAGTATACTTAAAATATTCGAACTATCTTCTTTACTTATTATAAAGACTAAAGAGCTTTAAATAAAAGGCGAAACTCGCTTTCTTTAAGTCGAGAACTAACTTTAATAATTAATAGAAGTCGTCTTAGTTACTTAATAATTACTTAAGTAAATTCGTAATATTAAAGAAACGATAGTTCGATTAATAAATTATTTTTAGGGTTTAATAATTAAAGATCTATTTACTTAATCTAATACGAATATTATCTTTAGTAGTAGCGACGACTAAATCTAAGGCTTTAGCTCGAGCCTTATAAATTTAAATAAAATCTATTCGAATATTTACTTATTATTATTATTTACTATTTATAGTAACTCGATATTTATTATATATATTAGTAATATATCTAAAGCGACGACTATCGAGAAGCTTAAGTATATATCGACTTATAAAGATAAATATAAGAATAATATCGTAATTATTTAGCTTATATAAATCGATAATATTATCGCTAATTAAAAGAAACTCTTTAATAAGCGATTTCAAAATAAGTAAAAGATTATTTATATTAGTAATACTTTATAAGATAAAGTCGATATATAGTAATAGCTTTATTAAATAGCGGCCTAAAAGAAAAAGCGCTAGTTCGCTAAAATTTAAATACGATTTTAAGAATTAGTAGCGAAATATTTTAAAAATATTTATACTAACGATAAGCGTCGCGATAAATTCGATAACCTTTAATAAAAATTAAGAAAGATAGTATAGTACTTTTATTATAATATTTAGTATAAAAGAATATATCTTAACTCTTTAGCTATAAATAATAACTATTTACTATTATTTAAATATAATTTTAATAATACTATTCGTAATAGAGTTAAGATACTACTTAATACTATTTTACTCGCTCTTTTCTAGCTTTATATCGAGTTTACTAATAAAATAGAGTATAAATTATATTATATTATTTATCGTAAAGACTTTTTCGATATTCGAACTCGTTAGAAACGAGTATATATATATTCTACTAACTATCGTAATAGAGATATCGATAAAGATATCTAAATAATACTTAATAGTATAAAATCTACTTCTATTTTTAGTCGAGATATTAATCGATCCTTTCGAGAGTCTTCGAATATACCCTATAGCGAATCGAACTAGATATCTAAGATAAACTAGTAGTTATATTATAATTATAATAAGCTAAGTTACTAAAAAAGAGAATACCTTAAATCTACGCGTTAGAATATCGCGCGAGACTAAAGAGAATCTTTTCGGAGAAAAGACTAGCGTCGTTAAATAATAAGATATTTAACGACTAAAATAAATAATCTATAAATCTCGAGGCTAAATAAGTCGATAATATCGCGTCGCTAAATATATAACTATTAAGAAGAAACTCTCTTGATATTTATTTAGTAGCTTATAAGTCTATAAATAATATATTAATAAAAGATAGCTATAATCTTATTAATAAAATATTAAGATAGTCGAAAGAATCTATTTTTATAATTATTCTTTTTAATACTAAATTTAAAGTATTTTATATCTTTAAAAGTATATTCGAATATCTTTCGAAAAATCGAAAAGTAAAAATAGCGCGACTATTACGAGTTCGCCTTACGAATAGCTAAACTACTCTTTTAGATTAAGTAATAATTACTAATTTAACTCTTAATAACTTTCGATCTTATACCGAACTTCGAATTCTTAAATAAAATATTTATAATATAATTCTTAATTTTAACTAGCTTAAATAGTACAATACGTATTAAAATATCGCTTCGAATTATATAACGATAAGAAATAAGGCTAGTAAAGAGTCCTTTATCTTTACTAAATCTTTTCGAATCGTTAATTACGAGAGTATTAAGAAAAGCGAACTTAATTTACTTAGCTTTCGAATAGTTAATAAGATACTCTCGAAGATATAAAAATAAAAACTAATACTCTTTATACTAGCGAAACTACTTAATATCGATCTTTTAGTCTTATTAACTACTTTAAACTTAAATTCGAATATAAATAAAAAAAGAATACTAATATTATATATTATTAAGTTAAGCGACGAAGCTCGCTAATAGCTAAAAGCGTTCCTTACTAAAGTACTAAAGTATTATCGATCGATTTTAGAGAAGTATTTATAAGTTTTATAAAATAAATTATTTATTTAATACTTTTAGACTCGAGATATTAAGTATAAGATTAATACGAAGAAGACTAAAGCTATTAACTTATCTTACTACTCTCTTTCTAAGTAATATTATAACGAGTAAAAGTATTAAATTAAATAATTATTAAACTAAGAGCTTATTTAATCTTCGAAGAGCTCCTAAGGATTTCTAGTTCTATTTATTTCGAAACTAAAAGATAAGTAACGAATATATATTAATTACTATTTATTAAATAATATAACTATTAAAGATATATATTCTCTACTTTAGATTTAGAACTATTTAAATATAATCAACGATACTTATTATCTTTCGAAGATTAACTTAATATAGAGTTATTATTAAGTAGAAATAGCGCTCGATACTATTTCGAAAACGATATTTAATACTTATTTAGAAAAATATAAGTTCTTAACTATACTCTTTAAATTAATTAACGTCTCTTTTACTTTTTAACGAATTATAAACGACGCGCTTAGACTCTTTATAGAGAAGTTTATAGTTATATACTTAAATAATATTATTATTTTCTTTAAGAACTCGAAAGAATATAAGGAATATCTCGAGATAGTTCTTAAGACTCTTTAAAACTATAAGCTATTTACTAAACTATTTAAATATACTATCGAAATAATTAAGCTTAAGTTCTATAGATATATTATTAGAAATAATTAATATAAGCTAATCTTAATTAAAGTTAAGATTATTAAGAAATAGCTATAGTCTCGTAATATTTATAAAGTTCATTAGTTTTTAAGTCTTACTTTCTATTATTATCGATATATTAAAGACTTCGCTAAAATAGCTTTTACGCTATTAAATCTATTTATCGAAGCTAATACGAAGATTCGAAAGAAGAAGTTTCGTTTTATTTAGTAAATAGTATAATACGAAATAGTATTTCGAATCCTAAAGAAAGGTCTTATATTATATTCGATTCTTATATAAGTTAATAAGAATAATCTCTTTCGTATCGAAACGAATTATTTCGAATAGATCTTAAGTTATATATTATTATAACTTAATATCGATAATAAATAGTATTTAGTTACTTACGATAAACGTAAACTTTACGGCCCTAAGCTTAACTATTCGATTTAGGAAAAGAAGCTACTCGCGATTAAGTATACTCTTCGAATATAGTCGATATATATCGAGAATAACTATACTACTATAGTAATAATCGACTATAAAAGTCTTAAGTATTTAATAACTACTAAGACTTCGTTTAAATATCTAACGTAATAGATTAACGAATTTATATAATATAGACTTAATATTCGCTATCGTAAAGATTCGAAAGTAATTATATTTAATACTATTTCGCGTCGACTCGATTTTATAAATAATAGCCTTATTAATCGAGTATAAATAAATAATTCGAAAATTATCGAAGCTACTCTTATAGCTACTTAAGCGCTAAATAAAGACTTAGAATAGAAAAAGATAATTATTAAAATATTTACTCTTCGAGAGAATAAAACTTTATCCCCTAAAGAGCGAGAGCTTATTAAGAATATAAATTAATAGAATTTTATAATCGAAGAAGATTATCTTTATCGAAAAGTAAATAAAAGCTATATTTTATATATCGCTAAGAGCTTTCGAAGAGACTTTATTAAATATTACTATAAATATTATAGATACTATAGCGCGCTAATATTAATAAATATTATTCGATTTAGAGATTAGTAATAAATATTAAAGAAGAATATTATTAAATTCGCGCGTTAATATAAAGAATATTAACTTAGCTAAAGATTAAAGAAAGAATAAAAAGAACTTTATAACTAAATTCGAATAACGACTAAACTATTCGAGAAATAAACTATAGACTTTATTAAACTCTTACTAATTACTCTATACTATAATTAATAAATTTTAATAATAATCGACTTTATTATAGATTAGTTAATAATACGACCTTTACTAAAAACTACTAATAAGATTATTAAAGACTTTCTTTTTAATATTTACTATTAATATAATATATTTCGAGAACTTCTTTTAAATAACGAAGTTAATTTAACGTTATAAATAGTAACTTACTACCTTAATAAAATTAAAGTTAAGTATCGAATAATAACTCTTTATTATTTATAGACGAATAATAAAATTAAGTATTTTAACGATATACTTAAATAAATCTTTATTAAGTATTTAATTAAGAAACTAATAATTTTATAGAATAAATATTTATTTTCAATACTATTCGCTATATATATTTAGGCCTATTTAGTAATAGAACTAAACCCTTACTAACTTGTTTACGATCTCGAATCTTATTTAATAAGCGATTAAAAAGACTTTAATCTTAATAATATCGATATAAACTTCGCGAAAAGAATCGAGAAGCTATATACTATAAAATATAAAGCTAATTAACTCCTTATAAAGAAAGGCTTACGTATAAGAAAACTTCGCTTCGATAAGCTTAGTAATTAGAAAATTAGCTATAATATTAATAACTAAGTCTTATTAAGAAACGAAGTAAAGAAAAAATTCGAATTAGTATACTTCGGACTATTTTAAGTAGTTAAGAAGCTTTAGTTCGAAATCTATATTTTAGATATAAAAGATAAGATTCTTAAACTATTAATATATAGTAATCGCTTAAGAAGATACTAAGGTAATAATATCGCTTAGGCTTAAATAAACGCTATATAATTATAAATACGAGAGGATACGATAATAGTTTTATCTATACTAAAGAATATTAACGATATTCTTAGCGAAGAAATTATTTTACTTATTTACTATAAAATATTAATAATATTTTATAAGGACTTCGAAAAATAGAAACGTATTAAAGTATATTCGAGTAAGATAAAGAAGAGCGAAGAAGTAAAGAAGACGCTATTTAATAAAAAGAATCGATAATATAATTAAAGGGCTAAAGTATAAAAGCTCTTAAATAAGAGAAAAAGAACGTCGAAAATAATAAATAATACTTTATTATTTATATATATATTTAAAATCTAATTTAAATAGCTATCGAAATATATTAATAACGTCGATTTAGTAATTTCGATACTCCTAAAGTATAATAATACTTCGTTTATATAGAATAGCGCGACTACTTCTAGAAAGAATTTAAATATCGTACCTATATTAATATTAGGAAATATAATCTTTAGAGGCGCGTAGTATTTCCCGAACTTAGAAATAAATATAATACTAAGTTAAATAGATCTTCTATAGGCGAATATACTCGTCGAAAACTTATATATTATCTCTTTATCTCGCGATATAGAGCTTAAATATAATAATATTAAGCCTATATTCGACGATATAAAGCTTAAATATAATAATATTAAGCTTATATTCGACGATATAATAAGGGAAGTAAGTAATATTAAGTCTATATTCGATAATATAGAGATTAAATATAATAATATCGAGCTTATATTCGACGATATAATAAGGGAAGTACTCGATATTAATTAAGTATCTATACTACCTAAAGTAGATTTAGTATTCGAATCTAATATATCGAATAATTATTAATACGATTTAAATATTCCGAAGAGTAGTAAGAGACCTTACTAAGACTATATAGAAGACTATTTAGGCTTAAACGACGTTTATATAGAAAATATAGCTATCTCTATACTCGAAATTATTCTTACTAAGATTCTATTCGTCGAAATAATTAAAGGCTCTTTAGGACTATCTTTAATTAATTCGACGTCCTTAGAATAGTCTCGCTAATTTAGGAAAAGAAAACAATAATATATTAAAATATATTCTATAACGACTATACCGCGCGTTTAAAATATAATAGGAAGAAGCCTTCGAATCGTACTAAAACATAAGGAAATTAAGAATTAATAAACGTATATCTATTTTTAGGATTTTTTACTATAATATTTAATAAAGATATATAAAAGTAATATCTCGATAAATAACTATAGGTCTCGCCTTCTAACTAAGTACCCTTAGGATAATATATAAATCTATTATATTAAAAAATCATAAAAGAAAAGTACTTCTATAGACATTATTAATACTATATTCTATTGTTTCTTAATCTCTTTCTATATTAATAATTACTCGTTATTTCTTATTTATTATCTTCTTCTTTCACTAAGTATTAGCGACTCTAAAGTATTTAACTTACGATCTAGTATACTCTATAGTATATTACTAAGTAACGAAGAACCTTATCTCGATTAAGGACTATCGAACTTAACTAATTATCGTACTTCCGAACTAGAAGTATTTATTCGTATATTCGATAGTTCTTTACTTCGAACTAATAAGGCGCGAGAAGTACTACGAGTATAATCGCTACTAATAATACTAGAGATAAAGTAGCTACCTTAGGCTACCGAAGTAGTCTTTATTAAAGCTATAGTAAGTTAATTTCGCTATATCGAAATACTTAAGCTTATATTTCGAGGAGATTAAGAATATATATCTAGCTATTAATTAAATAATTATTACGAGTATCGAGATTATGTAGGCGCTAAACTAATTTAAGTCTCTATAGAGCCTATAGTTAAAGTTCTAAACGATACTTAAATAATCGACGAATAAGTATATAAATCTAGTCTTAAACGATTCGAAGAATCTCGAGTTAGCGTATCTTAACGCTTAACTATACGCTTAATAAATAATAGATAACTATACTATACTTTTAGCGATCGATATATATAAAAAGAAACTAACGATAATATAAAAGAACTATTTATAATCGCGTTAGCTATATTTCGAAAGAATATAACTATATTCTTCTTTATAAAGAATCGAGATTAATTAACCCTTCGAAGCTCGAATATAATAACTATATTACTTTCGTCTTCGAGAGCTATCTCGTTAGCGATCGTCGAGTTTAAATTTAAATTAGGCGTAAATAACGCTTAATTATTATTATTAAGATTAACTACTTTAGGACGAGCTTACTTCTTAATACTATATAGAGTACTAATCCTTAGATCTCTTTATTTTCGCTTAATCTTAACTTATCTAAAACGATTCTTTAAGAAAATAAAACTCTTTTACTACTTTACTATACTTCGAGTCTTACGACTAAATTAGCGAGTAAAAGTAAAAGGAATCTTAATTATTAGCTTACGACGATTAGCTTTCGAATTAAATTAATATCGCGCCGAAGTAGTACGAGAGGTTACTCTATACTTTAAAGATTACTAAATCTTATAGTCGATTCTTAAGAAATAAGGTCGACTTAATATAACGTAAGAAATATAATTATTAACTAAGAGATATTAACTATTATCTTTCTTTATCGATATATATTTTAAAAATATAGGTTCTTTCGAAGATAAAGGCTTATTAATTTCGATATAATAAGTATAAGCTTAATTTTCGATCTCGCTCTTTATATATACTATAGCTACGAATTAAATATAAACGTTATTAAAATTACGATCGTTATAATACTTTAAAGAATAAATATACGAGAAGATATCGAGTAAGCTTAGAAGAGTTAATTAAGAGTTACGAAAGCTCTAAACTCTCTCTTAAATATTACGTTTTTACTTAGAGAAGGTAATCGACTCGAATCTACTCTTAATAATTAGCTCTAAATACTATTATATAAGTAATATTAGTAATTAGAAACTAAAGCGAAATACTAATTCTTATTAAAATAAGTATTTTAATAAAAGTACGATTCTTTAAATCTTTTATAATCGCTTCTATATATTAATACTACTTTATATATAAATAATAAATATTAAATAATATATTAAGCTTATATAATAAGTAATTAAGACTTAAATTAAAGATTAAATAGCTTAAAAGACTTTAAAGATAATTAAGATAAAGAATAAATAATAAGAAAGAATAATTATCTATAGTAAAAAAGAGAGAAAATTAAGAAGAAAGAAGAGATATATATATATAGATATAAGACTCTTATATACTCGATAATAATCTTCGAAGCTATACTACTATTATTGACGATACTCTATTAGTACGACTACTCGATTAGTTAGTAGCGAGCTTCGAAAAATAGATAATAACGAGATATTTATCGTCGTAATATATTCGATAATTAAGTAAAGTAAAATAAAGGCTCTCGAATATAAAGGTAAGGCTTTAAGTAAACTAAAGTAAAATTTTAAGTAAATCGAGAAGTAAGGCTATTCGAATATATATATATTATATATTAAATATATAAAAGAGTAAAATAATAATAAGATAACAAGTTAAAGCTTAAGACGCTAAGTAGAAAATATCAACTTATATCTAAACCGAAAACGATATACTCTAGACCTCGTCGATAATAGTTAACTATCTTTTAGGAGATTACGAAGATATTCGAATAGCTTCGAATCGATCTATTCGTATTAGCACTCTAGAATCGAAGGTTATCGACGACTTAGCTAGCTATTTACGAGGCTATAAGGCTATAAGTATCTAAGTTAAATAGGGGAGGATATAATTATTTAGCTATCTTGGCTCTATCAAGGGATATAAAGACGGCCGAAGGCCGTTAACTAACTTAGGTGGATATCGTATACGATATACGACCTCCGGATAGATATATAGTCTAACGGGCCCCTACGGCCCTTGAGCAATGACAAGTCCTTCGTGAAATTACACCTAGTCACGGGAAGAGTTATGTAATGCTACGGTGAATTGCAAGATATACGAGCGAAAGTGTTACAGTGAGACGGTTCCTGTTGTTCGGTAAAGTTGGAATAGAAAGGTTATCAATCCGTTAGATACCCTGATGTCAACAAGTCTGGATTGCTATGTTCAACAAGGTGCTCTGACCATGTGAGTTACTGGGTGATCGGTAGAAAAGAATTGAACCACATGGTATCGACATCTATGCCAACTATGCGTGCAAAGTGGCGTCTCGGTACCAAGAGTACCGCGAGACCTACGATGCCCTCGGTTCGCACACCACAGCCCACGTATACGCCACGATCCAAGCCAGTCTGGAGCCGTACGAGCGGGACAGGCGAGCAACGCAAGTAGCTTACATCCACGGCGACCCAGTCTTCTCCAACATCGTGCTCGACGAGGCCGCTCGCAAGGTGACCTTCTTTGATGTGCGATCCCAACAAGGCGATCGCTTCACCACCATGGGCGATGTGTGCTATGACCTCGCCAAAGTCTTGCAATCGTTGCAGGGGTACGACCACATCGTGCTCACTGAAGAAGAGGCCTTGACCAAGTTATCACAGGCTCATGACGCTCAAGCGCAACTCTCCGCCATTCTGAGACCAGAAGATAGGTTGTTCCTGGGGACCTTGCAGAGGACATTTTGGGACTTCGTGAGCGATCGCTATGGTGACATTGTAGAACCCCACGAACTGCTCATGCTGGTGGCATCGCTGCTGTTCAGCCTCATCCCTCTGCATCGGCCGGCATTCCAACCTTTGTTCTTGCACATGTGCGTGAACATTTTGGAGCATGAGACCGCTTGCCCTGTTTGAGGCGGTCATGGTGGCGTCTAGATGATCCTTCGATCCTGGCTGGCTAGTGTTTTATTCACGTCATTGGATAGTCATTGACTGATCCGCACAACACTATATGGCCCCTGACACCTGGTACAACTATATGCTTTCTCATGGAGGTCGTAAGGCAGTTCTGCCCGGGTCAGGGGTAATGTTCGGGCTAAGGCTAATATCGGTGTCAAGATTTGCCAGGGTTGGGGGGTCGTGGACCGTGCTGGCTGGGGCACGATCTACAATTACGATTGTGTCAAGAGACGGATGTTGTGAAGGTGTTACTAATGCAATGGTGAATCAAGCAAAATGTAACGATGAAAATGAAAATCTGAGCACGCTCAGCGCATTGGGCAATGGATGCATTCTATGAGTCAATCTGCCGTTACGTGGTGTATCAATCCATGTCGACCGTATCTCTAGGACGACAATGATGTCCAAGACATTCAGTCTCCGTGCCTTCAGGCCATGTCTAGTTGTGCTTCACAATCACACATCGTCCAAGCTCTTCAAGCGACGGCATGTTCTGCTGCTCAATCGCGATGTCCATGTCCGACCATAGCATTCTCACTAGGTCATCGTGGAGCGGTTTCCAATACTCCAGGAATAGCTCCTGGATTTCTCTCGTCTCGGCATCATGAGAGAATTGCAGAAAGGGATAGTACTTCCATTTGAACTCGTGGGTTATGGCCCCGAATCTCTCGAACGTCCGATCAAATGTTGCAGAGTTCATTTGCTCTTGAAAGGTCTCATAAGAGCTTGTCAGTTCCTTTACTGTCAGTTTCTCTTCGATCATCGGCAGATATTCATCCACGCAATTGCTGAGATGATCAAAGGCTGCCTTGATAATATCAGCTATCTTGGACCCGAGTCCATTTGTGAACAGAATCATTTGCTCTCGGATCTCTGAATAGTTTTCAGCGTTGGGTTTCGAGTCATTATTGTCATAGCAGTCAATGCTCTTGTTGATTTTGACTCGCAGGTCCTGCATACCGTTGTTAGCTTGGGTCGATAGGAACTCTAGCATACTTCTGCAGCTATCGTGAAATATCCGGGCTTCTTGTCGGCAAGTCTCTCTTGAGTTCGCAATGCGGACTGCAAGCTTCGCAGCCCTAAATTCTCTGGCCATCTTCTCGGCGTTTTCTCGCCGCAGCGTCTCTAGATTTGCATCAAACTGCTCAATGTGGAATGGTCGTCCTTCCTGGTTATGCTCTTGTTCTTGTTCACGGACTTACATTGTGTAACCTCCGCTGTGGTTTCCTGTGCGTTTGTTGTTTCATTCCGGCTTCGGGTGATTTCTGCCTTAAGAACATCGACAAGGGCGTCGGCTACCGTACAGAATTCCTTCGGAATTCCTGCCTTCTGAGCTTTAGCCTCGTAGGACTCTTCTAGGCCATCGCAGTAGATACGCATCTTGTCCAGCTGCTTCTTCTTCAATTCATCGATGTCACCTCTGTAGTCGTGTTTGATGCTAGTGGAAACAAGATCCATGTCGACCTCTATCAGTTCTTGGAGAAGACTATCTCGCTCATCCGATGAGCGTTCACTTCTATGTGTGACGGGTTCAGCGGGCTGCGATGAGACGCTGGGACCTGGTTCTTTAGTTCGTACCTGCGTCTGGCTTGTCATAGTCTCAGTGCCCGGGTTTGGTATTGGATGCGGCTGCGCCTCAGTCCTCGCAGTTGCAGTGTTTCCAGGATTCCGAATATTGGTTTGCAGCTGTGCCGGAACCCCAGCGGGCGCAGTGGCCATGGGGGTAGCAATTATTGGGGCTTCACTTCGCACCTGCATATTCTGTTGTTCAGGGTTGGTCGCCCTAGTGCCACGAGACGGGGAATTGACTTCTGGGTCATTCTGTCGTGCTCGGGAAGGATCGTTTGAGATCAAAGCTTGTCGACGCCGGCGACAACTTCGGGCATATTCCTGGGCCTGTTCCTCATTCAGCTGAGCATCGTAGCGGAAATTAGGCGCTGGGTTGTTTCCTGGGAGACGACTATTTGTGTCGTTGCTGTTGCTCCCAAAGCGTGCTTCAGTCGACTCAGCGTTATTCACTGATCGATAGCTGTCTGTTCCGTAGCTATTGTGCCCTTCCAACCGTGCTCCGTACGACCTAGTGATCTCTGCTCGACGGCGTAGTGGACTTCGGCTTCGGTTTCGGTTTCTTCTAATCTCGTCACCATCGAAAGGACTGTACTGACGATGGTGAGTTGTATTTTGCCCGTCCCGGGCCGCATACGGATAGATATCTTCGTAGGACCGTGAGGGACGTCTGTAATCTCTGTAATCCGTGGAAGGATGATCTCTGACACTTTCTTGATAGTCATAGGAGAGTTCATCAGATTGTCTCCTGGATTGGCGGCCTGGGTCGCCTGCTCGTCGAGAGCTGCTTCTGTCGTATGTATCGGTGTATCGATACATATCTTCTGATTCTTTTTTATGTTGTTGTTGAAATTGATTCGGAATTGTTTGGAGGATAGAGTCAAAAACGCAGTGATGAACTCAGTCACAATTTATCGTAGCTTGCGCCTGCGCAAGCACGAAGACTTTCTGCCGCACCCTCCCTTTCGTTGATGTCGAGCTTCTTTCCAGAAAAAGAGGCATAGTCTCACCGCGGTACCTGGTCAGGTTCAAGTGAATACCCATTCTCGTTGCTATCCCGCAGTTCTTCACATCCAACGTTAGAACGTTGGCCTGTGGCAGCGGGAGGCCATCAGCCCTACCGTACAGTGTGTCTGTCTTGCAGTCGAGGCATCCTCTGTTGTGAACCAGCTTGACTTCGAATTTGTGCCTCCGATATACTCCCTGTCAGGCGGTGCCACTTTTCTCTGGAATCGGGCTTGACGCCTTGGACAGACAGTGCGTTGACCAACTAGTGATCAATCACCCTCAATCGAGGCATTGCTGATTGAGGTCAAACCATCCGCCCATGAAGGCGGCACAACCATCGCGACTTCAACCGTAATGCATTACAAACTACCTAACACCTACCAGGAAGCCGTCATCCGAGACTTCTTGTTCCCTGCCCAGTGTACTTGGGTGTGATGTTGGGTCTCATTGCACTTCCCCTGCTTCTGCATTTCGGCTGCGTTGGCCCCCTCGCCACACATTCCACTCGGTCAGGGCCAAAATCTAGAATCGACAACGACGCGAAGTCAGCGATAAAGACAAGCGCAGCAGCGCATCAATGACGAAGTCTTTCGCTGAAAGCCCGCACGTTCCGTGGCGAGAATAGCTGTAGTCGGGACTGATGAAAGACATGGCAGCTAAGCTCAATACCGTCTCGTTGTTTGCGCAAGACGCGTGCCCAACCTCAATGACATCACCTCACCACCTCCCAGATGCCGACATGGAGCTTACCATGATACTCGTTCTACCATAACAACACGATCACAACAACGCTCAGTAATTTGCCTACACGACTCTGTCCGCTAAAGCGTGAGGTCTCGCGTCTACACTACTCAATCCTGCGCCTGCTCCTCCTCTCGTCCACCTCTCCTGCACATCCCGACTCAGCAATCATGCTCCTCCGATCAGCCATCCGACCCTTTGCTGTCCCCTCGATAGCCAAATCCGTACCTGTCCCTCGAACACGAGCATCTCTCCACCGTCCTGTGCTAGTAGCATTTGGCCTGTCTCTGTCTCTCCCTTTCTTCCAGTCTAGATCAGTCATACGGCTTGATACATCGCCCGCTGCGGAATTCAGTACCACTTCATACAGCCACTCGCGCGATGCAAAGAAGCCGGTCTTAAAGGAGGGCAAGTTGAGCCCGGCTGCAGTCAAACAAATAAGTTTCGGAGCAATCCTGGGTCTGGGTGCTGGTCTACTACTTTCCGCATTTTCACGGAGCCTTACCTTGTTGATCGGGCTAGGAATCATCGTTTCGCAGGTGAGCGAAAGGTATTTCCTACATTTGGAGGGTTTCATGACTGACACCCTTACCGCAGTATGCTGCTCGAAAGGGATACAATTTCATACCCGTGGATCGGCTACAGCGCACCTTCAAGAACATCAACCTCCGTAGCGCGATCAACGACAACCTAGCCTTCAAGTTCAGCTTTGGCCTGATGTTTGCATTGTCTGCGTTTGGCGAGTTTTGAGGCTTGTGCTAATTCACCGGTGTCTCGAGGGAAATCGGGATAGCAATGGCGTTGGCGGAATGAGAGAATGAAAAATCGTTTGTGGTTCTTGAGATGAACAAATGCAAGCATTTTGCAGAGTATTCCTGGTCAATTCATATCCTGTCAGACCTCTTACTCTCTCCGAGCATCCCGTCATCCGACGCAGCGCTGCCCAGGCTAGCGTCACTCCCTCTGCGACTGCGTCGCTCGTCACGGTCCCAATCCACCTCGCGAGCACCAACACGCCCTGCAGGCAACTGGTTCAGACTATCCTCCTCTGCGTCAAGATGCTTATGCGATCTCCAAAACAACCATCCAGCTACGAAAGCAATGGTCGCCATACTCCCATAGTTCCAGACCAACAGTGGATCCGTGGACAACGACAACAAAGCCTCACCAATGACATTCGCAAGAGCCATCATCAACAGCGTGAAAGCCTGCACCATAGACCTCATACTCTTGGGCGCTTTCGTGAAGGCGTACTCGAGGCCGGTGATCGACGCCAGGATCTCACTGATGGCGATCAATACGTAGACAGGCGTTTGCGCCCAGATACTGATATCCGCTGGCGGACAATCCGTTCCATCGGGCAATCCTTCGCTCGGATACCGTCCACACTCATTGTGCGTGTACACGTAATGCTGTAAGAATGCTGCATAGACCATTGCCGCGGCGCCCACCCAAAATCCTAAGGTGATCTTCTTGATGGGCGTGAATTTGATCCCCCACCGTTGCAATGCCGGATATATGACCAAGTCACATATGGGGATGAGAACAACCAATGCCAATGGGTCGAGATTACTCACAATCTCGGGTGGCACTCCTTTGTGTCTCATCGTGTCGGCCTGCGATGTCATATTGGCGTACATCTGAATGAACGTGATATTGTAGAGGGGATACCACAGGAACACGGCACACGCCTTGAACAGACGTCGAACCTCATCGACCCAGGCATCGTCAAAGGTCATCCACTCCGGCCGTTGGGAACGTGGGATCCGGCTCGGTTTCACGCGTTCCCAGAAGTCTTCCCCACGCAAATTTCGCACCGTCTGTATCGGATTGAGTGACCACCGTCCCCTAGTGGCATACACGAACAATCTCAACGCGGGCCCAAGTACCGATCCCTCAGGCGGATTGAGACGGTAATTCCTTTTGCAGAGAACCAACACGAGTGGACATAGCAGGAATAAGCCCGTCGGGAGCAGGAACGCGAGGTAATAGCCCACGTACAGCGCGGCATAGGACATGGTGATCTGGCCCAGAAAAGCGCCAACATTGATAAAGAGGTAGAACCAGTTGTATATCCTGGCGGACGTTTGCGCCGGGTCGATAATGACTCGCTCGCCTGTCGCCGTGGTACGGACACGTAGTTGGTCCGCGACAATTTGCTCGGCTATCAATGGGGAGATATTCGGTTTGAAGCCGCCGGTGCCTAGGCCGAAGACGATTATGCCAGCGACAAATGTACCCATTGCAAGCTCGGGTTGTTGCAGGACGGAGGGTGTCGCGCCGACAACTAAGATGAAATGTCCTGCTAGAGCGCAGCCGATGGATATCATTATCATGTTGTACCTGCAATGACACACAAACCAGTCAGCATTTAGTATGTGGACACAAGCAGCAAACAACGAGTCCGAGGCAGACACAAGAGAGGTGGAACTGGCACATACCGTCCAAGATACGTGTCCGCCAACCACGCTCCAAGCAACGGTGTGAAATAACACCAGAAACCGAAGAACGTGCTAAGACCGGTAGCGACTTGCTGGCCTCGACCCAGCGCACCGGGATTATTATCCGTGGCGCCAGATGGGTTGGGCGCGGCGCCGGTGGGCGTGAGCAGGCGGCGCTGCACGTAGTTCTGGAACAAGATGGCCGTGCCGTAGTAGGAGAAGCGCTCGCATAGTTCGACGAAGGCGATGGTGTAAACGCGCAAGGGGATGGTGTCGGCGATGCGTGGGAGGGTGAGCAAGTCGTCAGCAGTCGGAATGGTGCTGCAATCGTCTTCGTCATCTCCATCGTCTGCGTCGGCGGCGGACTGGTTTATCGGATTCAGCTTGATATTGTCGACCTGACCCCTGAACTGAAGGTCGGAACTTGGACCGTCGTCTGAGCTCGTCGACACGCGTGCGTAACCCTTGGGCAGGGAGTGTAGTTTGATAGGCTGCATCTTTCAGCAACAAAAAGATATTATGTATATATCCATCTCAGCGTAGAATCACTTTGTGCTTCAATGTAGCGCGTATATCCGGGACATGGATGATTCGTGTGAGGATTGATCGTGATGACAGATGCTTGAGCATGCGGATACAATGCTAGCTCTGTAGAAAGAACAGTGCAAGCCAAGCGCGCCTTAATGAAGATGAGCACGTTCTATACAGCCATGCCGCTAGGTTCAAGATGAATTGTACATCTAAAGTGGTGTTTACTGATAGGGAGATATTGACTGACTCATGTGGTTTCTATCCGAGACTGTACCTGAATCAGTTATGAATCCGACAACGCCGTGTACAGATTCCAGGTACGGATACTCGTACAGGTACCACTGGCACTACCGGATATCTCATCCAGCGACAATAAAGATACGTCACGAAACACCTCGCTTACACGTCATGGAGCACGTTCTCTACAATTTCACTGGCTTCGTCCCCAGGCGTCATACGTGTCTTGGATCGTCATGACTTGGACTTGCTGAAACATTCATGGCTCGAAACATGGACAAGGTGAGCTAAGCTTTTTGTAAGTGTACCTAACCCCCCAAATGTCCTCTCTGGTATTGCGTTCAATCCGACCACACACTTCAAGGTCATCTCTCCCTGCAGTCCGCCGTTTGTTTTCGCAGTCCAGCCCCATCTAGTCCAACATGGCAGCAAAGAACGTCAAGAAGGCCCTGGCCGAATACGCGTCTTCACCCAACGGTCAAGGTCCTCAAGATAAAGACCCCTACGACAACGTCAACGACCCGTATTCCGACGAGCATGGCAAACGGCCTGAACCATGGCGCAACGGCGAAGGCGCACATCCTATCGGCCCACGAAATATTGCTCGAGAAATGCAGTCTCCAGACATGATTCGACCTCCTTCCACTGACCACGGAACCTTGCCAAACATGAAGTGGAGCTTTGCAGACTCGCACACCCGAATCGAGGTGAGTGAACTGCTACGCCGTATATCTCCGTGATTGCTAACTCTCATCATAGGAAGGCGGCTGGGCTCGTCAGACGACTGTACGCGAGCTACCCACCAGCATTGAACTGGCCGGAGTCAACATGCGTCTCGACGAGGGTGCCATCCGAGAACTGCATTGGCACAAGGAAGGAGAATGGGCGTACATTCTCGAGGGCAAGGTCCGGGTCACAGCGCTCGATAGAGAAGGCGGCAATTATCTCGGCGAGGTTGAGAAAGGTGACCTCTGGTACTTCCCAGCCGGACACCCTCATTCATTGCAGGGACTCGGTAAAGGTGGTTCCGAGTTCTTGTTGATCTTTGACGACGGCAATTTCAGCGAAGACTCAACATTTCTCCTGTCCGATTGGCTAGCACACACGCCCAAGTCAGTATTGGCCAAGAACTTCCGCGTCGCCCCCGAGATCTTCGAACACATCCCAGCCAAGGAGCGGTACATCTTTCAAGGATCAATGCCGGGCAGCATGGAGGACGAAGAGCCCAAGAAGCCTGCCGTGAAGAAGTCTGAACTTGAGTTCACGCACAAGATGCTCGCTCAGAAACCTGAACAACTACCCGGCGGCGGCACCGTGCGTATCGCCGACACATCGAATTTCCCCATCAGCAGCACCGTTGCCGCTGCACACGTCACAATTCCTCCGGGTGGTCTTCGAGAAATGCATTGGCATCCCAACGCCGATGAATGGTCGTATTTCATTCGAGGTCGGGCACGAGTGACGGTCTTCGCATCTTCCAACTCTGCGCGGACGTTCAACTATATGGCTGGTGACGTAGGTATTGTGCCCAAGTCAATGGGTCATTTTGTCGAGAACTTGAGTGATACGGAGGAGGTGGAAATGCTGGAGATGTTCAGAGCTCCTAGATTCGAAGACTTCAGTCTGGAACAATGGCTGGCAGCCACGCCGGGCAGAAATGTAGCTGAGCATATTCTGAAATCCGACGAGAGGGCTGGCAAGGCTTTTGTGGATGCTTTGGAGGCGGAGAAGAAGCCGGTCAAGCCCAGGCTGTAAAAGGTGAACTTCAGAACAAGAGCCCGGGCGCCTCATGTTGATAGCACACCGAAGAGAAGCTTAGTCCTCAGCCAATAATCAAATTCGACGGGAGATTTTCGCTTCATCTCGACAGCTGAGCCATCTTCCTGATCCAACGCTATCCTGAGATATGCTTCGTCAAATTCATGCTCCATATAATCTTGCCTGTGTTCCGGCATGAAGACTCTGGCACCGACGTCCTTCTTCACTAGCGTGAGAGCAGGTGTACACCAGCTGTCAGTCCCACCTATCTCGGTCACGATATTGCATAGCCGTCGCAATGTCATGAACGCCTTCGGAGATGGCATGTTTTCTGGTAATTGTGATTTGTCCCACTTCCGGACGGTACCATCTCGTTCTGTCATTTCGGATAAGCGCCTCATGACATCTGCAGCAAGAATCTGATGCAGTCGTGGCACAATCCCCTCCAGGCCTTTGACGCTGGCCCCTTCCGGGAAAGCGTGCTGCAATGCCGATACTGAGACCCTTATCGAACGCAACAGGTATACCGCCTTGGAGATATCGGGACAATCGCCACCAATAGCAGATGCGGCAGACGCAAGGCTTGTCTCATATTTGGACAGAGCCTTCTGAAGTGCCCCTTCCAAACTCTCACTGTAGACAGAGGGATCCTCCTTGCAGAGCATCCTGATCACATGCGCTGCCTCTTCCTCCTGTTCATCATCTGGTTCCTCGATTGCGTCACGCCACCGCACTTTCGGCAGCTCGTCGATAACTTTCTGAGTTGCGTGGAGTGTAGATATCCAGGCGTTCAAGGTTCTACTCGACTTCGATAATCTCGCATTCAACCCAGAATGACGTGACTTGACCCGGGCGATCATCTTTGATGCTCCTCTCTCCAAGCTCGTCTGGACTATTTCAGCGTCCCACAGAGACTTTGTCGACGCGTTGCCGACAGCACTCTCAATCAGTGCCTGAGTGACCTGGCTAAGTCGGTCTCCTTGTGAATGGCAAATCTGGGATATCCTCTGGTTGAGTGAATGTCTGATGTGCTTGTTGATGTCATTGCTAGCAGGTGTCGAGAAGTACACTGGCAATAGTATTTCGTAGATGTCCTTCCTCAATTCCAGTACTCCTGTGATATCGTCCAGCTTGGAAAGATGGTCGTCCACGGAGTTGGAGAGTAGCTGGCATGCTTCTCGAGACCAAGCCTCCAATTTTGCTTGCATCTCCTCGGCACTCGGGGCACTCCGTTTGAAATAGGGGACAAACGTACGGATCTCTTCAGGTAGAAGCGGCCACAGGCGGTCAAGGTCTAATGACTCGATTGTGTTGATCGCCGGGTCTTCCAAGATTGGTTTCTTTCGCAGGTTGTTCATTGCTTCGATGATAGGACGCCCATTTAAGGCCTTGAAAGTCTGCAGAGAGGCGAGTTGATATTGCAGTCCTTCACATATTGTTTCAGGACCGTGCGGCTTGTCCAATTGACGTCGTAGTTTCTCGAGTCTGAGCTGGCGAAGATGTGTGAGAGCATCCTCAGTGGAGACGCTCGTAACCAGGCAATAAGAACATATTCCTTCTAGTAAATCTGGCACGTTGGAGACAGGATTGACCAGCGTGGCATCGATTTGTCGGAGTAGTTGTCTACGGAGGACTCCGAACTTGTTCCTTAAGTACTCGAGGCTTTCAGACAGCGATTCTTGGTTGTCCAACGACTTCAATAACAAGCGTGAGAGGAACAGCAGTTTGGAGCATTGCAAGAGATTGCGATTGCGTAATGAGGTGGAAGAAGTGGTATGACATCGCTGTAGCAGTCGCAGTTGAGCGAGTGCGACCTTTTCAGGTGGTGAAGATTTGGCGGAAGCTTCATGCTGCGGCGGTCTGCAGTTGTGGCTAATGGATGAGAGGTGGTCTTCTGTGACCTTGGTTTTCTCTTGCAGGACTACGATGGCTTCTGCTGTTGCTAGTAGTTCTCGGTAGCTGCCTCTGTGCCAGACGTCAGAAAGCGTCCAGATATGGGACTTATGAAATAGTGAAAGCGAGGGAAGGCTGACGCGTGCTCGACAAGATCACTTTTTGCATCGGAGCGAACTCACCCTACGAGAGCCCTGAGCTTCTCCTTATCTCGCGAGACGCCGGCGCGAAGTTGCTTCTCAATTGCCCTCGTCGTGGGAATCCGATGATCTTGGAAAGCCTGCTGCCACGTGTTGATAGTTGTGCCCGGTTCCATCTTGTCAGAAGCTGGTAAGGGCTCTTTTGTGTCCCAGGCCCCAGCAGTAAGGAGTGCAAGATCTACTGATCTATCCGTCACCCGCGTGACATAATTAATTGTGGTTATGGGAAATGGACCTGGTCAAAGAACGATAACAAAGGTGGTCGTTTCTCGCTTCACTTTCCATTGGTTCATCTCTCTACTAACGCCGCTTTAGTCGCCATATACGCGGCTCATCAATGCTTGCAGATTGCGAGCCTTTCCGAGAGCCATATCGCAAACGACTATCCTAGAGGGTGCATAGCGACGGTATCAGAGTCAGTCATATCATTGAGAAGTAGCATTGACGTAGAGGTTCTGCAGCGCAGGATCCTCTTCCAGAGTATCAAGCACCTTTCCCACTTCTTCCTCCTGCTCCTCCGTCAACGTCACTAACGCGTCGTCGTTTGGGTCATACACCACTTCTACTTTTTCGATGCGTACCCCGAAGCGATCCTGTAGCCGCAGAGCAACTTCCATCACATCCGTTGGCGGCGTCTCAACCACGAGTCTGCCTTCTTCAGAAGATATGTCAAGCGCACCTGCGTCGATGGCCTCCTCTAAGGCCTCATCAACGCCTATCTTGTCCTGCTCTTGAAATGATATCCTGCCCTTCTTCTCAAATAGAAACGCTGTCGGTGTGATTGTACCCCCAGCACGATTGACAATCATGCGTATGTCGCTTAGTGTTCTGGCTTTGTTATCGGTAAGGCATTCGATCATGGTTGCGACGCCATGAGGGAGCATGGCTTCGATAGTGACCGGCTCGAGCGCCTGACCGCCCGGTGTCTTGCCCTGGCCTTTGGCAATGGCATATTCGATAGCCGACTTGACCATCTGACTCTTTTTGGCATTTGCGATGGCTGCGGCGAGTCTTGGATTAAGAGCCGGGTCTGGGCCGGCGACTGTACTCGCGCTTAGTCTGCTGCAATATGAAACAACTGAAGGTTGCTACTCACGTCTTGATGCAGTCATCAGCTCATGGGACATTAAAGTTCTGGTCTTGCTAGTCCTTGCATCTGCTTTCGCCTTGTCATGTTTGATTTTGCTCCATCGATTATGGCCCGATGGTCGCAATGGAGTGCTTGACCAGTGCCTGCACGGCAGCTGGAACCTCCATGAGGTGAGCTGGTACCTCGGGATCTGGCGCAGTCCCATGCAAAATGTTGCTGAATCTTGGGAATTGATTGTAGACAGAAGATCGTTTCGTCTCTCAGACTGCGCTTCTATTTTGCCGTCAATTGGAGCTTCTGATTGGCGGATTGCGGTTGGCCATGCCGCTGCATGTGATCGTAAGGTTGATACCATCAATAGCACCGTCCCAAAGTACCTGTACCTCGGACATCCGTTCGGCCTGAGTTGGCGACCCAAGGACAATGCATGAGTCACTAATCGATTATCTAGACCGCTTCATGACCAACTACTCTCAGCACGATGAAGCCAATGCGGTTTTCCATGACAGGACCCTGCGTTGGGCAGAAACACGACGAGCCGTCAACGACAAGCCGTCAACGACAAGCGGACAACGTTCTCACCCGAACGTCCGCTCTTCACATCGCATGCACATCTACGGACGTTTGCCAGCGACACAAAGAGGTGTGAAAACGTGATTGGTATCATTGAAAACAAGGAAACAGCCCACCCTATCTATTCTTCGCCATGTTTAGGCGCAAAAACGACACCAGCTCCACCGCCTTGACTTCGTACTCTGAGCGGGAGGGGCTGCGCACCTTCAACCCTCTGTCGCCCGCCCCTCCCCTCACAATCACCAACCAGAAGTTGGCGTCTTTGTACGCCCTCTCCAACTCCTCGAGGGAGCGGAACTCCTCTGACAACTCGGCACTGAGGCCGGCACTCCACAAAGACGAAACAAGCTCCACGCACCCGCTTTTCAGCGTTGCGGCATCGAAACTGGTGACGAGAACGTCACAGAAGCAACGCGGTGCCTGTCTGGCGTCCGTCGTATGCTTGGCCGCCTTTGGCCCACGAACGTAGGCGACCAGGTCGACAACGTTCAGGCGGAAGCCCACCGACCTGGTCGACCCCCTTTCAGACTTTGTCTGAAACTCTTGTATCAACGCGTCGTACCTCCCTCCCACGGCAAGAGCCCTTCTAAAGCTCTTGTCCATGCACTGGAAAAGGAGGCTGCCACGATACAAATGCTCAGAATTGAGCACGTTCCTCAAGGGGGCGACCAGGATCTCAGTACGAACGTTCATTCGTTTGAGGTATTGAAGGACCTCATCGAGACGGGCCAAAAGGGGGAGGGTCTTGCTGAGGTGCTCACCCTCGCCAAACAGCTGTGTGAGCCGGTTGCGGATCTTGTCGACGTCCCCTTCCAAGTTGAACCGTGCCAGGTCGGTGACAGAGGTCTCAGCGATGTTCATGGCCGAGCTGCGGAGTTCCTTTCGGATATCAGGCCAGGTTTTGTCCCCAATGTTGAGGTGAGAGAGCGCCTGTTTGACCTTTCGGCTTTCGTGGGCTTTGATCCGGCAGAAATCGAGAATGATGTCCATCAAGTCAGTGTGAGTAACGTAGATAGCCCATTTTCGAGCAGCAAGAACAGGGAATTCATTCAGGATTTCGTCCAGGACCTTGATGACTTCTGCCTCTTTGATTGATAAGTCATTGTCGCCGTGTGAGACAAAGTCGAAGTCCACTTCAGGAACATGTCTTGGTTGAACGCCTGGGGCGGTGGCACGATAAACAGTACCAAAGCAGTAGGTCTTTGCATAGTTATGGGGACTCTGACCGAGTGTTCGCGCAAATGGCAAAGTGAGGTCTTCCGGTAGCTGCACGACCAAGCCAGAAGTGTCAAGGAAAACTGCTGGATTTGTTGTAAAGCCTGCTCTCGGAACCATGCCTTGTCTGGCAGTTTCAACCGCACCGTGTCGACGGAAAATCTCCTTTAGATGTTCACATGTAGAGGTCCAGAGGACAGGATCTACGGTGGTCATACTCTTTCCTGACGTATCTTCCCATGCAAGGCTTGACACCGTACTGTTAGGCTTGTTGAAAAACTTGTTGACCACGGATTGATACTCTTCTGGACGTTGCTCCGCCAATCTGTCGATGTGACGTTGGAATTTTTCTTCCTCAAGAGGTTCAGGTACCTTTCCGCCATCAAGTAGTTGTCTCGCAGTGGGTCGTAGCTCTTGGTCCCGATTTGTGAGTTCAAGGATGACTTCCCCTTGTGTCTGATGAATGTCTTCTTTGAAGAAATCGGGTAAGATGGGTGGGTTCACGGCAAGATACTGCATTCCCTCGGCTCTTTCTGTCCCGGTTCTGAAAGGATAACACATTTCGTAGAACATAACACCAAGGGAGTACATGTCTGCTCGGGCGTCATATTTGCTTCCATGCGACATCAGTTCAGGCGCGGTGTAACCTCTAGTTCCGACTCCAGTAGATTTATTCGTTGTGGTCATACCAGGTGCTGAAGCTTGAGCTTTTGATACTGCTTGTCCTGCAGTTGCAAGTCCAAAATCGCCAATCTTGGGATTGTCAAGAGCGTCCAAGAATATGTTTTCGGGTTTGAGATCTCGATGAACGACACCAAGAGCATGGACATAAGCCAGTCCCTCGACGATACGGCGGAATAATCTCCAGACAGCGTCCACATCTTTGTAGAGGCCTTGAGCAATTCGACTTCTCAAATCCTGTCCTTCGCAGAATTCCATCTGGATGTACAGGCTTGTGACCTCACTACGAGGTGGACTGCGTGTTCGTACAGGCACCGCAGAATTCGGGGGCGACTCAGCGCTAGCAAAAGGGTCGTCGTCGGCATTGTCTTGTTGGAGATCATGACTTGTCGGGTATCGTACAGCAAACGGATCGCTAGGCTGCTCATCTTGTTCACGGTCAGGTTCTGGATCAGACCCGAAGGGATCATCGTCGTAACCATCTTCTTCATCAATTGGTGGAGGTGGCTGATATCCGAACATGTCGCCGTCGTCATCGCTGAACTCAGGACCTTGATGGCGGTAGACCGATGGTTCCATGAAATCGTGACCAGTGCTCAGAGGTAACGGTTGCCGTGCAGATTTGGGGCGGATTGCTGGTGGAGGCAAGTCTTCGATTCGGTTGTCCTGCTCGTTCTCGTACCATGCTGTAAAGTACCTAACAACGTACTGATGATTGAGCTTGGCCAGCAAGGTGACTTCTGCAAGAATCTCTTCCAGCTTCTTAATTGATCTGCTGGGAATCTTCTTAACTGCGTAGATTTGGCCGTCCAGTTTCAGTCGCGCTCGGAAGACCGCTCCAAAGCCTCCTCTCCCAAGACACTCAATCTCCTCCCATTCACTTTCATAGCGAGAGACTCCAGACTTCCCGCTATATCTTCTTCGCAGATTGGGCGTGTTCGGTAGTGTGGGTGAATGATTCTGAAAGATTGGGATGCGTTCTTCGAAGAAGAATGCTTTTCGAGTCAGTTCAAATGCACTTGGCCGACTGCCTGGTCTGCTGGCAAACATTTCCCCCAGTAATCTTTCGATACTGTCATGAAAGGCGCACCCCACAAGCACGTTGGTCGGATCAAGATACATTTCTTTAACGTCTTTCCCAAGTGCCATTTGCATGATAACAACCCCCAGTTCCCAGATGCACGTCTTGTTTGTTCTTTGAGGCTTGCTGGTCTCCAATTCGGGAGCTGTCCAGTTGTCCGCAGGTGCAGATGTTTCGGAAGCTGCCATGACAAGCTCTCTGAGCTGGGTGCCGTAGCCGTCGGACAGCTTGACAGTGATACCGCCAGTGGGAGAGCGAAACAACATGACGTTACCAGCATGTACGGCAGGATGGACGTAGCCTTGCTGATCAAAGAACACTAGCGCATCGGCCAGCTGTCGAGTCCATGAGCGAATCTTGGCCGCACTCAAAGCTTCTGCATAGTCCAGCAGGTCGGTAAGGGATTTCCCATTGGCATATTCTGAAAGAACCGAAAGCTTCCACTGTCCAGTGCCATCCTCGAGGTTCATATGTTCGATCTTGTAATTGATCAAGTCCACGACATTTAGGTGATGATGCTGCTTCGAAGATTCCAAATCTTCTTCGACAATCTCCATGCACTTTTGCAATTCACCCTTCGGAGCTATGCTTTCGGGAAGGTAGATATCTTTCAGGAGGAGTTGTGGTGCCTGAACTCGTTCGGTGTCAACACGTGGAGCCACGATCATGACCTTCTTGTCTTTGCGCTTGAGTATGACTGATCTTCCCACTACTGCTTTGAATTTGAAGGGCATGGTTGTTCCTATGTCTCGCAATGTCATGGACTGATCAAACCGGACAGGATCTTCAGGAACGTCGTAAAGATCTGCATTGTCCTCTCCGGTAGATTTGCGGGATAATGTCGTCTTGAGACGGCGTTGCTTTTCGTGTGAAACTTGTGACTCGAGAAGTGTCTCATCCTTTTCGACCTGTTCCGCTTGCTGCTTCCTGGCGCGTTCTTCTTGTTCTTCGAGCTGTTTCTTGGTAAGGGCTTCTTTGGCAACACGCTCTTCCTCAAGACTTTTATCGGCTTTCTTCGCTGCCTTGTCCAAGCTGACTTGATCAAGGAAGTCCATGATTGCGGTATTGACTTCGTAAACAGACTCACTGCCCTGGTACTGTTTCGGATATGTGGATATGATGTGCTCAATGTGTTGTCGGATTTCTGGGTCTTTCGGCTGAATGTCAAGGATGTCAATTTTCGGGAGCACTTTTGGATATGCTCGTGGAAACTCGAAGATCAGTTTGACGAAATATGCACGATCTTCAAGCGGGCCTATCCTGACTTGAAAGGCTAGATTCTCCTTTGCCTGTAACGCTGTAAGGACAATGAAAGAGTAGGATGAGTCCGGAAAGCCCTTACCTGCCAGGCGTCCTTTCGTCCACGAACTCGTTCGAACTCGTCAGGATAGATTGCTCTCGTCGTCAGAAATTCATTTCGCTGGACCTCTGGATACTCCGCAATTTCCTCCTCGAAACTACGATGAGATTGTCCAAATGAAGGTGGAGCTGCAAGCGTTGGCTCAGGTTCGGATTTTGAAGCCTGCGGCTGAAGCGGTTTTGTTTTCTTTTTGGCCGGCATTCTGACATTCACTTCAGATCCCCTTAGGGACCTGGTGTCGTGTGCTTGCGTTCTGCGCGATCTATCGAGAGGCTTGGCAACGACAACCCCGACGAGGGGTAAACGTGCCTAGGCGGTCGCAGCGACAGCCGCAACCACCTATATCATGGTTGTGTTGTTCATTTTCGTTGTGTTTTGTTGTTGATGGAGGAAGAAGAGAAAGACAGTTGTTTGGTTGACTCACTTCACGGTCGAAGCCTCGTTATGGCCAAGACATATCCGGGGCCGGAGTTACATTTCGCCGGTGACCTTAATCCCGGTGTCTCAATCTTCAACCCTGCAATTCATCAAGCCTCGTCACTACAGCCCGCCTCCCTTGATATGAACGACGCAGGAGCAATGTCCAGGTATCTTTTCTTACACACTTAGTTGTGCAGCGTTGTGGCTGTGGTCATTTGCCAGCAGAAGGACCTTTATCACATTCCGTGAGACGGTCGTCTCCAAACCGCCAGGATGGTGAACATTACGGAAAAAATCAAGGAGTGCGACACTCTCCCCAAAAGACTACGCTCAGCTACTGACCATCTGCCAGGATCGAGGCCGAGATGGCCCGAACTCAAAGTGTGTATCGATATGCTGTCGTGCTCGGACCGGAGCTGACTTGTGCGCAGAAAACAAAGCCACAGGTTTGCAACCCGAATTGAGAGAAATTTGGAACCACAATTTCTAACAAACGCGGACAGAGTACCATCTGGGCCTGCTGAAAGGGTAAGTTCTGTTGTGTTTGATGTTGACATTGGGCACTGTCCAAGATGTGGACATGGGGAACGTCGCATAAGACAAAGAGCCAGCCTCGCACGTGATTCGGCTACAAGAAAGACAGGAGAAGGTCATGACCAGCAGCGAAGACAATGCTACAGTCATGACAAGTCTCCAATGAGTCCAGAAGCATCGCCACCTCGCGCAAGAGACGGGAATTCATCACGACTCACTCTCTTCATGGAAAGGCTAATTCAAGCTCGATAGGAAACTCGCTCGACTTCGAGCACAACTTCTCGAGCCTGGTCCAGGAGCTGGATCTGGCGGTGGCGCCGGCTTCGATGTGTCGAAGTCCGGTGACGCCCGAATCGCCCTTGTCGGATTTCCCTCTGTCGGTAAATCGACGTTCTTGTCGAAAATCACAAAAACCAAATCAGAAGTAGCAGCATACTCATTTACAACACTGACAGCCATTCCCGGCGTCCTCGAATATGGTGGTGCAGAAATACAAATCCTAGATCTTCCAGGTATTATCGAAGGCGCGTCAGAAGGCAAGGGAAGAGGGCGACAAGTCATCAGTGCCGCCAAGGTCGACTTACCCATCCCCATGACGTTGGTCAGACGCTAATGGTTGTTCAGACCTCCGATCTGATCCTGATGATCCTCGACGCTACGAAACGTGCCGAACAACGCGCTCTCCTGGAAGCCGAACTAGAAGCTGTGGGTATACGACTCAACCGTGAACCGCCCAATATCTACCTCAAGCCCAAGAAGGCGGGCGGCATGAAAATCACATTCCAGGCACCACCAAAATATCTGGACGAGAAGATGTTGTACAACATCCTGCGCGACTACAAAATGCTAAACGTCGAAGTTCTGGTGCGCGACGAGAACGCCACGGTGGACGACTTCATCGATGTCATCATGAAAGACCATCGCAAATACATCCGGTGCCTGTACGTGTACAACAAGATCGACAGTGTGACGGTCGATTTCCTAAACGAACTTGCCCGCGAACCCAATACGGTCGTCATGTCGTGCGAGTTGGACTTGGGCATTGATGACGTGGTCGAGCGGTGCTGGACGGAGTTGCGGCTCATGCGCATCTACACGAAACGACAGGGCATAGAGCCCGAGTTCCACGAAGCCTTGATCGTGCGGAGTAATAGCTCGATCGAGGATGTGTGCGACCAGATCCATCGCACATTGAAGGAGACGTTCAAATATGCTCTTGTCTGGGGCGCGAGTGCCAAACATATCCCGCAGAGGGTTGGGCTGGGGCATGTCGTTGCAGACGAGGATGTGGTGCAAGTAGTGAGTGCGTGGAAGGCATGAATAGCAATGACAAACAGGAAGTACGATACCCAGGATAACATATCATCGTATTATATTCTTGGGCCTCATCTCAACGCCCTCCTCGGATCCAAACTACTAATATTCGCGCTCAGCGGCTTGCCATCAAAAATAAATTCGCTCATCAATTTCCCTGTTGCCGGACCATTCTGAATTCCCCAACACGTGTGCCCAGCCGCAAGATAAACACCTTTCGTATTTGTGTGTCCTACCAACGGCCCAGAACCAGTCTCAACTTGAGGCAGATAACAAGCCTGCCTCACGAGCACCTCACCATCGCGCATTTCGTCCGAGAAACTAGCGCAGTAGTCCACGATATCTTGGCACCGTGAGTCATCAACTTCGACCTCAGCAGTACTCTTGGGCAAGGGGACAAGGTGATCGCCTTCGCCGCACGCGTAGAGTTCGTTGTTTGGCCGCGCGTAAATCTCGGGGCTGACGTGCATGGCGGGCGACTTGACGCCCTCCTTGAAGTTCTTGGGCAGGGCAAGTTGTGTGAACAGACAATATGCCGACACGGGGTGCGACGGACGGATTGTCACGCTGTGAGCCCGAAGTGCGCCGATTGGTGAGCCTGGCCAGACAGTTTTGGTCCATGGGCCCGCCGTGACGATCACATCGCTTGCCGGCAGTGACTTTTGCGAGTTGTTCTCCTTGTCAGTGTATCGGACTGTATGCTCTCCCGACGACGAGGTTTCGATCTTGTCGACACTGCCGATGATGACTTTGGCGCCTTTCTCCTCGGCAAGGGCCGCCATGGACGTGGTGAATTGGTAAGGGTGTACTTGAGCCGTGTCCCGTGGCGAGCCCATACTGTCGTAACCCTGAACACAATCTTCCGCGACCCAGTCGAGGTCATCGGGTAGGCCCATTTTGCGGAGGCTGGAGTATGATTCTTTACTTCTCTTTTGCAGACTTACATTGCCGTCACTCGAGACATCTGGTCTGTGTAGGCCTCTGATGTCCTCGGACTTGGAGTCGCCGTTGGCTGTGATCTTGGGCTGATTGCGTACTTGTCGACCAGTCAAGTCGATTTGGCCAACGCCAACCCCACGATAGCCCCAGCGGTCCGTGCCACCGTGCTCTTTGGCCAGTTCGGCGTGAAGTTTGAAGCTCAATGGTACTAAGCATGAGGGGTATGCCCATAGTGCCAGGAGACCACCGGCCTTGCCGGAAGCGCCACTGGCGATGGAGTTCGCCTCGATGAGATGGATTGAATGTTTTGATGGATCATATTTGGGATGCCGTGTGAGGAAATAGGCCGTTGTACTGCCTATTATGCCTCCTCCAATTATGACGATTGATTTCTTTTCTGTGTTGGCCATTGCCGTCTTCAGAAGTCGTCGCGAGATCGAGGTCGGGCGACCAAGTTGAGACTGCTTGATCGCAAAATGTCGAGTGGCAATGAATGAGTTTCATGTAGTGACCCGTATGGCGCCAAGATTGCTCCGAATGCTCTGACGTAATGTGGTGATCGAAATATCAAATTCGATGCGACTTCCTCTTGCATCTTTACCTTCACTGTTCCTTCCTTTCATGTCGACTTGGATGACAGCAGAGTCCTGCGTATTACCCTCGAAAAGCGTCTCCAATCTCTAGCATACCGCCCCGTCACTCCGCCCATGGTTGATCCAGCATATTTGGGCTGCTGTATGACTGACGGTGGCCCCCCACGCTCCAATCGACTCTAACATTTTTGTCTTCGCTGTTGACAAGTCTCCCTCCGCTGAAGACACGGAAGTCCAAATCTGTATGCCCAGGGATGAGCTGCACTTCAAGATGTGCTAGTTCATAACTCTCTCCAAGATTCCACCAGTGCTTGTTCCGGCGAATCTTTTCTACCCTGTCCAAATCTACAGACACAGTGCAAAGATCCCGAACACGGTCTTGCTCTGCCATGCTTTTTGGAAGAGATTCTGATACATTGGATCGCACAAATTGCGCCTTCCACGGCCTCCGATAGTGCGCAGGCCTCAGCTTCGCTCGGAATGGCTTCCGCACGCCATCATCAGTGACTCTGTCACCCTGCACACATGGTGGTTGAGCTTGCTCTCATGATCTCAAAGTTGATGAGGTACATACCTTGCAGATCAGCCATTCTATCTGATCAACTGCCCACTTCTTTCCGTCTCTATTGTCCCTAACGACTCTTTGACCCAGATGTCTATCCTGGTCGTATCTCTGGTTTACCACCACTCCATAACTGACCGGCGCGCAACGCCCCACTATTGGAGTGCTACGTTGTCCAATCTGTTGAGTACGATAGCCAACAAGCCCTCTGACAACGGCGAGCTGCCTGTGATTACGCATCAGCAAGGATCTCAGGCCACCACAAGATCGACTCACATATTCTCGGCAAGCAGCATTTTCACTCCACGTGCATTTGATTCCAGCGATCCACCGCCAAACTCGAAGTGACTCTTGACTCTCTCTTGGATATATTGGGAGGCAGAAAGCCCGCCAGACATGATCAAATATGTGACTCGTTCTCCTGGTCGGAATCTTTTGAGAGCCTGCAACTGCTCCGTGATCAGCTCAATTATTCCTTCGGCTTGCTCCTCGAAGAGTCCTTTCACCAAGTCACGAGAGACCTCAATCTGCGAGTCCTTGATTCCCGCATGTGGAAAATCCGAACCTGCTGATAGACCAGTCACAGGAAGAAAGAGCTTGGGAGGTGTGGTGCCAACCACCCCGAAACTGCACTTGAATCTTTCGAACCTGCCTAGCATCATCCTCTCGGCAGTCTCCTCTGGTGGTAAAACGTGTTCGAGGAACCTGAGTCTCTCAGCCAGATGCTTCTGTACTCCGATATCAATAAGTGCTGAACCGAATTCACGACCTATCACGGGTTAGCGGGTACACAACCAAGAAATCGCATTTCGAACCTTCGACCGGGACTAATTGTTCCAGCTCCAGCGATTGCCCAGTCTCCGATCTTACTTTCATAATGTTTATATCCTTGCCAATATCAGACAAAATACGACATGTCGAGAGACTCTCGCACGTACCGTTGTACCGCCACCTGCGTCGCACACGAGAACAACTTCCTCACGCTTCGTCTAAGTCAGTGTCGGCCACATCTCGTCTTGTCTGGGTATCGCACCTGAAGCATTTGCCCGGCTACAGAAACGGCTGCTGCCTCAGCTTCTGTCAATGTCACTTCACAAGTATGCTGTTTGCCATCTGTGCCGAAGCCAGCTTGTCTGATCATTGATAGGAGGTCACGAATCATTCCAGCATGCTTCCACGTCGTCGGTACGCTGAAGTTCCATTCGACTCGCATTGTCGCCCAACCTGCGAACCTTTGCTCAAAGAATCCTGCCAAATGATCATGCACGCATCTCATGTAATCAAGGTAGAAGCGTCTGGCATCCCGATGGGACAATTCCTGGAAGTCACCATACTCAGGGTCGAGATTCAATTTGAAGTACTCCTTGATCTCGATCGACGGATCAACGATATCGACAGAGAGACCCCAGGATCTGACATGTTTTGTTCCACGATCGTATGCTAAGCGTGACGGGGTTTTATTGAACACTTCGGATGCAATGGTGGACCAGTTCTGGAACACCGCAGGGCTTATCCACGGTGCTGAACAGTATGCAACACCTGTGAACTGTCAACAAGGCTCCAAACATTGTTCATGTACATTACCAGTCCCAGACATGCCAAAATCGACGCCTATGATCAGAGCGGGGTCGCCATGTGTCGCCATTTCGTCAAACTGACCTTTGGCCATCGCTGAGAAGGACTACGTCAACTTACTATATCAACGAGTTGACGCCCCCATCACGGAACATACGCAACCCTCCACTCTGCCACCGCGTCAGGCTGAGATTTGGTAAGGCCACCCATCCATGCAGGCGGTCTCCATCTGAGACATTGCTAATGCACCTCAGCCGCGTTCTTAAAGCAGCAACTGAGACTCATGCAATATCTCCTCCCCTGTGGAACCTGGGTGCATGATGGTGCCCGGCCAGGTGATGGTGCCCGGCCAAGGGCTGTGCTGGAGCTGATCAGGTGTAAACATTCGCCAAAATTCGCCAAAATTCGCCATATCCCAATCTTCAAAGTGGTTTCCTAGGTTCCCAGCCTGACAAGCCTGCCCACTTCCTATTCAAAAAGACGGACTGCGCGACGGTTGCCAGACAATTAAGTTGCTGTGTTCCTCGCGGTCTCCAGCAGTGTGAACAACAAATCGTCCGCAATCACGATGCCCACCACAAAGGTTGTCCAAAATTTGGGTGCCATCTCTCTTACACAGAACCTTGGGACGGCTCCCAGCACAACGACCAGCAACACGAATGCACAACCCTCGAGCACCACTAGCCCATTGAGCAGTGCAACGACGAAACCAGCCATCTTAACGTCCTCAAGCAGTCTCAGCCCGACGGGAAGCGTGACGAATTCCACCAGAACAACCAACTCAGTCACCACAGCACTCCCAACCAGCTCAAGCCCATCAAGAAGCGCAGATACCTCCAGCACAACGACATCCTCGGCCAATCCAACACTCTCAAGCGGTCGAGCAAGCGCTCCCTTAGCACATGACCCTTTGTCGACGGGTGCTATAGCTGGTGTTGCAATTGCCTGTGCCGTTGCCGGTGCCACGTTCGCCCTCATCCTGATGTGGTTTCTTCGGCGATCTCGGTCCCAGCGGTCCTTAAAGAACAGCCAAACCAATTCGCGTCGTGTACCCAGGCCACTTCCCCATGAAAAGAATAATGAGAGAACCTTCGACGACCCAACTGTCATTGCCATGAAGCGCCAGCCTAAAGTCGACCTTGATGCTTTCCTCCCTCAGCAAGCCGATGATGCTACTGTCAATAAAAAGCTCCTGCATCTTTTTGATCAGATCGAATCACATGTTGACAATTTCTACGCAGAGGACAACCAAAATCTGACACATGAACAGCAAATTGAAGTCGCTCAATATGCTACGCCAGGTCTGCCTATGCCGTTGGTGGCCCTCCTGCAGACTTCACGCCGCAAAACCACCATACTCAAGCATTGCCTCGGGTATCATGCCATGCTGCTGGTGTCTCCCTCCAACACATCAGACTGTTTGTTGCCATATGAGATTTCGTCAATGTTAGCATACTCCGAGGCACACCGAGATGCAACCCGACGGGATCCAGGTAGGTGGACGTCCAGTCCAATGTTCTAACTAAGCTGACAAATCTTCTGAAGATCGAGCCATTGCCCTCTCCCGTTGGCGTATGCTCACCGCATACCTGCGCCCCGATATCTTTGGCGGAGATGTGTCAAGCACTTCCGAGTTTGAGTCACATATCCACGATTTGGCGACCAAGTTCTGTGATACTTTCAATCCTTTCAGTCAACTTCAACATGAGGAGCAGAAAGTGAAGCACTTGGTCGAGGTGTTGCGTACTGCCCTGAGATTCGCACTGTGGCTCTACAGCCACCCAGCAACATTTGACTTTCGTTGGGGTTCGGCAAGCGATGGCTCCAGTGGGTCGGGTCATACAGTCGTGACTGTGCCCTCACTTATTAAGACTTACGACGGAAGGGGCTCAAAGATTGAACCACCGCAGGTCGTTCAGGCTCTGGTCAAGAGGCGCGTGTGAAGCCACAAGGCCACATATAAAAAGTCGGCAAGGATTTGAAGCCTCTAAACCATGATATTGAATAGCTGGATACTTTCATTATGCGAACACAACATTGACCTCTGTCTCTTTGTCATTCAACTATGGCTTTTGCTGTAGGCTCTTTCCCTTTCTACGCAAGCTCGCTTTCGTTGCTTGATACTCTAGCCAAGTCCTGGGCTTCCTGTCGGACAAAGTAGGTGACGGTTGGGGCAAGGTGTTGCTCTCGAGCTCAAAGCACTCTGTTCCACCTTGTACTGCTGCGTTTGATGTGATGACAGGAACTACGAGTGTCGGCATGGTCGATGGCACGCTTGACATTGTGCTGTCAGCACGATGACCTGCATCAAGCTCATTTGTCTCGGTCGGAAGCTCCTCGGCTGACCATGCTCTGCCAAACCTTGTGTTCTGAGGCTTTGGCGACGGCCTAGGGATCTGAAAATTTTGGAAGCTATCGGTACTTGGTTTTGGCGTAATTCTGGTCTGGCGTTTCCACTGAAGTTTCTGGCTGGTCTGATAGCTGGGAGGGCGTTCTCTTGGGCCGGAAGCAAAAGTCCGCAGAAGACGCAATGTGGAGATGTTTTGCGTGAGAGTCGTGTGTACGATATCCAGACGCTTGAGGGCAGCTGCAATGTTGGAGTTGTCGCTGAGCACCCACATAACTCTTGTGGAAAAGTGAATGCTGCAGTCGGCTTCGAGGTCGACTCGAGCAGGCTCAAGCAGCAGGGCGACCTCTTCAGCTGCCCGCCTGGTCTCCTCAATCACACGTTCATAGTCTTTCCTTTCGGAAGCTGGAAGGTGTTCTTTCTGCTGTCCCAACAGCTCCCGACAGGTTTTGATGTTGGTCCACGCATGCTGCGCCGTGATCAGGTACTCTTTGGTCTGCTGATCAACCGCCCGCAAGGCATAGGTGTACTCGCAGATCTTGATAATAAAGGTCAATCCCGAGCTGACGCCCGAAGCTATCCCTGACCAAGGATTACCGCTCATCGTGTGCTCAGCAGTTGACCAGGTCAGTACCATCCTAGATTGAACAACGTTGCTCTCCAAAGCTGCGTATAATCTGCCACAAGCTTCACCCACTCCTCCAGAAATGTAGAGTCCATCAGGCTGAGGCCGCTCCTCGCTTAAATGCACTGCCCACTTCACCAGGCGGGGAATGGCCGCTCGGGTTGCACACATGCAGGCATTCATCAGGCTGGGTGTCACTTTTGCCGACCAACTATCACAAATTTCCTTTTGGTATACGGACTCAAAAAAGGGGGAGATTTGATTGGCCTGCGTTACCTAAATCCTTGCTCGATCGTCGGAACGCCTTCTATATGGGCCGCAATCCAAATTTACCCAACAACACCTCCTGGTCAGTTTCTGAAAAGCAGCAACGACGTCGGGTCAATCTAGAAGTGATCACTGCCTCAGGCCGACACCATCGTGCGCCACCTCGCTAGCAGCGGCCCCAATGTTCTTGCCGCATGACCAGGGTGCTGTGTTGGAAGGAGATGTGAAGTAGTATCAGGCTGAGCAGGTCAAAATATCCCTGTGCTTAAGAGGTTGATGAAGTGCAGCTATCTGTCCACCTGGTTCCGTTACTCTCGATGAAGATTTCTCCCTGAGAGACAAGATGATGCTCTCTGTACTGACCTTTCTTGCTGCCACGCTCAGCGTATCGTACGCTCTTCGTTTTGATGGACCTCAACCTACAGACCATGCTGCCTTCGATCTTCGTGGCTGGTCTCCTCGTCCGACATCAGGCTTAGATCAACAGCTCTTTCGACGCGAACATCAGAAGAGAGATGTCGCGGGAAGCACTATCTGTGCATATTACAATAATGCGCCTTATCTGACTTGTGATGGGGGTCAAGTCTGTGCCTACGACGCGGATGATTACTACATGGGTTGCTGCTCAACGGACTCCCAAGGTTCGCTAGTCAGTGACTGTGCGCCTGCGACCAGCTGTATCGATTCATCTCAAACTTCTACTCAATGCGGGACGACAGCCGACGGGTGCTATGTCACTGACTGGTATGTACCTTCACATGCTACCCCTGGGAACATAGCTGGCCCAAGATAATCGCTGGCGCTGACAATGAATGGTAGTGGAGCTTCCCAACTCGATTGTGCGACTATCATGGGCCTATATGGGACGCTCACATACACCTCCCTCACCTGCGATATTTCCAGCTACAACATGACTCTCACACTTAATGTTCAGTCAACGGAAGCAGCAACGACAGCAGCAGCAGCTACAACAACAGCAGCAGCAACGACATCTTCTGACAGTAGCACCTCGCCGTCCACAAGCACATCTGCGACATCAGCAGCCACGTCCACGACGTCGGAAAGCCCTACAGCTGCCGCGGCGCAGTCGACGTCCACGACTAGTGCTACGCATGCCCCCAGTCATACAGGTGCTATCGTTGGTGGTACTGTAGGCGGTGTAGCCGGCTTGCTTGTTCTTGCCGGGATAATTGGCTTCATTATCCATAGGATTCGCGTCAAAAGGCGAGAGAACGGCTTCGTGGACGACCCTGCTGAAATGGCAGGCACTCCTTACACCCGGACGTAATGAACACAATGAAGGAACATTGGCAATGGAGAATTGAAGAGCATATAGGGACCTCTAAACTGGGTAGATAGGGGCGAGGACTCATCACATATTCATGAATAACGCCATGTTATCACTCACACGGCGGCCATGACATCCAAGCGTCATGGGTTAATAATAATCACCGAGAGTTGTAGCACCCTTTGAGAGATCATATACAAGTCACCACCAAGCAGAAACGTGGTTGTCATCTCCCAGGTGGGAGTGCACGAAGCCGAGCATTTTCATCAGGCTGAACAGGCCCCACCTTGAATCCCTGATACATCCAGTCCTATTGGTCCTACACGCGGAAATGCACCTTCTGTATTCACGAGACTGAGGCTGAACACTGGACATGCTATTGGACGAGATCACTCTGATCCAGACTTCTGCTGAGGTCCTGCAGATGGAGCAGGAAACGGACCTTTGAAAAGATCAGCCCACCAATTCGACAGATTGGTGGCACACAGAGGCTTTTCGAAGCTCGCCAGGAAAAGCAAGGTGTACGCTCGTGCCGCGCGATCGAGCCGTCCCATGCAGCGATTTAATTTCTTAGAGGAAATCGAGTACACATTGTCGCCCCCTCAGCCTTACCACGAAAACGCGCAGAAACGGGTCAATACGAGGTCTACGTGGCTCACAACCTATTAATATTTCACACTGAGGTCATAGACTGTCCGTACGTGATGCTACACCGGTCACCCGTGACCAATAATGCTGAGGTCAAGTTGGTCGAGAACTTGATGTGATGAAGGCAGAAGTACTTGGTATGGAAGAGGCAGCCAAGGCGATTGCGGCGATCGAGTCCTCGATGCGGTTGAAGGCAACATTCCGCGCTCCAGTACAGAATTGCTATAGCAGAAATGAAAGCTACCGAGATCAGGAGAAATCAAGTGTACCGGGACCATCATCCCACTGTCCCATCTCGAACTCCTGACACATGCTGTCCCATTGTCTCCAATTGATAGGAGTGGCATCCATACCCATAGCATCGGCTTCGCCAAGTGGTAGACCAGCGTCGCCATTGATAGATGTAAAGATCGGATCAAAGCCGCCCAGGTCGTTGCTGTCTAAGCCACTTGTGCCAAAAGTTGGCTTCAACTGATGTTGTCCGGCTACCCTCATACTGTCCATACTGTTCGATGGTGCTACTGCCTCGGCTTGGTTCAGGGTGCTCCGTGGCAACGTGACCGGTTGTCCTCGGAGCTGCATCACGCACGATGGTGTCTTCGACAACGTATTGGCATGCCTGGACTTACGTTGCTCCATCTCACGTGATTCCCACGCCTTGAAGGTGAGGCTGCAGACAGCGTTGCACAATTTGCTTCGTGCGCGACCTCCGAATATGATCTCCGGGTGAGTGGCAAAAACTTCGTCAATAGTCGCCCAAGCAGTGTCTGTTCGTGGATTGGAGATCGCGTGAGTGCGTAAGTAGGTGAGAAGATAAATGAAGGGATGCCATTGGAAATGCATATCCACATGCCAGAGGAAGCGACGAAGATACTTGGTAGTGCGGATCTCAGTATCGTATTGAAGCATGCGAAGGCTGTTGCTGTAAAGAAGGTTTTCTTCCTCTGAGGACGAAGCGTCCGCGGCGGCCGCAGCTTCCGAATCTCCTGCATCGCGAGGCAGATGAGCGAAGAGCCGCAGTTTGCAGATGGCGGACCGAGCAATCAGACACGATATGCGATGGAGAGGAACTTGAATGTCGCAGTGGCGGATGACTTTGTCTTCGAGGGTTTGTTCAAGGTCGTTAATCACGTCGTCCTTGGCCGCCATGCTGACATTGGGATTGCTGAGTGTGGACCAAACACCATCGAAGATTTCGTGTTCGGGTAATTCTTTGATCAAGAAGGTGCCTATCGTAGAACGGATGAGCATGAACATCATCTCCGTAGCTTTGGGCTGCTCTGTGGGTAGCTCGCGCATATCGGGGTAGAGATCGCAGTCGTTGACGTTCAATGGTGGCTTTGTATGTCCAAGTAAGGTTTTGATGGAAAGACCGGATCCACACAATTCGGCAGCGCGACAGTCAACTTGAACCATAATCATCCACAGGCGACGGCGCATTTCCGTTTCGAATGGTGGCAGTTTGAGGGTCTCGCCATCTCTATGAAGACCAATCCGCTGGCCGATTCGAATCGACACACCCGTCAAAGCCCAGAGGGAATGAGCATCGCAACGAGCTGCCAACTGTCCAGGTTAGTGATCATGATCCGGGATTTGGGTAGAAGTGGGTTCGACAACTTACCAAGAAGAGCACAAAGGCTTGCAGCACCATCATATCACTTGTCTTTAATATGCCTGCTGCTCTCAATGCTTCTTGTGCCCCACTTCTGAATCTGTCGATTGCGGTTGCTTTGCTTTGTTGTAGTGCGCTCTGGCATTCGGCGTCCTCCATGGATAATGCGGCGATCAGATAGACGCCGAACAATAACGCTTCCATCGCCTTCGACATATGACGCAAGTCCGCCGTTGCTTCCACAATGGCTTTCTGCATTGTGGGAACATGTTTTGACCATCGGGTTGACGTTGTCGACAAAGGCTTGCCAAAGCATGAAGACTTGGACCGGTTGTGGGTGTAACGACCGTAGGTCGACCGCACCATCTTCGACCCTGGGTGGGAGCACCAGGTCAATCGGATCCTGCGCAAAGGACTTTGTTGTTTGTCGGGTCGCCGTGGTCCGGATCTCCAAATCAGCATCGATGTCGATCTCGTTGTCCGACGAGTCCTCCAAAATATCATTGGGATCCTGGAATTCGTCCCTCACACTTGTCCAGAGATTGTTCTCTAGATATCTCGACTTTCCATACTTTGTGACAAGCTTCCCATCGGCGTCCATAGTCGATCCGGGGCTGGAATTAGGTTCATCCTCCTTTGCAATGCCGATCGTAGGCCTCCTTAGAGCTCCCAATGCTTTCAACAAAGTCTCATAACGTCTCACCTTCTCCAGCAACTTGTCTCGCTCAACGGGGTACTCTCCTTGCGGTACAACGGCCTCATGAGCCTCATTGTCTGCAGCGGATCCTGTCTCGGTTGATGTTTCCTGATACCCCCGTTTTCTACGTTTGGCAGGAGGTGGCACACGATAGATACATTCAGCGCCCGCCTTGCGGCAATGGACGCAGGGATCAACGCGGTCGCATTTGACCTTACGGTGCTTGCACTGAAGACATGAGTATGGTTGAAGCAATGGCTCCGAAGGGGCCGCTGAAGACATCGGTGTCGAGGAGGGAGTGCGGTTGAGATGGCCGCCTGCCATGTCGCGGCCTACTTGCGGCATCGTGTCCATGTGTTCGATGGACTTCTGAGCGTTAGGGGCTATTGATTTTGAACGCGATACGCCGCAGTCAGGGACTCAAGCCGGGGCGGAATACCTCGGAGAGGTTGCCTTGCCACACGACAGTGCTAGATACTGTCGATTTGCAGCCTCGCGAACAGCGTTATGTCGTGGCCCACGGAAGATCCTTTGATAAGAAGATAGACAACGATTCCAAAACAATTGAATGCAGGAGGGGAGGAGAGGACTCTTGCAGCGGTCCCAAATGCTCGGGCCCGAAAGGAAACATGATGTCTCACGGCCGTGCTCAAATGCACGCGGACAGTGGTCGGCAGGTTTCCGAGGGTACGTGGATCATCCAGTCTCCCGCCTTACTCTCTTCGGGCCCGGCAGAGAAGGGCTAAAAGGAGCGGAGCATGTGTCAGTTGATTGACGGCATGGCATTGATGACATGAGGAGAGAAGACCTGGACGGTATGCATCAAACATATTTGTACAGTACAATGTACATCATAAAGTGCCAGAGCTAAAAGCGGCGTCGTTCCCATCTCAACGACTGCCAAGCCTTGCGTAGAAATCTTCATTTCTTGAGGGAAAAGACTGACTGGAGCATCATAGGAGGCGGAGGAGGATACTGAGTTGCTATTTGAGGATCTGGAAAGCGATATTGCGACAGCAAACACAAATTTCGCGAGTGACACGCGATGACTGGGGCACGAATAAAATTCCACCACTTCCAAGTCTTACAAGGCTGAATAAAAAAGGGAGTTCTCAGCCTCCAAGCCAGTATCTCTAACTACAACCTCGACCAGTGACGGTATCCGCTGGGTTATAGCTATTCCTGGTCAAAGATGGCACACACGAATCTCGCTCACCGTCGGACACACAATCTCCTTTTGATCTCCAAATTGCTCAATCAGCGCGACCATGCCAGTCCTTTCACCCTCGTCCTCGACACGCTAGAACAATCAGCCAACTGTTTGTTATGCGAGTATTTGCGTCGGTCGAGACTGTCTAAAACGAGTACGATCTTTCTGTCCTTGGAGACATTCTCTCAGCCGCGAAATGTGGATTACTTTATCGAATGCTACGGCGAGACACAAACCCCAGAGAGGATTGCCAGAGCGGTCACGGAGATTCTGGTCAAGGGTGGGAGTAGAAGTAAGTGTCGTGGCAGCCAAAGGTCGCACACCACCGTTGACCATTTGCAGGATATCTAATCATTATCGACGCGTTGACGACTTTGGCCTCGATATCCTCAGATCCGGCATCAAATTTGAACCTGACGACGTTCCTGTCGTCTTTGCTTCAACCACCTATTCCGAAACAAAGCCCACAACTTTCTCAAGATCCGCCACAAGTATCGCTAATAGCGGTTTATCATACTGACATACTATTGCCCGCAACACCATTATCGACAACTCCATACTCTCCATCACCGCTCTCACTTCTATCATATCTCGCCACCACGATCATCACTGTGCACTCGTTCTCCACCCTCCTCGCCGAGAAGGCAGCACACGCAAGATCGCTGGGCGCGCCGGTCTTTGGATTAGCCGAAAGTGTCGAAGGTGTCGTAGTCGGTCTGAAGCCTAGAACCACACTGAAAGCCGAAGAACGTGGCATCGTACTCGAGCTAGAGCACCGAAGGAAGAGCGGCCGTGGTGTGCTGGAGTGGTACTTTCTGCCCACGGCATCGAGGTCGCTGCAAGCATCTGCAGGATCTCAGGCGTTCCGAGAGATCGTCACATTGCTTGATGACCATCCGCTCTTTAGGAAGCCCAGGGATGAAGAAATTTCGGACCAAGAACTGTCAGGAATGACGTTCGAGCTCGGACTGACTGATCGACAGCGACTCGAGCGTGAAGGTGTCGTATTGCCGTACTTTGATGCGCAAAAGGCTGGCGGCGCAGGCGAAGGCGGGAGAATCTTGTATGATATGGGCGTTGAGGACGACTTTGACGAGGAGGAAGATGAAATATGATGACTCTCCCGATAGAACCTCTTCTCATGCCCAACGCTCCCAATTGTGTGTCCAAATGGCCTCTTCGAAACATGGGTATCATGTACGTGCTTTTTCGCCTCGGATCAAGTTTTTCAGAAGAACCTCCACCAGATGAAGATAATGATGAGCAGTCCAAGGCCAGCAAAGGGCCCGTACTGTTTCAACATCAACTCCCAATTTATTCGCACAGCCGCTTTTCTGTATTTCTTGCTATCTTCCCTTAAGCGGCCACTCATCTCGCCCATGCGCTCCAGGCTGTCTCCTCGATATAGCAGGTCCTCAATGTTCTTGGTCATGACTTTGGTCACATCTTTCAGCTCGTCATTCAATTTGTCCAGGTTCGCGCTTGCCCGACTGTCCTGATATAGCTTTTTCGTACGTTGAATGAATGTGTCAAACTCCACGAACGCGTAGGGCCGTAACGTCGAGGAGAGGTACTGCTGCGAAGGATAGATTGTCGTAAACTCCTGCGATAGATCGGAGAGGTAGGTGAAGGCAAGCTTCCGAGGATAGGATCGATCGCAGATACATAGGAAGCAGACTGAGTCCTTGATGATATAGCTGTCGCACTGTCAGCATGAGCAGCCACAGGAGTGGTGTCCTTACTGTAATGTGTACTGCCCCGACTCGATGCTAGCTTGCTGCTCTGAGTTCCTGTTGAGCCGTCTGAAGATCATTTTCGCCTGGGATTTGACCTCGGCCAGCTCTGTCTCGACCTGCGCAGTGTCAGTAACCCAGATTTCCAGCCCAATGCGGGCGGATCTTGGAGAATAGGCATACCTGCTCATCATCGACCGAAGCGGCCAGCATGAGGCCTGTTTCGCGCGTTCAATGTCAGTCTGTGTGTCTGAATAATACATCTGGACAATAGAGAGTGACAATACCATCTAGCCGCGCGATCTGAGTTGATTTGACCATTGTCGTTTGTGTTGTTTGCGTTCTATTCAATTCTATTCAGAGTGATTGACGCATGACTGTGAATAGTAAACAGAGTGACACGGTCAGGACACATTTTCTCCCATTATAAAAAGCCGCTAATTGCAATTTAACTTTCTTCCCGACTGTAACCGCTCTTCTCCCACACCGCCCATTCGCCAACAACTCTTTAGCACTCGGCTATCCTTCCTCACATACTCAACCCTAAACTCTTTCATCATGGCTCAGGACCCTAAGTAAGTACCTTATCTCATTAAATCAGCCCTCAATCCTGTTCTTCTTCTCAAAGGAGGACGACACAATGCCTTTGACGATGTCTACACGCGCTGCTCTTGCGGATCTTGCCCAAGGCAATGCGTACCTCTGCGCAGCTGTGAGCGGTCGCCATCTGATGCTTGTCGAGCATCTCACTGCCGGTTGGGTTTTGACGGCGACCGTACACAAGCGGCCAAGCGTCCAACAATGCCGACAGTCCACGACGCAAGGCCATCTCTCTTGAGGACCATGTTGTTCACGGTCGCTGTTTGTCGGTCAACGACGGACTGAAAACACCGCATGAGATCATGCTTGTGTCCAGATGCCATGGACTGATGTGGCACGCCCGTTGTACTTCTCTGCCATGATCTCGTTGGCCCAGGTCGCCGTTCGGGAAACAACAAGGCCCCGACCAGGCTTCAGAACCAGCCTCACATCCCATCCATCACTTGTTGACATCTCCCCTGCTGCAGTCATTCTCCCCACTTCCATCGCCTACTCAATTCTGGCAACTAACATACCCTTTCCTCTAGCAAACACAAACTCCACTTCTTGTCCCGCCCAGGCACTGATCCCCGGCCACAGCCCCGCATGTTCTTCAATGGTGACGAGCATGAGATCGTCGTGCAGGGAATCCCACGGAGAGTGCGCATGGTGTACGACGCCGATGGCGTGACCCCCCTGCACGATAATGCGAAGCGGGAGGCAATTGTGTTCGAAATTCACATGGGCAACAATGTTTGGCAGACACTCAATGGCACCGTCAATGGTCCCACGGACCTTCGCAACGAGGTTTACACACACATGGGTTTCGCTGCGCCAGCAGGTGCTCATGGGACATGGAGTCTGTTCACACTCATCCGTGGAGGAGTGCGCATGGGCAACTGGGCTCAAGAACGCCAGAATTGGCATAACCGAGTCTACGTTCCGTATCTTGCACAGTATGGTGCTCGTCCCGGTGTGCAGGGTCTTGGTCTTGGAAGTGGTGGTCGTGCCCGTGTTGGTGGCGGTGGAAATGCTGGCCGCGGCGGCGGTGGTGGTGGTGGTGTTGGTGGTGGTCCCGCTGTTGGTGGTGGTCCGGTCGCTGTCGCTGGTCGTGGTGGTCGTGGCGGCGGCAATGCTGGTCGTGGTGGTGGTGCTGCTGGTCGTGGTGGTGGTCGTGGCGGCGGCAATGCTGGTCGTGGTGGTGGTGCTGCTGGTCGTGGTGCTGGCCGTGGTGGTGGTCAAGGCGGCAATCCGTGACGATGAATCTTTCGAACGGGCCAAACCGGTGGAAATGCGTGTTTACTTGTCATCACAGCCATGAGCAGCCTGTTGCTCGGCTTGATAGTACCATATTGCAGAGTGGAGAAACGTCTCCGTGCGCCAGGTACATAGATCAAAGAAATGATCTTTCACACAAACACCCCCTTTTCTACAGCCTTGAAAGCATACGAAAGTACAGAGTGTCGGGTAGGCTGTATTGACTCGCCAGCATCGCCCTAGCATTGATAGTGATGGGTGACCATGCATGCGTGCAACAGCACGCTCACCGCCATGTTTGCAAGTGTGCTAGATGGCTTGAGCTGAGCAGCTTGTTCCTAAATTATGGCGAACAGGCGAAGCACGAAACCCAAAGAGAACTGAACCGATCTTGTGTAGAATACTCTTGCAGCATTGGCGCAGCACTGACGTCGTGCAACATCAGTCGCGGTGGTGCAGGTCACCGGTGTGGATGCACAAACGCCAGCCGGGGTTGTTTTCGCTAGCCACGTATGCTGTGTAACATGTAGGTTGTTACGTCGGGATTCTGGGACGTGCCGACGCCGATGAAACCGGGTGAAAGGAGGTCAAAGTCTACGACGATGATCTATTGACGTGCAGTCTGGAGACCGGCTCTTCAGAGAAAGCTACTGTATCCAGACTGGAGGACGCCCAGTAAAGCTGGACCTCAATGTCACGAAGAAGGGGAGAAAAGTGGCTATGGAGGTGGCGGAGCACTACTACGTCGTACATACTATGCAGGGCCTTTCTTGCTCTCCGCATGCATGCACGGTCCTTTCGGCGTGGGTGCCCCGGAGCGACTATACTGTCAGAATATCACCGAAGGCGTTCCGAGTCATGGAGAGTCGCATACACCCCCGGACGAGAAGGTGATGAGCTGGCAGATTCAGCATGCAGCTTGACCATTCTGTCAGCTGTCGAAGCGTGGCATCAGAAGGCTATAAAAGGCGGTGAAACGAGTCATGCAAGCAGCGAGGGAGATGATCATGGCAGTGTGGTCACTGCATTACATCGTAGGTCGTTGTATTCGTATGAAGAATCTCAGCCTCCATGCACCAGCAATCTATGTCCCAGTAGGTATCTATCATGACGCTGGATTTTCCGTTTCAAAAGAGATCGTCGTCACATATACCGTCCCAGCGGCCACAGCAATGCCCAAAGCAAGCAAAAGGTAGGTCAAACGCTCAAACCCATGTGCAAATATACTGAAAGGCTACCACTTGATGACCTTGGTAGGGAAATACTCGTCAATCAGCTCCATATAGTAAGGCTGTCGAACAGATTAGTACTTTGAATCACACCACATGAAGATCTGCAGACATACCTTGAGTTTCTCAACACTGGGCTTCTCGTCGCTCTTGCTGTACAAATCGTACGGGTTGAACCTTTTGACAGCCTTGAGCATTTCATGGTCCTTCTCCACCATGAAATCCCTGTATGCACCCTGCTGGTGCCACGGGTAGAAACTGTGGTATCGAATCATGGCGAGAGCTTCGTCGGGCAACTTTGACTGGTCCTTGACGACATGGTACAAGTATTCATCGTGACCCCAGGAGAGCATGATCTTGTCCATGCCGCAACCGGGTGAGTAGATGCCGTACTTTGAGCTGTAGACCGGGTCTTGGAAGTCAGAATTCTCGGAGAATGATTTGTTGCCGTAGATGATTTTGTCGTCAAAGGCGCAGCCAACAGGAAAAGTGTCACCAACTACGTCCCATTGGCCCTGGGCGTCGAAGAAGAACAGGAGCTTCCCCAGGTCATGGATCAAGCCGGTGAGTTGCATCCAGCGGGGTCTACCATCGCGACGCATGGCTTCAGCGGACTGGAGAAGGTGTTCAATCTGGCTGAGCTCGGTATCCGGGTCTGACTCATCGATCAGGGTGTTCAGACGCTCCATGGCTTCCCAAATGGTCATCTCGGCACGTGACTTGGTGTGGAAGTCGTTTCGAGCCTTGAGATTGTATGCTACAGTTTGCTTGGTGTGTTGTTCTTTGTAGAAGTTCTTGACTCTGTCACAAGCATTCTCGTATTGTCGAAACTGCGTCTTGTCTTTCTCAGCATCGAATTTGGAATTTCCGCCATCTTGTTCTTCCTCTGATTGGTTTCTCTGCTTGGTGGCTTGGTCTGCAAGGATGTCGGCGTGCTCAATCTCATCGCATAACGCTTCGAAAGCCAGACCGTCACGGTCGGTACGGAATTGCGCCGGGTGGGTGGGCTGTTGGGCTAGAATGCTGGCCATTGTGGTCGAAGACCAGATGTCGACGGGAGGAATGTAGTCTTAGTGGGAAGTGAAAGCAGCCTGATTGGGAATGGGACCTTATATCGAAGCTGAGAATCTCGAGACGATGAGTTCAGCAGGCGAAAAGATTGAATGGTAGATGCAGGGGCTGAGGAGGCAGGGTACGGGGGTTATTATACAGCACACATCTCACCTTATACGTCTGATCACAAACCAATGACCTACCTGGTAATGAATCATTTCAAAAATTCACATGGAATGGATATAATCGACTTGATACTACTTACCCCACAGTCTCAGGTTTGACGTGGACCGTGAGTTGAAGCGAGAGAAGACTTGAAAAGTTGGAAGTTGCCTAATCTGGAGGATGAGATTCGAGCTCCAAACTCTGTTAGACAGAGGATTCGGCACTAAGCTGATCATCGACCACGGGCCGCAACAATGTAATTTTGAGCCATGTGAGGAGGCACTGAATTGTTGCTGGTATGAAATCCGGTGGGAAAGGACTCATTGGTTCCCTGAACTGGCATCCTTGACATTACCAGGAGAGTGTTGCAGCACCTTGTCGACCTCGGTCGCTGTAACCAGATTTGCATTCGGCGAAAAGGCGCCAAATTCAGCGCTCTGTGTCAAGGACAATAAAGTCGGTGAGACAGATAGAGGTAAAATATGATTTATCGACCGTTGTTGTTGCAGGAGCATGCCGCATGAGATCAGGGGTTTGACAACCCCGGAGGATGGAATGCTGCAGTAGTTTCCATGCTGTGTAACAATTAAATGATACTGGAGGTGCATACGCGGTGGCCAGGGTAATGGATGGAGAACCAGTAACATGCCCTGTGTTTTCATGCTCAGAATAGCTGCATGAAACCGAAGTCCAGTGCTGTTTCTCGAGGAAAAGTGTTGACGGTGGACCATTGTTGTAAGAAGAGAAACTCCGTTGGAACTCTGAAGTCATCCAGAGCTCCGTGCTCGACCTGGAGGGCAAGTGGCACCGGTGAGAATTGCCAAATTGGGCCAGCCCGGAAATGCTGAGGCTGAGGCAAACTGAGGCTGTGGAGATGTTTGATCCGCTTGATGGACTGGATTCTGGATCTTGAAATGGCAAACCGGATGTTTGACATGATGCAGGTCAGGCTGTTTGCAGTACGGAGTATTCATTCACCGAAGAGTCCTCGGTCAACTCATTATGGTAGTGGTATATGTGTGGCTGACGTTGGTAAGTGGCCAGGTGATGTTTCAAGTGCATCAGACTGTAGGCTTTCGGAAAGTTGTTCCCTTTGTGAAAGAGCATGCATGCGCAAACAATGGCTTGGTTGATCGGAATATGTATTCCGTAGCATAATTGGCAGAATTTTATACAATTCCTGAGGTTGCTATCGGTTCGATTTGATGGCTGAAAGGTTCAATAACCGCCCGGCGTCTGATTCCCCGACAATTTTCATGCCCGCGCTGCGTCGGACGAGCATCGTCCCGCGTAGCGAATGATATAATCCTCAACAACACTGCGATCAAACAAAACTGCTTCAGCGACACTACGCGGGCGTACAGTCATATAAACTTGCTCACACGTCAGAGAACTCACAGCACCTCGAATTTTCCCCTAGCAATATGACGGACATCCATTTCAAGCTCAACTCAGGAGCCAGTATTCCCGCCCTGGGACTTGGTATGCTTTCGATTCCCTTGTGCTGGCAAATGCAGGGCTAACCCTCTGCAGGGACATGGCAGAGTCCCGAAGGCCAAGTCCGCGCTGCTGTCGCACATGCCATCAAATCAGGTTACCGACACATCGACTGCGCCTACGTCTATGGAAATGAGAAAGAGGTTGGTGACGGGATCAAAGAGGGTCTGGCTGCAACGGGCATCTCTCGAAGCGAGCTGTTCATTACCACAAAACTATGGTGCACATATCATACACGAGCAGAGAAGAACTTGGACATAAGCCTGGGACTCTTGGGCCTTGACTATGTCGACCTATACCTCATGCATTGGCCGATTGCCATGAACCCTGAAGGCAACCACGAGAAATTCCCCAAACTGGCCGATGGATCAAGAGACTTGATACGAGAAAGATCACATGTGGACACGTACAAGGACATGCAGAAGCTGCTAAAGACCGGAAAGGTCAAGGCTATCGGAGTTTGCAATTATTCCAAACGATTCCTGGAAGAATTGGTACCACAGGTGGACATTGTCCCTGCAGTCAATCAGATCGAGAACCACCCACTCCTCCCACAACAAGAGATCGTTGACTACTGTAAAGAGAAGGGTATTCACGTCACGGCATACAGTCCACTTGGGAGCACTGGCAGTCCGCTCATGAATGATCCCCATGTTGTCAAGCTGGCCGAACAGAAAGGAACAACACCGGGCTGTATATTGTTGAGCTACCACATCGCGGAGGGAAGGTCAGTACTGGCGAAGTCCGTCACGCCATCTCGAATCGACGAAAACAAGCACATCGTTAAGCTGGAGGACAGCGATCTTGCATCCCTGGCGGACATCCACAAGAACGGCGTAACTCGATTCGTTTATCCCGAGTTCGGCGTCGACTTTGGCTTCCCAGACAAGTCGTGATGCTCAACATAGAAACGCCTGGTTAGACTCTTGAGCATAGCGACTGGAGTGGGAGGACCTCAAAAAGACAATGTATGAGTATGAGTTTTATGACGGTCGACTACCTTGCATCGTAGTCGTCTCGAATACGTAGAAGGCGTCATCATGGTGGCTATCGTAGCATTGCAAGACGTTGAGCCCCACGATCTTCTGGTCACCATCGTATGCTATCGTCTTGCTATAAGTGGTCGTCGCCTCGTACACATCACGCTTTACCTTGACGATGTGATGCTGAAATCAACCGCACACAAGGGACAGAGGGTAAGACGATGCAAAAAGCGCGCACCGTATGGTCATCGAGGAGGTTCGGGGATGGAAAAGTAAACAATTTCAAGCATGATTCATGTTTTTGACGCTAGTACTAAATCACTAGTCATGCAGCTCATTGGCTGCTTAGTAATATTATCATCCAATCGGAGGCCACTATTTCACAAGCACTGAAACCTCAATTTCACTTCACAATTCACTCTTCGGTCTTCTTGGCCTTCTTTTTTGGCTGCTGTGCAGCAGCCCGCTCTGCAGGCGTCTTCTTGTACACATCTGCCAAGTACTCTGTGCCATCGGTCTTGATTCCAGCTGCCATGCGACGACGAGCATTGAACTGCTTGCGGTCCTGGACCTCTGTAGGTCGTGTCATCACCACGAGCAATGTACCAGGACAGGCGCTGCATGTTTCTGACTTGGGCCGGTTCATAATCCTTCACAGTCCTCCTGGTCAGACGCAACTCAGGGTGCTTCTCGAGGTAGTGCTCCCTCAAGCGGTTCTCTCTGATGAAGGCGTGATAGCAGATGTGACAGGCCCATGGGTCTGGCTCATCGGCGACAGTGGGAAGCTTGCGCTTGAAGTTCTTTGGGATGGCAGGATCATTGAGAGCCGCGGTGACGTCGACTTCCTGTGCCGTAGAGGCCAAAAGCACAGCGGTTGCACTGGGATAATGGCCATGTGTGTCCTTGACGGGACCAGCGTCGTTGACTTCTTCATCAGCATCGTCGCCGTCGTCAGCAGAAGCCTTGCGCTTTCCTCGAGGCTTTGGCAGGCGGCGAGCCGGAAGATTGTTGGTATCGCCAGTGTCTGCAGCTGAGGTCGAGTCGTCATTGTCAGCAGGGACATCTGGGACATCGTCCATCTCCTCATCGAATCGAGCTCGACGACCTGGACGAGTGTACAAGGTGCTCATTGGGTCATCATCAACAGAGACTGGACCTGGGTCACCAACACCGACTGGACCGAAGTCATATGCGTCGGCGGGAACTGCGTAGTGTGAAGCGCCATTGTCGTCAAGACCGTGGATATCCACCTCTTCACCATTTTCGGAAACAATGTTTTGAGATGCACCACTTGGCGTGACATTGCCATAGTCATATGTGATGCCGAGACCAACATTACCAGCCGGATTGGCCAATGAGTATGGCAGATCCTCTTCAGCTGAGAAGTCGAAGTCACCGATGTTGAAGGACTCATCAAAGCCGTGGAAAGTCGGCATCACGCCTACGGCCCCTCCTGCATCCATGTCAACAACTTGCCGGTAAGGAACAGGATGCGGCTCAGCAACGTTGAAACTGAAAGGTTCCAGCTCTGGGTAGGTGGTATCATCGGATTGTACAGTGGGAAACGGTCCAGCAGCAAAAGGAGTAGGATCCAGATAGCCAACTTGAGCAGGTGGATGAGACTCTGCAATCGAAAAGTCAGAAAGGAAAGGCGTTTTCAATTCAACAAACTTACCCGATCCTGCCACCCCATACGATCCAGCATCCACAACGAAACCATATTGAGGAAGTGATCCCACAGTCGTTCCAGCTCCAGACATATATCCTGCTGAATTATCCACCATCCCAACGTTTGCAGCTCCCTGTGGTTGTCCCATACCGTCGGCCGCACCAGGTACGCCACTGTCCAGAGAACAACCACCACCAGCCATATCGTACATAGCAGTTGCACGAACATGAAGGTCGCCAAAGTCGGTAGCTTCAAGTGCGTGAAGTGCCAAATGCTCTTGATCTCCAGAACCACCTGCAAACGGGTGGTCACTGTACGCGTCGAAAGTGATAGCGTTGTTGTTTGGCGCAAGGAGCGAGTCGTCAAAGTAGTTGTTGTTGGTCTCGAAATGCGTCAGTGGCTGTAACAAGAGATTGAGATTTTGGTGATCAGTTACCAAGTCATCCTCGTTTTCTGGCCAGGTGAGGTCTGAAAAGGCGAGGAGATTGTTGGTTGTCATCGCCGAGCCTTGCGGCCAAGCCAGACGCGGGTCATCGTCGCCCATCTGGTGATTCTCATTTGCCGACATGGTGGCTTGGACCCGCGCGGACAACGAGGGTGTGTCGATAAAACCGTGCTAAGGGGGTTGGCCTTGTGCCACAAAAGAGGAGCGTTTACAACGACAGCGCCGACAACAGATATCGTCGTCGACGCGAGAAACAGTGGTGTTACAATCGTGTTGTTGTACACTTGAGATAAAGTGAGTCTGAAGGTGAGATTTCATTTTGGCCAAATGCCAAAAGTCGCAGCTGTGCCTTTGTGAAGGCGGCATGCAGTGGTTTACGCGCTAGTGAGGACGGTGAGGCAGTATGCTGGACTGTGACATGAACGAGAAGTGCAATGTGCATGTTTGCTTTCTTTCTGCACAGTTGAGAATCTGCTGGTTCACTGCACAGTCCAAGATCGATACGACCGGCTTCCCCATCAGAGCAGCGAGACGGCCAGAGACAGATTGAATTCTCCAGGGCGTGAAGGTTATGGATGAGATGAAGAAGATCTCGTACATCTGACGGTAAGTCGTCGAATTGACCACTCGGTATGCTGGGTTGGTGCATGTTTGGCAAAGACCGAGGAGTTGACTGCATATCAACAACGAAACATGAAAGAAGATGACAAAGGAGACCAAAGCAGGCCAGATCAAAGAGATGTATATATCTCCGCCAACGTCCAGACCATGATATCACAGCTGGCGTTGCCGTCGACAGCCCTTGGTGTCCAACTTATGTGAAGACAGCCGGCAGTTCGCGGTGAAGTCATGAATTTTCACCACCTGAAGAGTAAGTTGGTTAAGCCTCATGGGAAAGGGAAGGGACATGTCGGCGATGAAGTCTGCTTACAGTTCTCCCCCATTCCCACAGAACGGCTCAATGAAGTAGGCAGTGTCTTCTCGCCAGCCAATAGTGACCCAAAAGATAGGTGCTACACCGAGAACTATGCTGAAACCATTAGGGAAGTGTTGAGAAAATATTGCACTGCTGAAGATACGCACCCGAGAGCACCAAGACTATGGCCTACAGAATCGATATTTGTCCAAGGTTGGGAAGCCCTCAGCTTCCTCTTCGGAATCGTCCTACAAACTCCAACAAACGTCTTTTTATGAGATGTCATCACATCCCTAGAGAAGCCGATGATCTACGACGGTCTCATCTTGGTTGTAACGTAACAGCAGTGTGGCCAGGAGATCCTCATCCAAGAATGCGCCAGAAACCTCCTCATCACGAGCGGCTTCCTGAGCAACAGCGACCTCTGGAACACCGACGGTCTCTTCAACGACAGCAACCTTCTCCTCACCACCAGGGACTTTCCGAGCATCGGCAGGTGCCTGAGCCCGAGTGACCACCTCAGCAACAGCGAGCTCCTTAAAACCTACAGCATCTTGCACAGAAGCGAGCTCCGGCACAGCATCTACATGCTGAGTCTCTGCTGTCGGACGCCTTCTGCTCGCTTTCTTCCTTCCAGCATGGTCCGCCTCGCCGTCCTCCTTGCCGCCCTTATGCTTGCCTGCTTGGCTGGCCGTCTTCCGTCTCTGCCGTACAATTTTACCGGGTCTGATTGGTCTGTCTAAGGCATATTCAATCGTGGCTGGCCGAATATCTGTCCTTCGAATCTCCTCCACAGCCTCGACGACAGCCTCATTGTCTGGCGTGGCCTGGAGGATCTCCATGTCCGGTTCAGGCATTGAGCTGGTGGGCCGTGGGGCTAATTGCGGAAACAGGGACGGGAAAGACCTTGTAGGTGATGCCAGTGGTGGCGGACCTTTACAAGGTGGTGGCGTCGTCGGGAACGCTGCCCAGTCCGAAGCGACGGGAGCGCCCACAAACCCCGGTGATGGAGGCGGCTGCTGGTGAGAGAGGGGCAGGCCAGGTATCGAAGATGCTTCCAGCACCATGGTATAACCTGACTCTGGCGGCAGTGGAAGAGACGATCTCTGGGGCATCATGGAGACGTAGGCAGTCCCCCATGGTGGAGGCGGTGGCTGGCGAGGCATTGGCTGCGCCATACAGCCTGAATGAGGCATCTCCCATGGTGCTTGACTTTGATATCCTCCGCTGAAGTACTGAGGGAAAGTCGCATTGCCAGGATGTGACACCTGGCTCGCGACTCCAACGGGATGAACGAATGTGCCCGGTGAGTAAGTGACCGGCATCTGTGTCGCTGGTCGGTATGTGGTCGGCGTTCCAATCTGCCATGGTGGCATGGCTGTGGCAGGAAGTCGACAGGGACACAGCATCTCCACTTGTGGTGGTAGCTCTTGCAGCCAGCGCCGCACCTTTACAACCGTTGCATAGTATTGAAGCTTGGGATCCAGCGGTGGGTTTTGAGAACCAAGCTCATCGTGTGATGGGCATCCCATGGACGGTCCGATGGAAACCGTATTGCCATTTCTCAAAGCCCGGTTGAAAGTGGGTTGTGGGTCCCTCTGCGGCACGTCGTCCCCGTATATAGACTTGTTAGGGGTGTTCGACATGACGAGAACAGTGAGTGGAAGGATGTCTATGGTAAACCAGGTGAGTGAGGTACAAGGAGGGTCGTACCTCAAGATATGAACAAAGAGCACACTGACAGTAAGATGTACATGAGGGACGCTGTGCTATGGCAGGTCCTCAGGAGCGAGGGTCTGCAAAGACTGCTTGTTGGACGTGTACATCCGGGTGAGAATGCATGAATGTTTATCGACTTACTTATATTGGTGCGAGGTCCTCACGGCGAAAAGGTCTGCACCAGATCTACGGTCATCTTCAAGCAGTTCTGAGTCAGAAGTCTGGTATACATCAGGGATATGAGGGCCTGTGGGGAAGACAAAGAAATGGTCTTGAAGGACTAAGAAGTCCTTTGTGTCTGGGTGAGGACCTCATTGTGTTTGGTCGAGACCTGCGCCACCATGTCGATGAGGTCAAAGATATGCACGCCAGGCCTTTGTTGGTGAGACCCGGCACAAAGACTGGCCGTAGGTCCAGGCAAAGACTTCACATGGCTGGGTGAGGACCTGTGGACCAGATCCTTGAATCTTTGATATGAGGAGATGGACAGCACACATGAACGAGACCTGGAGACACGGACTCCTGGAAGCATGAGCTGAACACTACACGAGGCTTGTTGATGAGAGTCATAACAGGAACGGGTCTCGCAGGTCGGCAGACAACACTACTCTATGGCTGGACGAAGGCAACGAGTCAGTCGACATTGTCCCAAAGCACGACCCAGCATCAGGAGCAGGGGAGGTAGACTCGGCAGGAATTACTGGTGTTCTCTTGTGAGTTTACATTTTTCCCGAAGACCTCACTCGGCTACACTCATTATTTGCACTCATTATTTGCATTCCCACTGCCCGCCTCTCCATGACCTTGACAGCCACGAATAATACTCATATCTATGGACTAAGCTTCAGAATCTTGATCTTTTGCCCCTATTTCATCTGCAACTTGCCAAATCTCAAGACACCGAGGACTTGAGACATAGCATCTCGAGCTTTAGATAATAGTGGGCAAAGTGTTCATCACTGGCCTATTAAATTCCTGATGCTGTACTTTAATGTGGTCGAGAGCACGAAAATACAGCTGACGCCAAGCTCACAACAAAATACTTCTATCATTCCCATATCTGGAGAGAAAAAGAGAAAGAGAGCAGAAAGCAGAACTTTTATACCTAAGGCAGGCTACTGTACCAAACACTTGCAGAACCATGTCGAAGTGCAGCTCCGGCGCCACAACCCATGCCCACTGCACCCACTATCTCACTCCCACTGAAAAGGACTTTTGTCATACCAAAGCAGACTTTTGTGAGACCTTGCCTCCCCCCCGTTCAGATCACTCGACCAGCACCAATTTTCAAGCGTAGCATCGTTCCATCTCCGCCAGAGTATCCTCAAACTCGCTCCAATCCCACAGTATTCCCTGACATCCTGCATCGATCAAACGCTCCATCATCTCACATCTCTTCATGTCTGTATGGTACGCCCCCACATATCCGATCGTAGGAATCCCCGCCTGCACAGCAGCACGACATCCGGAGATACTGTCTTCGATGGCGACACATTCTTTCGGACCTGCACCCAGTCGTTCCATGGCGTAAAGATAGATCGCAGGATTCGGTTTGGCAGTCGGACAGGGCAGCGAACTTGCAGCGGAAAAAACATGGTTTGGGTCCAAGAAGTTGTCGTGACCTGTTTTAGCCAGGGAAGCGCGGATCCGGCCGATAGCGGAAGACGAGACGACAGCGAGGGTGTATCTGCTGTCATGCTGGAGTCGTTCGAAGACTTCAAGACTGCCATCAGTCGGTCTGCCCTGCTCCGTGAACTGCGCGATCACTCTTTCTTCTTCCATCTTGACGTAGGCTTTCAGCTCCTCGGGAGCGAGACTGAATCCATATTGTTGTTGTAAGCTCACGATGATGCTGCGGAAGGTGTGGCCAATGAAGTTTGCGATCAGGGTTTCTGGAGTGAAGCGTTCGGGCACACCCTTCGTCGCGAGGATCTGGTTGACGAGATCGGCACAGCCTTCGACAGCGAGATCCTCGGACAGGACGAGTGTGTTGTCGCAGTCGAAGAAGATGAACTTGGGAGGCATGGTGTCGCCGACTAGTGCTGTGTCCGTATGAGATGTGGGGTTGATGTCAGACAAAGGAGTGGAGAGAGAAAGAAAGAAGTAGGAGAATCAGGTCGCGGATAATGAGGATCTGGGGGCAGTGGCATGTGCATCTTGAGACAGGGCTTAAGTAGCATTGTTAGATTTAGTGACGGCATCAGCGTGAAGAAAACCATTTTCGTCACTTCGTTCACGAACCTTTAGCTGTGAAGGCCGAAGTGTGACGTGAATACTCGGTTTGAAAAAAGGCAGTGTGGTTGTCTTGCTTTGTGTCACAAGGCTGGACAAGGCTGAGGTTCGAATGACTGCTGAGAGAACTCTTCTCAATTTTGTGTCCATCTCAAGTTAACTTTTAGTACTGTGGTAGAAACAGAAATCTCAAACACCCATCACCATGTCAGCAGATGCGGAGATATCGAGGTATGGCTTCACATCTTCAGGTTTGCCAACTTCCTGTGGCAAGGGAATCAGATCGGTGAACGGCTTCTCGGTGTCAACCAGCTTGCCCACGACTTCAAGCACAAGAGAGCTCTTCTTGTCATCTTCCCTTTGCCTCCTCCAGTCATGGTATATGTTCCACCACCACTGATGTGTTTCGCCATCTCGTCCCAGGTGGCCCGCAACTCCGTCCTGACCGACTTGTCGCTCCCATGGTTTGTCAACAATATAGTGAAGGACGACGAGCTTTTCATCTGACCAGATCCGAGGATGCCAGTATCTCATTGTTTTGAGAGCATTGTATTGCCATGACAAAGGGTACCACTTGTTCCGGTAGAAGTCCGCCAGAAAATCCTGGTCAGGGAATTGGTATGTCTTCAACCGATCAGTAGTGTTGAAAAAGTCGAGCATTTTGTCCCATAGCTCCTCACTCGGGTAGAACAACAGCATGCCACTGTTGAGTAGATGGTAGGTTGGTCGGCTTTGAGGAGTCATTGGTTTTGCGACTTCATCGGGATTGTTCAGAGGTGTGTAGGCACAGTTCCCTTTGTGCCATTCTGTCGGCGCCCAGGAGTCGTGATCCAGGTTGCAGACACACGCATGATTCGCACCTAGCCAGTCCCGGCCCGGTAGTTTGGATTCAAGGAGTTCGTCCGGGTTGTTGAACACAGCCATGTCAGCGTCCAAGAATCCTACCCTGGTGAAGCCCAACTTGTAGAGTTCAAAGGCCCGAAGCTTGGTGAAGGTGTCTTTGAATCGCTCGGCAACACTGCCAGTATTCTCCTGGTCCTTCCTGGGCAACAAGAGCTCGACTTTCTGGAGTTGAATGCGACCATAGTTCCGGCTTTCTTCCTCAAGAGCTTTGACTGCTTCATCCCCTAGTGTTGAGGTGTACTGTATCAGTAACGGGTATTTTGACTGGTGTTGCTCCAGACTATGTGCGAGGATGATAGCCCCTGGTAGGTACGATGGTTTGGTCACCAATGTCACCCAGCAGGACTTTTCAGCATCTGCAGCTCCACTCGCGTCACCCATGATTGCTGGAAGTCAGAATGGTAGAGATCAAGTCACGAAAACACCGTATGGAAAAGTCAAAACTCATATTGCTTTTGAAGAACTTGAGCTGCCAGTGCCGCGGTGCTCGTAAACAAGTCATGGCGTCATCGACGCCCATGGCACTGGCTCGTGGTTTTATAAGCCGCGGCAGGCGTTTTCTGAATGCAGACATATCATCAGCCAGACCTACCGTATGCTCCTCGACTACGTTGGTGGATGTGATACGTAGGGCATGCACACGATGATAGCAAAGCATCAATCTCTCCAGGTAAAGAAGCGAAATCCGACTATGTGGTGGACGCGCCTTTGCGGGTTATCGACGTGATAAAGAATGGCTTATTGTGATTGGCGGACGGCCGCTTGTTCCTCCGTCGACCGCTTTCTCTCCAAAGACCGAGACCCTGATTCTCCTTTGTTGACATTTGACACTCACTCGCTCAATGCAATGCATGCAACAAGCGCTGACTCTCAATCTCCGTTATGACCTAAGTTGTCTCTATCTTACCAAACGCCCCGACTCTCCCTCGTTCCATTCCATTTACGAGCACATCAAACACTCGGACCCTCCGTCAAGATTGTACATTTTGGATACCCTCATACGAGTACCTTTTTGATCGACCGCACATACCACCACCACCAGTATACTGCATATCATTACTCCGCAGCCTTTGTCCTTGCGTCCTTGCGACCTGCGCCCCACCACAAATGACATGCAGCCATGGTGCTGCTGGAAAAGCAATGGGTGAATGTGCAAGAGAAGACATTCACAAAATGGTAATTTCCCACCAACACTCTCCAAGATGATACTGATTTCGACAGGCTCAACAATAAAATCTCCGCTCGAGAACTCGCCGTTAAGAACCTCGTCACCGACCTCTCCGACGGCATCGTCCTCATACATCTCCTTGAAGTCCTCAGCAGCGAGTCCCTTGGACGATATGCGTCTAATCCGCGATTGCGGGTGCAGAGATTTGAGAATGTCAACAAGTCGTTGGAGTTTATCAAGAGCCGGGGCATTCAGATGACCAATATTGGCGCTGAAGATGTCGTCGATGGAAACAGAAAGATCATACTCGGTCTGATATGGACTCTCATTCTCAGATTCACAATCTCGGACATCAACGAGGAGGGCATGACCGCGAAGGAAGGTCTGCTGTTGTGGTGTCAGCGAAAAACAGCATGCTATGAAGGAGTCGAAGTACGAGACTTTTCCTCCTCATGGAATGATGGACTGGCATTCTGTGCTCTTCTCGACATTCACCGACCTGATTTGATCGACTTTGATACCTTGGATAAATCCGACCATAAAGGAAATATGCAATTAGCATTCGATATCGCATCCAAGGAAATAGGCATCCCCGACCTCCTCGACGTGGAAGATGTCGCCGATGTACCCAGACCCGACGAGAGATCGCTTATGACGTACATTGCATATTGGTTTCACGCATTTAGCGCTATGGAGAGAGTGGAAAATGCTGGAAGACGGGTGGAAAAGTTCGTCAGCAACATGCAGGGAGCGTGGGAGATGGAAACGGCATACGAAAAGAGAATTCGTGCGCTTCTTCAACAGATCCGGCAACAGCGACAGTCATGGCATGACTCGAGGTTTGAGGGGACGTATGCCGACGCAAAGGCGCAGGCGAATGAATTGGCCAGCTTCAAGAGGAACCAGAAGAGAAAGTGGGTGGCTGAGAAGTCGGACCTTGCCGCTATGTTGGGCAACATCAAGACCAAACTTTTGACATACCGTTTGCGGCCATACGAGCCTCCTGCAGAACTTCGACTGGAAGTCCTCGACCATGAGTGGGCGGCTTTGGGTACCGATGAGCATGCGCGAAGCAAGTCGATCAACGAAACAATTCGAGACATCAAGAATGCCTTAAGGAGAGGATTCGCCGACAAAGCCAACGACTTTGCGTTGACTCTCAATACTCTTTCTCTGGCCATATCTGGATTGGAAGGAGATGTGGAAGACCAACTTCAGCACGCCCAGCGACTTTCGGCTAACCTGGCACCACTCGAGCAATACCTGACAGGAATAGCCATCCTGGACGAGAAGTGTCAAGAAGCCAACATTGATGAAAATGATTACACCACGTATACCTACGACGAGTTGTTGTACGAGTTGAGCTTGGTCAAGACGAGTGTGCAAAAGAAGTTGACCTTCCTTGAGAACCAGATGGTGGCCCGAAACATGACGAACCTCACGCCTATCCAGCTTGAAGAGTTTGAGTCGGTATTTCGACACTTTGACCGAGAAGGCACGAACACTCTTTCCGAACTCGAATTCAGTGCGGCATTGGCCAGTTTAGGACTTGTGTATGACGAGCAAGAGATGCATGACAAGTACCTCGAAGTATGTCTTACTGGTATTGATCCGTCAATGTCGCCAATCTCTCGCCGACAAAGGGAAAGTCGTGGAGTCGGGTTCGAGCAGTTTATTCGGTTCATGGTTTCTGTGACCGAAGATCAAAACAGCGCCGAACAAGTGTTCCAGTCCTTCCGAGAAGTGGCGGATGGGAAACCATATGTGACCGAGATGGACCTCAGACATTCTCTGATCCCTGACGAATTGATCGAGGATCTATTGAACAGTATGCCGGAGCACAAAGGGCCAGACATGGAAGCCGATCGAGATACTCCCAAGTATGATTATATCTCCTTCATGCAGGGTATTGCAGGCGATGGACAGAACGACACAAACAGCAACGATGGCAAAAGCAGTCCGACCAACGGTGTCAAGACACCCACGACGCCAAAGAGATGATACAGTATTTGATTTTCTCCACAGTAACCTCGGTTAATATTGAACAAGCAAGCGTACATGGGTCTTGTTGGGTATTCTGTCTGGGAGTCTTCAACTTCACAGGACTGGCTTGGATCGAGATAAAGATATCATGATGAGCGTACAGGCCTCTTGCATGAGAAAATAGGATACCCGGTTTGTGCTAATATGGGCACCAGCGAGAACTACGACTTTTGAGCCCGCTGAAGATAATAATCAGCGAACAATTGGTATTAATATATACTCAATAAGTCTTTCGAAGTCCAAACAATCTCGTCAATCATGGTCTTGATATGTGCTGCACAGCGTCAAGCTGGGATCTCAGCCTTGGTACCATTCGCATCAAACATCGAAGCGACCTTTAGGTAAGTTTCATCTTCCTTAAGGTTATGCACATATATTGCGTCACTGATGACCCGATGTGCCCATGCCGATACGTCCTCGTTTTTTTCATCATAATCAAAAGCCAGCGGGTGGTGCAGGATGGTGAATTCAAAGTCCTCATGGGCCTCGTATAACAGTCTTCCATTGAGGACGTCTTCATGCTCGTCCTGGATGGGATTCTCCTCGTACAGCTCAACCAGGGTGCAGACCAGTTCCCAAGAGAAAGAGTAGAAGCCACCTTGCGGGTAATTGTAGACAGGATCCGGGTGTGTATATACCCGTGCGATCGCCACTCTGTCGTTGAAGGAGCCGTCATCCTCCAGTCGCGGCAAGATATATGAGTGGTAGAAACTTGCCCAGATTGACGAATGAGTCGTCGTCCGCCTTCGAGGCAAACTTCCATGTCGTTGACCCGTTGTTCACCAGGTATTTCATAAACTCGATCGGCTTGATCGTGTTTGCGATATGACGTGTTTCTTCCAGAGCGGGTAACATGATCATATCTCCGTAGGTAGCGTTTTCATGCTGGATGAGTGGCATCCAGAGCTCGCCCGGGTCGGAAATGACGAATCTCGTGGTGACACCACGGAGAGGGAAGAGCTTTTGCCAGGTTGCCCGAATGATGTTTCGTCGCCGCTGGCTGTGGGCGGCTGACACTGTTGCCACCTACCAGTCTGATTCAGGCTTCTGTAGGATTTGTTGCTTTCGATTGTGCAATGCAGAGGGAATATCGTCAAGGGCAAGAGAGACGGGGTAGAAGAGTAAGGAGAGGAGGAGTATGCTTGCTACTGCAACACCTCCGTAAAGACAAAGATGGCTCCGCGAAAGGTTGGTTCTCATGACGTTCGTACAACGCGGCCACTTTGTTGGGTATCATGCACGGCAGCAAGACACAGCAAGATACAGCAAGATACAGTAAGAGGGAAGTGTAGGTATTCAGGAGCAGACATATTGCATTTGTCGCATCTTTTTAAGGGCGACCTAGCACATACCTTAACAACGCATAGATGAGTCTCAAGGGGGAGCTTTGCAAGGAGGGATATCCCTCTCCGACAGCCAACACTGCCCTTGTGGTTTTCACCCCTTACCCACCGTCATGCCCCATCAAACCTGCTGGATCGCTTCTCGCGATCACTCAATGGACGGTTGGACACTGTCGTCTGGGTAATCGTATGCTGTGGGAGACGAAGGCCGAGGAACACGAGAGGCGGTCGAGGTTACGGGATTCGAGCATGGGCGAGATGAGCAGGTGGGAAGGCGCGTATATCAAGAAAACCTTCGTCAGAAATGTCCTCTGGAGAATCCCGTTCGAGGTAATTCAGCAGGATACTGACTACGGCACCCCGACGCCATGTTGAGACGTAGATAGGTGACGAAGACAAAGGTAAAATGTTAGACGTAGTTCGGCAAGCTGAGTTCTCGCTTTTTCAGGCTTACTCATCCAGTCTCACCTTTCACCTCCGCATATCTGTGTCCCACCTTTCTTCCCCCAGAAAGTTGGCCCCCATTATCGACGTTTCCGCCTCGGTACTTTCTACTGCGGCTTCGGTTACATACTTCGAAACTACATCCGAGGTGCTTAGTCCATCAATGGTACATCTCAAGTACTCAGTCATGGCCCGACTACGGCGCAGATTGTCGCATGAAACTCATGTCACTCATCCATTGAGTGTCTGCAGGGTTGTTGCCTGTCATGCCTCGAAAGACGACTTACCTGCCCACCAAGGACTATGAAATACCAGACATCGATCTCTTGACGTTGATCTACGGTACATTTTACACACTTGATCAGTCGCTCGGATACCGCTGACTGTTCTACAGAATCGCGAGAATCATGGACCACTGATTCCACTGTCCTCCACGCCGAAGCCGCCCAGCCTACGAACTGCATAACCAAAGGCCAGGCCCGTGACTACACCAAGAGGATAGCCTACCGCCTTAGAAACACGTACGGCATTGGAGCTAATGGGTCGGGAAAAGATGTCGTCGTCTGCATATCCTCCGGCCAGGTCCTCCTTTCCACCATCTTCTTCGGAGTCATCGCCGCAGCCGGTATATACTCAGCTGCGAGTTCAAGTTTCACACACCCCGAGCTGGCCAGACAGATCAAGCAAGGCAAGAGTCGGTTGATCATCGCCAGTCCCGATTGCAAAGATGTCGCGATCAAGGCCGCTCAAGAATGCGGAGTGCCATTGGAAAGGGTGCTTATCCTCGACAGTATGGGCGGGAACAGGATATTGCAAGATGTGCAGAAAACCGGACCGAACTTGATCGAGGGCGCAGGCAGGCCGCAAGAGATGCTGAATTGGGAAGCCATCACGGACAAGAAGACACTGGAAGAGAAGGTCATCTGTCTGCTTTACAGCAGCGGTACCACTGGTGCGCCGAAAGGAGTTAACCTCTCTCACGCAAACATCGTTTCCGAATCTCTGATTCCGCAGTACATGGTGCGTGAATACTTTGTGCGACAGCGACGGCGCGATCCGAATTTCAGATTCGAGTACCGCACCCTTGCGCACTTGCCGGCCGCCCACATCGCAGGCTGTCAGGGATACTTCGTCAATCCAGCCGTGGCGGGTGGATCAGTGTTCTGGATGCCGAAATTCGACTTTGCCAAATTCCTCGAGTACAACAAGAAATTCCGCATCACGACGTTCTTCACCGTCCCGCCGATATATCTGCTCGTTGCGAAAAGTCCGCTCGTGACGGACCAGTTCGAAAGTATGCACCACGCAATTACTGGCGCAGCACCAATGGGCGCGGAACTACAAAGTCTCGCCGAACAGAAGATGGGATGCCACATCAGCCAAACATGGGGACTGAGCGAGTCCACAGGAAGCGTGACGGGGATGCCCTGGGACGAGGACGATAACGGTACGGGCTCGGTGTCGCCTTTGTTGCCGAATACTAGGATGCGCATTGTCGATGACGACGAGGTCGATGTCGAAGAGGGCATGGAGGGCGAGTTCATCTTGCAAGGCCCCATGATCTCGAAGGGATATTGGGACAATGAGAAGGCCACGCGGGAGAGTTTTACCAAGGATGGCTTATGGTTCAAGACGGGAGACGTGGGACTCGTTAGGAACGGAAGATTTTATGTCGTGGATCGGAAGAAGGTGACTTTGCATGACCACCTACAGACTATCACAGCCTTGACTGACCATGTGCCACTACAGGAATTAATCAAGTACAAAGGCCTCCAAGTCGCGCCTGCCGAGCTTGAAGCACTATTGTTGAGCCACGAGCTTATTCTGGACGCTGCCGTCATTGGCGTGTCTGACCCAGACGGTTCCGGCAATGAATTGCCGCGGGCATATGTCGTGGCTGATCGAGCTAAGATCTCGGCAGACCAGATCAAGGATTTTGTCCGGAAGAAGCTGGCCCAGCATAAACAGCTGCGTGGTGGTGTGGTGTATCTTGATGCTGTTCCTAAGAGTCCCTCGGGCAAGATACTGAGGAGGGAATTAAGGGATATGGTCAAGAGGGAGACACCGGGACAGGGTGCTAAGCTGTAATGTCTTAGACATGAGCTTTGGAGTCGTCCTAGATGATGCTGATGGGATACAAGGGACGCAATAGAGAGGTTTCAGTCCACAACGGTTGGATGTCTGTAGTAGAGTAGAAGCTCGGCTAGAATCCTCGATACCGAAGTTATTCCCAGATAGGAAGAGAGTGGGACCTAACGAAGACCTGACCTAATTTTTCCATCCCATCATCCTCCGCTGCTGTTGTCATTTGTCGACCTTCATGAACAGCTTAAGAGAGACAACATGTGTAAGGGAACGAACATATCGAGCTGCCGAAAAAGCTGGGCGATTGCTCTCAGGCATGGATTCCCAGAATGGCAAGAGCAGATGAGCTGCGAGAAGTACTTTTGCTGTGCCACTAGTTTGCGAAACATCCCCTCGGCATCTTCAGCTGCCAAGCGCCGTATCTTGATCGACTGAGGAGTTGCTGGTCGTACGCCTTGGCTGGCTTGGTTCTGTTAAAGTTAGTCGAGATGTCAACACGAGGTAGAAGAGGCATATTATATAGCAACCCAAGATTTCAACCTGCTTACAAGACAGTCTTCCTTACGAGATAACAGGCAATCAGCTAATTCCACTCAGACTTTTAGGCGATAGCTCTCAAGAAAACCCAAGCACAAGAGCGAGGGCATCAATCTAGATGTTCAAGACGACCCTGGATGAGAGGCGGCAGTCACGGCACGACTCGTGTTCATGGCGAAGGTCTAGTATGTTGTAGAGCCTAGGCCTCTCGTACTCGCGTTGGCAAAGCCTCAATTACGTGAAACTCCTGTCATTTGTCACTGGGCCCATTTCTTCAACGTGTCTGTCTTAATGGGATGCGAGAGGCAAGCCCAATCGCCAGGTACAGGCCAGCGGACAGGAGTCAAGACTGGGCTCTTACAGAAACATAAAATCCTCGAGGTTCTGCTGTCAAGTCGCTCGCTATGCTACTGTTTGTTTTCACAGGACGATTCCTGTGCTACAGAACGCTCTCAGCATGGGACCAAAACTTCTTGCAGCCCTCTTTTCTTTGGTCGTTACGACTATCGCCATACCGGTGGAGCCAGAGATTGAAGCCAGGGCTGTCAATTGTAAAATCGTTGATGCCGTCATCAACTATTTCACCCCCTATACTGCTCAGGCCAGCTCGTTCTGCTCTGCCTATCTGCAGACCACTGCAACCGTCTCAGTGACCGTTCAAAAACTACAAAAACGGTAAGCCCAGCAAGTTCTCAATCCATATCTCGCCGTATGACCTGGATGATGCAATGCTGTTCTTCCCCAGGTGCTCAAACACAATCATACTGACACTCAGCAGGTCACTACAGGGAAAGTCACCGGAACTGTGACGGTCACGCAATACTCGACCGCCGTCAATACCTTCGTGAAGCGAGACACCTCAGTTCCGCGGCCAACCTGGTTACCCAAAGCCATAGCTGCTAACCTGGTGTCCTCCGCGTGCTCGTGCTATATCACTCCGCCGCCTGCTAAGACGACGAAAACCACAATCACCACAGGCACGACAACTGTCACTGTCAGCAAAAGCGCTGCCGCCACACAGACCGTCACAGAACCCATCTATTGTGGTGTGGTAGGGGTCATATATGAATTCGATAGCGAGGGCAATCCTGTCTACTTGGCGAGCGGAGGGGGCTATACGTTACAACAGTGCAAGGCCCTTTGCGTCAGCGAGCCCGCATGCCTCACCTTCATTTACGACGACGACGGGACAGGCGCGTGTACCACGGTACCTTTTACGATTGCTGGACACTTTGACCCAGGTTCGTCGCTCGAAATCACCGAACAGTACAATTATGATCGAAATTGTGCCGTCTGAGTCTGAACTGCGCAAGAAGTTTTGGTGGAGAACGATTGTGGAAGACAATGATAAGCGCTGATATGAGGATAATGGACGGACAGATAGATGATTGCATGTATTGCCTCCTGGGCTATCGTTAGTAACCATAACCATGCACAGGAAAAACAATGGACCACCAACTTTCGAGCAGGGAGGGATAATTTTGCAATTGAACAACCGGAGCAGACTGCTCTGCGCGTTGACGCAGTGCGTAGGCTTCCTAGGTCAGAGCGTCGGTTGACCATAAAGCTCGAAGACTGGGAAAGAGAGAGGCGATGTTCCCCCACAGGTGCACATGCCTTAGGACGACGAGGCTGTCCCTAACCATCAGAAAGGATATGATTGGCTCGCTCGGCCTCATGATTACCAGATATGGGATAGCGTGACCCTCATTCCGCCTCGCCGACATGATCTCGGTCCTCACTCTTCCCCGGACACACTGCCATCTTTCGCAGGCTAGGCCATCCTCGGAAATCCTGATGGTTATAGACCCACTCATTCTGCAGGTCCAGTCTGGCCCACAAGACAGTATCGCTCTCTTCTGATGAGCCGACACGCGTGGTATATCAAGACTAACCTTGTCTGGGAATCGTGACAGCCACAGGCTTTGCTGCCTCGTCTGTACAAACACGGTGGCCACCAGGAGGGGCGGGTCGGCCCTGGCATGCTAGAGTTTGGCCCAAGAAAGCGCATCGTAGGTTCATGATTTCCCAATCCGGGGCTACGCTATTCCTGTTGTAGGAATGCTGAGGCTTGGATGGGGAGAGACTCTAATGTTCTTCTGATCCACACTTGCCTGTTGCAAGACAGAATACTCGTGCATGATCGATACAAGTCAGGCACACTGTCTGAGTATCGGATACAATATCAGACCACTCACTGGGCAAGGAGAACCGCCGATAGACAATACCAGCATATGCTCGGTGATGGCGAGGGTCCTAAGTCCCAGATAGGAGATGCTGAGGTGGAGAACAACTGCATGCACATTGGGATCGTAGCTCATTTTGGAAATGTTGATACCGCTTTGCCATCGATGAAGTGTATGGCACTCGTGATAACCGCTGCGAAGGGGATATAAAAAGCATGTGTGATGTTCATAACTCTTCCATCTGCAATCTCCTCAATAAGCTGTACACGTCACGACCAGTGACACCACTAAGGTCAGCGTTCACCTGAGATCCATCTCAGATAAGTGCAGTCCGGCTTGAGGGAAATCGTTGTCTGGACCTAACGAGATATCACAGTAGCCATGTCGACATCTCAAGCCCCAAATTCTCGAGTCATGAAGGAAGTGTTAGCCGGCATGGACAGGTTCAAAGACCCGACAATGAACTCTTTGGTGATGAGCAACAACAATCAGCTCCAAGCAGAGCTTGATGAGATCCTCAGCCATGGTTCAACAGATGGCGCAGGAAGCGGAGGGGCCTTTGACCAAAGCGATCATTGGAAGAAAGTGCAAAGACCCTTGGATCGAGCTGGGTTATGGCATGGCGTTTCGTCGTACAAAGGGATTCATGCGAGCAACCACGATGGAGTGCAATGCCAGAAGAACAGCGTGGGATCTCTGCGAGTCGAGAGGTCCCAGAGTGGGTGAGCCAGCATAGCCGATATCGGATGTTGATATGAAGCGTTGGATAGTGCATAGACCGGTACGCTTCATCCACCAACACCTTAGAAACTTGTAGCACGTTTCGAACTCCACGCCGCCCATGTAACCACCCTGGGCGAACAGGCAGACCTTGATCCCTGAATGACGTCGCCGAGTCGTAAGTTATAGCAGGATTCCGGCTGGATCTCCATTCTCCTGGGATTTTGCTACGCCTTACCAGCCCGAGTGTCCCACAAAGCCGGCGCCAGTGCCGTCGTCTACAACTTTTGCATACAGACCTCCTGCCAAGCGCTTCATCTCGCCCAAATCATTGAGGCTTCGACCGCGGTCTCTTGAATCATCATCCAAGCCATGGAACAGCAAAGCGAGCGGACTCGCCGACCACAGCCAGTTTGGGCCGCTGCATTTCTCGGTAATGACGAGTGTGGCAATGAGTAACACCACAGTCCCTGCCAGCAGTGCAGCCGGATAGGTGAGCTAGGACCATTGCACGGAAATACAGGTCTCTGTCTGCAAGGCTTGGCCGACGGTCGGCGCACTGTTGCTGGGGTCGCCTGTCTGGCGTATCTGGATAGTCATGGGCTCAGCCAGGTCGCCCCACGCAGTGTTCATTGTCTGCAAGGATGCGTTGCCGTCGTTCCAAAGCAGGCCCATCCACGTCGGGTCCTCGTCGTCAGAGTAATCGGACCGGGCTGCGGAGCCCACAAGGAAACGGTCGAGGAATTGGACCAGGCCAAGCGGATCGGCGTAATTGAAATAGCAGTCGAGCGGCAGTGGGTCAGTGAGGTTAAATTGATATTTGTCCACGGATCCGGATAAGACGGCGATGCTCTGATTGGCCAAAGACGAAGCTGCAAAGTATGACCCGTTGATGAGGCAGGGCATTGGCGTCGCCACGAAGCCGAGGGTCATATCGTAGGCAAGAAGCGACATGTTCCGCGTCATGTTGTGCGTCGAGATCAGCTGTTCAGTGGTCTCGCCTTGGTCAACCCGTCCTCGATAGGTTCGTACGCAAGGCCAGAGTGAGCACCGGAGCGCCATCACATTCGTGTACGGCACGCTCGTTTCACCAACAGAGTCGTTGCTGGTACTATATCCGGAACTTTGAGTGTAGAAAAGCATCTCAGCCGTGTTCAATATTTCAGAGGGATCAGCATCCGCACTTGAGAAGGAGACGGTGTCTATGACCATGACTATGGGTGGCTCCCTGGAGATGTTGAGCCCTGAGGGGAGTTGCCAAATGCAATCTTCAGAAGTGAAGTTGTTGACGCTGTATTTTGTGCAACCGTATTCAATCTTATTCGTAGCATTGACACAACCCCCACATACGCCCAAGGTGCGGTATTCCGGGAACGTGCAGTTACCGGTACTGCATGTGAGTGTGATCGGACTGAAAGACTTGTACATGCCTTTGATTATGGCGGCCTGCATCGACAAATCCAGAGTCTCCGTGCCCGCTCCGTTATGCATACCGGTGACGGTGTAGTTGTTCGTGCGAGCCACAGAAGCCAATCCCTTTTCCGCAGCACGGACGCAGGGATCGTATCTTCCCACCTGCTGGATGAAAGGATCGCTTACAAGAGCCAGGATGGTTAATGCGGCCCCAAGCGATGCTAGACCTGTACTATGCAGACTCCCAATCAACTTTACCGAACCCCAAGCTCCGCGACATGCATCATCGAAGATGACAAGGTTGGCAAGTGGCCGTGGCTTCTGAAACCATGACCACTTCAGTTGACCAGGAGCTGCAAGGCACGCGCAATCAGAATGGGATTCAAGTGCCGACTCATTTGAGAAGCAAGTAACTGACCCTCAGCGATGCAGACTGATACTGCTGCCTTGAAGATTACTGAGAAGATAGATACAAGCACATTGATGGAGATGCCAAAAGGCCATTCCGGCAATGGTCGAGTGTTGTGAGTTGCAAGCGTAATGCTGATGGCCAACAGCGATAAAGCTGCCACAATCAGGCTAGAAAGTCCGAGCCCCATCTCTGGGATATCAACCGAAAGCCTTGTGCACTTTTCCTTGGGTTTGTGAGTACTGCTTTATTGCCCGCGGTATTAGTATTGGCGGATTGCGATACCATCAACGGAGCTTTGTTATCTTGCACGTCTTGAGCACCGTGGACAGGATCCGTATGACGTGTCGGGAGACTCTCTGGTGCTGCTTGCTCGTGGACCCGGTCGTTCATAGCTCCAGCAACGAGCACAGCCCGTCACGAGAACGTGGAAGTCGGAGTGTAAGGCGTAATGATTGTCATGACCAAAAGATAATGGTCTTTGCATCTCCTTATATCGAACGCCCGCCCAGCAGATCATGCCGGCCGCACCACATGCCGCCGAGGCAGGCATCATATGGTCGCCTTGTCAGGATGCTGTAATTTGTAGGACCATGTTTTCGTAGCTTGACGCCGACTTTCTTGGCCTTTGTTTTGGCCCCTTTGGAACGATTTTTCCGGTTCCAACCAAACCTAAAACCCTCGTCCTCAAGTTATGCCTTACCATCTACGAGTACGTGCCATAGTTTCTGAGATCGCGGGGCGACCGTTCAGGACTGTTCTTGTCGGTCCTGGCACTCTGGCTACGGCATCGGCAGCCAGGTCGATGCAGCTTTGCAGGCGTCTTCAGCGCACACCAGCCGTGGGCACTACAGCGAGCCTGTCTAAGTATCTACTACCTCGCACACAACATTTGATCCGTTGGCAGAACTGTTCGGTGAGGCTCGCTACAGTCACACCTAGCTGTTCTGTGCCACCAGGGCTCATCCATTCCAGCGCATCGGTTGCCACATCTAAGGAATACGGCAGACGATTGATTGAGACATCACCTTACTGTAGTACGTAGTATCTCTAGAATTACGCCTTAGTCTAAGAGAGGCTTGAGCGGCGCGTGTTTTACCCATGGCTGTCGAGACCAATCACCCTTAATCGCCTCGATGCACGCCAGGAAATCTTTCGCTTAACCCGTACTTTTGTTCAGGCCCACCAGTGTTGGCTCTCGTTATCGCAAGCCGACAACAGTTGACAAGCGTTTACATGACGGCAGAAGACGCCATTCCGTTTGGTTAATATCCAAGGCCGTATAAGTAAAAGCTAAGTAGCCTTGACAAAGCCGGTCAAAATCTCAATCACTAATCGAGATGGTGGTGCATTTTGTCGACAGGCCTAAGCAGGAGTATAGTCCTTCTTATAAGATAGCAAGAATCCAGGGTTGAAGATGGAGACCCTCACTGAGTCTTGCCCAATGACCACGCCTTCACTATGGGGAAGATACAAATCGCATCCATTGTACTGCAGACTTGCGATTGAACCTTTACTATCCGTCATCTAGGTATGCAGTTGACGCTACGCTTCGGCATCGGCACGAACACCGATAGTCTACGAATGCATAAGAACTTTATCGTAACCGCGTAAATCACGTTATGACCTGATTGTAAGCTCTACCATTGCTCGTATTCCCGCAAAGCTTTGACGACCTGTACCACACCCCAGCTGAAAATGACTTTCGACGGCTTCAACACCCTCCCGACCAATGCCGCAGAAGCAATAACGCCATGGAAAGTCAGCATCCCGCAACAAGACCTCGACAGGCTAGCTACACTGCTGCAGGTCTCCGAGCTAGCTCCTCCCACGTTCGAAAATTCCCTACCAGGGCATGATAGGCGGCTAGGCATACGACGGGACTGGCTGTCAGCCGCGAAGCATCACTGGGAGACCGAATTCGACTGGAGAAAACATGAGGAGCACATCAACTCTCTCCCCCAATTCAAGGCTACCATCCGTGACAGCCTCGGCCGTTTCGACATCCACTTCGTCGCTCTGTTCTCGAAGCGTGAGAACGCCATTCCCATCATGTTCCTGCACGGCTGGCCGGGCAGTTTCCTTGAATTCCTGCCCATACTAGAATCATTACGCTCGCAATATACCGCCGAAACGCTACCTTACCACCTTATAGTTCCAAGTCTGCCAGGATACACATTTTCTTCCCCACCGCCTCTGGACCACGACTTCCGCGCCGACGATGCCGCACGGATCTTCGACAGCCTCATGTCGCTTCTTGGTTTCAAGTCTTACATGGTTCAGGGGGGAGATGTAGGTGGCCGCGTTGGCCGAATCATCGCATCGAATTACCCTAACTGCAAAGCCATCCATCTGAATACCTGCCCGATGCCGGAACCTGAGCATCAAGAAATCAGAAGCCCAATCGACGCCGCCGAACAGCAAGCTCTCGACAGGCACAATTTCTTCCTGCACAACGGCACCGGCTACGCACAAGAGCACGCCACACGCCCGAGCACTATCGGCTTTGTGCTATCCAGCAATCCGCTCGCCCTCCTGTCCTGGATAGGCGAGAAGTTCATGGACTGGACAGACGATGATCCTCCACTGGATGTGATCCTAGAGTCGGTCACATTGTACTGGGTCACCCGCTGCGCATCGACCAGTTTATGGTCATATCGCCAATTCTATGGGCCCAATGCAGACAGCCATGGCTCGAAGAAGTGGTATCTTGACATACCATTTGGCTTTTCATGGTTTCCAAGAGAGATCAATCCGCTTCCGAGACCGTGGATTGAGACAACAGGAAACCTGGTATTCTTCCGGAGGCATGAGAAGGGTGGACACTTCGCCGCGATGGAGAGGCCGCGGGAGCTGTGGGCTGATGTTGAGGAGTACCTGCAGTGTGTCAAGGGCGCGTTTGATACGCAATGAACTGGAAGAAAATGAAGATCGCTGCGTTGACCGGTCATCAAAAACCGCGTGACTGAATGCGATGTCTCCGCAGTGAGGATACTTCAGATACTTCTCATCATGACCTAACAACTGGTGGTTGGTTCACTCTCAATTTTCCAAGTTCCATGCCTGAAATGAATCGTCTCCCAGCACGTAAGTCATACAGAGCAGTGTCATTCCTTCCGAACAGCGCCCTGACCATGTCCACACCCCACATTGCACGGCTCCCCAATTCCAATATCACAGTGATCACCCCTCGGCGGTATGGGACCGATCTTGATAAACTTCTCGTCGAGCCTCATTGGAACGCATCAATACGCCCGGAACTGCATGTACGCAAGATATCGTTCTTCCGCAGCAGCACTCTCCGGATCAACCTCCGCCAACAAATTGTGTTGTTTGGGGCCAAGCCAGCTTTCAACCCGACTCGGATCCACCTCAGATGTCTTCACGTCGTTGCGGAGCCCAAAGCGTTGGAGATCGCGCCAGCCTTCCTTGTCATAGCGAGCAATGCTCCGTACGAGTTGACTGTTTAGCACCATGTCCTATACTTGGTCAACATCTTCCAAAGACAACAGTAACACTGAAGACGTACCCTTGACTGAAAGTCCTCGCCATAGGGGTCCTTCTTTGTCGTACTTCCTTTCAAAACTGGTGCAAGCCCCTCAACCACGAGATCTACGAAGAATGCACCAACGAGCTCATCGACTTGCGATTCCGAGTAGTCATCGTATCGCCATCCCTTTGAAAAGTAGCCGCCACTCCATTGACGCCAGATCGCCTTGCGTAGTCCAGGATGAAACTTAGTCACTCGCGCTGCAGCAGTGAGAAGGGCGCGGATATTGGGTCCTTGGTCAAGTTTCACCCACTCGCCATCATCACGGCTTGTTGGCTTCTCCGAAATCCATCTTGTCGTGAGCGTCAGATGCTGCAGATTCTTCAAAACTTTGCACAGGAAATCCAGGATATCATCATGACCCAGATCGTATACGATGATGTTCTGGGGCACTCCGAACCGCGCCGACTTGATTTTGGCTGCATTCTTTCGCCCAATGCCGTACTCAGAATTCTTGACGAATACATCGTCGAAGGCACGGATATGGTATGACTCGAAGAGATTTTCTCCGTACAGAATATCCGTGCCTTCCTCCATGAACTGTTTGTTGGCACGGAGGATGCTGGTGATGTGTTTGGGTCCAACTGTCATTGCTGTGAAATCAACGATGCTGTAATCCGAGTCCTCGTGGCCGGTTTCGTGATTTCTTCTGATGTATCCGTGGGAACGATCGAACTGCACCAAGATCGAGTCTTCCTTTACTAAGAGCAGCTTGTAGATGGTATCTCGGATTTCGCGAGGCATGCCCATTAGCTGTAGGGAAGGGTCGGTAGATGGTCCTGATCTCTCCGCAGGCTACAAGTAGTTTTAGCAGGTGGTAGATGTGCACTTTTGAGCAGGAAGAGGACTTACGTGTGAGAAGATAATCAATGCTAATATTCATGAGTCTCAGCGCCTGCTCAAGGAATGGATCGCTCATGTCGTTCCCTTGGGCGACAGATGCGTCCATAATGTCCTGGTCCAAAGCAGCCATTGTGAGTAAGATGACTGAGGATTGCGTTTTCCGAAGTCGATCAGAGCGTTGGAAGGAAGCAGGTGTCCAAGGTTGAAGATGATGGCAGTGAGAGTCCTTGTTGATATATCGATATAGGCACCGACTTACTGCCTGTCCGATTACACTAGTGATACATCACTCGTCACTCGTCGTGCCATGAGACAGTGATGGCCCAGAGTGGGAAGGCAGTGAGACTGGTGATGCGAAGTGAATTCCTGATATCCAGTGCTCGACACGGTCGCGTAGGCGTAAATGGTGACTGTCACTTGTCTGGTGTGGTAGTCGACAGTCTCATCACTGCCACAGACGACACCATTGTCATTGGAGACGTACCTTCAACTGGAAATCCTTATGGTGAGCATTCTTTCGTAGTGGAAGTCCTTTTCAAACCCTAGGACAACCTCCTGAGTCCTGACAACAAAGCCCACAAGAAGTCCACCGATGGCAACCAATGTCACTTGATCCAGACGTAGTATTATCATTCTCATTAGGACGTAGCCACACACCTTCCACAAACGCAGGATGCAATCATGGTAACCCATATTTCGAAGCACAAGAATGCCCTGGTCACTCACAGCCGTCACCACGCATCCATCGCCATCAATCGCTTTTCGTCGTTCAGCAAGTCACGATCTCCATTTCATCATGAGAGCAGCAAAAGCACCACCGGCATCCATGTGCCTTTGCGTACTTTGCACTCGCCTGAATACTCGGTATGTCCGCCGTACATTGCATATCACACAGGGTACTTGCCCCTGCTAGGCCATACTTCAACCTCATTGACGTCCACTTCGGACGATGTCGCATTGTTGGGCAGTGCAAATCTCTCGACATTGTCGTGCCAATAAGTCTGGCGCACAAGTCTGCTGTTGATAACCATGTCCTATTATGATTAGAATCATTCTTTGTCAATCGTGAAGTTCGATTCTGGACATACATTGCATTCCATGTCCTCTCCGCATGCGTTCTTCCGAATGACGCTGCCTTTCAAGAAGGCCTCCAGCCCTTCCGGCACGAGGTCGACGGAGAATTCGCCGATGATGTATCGTTTGTCCTCAAAGTCGAACAACTTTATCCATTCGTAATTTGCAAATCTACTGCCACTCCATCGGCGCCAGACAGCCTTCCGCAAAGTCGGATGGAATTTGGTAACTCTTGCCGCTACGAAGAAGACGGGCCGAAGCCTCTTCATCTCCGCTTCCTTGACTCCGTCACCGTGGGCCCCCATTTCGCTGCCGACCAAGGTTCTGAATGTGAGTTTCTTGAGCTTGATCAGATTTGCACATAGAAAGTCGAGCAACGACTGATGACCCCAGGTGGGCCCCTTGAAGGTGGGCCCCGGTAAATTGAAGCGGGCAAATTTGATCTTGGCCATATTCGTAGGTCCGATGCCGTACTGGGCCACTTTGAGAGGCGCCCGCTTGAATATACGCATTGATTGAGACTCGAACACATTCGCTCCGTACAGGATGTCCGTAGCTTCTTGCGCGGTTCGTTTGTTGACGCGAAGGATGCTCGTCTCAAGCTGTTGTGGGCGGACAAACATCAATGCAGAGTTGCCTGAATATGGTCCACCCCGTCTCGCATGGGTGGAAGTTATCTGGATGGAATCTTCTTTCACCAGAATATGTCTCAGGATCGCCTCTCGAATCTCAATCGGCATACCCATCAGCTGTAGCTCAGGATTGTCAGACGGCCCAGACGTCTCTGCAGGCTATAAAAGGCGTTAGTAGGTGGTCGCCTTTTGCATTTCGCGTAAAGACGACTGACGTGTGGGTAGTTGAAGATATCATCGTTAATATCCATCATTCTCTCCGCCTCCTCGAGAAATGCATCGTTCATATTGTTACTTCGGGCGACAAACACATGCACAGGGCTGGGAGTCGGAGAAGTTGTGGTAATTGTGAACAGAGGGTTGCGGTTTCTGGAACGCGATCAAGTTGTGGATTGAACCCGGGTGCCCAGGCTGGAAGAGGTGGAAGTGAAGCTTTGGCGATATATCTATAGGCACCCCTGTAATTCCTGTCCGCCTGCGGTGGATATCTTCACGCGTCTTGCGTCGTGGCGTGAGGCAGTGTCATCCTCAGTTTCCAGTAGTGAAGCTGCGGTGAAGGTGAATGCATGACTCCCGTCAGAGACCGCTGACACGGGTGGTTGGATGCGGTTGGGTACTGTCACTCATCCTGTATCGCAGTCACTGATGGCATAGATGCCAGCCGGCAATGGCAGTATCTCATGGCATTAGCTGAGCCGCACATTGACGGTGGCGCTTCTTCTGCGTTCGGAAGAGTGGCGTGAGCAAGAAGACCACTGTCGAGGCTATGAAGCACATTCTTTGGTAAGATTAAGTCATCTGGTTTGACTTTGGCCCAGCAGACAAACACCATGTGTGTGCAACACCACATTTCCCTCAATCTGGGCATGATGAGTTTGTGGGCAAGGCTGTTTGCTTAGTGTGGTCCAACTGCTGATTGTCCAGGAAGCATGTCCAAGAATGCACACAAAGGTCAAAGGGCATCATATGTTATCTCAACTTTTTGGAGCATGTTTGTCAAGAGACGTTCTCATGTCAGGACGCCTCACCTCCTTTGTGCGATAAAAACCATGGGCAAACCACATTCAAATGCAGCCTTTGACCAAACTCATCGAGACATGAGGGTCGATGCCTAGCATCTCACGGGCTTGTTGTCGATAGCGTCAATGACCGCAAAAATGCTTCCGTCGTTGAAGCGATCGATGTTGTCGGATTTCGTGGAAAGGTCGTGAGAATTGTAGTACGGAGTGCGGAGTACAGACAACATTGTTGGAGCAGAGCATTCCTTTTATAATCGCCCTTGTCTCATTGGCTTCAACCCCTTTTTACACTCTCGCGCGAGATGCCAAAGTGCCGGCATGTGGCCGGACCCTGCAGCATCCTGGTGTCTCGTCTTGCGCCTCCCATTGGACCTTATCATTATCAGATCGTGCGAGGCCAACCATCACCAACACTCCCCTTCTTACTAACACTCACATTCGACCAAAGATGCATCTTTCACATCTTCCAAATCTGTCCATTACGTCTTGCAATCCCAATCGAGGACCCTCGAATCGTCAACTCACCGGCCTGTGAGCCGAGACACGTGGCCGGCACTGCCCAGCAGCAACAGTCTTCCCCACCACTCCACGCTCTGCGCCGCATGGTCATCAACCAAAAGTGCACGCATGGCATGAATCCGATCAAGCTTGGCAGATCACTGCACAAAACATCAACGCCCGTAGCGTCCAAAGTACTATATCGAAGCCACACTAATACCAGCATCTCCCGGCTAAGGCTCCATCAACCACTATCAACTCACCAATCCCACCAAGAGCCGTCCATGATAACTACGCACCGCCCAGCCCAACAACAGTCGCGAACCATGGGCGGTCGAACGCCCATCGAGCCGCAGCGCGTTGATGCACCCCTGACATCCTCAGCAACCTTTCTCGTCCTATCAGTCAAGCTCGACGACGACGACGCCACACCGTCCGCTCCACACTCGCCAGCGTCGAAGGCCTTTCCAAGAACGTATCAATTCGCGACCTCAACGCCTCATTCGCCTGTACTGTCGGAATTGGCAGCGACGCCTGGGACCGCATCACGCGCCAACCCCGACCTGCCGAACTCCACCCGTTCAGGGGATTCCACGGCAAGAAGCATTCCGCCATCGCTACGCCGGGTGATCTTCTCTTTCACATCCGCGCCCAAAGACGGGACCTGTGCTTCGAATTTGAGCGACAACTCCTCGACTCTTTGGGCGATGCCGTATCCGTAATCGATGAGACAGTCGGGTTCCGGTACTTCGACGTACGCGACCTGCTTGGCTTCGTCGATGGGACTGCTAACCCTGTCGGTCCGGCCGTCACCGAGTCCATCGTTGTCACCGAGCAGGACGATGCGGCTTCCGCGGGTGGCAGTTACGTCGTGGTTCAAAAGTACGTGCACGACATTGCGGCTTGGCGTAAAATGTCAACCGAGCAGCAGGAGAAAGTTATTGGCCGGACCAAGTTGGAGAATGTCGAGCTCGACGATGCTCCGGACGGCCAGCAGCAGTCGCACAAATCGCTGGCCACGATTGAGGATGACCAGGGCGAGGAGCACGACATTCTCCGAGACAATATGCCGTTTGGATCCCCTGGGTCCAAGGAGTTCGGGACATATTTTATCGGGTATTCCAGGAAGTTGTGGGTGACGGAGAAGATGTTGTGCCGTATGTTCATTGGGGAGCCGCCTGGTATGCATGATCGGATCCTTGACTTCTCGAGACCATTGACCGGGACGACGTTCTTTGCACCATCCGCGACTCAGTTGGCCAGTCTTGGTGATAGCTAATGGCGGAGTCTCTTTGGTTATGAGAACAAATGTCAAGATTGATAGTACATCCTAGGATAGAAGCCCATTACCATCTCAGCCCAGTCAAACACTGCTAGCGTGTTCCTCAACAGCGGATCACCCACAAAATACGCATCCTGCAAACCCAGCTATAATTAAAGTGTAGCACGAACCATAGGTCCTCCGCCTAACCAGGTCCGCCGTGTCAATGTAGTACGTAGCACCACCAATCATAACACCGAATGGCTCTGACAAGACAGCCTTGCAGTTCAAGAAGATCGTAGATCCAGATGCTGTCCCAGGGGGTGACCAATTGTTGTTCAATAGCGTGTCAACTTCGTGCGGGATTTCCGGGCCATTGTACCCAGAATCGATCATGGAGGGTGTGGTCGGTGCTACGACTGATCCACCAAGTTCGAAGCGGTCTGGAGTGATGTTATACCATGAATTCTGGGTGGTCGACGTTTTGGACCATAATTCGATCGGTGCGGACGTGAATGTCGACGAAACATTGATGGCAGGATCAGTCAACGACGGAATCCCGCCAATTGTCAGGACTCTGCCAATACCGGTGGATGAGGCATCGCGAGATATGGCAAGTGAGAACTTCTTGCAATGTGTAGCGGCAAATGCGGACGTATCGAAAGTGTTTCCATGATTGACGGATACCGGACCGTGGCGTTGATACTCGAGTTGTGTGCCATTGTGCCGCCGGAGAATACAAGGCCGGTGATACCAGAGTAGTCCGGTAGCCCTGGCGACGGATCCGACGTCTGTGGCGATATTGTTAGGTTGGGAAGGCATGATGAAGTGACACTCACCTCATTCGGAGCACTCATAATCTGGCTGTGGCAATTCGAGGCCATTAATCGTGACATTACAGTATCCGATAGGTCCGTACACGCATCGTCAGGTAGGGACGCTAGATCCATAGCAAGTGAGTTGATGGAGACTTGGTATAGCAGTGGAGTCTGCATCAAATTTGAATGTGCTTGTTCAGTTGCAGAAGCTGGGGTTCTTTTGGCCAGAGAAGCTTTGAGTCGCGTTGTCGAACGTATAGTAACACTCGTAGCCGGTCTGCATCAGCCACGTATCGGAACTTCCTGTTTGGATGTCTGCGTTGAGCGTCTGGCCCCCAACAGAGATGGGGAGCACATATTTGTTGCGCTGATTGTCAATGAGGTTATTGGATGCTCCTCTCGGGCCGCTACCAGCAGGAGGAGGCCAGCGGGTGGGTTCGAGGAGTAGGGAGAATGAGGGTGGTCGCCACGGGAGACTCGGGCAATGGGAAAACCGCCAGCGGCCAAGCTCGAAAGCGAAAGGAGGTGAGGTACCGCGAGTATACTTTACCTCATATCGAAGATCCCTCACGCTGTAAGGATGAACGACTAGCACCCTGCGGGAGGTCCGATTGCAGTATCTCGATGCTTCCGTTGCGCAGCTGCTTAGCATACTGTACCTTCAAGCGACTATGGTCACCTCGAAATGGTGAGTTCGTGACGCTTGCTCACCTGTTCATATTGACGTACTCTGGGAAAGATGGGAGCATACATGTCCCAAAGATTGGTTCTTCGGGCCTCAAATAGGGACATTGCAAAGCCTATTATGACGGTGCTCGCCCAAGGTTCAGGGTCCGACCAGGCATCTGTCTGCACCTGGTCGCAATGTAGGCCACGGTCGAAATCATCGTCCAGCACATGACGCAGAGCAAGCGCTTGCATTCTTGCTTGGAGACATCTTCGAATCAATGTCATAGCTAGTGCTCAGACTAAGCGAGCGAAAACTGGTTGTCATTGAGCGCTCTGCAGGTAAGTACGTCGTGCTGTGGGAACGGTCGGTTGCTGGGCTATTGGTCGACTAACGGCCAGGACTGCGACATATGAATGACGGAGTGTAAAGCGACCCAGATCAAGCTGTGAAGGACTTCGCTATACTCTCACGGTCCTGCCAGTAGCGAGGGAGTACGAGCTCGAAGCAGCGACGCGTCACCTGGACAAATACTCACCCAACCGAGCCGGACTGCCAGTCGATCGTCGAAAGCGATTTCCGTCATGTCTCGGTATTGCTAATGTGCCGCAAGCGTCAACCAGATAGCAGATGGGGTATTAGCTGGATCTCATTTCTGCCGTTCATGCACACCAAGCACGAGCATTTGGCAACGCATTCGTCGTCGAGTCAAGCTCCTGGATGCTGATAGAGTTGCATTGGTATGGAATCTCCCTGCAGGATGTCTCAGACGAGATGCATTCAGCACCTATAAACTGCACTTGATGCAAATTCATTGTGAGTGATGACCAACGAGAACATGCCAATAGCCACACAGTGTGGCATAGATCGGCAGGAAGGAAAAGGCGATTTTTGGAGGCAAGAAAAGGCGACATATGCGCAGTGGCTGGCATACATGCCACGAGGCTGTCCTGATCGGCAAGATAATCGTGGAGGTCTCCTGAATGAGTTAAGTCATCCACACACTCCAGCTGGACAGGCCACTGGACATTTGAGCTGCGTGCCGTGTGCCGTGAAGTGGCTTTCGAAATGTGAAGTCTTTCAATGGCAGGAGTCATCAGGACCGGCACGTTTCGGCAGCGCCCTCTTGCACCTTCCATTCCGCGACATTGGTAGGTGGAATGCTTCGGAACAAACCCCATCTGCGCTCGAGGATCAACATGGATGTCGTGGATCGTCATTCACGCAGCATCTCAGGAGTCAGCGACGCGTACTCTCAATGCTCCTGTCCAACACTGCACAGCAAGATCATCGTTGTCGACACATGGTAGTCGTTGGCAATGTCCAACTTTTCCTTTCCACCTCCAGGTACTTCTTTACTGATGACAGCATAAGGAGCTGATTGAAGGTGCTTGCACCTAGGTGAAACGTTTCGAGCGTGAATCTCGCTTAGACATAACTGACATCATTTATTACGACGCCTCATCGTTTGTCGACTGGTCGTCCAACAGGAGAAAAGAACACTGATCAAGTGCAGGATGGAAAATATCGCCAATCCTACTCCTGCATAGTGGTGTCGGTAAGAAATGCATCACACGGCAATTCCTTCATTTCAGCTGACATGGCCGTTGATCATTCCGCTTAGACCCTGCAAAGCCCCCATCTTGCTTGACCCTGTCTCATGTGGGCGCCACAACAAGAATAACCGTTAACTGTCTCTCCACAAAGATCGACACCAGCCGTGCACGCGGTTCGACAACGGGTGAGGATCAATGCAAGGAACAACCCTTGCTACCACAACGTCATTCGTACAATAATCTCCTTGATGGAACATTCGGTTACCCGAAGCCACAGATTTCAAGCCAGAACGGAGATTTTTGACTTCCTATAGTCTAAAGTTACCAGTCTGTGAACATGGACAAGGAGACTTGGTGTAGCCCTATGACATTGCAGAAGAGGCTGTACATTTGCGGCCCAAATCAATGATCCGCAAAACGTTTCGAAGATCGTTCCAAAGCCATACCATATTCAGCTATGCGCGCCGGCTCTAGTCAGCGTTGTTTTGGTCTCCAACGGTAAATGTTTCACGGCGACTTCCTGGCGAAGGACCAAATTTCGCGCCAGGGCAAAGCACATGAAGGACCATTGAGCGGAACCGGGGAATTTGTCGTTTCGATCGTTCAAGACGTAGCGCCCAATCGCAGATTGACCGCTCTCCATTATACGAGCACCGCCATACACCATGAGGGGCCCATTTTCAGGACTTCCAAGGCAGCACGTTCGCTTGACCAAACAACCTTACCACTTGCCAAGCGATCGACGCAAGGTACGACATGAACGACGTCGTTCATTACGTCGATCAACGATTGAATAGTGTTGGAATCAGAGCCTTGCGGCACGTTGTCTCGAAATATCGAACCAGGCACGGGCAGTAGTGCTGGGTCGTGGAGAGAGATCGTCGCGCATCCTGGAACTTCATTGAAGCAGTGTAGACCCTGCTTTGATGTCGATGACCACTGACTATCACACAGTCTCCCTTACAAAGGCAGCAACGAAGAGGTATAAAGATGTGGTAAGAACCTCCCCAAGAAACAGACATCCAACACAACAAGCAAACAGCAAAGCAAAGTCTTCTAAGCAACACTTCTCATACACCACTTCCAAACCTTTCAGCACCTTCAATCGTTTTTGATCCCTTCGTTCAAAACAAACAACCTCACCAACACAATGCATTTCTCCACCATCGTCATCGCTCTTGCTGGCGCCAGCACTGCTCTCGCACTCCCAGCACTCATGGAGCGCCAGGCCAGTCTCTGCACGGGGGACTACAGCGAACAGTGCTGTGCTACCGACGTCCTCGGTCTTGCTGATCTCAACTGTGCTGCCCGTAAGTTTGACTCTGTCAATTTCGCATCAATCTAAACATACTGACATGTATTGCCACAGCTCCCACAGTGCCTGCCAACACCACCGACTTCACCAACATCTGTTCAGCCATCGGACAACAGGCTCAGTGCTGCTTGTTGCCAATTGTAAGTTGAGAATCCTCTGTATCGTTCCGAGCGCAAGCTAATATACTCTTCACAGTTGGAGCAAGGTCTCATCTGCACCACACCAGTCTAGAGGACTGCATATAGGAGGACATTTCATTGGTCTGGAGGAAACGCATGACAATGGCATTCTGGCTGGCATGGGCATAGAATCTGGTCTTCGGAGCTTTGATAGGCGCCACAAGATGCATATTTCGGACTCGCCATGGCAGGACGTGTACGAGTACCTTGGTTGTGTGTACATTAGTGATGCGAAAACTGTGTAATGTGGATGAAGCTTCGACCAGTGGTCATGTTAAAAGCACTTTCCCGCTTATTCACCTCGCCTTGCATTTGATTGTGTGATCTGAACACTAAATGTCATCGATTTGAGAGTCCTGACATTGTATCTTACAACAAGCAAAGAAGTTTGCAAGACGAACCTCCTTGCTTATCATAAAGATATTCAAATTGACCATTTCCTAGCACTCGAAACGGCCACTTGTCCGTTGTACACAATTCCAGAAAGTCATCCGTAGACTCGACATCCCAGCAACAAACTCTTGTTGCTCAACCCTACATAACCCTGGTGGCATACTGTCGCTCTGCAAAATAGCGATACTTTCTGGCAGCCTTGACACGAAGCCTCTTTCCGAAGAAGATGAAGATGAAAACGGAGCCAACGATGACAGTCATCAGAACACCACACATGATGAAAACGTTCTGGACTCCAATTCCGTCGATCCATGGAGAAATTGCGAACACGAAGATGGTGGCGACGATGTTGCGGGTAACCGTCAATGCGACCATTGAGTCAGCGATGATCTAAAGGGCGTGATTAGCAATGAAGTTCACGGGAGTTGTGTAACCCAACTTACATCTTGGTAAGAATCCGTCATATAGGTCAGAGCAATACTGGCAGCAGGCGCGGTTCCAAAGGCGAGCATTCCGAATCCCACGGCAATCACACCCCAGGACGCTTCATGGCCCAGACCGATCCCGAACATAAAGGCACCAGCGGGTAGGAAAGGTACGAAAGCCGCGATCACCCAGAGTCGCATTTCCGGTTCGTAGATGCCATTGTTCCTCTTGGCCAAGCGCAGAATGATCCAATCGCTAACAGGTCCAGTGACGAGCAATCCAAGTGATATGCCAATAAATGGTGGAAGACTCATGAGGCCGACATCTGCTGAGTTGAAATTCCAAGGCGGATCATACAGGTACTCGGATGACACCGTAATGGCGATGGTCATCGTGGAGTTGATGATGGCGTATACCAGACAGATGTAGAAGACCGCGGGGATGCTGACGAAGATCTGCAAAGGCTGATAGGCGTGTCGAAAGAACTGCGACCAAGTGCCTGGTGATGTTTGCAGAAAGCTCAGGCGTTGTCGGTATGACTTCAGTGGAATGGAGTGATCGATTTCCACGTCGGTAGAGTGCACCGTGTTTGCATTGAAGGCATTGGTCTCACCGTCGGCAGCTTTCGAGTCCGCTTCCAGGGCTTTGGGATGAGCGCTGCTGGCCAATGCCAAAGGGTCCTGGAGCTCGACAGGTTCAATGCCATCGTGCTTTGGAACGTACTTTGTTTCTTCGAACCCGAAGATGTAGATTGGAATGCTGATCCCGAAAAGAATGACCATCCACCACCACACCCAACGCCAGCCCTGGTCGACAGTGACATATCCAGCAGCAAGAGGTGCAAGGGATCCGCCTATGAACAGAAACCAAACGTAGAAACTGTTCATACGTCCTCTCTGGTGGACGAAGAAGCAATCCGCGATGGTCATCTGGACCATGATCTCACATAGAGCTCCAAGGAAACAGTTGAGGGTGTTGACAGCGATGAGGTCGCCCACGGTCTTAAGCTTCGCCGTCCAGATTGCAATGGCGAATTGACCTAACAGGCTGACGATGTAAACTGGTCGCCGACCATACTTCAGGGCAAATGGGATCAAAAGAGGACCTCCGAGTGCTAGGCCAGCACAGCCTGTCGCGTAGCTGTCGTTGAGGATGTCGTAGCTGAAACCGTACTCATTCATAGGTCCCCAGGTAGGGGTAACGGCGTTGACACTGGAGATTGTGTGAGCTAGAAGTCGCGACAGTTCCGCATCATAAACTTACTCCGCGTAGACGAGCATGACATACGTGCACGCCAGTCCAAAGTTCAAGTACTTGCGCCATCGAGACCAATTCTGTGCTTGTCAGTAGCTGTTTCTGGTTGCACATAGTATGTCGTCACCGTACCAATGGGTCGTTGGGGTCGGAGGTTGGACGAGGCTGCTGAATGATTTTGTCTCCTTGGAACAAGTCTATGGTCTGGTCAGAACTCTTTGCTAGCGGCGAGAGATGAACGTCTGGGCCTCACCTTCAATCCTGACCGTTCCAGGTGGCCAATCCTTGTCCTCGTGAGTCGTAGCAACACTCATCTTGAATGACTATGGGATGTGAGAACGGTTTCAATGCCTGAATGGAGTGGTTGAAGTTGAGTTTTGGAACTCGAGGGTGAGGAGAACGCGTATTAGTACTTACAGATCTTGCTAGCTTATCTTCCCATACTGCACACTAGCGAGTCTGGCCAAAGATAACGTGCAAAGAAGTGATATGTATGGATAGTCGCGTAAGGGGAAGTGGTTGACAACACCTCTTCCACAAACATATGATCTGCTATGTCGCGCCTCTCTCTTCCAAGAAAGTTAATAATGGTTCACCTTTTGATACTTGATAAGGCAAAGAGTACAAAAATGTGAGCCTCGGTCTTCCACCCTCATGGGGACCGTGCAATTATCTGCTGAGATCATACGCATTGGGTATAGTAGTGCGAAGAGTGCGGGATTGTCTCTGCATCCGCGAAAGAGAGGACAACTTCCATCGTCGGGGCAGGAACCCATCATGGGAAATCTCGTCGTCCGGCGCTTGGCTGGTTTCGGTATAGTAGTGCGACGACAAGATAGAAAAGTTACAGATCCACCAATAGACGATCGGCACCCGCAGGCTTCTAGATCATGAGGCTGAAATGGCGATAGGACATCTCCGAGCTCGAAAAGTTTACTGCTTCGTCGCAAGGCTGCGACAATATGCAATTGACTTACGAAGAAGTCGTCAATAATCGTCGGTGGCACAATATCAGGATATCAGCTACTGCAATCGTGCTAAGTCAACAACTCTCGTGCTCGACGGTCCCGTCTATACCCTAAATACCTGTCCATATCATTTCGGTCTGAATCATCATGGGTTCTTTGGCCGTGAGGGAGCCCCCAGTTGCGAAAGGAAACGTCGAGGCTGAGCCATACAGATGGCCCCATGGCTCATCTGTCAGCCCGGAGACAACAGCACTGGTGATCATTGATATGCAGGTTGACTGTAAGTGAAACCGTTTTTCTCCCGTGTATCTTGCTATTATCACTATCGCAGTCAACTAACGCTGATCTACAGTCTGCTCTCCTGGTGGGTATATGGAGCATCAGGGTTACGATATTTCTCCTGCCAGGGCAATTCTACCGAACATTGAAGCACTACTGTCCTCGTTTCGTCAAGGCGGCTATCGAGTGTATCATACACGAGAGGGTCATCGCCCCGATCTTTCGACATTGTCCAGCAGGGAGCAATTCCGAAGTCGTAATAACCCTACTGGTTTTGGCATTGGCGACAAGGGACCGAATGGTCGCCTGCTAGTTCGTGGTGAGCCTGGGCACCAGATTGTCCCTGAATTGACTCCATTGGAATCGGAGCCTATCATCGACAAGCCTGGTCGAAGCGCCTTTCAGCACACCGACTTTAAGCTCCTGCTCGATGTTGCTGGAATCAAGAACCTCATCTTATGTGGTGTTACTACCGATGTCTGTGTGACGACGACAATGAGAGATGGCAATGATATGGGTTTGGATTGCTTGCTGGTTTCTGATGCATCGGCGGCTGGTGAAGAAGCATTGCACAAAGCTGCAGTGGCGATGGTGAAGGAGGAAGGAGGTATTTTCGGTGCTATCGGTACGACAGATGCGATACTCAAGGCTATGGCTTGATTAATGGCTAGAATTCAAAAGTGAATTACCTTTCAAACTACAAATCCGCTCATGACGCTTGATCGTGCTTATAGTCATCCCTTTCCCAAAGCTTTTTCTGTTGGATCATCTGCCTGCCTACGCTCCCAGCCACAATCTCTGGAAGCGCTTTCATCGATTCCAACCACTTATGCACTGCAGGAAATTCCTCCTCCAGGTCGGCATCCACCCAGTATGCCTCCTCATACCACGACAAATACGAGACATCTGCAACAGTCATCTTCTCACCAACCAACCACTTCCTCTCCATCAGCCACTTTTCCAGTACGGCTAGAATGCGCTTGTTCTCATCCACGAAACGCTTGTACGCACTGGGCAGGACCTCATGATGCCAGTAGCCAAACCAAAAGGCTTGACCCATCGTTGGGCCTTGACCACTCGCTTGCAGCATCATCCATTGGTTGACTTTGCTTTGCTCAAAGACATCCTTGGGGTATAGCTTATGCTCGGGGTCGTATAGTGTCACGAGATATAGCAGAATGGCAGTGCTCTCCCACACGACATGGTCGTTCTGAGTGTGATCAATCAAGGCTGGGCTCCGGCCATTAGGGTTCAGTGCTGTGAACCACTTCAGTTTCTCCTCTCTGCTGATCCGTTTAGAGTCGAAATAGATTGCTGGAAGACCTTAGCTTGATATTCCTGATAACCGAGAGTGTGAAAGGCAGCATACGTTCATATTCCAACCCGAGTAGCGATAGGACATGGGCGACTTTGAAAGCTGCAGGACAAGTGACGTGAGTGTGCAGTGTAAATTGAGCCTTCGAAGAACCCATGATGTGGAGAATTTGGGTATGCACAGTGACAATGTGTGCTGATGATGGGTACAGCAGAGAAGTGACATGATGTTGATATAGGATTCACGTGGCTTCTGTTGCCATACCCCATCGTTAAACCAACTGATCTAGTTGAGTAATCAACATCCACATGATACCCTGGATGAAAGGCTGTCTGTCGCTAAGTCCTTGATGGTCTCTCACTACGAAGGGTTGCCGGCAGTTCAAGTGGATCCAGTCATGGATGGCCAAATCCGACATTGAACATGTTCAGAAAGACTATCACAGAGGACCTCCGCATCAAGCCAGAACATTCCTTGCATTCAATTATTCATACAGGTTTGTCTGTCGGACATTCGAACCTGGATGAGGTTAGCACAGAGTGGGGCAGCCTTATCTAGGTGTCTATCGGGGTACTCCGCAACATATGTCAATGATCTGGATCTTGGAAATTGTGATCGAACAATTCACGAGTCCGAGAGTCGAAATGCCCTAGTACAATCCTGGTCTTGAGGTGCGACATTCCGATAAACACCTACAGAAGCCGCGGCACCGGTTGGTAACCTGATGTTTCACATGGTTGAAAACAACTAGTCTGGTGGTCTGTTCATCTTCACACCGACGAATCTGGTACACATTTGGATCATGTCATGAGTGGCCGTTTCTCGAACAGTTGGAGCCTGAGCGTCGCGTGTTATATCCAAAGAGCTGTTTTCAAGGCATTCGACGCTTACCACCCATTCTGAAATAAGAAGGCACATACGTCCCTGTCAAACCGTCGAACCGTCGAACCATCGCTGCAAAGATGCCTGCCTCAAAGATGCCTACCCTTCCTGTTATCGACTTCTCGCCTTATGTTGATCTTAACAGCACAGAGGCTTCGAAACAAGCCGTTGCCCAAGAGATCGATCGTGCCTGCCGAGAGGTCGGATTCTTCTATCTTTCCAACCATGGCGTCGATGTAAGCCTCATGCAGCAGATGATCGATAACGCGAGAACCTTCTTCGACACGGCCTCTGATGAGGAGAAAGATGCCATCAAGATCAAGCCAGCCGGCGATGGCGTTGGAGACTTGTCTCGTGGTTTTCAACGGGTCGATGGAGGAGCCAAAGGATCCCATGAAGTAGGTCTCCGATTGACAAAGCTAATTTGACCTAGACTGACTCACTACCCAGGCTGTAGATATCTTCCGCCCAGTCGACAACTCTGCAGGACCACCATACGAGATCGGGTTGGGAGAGAACCAGTGGCCAACAGTACCCAAGAACTTCCGAGAAGTTTCGGAGAGATACGTCGACGGACTCTTGACTCTCGCAACCCAGTTGATGAGAGTCATTGCAACGGGATTAGGAGTTGACGAACAGCTGTTCCTGAGCCGTATTGACAAAAGTTTCTGGGATCTGCGCATTCTTGGTTACAAGGCCACGGATCCAGAGGCGACCACGCCATCCGTCTCTGGTATCGGAGAACACACGGGTCAGACTGCCTTGATACTGTTGAAGAAGCGATGACTAACCACCAACAGACTTTGGTATCCTGACCCTGCTTTTGACGGACCCTCAAAAGAATTCACTCCAAGTATGGTCCAAATCTGGCGAATGGATGGCAGCAGATCCTATTCCTGTAAGTGCATCCAGGCTCTAGGCCTGTTCCTATCTGACTATCGGCCTCAAGGGATGCTTCGTTATCAACCTTGGTGGCATGCTGTCGAAATGGACGAACGGGCAATACGTTTCAACAAAGCACCGCGTCTTGCACAACTCTTCGAAAGCGCGTATATCGGTGCCGTTCTTCTTCGACCCCAATATGGACGCTCACATTTCGCCCGTCCTTCCACTGGATGGAAGTGCTCGCGAAGATGAGGGAATACTGTACAGGGAGAAGTTTCTCCGTGCAATGCAGTATACTGTCGTCACGGATCCAAACTACAGCTGCACGACGTGATGTCTGTGAGTGCTGCGCAGTTCACGATTTAGGGTTGGCGCAGTAGTGTATGGTTTATCGAGACTGTTGGAACTGGACATTGTTGTTAGCGTCATTGTTGGGAAACACTCTCGGATCCTGAATTCTTATAATCCTTAAATTATTTGATCCCTACTGTAACACTCAGTAAGGAACATTTAGTACGCATTGTGAGGATGATCGTGCCCGTTACCGTCCGTGCCTGTGCGTGTTGTGGGGAGTTGTTTCAGTGGCAAGTGGGAATGTCAATGCCCTGCATGCTTGCCTAGCACAGGGCTAGAAGCGGCTGTGGCCGTGCTATTGAAAGACGACGCTTATCTCCCCATCTCAGATTGAATTCTAACTTCACCTCTACCCATCATTCAGATTTCAGATACTCACATTCTACGCCGCTGACGACTACCAGAAGACGAATATAATTGGCGACGGTAACGGTTTCTACCATGACACTTGCACCACGCCAACGCAAGTCACGCAGCGGGTGCAAGCAGTGCAAAGTCCGCAAAGTATGATGGCCATCCTCCAGCTCTTTCGCCCTGCCCGGTGGCTGACCCTTCCATCGCCTTCAGGTCAAATGTGATGAAACATCACCAAACTGTAAACAGTGCGTTCGACAGGGCTATGAATGCCCAGGCTACAACAAACTCATATCGTTCTTCGAGATCCGGGAGATCAGCGACTCCAAGCTGAAAGTCAGTCGACGACGTCGAAATCTGCAGCGACAGCAGGAACAACAAAAGCTTCAGCGAGGCCTCTCCGATGACACATCGTACCTTGTGAGCTACTACTTCAGCAATGTCTGTCCCGTCATATCATGTTTCGACTCTCCGACAAACATCTTTCGACGTGAGCTACCTAGTCTTATAAGGGCATCGGAGACGATTTCTCTGTGCATTCAGGCTATTGCAACCGCGCGTCTCTCGCAATATGAACCATCCAGAATTGAAGCCAAAATCCCGCTCCGAAATCGTGCTCTCAAGTCGCTTTCAACCGACATTGGCAGACTCACCGAGAAAGGGGGGCATGTAGACGAAACACTGATTCTAGCTTCGGTGATGTTAGGCATGAGCGTGGTAAGTAGTACGCAGAATCTAGGTTTTTACCAAGGCTGACCTGTTCAAAGCCCTGGCATAACCGAACACTGGGGGATGAGCATTTTGCCGGCGCCCGGTCGTTGGTGCTGGCATGGCTAGCCAATACTAAAAAGCACCATTCTCCCACGCCTCTTACCCAGCTCATCCTTCCAATGCTCGTATATTGGGAGATGCTGGCGTCGTTTGTGATGCCGGACAGTGCTGGAATCATCGAACCCTTGCGATCTCAGCATCCAAATATCGAATGTCTCATATCCGGAAAAGAGTCCGAACGGGAAGGGAAGGCCAAGCTACATCCATTCACAGGGGCTCCGACAGAAATCTTCGAGCTTGTCGCCAAAGTCGGGCACCTGGTGCGGACGAAGACGAACACGTTCTTGTCTCTTGGAGAAACTCTCGACTCTCGGGCGTCTCACAATGGTCCAGAAGTACGCAAATCATTCAGTGAAAACCTGCAATGGTCAGCTATGGTCGAAGAGTGCGAAGCGGCACTGCTGGCATACCAAGTTCCATCTCTCGAGGAGGTGGACGATACCAATGACTCCAAGACACCGGTTGTCGACTTACTGAACATCGCCGAGGCATACCGATACGCTGCCCTGCTGCAAATTTATCGAGCCTGCCCTGATCTGCTTGAAATGCGGCTTCCTGTTGTCCAGGGCACGGCCCAATCCGCGGACATTGACAGCGAGGCTGCCGCAGACGAGTTCCTCTATGGGCTTGCAGCCGAAACACTCGAGTGCATTGCCAAAATCTCACCCAATTCCGGAACTCATATTGTTCAGCCATTGATTCTGGTCATGGCTGCCAACGAATTACGCCTCTCAAAGCCGAAGGTCGGCGACGCTGAACGACACAAAGCCGGCTACCGAGAATGCGAGGACTGGCGTGACTTCTTGTGGGCGCGGTTGGCAAGCTGTATCGCAAACTTTCGTTCGACACCAATTGCAATCACACTGGATGTGGTAAAGGAGATGTGGGCAAAGATTGACGATGGGCAGCGGGTTTTCTGGCTTGAAATAATCTTGGATAATGGTTGGGAGACTCTGCTGGGTTGAATTCATCCTGCAAGTGTCTCCGTGGTCGCGATTCAATCATTTATCAAAGATTAAGCACAACGACGTGCGAGAGTGATCTATGAAAACCTTGCCACGACTACAGGCTGCTGAACACTTATGTGCCAAACTGGACTACTATCAACCAGACGGCATATGGATGGGACCAAAGGCGTTAGTATCTCCAATAATACTTCGTTCTGGGTGATCCGGCAAAGACCGCGGCCACACTCGCATTAGCTCAGTGTTTGGTGGCTTACTGGGTGGCTGTTCATGACGACCAAAGTTCCGAGGCTGTGCTTGCATTGAACTGCAGCGACGAGACCCACAAGCCAATCATTCAGAGATGTACCTGGTTCGACCAGCAGGCGCACTCATGCTTAGCCACCCAGATGATCCAACAAATTGTTCCACCAGAAATGGTACAAGACTAGTCAGTGATTATTCGTTATCGCCACGGCCGTTCTGACCGTTTACCATCTACCAAAATGCTTCTCCATTTAATTCCTTCCAACCCAACAACATCCACGCTTGAAGCAGACTGGAAGCGCAGAATGCCCAAAGCACAACCGAATGAGACAGTACAGCAAGCTTTGTCGCAGGGGCTTCTGTCGCTGGCACCCTCGTGCAAATATAACATGTGGGGCCAGCTACTCAACAACATGTTTGGTTAAACTGCATAATGCATCTACTTGACGTGCGTACCCGCAAGCTCAAGTACTTCGCAGGCGAGGTGCCGTCGTATGCAATCCTTTCGCACACATGGGGAGATGACGAGATCTCTTTCCAGGACATCAAAAACGCTGGCGTCGAACAACGGGCTGGGTACCTAAAAATCAAGAAGACATGCGAGCTTGCTGCGGGTCTTCAACTCAACTATATCTGGGTTGATACCTGTTGCATCGACAAGAGCAGCAGCACGGAGCTCTCAGAGGCCATAAACTCGATGTATCAATGGTACCAAGACGCCACGGTATGTTACGCTTATCTCTCCGACGTCGATATCAATGTTTCGTCTCGTCGAGAGTCCGATGACCAAGTTTCCAACAGCCGCTACTTCACTCGGGGGTGGACCCTACAAGAAATCCTTGCTCCATGGACCGTCATCTTCCTTGACATGCATTGGCGAGAAATGGGGACCAGGGAGACATTACGAAACACCCTGACTGCCATTACGCGAATACCAGCCAAGTTTTTGTCCGGTGAAGACCTAGGAAAGGCCAGTATCGCACAACGAATGTCCTGGGCATCACATAGGACCACTACACGTTTTGAAGACCGTGCATACAGTTTGCTGGGTATATTTGGTCTTAGCATGCCGTTGCTGTATGGCGAGGGTCAGAAAGCTTTCATCAGACTGCAAGAAGAGATCATCAATAACATTGACGACTATAGCATATTCGCATGGACACTACCAGGGACTGGGAGTGCCGATGTCCTCTCACCATCGCCAGAAGGGTTTCATTACTCGCGAGGCATCATTCCCGATGACTCGATCCGCGAGCCAGACGAGGCAATAATTATCAACAGTAAGGGAATTCATTTACAGGCCAAGATACTTGAGGGACCGCAGCGCGACGGTTCTGTTGTTGCTATACTTCCATGCGAATGGGAGTGCGGTGGGCATGTGGGCATACATGTCAAGGCGCTATGGGACACCGAGGTTTACTTCACACGATCGAGCGATCAACGTCTTGAATCTATCGATTCGCAGCAACTTCAGGGCCTCAGGAGCAGAAAGGTGTGCATTCAACGGAGATATGAGACCCGGAATTACCAACAATCACAGCTCGCTCAAGCTGCCGCGGATGGCAACATCAATGTGCTTCAACTACTGCTTCAGTCGGGCTGGGACCCTGACCACGGCTTCTACCGCGAGTCATCACCGCTCGCCAATGCCGCCATGGCCGGGCACGAGAACGCAGTCCAGGTGCTGCTACAGTACGGCGCCTTGAAGGATCGCAGCGATGGTTCCGGGAACACTCCGCTTGGGTGGGCAGCTACCAATGGACAAGAACATATAGTCAGATTGCTGCTACGGTCCGGCGCCAGAGTAGATTCTCAAGGCTTTTCCCCACTGCGACTGGCTGTTTCACATGGACACGATCATGTGGTCAGGCTGTTGCTAGAGGCTGGCGCTCAGGTGAATCAACCCGACTTTCACGGCAACACCCCACTGGGAATTGCTGCTTCAAGAGGCCACGATCATGTAGTCAGGCTACTGCTAGAGTCCGGCGCTCAAGTGGATCAGCTTGACCCTCGGGGCAACACCCCACTGGGATTGGCTGCTTCAGAAGCACATCACTGTATAGTCAAGCTGCTGCTAGAGTCCGGCGCTCAGGTGAATCAGCCTGACTCCCACGGCGACACGCCATTGGAAGTGGCTGCTTGCAATGGACACGATCAGGTAGTCAGGCTGCTGCTAGAGTACGGCGCTCAAGCGAACCGGCCTGGATCTCAACGCAACGGCACACTGGGACTGGCTGTTACGAACGAACATGACGACATGTTAAGGGGTCTTCGAAGCGATGGCGGCAGTCCAAGTTCAGTCCACGACGTTAAGACCACGATGGAATTCCTGTTCAGAGTCGTTAGAAGACGACAGGCTGGCGTAGTCGATGCGCTTCTCGAAGCCCTTCTCGATAAGGGTGCTGATCCTGATTATGTGGTCGGCGATAGTCGAACCGCGGTGCGAACGACGCGGGACCTGGGAAAGGAGGCTGTGGCACCGGTGTTGCTCAAGAGGGCAGACTTGGACTATTGGAAAGATTCATCCTGTCAGTCGTTGCTTTCGGTGGCGGTGTCCGAATATGGAGATTTGGCAACGGTCAAGGTGCTTCTAAATCATGGTGCCAACATAGAGTGAAGAGGTAGACTGGAATGCACACCACTGAATGTTGCAGCCTGGCTCGGTCATGCAGAGATGGTAGAATTGCTGCTGGAAAGAGGGGCCGACAAAGAAGGTCTGAATTTCCGCGGCCATGGAGAAACACCATTGTCCAACATGGCCAAACAGGGAGATCTGCGTATGGTTAAGATGTTGCTCGAAGCAGGCGCCGACCGCTCCATCAGTAAAATCCATGACGAAACGCCGTTCTTTCTGGCATGGTCAGTTGGCTCCCGTGGTAGGAACCTTGTAAAGCTTTTCGAGGATTGTCCTGCAAGAGCAAGGAAGAGACCGTCAGATGACGACGACGCCCTCGAAGAACCGACACCACGAAAGCGACCAAAGTACGCCCGGAGTGTGGATAATGAAGAGCAGGAGGACCCATTGCACGAAATCAGTTCGCAAAGTGTAGTCTAGCAACGAGTTCTCATTAAAAGTCAAATCGAGCACAAGGCGCTCTGGAACGTCCTCATCGATAAGCACTTCGCCTGAATGCTAGCAGGTTAATTCTGTCGCAGTGGCTGTCAACAACTCTAGACACCTTGTCAAGTAACACATCGTTGTCGAGTAGCTCAGCGTACGCTATAGCAGATCATCGAGGGGGAATCTGAGGCAGAAGAATAGAACATCAACGGTAGAGCCAGGAGACATCAGCCGGCTATTGTAATCACCAAAAGCATTATATTTCCAATACAGAGAATTCCGTGCGTTCCTGTAGATATCCCCAAGCTAAGTAAGCTTACGTCATCCCTGCAGCATAGATATAGTCATGGAGATTGCGCCCTCACTCCCGGACATAGAATTTGTACACATAAAAATCATATCGACAAAAGTGAATTCGTGACCCGTGCCATGTCGCTTTCGCTCATGACATGCGGGCATAATCTTGAGGGTTGTACCGGTACTGCTGGTTGGGGTCTGGACTTCCCGGCTGACTACCCCGATCAGAACCTCTGTACTGCTGCCCTGGCGTACCATTTGAGTCACTCCTGTACTGCTGCCACTGGTAGGAATTTTGATCCGGACTGCTATGTTGTTGTCCTTGTTGTGCATTGGGGTCGGGACTTCTATACTGCTGTCCTTGTTGGCCGTTCGGATCCGGACTCCTCGAACCCCAACTCGCGGACATGCCCTCGTTGGCCGGCAATTCTGCGGCAAATGACCTCTTGTCCAGTCCCGGAGAACTCATCCCTTCTTGGTCGTGGGATGTGGGATGCGAGCTGACGGAGCCCGCATAGCTTTGCCGGTCCGAGGCGCTGCTGTTCACGAACATCGTCTGGCCCGGTGAAGGAGTACTGGCGGACAACTCGGACACCGCCGTTGAGAAGCGGTTCGGCGGTTGCAAGCGCTGATTGTCCTGGACCGTGGCGTACTGCGTGCTCCCGGGCATCTCGATGGCGAGGCCTTGTTGGGGTGCGAGCGGAACGCTACCGTACTGTGATTGTCTGTCATGGCCATACTGCGACTGTCGTCCGTAGGCGGACTGTCTGCGGTCCGGCAAACCTGGCGACATTGGGCCGTAGGGCGACTTGGGCGTCATCATCGACGTCGGCGAGTATTGGCCTGGGCCGGAGGTCTGCGACCGATCGGCCGGATTGAGTGTCTTGAGTCTTCCATCTTCCATCATGGCGCTGAGCTGGCCGGAGTCGATCAGCTCAGCTTTCTTGACCATTCGATCGACCATGATCTTTGAGGCGGCTTTGAGTTCCTTTTTGACGAATGAGATCATGGCGGGATTGCACTTGATTTCGATGTCCTCGCGCAAGTACAAGCCGTCGGCGGGAGCACCGCTGCCTAGCTCTTTTGTCTCGGGTGGCTCACCAGGCTGGTTTCCCCGTATCTGCCACTTGTTGCGGATGTCGACACCCATGGCCGCATAGACGTGCGTTTGTAGACCCCAAGGCATGTCATGGAAGACGCCTTTGAAAGATATCTTGCCCGAACCCATCTTGCCCATCCCCGGTATATACTGTATCCGCTGGGAGATTTCGTACCACGTGGAGAAGAACTCGTCCGAGGGCGCATTCTGGGGAGCCTTGACAGGCTTGTAGCCGGTTACTAGCGGATTCAACTCGATGATTTCGCCATGGCTGTGAAGCATGTCAATGGCCAGCTGCCGGGGGATCTGGGAGGGAATGGGTGTGATATTCGCGTAGACCGACTTCTTCTTCATCATGTTTTTGGCGGGGTGTTTCGTACAGTGGGGAGGCTGACGGTGGTATGTATAGGAGGAGGAGGGGACCTAAAAGGGCATTTCACTTGTGCTTCGCAACAGGAGTGAGCTTTTGATGAATTTGTACAGTCTTGCCCGGCAAAGGATCGAGTAATTGTCGCAGGCAGAAGATGTAAGATTGCGCGCAAAGCCTAGAGCTCGAGGGATCAGTAGTGACTAATTGGTGAGGCTGACCATGCAGCACTTGGCCTGGCCGGTCGAGGCTTATTGGCGCAGACGGCGAGACGGCGATATGGGAGAAGAGATGGCATTGCCTGTCACCAAGATGGGCATGGTGGACATTGTGTCTTGAACAAGGCTACTAAAGTCGACGGCGGCTGTATTGATCTACATAGGGTTTGCGATACCAGATCGTATTGATGCGCTGAAGTCTGAAGAACGTCACTTGATCAGAATCTCTGTGTGTACGGAGTACAATGATGGGGATCGTGTAGTCGGTAACTTTGCCAGGCCGGATACCAGCAGATCCGGGTCCCTCAATTATAATCTTCGGGCTTGATGCAGGTCCCCAGGCAGCTTTTATTGGCTCTTACCCCTCTGCCAATATTACCTAAGTTAGAGACCTAGGTATCTACTCTGGGCGCACTGCCGCATTTGGGCGGAAGGTTCACGCATTTATCTCCTTTTCACTTTGTTCCTGCGACGAGTTCCTGCGACGAAGATTTCAATAAAACGGAAAAGATGCTGTCATCATCTACTCGATGGAAGATATCATCGGAGATTGACGCCAGAAGAGGAGGCCTGAAATTGCATCTTTGATCTCAATAACGACCCTCTGCGATACGAAGCTGCCTGACTTCTGCTCGGCCCCATACGATCTACACTCGCCGATCGAGTGGCGGAGCAGACAGTCCTCGAAATAGTGCCCCCAGGTTATTCACGATTGGACGCCCACATGCACCAAGATCGATCCTCTGACGAGCACGGCTGAACGGACCAACACTCGTATCTCCCAAACAAGAAATCCGTATACACACCAGTGTCAGCTGCTTCCAAATTCTTCCCAAGACCGGCATGCATCCCATACGATCACTCTCAACTTAGAAGTCGTCGTTCATGTACGCCTGCAGCCACGCATTCCGTCCAATCCACGATCGAACCCTCTTGCCGAAAATCCTGGAATAAAGTCAGCATAATCTCTTCCAGTCGAGGGATAAATCTTACCATAATGGGACTGTCAAGAAGCACACGAATAGAAACAAGGCTCCCAGGACGCAGAACACCTTCAATGCGCCAGATTGCGCCAACCAGCTGTTGACGAAATAAGTGAGTCCAAACGTCAACAGGTTTCGCGCATTGATGGCCACGAAAGCCTCCTCGTTCAACTTCGGGTATGAGTCGATCACATAGCCGAACACGCAGGTCGATGCAAAAGCAAGACTCATGTTCGCCAGGCCGAACGTCAAGACAGGACCGGACCAGTGAGTCTGGTAGTGGACAGTTGCTCCAAAGCCAAAGAACCCGACCGTGCCCAAAACTGCAACCACAGTCATGAGCACGAGACGGAACTCTGGCTCGTAAATACCCTTGTTCCTCTTGGTCAAGTAGACGCAGATCCAATCATTCAATGGTCCAGAGATGACTTCTCCCAGCAAGGTCAGGATGAACGGCGACAAGCTGATCAATCCGACCTGCGAAACCGTGAAGTTGTAGGGAGGAGCGACAAAGATGACACCATTAACGACACTGAAGACGACAACTGTAAGCCCGAGTCAGTATCCAGCGCCAAAGCTTCGGCATAAAACTACTCACTCCAGGTCAAGGTGGTTCCGTACACCAAGAATCCCCAGAAGACTGCGGGATAGAAGAACAATATCACAGGACGAGTAAAGATCTTGAACATCGGGGCATAACTGTAGCGGCCGGTGAAGATGCGCAGTGATTGCATGTACGTGTGCTTCTCCTCGGCTGACCCGCGTGTGACAGAGTACGAGAGGTGCTTGTCTTTCTCGCCATGTGCTTGAGATGTGTCGTGCTCATGAGCCAACCCCATGTGAACGTGTTGTGTTCCCGCTTTCTCTGCGTCACCGACCACTGTGTCTTGAATGGGGACAACCACGACCGCATCGCGGCGATAGGAGGTTTCTGGAACCAAGAACAGCACGGCAAGCATCAAGACGCCAAAGAAGATGGCGCAGACTCCGAACGTCCATTTGTAGCCATCGTATTGGATAATGTATCCAGACACGAGACCTCCGCCAGCGATACCGGTGAGTAGGAACAAATTCCAGACGGCAATGCGGGTGGCGCGTTCATGCACAAAGTACAGATCGCCGATAGTACATTGGACAAGGACCTATGCAGGGAGTCAGTCCACGTCCTGCAGGCGTTCTTCAGGACAGCAAGCTTACCTCATACGGAGCCATTCCAATACCCGATATAATTCTGCTAGCCAGGAACGAGCTATAGTTGGTGGCCTCCGCTCCCCAGACGCTGCATGCGAACATGATGACGATGGCAAGAATGTAGATGGGTCTCTTTCCATACAGCTTGGCCAGCGGGTTCGTGATGAACAGACCAAGACCAATAGTGAGGATCAACCAGGCCGTGGACTGAGACAAAACATTGACCGTGATGTTGAGTTGCGCGGATATTTCGACAAAACCAGGACCAAGCATGGGACCGAATGCACCAACGACGGCCGCCGAGAGACCAACGATGATCAGAATCATGTCCTTTTTCCATTGTGGCCAGTTGAGAGGATCATTCGGAGAGTCGGATGGTTGAGGAATCAAGATAAGATGCGAGAACCGCCCCGTTCCATGCTTGAGAAGCTCTCGAGGTACTGCTGAATACTCGGGTGGAAGGTCTTCCTGGTCACTCATGAACGAAGTGCCAGGAACGACTTCCAGCTTTTTGCAGTCGACGATTCCGAAAGGCATCTTTGCTGAATACCCCCGAGGGTGTATGTGTCAAAGGACTAAAGGATGAAGAAGAGGTCGGTAGTATCAACCCCAAGCTATCTCTTGATAAGCCGAGATCTTACAGCTTTTTAGACGGCGCTGCAGCTGAGCTCCTGAGGTCCAAGTATCCAGAGCAATCCTTTTGAAGGGGCAACGATGACTGTTAAAACAATTCAATAGATGCTGAAGAGCGGAGCAAGCTTCCGCACTTGTTCGTGCAGCACTACTGTCAATAGCCAAGAGCTCTTTGACAGTTACACGGGGCTTTGCCTGGGAGCATGGGGCTCCGCCATACAAAATGGAGTAACTCCGTATACTGGAGTTCCCACGCGTTTTGCAGCCACACAGCACACTTCCCTATAGGTTGTGATCATGAGCAACGACTTTTGGGGTTTGAAAGGAGAAAGGCAACTCGGAACTGTCCCACTGGATGACAGCTATGCCGAAAACAAGATGGTGTGGGAGGAAAAGCCCCAGCTCGACATGCCCCAGATTCCCAGTCAACCCCAAGTTTAGACGAATAGGAGGTGGAGGGCTCCGTATGATCGAACAGCGCATCACTCAGCAGGGGCATTTATCCGTGTCGTCCGGGAACCCCAGGTGCATCTTCCGTGAGGCGCTGCATGGGGCATGCCCGGCAGTTGAAGATGCTCGCATGGCCGAGATCTCGCCTCAGTGCAGGTGATATCTGAAGCAGCATCATGCCTGTCTAAACCGACATTGGCGAAAGTCAAAGAGTTGGAGGGATCAAGAACCCCTGGTTGACTCGACTATTGATGGGCTAGCCATGGACGTCGACACCAAATCAGGAAGATGCGAGCAACCTAGTCGCGAAATCTATTCCAACCGAGCCAGGCCCGGTTCGCTTGTGGCTAGGATGCTCGCATACATGGCGAGATGGCCAGAGACGTCGTCTATGCGCAATTTGGAGGAGATGTTGAGATCTACACGCAGCATGGTACTTCGAACATTGAAGCAATTCTGAGTTGATGGCCTGGCCCCGAGTTCCCGAACCAGTGACAAGGCTGCCTGCCGTTCATATTACAACATTGGGTTTTATTCTCTACGACTCACATTTCATGCTAGTTGGTCAACCTCTGTGGCTATCACCGTCTGAATGCCACTCTTCTGTTCAGACTCAGGTGGGGTCTCAGTCTTGACAGGTTTGCCTTGCCTCAAATCCTTCAAAACATCATCAACCACTTCGTACGCGTGAGTTTCGGCATCGAAGTCCAACAACCATGCTTCTCTCTTCAGGTGCAACACTGTGACATCTTTCCATATCTCATTCCAGTCAGCTTTGTGCCACTGTTCTCGCGTTGTTACACCCGTCATCTGAGCTCGGTGAACACGTCCATACCGGATAGCCTCATATGCCCGGATAGCGAGAGGAACATCCGCTTTGCCTGCCTTCTGCAGAGTGATGGCTAACGTCACTCCGTCTTCCATCGACTGACTGGCTCCCTGGATCGATGTCGGTAAGAATGGATGTGCAGCATCGCCGATGAGACAGATGCGAGCCTTTGGTGATATGAAGGTCGGTAATGGATCTCGGAAGACCAGCTTGTAATCGACGAGTCGGTCGGGGGGAGTTGCATCGACAATGTCGTGGACTACCGGCGCCCAACCGGCCAAGTGTTTCTTCACCTCATCCTTGTTTCCCGGGAACTGCCAGTCTTCCTCGATATCACCATCGTCCTTGTGTGTCAACACCCAGCTGAACTCCTTTCCGTTCTTCACTGACGCAGCCAGAAAGTGCTTGTCTTCGCCAATCTAAAACAGATTAACCTTGATCCGTGGAATGGGTCGGTGTCAACCTCTTACCCATCCAGTATGCGTGTCACCGTTTATAACGAGGTGCTTTGTCCTCTCATTCTTAGCAAGCTCGTCCGAGTCAAACCATGAGCGATAAACAGCATAGCCTGACGGCTTTGGCGGATCCTCGGTACCCAACACAATCTTCCTGCCAGCAGACTTGACACCCTCTGCAGCAAAGACACAATCTGCGACCACTTTCTCACCATTTGAAACAACACCTGCCTCGGTATCGGTCTCGAAATAATCGGTGACAGTTTGACCAAGTCGAATATCAACACCTCTCGCTTTGGCATGTTTGTACACCACGTCATGGATCTGGCCTCTATGTCCGTTTATGCGTCGTCCCCATTGCTTCTCATCCCCCCATTGCTGTCGAGTCGCGAAGTTGCCCATCCAGTCGTGGAAATCCAGTCCAGTGCTTTTATGGACGATGGGGTCGAGCTCGTCAACTACACCCTCCCATCTCTCGAATATGTGACCCGAGTTTGAGGAGAAACTGATGACATCCCCTAGAGGCTTGAGCTGTTTGACCTTTTCCAATAGTATGACTTCATGGCCTTTCCGATTGCATTCAATGGCGGCGCATAAACCACCAAACCCTGCTCCGACTATAAGCACCTTGATACCCGAAGGTGGCAGCTTTGCTAACTCCGGCATGTTTATGACTTTCGAGATGCTTGGTGCCGCTTGCGAAATGCCTTTGAAAGACCAGCGAGCAAAAGAATGGCTCTTTGAACAAGCTTTCCAAGATGATCACGGTTCGAAGTCTACCTTGGGTTCGTGTTCACCAAGTCTGTTGTTGCCACGTTGACGATCACAGGACCACAATTTCAGCCTTCGTCAAACTCAACCAGCTTTCAAACGTTCTTGTTGACTCCCGAGTTCAAGATATCTTCCATGGCCGGCACATCAAACCACACGACTGCCGACAGAGTTTATTAAATGAGGTTGGAATAACCAGAAATGGGCTTTTTCCGCCTTGTGACTTTCGCTCCACGAACTCCTGACTTCGGCACCCGCACAGCATGATGGGGGGGATGGGGGGTAGTGCCGATCCATCCACACATCATTTGTGATCCTGTCCTTTCGGCTGTCGTCGATTGGCTATGTGTGGTCGGCAATGATGTCGAGCAGATTCGACTCCTCACTTCTCCTCAATCTAGGTGATCCTGTGCCGACGGGCCATGATCTGTAAGCCGTTGTAGCAAGATCATGTCGGGCAGTTGTTCAACGACTTTCAATGTCGAACTACTCACTGTAATCATCACCAGCTCCTCGCCGACGGCTGTTTGAAGGATAGATCTAGGAAGAACTTACAGCCCAGGCACTCCAATGGCGTGGTCGACGTTCTTCCTCTTCTGGACAGGTCTCACCGGGGTGGCCCTCCTGATACTCCTCGGCGTCGTGGTTCACGATGTGATACTATGGCGACGAATGCCTCCAGGTCCAAGACCACTCCCTTTCGTCGGCAACAAATTCGACATCTCAACTAAACACCCCTGGATCCAGTTCCAAGAATGGTCCAAAACCTACGGGCCAATCTACACATTATGGTTCGGCCGACGACCAACAATCATCATCTCCGATCCCACCGTGGCCGTCGAGCTGCTCGAAAAGCGGTCCAACAAGTACTCTTCACGTCCACGCTTCGTGGTCATGGGCGAACTTCTCTGGGACGGAGCCGCCATCCTCGTCAAGCCCTACGGCAAAGAATGGCTGGTGAGGCGCAAAGCATTACATTCAGCCTTGACACCGCGAGTCCTGCTGAACTACCGCCCCGTCCAAGAAGCCGAGGCGACGCGTCTGTGCTACCACCTCCTACAAGACCCCCAACACTTTGAACCCCATCTCGACCGCATGACCGCTAGCATAGTGTTTACCATCGCGTACGGTCACCGCGTCGACAGCCTCCAGTCGCCTATCATCAGACAACGTCTCAAGATGATGCACCGCGCCGCCGCAACGAACGTGCCAGGCCGGTATCTCGCCGAGTCATTCCCCATGCTCGCACGCATCCCGGACGCACTCGCGCCATGGAAGCGCGAAGTCAAATCTTGGGGGTTGGAAGAAGCAGCCGCCAACGCCCAACTCCTTCAATACGTCCGCGAGGACATGGAGAACGCCAAACATCCCGGCGCCGCACCCCTCCCCAACAGTCTTGCCAAACACCTTCTCGAAGCCCGCGACGCCGACCCATCCAATTTCGCACTCCTCCGCGACCGCGACTTCGCAACCTTACCAGCAAGCATTTTCGGCGCCGGGGCCGACACCACAGCCAGCACACTCTGCTCTTCAATCCTCGGCCTAATCACGAACCAGGATGTCGTTGAGGCCGCGCACGCCGAACTCGACGCCGTGATCGGAACCGATCGTCTCCCCAATTATACCGACGAGTCCTCTCTACCATATATTCGGGCATTGTGCAAGGAAGTCCTCCGCTGGCGCCCCGTCGCTGTCCTAGGCGGTACACCGCACGCGAGTAGCGAGCCCGACACATATAACGGATACTATATCCCCTCTGGCACGAATATCCTAGGAAATTCATGGGCCATCAACAGACATGAGGACTACTATCCTAACCCGGATAACTTCAACCCTTTACGATTTCTGGACGTTGACCCCCAGACGCTATCATATCTACCTGCGAAGTATGTCCAGGGTACGGTGCGGGAGAAAGGACGTTTACAACATCCAAGTAAACTAGGCCACAGCAGCTTCGGATGGGGTCGTCGAATATGTCCTGGCGCAGACCTCGCGAACGCGAACCTGTTCATTGCATTGGCGCGAATGCTCTGGTGCTTCGACATCAAACCGCTCAAAGGTGTGGTGTATGACACGTACGATTATACGGATGGATTCAATATCCGGCCGAATCCGTATAAATGCGAGATTACGATCCGAAGTCAACGTCACGAAGAGGTGCTGAGCGCGGAATTTGAGGATGCACAAGGTTTTCTGACAAAGAATTTCCCCCTGTTCAAGGAGCATGAGATTGTCGTCTAGACTCCCATCCGCTGAAATAGTTGTATTCAAAGCTACTTTGCACCTTGCATACGCTTCATTCTCTCCTCGGCAGCTCGTGCTCTTCGTTCTCGTTCCAGACGCATTCTCATCTCTGGCGTTAATCCTCTCATTTCTTCTTCGCGCTTTTCTGACCCCGTCTTCTCAATTGCGGCAGCGAGCGTCTTGCCCGTACCGGCTTTTCGTTCGATCCGTCCGACGTTCTTCTTCTCTTCTTCCTGCCGGATATGCTCGAGATCAGCTTTCCTGCGCTGAGCCTCGGCTGCATCATGGGCTGCTTTTTCTTGCTTGGCCTTCGCATCGGCTTCGTCCTGACTTAGTGGCGAAGGAATATGTGTTTTTGTCCATTCAAAGGTATTTTCACCTATTTGTTGTCTCGCGACGCGGAAAGTGTCCCTGGTCTTCGTATCGCCTGCGATCTCGTAGGCAGTCTTTCCATCGCCGTTCGTGATCGTTGGGTCTGCCTTGGCTTTCGTGAGAAGTGCCAGAACGAGTGCAGGAGAGTTGGTTGACGCGGATAGATGGAGCGGAGTCGGAGCGTGATGATGCTCCGCTGCAGGGTAGAAGGAGAAATCTGGCGAGAGCTCATTCTTGGACAAGTACAAGAGGACACCTGGAGCCTTGGACCGTCGTATCAGTGCTTGTAATTGTGATGTGTGTAGTTGCGCCGCCTCGTCCTCTTTACTGAGCTTCGGTGCTGCCGGTTTTGGCTTTTGCTCTTTGGGTGCAGCCTTCTCTGCTGGGGTCTTCTCTTCCACTGGTTTGGTCAACTTGCCAACCTTCACTCTCGTGAGTTCCTGGAATGACCGGAGCAGTTCGGCTTGTGTCGCACGACGGGTGCTGAAGGGAAAGCCTCGAATCCTCTTGTCGTTGCTGCGTAGGACTTGACCGTCATATGGTCCAAACAACGTTCTTCGGTTCGTAGATCCTGTCGCCCGAATGAAAAGCAGTTCAGAAGTGTCAATCATGTTTTTCCATTCCGAGAGAACATTTCTGATATCAACTTCTAGAGCTGCTTCGTTGTACCGTCGTATTGAGGATCCCGCTGAATGTGCATTGCCTTTTGCATTGTCATTTGCAGATTGAGAACCACCCTGTTTCCGTCTCGTGGTGTACCGATGGAACGTCTTGTGTGCTTTTACCACGGCATGACGTTCTTCCACGCCCCCAGGACCCTTTCTCAGTTCTGGTATAAGCGAGACGATCATCGCCGCGAAGTGTCCGCCACCAATCATGCATAGGAAGAAATGTGGCTCGTTGACCCCAGACTGTGTAGAATTTCCTTGCGCTTTCCCACTTTGTTTCGCCATAGTGGGTTTCAGCTGCTTTCGTTTGATGATGTCTACTAACGACGTCGGCGCAACTTCTTGCTCTTCATTCGACAGAATCGCTCTGTAGACACCCAACCCGGCATCATCTCCAACCATTGGACTCGTCATCCACAGGAGTGGCGCATTTCCGAAGCCTTTCGGTTTCGTGCTGGTTGGATTTCCATGGTCCTGCCCGGATATCTTCGCCTGCCTCCTCAGAAGCGCACTTAGGGTTGTGTCTCCTGGTTTGCCTTCAGCTTCCTCCTCGTCCGACTCGTCGGAGTCTGAACCAGATAGTGATTCGTCGAGGTCGCCTATCATTCGTATGAAAGTGGCTTCGTCTATCGGAGGTTGTTCTTTTATGCTCAATTTCAGGTTGTACCGGTGGAAATCGGACTTGACGTGCTGTCTCTGGTCTTGGACGTTGTTGAATGACACTTTACACAAAGAACATGACGCCGAAGTCGCGATACCATCCTCGTTCACATTTTGTCGCTCTGTTGTTACGTTTTGATCTTCGCCATCTTCTGTCTTTGTCTGATCGACGCCAGCGAGGGAAAGAGTAAAGAGTAGTTCAGGAGGTAGATCGTAGACTGTCGCAAGTCAGCCAAACCACCTAGGACCATGAGAGGGAGAACCACCATAAAGAGGACGTCGGAGGAGTGGATTTGTCTCCTCCGTCTTGCCCTCCATGCTGTATTGACAGTGATCTGCTGTAGTCGAGAACTTTCAAAGTCTGTCGTGCAGGTTGTGTGCCACAAAAATCGTAGAAAGACTGCGGAGTTCGAAGGCAGTCAACAATGAAGTCATACAATCGAATCACGTTTCTTGGTGTCGATTTCGTGGGATAATATTCGCCTGCCCCGCGTCTTCCACATTGTTGGCCGTGGGCCGCATTAAACGTTTCACTTACAACCCATGTTACATCTATCTCGAAACACTGGGTTGTACGAACAAACAAATGGAAGAGATGAGGCAATGACACGAGTCACTGTCAATAGTTGCAGCATGACCCACGAACATGATGTGTGTTCTACCAGTCAGTGCCTTTCCATTTTCTTTTTATTGTTCTATACTTTTATCCCATTCATATGGGCGATCGTAGCAGAGTTTTATATATGCAACCCTTGATCCATTCCAGTGCCTGTCAGTAGGCATACTAACCACTACTACGCCTGATAGTACCATCTATTGCTGATCTCCAACGACCAAAAGAGTGACATGCGGATCAAATCCATGCTAGAGGTCACCTAGAACGCCTTGGCATGGTAATCTGGCGACCATGTTCTTCGGACAACATTGTCCTTGGCCGGCGCGCCGACTGGTGCTGGCTCCCTCTTCCGCAGAATGCCTTCGATAATCGAAGTGACTTCACCAAGAATATTGTTTCCTCCGGACGCGGCGTTTGCGGTGTTGGCGTTGGCGTTCTTGTTCTTGTTCTTTGTAGTGGTAGTAGTGCTGGCCCCCTTGTTCTTGTGGTGTTTCGAAGTGGTAGTTGTGTTTGTGGTCGAAGTCGTGTTGCTGACGAGAGAGGCGGTGGCATTGGCTGCTGCAGCTACATCATCTGCAGTTGCTCCACATGCACTTGCTATAGCTGTGGCGGTGGTGTTGTCGACCGCTGACGTCGTATTGAGTGCGGCAGTCATGGCGGCAGCCACGCAGCTCGATGCAACAGCTGTGGGGTCTGTCACATTGGCAGCGGCGGAAGTTGCGTTGGCGGTGGCAGCAGCTGCGTCGGCGGCAGCGATGGCTGCGTCATCGGTCGAATTGCTGGCTGCGGTGGAGGTCTTCTTGTTGTCTTTCTTCCGAGCTTCAAGAGTGTTGTCGCGTTTATAGCCGTGGGGCACCGTGACGACGTAGGCATTGATGACTGGCGTAAGAATACTCGCCGATAGGGCCAACGACGCCAGGTTGCTGGGTTGGAAGGTGGAGGCGAGGACCTGGGGGGAGATAAGCAGCGAAGCGCCGAGAAGGAGAGTGGCAAGCCGGGCCATGTTGATATCTGGTGGTGTAAAGAAGGGACAACTTGTGTGCCTGTGCTGAGCAGTTGTAATGTACGTCAAACCTACGGAAATGAATGCAAGATGTTGAGTGAAATGAATGGGTAGGGCCGGCCTGAATGCAATGCAAAGGGAAGAAGATGGCGTGGATGCTGCGAGTTGTGAACGGTCTGAAGAACAACGGGAAGACGGGGTCTGATATAGAGACTTCATGGTGAATAATTCTGTATTCGACATTGTGATGACCGTTGGTCTCTCCAGGACATGAGACTCGTGCACCACTTTTCTCTTACGGGTTCCGCATCGAGCCTTCCAAATCCTGAAGTGCTCAGTCGTACGCACGGGATCTGGCCTGCAAGAGAAAGGAGAGCAAACATTGGCAAGCATCAGGCGATGTGAGGCTGGCGACTTCCGTAGAGTCGGCCGTGAAGCTTACGCGTCAATGGACGTTCGAGTATACTTCGAGACGAACACACCCCAGACTCGTAGCTGGTGGTGCAAAGTTTGTGCCAGCATCTGCGTAGCCGGATCAATCACAGTATTCAACAGGGAAGGGTTGTTCGGAATGGCTGGACCCGTAAGACGAAACATGTTTGAAACTTGTGGGAGGCCTAGGAGGCAAGGCTGTGGATAGAATCTTTGACGCCGGATATGTTCCATACTCAAAGGGCCAAGGCTGTGAGGTTTGGCTTGGCAGGAATAGGGAGTATCGAAGAATCCCGGAGGCGTCGTCATTATCTAGAAACAGAGAGTCGTTGATATGCAGATTTGGAATTCGTGGTTTCATTGATGCTTGGGTATCTTTTCATTCATGTTCGTCGTAATGGGTTTCTGTTGTACATGTTGCAGGATATTCCCTGGGACCAAAAGAATTCAATCACCGCCCAATCTTCTCCCTGCGCCTCTGCCACCCCAAGCACCAGAAAAGCCGCTGGTCCATCCTCTACTTTGTTGTTGAGGCTCAGGTTGTCCTGGTCTAAAGCTGGTACCGTAGCCTTTGTTGGTGAAGGCACTTCGGTTGGCACCAAAATACCGCTTGATCGCGGCGGGCGTCTGAATGTAATTCCTGCCACCTTGGAAGGTAGGGTACAGTCTCGTCAAGAAGTCATAAAGATGTGCTGCGACTAGACCAACACCCTGTTGCAGAGCTGCTTGGGGTCCGCCCATGACCAAGCTGAATACTAGCGTAGCCCACGGGAGAATTTCGACTGGAATTTGCACAATGATGAAATGTGCCTTCTTGCCGCGGTTGTCCTGGGCGTAGGTGTAGATGAATCCGAGGAGTAGAGCTTGTGTAAAGACCATCGACTTCAGGATAAAGCCGCCAACGACCTGCACCAGAGTCAGCTAGACCGTACTAGACACTGATTTGGTGAAACAAAACATGTTCAATTGTTGAGATGTAGGAAGCTCTAACCGCCGTGCGTAAATTGGTGAATCACGAAAGCTTTCTCAATAGAGCCACCACCATGCCCGCACCGCATATGAACCTTGACAGATTGTTTTGCGAATGATAGATCCATATGTGCCACGGGGGTTATCTTCCTCATCTCCGGAACCGATACAGCTATCCTTTCTAAAAGAGCTGGGCGGGCAGATATGTGAGGTGCCAAAAAACAAAACAGGGAAAAACGTAACGTAGCATGGAAGGGAATATTGAACATTGCACGACTTATACATACCAGAATGACGGTGGCTAAGAAGAGAACGTAAGTGAAGAAATCACCCGGCTGACTGAATCTCGAAGAGGTGAGCTCCAAACCCGAAGCATATGTAAACACTGGAGGTTTGTCAGCATGTCTGTCGAGAAGGTCGCGTGATGAACGACTTACTGAAATATAGGTCGAAAAGGAACGAAAGTCCACCGCCGGTCAGCAGGAACGATGACAGAATCCGCCATAACTCTGGTGGAAACTTGAATATCGAAGGCGTGTAGAAAACCACCCGCATGCCATTGACGAGACCTGAATGGACAAGGGCAGATTCGACAAACATGGCTGCGACAATGGTCCTGCTCACAGGAGGAGCACTCCAGAAGCGGTCCATAATGTCTACACCACCACCGCTCATCTTGATAGATGCGCAGAAAGTCAAGCACTGGAGGGAGATGTCGTGATGAAAGCTATAAAGAAAGGTTCATATTGAACACGCTGTCGATGGCTCAAAGAAATGAAAAGATGCAGTCGGTGGAGACCGCCAAGAGCGATGAGGCACTAGTACATAACTGGTTAGTGCGCTCTTCGAAATTCGAAGCCTCCGCATCTTGCCAAAGAAGTTTTTCTGAGCGTCCAGCAATATTGTCGCAAGATCAATTAATCTGTTTGTGTTGTACGCCTTTCTTCCTGGGTGCTGTATTCCACCCTTATTCGTGGTGGTCTCCTAGTACTCATCGACGGTCGGACTACATCCGTCGTCGACTCTTCCAGCTCTGAAGGCCGAGCAGCGTCGCCGGCCACACCTTTCGCCAACCATGGCCAAGGTCGAGAACGCTGAGGAGGTTGACTATGCCATCAAGCCAGAAAACGTCACATCTGTAATCCCGACATCAGAATGGCCATTGCTACTCAAGAACTATGACAAGCGTCAGTTTCCAGATATGAGCTGTGCGCACACTAAGGACTAACCTTGCTGTAACAGTACTCGTCCGAACTGGACATTTCACTCCCATACCCGTCGGCTGCACGCCCCTAAAACGCGATCTGAAATCCTACATCTCCTCCGGTGTCATCAACCTCGACAAGCCCTCAAATCCATCCAGTCACGAAGTTGTGGCATGGGTCAAGCGCATCCTGCGTGTAGAAAAGACTGGTCACAGCGGCACACTCGATCCCAAAGTCACAGGTTGTCTTATCGTCTGTATAGACCGTGCGACTCGTCTGGTCAAATCACAACAAGGTGCCGGAAAGGAATACGTGTGTGTGATCAGATTACACGACAAACTTCCTGGAGGTGAAGCGCAGTTCGCTCGAGCACTCGAGACCTTGACCGGTGCTTTGTTCCAACGACCTCCATTGATCTCTGCCGTCAAAAGACAACTACGTATCCGAACCATCCACGAAAGCAAGCTCTACGAATTTGACAATGACCGTCACCTCGCTGTCTTCTGGGTGAGCTGCGAAGCTGGCACATATATCCGAACACTCTGTGTACACTTGGGTCTCCTTCTGGGTGTCGGTGCGCATATGCAGGAGCTGCGAAGAGTGAGGAGTGGTGCAATGGCCGAAGGCGATGGCATGGTCACACTGCATGATGTGCTCGACGCACAATACATGCATGACAACAACCGAGACGAAGCATATCTACGCAAGGTCATTTCACCCCTAGAAAGCCTGCTCACGACATACAAGAGGATCGTGGTCAAGGACAGTGCTGTCAACGCAGTCTGCTACGGTGCCAAGCTCATGATTCCGGGTCTTCTGCGTTTCGAAGCCGGCATTGAGGTCCACGAAGAAGTCGTCCTGATGACCACCAAGGGTGAAGCCATCGCTCTAGGTATCGCGCAAATGTCCACGGTCGAGCTGTCGACCTGCGACCACGGCGTTGTAGCCAAAGTCAAGCGATGTATCATGGAGCGAGACCTCTACCCACGTAGATGGGGCATGGGTCCTGTCGCCCTGGAGAAGAAGAAGATGAAGTCCGATGGAAAACTTGATGTAAGACCCTCCCTTTCACCCCCATAAACAATCTTGAGACTGACTGACCACCCACAGAAATACGGCCGTCCTAACGAAGCCACTCCCGCAAAATGGGCGTCCGAATACACAGACTACAACGCCCCACTGACTGTCGACGGGGCACCAGTCGCGGAAAAGACCAGCAGGTCCGACGTTCTGTCTGCGCCACCCATCGCCCCCAACGGTGAAACGGGAGACAGCATGGACCTCGACGACACCGCTACCGCAGTGGAGCACACCAATGGCGACGCGGCGTCCCTCGGCCCGAAAGAGAAGGACAAGAAGCGCAAAAAGGAGAAACACGAAGGCGAGACGCCCGAGGAGCGCGCCGAGCGCAAGCGCAGGAAAAAGGAGAAGAAGGAGAAAAAGGAAAAGCGCAAGAGTGGTGCAAGTAAGGCTGAGGATGACGATGATAGTGACTAGGCATACTCACGCTACTGCTTGTCTTGCACGTATTGAGCTTCGGGCGGCGTTCAGGTCCAACGGGGTAGGCCTAGGAGTGCTGTGGTGGTGTTGTACTCCAACGTCAACGATGCAATAGCTGCATTCTGTGTGTCTACTCTATGTGCTGTGCTTTAATACGGCGAGCAGGGCAAAAATGGGCTATGGGCTCATGTTGATGTAAAAATGTGAATATTCATCTTATGCTCTGCGATTCCACGAAGATCGACGTCAACAAGATGTCGCTACAAGGCCTCGATTGAAGGAACTCCTGGAAGTCATCCAGGGCACATAATGTGATCAAGGTGGCAGCATCCTCATACAGGACGATATGGTGCCTTATTGATTCATTGACATAGTCGGTACATCGTTTCAATCGCTATCCTCCCAATGTCCGCGGTTTATGGTGAGCGATCGCGCTAGAGAGGTGCGTGCTCAAGAACCTCATCTGTCATAGCCTTTCCAGCCAGAGAAATACATCATCGCTTCGTGAAATCATGCTCATGAAGGCGACACATGGGCATCGCCACGTCGTAGAAGGCGTCCAAACAGGCGACCAGGCTAATAGCCCTCCTCGCCTGCCTTGCAAACTTTGATCTCTCGGCCCCATTCAGACTTCAGGACCTGAGAGGCGGTGATACGACGGCCAGGGTTGGGGTCGAGGATCGAGTATATGACGTTCCTACAGCGTGCCTAAGAATATGTTAGTTGTTGATCGAGATAGAAAACAATGACACTGACCCTGTGCAACGTCTCTATTGGGGCATAGCCATCTTCATCTCTTCTGCCCTCGAGATATCGCTCATAGAATTCATCTTCTTCTTTACGAGCAACCCTCCATAGATGGCGGCCAGTCCTCATAGCCATGTAAATGACACCACAAGCCCAGACATCCACGGCTCGAGGGTCAAATTCGCCGCCTTGGTATTCTTCAGGTGCGATGTAAGGAGCACTTCCGCAAAGTCCGGCAGTCATATGGGCTTCTTTTTCCCAAGCCATTCGGAAACACTCGCCATTTCCGAAATCCGTAATCTTCAGGGCGCCGTGCGTAGTAAGGAGCAGATTTTCAGGTTTCAGATCACGGTGAGCAACGCCCATTTCGTGCATATACTCCACGCCACGCATATACTGCTTGAAGAAGCAGTCAGCTTCTAGGACTTGAAGTTGTCCAGCAGCCAAAATCAGGGTGTATAGATCACCACCGGCACAGTACTCCATGACTTCGCAGTAATCTCCCTTAGAATCTTGAAGGAGATCGAGGGTGTGGATGATATTGGGATGACGGAGAGACGATGATATGCAGAATTCGCTCGTGAGTCGTTTTTGGTACTTTTTCGAAGTTTCTTGTGGCCGGCGACGGAATTCCTTGACGGCGTAAAGCTGCTCGCCAGCAGCACTACCGGGATCTGGTTTGTGAGATATTCTGACGATGCCGAAAGCGCCACGGCCGACGATTTCTTGACATTTGCCATACTTCTCGACCAGGTTGGCAGAGGCATTGGGACCTCCTTTTTTGTCGCCTGCTAGGCTATCTTTTTCCGATCTAAGTTGGTCCACCCAGGACGACATCAGGGAGAGTTGCTGGTCTCCATCAGGGTCCTTCTTTTTGCCTCCTAGCATTTCCCGGAGCATATCAGACAACTTTTCCTGGCGTTTCGCGGATTTGAGGTAATGTGCGTGGGTGCCATCCTCTTCCATCTCAAATCGCTTGTGTTGTCCATAGGCCGATGGATCAGCAGGAGGTTCATTCTTTTTCTGGGCTGTGTGTAACAAGGCCATCTTTTTGTTGTCCTTTTGATCAGCCGACGCAGTTCTCGCGCTGGAAGGCCGATGACCGTTGGCACTGTCAGGACGACCATCGGGCGAGGAAAGATCCCTTATGAGTTCTGCTTTGGCAGCGTCGATGTCTTTCTGCTCGGTGCGAGAAAACATGCGCGTCAGGCGGTGCGTCATCTTGGGCTTCTTTGACGGCACAGCTGTTGTGGACTGGGTGCGCGCAGGGATAGGCGCGGCAGGCACGGCTGTACCATTCACCGAAAGGTGCGCCGTGTCCTCTGCCAGTCGTGTTACCGAAGACGCATCATCTTGAGAAACGGGCGACGGGGGTATTGACAGTGATGAAGTTGGCTGAGGAAGCTGGAGAGTTGGCGATGGTCGATTCATGTGAATGGGCGCGAAAGGCACAGGTGGGGAGGGTTGGTGTCGTTTGGGCAGGGTGCCCTACGGTATCTTTGGGCGTTTAGTGGGCGTAGATAAGGTAGCGTATGCAATGCTTGGTGGTACAGGAATGGTGCGGTATTTAAATCTTGGAGGATGACGCGAGACGCCCCAGCAAGTCTTTTCTTTCTCTCCTTCTGTTGATTCGAGGTATCGATTTCGTTTGTAGGGATGAAAAGGATGGTGTAAAGATGAGATGTCGACTTGTGGCGAGAGGTTTGTTTTGAGGAAGAAGGAGAAGTGTGGCAGGCGGCACGAGTGACCTTATGATGGAAGCAGCAAAGGATTTGCGATCAAAGATCAGTAGGTCAGGAGTCAGGTCCTCTCGAGGGTGCTTTTTCCTCCGTTCTCCAGGCAGATGGGCGAACAGGTGGGTTTTTGGGTCGATTCGTGTGCTTTGATCCCGGTGGCTGTGCTCTGGGTGCAGGTGCCGTGCCCAAAAAGTCGGGGAGGGGGAGAAATGGGCGAGGCCTCGGCTGCCTTTGGAGGGCAAGAGGGGAGCGGCGATGGGGGGCCGGGCGCAGATTTTCAGAGACGGACTTTTTGGCTGAATAATACACCCAAAGGGCAATTGCAATATGCGGCACAGCTTGCAGGGTGGAATGATGTGGGTGCTGTAAAGAATCGTTTGTTTTCTGAATGGTGGATTTTGTTTCCGGTTCTTTCTTGCTTCCTCTGCTTGCTTATGAGGACTGTAATATCACATAGATCAGTCAGAGAGAGGCGATGACTGATGGTGTGTCGAGTGAAAATTCTGTTTGATCCCAAGTGATATAAGAAATGATTTTTCACTGTTCAGGGTGATGCTCGATTTTCTAGGTGGCTTTTGTTAGTGCTTCTAGGGATGGTGCAAAGCCTAAATAAAAATATTTACAGTGACAATGGCGAGAATACCAGGTAAGGTAAGCAGTTACTGACCTGGCATAGCCTGGGATGAGGGCAATATTATGTGATTCTGATCAAGAGTATATGGAATCGAATTTGATTGCTGCATTCACTGATTGATTGATTGATTGATTGACTGTTTCCAAGTATTCTTCCAGGCAGTAATTAGGCAAACGATTTTGGTGCTGTCAGTGTAAGGACCCCTATCCGGCTAATTCACTGTCTCCCATGACATTGCCATCGTCACCTTCTTGTTGTCTTCTTCACCTGTCAAATCACACTCTGAATCGAGCATCAAATATAAGCAAAAGCCATAAGAGCTTAGCGTTCTTGTCAATGCTTCTGATGCTAGGCAAGACGTCGCTTTCATCCCATTCTTGATGACTCTATCTGTGGTCACCTACGACAAACTTGGGCCCTCACCAAACAGTAACTTCCGAGCAATGACTATATCTCCGTCATATGCTACGATGTGGGCTTCCGAATGCGGTGAACCGTGCCATGGCCACTCCTGCTCTGTCCTGGTCTAGAGCTGTAGTCACCTCTCCTCAAAGTTGCCGAGCAGTCATCCCGAGCCCTTACTCCCTTTCCATGTCCTACACCGCTCGTACTCGACATCCTATACCAAGCCCCTGCTTACAAACTATCAGATCCATCTTCTGCATGCGCTGGCCTTTGTTCCCATCTGAACATCACATTTTTGGTGAAACAGACTCTTCCAAGTATCGTTGACGTCCTCTTTCTACCCTATACCCAAGACATGTGCTCTTGGCCGCTCATCGATCATCATTTGGACGTCCAATCGGACATGCACTGTCGATTTCTCATGTTGCACGGCATACTTATAACATCACGAATATCGAATGTGGCACGGCCAAGCCTATTGCTCTGATGTCCGGTAAGACGGAACCACACATGGGACGAGGGGTCAACATGATGTGCGGTAACATTCCACTTCAACGTCATCGAACCACAGGTTAGAATTCCGATTTATGCATCTCGTGCCAGCTTTGTCGTATTCCTTCATCACGGTTCGCGATTTTGGACCGAAACGAGTCGCGCGGGGGAAGAGGCAGTAGCCGCTTTCGCATTACAGACGTTACCACAACGCGAATCGCGTGCTCCATCTCAATCCATTGGTCGTTCACCGTTCCAGCTGGGCAAGTACGTTCGGCCAGGACCGGTTCTACATGCCCCTCAGGTAAGACAGAACACACCTCGCATGTTCTCTTGCATTAGTTCGCCCATGGCAAAACGATCTCGAATACCTAGGACTCACGTTCCAAGATCCATCTGAGTAAAGTGCGAAAAGATTGCTCACATCCGCTGGCTTGACCGGTCCATCTGCCCGGTCCAAGACTGACAAATTTCTACGTTGCACCATGGTGCAGTCCCCCATGCGGTATGCATTCGGCTCGATATGTCTACAATATGGACGTAGCTGGCACGAAGAATACCAATCATTCGAGCACGAGTGAACAGTAGTATCGATATTCGAAGTACCGTCCTTGGCCTGCATCTACATGGATTACCTGCATACTGTCGTGGCACAAATCGGAGTGCCCTGGGGACACGCGAGCAGCTGCATGCACACTTTTCTGTGAAACACCATGCATTTTTTCAGCTTCGCAGCATGTGAAAGTCGGCAGTATGCCTATATCCATATGCCGTCAATGACTTCATACTGGACCATTACTTGGTGGTTGTGTCAACATAGACAATCCGTGTCGCGATGTGTTGCAGGCTTCGGATCGGCGTTGCATGATGAGCATGGTTTCTACCGGGTCGGGCCGCCACCCTACAGGTCATTGACCTCGATTATCTGCAGCAACAAAATATTCCGTACGACAGCCAAGAAGCAACAACCGTCGAACAATGAAGAGTGCATCGGGTACATTCTGCATCTCTGCTATACTTCCGATCGGCTCCCTGGCGTCGAGCAGCGTAAGAAGGTGGCCGAAATCCGGACCCTCGCCTATGTTCTACTGCGAGACAACAAAGAGACCGTGTTCTGTTGATTGAGGGCGAGATGCGGAAGAAGAGACAGAATGTCCCTTCGAATATTCGTCCAAGTCGACACACAAGTGAAAGACACCGTCACTTCAAACTACATCCTTGCAAGCCGAGCATCCAACTGCCAATCCACCATTCCCTTTAAAGTCATGATTGGCAGGATGGTCTTCTCAGGAGCCCTTCCCGTCCGAGGATTACTTTCGATATTCTTGTGAAACTGGACATTGATGAAGAAGCCCAGCCATCCTCTCGCATAACCAAGTAGCTCTCTGGTTTGCATTGTGCTTGGCTCTCAATCGTGAGTCCTGGGCTTACAACGCCACAATCGACGCCACAGACGCAGTCATTTTGGACGGGGAGCTGCGTACACTGACGCTCTCTATGCTGCTTGCTTCTGATCAGGTCTGTAAACTTGATAAAACTTGATACACTATCCATCTACCAATTGTTTTGATTCAATATATGGCCTGACCATTCTGCCCGTACACATGCTGGGAAATCTCGAATGGGAAGATGGTAGCATCAAGCAGTTCTCCTGTTGCGCCGAGCTCGTTAGTGGCCATATGGTTAAGACCAACCGAAGCCGTAGCATCAAAGTTCATTTGCGCTATGCCACTCTGCCTGAACTGACCAGTGTCGGCAGCCATGCTGCCAGTCCCGGATTCCGAAAAGCTAAAGTCAAAACCCGATGTAGATGGATATGTCGAAGGGAACGTGGTCGACACTGTACTGTCACTTATGTGTGTGAGCGCAGTGTGTGCACCATCACCTCCAGGGGGGCCGGTCGGTGGGATCCACAAATCGTTCATCTGCGGCGAGCTCGATAGTTGATCCATAACCTTCCGCAATTCATTGCGAGCGTCGTGGGCGATGCTCCAGGCAGAGGACAGGTCCGCCAGTGTGGATTCGAGTACTGGCAGCACTGTGTCTGGGTCGGGGATCCTCGGACTGTGTTCACCGCCTCCATCTGCTCGTCGCCACGAGGACAGTGATAGTGTCACATCAGCGGCGACAATAGCACCATGAACGAACACAAACGGAGCATTTTGCAATGAATGTTGTGCGCCGAAGCGACGAATGATGCCGACAATCGTCTCGATCGATGCGTCACACAATCTCAAAGCCTCCATGATAATGTCAGGTGGATTCTGAAATGACAGCGCTTTGTGCTTGTAGCGGGTCAATATCGATTTGTTCAGGATGAGTCTCGTGGTTTGGAACAGCATGCTATACTTTTGTGAGTTGACTATCTTGGACCGTACCATAGACAATACATACTGAAGAGGGGAGAGGCTGGGGTCGACCATCTCAAGATTGGAACTCCATCGGTTCCACCGCAGCTCTCCTGGCAAAGAGTCATGCCAGCGCCACAGCCGGGCATTGAGTTTGTTGTATAAAGCGTCGTACCAGTGGTCCGGCCGATATAGCAGTCTTCGTCTCGTAGACAGTATTTGTCTCTGCATGTCCGCAATGATGTTGCTCAGCTCGGCTTGCTTGACGAGTAAGACAGTTGAGACGAAAGACTGGTCCATTTCTGGGAGGCCTCCCGCAACAGAGCTTGTTTGATTCAACCATGACGATGTGTACGGTCCTTTGGAAGAGGCTAGATCCGACTCGGGCGTGAGACTGGGATTACCAGATCCACAGGCTACACTGTCGAGATCTGTGTCGAAATCCTCCTCTTCTAGGGTGGGTGACCGTCCGAAAAATAGGCTGAACATTCTATAGATTGATTTAGTACATCTTCCACTTCTTCAATGTAATCATAGGGGACTTATCGGATATAGCAAAGGTTAAAGACATACGCCGCCGAGACTCCAAGTCATCGAGCGACGTACCTGTTTGGCATGTTGAGCTATACCGACCTAATTGGCGGTTAATGCCGAGGTCTTGGGCCATGCGAAAGGCCAGACCTATCATTGCATCAATTCAGGTGGTTCATCTTGACGGGTCAGTATCAGAGGAGAGTCACATACCCGAATTCATCCATGCCTTGGAGCTATCTCCATGACCGAGGTTAAAGACTGCGCACAGTAACAGAGCCTGGCAAGTGGCAAGTCGCGGGACCCAGCATGATTCGACAGAAAGCTCATCATTGGCAGCGGCCGCAAAGAGGTCTGCCAGCGCCCTAATATTCTGGTCCTGTGACATCAAAGCACCAAGGGCACAGATCGCGTGCAAAAGAGGCGGAGAAAAATCACTTCCAGACTCTGAACCAGAGGACCAGTCGTGCATGAAAGCGTTCCGGTCCACGAGGGTGGAGTATGGAATTTGCCAATCAAAGAACAATTGGATGCATTCTCGAAACACAACCCTCGGGACCGTGGACATCTTCTCATTAGGTATTGATCGAAGCTTTTGCCACGATCTGCGGGGCCGTACGAGGCCTGTGCTATAGGCACTACCTAGCCCATGAAATACTGGCACGCCTTGGGTCAATCGTCAGTACACCCCAGGGCAAAGGCCAGCCAGATATCCATACCATGTTCATCGCTCATCCAGGAGTCGTCCAGAGATTGGTTCACTGATTCATTCATGTCGAGCGTGAACTGCGACCGAGGGCCGGCTTGATTGCTGGCATCTGTGAGTGGCAGGTGGTCGTCGAGGTCGATGCCCTCGATGATAGCATCTCGTTCGAAGCCCGACGAAGACTTTATGCTTGACAGCAATAGTTCCAATGTGGTTGCCCTACGTTCGAGCGCAGAGACATATTCTGCTGAGATGGGAAATCGCTTCCAGTCGTCCACACGAAATTCGCACTTGACTCCGGCAGCAGCGCAACTGCGGCAGGGCGTGGTCCGAGAGCATTTGATCTGGGTGGATGGCAGTCAATATCAAACACCATGAAGCCAGTGGAAGATGCCATATACCTTACGAGTTTGACATCGCTTGCACCTGCGGTCGGAGCGGAGAAAGAGTGTTAGTGCCTGCTCGACGTTTTCAAGAAGGAGCTAGATAATTGACGTGACTTACGATATCCTTTTCTCCCCAGATCGATGCATGTTATCAGCAAGACTCGTGCTCGAAAGGACTCTTGAAATTGCACAATTCTTACCCTGGACACAATGCGAAAGAAGAAAGGGGCATCAGGTCGGGAACAGTGTCGAAGGAGAGAAGATGATGGCGGTGCGAATTTCGAGGACATCTGGCACTGATGTGGTCACCGACACACCGATAAGCAAGCACGACATCCCCCCACTACGGAGTGCAACCCCGACGTAGTTTAAAGGAAGCCAATGAGAACGGTTGTTCCAAAGCTTCTCGATACAGCAAGGTCACGTGGCACAGAAGTCACGATCACGTGTATTGAAAGGCTATCGACGTCATGAGCTTTTCCTTGGCATTTTTGAACTCCGAGTCGTGGCGTCCTGGTCTACACTCTTGTTCCATCCATGCTAATCACGATCAAGACCTTTCCCTCGGGCAAAAATCGCTGACACGAGAGCAATGGCTGCCACCGCGGTATTTGCCCAAAAACAATATTTCAGTGCCTCGTAGTAGACGTGCCGAGCACTCGACTGCACGCTATCAGGTAACGTGTGTAATACCGACACGGAATGGCGGATTTCGTCAATGATCTGTAAAGGTAACATCAGTCCACGAGAGAGACGAACAGCATCAGGCTGCTTACACGGTCCTTATCCGGAACTCCGGCGAGGGCAGAGGGTAGCTCCCTCGCTAAAATATTTTGCAGCAGAGTCGAGGACGCAGCCACTCCCCAAACTGTTCCCATAGACCGGAATAGGTAGACAATCGACGTGGAGACGGCTTGTTCTGTCAAACGTGTCAATGACAAACCCTGCAATCAGCTTGTTTGGAAATTGCTTACGGCTGTGATCAAATGCTGCCAGGAAGGTAAACAAGATCGCCGGGTATGCCATTCCTTGACCGAAATTGGCTGGGAATAGGTAGACCAGGTATTTCCAGGCATCATCTTCGTACTTGAGGGACGCCATGAGCCCGTTTCCGAGCATCATGAAAAAAGAACCCAGCCGAACAAGCTCACTGAGACGACCCCAACGGGACATGATAATACCTGCCAACAGTCCGCCCACTGGGGTTGCAAGTGATGGCAATACTAGTCGCAGTCCAGCATGAGAGGGGGTGTCATGAAGAATGACCTGGAAGAACAATGGAATGATGAACAGAAACTAGGAGCAAAGTCAATACCTGTCTTACAGAGTTCATCGGAGTTCCGTTACTCACAGAGTATGCCACCATGCCCACGCAGACGTTGCTGATGAGATTGGACACTGCCAGGGTTCCCCTTAGCATCGACATGGGCATGATGGGGATGGCTCTCGTCCGCAGTTCAACCCTCACGAAAGCCAGGAGCAAGATGACGCTGATGACGACTGCCGCAATGACTCGAAAATCCGCCCAGGAATAGTTGTTTCCACCCATGCTCATCGCTGCAAGTTGTGCTGAGAGACCTAGCACCAGCAGAATGGATCCGGTGAGATCGATTTGCTCCCACTTGGACCCCCCCCGTCGCTTTCCTAAGGAAACCCCTTCTTCATCGACAGATCGATCCAATGCTTGCTTTTCGTGGATGTCTCTTTCCAGAACAAAGTAGCCAACCACCAAGGCAAAGATCGATATCGGGACTTGACACAAGAAGCACCACCGCCAGCCAATACTGTCGGCTATGAAACCGCCCAACGATGCTCCACAAATCGAACCGAATCCATGAAGTACGTTTTGACATGCTTGATACAACCCTCTCTCCTTGAAGGGAATCATGTCTGAGTTGATGATGGTAGCCATTGTCATCAGCCCACCTCCTCCAAGGCCGGTGAGGGCTCGCGCGATATTGAGGGACACTACGTCTGGAGCGACCGCACAACCCAGGCATCCCAGCAAGAATGTGATGGTCGCGGTGAAAAAGCATGTTCTCCTCCCCAAGATGTCCGAGAATCGACCGTAAAGTGGTTGAAAGGCCGTGCTCGTAATGAGATAGGAAGTGGTCAACCACGAAATTGTGTTGGCAGCATTGAATTCGGATCCAATTACTGCATATGTCGAGGCCGTGATGGTCCCATCGAACCCAGAGAGGAAGACATTTGAGAAGATGGCTGAACATTCGTTAGACAAAATTGAAGCATCCCCCAGAAGGACTGGAGATCAAACATACCGACCTCGATCCAAATAAACCCGGGACCGGGTCTCCAGGGCTCTACCACCTTCGAGATCTTGGGAACATCCTGCTCAAGCAGCGGCGTTGTCTCGTCAGTTCGATCTCCGGTTTTGGCAGGGTCCAAACTTTGCTCCTCTTCAAGGCTCGGTGAAGGGAAGCTGTTCATCTTCACGCAGACACAGCTCGTATTCTCAATCGCCCTGCTGAGGAGTCAATCGCAGTGCCGGAAAATCACTTGGGCGCAAGTATCTATTTGCAAGAGTATACTTTTGATACGGTGGAGACTTGATACCGAATTTGCACCGGATATGTGCGATTCCTACTGGCAGCCCCGAGTCTGCATTGCACCCTCTCGACGCAAGTCACCGAACCTGAAAATTTCCCCTCTCAAGGAGCCCTGATCATCACGGAGTCCATGTCCGTTCGTGGGGAGCCTTAAAACGGGACCCACACTGGCCCGCTGGTTCAATGCCGGAGTCGCTGTCCGTTTTATTCAGCATGGTTGAAACAGTCACGACGCTACAATCGCACGCCATTGACCCGGATTCGATGTCCTTAGGTTACCACGGTAGCCGGTAAGGAGGAGGACAAATCGATCCTATGCAGTCCGCAAGGATTGTAAGTCCGACGTGAGATCACACCTTGACGAAAACGTCTGTGTCACGGTTCGATCGTGGTTGGCGAGAATGCCACCTTAAAACCAATATATGTCTCGTGCACTCCTTTGTTGTGCTTCTTTGATTGATAGTCAGAGACAGATCTGTCGGGTCAATCGTCAATCTTCCATTAGCATTGTCGAAAATGAGGTTGTCAGCAAATGCTCGTGACTTGGGGGCTTGGACCTCCTTGCTCTCACTCATTGCCAGTGTTTGCCTGGTCTCGCCGGTGTCAGCGGACTGGCAATACAAGTCCAGGCCTGACCTCGCGCCCCCGACGTTGAATATAACGATCCCCGCCACCAAAGAGGTCGAGACAGGCTACCTGTTCCTTGCGCCCTTTGGAGGATTCCCGGAAGGCACTCACCACGGCCCTGCACAGGCCGCACCATACATCTTCACCGATACTGGAGACCTTGTGTGGTCAGGTTTCACTTATTTCTCCATCTGGGCGACCAACTTCCAGGCTGCCCGCTACAAGGGACAGGACATCCTCTTCTGCTTTGAGGGCAGCCACAACGCAGCATACGGTCATGGCCACGGACATACTACATTCCTGGATCAGAACTACGAAGCTATCCTCGAGCTTCGAGCTGGAAATCATCGCTTGACTGACAAGCACGAGTTCCAGATCATCAATGAGGAAACCGCCTTGATCCAAATATATCATCCTGTCCCGTACAATCTGACAGCCTACGGCGGAAGCGAAGAGCAACAATGGATCGTGGATGCCAGATTTCAAGAACTCGACATTGCCACTGGGAAGGTCCTCTACGAATGGAGCAGTCTTGACCACGTTGACCCCTCAGAGGGCTTTCTACCACTGAATCCTGGACAAGCGGGAGCAGGATACAACAGCTCCGATGCTTGGGACTACTTCCACATCAACTCTGTTGACAAGGATGACCAAGGCAACTACTTGATCTCGGCTCGTGACGCAAATGCGGCCTACAAGATCAACGGCACCACTGGGGAGATCATCTGGCAGCTCTCCGGCAAGTCATCGAGCTTCAAGATGGGCCCGGACGTTGAATTTGCGTTCCAACATCATGCTCGTTTCCAAGGCCGATCATCGGACGGTACCAAGGAAATCATCAGCATCTACGACAACTCGGCCCACGGTACCGAGAACGGCCATGGTCACGAGGTCCATTTCTACAATATCTCCCGTGGCAAGATCATCGAAGTTGATACAGAAACCATGGAGGCCACCATTGTCCAGGCTTTTGAACCCCCCGATGATCTCCTGTCCAAGTCCCAAGGCTCTACCCAAGTACTTCCTACTGGCAATGTCCTGGTCAACTGGGGTTCGGAGGGCGCGGTCACCGAGTTTAAGTCCGATGGTACTCCCATCTTCCATGCATATATGGATTCGGGCTTTCTGGGCCTGGGGGTGGAGAACTACCGTGGCTTCCGGTATAACTGGACCGGCATACCTCACGAAGCTCCGGCCATCGTCGCTTTGGAGGATGGAGACATCACCAACCTCTACGTCTCTTGGAATGGTGACACGCAGACTGAGTCGTGGAGATTCTATGAGGTCAAGGGTGGCCGTCGTTCATTCCTCGGCGAGGCTAAGCGCAAGGGCTTCGAAACCAGCCTGCAGATCAGCCGGGTTGGTGTTAAGGCTGTGCAAGCGGAGGCGCTTGATGCAGAGGGCCGTGTTCTTGTTGACACTTCTGCTGTCGAGCCTGAACTCATGATCCACGAATTCAAAGGTGACTCCAAAACGAAAGACACCCAGGGAGGTGGTGGCCTTGTTCCATGGCTCACATTCAGAGGCCAAAAGTTCTTCAAGACCGACCTCAAATGAGAATGTCCAAGGTAATTGGAGGCAGGTCTCTTGGATTCAGATATCTTCGAGACGCTGTTCGGCAGGCGTCCACCCACGGTAATCAAAATCAGGTAGATACTTCGATAAAGCTAGGAGACAATCAATATGCGCATGCAAAGTCGAGAAAACTCGTGATCAAACCACCATTTCCTCCAGTATCACCATCTCAGCCATCCCTTGTAAACGTGCTGTGCGAGCTCAATGGATTTACTATCTACAGAAGCTTTATTCCCTGTATCTAACCCACTCAAAAGTCATTGTACAAGATGCTTTCCCTTTACTAGTCTCCCACCTTTCCAAATGTGTGTGATGTTGCTAGGATCTGTGAAGATTGAGATATCTTCCAGGGGGGTCTTGCCTAGGGCAATGATATCTGCATCATACCCTACTTTAATCTGTCCGCTCTTCGGGGCGTGATATGGGCCAAGAGTCAGAGGACCATTGGCCGTAGCTGCCTCAATTGCCTCCAGTGGTGTCATGCCTGCCTGAACGGCGTAATAGAGCTCATGGCCGTTTTGCCCTGGACCAAGAGCCGATCCAGGCCCACCATAAAGGTCCGATCCCATGGCACACTTGACGCCGGCCTTGATGGCATTCGAATAAGCAGCAAGATGTGTCTTGAGGTATTTGGCGACCTTGTCCCAGACCTCCCTCGGATAGGCGTCCTTGTTGTTGTATATGCACCAGACGGCAGTCGTTGCAGCGACGTAGATCATGTCCTTTTCTTTCATGAGTTGAAATACCTCGTCGTCGCTGTACGAGCCGTGTTCGATTACCTTGAATCCTGCACGGATGACGGCCATAATGCCAGCCTTGCCCACGGCGTGCGCCGCACACACGAGACCCATACGATTGGCCTCGCTGACAATGGTCGCGAGTTCTTCGTCAGAGAACTGCTGGAACATGGGGTCGTCGTCTCGACTAGCGGCACCGCCGCTGGCCATGACCTTGATGACTTTGGCTCCTCTACGCAAGTTGATCCGAACGGCTTTGCGGCACTCTTCGATACCATCGGCCAGGAGGAAAGGCACAGTGCCTGTGTGCGCACCAGGGGAGTTCACACTTTGTCTCTGCCACACCTGTCCCAGTGGGCTTCTACGATCACGTTAATCGAGTCCGACGAAAAGGGAAGCTAAGAAGTATCACTGACGTGAAAGAGTCCCCGTGACCACCAGTCATACTGATACCAGCACCAGCCCCATACAGCGTTGGCCCAAGGATTGAGCCTTCGGCAATCACTTTCTGCAGTTCAATGGCATAGCCTCCGAGGTCCACACACGATGTGAAACCGGCCATCAGCGTGTCGTAGACCGACCTGACGGCTCTTGCCCCCGCCTCAGCCGGATTGGTCGAATTCATGCTGTCCATACTGATCAAATCCTGAGGGGGACTTCCAGTAAAGTGAGTATGACAGTCCCACAGCCCGGGCAGCAAGACCGGCACGTGCACGATGGACACATCACGATATTCCAGGGGCCGGTCTTCTATCGAGCCGACATAGACAATCTTCTGTTCGGCCGCAACCACGAGCTGATTTACTGTTGGAGACCCTCGACCAGGGATCAAAAGTGTGGCGTGAATGCACACTGTGTGCTTGGAGTGCGGGTAATTCACTCCGGACTGCTCCGGTGATCTTACTGTCAGGGTGCTCTCTGTTCGAGGCGTCTCTTGAGTACGCCTGCGTGCCTGTGATGCTTGCTTTCGAACCGTCATGATGTGTTAGTGTGGTCAGAATCCCTAACATGTGTTCACATGGTGATTATTAGCAGGTCCCAGAGTAGTCGATCTTCTCTCAACATTGTGCCGCACCTTACTTAGACAGAGTCTTAGGGCTTCAACTCCGTCGACGTCAACCTCAGAAACAAGATTCGGCCATTAAAACGATTTTTTTCGGGCCTATCAGGCCATCCTTCTTTCTTCAAGCACGCCATACGATAGGCAGGCGGGTCGTCTAGTTGCGTTGATAGCAGCGGGGCCACCGGGCGGAGGCCAAGTCCGCTGGACCACATTTGGTGGAGCGGAGGCGACTTCTAAGCTTGTGAGGACCCATTGATCACCTTGGCTCCTGTCGAGCAGACCGAGACTTATTAGCCAGCACACAGAGACCCTGTACCGCGATCGATCTTTCCTGAGATAATTCTGGACCGGTATTGGAGACGATTGCCCTACTACACAATACTTGTTGGGCATTGAATCACTGCTCATTATTGTTTGAACGCAAGGCGAAAGGGTCGCTTGAGAAGAAGACTATTGCAGAGTCCACTGACTCGGAGGCCTGAGGCTATCTTTACCCTCTATTACTAGTGGTTCTTGCCGCGTCAAAACGGCCACCAATCATTGCATCTAGGGCCGGGAGTATCTTAATAGCGACGGTTCGGAGTGGATGTCCGTGTGCTAGATACTTCGGTTGGGTGCCGGTCGAACCTTGTCGTCCCGCAGTCTCTATGGGAGAGCACGATGGGATACACATATCGATATCGCTGCCGCTGCATAGGACATGCACTCCGAACAATATCTCCTGAGATAGTGCTCTAGAAGTACTATATCTGAAGACGCAATCATAGTGCGAAATGACACCACCGCATGTCTTGACGATGATATCCCTTATCTTCGGCACTTCTCTATGCAAGTACTTTATAAGGAGCGGGTAAATACCTGTCAGGTCTTCCGTATCTCTTAATGAATAGGACCCAGCTCTGAGGTCTACCAGCCCAGACATATCCCAAGCGTGACAGCCCCTCATGGCTTCCAACCATGAGCTCAAGGAGGCGCCTCCCAGCCAGGAAAAGCCTGCATCGATTACCGGTGTCGAAAGTACAGACATAGCAGCTGCCTCATTCGAAGATTCTGCCGTCAAGCTCTTCCTCGAGACCCACCAATACACAGCGGAAGAGCTGGCAGCAGAAGCGTCGGCAGTGAGAAGAATCGTCGACAGGCGCATTGTCCCTATAGTAGGTGATTCTCGGGCTGAAGAGTACTAGACACTTGTGTTAACAGCGGCTCAGATCTGTATCACGTACATGATTCAATTCTTGGACAAGCTGTCTCTCAATTATGCCTCCGCATACTCCTTGATCGATGATCTGGGTCTTGGAGGGCATCGATATGCATGGACGGCCGCCGTCTTCAACTTCGGCTTGCTTTTCTGGTCCATTCCGACCACTCTGCTCTTGCAACGATTCCCACTTGCAAAGTTCACCGGTACCATGATTCTGGGCTGGTCTATTGTCTTGATCTGCCACGTCGCTGCTCGTAACTATGCCGGAATCCTTGTTCTTCGCTTCGTACTGGGGATGTTCGAAGCGTCTGTGGTTCCTGCCGTGATGAACCTAGTCTCAATGTGGTATACACGCTCTGAGCAACCTATTCGACTCTACACCTTCCACGCATTCAACGGAATGGCAACAATGTTGGGAGCCCTCCTGGCCTATGGCTTGGGCCACTCTCATTCCTCTCACCTTAAGAGCTGGAAATTGATCTTTCTAACCATTGGTCTACTGAATTTTGTATGGGCCTGGGTGTTTCTTTGGCTCATGCCGGACTCCCCCATGTCGGCCAAGTTCCTTACCCATAGGCAACAAGTCGTTGCAGTCAAACGAGTATCGGAGAACATGATCGGAGTCAAGAACAAAAAGTTCAAACCTCGACAGGCCCTCGAAGCCATAACGGATCTGCGTGTCCTGGGGTATGCTACTATCGGTCTGGCTGGTGGGACAATCAATGGAGGAGTGTCCAACTTCGCTACGGCACTCATCAAAGGGTACGGCTACTCAGGAATCCAAGCAACCCTGCTGCAGCTTCCGGTTGGGGGCTTTGAATTTGTCCTCATTCCCATATGTGGCCTGATAGCTACGCGATTCACCAATGCTCGCTGTCTGGTACTAGCCGGCGTCTGCCTCATCCCCTTTGGAGGGCTGCTGGGAATTCGATTCACATCTCTGGATCATAAGTGGACTCTGGTCGGCTGCACCTGGCTTCAGTACATGGTTGGAGGACCGGTCATCATATCATGCAACCTGCTCGCCAGCAATGTCGCTGGCCACACCAAGCGATCGATTAGCAACGGCATCTATTTCGTCTTCTATGCTGCAGGAAACATCGCTGGCGCCAACATTTTCTTTGCACGGGAGAAGCCTCGATATTTCTCAGCAATCTCAGGTCTTTTGATCTGCTATGCCGGAATCATCGTCATCGGCCTAGGTCTGCGCCTCTACATGCAGTGGGAGAACAAACGCAGGGACAGAATCACCGTTGTGGATGGCATTGCACCTGGCGGGATAGATGACGCTGGCGCTCTGGGTGGATTTAATGACGAGACCGACAAGGAGAACCTTCATTTCAGATACGCTTTATAGCGCTTGTTTCGCTTGGTGGACGTCATGTGGAACAAGGCGATGTATATCAAGCCAGATGAGTAGTCTTGGACCGTTGAAATGTGAACATAGTTTGATTTCGAGATCCAGCTGTGAAATGGTACTGTAGAAGGTGTCGTACGAATGTCTTCAGCCCAGTCTTGGTAGGCACCTGATCCGGGCTTCCCTTAATTCGGCTCTCTCTTTAATATATGTATGAAGCATCGAGTGATGAACATACCATTACCATAAATATCCTCTGGTTAGAACATTCTTCAATCAACTGCTAGACGTCTGAGTCTCATCTCGGCACGCCGCCGGTTCCGAACAACTCCATGTTGATCCTGCTTGCGTCGACACCTCGATCTCGTAGGGCCTGCTCCAGATCTGTCATAAAATTTTCCGGTCCGCAGATATAGTATGAAGCATTCTTCTCATTGAGCCTCAAGTCCTCCTCGGGCCGAAGTCTCGACAGGTTCAGGCGACCCTTGATATCGTAGTCGACGCCTTCTTTCTCGCTGTCATGCGGCATACTGTGAAAAATCCTCTCGCTGACTTCCGGGTGAGCGTCCATGATGCTTTTCACATACTGCGCAAAGGGATCCGAGCTGCTATTCCTGCTGCCATGCACCCACGAGATCTTCTGGCTGCCATTTTTCTCGACCAGCGTGTTGAGAATGGACATCAAGGGTGTCAAGCCCACGCCGGCCGAAAGTAGCACAATTGGTGAATCCTTGTCACCTTCGTTGCGCACATCCAGGAAGAAGTCACCTGCCGGATGAGACAGCTCGACAATGTCTCCTTGCTTTTTCTCGTCATGGAGGATGTTGGACACGTAACCCGGATGAGTGACAGCAGAAGGATCGCTGATATCTAGACCTTTTTCTCGCTTCACACTGATCCGGTAGTACTCCGGCGAATACTTGTCGCTGAGAGAGTACTGTCGTGCTTGCTTGTACTTCAGGGCTGGCACGTCAATCTGTATCGAGATGTATTGACCGGGTAGAAACTCTGGCAGAGGCTTGCCGTCAAGGGGCTTCAGGTAGAATGAGGTCACTTCGTCGGATTCAGGGACCTTCCGGTCGAGTCGGAAATCCTTCCACTCTGTCCAGCCGTTGGTGTGCTTCATCAGCTCGTCTTCGCGGTTGATCATGATGTCTGCGATCTGCTTGTATGCGGCAGCCCATGCGTCGAGGATTTGTGGTGTCAAGGCATTGCCGAGGACCTCGCCCATTGCTTCCAAGAGGTACTTTCCGACAACTGATCACAGTCGTCAGTCAGTGCGCGAGGGTCAAGAACAACCTTAGTGCAGTGGGACGGGAACAAGGGGACGCACTATCATAGTGTTCTGGTCTGATATACAGACTTGCATGCTTGTGACATATGCGTTCAACGGCGGGACCGAGCACTTCAAGGTTGTTGATGTTGGCAGCATACGCATAAAGTGTCCCGGCCAGTGCTTGTTGTTGGTGACCATTTCGTTGGTTGGAGGTATTAAAGACGTTGTTGAGGTCTGGGACCTCGCGGAGCTACAGTCCACGTTAGCGCAGGCCAGATGTCGATGTGTGCAAGGTTTGTTGAGGTGTTTCCCCCTTATTGGATGTATAGGTGACCGGGATCCACGAAAATGTCCAAAAGTCACTTACCATGTTGGCATAGAAGACGGTTGTTATCTGATTGCCATATTGCTGCAGGACTGGTACGGTCGAGATGATAACCTGTGCTTGCTCTTCTGTAAGTGGCATCTTGTTCAGCTATAGAGTTGTTTGTTTGCAATCTGGATTGCTGTTCGGCAGGAAACCTTCTTTCATGCTTCGTGGACACTGATATAATATTGATGAGTGGACCCCTGCAATTCTGCACCCTTACCTCACGGATGACGGAAGCCATCGGTAAACCAGGATCGCATGGTGATTGCTTAGGGGCGCGTTCTTTTGCTTTCGCATGGAACATTCATCATGCATATTGCAAATGGCCACCTCCCAAATGAAGAGGGAGGACAATTGTGCATGGTATAACGCCCTCCGAGGAGATATCGTTGACCAGCTCACATAAGCATTGGGATTGATCCAGGATTGTCGGTTTCAGAGCAGCTCCATATGGCCAGGCATCGAGACATTTTCCATGATTGTCTGAATGTTTTTACTGTGAGAGTAGATACAAAAGGGCAAGAAGATGAGCAGAGTTCATTGGCGATCACGCCGACCATGACTGATGAGTAGAGGTTGTGGTAGGTTACTTAGTAATTCTAGTCCTCCAGGGGGCTCGCAGGTACAATATCTCTCGCTTGACTTTCCTCGGCAACAGTCAAATCTCCTCGGAGGTCAACTCACTCATTCATGCTGACCGCGGAGATCTACAATACACAAAACCTCCCTACCGACCTTGCGGTGCTCGCCTCACTTGCGATCAACCTCGTTCAGTCTTACTTTCCGGAAAATCCCAAGAATGATCTCTCCTGCCAGAAAGCCCTCATTCTCTTCCCAAAAACATAGAAAATGGCTCCACATGAGTACAGGACAACGACGAGAGCGCCAACGGCAGCCCACGTCTTCTTAGGTCCATCCTTGACGAACCACGGAACGAACCAGTACCCCATAGTGAAAGGGAAGAAGTTCTTCCACGCGAATAGTATGACCTGCGACTCATTTGCCCAGTTGCGGTGTGCGTCGACCACATATCCAATGATTGCAGCATTCCCAAGAACAGCACCACCGTTCGCAAGAAGCAGTAAGATAGCCAGGCCGATCCAATGGACTTGAGCTTCATATGCCCATCCCCAGCCAATGAATCCAATGCCTGCGACAATGAGGGCGGGAAAGAGCATGACTAGCCGGAATTCGGGCTCGAAGATGTTCTTGTTGCGTCTCGCCATCAACTTGGAGATTGGATCAATGGTTGCAAGACCAATGAAAACCGCAAAGGTTATGCCCAGCCACGCTGCGATGTACAGGTTGGCAAGACCGGTCGGGGTGAAGTTATAAGGCGGGGGTGACAACTCCAGCGCGAGCGTGAATGAGATGCCAACTGCCCACGACATCGGCAACGCCGCGATCGACGCCCAAAATATTGTTGGATGCAGCGCCAAGGTAAATGTTCGAATGGCCGACTTGAGGATATTCTCCTGGCCTAAGACTCCTTGCCACGGATTAACCCACTGCATGTAGGTTTTCGGGCGTTCCGGGGTACCTGGTGTCTGTGCTGATGTCTCCGGATTACCTGCGGTAGCTATTTCCTTGTGGTCGAACCCCGTCTTATGCACAACGTCAAGGATCACCTCTTCGGGCACGTGCGCCAGCGGATCCATGTGAGTTCGTCCAAAGCCGGGCTCTCGCACAAAGAAAATGAGGCCAACCAGGATGACAGCCTCTCCAATGGCCAAGCCTCCGAAACACCATTCGATGCCAGAGTTTAGCACGATCTGCGTCCCGATCGGTACACCCAAGAAGACACCCGTCTCCAAGCACAAGAGGAACAGCGTAACCCGGGTGCCACGCTCATGTACGAAGAACAGATCGGGTATCATGGCTAGCGACAAAGCTTCATAGGCTCCTTGACCGATTCCAGACAAGCATCGCGCACCCATCATGCTGTTGTACGATGTTGCACGAGCGGCCCAGATATCTGCTGCAACGAGCGTGGCGGTGCCGACGATATATATAATGCGCTTGCCATACTTGATGGCAAGTGGCCCATAGATTACGCAACAAGCACCGATGACAAGGAGGAGATACGAGGACAATTGTGCGATATCGTTGACTGATTTGTCCCATTGGGCAGCGAGGTCGAGCGTGATGGGAGTGAGGATTGGTCCGTGAATGCCGGAGAACACTGTGCCCAGGATGATGATCCAGTACATCAGGTCGCGACGCCAAAGAGGCAGGTTCAGGATGTCGTTGGGCGAGTCAGATGGTTGAGGGGCCAGAACGATTTTACCATCTTTGCTGTGCTTCAGATGTGTTGTATTGTCGACCGAGGAGCTGGCATCGTCGAAGAGGTGGATGCTCCCCTGAACGACTTCCGTGGAGGAAGGCTCGAGGACGCCGAAGCCCATAGTGGCTGCCTTGATGGTCAAGGTCCTGAACGTGGGAAGGAAGAGCAAATTCGTTCCCAGCTCTCTTGGCTGATATGTTCAAAGTCTTTTGGCTGGCAAGTGCTTATGGTCTTAAGAGTGTTTTGATCAATGCCGGAGGTCGGTCGCTCGATATACTTGACCAGTGATGTGGAGACTTTCGGAGTAGCCACACTACTCCTATTCAGGTGGATTTCCCCAGACACTTCCCCAGTTTTTGGCTTTCATCGTGCCGAATAACCAAGGTACCCTAGGACAATCTCCTACTCACGGGTCGACTCTCTACCTTCCCAGTCTTGGCTATGCCCGACCATGCTTCCCAATTACCCCACTTCCCCCTCTTCCTTCCGTATTCGAGGGACAGCATCTTGCGTTGGTGTGGGGTAGGGATGTCCTCAGGCCGGCTGCAGAAGTGAGCATCTACGACATCCGTTCGTGAGCGATTGGTGCTGTTGGAGAAAGGATTCGGATCTTAGAAATCAAGGCGGAAAGGCGCCCTTTTACGGCCCTCAAGGCCCCCACATCATTTCGTAAGGCAACCTCACGACTGCTTGGTATATCGTGTGAGCATACCTCCATCATTGAGTGTTCAAGAGCCGGTGGTCAATCTGTTACGACGGCTTGTCGTGCTCTGCTCACAATGTCAGCCCTGTTGCATGCCACTCAAAGCTCGTCCGTGTATCTTTACGCGGCCTCTTCTGTGCTCCTGCTTGGAGCATTTGCCTTCTTGTATCATGTCTTCGACCTCGGCGGGCCGAAGATCCCCAAAGGATTGCGAGCCGCTCCTTCGCCACCGGGTGCGAGACTATTCACTGGCCATACGCACATCTACGCCGGCCAAGTGACCAGCAATCCAAGCGAGTCACAACTCGTCAGATGGGCAGAAGAGCTAGGTGAAATCTATCAGATTCAATTGGGAACCCAGCGCTGGGTCGTCCTTAGCTCTCCCGAGGCTATCAAAGTGAGTTCTGCATGTAAGCTGCAGCGGGATCATTCTGACAGAGATTTTCCAAAGGATGTCTTTGACAGACAAGGTACCTTGACGTCGAGCAGGGCTACCAATCGTGTTGCCATGGGCGTCCTTTCTGGTGGTTATCGTATGCTCTTCATGGTATGTACAGCCTGAGAGCATCGTCTCTTGCTATTACTGAGAAAGCAAAGCCGTACGGGAAACAATGGCGCGACATTCGTGCCATCGTCCATCGCTGCTTGACGGTCAAATCTGCAGATGGCATGAAGTCATCCCAAGACCTCGAGTCTCGACGTTATCTGTACGACCTATTGACCGAGCCTGCCAATTTCTGGAACCACGTCAAACGCTACTCGACAAGTGTGATCATGTACGCCACATACGGCAGACGTATCCTTACCCTCGGAGACCCAGTACTCAACGATATATACACAGAGACCGGCGTATTCGGCGAATGCTTCGGACAACTCCACTTGGTCGACCAGTATCCCATCCTGGAGAACTTACCGAAATCGCTGCAATGGTGGCGCAAGAAATATGAGCCATATCATCAAAAGGAGCTACAGCTCTGGCTTGGGTTGTGGCGTGCACTGAAAAGTCAGGTAGCGAAGGGCATTTATACAGGCTGTTTCGCGGAGAAGTTCATGGAGAACGACTACCCTAAAATGGGCATTTCTGAGAACCAGGCAGCGTATGTGGCCGGGACGATGATCGAGGCTGGAAGTGGTATGCCTGAACTCCTATCAGATGTCATTGCTGTTTGCTGACTGGTGCAAAAGACACTACCCAGCTTACACTGAACAGCTTGATTCTGGGACTGCTCGCATTTCCTGACACAGTTCAAAAAGCACACGAAGAACTGGATAGAGTCGTTGGTCAACGGATGCCGACTTTTGAAGATTCTGACCGGCTACCCTATATCCGCGCCATGGTCAAAGAGGTACTGAGATGGCGGACTGCTTCAAATGATCACTTCCAACATCTCACCACTGTAAGTCTCTCATGATTTTCCCGGGGCGTTGCACTGAACTTTGAACACCAGGGCGACGTCATATACAAGGATTATTTTATCCCTGCAGGCTCATATGTTGTCGGTAATGTATGGGCTCTCAACTTTGATCCGGTCATGTTCCCCGACCCTCAACGTTTTAACCCGGATCGATATCTCGACAAAAAGGCGAACAATATGACTGCCGGCGAGTGCATCAACGCGCAGGATCCTCGGCAGCGAGATCACTGGGGTTTTGGAGCTGGACGACGTGTCTGTGCGGGCTACACTTTGGCCGAGAACTCACTGTTCATACTTACTGCGCGGTTGTTGTGGGCTTTCGATGTCCGGGCGCCGATTGATAAGACTACCGGCAAGCCTCTGGAGTATGACCTGTGGGATTTCCCGGCGACGAATATGTTTGGGCCTAATCCGTTCCGCGCGGACTTCAAGGTTAGGGATTCAGGAAGGGAGAAACAGATCCTAGATGGCCTCGATGCGTTCAGGAGTGACTTCAACTAGGAAGTCCCCCTGACTATGGTAGGCTTAGGATGGACGCCCGATCAAAGTCACATTGTTGTGGTCGTTATTGTGAGAATGAGACAGTGTGAGAGGATGGTTAATAGAGGTATTGGCGTTGACGCCGACCATGAATGAACCGGCGGTGGTACGACTGAAGTCACTGGTGCCGACCACCATTAGAATGAGGTTCAATAGGACTGATATCATTGTTGTCGACCGCAAGTAGATCAAGGGTGGACAGGACCGATGTTGACGACACTGACCGTGAATGGATTGAGGATATGGCACAGTCTCTGGTCGTTGTCGTCCACTATTTCAAAGACAGTAAAAAAGACTGATGTCAGCGATCGCGACCGTGAGTGTAACAAGGGTGAGGTAGTAATGACAATGACACCGACCATAAGTGAGTCGAGGTTGTGGCAGAGTGTTTGATGCCGGTCACCGACCAGATACAAACACCTCTCGGTTGACTTTCCTTTCGGAAAAATATTCTTCCGTTACAACAAATCATGGAGGCGCAGTGCTTGGCAAACGTGCGTGCCCGCTGGCGACGTAGGCTCCGGTGGTGGATGTTCAATCCCAGGAGGACTTCTGACGACAGATTGCTCACCCTCCGCATCCTCCTCGACATCGAGGCTGAACCCTTTGCGACCCAGGACGCCGCCGCATTGGACTCTCGCCTCTGGGAACACCTCTATCTCCTCTTGCGCCGGAACGATGTCGTGGGCAGGCTTCAAGAAGAATGTCAACCGGGCAACGACCCAGGTGATGATGAAGACGGGTGAGTCCTTCCGCCTTGCGCTGTACGACTTGCGCGCTGATGAATGTATACAGGTCACGTCGAGAGGACGAACGACCGGGACTACGAAGTGGAGGAGAGGTAAGCAGACCTGTCGATCTGTACTTGAGACGCAGTGACTGACGTACACCACAGGAGATTCAGAACAATGGAATCAGCAGCGAACAGACTGCAGAAGGAAGCGAAGGGGTACCTGGACAGCCTGAGAGGTGAGGATGATCTGAATCTACATCGGACTTCGAACCTGAACTGACCGCATTTCAAGCCATGACAGCATCCCAGATGAGAATAGCCGAGACAATTGACGCATTCTACGGAGACGCTGGTACAAGAGATGGGGTCTCTCGATCATACAAGCAGGCAGTCGAAGATCTAGACGCCGAAACCATCAAAGCCCTTGACGGCCCATACAGGTATTTGCGGGTCAGATACACCTGAACCTACAGCATGCTGACCAGCCTCTCAGAACCACTGTCCTCGAACCGATCTCCCGATTCTGCGCCTACTTCCCCGATATCAATGAATGCATCAAGAAACGAAACAATAAGCTCCTCGATTACGACTCCATGCGATCAAAGGTCAAGAAGCTGGTAGAGAAACCAGACAAAGATGTGACCAAACTGCCGCGCGCAGAGAAAGAAGCCGAAATGGCCAAACAAGCTTACGAGCAACTCAACGAACAACTCTTTACCGAACTCCCACAACTCATCGACCTCCGTGTTCCTTACTTGGACCCCAGTTTCGAAGCCCTCGTCAAGATTCAACTCAGGTTTTGCGCAGAAGCCTACAGTCGCATGGCACAAGTTCAACAATACTTGGATCCCGATACTCGAGATCAATACGCTCGCGGCGATTTGGACAATCGGGTTGAGCAAGTGTTATCGGAAATCCGAGACTTGACCATTGCTGGCACAGTCTAAGCATTGACACACGATATCGCATCCCACCTTGCCTTTATACTCTTTTGCACCGTCCCCAACTCATCACCACACACCCTGAACGAACACAAAAACGGCGCTATCTACCTATTGGTGGACGGATTGGGTTGAACAGAAGTGCTTTTTCCAGCACAGCATAGCGTTGGCGTTTTACAGGGATTCAAGTAGATACTAATCATCCTGCAAAACCAATGGGAATGGACAGGACCTTCCATAAAATCAATCGAGCTTGAACTCAGTTTACAAAGTTGCCCTTACTCCAAATCTCGACCTGTACTACAAGTATATGCTTTTGATATTCACCCACAGGCTTATATGGCACCCAGCTCCTTCAACTTGCTGATCATGCCATCCACATCCTCCACCTTACCACCGCCCTGTCGAGCAGGCGGTTCCTCCACCTTGATTGTCTTTAACCTCGGCTTTGCATCAACGCCATAATCAGCTAGGGACTTCTTCTCTAGCTTCTTCTTCTTGGCCTTCATGATGTTCGGCAGACTCGCATACCGGGGTTCGTTGAGTCGTAGATCTGTGGTAATGATCATGGGCAGCTTGGCCTTGAGCGTTTCCACACCACCGTCCACCTCGCGGGTCACCGTGACATCGCTGTCCTTGATATCAACTTTACTCGCCTGTGTAGCCTGCGGCCAGTTCAGTAGACCGGCAAGCATTTGTCCTGTTTGACCCGCATCATCGTCAATAGCCTGCTTGCCCAGGATGATCAGATTGCTTTGCTCCTTCTCGGCGATAGCTTTCAGCAGTTTCGCCACGCTCAGAGGCTCGAGCGGTTTATCTTCGGGCACATCGATGTGAATGGAACGGTCGGCGCCCATGGCCATAGCTGTGCGGAGGGTATCTGCGCATTTTGCCGGGCCAGCGCTGACTGCTAGGATCTCTTCGACGGGCTGTTTGCGTTCGCGCAGTCGCACGGCTTCTTCGATTGAGAGCTCGTCGAAGGGGTTGAGGGAGTGTTTGACGCCGGAGGTTTCGACGCCAGTGCGGTCAGACTTTACTCGGGGTTTGACCTGGTAGAACAGTCAATCATAAATGTCCGCATCGACAGCGTTGCGTTGCTTGGAGCTGCAAGCCTAGGGTCGAGGCTGGGGTAGGAATAACAACTCACGGCATAGTCTATGACTCGTTTGACGGGAACGAGGATCCTCAACTTCGAAGACATTGCAACAGCCAGCCGGTGTGTTGTAGTTCAATGTTCCAATACTCCAATGCTCCTCAAGCGCAGAACAATTACTTTTCCTGCCTGACACTCACAGCGCTCAATTCTCAAGGTCAAGTCGACAAAGAGAAAGTCGAAGTATCGGGCAATACAACCCGATGCTTCGGAATTCAATCGGAGGGTCTTTGATGTTCACCTCGGGAAGCGATCGCTCTTCCCGTAAGTAAGCGGTTCGCGGAGCAGCTCATCACGTGTCTCAGCTCACATCTAAATTCCAACAAAACTGCCAAGCCTTCGACAACTGGACCGCACGCAAATTTCCAAAGCGACCTCACAGCCGAAGTCGACTGAGACCTCCATCCAACAACATCAACTCTTCGCCAACTCGCCATCGCAAGACAATCGTCAAGATGCCGGTACGTCGAATACATTCCCTCCTACACATCGATCACATACCATTCCTGCATACGACAGCACTTCCGAACTCGAATTTCCACATCGAAACATCGTCGCACATCACTTGCAAGATGAAAGAACAAAACTAACATGATGTGAATTTATAGAGCCACAAAACCTTCCGCACGAAGCAGAAGCTTGCGAAGGCGCAGAAGCAGAACCGACCTATTCCCCAATGGATTCGATTGAGGACCGGTAACACCATCAGGTCAGAACCCTTTTCCCCTCTACACATAAATCCTTCGCACAATGGTTGAATTTTGGGGGAATGGGAAGCAATATGAGCCCGTCGGTGTCTTGGTGGATGGTGCAGCAGGAGTTACTGATGTTTGGATGTGGTTGTGATTGCTTGGAAGGAGGAACTGGTGTGGACACATGAGAGATTCATCGGCGCGGGCTCATACTCTTTGCACGATCGCATCAAAGATAACCATTCAAGGATTATTACTGACATCGGTACCCTGAACAGATACAACGCAAAGCGGAGGCACTGGCGCAAGACTAGACTCGGTATCTAGACGACTCGCCCCTTCATATCAACACTCAACACTATCTCGAACAACTTCAACTGGTCTACGATACTCATTTACGGTTCGAACCGCGGAGGAATGGAGATGGTGTTTCGACTTGGTGCCATGGACGGCAGTCAAGACATGTGTTGATGGCAATGGAGAGGGTCATGGGAGTTTCTATCAGCATGGCATGAAAAGTTCACCGCGCGGATCTTGCAGTTTTAGACAAGACATCGCTTTAGTCTGGCAAATCCGTCTCGTATGATATTGTGGACGGCGCAAATGCAATTTCAATGAACAAACATGACAAAAACAGCCCGTGAAGAATTATGGCGTGATGGACGTGCTACTTGTGCCATCCATCAGAAACGAGAGGCGGGAAACATAACTGTTTCACCAAGCCCGTCTTGTTTGCTATCGAGTAGCACGACACCGGACGGTATCGTTTATTTTCGTGATGATCTCCATCTTCCACGACACTCATGTTCAATCATCACGTGCCTCTCTGACGCTGGCCTTTTATGCACGACCTGTCCATTTGCAATCGAGGACAACTTCAAAACAATCCCACCCATGATGCCCCGTCAGCATCAAAACTCCTAGACATGCATGTTGCAGTCGCTTGAAACCGTAACGCCATCACGAGAACACACCGAAAAGCCGTGAGCACGGACAGGATTAGCGGCTGTCGGGCGTCAGTACCAAAGCAAACAAGTGGAAAACGATCACTCACTCTTCGGCCCACTCGTTCTCGCGGCGGATCTGGTCCTCTTCCTCGGGGGTGAAGTCGTTCTGGATGTTGAACGTCTTACGGATCTCTTCCGGCGACTTGCCCTTGATCATATTTGCCACGGTTTTGCAACCAACGTCCAGAAGCGCCTTGATGTCCAAGTAGTTGGCTGCCTGCGCAACAGTCAGCCATCGTCATAGTTACAGGCCTTTGTGCAGACATACCAGAATAATCTCAAACAGCATCTCTTGGTCGACCTGCATGAACTTTTGGTCCCACTCCTCGATGTCTGTGGTCTTCTTTCTGGAGTCCGAATCATCTTCGTTGGTGGAGGGAGGATCATGCTTGTGATGTTGGCACCACTCGATGACTTTCTTGAGAACAGCGGCGTTGACGTTGGGTATGGGAATAGGCTCTTCCATCGCCTCCTCTCCAAGATCGCCAACCATATTCTTGATTAGGACGGATCTCTCTGCGACTTCGCGCTCTGCGGAACTGTCAGCTACTCAGCAGCGCATGCTCATGGTGCTGCAACGTACCAACAGAGATGTCCTCGCCATCGGAGCTCTGGAGTATCAAGTTCTTGGAAGACATGTTGATGATCGTGTGGGGTATGTGATGAGTTCGAAGGTCGAGGTAATGTGGAGGTCTGAGGGGATCTCTGTCAGTTGATGATGGCTTCGAAGGATGCTGAAGAGTTGGAAAGAGGATAAGAATAGAAAGCAGGTCAGGAGTGAGATTTGAGTGCGTAAAATGAATAAAAGTGATGCGCTTTCAAATGGAGAGGCAGTAAGGACTGGTAGGTGATGGTTAGTCAGGGCCGACGATCTGCCCGCAGCTGCAGTGACGCTTGGCGTGAGGACCTGCCGCAGCCTCAAGTTACTTCTACAGTCATTCCCGGCCTGAACTTCACTGCCCTAGAAAGGCCAAATGCCATCATGAAGCAGCGCAAGAGGAACCAGCGACAAAGAGATGAACAAGTGTTCGTATACTTACTGTAAGCCTCTCAAATATGCGAAACGCTGTTGTGTTTCGGCAACTGTTGAAACAGAGTAGAAAAGGGTGCTGAGAGAACCAAAGGTATACTTGTTTATAGGGAACTCCAGTTCGGTGATTTTTTCAGACCCTCACCCCTTGCTGCCTGTCGTGAAGGCAAATGAATGGGCTGCCAATCGCTGATTGTTCCATTGAATTGCTTGCCATTGTTCTGGAATGCACTGTTTGCAGGTCAGTGAAAGGCTGCAGTGATGCCTCGCACGTGATATGACGTAGCCTGTGACTTTCCATCCGGCTCCCTTCGCAATCCTTGTCCGAAGCCTGGAGTTGACAGTGAGGACAGATTAATCTCACCTTATCGCATCCTGCAACAATTAGCTTGATTTCGATCCAACGACGAATGCGCGTCCTGTCAATGCTGCCTATCCGCAGTCTCCGGCATCCATAGCGAACATCCTTGTGCGACTTTTGCCTTGATATCCGTACTACTTCATCCTCTCCGCAAACGACGCGTCTCCAAACGCGCTCCGTTCAACATTTCGCACTTCAACCTTGAGGATGAGTCTGGGGCATATGGCCTTACCTTGCTGCCAAACGATGAAAGAGCCAAAGACATACCCAGCAAGTTGATTGCGACAAGAATGTGGCGACTGATATACCTGTTCCTGCTGTTTGTTCGCATCTTTTTCGCATTGAGTCCGAGTTACCTTCACCCCGACGAGATCTTTCAGGGTCCAGAGCCTGTTTCTGGTATGCGCACCACACTGCGCTTCATCTTGGTGGATGCGCTGACTCCTCGATAGGATATCTTTTCCCGTATCCGAACCATCGCACGTGGGAATGGACATCATCCCATCCAATCCGCAGCGTGTTCCCATTATGGCCCTTCTATGGCCTGCCGATGGCCTTGATGAAATGGGTTTGGGCTCAGGATGAAGATGGTCTTGTGGATCCTCACACCATATATTACACCCTTCGTCTGGTCATGTTCATGCTCAGTTTTGTCGTCCAAGATTGGGCTGTTCATGACCTGGTCCGGTCTCCACGACACAGACGAGAGGCTGTCATCCTGGTGACCTCTTCATACGTAACGTGGACCTTCCAGACGCACACTTTCTCCAACTCAATCGAAACATTGCTTGTGTTATGGAGTCTGGTCGTTATAGAGCGAATCGTGGGCGAAAAGGTAAGTGTCCTGTGTCTCACTGTTAGACAATCCACTGACAGCTCACCAGAAGCGATCAGCTATCGCCTCATGCATCGTCCTGGGCTTTCTCTTTGTCTTTGGCACGTTTAATCGAATCACTTTTCCAGCGTTCATTGTGATACCCGGCATGCAACTGTTGCCACATTTCTTGAATAGGTGAGCGAATTTCAGCAACTGTGAAAAAGCCCTTGAGCCTAACATTCCGCCAGACCTTTCTGCGCCCTTGCGCTTCTTCTTTCCAGCGTCTTCTGGACTGTCGCCGCGATCATCATCGACACAGCCTACTACTCCGGGCCTGCGGCGACCAGATCATTCCGAGCTTTGTACGACCATGTGCGCAGAGCACCTGTAATAACACCATTGAACAATCTCCTCTACAATACGCAGACCAGCAATCTTGCTCAGCATGGCCTTCATCCGCACTATCAGCATCTGCTAGTCAATCTGCCGCAACTCCTGGGACCAGCTTTAATCCTCTTAATTGTGTCCGCCTACCCTTTCAACCTGCGCGTCCTGAAAACACTCCTTAGCAATGCCAGACTAGCATCTGCGACGACCGGAACTCTTTTTCTCAGCCTCATTCCTCATCAGGAGCCACGTTTCTTACTCCCAGCCGTCCCCTTATTCTTGGCATGCCTCCGCGTTCCCACGACAAAGATATGGAACAGCATTTTCTGGGCCAGCTGGATCATCTTCAACGTGGCCCTCGCAGTACTGATGGGCATCTACCACCAAGGTGGTGTCATCCCGACTCAACTTGCCATCCCATCACTAATCACAAACTCTATCACGAACACGCACTCCAAAGCCCACAACATCGAAGTATTCTGGTGGAAGACCTATCCGCCGCCAAACTTCCTGCTAGGCACCGACCCTGTTCACCCAGCCACAAACCACTCCCTCAACATCTCTACCGTCCCACTCATGGGCTACCCTCAAAGCGAACTCGTCTTCATGCTGATGCAGCACATGCCGACGTGTGACCCGTCCCTCATTGAGCGTTTGATTCCGCACAAGGAGAAGACAGACGTCTTCGTGGTGGCGCCACTGGCGGCCTGGCGTCTACAAGAGACGGAGCCGTACCCGCCCGTTTCCAATTTCAGTTTCTCCATCACATTCAACGTTCCGCCAGCCAACCTACTCATGACAAATATCTTCACTTACCGGCAGCACGTCAATCTAGACGACATGGATTTTGGCGACGATGGTGTGACCCCAACGCTGAAAAGAGTTGTGGGCAGACGAGGACTAGGGGTATGGAAGGTTGATAGAATTTGCGACTCGATCGCGTACGTGGACCAGCATGGCAACCAGGTTCAGCCTCCGGAAGTTGTACTGCATGAGTCTGGTGACCATCAAGGTGACAATCTGGCTTCGGACCCGGCTGTGGATGCGGTGCCGACCGTCACGACCGCCGTGACCACTTGAGCTATGTACTTGAGAGCAACTCCTTGTCCATAAAACAAAAAGGAGCCAACTGATTGAGAAGAACATTGACATTGACAATAATGCTCGTTATTAGGCTAGGTACAGGCAGAGACGGGTTCATTGCCGGTATGTATCTCAGCAGGGTATCTCTCTCCGCCGCCCAAGCCAAGCCCTGATTTACTGCTCACCCCCGTTCCTTTGCACTAGACTGGAGCATCTCAATGAAGGTGCCTGCATATCGCGCGTGCTGACCTCGTAATCCTCAAACAAACCGCTTGCTGTGTACTGCAACATCAGGCCATTCCAAGCCGTTGATCATTGTCGTTGATATCATGGCCGAAAAGAGCACCTGCAAGATCCCAACGACAATGCTCAAGCCCATCCATGTTGGAAAAAGCGCACTTCACGAGCATAATATGATCACTGCGTCTCCTCATCTTCGGGCTGCTCGAACAAAAAGTTGGCCGCTAACTCTTCGTTTCGGTCACAAGCAAAGTAAGCCTGGATAACTTGCTCCCTCGAAAAGCCCAGACGGCAGAGCCGTTCTATGGCATCACGCTCTTCTTCAGTCACGCTGATTTGTGTGGCACCAGGTGGGAGTGGGCCCTCATCACCTTCCTGTCCCTGTATATCGAATTAGCATCTTCCGATTGAAAGGCAACATCAACACCTTACCTCTGCTAGCAGCTGGAGAAACTGTTCGGGATTCAGACTGATCATCTGGGCAAGCTCTGGATTGCCCTCGGCAAGTTGCTGCAAGATTGGCTCAAGCATGGACGGCTGTTGTTGGACAATTTGGCGGATTTGCTGGAAATGAGGACTCTGTCGAAGCATTTCAAGGTTCACCTGTTGTCCACCTTGGCCTCTGCCTCCTGTGGCAGCGGCACCACCTCTTGCTGCGCCACCACGTCCTTGTTGGTTGGCTTGGGCCGCGGCTTCGAAGAGATTGACTGGCTCGTCTCCACCTGTCTGGGCTGGTTGCGCAGGCTGGGCGGCTGGTGGCGAAGCAGGAGTACCTTGAGTAGCAGCGGCAGCGGGTGTGGCTTGTCTCTGTTCGGCCTGGATGTTCTCCGGGATACCACTCAGAAGATATTCGATCGCACGATCCGGGTTGAAGAACGCAGCACGGAGAGCACGGTCGATCTGTGATCTTTCGAAACCCATGGCCTCCATCTCGCGAATGGTCGCCTCATTTCGGTTACCGATCAAGAATGCGGAGGGATCATTGAAGCCAGGCTCACCAGCCGTAGGTTCAGTTGTGGCAGGCTGAGCAGGAGTAGGTGTGGAGGGTTGGTTCGACGCGGCAGCAGGTGGAGCGGGTTGCGGCGCGGCTGGTGCAGCTGGTGCGGCAGGGGTAGACGTTGAGGTAGAGGCAGCTGGTGTTGAAGGAGCCGCTGGTTTGGCAGCTGGTGCGGCTTTTGGCTGGACGAAGTCAGTTCATGCACAAGACACAAGAGAACCGGCAAAAGTACCTTGCTGACCATGCACACAATGAAGCCCTTCTCTTCAATCTTGTAAGATTCGACAGTGTTGGCGTCGGCCAGAACCTTGCCTGTGTGGCATCAGTATTGTATGAACCCAAGCAGAGACAAAAGTCACCGACCAGCGTAGATGAGCTTCTGCGAAGGTGCCTCCCATCCTTTCTCGGCCGCAATCCTCTCTTTCACTTGGCCGATCTGGTGCGGGAAACATTAGTTGAGGGAAGCGCAAGTGGGCATGTTATCATGGGCGTACCGTGTCTGAAGGTTCGGCGTCAATTGTGAACTTCTGCTGCTTGAGATCCTACTATTTGTCAGTGTATAGTCGCGCATGGTAACCCGCAGATCGACTGACTCTAAATGAGAGCTTCATCTTGCCCCGCGCGACACAAGCTGGTATGTATGTCGGGTGAGTTTGTGATGATATTCGGGACTGTATCTGGTACAATGAATACGGGCTCCGTTGCTCGCTCTTGTGGTAAAGATTTACCTGAAGAGCAATGAAATAAAGTAGATGCAGCGGCAAATGCGAGAGATGCAATTGCAGGTGATTGTCTTTTGAATGACGCCTCACTCAGCCTGCCTGCGACTCCAAATGAGTGGTGAATGGCCGCCGTTGCCTTGTCACGTATGCCAAGACACAACAGGTACGATATTCACTACTCACCCTCTTCATTTCATATCGCCCTTCTGCTAGATGCCTAGGTGCTTGAATACAGTATCATTGCAGTCCTTACTGATGAGTAGGGCCGACGAGGTACTCCATGATAGAAAGTGCATTTTCTACGAGCCACGCCGACACTCCCAGTTTGCTAAAGCCAGACAAAAATTACACCCAACCCCTACGGACTTGGTTCGCTTGCTTTACTCTTCCTTCTTTTTCGATTGACCACTCCATCAGGCGTCGTAGCCCCCTTGTCTCCGATCTTAAGACCTTTTGACACTGCCGCGTTGCTGCTTGACGAAGCTGGAACCATCGACTGTGCTCGAGATTGATTAGGCGTGGCTATGTTGCCGCTCGTCTGACCCTTAATTTGACCAGTGGCAGCCTCTTTGTTCTTAGAAAATCTGAAGTTTCCAGGCTCCCCAGCCAAGGATATGTCATCGGCATACTCCTTGCCATATTGCAGGGTCATGCGCAGTGCATCCCAGACAGTGCGGGCTCCAGTATTGTTTTCTTCTTGTGGCTGAGCTGAGGATGTTGTTGGTTTCTCGCTTGCAGATAGCTGACTTCCGGGCATTGGTGTGCTCTCTTTACTTTGCTGAGCAGGATCTGATGTGGCTTGATTGGCCGACGCTTGGACGGGCTTGTGATAGGTATGGCCATGCGAAACGGAAAAATAGAATAGGTTTGCTGGTGCTGAAAAGACCTTCTCCAGCGCCGAGACCGTGTTCAACTGTAGTCTCACGCATTACCATGACTGAAAAGAAAAAGAACCGCATTTCCAGCTTACCATTCTATAAGTGAGCACGCTTGCCACTGCTGGAGCTTGATAGATCACATCATTGACGATATAGTAGTAGCCCAAAACGGTGACTCCGTTGGCCGTGTCGTCTTCGCGGTTCTGTTTCCGAATCACCCAAACATTGGACTGTTCAGGACCATTGGGGCCATCGATCATGACCTTTTCCTCAAGTGGATCGTGCTCCACGACATATTGAATGCCACGCTGATGGCGTAGATTGTCCTCGAATTTAGCCCTTGTGCCTAGGATATCGTTCTGATTCGGAGTGCCCGCCCACTGGGTGAAAAGAGACTGATTCCCAGAGACTTGGTCGAAGAATGGTGAAGTGGCGAAATAGAACAAGACGTTGTTAGAGTGTATGTAGCCTCCATTCCACGCGATCCAGTTAGGATCGAAATGGGCCTTTTCGGTCAGGTCATCTTTGGAGTCGGCCATGTCGAAGAATGTTGATGACCTGGCAAGGTCGGATCATCTTGGTCGCGATAGAGTACTACCTAACTTATCCGATGACAGTGACAAGCGATGTGTATCATCATACTGTGATCATAGTGAAGATTATACTGGTGGTTCCCTACACTTGCTGTCAAGTAAACAACTTGAATACAATACAAGGCTGATGCTTGGCGACAGAAGGTATAATAAATAAACTTAACGTCGACCACACCCACCCGACCTACGCCGTTTCTTAAACACTGCTTACCTCCCACTTCCTTCCCTACTCACCTCTCACCTACACGACTGTGCTTGTCTGTGGGTTTATTTGATGCTCCCATTTTTTTCTATCATACCTAATATGCAATATCTCCTCAAATCTGTCCTCCAGATATTCTAGTCTTTTCGCATTTTGCCCTTCTTACAGCTGGTCTCCCACTCGTATTCCCAGCCCCGCATTTCTCTCTATTTTGCTTTTGCCTTGACGCTCGGTTTTAGTATATCCGCTACTAGGCTATCCGCCACGGTGGTTGGCAGAAGTTCAAGGCAAAACGTCTGTACGCGATGCCAAAAGTACGCATAGACGGAGCGGTGTCCCAGGCCAACTCTGTCGAGCGCTGCGCGAGCCACAATATCTGGTGTGGGCATGAACAGCCCGGGTTTGAAGTTGCTGTCACCCTCAAATACCTGCGTATAGGTTCCACCAATCACTAGCTCAAGGACATCGACCTGCGAGCCAGCCGCATGCTGCTCAGCGGACAACGCGCGTGACCAAGCGTGAAGCGCGCCCTTGGTAGCCGAATAGGCGGCGACATATGGTTGGCCTACGTACGCCTGGCTGCCGCAGGTCATGATGAGCGTCGGAGCTTGTTGCTGGAGTTGTGGCAGTAGGGCGCGCGTCAACTGCAGGGCGAACAGCACGTTGACCGAGAACACCCCGGCGATTTCGGCAGGAGTCGTGTCCTCGAAATGCATGAAGTTGGACGAGAGCACCCCGGTGCCCCCAACGTTGTTGATGAGGACTGTAAGCGGCACATTCGCGACCTGGCGTACGATTTGCTCGATATTCGCCTGGGTAAATGAAGCCGCATCGGCCGTTACTGTCCGAAACTGGCGCTGCGGGTGCATGGCCTGCAGCTCATCCCGCACGCGTTCGAGCTTACTATGGTTACGGCCATGCAGCACCACGTTGAAGCCTCGGGCGCTCAGCTCGACACACAGAGCGCGACCGATTCCATCGGTGGCACCAGTCACCAGTGCCCAGCTAGGCTCGCCGTTCTCATCTTGCCGAAGGTATTTGTGCAGACCGGAGGGGTACAGGTAGTGAATCAGAGGGAGAGGCATTGTGCTTGTGCTTGAAGTGGACGACACCTAATGGTATCGTACCGTCTCTTAATAGGTGATAGTACTCCCTACCCAGTGGTTACCGGCGTAATTTCTGACCGACTGCAACCAATTGCAAACCACGGCCTCAATCCACGCACGGACAAGCTGCGGCGGACGTGTCAGAAAATAGGTCACAACTGTGGGGATAAAGTCCCCGCACAAGTTGTGTACACTCACGTGATACTTCAACGTTTAGCTTTGGTACGGAGTAAGTTACTCGTATTTCAACAGGACAGCGGACGATGTTAACAAGGAATGCAGCGCTGCTTTTGGAGCCAATACTTAGTAAGCATCAACCAGCTCGCGTCACTCGGACTTTCGTACAGGGCGGCATCACTCCGTTTCTACAAGAGGGCAGGGCTGGCCGTTCTTGCCGTGGATTCACTACTGCTTGGTATGGATGTTCCCGAGCGCGAGCAAAAATAGTTGCATCAAATCCTTCCTTTTTCGCTTTTCTCAATCATAATATATGACCATGAACGTATTTTCTCTCACTTTATAAAAGCACACTCCCGGTAGGTGTAGGTGCGGTGGTATCTGTCTCCGTTTGGCGTATTTGCTATCTGGCTGGTTTGTACTGTTACTTTCCTTCTTTCTACCATCGACCACTTTCCTTTGCACCATTATTTAATCAGCGTCTTCTCCTCGAACAGTCATTCGTCTCTCATCTCAGCTCGAAAATGGCAACAGCATCGATTCTCTTCATCGATGCCTACGACTCTTTCGCAGAAAATATTACTGCTCTACTACGCCTGCAACTTTCTGTCTCTGTCACGTTGATCAGGATCGATTGCGACATCCCAAGCCAATACAATCGGTCATGTCGAGATTTCTTTTCGACCTTTGACGCAATCGTCCTTGGTCCGGGTCCAGGAAACCCCCACAATGAGTCAGATGTTGGTCTGTTTAGACAAGTGTGGGAGTGCGCCGCAGAACTCGACTTACCGGTCCTCGGTATCTGCCTAGGGTTCCAAAGTCTCTGTGTACAGTATGGTACCCCTATTGTTCGAATGGGTTTACCATGTCATGGACACGCCAAAGACATTCAACACGCGGACAAAGATATCTTTGCTGGCTGTGGGGCGATCGTGGCAACAAATTACAACAGCCTGGGTGTACGACTGAAGGATTTCAAACAGGATGACAGCACAAACACAAGCCGTCGGAGTTCAACCGGCTCCGTGGATAGTATCTCCTCGTATCAAAGTCTACAATCCGGCGCGTCGGTCTTCTCGAAGCCGTCAAACGTTAGAGCACGACATCACTTCAATGACAGTCTAGAAGTTCTGGCTTGGGACAAGGATGACTGGGTGATGGCTGTCAAACACAAAACTCTCCCTTTCCATGGCTTCCAATTTCATCCAGAATCATGCAAGTCAAACCCAGCCTGTCATGACCTCGTCAAACGATGGTGGGGTGCATCTCAGGCGCATATTCCCTCACCCAAATTTCTTTCAAGGACGATAGAATCGAACGCTACTCCACCAAGCTTGCCTCGACATACCACGAGCGGCTGTGACTCTGATGAGCCAACAGTGGTCGAGGTTAACGGTGCAACGGGCGACAATATCGTCTTTCGCGCCAGCATTCCAATGCCCAACGGAGCCGAGAAACTTGCTTCACTGTGCCACAAGTTGTCCCCCTCCAACAGTGTTTTGATGCTAGAGTCCACTAAAAGAGGTCGCTACAGCATCTATGCGTTTACCGACGATTCAAACTTGCGGATTGAGTACACAGATGGCAAGATTGCGCACTTCCAGGGCCAAGAACCGAAAGGGGAGCATCAAATTGGACGAGATGAGCTCATAGACACAATCGAAAACTTCATGCGTCCCAAAAACGTTATCGATGATAAACCTCACCTGCCTTTCAGGGGCGGCTTTATGGGCTTCGTGTCGTACGAGTTTGGCACCGATTCGCTTAATCTGCATGTCCATCCTCGAGGGCGTCCATCCTCGTGCATACCAGATGTCAGTCTTCTCTGGGTGGACCGCAGCATCGTGTTCGACCATGAGACAAAAACAGCACATGTTCAAACAATCAGAAATGGGGACAAGGACTGGGTTGAAGGCATGAGTGGCAGACTCAGCTTAAGAAATGAAACGACGATGCGATCAAGAGATCCGTTGGAGCAAATTGAGCTACAGAGAATCCTCGCTTCCACGACCTACACCTTTCCCAGCCACGACCAATATCTCTCGAAAATTCGCGCCTGTCAATCCGAGCTTGTCGCTGGCAACTCCTACGAACTGTGCCTCACCACTGAAGCCACAGTCACCACACCCACGACATCCAACCCCACGACAAATTCCTGGCTCCTGTACAAAAACATCCAACGTCATAACCCCGTCCCCTTCGCCGCCTATATCTGCTTGAACCAGACGACTATTCTATCTTCCTCGCCCGAGCATTTCCTGTCCTGGTCCAGCAATGGCACCATCGACATGGTCCCTATGAAAGGCACAGTGAAAAAGACACCCGATATGTCGCTGGAAAAGGCCACGGCGATCCTCTCCAACGCCAAAGAGACCGCCGAAAATCTCATGATCGTCGATCTCATTCGACACGATCTCTACAGCACGGTCGGACACGATGCGCTTGTTGAAGTCATCAAGCTATGCGATGTCATCGAAACCGAGACTGTCTTCTCACTCGTCTCGCACATTCGCGCCCACATTCCGACACCTGCAGACACTGCCCGCCAGTCCAACGAGTTCAAGCATGGAATGACCAAATATGGCATCAAAGCCCTGTTCAACACCCTTCCACCTGGAAGCATGACGGGCGCTCCAAAGAAACGATCCTGCGAGATTCTCTGTCGCCTCGAGCAGAGACACAGGGGCGTTTACTCCGGCGCGATAGGGTACATGGATATCACTGGCAACGGAGCATGGTCAGTCTGCATACGCACCGCATTCTCGCATGCGGACGAGAACGTGCCTGAGACGGCCGAGAGCCCAGCGATGCAGAAATGGCACATCGGCGCCGGTGGAGCCATCACCGTGCTCAGCGACGAGGAGCAGGAATGGGAAGAAATGGTGACCAAACTGGACAGTGTCATGCGTGGGTTCCGGGTGTGATCCGAATTCGACCTGAGGAAGTCACACTTTGTACCCTTCAACGGAGAACAGATGTGGTCACAAGTACGGACATTAAAGTGATAAGAAGAACATGATCTTTCTTGGCCTTTGGCCCTTCAACACGAAATGATGATAATGTTCAATGCAACCAGCTGCGCCCGGTATGGCTGCAAGCACGGCGTCTATGGATTTGAATTGTACCAAAAGGACTGGCGTTTCAACACTGCAAGCATGGCGCTTATGGATTCGAACTGCGAAAGGGGAGGACTGGCTCGGGCCTTTCAGCACTGCATACTTGAGCGTTCTGTTCTGATTTTTATCCGCGGAAGACATAGATATGCGCATTCTCTTTTGCAAGCGAAGAGACCCAGCGACTGCTCAGCGAATGTCAGCACTGGCGAATGGGTTTGTTTCCGAGATGGGCTTTTCAACACGGCCTCTTCGATAGACTGTAATTGAAATTACCGACGATGAGGCAACGGATCGTCTCGAGAGGTCAACGGTCTATGTGTAATCAGGCTGCTGATTATACCAGTGAGCATAGTACAGGAGATGAAGACTTTTCTAACCCGAACCAGAGAATATCTTGGTTCCCGGCCCTGATTTCGACTCTATACAAACTGTTTTGTACCCGTACAGACGAACAACCCCAAAGCCAATAACACCATCGCTATGCCATGCCATGCTAGGCTATGCTTTCACTTCAATTTCCTTTCCATTTCCAAACCGTTATCGAACATTTATATCTCAACCAAGGGTCCCTGCGGCGTCGGTCCCGAACTCGTTGGCCGCGCTCGAACAGGCAACCCTGCGGCAGGCAACTGCTGACCCAGTGCAGTCATGACCCTTCCAAAGTACTGCGCCACAAATCCCTCAGTGTAGTAACTGTGCTCGGAGCTGTGATCGCCAACCAGGTTATGTGCCAGCTCATGACACAGAATAACCCACCAGTATACAAAAGCCTCACGATACCCTTCGGGTGTGCCGGCATCCTTCTCATGCAGAGCCTGGTAATACCGATAATTGCAAAAGATACTACCATTGCGATTGAAACCAATGGTCTTGCCTGAATTCTCGTAGAAGATGTTCAACGTGCGCGGGTCAAGGCTGAAGACTTCACCGACTCCTTTCAACAGTGTGGCAAAGGTCGTCAGACCCGAAGAATGTTGCTGGAGGAATGCGGACGAGTTGCTGACCGAAGACGGGGAAAGGTACATTTGGATGCCGTGCTTGATGTCCGCCACGAAGGTGAGGTCATGAGCTGGTTTTTCGTCGCAGTATGATTTGGTCTCATTCAAGATATTTGTCTCGCCTGGACTGAAGATCGCTGAGGAGTTGTGAGCGCGGGACTTCTTGATGGCATTGAGCAGATTCTCCCGGAGCTGGTAGGGTGCCGCAACATTGTCTGGTTGGCCACCGTTTTGCAGACCGTTTCGCAGACCGGTCTGCTGGACTGCCTTCTGATTGCCTGCTTGACTGCTTGGCCGGCCCTCATGTCCACCGCCTGTTTCATCACCGTACTGATATGGTGGAGGTGGATCGTTCTGCCGGTTATGGCCGAATCCAAGCTGGCGTGAGAGATTCGTGAAAAGATTGCGGCCATTTCTGCGACCAAGATCGTCCAATGTAGGCGTGGCAGGGACCATATCAGTCGTCGGGGCTCTGCTATCTGGCGAATCTGGAAAGCCACCAGGCAGCTGTTTCTGTTGGGGTTTGTCCTTGACAGTCTGTTCTTGCGAAGCTCGCCACGCCTTTTCTTCTTCTTGAATCCGCTTCTGCTGCTCCTCAAGATCTTGTTGTCTTCTGTTTTCGGCAAGTCGAGCCTCAGCTGCCTTCTGTCGTAAAATGCGCCCGACGTTAAAGCCACGAGCACGTAACTCTAGCAAATCGGTCTTCAGCAGCATTTCCAATGTGATGGCAGAATGTAGCTTAGGTCTGTTGAGCAGGATATGGACTAAAGCCTGACTCACTTGGTACAGATCTGGTTTTGCGCCTGTGATCCACAATGTGTACTCACGATTCACCGCAGTGACAACGGCAGTGCGTTTCTCAGTATGGCTGACATCACGGCCTTTAAGAGATCTTCTCAGCGAAATTGAAGACACTAGCTGAACCTGCAAATTCTTCTCCAACCATTTGGCGTCATGCTTGATCGTGTCATGAGGCTGTTCGTGGAGAAATAAGGTCGATCTTTCCAATATCTGTTTCTGGAGTCTTTCGGCGGGTTTCTGATCAGCTGCTCTTGGACCATGACGAGCAGCTTCCTCCACAAGTGAGCTCAGCAATGGCGCTCCAAGAGCGAAGTAGAAGTCCTCCAACGTTTCTTCTTGAGGTGCGGCCAGAATGTTTGTCTTGAACAGATTGTAGTTGAGGTAGTCATCAATGATAATAGCGTCTTGAGCACTACACAACTGGAATTCTCGGATACCTTGCAACTCGTCCTCCTCGAGTTGGTCATAGTCCTCATCTTTACCACTGGCTCGGCTTGTCAGAGCTTGCGAGGCAGCAAGTTCCTTGCTGGCAAGCAAGAAAGGTGCTCTCTTCATCTCTGCCCAAAGCTCTTTGTTTTTCTTCAAATCTTTGGCACTGTCAGCCATACTCCGTAGAAGCGCCATATATTTCTCAGCATTGCGAAATGTTGCAGAGATGCGGGCTGGTTCCTTGACAAGGATCTGGGCAACTTCCACCTTCGAGGGTTCCGGCTTCGTGCCACACTTCATGAGAAAGGCGTTCGCTTCCATTCCGAAGTCCACGTAATGGAAGATTTCACCAAAGACATCACTCTCGCCAAGGAAGCAGTTCCGAGGAGAAGTGTGTAGTTTAGGTGCTGATTTCTCTTTTCCTTTGATAAAAACCGGAATGAAGTTCAGCTCTCTCAGTCTTGGGATCGTGCTGATGTTGATCTCACTCAATCTCCCGGCGAAATAGGTGAACATGGATCGCGCATCATTGTAGGTTGTGGGCGGTCGTTTGGCGAGTACATTGATACAGAGTTCCATGGGAGGATTCAGCCTCACACCGAGTTTTGTGGCATGTGGGATCCAGTCACGCTTCAGAATGTCGAAGCCGAAAAGCGAGGCTCCAGCATCAGCGAAACATTGCGAAGGAGTAGCAAGTTCGTCAGGCTTATTTTCCAGTGGCAAAAACGGAATCGTGATACTGGAGTAATCGAACGAGGCATATCCGTAAGCATGATGATGCGACAAGAAGTATGCCAAAGCTCTATCCCGAAGATCAAGATCCATGTTGGGCCCCTTCGTCCCAGCCACAGACATGATTTTGATGAGTTCTTCCACGAGAGGTGTAGTGCGAAGACCAAGCGTACTTAGGAACTTTCCCTCTGGACTGCTGCTGCGGTAGAGACCAGGCCAAGCCAAAACAGGCAGCCCAAGCTCACGCAAGTCAGGGCGCGGCTCGAACAGTTCCGAGACCTTGTAGCGCTTGGTTGAATCCTCGTCTTCTTTGCCTCTGACCTGTCTTTGAACAATGGGTGTTGTTCTGAGTCTTTGATAGTCTGTTCCCGGAATATCATCCTTCACAGAAGCGAGATATTGGATTAGGTCGACGTGGCTCCATTGAGGTCTCGCGTTGCTGTCGCCTTTTGTTGACTTTGGATCAAGCGCGAGCAGTCTTCCGAAAACCACGCCCAATTCGACTGTCTTGCGAACCCCCAACGCAACTAAGAATTTATCCTTGACATTGCCGAGCCCCTGGATTGTCGCAAGGTCGTCAAATAGCTTGACATTTGGAAAATAGGAATCTTCCGGTTTCTTCATTCCGAATTTGGTGGGAATGATCGTCAGCTTGCTAAGCAATTCTACCAACGTCGTCTTGGACGATTGACTGACAGAATCCCACTGCTTTGACAGAAGTGACAGGATTTGAGAGCTGAACTCAGGAGACTTTGTGATATCCTGGTTCTCCGACAAGACCTGGCGGTTACTGGACTGAACTACCAGCCATCGGAGCCAGATCACAAGTTGCAGCTCTTCCCATCCCAGACTTTCCAGATCATGCTTGCTCATGCTCTTGGTGAACTTGAAAGGCATGACTGTAGGAGGCACCGGCAGGCCAACAGGAGTTCTGCTGGGATTGATGAAATGCCGTATCTCCCCAAGTTGAAGCAGAGAACTTGCATTATCCTCCGGGCTATCATCATTAGCTACCGCGACCGACAGAAGGCTCTTAATAGTAGCCTTATCAAGTTGTCCTTTCGATGCCTGTTTCGTGAGCCATGCGAGGAATTCAGAGACTTGAGGGGTGGTGAGTGGACTCGATTCCAAGGCCAGCTTGATATCCGAGACGGTCACTTCTGTAATAAGCCCGAAGTCTACAAGCTTGTTGACCAGCGTCTTCGCTTCAGTCGCAAGCTTTTCAGGCAATATCGGGATGCCCTCCATGAAAGTCAGGTCCTTAGGCGCTAGACGTACATTGTGGGTGGGAAGGACACCGCACGTCGAGACGACATCAATGGAGGCTTGCTTGCTGCACGTCCAGAATGCGTCCTCCAATAATTGACCAATCGATGAGGAAGGAGTTGACTCTTTGAATGTAAAATTCTTGAAGATTGTGATAGCTTCGTCCAAAAAGGGGTTGACGTCTTCCATGCGGATCTTAGATCTGCCATTTGCCTCTCGCATCGTCTTCTCCTTGATCTCCTGCATCTCGCAAGACCAGGCTATTCTGCATACTATGCCAGCAGCACGAAGCATTTCCATGTTCCAGGTTCTTACATATCTGGCATTAAGATCGATAGACTCTCGCTCGACGGTCGGGATGACTGATGGCGCTGAAATATGTGCACTCAAACCGGTGGTTTGATGTGTGGGAAACCCAATAAATATCTTGCCTCCCCTGCCCGGCAAGACTGTCCCAAAAACATCTCCAGCGGCAGAAGCCTTGGCCAAACTCTCGTCCGGAACGTAGGGGGCAGTCAATATAGCAAGTTTGGTGTACTTTGGAGGTGACTTCTTTGTGGCTCGTTCCAACTCCTCGTTGAACTTCTGACCGGTGAAAGTCTTGATAGTTGCGGTATTCACGTTGAGAAAGACGGTCGCCGATACTTTCGACGCGAGCAGATCCGTATCGCTTGCTGGATCAGGTTTGGATTCGGGCTGAGTTTCCTCCAGGACGGCACCTGCAAGTCGAGAAAAGAACTTGCGTAGAGATGGCGCAGCATCCTTGTCGGTAGACCGACTGCTGTCTCTTGTAGCTTTCCATCCAATGACGGCCATCCATTGTCCCTCGATCTGTGCAATCTCTTTAGAGACTTTGGCAACTTTCATGAAACCTTCGCTAGTTTTTGGTTCAATGTCTCGGGGGATCGCCACATCGTAGCTAGGCGAAGTCTTCTTGTTCAGAGCGAGGACATTCCACTCATCCAGCCAGAGCTCAATGTTCTCAAGCCCAACGAATGTCAGACTGTTCGCCAGGAACTGCGCCAGAGGGAGCAATGGTGGCACGGGAGATGTGGTATCTCGATAGTCCAGCACGAAATTGGTGTCTGAAGTCGTTTCTGAGTCTGGAAGTTGCAGTCGTCTCGTGAACAAGGAGTTATTCTTCCAAAAGAATGCCATGGCTTCTTTTCCAGAGGAAACGAAAGGGTTCTCACAGTCTGAGAATGTGGAATAGAATCCTACACCAAAGGCACCAATCTTGGTCTCGTCAGGGTTGCCTTCCGCGATTCGTTTTAGTCGATTCCAATCATTCTCGCTGAAGGGAGTCCCGTTATTTGTAACGACCAGTCTCTTCAAAGTATGGTGCTGTACTGTATGTCTCAATCGAGTCGAGGATGATGCGTCTGCGGGTAAGGATGGGATGGTCGTAGAGGGTAAGGTTTCGAACTTGATTTTGATCTTGGTAGCGGTGGCATCGGCGGCGTTTTGCAGAAGTTCTCTGAGAACAGTCCATTCTCCAGAGTACCGGGCCAACACCTTGTCTATCAAGGCTCTGGTGTTGACTGTTACGGCCTCTTCGTCGGCACCCGAGCGGAGCGTCTGCGCGCGAAGAGCGTCGAAATCCATCGCAGCCATGGTGAAGGATAAAGATGAAAGAACAAGATATAAATGGTACCGGACACCACCTTATAACCCCATGTGGCGCGTAACAATGGAGACTGGCGTGCCCGGAGGCGAACTTTGGAAAGGGTTCGATGTTTGGGAAAGGCGAATTCGGTAAGAGTCCTTGGAGTACAGGCGTCGACAAGGCTGACATCACCCGCCTCTCAACTGCAGGTGGCGACATAAGGCGGAAAGGTGCCTGAACTCTGAAAGTCTCGATCCTTCAGGCGTTATCGATAGGCATTAACCTTAGCGGTCTTTAACTCCGTCTTTAACTGGAACGCGAAAGCACGTGCATGGTGGACCTGGACTAACTTCACCACTCAAGGACAGCAAACAATCTACTCCCATTGTTAGTGTACATTGAATGAGTGAGTGAGTGACTTCTAGTCCACTCCTACACATACCATACTTGCAAGTCCAAGGTCTGCCTCGACCACATTGATGCACACGCTCTTGTCTGCCTCACGCCATTGAAATCTTCTACTAGGGCGTGGGCCTGCGAATCGCTCTGCTTGGATTGGATTTGTGGACACGATATCAGCTGGCGCCATGTCATTATGGGATATAACCCGTTCGACCCAACAGCTGGCGCAAAGGTCAATGTGCTATGCGTCCCAGCCGGTCCAGTCACACCCGATCGCTTTCAGAAGTTCCTGAAGTCATTACAGAATGCAGCGATAGTGAAGCTTAAACTGGTCGAACCTTCACAGTCCGCCGAAGGTATTGATACTTCCCCTGCCCTCTTCGGTCCCATACTCACCCCTGCAGATGACTCCACCGAGACCGGGCGCGAAGATGGCTCAATCCTGTACGATATCTCTGCAGGCCAGGATCTTCGACGGTCACCGATATTTCCATTCGAGACCAACAGTCGGTGCCAGATTCTACTAGGAATTATCGATGGCGAAAGGGTTGAGGATGCACCTCAATCGGGCTCCAATGCTGATGGGGTCGAGCCGAATGAGCCTATGTCCTCGATCCAATTCATCGAGGAGGACTTTCTCCAACAGACAGCTTCGAGTCCTGGCCTTCTAATTCGTCAACTGATCTGGTGCGGCCAGAAAGTGCCTTCTTCTCCAGACTCTCAAAACTCTGATATACTCTTTTTGCCAGACAGTGGCAGCAAGGGAGCCGCGAGCGATCTTATGGTCAAACTCTCGAAGCGATTCATAGTAGGTGTCTCAAAAGCAACCGAAGACTTGCAGGAACAGCCCATCAGTATGGTGCCCGGCGGTAAGAGTGACCCTCCACCAAGAAGTAGGGACACACCGAACCTCGGACAACGTAGCTCCACCCCTGTATCAGCACATTCTTCTGCCTCGAGTCCCACACCCAAAGACAATGGGGTCCGGAGCGATACCTCAATGGGACGCTTCAATGTCGTTCGAGGCATGTTCCAGATGCAAAGTGGGATGTGGAGCGACGCAATAACTTCGCTCTCAGAAGGAGCATCCACTGCAGGGGATGGACGCGATCATTTGTGGCACGGTAAAGCTTTGGAGTCTCTTCTCATATGCATGATACTACTGTCATGGTCGGACTTGCCCTTCACTATTCCTCCAGTTTGTCGCTCTCTACCTAATAGGAGGGACGTCCTACAGGCAGGATCGAGTCGAAACCCTGCAGAACTAAGAAAGACACTGGCTCAACTGCTGCCACCGATGGTTGAGACCATCCTCGAACTCTATACTAGAGTCTCAAACTTGGATTTAGGAGGCTCTTTGCAGGACATCTTGCGGGAATCGCGGGTGAGGCTCGTAAACTTGCTCGCCTGTGTGAAGGGCACTAGAGGCGTTTTGAGCAAGCACTACCTGAACCAAATTGTTCTGGGACATGCCGAGGTTCCAGGAGACCCAGACTCGCTCGATGGAGAGCCGGTTGCGACTTCGAAGGCCGGCTTAGCGAACATACTAATCGACACACTTCAGGCATCTCAGGCAAGCAATGACATAGGACATTACACAAGCATACTGGTCGCGGTTTCAAGCAGTCTTTCGACTTTGGGCCTAGATCGCAAGCATGCATTCTACCTCAAGATGTTGATGCAGCAATTCGTTTACAAAGTGATCGAGGCAAGAAAGATTGGCGCATCGGAAGTTGGCGTCCACCCTGCAGCTGGACTGCCACCTGTCAGTCTCTCCAATGGAGTTCTTCCTGAGATGGCTCATGGGACGAGAGTTATCCTAAGTCTCGCCGCCGCTGCGTATGGCTCTCCTCTACCTGCTGTGCCACCACCCCAACAACAAACGATATCAGCGGACATGCATGATGTGCAGGACAAGCTCCGCATATGGGCGTCCGACCATGCTTCAGGCGACGTCTTCCTCAAGTTGGAGATGTTACGGGCATGTGTAAGCGTATGTGAAGCACTGCCTGATGTTCCAGCTGGTCTCCATTTCAGCTCTCACATCCTTCGTGGAGCAAAGCAAGCTGTCACCATGCCGCTTCAACAGCCTGACACAGCTGTGCCGCTCATTACCGCAGATGAGCAGGCTCGATTGATAGAAAGCATGAAGCGCGCGGTGTCAGCGGCTTCACGTCTCGGCGCAGAAGGCTACCGCGCTACATATTGGGACGACTTTCTTGTCCGCGACGTCTTCGTCTTCGAGCGCGATTCTTTTGCCAAACTCATTGCTCATAAGCCTAGCGATCTCTCGAAGCGCGGCACCGGCATAGCGGAGACCATTCGGGATCCCTTCATTTTCAACCCATTCTCGACAGTGAAGTCGGTCGTTGCTGCACCTGTACTGGTGGCGGAGGAAAAGGCTACATTTGCAGTCCTACTTCAAAATCCGCTGGAGATTGAAGTCGAAATTGACCAGATCCAAGTGATCACCAAAGGCTGTGGCTTCACTCCTTCCCAGCACAGTGTCGTCTTGGGCCCTTTGTCCGTGCAGACTTTCACGTTGTCAGGGACGCCAACGGGAAGTGGTGACCTGGAAATCATAGGCTGTAGAGCCAGCATCCGGGACTGTTACACACAGGACTTCTTCGTTTTCAAGGAGGACTGGCAAGTTCCATCACCACCGAAGCAGAACGCTGTCAGCAGGAGAAAGATCAAAACGAAGGGCTTGACAGGTTCTGAAGAGAGCGACTCGAAACCGGTCGAGCTCGATCTGAAGATACCCGTCTCTACGTCTTTGAAGCTCAAGGTCATTGACCCTCAACCACGATTGACCATTAAGCTAAGAACCTTACAATCTCCGGCGATCATGCTGCTTGAGGGCGAGCGGCGTGTCTTCGAGGTAGATCTGGTCAATGAAAGCAGCACTGTCGCAGCAGATTTCGTGCTCGTTACGACTGAAGACTCCGTGACGACGAGACTTCAAGAAGCCCTAACGAACAAAGACTTGAACCCAGCAGATCTGTATGAGTTCCAAAACCAGCTCGCGGCCAGTCCAGCTATAGAAGTCCACGATCAAGGTCGCCCAGAGTCGGACAGTGTGCTCAGACCGGGCGCAACGACCGGGTACAAAGTGACGGTTGTTGGTAGACCAGGTCTCGTCAATGCCGCTGTGCTGGCTGATTACGCATACCTTGGTTCAACGTCATCGGAAGTCAAAGGAACCTTCTACACACGACAAGTGCGATTTCCGATCACGGTCACTGTGAATGGGAGCATCGAGATACTGCGCTGCAACACTCTGCCACTCCACAGTGACTTTGTCTGGAACCCTGACTCCAACGGCCACACAGAAACCCGGGACAGCGATGGTTCACGCCTTTCTCATTGGCTCCAAGTGCGCCCCAATGCCGGCAATTATTGCATGCTATCTCTGGATCTGCGCAACGTGTGGCCGCAACCTCTGAGCATCAACATCCAAGCTCGAAAACCCGCAGAAGACGTTTGGGACGATACCTTTTCTGTCCATGAAACCCTGCAACCCGGACATGTCACCCGTGTGGTCCTGCTGATACCCCGTCTATTCGTCCAGAACCCTTATGCAAGTATACCGAACCTCGACACACAGAAACAGTTTGTGGTCACGAACTCAAAGTTGAGTGCGGAAGCCGAAGCAGCGAGTCGCGAGTCGTTTTGGTACCGCGAAGAGCTACTAAAATGTTTGCGTGGGACGTGGAAAGAAGCAACGTCAGACAGACATGGGGAGATCGATCTGAGGAAGGGATTCAGACTCAGCCCGAGAATGATTGACGCGCTGAAGATTGACCATGTTGAGATCGAGTACAGTCTCGCCCCCGTCGAAGGCGGTGATGAGGCTGTGAAACAGATTGGACACTCTCATTTCGTTGTCAAGCCTGAAGTGTTCGCGGCGCTGTCGGTCAGAGTCCGCAACCGCACTGAGGATACACTCGGACTGATCCTTCGTCTTCAGCCCGCTCTGCGTCATCAACCGCACAACATAGCTCTAGACCTGTCGAGGCGATTTGCCTGGTCCGGCGTTCTTCAGCGCGCGTTGCATCCGGCTATTGAGCCCGGTGGTGTCTATGTTGCTGAGCTCGGTATCATTGCTCTCGTGCAGGGTGATTATGAGGTCAACGCCTCGGTCGAGGAGATCAAGGGGCGCCGATTGCACGCCACCAGTAAAACAGCAGATCCTGTTGGTGCAAGTAGTGATAGGAGGATCTGGCATGCAAGGTCCCCGTGCCTGATTGACGCCCTAGAAGGCTGAATAGTTGCGCCCACATCATAGCACAGACAAGACAAGGTCGATGACCTGCAGGAACACATCTCTGTCTAGGTCGGCTTTGGCCAGACCCAGCCCAAGCATCAACGACCGACTTTCCTCTGGCGACTTTGTGACTATAGCATTTGCGATCTGAGACGCGTAGAGCTGGCCGAGGGCCTCTCGGTCAGGACCACCGGCGCCGAGAAGCACGCGAGGCGAGAAGCGAGCGGACGGAAGAAGACTGTCATCTTCAGAGCGGGCAGTCTGGAAATAAGGATCTGCTTGTGTCGGATTGTCGCTCAGTAAGGGCACAGATACCTTGATTCATGTAAGCTTGAGTCTAACCCAGTATCAAGTCGGAGATACTTGCCCACTGTGACAATTTGCCATTCTGTGTGATTGTGATCATGATTTTGTCGGAGAAAGACATGTACATCACGTCTGTCTTTACGCCATTGATCTCTCCCGCCACCTGTTTTGTTGGGGCTGGAAATGGTACAGTGACGGTCGTCTCGTCCATGTCGGGTGGTCCGTAGTCCTGCGGCAGGCCCATAATCTAGCGGTCTCTCAACGTTGTTGGAAGTTGGGGAGTCATTCAGTCGCATTGCTGCCTCCCATATTGAAGGGGGATATGAGTATCACGTGAGCAAAACACTCACCGCCCCATGGAGGTCGCCGCCTATTTTCTGCCGGCTCAATTTTTTATTTTCCAGTTTCGATGCTGGTGCCGCGCAGGCAGGCTTCATGCTTTATGAATTGGAAAATATGCTACTTGGACTAATGATGAACTGACCTACTGTCGACTATATCCCGGGCATTGGGGCCGGTGTATTCCTGGTGTACAAAACCGCAGGTGATCTCAGTTCGACATGGCGGCGTCCACATCGCGATTCGTGCCCCGACAGCGGAAGCACAAGGTGCGCGCACGCGAGCAAACCGGATCTGCTGCACCAGAATCAACGAACCAAGAGCAGATCGTACCTTTAAGCAAGGTTGAGAGAGAAGTGAAAAGAGCCAGGTTACGGGAGGAGTTGAGAGCGCAGCAACCACCCAAGATTTCGAGCAAGAAACAGAAACGCCTGGACAAATACATTGAGAACAAATTGAAGAAGGATGAGACGCTGGATCTACTGCGTAAGTTGGAGCAGGAGAAGGAGAAATACGAAGCAACGGCGGGCCTGCAGGAATCCAAGAATCTAGGGAAGAGGTCCTTTGGCGAATTTGTGCATGGGAAAGGTCCCAGCGTTAAGACGGGTCGCCATGGAAAGAAGGCCAGCGGATCACATGACGAGTCTGATGTCGACAGCGAGGACTCTTTCGAAGCTGACAACCCCGACGCTTTCGCTGACGGCGAGGAGCAGAAGGCCAACGGGAACACAATTGACGCTGTGGGGGCGCAGGGCACCGGGCTTAAGCAACCACTGGCCGTCGATGAAAACGGACTGCCTGTCATACAGATCCGGAAGAATAAGAAGAGGAAAAAAATCGAAGAGCAGATGCCACAAGAATTGCCGTGGGAAGGGTTTGAGTCTGAACCAGAAGAAGATGAGCACTCAAGCGGGTTGGATTCAGAAGACCTGGAATCAGACGATTCGCAGACAGAGAGTGACGACGAAGACGATTCAGACGATTCAGACGTCGAGGAGAGCGATATGGATAGCGCGACGTCGTCCACATCCGGTGGGGGCAAGCCAGCACCCAGGAACTCGGCTTTCAAAGCCTGGGCTACTGCGCAGTTGAACCAGTCAGTAGGTCATGTACCCTCATACACGACTGGTGAAGGAGAACTACCACCAAAACCGGAACATGCCATACCCAAACCGCAAATTGCTTCGACGATCACACCAGGCGTCCTCCCAGTACTGCCAGCTGCGCAGTCCGATCGAAAAGTACACGCTTTCCATGTTGAGCGGCCGCAAGAGATTCAAGAAACGAGGTCTGCCCTACCGATTCTCCAGCGAGAGCAGGAGATTATGGAAGCCGTTCATAACAACGACGTGGTCATCGTTAAAAGTGACACCGGTAGCGGTAAGACTACTCAACTCCCTCAATTCTTGTTCGAGGCTGGCTACGGCTCGCCGGAGGGACCTACACCTGGTATGATAGGGATAACTCAACCTCGCCGTGTAGCCGCTGTGAGCATGGCGAAACGGGTTAGCACCGAGTTGGGTTCATTTGGCGACAAAGTGTCGTACCAAATCCGGTTCGACAGCACGGTGTCTCCCAAAACGGCCGTCAAGTTCATGACCGATGGCATACTGCTAAGAGAACTTTCCAAGGATCTGTTACTGAGAAAATATTCGGTGATTGTCATTGACGAAGCTCACGAGCGAAGCGTGAACACCGATATCCTCATTGGTATGCTCAGTAAAATCGTGCCAGGACGGATGCAAAAGAGCAAATTCAACCCGAATCCAACCCCACTTAAGTTGATCATCATGTCAGCAACGCTCAATATTGACGACTTTCTCCATGAGAAGTTGTTTCCAGTTTCTTTGAGACCACCTATCGTCGAAGCCGAAGGTCGTCAGCACAGAGTGACCACACACTTTGCATTGAAGTCGAGAGCGGACTATGTGGAGGAGGTCATCGAAAAGGTTAGACGCGCTCACAAAAAGCTTCCACACGGCGGAATACTTGTCTTTGTCACGGGACAAAACGAGATTCGAGAAGTCGGCAGACGTCTGGGAACGCTGCTAGCGCCACGCAATGGCCATAACCCTGCCTTGCCACGTGTGCAGATTGCTGCAAGCGAAGCACCAATCGAAGCCGAAGATCTCGAGATAGGCGATCCCAAGGCAATCTCGGCAGAAGACGACTTTGACGAGGTCGATATCCTGACTCATTCCGAGGACGAGGCTGCAGATGACGACTTTGATATTTCGGATGATGAGGAAAAGGAAGGTGACGAGCCTGCCTACGTACCGGCTAAGTCGGCCACATCGTCTAAACAACCGTACAATTCTGTCCACATCTTGCCACTATACTCTCAGCTTCCGACGAGCGAACAGCTCAAGGTTTTCGAGCCACCGCCAGTTGGTGCTCGTATGATTGTGCTTGCGACCAACGTAGCAGAGACTAGTTTGACCATACCAGGCATTCGATATGTCTTCGACACGGGTCGCAGCAAAGAGCGAAAATACAATCTCGACACAGGCGTGCAGGGCTTTGAAATTGACTATATCAGCAAGGCGAGCGCACAGCAACGAGCCGGTCGTGCGGGTCGTACGGGGCCTGGTCACTGTTGGCGCTTGTACACGTCCGCTGTGTATGAACAGTACTTCCCTGATCATGCAGAACCAGAAATTCTCCGAGCACCTGCCGAGAGCGTTGTTCTTCAACTCAAGGGATTCGCTTATCCGCGACCAGTTGCCGACTTCCCCTTCCCTACTCCTCCGGCAACAGTGACATTGAACAAAGCTGAGAAGCTGCTTAAAAACCTCGGCGCATTGACAAACTCTGGTAGCATAACCGATTTGGGCAAGCAACTCTCCGTTTACCCGCTTTCTCCTCGCCTGGGCAAGATTTTGACCGCCGGCACCACAGACACTGACGTCCTCTGGCACGTATTGACGCTGGTCTCCGGATTAGCAGTCCCGGAGGTGTTCATCACAGAAGCACAGGCTGATCTCGCATCGTCGCAACAGGGTGGGGAGTTGTACACTCTGAAGGACCAGCAAGCAGACGACGAACGAGACAATCGGCGACAAGCATTTGGGCGTGCTCGTGCAACACTTTCAAAATCTGACAAAATGTCCGACGCCATGAGATTTTTTACGGCGGTGTCGATGTACCTCGGTGCAAGCGACAAGGAGCAACTGTGCAAAGACCTGTTCCTCCGGTCGAAGGCGATGGCAGAAATAGCTCAGTTGCGCAGCCAGCTCGAGTCCATCGTCCGCGCCAATCACCGGGAGATCTCGAGCGATATGCTTGTCAAGTCCAAAGCAGCAAACCTATCGTCTGGCAAAGTCAAGCATCTCAACTCGATTGCGGCAAGCGGGTACATCGACCAAGTCGCCATCCGGTACGACAGGGCACCGAACCCTCCTGATGTTCCAGTCAAGCCACGCAGAGCCATCGAGGTGCCTTACCTTCCACTCGTCCCATTACACGACAGGGCATCGGCATCCATCGTCGAGAGGGCAGTGTACATCCATCCATCGTCGGTGCTTGCGCGGCTTACAGTCAAGGAATTGCCAGAGTACATTTCATACAGTCATCTACAGCGTGCGCAGGCGCATACCGTTGCCACTGAAGCAGTGCCCAAGACGCGTATGTTCCCACTTACGCCACTGGACGGTGCGCAGTTGGTGCATCTGGCGCGCGAAACGGCGTTAATTGAGTATGGAAAACCTGTACCCAAGACGAAGGTTGAGGACATTCCGGGCACCCCTAGGCGTAGGGAATGTTGGGTTTTGGTCGAGTTGAGGGCTGCGAAGGGCTTGGGGTTTGGGTGGCCGCTGCCCCCAATGAAGGTGAGGCAAGTGGTTGATGTCAAGGAGGCCACTGGGTGGAGGGTTGAAAAGGTGCTGACTTAGATACTGCAGCCGTCATAGCATAGGCCAAGATGCGAGTCAATGTTGCCGTGGGCGGGCTTCACCCACCAAACGCGGCGTCTACTAAGGGAAATGTAACTTTCTCACCGGTTGTCTCCGTATTTTCAGCCTTGTTGTGTAGTCCCACTGCCATCCATATCCTCCTTGACTCATTCTTTCCTAAAGCCGCCAAGATGTCCTGTTTCACTGGAATTGAGGCCAAGTTCGCCGGACCCTCTCGAGCTGATCTCAATTGTTGATGAGATGGACTACGAGTGATGGCTGATCTTGACCTGTACGGCCTCGGCCAAGTCGGAATGTACCATGAACTCATGGAATGGGGGCTGAATTAAAGTCGGAGGGACTAGTCTAGAAAAAGAAATGGCCAAGGAAATGGGAAAAGTCAGTCGGGCACAAACTCACCATCCTTGCACCTTCCCTGTCTTTCTTTTTCTCTCTCTCTCTTTCTCACTCATGCTCATTTCAACTTAATTGCGCTTCTAGATGCGATCGCCATCATCGATTACAATCACTGTTGTTTCAGACCAGCAGGGCATCGGCCGCATCGTTATCATGTTGGATCAAAATCACTTTCCTGACAAACAAATGAACTGCTGCTCAAATCAACCACCATGTGGTGGCTTTCAAGCTAGGGAGGTCAGGCCCTAGCTTCGATATCCCGGCCTTATCACACGGTCTCGTCCTTGTTCAGACCCTCTTTTCCCAAGATTTGACTTTCCTAAATTGTCCATGCAGGACCATAACCGAGCCAATCCCTCCGCAATTGTGCCTGGAGGCCCCAACATCATTCGCTACACATATGGCGGCTTGGGAAATTCGCTTCCCTTGGACGCCTTGGCTTCAAGCCTTCAAGGATTTGGTATACAACCCCGACTACAATAGCAAAAGCCATCACGCTATAAGCTTCTGTGGATACCCGCCTGTCCCTACCATTCGTTGTTCCTGCTCTCTATGGCTTGAACGCTCCCTCCCTTCCTCAAACACCGGCAGGAACCTTCTACACTCTATTTTGGCTTGTACTTGACCAGGTTTTGCAGAGATCTATTCATGACAGCGCTAAGTTGTGCCTGGAATTTGTGCTTTCAGCGCTCGTTCTGCCCAAGGAGACGAAGGAGAGGTTGGCGATCCTCGCAGACCACCGTTCCGAAGTCTGGACGCCTTGTAGCGACCCGTGTGCGATGTAGGGTCGCAAGGATGTAGATCACCGGGATTATTATCTTGTCCGGGTCGGCCTTGTCAGTGAAGCCATTGACTTTGGACTAATCTGGACAAGAGCGACTACTCTTGTAAGGCGTACTGCCTTAATCTCAAAAGGTAAGCCTTTTGCGGCTCGATTCCCGTGGCTCACGAGGTCGGCAAACTGCAAGGGTCTACAGTAAGTGCTGGCTGGTCAGGGACCTTCTCATGTCTGTTCCCCTCCTTCGAATCAAGAAGTATTCCTTCCTGAAACGTTCTTTTTGCGACCTTTTGTTGCTTCAGATTTTTCTCATTCGCGTATTCCCCTCGATTACCTGTATCTAATCCAGATCTTGCCGACAGATACCTGTGCTGTCGAGGCCGCAAGCAGCATGTCGGTGTGTCAAAATGGCGCGGCGCCCATGTACCTGCCATGGACGAATGTCACCGTAACCACGGACCAAGAGGCCATTACCAGAGGTATCCAGATGTCAATGGGAACTCCTCCCCAGATAGTCGCCCTTCGACCAAGTACGTCCGACGATAATCTATACGTGGTCAATAAGGTCCAATGTGCACCTGATTACAACGATACCTGCGTCGGCTCATTCGGCGGTGTCTTCGATTACAATACATCCAGCACTTTTGTTCAGGTTGCGCAAGCTCAGTGGAATGGCACTGCTGAAGCCAATCCAAATGAGCTCTCTCTTGTCCACTTCAACGACCTTTTGACGGTTGGCAATGCCTCGATCTATGGTTATCCTGCTATTTACGATGAACCCGGCTATGGTGGTCAAGGTGTTTTGCCCCTGGGATCGTCCTCGGATCTTCTCACAATCGCGGTTGAAAATGGAGATGTACCTTCCACCGTCTTCGGGCTATGGACGGGTAGTCGGTCTATCGAAACACCCAAAGATGGTGGACTAGTCCTGGGCGGCTACGACACCTCCCGTATCAATGGTGAACTGACCACATTCCCATCACAGACCCTATGCGAAATGTGCGTTAACGTCACCGGCATCACCTACGCTGACGCGACGGGCTCTCACAACATGTTCAGCAACTCCTCCGAGATCGTCCAGATTAACCTCCAGCCTTCCGAGCGCGTCCTGTACCTCCCTCAAGACGTGTGGGCAAACTTTGGAACCGCTAGCGGCGGCGTGTACAATGATAGTCTTGGATATCTGGCTTATTCGGCATCCAATCCACCGACGGGAAATCTCACCGTCACTCTGTCGGGCGGTTACAACACCACCATCCCAGCTGAAGAGCTCTTTCTGATGCCTCGCCATTACAACGACGAGGGTCAATACGTCATCGAAGACGACACGACGCTCATCGCAGCGGTGTACAACCAGAGCGCCAACGGCTACGTGTTGAATTGGGGCATTCCTTTCCTGACTATGAACTACATCATCGGAGACTACAAAAGGCAGCAGTTCAAGATGGCCCCTGCCATACGCAGGGACTTCTCGGCCACAGAAAGCGCCTACAAACTCCAAGCATCCTGCGACCCCACCACGAATTCGACACCAACAACGTCTGCCTCAGGTACAGCAAGTGCCTCGGCCGTCGGCGGTCGCACGACTTCCTCCTCGCCTGCTGCATCATCATCAAGCGGCGGCGGCCACAGCAATACAGGTGCCATTGTCGGAGGTGTTGTCGGTGGTGTTCTGGGCCTCGTCGCCATCGTCGGCGGTCTGGCCTTGATGTTCTATCGCAGCCGTCGAAAGCGCAATGCTGCTGCTGCGACCACAGCTCCCCCAGCTGCCGGTCAGCAAGGCATGTCTCAATACGGCAGCGCTGGGGACCGACATTCCCAATGGACGACAATGAGCCCAACAGAAGTTCCCAGTGAATTGGCGAATAACCAAAAAACCGGCGGCGACGTCAACGTGAACAACTGGCTGTCGAGTCAGACTAGTGATGTGAGTCTTGTCCCTTCCCCTCCTGAGTGACTGCCAGCTAACCGATATGTAAAGACGCACACTGTCAGCGATTCAACGTCACCGAACCCGACACATACGAGTAACATGGACAGACCGTTCGAAATGCCGGCACAGACCTGGGACCGATAAACTAGCGCGTGATCGTTTTTTCGACTGCAGTTCGAGAGACGTTCTGGTGTCTGGTGCAAGCCAATCATATCTCGGCTCGACCCATATATGCGACCTCCGGTTCGCTGGCTGCGAGCGAGTCCAGCCCCCAGTAATTGATTACCACTACCTCAGTATTAATTTCAGCATCCGGACCAAGGCCATCATGGTCACTCGGAAACACCGTAGAATTCTATGAATCACGATTTTTATGTCGACGGACTGTGTCATTCAAGCGCATAATCAAACGCATCCTCCACTAGTAACTTGGTGCACCACCGTCACGGTCTGGGTGGTCGGTGATACTGTGGTAGTAGGTCGAGGCGTTAAGCGCATGTAACGTTGAAGGAGTAATATGTAGTGCCCTAGGCCCGGCAAAAGCCAACAATGCCAATTCCAGACCTCATCAGACACATGCTGGGGCTGGACGAGTTTGCGTTTTGAGCAGCAGAGGCATAAGGATCACACTGGACTTTGTGTCTACAATATACTGTACTTAGATATCGGCAATACTGTAAGCCATTGTGTGAGCCGCAGGATGAGATTTGTGGGTACTGGCATTTGAATATTCACATTTCGCGTCTGGTGTTGGACATGCAGACAATCACAATCTAGGATTTCCTCCCATCTCCGAGAAGTCTGTTGCCGCATGGATTCTACTGGCATGGTAGCTGTGTCTCATGATCGCTTGATAGTCTCTCACATCTACCTCCTCAAACTCAACCGTCCCGTCATACCATCCCTTGGCCTCGCCGCCCCAAGAAGAACCTGATACGGTTTATGTCCCTCGATAGTCATCCTCTCCACCCCCGGCCGTCCATCTTTATATTCATCTCTCGTCTCCACAGGCACCCAATCACCCTCATTGATCTGTTTGCCATCATACTCTGCCGTGAAATCCAGCTCCGGCAACACGAGGCTAAAAGCGATCTTTGTCTCCAACATAGCCAATTCCTGCCCGATACAATTCCTGGGCCCCTTCTCAAATGGTCTCCACGCGTCCTTGCCAGCCGGCGTATGTAACTTCGCGTCTGGATATGGTGTCTGCGTAGGCAAGAACCGCTCCGGCACGAACTTCACAGGATCCGGGAAGAAGTCGTCGTTGCGGTGAATCATGGTCGCGACGGGCCACAGATCCCAGCCTTTCAATGGGTATGTCTGGCCTGTTTTTGGATCGAACATGGCGTCTTCTTTGCCTGTCGCAGCGCTCCATTCGCGGAGGGTTGAGGCGGGCGGGAAGAGACGTAATACCTCTTTGATCACGGCGGTCATGTACTCCAGCTTATTGAGCGCGTGGGGATCGCGCTTGATGGCGTCCGCGAGGGACGTTGATGTCGACATTGTGTCAGCGCCAAAAACAGAGTTCAGTTCGGCGATGAGTTTGCCGTGAACTTCGGGATGCAGGTGCAATAGGTACATTGTGTAGGAGATGGTTGCGGAGGTAGTGTCATGTCCGGCAAAGATGAATGTCTTGACGCTGTCGATGGCAGTCGTCCGGAACGATGTCATCAAGTGATTTGTGCTGCTGTTCTTTGATGTTGAGTTGACTGCGGAGGTCTCCTTATCGTACGCTTCGATGGCGAGGTCGAGGATCGAGCGTTTACGGTCCTTCTTTCCGCTCGCGTTGGCTTGTCCTGACTGGCGCTCCTGGTTTCGCAGGGCAATGCGTTTGTCGATTTCGGCGCCGATCAGTGCATCGAGTTTCCGTTCGTTTCGCCACAACCTGATTTCATTGATGGGCCGGAAATCCAGAAGGGGGATGCCACTTGTGACGACGGGCATCATTTCGACTTGTTTGCGAAAGGTGGTGACGATGGGGTGGTCGCGCGTTTGAGAGTCGAAATCGGTCTCCATGACGATCTTACCAATGATGTCGATGGTGTAGCGTGTAGAGTAGAAGTCCAGCTTGATCAACTCGTTGGTCCGCGCCTTTTCCCGTAGGATGTCGAGAAACACCACCGTCGAGTCGACGATGTAAGGCACCAGCGTGACCAGGTGGCTTGCCGAGAAGCCTGGGTTGTAAATGGACCGGAGAAACTTCCATTGCTGACCTTCCATGGTCACCATGTTTAACTTTCCGAGCAGACGTCTGAGATAGTTTGTCGTCAGGTGTGACTTGCGCAATGACTGGCCGGTCGTGATGTACTTGGATGTGAGTTCTGGGTCGGCCACGAAGAGCCATCGTGGGCCTAGTGGCCACCAGTCTACGTAGAAAACGTCTGCAAATTGGAAATGTAAGAGTGTGTTATATCGAGGAGCTGGGTAGACTAACCTCCCAAGTCGTACTTCTTCCTGATGTAGTTCGCCCAACTCTGCACGTGGACCATTGGAGGAAACAATGTCCTGCACTCGCCTGCAATGGGGAGATGACCCCAGAAGATGCTCTCCATGGGCGGGTGAGGCTGTATGTCTTTAGTCCAGTGCGATCGTTTTTGTAAAGTTGATAGCTGTGGTCTATCGATCGAGAAAACTTACCAATCCTTCCAGCTCTTTTCGTTTCTGGTAGAGTAATCTCACAAAGTAAGCCGCTCCTGCTATGAGGAGGGCCACAATGGCCGTTATGAGGCGCAACATTATGTCGACAAAGATCGACTATCGCACAGAGTCTCCGAGCTGTGTCAGAGCTAGAAAGGATGTATGAGGTTCTCGGGGCCTAGGCTCCCATATATACTCGACAAGTGGGAGCGTTACTGTGCCCTGTATATGGCTGCAGGTTGCAGTTCGCGGTCAGAAAGGAATCAGCAGCATTGTGCGGATATAAAGTATACATGTAAGCGCTGTAAGTCATGCGAGATCGACAGCAACGGCAACCGAGACACAGACCGAAAGGTCGAAGCAAGGATCATAGCAGATATAGTGGGTTTGTACTCCGTACGAGAGGGAAGGTATCCGCTTACCTGCTGGCCAGACTTTGTAGGAAATGGAGAGGATTAGGAGGTTTAGGCCCCCAGCCAGAACGTTTCAACCCAAGTTTAGGCTGGACAAAGAAGCGTGCTGCATACGTATACACCAAGGACATTGGTCAAGGATAACGCAGGCGTAATCAACAGCTTCGCAAACATCGGAATATGATGTTATACGAGTACGAGTGAGAGGTAATCAAGAACTGAGTGAATGTGATTCCGCACAGCTTCCAATCGGAATGTTGATAATGTGAAGTTGTCTCGACACGGACATCAGCACATTCGACTGCCCACCTTATTATGCTGGTCCTGGTGGTGGAAGGCTCTGAAACTCCGACGTAAGGATGGCTGCTACCTACAATGATAGCTAGCACTGTTCGATGCTCCCTGGAGCGAGGCTAAAGCCCGATACAAGAACCCAATTCAATCACAACATCTGAAGCACACCCGGTAGAACATACGCTGATGGTATCTCATATCCACAGACGCCACGTTAGCCACAATCGCAATCTCAATGTACTGCGCAATAAGCTCGCCATCAATGTCCATCTATCCTTGCACCTTTGTGTACACAACCCGTCATGAATATCAATGAACCCCGAATCCAGACGCCCAAAAACAATTTATTGCTGTTGGTGTAATGTCACACCTCAGCTGACCACAGTATTGGGATCAAGCTCTTCGTCCTCGAGACCAGCCAGAGTGCTCTCATCGTAGTCATCGAAGTGAAGGCCTGCATCGCGACATCGCTGTTGCCATTTGTTGCTTTCCGCCCAGGCAGTACGAGCACTTTCCTTCATGCGATCAAGACGATTGGTCAACTCCTTGAGAGCAACGTCGAAGGTAGCGCGCTCATTCAAGTGTGAGGCTTTTTCGTTCTGGAGTTCTGTGATGTATTGGCAAGTTCGCTGCAATATAGCGCCCTTGTTCTTCTCAGTACCTGGAACGATCTTGGCGATATTCTCGATGCCTTCATTGATGACCTCTCGGCGGCGGCGTTCAACTAGATTTCAGGTAAGCATACGCGTAAACAATTGAGCTACAGACTAGATCTTACCTTCCTTGTGATTGTCTTTTCTCTGTTGATGCCATTCTTGTGTTCCCACAGCAGGCTTGTTGCCCTGGTTGCCACGAGCGTCGATGAGAGCCTGGGCAGAACCAAGATTAGGCAGTGCAGATGAGTCACTCTCGTCAAATGCCGATGAAAGGGCAGCTGCTCCGTCGAAAGCCGGTGGTTCGGGATAAGCGGATTGGTTCATGGGGGCAGCAAGAGCAGCTTGAGCAGTTCGAGTGCTGTCGTCCTCTGCACCCGTAGGATCAAGACCTTGTAGTAGTGCGCTGTACGCGTCTTGCTCTCCGTTGGTGTTTTGAACCTTCGCATTACGACCTGCATCTTGGTCTGGGCCTCGCTTGCGCTTGTTATTGTTGTTTGTGGGATTCACGTTCACATCCATGGTAGCCATTTTCAACAGCCTGGAGTATGCTCAAGGTGTTTTGTGTATGTTCAGATAAGACAGGCACACTGCGCGCTTTCCAGAAGGGTGTTTGCTAAGGGGGACGATGGAGTGGCAGTGAGCTGTGCAACCTGCGGAAGGCAGCAAGGGAGAGCTTGTGAGGTTGATTCTGTCTGAGAGCAGGATTAGCCATGGTCAAAGTCCTACAAGGCTTGCAAGCTAAGTCTCATGGGTAAAAAGAGTTGAAAGCAAGCTGATGGGTGTAGGCCTAGTGAAGAGTCATGTGAGGCCAGATGCTGGGATGGAGGGGTGCGGAAACGCGCTCTCTTTCAACCCCTTCCGATGACTTCCAGCAGCTTAGAGCTTCGTCGCGACACAGAAGTGGGCAGTGAGGGTGTCTATCTGCACATGACAGTGATGAGAAGCGCCGAGTCAGCGACATCATCAAAGGAACCTGTGGAGAGATAAACAGGCTAGCATTTAGTGATGCGGATTGCCGTCTAGTCGATGATGGTTGATGATGATGATGCGCGCAACCCGAGAAACCCCAGAATCGTGACCTCGAGAATGGGACCAGGTCAGGTGGTATCACCTGACCGACAATGAATGCTTGAGATGGAGATGAGAATGACTTACTCGAACGTGTTTAGTTTGTCGCAACCAGTTCACACAGCCGGAGTTGGATGATTGACGAGTCAGCCACGTACGAACCAGGCCAAAAGACCTCAAGTTTATCCAGTCGAATTAAAGGAAGAGTTGTAACATACAGACACTTCAGTCTTTGAAGGAGAGGGAGCGCCTCAGAATCAGGCTAATCCCCAATTTGACTAGCGTCTTTTATATTTAATGTCCGGCAAACCTGCCCCCAATTCGAGGCAGTCAAAAGGCAGTCTGACAAAAAAGTCCTCATAACAAACCTGGCAGGCATTCAAAGCTGGTCTTGCCATGGGCGTGAAATGCAAGGTTCTTGTATTCCCGGTAGCCCTTTCCCAATCACCCGGCGTGGTTGCTCCCAAAGCTTGTGGCGTGGTCCAAGACTATGGGATTCTGTGCTTGGTAGATGAAAAAGGCTTGATGTCTGACATGAACACTGCCCACCATGCCCAGCAGGCCGGCTGACCCATGCAAGAAAGGCTGCATGCATCTAAAGCATGTGCATGTGATTTTGTTTTCTCACACCCACTTGTCTGTCACTGTTCTCGTGACTTGTGCTGCCCCGCCTTGATTGAATTCTTGGTGTAGACCATTCCAGCCTGATAACCCTAGGACAGTCATGTTTATGATGCCGGGTCACTTCAATCCCCCCAATGATTCGCCCACTTCTTCCTGAACAGGCTTTCTGAGACATATGTAGCCTTGTAGAATCCCTGCAGCAAAGGCTCTGGCTCCTTGATCGTGCCCTCCATAGTGTACTGTCTGTCCACTAAACAGCAAGACATTCTTCTCGCTTAGTGTGGATATGCAGCTTTGAATTAGATGCAGTTGGCGCCCATCACCTAGACACTCTCTTGAGTCTTTTCCGGTCAAAGGACGGTCTCAGGCCACAGACTGGTGGGTGGCCTCCTCTGTGGCATCGCTCGACTCACTACTGGCGGTACTGAGCTTGATCGTATACTTTGGCGGACTCTCAGTGTCCACCAGAAGAACACCTTCTTGGCCTCTGCCGAAAATATCCCAGATTCGCACTTGCTGGCCTTTGGTCATGCCCATGACACTGCTGCTGCCAGCGTATCGCACCTCGCCAATTCTAGGACTGACGCCCTCCTCGCCGGCCCTATTGGCGAAGATGACGATCGCCTCCGGATCCGCTCCCTGCGTGCCGAAGAGCGGACTGAGCCGGTCCACCCAATAGTTGATGGTGTCATGGTCAGGCACCATCATCTGACTTGATACCTCTTCAGCATTCAGCCTCGTGAGCCAGGCCATACTGACAACGACGACTTTGGCACGGGATTCTCGTGCATGATTGCCGAACTCGTATGCCGTCCAAGGCGCCTCAAACCGATACGGATTCAAGTCCATGCAGATACACCCTGCAGCCTTGACCTGCTGACCTTTGCCCCCAATCGGGAGCACACCAGCCCAAAATCCGGAGCCTTCTTGGGCCCATGTTTCGTCGGTATAGTACAGGAAGGATTTGCGATAGTGAGCGACGACATCTCCCGTGGAACTGACAAAGACAAGTGAATTATAGGCAATGGCGCCAACTTCCGCAGTAATCTCTTTGTCAAAGATGGTGTTGTAGTTGCCTCCTTCGGCGGCTTCTGGATAACCGACGGCAACTGTACATTTCAAACGCTTAGCAGTTCGAGACGCCCATTTCGTAGAAGGACCCGCGGCGGTCGGCTCCAAGAATGGTGCAATGGCGGCAAGAGAAGGATGATTGTATCCTACCAGAGGAATCAGCCACTGCGTCTGTCTCAGACTGGCTCGTAGAGCTGTCTATACTAGGAGAAACTCGCCAAGCCGATGACAGGGTATGGAAACGTCACGCGAGCAGATGTGCACTTACCAGTAAATGCAAGCTCCGGTAGCACAAGGAGGTCGATACCGTCGAGCAAGCCTTCTCTTTCCTCCCGCATGAGTAGGCTCTCTGCACGGCTGAAATTTGCTGCCACCTCTCCCAGACGAGGTGAAAACTGGATGGTTGCTACTTTCATGTTGAACCCAGGTTAACGACGATGCCCTTCGGGCCTGCAGATGTAGATCTTATCGTTTGTGATTCATCATGGGAGATGACGTGCTACTCAGGCAGGCACAAAATGTCAAATTCATGGTCTGCCGTAAGCGAGAAGTTGCATGATTGTTTTCGTGATAGAAGAAAGAGTACATAAGAATCTCACAATCAAGAAGAATATCGAGTCTCGAACGACTATATGCGCAACGGTACGTGTTACGGTGGAGCAATCCTGCCAACGTGGAAGTCGTCAGTCTCGGTTTGAAAGCGAACGGAACACTGGGACTGGCAAGAAATTCTTGGTCACTCTGATTTGATTCAGTCGGACGCTGGCGCTATGAGAGCCGTTGACACCTTACCAATCTCACTCTCCCGCTTCCTCTTCAGCCTCCCGCTTCTGTTTCTCCCTCTCCCGCTTCCTGTCTAATAAACGATTCAATTTCTTTGCCACGTTGAAAACTCCGCCTGTTCCTGTCCCACAAGCGGCACAAGATGGATCTTTGCGATACCTCTTTAAAGCGCAGGCCTCACAGAAATAGTGTCCACACTTGGTGACAATTGGATTCGAATATGGCTTCTTACAAATGATGCAAGCGAATGGTATGCTTTCAAGGAGCTTCTCGTCATCCTCGTCGTCTTGTGTGGATTGACCATTCCGATTCGCAGATGCGATGGTCTTGCCGGACACCTTTTTGCCTTTGGTATCAATCTCCCATTCCTTGTCCAACTGCCAACCTTGTTTATAGTCCTCTCTTGCATGGAGAAATTTGCAGTTGTCTCCAAAACCACAAAAGCCTGTTTGCTTGTAATCCTTACAGACATCAGGTGCGAAGTCGGTAACGGTTATCGTTCTCACGTTACTCGATTGCTTGAGTGGTCCAACTTGCTTGCCAGTCCGGTCTGGATTTTTCTGAATGAAGGAAGAATAGTTTGCTGTTCCCTTGTAGGTTCCATCGGGTCCTACAGCCTCGTCTGGCCTTTTAGAGGTCTTGCCGGTCTTCTTGTCATTATCCTCGTCGTACCAATCAAAGGCTTTCGTGGCATCATCCCTGTTTGTAGGCGCGGCAACTGCAACACCAGACTTCTCTTCGACCGGTATAGGACGAGGTTGAGGGTTGTCTCTTGAGGATGCTATCACGCCAGCGTTTTTCCGTCGGCGCTTTATTTGTCTTCCCTCTTCGTCTTCTGAAGTGGTGAACCCCGAGTCGGAGTCATCGGGAGGAGGCGTGGCGGCTCTCTTTCGGATTGTTGATTTGGCTTTGGCACCTCGCTTCTTAAACGTGACCGGAGGCACATCGATGGCAGACTGTACTTGCTCCATGTCTGAGATTGTGTCTATAGAAAGGTGAGGAGTGGAGATCAGGGCGCAGATATATCACAGTAATGTCGCAGTGCAGATGCTGGCGCAGAACAATCTGGATAAAACTGCAGATTGCTTGCATAAGCCAAGACTTTCAACACGGCAGATCGACAAAGCTAAACCTTAATCCCCCTGCGTTTGTCTTCGGCCAAGTTGCCCCTTCTGAATGCTTTGAAAAAGGTGGCCGCAGGGCAGCTTGAGCAACTTGATTGAAGAGGGAAATCACTTTCACCATGCGTGATTTTCCATTTTCCTACCTCTTACGATTATGAGACCATGTCATTGTTGTTGATGTCGCTTTCCCAGTCGCCATCCGCAATTTCCTCCTTTTCCTCTTCCCAGGAAGGCCATGGTCGACAACGCTGACCACAGCCGGCAAGCTGAGAGCTCACAGGATGGGTCACTAGCAGCTAGCAGGCAGGGTACCGGTGTTGATGAGCGCACCCGCCAGAAGATTGTTGCATTTAAAGTCTCTCATGTGCTACTGAGCGTGTTCTTTATATGGCTAACGTACTTGACCCGACCTCCTTTCATGCATGACTGCTGACAGTTGCAGGGCTGTACATATTATCGGCATTTTTTTCTTCGCCAAAGGCTTCCTCCTCGCTAGGTTAGTGTTGGACAACAAGTCCGAATGCGCTGTGCTACCTGATGGGCAACTGTCCCACGAGACGACAGGGTGCTGGCACCCGAAGTCCTTCGACCGAGCTGTGATTATAATTATCGATGCGTTGAGATACGATTTCACTATTCCTTCTGAGCGTTTTATGCATGAACCTCTACAAAAGCATTACCTCGACAATCTACCCATCTTACACGAGACTGCCGTTGCAAGACCAGAACATGCGATACTGCTACCATTTATCGCCGACCCTCCAACTAGCACACTCCAGCGGCTCAAAGGCCTGACAACCGGAACTCTTCCTACCTTTATAGACATTGGCTCGAATTTTGCGGGCACCGCGATTGAAGAGGATAACCTTGTATCTCAATTGAAACATGCTGGCAAAACAATTGTACACCTGGGGGACGATACATGGCATTCGTTATTTCCTGGATACTTCGACTCGAACATGACACGACCGTACGATTCTTTCAATGTGTGGGACCTGCATACTGTTGACAATGGAGTCACTGAACACATTATGCCGTTACTGGATCAGTCTCCTGTTCAATGGGACATTATCTTTGGCCACTTCCTGGGTGTCGATCATGCTGGACATCGTTACGGACCTGACCACGCCGCAATGGCCGAGAAACTGCGCCAAATGAATGAGGTGATAGAGCAAATTATACAACGAATCGACGATCATACGTTGCTAGTTATCATGGGGGATCACGGCATGGATACCAAGGGTGACCATGGTGGAGAATCGGACGATGAGGTGGAAGCTGCCCTCTGGATGTATTCAAAACGACCTCGCTTTGGCAGGACGAACAAGGATGCTTTGATGCCACCAGCGACCGCTAAAGAACGACCTGTAGGTCAAATCGACCTTGTATCGACCCTTTCAATCTTACTCGGCCTTCCCATACCTTTCAACAACCTCGGCAGACCAATCGCTGAGGCTTTTGCAGGCCCCAGAACCGTGAATTGGAAAAACCTGGCAAGAGTGGAATACTTGGCTCAGTCTCAAATTGCCAGGTACCAAGAACACTATGCGCGGTCACGAGATCTAGGTCTTGACGAGGAAGCGTACAAGGGTCAACGGACGCACCTGCGACGATCCATGAGTGCCAGCGAGAGTGGTCAGTGGGAAGAGGCCTACTATGCCTACGTAGAGTGGCATAAAGAAGTTATCTCCATGTACCGAAAGCTGTGGGCAAACTTCAATTTGGCTGATATGCTCTTCGGTGTCATCATTTCGGGCCTCTCCCTTACCTTTTTGTTTCTCTTTGCTCGATTCTCGAGAGGGGATAAAGCAATCGTCGCGACAAGCCTTCTCCGAAGTGCTGGCCTTGGGACGGCTGCTGGTGCGGCAGTTGGGCCAGTGCTGGGAGTTCTCCTCCCTGCATACTTCTCGTCGTTGGCTGGGTTAGGGTTAGGAGCGAGCATTGGCGGTGTCGTCGCTGCTGGGACCTGGTTATATCAAAAGCGAGCCTTGAAAAGATTCCGCTTTCCTTCGTTCTGGGGCTGGCTGGCGTTTTTGTTCTGTGTGACACAATCGGCCGGGTTTGCTTCGAATTCTTACACCATTCATGAGGATACGATTCTTCTCTTCTTTCTTACCACGTTTGGTGTTTTGTCTCTGATGTCCTCGCTGAGGCAAACCTATCATGCCGACCGAATCTTGGGGTCTTACCAGTCGGTCTTATTTATACTCCTGACTCGGTTGGCCTCGTTTTCCCGGTTGTGTCGGGAAGAGCAGATGCCCGGGTGCCGGTCCAGCTTCTATGCCTCCACAAACTCGTCGATATCGGCACCCTGGCAGTTGCTGGTACCCTACTCGGTGGCTTTGCTGCTACCAGAGATCATCAAAGCATTCTACCGTGGTACGGCTTCCTATGCAGGATCGGCCGGGTTCTGGATTGGCTTCTGCTTTCGAATAGGTCTTCTGCTTGTTGCGGTGTATTGGACAGTGGACGCCGCAGACAATGGAGAGTGGTGGAAAGAGCGGATCTCGTCGACCACTCTGAAAACAATCAATCTCACTCTTGCTCGGTGTGCACTTGCCATTGCCCTTCCGGTCGGTATCGGTACTTTTCTGTGGGCCAAACCCTGCATCGACATCTCTGTGGTTGACGCAGCAGACAGGACCGATGAGACGGCAGCACCTGCTCGGCCACAGTTGACCATCTTCGGCTATGCAAATGCGTTTGGCAGTCGATACTTCCTGTTCATCCCTGCCCTGGTCTTGGCTGTGGCTCTGTTGCTCCCACCTATGGGTCAGTTCTCGATCGCTATTTGTGCATGGCAAATCCTGTGCCTCGTCGATATCCTCGACAGCAATGCACTCACCATTACCTCAACGTCTCAATCCAGCATTGGCCCGATCGTACTTGCCTTGCTGGGATCCTATCATTTTTTCAAGACCGGGCATCAGGCGACTTTGGCATCAATACAATGGAACTCGGCGTTCGTGCCACTGAGCACCATCCGATACCCCTGGTCGCCTCTTCTGGTCATCTTGAATACGTTCGGCGCACAGATCATCTGTGCGGCAGCTGTTCCTCTGACTGTGTTGTGGAAACGGCCTCTTGGAAAAGTGGGAGTTCGCGGATTGTGGAACGATGTGGTCAACGCTTGTCTCACGCATGCGTTGTACTATGCCACGATTCAAGTTGCGACGACAATGTGGGCAGGGCATTTGAGGCGGCATCTGATGTTGTACAGGGTATTCATGCCGAGATACCTGATGGCTTGTGGGGTGCTGGTCATTGTGGACGTGGTGCTTGTTGTGTCTGCTCTTGCTGGGGCCAGAGTGGTTGGTCTCAGTGTGGGAGAGGTGTTTGGATATTGAGATTGATAACTCTATCCCATAATGTGTCGAAAACGAAAATCAATGCAATCCAATGAAATCTACCCAAATTCTAGATGGCGCGCCTACTCATATCTTAGTCACCCAGCATTAACCTACTGCAGAACTGATGCAGAGCAACTCGTAGCCAAGAAAGTCAGTCAATAACAAAAGGCCAGCTGAGTCAGGCATGGCATTGAAACCATCGCAGCCACATTCGTCTGATAGAGTCTGCCGCTGCCGCATTTCCCAATATCGCAAACACTTCAACTGGTGGTGGATAACAATAGTACGTCATGAGACGGATATGACAAAGATTGGACCTCAATGATGATGATTGCGGGAGTTTCTCGCATGCTGCACACTGCACTGTCACTCACTGCACATCTTTCCACCCCCACCATGCCATCAATGAGGGACACAATTGATTGCAACATGTTGACATTTTATCGTAGGTGATCGTCTGTGATCGCTCGCTCGCTCGCTCCATATATTCTCATGTCATGGTCCTCACTTTTTTCTCGGCTTTAGACTTTTCATCTCATTCTTCAATCTGCTGCTTCTGATCCTTCTCTTCCTCTTATACTCAGAAAACATCTAAACCACTTCCCACACAATCCATCCCAAGTAACAAACCACACATCTCGCCCACCATGCCTATCCCAGTCCCACAATCCACCTCCCTCAAGGACCTCTTTAGCCTGAAGGGCAAAGTCGTCATCGTCACCGGAGCATCCGGAGCGACCGGCATTGGCACAGAAGCTGCCCGCGGCTGCGCCGAAATGGGCGCCGACGTTGCCATCACATACTCGTCCCGTCCTCAGGGCGGTGAAAAGAACGCCACAGAGCTGAGCGAGAAATATGGCATCAAGTCCAAGGCCTACAAGTGCAACGTCTCCGACTACGCCGAGGTCGAGAAGCTTGTGGCCGACGTTATCAAGGACTTTGGCAAGGTCGACGTCTTCATCGCCAACGCCGGCCGAACCGCCGACAACGGTATCCTCGATGCCCCCGTTGAGCAGTGGAACGAAGTCATTTCCACCGATCTGAACGGTGTCTACCACTGCGCTCGCGCCGTGGGCCTGCACTTCCGTGAACGCAAGACCGGCAGCTTCGTCATCACCGCCTCCATGTCCGGCCACATTGCCAACTACCCTCAAGAACAGGTCAGTTTCCCAAAACCCCCTAGACACACATTGTTGTTGCCCAAATGCTAATTTTGATCTACAGACATCCTACAACGTCGCCAAAGCCGGCTGCATCCACATGGCTCGCTCCCTGGCCAACGAATGGCGTGACTTTGCCCGCGTCAACTCCATCTCCCCCGGCTACATCGACACCGGTCTCTCCGACTTCGTGCCCCAAGACATCCAGAACCTCTGGCACTCCATGATCCCTATGGGCCGTGACGCCAAGGCCACCGAACTCAAGGGTGCTTTCGTCTACCTTGCCAGCGACGCCAGCTCTTACACCACTGGTGCGGATATCGTCATTGACGGTGGTTACACCTCCCGATAAATGCCTCGCTCCAAGAAAAAAAAGGAAAGACTGGAAGCGTGAAAGCTAAGAGCTACCGCGAACATACCTGAAGAGGTGGGAACAATCAGTCTGCGTCCAAGCATGAGGGTTGACCCATCACTGGGTATGCGGAGGAGAGGAGTTTTCGCGCAGATCAGGCAAGGCTGAACCGCCCCTGAGATATGAATATACCACAGTTGCAATGACCAAATAAACATGAAAACCCCAGCTAGACAAAAGTCATTTTCACGGGCTGAAATTGAAGTTCCTTAGACTCCGCTTCCTACAACATCGACATCTACATCGTCAGATGTGCATCACGCGTCTGTTTCTGATTCTGGCCCTGAGCGGCCCCTATGATGAACGTAGAGCATACAGTATAGCCTCCCTCCATCCTTTGTTCGTCCCACCCAGAACATTATTATGCGTGGTTTGTATACTCCCTTGATCTGGCCATGTCGGCAGAATCCCTGTCATATGGAGTGCCCAAAGTGGTTGTTGCCAAGGTGCGAGTGCCTTCAAAATCTGGAGATATAACTACGGGTATCCACGCGTGCGTTTGGTTTCTTCTTCAAACCACCTGAGTAGACAAACGTATGGCTTGGTCCAGAGCGTCACAAATATAGATATCAGGGCCGTCACTCCTTCGCTTGGTTGAGGGAACTTTAGGTAGATCTAAGATGTAGTGGTAGGAGAAATATGGTGTGAGATTTGATAATATAATTGTCAGAACTCATTATACTTCTTTGACCCGAACTTGCCGACCAAGACGAAATAGTCCAATCCTCACCACACAATACTTTGTCATGACAGAATTCTTCGGCATTGAGACGCTGCGTCAATGACAGTATTCCATACGATTTTATCAGGCATGATACCTTATATTCATGACACAGCAGTCCTTGACGAATAAGTCCTATATGCTCACATCCCAAATCCCCTTGCACCATCCAGATCATCCGTCCCATCAGAATGAACTGTCCCTCTTGTGCCAACGCGTGCTAAGTACCGTGGTATCTGCCCCGTGGAGTCCATCGAAGACATTGGTGGCCGTCCATTTGGGACCTGCGGTCTCGCAAATGTGTGCAAGGCTGCCAGCTGGGTGTTTGTCCGTTGTTGCTGTAAATGCCCCTGGAGTCCGGTTTGCGCGCGCGGGACGAACGTCTGCTTGGACAAGTCGGTGTGGCTTGAAAAGCTTTCATCGGGCTTCGGCAGCCCAATCTCGGTGTCACGTCCGGAGGGTTGTCCGCGACGCCTCAAAAGACCCTTTGCCCAGCCAATGTTGAGTGTTCGCTTCTCTGCGAAGTCATGGCCTTGGGCAAACCCCTGCTGTTTCGTAGAGATCTGCCGTGCTTTCGTAGCCTCAAGTTGTTGCTGGCTACGATATCTATCCCGCCTGCGTCTCTCGAACCAGGCTTGAATGTCCCCAATCGCAAATGCGAGGCCAATCAAGGGCACACTGACTGCCAACCCGATGCCGAGGATATACTTGATCACCCAGCGCAAGTGCAACTCCCCCCCACCAGAGTCAGCAGGACGAGGGAACTCGATAACGTTCAAGGCAAAGAAACTCGCCAGAAAGCTCAGAGGAAGAAACACAATTGTAACAATGGTGAAGACCATGATTGTCCGCCCTTGTCGTGCAGATTCCTGAGCTTGCTTACGTTGTAAACTCGCATGCACGGCATTGGCATGCTTCTGTTTCAAGTCCAGTACCTGAGTGAGATTGTCATTGACGCTCTTGGCTTGACGTGCCATGCGCTGCAGGTCAACAATGTCCAAATCAACCAGTTGCTGCTGTTCCTTGACCTTATTGTAGAGCTCAAGACGGTCACGCTGAGTACGTGCCACATTCTTCGAGGCCCGGAGTGCCGCGTCCAGATGAACAAGGACTTGCTTTTGTTGTCCAAGGACGCTGGTCAGAGTATCCAGCTCGTCTTCAACATCCTTACACTCCACTAACAAGGCGGCCTCTTTATCGAGAGTTTTGAGGTCGTTGACGAACAAGTCGGCCTCCTGATGACTATTGTGCCATTTGTGTTGTTGCCGATGAGATAATGCGGTCCCCTCGTCTTCATCATCGGATGACCTGTCCAGGAGATATCCATCTGAGCCACTGCCGGCCTGGCCGTCGTAGAGGATATTGCCGTGCTCATGGTCTCGGAGCCAGTGAGCAGACGCATCCTTGAAGCGTCGAAACAACTGTGTCTCTTTCCTTGTAAGGCGTCCAATACTCAACTCGAACATCTCGGCAAACATAAGTTCGTCATAGTCCCATTGTAGCCTGTCGAAGGTGCCGATGCATCTCTCAGTGATCACAGTGGCAAGCTCAAAGACATTCCTGACAGGGGGCCGGGTGGTGGAATTGATGTCTTCGACCACGCCTTCGAAGAGGTTGAGAGGATCTCGGTGAGGTTGCCTCCATCGGTCCGGAAAGCAAGTGATGAGGAGGTCGCCAATGATGAAGAGCCATAGCTGATCCACCATGAAGATCTTGGGTACTTTCTTGGTCTTCTTACAGTATCTATACACAACTTGATCAGCATCTTGATATTCGGTCCCGGTACTGTGATGCTTGAATTGATCTAGTGTTCGACGTGGGTGTAGGTCAGTCGAAGCGTCCACATAGCCATGAATCAGCAAAAGGTCCTTGTCCAGTTTTGACAGCTCCGACTCTTCCAACGCATGAGTATTTCCCGGTGGCTCACGTATAGCCTGAGCCAGTAACGTCCTGTTTTCGTGCGTTTCATAGTGAAGATAGGGCATGAAAAGTGCCATGACATCTTCTTCCTGCTGAGTCTCGTTGGGCGTTGGTGGAGGATAGGACTTGGACGCCGGCGTCGGCGTTGTAGGTGTGACAGCACGATTAGAGGTTGATGGTCTTTCAGGACTGGTAAAAGTCGACTCTGATGGCCTTCCTTGATGAACCCAGATGCGCTTGCAGGAAGGTCGCATGAAACGCGAGTGCACCTTAGCGCCGCGATGCTGCTGGCGCATCAGGATGTGTAGTATGGATTTCAAGGTGGAGACATCTCTCGCATTTCCCTCAAGGTAGTGCTTGGTAAGAAGCGCCTCGAGCCACGAGATATTGTTCGCGGGAAGGTGAATCCAACGGAACAGCGGCTTCTTCGACTCCATGTTGTCGGTGACTGTTGGAACGACGAACTTGTTGGGGTCTTTGGCATCCCTCGCATAGAGGATTTGCCAGACAGTGTGCTTGTTGACTTTGTTCTTCACCCCTCCAGGCTTGTTGGCTTTGGTCTTGCCGCCACCCCTCTTGTTGGCTCCGTTCTTCAAAGCTTCGAGTCTTTTGCTTTTGATCCTGGCTCCATCTGGCTCCTCCTTATCCTCGAAGAACTTGACCACAGCTGCTCGAAAGCGCTCACATGCTTTTCGTGCGATAGGATTTGTCGGACCCTGCAGCACATAGGGACGCAACTCGTCCACCACTGGCCAATGGCCATTCTGAGCCGCTCGTATCAGTGGTGTGCTATCGAAACTATCCTTCGTGTTCTTCAAGGCCTTGTCCACTATCAAAATGCGTTGGACAGCCTTCAGATGCCCATTGTCGGCAGCCCAGTGTAAGGCAGTCATTCCAGAGGAGGTGCGCGCATTGACATTGGCATTTGAGGTCAATAAAGCATCGACAGCACGTTCGTTACCTGCCTCTGCAGCCACAATCAGGGGCGTCCAACCACCATCGCTCTTAGCATCCCTCCTCGCATCGGACTGAATGAGCAGTTTGATGATTTCAGGTTCATCATGGCGAGCCGCCAAATGTAGCGCCGAATGTCTCTGGTCGTTGGTCTGATTCACATCAACTGTTCTCTGACCCGGTGTAAGTAGTGCTCCGACGAGTGCAACCTGGCCTCTTGCGGCAGCCCAGAGGAGTGGCGTCCGACCTTCGCGGCCCTCTTTGTCGCGTTTGTTGAGGTCCTTGATTTTCGATAGGAGCAGAGACAAGACTTCCGAAGTCCACTGCATATTGCGGTTCGATTCGGAGGCCATGATTTGAAGAGTGTTCTTGCCGGAATTGTCTTCGGCATTGGGATCAGCTCCGCAAGCAAGCAGTGTCTTTATGACATCGTTTCGGCCACGATGGCAAGCAATCATCAAGGGAGTCCTCCCATCATCGTCTGTAGCTTCAATGTCACATCCGTTGCTCAGGAGAAGAGTGACAATATCATTTCGAGTCTTGTCGTAGGGATTGGCGATGGTACGATGTAGAGGGCCCTTGCCGGGATCACCGTTGGGGTTGGCTCCTGCTTCGAGCAACAGTCGGACGCCATTCGAGTAGCCAACGATTATGGCTTTCGCCAGTAATGCGCGAAGGTCACTTTCATTGATGCGTTCATCGAAATGGTCGGCCTTCAGAAGGCTCTCCAATTTAGTGTCCTGTTTGCCGTTGACTGCCTTGCCCAGATCGATCTGCAGCTTTCGCGCAGGAGGGTAAGCCATAGTATATTCGTCGGCCGCGAAGAGACATGGCGATAGCCGAGATTTTCTTTCTTGAGGTGACTGCTCTTGGTGTTACACGGGAGAGTCATGCAGAAGTGACAGTCCTTTCTGGGTTTTCAGCTGGGCCCAGCCTCGTTGCTAGCGTGGTAAGGCGAGCCATGAGGCTCTTTAGCGAAAAGGCTATTGCTTCGGCTCGCGAGGCATTTTCCCTTGCTAGCTGCAGGGACAATTCGGACTTTCCTGGGATTTTGCGTGCTTCAACCACTATGCAGTTGCAGCACGACCGCAGAAGGATTTGACATAGGTGTAGTGCTCGTGGCGGAGCACTGAATCTCAGATATCCTTACAATTGATTGAAGATGAATCAGATCTCGGGATCTGCCAAGTTGACCGCCTATCAACGGGCCGGAGCGGTGCGTCAGTGGGACTTTGGAAACGAGCTGGACCTAGTAGGTCGACAATCACAGTTAAGCAGAGGACTGATTGCAGACCAAATGGATGAAGGAGGAGCATGGTAAGATATGTAGCGGAAGTGGGCAAGTGGCATGCATGATGAAAGGCAACTGCGGCATGGGCACGCAACAACAACTGAGTGTCGGGTGCCCTTGCTCGACTTCTTCACGTCAATTAAAACATGTACATATCATCTGCTCGTATCTGCATCACTTCAGTCCGTTCGGCCATGTGCAGTCCTAATAGTCAGCAGGCATGCATCCCTATCATAACATGTCGCACTCCCTGTACCTTGGTCTCCCTTTCTCATATCCAGGTACCTGCAGTAGATTCATCACTTAGGCACCTCACCATTTACAACCCCATTGGCTTTATCGTCGCGTAACAGTCCATCTGACGAATAAGTTTTCCGTGCCACTTTCCAATACCGGACAGAGGCCCTGTCTGTCTATCCTTGCCCATAGCGGCTATAGATGCTGCTCATGACCATCATGCGTTGCCAAATGCCATCTCCCTCGCAGCTGGTATCTGTGGAAGGCATGCATGGCCTGCTGAAAGAGTCGTACATTGCCGTCTCCTATTTTGTCCCATCCACGTCTTGATAAGCGTTGGAACCACTCGTCCCAAAATCTCGCGGCGCCGTAATCTCGAACATTATACAGAGAGCCAACAGTAGTGGCGGCTTATTGACGGATCCGCGAAGGTACACCGTCCCATCGCATCACATCATTCTGCGTCCCAGGCGGTGTATGCATTTGTGGTTGCATTCTTCAAGTCTTCCTCTTACTCTTTTAAACTTTCAAGTCTCTTTCCCACTACCGTCCTGCTGCTGCTGTTTCCCCCTTCCCTGCACACTCTTCTCACCCAACACTTTCGCACTCCCCATGAACAGCGCACCAACATATCCACCCAGGAAACGCATATCTTGTGCCTGAACAGCCGTCATCCTCATCAGGTTTTCGGTGTCTGCAAGGTGGGCGTTGAGTTGGGCCAATTGCGCGTGCAGGTGCGCGTATTGGCGGTTCTTGTTGGTGGAGGTGGTGTTGATCGAAGCGACTGACGAAGGACGCGAGATTGGGTGTTTCAGCGTGGAGTTATTGCGATCCATATCGTCCTTGTATGTTAGGTCTAGACACAAGTGTCCTGCTTGGGTTGTTTGTCTGTAGGCCCTCGCATAACTGCTTGGTAGAGATATCAGAGTTTGATTAGGCTAGTGTGCAAACGCGCAGTCACGTGAAACACTGACCTACGAGGCTGAATAACGTGACACCCTACAACTCATCGTCAGCCCTCGTTGCATATCGCCAGTCATCTCAAGTAGCGAGTCAAATGAGCCATGGAAACGAGACTTCACAAAGTCCATTTGTTCGTTCAATCTTTGCTTCATTTATTAAGTATCCTGCGTGGTGAGACAATCTCTTTCCCCGCCTCGTGTTGCCCATTTACTCCCTTTCCCGACTCGGCCATGTTATCAATGCCAAAAGTTACCCATTAGGTATGCATATCAGCTCTTCCGTGTGCTTGTCTGATTAAATGTGTATGCTCCCAACAGTATGCAATACAAAAGGCCTTGTCCAGTCGATATCACCACTGGAGGTTGTCTGGCCATGTTAGCCCAACCCAACGCTCCTATTCTGTTTCGTCTCTCCACAATTCCGGAACCTCAACAAGGCTCTGTTTCATGTGCAACGGAGGGTCGCCCCATCTCCCTGCAATGCTGTATGTACGCAAAAGAATCAAGTCCGAGTGCTCCAATATTCCCGTGCAAGCAACCGCGGTGCAAAACCAAACTCGTCTCAATGCTTTTGGGCAATGGTGGAGAGCACATCTCAGGCTCTTCCAGTCGTAGAAATCGAGAAGCTGATCATTAAAGTATATGTAACCGAGGATAGAACAACAGAAAGTATACGCAATACTGTGCAGTACACCCGCACCTCGATCGAGCGTGACCACGAAAACCAGCGTGGAGGTTGATATGTATCCAGGCAAATTCGAACAATTCGAATCGATCTTACTGCGTTGTCAGCATCTGTCGTGGTGCGAAGCTGCTGGTACTGCTGTGAGCAGACGGCTCGGATTCGATATTGGCGCTCCCACTGTCACCACTCCCTGCACTAGCACTGGCACTTCCAGTCAGACTTTTCACAGGAAGTTTGGGTGGTGGAAATGGCTTGCTCACCCCGGCGGCTTCGACTTGTTGTGGATGGATCATGTTGCCGTGACCTGGCGGATATCGAGGAACGGGTGCCGGCATACCCCCTGGGGGCGAAGGCCTACCATTGCGTGGCGTGCCGGACTGCATGTACATGTCGTTGGGTGGTGACGGTCGACCGTTGGGTGGTGATGGTCGGCCCTGCATTCGTCCAGGAGGCCCAAAGGGGTTACCAGGTGACCGACTTGTTCGCCGACTAGGAGGCCCAGGGTACGGTCCTCCGCCCATGCCTGCACCCCCATTCATGCCAGGGTACGGGCCTCCACCCATGCCCGCACCCCCATTCATACTGATCTCTTGAAGACGACTTGCCGTCAAGGAATTAGCACGTGATTCATCTGTCATGTCTTTCCGGTCGACCGCGCCGTAGCGATTCGATGAAAAGGCCATCATAGGATTGTCTAGTATACTCTGCCCAGAAAGCGGCATGTCGGAAAGAATTGAGGCGCTGGTGCGATGCCGTCCCATGTTGGGTTTGCCATAAGATGGAGGACGCATACCAGCACCATTGGCAAACGTGTCCTTGCGTAATTGACTCTGACTGGTTGTTCGCTTCGTCCGTCGCGAGGTCACGCTCATCATGTCGAAATTGTCAGGGTCGATCGGAGGTGGTGGAGGACCACGTTGGTCCATGGGATCAAAGTAATCATCGTCATCATCTTCATCGTCCATATCCTGATGGCGAGGCTTCTGAGGCGGCCTCCGGGCGCCGCGGATCCTTGCCGCCATTTCCTGTTGTTTAAAATGCATTTCCCTTTCCCTCAGCATGAGCTCTCGTTCTCGCAGAGACACCGAACCTGGACCACCAACTTCGGGATAGGGCCCGGGCGTACTGTCGCCGTCCGCCATTTCATCGTAGAGGACCACATGGCTGAATTCGTCCAAGTTGGTTTCATCATACGACGGTCGCCGTTGCAGTTGCCCGGGTCCACGGGGCGGGTAACTGTTCGGGGGACCGCGAAATCCGTTAACAGGTGGCGGACCTCTTCTGCCAGGCGGACCCATGGGTGGCCCGCGCATCGGTCTCGGAGGCAGGGGTCCATTGAGTGAGCCGTTAGGTTGTCGTGGCGGAGGCGGACTAGAGAGAGAGATTGTTCGAGGAGGTGGTTGGGCAGCGGAAGGGGATTGTGGAAGCGAAGAGGCCGCGGACGCCGTAGGAGCCCCGACTGGTCGTTCTTTGTTGAGCTTGTTTACGTGCCGTAACATTGTGTACAAGGTCTCCAATCGCGGTACTCTTACGTTGGCGGCTTTGGCTAGCTGCACCGGTGATCCAAGATATGTTTCGACCTCCATTGGACGCCGGGCTGTGAAGTCTTGATACATTGTGCTTGACTCTTGACTCGTAGCGAGCATCGTTTGAATCGTGGTCTCCTTGGAGCTGCTTGAAAATGTGCAACCTTGGGCGCGAGCAATCTCGAGAAGCTCGTCGATGACATTTGAAACGAGGTCATAGACGCCGGGGATTTTGATCAGGTCCGAGAGGTTCGAAGTTTCAAACAGGACGCTTGCTGGGTGAAAAGCGATTGGTCTGCATTCAATCAGTCATGATCCATCGTAGCGAAGGTGAAAGAACATACCCAATCATTCTCTCGTATTGTTGCTGCTTGATGTTGGGAGAAACCTTGCAATCGACCTGGGCGGTGGTCAATGTCATAGCCAAAGCTTCCGACATATCTCGCTGAATGGACTCTGGAATTGTGGAATTTTGGCTGGATGGCCCAACCCATATCTCCGTGGCTCCTGTATGTTCAAATTCGCTGGAGCCGATCTGCGTCAAGTCGGCACCAGAGACAAGGGAAAGGACAACATTTGTGGGGAAACGTTGCTCCAGCTGATTTTCAACTCCGAGAGTGTTGGTAGTATTGACAAGAATGCAGGTATGTTGAGGGGTAACAACGGATTGGATTATATCGGCGAGGTTGTAGACATCAGGAAGAGCTTTAACGCAGAGAATGACATAGTCGAAGGCGGCTTGTTGACTAGCTGCCTCTTCAGGAGTTTGGACGACTGAGCACAAGGTTAGCTTTGAGTCAATTGTCTCCATATCAGGGCGCAGCATACCGAATCGAGGTTTAAACCGCTCATTACCAAACAACTGAGATCTAAGCAGGAGTTAGTGGTGCGCAGACAGATAGAGGGCCTTTGAGTTCTTCTTACTTGAAAGAGACGCCGTACTGCGCGACAGTCTGGTAGTTCGCTTTCCAGACCAGGGTAACGTCGCAGGCATTCGTAGCCTGTAGTCTCCAAGAGAGGAAAGCAGAAACAGCGTTCCCTCCAACTATACAACAATGTCTTAGTTCTCGATTCATTTTGCGCGGACTTCGTTGGGTCAAGGAGAGGCAGAGCGGAGGTCCGGAAAAGTGTTGGGCGGATGTGCAGGTGAATCGGCAAAAGTTCAGTGATGCTCACCAGAGAGAATCCTCAATCGAGGAGGAGAAGGTGCCATCATGAGTTCAACAGCACCTGATAAGAAAGATTAGAGCAGACGGCCTGAAGCAGGCACGTCCGGAGGTGTTCGGATTGATCGCAATTAGAGCTGTCCAAAATTATCCTTTTCGTTTCCGTGCAATATGATAGCGATTTTCCTTGCTGGACCCAAATACCAGTAAACGTGGTGTCGAACGTAAACGAGTGGGAGGAGATTAACAGGTTGTTGACGACATCGAACCGGAACGAGGGACTGGATGTAGCTTGGTCGGATGATTCGATTCGAAGTCGGAGGGTGGTGGTAAGCGGCGAGAAGCAATAGGCGTGGGCCTGGGATTGTCGCAGCGCAGGAAGACAAAAGATCGAAGAAAGTCGTTTATAGTGTCGATGCCATATGGAGCAGCTTGTGCTCGCTTGAGATTAACGAACGTGGTCGGAGACAGGTGTGGAAAAGGTGTGGTAAGGAGGACGACGGTGTGGTGTGGTGAGGTGATGGTTGCGTTGCGTGGCTGCGGTGATGAAAGGGAGGATTTAGTTGAGCGGGCGCGACGATTGTGATGCGCAATTCGAAACGGGACGAGGTCGAGTCGAGTTTGGCACCGCTGGGAGGGCCTGCGGTCGAGTGGACTGGCACAACGGAGGTAAAATGGGGACTAGAGGGAACTAACGCTTCAGGCGCCGAGCTGCTTTTAGGGGACCAACTCTTTTCGCGAGGTCTCTTTTGGGCGTTGAGACCGCAATTAATGGGCTAGGGAGCCTAAGGGGTTCGCTAAAAACCTCGTCGGTACTCGGAGCCGGAGAAGTGATCACAGCAAATCTTCGTTGGATGTTCCAATGCCTGGTTTTTCGTCTTCGCAACCCTACCGGCTGTTGTCCTTCGCTGACAGACCCATGTCGAAGTTTTTAAGCCCTTCCCCTGATCTGTGCTCCCAGCAAAGTGCCCACTTCGCACGTTGATCCCTCCTCATCAGTCCGATATCCGATACGCTGCATAGTGCACAAGGGAAAAATTACAGAGAAAGCATATATGATCCGCAAGTGCTGGGTTTGCCGGACTTCTGTTTGGCCAGTCACACAGGAGTCGGCCTATCTATACATTGGTGGAGTTCCCGCGATAGCTCAACACGACCACCAGACGCAGAACAAGGTCGAATAACCATTGTTGCTCCTCGAGTGGGCATCAACAACATTGGCATCAATTCCTGATCAACCACGCCGAGCTTGCTATCAGAGACTCATATGCTCCCCCGGATCAGGCACCGGGAGCACAAGTCTGGCCTAGGCATCAACTAGCCTACCACCAAACACCGCCACGCGTCTTACCACAGAACCCTCGCCGTTACCATATCCACAACAGCTTCCTTAGGTTGAAGCCAGACCCAGTTTCACTCCTACGGCAACTTCGCTAGTAGTGGACGAACACACGCGGCTCGATATCGTCTCACACGAGTGCGGAGATTTCTACTTCCTCACCTGTTCAGATTCCATGCATGTCTCCTCGCGTATGGGAATTGATCACTTTACGTAGTATGATGTGCCTTCGGGAAGGAAGCGTCCCGCAGAAGACGTTATTTGGGTGGCATGTGCGTGCACCCTATGTTGGCCCATGCTCGGCCATGTTGTGGAATTTTCTTGAAGATGCACTAGAAGATCGCCAATCGAACAACACCCAACTGCGTTCGGAGTAGGCATAATTTACGGGGGTGCAAAGGCAAAGCTATCCAAAAGATACGCTCGCCTATTCTGAAACATATCGATCAAGGTCGCTACGCGGCAACGCAATTGGAAGACATCGCTGCGAGACAACGCCAACGCAAGCTTCTGCTGTCAATGAAGAAACATTCGTATGCGAATACCAGGTGGAACATCAAATTGGCCACGTTAACGCATGTCTATCATCATTGGCGACGATACTGGCGCCTATGAAAAAATGTTCCGTTGGCCGTTCGCCGAAACTGCCACCCAGGGCCTGCCGGTCAGGGGATAAATGAATGGCATGGATGCAGGCAATGACGCCGTGGATCTATCCATGGCACATCTCCGTTCGTGGCTGAGACTTGCATACTATGGCAACTCTATTTTTGATTTGGAGATTTGCCTCGAAGATGGTGGTTCCACGGCTGCTAACGTTATCGCAAGCAAGCACTCTTCAGATCATACAGGGTCGGACGAAGCAGTATACCAGCTGTCTGCAGCTAATAGGAGTCTGGTGGAAATGTGAGCTGTCTCAAAATTTTTTGTGTTGCATCTTGGAAACATTTTGTCGCCAGCAATGGTGGGGATGTTGATTGGATCCCTGGAAAAAGGTCGAATCGATGATGATACTGCTGATACATCTCGAGTGGAGCAGCAATCAAACCTCATGTGGTGCTGGAAAGACTCAGTAAGTTACCCGGAGCTTTGCCTGTCCGGCGGTAACTATTCCCCAGGCGGTCGACATAACGAGGTCTCATCAAACCCGTCCCCAGGATCAAAAGGATTTTCTAGCGACGATTTGCATCAAGGCTTCTGGCTTGTTTTCATCCTTGAATCCTCGTGCAGCTTACACCCTCGCGCTCAATGCAAATGCTACGGTTCGAAGCTCTTCGCGGCAAGGTACCAAGTAACCAGTCAGATGTGAACAGGTTGTCACAGCAATAATATGGATGTTCACAAGTCGCTGCTTGAATGCACCCGAAAACGAGATGGCAAATGCCGACTTCTTTCGTCCGTCACAATCGGACTTCCAACGCCATTTCCGTTTCATGCTCGAAATAAGCGAGATATCCGTATCCGGTACTGCTGGGGGGTGTGCCTTCGCTAATGGCTCAGAAACGACTGAAAATAAACATGGCAATCTTTGAATCTGCAAATGCAAGGAATCTGCCCTGAACTTTCGCCGCCACAGTAGATCATGGCGGTCAAACGAACCCCCTATGAAGCACTCCCACGAGGCTAGCCCCCATGCTGCAGATCATCTGTGTTTGGGAGCATCAATTATAGGAGAAGGCTGACGGCTTTTGTTTGTGTGGCGAAACATTCTACTTCATTCTCAGACTGCGACATGTCCTTGTACAATGCGCTCTCACGGTGCTGGCTGGGCGATCAACGTCCGTCTCGCAAACGAGACTGAGGTACAACAGGTTGGTGACCAGTAAACAATTCCTTAGTGTTATGCAGCGTCAAGCTACCGCCCACTCCAGAACTACTATTTTCGGGATTGACTTGCTGTCTCTCACCGCATGCAAGCAGTTTGCCGCAAGCAAGATATCGCCTTGGTGCGGCTGTCTTGGGATCAATCAATCTACCTTTGGCAGAGCAGCTCTTAATGCTGAGACCGAGTCTACCACTGACCGCTCCCCAGGCACCAGCTTGGAGGTAACTTAGTGTCTCAGACACGACTGTACCGGTAGCGTGACTTTCAATACCTTGTTATGGTGCTGAAGTGGACAAAAAGTCGGGCTTTGAGTATTTCGCTACAGATTTTGGCCGTACAGGCAATGGATGCCTCATGACAGCCCGCCTTAGTGCGACGTTTTGCTGTCTCTTTGCAAGGTGCTACTTGCTGACTATAGGTTATTCATGCTTCGCCATTGAAACTCGTGCTTTGGCGTCGCAGCACTTGCGGCACTTGACTAGAGTGCTTAGTCATGTCACCCAGCAACAATATTGCACTCTAGCCCCGACGAAACAAGGGAAGTCCATCAGTGCTTGTCCATGGGGTCAGATAGATACGATTCGAAGCCCAAGAAGATCTGAAGCAACGCGATTTTGTACCTTGCAATAATTCGCTTGTCGGTATATTGCCCTTCCGAGGACAGCCACAAGTCCAAGCGAAGGACGCAAGGCAGTCCGTGTCATCCAGGTCGTCCTCGGCTCCAGGTCGCGGAGGTCAGTGTGTTATATGCCAACCGCATGTCAGAAATCTCGGCTGCGGCTCTTGCGCGTTTCACATATGCGGCCCCAAAATGTCTGCAAGATTGAATTTACATTCGAGAACCTCTTCCAGACCCAAAATGACTGCGCAATATTAGCGGAAGTCATCAACACGGCTATGCCGTCACAACGCAGGCCTCACTCATGATCAGTGTGACTGGTCAGGTAGGAGACCCCGGAATAAGGCAACCCGTAGCCGATGCATGGAGGGGAATTTTATGCGGCCAACACACTTGCATTATGCAACTTCGTGACTCAGCCTCGAAACCCTTGCCCCTATTTGGGGGCAGGATGCATATAATCAATGGATTGTTGCCTAGGTATCAAAAGCACCATCTCACTGGCTTTGCAAGAGCTTTGGTGACACAGTTGAGCAAGGTCCTCCTCTTCACCACGATGCCATTGTTGTAGGGCTTTGAGGCGTGTCTCGGGCTCATAACATAGGATTATGTGTGTATATCTCAGCCAGAGCGCAACCAGAGCTCCGCCAGAGCTCCGGAGCGTTGCTTAACGCCGAGCTGGGCCGCCGTTCAACTTCTTTATCGCGTTAAAGCGTCCATGACAAGCACATAGAGGCTTGGCCACCTAGAAAGCCTGTAGGGTGGACTTCCGTCGTCGAACACTTGATGATGACGGAAGCTATTGGGATACTTGATAGGGCGAGGATCCTGCTTGGTCAGCTCATGTACGAGTAGCTGGCATTATTAAGGCGAGGTGAGGGCTAGTATTGGTTGCTTCGGTTTCCTGGTGCCGGCTCGACCGGCGGAGCAAAAAGAAAACTGCCAGTTTACCTGAAGGGACAGTCTCTTGAGTGGCTGCTGACGGCCACTTGGCGCGTCTAAAGTCTGCGGCGTCGCAGGCCGGGGGCCCTCGCGCCCATTTGTGCCGCGCCCCTGCGAAACCAACGCGCCCCCTGCGCTCGGGCTCGATTGTAAAGGTTACGGAGTAGAGGCAGACTTATCTTCGGCTTTTCTTGATTGAGGCCTCCTCTTGCATCGCCCGCAGTCTCCTTTATCGGTGAAACCTCATTCACTACGTGACCTTGACTGAGGCGAGCGACACTCTCTTTGTATTCTCGCGACCAGAATTATTCCTATCTTCTCGAAAGACCTAATCGTGAATCGTGTTCGGACCGCATCAAGAAAAAACAGCTCCGAGTCCAAGCACCCTTTTACCAGCCAGCGGCTGCTGAGTAGCCGAGAATATTCCACTTCTCCCAACCACAGATATCGCCATTAGACAAGATCATCGCCCTTCGATCCACGTCTCTTGTATACCCTCGACCTCATCCTCAGGTCCGCCTTGACTTCCTCGTCGCCCATTACCCAGCAATGCGCAGTTTATCAGGTTGCTGACGTGAGCCGACTCTTCCGAGCAATCCCATCCAGCCTCACCACGCCCACCGCCGCACTCTATCCCACGAAATCTTGTGAATTCCACTTATAGAAAGAGGGTTCAGCCAGTATACCTTCGAGACTTGACGCGACTGTCCCCTACCGGATCCGATGCCCCAGGTTCTCGAAATATCATCCTAGAACTCGTGCAATATGGCGCGGATACATTTCAACAGTGGTGCTGGCGCTGGCGGTAATGGAGGAGAGAGCAATGTCTCGAAACCGGTCAAGAGAATGCGCTGGGCTACAACGCGCAAATCTGGCCAGAGCGGTGTGAACAAAAGGAGGTCTCTACTCGAGCGGGTTCCCAGAGTGACGCTGTCAACCTACGAAGAAAAGCCTTCCGGGCAGGAAAACCATGGCCAAATATCAGGCGATAGTCCGATGGGCCAGGTGCAACAGGAAGGCGAGTCTTCAGACCGCAAAATTTATGTCAATCAACCTCTCCCCCCGGAAGCCATGACAGAAGACGGGCATATCAAGGCGCAGTATGCGAGGAATAAGATCAGGACGGCGAAGTACACCCCGCTGAGCTTCATACCGAAGAACTTGTGGTTTCAATTCCACAATATCGCCAATATCTACTTTTTCTTCATCATTATCCTAAGTGTAAGTTGGGATGTTACCTGCAGCTGGATGTCAATGCTAACCAAAGCAGATTTTCTCCATTTTTGGCGCCTCGAATCCTGGCCTGGGATCAGTGCCTCTAATCTTTATCTTGACCGTGACGTCTATCAAAGACGCCGTGGAAGATTGGGGCAGAACGGTGCTGGACACTGAATTGAACAACTCGCCAGTTTACCGGTTGGTGGATTGGCACAATGTGAACTCTTCCGACGATGATGTTTCAGCGTGGAGGAGGTTTAAAAAGTCATGCACAAGAACAGTCATTAAAACCTATCGCTGGATGAAAAGTGTCACCAGCAAGAAACAAAAGCGTTCAGAAAAGGACGCGGACGAAGGTGGTCTCGATCGCCGAGCTTCAACTGCCACAAGACCGACTATCCGCACGTCAGCATACTCGGAGAGAACCTCGTTTCATTCCACGCGGAGCGCAGACGACATCGCCATGACTCCGGTACCATCACCAGGGTATAGGTCGAGTTTGTCACCGAATGGTCAACTTGCTGCAAATAGCGAGCCACCCAACAGCGGATTTTCTTTTGAGACTGCGGAGGAGCACCACGCTCTATCGGACAACTCTCCCTCCAAGGCGCGGACTCAAGATCCCGCAAAGCAGAAGAGCAGCGTGCCCCTGGCCAAAGACTATGGCAGCCTTATCAATCCCAGCAAAGAAGTTCCGAATACGGCTCGATTCAAGAAAGATTATTGGAAGAACGTTCAAGTAGGCGACTTTGTCCGTATCTACAGCGATGAACAGATGCCGGCCGACGTTGTTGTCTTGTCGACTTCCGATCCTGACGGGGCTTGCTACATTGAAACCAAGAATCTGGATGGCGAAACGAATTTGAAGGTTCGTCACGCCCTACAGGCCGGTCGAAAAGTGAAGCATGCCAGAGACTGCGAGTATGCCGAGTTCACCATCGAGAGCGAAGGACCACAGCCCAACCTTTACGGCTACAACGCTGTGGCCAAGTGGCAGCAACACGATCCGAAAGATCCGAATGGCCCTGGTCGTGCAATGGCTGAACCGATCAGCATCAACAATCTCCTTCTGCGTGGATGCAGCCTAAAGAACACCGAATGGGTACTGGGTGTAGTTGTGTTCACCGGCCAGGAAACAAAAATCATGTTGAACTCTGGCATGACCCCGACTAAACGTGCGCGCATGGCTCGAGATCTGAACTGGAACGTTATCTACAACTTCATCATCCTGTTCTTTATGTGTTTGATTTCCGGTATCGTGCAAGGTGTAACCTGGGCAGACGGAGACAATACCCTGAATTATTTCGAGTTCGGGTCAATTGGTGGCAGTCCTCCGCTGGACGGCTTCATCACATTCTGGTCTGCAGTCATCTTGTTCCAGAACTTGGTGCCCATTTCTCTTTACATTACATTGGAAATCATCCGATCATTGCAAGCATTCTTCATTTGGTCGGATGTGTACATGTATTACGAGAAGCTGGATTACCCGTGCACACCAAAGACCTGGAATATTTCCGACGATCTGGGACAAATTGAGTACATCTTCTCGGACAAGACAGGAACGTTGACTCAAAACGTCATGGAGTTTAAGAAGTGTACTATCAATGGTACGCCCTATGGTGAAGCATACACCGAAGCAGAGGCTGGCATGCGGCGAAGACAAGGAATTGACGTCGAGGCTGAATCAGCTCGGATCAACCGTCAAATCGCTGAGGCTCGTGTTGAAACACTGAAACAATTGCGAAAAATCTACGACAACCCTTATCTCCACGACGATGAACTCACATTCGTGGCACCAAATCTCGTCGCTGATCTGAATGGGAATTCTGGCGAGGCTCAGGCGCGAGCATGTGAAGCTTTCTTCGTTGCTCTGGCCCTCTGCCATACGGTGATTACAGAAACGACGCCAGGAGATCCACCCAAGATTGAATTCAAGGCGCAATCTCCCGATGAAGCCGCTCTTGTCGCCACCGCCCGAGACATGGGATTCACCGTCCTGGGCCGAACCAACGACGATTTGCATGTGAATGTTATGGGAGAAGATCGGACATACCGTATCCTCAACACCCTCGAGTTCAATTCCACTCGAAAGCGGATGAGTGCTATTGTCCGGATGCCGGATGGTCGAATCAAACTGTTTTGCAAAGGAGCCGATAGCATGATCTATACACGATTGAAGCGAGGTGAACAGCAAGAACTTCGCAAAGCCACAGCCGAGAATCTGGAGGTCTTTGCACGAGAAGGTCTCAGAACTCTTTGTGTGGCTGAGAAAGACCTTGATGAAGAATTGTATCAAGAGTGGAACAAAGACCATGATTTTGCCGCCCAGGCGCTGGCGGACCGTGAAGATCGCTTAGAAGAAGTGTCCGATCGCATCGAGAGAGACCTCACGCTGCTCGGTGGTACTGCGATTGAAGATCGTCTCCAGGACGGCGTCCCTGATACTATCGCCTTACTTGGACAGGCTGGCATCAAACTGTGGGTGCTGACGGGTGACAAAGTCGAAACTGCCATCAACATTGGATTTTCATGCAATCTCCTTTCCAACGAGATGGACTTGATCCTGTTTGATATGCCCGAAGGTAACCTGGAAGATGCTGGCAAACTACTCGATCAGCATCTTCAGACATTCGGAATGACTGGTTCGGACGAAGAACTGGCTGCGGCCCGACTTGTCCATGAACCTCCAGCACCAACCCATGCTCTCATCATTGATGGTGAGACTTTGAAACTGGTTTTGTCAGACGACTTGAGACAGAAGTTCCTCCTGTTATGCAAACAATGCAGGTCTGTTCTTTGTTGCCGAGTGAGTCCCGCACAAAAGGCTGCAGTGGTTCAGCTCGTCCGGAATGGTCTTGACATTATGGCCTTGTCCATTGGTGATGGAGCCAACGACGTGGCCATGATTCAGGAAGCTGACGTTGGCGTGGGTATCGTTGGTGAGGAAGGACGTCAAGCTGCGATGTCTTCGGATTACGCCATTGGACAGTTCCGATTCTTACAGCGCCTTGTCCTCGTCCATGGCCGTTGGTCTTATCGTCGCCTGGCCGAGTCCATCGCCAATTTCTTCTACAAGGTCAGTCCTCCGTCTCCTAAGCTAAACCTTTCATGGCGACCGGCTAACTATTTTCCCAGAACTTGGTATGGACTTTTGCACTCTTCTGGTACCAATTATACAACAACTTCGACATTTCCTACCTTTTCGACTACACTTATATTCTCTTGGTCAACTTGGTCTTTACCTCCTTCCCGGTTGGACTGATGGGTATCCTTGATCAGGATGTCAGCGACAAAGTCTCGTTGGCGGTACCACAACTATACCGACGTGGAATGGAGAGGAAGGAATGGTCGCAGCTTAAGTTCTGGTAAGCAGCATATTTTTGTGGGATGCTAGGATTATCTCTGACATCGCTTTCTAGGCTCTACATGGCTGATGGTCTTTACCAATCTGTCATGTGTTTCTTCATGACTTATCTCCTTTTCCAGCCGGCTACGTTCAACGTCTCGAGCGGCCGGAATATTGATGACCGTGAGCGCATGGGTGTCTATGTTGCTTGTTCGGCCATCTTCGTCATCAACGCATATATCCTTATGAACACTTATAAATGGGACTGGATCATGGGTCTGGTCACTGCGCTCAGCGTTCTGCTGATCTTCGCATGGACTGGGATCTATTCGTCGTTCACGGCATCGTTCCAGTTTTACAAAGCTGGTTCGGAAGTATATGGCTCCCTGACCTTCTGGGCGCTGATGTTCTTGACCATCATTGTCTGTCTGCTTCCCCGCTTTGCCGTCAAATTTTTCCAAAAGAACTTCAGACCCTACGACATCGACATTGTTCGAGAACAAGTCCGACAGGGCAAGTTCAAATATTTGGACGAATACGAGGCGTACGTGCCTCCGAAGGTGGTGGATGTCTCCGTGACTTCGTCAGAGCAGCCTGAGGAGACTTCAACGGAGGCCGAGGGCTCTCGGAACCATGCGAGATACCCAAGCATGGCAGAATCGCAACGACCTATAATATATGCACCCTCCGAGGCCGCGAGTCGCCATCCCCACAGTCAGACGGGCAGTGATGGTACGGACAGAACCAAGCCGTCACTTGATATGCATAGGTATCCTGGGGACTCGACGACGCCGGACAAGCTCCGACAAAGGCGACCCTCACTGGAACGCGTTCGTTCCTCATTTGAGAGGCAACGTCAGTCCCTTGACAAGCTCAGACCGAGCTTCGAAAACAGCCGAGATTTCAGCTCGGCCGCAATGCTGAATCGAATAGAGTCAGGGTACTCCGCCTCCAACTATTCGACACCTATCTCGGCTTTGACTACGCGAAGGACGAATGTTCCCGATGAGCAACGGCAATGATTTTGGCGCCGAACGCTGGAGACAATTTGGTGTGTCTCATGACCTTATGTCCACTCTTATGCTATGATGTTTATGGCGCCTGTCATTCTGTGGGCGGGGATGGAGATTCAGTGATCCTTTGATCAGGCTCACTTAGCGAGTTTACTGTATCGTTTGTACATACTTAGAATCTACAGGAAAAGCACAGATCGTGAAACTTGAGTACCATGATAGAAGTTGATGAATGTGAACAAGAGATTCGTGGGTGAGACAAGACTGAGTCTTCTCGGTATCCGTGTGCTGTACAGTGACACGCTCAACTCATCGTCAATTTATCATCTGGTAGTATCTCTGAGGAAGATTTTCTGTCGGTCTTCAGCAACAAGATCAATGATGCCAGTCTTAATGATCAATTGATGCCAAGGCCAATTAAGCAGCGGCAGCACGCGACTTTCTGGCGATTAAACGCGCCGCGGGTCTGGTTTTTGGCCCAGTACCTGCACTGCGGAGAAAGTGAAAAGAACTACCACTGAGTGACCCTTGTCAACAGCAACAAAGACAAAGATATAATTTTCTACACACTGGAAACGACAATGCTGTGAACATCATACAATCTGCGGGCTCCCCTCTTTCCCTCTCATCCCTTTCTTCCTCCTACTTTCCAACTATGAGAGAGATACTCCTGCCTGCGCAGAGCCACTTCATACGTCGCCCTTCGCCTCTACCTATGCATAGACCGCAGCCATGGCGGAGTTCATAGCAGTCCTACAGTAAGTGTCTAGTCAACCATGCATCTTGTCCCACTCCCAGGACACTGACTTCTTCATCTTTGCAGAGAAATCAAACAACTCCCCCCATCAGAGCACCTTCTTTGTCCGCGGCGAAATGATGACGACCAGGACCGATACGAGGATGAGCACAGTCCCGACAATGATCTGGCGCAAAAAGACCCTGATCGGCTGGCCAGATTTGAAGAGACCAAGATCAGACGAAAGAAATTTGTATCATCTCTGCAACTCTTGGCCTATGACGGACAAGAGAGCGAGCAGTATCAGCGGTATATCTGGGATGTCCTGGACGAGGCACTAGCAAAATGTGACATCTGTATCCGGGAATACTATGTGGCCAAAGTTGAATTTGTGACTCAGTTGAGACAAGACTATGAGGAAGACGATATCAAGACCTTCTTCGACATTATCAATAGACGGGATACATCACGAATTCTGCGAGGCCTCGATGCTGCTAAGAAGACTCTCACGAACATTCCCGAACAGCGAAGAGGCACTGGCGTGTTGGACCCAAGGGATCTCCATGCTCTCTTTGAGGCGCTGGTATGCGAGGTCTTCTTGCAAGACGAAAATCTACTACGAGACCACTTCGACGAGCCCTTTAAGATGATCCAAACCAAGAAGCCGCTTAAGATGCGCGAGATCCTTCCAGGCGCTACGAGATTCTTGTTCAACACCAATCCCATTCGGCTTGTGTGGGCCACTTCGATTTGGACACGCCTCGATAGATGTCCAACAGATCTCGAGTGGGACTGGGCCATCAAGGACTTTCTCGAGAAAAAGTTGCAGCAGGTCGCAGATTCAAGTGACGTTTCAAGATTATGGAGTGCGCTCAAGCTTATTGTCAGTAAGCTCGATGAGCGAATGATCACCTACAGATTGTTCGACCTTCCCAACTTCAGCACAACGGCCCTAAACCACCTCGCGAAGCGAACAAATGCCGTTCCCTACATTGTTCACACATGGCAAATCATTCTGGAGAGAGCACCCGAAGCATTCTGGCAGTCGATGGGCTCCATATCGTCGCAGGCCATCGTGGAACAGGTGTTTGCCAGTCCTTTGTACAACAAATTTCTCCAAGATTCCACCAGCGATTCGGGAACGAGGGCAAAGGATACCAATGTGCTGTTATGGATTCCATCGTTTCTCAGCTCCCTCAAGCCTGCAAATCGTCCAGCAGCTTCCCAAACTATTGTTGCGCAACTTTTCCAGAGGGTGGAGGACCACGATCTCACTTTGGCTGCGAGGATAGCATGCTTCGAGATGGTTGTCACCGTCCTCCTGGCGACCATTGTTAGTTTCTCCAACAACGAGACGGATCGTCAATCTGTGGAGCGATTGGTTCTTCAGGATACCTTGAATTTGATCGGTCATCGTTTGGAAGAAGTTCTCAGGCCGAAGGATCCTGACATTGCAAAGGGCATGCACGACGAGTCACGCAAAGACATTATCGGCCTTGTCAAGAATTCAATCGCTCTCGAGTGTCAGTGTCTAAAGTCGGACTTTGAAGCCCTGAATAAGAAGGAACCTCTTCGACACGGTTCGAGTTCGTATTCACCAGAAATCTGGACGGCTATCATCAACAACCTGCGAGATGATAATGCCGACCTATCGTCGGCCGCACTGATTGGGATTATGCCTTTACCAGGCTTGGAACAGTTCCGGATCAGGGACGGCCAAGAGTTGGTTCAGGAGAAGAAATCGTTCAATACTATCTTCGACAAACTGACTGGAATGGTTGGGAAACTTCTGGAGCGCATTTCGGAATTCAGCCCGCAGCATCTGGATGCTTTGTTCAGAGCTCAAGATACCAGTATGTCTTTGATTGCCGCTCTCTTCTCAGCCGACCAAAGCACATATGAAGCCGCCATTGAGGTGGTCAAGAACATCAGTTCACAATCGGGACGAAAGGAAGCACTAGCTCATTTGATCAACGCGTTTCTGGGGGTCACTATCTATGGTATCTGCTGGACATTCCGGCGCATCGCCAACTACAAGACCTTTGCTTCTGTACCGCGAATGCTCAAGACGGGCATGGAAATTCTCGACATTCTGTGCAATCCTTCCGATGGTCAACTGAGAAGAGCAAACATCACAGGAAGAGACGCCTCGGCCGTGCAAAGCTATTGGTCGTACCAATGGGTTGCCCTTCGGGTGATATACAGCCAGACAGAGAGATGGTCATATGAACTTCACAGCAAAGAAATCATGATCGAGGTTTGTCGAGACGCAATGCAATATGCTCAAGCTTTGTTCGACCAATACGACCTTTTTGCTAGTGTCTTGACCAAGGCCAAACCAGAGAAGGCGCAGGAAATCCCCAAGCTGCTTTTGGATGCGAAGGATGCTCAGACCGGGTCGCCTCTGAATACCTTGGACGCGATGGCAAAATGGCTGAGGTTGCGCGACGAATATCTCGCCGATACGTTGGTCTCGCTCATCACAGGTATGCTATACCGTCTCAAAGCTCATCAAGTAACTACCGAGAGCGACGGTCTGGGGTATGTCCAGGAAGTTGCAACGAAGCAGTCTGTCAAGACTATTCTCTCAGCATCACAGAAGGCCAGGTTGGTGCGAGCATTGGAGAACTACTACGGCCGCCAGATCGAAAGACCCGTTGTGAAGAAACAGGCCACGCTCAATCTGAAGGAGTGGACAGACTCTGCGGCTGTCTCACGATCTGGTGCCTCGACACCTGATTCTAGAGACCGTAGCGTTGATGAGTTTGGCGACGACGATATCGCTGATGACGATCTCATCGAAATTGCCAGCAAAACCCTGGATACTCACAAGGGATCCGTCACCACAAAAGACACGAACCACATAAAGTCTTTGCTTTCTAGGCCCCAGCCTACCAAGCCTAAAGCACCAGCGCAATCATTAGCGGAAGTTCAAGAGAAGAAAGCTAAAGAAGCTCGAGCCTTTATCGAAAACCGGAAGCGTGAGGAGGCAGCTCGAAAGTTACGTGACAGGGAAGCTGCTCTGAGGCTGCGAGGCAAGACTGGCGTGGGCCAACAGACTGCCGGTCAAGGTTCGGGCCTTGCGGGCATTGGGGTGGTGGGAAAAGACCATTCAGCAGGGACAAGCGGTTTGATGGTCTCGTCAGAATCCGAATCCGAGACCGACTCGGACGAAGAGTTGTTCGGCAAGCTACCCAGGCCCCCAACAGTACGCCAGGCTGGTGCAAGGAAGCCCATTCCTGCTGGACCAGTACGCAAGATCAAGCAAGTCCGTTCACAAAAAGATGTGAGAGCTCGACTTGCACCTGACCTCACAGAATTGCACCGGACGATACTCAGTTGGGATTTCTTTGCGGATACCGACCTGCCACCTAATTCGATGAGAGATGATTACACGTTGGTGACAGAGACATTTCGAACACCCCAGGATTACCAGAAGACCTTCGAGCCTTTGCTTGTACTTGAGAGCTGGCAGAGCTTCCGCGCCGCTCGTGAAGATGGTACTTTCAAAACCTTTGAGGTGAAAGTGGCCAACTCGTTGATCGTCGATAATTTCGTCGAGGTTAATTCCCAGCTATCTTATGCAGAGGGGAAAGAGCTCGGCATTGGCACTTCGGATGTCGTGCTGTTATCGAGGGCCAAACAGCCGCACCAAGATCCCAACGAGCCACATTGTTTAGCTCGAGTCAAGGAGATTACCAGAAAGAAGGGTGAAGTGCAAGTTGTTTATCGTGTCTGCGCGTCAAATAACCCTTTGCGACCCTTCCTCAATGACAAATCAACTGTTTATGGCGCCCAGATTCTATCGCTCACTCCGCTCGAGAGAGAGTATGGTGCATTGGTGGCTTTGCAATATTACGACCTTTGTGAGGAGATTATCCGAGCGAAGCCATCGCCTATCCTCGATTACCCCGGGAGTGCGCTGGAGCCTATCAAGAGAACGTATGGCGTGAATCTAGCCCAGGCGAAGGCGGTCAAGTCTGCACTTGACAACGATGCTTTCACCCTGATACAAGGTCCCCCAGGTTCCGGAAAGACCAAGACTATATGCGCTTTGGTTGGTGCAATGTTGACTGGCTTTGTCGAGAAGTCCGAGTCTCATGGCCCACGGTTGAACACAGCCACAGGGCGTCCATTGGCAGCTCCTCCAGCTGCAAAAAAGATCCTGGTCTGTGCGCCTAGCAATGCCGCTGTCGACGAACTGGTCATGAGATTGAAGCTGGGCGTTACCCTTCTGGACGGGTCGTCCGAGAAGTTGTCGGTTGTGCGATTAGGCCGGAGCGATGCCATCAACGCGAATGTCGTCGATGTCACTCTCGAAGAATTGGTCAAGGCCAAACTAAACACCTCAGCGCCAAAGGATCCGCGAGAAGATATCCAATCCGTTATGATGGAGCACAAAGCAACAAGTGACGAGCTGATCGTGGTGCGTGATCGGATTACTGAAGCACGTGGCAAAGGTCAACCGGTCCCCGCTGCGGATGAGCAGTTGATGGACGCCCTGAAACGCAAGAAGAATGGCTTGGGCTCCAAGATCGACACCCTGAGAGATCGTCAAAATACTGCTTCTCGCGATATGGAGCTTAATCGCAAGCGGGTTCAGCAAGAGATCCTGGACTCGGCACATGTCCTGTGCGCCACTTTGAGTGGAAGTGGACACGAAATCTTCCAGGGTCTGAATATCGAATTCGAAACCGTGATCATCGACGAGGCCGCCCAGTCAATCGAATTGTCAGCGTTGATTCCATTGAAGTACGGATGCTCAAAATGTATCTTGGTGGGCGACCCTAAACAGCTGCCACCAACGGTGTTGTCACGGGAGGCCGCCAAGTTCCAATACGAACAGAGTTTGTTTGCCAGAATGGAGCACAACCACAAGAAGGATGTTCATCTCTTGGACACCCAGTATCGTATGCATCCCGAGATCAGTCTGTTCCCGAGCAGGACATTCTACGACTCTCGGCTCAAAGATGGTGCTGGGATCGCCAAACTACGACATCGACCTTGGCATCACAGTACTATCCTTGCCCCGTATCGATTCTTTGACGTTCAAGGAATGAGTCAAGCAGCCACGAAAGGCCATTCTCTGATCAACATAGCCGAGTTGAATGTGGCGATGCAGCTCTACGACAGAATAGTGGCCGACGTTCCAAAGTACGACTTTACCAGAAAGATTGGCATCATCACCCCCTACAAAGGGCAGCTCAAGGAATTGAAGCGGCGCTTTGCACAAAGATATGGGGACAATATAATATCGAAGGTCGAATTCAACACCACGGACGCTTTTCAGGGAAGAGAATGCGAAATCATCATCTTCTCCTGTGTACGAGCTTCGACTAACGGGATTGGGTTCTTGAACGACATCCGGCGTATGAACGTGGGTCTGACGCGAGCCATGTCTTCGCTTTGGGTGCTCGGTAATTCACAGGCACTTATGCAGGGCGAATTCTGGCGAGCTTTGATCAACGATGCCAAAACTAGAAAACTGTACACGGATGGAGACATCGCAAATCTACTCCGACGACCGCTCTTGACGGAAGCTATGATGAAAGACGACGTCGACATGATGGATGCCAATGAATCGACACCCCAGGAAGTACCCCTTACACCAAGTACAACGAGCGAGTGGTCTGGTGCGAAAGAGGTAGTCTCTGCAGGGCAGTCAGCACCGAGACTCAAGCTGCCAGACGCACCTGGCTCAGGAGCCTCGTCACATCAGCCTACCCCTCAGCCGTCGAGGCCGAGCAGCGGTCTTTCCCACCGCTCTTCAGGTTCTGCTCCTGCGAGACCGGAGGCGCGGCGTCCAGATCCGTCTCATTCGGAGTCGAAGAAAGAAACACTTAGAACGGCTCTCAAGAGTGAGGTGAAGTCGTCGAACAGTTCACGGACAGAGCCACCCTCACTGCCAGAATATGCTGCACAGGAGCAGCTCAATCCTGGAGTATATGGCCCTTCGGGTGGTATCAACGGTCTGAATGATCTTGCAAACTGTGCTATATGCGGTTCCTATGAGCATTTCAGTTTCAATTGCGACAACGAAGCGGCCAGAGCCGCCTCTCTTGGCAACTGCCATCGCTGTCATCGGCCCGGGCACAGCTTCACTAGCTGCTCCGCCCCTCGATGCCTTAGCTGCGGCGAAGTTGGGCACACTGCCGAAAATTGCAGTGCACCTCTTAAGATGAGGTTGACCAAAACTCAACAAACCGAGGTAAAGAATCAAGAAGTTAGATTCGGCCGATCCAAAGACAAGGCAAGAGAGCGACGTGTAGAAAAGCAGCTGGGCGAGCATGGTGCGAAGATCCCCATTGTGAAGAGTACAGTTCCACCTGTCTCGAATACCAATGGCGGCAATGTCAAGAGGAAGCGAGATGAATCCAGCGACTCAGACCCGAACAAAGTACGGAGACGGGGCAAGCATGATGGGGTCCCCAAGAATGGGAATGCTAATGGGAGTGTTCCCTCTGGGCTTTCACGTACTCCGCCAACCGGGCCAGCAGGTATACCAACAAACCCTTCAGTAGGTGTACCAGGAGCTCCAACCGGGCCAGCAGCAATAAGAGCGCCGTCTGGTCCCCTTGGTAATGGCAGACCTGGAATGGCGAGCAACGGACAGCCAGTAGTACGCAAGAAGAAGGCAAATGCCAACGACATGTTTGTGAGGAAAAGATGACGAAGGAAGGTGGAAGGAACGTTTGGGCCGAGCGCATCAAGACGTGATGCGGTCAAAGATGATGCATCACTTTGGCAGGGGGTCTTTGGGTATCCAGGTACCCCTGAAGGCGTGCGGGTGTCAAACCCCGGATACTGGGATAAGAGAAAGCCCGGCAAGGGCGCCAAACGGCTTTTCGACCGGAGCTCCTACCGAACCTGAACAGCTTCAGCTTCGGTGAGTTTCCGAATGTATGGATATTGAAAGTGAGCGTTTTCAGACAGCATAGCGACCGGCGTGAGTGATAGAATCTACAAGAAAAATCCGTTAAGGGATTCAGAACGATTTCCAACATGTTCTTCTGCAAGCAAGCTTCGCAATCTTTTTCTGTCACGATCTGCCTCTGAGGTACCTTGCATGGTCGCGCATACCAATCAAGCAACTTAGCCGAGATGCACTTACTTGCGCGTCGAACGCCTCCAACGCCTTACGAGAACGGGCGCACAGTAACTGAGTCGACCAACGCCTTTGGAGTCGTAATACCCTCTCACTCGCGGTCTAGGCAGTGAGAAGAGTGACAGCGTCCCTTGAGGATGCTGCACACCCCGACGGGAAATGAAAGGCAGGGCGCTGTTACGAAAGTTCTCCTACCACTCTGAACTGGCGATACGAAGAACATCCAACTCAGCCTTGGGAGTGCCCCTGAGCGTGCAGTGACCGACTGAAACGGCCTTGTTGGGTCGTCTGGTGTCTTGGGAGGCGAAGTGCACCCAATGAAATCCAGGTCGGGCTGGTGCCTGCAGGAAACCACAACTCGTGTTGCAACTCGTATGACTGGAGTCCGCCGGTCCGGGACTCATCAAACCAACCACCCGTTCAGCCTCAGTCTACCCACCATCCCCCGCAAGGCAAGTGTTGATGCTTCCGGGGAAGGGGAAATTGATCCCAAGACACGCCAAGTGAGTCCTGGGCGGATCTAGATTCTACGGATCTCGGTTTTGTGCTGATGTGAGGTTCCGGACTTGGGGCTGAATCCTGGCAGTATCGCTGCGACGCAAGGGATCGCAGCGCACCTACCCGGTGGTATTTACGCGATCGCTTCGTGTGGAAAGGTAAGGCTGTAGCTAGACCTGCTTCTAGGCGAATCTCTCCCTAAAATCACAGCGCCTCCTACTATGTTATTCTCACTATTTCCCCCTTCGTATATCATCCTCCGTTCCTTCAAGACTATTTAACAAACACGATAGGGACACAGCCACATCCTAAAGTAAGAATTGATCGGGAGCTATCATTGATAACAATTCATCTGGCCCGTCCGAAACATCAACTCAAGCACCCTCACCAGAGCTTCTGCAGAGGGCTGTGAACGAAGCCCGAAAGTCTGCCACTTTGGCACATCAGGAAGCCAACAGGGCCAGAAATGAAGTCACAATCCAGATGACGCAGGCGGAAAATACAGCAAAACAACGCGAAAACGAAAAGCGTCGGGATTGGTTTCGGTAAGATCGACCCTCCAATTGAAGTGATCATTCGAAGGGCTTCGTGTGACACTTGTTGCAGCCTCCTCGCTACTGCTCTCGCCGTCAACATTGCTGTTTGGCTTAGCTTGATATTTCAAGTCTACGATATCCGACACAACCAGAGCCGCCGTATAACTTACGAGAGTATTGCCTGGGTGCTTCTATTTGGACTTATCATCGGTACACTCCTGTTATTGATATGGAGCCCAAAACCTAACGGGTTGAAGGCGTTCAGAAACGAGATAATTTTGTATAGACTTTGTATGTCTCCACACTCTCTCAGAGCGTCATCGCTCTATGCAATCAAGTCTGCTGACTTATAAAGTACCATACAGGGTGACCTTAGCTAACGCCTTCTTCTGCTTCTTCTTTGTCATCGTCTACTTGAAAACTATGCAATCCCGAAGTATAACACCCTAGAATGGGAATCTCATATCGATTACAACGAAAGCATTTTTCCACCTACATTCGCCTTCGCCAGCGGTGGTGACTTCGTAGATACTGCATTGGCGTCGTTCGCCGGCGGCACTACATTGTGCACGTTTCCCCAGTACTCGAGAACAAAGTCAACTGATTGTCCTGTTGCAGATTTCAACAGGACGAGGCAGACACTGGAGATTTATTCCGAAGCGTACGGACATCTCGACGCCTACATATTCAATCCTCATGAGCTTCAGCCAAACAACAACACTTATGTCGACCTCACAAATCGAGTTCTTCTGCAGGTGAACGTTAATTGTCGGTATCACACTCTGTGCACAAAGTCTCAGCTGACATTCAGACAGACAATAGCGATGACCTAGAACACGATTATTCTCCACAACTGCTACAGACACCATACATTTTCGCGGCCATTTATGACCCGAGAATCGACCTTGCAACAGCACTCCATTGCGGCCTAGTGGCATTCACAGAGATCCCTGCGATGGGGACAAACACAATCACACTTTCGGCACAGCATGTTACTGATGACCTGGGCATTGTGAAACCTCCAGACGACAAGACTACATGCTCGAAAATTTACACCAGCGCACTTACAATGAAGAATCCGCCATATACTTCCTACTCTTTTAAGCTGGGGTCTATGCCGACGTCAAACTTGAGTACCTGCGACACGAAACTCAATTCGAATGCCTTCTGTATCTCGCAGGTATTACTTCGATATGGTTCTCGTGTGGTTTCTCGCATGGAGAGTGTACCTGGTATTGCCAAAACTGATATCTTGATTGCGGAGGGAGCAATTGTTGGTGCAGTCCAGTTCTTCATGTGGTTCTTCGGCATCTTTGCTCTGTAGCTGCGATCCTGAATAAATCAGCTCCTTACAAGAGACCCGAAACTGCTATATCTATGGCGTCTGTCGAAGATTCCGAACGACTCGAAGGTTGCGACTCGGGCAACCAACGTCTCCATCTGTCTTTCAGGGTTCTACTTCGTCCTATGTGATCTGAGGTATCCTCATCCAGTCCTCCTAATGTTCCTAGATCGTACTATCCTTGAATCAATTGAAATTCATACAAATTTGAAGGCGGACCAGGAAAAGGATCAGTCGTCGGTGACTTTCATGCGTAGCCATCAAGAGTGTAACATCCTTTGATGACCATCCTGGTTCGAATATCGCGCTGCTCAAATTATGAGTTTCAAGTCCAACAAATCAAGGATTATAATCTTTATAAATTGATTTCTCCTCGCAATCGACCATAGGATGTGGACAACAGGGCTTCCCGTTCGCTCAGCCGTACTTAAGCCACATGCCGTTACGTTAGTAGTTGGGTGGGTGACCACCAGCGAATCCGTAATGTTGATTGTTTTTGCCTTTTTTGCATTCTTTACAAGATGCCAAAGAAATATCAAACCTTGAAGCCATGCAGGGTAGTTTTGTATGATTTTTTGGGCCCCTATGCGACCACCTGGTCACAGCTGCCCTGCATAGTATGCGCCTGCTGGATGTGACAGAACCTTAAAGCAGCGTTTGAGCCGTCACTCTCACTTGACTTTCTTGTGAAAGACCTAGTCATACTTCAAGACTTCTCATCCAGTCCAGCATAGGACCTGGACCATTGGGAGTTCACTTGCTACCCAACTTGATCTCCGCGTTGAGGTACCCTGTGTTAACCACGCGGTTGAGGACGGAGCCTACCTTTTAGGTACCTAAGGAGCTCTCATCCAGAATTCAGCTGCAATCAGCAGTTTCTTACAGATCTTTGGCCGTTGCTCGGAAAAAGGCTCGAAAATGCCTCCTCGTCAACTTCCCCATCCATCATCCCGCATGCGGACACGGATTCGGCGCCCCAAGCAGGGTCACTCAACATGAACCGGACTATACGTCCCAACTGGCCGGTCCACACCGCTTTCGCATTGTCCCTTGCGTACTACTTGGATGTCGGTGGTCAGGTCGCTGAGTCCTGCCACACATGCGGCGAGCAAATTCGTCAAGCAGAATGAAGATTCCGTTGCCGGACGCAAAAATAGATTCAAGTGCCAGGCGTTACCAAGGGCTATCAGCCTCACTACCAAGACTGTCAACCACTAGCGCTGCTCTCCCCCAGAACCGAGCATGAACCTAGGCCGTGCCTAGGTTTTGCAAAGTAGTCCGTGCTTTCGTATGACGGCTCGACCACCGAAGAAAAGACAACAAAGCGCCAATGGCAAGATCGAATGCGGTCGCCAATGCCAAACTACTGAAGTAACCACTAGATGCTGTCCTAGATGTCCCAATCCGGCAACACTGATACTATTACACTGGTGATTGGTCATTTCGACCGAAGAACTATCTACAGCTATATCCAATATCCATAATCCAATATCCAACACGGACACGTCAAGTACTAAATAAATAAAGCCTTCGCTCTCTCATTTACAATGCCGTCTTCCTCGTTGTCAAGTTTTCTGGTGTGTCATCAGAAAGTCCACGTCAAGATGCACTCATCCCTCATCACCATTTTACTACTGGCCACAGGGGGGACCATCGCCAAATTCATCATTCCCCAACCCAACGGACCCTACGGCGTGTCACTGATCGACGCACAAGTCATCGACGAGTCTCGTCGAGACCCCTACACCAATGCCTCTGCCCGCATCATTCCATTCACCGTGATAAGTCCAGCCGGTTCTGCGGGCAAATGCAACGTCACGGTCCAGCCATACATGCCCAATGCGACAGCCTCGTTCTGGGAGCAAGTCATCCCATCACCAACAGACGGATGGAACCTCTCAATATCCTTCAACAACACCTTCACCCAGACCGAACTCTCGCTATGCAAGCCAGTCCCCGCGCAACAAAACGAATATCCAGTCATCCTCTTCTCCCCGGCGTTAGGCAACTCGCGCGAATTCTACCACATCATGTGCATGAACCTAGCGTCTCAGGGGTACAACGTCATCACGGTCGAGGAGCCCGGACAGGATGGTGTCCTGACTTACGCTGACGGCGACGTACAAATCACCGACATCAGCGCCATAGAGAGCGACGACCAAACCCTCATCGCCGCAGTCGACGTGCGCGTAGCAGACCTCGACTTCGTGCTCACCACGATATCCTCACCGGCTTTCCGGGCCTCTCATCCAAACATCCAGCTGAATACATCCAAGGTCGCCATCTTCGGCCACTCCCTCGGCGGCGCAGCATCGCTAGCAAGTATCGTCAACAACACCCGATATCTCGGTGGGGCGAATCTCGACGGTCAGGTGGTCGGCACGCCACTCACGCATACCACGACGAAACCGTCCATGATCTTCGGCAGTACCGGGCATAACCAGAGCCTGGCCGTGTTAAACTGGGACACGACGTGGAAGAACCTATTGGGATGGAGAGTGGAGCTAGGACTGGAAGATAGTGTCCATTATAGCTTCACTGACTTGCCGTTCTTACTCGAGACTTTAGGCCTGGAAAACGCCAGTACCAAGCAGATATTAGCTCCTCTTGTGGGAACTATCGACGGGAAGCAAGCCTTGAAGAGTGTCGTTGGTGTTATGCATTCGTTCTTCCAGTTCGTCTTCTCTGGAGGAGCGGTCAAGGGTGTGTCTGTGGTGAATGAAGCAAAGGCTGTGGGTCAAGTTGCTGTACTCAATGGGACGAATGTCTGAACGATCTTGCAGAAATGATGAATTCCTGACCTTTTTTCTGCGTTTCATAATGTGCATAGTCTGTTCAAAGGTGGTTAACCGCGAATATCCACCTCGAGCACGATCTCCACCCCCACAGCATGGTGCGTCACTCTCGGGTGCCCACAAGGGGCGCCTTAGGCCTCCTTGAGTCGGTCGGGCACCAATGACCGTACAGCTTCCCCATACGGCTCTAAGGTTGCCAACCACCTTGTCGCCACCCCCACCTTGTCGCCACCCTTTTACACCAAAACACCTTAGTTTCTAAGACTTATAACTCAATATCTAATTAAGCTATTTAACTCGAAATTTAAGTAGCTAATAGTAAATTAATAGAATTTATAGTCTATAAGATAATATTATAATTATTCTAGAATCTCGAAGTAAACGAATAGAATGAAAATTAGCTACTCGATTTTACTAAGAAAATCGAAAATCTTAAAATTTCGACGAAATTTACGATATTTACTATAACTTTTTAATTACTTAAGATATTTAAATTATTTTTGTAGATTTTTATAGTATTTTAGTAATATTATATTAAGCTTTTATTATATTTTTAATTTAGTATTTTATTAAATATTTATAACTTAAAATTAAAAAGTAATTCGACTTATTATTTTCTTTTCTTAATTTTATATAAAAATAATAGATTTTTTTAATTTTTTCTTTTATTTATTATAAGAATAACTATTAAATTATATATATATAGATTAAGAATATTAAAAATATTAATAAACTTTATAAATAAATTAATTTAAAATAGTCTTTAAAATATTCGAAAATTTTAAGCTTATATTTTATATAATATACTTAATATTATACTTTTTTAAAATATTATTAAAGTTATAGTAAATATATATAAATATATTTATATATAAAAAAGTATCTTAAAAAAATATTAAATACTTAAAAAGTTATAGTAAATTTAAAAAATCTAAATTTCTTAAAAATAAATTATTTAAATTATTTAAAGCTTTTTAGCTTATTTAATAAGATATAATTAAAGTTTAGTATTTAAATATAATAAAAAATAGTTAATAATAACTATTATAAATTAAAAAATATATATCTCTTAACTAATAATAAAGAAATACTTAGTAAAATAATATTTTAAATTTCTTTCGAAAATAATATATAAGTTATATTCTTAAGAGTACTAATAGTAATATTTTTAATTTTATTAAATAGTACTATTATATATATATTTAACTATCTACTCTAAAAATACTATTATTTTAAAATACTTAGTACTAAGATAGTTATCAAGTACTAAAATATACGTAGTAAAGTTATAAGTACTGGCGACAAGGTGGGGGTGGCGACAAGGTGGTTGGCAACCTTAGGGTGCGAGAAAACAACTACGAAGGAGATTCACGATGATGGCACAGCTCTTGACAGAGCAGCACACGACTCCGAAAGGTCTATCTCTATATGGCCATTGAAGACAATCGTTGAACGAAAGGGCAGAGAAACTAATTACTGCTCTACCCAGTCAAGGACGAAACGTGAGGCCCTCGACATGACGGCGGCAGTTGACTTCGATGCCTTCCTTGCAAAATACGTGACGACAAACGTACTTCCAGGCTCGGTGAACTATGATCACGAATTTCTGGTCAAGGACTTGCTGGGCGAATTGACCACCGTGAATAAAAAGACCTTCTCGAAGCTTGGTTTACCAATTCTCGTGTGTCTAGAAGCTGCTATTCAGGATATTACTCATCACATGAGAGCTTACAGCCCCTGTTTTAGGTCGCTATATCCTGTGCGATGAAGCGGGCGGATTTAGTCCCCTTGCTTTTCCAAGCTACTGTCGAAGCATCGGACGGCTCTGAAGTTTCACTACTAAATCTCTTCCGGCATTTTCGCGAGACCATCAACATCATCTGGCCATTCGTGGGAGTTCCGCAAGTTGTTCCGGCTGCTTTCGGCCTGGCAGGGTATTTACAGTCAAGAGGCTTTGAGGAACTCGAGGACAATAGACAAAGGTCGGTTGTGAACAACTCCGATGAATGAAGCAGTTTTAGGCTTGGGTCTTTCGGTAATCGGAGACATTGCTGATAGTCCCAAACGCCGCAGAGACGATATTTCGAAAGAAGATATCCAACGAGGAGCGGACACTCGAACCACCATCTACCAGGCATCAGCAAATAATGAAGTTTTCGAGATGTTGACTACCTACCACGGCGATTTCGCATATGCACTGAATACAGTTGGGTTTGGGTGAGTGTGTGCCTACTTCGAACATAGCTCTGTGCAGCTGAGCTATGATTGGAAGATGCCTCATCTTAGGGACTGGTGCTGATGGATCATCCAGGTACAACTTAGGCCGCATGCCTAGTAAAGACTTTTCTTTGCCTGAAGTAGAATTGATCCTTACAAGCGCTCTTATTGCCTTGAATGCGACCAGACAAGCAGGCAGCCACATCAAAGCATGCATAGCCTTCGGGTACTCTGAAGGAGATCTACGGGCAGTCGCAGATGCAGCTGAGAAGTTTGCCAATTGGCAAGGACTTAAGCTTTCACCTATCGACATACAGCAATTGCATCGACAGGCTCGAGCAGTGATGGAGTCCCTGTGATGAAGTCCCTGTGATGGAGTCCCTGTGATGGAGTCCCTGTGATGGAGTCCCTGTGATGGTAGTGGTTGACGTTGGTATGGAAGTCATCAACACTTTGTTCATCCAACGCCTTGGAGATGGTTATGCGGGCGCAGTGGACTTCATTGTGGATTCCATCTCTTCTTAGAGCCCTACATCTTCGAACCCTGAGAAAAGTCCACGTAACCCGTGTCTTTGACGAATGTCGCCAGCCAAGGGCCTTGATCCTTCTCGGAAAGCTCCACATAGAACTTCCCGTGTGCCTCTCCATCAATGGCGCGATACACAGCACCACCATCAGCCTTGCGCTCATCTGCGTAATAGAACCTGCCTCGGTTAGCTTCTGGCCAAAGTCAGGACGTGGCATGGCCTAGGTACCTGTATCCGCGGTCCGCGTAGACCGATGCTGCTGTCTGGATCAGGTGCGCTGTAGCACTCTTCCCCATTCCTGCACTCATCAATGCTGGGATTGGCTGAGAATTGGTTATATTTCCCGTGAAGATAAAGGTCCTCGGTGCCTCCTCTGGCAGTGCGCCGAAGGACTTGACGGCCTCTTTGGCCGCAATGAGAGCGCTGAAAGTATTGACATTCATATCACGGACGGCGTCCTTCAGAGAGAGTTCCAATGGATCTTCCTTGTTCACGAACGAGGCCGCCGCGCCTGTCTTTGTCAGCATCGAAATGATAGCCACGAACAGCCCTAGTGACGAACCGTTGTAGACGACTACGCTTGGATGCCCAAGTTGCTTGCGGACGTTTTCGAAAACTGTCGACACACTTTCGGGATCCTCCAGGTCGGCCTGGATGTGGAGTCCCTTGCCGCCTGTGTCTGCCGTAGCTGTGCGCGACACTGTGGCTATCCTGTACCCTTTGGCAGAGAAGGCTTTCACGACGCCGGCTCCTACATTTGGACCGGCGCCAAGAATAAGGGCGATTGACGATGATGCGGACATATTGACGAGTTGCCCACGCAGGTCGTCGAGAATGAAGCAGGGGGAGGACGATTTTGGACTCTGTGCACAATATCACTCGCTTTGCAGGCAATAATGCTACTAGAATCCTGCAACTGCTGTATGTTCCTTCACACGACAATGATCCCTTTATACTCCTCACTGAGATGAGTACCTGGGTATCTAGGGAAATGATGATACAGTATTCCTGGTTGGTGGACCTGTTGCTTAGCAATCGCGATTCATCCACTTTCAGTATCTGCCCAAGCGTCGGAGAAAGTTGCTTTACTTTACATAACTCGACGATATCATCGGACACACCAAACATGAACTATTGATGTCACTTCGCAAATACTTTCCACTGATTACTAGACCTGATACCTCTCACTTGCGTGGTACCTTGCGATGGGTCCGTCGAGGGGTATAAGAAGATGCAACAGCATCCCATTCTTGTCGACGCAACACCACCATCAATCGGACTGACTAGAACTATCTACAACATCTCAACCATCTTCAACCTTCTCTGCAGGTCCCTTACGCTACCTAATCTCAAAATCTCGAGAATGGTGTCCTGGGCTGTCACCGGCGCAACGCGAGGCATCGGCGTGAGTTTACCCCAGATCAACACCACAATCACAACCCCGTTTGCTGACATGAGGATCTTTGCAGTTCGGCTTCGTCGATAATCTTGTGAGTCTACCGGTACACCTTTAGTCTGGGCAGAGACATGCCACTGACTGCGCCGCCAAAGTCTGCCGATCCGGAGAACCAAGTGTTTGCCATCATTCGAAGTCGAGGAACTGCCGGTCCGCTTGAGGAGCTTGCTGCAAAGCGCAAAAACATCCACATCGTCGTGACCGATATCTCCGACCCGAGAAAATTGCAACAGGCTGCCGCTGAAGTCTCCAATATAACGGCCGGTTCGCTTGATGTTTTGATTCTCAATGCCGGCTCCGCAGGACCAGAGACCAGCGTGCTACCGCCAAGTGCTTTGTAAGTGAACGAGTCTGATGCGCTTGAGTGTTCAAATTGCTGACACATTGCAGTCATGGGAAGGAGGAAGCGCTGGAAAATGAGATCAATGAGAACGTCAAAAACAATGTTATCAGCAATATTTTTGTGATAAACAGCTTCCTCGATCTCGTTCGTAACGGCAAAGAGAAGAAAGTCATATTCATTTCCAGTCAGAGTGGAGATGTTGAATTCACTCGCGTCACCGGCTTTGCTACCGTGCTGGGGTATTCTGCCAGCAAGGCTGGCATGAACCTCGTCATGAGCAAGTTCGGCGTTGAACTGGCCCAAGAGGGCATCAAGACACTGTCATTGAGTCCAGGGTGGGTGGACACAGATGCTGGTCAGTCGATACGCAAGGCAAATCCTGTCGGCACAGATGACTGACTCAGAAACAGCTAGAGCCGTCACAGGCGACCCGGCTGTACGTAAATTCGTGCTAAGTGCATTTCGAAAGCTTAGCCCGAGCGTCAATGGTCCTATTTCCGTGAACGAATCGGTCACCGATCAGCTTCAGGTGATTCGGAGCTTGACAGAAGCGAACAGTGGGAAATTTTTGTCACATCACGGAAACCATGATGAGTGGTTTTAGTCCAGAAGTCGACTGGGTCTACCTAGATAGAATATTAGGGACAGTCGATGGAAATGATGCGGGCCCTGACCTGAATTCAAGCAAATGGTGGCATGAATGGAACTCCAGCAACAACCGCATTGAAGATTGTTAGATAATCGACTTGGTTGTCCACATTTAGATCATGCTGATTCCACACAGCCTCAACCATATGCTGAATAAGATGAATGTGACTTGATCTTTGTCTTCGATCTTGCCGACTTTGTTCGAAGACGTCCAGGATAGCAAGGCGTTGAGCATCGTCAACTGCTTCACAGGCGATAATGAACAATGGCCACGCATTCTGGCATGTGACCATTTTGGTCAACAGCAGTATTCCCTCTCTCACAAGTCGCCTGTGACGGAACTCTGTTCCCGAAACGCAATGGACTGTCCGATTGACGTATATCAAGCACGCAAGTCGATGAAGATCAGCAACCATCATGTTTCGGTCCATTTGGGTCGCAGATGGTATGTGAATTGGGCCACAATTTCCTATCACCATGGAAATGTTCTGTTCCAGCATATTCATGCGTTCTATTCCAGCATTCGCATGATTGGTTTCGGAGTGGTTCGCAACTAGAGCTCGTCTACATGTATGTACAACGAGCTGGAGCACATCAGTTGGACAGCCGATGGTGTTTTCCATCTGTCGCAGTATTAGAAGATGCGGGACAAAATGCACAAGGCTTCCATTTACCTTAGGGCTACTTCCGTTGATGGTTCTGGGTGATCTTGCCGTTGGTGCCCAGCTGCAACCTTCATAAGGCACCTTCCAATGCCTGACTGTGAACTCTCCGAGAACCTCGTGATAATAGATCCAATCAAGGAAGACGGAATATTCTTGCCGAACCAGCTTTTGAATCGCTGGTGACGTGTTGATGATCTTTTTTACTAAGCATAAAAATATGACCCAATTGCCTTTGCGATTTGATTCGAGCGAAAGCTGTGATGATTAGCCGATCATGGCAACCCTTGATGGACCGGGTTATACTACCTCATAATGATACAAGAGCATCGTTGCCATCAAGGTCTGAAGCAGTGTCTTCTCGTCGAGCCCGTTGATCGATTCTTTAACTGAGGACATGACATGGCGCTTGTAGCGAAAGCTCTCCAAACTGCCGTGAAGCTGTAGTGATGCGAGAGCAAACACGCCTTGCAGGACTGGATTGGTCGCATCGGAAGGATCTGAGAAGGCAACGGTCAAGATAAACTGTGTCAGAACCTTCTCGTCGGTAGGTCCTAGTATGAGTGATCTTGATTCGTTGACTGGAGTGCTTTGGTCAATATGATGATTGGATCTGGATATTCACCTTACGTACAGAACCCCAGTAAGTGCGACTCTTCCCTGTTCAGCACAATGGGCGACAAGCAGGTCGGACGAGGGACTCTCATCGTCCGGAGATAGCGAGCTGCAGGTGACTGGCATTAGTATTGAGCAGCTTGATAATTCGATGGGAGGTGATTTTCACCAGAAATCCTTCCCTTCTCTAGCTCATCCGACAGCGATATATCCCAGGAAGACGTATTCAAAAACCCCTTGACATTTGATGGAAGGGTATTGACTGTGCGGCGCGTATCTCGTGAGATGATTGCCCTCTTTCTGTCGCTATGTCGAGGCCAGGACAGCTGGATCCCATAGCCTTGACAGACGCGGCGCGCCTTCGTGCAATTGCCACATCTCGGCCAATGCGAATCACATCGAACTTTGCGCTCTAGGAAAGTAATCAGCTCGATAATGTCCACAGTAGAACGTGTTCATTCTTGCTGTAATTACCTCTGCAAGTCCAACACCCTCTGATGCCCATGGCGAGATGCTTGCTGGCGAATCCAATATGCTCAACCCCCAGATCGCAGATAACGCTGAACTCCCGTCACAGGACGGCCTCCATATGCGTTCACGCTAGATCATGCGGTGTAAATCTCCTCTGATGAGAGATTCTACGCCGACGCAGGTTGCCATGAGATTAACCCGCACAGTTCGCGCCCGTGTCATTGGGCCAAGCTGAGCAGAGGATTAGCAATGCACCACAAGTGGGGCACGCCAAATCTCGGAGAAAGTTGCCCATGCTGATTAAGCACACAGCACCCTCGGCTGCGCCGGCTCAACCGGTACTCACCCACCTTGATCTGGAGGGCCAACCACGGCTCACACATAGGCAATATGCCGTTCAAGGTCATCAGATGATGGTATAGTTATAGTCTGATCGAATAACCGATATGTACTATCGCACTACTTACGCTTTAGATCGTCTCTCCCAATAAATCTCATACCACTTTCGAGAGATCCAAATTTTGTCCAAGCGAGACCTGAGAAATCATCGGTATGTCCAATCCAGGGCTTTCGGTCTGCTGACTTGGCATATCTCTTGGTCCGATCTAGACGTATGTGGACTTGAGCCTCATTACCCTGACCGTGTCAAACTCGGCGGACGCAGGCAGCGTAGGAACGGCTGAATTGTTGCTTCGTGCCTGAGGATGGCGAAGTAATCGACAAGCAAATTGTGCTGTCACGTCTGCACCGAGTGTCCACGACGCATTGGTATATCCGAGTACAAAGGATGTAGGTAGGACTCCGCTGCAACATTGTCACCTTCGCCGCGCCTTTTGCAAGGGAAGGAAGCAGGGTCAAGATTTTCAGGCCAGAACTGTGGGTAGACAAACTTCCCTTGAAAGGAGTGAATCCCGGGGATGAGTGCTTGCAGTGGCTCATGACAGTTGTGGTAGCCAGTACTGAAAATCAGGAAGTGTGATGGAAAGCAGGCTTTGACATCACCACGTTGGACCGTTAGTGTCCAGGAGTGCTGTTCAGAGAACCATGAAGCAGCTGTGACAGAGTGCTTGTATGGTATGTGATGTTCAATGTCGTGTAGTAAAACGGAGGCTTTGACATAATGCCCTTGTGGTGTGATACAAATACCGCTCGAAGTGTTTCAGGATGCAGGTACGAGAAGATAGTATTCGGGACCGATAGTCCTCCTTCCTGATGTCAATATACACATGTTTTCCTGACCATTCGCGATTATCTAGACTTAAGCATGCTGTTGAAAGCAGAGATAGCCTACCTAAGATCCAGGGTAACATCTTCGCCGAGTCCGACTGCAGTATGCGATCGAGCCCACCGCCCCCAAATCACCTCATGCCAGGTTTCTGATCATACGACGACCTTCATTGCCAACTAAAGCCTTTAATGTCGTGAAGACCAATGAATACTTACATCATCTCGCAACTTTGTTGTGCACATGCTGGCACCAGGAAATCTTCTCGCCACATTTCTCGCAAACAAATACTTTTCGCAAGCTGCTGCATGTATGCGTACTCGGATATTTGCGAGCTTGGGCGTCATGCGTCCCTTGCACAATGTCATGCAGCCTCAAGTACAGACTATCTGGCGCTTACGCAAGACATTCAAACTGCTTATCTATTCAGCTGATGCGGTTCGTACATCTCAAGGTCGGTGAAAATCACATTAAGTTAGAGCTGATCATGTCCTGTTTGGGGTGCTTTCCGCGAGTAGATTAGCGCTACACGCCCCACTCAGCCTTCGTGGAATACATGCTTGTTCTTCTGCAAGGCCAGCCGCGTTATTGTGTTCAAACGCTCGTTTAGTGTTATCATGAAAGCGTCGACATTCCCTGCAGAAGAAGATGCGCTCAGCCAGATCGTCGAACATTTCACATTATCCTTATCACTCGTTCTACGACTTCATTCAAAAGTGTTAGGCTTTTACCATTACCCGAATTTCGTTCACCATGAATGCCCGTCAGCATCTAGTGGCAGGACACTCTCATGGCCATGATGCAGACTCTGAGGATGATTGGGACAATGGAGCTGGAGACCACCAGCAAGTGGCCGAATCCTCGGACGCTGAGATGGTAGACCACGCCATGGGATTCATGCACCATGCACAACCTTTCTCATCGGAAACGACTTTTGCACCTCTTCAAAAGCCTGTTGCAATTCCTCAAGTCTCTCCAACACTCGGAGCACCTTTTGCCCGGGCGTACGCCGAAGTCCTGCAATCTTATGACATCAACCCTGTTACATGGATGGAGTTTGTCGACAATTTCAATGTTCTGCTCACGGGTTCGCCTCCATTGACCGCGTTGAGCGTTGCCGGTCAAGCCATGAGCTTTGTTCCAGTCCACTATCTTGGACTTGCTGGCACAGGTTTGCAGCTAGCTGCGGGGTTGGGCAAATACGCCATGGTCAAGACAAGGTGCGCACACTTTGTGAGAAGAAGCAATGAACAATTCTTTGTACCTAGAGGACTGAAAGTCAAAATCCTGAAGACAGAATACCTTGCGAAAATCTGCGGCGTACGTTTGGAGGAGCTCATGGTGAAGCCTTTGCAGCCCGGAATGGACATGGACACGATGGGAGGACCTTTGGATCGCAGACTGCAGGCTGTCGCAGGTCATGTTGCGGATTTGACCATGGACGTGCCTCCGCCAACAGAGCAAACCAATCTTCTTGCCAAGATATCAGCCAAAGAGAGTGCTCACTCCGAGGCCAAAATGGACAAGAAGACTATGAAGGGTAGAGAGAAAGCCATGGAAAAGATGCCTGCCGCACCAGGAGGGGTCGATGCAAAAGCCCAAAAAGAGTTAGACAAACTTGACAGCGAAGAGGAAAAAGTACACAGAGAAGAAACGAAACCCAAGAAAATCGAGAAGGAGTTGCGGAGGATTGAGGAGGATAGGCAGAAAGTGCTGGCTGACGCACAGAAGGATTCGGGCAAAGATCAGGAGGATTCTATCAAAGACGACAAGGAAGTCAAGAAGAGTAAGAAAGGCCTGTGGATGATTGTTCTCAACAAAGACGCCGTAGAGCATTGGGAGGCAGAAGAGGAGAAACGGAAGGCGAACGGCCCTTTCGGATTTCTGCATAGGTCCAAGAACTAGGAGATGCTCATCCGTCTTTTGATGGTCTCCAGCTGAGCAGCGGTCGTGATAGAGTGGGGGATGGGTAGTGCACAAGTGCCAAGATGCATGACTCACCAGGCGATATCCAACGAGCAACAGCAGGTTCTAGTCTGTCTCGTCTTCCGGGGATTCGCAATCATACAACATCGTGTTTGTAAACCTGTTGTACACAGCAGCAGGAGTTTTGCGTCTGCTGATAATGGAGTGCTGCAATTCCGTTTTTCCATAGCATGTTCTCGGCTTGATTTGCTCATTATGCGGTCCACGTATCGGGTTATCTCGCTGGCCTCTTGAGACTCTGGCTAAGCAATAATGGGTCAAGCCGCCAGCCTGATGCACCTGTCGCGCCCGCATAAACGTGATGCTTTAGGTCAAAGGTTGTACGAATATCTCCACGTGTGTCCTTTGAAGAAATCGTCATGGCGCGAGGGAGGTTCGGTCCAGGACGGGAGTTCGCGCATTTGTGATTCTCTGGGGATAGTGCCTCCCCGTGCCACGAATAGACCCTAAACTATGCATAAAACAAGACCCTGGAACACAGCCCCCAATTCATGATCAGAGTTGAGAATGTTGCCTTGAAATGTAGTAGGGCTTAGTAGTCCTTTTGCTTGCTTGGTTTGACTGCTCTATCCACAAGTCTTAATCAGTGGAGCCAACTGCGGATGTGGATCTGTTTCTGGCTAACCCTATGCGTCGAATAACTGCGAACTTGGCCACATTGTAACACGTCAAGCTCTCATTCAGATGTTCTGCAGCTGAACTTCCACATTATCATCGTCACATGAGCCATTGGGCCATCAAGCAGAGTTACCATGATCAAGGTTCAGCGTCAACACGGGCGAATTGTGACAATCTGCAATCAGCTACTCAGAAGTCCAGAATACGAGGAGATCTTGACGTTCAAGACCACTTGCGCGTCTCCCATCGGAGATGGATGCTTTGAGTATATAAACAGCTCATCGCTCATCCTTTGAGGCATTCAATTCCAAGCCACTCTTTACCATCAATCGAAGAAATAGGATCTCCCTTTGACGACACCCATTCAGGCCAGCAAGCCTACTCGAGGCCAAAGATCAGTATGCCAACCTACAATAAGACAGAAGTACTCTTGATCGACAAAGCTTTCATAGCAGCGTACAAAACATGCACAGATGCTTGGGTTCTGGGTGAGTGTATCCAGACTTTACGTTGGTGAGTATCGGCTCACACAAAAGCAGACTACTCTCAAAATCTGCCCCATGTTCACATCACGTTCAAGACGTTGATGACCATACTTGCGGCCGTTGCTTGCATCATCAACAGTATCATAGCACTCTTCCTCATCAGCGGCCATTTGTGCTACTGGGTGAACCCTTTAGAGCAGAAACAGTGAGTCTAACTCTAGGGCGTCGCAGTCAGAATGGCATTCACAGCTGCGTTGTAGGATAGTTCGCATCCTCTTATGGGTACCTTTCTACTCCATCTGTGCCTTCTTCTCCATCTATTTCTACGAGGCTCAAGGATACGTCGCTGCTTTAGCCCAGTGGTATGAAGGTTTCTCCATCACGGCCTTGTTCCTGCTCTATGTGCATTATGTCGTCCCAAGGCAGGAGAATCGGGCGAATTTCTTTCACCGCCTGGAGCGCAGGTGGATGAATGGCAAAAAGAAGGGCGATGGTGGAAGTCTGCGCTGGTTTCGAGTACGACTCCTACCTCATGTTTCCTAGCCGTTCGCTGACTCTTCCACAGGTCATCTGGATCATGGTCTTCCAAATCACCATTGTTCGAATTCTCACCGTCGTGGCATACGACTTTCTCTACGGCTTCACCTGCCCACTCTCGTGGGCTCGACAACGTGGTGCGACGATCATCAAGGTTTTTCAAAGTACGAGCACAGGTTTTGCTGTTTTTGGCGTCGTCCTTTTCGAGACTAGAGTCCGCTCTCAGCTGCAGGAACAGCACACCCTCCTTAAGCTGGTCTCTTTCAAAGGTGTGGTCGCACTGGAGGGACTTCAAGACATCATATTCCCTGTGCTGGCCGACACCAGCGTATATTTGCCAAAACCACCTTTTTACGTTAGCTGGAACGACTTCGCCAAGAGAATTCCCCAGTTCATCCTGGTGTGGGAAATACTTATCGTTGCTATCGTCTTCATACGATCAATGACCTTTGAGCCATACAGACAGGCAGTTCAAAGAGGTGTTCCCCTGGCGGCAACACCGGAATCCGCTCTCATTGACTCTATCAACCCCATGGACATATATCGGGGCGTGAAGTACATGTTCACGGCTTTCACATCCTCGACGTATATGGAAGGAAATAGAGCTATTGTGCCGTACGATGAAGGTCGAGGGCCTGAGATGGATACGAGGATGGAATCTGGAGGTATCAAGACTACCAGGGAAGCACGACTGTCCTAACGTCTTGATGGTACCTCAGAGTGAGGCTGGTCTTGCAGGTAGAGACATTTCTCGAAGGGCATGGACTGCCGCGGCATCGAGGGCCTACCCTTCAGGGTATCAACTGCCGTGAAAACGCTGACAAGGCCCAAACACTCCAAAGGTTGTCAGTATCTAAAGACGACCGAGACGACGACGACGACGCTGCGATCGGTGACAAAATGAGGCGGCTAAATCGAAGCATGCACCAAGGCCCAACATAGTTTCAGTCTGCTGGCTCAGACTTGCCCTCGACATTGCAAACTTGGAAAATTGTGTAGTGCAACGCATCGAGACCCAGAATTCCGGCGTTACTCGAGCTCGACATCGAAAGATCACTCATTTTCCATCACCCACTTCCGCTTTCGATCCATAACCCAACTCTTATACTCCGTAGGACAGGCCTCCAAGGCGCAGTCAATATAGAAGATGGGATATGCAAGTGAGAAGACACCGAGCATAGTCACAGGCATTCTCTCCAGCATAGGTAGACACTTGCAGATCTCGACTGCCGACGCTGCACTTTCCACTTGGAGGGCAGACGTCACACCAGCAGCCAAGGACCGCCCCTCATGGTTTTGCAGCTGACCAAGGACACGGTTGATATGTATGATAAAACTGTGGTGATTGCACATGGCCCGTGGTGTGAGAACGTCGGGGAAGCGAACGCCTCGGAAAGAGTAGACAGAATGCAGAACAGCGCCACCGTCTCCGGAGGGCACCTCGCTCGGTAGCCGGGAGATATGAGCAAGCTCCGACATGAAATAGTGGAAAGCATCGCAAGCTTCACGATGTAGTCTCACGGCTTTGTCTCTGACAGTGGAGACGTCACCACCATTCTCCATCACGGTTTTGGCGTCACGCACGAGGCCTGGACCTTGGACTTGTGCGGCGAACAGAGCGCAGAACGCGTGCTCTAGGGTATAAGGCTCCGTTTGTGAATAGATGATCGACTGCCAAGCTGGCTCTTCCAAGAAACAACTCGTTTGATTGTTGTAGGCCAGCAGGATCTGTTACACGATGTAAGCCGAATGCCCAAACACACAATGCAGAGAAAAGAAACTCACAAAGGTGTCGCGCATCGAGATGTACAGAAATCTGTTGGCATCTGTGTGTTTGTATGATTCAGGAGGTTGTGTCCGCATGAGCTGCTGGATGCCCTGTGCATGATGCATCCAGATCGAGGGCTTCAACCACAAAGCCTTGTCCCTTGGATCCACCACTCCCTTCAGAGTCAGATCTGTGGAGTGCCTAGCCAGAAACACGTCGTACAGCTCAAATATGGAGAGTACCAGGACGGAATTCTGTAGCGCCCCCAACCTGGATTGACGCGGATGGGCAATCGAATCTCGCAGAGATCGTAGCGCATCGCCGTATTCGTGGCGACTTTGCGCAACCAACGAATCGTCTTTATACACCAAGGCCCCATTCGCTTTGACGAGAGCGCGTGTCGCTGTGTTGAGCGTCGGATCATCATCGGATCTACATATCCAGGCAAACCAGTTCTTAGTATACCACAAACGTTGTGGTAGGCCATTGATGAATGTGGCTACGAACTCTGCATTCCGCGTAGATTTAGTTGATATACTCTTCAGAAGAGGTTGAGGATTTCTTGATTGCGTGGCGACAGCCAGCTTCTGTGACTTTTGTCCCCTAAGCTCTGGCTTTCGAACCTGGCGGGAAGACGTTGTAACCAGCGGTCTTCGTGTGCTGTCTTCATTGCTGGTAACTTGCTCGAAAACGGCTTTCTGGCCGCTAGCTTCAGATCCCAGCACGACCGTATCGTGGAATCGAAATATCAAGCCATAGCCAGGACATTTCACATTGGCCTTCGCACACCGATCGCAGCCTGGCCGCAGTTCGTCACATTTCACTTTTCGGTCGACGCACTTCCTGCAGCCCCTACTCCGTGGACCAACCATGTCTTTTGTGGGGAGACTGCGAGCTGTTGTAAATCATGGAGACTGTGGCTGTCATCTTTCGTCTCGGTCAATGCAGTTTTGAGGAGGCCTCCTCAGTGAATAGATAACCAGATTAGGCGTCCTGTTTGTTGTCGTCATATGACGGTGCTAGAGATCAACCTTGTCCAGCACCAACCTAAACGCATAGTCTATCAGGAAGGTAGTCGGAAGGAATTTCTCGTAGACCAACGTACTCAATGTTGTACGGCTCAAAGGAAGGTATTGGTTTGGACGGTGATTTATAATTCAATGGGCAAGAGAAGTATTAACGACATCTATCTCATTAGAGGTCTCTGGGCTCCTCAAACGGACATAAGACTCAATGTTCTTAGGCTGACTTCGTCAGCGCTATGGAAAGCTTATCAACAATCAAAGTCATGATAAAGTCATTAGGTATTCTTCGTGATTAATATGTGGTATTGTACCAGCCACATGGGATATTTTGTAACCCCATACTGTTGTCCGTCCAGTGACCAACGACTCGAGTAGAATCACTAACATGAAAGTCGCTAAATGACAAAAAGAAGCAAATACCATCATAATGGTCCTCAAATATAAGCAAACTGCTCAAGCGCCTTGTCCATCTGATCGGTGTTGGTGAGCACATGGTTGACACTCAATCTCGCTTCCTCCCGCCTCTTCGCTTCTTCCTCGGCATACATGTCCTCCTCGTCCTCCTCGTCAAGCTGTGTGATGGTGGGTACGTATTTGGACGAGCTCATCATACTCATTTCTTCAGACAACCGGGGTCTGGGTAGGCTGTTTGACACAGTTGCCGAAGTGCTGTTTACGCGTCGGATCGTGGGTGGCTGGTTCTCCTTATTGACCTGCTGGGACTGGTACACTTTGCCGACTCCTGACAGAGGACCGTCGTATTCAAAAGGATCTGTCTCCGACGCATCATCGGCCATGTGCTTGGTCGAGTGTGCTGACATGGAGGCTGTGGCAGATGTGGTGCTGTTGTTCCCAGCGCTTGGGTATCTTCTCTGCGCTGGCCTGTTGAGTCTATCCTTGCTCACTTTATTCTGTGGCGAAATGGAACGAGGTTTCTGCTGCCTGCGTGATCTGACCCCGCTCGACAATCTTCGGGCATATTGTTGACTGACAAAATCGTCTTCGTCCCCAGTATCCGTGTCTGCCTCACCATCGTTGTATGCCGAAGCCTTGATACCGCGGGCACGGTTCATTGGTGCAATAACCCGAATCATCATTCTGAGCTGATCAGCCTGCCATCTGATACGTTCTTCTTGTTTCAAGATGGTGCCGTAATAGTCCTCGAGATTGTTGTGCAAAGTCTTGATGAGGGTGATATCCCCACTGTTCCACCTGCGACGTTTCTTAGACCGATGCGAATGTCTGTGAGGAGACTTTGGAACACCGGAACGACTGGCACGACTGGTAGACTCATCACTTGAGCTGCTGGCCTGAATACTGTTGCTACGGGCATGTCGCTTAGGTCTTCTTGGTGGAGTGCCTGCACGAGCAGCAGAAGTGTCGGACTTTTCTGCTTGTATGCTGTTGTTCCGTTTGTGTCCCCTCAGTGGACTGCCTTGGTTGACCGTGACTTCTCGCAAGTTCGAAGGAACTCGGGAATGGTTGGCTGCTTTGAACGGGCTGCCACTGCGACCCTCAGCGCCACGACCGATGCTAGGGCTCGGGCTCATAGCACCAGCACGGAAGCGTGCAGTGACTGGGTCAGAGTCTACAACAACAAAGATGTTACTTTGACCAAGAACTTGGCGAGGCTTAGCTTGACGAGCATAGGTGTTGCTCTCTTTCGACCACTGCCGTGCGTGGCCAATGCTGCTGTAGCTCTGTCCCCGAGAATGCGTAGGGCCGGAAACACTTCCGGCTCGGGAAATTGGTACAGCCGGGAATTGGTCAAGTTGATCCAGATTGTGACGTTCGTCGCCGGGTGTAGGACCGCCAAAGGAGAACGAAGTAGGTGGAGTGGTATTCTGGAGCTGTCCAGAATCACTGCTGTCCTGTCGTGCTCGTGCTGACTCTGCCGAGTCGCTGCTCGATGGCCGATCAGCCGCCGGACCCTTCGAAGAGGCAAGATCACGCAGTCTCTTCTCCTTGACTTTGTCTGCTCGGACTCCAGAGATACTGTGACGGTTGAAAGATCGAGACGACCTGCGAGAGTTACCAGAACTGAGCGATGACACATCTGCTGAATGCCTGGCTGGGGTCGTCAATGCTGCAGATCGAGCCTGCGGACTTTGTAGGCCAGCGGATTGCTGTAATGATACGCTTGGTTCCACTGGCAGCGACTCACCAACGACACGGATGGTTGAAGGCGAGATGACCATAGGTGCACGGGCATCTGACCGTTTTCTTGCGCTCCTAGCACTGTCCGTGCTGGTACGCACGGTAACAGCATCATGGATAGCCGCAGCGGGGAGGGCTGGTAGTGGTCGTTCAGGGGGTATACTTGGAGGACCGCTACTCCTTCGTTCAGGACTTTCGGGTGGCGGGCTCGCGAGTCCGGTGTTGATTCTGAAAGGTGGCCCGTTTTGGACTTGAGCCTCAATCTTGGAAAGGGTGTCCACGCTCATTGCCGAACGAGGGCTTCTTAGTGTTTGGCCAGAAATAGACGCACCAGAAGGCAAGCGAAGTAGAGACTGCATTGCCCTCGGCCTCTGCGCTGCAGAAGCACTTCGTTGCAGCTGTGCCTGACTGGCCTTCGGCCTCTGTGCTGCAGAACGGCTCCGTTGGAGCTGTACGTGAGACGCCGAGGCCGACTCGGGGTTCGAGTCAGAGTGTGCTGAGGTAAGCTTGGGAAACGTCATGTGCAGCATACTTGCCAAGCTGGCGACAGTTTTACTTGAAGCTCTCGTTGGTGCCGCAGGACGTTTTCGGGAGGCAATAGGCGAGCCGGCGGCAGAAGGCGTGAGATCTGACAGCCCGCCTTCTTTCTGTGACTCTTTTAGAGGTGGAAGTCTATGAAGCGCATCCTTGATTGACATAGTTTGACGAGAGTCTATTCTCTTATGATCGCTGGAGAGAATAGAGGGTCCCGGCTGTGAAATCGTGCCAACAGCATGCGAAATGGAAGCTGCGGGTAGAAGCCAGTCCTCATTGAAGTTCATACTTTTAAGAAGATCTTGGCATTCCTGAGAGAATCTGCTGTCCTTTTCGGGATCGTGCAGAGATGGAACTGGAGATGGTGAGCGCTGTTGGTGAGATTTGACCGATTGTTCTTGTTCGAGCGCCATGTCTTGAGAAGCCTGGAGATGTTCAGGCACGAGTGGCACAGACTTTGGCATGGTGACAGGTCTTTTCGATTTCGACTGGTGACCGACGCGTACTGAGCTAGGCACAGCGATTGTGTCTGCTGTACGTCGGAACTTGACCTCTCGGTGCCTCGTTGGTGTGACCTTCCTTCGACCTCGAGTAGATTTCCCAAGCCACCTTTTCGAGGCCGCTTGCGGGGTTTCTATCACGGTGGCTTTGACACTTTCCAACGCTGAGCGGCAAAGCCCACCATCTTGTACTTCAGCACTGCTGTCACTAACGATCCTCGGTTGGACCGGTCTTTTCATTGCAGACTTTAGAGCGAGTGGCTTCTTGGTGGCCCGCTGTTGCTCAAAGGAGGCCTCGCGCATTGTGAGCACTTGATCTTCGGTTTCGGTCGAAGGTGCCTCGATCGGGGAAGATGGTCGCGATTGTTGAATTGGTGCCAGACGGCCGGAGCTATGCAGCCTGGCCCATCTTTTAGACTGTTGAAATTGTGGCACCCGTGATCGAGCATTTCGAGGAGATATTCGGATTTCTTCGTATTTGCGAACAGTCGGACTTGGGCAGGCCTGGTCGTCCTCCTGGCCACCCAGTTGGTCGCTATCTATCGAGAAAATGGGGAGATATGGTAGGCTTTTGTCTGTAAAACCTGCAGGATATTCACGCTGTGCTGGCTGATTGAATTGTACCATTGCGCCGGTGGCAGGTGATATGCTGACACTCTGATACTCTCAGAAATGGCCTTAGCAAGATACAAGGCTGTCTTTGTCATGGAGTCATGACTAGTGCAACATGCAGGGTTCATCAACTTTGGTGTAACGCAACAATTGTAGTAGCGACGTCGAGATCCCAAAACAATGGTATACAGAAAAAGAAGTACGCAATATTTTGAGGTGTGCTTCCGGTCGCCAGGTCAATGCATCCAGGTCAATGCGTGATCACAGACCCTTGGAGGGGAACATTCCTTTCTTATGCTGGGATACAGCTGTCAAAGCGACGAAGGACGGGGGCAAGAATTGTCGAAAGGGGACCGAGCTTCCTTTGCACGAGTAGTAGAAGTTGCTGCTAGGTAGAAGAGAGTCAACCGGAGAATATGGGAACATCCACTGTGGCTGCATGGATGACTTTTGACGTCTGGGATGTCAGGTAATGGTACGCTTGAGAGGATGGTCCAAGCAAGGGCGTTGCTTGAGGCATCAAACGGAGTCCCTGCGCGTTGGCGCATTTTTTGACAGGTAGACTACCCCCAGCAGTATTGAAAGAGGAGTATGAAGTCACCGCGCATTTGGCTGGAATAGACTTCTTCCCCAGGGACGACGGCGGCTGCAAGTCTGCAAGATCGTCACACCTAATCCGGAGCAGATCGTCCCTTGTTAGGCATTTCGGTAGGCTTTTAGATCTTTACCTTCTGTCAAACGACTGGCAGTATCTTAGTTTCCTGGCGCACAAGAGGCCACGATTCAGACTGAAGGCTAGGAAAAGCCGCGTCGTCCTGTTGGCCATGGCGTAACCTCGGGTCTCTGCCCAGTGCCCAGCGTTCAACATGGCATCCGAAGTTGGAGGGACACAAGGGAACAGAGCCTCAGTGGGGGCCCATCATGGTGGGGATTGTACGCAGCCCAAAACAACTATCGAGTGCTTTGGTGGCTTCACCCAAGGTCTCTTTTTAGCCACCCACGCACACGGGAGAGTATACGGAAGGAACGGAAGCAAAGGGTATGGCCGACCACTTAGAAACGGTACAAACGGTTTTCGGAGAGTGTAAAATTGGCTGAAAGGTTGTTGTAGGTGGTGCATTTGGCGCTTGGTGGCGGACGCTGGAAGAGGTTTTTCAGCGGGGAAGAGAAGACGCCGCAGGTTTGTGTGTCAATTGGAAATAGCTGTACGAATAATGTGGTCCGCTGGCGGACTTCAAACATGTTGGATGGAGTTGATGGATGCATGGCAGGCTGTTATCTCTCAAGCCCAATTGGTTCCTCGCGAATCTCTTGATATCGGTGGCGCTGATCCGGCTCTGCCATTCGGTCAAGTATCGAAAACGTGTGGCTTGCATTATGCCGAGGGGGATGGCAGAAGTTTGGCTTGCATTGACTTTGACCAAGAAAGGGTCTCTCTGGACAGAGGGTTCACTGTGTTCTCTTTCGCATGACGGCGTTCTGTGGCTTTAGAATGACATACGTTGGGGTATGTTGATTGAATTCTTGTGTTGACTGGAGTAGTGCTTCTACTGCTGGAGCTGGTCATGAGTTTTTGAAAGTAATGAAGAGTACAGCAAGACGCGGGAGGCAGGTGTTCACTGAAAAAAGTCCGAACGCACAGAGGCGAAGGAATTGTCTCGTATAGGATGTGAGGCAATGGTTGTCAGAGTCAGATAAATGATGATGGAGAACGATGAGATGAACTCATCCGCATCATTATCGAACAGGGGTTGAAGAGAGGATACCTCGAAGATGGAGCAAGATGTGATGGTTTGGGTGGAGGAAAAATATCGGGATGATGGCGGCGGCAGCGCAGGCGCAGGTTTTACTTGGTTTCCGGGCTCCCTAGGCTCCTCTTTCCTTGTCCCCTTTTCAAAGGACCCTTCGCTGGTGAAGGTACTGCCACTCGAAAGCCTACAATCTCACAAGTCTCTTTTTGTCCTCTGCATCTGACAGGCGGCATGACTGCATCTCTTACACCCAAAGACGAGTTGCTATCTCCTTGTCCTCTTCCTATGCCCCATCTCGTCAAACCTGGCAGCTCACCATCTTTGACCGGCATGCGCAGCTAGGATAGACCCATGCATTAGCCTCAATTACCTCAAATTTCGGTTCCCTATCCGAAGATACTTCTCACTCCTGGAGGTTGATTTCAGTCAAACCGTCATCTCTTCCTGCCACCAAGTCATGCCCCTCGCTCAATGTCAGTCCAATCTAGGTGAGGATCTACTCTCTTCAATCGCCCCTCGAAATGCTCGGCTGGCCAGCGGATGGTCGACGGCGATTGAGCGCTATGGATGGCGAGCGAGGTGAGGTCTTGGTGAGCTGGTGCGAAGGATGGGGACTGCTCACAGGAAGTAGCTGTTCTTCGAAAAGGTTTGATATTGCCATCTGGGTCCCGGGAGATGAATCCTTTGTTCCACAGACGATCTTCCCAGCGATCAGTATTCCGTGAAGAACAAATACCCATAACCACGTGAACGGAACACACATGGAATGGGATGATCATGAACTGGGAAGCAACTCATTTCGGTCCGGGAGCTGATCACTATCCTGGTTTCACGTGTGAAGTTCAGTGTTGATCTCCCATGCTGATCAGGTGTATGAAACCGATGCATGTCATTTTGGTCGAGGTGATTGTCGTACACACCAATGCAAGCACTTTACCCGTCACGAGTCAGTCAACACTATCGTCCATCTCGCAATCTTTAACGTCTGCGATAGGAAAGAGAGCAAGAAGCCCAATATGGAGTGGTCCTTCGCCTGTTAGTTGACGTGTTGGGCGCTCGACCGCATTTTACAAGCAAGCAAACAACCACCAGGTCAGTCGCAGGTACTTGCTCGCATTGAGAGGCCTCAATAGTCACTACTATCTTGACATGTTCCTATCGACACGCCAAAATGGCCGATGGCTAGTCGAAGAGACAAGGACAGCCTGTGGCTAGGAAAGATCGGCGCCTAAACTGCCAGCCTAGGCATGGGCTCGCCCTCAAGATTAGTTGACACATGTCTATCTGACAGTTCGTGTCAGTCAGTCCCCTAAGAAGGCGACTACGAATGAACAAAAGGTTGGATACCTACGTAAGTCAACTAAGTTCAGCCGGACACTGTTCCTGTCTCACTTCGACTTCCCCCGTCTTCCCCGTTTCCTTCTTACATCAGAAGCTGGCGACAGTGGTGCGTCCCACCGTGGTCTGCAGGGGTTTAGGGATTCCTTTTAATGCGGGCAGCATGGGTGGTTGTTTCTCAAGGGGTGGCCCGAGATAGCCGCAGTCTCAATGTAGATGTAAGAAAATGGCTGTTGCTCGGCGCGACCTTTGCAGACCGACACCCTTGGAAGCCACAGCAATGCTCTTGTCCAGCCAGGTTCGTCCCGTCGTGATGGTGAATAGGCTCCCTAGGAGCATAAGACCTACTTCTATCTTCACATGCCTGTTTCAGCATTCCGCGACTTCGAATTCGCTTCACCTGCACACACCAAAATGGGCTAGGTCACCTTGACCGTTGGCGCTAATCTGCGGAAGCCGTTATGCTAGTAACGGTGGTACTGGCTTTATATATCGACCCTGGCTAGGTTGGAGAGGACATTCGAGCGTCTTCGCTTGGTGTGCGTCGCTGAGAAGTTATGCTGAATATCGCTCTTGGCCGGTACCTCCCTACCCAAGGTTAGCGAGATGGAAGCCTCCATGGGTCCAAGGTCGGTCTGCTCCCGGAGCGTGGCTGTCATCGGAACGTTGGTACAGTATGAACGCTGGCAGAGGCCGCCGCGGTCTTCACAGTATACTTGTCTAACAAGGCCTACTTTCTCGCAACCTTAACCCACGCCTCAAACAGGATCCCTCCATATGATTGTTCTTCCTTCTCCAAAGCTGCGTTCACCGCCTCGGGCCATCTCCCCAGCTCCTGTTCACTCCACTCTTTGGTTGCGGCGCTCTTGATGAAAGGGTTCAGCAGGAACTCGTACAACCCATCCCAATCTTCCCCACGCTTGACTACCGTTTGCGCGGCGAACGATTGGGTCTTCTCCTCTTCGAAGCCAGCCTCGCGGACAAGTTTCGCCGTGTGTCCTTCCTGCATATACTCAGGTCCATTCACCGGCATACGATGTGCTTCACCCCACTCAGATCCTTTGACTTGATCCTGAGCAGCGGCGATGACTTCGGACACGGCAAAACGCTTCCAGCATGTCACTAGCGTAACACCGCCTGGCCGGAGGGTTCTGCGGATCTCCTGTAGACATTTTGTGGGGTGCGTGAATGTGAATATGCTGAAGTTGCAGATGCTGTGCGTAAAGTAATCGTCGGCAAACTCCTTGAGGTACGCCGAGTCTGCGACAGCAATGGCAACGCTCTGCCATAATGAGTCGTCTGCATGTTTTGTCCTGATCGCCTCGCATGCGTCTACCATGGCAGGGACATAGTCTGTGACAATAATCTTAGGTGATACATTATGCTGGTGACACCATGATATCAGGGCTTCAGTGGCGGTGCCGGGGCCAGCTGCATTGTCATGGATCACGGAGTCCGAATTTATCGACAAGTCATGGCTCTGGAGAACTTCATTGAATAGGTCCTTCGTAGTATTGCCCGTGACTCGTGAGTACCCGGGCGCGATTTGAGTAAAGTACAATTGTTTCTTTGCATCCGGGTCCGCCATCGTTTCTCCCTTTGTATTGTTCGGGCTCGAAGTATTCAAACTAATACTGTGGACTGGTCACATTCGCTTCATGTATGGTGTTGACTTGTCAAGGCTGTGTCTGCACACGAAGCCAATACTCGGGTCATTTTTGATGATATAAGCGGGGTGTCTTTCGGTCTTTTAAATATGGCGAGTTGGAGGCCTGAATGGTCGATATGACAAAGCATGGCGTGCATCGCAGCACGTTGGAGTGTGTGGATGGCGGAGAAGCCGAGCAGTTTCGAAATCCAAGATAAATCATTCATTGGACATTCTCAGCACAATCAAAAGCTGTATAGCTATGGCAGGCAAATCGCCGGATCAAGAGAACGCATGACAAAAGCAATATCCACAACGCCAATCTCTCTTCATCTCACTCATGCGGCACCAGCAGCGTAGACTCGTTCAGGTTCCTGAGAAGTCATCATGTTTCGAATGCCTTGCGTCAAATCGACACCCACTCTCTCCTTAGACAACAAATCGACCAACAATGGACTGGGCTTGCTGTCTCGGTGAGGCTGGTGTGTAGATTGGCCCTGTTTATACTTCATCACGTTATCGAAGTACATATCAAACAGATAGGACGAATCGAGAGGACCTCCCTTGGCCTCAGGGTGGAACTGAGTTGAGAAGATTGGTCGAGAGGTATGGATCAGACCTTCGTTGGAGTTGTCATTGAGGTTGAGGAAGTATGGCTTCCAGTCCTTAGGCAAAGTGGTCGTATCAACAGCATAGCCGTGGTTCTGGCTGGTGATATGGCACTTCCCGGTGGTGAGATCCAGAGCTGGGATGTTGTGTGCCCGGTTACCATACTTCATCTTGATGGTCCTTGCTCCAATTGCTAGGGCCAGCAGCTGATGACCAAGGCAGATACCGAAAATGGGTATTTGAGAAGTCTCCATCAGCTTTCGAAGATGGTAGACCGTGTCTTGACAGTGGGTCGGATCACCAGGGCCGTTGGAGATGAAGACGCCGTCAAAGTGGTGGGCAACCTTGTGGATGGGGTAGTCGAACGGGAAGCAAGTGACGCTGGCCCCTCGGCTGACGAGGCTGCGAAGGATGTTCTCCTTGACACCGCAGTCGATGACCGCCACGTGGGCTGTGGGATTGGCGGCGCTGACGTGGAAGGGTGCTTTTGTGCTGACCTTTCGGACGAGGTTGATCTGCTCAGGATCGACGAATGCCTCGTCCTGATCTTGATCGTACTCCTCCCCAATGGTGATTCGGGCCAGACTGGAACCTTGCTCTCGCAGATGGGTGACAATGGCTCGGGTATCAACACCGGTGATGGCCGGCACACCTTCTTTTGCACACCACTCACTCAAACTCTCCACCGCAGTCCAGTGTGAATATCTTTCTGCAACATCTGCAACCACCACTCCCACTGCCTGGATATTCGGAGACTCGAAGTACTTCAACAGGCCATGTTCGTCTCGGACGCTCGAAGGAACACCATAGTTGCCGATGAGGGGCTGGGTGAAGACCAAGATCTGTCCTCGGTATGAAGGATCGGTCAATGACTCAGGGTACCCGACTAGCGAGGTTGTGAAAACTGCTTCTCCCGAAACGTTGCTTCGAGCACCGAAAGATGTGCCGTGAAAGATTGGACCGTTTCGAATCGTGAAGGTAGCTCTTTCGTGTGTGACAGGGGTACTCTTGTACTGCTTGTGGACAGGGAGTTCTTGCTGTCGTGGTGTGTTGTTGGACACGGTTGCGAGAGTCCTGGCTCGCAGAACCGATGTGCTCTGGCAGAGGTTTGCCGCCTTGGGCACGAGGCTCCTTTGTTTCAATGCTCGGGAAAACATATTGAATAATTATAACTGTCGTAACTCTTCCAGACCGCTAGTTTGCTTGGGCCTTCCACAAATGATCTATCAACCGTGTTAGACAACGAGTGAGGGTCCTGGTAGAGGGTGTAAATACCACTAATGTAATCCTATGAGTCCCCGATGTTAGCAGACGTTCAAACAGATCACGCAATGACGTGTTTTCCTGGTGTCACGGTGGATTGAAGGGCTTATCAGTGGGCTGTAGAGGATAGGGAAGCTCTTACTTGAGAGGTGAAGGTGCTTGGGAAGCACATGAACGCGATGTCAAGTGTTCGCAAAGCAGGACGTCTGAGTCTGAATATGAAACCTTTGCAGGTCAGATCCTCGAAGGCGTAAGAGGACTAGTTGCTGAAGGTCTTTGCACAAAAATCTTTCTTTTGCATGCAGAACGCAAAGTGTGGAGAGGAAGAGGGAAAAGATTGGTGCAGGATTTTTATCGCCGCAGCTTGACCCAATGACAATCGACCTAACAAAATTCTTGTCCAGTGTGACGAAAGACGACAGATTCTCGACTCATGCAAGCTATGGAATTTTCCTTATCAACATGGGTCTCTGATAACTCATGATGCTGACGTACGCGACGGCTTGATTTCTATCTCCCTGGAGAAGAGTCTGCCATCGTATGTGACCTGCTGAGTCACAAATTCTCGAGCAACCATTTCGCGTGTATCACGTGCGAGGCTGAACAAGGCTGGACGCCACAAACCACTTTTGCGATCTGACTTCAGCCTTCTTCGCCTCTGGATGGCGAACCGACGACTTTAAATTGTATCTTATTTTCCTCGTGAGGCCGACATATTTCTTTTCTGGTCTCATAAGACCGTCAACATGGCAGAAGAAACACCAAAGCCTCTAAGGTCTCTACCGTTTCCACCAGTAACGGCATCTCACATCCTGAACTGCTCATTCCATTCATGGCATCCCCGGTTCCGAACACTCACCCCCAAAGCCAGACTCATTCAACTTTCAGACCCGTTTCTGGACTACTTACGTTCTGACGGCATCATCTTACCTCCAGAGAATGCTCCTAACGACCAGGACAGCGGCTTCCAAGATGAGGAAGAAGAAGCAGACCCTTCTGGACTATGGGCTGATGTCCATGACCGTGTCCGATCCACCATTGCGGAACTAGGTGGCAAGGTAGTACCAAAACTCAACTGGTCGGCTCCAAAAGACGCAACCTGGATGGCCACGACTAATGACATGGAATGTCGAACACCCAACGATATCTACCTCCTACTAAAATCCAGCGACTTCATCACACACGATCTTGAGCAAGCATTCGATGGCTGTGTTGACCGCGCTGAAGTGCCTTATCATCTTGTCCTACGGAAGTCATTCAACCTCAATCCCTCGTTAGAGTTTCGATGTTTCGTCCGAAACAAAAAACTCATCGCCATCAGCCAGCGAGAGATGAATTACTTCGACTTTCTTTTCGACTTGAGACAATTATTCAAAGCCAAAGTCCAGGATTTCCTGGAGCTCCTGTCTGACTTCCCAGACGACAACTTCGTGTTTGACGTGTACATTCCTCCTCCGCACAAGCGTGTCTGGCTAATCGACATAAACCCCTGGGCTCCAAGGACGGACCCACTGCTCTTCTCCTGGCTCGAGCTGTTGTCCATACCGGAAATAGTTGAGGATACCATTTATGATCCCGAGTTTCGGCTTATCCACAGAGACGATCCAGAAGCATACCAATTTGCGGCGACAAAGTACAGCGCACATAAGATGCCAAAAGATGTTGTCGACGCCAGTATGACCCCTGGAGACATGAAAAATATGATGGAGGAATGGAAGAAAGTGATGGATAAGCAATTGGAAGACGAGTCTGATGATGAAGAGGGCTGAGAAAGTGTTATGCAAGCAATATGCACTGTCGAAGATTGTGACACTTGGTGGGACACTGTCGGGGCATGGTAGACTTCGACAGTCCGATCTGCCAACGGCCTAAAGAATTCGATTGACGAGATCACAGCCCAGGTACGATCCTTGGACTCTGGTTAGAATCAGAAGTCACGGGAGATAACAGCCTGGACACATAACATCGTTCAGCCTGGCTGCTGTGGTTCAAGACCCGTACTGTCAAGATGTACGCTTCGTCATGCCTGCAGTCCGACTTCGACGGACCCTTCATGGACATGATCGGCATATCATCCAGCATTATCGACAGAGTATCTGCTCCAGGATCCCTAGCAGGATCAGTTAGAGCCCTACCCTTCACTTCGTAAGGGTCACAACACAAACAATCCATAACTCGTTGAAAATGATGGGCAAATTTCATTGTCAGTATGGTCAATGGCGCCTCGAGAAGGGCTGTGCGGAAAACCTGCCTGATAGTTCGCAGACGAAGATGCTCATGCACCGCAGGGCGTAGTAAAGTGGCCTTTTAGTTCTCTGGATTTCGAAGGGATGCTCAAGCCCAAATGGATTACTATACTTTGACTCCGATTTGGAAGTAGGTCTTCGGTAGAACATACCATACCTCGGCAAGAACTGCCACTGTCACTTGATGCTGTAGACCGTGCAGCTTACCCCATAATCGCCTGAATTGCTTACAACTTGTTTGTGACTTTGTTGTGTTAATCGTTCGATTGACGGTCGATTTGCACGCGAGAACCGCTGCGAGCCTCCGGCAGAGTTTCCTCTGGGCTCATCCAATTGAGGCATATTTACACCGTCTTCTGGCTCCCCGCAGGTTTCCACTGCTCAAATCCATCCGACGGCTTCTGGCACCAGCGAAACACGAGCACACAGCGGGTCAGTATGCATAGCTAAGTCGCAGCTATGGTATCTTCTGCCACTTCACGCTTGCTGCACATGGGAAGGTCGCCACTTTACCAGTTGAGTGCGAAAGGTTGACATGGAAAATCCAGTTTATGGAATGACATTGTGGACAGCGTGCGGTGCAGCCATCAACAGAACGGCAGCTAGAGTCCAGCTGTTCTCACACGTGCTCTAAACAACACCAAAAGAATGCTACCAAAGAGCTCCCTTTAGACTTTCTCACCACCACATACTGCAATACAGCCGGCCGAAGAGTCGTCGGCGTTCTTACATGAAGGCTTGTCTCGGACGAGAGTCCGATGACATCGTCCGCACAGTCGTGGATACACCTACAGTTGCTGCAGTCTCGCATCTCAAATCGATCCCCCATAGACCCGTACCACGGTGTGCACAAATATCATCTTGCCGCATATCAGGTGAATTTGCCGACCTGTACCATGTCAGTGTTCCAAGCGTTGATGATACTATCCAATTTACTCTACCCTTGGACCCGTCCCAGCTGATAGAAATGCGATGACGCTAGAGCACCATCCCGGTTCGAGGATGTTCGACAGATAGGACGGGCAGATGCAGTATGGTCAGCCCACCTTGGGGACGGCCGTGCAGTATTGTGTTCGCAGAGTTCCGACGATGTTCAGCACGGAACCGCGCCTTCGTTTCAAGATCATGCTCCGGCCTCGACGCGCATGATCGCAGCTTTGATGTTCCCATACGTCCTCAGCACCAACAGCCTGGACACAGTCCTGTACTGACTCACGCTCGTACGACAATCGGGACCGAGTTCGAGGTGGACGCCTGCCACACGTCCCGCCGTAGCGGCCTAGAAGTTGGTGATTTGCTGACTTCTCACCCTCTCGGGCACTCCCATCAGCTGGCTATCCAAGGCGTGCGGTCGTGGCTGATCATGGTGGCACTCCTGACGCAATGGCGGCACGAAGGAGGTGTGCTCATTTGAGGTGACCAAACATTTTACGCAAAAGTGGCATGAGTCCTCCTGCTTGCATAAGTGGAAAACAGCTTTCTGTCTGCCTTGCCGACTCAGGACATCGGACCGCGGACGCTTTTGAAGTTGGTTGGTTCGCGCCGTTGATCAGCTGCGGTAAGACGTCTGTGAATTCGAGCACAGGGTTCGCTGGCCAACGTTGATATTCTTGCTGCTCAATATTGGCCACTTGTCACGAAGCTTTTCCTGGTCTGAAAGAAATCTGGTACCACACCCTCGAAGTCCGTTAGGCCTGTGACCATTGCGGCGCGAAATTTGCAGGGCACACTCATGATGAGAAAGTGAGGATTCCGGACGTCCAGATTCGCGGAACGAGGACGGATAACAAGATCGATTTCTAGCTGCAGGTACAGGCTGAGACATTCCGGCTCCAACCGTTGTGGTGATCCAGTCCCCTGGGTCAAATACAATGCAAAATGTGAGAGCCAGCTATTGTATATGTTGGGTGCGGTTATGGCCTGATACTTGCAGAGTGCAGCAATTCAGCTCAGACAGTTGTGCCTGATTGCGGAGTAGCTTGATTGACAACTCGTACTTGTTGTCAATATTTCGTCATCCGTTCTGCTTCCTGCCTGACGGTCCGTGATGGGGCCCCTATCAGTCCTTCCCACCCGACGGCATATATGAGATTGTTCTTCGTGTGGTATGTGCCATTCCATGGGAGCCTCGTTGTCTACCTTCGAACCCGGCACCCTTCATGCTCAAATTAAAAAATTGATATGCACGTGGGACAAGCACCCGGTGGCACGGTATTTCCCGTCTGCTGCACCATAGCGGTAGAATGGTTCTCGCGCATGATTCGTCTCTGAAATTATCGTGGCGTTATCTCGATCAGGCAATGATGTCTCAACCCGCTAGGGACTTGATGCAGACACGGGGGAATCGCACTCTTGTTGTATGACCATGTCCTTCTCATCTCGTAGAAACATTTGTTCCACCGCGATGACTAAACTTCAAAACGTTCTTCCAAGCATTCTTGACACGCACGTCGTGCTTTGTTCGACATGATTGCAACGTCTTGTGACAAGAAAGCAGTTACTGGCGGTGAACTCACCGCTCATTCACAGGAAGAGTTATGATAGCATGTCCAGCGATCAGATGGAGGGAAACGTGACTTTCGTTGTGGGCTTCAGTTGCATGCATCTGCATGCAGGATACCATGGATGCCCCGTGTCCAGATGTCGAGTTGCACATCGAGAGAGTCGGATAGTATGCGGATGACAAGGTCTTGGGTGCTCTTTGAATCTTAAAGAGTCGAGGTAACTCCGTCTGGCAAGTGCTGCTGAAAAACAAGCCGTCCAACCTGAGTGTCATCACCACTTCTCCCTGGTGTTCGTGTTCAGCCTCCTTCTCTCGAGTCAAGCCTGCTAATCCGCAAATTGGGTAGGAGGATATTCGTAAGCGATATCGCAGCCATCTCGCGTCTAGAAAGAGGAAGGTGTCTTGCGCTGGTGGAAAGGGCGGGCTTTTAAGATCGCTGGGTAGGGTCAGTAAATGTTTTTGTCAACGCTAGCACTGGTGAACTTCTTATAATGCATGGCGTAGCGAAGGCGCTAATGCTGCCTAGACCAAGCGATCTAAGGTCACTTTCAGGCACCAAGGCACGCCCGAGGACCACCCCCTGGCCCTCAACTCACCGCTCCATCTTCTTCTTGTTGGCCTTTGAGAGATGGTCACGGGCTTCGCATACCATGCGTACACCGACTCCTTTGCACAATGCTTTGTTGTTGAGACATGTAAGCAGCCAGGCCAGCGCGATACAGCAGCTGTTGAAGCTCGCCAAATAGTATTGATGTACTATATATATTGGTCGAAGGTACCGAAGGGACCACCACGGAGTTGGTGCTTGCAGACAAAGACCATCCGGAACTGGATCCCCGCCAGCAGTGCGTAAGTGTTCGATGCTCCACTCCAAGCGGAGTCCAATACATATGATCTTCCTCTGAATTTTCTTAAACCTTGCATTCGCCGGACCTGGTAGACAGGTAAGGTCTAGGGACTATGCAGCCGTTTCGAATCTTAATAACGTACGACCTGATGCAGTTTTCCGTCCCTCTGTATCGCCGCTTCTTGTCCTGCATGGCGTAAGCCCGCATCCATGAGCTCGAAGGCTCGACATGACCTGCTGTTCTCAGGATTGTTAGGTATTAAAAGACACCCTACCCACCAGAGAACTCGAGTCGCAGTTTACACTCTAGGCCGCTTGCCTTCTCTTGAGTTCCGCGGCTTGCTATCTTTGCATCATGATTAGAAGCATAGCACTTTTGCTGCCACCCACTCTATCTGATAAAGAGTGGTTGATTGGGAAGCACTTCGGCTCCTAGTCGACGACGCATTTCTAGGTCAAACCACACGAGCACGGTACTGGTCAACTGCAATTATCAAAAGTCCCAAACACAACACCTGACGTACCTTTTCGGTCTGGGACAGAGCACACTTTGCGGTGTGCCCCAGTTGAGGGAATCCCCTCAAACTCCTGCAAATAGGCACCCCCGCCTCAGATTGGACGAAAAGTCCGCCCAGAGACCATTGATAAACGCCCTACGATTTTTCTTTGTTGCCACCTCAGCCTTATAGGGAGACGCCGATATAAGCTTGGCTCGTTGCTGATAGTCACGTTGATTGGTGTGATGCTACCGGGCCTCTGCCGCTCGAACACCGATCTTACTTTGCCCATAGATTACGGGCATTGGGCACGAATAAGACGCTATTGGACGCAAAGCGCAGGCGTAAGATGCTGCCCAACGCGCCCGGGAAGTGTGTTGGGCTGGGCGCCGTTGATGCGGGCAAGGCAATCCCCTACGAACCGCCTCGAAGATCCCGCAGCCAAGTGCTTCGAAATGTGTGGTCGCGTCACTTTCAGCAGCCGTGGTGGTACCGCATCCTGTCAGAACGGGGGATCCGGTATCGTCCACCTACGAAAAGCAAGAAGAAGGCAGTGTTCGTCTGGACGTGTTGTCGCTGTGGCACTACTCCCATTGGAATCAGAACAGAGTCGTGCCCCAGATGCCGCCAGGTTAGGTGCAATAATTGCACCCTTGAGAAAGTGTTCAGATGAGGGCCAACTACTCTTGGTTGCGGCATGTACTGGGTCGCTGAAGGATGGTAAGTTGTCTGTCATAGTATTCAGCGGCGCAAGTTCTTTGTCGGCCCGGTGGCACAGCCGCTTGCGAGGCCCCAACGAGAAGCAGTCTTTGTGGTGCACTCCTCGAAGAAGTGCTTCAACTACCCAGACATACTGACACGGTCATACGGAGTCTTTCGAACGCAAAAAAGGGCTAATCAGAGATGGATCCATTCCAAATATCATGTTGTTAGGATCCCTCAATCGTATATCCTGCACTCAGTCTTTGGAGTCAATGTCGCTGAACGTAACAACAATGCGAACCATATGCGCTGGTCACCTGCCTGCGCTAGCCGATAGCACTATTTAGATGCTTCTCGGGACCGAGTTGCCTTCTTTCGTAAGGGCGTCATCATCCTTACGCATCGCTACGCTGATAGGTCGTCGGCGTGTTGTGTTGGGCTCTCCTATGCTCTAGACGACGACTCAAAGCGTGGTGTCAATCGATTGATATAGGTTGCTACGTACGGTAATATAGCCTTTTTCTCTTGTTCCATGCGATCGTCTCGCCCAAACTCTGCCTGAGACGGTCTGGTGTCATTGTTTGTTACAGTGATCTCACTGACCTTGTTCGTCAGTCGAGCGGTGCGTGAAGACAGAACCACATCCAACACATAACACCATGAGGAAATTCGTCAACTGTTTGGGCGAGGGTGCGGGGTGGGACCCCGAATTTTGCAAGAGCAGGAAGGGCAATTACTTTGATGCGCACAAGACATTCATTGGGTGGCGGGAGGAAGCAAAAAGAATTGCTGACGAGGACGAGGAATCACGAGGAGAACCATGTGATGAAGATGGAGAAGATCCCAGCATCATTCAAACCTTTATGCAAGGCCCGCAAGGATCGGATATATGTGACTTGGAGGCGTCAGTCGTTGAGAACTTCTGCGGCAGTAATATTCCGGAATCTCTGCGCGAAGACAGACTTGGTGACCTTCCCACCAATCGTAACTTCTGGTTTGCGGGAAGTTGCAGCGGTGGCGAAGGATCTTCGAGAATACAGCCGCAATGGCTGACACCACAAGCCTTCTGTCGTGAATTCAACAAGCACGTGCGTTTCGATCCAAGTGACAAAGTAAGAATGATTGAATGCTTACTGTTTTATGTAGTGCGTCGAGGCACAAGATATGCCTGGGGCTAGCGGGCCGGCCCACGGCGTCTGCCCAGGTAACCCAGGCGACGATGGTGGGGGGAATACCTGTAAGTTGACATCGCTCCAAAACAGGTGTGGGGAGCTGACCCTTTCTCGACAGCCTCGTCATCAGCAGCCAACCACACCATTCCGCCTCAAGGTGCAGCTGCACCTAATCAAAAGCATCGGGAGGGGCCAGGGGACGGTCATCACTCAATGCAAGCACCCACAAGTTGAATCTTCAGCCAGCACCAATCACACTGACTCCATCCTAGCTTCGTCGGCGACCCTGACGCTTTGAGTTTTGGCGCCCTTATAAGTACGGCGACAATCCACCTGGCATCACCACTAGCAAAAACCCTCCACAACCATTTGGCATCAGTGACGTCCATTGAAGTAGAGACTTGTGTAAGAAGCCATATTCGCTTTTTCACTACTATCAGCAGACTGACGACGATTATGCCTAGTCGGACCGCTTTCTCACGTTCCAGCTTTCATTTTCCCTGCCGTACTTTGCCTGGAGAACCTCACCAAGACCCTGCAAAGATCAACGACTTACGAGGACAAACCAGCCCTTGAGAAGCTTCAGAGATGTTTCACCGTTGATTCTCGTGCCGAATAAATTGCCGGCATACCTTTATCAGGCACAGATATCTTGCGTGGTGGCCGGTTTTGACGAATGGACTTGGACCGCGCACTGTCTTGCAGACAGCTACTTCGACGGAGAGGACGGCGAAAATGTACAGCAGTATTCCAAGGACGCCAGGGATGGAGCCAGCACGAATCCTTTCCTTCACGGAGTGATTGAGGCTGGTCGGCCTTTCCATAAAGCCCGGGAGTTCTTCCTGCGAGTCTTCTCGGTCCGCCTAAAACAGGTGTGGAAAGAGTGGCAGACTGTCGTCACGAATATCAAGAACAGCATCTCCAGATATGAAGAGGTAAGTCGTGGTCTCTGTTTGCCTAGAGATGCCGTCAGGTAGCACAGTCGAGGCCCATCATTCGTGACTAACCTTTCAACATGTCTGGGACGTTTCTTGCTTCATCTGGACTGACTCCTCCGTGCTAGGAACACCTTACTCCATTGCTCCCGTCCTGTACGACCAAGGACACACGACACGATGAAGCAGAAATTCGGAAAGCATTTGAATGGGTTAACAACGCCATGCGCATTACAAAGGAATTGTCAGAAATTCTGTCCAAGACTGTTGATGCTTGCGAGAGATTCGCCGAGAATGATGCTGTCAACTTCCAGGATTTTCTCAATATCAGCCATGCTCAGAAGTTACTGCACTCCATTCAACGGGTGATAGAGGATTTTCAAACTCTGAGAACGGAGCTTAGAGCTATAATTGAGCGTTGCGAGGACTTTGTTCACAAGGTGAGTAAATTATCGTCACCCACTTCCCAAGCCGTTGAACTGATTTTTGTCTGCTCGTGCAGCTGGAGTTCCGCATTCAGCTTGAGGCAATTTGTATGGGCAACTTCCAGAGCGCATTGGTCAAAGACAACAATGAGTTGGCGAAAACCACACAAAGACTTTCGGTGATCATGATGGTAAGCTCGTCTTTCAAATCATGAGAGAACGGATGACATCTAACGTTGACCGTACACGGTAGCTCTTCGTCTCTCCTGTGGCAGTGGCAGCGCAGATCTTTTCCATACCCGAGAACCTCGTGCCGTTCGTACCTCGGAACTTTGTATCATTCCTTGTTCTGACCTGCACCCTGGGCATCGCCAGTTATGCCTTTCTGGACTACCAAGAGATAGTACGCCTCTGGCGGAAGCTGCAACCGGTATCCGGAGAATTGGCATTTGGCAATGTTCTCAGATTTTGGGCAGTATGTACGGAGATGCTTCGTCTTCTACTTCACCAGACCGGCATATACGGAGCCAGAGCCACCGCAAGAATTGCTGGGATGGTTCTTTCTCTTCGCCGTCCTCGAACAAATGTACCGCCACAGGAAGTGGCGGAGTTGGGAATGATGCTTCCTTTGCGGCTCAGTCTCACGGACTTGCAAAATATCGCAGACGATTTCGCTGCGACTGACTCTGCTCATGGCATTGTCGAGCTATCACACGCTGTCTGAATGAAAGCAAAGGGGGTGTAATCATGTGGCATGCAGCATTGACGTCTGGAAGGTTGAACGTGTTTGGTGACTGGAAGGCTACCACTCAAGCATGTTGACAATGCCAGCCCGTCCCATCGTGGGTCATGCAGCATGGATGGAGATCCCCTTTGGAATCGCTGCGAGTTTGCGACAAATCTGTGGGAATGAGTTGTGGGTGGAAATGAGCTGCCAGAGAAACCTTGAATGTCTGGTCTCTCCTACTGCAGCTGTGAGACGTAAGGATCATTCTTCCATCTTGAGAATGGGCTGTTTCGAGTCGGCAAGTATTTGGCAGACTCTGTTCCCGGGTTTTATCCTGTGAGTGGACATGCAACATAACATCAGGCTCGCTAATTTCGAGCAGCGCCCTTCTTTCCATTAATGTGGTACAGGCGTCTACCACAGCCGCTTGAGTCACCTTCCCTCACAACATATTGGTATATCGAGCCAAGGGATTCAACGCAACAGTCCTCAGTAATTCATCCATGATGGTGGTGGCTACCTCTCCCTTGAATCTTTCATTGCCTTACCAAAACCCATACTACTACACCCTCAAAAACCCTCGAGATACCATAGTAGCTCCTGCGCCTTCTTCTATAAAGGACAAACCCAAGATGAGGACCTTGGGACCTTAATACACAGCGATGTCCATACGATTTCCCAAGAACTGCTTTTAGTGTCCCTCAGGTGCGGTGAAAGCCCTCTTCAGACCTAGTTGAGGTCGATATCTTTATACGGTCTGATCAATTTTGATTGGCTACAACCCTACAAGTTTCTTGGGGCGCACTTTCTTTGTTCAATATTCATTATAGGCCAATTCACGCATTCAACAAAGTTCCCTCGTTATACGAGATATCCTGGTCCTTAGCCGCACACGGTTTGCTCCCGCGATAAGGGTGCCCAACGAACCTCCCGGCCGCCTGCGAAATTCGGGCACGAGAGCCATCGTATGACGCTTAAGATATCCAGCAGAGCCTCACTGGGAACGCTAAGCCCATTCGTCCGCAGAAGGCCACACCAGTAACATCTGCGTGTCCCAATCGAACCCTACCCGGTGTCTCCTCCGTTTAGATCCGGTTGCAGACCGGGTCCCCTCTTTGCCTGTAGACAGAGCCCAGCAGCTGCCATTGGGCGCTGTCCTTTCGTCGACAAGTTCCTGGCCATACACTAGGTGACTTGGGAAGATCTGGACGAAGTACATCCAATCGGGCGCTTTCTGTTCACACGATGGCCGAGACGCTTGACAACCATCAAAAGGAGGCGACAAATGATATGCTAGGCACAGCACACCGCAATAGATATCCACATTGGGCGGCTTATGAAGGCCAATTTCGGAAATGTCCTCCAAACAAGAACAAGAGGAAGTCTGTTTTCATCTGGTCGTGCTGTCATTGTGGGCATGGGCCGATGGCTGTTAAGACTGAGAAATGTCCCCGGTGTCAGCAGGCAAGGTGCAACAATTGCACACTGGAAAAGGTCTTCAAATAAACTTTGAGATCAGGTCCCGGGTCGGGATACTGAAGGAGCACTCGAACACCTGTTTTTGCTTTTTTATTAGATTGCAAATCTGTTACCCAGCCGACACCTTCGAGTGCTCGTAGAACTGCGCCTCTCTTATCAGGTCACCTCAACATGTCACTGACCGACCACAGTACTCTTCCAGGGCATGTCTTGAACTGAATGCAGGTCCTTGAGCTCCGTAACAAGAGTTTCTATACTCTGTCAAACCCTTTGTCGGATGCATTGTCGGTCGTGTACTGCTGACTTGCAAACCCGACTCAAAGCCTAGTGGCATGGGAAGACCTGGTATTATAGATTGGCTAAGGGAGTCCAATCTCAGAAAGTATAATCGGGCGCAGTATTCGTTCTGCGTGGTTGGCATGACTTGGATACTTCCTCATTATTCTCCTGTGCCGAGGACGAGCTGCTGGGGTCAGGCGACCGCTTTGGGTAGCACAGCATGAGATAGAAGAGACTTACATTGGTCCTCTGTCCCTCTTGCAGCGCCCGTCAGCCATATGTATCTGTTGCTGAGTCGCGAAGAGAGTGTTATCATCGTGGCGAAGCGAAGGCTTTCAGTGGCATTCAGTATGCCCACGAGAGCCCTGATTGTGACCCTGTATGTCGTACCATTTAAGTCTGCTCTCGATTCCCAATCCGCGCATTTAAATACATGTTCTTGCCCTGTATGCATCGTCGCCGTGCATTCAATTATAGCTGTACGGACATATACCAGATCGGCATATGACGTCGAGAGAAGAGCCTGAGGGAGATGCGTTGCTGAGGCTACATGGAACCTCTGCGGGGCAATACGTGCATGGCAGTCATGGATTCGAGAGGCAGCCATGGCAAAATTGGCGAGAACAGCTGGGCAGCGAAATCCAGGATGATGAGGACGATAAGTTCTCTACCAATGAGGTTGAAGAAGATCGAAACACCGTCCAGGATTTCATGCGCAGCCCAGAGCAGTCGCCCGTCAACATCCCGGAGGCAGATGTGGTGGAGGAATATTGTGACATTAAGGATCTGAAATTGCTGCGGACAGGCATATCTTGCGATGAGAAAATCAACACCTGGCTTGATGAGACGCAATCGGGCAGTCGAAGGGCGATGTCTCGAAAGAGTCGGTGGCTCACACCATATCAACTGTACCAGGAATCGTTGAGAATACCGGTAAGTCAATCTTTTCCTCCTTTGCGCAGCTACTTGATGAGGGTGAAGGTGATGGTGATAATGATGACGGGTGATGAATTGCTTGGGTGATTGAAAAGAGTGCAAGTTTCTGGTACAAAACCCCTAATTCTATGCTGCGCAGCCCGTTAAGGCGCCCAAAACCGGAACGGGAATGGGACAGGCCCCGAGCGAGAAAATACCAGGCAGGGGATTTACCACGTCAACCTCGGAAGATTATCAGGGGAAGCAGATCATCCGGCAGCTGATGTAACTACAGTACCTATCTTTGCAGCGATACGTTAGGGGCTTGACACTGACCTCTTTGACAGATACATACATGATCCTGATCATTGGAACGTCTTTGCACTGATCCTAACTGCCACATATTATCGGACTGCCGGACTTCGACTCGCTCTCTACAGGCACTTTTCTTCGAGGACCTCCCTTGATGTGCTTTCCTCGGTGAGATTTTCTGATTCCTGCTTTGCCCTTGTAAACAGTCATTGTTGACGCACTCATTTAGTCATATGGCTATCCTAATTTTCAGCTTGTGTTCTCATTGCCGTACTGGGCGTGGAGGTCTTCAACACAACCTGTCCAGGATCATCGTCAAAACAAACACAAAGAGCCCTTGAGGGACTACTGGGATGTTTCGCTTCTCGAACCGGGTCAACACTCGGAGCGATCATTCATCTACGAAGCACAAATCACCTGTGTCGTCACAGGACTGGTAAACGAATGCACATGGTCAGTGTATTGCTTCGACGATAACCGCCATGACGGCAAAAACGCCCAGAACGCACGCCAGCACTCTAGCGATGTCACGGATGGAATACACACCGATCCCATCTCCTTTGGAGTGATTGACGCCAACAACCCAATCCAGGAACCATATGCATATTTCATCAGAATCCTAGCGATACGGGCGAAACTGGTCAGGGACGAATGGCGGAAGATAACTCGGAAGATCGCGCTAAGTATCCGGAGATATGATAGGGTAAGTGTACACCACTTTCCCAGTCAACTTTTCAAGCCTCACCCAGAATGGACGTTCTGAAATGAAAGTTCTGGGAGGGACGCGGCGACTGTGCGCTTCGTGCACTGGCGAGATGTTTCGCAGCAGGAACATGTCGGCTAAGTTGTGTTGCAGGAGCACTTTCCATTATCTCAAGCACAAGCCTATTGGGTGTTGCAAGGTGAAGTGGGAAGCCCACAGCAGACGATGGTTGATTCGCTCAAGCTAGTCATGGTCATCAAGAACACCTCAACCAGATTGCTCGATACTCTGACCAAGACAATTGATGCGTACGACGGCTTTCAAATAATGTCTGTACCTGCATTCCTGGACGTACCTGATGCAAATCATCAAAACCGGTTGCTGTACGACTTACCTGCAACCTACCGAGACCTGAGGGACCTCAAGAATGAGCTCGAAGCCTTGAGCAAACGAGCTGAAGAGTTCGCCCGCGAAGTGAGCATTTTCTTGGTTCAGACTGCTTACCGAACGAAACCGACTGATGTGTGCTCTGCAGCTCGAGTCTCGGCTTGCGTTCGAGACGAACCAAACGAGCGGCTTGCAGCGTGAGTTGACCGAAACCGGCAACAGACTAGCCCGGGCAAGCAATGAACTGGCGACATGCAATGGAGCGTCGGCAGCAATTATGCTGGTAAGTCACGAAACGCCAATCTAGCCCGAATGCTTGAAGACAGAGAACATTGATTAACGTCCGTCGTGTCAACCAGTTATACTTCTCCCCAATTGCTTTGGGAGCTGGAGTCTTCTCCATGGACGAAAATGTGATCGGGTTCCTCCCACGGACCTTCGGGTCATTTCTTGTTCTCGTCCTCGGATTCGGCATTTTTGGTTTCGTCATTTTTTATTATTGGCCTTACTTGAGTGGAATCTTGCAGAGGTGTCTGGCGCCGACGAAATCGCTGCATCACGGGAACATCGCCAGACTTAAGGCGATCTTTGTGGAGAGATTCCATCTTCTCTGTCGTCCAACCGTGCAGTGGCGTCGGAGTCTTGAGGAAATGTACGCAGAATTGCTTCGATTTTCCCGACGTCATCCGAGATACGCATCACGGCAATCTGCGGGCGACGGCATTTCACTACCATCCTGGAGTGGGCACACGGACAGGCAGCCATCGCATGACCAACCGCGTGACGCGGAAACACAGTCCTAGCAATATACTTCCAAAGCATCAGGTGCTTTCAGCCATTGGGAGCCATGCCTTGATCATACAGGACATGAACATTGGTAATAGTTGAGGCCCATTTGGCGCGTAACCTGCAATATCCAGTACGAATACTCTGCATCGCGCTTTCAACGTCGCTTCTGCATGTGTGCCACTCGCCCACTTTGTGTATTTTCGCTAGTAGCATCTCATTATGGCAGAGAGCTGTGGATGTTGGGATATCCCGGGTCAGGTGGGCATGCATCGCTGGACGCTATTGCAACACGTTGCAGAAGCGGTTGGGACTGCTACGTGGCAAATCGAGATATCGGGCCTTTCTTCACTGGCAGAATCATCATGGTCTCCGAATCCCGGTCATTGCCAGGCCACAGCTTGCGACAAGATTGATGCCTAACCCCACAAAGCCGAAATGTTGGAAGATCCTTTGCGTCTACCGACCCAGATCCACCGGTCATGCAAGATACGCCCTCAAGCGTTGGCATCACAATATGCTGCCTTTCTTCTACATGTCTTGAGCATTCGTCCTTCAACACATTCATGTCCTGTCGAAACAGTGATGATGGCTTCACTTACATTGGACGGGGTTCAAGCGTTGCTTAAGCACTTGAACCTGGAAGGAACGGTTTCCTTCTCCACGATAGCAGACATTCAGAGTAATCCGCTGGATATATATCAAGCCAATCTTGCAGAGATACTAGTTCAACTCACGAATTGCGAGCCTCAATCGGCATATGATTCAATACTATTGCCGAATGATCTTGGCGACCTCACAGTGGTGCTCCCTCGACTCAGACTTCAAGATGTCGACCTGGAAAAACTCGCAGGAGATCTCAGGCAAAAGGTACGAGCACTCATCTGGTGACAATGGTGAGCCTCGTTCAGAGCTAGAATACTGATGTTCGCCGTCTTTCCAGTTCCCGTCTTCGCCTCTCTTTGCCAGCCCAATTCCTGATGGTATTCACTTGCGCGTCTTGTTCTCCCCTGTCACACTTGCACGTCTACTCATTCCCTACATCAGGGACAGAGGCGCATTATACGGCAGGTCTCAATTAGGAGACGTTTCAGAGGATCGAGCCTCGCCTCGTGCGCAGCAGAAAGTTGTGGTCGAGTTCTCCTCGCCAAACGTTGGGAAAGAGTTTGACGGGAACCATCTCAGGAGCACTTTCATTGGAGCATACATTGCAGCGTTGTACCAGTTCATGGGATGGGACGTCTGCAGAATGACCTTTCTTGGTGATTGGGGGAGGCATATTGGACTTCTGGCTGTGGGATGGTCAAGGTTCGGCTCAGAAGAGCTCCTCAAGAAGGACCCTTTGAGACATCTCCTTGATGTGTTTGCTCAAGTCAACAATCTCCTCCGGAACGAGCAAGAAGAGGCCAAGAATCTTCCGGCGCAAGGCCAAGAGAATGTTGTTGAGCATGCAACAATCTCGACGGAAAAAGATGAATTCTTCAAGAGAATGGAAGATGGCGACCCGGATGCTCTTGTATTGTGGAGAATGTTTCGCGAAGCCTGCGTCACAAGCTACACTGATCTTTACGGGAGGCTAAATATCAAATTCGATGATTACTCAGGGGAGTCGGAGGTCAATGCGAAAACGATCACCGACGTGGAGGACATGCTTAAAGAGAACGATGCTTACAGGGAAAGTGACGGAGCCTGGGTGATAGATTTCGAAAAGCATGGCTATAAGGGTCACCGTACCGCGATTGCTCGGTTTAGCAATGGGACAACAAGCTATTTACTGAGGGATATCGCCGCAGTATTGGAGCGATACGAAAAGTACTCTTTCGACAAGATGATCTACGTGGTTTCAGCGAAACAAGATACCCACTTTCATCAGGTGTTCAATGCCTTGGAGTTGATGGGTCTTGCTGAGCTTGCTTCAAAGCTTCAGCACGTCAGCTTTGGTAAATTGCAAGGCCTATCGCCTAAGACAGACAGTGGAGGACTTCTCTTAGGCGACATCCTCGATCAATGTCACAATGCTGTCGAGGAATTTCTGGAAGACAATCCTGAAGACTTTGCAGAACTTCGGGAAGAAGTATCTACCTCGAACCTTGCTGATGCTCTTGTAGCAACTGGCCTCATGACTCAAGAATTGTCCATCAAGCGTGGCGGCACATTTACCTATGACACAGCGAAAATGGCTACTATGGATGGCGACACGGGCTTAACACTACAATATTGGCTCACGAAGCTGGACTCAAAGCTCAAAGGTGTGCGAATAGTCTCCGAAGAGCTCGACAATGCCGACTACTCTATATTCACGGATGAATCGTTCTACGATGTCCTCCGACTTCTCATCCAGTTTCCTGGCATCGTGAAGTCTTCCTTCAAGAATTTTGAAGCGTCGATTATCCTTACATATTTGTTCCAGCTGGCCAACACTCTCGAGGCTGTTTTGGGAGAGGACGACGAAGCAGAAAGCTCGAATCTCAACCTCGCCAAACTCGCCTTCTTCGAGTGCGTACGTTATACCCTCTCAAACGGCATGCAGATGGTAGGCTTAGTGCCACTCAGAGGAGAGGCTGAGGTCCGATCTGCTGCAATACCTTCACTGGAAACTAGGGCAATGACAGACTGATCCAGATCTTGCATAAGGGTTTCTTTGCACTCGTGTTGTATGGCGTATCTGAAATTGTGATTGTGGTTGCTTTGCGATGGCAACATGTCCTAGTGCTTGATTTGGGACACGGAGGGGGGAACGTCATGGTGGAAAGGCTGAGTTCAGCCTCGATGCAGATCACAATCATCACAAGATGTGACTCTTCGGGATCTTGCACTGATTCAACGGCATCTCTGGCGCATCGTGGTCACAGCCGCTCACAAGGCGTTCTCGATTACTTGCCGCTCCTCCAGAGCCGAGCCCTAAATGCGTTCTCCGACCCAGCTGTTCCTGCACGAACAACGCACCGTGTGATCTAGCACGACTTCGTCTGATTCGAGCTCGCACCCAATTTACGAGCTGTTGCACTTGGGATCATGGGTAAGAAGCCCGCGCCATGAGGCGGAGGCAAAGGTTGGGCTCAAAGTTGCACTTGCTCTCTATGGCGCCCCAGAACGTGGGGGATCTTTTGTAAGTGCAGGGCATGACCTGCATTCTTGACTTCAATCGTATCAATCACTGCTTGAGCGGCCTATGATAGCACTCTCCAAGGCATCTGAACGAGGCATTGACCCGCAGTCGAACCATGTGAGTTGTTGTTGCTTACAATGCGTTGACATGTTGGAACAGATTGGCTGCCTCATATGTCGGGCACCGAGTATTGGCATATCTCCTGGTCCAATCAAAGTCGAATACCGATATCCATACCAACTCTCTTCCTCACTGTGCACATGTCAGTGCTGTCTAGCCCAGACGGTGGCCACAACAATGCTCCTGCCTGAGTATGCCGCTCGGCAGGATTGAGCAGGGGCAATCGTGGATAACGATGCGTCTAGCAGACCTCCAGATGAAAGTGCTGGGCGTGCCGCTACCTTTCGGCTTGCCCATTGGAATGCACTCCCATTACCATCAGCATCGGGCTCTAGGCAACAGCATTGACACGGTGACCCTGTTCAATGGGAGTGCTTCGCTCATGCCCAAACGCACCACGGGTATCAAAGGATGGTGGTATGTTGACCTCGCTGCTGACAGGTCGGACACTGCCTAAGAGGTCTAACGATTGGTACGCTTTCCGTGACAATGCACGACCAGCCTAACCGGGATGAAATAATGGCCAGTCATAGTCGGCCACGGATTGTTGCTGCAATGCATACGTGCCCAGACACTGGCTCTCATGTGGAGAGGCCTTAGCTGCCATGAGGCTCTGCTTTCAGTCTGAGTACACGACAATTGTCTCGTGGCAATCAAAAGAGGCATGACTTCTTGCTCTCTGTCCTTCTCAGCATCTCAAGCAGATGTTGGACATCTGACTTTTGAGCCGACTCAAGCTGGAAGTTCACCATGGACGCCCAGCAACGTCGGCTCTACACCGAGTTAGTGCTCTTCTTGTTGACACGAAGTTCCTGCTAACATGATCACAGTTGGTGTCAGAGTGACCGCATCTCGCTCTCGGCATCCGATTTAAATGGCGCCAACGAAATATTCCTGGTACCCGGTGACCTGCTCCGACGACGCTCACGTAAATTTCGTGAAACCTTGACTCAATTTGTGTCAGGAATGCCTGTCAATGTCACATCTATCGAGACTATGCGAGACTTCTTCATCTGGACACACTCATCTCAGCCACATGTCGAAGAGCAAGCGTCCCTCGATGATGTTGTCAAACTTGGCATCTTCGCAGCCGAATATGAGATCCCGGCTTTGAGCAACCAGGTTACGGATGTTATCCGCAGCAATCTTGCGAGTGGTGAATGGAAGCTTCAGGCGTCGATTGCTGATAGTATCTACGACGTTGTGCCGGCAGGTGGAACGTTACGAGAAGTCATCCGAGGAGCATTGGGACTGCTGCCCAGGTCAATTGCGGATCTCGAAGAAGATAGTCGCGAAGAATGGAAAACTACCATATTGAAACACTCACAACTCGGTTGGGATTACATCGAGGCAAGCGGCTCGGAGTGGACACGGCAAGGCTATCTAGCCGGCGTTTGCCGTTTTCATGACCATGAAGGAATGGCATATCAGAATGGCTTTGCTGCAAGCTGTGATGGGTGTCCATATGCCCAAGACGAATGCTACCCAGAATGGAAGCAGGAAAAGAGCATGAGTGGCGAGAATCACACTGACGAGACTCCAGCGGCTGAAATTGGAGAGCCTGCTGCCAGTAGCGACGACACTTTCCACACAGCACCATCGGAGCCAGCATTGGCACCGATTGAGGAGGAGCCTGTATCGGACGCAGAATCTGTAGTGGCAGCTATAGCGGGTCGTGAAGAAGTATCGGCTGAGGCACCGGTCAAGGATAGCACCACGGAGCTCGAGGAAGCTCCTGAAGTGCCACCTGTTGAGGCACCACTAGCCGAAGAGCCAGTGGAGACATTGCCGGAACGAGTGGAACGGGCAAAAGAGCACCCAGCAGTTGAAGAAATGCTGTGGACACTTCGTCAGCGCACCCGAGGCCCAACTGCACCATCAAACGAAGAACGACCACTTCCAACAGACTCAGCAACAAGGGATGCGCCAGAGATCGACGACGAGCGTCCACGTGCAGATTCCCTCGACCGACCGGATGACGAAGACCCTGCTGCATCAGAAATGAACGACGTTGCACCATCAGAAGTCAGCCACAGCGGCAGTGGATCCACAGAAGTCAATGGCGTCAAGAGCACCCAAATCGACGTAACAACTGTACCTGAATCCGTGATTGAGGAGGTCGACGGCCCGGTCGAGACTAACGGACATGCCACGGACGAGAAAGACATCCAGGAATCCATTACCTCGGTCCCTGCGGAGTCAGAAACACCCAAGTCTGCGAAGAAGAAGAGTAAGAAGAAGAGGAACAGTGTTAGCCATGCGAAGCACTGAAGGGCATACCGGGGGAAAATGGCCCTGTCACAAGGTAGGTACTGAAATGCGGAAAGGGAAATTGATACCTGGGTACTTGTCGGATTTCGGGTTGTGGTTTCGTTGGAAAGGATGAGAAGGGTCAAAAGTTCGAGTCCACATACGCATACGCATAACAGACTCGCTTCTGGGTGGTCACAATGTCTGACCTTTGCATGAGAACACTCGCTTCACCAGTTAGCTGGAGTTTGTAGGAGTTTTCAACACAATGCGTGTTTTGCGTGATGTCTGTATTCATGTATGCCCTCCCTCATAACAGCTTCTTGTTGGTGGTAGCTGACGACATGCCCGTTTGTCATGTTGAATCGTTCTTTTCTGCTTGAGATCGTGTATTGGTGACCGACCTCGATTGAGTTGAAGACGACCAAAGCATTATTGTATGATACCCACTCACGGACCACGGAGGTTTCGATCGCGGAAGACGGAACGTTTGTCGAGCCAATTCTGAAAACTATCCATATACAACCCCGCATGGGGAGTATCAGAATGCTTCTTGAATGGCGTACTATTCCACAATTCCTCGTGCTTGGATGTTGCCGCCATCATTGCAGCTCAAGGAAACACAGCAACCGATTGACCAGCGACATACTCAGCCTTCTGCGAGATTGTTGCAGGGCAAGACAGCCCATATCGGCTGATATCACAAGCATGAAGCCATCAACAAACACCGCTGGTGTTGTTGATCCGGAGGCTGGTAGAACAGCACCAGAAGTGTACACAGAACAAGAATCTTCATTAACAACAACGACCGGCTTCTCCTGCGTATATTTCGGGTATGGTTCAAATCTGTCGCCGCGAACCATGAAACAACGCTGTCCGGACTCACTCTTCATCGGTCTTGCGGAGCTCAAAGACTGGAAATGTATCATCAACGAGACTGGGTACGCCAACATCATTCCATCGCCAGGAGACGTTGTGTACGGCAGTCTCTGCTTCCTCAGCAAACGTGACGAGATGGCTCTGGACGAAAGCGAAGACGTGCCTTGGCTCTACGAGAAGCAAAGCTTGCCCGTCAAGCGCATCCTCAGTGACGCAGAGAAGTTTTCTGACTGGGCTGAGGAAGGCGGTGTGGAAGTTCAGGCCATGACTTATGTTGATGTCCAGCGCAAAGTCGCGGGCAACATCGAACGCGAGTATGTGGTTTGGATCAAGAAGGCCGCGGAGGACGGGATGAAGTGTGGCATGCCGTCTTCGTACGTGGAAAAGTACATCATGCCATTCCTGCCAGAGACGATAAAGACTTGGAGGATATAGTCATGGTCAGGACGACCAGGTTCGGTGAGCACAGTGCGGGTATTGTGCCTCGAGGCTTTGCTAGTTGGTCAAGAGGGTAGACAGACATGCACCCCGTCATAACGCATCGTCCATACCATAAAAAACGTCTTTGATTGGTACAAGCTGCATTATGTGAAAATCCAAAGTCCTCGGAGGTATTGTATGGTGAAAGTTAAGAGAAATGCACAGATGGAATTCAATCATATGCATAGAACGCTAGTCCCGGAATGGACGTATAAACAGACCTGACGCGCCCCGCGGTGTAAGACACGTTAACACAACGATTGCGCCGACACGATGTACTAAGTACCTATCCGTAGTGCCACTACATATCTACCGCATATTGGACGATTTTTGGAACGCGCCCGTCATGCCTGGCGAAGCAACCATCCTAGAAGGGCCGGTCACGCCGGCGCCGCTCTTCGCATACCGCGCCGTGCGAGGAATCTTTTTCCGCTCACCAGATTCCACGCCCGAGTACAACAACAAAGAAAACGTCGATCCAACCCCTGTATCTTCCCCTCAGAAATCAAATACCATGGATGAAAGGCTGCAATTGACTCCCACTCACAAGCGCAAGCGTGATGGTGGTGCGGTGATGCTCTCTCCTTCAAAGGCTATGCTATCTCCCACAAAGGGCATACTACGAACGCCCGGCCTTGCGACACCGAGGGCGAAATTACTGAAGGATATCAATGTCAAGTTCAAGAGTGTCAGTCCAGAATCGGCACAACAAAGGCATGCTGCGATCAAAAACATTGGTCTTGCGAATACAAATTCAAATGCCATCAAAAGCGCGTCCTCAAGCAAGGATCCAGGCCATCCACTTCGAATCTCCAAATCAATGGGCGATCTTGAACCTGCGAAGAGAGAGAACAAAGTTGCTGCAGCAGCAGACAAACCCACGAAAACCAGTGTGCCAGTCACAGTGAACACAACTGCGTTCCCACCGAGCGCGATGGATGCGTACATGCAGCAGACAGAGAAGGAAATGAAGAAGCTTGTCCGCTACGGGCAGAAAATGCGCGAATACGCGCGTCAAAAGGATGCAGAAAATGTGGAACTGAAGAGTATGGTCGAGAAGCTACACCGGGAAAATGAGCGGCTGAGACGTGCTGCTCCAAGTGAAGCCGAGGCAAAACAGGAACAAGACAGACATGGCAACGTGCGCGAGGGAGCTACCCAAAGCCATGTCAGCAGAACGCCCAGCAATCGGGTCAAATCCGCGAAGGAGTCAACCAGAGAGGGAAGCATGGCACTACGACTGACAACCACAAAACTACGACGACCAAGTGCCTCGATTCCCGTCTCCATTGCGGATACCAGACCAGCACCACCGGGCAGCAGTCACCGCAATAAATTTGACCATACACCGCCACCGGCAAGCACAAAAGCACATTCGAAAACAGAAACGAATCCCCTAGGACATGCTTTACCCGTCCGCTCTGCCTCTAGTGGTGCTCCCTCCGCTCACATGAACAACGACACCGCCGCGAACCTTCCAGCTAAGAACGACATTGGGACCGGCAGCACACGCCTAGCTCCAGAGCGCCTCGCAGCCGCTCGCGAAAGATTACGGCGACGCGCCGAGGCGCGGAAAACTAGCGTTGAGCACGACCAGGACTGCGAAGGCCACGTATACAATGACAGTCCACCTAAGAAGATGCAGCAACGAGAGGGCATACTCATTGACATCAACATCGACGGTGACGCTGATGCGATGCTTCAGCCACAGACTGCAGGTCAAAGTCGGGAGCAGAGTGTGCTTGATTGGGTGAATTTGTGATTACTTGATACACCCATTAGAAGGAGCTGTGATCTGTTAACGGGTCACGACATATCAACATAGTGAAAAAGATGTATACGATACCCCATAGGATATAATGATCCGAACCACAGCACTCTTTTGGCATTGTAGTTGTATATCTAATCTATAATGATGCCCCATATACAAGGGTCGTGGCCACTAGGCAGAGCCTGCTAGCCTTTTCCATGCATGAGCCTCTCAACCAAGAGATTCTCCTAGCGTCCTCTCATCAGTCTGTGTGCCCGAAGACCGACTGGGCGTGGTATACCGCGCCTGCTCTCGTGCGCGCTGTTCGTCCTGTGCCTTTTGCAAGGCCCTTCGTTTCTTCGCGGCTTCCTCCTTCTCACGTGTCTTGATAGACGAGTAATTCAAGGCCGATATAATCATGACTAGACTGCGCGTTAATTTCATACTCCGAAGCATGAAGAGAATGGTGCTGTGACTTACATGCACAGGCTCCTATAGCCAGAGCCGCCCGACGGGTCAACACCCATCTCAAACCTTCAACATCACTCTTGGAGTCACTGTTCAATAGCACCGTGATTTCATAGTTCAACTCGGAGATCTTTCCGTCAATCTTGCGTTTATCTTCTTGCAGCATCAACTTTCGGTCGTTGAAGAAACCCTTGAGTTCCTCCTTAAGCGTCAAGAGATCTTGCGTCACTTTTTGATTGAGGATGTCAAATTCGTGCTGCAGTTGTGCCCTTTGACTGCGTTGCTTCAGCGTCTCCGAATGCCGAGTCGCTTGGAGCGTGGTTTTCAATTCCGAACACGCTGCACGGAAGAGGTACGATTCATTTTCGATGTCTGATTTGGAGACAAGTCCTTCTTTTGCGACATCTAGGTTCAATGACAACATGAGGCGGATAGCTTTCATCAACCTCTCTGCTTGTGTGACAGTATATGCGTCTTTGGCGGCCAGTTGCTGTACCAATCCATATGTATCGAAATGATGTTCATAAGGAGGCGCCTCAAGATGCGGATGAACGGGGGAGTCTTTGCCCTTGACTTCGGACGGGGAGGGAATGGACAGCACCATGTCCAGCTCCTTGTTTTCAAGTTTATCCTGCTCGTCTGGCTTGATCTGTCCAAGCGTCTTGGTCATTGAGGCTTCATCAACGTAGTCCGACGTCGTATTCGATTCTTGCGGCTCATCTTGTCCGGTATCTGCCTCTGTGTGACTTGTTTCATGGTGGGGTGGTTTTGGGGCTGCCTCCTTCGGTGGTTGTGTGTCTTCCTTCGGCGTCAATGGCTCTTCTGGTTTAGGTGGAGGTGGTAACCCTGAGCCTGCTGCCGGTCCATATCTCTGTGGAATTGCGTCTTGTCGTCGTTGTGCAGAAGTATGTAATTTCGCCTTGCGATTGTACTTGGAAGGAGGAGGGAATCGTAGGGATTGATACGTCGTCGGCTCGCAGGCACGCACCGCGCGAAGAAAATTAGGATAGAGGAACGACAGGCGAGGGGTCGCCATGTCAAGATTGAAGCGCGCAGTCGCAACGCTGGATGCTCTAGCAGTATACAGTGTACGTGTTTTCTTGTAATATTCGTGATTGCTGCGATGAATGTTGGCAGTCCGGTTATTGTTGGCAGAGCACGATCATCAAGAGGGGAAGGTTTAGCCGATTTGGAAAGCGACATCATTTCGCCATTTTGTGCCGACGAACATTCAGTCCATGGGAGTCACGATTCATTCTGCGGTTGATACAATTCATGTCCTCTTGCTGGTAAATGGCCTTATATATGATACCTAGGTATGAAGCAGCCCGAGAACCGATACCACAATCACAACGCTCAAGTGACCCCTGAGAGGCCGGGAAAGCCTTCTTCAAGCCGTCTGAAACTCGAGCTCTCCTACTCTTGTTGACATCCGGCGTGTCAGAACGCTGAGTCGTTTTTTTCCAGGACAGAGAGTATGTCCGCCGAAGTACAATGGTTGGTTTGAATGCTAAGCCGGCAGCATAAGAAATGATGATGTCCTTGGCCGTCGCGGCGGACACCTTCTCTGTGCAGACCTGCTGCAGCCTTACCTATGCGACCTCTGATGCACACGAGCGAAGGGGTAACCTTGTCATTACCACGGTATACAGCCAAATCCCAGTGCGTAAAAGACGCCAGATAAGCTCAGGCTTGAGGACGGCCACTGGATTTGATATCCGAGGGTCTGGTAGGTAAGTAAGTCATGCGCCTGACGGATCTCGAAAGCATATATATCTGAAAGGCGGGAGAAGTGGTGTAGTCCACGGTGAAATTGAGATCGCAGAAGCGACTTTGTAGATGGCTGAGTGATGAAGTTCTGGTTGGCACTCCATCAGCCCTTGTTGGTGAGGTGCAGTATATATGTCTACCAGAGACGCCCCTTCGAGTTCCAACTCGACCAGAAAGAAATTACGGCTGGTCTAATCTATCTCAACCTCGAAGTCCTCGGACAAGGAGTTTGTGGGCAAAGATAAAGTTGGGCTTTGTTTGTTGTCTGTAGCCGACATTCAAAGATTGATGACAGTCGAACACTTACTTACTAGCAGGCACAGCTTCGATCTGAACATAGCCTCCTCAATTTCCCTTTTCCGACGTATGCGACAAGGCTGGTCAATGCTCGGAACGCAAGCCTCGTCGCAAACATTCGCAAGCCTCGTCGGTCGGAAGAGGGCGCGGGCAATTCCGGCACAGGGCCTCATCTCTGGGCCGGCTAAACCATTTGCCAAAGGTGCCTAGATCTGGCATACAATTGGGATTTCCCCACATTCTGAACCCTTGAGCCGAGTTTGCGCCTTTTGGTACCAGAATAGTCAATTTGATTACACGGGCAACGGGGTTGTTGGAGGTCAAAGGCACAACCTTCTGACCTCCCAAGGCTGACCACCGCCCATCGAGAGAGCGGGAAAAGGTTTTGAATGTAGCAGCAATGGGACGAGCCGCCAGTTTGCCGTCTTAGTGCTCCGAGTAATGACCGCAAATAGGTCTACGTGTGATCCCACTTGCTTTTTGTCACTTTGGAGCCATGAAGCGTGAGCCAGGAGCTTCGTGTGGTCTGGCCATGGTTGGGGCACCTGACCATGACAGATTATAAAGACGTCCTTGCAGAGCCAGACGACCGAGAATGACCAGGTTACCGAGCGAGTGAGAGACGGTGCCGCCTCTCCACAGCAACGGCGATGGTTGAAGTGCCGTCACAGGCTCTGATGGAAGAACCCTCGTTCCGGGTCCAGCAGTGCATTGGACACGCACGGAAGTAGCAGATGGTGGGGCAGGGCAGGCAAGAGTGAGGGTTTTCCTGAGGTGGTTACAGTTACCAGCTCCGCAGAAAGAGGGGGAGCTGGACGGATGATGGCTAGGTCAGGCACGTTGAAGCATTTTGTGTGGTTCAGTGAGGGACTGGAGTATCATCATGACGGTTTGGTCTTATAAAAGATGGCGTTCGTCCGAAGGGAGATGTTTTCTGCTTCCTCTCCATATTGTTCAATTGATTGTTTCAAGGTTAAGGAAGCAATTTAGTCTTAAAAAAGGTACGTATCTTCTGCCTATCTATTACCCCTCGTCCTTGTTGCTGTGTCCTGCTCGGTCTGTCGGCTGTCGTCTCGCTGGTCCGGGGCTCTTCTCCGCAAGCAGTAGATTCAGACGCCGCAGAAGCTGTGTGGCAGTGGCAGTGGTAGTGGCAGTGGCTTCAGCTTACCTGGATCACCACCGGCCCTCCCACTTCAGGCGTCATCACCCTTATCTCCAATCTCCAACTTACACCTGGGTTTTTGGTGTATACGTCTTGCGACACCTATCTGCGGGCTACCCCTCCTTTACACTTACATTCACCCCTGCAACTGCATCAGCTTCCTCCTCGGGCCATCTGCACGACCTAAGCTCCAGCTTGTGGTCCTGACGTTTACTGATTAGCCGGTCTCCACCATAGGTACCTCCTTCTTCGAGGCTCAAAGCTCTACCGGCAGAACCTATTATCTGACCTTTTGATACAAAAGCACCTTTACCGCCCGTCTTTCCACCCTTCACTTAATTGATCTTTTATCAATTACTGTATACATCCTTCAAAATGGTATTTACCCGTGCAGCTGCACGCTCATTGCCGCGTGCATCATCACTCCTCTCCTCCACTTCCCCGCACTTTGCTCGCCGCGCAGCAACTCCCTCCTTCCAACCTTCACTCACTGCCAAACGCACGCTGACAGCCACCGCTTCTCGCCAGGGCAAAGTTCTTCTGGTCCTGTATGATGTATGTTGTCCTTCCTGACCTCCTTCCGCTTCTCCAATTGACGTTTACCAGGGCGGCGACCACGCTCGAGACCAACCTCGCCTCCTCGGTACCACAGAAAACGAACTAGGTATCAGAAAATGGCTGGAAGAACAAGGACACACTTTGGTCACCACCTCGGACAAGGAGGGAGAGAACTCCAAGTTCGACCAGGAATTGGTTGATGCCGAAGTCATCATCACCACTCCGTAAGAGAAGCACATGCCCGACAACACAAGAATTGGCTGACAATGTCCTTCAGTTTCCACCCGGGTTACCTCACCGCAGAGCGTCTTGCAAAGGCCAAGAAGCTGAAGATTGCCGTCACTGCCGGTATTGGCTCAGACCACGTCGACTTGAACGCCGCCAACAAGACCAACGGAGGTGTCACCGTTGCTGAAGTCACTGGCTCCAATGTCGTCTCCGTCGCTGAGCACGTCGTCATGACCATCCTTACCTTGGTCCGAAACTTCGTCCCTGCCCACGAACAGATCGAGAAGGGCGACTGGAACGTCGCTGCCGTTGCCAAGAACGAGTACGATCTTGAGAACAAGGTCGTCGGTACCGTCGCTGTTGGCCGTATCGGTGAGCGTGTGCTCCGTCGTCTCAAGCCTTTCGAATGCAAGGAACTCCTCTACTTTGACTACCAACCTCTCAAGCCCGAGGTTGAGAAGGAGATTGGTTGCAGACGTGTTGAGGATCTCGAGGAGATGTTGGCTCAGTGCGATGTTGTCACCATCAACTGCCCACTTCACGAGAAGACCCGAGGCTTGTTCAACAAGGAGTTGATCTCCAAGATGAAGAAGGGTATGTCAGTCCAAGCCTATTCCCGTTCAGCGAACTAACATATGCAGGTGCTTGGCTCGTTAACACTGCCCGTGGTGCCATCGTCGTCAAGGAAGATGTTGCCGAGGCCCTCGCTTCCGGCCAGCTTAATGGATACGGTGGTGATGTTTGGTTCCCTCAGCCAGCTCCCAAGGATCATCCTCTCCGAACTGCCAAGAACCCATGGGGTGGCGGTAACGCCATGGTTCCTCACATGTCCGGTACTTCCATTGATGCTCAGGAGCGTTACGCTGCTGGTACAAAGGCTATTCTCGACAGCTACTTCTCTGGTCGCGAGGATTACAAACCCGAGGATCTCATTGTCCACAAGGGTGACTATGCTACCAAGGCATATGGCCAGAGAGCCAAGAAATAAATGTTGTGACTATATATGACTGAGATTGTCCGGTTGAATCTATGCGCAAGAGTTGGAAAGGTACATCATGATTGCGATTTGGTCGATGTTTCTCAGCCATGAGCATATACCTGACATTTAAGGGTCAATCATGTTTGCAATACCAGTCTATACTATACTCTGGACATCAAATACAAAAAGTGAACAAAATTGTGGTATCATCTCTTTCTTTCCTCCAAGCGTTTAACGAGCGTGGTTTGCTCGTGCGACTAAGATGTGGGGTGAGCTTTTGGTTCCCCCACATACCTAACGTGTATCAAGGACGACCCTGAGCCTGGCCCAGCACCCAAAGTAAGTTCAATCTGGGGACAAACCGGAGGAAATCTTGCTAAGGGAATCACTCGGCGAATGTACTGTGCACAGTACCGCCCGGCTGAATGATTATGCGTGGAGTAAGTGCAGCAACACGGTCCGGACTACGGAGTATGAATCCCTGGATTCTGGGATGAAGGAGTTGAAAACTAGATCCTATGCTCGGACTGCGTTGACCTCGATCGTGGTCCGTTGCAGCGTTTGAGACGAGCTCCTTGTGAAGAGGTGCAAATGCTTCCCTGGAACCATCGAAGGTCCCTCAGGTATGCACTTTGCGTCCGTCAAGAAAACAACGTGAAGATTGTCTGACTCAAATCCGTCAAGAGATTTTAATTGCCAAAAAGGATTTCGTGTCATGAAAAGGGCCAGATCTTACTGCATCGAGTAACCATGACTTCCCTTCTGGGCAAATTCTATCTCCTCCAAAGGAACCTGGTTTCCAAAATAGAATGGCACACCAGAATCACGATGTCCCGGACACTCTCGTGACCACATGGTCGTTTCACCTACCTCGTCGCTAGCTCAATAGCTGTGACCTGAGAATCACTCAATCACACGTCCATATAGAATCGATGTATTTACCTTCCTGAATGCTTGGGAATATTTCCATCACCTAACCCATAATGACAAAAACATGATACGTGCACGATACATGCAACTCCAGTCCGATACCCCAAAATGTGATGCATCATTGTGTTTTTCCGACTCCGAACGACTCCATCAGCTATGCATCAAAACTTGACAACAACAATCTCCATCCTTTCATTCTGGCCAACGACCCAGCGCTCGTCACCGGTGATGCGTCCCATGGCGCAGACCTGCTCCGTCAAGCCGTCGTCCAGCGTGACCCATTCGGACCCGGACTCAGACTCATCACTCTCGTGACAACCCGTCTTCAACCTGACCACAAGCTTATTATCCACGCTCTGGCCTGAAAAACATGTCTCGACAAGACTCAACTTGACCCCAGCCTTTGTGTCAACGACGTCCATGACCGGCAAGAACCAGCGCTCACTCTCCTCGACATCCGCACTCTCCATACTACAATGCCCACGGTACGGCGGCAAATGCCCATCCCATTCCCTGTACAGTCGTGGCCCTTCCCCACAGAAAGGAAACGTAGTCGTCTTAGCACACCACAACCGCTCCGCAGGATCGAAGTACCCCTGACCCGTAACCCCGACGTTCTCGCGCACTGTCAACGAACATGTCTCGGAGTCAATACCCAAGGACATCAGGGAGACGGTCGCATGCTGCCTTACACCCCAAAACTCCATGTCCATGAACGAATATCTCGATACGATATACGGGCCCTCCTTCGCAGGAGGACGGTATTTTCCCGACGGATCGCTCGACGGCGCGTAGTTTGACGGTGTGGATATGTCCCAGACGGACAACGACTCGATCGGCATCTCCTCGTCGCCTGTATACATGCTGCGATTGGGCTGCCAGAAGTACACGGCGTAATGTGTTGAAGTGTGCGTCGAGAAGAATCGATCGTGGTAATTTGGCGGGAGACCAAGAAAGTGCATCTTCCATTCTGATCGCCATGTTACAGTCCATGATCCTTTGTCAGACCTTCGCACGTCGAAGCAATTCGCGAAATGACGGTTGACCTGTTCCATGGCATTGAGGTTGTGGAAGGGGTCTTTTTCGGCCCACTCGACGATCAGGGTGCGGTCTTTCAGGCGGATATTGCGAATGATTTTGCCGCGATTACTGAATGGAATCGGTGTTTTCGTGCCTGTCGACAGATCCAGAAGGGCGAGCGTCTCGGGGAAGTATGGGGCTTCTGTGCATCGGGCGGGCGCGTAGACTAGGAGGCCGTCGTCGTAGGTCCATAGCGTCGGGCGAAAGAGGTACGGTTTCGGACTGACTTTGCTGAGGTGTACGGTGTCGTAGTATAGACGGCCAACGGGTTGGCTTTCGTGGTAGTCCCATTGACCTACGGGAAACCAGTCGCCTAATTGTTCCAGGGGTGCCATGGCGTATTTGGTGACACTGCTGGCGGTGCCTTTGGAGAGACTGTGGTATCGAGACGCGATTTCCAAGAGGAGATCTTGCCAGCTGATCGTGTGCGGTGAATTGTGGAAATGCAGGGCTCCGGGAGGGAGGTTGCGGACTTCACTGGCATGAGGGTAACGCTGCAATGCGACTCGGATATATTCGTCCTTGGTGAATGCGGTGCGCCATGACTTACAGACGCGCTGACAGCTGGCTACATCCCATGCCGCTAGGTCGCTGAGCAGTAGTAGAAAGACATCTTCGGGAAAGTCGGCGATCGATATTGCCTTTGCCTTGTCTTGGGCTTTTGAGCACAAGGGCTCATCGGCCTCAAGAGCATCCAGGGCCATTGCGGACCAAAGTCGGAGAGGTTGTCTGGTCCACCGTCTGATCAAGGAGGGAGTATAGTGGGAGCGGTATGATACACCCTTGAACAACGCATCGAGAAGCTCAAAGACTGATCGTTGCTGAAGAAGAGCGGGGAGAATGAATGACGATTCAACCCATGGGTTGTTTTGGCGCTTTTGGCCCTGAGTGAGAGTGTCGTCCTTTCAAGGCTTGTCAGAGGCAGTCTGTTCGTCCATATCACTCAGCCGGAGAACTGCTGAAGGAATGACTGGTCCTTGCCTGTATTTGGCCGCTTGAGCATAGAGGAGTATCAAGGACGAAGGGATGTCGCACAGAGCAATGATCTCGGAAGAAGGATCCAGACTGACTAAGCGTATCACGTGTCAGCAGCGATATCGCCCTTTACTGAGACGGGCCATGAGGGGTCTTGACTACTGGCTGCTCCGTCAATCGGTGCAAAAAGAAATGCGGGCAGACTTTTTTTGAACTCTGGGATTTTGCTTTTATCCCGTGCACCATTCATTCACTGGTGAGGTTTACTGTACCAAAGATCATGTCTCAAGGCGTATTCGTATACTCCCCTGCCTCTTAAGGTAACTGCCTGACCTGTCCATCCATCTTATCAGCAAATCCCGGTTTACCGCTTCTAGCCGTTGTATCTTGCTATTTTGCTTTTTTATCCATCCTGCAAACACCGCCGGCGGTACGTAACCGCGACACACCCTGTACATCTAAAGTAGTGGTGACTCAGACACTCTTTGCCTCTTTTACGTTCTTCAACTCGGCTACCCCAGACTGTCTCTATCTAGTTGAACTCTTCAATCCCTTGACTACTCCCAAACCCCTCCTACGGCTCCCATCATGACCATCAACGACAACGGCAACATGGCTAATACTGTCCCCTCTTCGTCCTCCGGCGATGCCTCCTCCTCGTCAAACCCCACCTTCACAGTCAAAGCTGGCCTTGCCCAGATGCTCAAGGGCGGCGTCATAATGGATGTCGTCAACGCCGAACAAGCCCGCATCGCTGAGGAAGCCGGTGCCTGCGCCGTCATGGCCCTCGAGCGTGTCCCGGCCGATATCCGTCGCGACGGCGGCGTGGCACGAATGTCCGACCCCAAGCTCATCAAAGAGATTCAAGAGGCAGTCACAATCCCGGTCATGGCCAAAGCCCGCATAGGCCACTTCGTCGAATGCCAGATTCTCGAGGCTCTAGGCGTGGATTACATTGACGAAAGCGAGGTGCTCACGCCCGCGGACGACACCTATCACGTCGAGAAACACGATTTCCGGGTACCATTTGTGTGCGGGTGCAGAAACCTGGGCGAGGCGCTAAGACGGATTGCTGAGGGCGCTGCCATGATCAGAACGAAGGGTGAGGCCGGTACAGGTGATGTCGTCGAGGCGGTCAAGCATATGCGCACGGTGAACAAGGAGATTGCCAAAGCGCAGGCAGCGTTGGCAGAGGGCGAGGTAGCACTACGGGCCATGGCCAGAGAAATCGGAGCCGATGCCACGCTACTGAAGCAGGCTGCTGAGCTGGGTAGATTGCCTGTGGTGAACTTCGCGGCCGGCGGCATTGCCACGCCCGCAGATGCGGCGCTGATGATGCAGCTTGGATGTGATGGCGTGTTCGTGGGCAGTGGAATCTTCAAGAGTGGAGATGCCGCGAAGAGAGCTAAAGCCATTGTGCAAGCCACAACACACTACCGCGATGCGAAGGTGCTGGCGGAGTGCAGTGCTGGTCTGGGTGAGGCTATGGTGGGAATCAACGTCGGTAGTATGTCCAAGGAAGAGAAGATGGCCGGCAGAGGGTGGTAAGGTGTGTCACCAAGTATGTCGCTGAGAGCAGAGGCGGAGGTGCAAAAAGAAAAAGCATTCGGCGCAGTGGAAATGAGACTTACACGGCATATGCATCGGCGTCAATCACTGCATGATTAATAGACGCATGGATCGGTCAAAAGTATCAGGCAAAAGTCAATGGAACGTTTTCGAACCACAACAACACTTCTTGATTATTGACTAGAGAGAAAGCTCTTCCAGCACAGCTTCCATTTCTTCTTTCCCCAATGGCACACTCAGCATCTCTGTACCTGTCGCATCTCTCCGACTCGTGATCAACTGATGGTCGTGGAACTCTTTCAGCAGGAACTGGAAGTTCATACTGCTCGAACAGATGAAGTCCGTCGACGCTTTCTGGTACAACGCCCGGTACTCGACGCCGACTTCATCTGCCCCTGGACCGCCACCTGATTTTTGTGCTTGGTAGGTGTCATCGTCGTCTTCGCCTGCCACGACCCCATCGATCCCGTCTGTCAAGATACACAGAATTTCCGAGAGGAGCAAGCGGTACAGATTCCTCGCGTTTTCGGGTAGAGATTTTAGCACGAATCCTATACCTTCTTTGCCGCCGGTCCTGAGTCGTTTGCGACCCAGAAGCTCATGTACCTCATCGACGACGTTGATCTCGGCACTATAGGGCGCGAAAGTTGTGCAGTCGTGGTAGACGAACTTGAACTGGTCGAGTAGACTAGAATTCCAGAGCGTCGGGAACGTGGGTGTATCTGCTGTTACGAGGAATTGGATCATGGGATGGTCGGCTAGACGCGCGAGGACGGATTGGACGGCGGATTTGCGCAACGGGCCGGCGTCGATCGAGTTTATCATCAGTGTTATCGGCGTGAGTAATTGTGGGAGAAGTGTGTCGAGCATTTCGTGTGGTGGGCCGGTGAGTCTGGGGGGTTGCTCGTCTTCGTTGTCGAATATGGCGGCGGCGATGGTGTTGATTATGCCGCGGATGTTTAGCCTCGGGGTGTATCCGTTAACAATGACGATGCGCGGAGGTTTTGTACTTGAGTTTTTGTGCAGCCATTCCGCGAACTTGGTGACGAGTTGTCTCTTGCTTCCGTAGCCGTAGAGACAGAGGCCGAAATCTTCGGCGAGTTCGAACTTCCATTGCGGGAAGGATCGGGCGTGGAGTTTCATGAGCTGTGCCATGTCTGGTTCATGGTGATCTTTGTAGGACTGAATCTGCTCAAAGTATTCGTCATGCCCAAGGAGCTTGACGGAGGTAAACTTGTTGCTGGATACCTGTGGAGGACCGGCGCGGTTTTGGAAGAAATACCGCTCTTCAGGAGGGATGTCGCCTTCAGGAGTGGGTGAACGTTTGTTCTTTGCACCCTTGGGTCGTCCACGTTTGCCTGGTGTTTTGCTCGGTGTCGTAGCATCTCCTTCTTCCTGTTCTGCAGGCTCATCCACCAGAGGTTCTGCTTCGTCTTCGTCTTCTAGGATCTCCTGCGCCAGCGCAGCTTGTCCATCCCATTCCTCTTCATCGCCTTCTCGGTCTGCTGCATCCTCGAGAGCTCGTGCGCTTTTGCGCTTTGCTGATCGATCCGCCTTTGCCTTGGTAGATTTCGAGGGTGTGGTCTTGATGGTCTTGGACTTCTGGGGTGTAGAAAAAAGTGTTCGCCCATTGGCTTTAGGGGTAGGACTGCCCCCTTCATTGTCCTCTTCATCGAGCAGCGATCCAGCTGCGGACTTTCTCTTTCTCTTCGAAGGTGTCTCGTCTTTCTTCGGTGTTCCGCTCAGCTTCGGTATCGAATCATCCTCGACGTCATGTGTGCCGTTCGTGAGAGCCTTGTCGGTCGTCTTTCTTCGGCGCTTGGAGGGGGTCTCTGCCACCTCAGGGGTCGCTTCTGGCTGCTTCCTCTTGGCCATGACGAAGAGATACGTGAGCCTAGGGATTATTTGCACTGACTACCGGTGCTTTGACATTGCGGTGACTGTACTACAATCGAAAGACATGGTCCTTCCAGCAGTAGTGCTCAATGTCGCATTGTCGCATCGAAAACGCGACACGAGGCTGTTTCAATTCCACTCCGCAAATGGACGTCTCTGATTGGTCTCCGCATATTATCGCCGACCTTCTTCAATCCCGCATATTTAATCCCACCTTTGAGTCATCTTCATATTTCTTTGGCTGTATTTGGTCTGGAAGTCAATATTGGGAGGTTTGAAGCCCTCTTGATAAGGGTTTTATTGATACTGGCTTGGAGGTCAGGATCAGTGAGTCATTGGGATCACGGTCATAGTCCGACCTGATAAGAGCTTGCGAAAAATTGTCTACCAGACACTCGAACTACTCTGCTCTTCACCACACCAAACTGGGATCGGAAGAAGCGCTCGCAAACAGACTGCTCTTTGGGAAGGTGTGCTCGAATCAGGAAGACCGCAAGAATCTCGCCAGAGAGAGTCTGAAGCTCAACAGAACCACATCATTCCTGAAGACCAGCTTCCATTTCAGGTTGTGCCGTCTTTCAATTACCACCATGACGACCTCACATTTCTCACCAACCCGGTCCATGGTCCGGACCTTCATCCGCCACTACTCAGCACCCGTTGACTCGTCCATTCCAGCATCCAAACAAAAGTACATTCCCCACTCCGGTACATACCCGCAAGGCTTCAAAGTCTCAGGCACACACGTTGGCGTCAAACCCTCCAACAAATCCCAACCAGATCTCGCTTTTATCACATCCGACCGCCCAGGCTTCGCCGCCGCCGTCTTCACCACCAACAAGTTTCAGGCTGCCCCAGTGCAAGTCAGTAAAGCTGTACTCGAGACCCGTGGTGGTGCCGGCGTCCGCAGCATTATCATCAACTCAGGCTGCGCCAATGCAGTGACCGGCACAGGAGGCCTCGAAGATGCCCGCGCCATGTCTGAAACAGCAACCGCGCAATTCCAGCAGTCTTCCCAGCCAGAAGACCGTCACGGTGCAAACAGTCTAGTCATGTCGACCGGCGTAATCGGCCAGCGCCTACCCATCAAGAAGATCCTGTCCAAAATTTCCACAGCCTACCACAACCTCGCCGACGATCACAATGCGTGGCTGACCACAGCAAAAGCTATCTGCACAACCGACACGTTCCCCAAACTCCTCTCAACGACATTCACCCTGCCCTCCACGCACCACCAGGGCGTCGAGTACCGCCTCGCTGGAATGACCAAGGGCGCCGGCATGATCCATCCTAACATGGCGACACTGCTGGGCATATTGTGCACCGATGCACCTATCAGCGCCCCTGCACTCAAATCACTCCTCACAAACGCTGTAAACCGATCATTCAACTCGATCTCAATCGATGGCGATACTTCGACAAACGACACTGTAGCTATGCTGGCGAACGGCGCCGCTTCTGCTGAAGATGCACCGCCTATACACGATGATTCCAAGAACGAAGACTATCAAGCCATGTCTGCTGTGCTGACAGACTTCTCCCAGCGCCTCTCTCAGCTCGTTGTGCGCGACGGCGAAGGAGCAACTAAATTCGTGCAAGTCACTGTGCGCAATGCGCCGACCCACGCGGATGCAAAAGCTATTGCCAGCACGATCGCTAGGTCCCCCTTGGTCAAGACGGCGCTGTACGGCAAAGACGCGAATTGGGGTCGGATTCTGTGCGCGATAGGGTACACTCCGAATATCAGTCCCGAGGCGGTAGTCCCGACGAAGACGAATGTCAGCTTTGTTCCGGCGCCGAACTCAAAGACCAAGGATGAAGGTGTATTGAAGCTCCTTGTAGATGGTGAGCCTGAGAGCGTGGATGAGGAGCGTGCGGCCAGGTTACTTGAAGATGAGGATCTGGAGATTGAAGTCGATCTGGGGACGGGCAAGGAAGAGGCGAAATATTGGTTCTGCGATTTCAGTCATGAGTATGTGACTATCAACGGAGACTATAGGACGTAAATATCAGACAGACCAGAGAAAAGACGTGGAATATGAGAATATGCGATGACTCTTATATTCTTGATACTGGCGCTGTCTCAGTCCTTGTAGAGTCTCACATATTTCTACTATACAATATTTCCTCCTAGCCTCACAATTCTTCCCAACTTAGATCCTTGCTATGCATCATAAAAGCAATGCTTTTGTGTTCATAAACATATCATCCCCCAACAACCTGTTCTAGATGCTGATGTCTACTAGGCAATCAGACCTTTCAGGTTCCCACCAAAGTCACCTTCCTTAGCTGCGATCTCAAAGTAACCGTAGATGATGGTGACAGCAAGGAGGATACCAGTGCCACTTCCCAAAGCGCCAAGCATGTCACTGGCAACGGAGAGGGCTCCAATGCAAGCACCACCAAATGCCGCAGCAGTTGGGATGACACGCTTCAATTCCTTGTACATGCTCTGCTCACGGTGACCTGCCATCACCAAACCCTGATCCTTAAGCGTTTTGGCAACATCGCGTGGAGCAGATCCAGAAACCTCGATCCAAGTCTTGGAGAAGACGGCGCAAGTCACAACGATGAATGTGATGTAGATGACGGTGTGGATAGGATCGAGGAGAGCGTCGCGGAAGTTGAGAGGAGGAGACATGTAGTAGGCGACACCGCCGGAAGCATAGAGTTGAGATGATCCGTCTCTTGGTTCCCAGGTACCGATCATTTTGACCAACAAGTTGTCAGAGAAGCGAGTGTAGAGCATTTGACTGATCATGAAGATGTTGGACGCAAGAGCTGATTGCAGCATGATGGGCATGTTGGAGGTATAGAAGAGACGGATAGGGTAGGAGCCGCGCATGCCACGTTGGCGGGAGGACTTGACTGGGATCTCGACACGGAAGCCTTGCAGGTAGATGACAGCAGCAAAGACTGTCAGAGTGGCTAGAAGGTTCATGACGTTGGGGAGATGTTGTCGGTAGAAAGCCTCACGCAGAGCGCGGGTCTTGTCAGGCCAGGTGACGAGTAGATGGAATAGAGCAATGACTGCGCCCTCAAACTCCTTTCCTCTGCCAGTGTCGATGGTGGTTGGGGAGAATGCCTTCCAGATGATCGACTCACAGATGTTGGTAGCGATGAAGAGCGAGATTCCAGATCCGAGACCGTAACCCTTTTGTAGCAACTCATCCAGGAGGATGACGACCAATCCTGCGATGACCAACTGGACAATCAGGAGGAGACAGATACCGGCACCAAGATCGCTTGGCTGTCCGTACAGACCGGTGAGGACGAAGACGCAGGCTTGGCCGAAGGAGAGGATGATGGCAAAGAGCTTTTGCGCGGTTTGGTACAACTCTCGGTCGGACTTGAGGTCGAGGTTGACATCGATGAGGTGGGTACCAGCCAAAAGCTAGAGAAGGGTCATTAGTCGAGCGAGGCACGATGTGTCGCGTGTTCACATACCTGGAAGACCATTCCTGAAGAAATGATAGGTGTCGTTCCCAACTCCATCAGCGTTCCTCTGTTACTGGCCAACATCATACGCAGCCAGTAGATTGGATCTGAGGTGTCAGAGGAGACAATGCCGTAAAGAGGCATTTGACTCATGACCAAGAAGATCAAAAGTGTACACTGGTCGAGTTGTCAGTCTCGTGCTGCCCTTCCTGCGCGTCTAGCATGGTGTTTCTTACTCCTGTCCACATCAACTTCTGGTTGAAAGGGATCTTGGACTCCGGTGAAGCCACCTCCGGAAGGAGGGGCGTGAAGGGTTTGATGAGATCGAGGAAACGGACTGAGGCGCGTCTGTTAGCATTTTGTGTGGTGAGAAAGTGCGGAGAGGATGGTAGCACATACGACCGCTCATGGTTGCGATTTGGTGTGCGCGACAGATAGAATAGGAGGGTTGAGATGTCCTGTCGAGGTGCACAGGACTTTAGATGAGGATAGAAAGGTAAAAGAAAAACAAGGACCTTCTCGAGAAGGAGAAATGAAATGGTGGTGGACTTGACAAGCTGGCAAATGTGTCTCTCCTGAAGCTACCAAATTGACTGCCACTCTCATTCCTCCTCAAGGACACAGTCGACGACTCCACACAATGCGTTCATTCGCGCCAAGACAACATACCCGATTGAGGTTGTTACCATTGCTGCTTTACTTGACCGTGACGACTTCAACGAGGTGAGGTTCAAGTGAGGACTTTTGATTGCTTGACATTGTGATAGTACTGTACCTCAAACACTTCTTGTGGGTAGCCGAACTACATCTCCTGGCTCCAATCCTTGCTGTTAGCCTGAAACCTGATGTCCAACTTTAAATCCAAGCCTTTTTCCGACCTCCAAGACAATCCAAAGGACAAAATGCACCCACTCATACGAGGCCCGATGCAAGGACTCTCAGACAACAGTACTCCAAATCTTTCACCATGCTTTTCACCAAGAACTCAAGTCCTCCTCGATAACCTTCCATCGATCATGACTATTAGACTTCTTCCTCAAAACATGATCGAGTTGCCCTTACTGTCCACGATCCGCTCATTTCCACCACCGTTCACCTGTTGCGCAGCCTTCGCCTTCTGGCGTTCAGCAAATTCTGCAACGAATTCGGCCCATATGTCAGTGGCAGCAATCCCACGAGGACCCTCTTCAGCAGCCTTCTTGGCATCCTTTACGGCAGCCTGCACGAGTTCTTCGCTTCTTCCCAAGTCGAAACCTGTCAACTCGTTGATGATCATATCCTCACGAGCGACCAACTCGATATGACTCTTCATGTTAAGCAGCGAGAAGTCAGACTTCCATGGGATGTTGAGTGGGTTGGCGAGCAACTCGACCTCGAAGCGATCTTTCAAGGCAATCACATAAGCCTTGTACCAATCCCGCTCGGCATCAAGCTCGCGAACATCACCCATGGTCCTGGCCGTCTGCCATTGGAGCAAATTCAGATCACTCGCGACGTTGTCATACGCCTGTGACCATTCCCAAATTCTGTCATTGAGAGCCTTGACCTGATTCGACCAGTTTTCAACTTCTTCCAGGTGCTCATTGCGAATGATCGTGGCCGTGTCACCGTATGTCTGATGCTCGGCCTGCTTTCGCCATTCTTTGGCCTCAGTCGTCTTCTCCTCAAGTTGACGCTGAAGTACATCTATTCCTTCAAATCGCGTGTTGAGTTTGAAATTCTCTCCATCAAGGCGGATATTGCTTTCTTGCAACTCTGCAATGCGCTTGTGCGCGTTCTCAAGCTCTCGGCTGTGGCGCCACTCGACTTTTGTAAGCTTTAATTCAAGATTGGACACTTCTTCCGCACTGTCTTTGAGTGCTTTGCCAACCAGGTGTTCATGGAGAGCAACCTCGTCAAGTTGTTCCTTCAGACCTGGGACCGCTTCGACATCCTCCTTCATTTGTGCAAATACTGGCACTGTTTCGATCCAGTTCGCGATGTGGTTGCGCCAGATTTCAATAGTTGCAGAGAGTCTTGCGGCTCTGTTCTTTGCCAGGTCAATATCGGTACGCAGCTGAGCAATCTCCGCGTCCTTCTTCACAGACTCTTGAAGCATGTCATCCATCTGTTCTTTCAAGTCGGCGCAGTGCTTCTGGGTCAGTTCCAGAGCCTGCGTCAGATCCCGAACCTCATTTGGTTTGATAGTTCGAGCGTTGAATGGTGGCGAAGGGTCCTTGACATATTCAAGGGTAATGGCTCTATTGACGGCCTTTACCTGAGCCTCGGCACGTTCCTTTTGCTGCAGCAGGTGGTTGTTCTGTTGCTCGAGGCCTGAGATCGTGTCGTTCGCTTGCTCGAACCTAGCACTCACTTCCTCACTGAAGTCGGCGATATGCTGCTGTAGCACAGCTTCTCTCTGCTCGCAGTTGCGAACATCTTGCTCCAGCGTCTCCCTCGCAACACTGATCGCATCGACAATTCCTTGGAGACGTCGCGCTTCGGTGAAATACCTCTGTGCGGCGAGATGAGCTTCATCCCGCTGGGAGATGAGCTGTTGGTCCGTAAGACCATGTCTGTTGCGGAATGCCTGCACTTGTTGAGTCGCTGAGGCATTCCTGGCTTTCTCAGCTGCAAGCTGCTTGTCTTTGTTCGCAAGCTCTTGCCTCAATTTCCGGACTTCAGCATCAGCAATATCCTGCTCTGCCTCATAGCGGTCACGCTCTACTCGGACGTTGCTGAGCTCTTCTTGAAGCCTCGCAACATCGTCTTCTCGCTCGAGGAGCTGAGACCGCAGACCTTGGTTCAACGATTGTTGATGTTCCAGTTCTTCACGGAATTGTTCAGATCCGCCTTCTTCGTTGCAGTTGTCGGCCTCGTGCTCTGCCGGCTGTACATGTGCATGTACGTAGACAAGCGATGGTTGCAACTCCTCATGCTCCGCAGCGGAAGTGAATATGTCAGCCGAAGTTGCCGCTGTCGAGTCCGAATGGATTCTCAAGGAGTTGCTTCGAGGTCGGGAATGTATGTACGAAGAATCTGGGGAATCATTATCGTCCACTTCTTCAGGTTCGATGAAACCTGCTTGCGGCACATCCACTTCAACCACCTCATCAAACTGTGGAGAAAGGTATGGGACGACTACCCAGCCGGACACAGAGGCTCCCAATCGATCCTGTTGTGTGTCTTCGGTAGTCTCCTGGCTCGGGTACACGAGGTTGTTAAGAGCCTGCTCGCGGTGGTGATCCACTGTCACGCCAGATCCGAAGAAGAGTGACAAGGCGTTGCTTGTCAAGTTCGGGCTCACTGGGTTGATCACGTCAATTGTTTCTGTCGATCGTTGTGGGCATTGGGCGAGCTGTGTAATGCTTCGATGCATGTTGCTTGCCAGGACCAGACTTGTACAAGTGTTCTCAGCATCTTCCACTACCATGCCAATGATGGGGCTTGGGAAGGGTGCACACAGCTCTTGGCCGTTATTCGCAGTCAAAGCAGAGGTCAATTGGAGCGATGCCACCGGAGGTGGCACCAGCTGCCAGTCAGAGTCATTGTGGGTTGCTTCACGTAAGTCAGTGGATGCGTGAAGAAGTTTTGTTGGACTGGACTTACCCGATGTGGTGGGCTCTGATGGCATCTCACTATCGCATTGTTCATGTGTTCCAGTCACCTTGGCTCCTGATGTATGGATGACAGGGTTTGATCTTGCAAGGCTTCTCAAGATGTCCGTGACAGGAGTCTGGTGCTGGTGCTTTTGCCTGGACCAGGGAGAGTTGAGCTTTTGTTTCAGACTGGTAGGCGCCGTTCGGGAAGCAGTATGAGGAACCACCATGTCTCCTTGAGCAGCCACATGGTTCGTCTCTTTACTGACAGCTGGCGTGCGGTGGCTAAGGCGCAGCCATGCCGGAGCTCCGAACTCATCGTTTGATTCTACGACCTTGTTGGCCGCAATCACGCTGGTGGCCTATGCGTATGTTAGTACATGTCATTATGGTATGGGTACGGTGATATGCTCACCTGAGCAGAAGTCTTCATGAACTTCTTGAAGAAGGTCTTGAAGGCCATCTTGCTTGGAGCAGACGCGTTCTTCGGGATGAATATGGGAGAATCGGTAGGGGAGCGGGATGCGCTGTGCCTTTGCGCAAGCGCAAGCACAGAGCTGATCGTTGATGATGCTGATGATGCTGATGATGCTGATGATGCTGATGATGCTGATGATGCTGATGATGCTGATGATGCTTTGCTATTCTATCAAGAGCATCAACGAAGGTATGGATGATCGTTCATCAAAGTTGATGATGGTGAGAAGTCCAGGAAACAATGCAGGGACGCGAACTCCAGATGGCAAGATACACAACCTGTTGTGGTCTTAACTTGACACTGCGTGTATAGGGAGTCACAGCCTTGTTGCCCAGGAACTTGGGATGGTGAATGCTGCACTGCTGCAAAGTGTTTATTGCTTCAATACCTATTGCGGAGGCAGCAATAGCCTGTTACTGCTGCAAATGTCGGTTGCCTCGAGAACGAATTCACAATCATGGCACTTGAGACCGTGAATTCGAAGCCGACACGCGCAGCGCGATGCAACGTCTGGAAAGATGATATGGCTTCTGTTGGAAGAAGTATGGCCCTGTAGGGATTGTGGTTTTCATCCTCAGATGCAAAGTGCAGCCGACGAGAGGCAGCCTCGTGTAGTGTGAGTTCGTTATGATGAGTATAGCGGTTTTCCAGCACTGTCCTGAATATCGAGACGCGCGACAGCCGTCCAGAGACTATTGGCGATGCTTCAGACACCCCGAAGCAATGAGTATCATTGATTCGAGGCTTCCTCAATGCCTCCCTCGCAGTCTTTTGGACTTGGTGTTTGATCTGTGCGGCCACTCGATTCTGCCACGTACTACTCATGCACACAGGACATCGACTTCATATCCATCTCAGCTGACGAGTCCACCTCTTGACATGAGAGCGACCATTGGTTACGGGTCCTGGGAAGCGTGGTTTGGCACTATACAACATCCGTCCATCGACACGACGTCTCTGATCTGGCCGCCATGACAACAGCCAATGGTATCCGACCGTCAAATCTACGACTTTTCACACGCGTTATGACCACCAGTCTTTCTGGTTCAAATGGTGAAGACATCTTGGTAGGAAACGGTAAGGCCGCAATATGTCCCCTATTATCGTGAACGACCGCTGATGCCCTGGTAAGATGAGCCTGTCGCCCGCCGCGTGGCAGCTTACAATCCCAGCCTCGTCCTCCATTGATAACCAGCCTCGCCGTACACTCTCTGGCACACCCAATCACAGCATCTCTTTCATACTGCTCTCTTTTGTGGTTTATATATGTAACCAGCGCATTTTTCCACCACCACGACAAGGTCTTCTGAGTTTCATCTCGGAATGAAGCCATCAAACTAGCACCGGGCAAGAAGGCGTGCGGACCTCGACTCTCCATCACGATGACCCTGCGAATCCGGGTCCGATACGATCAGATTCTGCGAATCCGGACAATACGGAAAAGCTTTCGAACCTGGCTTTGGCTTTACCTCACCAAGACCCCTATCCGAAAGGGTTCATGGCAGATCTTTTGCCTCTTTAATCGCGAAATCGAAGGGCGGAAGGGCTGTGTGGGCTGGCGAGACAGGTGAAGGCTCAGAGCGGTCTCACACGGCATATGCTGGAGACGGACGGCTCCCTGCGAAGCCTAACTACTTGAGGGACTAGGGTCACTGGCTTCTCAATATGAGCAGGACGACGTACATCAACTAGGGGTTTCAAGCGCAGGCCCATGCATACAAAGAGGCTGGTATCTGGCATTCCTGCAGCTGCAAGCCTCTTTGTCACGAGATCTCAGGATAAAGCAAGGGGTGCATGTTGGACGGGCGTTCAAAGAACCCTTGTTCCCCCTGGCCTTGGCAGCCTCGTCCGCCCCCAGCCCGGGTTCTGCCAGTCGGAAGCCCGACAGGAATATAAAGCAAGAGCAAAGGAGATTTTGTGTCCTCGGATGCATAGCAATAATTAAAATCCAACCCCGTTCAGGAGATATATATATTCCTTCTAGATGTAATGCGGCTATAACGCATTCCCGTAAATGCTAGTGACTCAAACATATGCAAGCGCTTGCTCAATAACTCCCTCCAAAATGTCCGTAGCCAGTTTTCGCCCAAGTCTATATGCAACATATCAAGACAAGCCATTCTCAGGTCATACCGCATCCTCCGGTGCCGCTCCTTGGCTGGCGCGCGACTTCTGTCTCTCAAGATCACTTCTGAGACTCTCCAGGAAGCGCGCAGCCTGCAGCGAATACTTGCACTTCGCCCGGATGGACGGGCCGTACTTGTAGAAGAATATGGGGAAAGGGAAGCACGCGAGCGCCAGAAATCCCGGCACAGCGGAGCCCCAGTGGTCTCCAATGTTCTCGTACATATAGGTGGTAAAAAGCGGGAAGACGGCGCCGAAGAGTGAACGCAGAACCGAGTTCGCGGCCATGACCGAGGCGCCGTAGATGACGTATGAATCGATACTAGACAAACCGATTAGTAAGTGCACAGAGGATGGGTTAAGCAGAGGTATAGCGTACAGGTAATTTGTGCAGGACATGAAGATGAGCAAGAATCCTGTTCCGAATGGAACGCCCGCAAGAATGGGCACGATCCAAGGGATACTCGGGCTCGTGCAGGCAGCGAGCCATGCGAGGCCAACGATGGTGAAGACACCACCGATGATGCAGGGAGGGAGTCGGACCTCTGGAGGGACAAACCCGCCCGTCTCATCGTGGAGGCGAGAGTACCGTTTGTTGTCGAAGATGATGACTGCAACGCCGATGAACATTCCGACCATAATCCCCAAGAAGGGGAGGCCGCCGAGGCCGGCGCTCCAGCCACGTCCTTCCTGGAAGATGATGGGGAAGGCGGCGAAGCAGAGGTATAATGTGCCGTAGACGACTGCCATGTAGATCTGCGAAGCAGGTTAGTGATTACTTCCCGCAAAGAACAATGTAAAGAGGTAGAGACGTACCGTTAGGAGAAGCACGATAGGTTCGCGGAATAAGAGAGCCCAAGGTAAGGTCAGGGCAGCTTTGATGCGCATCTTGACATCCACGTGTTGCTCTTGGTCGATCTTGGTCGTGTAGAACTTTCCCGTAACTTTGCTGAGAAGCCTTGCTCGTTCGCGCAGCAGCACCGGCGCGTACGTCTCAGGCATGACCAGAATGGCGACCACGGTCAACACTCCAGCGAAGATGGTAAGCAGTCCGAACAACCAGCGCCAGCCGGCTCCTTCAGCGAGGAAGCCTCCCACGATCGGTCCCACGGTAGGACCCAGGAAAGGAGCGGCGGAGAATGCGGCCATAGCCACGCCTCGTTGTTTGGCTTCGAACAGGTCGGCAACTTGACCGCCTGGGACGACCATGGCAGCGGAGCCGATGATACCAGCAAAGGCGCGGAAGACGATAAGAGTCTGGATGTTCTTCGCTGCAATGCAGATACCGGTCCAAAATGTGTAGAAGACGAATGAGAAGATCAACACCTTTCGGCGACCCATGGTTTCCGACAAGGGAGCCCAGACCAAGGGTCCTGTCCCAAACCCTAGAACGAAGAGACTGAGGCCGATGAGGAAGACTTCCTCGCTGCAATGGAACTCCCCAATGATTTCTCTGGCGGCACCGGTGTAGGCAGATGAGGCTAGAGAGACGCACAAGGTCATCAAGGATGCCACCATGGTGATGGCGATTTTACGACGCATACTCCAGTTCTTCGGATTTGTCGGGTCGTGTCCAAGCCACTGAACGATGTACGGATCCTCGGGTGTACCACTACCGCGATATCTTGCTTGTATGATAGCTGAGAAATCTGTGGCACGTGGCCGCCATGGCCGGTTTTTGAGGGTATGCTGTGACCAGTCGGTTTTCTCGTCGGTCAGCGGTGTCGGGTCCAGTACTGAAGAATTCTGTTGCTGCTCTTGATTGTCCTTCTCGTTCAGCGTTCGTGCCGGGCTGCTCGTGTTTGAGGAGTCACGCGTCTCAATCGGAACCTGTGATTCGGAAGCCTTTTTCTGCAGACTGGATGTGGACATTTTATTCATCAGCCGTCCGAGAAGACTGTTTCTTGTAGTGAATCACGTCGACGATACAAAGTACATGAAAGGACTTATAGAAAACAGAACCTCAACGCACACGGTGTGATTAATAAACCAGGCCATGCACAATAACGACACTTTACCCATTTGCTGGACCAGATGTGCATGGTCCACTGCCTACCTTCGGCGTCGCGAGCACAAACATGGAGTCTTGCGCCCGACCCAAAATTGACATTACGCCACCGATGCGATAAGTCTGGCGCGCTTTGGGTAAGTTATGAAAAAGAGGGGTGATTGATACTGTGGGTGGTGTGGTGGATGGATCAAGGGAGAAGACCGCAATTGTGGACGCCATATCCGGCTTCTCGGCACACAAATGAATCCCGGACGCCGAACCTTCTTTACGTGCATTCCCATGCTCCTAGGTAGTTGCTACTTCTTCCGAGTCACTGGAACATGTCACCACGGTCAGCTTAATCATAAATAGCATCAGCAACGACGCCGCTCACTACATAATGGACCCTCGGTCGGTCGGACACTCCATTATCCTCAAGGCGTACGACATCAATATCTTCGGGCTGGATTTGCTATCATAAACACCGGGAGAAGCAAGAGTCATGCCTGAAGACAAGAAACAACCTGCGTGTACCGAGTGCAGAGAGAAGAAATTACGATGTGTACCCAGCGTCGAGAATCCCGACGGCTGCCACAGGTAAGTCCTCAGCCTTGTTGGTTGCCTATCTTTCAACTGATTCCCTATCAGATGTGCCCGGCTTGGAAAAGAATGCCAAATCCCCGAAGCCAAGCGACGGGAACGCAAAGCGCGATGTGACACTTTTGCCCATATCCACCTTCTCATCGGACTTGCGCTGATTTGGACCGATAGTGCGAGGACGGGTCGAACACCTGGAAAGCAATTACTCTGAAATTTTGACCCTCCTGAAACGCAATGCCACAAACGATGCCTCTCCCGCGACTACCAGCTCCCAGCAGCCGGGTCCATCGGTCTCGGATAACCAGACCCATACTGCTAGCACCAGCCTGACGTCTCCACGAGCCCCGTCGATATTCTCGGCTATCGTTGGAACGGATCTGTTGCCATATGATGAATGCGAATCGCTTATCAGTGACTATCGGCGCATGGCGCGGGTCAATACGCCGTTCGTTATCATTCCAGAGTCATGTCACGCTACTTCGCTGGTCGAGGAACGGCCGATGCTGGCTCAAGCCGTTTTTATCGTTACCTCGTGGAGACATCCGGCCCGCCAATCCGTGCTGAGGGCCAATTACCTCAAGGAGCTCGGTGACAAGTACCTAGTTCGGTCAGAGAAGTCCTTGGACCTGCTGCAGAGCCTCATTGTATACTTTGTATGGTAAGTCTGACTCCAGTCGTCGGCTAAGACCCGGCTAACTCTTGTAGGTCCCATTGGTATACAGTCACGTTCTCAAGCCAGCCATACAGGCTGGCAACAATGATCGTCACCATGGCGATCGAGCTCGGTATCACTCAGAGACCGATGAGCACCACGCAGCACGAGGTGATCGTCAACTCGACCTCAGTGCTCTCCAAGACGAACGAGACCGTTTCATCCAAGTTTTGGAACTATGAAGCACGACGGGCCTTTATTGCGGCCTACAACGTGTCAACTTTGTAAGGACAAAAACTTCTTCGTCGTCACAACATGTGGATCACTAATGGCGTGCTAGTTGCTCGCTTGCGGCCAGACGATACCGCTTCATGCAGTACACACAGTACCTGGAGGAGTGCGCCTCTTCCCTAGCCGCAGATCCCCAGTATCCATCTGATCGACTGCTTGTGCATGTGCTGGGTTCTATGCATCTTGCGGAACAAGTGTCGAGCACCTTCGACCATGGTTCCGGAGAGAAAATTGGCGAATTAGACGACGACAAGATCCAGCTTCTCGTCAAAGCCCTAGAGAAACGTGGAACCGAATGGAGGGCGGCCCTGCCATCTAACAGTATTGAAAGTGGTCAGTCGCTGTTACTGATACCCCGATGAGCAAAATGCTAATATCCAGCAACAGGCCGACTGTACCGCTCGTACTATATTGGCCGAGCATATATACACGAAGTCGGACTGTACGGCGTGCAGCAGGGTCAAACTCCCTCCATCACGCGTACCTCGATTATATACGAGTGCTTCGACTCATCCATGAAGGCACTATCCGCCATTATCGAACTTTCTCTTGACGAAATGGCCGACTGGGGCGTCATGGAGTGGCGCCAGCTCAATTTGGGCGTCATGCTCTGCACGAAATCTTCAATCATCTTGGACTCGGCCTATGCCAGCCTGGAATCGTCCCAACGAGCCGACTGGTTGGCCAAATGTCTTGACACTTTGTGCCTCCAGGCCCGAGAACTGCACCGTATGGCCGTGGCCAGAGATCCACAGGCCCAGGAGGAGGACCACTTTCTCAAACGGCTGGCAACCGAATGGCAGAACGTCAAGACGTATTACCAGAACTGTGTGCAACGGAATCTTCCTCGGCCTCAGCAGGTACCTATTGGACTTCAACCGGCACCCGCCATTCAGCAAGGACTGCAAACCCTAGACTATCCGTTCGACGTTGACCCATTCAACGACATGTACTGGTTTGGTCTTGCTGACACGACGGAAGCTGCTGGGATGAACACTTCAAATTGGCCGATGCAGCAGTAAGCAGTGAAATAGAGGTACCGCTTCCTCAGAGCCTACAACATGCCCTGATGTTCGATCGACAAGCAAACATGGAGCCGACATGTCAGCCTAATCGCTTCGAAACATGGCCTGGGCCCACTTCACAGCACTTTCAGGCATGCTCGACGCAGTGCTGCTGCTTGTCTTGCCATAAGAGTCAACCTCCTCTGCAGACTCTGCAGTGATGGCCGGTTCGTCGTGAAGCTGGACTCTATCCTCAGCAAAGCCTTTCTCCCTCCCAAAAAAACACGCCCTGCGCATCAACTCGACCAACTCACTGCCTTGAGCGCGCATCAGCGCTGTGTGCCCTAGCCGTGGATCTACAAATTGAGACTCGGCATCGGGATGGTTCTGCAGCGCTCCTACAAACACCTTCACACGTGGAAGCAGTGTAGACTCTGGACGACCCACCGAGGGCCAACGCTGGAGGACTTTACGTCGTCGACGCGGAGTCTGAGATGATGTCGTAGCTGAAGTCATTATGTCCGAGACAAAGGTCGCGTTGGGATCGCCAGGAGCTGGGGCTGCTGAGGCAGACGCTGAGGTCGAGTCTCCCTTGGAAGACCTGGGCAAATTGTCACTGCCGTACCCACCACGAATCTCGTCTAGGCCTAAATCCTCGACCATCTGATCGCCGACGGTGTTGCTAAGCGGAGTGTCTCTCCCTGGAGCTCGCAGAAACAGCACAGGGCTGGCGAATGGGTCGAAGTATGACGATGGGGTAGGAAATAACTGCGCTCGTAGCTTGATCAAGTCCTCGGCTGCGGCGAGCACAGATTGGTCGTTAGCGCCAAAACGAACGTTGCTCTTGTGTCTCTGCCGTTTCCGTGGTGCGTCCTCTCCAGCGCGCAGTTGTTCTACAATCTCGTCCAAGCCGACCCAGTCGACCAGTGGTTCTACCACAGCCGCAGCGTGGACATCGTTGGCCTCGGTGAGGGCAAGCATTGTCGCCAACGCACCGCCGATATGGCTACCAAGTAGACAAATCTTGGCCGGATCATTTTGACCTGAATTGAAAGGCGACGTAGACGAGGTAAGGTGTGCGAAGGCTGTTGCGACATCGTGGATCGGAATCGGGAAAGTCGTCGGTTCACCCTGCGCGTCCGCTCCAAGTCTGTAGTTGATGCTGACTAGGGAAGTAGTCGGAGAGAGTTGTGTTTGTAGCCATGCTAGCTCGCCGGTAGTTGATCGAGTTAGGCCATTCGGGTCAGGCCCACGAGGTAGGTGGACAAGTATGTTTCGTTGGCCATTCTCTCCTGTCGCGGAGGGTGAGGGAGCCCAAGCACTAGTCGCATCTCAGTACATGTGGTGTGTCATCAACGCCTCATGAACAACGTACTCAAGTCTGACACGCCCGCTCACACCTATGGGCAGCTGGATAGTTTCGTGCACGCGAGGTCCCTTTGGTGCGATTGAAGCTATCTGCCTCGTTCGTACACGAGAAAAGTGACAGCCAGATCGCCGTCTAGGCGTGAAAAGATAGCTGGGAAGGCCATGACGGCCGGGGTTCACGGTCATCACATGTTGCAAAAGTGTGGGCTGCAGTTGCAATTCAGCATTCATCTATCTCATGGGCAGGCGGTGGAAGACATCATTCACGCTGCTTTCAAGGTCGCCTTCTTTCTGCCGGGGCGAGGAAAAGCGGCGACATACGCTCGATTTCTCTCCAACGGCATCATCATTATTCATCTTGCAATCCTTCCACTCAACTCTTACAGCGATTGCAAGTCGCTCCCGCAGTTATGCTCTGCCTCTGCCAGCAACCTTCTCTACCCGGCGCTGAGAAGCCAAGCTCTATTCGATTATATTGGAGCCATCCCTCGACATTGCGCGGCGCAACAGTGCCGGTGTCGATACTCTTCTCCACCGGCTAGAGTGATGCGAGAATGTCAACGCTAACGAATACGAGAAACAAGAATCCAAATGAACGAACTATTAGGTGAGTAAGTTCCGCATCTTCGGCACTGGGATACTACGTGGATATCAGGATATCCGATACGCCATGTTGCTTTGTGTTCCTGAACCAACGGGACAAGCACGCGTGCATGCGGGTAGATACTGGCCGCCCATTGGCGACGCGGAGCTTTATAACCCCAAAGATCTACGAGTTCTGTCCGGCTTCATCGATGCTGCAACATATCAACACCGTCCAGAAAGTTTTCGCTCAAAGGCTGTTGCTGAACTAAATGTCGCCCAGCTTGGAGAAATCCAATGAAATACTACATGTCGCTCACGTGTTTCATGTATGTTACTGCTTTTGGAATACCTGCATATTCCAAGCATGCTTCGTGGGACGAATAGAAGCTGCAACACCAGCGGGACCTGCATGTTCGGGTTGACCTCCAGCATCCAGCATCTGCCTTAGGAAGCTTTCATGGCAAGCTATCAAAGACTATATAGCATCAAAAAGCCTCGGAAGCCACCGTCTGCCTTATGAACAGCTCTCCCTCGCTTTTGCATCAGGCACCCATTTCCAATTTAGTCCAATCACCCTGCCGACTTCTTTCTTTCAATCTCAGTCATCGTCCATTGCTGAAACAATGTCGTTGTTCAGCTTAGTCCTGACAGGCCTCGCTGCCACTAGCGCATATGCCCAATCCCGCCCGTACAATGGCTACCAGGAGAAACAGTTCTCACAAAACTTCTATGACTCCTACAATCCTATCAAACACATGGGCGGCATTGGTCCTTACTCAGATCGCGTTGGGTACGGAATTGATCCAAACCCACCCGCAGGATGTGCCGTCGACCAGGTCATAATGCTGATGCGCCATGGCGAGCGGTACCCAGATGCCACCACCGCCGCAAAGAATCAGGCTGCTCTCAACAAAGTCTATGCCTCCAAGATCACCAATTGGGCAGGCGACCTAGCCTTCCTGAACGACTGGACATTCTACATCGCCAACCAGGGTCTTTTGGAGCAAGAGACCTTCTCAGGCCCGTACTCAGGACCTGCTGAATGCCTTCAGGCGCGGGTCAGAATACGGCAGTAAGTACGGCCACCTCTGGGACGGACAAACCACTGTTCCCATCTTTGCAGGCGGCTATGAGCGAGTTGTTGAAACTGCCCGATACTTTGGTATGGGCTTCTTCGGCTACAACTACTCCACCAGCGCGGCCATGAACATCATCAGTGAGAACTACACCCAAGGCGCCGACAGCCTTACACCAACATGTCTCGCAGATACAGGTCTACTTGCCTGCTTCTACACGGTCAGAACGCTGCCACAATTCGAGGTAGCCGCCGAGAGATTCAATGCCCAAAACCCAGGTCTCAACCTGAATTCCACAGACATCCCAGCACTCATGGCTGTGGGCACATTCGAGCTCCAGACCCGACCAAACTCGCCGTGGATCAACGCCTTCACGCTCGACGAGTGGGTCGCTTTCGGGTACATCCAAGACCTGTCATATTATTATTGCTCAGGGTATGTCATGCCTTGCCAACTCGTATTTTCAACCATCCCCGCTAACACTCTACAGCCCCGGCGACCACTACCAAACAGCAGTTGGCCAAGTCTTCGCCAACGCCTCCCTGGCTCTCATGGAAGCCGGACCCTCACACCTCCCCATGTCCTGGAACTTCGCGCACGATGCGTACATTACCCCCATCGTCGCCGCGCTCGGTCTAGACGTTCCATCGTCCCCGCTACCCAACAATTCGGTCCCATTTCCTAACCCGTACAACTCTGCCGACATCGTCCCCATGGGCGGCCATTTGGTCCTGGAACGACTCTCCTGCAACGCCACCGCCAGTAGTGCAGCAGGAACCTACGTTCGCGCCGTGATCAACGAGGCCGTTGTCCCGTGGCCAACTTGTCAAAGTGGACCTGGCTTTTCATGCCCCTTCGCCAACTTCACCACTATCGTCAACAACATCCCCAACTTTGTGTCCACCTGCGGTGTCGCAAAGGCCGGGTATCCCGAGTACCTGGACTTTTGGTGGAACTATAACACGACGCAGACGCTCAACTATCAAAACGGCTCGATTGGATATCGTGAGACATACACTCTTGTCTGAAGAGGAGCAACTCTCGCTTATATCACTTGGGGTTCGATCCTGTCAACAGAAAGGCTGAAATTTGAGATGAGAGCGACGTGGCTTTATCTGCTACGACCCAGGACGGCTTTAGCAAAGCCATCATCGGTATTCTATCGCATCCTGCTGAAACGGCGAAGTCGTGTTTACTTAGTGTGCGGCAAGCAGGACTTCACTGAATGTTTACTTAAAGTGCGGCGAGCAGGTTCTTCACTGAATGTTTGCTTAGGGTGCGGCGAATAGTTATCGACCTGCAGGCAGTGAGATGCATTCCGATATGTATAGACATGACTTCGAATGAATCAAATCTACCTCAGTAGTTGCCTTGAGGTCCATCAACGTACTTGCAAACTCATACCATAGCTTCACAGAGCTGCCTACCACTTCCCTTACAGAGGGACAGCCACAATGGCCAACGATCCACGATCCCAGCCAGATGTCGTCCCTGCGGTGACTTCAGACCAACTTTGGATGAAAAATCCGGAATGTATCAGCTGCCTTGCCCGCGGGCTAGATCTCAAGCATTGCCCGTTCTACGATGTGTGCCCAAGCTGTGGAAGCGGTCCTGACGCTCATGGAGAGCACTGTCCATTCAAGAGGCAGGGACCCCGGACGAAGTTCTTCAGGATTCATCCACCAAAGCCAGGGAAAATAGCTTGGTGGGACTATGGAGATTGGATCGCGAAACCTCTCAAGCCCTACGTTCCAGATCCTAAGGGCCCAGAACCTCTTCAGTTTCTTCTCCGTCCTTCCCTCGCATTTCCTAAAGGAACAACGCTCCCAAATGACAAAGATATAGTGAGAGCAGCCTGGGATAACGAATGCCGGGAGTACGGTACTACCAATCCTCTTGAGCCTCCTCGGTACATTCGTAATATCCGATCAGTGCTCGAGACCAGGAAGAGGAGGTTCACGTCTGAAAGCTCTGACTCGGAAAGTCAGACAACACCTCCGAGGTTCAAGCCAACGAGGAAAGCTCGGAGGATTTTCAAGAGGGTACGGGGAGCCGCCTCTGGACTCGGAGGCCCGGACAATCGTTCTATACCCAGGCCTCGTGCCTCTCACACCAAGTTCACGCATTTGCAAAAGGTCCCAAAGTTATTGGAGGCTCCAGGCATAAAAACAATTATTCCAGGCCCCCACAAAAATTTCGCGCGTCTGCAAAATGTCCCAATCTCATTGGTGGCTCCAGGCATGAAATCAAGTATTCCAGGGTCTCTTGAGAATTACACGGTCAGGACTTCGTGGTGAACCTCCTTGCAAGGCGTAATTAGGCTAACTGGTAGACACACAGTTCAACTCCGAGGCACAACAAACCCTTGTTCGCTTTCCGGCTTCTCTTGAGAACGTTGCAAAGCAGCTTGTTCTGTCTCTTAGAGATGGCGATCATGCCGAGATATTTCGCCTCGACTATGCAGCCGAGATTCGACAGCACGGTGTGGACCCACTAGTTCAGGTGATACTAGCCTTTGTACACCCGACAGTGTTTAAGCTCCAGGGCAAGGAGCTCACACCAGACATGTAAGCTGCCTATCTGCTCCAAGGATCTGAAAGTACATCTGACGAGGAACAGTCTGAGAAATCTCCAGAAGGACCAGCACAGGACCAATCATTCATGCAATGGGGTCTACTTGTGGGTATCTGGACTTCGTGACTGACGATCGGAATGGTCTCTATGTTTGTTTCTATGTCGGACAATCCAGCAAGGTTCTTCTCCGCATCGACACCCACTGCAGACATATCCTGCAAGGGCTTTGCGACAAGCTCCATTACTTTATCCTGAATATGGGAGACGGTCACCGAAGAGCAAATTGGTTACAACTTTGGCGCATGCCCGACGAGTTCAGACACAAAGAGACATCCTCTGGTTTCAGCATATCAATCATTCAATGCTGTCTAGAGATGATGTTTTGCCGAGCGTTTGAGACCCTCGCTGATGAAACTCTTACAGAGTATTTTGGCACTGCTCCCGACGAGCGATATACTGGAACAGGCTTGAATGTACTCCCCCCCCCCTTGCTGCAGCCTTTCGCGGGTTCCCAATTGGATACGTCAAGGGCGCAACATCGATCGCGCCTTATTGGGTCTTTGGACCCCGAGATCGCTGCTTTCCCCGCAATAAGAGTCAAAATGATCGCTGCAGAACGTCAGGTTACTTCTGCGACATCAAAGACCGTACCACCCAGCCTTACAGCTTATGGCAGACTGATTCAGGAGCAACTTAAAGCACAAGATGTACAGCACTACAGTCTTGACATGCTTATATCGAAGACTCCGCTCCCGACCGGATACTTTGATCTCGGACATCAATTTACGACCGCCTTTGGTGATATGGACGACTTCCATACTCTTCCCTTCGGATCACTCAAGGCAAAAGTCTGCATTGTCTTGGATAACAGAAGTATCGATATTGGTACAAGAACAACAGACTCCGGTTGGATTCCTTGGCTTCTTCGTTCGGTTGGTTTCCATGGAGATAATACTCTTCTCTTCACCTACAATCACACAAACCGTGGGCTGTACGACTCTAGGACCGATGTTGAGGACGAGGATCATATTACGCGCCGTCAGAAGTTCACGAGTCCTTGATAAACAACAGTGATCTCCGTGTAGTTCTTCTGTGCGGTCCTGCGTCAAGACAAGAGATCCTTGCCAGCATTCGCTTGGGAAAACCGGCAGTCTATGGACCATATACACTAGACTTTCGGGGACAGAAAATGCATTGTTGGATTCAGAAGCATTCTGATAACAGCATTTTTCGCATGTTTGTTGAATCACCTGAGCCATTCCCAGTCGTGTCCAGCGGCTGGCAACAGGTTATGAAGCTTGGAGAGGTCTTTAAGATCGCTGTTGCGATGACAGACATCAATGTGGACGCTTATTACTTCGAAGCTTGTTCGTTCCGAACTAAACTCGTGAAGCAGCTTTGGTCCGAGCGTCATGACCAGGACCTTCAGCCATGGACTCCAGAGAATATTGATCCACTCATTCGGGCGTATCTATGCCGACGCGGATTTTCCACAATGGAGGACTTAGAAAAGCTACAACAGACCAATACCGAGGGGTCTTTGTCGCGCGCTCTTATAGTCCTCCTTAGTTGCTTCAACGAAGAACATACTCGGAAAGGTCGCGGCGTTACTAATAACAATACCAGCGATACTACTTCGTCAAAGTATCAGAAGATTGAGAAACATGAGATGGAAGCGGTACGGAAGCTATATACTCAGGCGGAGACGAGGCGCCGGACCATGCAGCCAACCGAGAAGCCTCTTGCTTCTCTGAAAGATGCGGACGAAATAGTCGAAGAACGACTTGAGCCAGAATCGGATGAAGAAGAACCTATCGAACCCGACAAGGAAGAGCAACGAGACATTGACACAGCTTTTCCGGTGATACGACCATGGACCAATCTGGAGCCGCAGATGTACAGGACCCTGACTCGATGGATGACTCAACATGGGATCCAGACATTGGTCTATTTGCTTCTGCCAATGAGGTGCAGACCCTGTTGGAGTATGAGGAACAGCTGATCACCGACCGAAGCGGGATTCGCATATCAACATCTGGGGTCCAAGCAGATCTCTCTGATTCTCGGCATTCGAATAGGTGGGTCGCTGATCTTCTTGAACATGGGCGGCTTTACAAAGGTTGGTCCCGCCCACAAAAGGAAGGACGATTTCTACAAATGAAATTGGCTCAAGATCAGGATTCCAGATGGTATGAAGGCTATCACTATTCGCCCTGACCTAGCACCACCAGGTCAAGCCCATCCTTATAGGTTCATAAGTAAATGGCTTCCGGAATTCGAGCCTGCAGCCAGGCTTGCGATCAAAGGGCGGGGTGACAAAGAAGATGGCTCACATTTCAATGATTGGATTTACGATTCAGTGGGTACTGCACATCCTGGGGTTATGGCTAAAAGGATCTTTCATGCAAACACTATCGTGGACTGGTTAGAAGGCTCAATACACTTGGTCACTTTGAGACCACGGCGCTATGTCACACAATCGAAGACGACCAGCAGCCTAAGCGACTTCTGGGAGAAATACAAGAACGAATGGCTATGATGGCAGTAATGCATGATGCTCGGGACGGGATCTGGTGGACACGATGGCAGTCACTGAATGGCTTGATTTTCGGATCGGCATATCAACCTGCGCAGAAGATAGCGTGTCGATACTGTAAAGACAGCGTAGTGTGATATCAAGTACCTTCACATGGACTACCAGGGGTCCGCCAATAGCAAGCGAATGATATAGTTCTAATGACTCGACAGAGAACACTGGATTGCTTCAATTATGATGGCATCAGTTTTTGGCGGTATCGAAATAAAAGCTAGGCGGCCATCGGGCGTGCGGCGGAGTCATCATATATAAAATAGGATGATTTTTGGTCAAAAACAACCTGCCAAGAACGACACAGCTTGTCGTCACTTCTGCAGCAACGTGGCGCAGCGTTAGTTCAAGTCCCCCTCATATTTTCGTGTATTATCTAACCAAAAAAAGGGAAGCGCGCCGTAAGCACACATTGTGATGTCATTACCACTTTCCACTGATCAATAACAGGGGCTCATACTCGTAACCCGGTTCGTTTCAATTTATCATTTAAAATTCTTCCTCCCTTACTGACTCACGGAAAGGAGGACACTGGATCGAAACCAGTCGTTGCTAAGTATTCTTTTTTGGTTTTTTTTTGTCTCATGTCGTCATGTTCGGCGAACTGAGTGCCCGTTGGCATTCGCCTCCTCGTGTATTGATCAGCGGTTCCTTGTCATGCTGCAGACCCTTTCCGTTCAGAAGAGCCACTTTCACGATCCAAGAAAGGTCATTCGGGCTAGCGATCAAAGAATTGTGAGCAACATGTGAATCAAACACCTTGGGGAATGGCAAGACAGGCAAGGTAAACTGCGGTATGGCCGGCAGCAGTTTACACTATCGAGAAGACAATGGAAGACAAGCCTTGGGAAGGGGAAGATTAGGATTGGCAATACGACGGGGCCACGATATCGTTCACGGGCCGACGGGATACCTAGGTATCTGCTATTGAGCGACAAGCAGGAGACTACGGAGACTGTGGTATTTCTATCTGCAGCATGGCCCATTTTTACCTTTTACCATACCATGCCTTTGTTTTTGTACATTTACTAATTACTATCGAAAGAGTAGAGCCTGCGTGGCAGGCGAAATCACTACCGTACCCTGAACTGGCATGCAGACCTGCCACGGTATCGTTGAAGTAATCCTTCATGTTTGGATTTTCACCACCCAACGATCCATGGGATTTCTATCCTGACGGTCTCACCCCAATACGGCTTAAGGCAGAAATGAGACCGTCAGGAACTTACCCGAACAGGAATGCACATTTACCCAATGCAGCAGAAACTCAACTTTTTCACGATCCAACAACGTTTTTCAAAAGTGCGTCAAACAACCATGAACCTGCGTTCGGCACAGCGCTTTCATCGCTTTCACAGCACCGGCTTTGGAAAACTCCAATACCTGAACAATCATACACATTACCCAATGCAGCAGAAACTCAACTTTTTCACGATCCAACAACGTTTTTCAAAAGTGCGTCAAACAACCATGAACCTGCGTTCGGCACAGCGCTTTCATCGCTTTCACAGCACCGGCTTTGGAAAACTCCAATACCTGAACAATCATACACATTTACCCATTCAAGTAATTCCTGGGGGTTTTTCACGACCCAACGACATTTCTTATAAGTGCTGGTCTCCACACTTTTGAAAGGGCTTGTTCGGCACAGCGCTCTGTATCGCTTTCAGAGCCACTCACTTTTCACAGTCCAAACGTGCTCCGAAGTAATAAGAGTTCGACCTCCATTGAGTACTAGATCCGTCGTCTACACTTCATATACACATTACTACCGTAGTAGTCTCATTTTGATTCATACTACTAATAATATACAACTACTGTAGCTCATTTGCTACATGCTCCGCTGCTGAGAACAGTAATTCTACGCGTACAAGGCCTGCCTCCTGAGTTCTCATATCCTATCCAGCCGTAAAACATCCATAATGCAGTCGCCATTCCGGCCGGCCATCCGGGCCAGACCAGTGAATACAATGGCGTACAGTGCAATGTACAAGAGGCATATCAACATATCGGTTCGTGAAGGACATGCCGTTTTCCCTCGGTTCACCCAATCGAATGTACCATATCCCGTTCAATCCTGCAAGGCAATGCGACCGGGTTTGGGTGACAGTAAACTCCATTTCGCACCCATGATGCCTTCATTTTCGTCGACCACGACGCGTAACCAACGCTGTCCGAGAGTCAAAATACCGCTGCTGCATTTCGTCATTGCCCCCGCCTGTTGATAAAATGAACGGTCCCAGCTTGCTGCATATTCAGCAGACTATCCGCCCGCTGAAACACATCACCCCTGAAGAACTGATCCCCATACGCACTGGCAGGCGTGCTGGGTATACCAGTATTCGGCACCGTGGCCTGCGCAGCAGGACCCAAAGCTGCAGAAAGCGGCGTGGCAGGTAGGGGTACGGACACCGGGCTGGAACCGTTGACCATGCCATTACCATTTGCCATTTGCCTCATAGCGGTGCTGGGCGTAGCTGTCGACGAGGATGATCCCGGGATCGTTGGGACAGGAATCAAAGGCGGCGGAAACGGGCTTTGCATAGGATAATTGCCAACTTGTGATGTCGTACTCTGATGGGCCGACGGATAGTGACCATTGACGCCCGTACCATTGATACCATTGGTGTACGTGTGTCCATTGAGCGGAGTCGGTTGCTGACTGTTCACTGTATTGAAGACACTAGGTGGAGGCATAGCCGCAGTGGCACTATCAGTGAGATATCGCCATGGACTAGTCTCTATCAGGCGTCCAGCCTCCCGACTAGCCTTTTGCACAGGTCGCAGCATTATGATGAGCTCTTGTGAAAGCAGTCGTAACGCTTTTGCTTCACGCATATCAGTTAGCAAGTCGATAAAGCTCATCAAAAAGTTTTTGCATAATGACCACAACGACGGATCATTGCGACCGGCCCCAGGGGCACTAGGCTCCTTGAGGCGCATGTTGACCAATCTGATCTGCAAAGCTTCACTGACATCAATGCATAGCTTGCAACGGTACACGAGGGTAGACCACAGCTCGTGCTTGGATTGCCGATTTTCCTCCGCCGCTTCCAGGTATCGTAGGAACTGTGCTTTGGCGACCGGAATCGTATGCAACGCAGCGTCATATGCCCGTGATAATGCAAGAAAGATCTGCTCGAACACAGCTTCTTCTTGAGCATCGGTCAAACCAGTCGATGGATTGACTCGAACAGCGTAAGTATTTGCCAGAGGAAGATTGAATCCTTCCCCAGAACGAGGGGTGCTGGCGACGGAGGTTGGTAGGCCACCCATCAATGCAGCACGCGAGCTAGACCTCGATCGCGTGCCGAAGCTCGAAGCTGAATTGAGGGTACCACTATTCGAGAATGTTGACGATGTGCCGGTCAAATTTCCTCCATTCAGAGTAGAACAAGTCAAGTGGATCGGAGTAGTGGTTGAAGGTAACACAGGGCCTGGTTGATATGCCGGGATAGTCTCTGCAAGCGGATGTTGAATGGCTGTGTCACTGCGCAATCTCCCACCTGGCCTCGAGGGCAGGTTTCTGTCTCGGGTAGGCGTCATTGCTCGAACCGGTTGAGAAGGAGTGCTGAACTCCTCGGGAATCGTCTGGATGGGATGTGTAGTGCCACTCGACATCTGTCTCCTGTGCCCGAAATGTTGAGTAACCTTGATAGCTGCACCGAAGCTCTGAATGGCATTTCTAACTTCAAACATGCTGCCGTAGAGCAGTAGCATCAGACTTCGCACGTATCGAGCATCGGTCCCAGCAACAATCTTCTTGACATTGTCCTGCAGTTGAGCTGTCACATGGGTGTACGCCATGATACAAGTTGCACAATCACGTCGAACCGTAGCCTCAATCTTGTCAACAGCATCTTCGTCCTCCACGTCAACCACGTCAGCTGCTTCCAAAGCCTCATTCAGCCGGTCGACATGGGTTGACGCGTTGAAAAAGGTAAATTCTAACGTACTTCTTCGGACATCTTTTCCTCTTATGGCAGCGATCAGGCCGGAGATCTGTGGATGAATTTGGTACAGGGCATATAAAATGCCTTTGGCACCCTCGATGACAGGATTAGTCCAGCCACTGTCGATCTTATGCTCAGGCAAGCTCGACAGCCGCTTCACAAATGCAAGCCTATGCTTTCTTGAGTCTCGTGGGCTACTAGGGCTTGACGAACTTGCACCACCCGGAGATGACAGGCCTCCATTGCGTTTGAGGACTGAACCGTGACTAAAGCCACGAAGATGACTGTTCCTGTTCACTTTGAGCTCGTCGATACTGTCCAAGTCTGGCTTTTCTCGCCTCATCATGCCCATCCTCTTATGACGGGCCGCTGCTGAAGCTTGGAGTACGCTCTCACTGTTGCTTCGATTCCTCTCGTTGCTGCCGCTGATCAGGGGTGCTATTCCTGGACGTCGAAGCGCAATAGACTGTGATCCTGAAGTCATGCGATAGTGAGAACGCATGGGTACTGGAGGCGCATTAAGTTGAAGTGGTGATGATTTGTTGCCTTCGGACCAAGATTCCATAGTACTTGTGCTTGGAATAACAGGAAATCGGCTGCTCAAGGTACGTTTCAGAGGTTTTGGGGTTTCCATAGGACTTTCGTCGACCTCGTTAGACAGCGCAACATCTATCGGCGTCATAGCTGGATGTGATTCTCTCAGGTATCGTTTGATCTCGGTTGTTATCACTGTTTCCCTTTCATGGTCGGTCATCTCTGAGAAAGCAACTTCTGATTCCTTTGCTTCAACCACCTTTTTCAGCTTGAACCGCAGGGGATTCTCTGCAATCTTCAATATCTGCAGTTTCGTCATTTCGCATAACTCGATGGGTAAATCTTCGATTCGATTATGCACGATAGAAAACACCCGTAGAGACTTCAGGTGTCGTATGTCGCTCGAAATCTTGCGAACCTTGTTGCGACTAATATCCAATATTTCCAACTGATTCAGCTTGTACACACCTCGTGGTATTTCCCTGAATACGTTGGACCGGATGTTGAGGTATCTTAGATGCGTGCAGTCCGAAAATCGCAGCGGGATATGCCATATTTGATTGTGAGACAGTGATAGTCTTTCCACCTCGGCTTTGATGAGATCAACCACGCTTTCCGGTAGCCTGGCTATGTTGGAATGACCTAGGTCGAGGGTCAACTTGGGTTTGACCACATCGCTGACTGCTTCGCTGCCTGCAAGAGCATGTTCCGTGTCTTGTCTCGCGTCTGCCACCTTTTTCTTGAACAGCTCGGCTGTGTCTTCAAGGGAAAGTAAAGTCAACTCGTTCTTGCCACTCTGCGAAGTTGGCTTCTCTGGTGATTTGGAGGGCGAATCTTCCAGCTGTTCCACAGCATCAACCCGTTGCCCTTGCAATCTGGTGTCTTCGCTAGAAGCTCGGGGAGGACGGTCATCCTCAAAACGAGCGGGTCGGCCGATCCTTGAGACGGCATCTTCGGGACGTAGCTGGGCTCGAAGGTTGTTCAAGTGGGGTAATTCTGGCTCCATTATGTTGGCAAGGCTGGTGTCTCTGAACCCTACGCCAGAAATAACGTCAACGGCCAGCATTGAGACGGCGAGTTAAGCGGTGGAGTGGCCAGCGCATCCACAGCATAGTCGGGCGTCAAACAAGGAAAGAAGGGAGGATATCTGGCTCGTGAATGTATTATGCTCCTGGCATCATTGGACCATCGCAGAAGTCTTCGAGAGGGGTAGTTGTGTCTGTCTCAATACCAGGCCGGCAAGTATTCTGGTCGTGCAACAAGATTGAGCTCGTGTTATCAGGACGCGGTGCACTGATCGTGGTTTAGGGGTGATCGACGGTTCGTCAGGAGGACAGTGCTCGTCGTCTGAAGGGTCCTTCAATTATATTACAGGTGATGTAGGCGTGGATCGAATGCGATTCTCTGCAAGCAGATGAAGACGGAGAGAATATTAGAATTAGCAGGCGTCTTTGATCGTGTACGGCGACGAGGAGAGTTGTTGTTGTTGGTCGAACACAGAATAGAAGAGCGCAGTCGAAGAGTGAAAGTAAGTGGCGCGCGCAACTCCTTTGTGACAGTCAGGCACGGCTCCCCGTTCCTGTTCCTGTGCCTGACGTGCCAAGTGCCTTTGCATTGGTCCGGCGCCTAAAAGAGCCTCAATGGCTTTAGCAGCCCCCGTTCTTCAGGCTTTATTTTGCTAAGTTAGGCGACCGTTGAAGTACAGTACCCCAGGGCGCTCATGGCTCGTATTTGACCAGGATCTACCCTTTGCCACCACGTGGTCGACAATCGCATTCATCAATTGCCCATATCGTAGTCGGCACTCGTCATGCATCAGGGATACAATAGATGATACGAGCATATTTATCATCTAACCACATTCTTGCTGGCTTCCATCTTCCATCAATCTCGTCTCCGTGCCATAGCCATGTAGCCCACCGTCAAGTATCCATTGCTCGTTATCCTCATTATCATCCTGAACTCGCCGCCAAACACTCTTTCTCTCAACTTCACGACTCTTGCCCTTGTCAGTACCCTCAGGTGCCTTCCATACCGGACGAACAAGCTTCCCAGTAGCAAGGAGAGGGTTGTTGCTAAAAGCGCCTTTGCCTCCAACACTCAGGTGCTGATCAGTAGCTTCATCTTCCTCATCATCGGCAACCTCAGATGTGTCCGGTTTGTCTGCCGTCGCCGGCGCCTTCTGCCGTTCAAAAGTCTTGACCAACTTGCCATTCTTGATGCTCATACTCATCACAGTCTTCTTCTTTTCCCACTCCGGGCGATCGGCCTCCTCCATCTCCCGTATATACTGTTGTTGCATCTTCAATGCTGCCGCTCTTTGTACAGGAGTCATCCATTGTGTAGTGCCGGGAGCAAGGCTTACATCGTAGTCAGCTGCTTCATCGTGCACTTTCGTCCGCTGAGCATTCTCCCGCTGGAACGCTAACAGCTTGTCACGATGCGCACGGGCTCGTGTTGCAGCCGACGAGGATTCGTCTCCAGAGAGTGCTTCAGGTGTCGAGCCACCAAAGACTGGCGTTCCTCTACCTGAATGTGACTGACCAACATTGTGCACAACCATTTTCTCAATGCCACGTTCCTCTTTCAGGGCCTTGATCATGCTGTTGACTTGTTCCTTCGTCAAAATCGGTGCGTCACAGAACGAGCATGGCTGGAGGCCCTCAAGAGCACATATGATCTTTCCACAGTTCAAGCAGTTCGGCGCTGTTTCAAACAGCGGATGTATTGAAGCATTGCATGGACACTTCCGCCTCTCTTTCGACAGTGCTGGGTTTGTGGAGAGCTCTAACGCTGCGATGGCTGCCGTAAGGTCGGCCACACTCGAGGTGGTTGTAGAATTTCCCTTCTGTGGAGTGGAGGCCCCAGACTGTGCCTGTGAATGCGGAGAATGAGCTGGCTTTTTTGCTTGCTTCGAGCGGACATTGGCGAACCCAAAATCAGATATCAGGTTGCCGGAGGCGGAAGGTGGTAGCTTTTGTGCCTTCTTAACAGGGGATGCTTCTCGTGAAGTCGCGGAAGATCCACCTCCATTGGTAGTCTGAGGAACTTGAAGGGCATCAGGTGTCTGCGAAAGGGAGAACTGGTTGTGGTCTCGAGACACAGGTCGTGAACCAGTTGGAGCGTAGCCGTCCGTCTCGTAATGTTTCGTATAACCGCCAGCCACGTTTCCATAGCCTTCAGGCACACGTGCAGGACCCGTGGAGTGGAGAGGAGCCTTTGACTTCTTCGGCGCCCTCTTTCTTGGACCAGTGGAGCCACCCTCATCAACACCGGGCGCTGATGGTTGAGGTTTGGGATCTTGGATGACGTTACTTCGCCTCGAATTGAAGGATGAAATGAATTCCAGTGCTTGCGGCGAATCTCCCAGCAGGTTTTTGAGATGATTAGCAGAGTCTTGTTTCGGTAGGGTTGTTGAATATGTGATGACCTCCTTGAGCGATTCGTCGTCGATGGGAAGAAGTCGCTGAAGGCGTGGCAGCGCCCATGACTGTAAATCGCCACTCATTCTCTTGGGGCGGTCGGACTGCCTCTTAATATAATCTGGCGGGGCAAGGCTTTCCAGTACGACACCAGGTGCACGGGTTGAAGAGAGATCGGAGACAGCGACTCTGTTGAGCACAAAGTAAAGTCTAGCAAGAGCATGGTATGCAGAAATATTATGTCGTAAGTTAGAATTCGATGACTCTTGAATATAAATTATATCCGTCACCCCAAGACTTCAGCCAAAAACTGTTCGCAACCAACAATTCTTAGAATGCAATCGTCCCATGCATGATTAAAGCCATGTACTCTCGCTTTTGAAAGCTCGTTATCAATTATGTAAATGCAACATTTGGTCGTCTCTTTGGCGGAAGATGGGAGCCAACCTACTACAACGGCTGATCCGAATTGTGCGCCACCAGAGCAATAAGAGCAGCACCCAGTCCGCTGCCATCCTTTGCCAGCCCTATTCTTATGCGCTTCTCATCTTCGCCAATACCTTCAGTCTCTCTGAATGCTTCACGAATGTACTCTTCGAAGCCAGGATAGTACTCAACCAAGCTGCCATCCACGCCGATATCTACCATCTCCTCTTCCTGCAGCTTGTTTGTCGCGAGAACCACACCACCAAGTGCAACAGCACTGAGTCTGGCTGCTCGTTTGCCAATGGCATGGACCAACATCTTGACTGCTACACAATCTTCAGTTGATGCAGCCTCAATCTTCAATTCCTTTTCCAGCGTCTGCTTGGTGATGCGCAGATGGTCGGACTGGTCTTCTTCCACGATCGAAAGAAAAGAGGTATCAATGCCCCATTGCTTAAACAGAGCACTGTCCTCGCCCACGGTAGTGGTACTTCTAATATCGTTGTCGTGCGAGGACGCGTCCTTAAACAATGCAATGCCCTCGTCTGGATGTTCGTGCAGGCTCAGTAGTGCCCGTCGGAGAATCTCTCCTAGAAACATGCCTGATACACGCTTCTCGAACATTTGAATGCCGGGATTTACCGATTCTCGATCCAGGTCAATGTCGTATGGGGTGTTGGGAAGCACTTTCAACGCGTTGTCGAAGCTACCCCATTCCGAGTTGATGACCATTAACCCCGTGGAACTGTCATAGTTGGCTTTGCCGCCCTCTGCTTCTTCGATAGCCTTCATCTTTTTCACCTTTTCAAGCTTTTCGACATAGGCACCGTTTGTGCCAGTGCCGAAGATAGCACCAATCAGAGTCTTGTGCTTGCCTGGAGACGTGTACGATCTGGCCATCAAGGTTCCTACTGTATCGTTAACAAGTGCCGCGACTCGAACTGGAAGTCCCAAGGCGTCAATCTCTTTTTGTAGCAGCCCACAAACATCCTGGCCGATTGCCTCTTGGATATCAAAACCTTTCGTCCACCGCATAAGATGTCCTTTATTGATGCCTACTTGGTTGACGGGAAAGCTGAAGGTGAACCCGAGGTCGAAGAACTCCTCCTCCACCACCCCATCCTTTCGGTGCTTCTCGAAATGGTCCTTGTGATGTGCCTTGAGGAAAGCCTCTATCTGTTTGGCAAGGAAGTGGAATAGCTCGTGCGAAGTCTTGGCTTCCATCAGTGTTCGGGGAACGGGTACTTTCGATTGTTGTAGCGAGAACGATTGATTCCCGTGCAAAGTGATGGAGCACACTCGGAAGTTGGTTCCGCCTAGGTCGACTGCAAGATATACACCCTGAGTCCGTCAGTGGTTGTCGCAGAGTAGCTTGCTATCCTACCTTTTCTGTGCCGTTGGGTACTGAGGTGACATATGTTGGAATCTGGCTCATCATGGCTCCTTGCTTTTCTAGGCCTTCCTCCATTTCCCGTATGAACTCTTTCACTCCTTTGTTCACATCTTCGGCAGTGTATTCAAACTGCGCAACCATGCGCTTAGCCTCAGCTTCGAGAGCCATGTTGGTGATGACCTGTGTGACCGGAAGTTCAGCCGAGAACAAAGATTTTGGCTTGCACTGAGTTCCAGGTTCTAGTCGTTCGTAGTACGCCTCCTGTCTGTAGACACTGTCTCCGAAGGGGCTGAGAGCGTTCTCCGTCGGTTCAGGTCTGTAGGAAGGGCTCGGAGGGGAAGGCTTTCGTGATCCAAAAAATTGTGCAACAAGAACGAGGAGAAGCACGAGGCCGGAGACGAGGTATAGAAGAGGAATACGTGATTTGACCGACAACTTGACTCGGGTTCTGTAATGTTCACTCCCAGGAATCCAACTAAGAATCCTCTGCGATGGAGTAGGAGCTTGCTGAATAGTATCGTTGTGGGATGACTGACTGGAAGCCAGCTTTGCTATTAGGGCTCAAGGCCTGTATGGATGTGGTGAGGGGCGCAGGAACAAATATGGATAATTCAAGATGTCAAGGAGGGGCAGAGCCAGTGGAATGGCATGCCAGGGCAAGGTTTAGGGTAGCATATGCGGTAGTTCTATAGGTGAAAGCCTGGAGGAGCGCTGAGGAGTAATGCTTGAATGGTGATGATGTCGCATCGAATGAAGTCTGTTGGAAGCGAGTGACCTCGGTGGCTTGGGGAATTATTTTACTGTTGGAAATTCTATGACCAAATGCCATGCGCTTCCGATTAGTGACGTTTAGGCGAGGAGAGCCGATCACAGCAGCAGCTGTTTCAGAGTACAGTAACTGGCACCGCCTTGACTTTCAAAGGACCTCCGGGTGATGAGCTCACACTCTTCCTCCTTACTCATCACATATACCACAAACCGGCAATCGTCTTCCAGAACATCCAGTCGGTTCGATGCTCTCAATTTGGATGTGACATCCGTCAAAAGCATGAAGATGGGTATATTTACACTAACCATAGAAGTGTCGCATGCCAATGTGGCTGTCACTATACATGCATCGCCCTTGCTTTTTTGGCCCGTCAAAATCGTCCCGAATCAGCTCACAATTGGGCCTGAAAGCAACAGTATCGTGGTACTGCTCGTCCCTAAGAATACCTCCCGAGATGCGGGCTCTGGGATGCCAGTTGCCTGTCTCTGTCAAAACCCCGAACGCCATCGCCATGCCCAACCATCCGTTTCATCAAAAAAGCATGTCATTCGAGTCATCATTCAACGATTCCCTATCCATCATCTCGTAGTCGTCCAGTGTCTTTCTCTTCTTCACTTCCATGGCTCGTGCGCCGAGGCTCGTCATATCAAGCTTCGCCGTGTCCGAAGAGTGCTGTCGACCTCCCCAGGAGAATCGTTTCATGATGCTGCCCCTGCGTTGCGGCTTGGGACTGGCATCAGATCGACCAACATGTGATGAAGATGAAGATGAGCGAGTAGGAGGACAATACGACCGTCTGTCGGAAGTTGGTGAGATGGGAGTCGGAAGCCTTTCTCGTGGAAGTGAATGATTACCGGCTGTTTGCTGAATTATTGGATCCTCGTTGCTGCTCGAGCTGATATCACTGGGGTCGAGATCCCATCCATCACCAAACAGCTTCATATCTGGATCCCTTTCGTACATGATCTTCATCTCAAGCATATCCTCTTCCCCACGTGGGACAACGCTAGCTCGTCGCTTCCACATGTGCCACAAGAGATGGTCCGTTCCTAGCACGTCGGCCAGGGAAGTGTTTGATGGACTTTCCTGAAGATTGCTCGACATGAATGCTGGCCAGTCGTCGGGGAAATATTCTCTGTCTGAGTTGCAAAATATGCTTTGAGAAGGCTGAAGTACATTCGGCTGGCCGAGGTCGAGGAGGGAGGTGGTGCTACGGGCAGGTGAGCCATTTGTACCAAGTCCTGCGCTGTCGGATTCCTCCTCAAGTAGCAGTCCAATTAATGCGTCTCTTGACCAACCAGCTTCGAGGTCCAAAAGGAAGTCGTGCCTTTTCCTGCAATGGTCAACCTGGTCACCCAACACAGGGGCTTGCTCATGCTGCCTCAGCGGATGCATGCGGATGACATTCTGAGTAAGCCAGGCTCGACCACCAATGATATTCTCCCGCTCGATTGTGCAACCTTCTTCCATAGGTTCATCCAGGGCCATAATCATTGACACATCACTCCTCTGCGATGGACTGCCTGCATAGCTAGGCAGTAGGGGAGGTGATTCGGCTAATTTGTCGGTTTCGTGAAATATACCAGTGACATCAACCGGGTCTTGCCCATTGTAATACACTTCTGAGGCTCTCAGTTCTGTTGCACTTCCAAAGTCATTGATACGCTGTGATGTGACACTAGGCATGTATCCCACACAGTAATTAGCCTGAGTGTTGACGTCCAAGGCGAGATCAAATAGATCATTGCTGGGGGCTTTGTTAGTGAAGAAGTCTTCCCTCTCTGACGTACCCTCGAGCAGCGTAGTGGTAGCAGTTTCGAGCACCCTTCTAGGGTTCCCTGATTGCTTCGACGACCACAGAGGGCGCAGCTTACGTGCTCCTTCCAGATCCCGAACACCGTTAGCGACGGTCGTGAACAGACCTCTGTGGATGTCTAAAGTCCTCCTGTAAACATCATTGCCGGTGTTATCGTCACCGGTGGGGGGCGACCGCGCCGAGAAGGTTCCCAACCATTTGAAAACACTTGGTATAAGGCTTGACTGTTCACGAAATCTCTGGGTATACCGCGAAGTAAAGGTTGAGGGGCTTATATCAGACAACCGTGTCACATTGGCCTCCTCGAGGCACTTGAGCCCAGCAGCCACTTTCGTTGGTCGAGACACGATACTGCTACGGATGCCAATGTCGAGCAATGCCATGAACGTTTCTTCGTCCAATGAGGACAAACCTGGCGGCTTCTGCTTCGGGTAAACACTGTCCTTCGAGTTCTCGAGCTGCAGCATCTTCTGGTCATTTGAGATCAAAGTCCGATGAGCATTGCTGCATGTCACCCTGGGAAGAGGCCGTGAAGAGACACAACGACTTGATCTTGTGGTGACTGATAGGGGCATTATGGACCAGAGATGGTCGCTGGGAAGCTTGACAGCTGATGGTGTGTTCTTGGGCACCGTGACCGAATGTGACTCGCCTACAAAGTGCAAATGCAGTCCAACACGTTGAACATGCTTTGTTGACATGTTGGAAGGACAGACAGCCGTTAGGTTGTCATCACTCACAGACTGAACCCGTATTAGTTGCAAGGTGCTGCGAACCGGGATGGAGTATCATACTCTCAGCTGGAACTCCATCTCCATCACTCTTTCAGAAGTCATGTCCCGCACACCCTGCAACTCTGTGTGACACGTATCGTACCCGAGGTCTCTCCATAGCTAGACGCATCAGGATCAGTCAAGTCAACTCCCGGATCGGCTTACCTCAGCGTCTGCGATGCGATCTGCGATGAATCTTCTGACATCCTGCGGGCCAAGCAAGTTCGTTTCTATATCATCAGCAAATGACAATCGCAGTAGCCAGACGAGATTTTGTGATCTTGGAAACCATGAAGAAAAGTGTGTCTGCAGAGGAACCTCGTCTGATGACACATCAACACAGTCATCCTCACACGAGATTTTGACAATGATTTTGGTATGAAGGTGAATCCGGGATCTTCGATGTAGAAATGAACAATCTCCCAGTTCAAGCTCGACATCCCGCATCATGATAGCTCCATTACGGCTCAAACATTGGGTGCAAAGAAGGTAGAAGGTGTTGTTGACCGGGACGGAATTTATATTCCCCCTGCCACGTCCGACGAGTTCCATACAGCGATCAAATTGCCCCCCGCCTGCGGCCTACGATTATTCCCGGCCTCATCTCTTCTTTTGCATGTGCTTTTAACTAAATTGTTCCGCCAATAAGCGTGACTCATTTTCAGCTTTGGTGCTTTTGACTGCCATCCTATTCCCAAACAATGTATAGCGACGAAGAGCTTCATGAGGTCTAAGTACTGACCTTGGTCTCTTCAATGGCTCGAACTATCCTCTTGCACTTGCCGAGGACGCAAGTTCTCAGGCGCACACTGCCCTATCTCGCGAACACCACATGCTCTCCGTCGCGGTTTTTCCACCTAACATCGGCCCAACATACCGATGGCGTGTTCAAAGAGCTCACCGAGATGCGCGTCCGCAAGCCCTGGATCGAGGCTCTACGGGAAAAGAGAGAAGCGGACAAGAATCCTACGCCTGCTCAGGTTGAAACTGTCAAGCCAGATGTGACTCCCAAAAAGATGTCGGACAGCTATACCAGCGTCGTTCTGCCTCTAGCTGTCAGTGTTGTTATGACTACATTTCTGCACTTACCAATGTTTTCATTGACAGAAAGACCCGTGGATGCTGGACACCTACGCCAACTCCCACGGACAGATACGCACCGGCGCCTTGCTGATGGACCTCGATGCGTTAGCTGGAGTTGTGGCGTATAGGCACACTGGCGAAGGCGTGGCCACGGTGACCGCCGCGGTAGACCGAATCACGATCAAAAACCCAATCAGAGAAATATGCGATTTGGAGCTGAGTGGTGAAGTTACTTTTGCGACTGGCAGAAGTAGCATGGAGATCACTCTACAGATCGCAAAAGCCCCAGAAGAAGGTCACCATGTTGGTACGGAAGATGTTTTTATGACTTGCGCTTTTACGATGGTTGCCTTGGATCCCAACACCAAAAAGCCAGTCAACATCGCTCCGCTAGAGGTCACCACACACAATGAGAAGGCTCTCTTCGCCAAAGGAGAGGAGAACTACAAGAGGAAGAAAACGATGAAGTCTTCGCATATCCTTACCAAACCTCCGGATGAGGAAGAATCTGCTCTGATCCATAAAATGTGGTCGGAATCACTCGCCTACGCTGATTCCAGCAATCCTAAAAGCCAACCGAGCAACGTGACTGCAATGTCCAAGACTCAAATACACAGCACGCAGATAATGCAACCCCAGATGCGCAACAGACACAGTGAGTAGATCTGAAACCTCTTTCAAGGCCACTACTCAAAGCTTTTGTGTTAGACTTCATGATCTTCGGAGGCTTTCTTTTGAAGACCACATTCGAACTTGCTTTCACTTGCGCAGCTTCATTCTCGCACACACGACCACGGTTCATTAACCTTGACCCCAGCACATTCGAAGAGCCGGTCCCTGTGGGGTCAGTCCTCTATGTCGCAGCAGGCGTGTCATATACGGAACCCGATCCTAGCGGGGGCACGCGCATCCAAGTCATGGTTCGAACTCATGTGCGCCCAGTCGAGCATCAAAATACTGAGAGGAAGTCCACCGGGACATTTTTCTACACTTTCCTGTCACCAGACAACGTCAGCGTCCTACCTCAGACTTATAGCGAATTCATGGGCTGGGTGGCTGGCAGAAGACGAGCTCAAAGTCTAGCTGCTACGCTGGCTGCAGATCCACATCCTCCACTTTCAGTGACCCAGGCCGAGCCACTGACAGAATAAGAGGCGGTAACCTCTCCTTGGAACAATCGAACACATCACTTCTGCTCCGAAAGGTGAGTCTCAGGACTCGTCATTCAAGCAACTGCCAAAAGCTGAGGATGGCGAAGTGCCTTCGTCGAACCCGCTGGCAAAGACGAGCTTGGATGCACGGTCTGCCGTCCTATAAGGCCTCTTCGGTCCACACAGATCCCTTGTGCGGATTCTGAGAACACGCACCGCCTCGTAATGCTTTGTCAAGGCATCATTAACAAGCATCATGAAGCATTCCGGCGTTATTTAGCGGAGTGGAAGTGCGGACCAATTTGCGACAGTCGGCCATAAGCTGGCCAGCGTCAGTTCAGCCCTTGCATGACCTATTGAGGTCCCAAAACGAGGAGAGCGATGTAGCGACCCCCGAACGATGGAACGAGCTGATAGGAATGCCCTCTGAGGACGAGATATGGAAAGAGTCTACTATTGAAGAGATCTGGAGCGCTTATGATGTCCGCTCCCCAGAAATACTCATTATACTGCCTGATAAGGCAGGTTCATCGAAGTCTGACTTCAACTTTACAACCTCACATTACTTCATCCTCGGCTCTTCTCTGGCCTGATTTTACCCAGGACACTCCGTTTTCTGTGTCTCATTTGAAGGATCTGCTCGCAGAGCAAGTCCCTGATGCCGAGGTGCCTCTGCCTGTCTGCGAGATCCTTTTCCATGCACTTTTTCGTCTCACTATCGGTAGGCCGGTTTGATCAAGTCAATGCGGCACTTCCCTCCACTGGGATCAATGAACATGGCCGCGTCCGCTTCATTGCCCCTACGAATCCGACTCCATCGCAAGCCAGTTTGTCGCGGTATCTGTACTTGAAGCAGACAAATCCTGCCGCTGTCTTAGTCTGATACACGGGATAACGCTGCGCACATCTGATTGCGCAATAGTCGGGTCGCGTTGTACTGAAGTCAGTTCTGGCGGGGCCAAAATCTTTTGTGGCGCAGATTCGCATGAGGGCGTCGTCGCGCTCGATGAGATGACAAACGGCGGAGGCAAGACCCAGTCGCCAATCTCAGGCTGTGTCCTGCCCATAATGACGCCTGCTCGATGTCATCGGGAATGGCGATAAGAGCTTCGGTTCTGGAATGCCGTGCCTTCGAGTGCTTCGCCATTGCTTGGGATCGTTCCGCATGGCAGCATGTGCTGGCGTGAATCTTTGTGTTGTGTTTCTTCCGTCAACACCATGGGTCTCAGTCATTGTCGTACCTTCGACTCCTCCTCCGCCGCTGCCGATCCGGATCTTGACCTCTCGACTCCCGTCTCCGCCGTCTCCTCTGGTCATCGTCATCGGACCCATTCTGGTCCTGTGCCTGTGACATATCCCTCCTTCTCCTCGTCTCCCCTCCCACCGCCGCTCCATTCGTATCTCTCCTGGACCTCCTCTTCTCCTTATGGCCAGGCGGCTTCAGATCCTTCGCATACTCTTCCACTCTAGGACACTGGCTAAGCAGCACCATCTCCGTCTCACCCAACTTGGCCTCAGGAATTTTATCCTGCCCTCTTTCCCTTCTTTCGGAACGATCCGTCCAAACAACCATCAACCCATCACCCCCCGTCCCAGGCACAACTTCCGTGTCAAATGTCCAATCCCGCAGTGCTGGCGGATCATAAACACCCCGATCATTCACACCTGGTCCCTGCAACCCCAACCGACACCGAACACTAGAATGGATATACTCGTTCGTATTCTTGAGTCGCCTGTCTGTCTGTCGCCCATGAGGATCAACGCGATAATACCCTCCCGGCGTCCTCGTCTTACTCCCAGCCAGAGCATAAATGCCCTTGAGACTGTTATATATCTCCCCAAAACTCCACAACCTGTTCTTCTGCCCCGTCTCTTTATAATACCGTTTCGTCAAATCCCACTGCTCCATCAAGAAATTCGGCCGGAAATCCAGAAACGGCTCGAGCTTACTGATCATCCAAGCCAGCGTGATATTCGCAATCTCTTGATCTTCATAACCCCCGCCCACGTTACTGTGCACGCCCGGAAACCACACCTGTACCAAGTTCGTCCGATCACTGTCCCGTTTCTCCCAAAGCGCCGGCATGAACGGTCCCCTCCGCTCATCCAAGGCAAGAGCCTGGAACGCATTCTCCACCTTTGGGTTCAATCGCGTATCGTAGAATTCATACTGATGCATACCACGACTCTGCAACCCAAGATTCTCAAGCCATCCCACCCTAGGAATGCCCAGGCTTCCGACCGTATCCCAGCAACAAATCGCTTTGATCGGTACTTCCAGCGTCGTCAAACCCTGTCGTACCAATTGATGTGCATAATGCGCGTCGAAAGGTCCTTTATTTGGGAATGGCGAGTCCGGAAACTTACTGACGTACCGGTCATCGGCGCGGTGTTCCCAATCGTCGAAGATCTCGTTGAAGAACGGTAATCCAGAACGTGTAAGAAGACCCAAATCACCAATCATACCGCCTATACTTCGCGCCGTGAATGCGCCGCGTGAGAACCCGATCAGAAATATCTCGTCGCCCGGTTTCCAATTGATAGCGAGGTAGGTATACGCTTGCCGCACGTTCTCTTTCAGACCGAACCCTGTAGCGCCTCCGACGGCGCGGGCAGCGGGACCGCCCATAGTGCCCACGCCGGCCTGGTAATTCACGATCTGAGGGATGCCATCTCTTGAAGTGTCCTTGATAGCCCAGCCTATGCGCGACACATTTGAGGGCGGCTGTTTCTCGCCGTTGTTCATGATCCCGTTGTCCGCGTTGAGCCAGGTCCCGTCGCACGTGACGATCAGACGCTTGCGTGGTCCCGGCAGGGGACGCTCGCGCGTGCCTGGCATGGGGCCTGCCGTCGCGGACAACGGAGGAGGTTCGATGCGCGATTGTGGTCTGCTTGCGATGGCGCTGAGGGGTGGAGGTGGAGCGAACACGCCTGAACCGTGCGTGCTCGTGGGATAGCCCGGTGGGCGGGAACCTGGGCGCGGCGGCGCGAGGCCACTGGCAGTTGAGGATCGTGCGCCGGGAGGACGGGACATGGTAGAGGACTACTCTGTGTCTGTGCGCTTGCAGTATCCTATATCATAACATGACATCGACAGCCCGGTCAACTGGTGGTGAATGGTATGTTTGCTTCTAGCAGGCAAGGCCGCCTTCGTCCGGAAATTTGATGCTGCAACGAGGATTCCATCGACTCGGGTTGGCGGTCTCCAAGTGCTTGACGAGAAGAAACCAGAAGTACAGAAACAGGAACAGAGAGGATCATTGTACAGAGTCCAGGTGGATTGCGAAACTCAGGTATGCACCACAGTAACTTCATCATTATTCCCAGCCCGCTGGTTTCTGTTCTTGTGACTGACTGCGCCCCGCCAATAAATGAAACTCGTAACCAGCCTCCCCTTTGGACGACGCCAACAAACACCCCTACTGAGTATGCTCCGTAAACACCACTAAACGTTAGTTCATGCCGATGCCGATATCTCGCGAACTCAGGCCTAGGGGCATTGTCTGCGCCTTCCCTATTTTAGCCACGACTTCTATCATGAGGGTGGCCAGCATTACTTACCCCCACATATCTATCTCATCCTACACTGACTACTAGTAAGGCACAGACTTCTGGTGCAGATACAAGGAGTATCCAATGAGTACACTAGGCTTGAAAAAGAGAAGTGTGTTTAATACATGCTCTGCTTGAACGACCAGAATCAAGCTCGGATAGGTACTCATAGCATACGACTCCCATACAAGAATAACCTCCCTGACCGTGTCAACAACGGTGACTGGACTCGCTAAGGAAATGCAACCTAGTGAAACGCTCCCTCATACTTCTTCCAAAGTCTCCTGACCTCTACAATACTGATCTCATGCCGCCAACAATTTGAAGCCGTGCAGCAATGTCCCCGCTTCTCGCTCACAAGGCTCTCATCTCTCGACAGCACCCGGTCTTCATGGTGAGTACGTCATATAGAGACCAATAGGACATGGATTGTAGTCTTGAAACCATTCAAGGCTGCTGTCTGTGCTGCTCATGGTGACACTTATTCTTCCTGGTACACAAAGAGTGCTTCCTAAGGAGTATGCGTTGCCTGGTTGCATACTCTTCGAACAAGGAAAGCCATGTGGGTCGCCTCCCATCGGTTGATTGTCATAAGTCGTGTTTCCCTCGACTGCACCATTGCCCATAGCGGACAGGGAGAAGCTGAATGTGCCGAATCCGTCGAGCTTGAAGTAGGACGAGCTCAATTGATCCAGAGTGGGAAAGAGAAACTCGAGGGTGCAAGTCTGGCCGCTGCGCTCTGCCGGGACATCAAAGTTGAAGATGTTCGAAACGTCACCAGCTGTAATGTTTGGCACCAAAGTGTCTGGGTATGCGGTTTTCGGGTTGCTGGCTGAGATTGGTATGATCAGGTGAGGGAATTCGAAGTCAGGTAGCTCTGGGAGATTGCCAGGGCAGGTACAGTTCTGTCTGGGGTGGATGGCTTTGTGAACTGCGCTGACTGCATGATCAATGGCGTCAAAGAAAGGGAGAGCGGAAATGCCACCGCAGAAGGCAGCAATGAGCAGGAGCAGGAGACGCATATTGATGAAGCGAACGAACGTGTTTGATGAGTTTCGGATTCAGGACAAGCCCAGAGAATCTCCAAGAGTCCAAAATGTTGTCAGTGTCATTGTCGAGGTGGTAAGCAAGGAAGCAGACGTCGCGAAGCAGCAGGGAGGGCTCATGACCTTTATATGTGGTAGAGGAAGCGACCACCTAGCCCTGGCAATATCAATATGAGAAGGCGCGATGGTGACTTGTGTCACACAAGCACAAACAACAATCATAAAGCGATTTGGAAGCAAACCCTCCAATGCAACGGAGACTTCATCCACATCCATAGTATCGGGTCTGAAGAATGGTCATGTGAATACTGTCGATTGCACAAAACGAGGCGCCTCATTTTGATCAACTCCTCTGATTCAACTATATTCAGAGTACGGGGCATCATCTTCTTCCAGACACGCCATCCTGGCAACCTACAATATGGCATTTGCCGCGCCCAGTCAACGCCCGACGCCTTTGGTCAATTTGCAATTGCAAATTGCATCCTGTCAATGAGCAAAGTCGCCCAAATTATGCAGGCTCATGTCCATGCGATCTCGCACAGACGGACTTTCGTCTTCATGAGATGTCGAATTGCGATGTGAAAGACCATTGGCTTGGATGGACAGCTTCCTGCTCCCATCACCGTTCGTGGCCGGCACGATCCTGCCTTTTTCCGTGACAACTGCTCCATTTGTAGCCAGCTCGATCTGGTCTTCGCCGGCGACACCTTGTGCAACGGCTCGTCTGGCTTCGTCCATGACCTTCGATTTGCGTGTCTGTCCTCGGACTCTTTCCAAGTGATCAAAATATCCTTCATCGACCGGCGTGATATAAGACCCGCAAAAGACGCCGACCTCGAAATTCGTAGGGGCATCTTTGCTGTCGGCTTCCCGGGCTGCGTCGACGCATGCAGCCTTCAAGTCGTCAAGGCTCTGGTAGATGACACTGTCCGCCCCAATATGCTTGGCAATCTCCTCCGCCCCATGATAGTTGTGTGCTACCAACTCCAAAGGCGATGCCAAATCAATTCCGTAGATATGGGCGTGGGTGATAGGAGGAGCACAACTTGCAAAATGAACCTTTTTAGCACCAGCTTCTCGTGCCATGGTTACAATCTCTCGGCTGGTGGTGCCTCTGACGATACTGTCGTCCACTAAAAGAACGTTTCGGTCCTTGAACTCCATGGCCATAGCATTCAACTTTCGCCTCACACCTCTTTGTCGTGCCTGTTGCTCGGGCATGATAAAGGTACGGAAAACATATCGATTCTTGACAAATCCTTGACAGTACTCTTTGTCCAATGCTTTCGCCACAACCGCCGCCGAGGTGACTGATGTTTCGGGTATGGGAATCACCACGTCGATGTCTTGCAGTTGTTGAGGGCTGAGCATGCGTTTGACCTGTGCCGCAAGTCGCAAGCCCATATGCTGTCGACTGCGGTGTACACTGATGCCATCCATGACGGAATCGGGTCGTGCAAAATACACGTATTCGAAGATATCGGGCGCATAGTCCTTGCGCTTCTGCACTTGCCGGAAATGGGGCTCGTGACCCTTTTGAATAATGACTGCTTCACCAGGAAGGATGTCACGGACGATGCCAAATCCCAGCTGTACCAGCGCAACAGACTCTGATGCCATCATGTAGTCTTTTCCTTCACCGTCCAACGAATCCCTGGATCCGAGAATGAGAGGTCGGATACCGTAAGAATCGCGGAACCCGATCAATCCATAGCCTGCAATCATGGCAGTGCAGGCCCAGCCGCCCTTGCATCTCTCGTACATTCTGCTTAAGGCCGCAAACACATCGTCCTCATTGACACGAGCTTTACCGGTCTCGTTGAGTTGATCAGCGAATATGTTGAGCATCAGCTCGCTATCGCTGTCGGTGTTGATGTGTCGATGGGCTTCAAGGTCCAGATATCTCTTCAATTCGGGGGCATTTATGAGGTTGCCGTTATGTGCCAGACATATTCCGTACGGGCTATTGACGTAGAAAGGCTGAGCCTCAGCATTCGCACTGCTTCCTGCTGTAGGATATCTGAGATGACCTAAACCCATGAATCCAGGGAGATCCACCACCCGGGAGCCGTTGGCAAACACGTTTGCTGCCATGCCATTGCCCTTGCACTGGTAGAATCTCCCCCCTGTTGCGCATGTCGCAATACCACAAGCATCTTGACCACGGTGTTGAAGGAGATAGAGGGCCTCGTGTAGCTCGTTGGCAGCGAACTGAGAGGAGGTGTTGGCAAGGATGAGAGCGAGAATGCCACACATTTTGAAGGTGTTCTAGTGTAATCTAGCAAGAACAGTCAGTCAACCAGACTCATTGCGCGTTTTGCAGTCATGTATGTGCTCCTAGTGCGCCCGATCAGATCCGTTCTTCTCATCAAAATTGATATGAAGTCTAACATCTAAAAATAAAAAGGTCTCATCTTTCGGGCAGGTTTGTAAGGGGTCGTGCCGTGTACGTACCTAATGAAGCATGACCAGGCGCAAACAAAGACCAAGGAATCGCTCAAATGGAGCACGCGAGGATCGCTGGAAAGTGGGCGGATTCGAGGATTGATCTGCCTCGGATCGAGGACTGGTCAGCGGAGGAGGGACAGACTGCACAGCAAAGGCGCGCCTGCGGAGGATGAAGATGAGAGATGAGAGAGACGTGTCTGCTGGATCTGTCGTAGAGTCGACATGACTGAAGTTTTAGGAAGAAGCCGAGCCAACGTAGAACTGCGCTTCTAAGTATTTTTCTGGTCGCGGCGGCGGCATGAAAAGGTTTCGGGAGACCCCTCTGGTCAGTCCGCAATTCTCCTTTTCCTAGTGGTTGCCGTTAGGATTTTTTTTCGCTATGCCAGAGGGAACCCCACCAGCCTTCATCATAGCGGCCCTTTATCGGCTTATCGGCATGTGGTAATGCTGGGCATTGCAGGGGCGGAAGGTGTGCCGATAGGTGCCCGGAACATCAGATATTCCTGGCAGTCAGGGGCTAGGGTCCACCTCAGCCTCGTCGCCGGTAGTGTGTGCAGACGACGATGCTGTTACTGTCTTCTTCCATTGTCTTGAGGTGCTCTTTGATAGTGTCTGAGACTGGTATCTTCGAAGATCATGTTTCTGTCACGGCACTTGTTAGACTGATGGCAGAAGTATACCTCCCCGCTTGACCTTGGGCCTGTGAGACACAATGGGCACCCGTCATAGTCGCCAAAACAAACATGCTCTAAGACTGGTATTGTATGATCGAAATGCAAATCCCTGACATCTCATATTGCTTTGTTTTGCAAGACCAAGACCAAGACCATGACCATGACCATGTTGCAGCATATAATCATCAATGTCTCTTGCTGTACTCGTTAGTCACTGTGAGAGGATTCATGAACAAAGGCGTGCGTAGAAATGTCTGAGTATAAGGTAATGAAACAACGAATGTGGTCAACAGAGACCGCTGGAAAACGGAGAGATTGAGACCTGTAGTGCGTGCGATTTCTGTTTTCTATCGACGTTGTGCTCAACGCTCTGCTGTTCGAGACAGGATAAACATTTCTCACACTCTCCGTCGTCTTGCACAATGAGTGTCTTACGCCTCTCGTCGCCTGGACACCATGCTGTCTTTGTCCCCTAAGTCGTCTCGCCTTGCCTCAGGTGCTGCCATTCCTTTCTCTTGACCATAAATACTGCACAGCTCGGGCTCTTGGTGTTTGCTCTCCCTGCATAACAACTTTCTCTCAGCACTGACTTCCTTCAAACCAAGACAACTTCCTCGCAGAATCATCTCTTCGTCCGCATCCAGGTCACCACAAGACCCTCTTAACGTCTCATATCCCTTCTTCAACCCACGCGGGAACCGAAGGCAACAATGCTTCAAACGGCAACGTTGCTTCGCTATAACCCCAGTCGTTCAAGAGGCAGGAGCCGGTCTCCAACTCGCGACTCGAGTAATGCATTTCGTGATCGTCCTGATCAAGCCCGTCCTCCGAGTACCTTTTCTCCAAGCCCAGAGCAGCACAGAACTAGGCAGAAGACCTTTATCGATCTCACTCGACCAGACGAGGAGGGTTCGCAGTCGCGGCCTTACGACCTCACCATTGACGATCACGTTCGGCGCTCAGACCAGACCCGCGATTTCGAATTGAAAGATGGTACCTTCATGAGGGTCACTAGCCGTGAAACCGATGAACATCAGCAAAAATGGATCATTGGGCGCCGATTGATCAACCAGAACACGCCTGATTTGTTGATGCCCGAGTCTCGTACACCGAAGGAGCTTGTTTGGACCTCGTTCTGCGACAATAGTGCCAGGGAATATGAGCGCGAGAGCCGAGTTCCAGCAGCAGACGCTCGTCGAAAGTGCAAGATTGTCTTCACGAATGTGCCGCACGCAATGCTGAATATAAACCACGTCCAGAATGCACCGGACAATCTTTTCTTCTGCCGATGGCAGAGGATGACAACTACTGAGGATACGGTCAAAGGCAACCAGAATATGGCTGGAAGGACCGAGCACATTCACATAGCAGATGCAGATGTTGAAATCATCGAGCTGCGGCATGGTATGTCGCAAACTGCGCGCATGGCCCCAGCAGAACTTCGAAGAGGTTTTCGCGGGCGAGGAAATTGCGACGTCGGTGGGCGCTCTTCCTCAGGAGCATACACTTACGCGGACTTCTTCTGCGGCGCTGGAGGTGCGTCCCAGGGAGCACATGATGCTGGTCTTGCTCTTCGATTGGCGCTGGATAAAGACAAAGACGCGATTCGCACGTACAGTCGGAACTTCGCCCGACCAGGCCTGGACATTCAATCCGCCGACATTTCAAACTTCATCACGAAGTATCCTGCAGCAAGGGGCGGCTTCGTTGTCGATATCGTCCATGCTAGCCCACCTTGTCAGCCATTCTCGCGGGCAAACACAACGCCGAATGCAGCAAATGATGCGATGAACCTAGCAACCTTTACGACGGTCCGAGATATCCTCGAGATCTGCAAGCCGAGGGTTGTGACTCTGGAGGAAGCCGACGGTCTCACGGACGGCAAAAACCGTGATTATCTGCGGTTGCTATTGTCGTGCTTCATTGAATTTGGGTATAGCGTGCAATGGAGAGTGGTCGAGATGGAGCGATATGGGGTGCCACAGTCGAGGAAGCGGTTCGTTTTGATAGCCTCTGGGTATGTGCACTCCTTCCAGCTTTACCGAGACCACGAACTAATGTGTTTTTGTTGCAGTCCAGGAGAAAAGCTTTCACCGTTTCCCGCGCCCACACATGGTCTTCAACCCGGCCTACACCCGCCTCCCACAATACGTCAAGCTATCAGAAAGATTCCATACCATCCACGGCTCCATAACATCGCAGCGACGCGTCTTTTCGATCCTCCAAAAAGCCAACTCTCTTGGGATAAGGTGACAGGTACCATCACCTGTAACGGTGGTGCAGCCAAAGTGTATCATCCGAGAGGACGAAGAAAATATACTATGCGGGAATTGCTGGCTTTGCAGACTTTCCCAGCAAGTTTTGATTTTCCTCGGGAGAACCCTCCGACGAAGACCTTGATGAGAAGGCAGATTGGCAACGCTGTGCCACCGGCATTCTCGAGGGTGCTGTTTGAGACTGTCCGAGACGCGCTGAAGGAAAATGATGTCAAAGAGTAGTCAGCATGAGTGTGCATAGAGGTTCATAGCAAGACAATTTCCTTGTCAGGTATAACTGATTGCGACGGACGCCCCAATCTGGTTCAATACTGTTCCACATAGGCACAGAGAGTCACCCAAGTCTCATCCAGGAGGTTGCGTGGTCGTGAGTGCGGCCTGTTTTCTCCGGGCTCCTTACTTGTTCGGAGCGCGCTGGACGCACTCAGCTGACTTTGGGGTCTGTTTTTGGGGTCTCGCTGGTGCTTGAGTAGAGTCCAAATCTAGGTCTCTTGCAGCCTGTTTTTCTGCATCATATTGTCTTTGACAGTCGCTAGAGACATGATACCATACTCTTCTCCATTTCTCCATTTGTAGCTGAGGAGCACTCCCACGTCATCTGCACTGACAAGCTCTTTGACTTGAGAGGTCTTTCCATTCCCAGGTCGTCACTCCAGTGTGAATTTTATTATGTGTATCAACTCAGGACGCCATCAGTGCATTATCCAGAACATTCTTCCATTGATACCATCTCCGCTCGGCAAATGTGGCAATTTCAGCCATCTTTTCGGCACCAAGAATCAATCCGCCAGAGTTCTCAATACGTAGCAGTGCAAGCGATCCATCTGCTCCCCCAGCATCGACCGTAATTGCACCTGTCTCGATGCAAGAGCCTTCTTCGAATCCATCCATGTCCATAAGGATCCAATACTGGTTCTCTTGAGCCCCTCCACGAGTCAGCCGTAGCTCCGGTATGAAAACACCAAAACTGCTAGGTACCGGCATTCCTCTCAATCGTAGCTTCTGTGCATCATCGACTTCGGTCAAACACAACACTTGTTCAAGATCAGCATCCCACCAAGCCTTTGGAAGTAGTGTGTCTTTCAATGCCGCATACAGAGCCAGCCATGCAGCGTCGAAGATTGAGCCGCCATAACTGATGCACATCATGTCAATATACAACGTCCAGTATGCCTTGAGTTGAGGGTCTCCATCGATGCCCAACTCTGTGTCTTGTGTTTCTGCAGGAGGCGTGTAGATGATTTCGAGGTCAGAGGATCGGACAAGGTGAGACGTGTGGAGTAGGGACAGGAGGCGCTGTGAAACTGATTGTGCTTCGATTGACGGAGCGGTATTGGCAGGGTGTTTAGGCGAACAGCCTGTTGCTAATTCAATGTTTGGTACCACGAGATGGTAGAGAGGGATTGCGGCATTCTCATCGTTTCCTTCGTCGTCTTCATACCGGTCGTCTCGTCGCACAGGAGCGGCAGGATTGTACGAGGAGGAGGTCTTGGTTATTCTGAAGCTGGGAATCTCGGTTACGGGTAAGATCTCCGCTCGGACACCACAGACGATGGTGGTTGCTCCAACTTTGACAAGTGAGGATCCATTGCAGTGAGTAAGCGAGCCAGTGTTGAGCTGTATGGGGCGGGGTTCGGAAGGAGCGCGGTTTGAAGGACGTCGAGGAGGATTCTGCTTCAAGTGCGCATGTAGGAGAGCATTTGGTGAGATGAGAGGCATTGCTGAGGCAGGTACTGAGGCTGTTGGCGTCGCAGCAGCAGTCACGGAAGGCATATTCGCCGAGGGATGCTTCTCAGCTGGTCATGATCGTTGTTATTGCTACACAAATCGTTCTTCGACACTGACACGCGCAATGTGAACAATTGACAAGTACCGAATGGAATATTTATTCTGCCGGTACAACTCAAAAGCGGCCATCATATCTTGGCGCACGAAGGCGGTCAGACAATGTAGACTTCTTCCCCCTTTGGTCGTGCGGACCGTTTGTACCTTGACACCATTTCGATGTGTCCAGGGACATGAACTCTGTCCAAACGATCTAACGAGCCACAAGCCTCTCGTCGGTCAGCGGAAGCGGCTTGCCTGCCAGAGTACAGAATCTCAGGGCCGCCTAGCCGCTATCCTTTACAGTGTAGCAACCGACTGACGCTAATGCCCGGTCCCAATCCTTTTGATCGTTGCCATCTGAGGCTGCCGAAGAAAACCTTTATTTCTTTTCCAACTCCCGTCTATCCACGCCGAGTTGTGGTTTCGGCTCGTTCTGTTTGAAATTCTCTCCATCAAAGTTGCCCATGTCAAGCGCGGATTTTTCGGAACTAGGCCGCTGACCTGGAGAACATGAAAGGTGGGGAAACGGGGCGCCTTCAAGTCAGGAACTGAGCATCATCCATGTCATTGGCGACGACTGTCAACAGGTAGTGCCGTGAACAGATGCCGTATGTATGATATTTGTCCGAGAATGACTTCCTGCTCACAGGTGCTGTACACACCAACTTCGCCAGTCTGGCCTCTTCATAAGTAAAGCCGTTCAAGTGGTTCTGGTCTTGCCAAATTTTCCCCTCGGCTTCCATATTCAATCTCGGTCGTCATAGAACACAATCCAAGATGGTACAACACGTTGATGTCTTGATCTGTGGGTCCGGCTCTGCAGGTCTTTGTGCGGCATTGTGGCTTTCGATATACAACATCAAATCAGTCAGGATCCTTGAGCGGAGGTCTGGGCCTATGACAATGGGTCAAGCTGACGGTGTACAATGTCGAACAGTCGAGGTCTTCGAGAGCTTTGGTATCTCAGAGGAACTTCTGCGGGAGGCATATCATGTCCTTGAGGTAGCTTTCTGGTCGCCAGACGGAAAAGGTGGCCTGTACCGTACTCGTCGCACAGCAGATACCCAACCTGGCCTAAGTCATCAACCTCATGTCATTCTGAATCAGGCGAGGATCAATGGCCTGTTGCTAGAAGCTATGCAAAGAGCTAACGGTCAGGAAGTCGACTACGGGTATGTGGTGAAGAGCGTGGATGTTGATTCGGAGTTAGTGAAAGACCCTGATTCATATTGCACCACAGTCATCGCTGAAAGAGATGGAAAGGAGGAGATCTTCAAGGCGAAATATCTCTTGGTAAGCGCCATCTCCTCGCGCCAGGATCTTGCTTATGACTAGTTAGGGTTGTGATGGCGCCCACAGTATGGTACGCAGGTCCCTCGGCTTTCAGATGCTCGGCGACACTACCGATGCGGTCTGGGGGGTAATGGACATCTATCCGTGCACGGATTTTCCAGACATCCGCCGGAAGTCGACGATACATTCAGAGTACGGGACGATCTTGGTCATTCCTCGCGAGGGTGGTTCACTGGTTCGCTTCTACATCGAAATGCCCATCGGAACGAACGTGAAAGAGGTCAAACTGGAAGACCTGCATAAGAAGGCCCAGCAGATCTTCGGTCCCTTCGCGATGCAATTTGCCGAGACCTACTGGTGGTCTTGTTACTGCATAGGCCAGCGACTTGCCGACCACTTCACAAAAGACAATCGTGTCTTCTTAACAGGTGATGCATTCCATACACATAGCCCAAAAGCTGGGCTCGGAATGAATACTAGTTTGCAGGATGGACATAATATCGGATGGAAACTGGGCACAATTCTGCAAGGAAGATCAACTCCAGAGCTTTTGAAGACGTACACCCTCGAACGAGGCAAGACAGCTGCCGATCTCATCGAATTCGACAAATACTTCTCAAAATTGATGTCACTGAAGGCGAGCAAAGAGACGAAGGTGACTCCCGAGGAATTCAGTCAAGGATTCATCACGTCTGGACGATACACTGCCGGTCTAACTGCCACGTACGAAGACTCAAGCATCACCTCCGCCGATGCCAGCAGCCAGGGGCTGGCTGATGGTATTGTCGTTGGCATGAGATTCCCCAACGCACAGGTTGTGCGGTTTTGCGACGCCAAAGCCATGCCGCTGGTTCAGACGCTGAAAGCAGATGGTCGTTGGCGGGTTCTTTTCTTTGCCGGAAAGATCCGCCAGCCTGCCACGCTTGCCAGGCTGGAAAAGGTACAGGCTGCCCTTGACGTTCAAGACAATTACTGACTCTTTGACGTAGATCGCCCAATACCTCGACTCTACACATGGTCCGATGCGCAAATATACCTCACCAGCAGCAGATATCGACAGCTTCATCGAGCCCATTGTCATATTCTCCGGAGATAGAGTTGAGCTAGAGCAAGAACAGATCCCCAAGCTCTTCTGGCCAGAGACGGGAAAGTGGAAAATGCGAGGTGAGAAGACCCGCAGACACGATCAGGGATATTGACTCATGACGTGCAGATTTGCATAAGACCTTCGTCGACGATGAGAGCTACAACTCCGGCCACGGTCATGCTTACAAGAAATACGGCATTGACCCAGAGATCGGTGCAACAGTCATCGTGAGGCCAGATCAATGTAAGTCTGACCCAGATTTGCTGGCATTTCTATGGCTAATACGTTCCAGACGTCTCCAAGGTCATCTCCATAGATGATACTGAAAGCATAGGCGCGTTGTTCGACGCTTTCGCTGTACCACAAACGCAAAATGGATCTATATAGCTATGCGGAATGGCGGCATCTAGTCTACGCTGGGTAATATATTGAAACACTTTTCCGACCATTTTATCCACGACTCCGCCACAAAAGACTCGCGACGCCCAACATGTTAACAACAGTGTGCTGACCCACCACCCAAGCCGCAGTGTACAGATACTTTGGCGAAAACACCGTCCAAATGAACAGATGCTCCCTCAACACCAAGCACGCCACCATGACGGCCAGAGTATGCACGCACGCAAAAGTCGCCATCGCTGTCAATAGAAAATCGTACCCTCCCACACGCAACTGTGCCGAGCTGAACAATTGACACACCGCGAAAGCCCACCATATCGGGCCAGCCCAGTTACTCGCGAACGTCAGAATTCCAACTGCAAGCACATTATACCCGCTGACGCCATTATACGCGTTCGACAGATCGATCGTAGCGATGGAGTTCGTTCCGCCAAACGTAAAGAACGAAGCGTACTGGAACAGCAGCGCAAGGATCGTGATCTCGCTGACAGAATATCTTCTCCCCCGTCGAAGCAGGTACAATTGCACATTGAAGAACAAGTACAGCGGCACGTAGACGGTGCGCGACTGCGTGACGAGGAACAAAGATAGCACATCTTGAAAAGCGCCAAGGAACGAGTGTAGATGCTCTGCACTTTTCCAGGGTGTCTCATAGTAAATGGCGCAGCCGAGCAAGTGCGCTAGACCCAGGAACACAACTCGCGCAAGGCTGACGAGCGGGTATCGCGCGACGAACCGCACAAGCGGATTGAGCAGGGGGAACGCCTTCAGGAGCTCCGGGGCGTCAGCGGCGGTGAATGCAATCTTGAACAGAAACGCCGACATGGCAACCAACACGGGGAGCACGCCCATTTGTCGCACGCCTAACCACCGTGCGGCGCGACGGCTCAAATTGCGCGATGGGAGAGCGTACGTAAACACGACAAGCGTCCAGAGTACCCATGCGTTAGGGACGACAAGTTCAGACAAGAGATCCGGATCGCCTGCGTATTTCTGCCCAGTCTGTCTCCACCGCCGAATCACGCCTTGGAGCAGGTATGCTAGCGCCGTGCCTGTTGGGCCGTCAAGTGTAGCGTAGGAGGTGTATCGGCCGTCCTTGCAGAATAGGATGGCCAGCCATGCTGCTTGCATCCAGTACCACAATTGATGCTCTTCTTCGACGTAGCTGCTCGCGAACATGGTGATCGCATAGGTGAGCATGACTGCTACCAGGATGATCCCGTCGACGCCGGATTGCAGCACGCCTTGCATGAAAGTGGGCAGGCACAATACTAGTGCAAAGGCGGCGAGTGCGATGCCGAGTTGCATGCTCGTCAAGTCGTAGTTGCTGGCTGTGCCGCTGAGAAGAGATTGGGCTTTGTACAGGAAGGACTTAACATTCGTCAATGCGCTAGGAAGACTGGGTTCTGTGAGAGTCGTGTGTGTGCTGGACACTTGCTGCCACAGACATGCTAGGATGTCGGCGTCGTCTCCTGCGGTCGTAGAGCACTCGGATGACTGGTCGGCGAAGTTACTGGGGAATGTCGCCTGCGCGATCCTGTGGATTTGCTGTGCATTCTCGTAGAGCAGATCGTACTGATCTTGTTGCACGGTCCAGAGGTCAAGTAATCGCGGAATAATGACGCCGAGGTTGTTCAGCGGCACGGGAAAGCCCAGCAGTGCGGCGAGCGTGGGCACCATGTCCGACTGCTCGACCTCGTGGTAGTACTTGTAGTCGACCGCGTCGTGGATGGGACACGTCTGCCCGTCAAACGCGGCCTGGAACTTTGGCGAAATGAATGTCAGTGCTGTTGAGACTTCTCCTGGGGACGATGCGCCGTGGTTGCCGCCTTCGTTCATCCCGTGGTCGCCAAGAACAACGAGCAGACATGACTTCATGTGCTCTGTGTCTTGCATCGCGGTGTAGATCTGCTTGATGATGCCGTCCATCTCGGCTTGCTTGGCGGGCATGTTGGGACCTTTTGGACCGGTCTTGTGCCCAATGTGGTCGAGACCAAGGAAGTGCAGGGTCATTGCGGACCAGTCTCCCCTCGCAAGTTCAGAAGGAATGTGTCTCGTAACATTGTTGTCGACTTCAGTAAAGTCTGAGACGAAGAAACTTGTCGTACCGTCTGCTCGGTGGAAAAAGTCCGGGAACAAGCGTATCCAGGTGTCGTCTCCGTACATGACGAGTTTGCCACCTTTCGCGCGCAACTGGGCGAGCCATGAATCCTGATCCTTGAGCGTCGAAGTAGTGTCGGATTCGGCGAAGTTGAGCACAAGATCTACGAAGCTAGGTACTGATCCTGTGGTGATCGCTTTCACTCGGGGCATGGTGATGGTAGGTGGACTCGCATGGCCGGTGAACGGTAGCGCCGCGCCTGACTTGATGAGCTCTTGTGTGAAGGCGAAGTTGGATGCATTGCCGTAGACAAAGTCGCTTCGTAGAGCGTCGACGACCATGAAGACGACGCGGTCGAACGGTGCGGATCTTGCTGACGCGTCGGAGTCGGGAGGCCATGTTGCCAGTCCGGGCAAGAACGCTTTGTGAGGGAAGAAGCCTCTGGCAAAAACGAGCAGAGAAGCTATGAGAATAGCATTGGCCAGGTAGATTGCTCCCTTCCCATATAAGAGGCCCATGTCGTGAGGAGTCCGATGCTTTGGAGGAGATGTCCCTGTCCAACTGCCCTGCGTTGGTCGCGCTCCAGAAATTCAAGGCATGACCGCGTAATCTGTAAGCTTCACACTTTCACTCCAATCTAGTGCGCAAGTTGCATTTTGTTCTGTCTATAGGACAGGATCCCTCGAACATCTGATTGTGATTGAGAACAGGTGGAAGGTTAGAAATCAGTGCCAAGATCAACAGACGTTTCCGGCTTCGTCGGCCTTAAAAGCGCCTATGGCCCCGTCAAGCCGCCTGGGTGACTTTAGGGTCTCTAGGTACGGCTTCCAGGTCTACAAAGACTAGAAATAGGAGGAGCGTCTATTGTGTCCGTCTCAACGCCCACCGCTGCAGCATGGAACACTTCAACCACCGAAGCCATGATCATTGACGTCTTTCCGACTACAAATCGACACCTCCCTCAACTTCGACACCTTTCATGTCTCCCTTCCTAAATTTGTTGGCCATTTCCTCGAAAGTGCACCACTCGACGCCCTCGTGTTTATTGATCCACTCAATCAGTCGCTCATGCATCATGAGAATCTGCGGCTTCCCACTAACTTGAGGGTGGATGCTGATAGGAAACACAAATTCGTCATATTCCTTGTAACAAAACTCGAATTGCTCTTGCCAAAATCGTTCGATCTGGTGAGGGTCGACAAATCCCGACGAGCCCTGCCCACGTAATGTCTGGAACGCGGGCCAGTCATCCACGTGCCAATTAGCAGGGACTTCGACGATCGACGACGGCTGAAGACTGGACATCGGCTTCATCCAGTCATGTGCTTCCTGGTTCTTGTAGTCCGTATCCTTCCAAGTCTCTGGCGGGTAAGGGAGATAGTAGAGTTGGGAGTCGTGGTGCATGTGGGAGTGGTCATATTGTATCCCGAATTCTTCCAGGAGTTTCACTGTGCCAGGGGAAGGAGTCCACGCTGGAGCAGTCCAGCCTCGTGGTTTCTTGCCGGTAAAAGCAGTGATGACATCTATCGATTTCTCGAGGACGTCACGCTCCTGCTGAATCGACAGCTGAGACACGAATTCGTGGGTGTAGCCATGTAATCCGCTGGCAAAAGCTTCTCAGTGACGGACTTTGCTGAGAATGGAGGACTGCTTACATCTCATGTCCAGCATCTCGGACTTTGGCCATTTGCTTTGGGAACGATTCAATTGAGTGGCCTGGCACATACCAGCTTGCTTTGATGTTGTACTTGTCGAACAGCTTGAGCAATCTATCAACACCGACAGTCGCACCAAATACACCACGCGAGATGTTGGTCACATCGGCCCTCTGGCCATTTTGCGTGTTGATCCAGCCGCTGACAGCATCGACATCGATGCCATACCCAACAAGAACCTTTTTAACCATGTCTGCGACTGTTTGAACGAGAGAAGACCTGGTGATCGAGACGACGAAGATGAACTCACCTTCGGAACAGATGATGGCACAAGAGGACGACACGGGAGAGCTTACCTTTGAATAACAGCTGATAAGTGTCCATCATTTACCTGCCGTGGAGCAGGAGAGACGGAGATCGTCGACGCAATGAAGCGCAAATGTTTCGGTTTCTCCAAGTGAAAAACACTTTTGGTCTGGCAAGGATATAACGAGTTTATGGACGGAAAAAAGCCTGTCTACCACTTCTGGTTGTGTCAGTCGCCGTCTTTTATTTGTTGCGAGAGTTTCCCCAAATTCAGTGACATTCAGTACTCGACTTCCAAGGTTATTCTCTGATCGCCGCATCACTGCATTACCGCTTTCACACCATTGCTGCGGTTGCGTTTCCAGTAGCTGAGGTCATGTACCTCAAATGCCACGGCTTCCCCCTGCTTTGATTCGTCAAGCTGCCTCAGAAAACCGATATTTGCCGCTCTTACTCCGAGTATGCCGAGATCTTTCCTCCGCTCGAAACGAACTTCGTTGGCTTCATGAACATGCCTGCGACACGGTCGCCTCGAGTAGACACAGAGCCCAATACGGCAGGATACCAACGTCGTCCCGTGGACGTAGGAGTTCTGGGGAGGCGGTTTCATCCAGTGTGAACGGCAACGTTTCGGTGAACATTGAGGGCAATACCCGAATCAGACGCAGCAGTGATGGCGTCCACAGTACTGCAGCCCGGCTGGACGGCAGGCATGTCCGGAACAGGTATTTCTCTACTACACATATACTGAAGGAAGACGCAACGAGTAGTCCGAATAGGGCCAGAGGGACAATAAGGCTCAAGTTGCCCGCGTGTAAGGATAAACCAAACGAGGCCGATTCTGATCGGTCGTTTCGAAGCCATGGTTATCGAAAGCGTACTGCCCATCGAGGACTTCCCGCCAGGAGACATGAGACGAAGCCACCGGCAGACCCTGAACCTACGATTGTGCAAGGGGAAAGTCTGGAAGACCTGCCCGCAGTAAAAGAGGAAGAGAGAGAACCGACAGACGCAGCCGCGGTAGGACACGAGCCGAGAGACCCGGCCGCAGTGGGTGGCGAAGATATCACAGCCGGCTTTCCCATGCCTGAAATCGGCTTGCACACGATCCCGGATCTTGACGACGAGCTTCAAAAACATCCTTCTCCGTCTCCCAACCGCTTCAGATCATGCCTTTTCGGGCCAGAAGATACTGCTGCCAACACTGGGGACTTGCAGTCCAAGTCTATAGGTGAAGATCCCAGCCATCATGAGGTGGAAAAGTTTCGAGTTCGCAAGTTCTTGTCTAAATCCATTTCCGACAGGACTTCGGGAATGCCCTTACAATACATTTTGGGGACTCAGCCCTTCGGCAATCTTATCATTCGGACACCAAAAGGTGTATTAATCCCAAGGCCGGAGACCGAATCATACACTGAACACATTGCCGAATACCTCCGCTTTGTCGTGGGTGGCCTGGCAAGGGACACCGGCTCTGATAGCGACAGAAAAGTCCGGATCCTCGACTTATGCACCGGAACTGGATGCATGGGCCTCCTTGTTCATTCCATACTCAAACCAGCAGAGCCAGCAACCAGGGCATCCCCCTGGGTTTGGCCCGAGCATTTTGAACTTGAAGTTCTTGGTGTCGACTATAGCAGCAGGTGTGTGGCAGTAGCCAATTACAATCTGCAGCGCAACCTGGAGATGAAATTGCTACATCCAGATGCCAAAAGAGATATCTCCTTCCGGGAGGGAGATGTATTGAAGCTGGCAAAAATGGCCGAAGAAGGTGACGAGGTGTCTAACGGCCTTCTTGAGTTTCTGAATGATCGATTGAATGCACCTGGCGAAAGAAGCACGTGGGATGTGATCATTGCAAACCCACCATACATATCGCCGAGAGACTATGCGCCCGGTGGAAGAACCGAGTCAAGTGTGCGCAAGTACGAACCGAAACTAGCATTGGTACCTGACGATGCCCCCTCCGTCCACCCAGGTGATCTTTTTTACTGGCCTCTGTTCCGTGTCTCTCGAGCAATTGGTGCAAAGCTTTTGGTTATGGAAGTTGGCGATTCGGATCAAGCGTACCGGGTCCATAATATGGTTGGTAAGGATTTCAGATATCAAGCGACGTTGAAAGGCGACTCAATGCTCCTGCAGTGCTGGAAGGATGATGGCTCCGTGAAGACACTACGCAACCGGGGTCCAAGAAGTGGGCCGCGAAAAGTCAAGTCTCCCGAAGAAGCTTCTGACCGTGCCATCTTCTTATTCACAGGCACATTTGCCGAATGGAGACGAAAGACATCGTATGAAATTCACTTTTCTGAAGAGGCTACCTCCCCTCATTCTGAGGGCATAGCAAATATGCAAGACTCCGAAGACGATGCCGAGTTGACTGGGAACAGTCATAGCGCCCGAGACAAAGACAGGGAGCAGAACAAAGGCAGTCCAGCACAGGAGCAGACCTCCATAATCGACGATGCCGATCCTGACACGCCTTCTGCCGAGGTAGATCCTGCCGCAACTCAAACCTCTGACGAGATTGCCCCGGCAAACGGGACAAAGTCGTCTAAAGAGGCAAAGGCAAACCGCAAAAAGTCAGAGGCCATCAGAATTGCTGTCATGAGGTTGAAGGCAGCTTTCGGAATGGAAGGTTCTGTGGATATCTCTAATACGAAGGAAGCAGACATCCTAGAACCCGTTCAAAGGATTGCTATGGCACTTGATAATGCCGCCCAAGAGTACAGTGCGGAAAAGCATGAAAAAAAGGTCGCAAAACCTCTTCCCAAAGAGATCCAGAACGTCCGAAAGTTGACATGGCAGAGGAGCCGCAACAGCTCAAGGGCCAGAAGAAAGTAGATGTCGGCAAGCAGTCTCAATTGTCAATATCTGATACCCAGTGTTGGCCAGCATAAGGGGCGTAATACGGGAACGATAGACAAGGTTGAAGCCATATAGGCGCATCGTTGGGCAATGTATAAATAATGAATAATGCACACTGGCAACCCTTGTACGAAACGTCGAGCAGATCTGGAAGCTGGCATCGCGTGTTGATGAAGAAACGCTTTTGCCCCCGAACTCCGCTGCCAACAATGCTGAATACACCACTTGAAAAAAATGTCCTCCGAAATCAATCTATACCAAGTCCGTCCAAGACACATTTTGCTAACGACGCTGTTCCCGTGTCTCTTGACGCCGCGACATATTGACCAAACCCATACCGCTTTTTGTCGAAGGCAAACGAGGCAAGACCACAATCCCCGGATAACAAAAAGTCGATCCCGCTGAAACGCACCGCCAGCTATACGTACCTGTCACTTTTTCCAAAGCAATGCAAATAGTCAGCAATAGACTGCCCTCCTCTGCCCTTTTTTCGCACTTTCCCGCCCAGGCCGGGCTGCGGACCACCCTATCGTCAAACGAATTGTGTGAGTCCGCATCCGAAACTCAGTGCCGTCAAGACAAATCCGTCACCATCTTCATAGGACCGCCCGGCTTCCGCGCGTAAACGACATTCATCCGATGAATAGCATGAACCTTGGGATCTCGGATCTCGCGCCTCACATTCGCACACAAGATCCTGACCTCGTCTGCGCTCCAGCCCAGAACGCTCGTGAGCAACCGTAGCGTCCAATTCTCCAGCCCGGTCTCGATATGCGCTTTCACCCAGTGTCCTAATTCCTTGAGCTGGGGATTCTTGGCCCACGGTCCAATAGGCCATTTGAATCTGTGCTCGATAGGATCTTCGAAGCCCGCATCGAGCATGTGCTGGCGCATCGATTCCAGAACTTGTAATTCGCGACCAAGCTTATGGTGGCATTCGGGCCCGACTTGGTTCCATGCTGCGATTCCGCCGTTGGGCGGGAGCGTGTTGTCGTCGGTGGAGAATTGTGCGGAATATTCTGCCTGTTCGATGTAGCCGCCTGGTTTGAGGGCGCGGAAACATTGAGCATAGAGGACCGGCCAGTCTGTAATGGAGCCGTGCAGGCCGCGGATGTGAATTAGGTCGAAGGACGAGGGGGCGAATGTCCATTCGGATTCCATGTCGTCGATTTCGAAGCGTAGGTTTGGAGGGACCCATGAGGGTTGAGTTGGTGAAAGGTCTGTGCCGGTTACGATAGCCGTGGGTAAGGCGTCGGCGATGTCGATTGCCCAGGCGCCGGTGCCGGTGCCGAGATCGAGGATTTGTGTTGGTTCGGATGTGATGGGCGCGAGGAACAGGCGGCCGCCTAGGGTTTTGGTGTAGAGATTGTGGCCTATGTCGAGATGTTCGTTGGCGGCTTCATCGTTGGAGCCCCTTAGGGACGATTAGTACAGCGATATGCTGGCGTGGTGGGTTTCATGGCAGATGAAATGGCCAGCAGGGGGAGTGATGGGAGGCATACCAGTATTTGCCGTCCTTGAAGGCGTGGTATGTTCGGCCATTCTCGACTCGATAGTCTCTTATCCACGATGCGACGGACTGTGTCTCGGTCATCCTTTATCATATTAGTAGTCTCCTTCATAGGAGAATTAATCGTTCTTACGCGTCGTCGCCATATGTTGGATCGTCTTCTTCCTCGAGAACCTATATCGGCTGACGTCAATATTCGTTGTTGGTAAAATGTGTTGCTAAGGGGTTGGTGACACGCGTACCGGGTCAGGGGCGATATTTCTGGCATGATCTTGGTCGCCGACTGCCTCAACCTCAGGACACATCCTGTGCGCGTCCGGTAACTTGGTTCCAGAGAATATGATCGAGAGACAAGAAAATCTTTGATGGCCAGTGATGAATGGTAAAGAGGCGAACAGTGTTATGGACCGTGCCCAATTACACACGAGTGATTTGGAACACTTCAACGGCCCGCACCGGCACGACTTTGATAATGAAACCCCAGGGTGTCGGTCAGCGCCCGTGTGGTAGTAGGTAGTATCTGATTATACCCGAATCTCTGATGGGAATGCAACAAGAGGCAGTTGAGGTAAGAATCGGAGACTAGTGATAGAAGGAGTCAGGTAGGAAGGAGGTGGAAATGGAAAAAGAGATCTTCGGTACGCCGAAAGCTAAAATCATTTTGACCTCTGCTAGAGAGTTGACAGATTCTTGACAGCGGGGAGTCAGTCATGGTCAGTTTCCAGCATTCTGCGGCATCCACCGGATTTCGATGAGGGATTCGTACAGCGTCAATCGCTTTCACGAGGTTGTTAAACTTCCCAGGGTATAGTCACGGTATCAAGCGGTGATGTGTTATCCTGGGGAAACCCTGGTCTCGACTCCGAGAAGACCCCTAGCCGAACCCTTAAATTAGTGTATCCGTTCATGACGCAGATTGGCTTTGGAATGCATAAGTTACCTAGGTATGTTCGGATATGGTACAACTACTTTCCCGTTCTGCCACATAACGCGCAAGTTGATATAGACCCTGAACCGAGGTGAAGAAACCCACCGCGAGCTTGCATCATGACCGAGGCCATGACCCCCAGAATCTCAATGCTCTCAACATCCCCATGTCAATCTGGCGGGCTACCCCAGGACAAATCTGGTGCCTTCAATCGCTTTGGCCATCATTTCATGCGCTGCTGCCAGAGTGGGAAAGGCATGGAAGTAGTGAGGTAGACCTTCATAATAGTCCATTTTACTGTGCACACCGCTTTCCCTCAGCCGGTAGTCCAGAAGAGTTCCATCATCTCGGAAACAGTCCTTCTCCGCCGTAACAATATAACACGGCGGGAACTTTGACAGGTCGTCAGCAAGAAGTGGAAAGTGGCGTGGACTGTTAAAGTCAATGTCGTAATGTGCTGGAGGAGGTCAGACCACAACGCGATTCGTTGCCAGTCACTTACACCAGATGAACTTGGCAAGCTGCAAGCCAAAGACAGGTGTCCCGGCGTTCCCATTCTCGTCCCAAGCCGTGTATTTGTCCTTGTACTTGCCGTTGTATTCCCAATGAAGTGCTACCGCAAACATGAGGACGCAGCCTGTCACAGAAGTGTGGTCACCTTCAGACATGAACCGGTATGCCACTTGTGCGGCGAGGAACGCTCCAGCTGAACCGCCACAGAGTATGGTCTTGGATGGATCATCGCCCAGTTCTTTGGCTTTGGTACGACACCATGGCACAGCCAAGGTCCCCAAATTGATAATGTCATCCACTTTGACTGTTGGCACCTTGGGATAATTGACGCTGACCAGCAAGCATGGTGTTTTGGCAGCAAAGATCCGGCAATGGGCATCTTCGGTATCGAGATTGCCGGCAATGTATCCACCTCCAGGAAAGTAAATCATAAGCGGTAGAGGTTTGTCTGAAGTAGGTTTATAGATCCGAACGTCTAGTCCTCCATGCTCGCTGTTGGTCTTTTCATCCCCTGGCAGTGGCCGTAGTCAGAGCGAACAAGCATGGAATGATACACATCGAGACTGTTGCAGCTTCAGAGCCCTCACTCACACACAATCGTTTCTTCCGGCAATGCTGGCCATTGTTTCGACATAGCAGCAAAGACAGCATCGTATGCCGGGACATCAACGGCGAAGTTGCCGCTCATGACATATCGGCCACCTGATGCATCTTCAAGCTGTGTAACGTCAGGCAGGATGCACTTAACAGGAGTTGAAGCGGTAGATCTTCCAAACTTACAGCCAGCCACTCCGGCCGGTAACCCTCTCTAGGCCAGGTCTTCTTTGGTTCAGTCGTCATAGTCAAGGTGATATAGAGCTACTTTGGAGAAGATCGACGAGGATGAGGTGTCGGGGTTGTCAGGTACAATCGCGGCAGTTGGACCAGGGTTTGGCTACCTAAGTACATTCCCATTATGGATGTCAAATGTCGCTGTTCGGTGTCATTTCAACCCGAGGCAGCGAAGGTCAATATTGTCCATTTCCACTGGACGACATCAGCCTCGTCAACAACGGTAGATGTCTCGCAGCATCTGAGCCAGAAATACGCAGAATGCGCTGGCTTGGGTTCTTATCCGTGTTGCCACTCATCGTCAAAACCACCAGTGCAGTCTTCGCCGACGATGCTTTCCACATAGACTATTCCCATGCCCTCCTAGGCGAACCGCGGTTTCACACAACTTCCTTCCATCGGCCGCACACCTCCACAAATGCCTCTCTCCTCTACACGCTCTCAGACAAGGCTGTTCTAGGCGCAGTGAACCCAAGAGATGGCTCTCTACTGTGGCGACAACCGCTTGCAGGTCAGCCAATTGAGAATGACACGAATTCCTTCTTAGTCACATTGCAAAGAGATGGACATTTAGTGAGCGGGCACAACAGAACCGTGGCTTGCTGGGATGCTCTCGACGGGAGATTAGTATGGGAATACACCCTTCCTGAAGGAGCCTCCATCCATGGCCTACAAGCTGCGCCTGCCCTCGAATTAAGCTCGAACACTGGTCACCAAGACGTCTTGGTTCTGACACTGCCTACGACCTCTGGTAGTCCAGCAACCATTCTTCGCATAGGTGGTGATGGAAGTGGGCTGAAATGGGAACATGTCGACTCCAGCCATACTGATGGCTCAGTCGCGTCAATCGCAACATCGCTGAACCACCTATACTACCTAGCGAGATCGCACGGCTTGCTGGCCAGCAGCAAGGTCAAAGTCGTCACGTTGGACAGCGCAACTGGACATGAAATTGAACACACTAGTGTCGCGCTTGACTCGGACCACTATAATGCAGGATCAGGCTCGAACTGCCCGTTTCTGCTCTCAAGCGAGAAGCCCTTCATGTCGGTCAAGTTCAACCTTCTCGGCAGCTCAAAGGTGGCCTCACTCCCGCTAGATGACAAGGGTGACGGCATTGAGCGAGTCACCGTACATACTCCGGAATCTCCTGCTGCGGCACCCCATTTCCTCCTACACATTCAAGGCAAAACACGACAATGGGCTGAGGTTTATCATGTGGACGTCAAGTCGGGCGAAGCTACAAAAGCCTACTCTTTGCCAGCCACCGAAGAGAAAAGTGCCTTTGCCGCCAGTAGTAACGGTGCTTCTGTGTATTTCACCCGCATCACAGAAACAGAAATCTTCCTCTACTCCTCGGAATCCCATGGACAGCTTGGGCGTTGGCGGCGGACAAGCACCAAAGGTCATCCTCTGCACGCCACCGCTGAGGTGGTGAGCAGAGGAAAGGCTACATTTGCTGTGCGGATCGCCGAGCTCTCATCGACTGGAGCGTGGTCTCTGATCCGAAATGGCGAAGTACAATGGACCAGGCCTGAGGTTCTTGCATATGCCACCATTGCGGCATGGGGAGGCAACGGAGGATCTGATCCTCTGGCCGAGGAGCTCGATCTCGAACTCTCTGTGAATCCGTTGACAGCCTACGTGCACAGACTGAAGCGACATCTTCTCGACCTTCAGCATCTGCCTGTGTACTTGCTAGAACTGCCGACGGCAATACTGAAAGAAACTCCGGATGCAGACGCAATCGCCCGGAAGGATCTCGTCGGCAGTCAGACTGTCATTGTGGGTACAACTCGCAAAGAGTTGATCGCGCTTGATGTGACGAACGGTGGAGTCATTATCTGGCAGAAGGATCTTGCGTCCGAAATCCCTGGCAGCGTCCAAATGAAATCGATAACGGTCACTGATGGGAGGGCGACTATTTATCTGTCCGACGGCTCCCTCTTGGTCCTTAGTACAAGCACTGGCAGTCTGATCGAACATCAACCCGGCAGTATTCCTGTCTCTGACCTGGTGCAAATCCCTGGCAGCCCTGCACAAGCGATCATCAAGATCGATTCTGACGGCACTCCACACCCTGCGAACGACTTTGCTCCCAGTAATCCGCTGGAGGGCAATGTCGTTGTCACTGTCGGCGACGACGGACAGGCCATTGGGTGGACCATCGGGCACTCCGTCGAGAAAACTTGGGTTCTGAAGCCACAAAGCGGATTCAAGGTTACCGGTATCGTGGCCCGACCAGAGCATGATCCGGTTGCTTCGATTGGCAGAGTGCTCGGGGACAGATCGGTGCTTTACAAATATCTCTCACCAAACATCGCCCTTTTGATTGCCCAATCGAATGCAGACTTGCTCCTATACCTTGTCGATGCCGTGACAGGCGCCATTCTGCACACCTCCGAGCACCATGGCATCTTGTCAGGATCGCCTATTCCTGCTGTCCTGTCAGAAAACTGGTTTGCATACTCTTTCACGAGTCAAGACCCAGTCAGCTCCGCATTGTCCACGCAAATTGTGGTCTCGGAGCTCTTTGAATCATCAATGCCAAACGATCGAGGAGCATTGGCCTCCCAATCCAACTATTCATCATTCTCGCCCGACGCGCGCACGAATCCTCACGTCATCTCTCAGGCATTCACCGTTCCCGAACCCATCTCACACCTCGCAGTCTCACAAACCGCGCAAGGCATCACGAGTAGACAATTGCTCGCAACATTGCCGAATTCCAACGCTATCGTTGGCATTCCTCGAGAGATCTTGGACGCGCGAAGACCGGTTGATCGTGACCCGACGGCCAACGAGCGAGAAGAAGGCTTGATGCGTTATTCTCCTCTGCTTGACCTGGATCCCAAATGGTTCTTGACACATTCTAGAGAAGTGTTAGGGATCAAGAATGTCATGTCGGCACCTTCTTTGCTTGAAAGCACAAGTCTGGTGTTCGCTCTCGGACACGATGTATTTGGGACGCAAATCACGCCCAGCCAGGCTTTTGATGTGCTTGGGAAGGGATTCAATAAGGTTTCATTGATGCTTACGGTTGTGGCTCTTGCGGCGGGTGTGATGGCGCTTAGACCGCTGGTGAGGACGAAGACTGTCGAGGGGAGGTGGAAGCAGTGAGCATGATGTGCTGGATCTGCAAAGGGATGATAAAATGGTATTGATGAGCGCTTACAGTGATTCCACCAGAGTCAGTGGGAAATGTAACATAGAAAGGTAGAAGGTCAAATTGCCAATCCAAATCGAGATTGTCTTCGTGAAATTAACTCGACATCTTGTATTTGCTATCAGCGCTGACTGGAGTTCATACCAGATCACGCATGGTCAGCTTGCTAATTGTTGTCGCTACCATTTTCATTTCCTTCCACCCTGACTTGGTAGTCTGGTACTACTCCGCCTTACTGGAGTGCGCAAAGATCTTCGAGCCGCCATTATGCTTTCAGACCAGCCTGTCTCGACTCAAGAGTGGTCGTCGGCTTTGACGGCCAGTAGGTTGCCTTCTACAATCGCTAAGGGGCACACGTGACCACAGCCTCGGTGGATATCCACCCCTTTCAAATGGTCTGGATACCTCGAGCGATAGGGCACTCTATAAACACTCGTCCGGCAAAGGAATCAGGGCCGTATAGGGTGTTTTCTTTTCTTTGTTCCGATACGAAGTACGCAACAAGGCTCATTGTGTCCAGTCAGCCACCTCAATATATTGGGAGTCTTTGGTTTTCCTGTTTCCAAACACAATGAATGTTTTGCCGAGCTTGAACTTTTGGAAGGGTGAGTCTGCTTCGACCTCACCAGTGGAGGGTATGCTCAGCGTGGCAGCAGGAGCAGCAGCAGCCGCCGTCGTATACTCCTCCCAGCGGTGGCATCGACGGTAGGGGATAGTTTTGAATGATATGCCCATGGGCATGGCTTGCAGAATCCAGGGGCCATCGCATCTCATCGTCGCGAGTGCTGCTCCGCGGCTCTGTAGCAAGGTATCTGTATCTCTCTCGATTCCCACTGCTTGCTTGCGACGATGTGCCAAACCTCCCTCTTCTGTGCTGGCAAGGAGGACGGTCGCGAACGAGTGACTCGAGGTGCGGCAGTATGAAGGCAGTATGGTGCAACTTCACCGCCCATCACTGCCTCGCCAAGCTGCGAAGAAAAGGCTGGCATCCTGTGTTGACATTCACTTCGATGGAAAGGTCGCAGTGAGTGAACTGCCTGACCGCGCCAAATCACAACATCCAATTCCTTCTCATCAAAACATCTTCCTCCTTCATCCTTTCTCACCACCAGTCCCCCAAAAACCTTACCACCATCATTCCCCTACACACACCTTTCCAATCATGATTACCACCATGATGGCGCTGGTCCAGATACTGGCGGTCCTCGTGGCGGTCATCCTGTTCCCACTGATAGGCGCAATGGCCTTGCGTGAGATTTTCCCAAGCGAAGTAAGTTCCAATTGAACTCATCCTTGGGGATGGAGGCTGACTCGTGTCCAACCAGAAGAAGAACACCCTTGAAGACGGCGTTGCTCCTGAACACACTCCTCCACACAACGTGGCACTCAAAAACACTCCTCTCTCCTTGTTCCCAATTCCAAAGGTCTCGGCTTCGTTCGTCTTCGAACTCAATGAATTGGGTTTCCTCGATACGTCGGTAGTGCCAGTCAAAGACATCGGCCGACCATGCTCACAATATCTGGTTGATGAACTCCTGGAAGAAGAACACCGCCCTGCCATCGCTGCACAGATTGAAACGGTCAGCGTCGAGGACATCAAGGCTCTTGAAGAACCTACCTCCGGCGCTGTTGAACAAGACATCAAGCAAATCAACAACTCAAGCATTGTTGAAATCTCCAACGGTCCTCTTTCTCTTGTTCCAAGCAAGGCTGCTCCATCCAGGGGCATCACTCTGACCCTCGCCTTACCTGACCTTTCAACTCACGCGTTATACTGTGAATTCGGTTTGACCAACACCGTCCTTCTCGACGTCCGCGCTTCTTCAATGGCTTTGATCACGAGCGCGGATGCGCTTATTTCCAGAAGATGGCTGGTCCGTATGTTGATCTGCTCTCCTTGGTACAAGACAAACTGGATTCGGAGCTTGGTGCCTGGTCGAAAGCGTGGCATCGACCAAGTCGACGAGCCGGCGAAGAACTGCGACCGAAAGAGACGGCTGCTGAAAGCTTGCAAGCAGCGAAAACCCAAGCTCTACGCCGGCTGGTGGATTCCTATCACTTGGGAACCAGTCGAAGTCGAGCTTCCGTCGTTGTTTCGTTTCAAAAAGGATAAAATGGACTTTTGCCGTCTTTACCCGCTGTTCTACTATGGATTTGTGGGCTTCGACCATTTCGACACTGTCCACTACCCAGCACCTTTCCAACATCACGACCTGCCCCTGCGCAATGGACCTGTCGAGACGTCCCGGAACGTCAACCCAGGTGTGATCGGTACTGGCCGTCCTCGTACGAGTCGGGACTCGACAGATAGTGAGAATCACTCCTCTGTCGAGGTCACACCTTCGCCAACCAACAGCTCTTTCGGCACCAATGCAACTTCGCCGATTGAAAGCAATCAGGGCTTCGAATCCGACACAGCGGCCAATAGCAATGATCATCGCAACTGCCGAAGCCATACACACATTGCAGAGAAGTATGAAGGCATGCTCAAGGAGAAAGATGCATTGATTGCACAGCTCCAAGCCGACAATAATACATTGATTGAAGAAAAGGTCGATTTATCAGACCAGCTAGACAAACTCGGGTGTGCAAAGAGACGAGAAGCAGCATCGCTTCGCCAAGAGGTAGCTGCCGAGAGATCAGAAAATGCTGAATCCAAGCGTCAGCTTGGTGACTTCGACCGACACTACGGCCAGCTGAACACCGCATATGAAATGGAACTCCAAACTGTCAGAGAGCTGAGACGGTCAAATGAAGAGCTCGAGCAGGTACGGCGGTCTCATCAACGAGAGCTTAAAGCCTTGCAGAGTCAATATGAGGGTGCAATCACAGAACTTGAAGACAAAATCAAGGAACTTGAGGAGGAAAATGCCAACACGTGGCAGAGAGAGGGAGAGTTGATAGATCGTGACGTTGAACTCCAGAAAGAGATCGAGGGTCTGCAGAACCAGCGAAACGGGTATGAAGGCCACATTACCACGCTCACTGAGGAAATCCAGGGCCTGAGGGAGCGACTCAATGAAGCCTAGTACAGAGATTAAACGATGCGGGTGAACATTGGGGAGAAGATACTGAAGCACACAGCTGAGAGAAATTGAAGAGAAGAACCAAAAGTCAGATGTCACACTGGACCACATCGGAGGAGAAATCGGGGCTTGGACAAGGCGGAGGACTGGAGGATCAAGGGTTATGGCTGACTGAAGATGTCCAGAATATGCAAATGCTGGTGTTTCAACACAACCTTGCAGGATGACTGGAACTCGAATATGATGTTGTCGATGGTTTGAGACTTGCGCGAAGGCAAGTCGAGCTGAAGGCAGCCATTGAGTGATTGGTCTCGGGCAACAATGAACTGAGGTGCCAGCTGTATGATTGAACGATTGCATGTGTCGAGTTGGGTTGATTGTTTGGAGTCTGACTGCTGATACCGCATTGAGCATTGAGAGAGGCGAGCTCATCGTTGCTCGGCTAGTCGAGGAGAACAGCGTGATCAAGGAAGCTATTCAGAATGAACGTGAGGTTTAGATGAAGGTCTGTAGAACAAGAACTTTGGCAAGAAACAAGGCAGAGACCATAAGATGATTTGCACATGTTTGACGTTTCCCTTTGTACCTTGCAGGTTGGATGCAATCTCCGTGCCACATCAAGGACATTGCACCGCCACATGACGATGAACCTCATCAGCCATTCGTCATTCTTGATTGAACTCGTGTCTACAACTGCATTTGCTCGAGGAACGTGTTCCCGATGCTCTATGAGGACATCATCGAGGTCGATCTCTCTGTTCCTCTTACTCAAGCTTTGGGAGAAACTGACATCCAGCATGAATCAAATGCATCAACGTCCAACCACAATTAAAGTGATTACATGTATGTGATATGGTGATATTTATATCGCGTACTAGTCAACATCTCGTCAGCACCAGTCGCGCAGACCCCCAGAAGACGTGACAATAAGACTTCGACGCCATCTTATCATATCAACAAAGGAAGGGCAAACATCTGGCTGCTTGTTACTCACCGAAACTTCTCTTTGTTCTCCTCACAACAGAAAAATTGTTAGTGATCACGACGCGACTATGTCTGGCACAATGACCACGAGCAGCGGAGGTGCCCTTCAGAGATCCAGCTTCAACGGCGTGCCGGGCGCGGTGCAAGGCACAGTCAGCAATGTATTGAACTTCAGCACCAGCTTCATCGACCGGTCCTTCCCACAGCAAAGACGCGAGGAATGGAAGCAATGGTTAACCAAATTTGCCTCGGATCGACCATACCTCGCATCGTTCATGCTCTCGCAAATAGCCCTCAATGGCCTGCCACTCATCCTGTTCGCCTGCATGAGTATCAGCGTCTTCGTCTTCTCCCTGCTATCAGGTATCCTGGTCGGCGTGATCGGTGCGCTTCTGTTTGTGGCTGGGACGCTGGGCTTTGCTCTGCTGTTTCTTTTGCCCACATTGTTTTTCTCGACGTCTGCAGCCGTTTTCATCTGGCTGTGGGCAATGGGCGGTTATGTGGTCTTCAAATGGTTCAGCCAGAAGGATGGCTCTGGGGCTCCTGCCAAACCTGCTGCTCTCGTCGGACCTCCTCCACAGCAGGCGGAGAGGTTACCGGCAACCTTGACAGCTGTACAGCCGAGACCGTCACAGCTACAACAGGCATCACCACCACAGCAGCACCAACAACCTCCGCAATCGAACCAAACTCCCAGTTCGCAAGCTCCAGTCCAGTCGTCTCAGTCCATCAAACGGAAACCTGTAAGCAGACCTACATCGCCGGAGAGGGGCAGGACCACAGACGCAAGCCAGGCGACTGCCGCTGGCAATGGTGCGGCAGCCCAACCCGGCACAAGCACAATCGTACGGAAACCTGTTAGCAGGCCTACAACGCCTGGTCCGGAGAATAGAACTCCTGCGCCAAACGGGACTGCGAATACGAACGCGCCGGCTCCTGGGAGCGCGGGTAATGCGTCAGCTCCGACTGGCAATACCAATGGTGCTCCTCGACCAGCAGGTGCACCCGCTTCCAGCGCACCAAATGGTGCTTCCGCCCCTGGAAACACGGGACCGCCACGTCCTGTGAGCACTGGTCCAGCTGGGCCTGGTACAGGAAATATCGGCGGGAATGCGAACGGTGCACCTCTACCGCGTCAAATGAGTGGCCCAGGGAACATGAGCACTGGACCACGTCCTATGAATGGTTCAGGCGGTCCAGGTGTCGCACCTCGTCCCATGAGCGCTCAGGGTGCGCCTGCCCCTGGATCCCTGGGTACTGGACCACGTCCGATGAGCGGTTCGGGTGGTCCTGGTCCTCGCCCTATGAGCACGACCGGTCCTGGCAGTATTATGAGCAATGCTGCGCTTGCTGGGAACGCTGGTGGTGCATGAGTGCCACCTTTCACCAGAGGAAGCGGTCGCCGTGGCATAAGAGGCACATCGTCTATCTCAGCCAGCAAAACTGCCAAAATGTTCGGATGAGATTATATCAGTTAAATGGGATGATTGTTTGGTATGGCGCTTAGGCTGGTAGTGCGAGAGAGTAAAACGGATTTCAATGCTTTGACGGAATGTATTCATGATGATCAGGTGAGCCCATTGTGGACAACTGCAAGTACACCAGCCTGTATCGCAGAACCCACAAACTCCCCCATGCCAATGTATCTCGCCTCATCAATGTCCGTAACTCATAAAGCTCAGTACTGGGCTGCACGTAAAACGTTTACACGCCCATCGTGAAATCATGCTCAATGCCCGGCGTCACACTCGCCATGAACTTCAAAAATACAACGAGATACTGATCAACTCTGATCGCGACTTTCTCGCCTTCATCTTTATCCGTATCCTGCTCGTCCAGAACTTCCCACTCATCGCCGCCGGCACCACCAGTCGCAGCCTTGACGCCTGCTTCGTGTCCTCTCCTCTCTTCATTTAGTTTAAGGTTGGTGGTGTCGTCGATGAGCCCTTCCATCCCTGTCACCTGAGCATTTCCGGGATTCTGTTTTTGTAGACGGAGTTTGAGGGCAGCGTCGGCGCGATCAAGAAGGATCTTCATGACACTGGCGTGTTTGCAGGGGTGAATGCTGGCCATTTTGACCGACGTGTCGAAGAAGGGAAAATCTTCGAGTGTGACGGTTTTGTCCTTGTAGTCGCCTACTATGTCTTCCATCATGAGTTGTGGAGGGAGGGGTTCTGAGGCAGATTGGTAGCCTGACAGATACATTCTGGGTGTGCGGTAGTAAGGTGTGTATGTTATGTAGAGGGTGTATGTCCTTAACGGTCTGTTTCTCACATCTTCATGTCAGCGCCTATGTCTTTTAAGGGAGGGTGAAAAGGGAGCAGTCGAGGGGTGCTGGGGCAGGTGGTGGTGTACTTACGCGGAAGTATTCTCGCTCTTGTCGCGAATGATAGCCTCATTATCGTCATCCTCGTCCTCCATGTCTGGAATTTCTTCTTCATCTTCCTCCTCGCTGGCTTTCTTGCCGAGTTGGCCTGATTCACTCATAGTGCGGACTTCCCCTCTTAGACCTTCCTGTTCTTTCTCGGTCGTGCCGCCTGTGCGCAACCATCCTTCGTCGTCGCCTGCAGTCTCATCGTCAGGACCGCCGAGGAAGCCATCGCGGACTAGGTCATCGGCCGCACCGTTCCCGCCGGCAAAGTTGTCGTCTAGTCTTCTGTGGCAGGGGACGCCGCGGGTGATGAGGAATTGCTTGCCCGCAGGGAGGTAGTTGACGCGCCGAGCGGGGCTAGACGCGTCGGACCATGACCACGAGGGGAACTTGTAGACGAGATAGTCGCCTGCTTGGAGGAATTCTTCAGGCGTGATTTGACCGGTGGATCGGAAGGTGGAAGTGTGTCTGATGGGCGCATATCGGTCGCGGACTTTGTCGAGGGCGGAGTGGAGGAGATTCATGATTGGAATGAGATGTCGCGAAACTGTCTGTACGAGATGAATGTCCTTGACGCGGCTTTTTGATGAACAAAGGGTAGGAATTGCGTTGAATGTCTCTTGGTCTATGGCTAGAAAGTAAAGAAGCGAGGGACTGGGCTGTAGGCTACACTCGAGATGTCCCATGGGCAGGAGGGGCTTATGACGGTGTTTGATTTCTTGACCAATTATCACAGGGCACAGCCTCGCCTGACCAGCCTCGTGAGGTTGCCTTCTGTTCCACCCAGGTGAGGAGCCGGAGCATATTATGGTGAATGCATTTATCTTTTTCCTACCTAGGTAGACTACGCCGATCAAGCAATTGGTAGAACAAGAGATCAATTTGAGCAACACCACCGTTTTCGGTCTATCTGGAGAAAAGAACATTCGTCAAATCGTGACCCGTAAAACCAGAAAGTCCAGTCAAGAAACAAGAACAGCCACTCAAACTAATATCAAGACGATATCAAGAGTGCTCCAACAGAAGGAGGCAGAGTATCCACCACTGGATCCGCCATAAGCGACTTCAACCAGCAGTTGCCACTGTCCTCCGCATATACAGTTTCCATGTTGGCGTTGAACATGACTCCATGACACGTGGTGGCATTTGCAACTGTGTTCATGCTTGAGCATGCTTCGATACAAGCATCGAGTGTGTAAGCGATGAAGTCGACAATGTCGTTGCCACCGTAGTTCATGTTGCAGTTGAGCTGGAACTGATCTCCGCTCTCGGAAGTTAACGTGGACTGATCGTTGCAGTCAAGCGCCGTAGTATTGACCCGCGATGGTAGTAAAGGTGTGTAGTTCTTAACGGCGCCAGTCGCGGTCGAGGTTGCTGATGATGTGCCAGTTCCCGTCATTGTGACTGTAGCTGCTGCGCTGGTTACGGTCATTGTGACGGTAGAGGAGGAACCAGATGACCCGACACTTTGATGAATGTTAGTGATTGCTCAACAATATCTGGCATCTGGCAGCACTTACGCGGACTTATTGGACTTGCTGGCAAGCGCTCCTCCTAAGCCTCCACCCACAGCTGCTCCGATAATGACGGCAGTTACCGCAGCGACGAGTATCGTATATGCCAGGATAGAAAGGCCACAGGGAAGGAGTGACCGACGTCGATTAGGCGTTGAAGGCGGACTTTCGTATTGAGGAGCAGGTGTGTATGCATTCGATTCCGGTGAGTATGGCGAAGATACATAGGTACCGGCAGGTTGAATCTGTGGAGCGACAAACTTGTGTGAGTCTTGCGCCGCAGATGTCTTCTCACGAGGAGATGTATCCACCTCAAGACCGTCCATTGTCGCGTTGGGGAAACGTATTGAGGCCGAGTTGGTATAGCACTGTCAATAGCAAAAGAGAGAGGATAAGTATGAAATGCGACCCCAGGCGGTTATATTTGGTCCATACGCTTCTGAGACTGCTCTCGGTTCATGAGTGCTTGATCCACATTATGTAATTCAGGCCTGATTGTTGTTCGCTTAACTTTTGTATAATTGGAGCCTCCCAGTATTCAAGGGTTTAAATCATGGGGGCCGATACCTTCCGCCCAGAAATAAAGCCCTTAAACTTTGGACCGGTGTGTTTGAGGGCTTGCAGATCGACCGTTGCACTTGAGTTATAAAAGCTGGGGGCCACGGCTCATGGTCTTTGTTAAGCCAACTCCGGACGGACGTATCGACGGAGGAAGAATGTCGCGTGCATGGTCTCAACACGCCGAGCCGCTGCTCTGGGACAAACCGACTTCAAGATATGGGTGCAAGAGAAGTGTTCGTTGTTTAGTCCCCGAAGAAATGGATACTCGCATGCACAGCCGGGGTGATAGACAGTGATAGAAGCTGCTAGCTATTCCTACCGTTCCAAAATTTGGGTCTTGGGCTTTGATAAAGCCCTATGGTGGCATGTTGGTGTGGACCTTGGCATTTAGCCGTTGAGGCCTCCCTCCATAGTGGTCTGTGGGTGGATCGTAATGCACGCCACGGAATACGGAGTACTCCATGATGCCTCTGGTCAATTGATATAGTGGACGACTGGCGCCTGCTTGGGCGCGGAAATCCGCCTTGTTTTAGCAAATCCGAAGGTCGCAAGACAAGGCTACTGTGGTAGGATGAAGTGATTTTCCTGGCGTAGAGAGTGTGGGATTGTGGGCTCGTTTTCTTTCAGAGAACAAGATCGTGGTTGGACAGATAGCAATCATCAAGAGCCTTCATTTTCTTGACTTGCACGTGGGGAGAATCGACTGCGACATGGTTGGTCAAAGCCTGATTCTGTCGAATGGTCCATTGGTCCTGTGAAAAGCCTCGCATGAGGATCAGAAAGGATGTGAGATTGGAGAATTGTGAGCTTGCGATAGGTAAAGTATCTGCAGTATATGTAAGCCTTCACGTGGCCTTGGATGCGCTGCACAGTCATGTCAAGAGCTCTGCCGTATATTCTTACGGCTCGGCATACGGAGTGGAAACCGCAACCATGACCAAAAACTTTCCCGCAGTGTACATAAGGCATATTCCCACACAACTTATTCCTACCAGCACTCCCCCTTCTTCGACTGCTGTTGCTTACTCGACTCAGAGTCACAGCCATGGAAGAGCCTGCCGCGAAACGTGCGAAGCGAACGGATGGCTCCGGAGTGTGGGACAGAAACGAAAAAACAGATTCACGACCTAGTTCTAGCGGAAGGGACACCAAGCCGAGAACCCATCACGAAGACAACAGAGATGGAGAGCGTCGCTACAGCAGAAGGGATGACGACCAAAGGAAGAGATCAAGGTCACGGGAGAATCACGACAGAAGAAGAGAGCGCGATAGGTCACGGGAACGATCGCATCGTGATCGACCTCATGACAGAGAGAGGGATCGTGACAGGGCTGGCAGAGACAGTAAGGTCAACGGAGATAGTCGTCGAGACAAAAGCCGGAGTCGAGACAGACATCGGTCTTCAAAAGGTAATGATGACGGTTCCGACTGCTTCAACATGTGCTCACACGACACAGACTATCGTAGCGAACGTTCACAGCGGCATTCACGATCTAGGTCACCGAAAAGAAATGGCGATGCTGGCCCAGCTCGTACCCGCTCTCCTCCTCGAGGAAACGATCACGATAGTCGGCGACCTCGAGAAGAGATCAAAGCCGAAGAGACCACATCGAAACCGAAACCGAATGTGGCAGACGGCGAGAAGAAGACGGTCAGTGGTGACACCATGGCAGTTGACGAAGACGATGAGGATGCTCTCCTCAAGAGAATGATGGGCTTCACGACATTCAAAACTACACAAAACACCAAAGTTCCTGGCAACCAGATTTATGCCGTGCGGAAGGAGAAGAAGACGCAATACCGACAGTATATGAACCGTGTGGGAGGTTTCAACAGGCCACTGAGTCCATCGAGAATGTGAGACGACTGCAATCATTCCGGGAGAGGGAGAACGTCAACTTGCTCTTATTGATCGGCGAAGAGTCGACATGGGATAGCACACCAGCTTTTGATCTCCATAATACAACTGCTGGACGGCTGCAGAGCACGACCAAGGGAACATCACACTCATGCTAACATATGGCTATACAGCCACGAACATTGCTGGGCTGGTGATTCTGCTCGGAGACGGGATGACCACGTTCCAGTGCAATCGAAAGCGTGGTCTTGGATGATATTCCCCGCTGCTAGGAGTGCCCCGGACATGCGAAAGAAGCACAAATCAGGATGCGGATGTCCTTCTCCAGAATATCTGGGAGGACCCCTACTGGAAGCACCTCAGCGGGACATGTCTGCTGCTACTATCGAACCAGCGCCCGTCAATGGGTTGCTTTCGAGTCCACACTATGAGATCCCTCACGCGATGGGACCATGGCAGGATGAAACAGCGTCAACATTGGCATAGGTCGAGTCTGTGCCATATTTCCCCTACCTGAGAAGCACGCCTTTCCATATTCCGTCGCAGCCTGCATACAATAGTCGGTAGTTGGCCTGGACTGTGCCAATCATACCAGCCGAGCTGGTGGCTGAGGACGTACTGAATGGTTTTCGCATTCTTTTACGAGATACGAATCTATGTTTCTGTTTCTGGCCCGTGTTCGCATATTATACCTATCTCGCTTTCGTCTTTAGTTCTCGGTAAGCTCCAAACATGGTATGGGGTGCAGCTATTCGGACGTCTACGTTAGCGTCAAGATGTCCTTGGACGGCTCAGACCATCCTAAGAGCAATTACCCCGTAGCATTGGTACAAAAGGACCATAATGCGCTCAAACCCCCGGGGTAGCAACAGGCGACTGACACCTCCTTTCCCATATACACATTCTTCACGATATGCTTTCAATCAACAACCTCGTCGTGGTTACCTGCATTCCGACTGTCTGCTGGACTCTCCTCCGGACCTACACAACTACTTTACAGCCCGCAAGCTTGGATTTCCCATAATAGTCGTTCCAGTTTATCGGGATGATTGGTGGTGGATTGTCACATTCGCCAGATTCAATTGGATCCGCCACATACCAGTGGTAGGATATTGGCTTCCTCGTCGAGGTCATGCATGGACATTACAGGATCGCTATCTCCCGCATCGGAAACATGGCGACGCTTTCACGATAGTGTCTCCAACCAGGGTGGAAGTCATCATCAACGACCCAGCCGTTGGCGTCGAGGTCCAGTCTCACTACAAGGCCTGGCAGAAGCCTCGATCTCGCTACGAAGTGTTCGACCTGTTTGGCACGAACGTGCTCAGCGTTAATGGCGAAGACTGGCAGCGGCATCGAAAGATCATCAATCCTGCCTTCCGTGAACAGAATTATAAATTGGTATGGGCGGAATCCATAAAACAAGCTGGCCAAATGCTGGATACAATCGGTCGCCAACTTGATATGTCCATCACTCTGCTCGACGTCCGCAATCACTGTGTCATAATTGCCATGCATGTCCTTTCGGCCGCTGGATTTGGCCATGCCCATGATTTCGACGGTGGATTTCGAGGTGTCTCCGCCGGTCATACAAGAAGCCTTGCAGACACGCTGATGTACCTACTGTCCAACCTTCTCTGGACGGTGCTGTACATGAAATACAACTGGTTAGGCTACGGGAATCCAACCAGATACAACGAAGTCATGGGTGTAAGCAATGAGTTCCGACAGTACATGAAAGAGATTCTCGCATATCACCGAGCTACAACTCAAGCTGGTGGTGGTGGACAAAGCGCCGACATTGTCAGTGCTCTGGTCGAGGCCAACGAGGCTGCGAAGCGAGAGGAGAAGGCGTCCAGCCTGCGACCAATGCATCTGACCGACCAAGAACTTCTCGGCAACCTCTTCGTCTTCAACCTGGCGGGATTTGAGGCGACAGCCAATGCGCTGACTTATACGATTCCACTGCTCGCCGCTAACACGGCTGTCCAAGATTGGGTGGGTGAGGAAGTCGATGCAGTGTACAAGGACGGCGAGCAGCCAGACTACGAGGACGCTTTCCCTTCATCAGTCAGAGTTCAGGCACTGATGTACGAGACATTACGACTCTGGGGACCTATCACGGACGCACCGCGCTGGACCTCGAGCGAGGCTCAAATCCTCCGCATCCAAGGCCGCGAAGTGCTGATTCCCCCAAACACGTACGTGACGACAAACTTCTCCGGCATTCACAGCGACCCGCGGTGGTGGGGATCCGATTCGTTGACATGGCGGCCACAGCGATGGATCGAACTCGATCTTACAACTGGGAAGGAATCGATCGCTGCTCCACCTGATGGGGCGGCTTACATGGCATGGAGTATCGGCCCACGGGTCTGTCCAGGCCGCAAGTTCAGCCAGGTCGAATTGGTCGCTGTCATTTCGTTAATGCTTAGCCGGTACCGGCTCAAACCACTTGTCATTGAAGGCAAAATGACGTCCGAAGCACACGCAAAACAAGAGTTGCTAAATGTCGTCAACGACTCGATGCTTGTTGTCACGCCGAGGTTTCGGAGACCACAGGATGCCGGCGTGGTTTTCATATAGCGACGAGGTACGAAACTTTATAGGTCGCTGGGACCAGGAAGCCGACTCCCAAAGAAACTGCGACCAAGGAGACACCCCTCAACAGTGGAGAGTGCAGGAATTGGCAGAGACAGAATGAGAACAGAATGAGAACAGAATGAGAACAGAATGAGAACAGAATGAGAACAGAATGAGAACAGAATGAGAACAATGTACCATGAACAGGATAAGGGAAACCTCAAGGTGGAACGCAACCACGCCTGGTGCAAGATTTCATCGCGGTTTGGTGGAGATCGCCAGGAAGTGGCCGACGACTGTTGTCGGGCACTGTTTTCCATCATGTCAGCAAGCTGATCGAACAGCTGCCGGGCTCCTGATGCTCATCTATGCATGGTCTTCATGAGGTGGGCGTCGTGGGGATGGGTGATGGACATGAGGAGGAAGTCTAAGCCATCAGTTGGACTGGCACTATCTTACTCCGGTCGGCTTTCTCCTCAGCTTCGGTCTCGCGACCTCGCTTTCTTGCCTGTGGATGTGGCTGGCGCTTGGTGTGTCGGCAGTCCTACCTTTCGATCCTGCTCACTGACGAACAAACGATCGATCATGTGGTCTCGAATGAGCATGAACAGCACTGCGTACCGGTCATTCAATACCGTTCGCTTGATCGCCTTTCTGGCAGATCCATCGACAGTGACTGGAGGGATTCATGACATTCATCGTCTCAACGGATCAATATCTATCTGGAGTTCTTCATGTACAATTTTGTACGTTGATCGTTGGTCTGATTGCAACCAGGCCTATTGATACAGTCCTAGTCATTTGATATGGAGGTGCCCACTGTCCTCAACCTGCTGGCGATCGTTGTTGATAAAGGAGGTATAGTATTTGCGGCGTTCTTCAGCAATAGCGGCAGCCTCAACCACGTTGCGTTCAACAGTTGTCGTTCCGCTTGAGACAACGACAGCTCACGAACCAGCCACAACTTGGATCCGTGTTGCCGCAGCTCTGATGGCTTCAGCCTGCTTTCTATTGGCGTTGGCTCTCACGATGATATTCTGCAGGATTTGTTCCTTCTGCTCCTCGGTCTTGTGAGTGCAAGCAAGGCTTGCGTAGGTGGGTTGAGCATTGCCAGCCCCTTGCTTCACGAAGACTAGATTCCAGATTGTGAGCTCACCAAGCATCTTGGACAGTGCGTAAAGATATCTCTGTATACGGCCTCTGTCGAAGACTGCTTCGATGTAGCATGGAAAGCTCTGGGCTTGGGCCTGGTTCGCTATAGCTGATGATTAAACCCTTCAACTTTGAGGCATGTCCATTGGGAACAAGCAGGACAGTTTCACCCATGCCACCAATCTGCAAACAGTTTCCCGTCAGACGGGCTTTACAGGTCCGCTCCTTGTCCAGAGGGATGTAGCGTGACGTGCTCCCTTTCAGACGATGTCCAGGAACAGGCGCCCGGGCTTCAAATGCTTTGCGGTTCGATGAGTACTTAACTAGCGGCCGTGACTTGCTCAATTACTTCCATCGAATCCCAAGGCTGATTGAGTAGTTCTAGCGCTTCACAATGGTCCCTCGCGATGAACGTCGTTCACGTTTGGACAAGTACATTCGGGAGTTCTCCTTCGACATCGCGCGGGTTGGCTCCGGATGACCGTCGTTGCAGTGGGAGTACGTCTGCCGTACAACGCGATAAGACGCAGCTTCACTTCAATGAGAGACAGCCGCCGTCAGCACCGAAATACAGCCTCAATACTCCTACGGAGGACTCCAGCATTGTCACGATCGTTGGTGATGGTGATTACTGCCTTCTACTCCCAATGGTCACATACAGGGTATGTCCCTCTCGGAACTTCTCCTGCTCATCGAGGCTCTCGTTCCATAATTGTGGCCAAACCTGCCTCGCTCGTTCCAGCAGTTCCGGATCACTTCGCATCCACTTGTACATTGTGGTAGAGTACTCCTCAAACACGGCCATCGCCTCGTCCTTGTCAAACACCTTTTCGGTCGTGTAGCTCTTTGTGCGGAACGAGCTTTCGACTTCTAGACCCGCATCTTCGTACAGCTGTTCGAGAGTGTGCATGTCCTTCACCCAGTCGCGGTCATGATTGTAGGCCTGCCTCAGCGCTTTACGCAAAGGCATGGTAAACAAGTACTGCAGCGTGCGATCTTCCGTGGGGACGTCGATGATCATCTTTCCTCGCGGTTTCAGGAACGATGCCCAGTGTTTGATGGCGCGGGCAGGATCTTCCAGAAGCACAAGCGCCGAGCAGCATGAGATTATGTCGAAACCGCCTCTTTCCGTCAGGACTTGTTTGATCGCACCGATGGATGACAGGTTGGTGATGTCGGCTTGGATCCATTCCGGTCTGGCCGCGTCATTGGGGATGGATTTGCGACGGGCCTCGTCCAGCATCCCTTCTGTCACGTCGATGCCGATGACTACGCCGTTCGGTCCGACGCCTTCAGCGTAGGGCAGGGTGACTAGCCCGGTACCGCAAGCTAAATCGAGTATGGCTCCGCCTGGTGGTGGAGGGAGCCAGGTTGTAAAGTCGCGACCAAGCGTTGCATGCCAGCCGCCTCTCCCTGCATCTTACTGGCTGGCGCGAGGGGTGTAATGGGTGATTGCTTCGATGGTGAATGCGTTGGTCGATGGATGAGACATTGTTGAGGTCGGCGCTGTGTTCGACGTCCGGTTTGGATATTCTAGAGTGGATGAGGAGATTGTATATGAAACCTACACAAGGAGTATTTTCATGAGCGTCAGCAATCAGTAGAGGCAAGTTGATCATCAGCACAATCCCGAGTCAGCCATGCACATAGACGCTTTCTTATAGTCGTAGTTCGACGACTGTCGTCACGATTTTCCTGCAAAGGTTGACTTCAAAAAGAGAAGCGACAGGACTGAGTCACATCGGAATTGCAAGAAGACATTCCGCAAGCGATGTCGTGACCGTGCCTTTACTAAGCGTCGTGGACGACTGGAACGACCTTTTCTTTGCAACGAGCATAGTAGTGGACGAGCCCAGATGATGCGACAACCTGTTCAGGGCCCAAAAAGAAACAAAGGCAACCAGATTACGGTCAAAAAGAAAAGTCTCGAATTGAGCACAGTCTGTCCCTGCAGGAATTGTTAGAATTATGTATTGATATTGTTTCCATGGTGAGCACATACAGAGCGAGAATCGAACTCGCGACCTTCGGATTGCTTCCTGCGTTTGTAGGCGACAAGATCACAGTTGGTACTCTATGAGACCGACGTCATAACCAACTTTGGGATCGTTAGTTACGGAAACCTGTGCCGTTGAAAATAGAATCACTGACCTAGACCATCCAGACTTGCAATTCGAGATGAGAATTTGCTGAAATTCTGGCATGTCAATTATATAATATTTGCAAGACTATGGGTCGTATTGCGCCTATCATTGTGCGCCATGGGCGTCAAAGCGGGGTTCATCTGGGGCTTGGGATTAGTTGTTCGGCCTTCAACCGGAACACAGACACTTGGCTCGAACCACGACGAAGACGTGAGATGAGGAAAAACTTTCTTAGGCCATTCAATGCCAATGATAAGAGTATGCGACAATTCAACATGGATATCAATATCTTGAAACGGCGCTTGACGAGCTTAAGCCACTTGAAGAAGTTCTCGATGGCTTGCCTAAATTCGTGAAAAGCCATGCCACTCCTACAGCTTGGCGGCTATGAAACTGTGTATGTCACGAGAGGCTCTGATAATCATTGTGAACACTTGAGGCCAGCCTGCTGTCAAGACGACGAGTCCAACTGGAATCATGCCGGAGCCACAGGCGCCTATCTCACCTAGGCCAGTACTCATCCTGTCGTCAAGTTGTCCAGGCTTTTCCGGGGCAGAGGATATCGAGCATCATAACCCACCAAAGCCATCGCCCACGAGTCAATTACGATGTAAGGGGAGACAATCAGACGTGTATCCTTCCGCACTCTGGTAATGCAGAAGGCAAGAGACAGTGGTAGCAATGAACTTGGGTCTACTCACCGGAGATTGTAGGAGTGAGTTTGATGTGCATATCATGTGTGGCAGCCGTCTTCACTGCCACAGACATATACATCCCTCTCTCCACCGATCCATGACGTTGTGAAGGTGATCATACCTTGTAGACAGTCCACTTAGTAGCGCTTCGCCGATGGTAGCTTGTAAAAGGTATGTCGATATCCTCCACCTAAGCAATATGAAGTGGTGTAGGCATCAAAGTGCTTCCCACATCTTCTTTCCACCACCTGGTCCAGCAGTTGCGAAAGCCACCGCAGTCGCGTTTACGTTGCCAGCAGAGCGACAGCACCGGGTCTTCGCACTCTTGCTTCCACCCATCACCCAGTCAAATCCGGATCCATGGCCAAGTAACGGTCTTCTCACGTACCTGGTGGTAGGTAACAATGGATCAGCCGCCATTTACAATCGGACGACAAGCTCGTTGGCGCAAGAAGCCCTCGTGTTTGTAGGGTGTCATCAAGCTTTCGCCCAAAGCACATCCCGAATCCTTGGTTGGTGATATTCTGTGCAACGGCACCGTTCGCTGCGTACAAACGCCGTCGATATCTGTATCTGACGGTGTGGTGGTGTCATGGTGAAATAATATTGCTCTTTCACTGAGCTAGAGGAGTATTCAATAGCGTCCTCATGGGTCCTGTCTTCTTCCATTCCTCCATCTCGGCTTCGGCGAAATTGCCCATACTTCCAAAAGCCATCACAAGAAACCCTAGATCCTCGCGATCAACATCAAAGACCTCCCACCAGTTCTGTTCGACGAGTTTGATCCCCAGCTCCCTCGCTGCAAGGTAGATAGCTCCCACGGCGAGTGCGTTTGGTTGATGTGTAAGGTAAAGCATTTGTGGAGAGAGTAGTCCGGCATTTAGATGTTCAAGAACTCTCTTCGCCAATGTAGCAGACGAGACGCCCAGCGCTTGCATGTACGTCAAAGCCAGACCATGCGGCAGGACGACTCGGGTGTCAAATCCAATACTCTGCAATATTTCGCCCTCCTCAATAATCATGTAATTTATGTTACTCTCCAAAATCCCTTCCGTAACGTAGTACTGTTCCGGATGGATGTCTGTAGGCGGTCCGCCAGGGTTGAAGAACTTGAGAGGTGAAGCGCACGAGCTGAGATAGACGTAGACATTCGCGAGAGATCGCCATGAAATGGGCGTAGGAGAGGGTTTCGCGGCGAGAAAAGTGCAGACCGCGCAGTGTTCTCGTACAGACCAAGGATTCCGGTCACTTCGGACAACGGCAAAGCGCTGCAAAAGTACTATTGCCTGTGCAATGATCTCTTGTGGTAGACGTAGGAGGATGCCCGCGGCGCAGAGGAGTTGGTATTCCGCGAAGCGCCACGACTGACTCTGTTCATTGTCGAACTGCTTGAACGCGAACAGCTGCTCTGCAGTGACCAGAGGATTCGATAAGGTGTCGAGTGCAGCGACTGGCGCCATGCTGGCCACCATCCAAGGGTAAGAAATGTTGCGACATGTAGGTCGACTTTCTAGAGAAGCACAGGGCGATCTATGACCGAGCCGAATGATCCGCCGTAGAATCTATTCTGGGAACTATCCAGGACGCTTCGGCAACCTTCTCTGAGGGTTTCTAGACGACTAGGCTCGAACAAGGCTTCCATTATGCAGATTATAGTGTGTTACTGTCGCTCCGGCTAGGCGGTCCAATACCACCCATCCTACCGTGGGTCCGATCGATCATTTCCGTCGCTATGGGCTTGTCTTTCATAGACCGAATCAAGGCCCATTGACTAGTCGCAACCTCTAGCCCAACGGTTCCATCAACGAAGGAGCTGAGGATGCGTAACCTGGCCGACGTACATGGCACATGGAATTCATAGTTTAGCGCGACCAGGTCTTTCCAAGTAGGATCGTAGATGAGGCCAGACTCGTTATCGCAGCATTTTCCGCAAAAAGGCGACCATCCCTCACACGTCCAGACAGATTCTCTCGTAGAACCTTGGCAGCCCGTCTGCGCTTGGGACTTGTGTTTGTCTGGGGAACATCGTGCTGGATGCGTTAACGAAGAGCTGGCTTGTGTCGAGCAATGGCGGTAGCAGAGCCAAGCTGACTCGTATTCGGATATTATCATCCCCCATGGTAAATCAGACAGCGTGCCCAGAGCTATTCCAATGCCAATGGCGTTTTCCACATTCGACTCGCTCACCAGAGTCATAGAAGAGTCAAACATAGCTCGAAACGTTCTTCTTAATTTTGTGTTGAAGTCAGATGCTACAATAGCAGTTCTTACTGCTTTTGCAACATGCATAGCCACTGTGGAGCATTGCGAAAGCATCTGAGCAGTTGATGATCGACTCTCGTAGGCGGCAAGGGATGTGAACAAGGTCGACAAGTCCATTCCGAGGCTGGTCGCAAGCTGAAACATGATACTCTCCATCCAATAGAAGGGGGCTTCGCATTCAAACAATGCATCCCAGAATATGTCTTCCACAGGCTTCTCATAATCAATATGGATTCGATCTCGAATGTGGTTCTTTGTGATCCCGCGTCGTGCGAGCCCGAGAAGGCTGTAGACTTTGTCCCGTGGATCTGTACATTGGCCTTCACAGAACTCATTCAACAGCTCCCAAAGTGGTTCCCGGCCACCAGATCTCCGAAGACTGATGAATCGAAGTATTCTGGTTGTACTTGGTGGCTCTTTGAATTGGAAATTGACGCGAACGCTTTGCTGCGCTGAGACAGTCAGTCCAACGGAGCCCACGTTGCCAATTTCGCAGTACTTGATAAGCGTTTCGAGTTTTCCTAGCGCGATGGAGAACGCACCACAACTTACAGTGGCAACTTTAGCCATTGCGACCTCCTGGACTATCCATAGCCTGCCCCAATATGGCAAGCTCAATAGATCCATCATGGCCTGTGGTAGCCTATCCTTGACAGCCGCGATTTTCCAATGAAGTGCCTCGGGGAGGTTGGTGCTGTCATATTCGTAAATGGACATTCGAGAGTGGTGCACCATGTGCTCGAACATGTCATCTCTCTGAAGGACCTCAAGGAATGCCTCGTGCCTGTCGACCCGTGTCAAGCATTCGGTCTCGTACTCATACCAGTAAAATCCTGCTATCAGCCACATGGCAGCCTGCATCTGCTCCTCACGTCCAAGCCAGATGATGACTTCTTCTGCGAGGTAGTAAATCTCTCCCATGTAGCCAACTTGATGGTTTCTTTCATGGACGTTTGCCTGATCAATGCACAACGCGTCCGTCCAGTAGTAGCCTAGACCGAGGTAGGAAATCTGAACGCCATAGTGAGGCTGTGCCGATAAGTAAAATGCCTGGTCTTTCGGTTCAGGCACGGCGTCAAATCAGAGGCCGGGACTTTTGGTCATGTGTTCGGGACAGGCCCTCATTGCTGGAACCTTCCTCGAGAGCTCCGGTATGCATGTAGTAGCTGCAGTGCAGACAACAACGAGGTACTGTGGTATCCTCATGGGCTCCGAAGACACGGATGCAAAGTTCCTGTATGCGCTGCGTTGCCGAGATCCTGAGCATTCTGCCTTTGTAAAGTTCGACACCCCTTGCAAGAACCAGGCAGCTATCCTCATTCGTTAGGTCCAAACCCATGCGACAGCTCTGTCCTGAAATTCAGAAAACAATCAGCTCACATGAATAGGTCAGGTTGCTAGCGATATTGAATCGCGAATCCCGTCTTGCGGAAATCTTCGTGGGTTGATGGCAGTGTTCGGTATCAAGTTCACATTCGAGGATGTTGATGCCGAGATATTTACCGAGGCAGTGGACGCCAAAAGATTGTCAACTTCGACCGGACGCGGTTACTTATTGTATATCTGTGGTGTGTGGGCAGAACATCGTGGCGCTCAACGTTGATAAGTTGGAGGCCCTGAATTCTATGAGGCTAACTCCAGTCATTTCTTTTAGGCAACCAAGTGCCTTAGAGATGCCGGAAACTGGAGTATATGCTAGGCAGGCTTCCTTAGCAGTATTTCCGCTGGACTGTCCTTGCCAGCCCAGCTCACAATGTGGTCTAGTCCCTTCCACACCACGGCATCGAGTCTCATAGCTGCCAGCCTGAGGACAGGCCAGGCTCGTGACTGCATCCGGACTGTGCCTCGCCATTTATCCAAAAGGAGCTTGTTCTCTTTGGCCGCAGCCATCGACGGCGACTGCACAAAGAGAAGCAAGGCAAAATTCGTCATGTACGATAACTGATATCGGGTATCTTCAGACACGAACGGGGTCAGCATAACACTTTGGCATCATGGACGAAGGCCATTGCACCACTTACATGACGGCCAGAAATTGACAAAGTGGTTCGCTTTGAGAGCGGCAACCAATTCCAGAACCAGTTTGGCGCATGACTGACTGTTTTGGAAGATGGTAGATCGTGGTTCTGAAATTACCTCCTCACTAGTTCCGGGTGGGAAAGCCAGCGGACGTAGGAGTGCTCGGAAGACCAGTAATTCCAGCGTCAAGTATGTCAGACGCAGTGGACCGCAATTGTCGAGACCGTCCTCCTCCATTAATTCTTTGGTGGGCTTCAACACATCTGGGGGCAGCTTTTGTCGCCATTGTTGAATCCGCATCCTCAATGGCTGTGCACGGACAAGAAGAGCTTCGAGGCTTGTAGCCTGACGAATCGACTTGATGGAGCTACTCGCGCGGATTAGTATGCCACGACATTCGAGCAAGGCAAGACTGTGGATTGAAACTCACTAAAGAGCATCAAGCACCTGGCTGGCAATTGTACTCAGGCTGCATAGAGCCATAAAGTAAGGACACTGTGCTCTGATGGCACTGCGAGCTTCCGCATCCGCAAAGTCATCCAGGTCGAAATCGTCTCCAGTCAATTCAGAGACATCCCAGTTTGAATCGCCGATATGAGAAGGCCGCCCGAGTACCAGTGCGCGCCAGGTATGTTCAATGTGAACAAGCCACCACAGCCTCTTCCGTAACCTGATTTCATGTGATGGCAGCTTCCAATCTGAAGGGTCCAGATTCAGTCCGAGAGTCTCTGCGTCAGCAAGAACGGAGCACGCCAGAGCCCACGAGCATGGGATATCGGCGACGGCATAATTCTGCGGTGGCCGATGCAAAAGAAGAAGGCTAAGCTGTACAAGCCCTAAGTGAGACTTTCGGGAATCTCGATGCAGGCCACGATGGGCAATGCCCCAAAGTTCCTCTGTGGAAGGTTGCTGATACCCTCTGTCGACGGATAGATAGTCATCCAGGAAGTAGTAAGGCGCGGCTAACGCGTACACGGCTGCTCTCAAGCCGGTCGTACAGTTGCACCCTCGATATTCGCCATTGTGATCATGGGATGAGAGGACAGGATACGATGGTTGAATGAATTTGAAAAACCTAGACAGTCAGCTCCAGGCTTCAACACTAGGTGAGGACTTACAGTTTCAGGAGTCTTGAGCCCAAGTCAACAGGGACCAACTTGTACAGCAAATCATGGTCTTCAGCTTCAGTACCAAAGCCTGAAAAGTCCTTGTCGATGATTTTGACGTCCTCTTCGCATATCTCCTCATTGGTCATGACGAATTGGATTGGTATGTCACCAGCGGGGATCTGTGATGTTTGGGACGAGACTGCAGGCCCAGGCATGTTCATGTCGTCTACAACCTTACGGAAATCAAGTCCAAACATCCGAAACGTGTCTCGTGTATCATACTGATAATGACGTAGAAGAAATGGATCAGTCTCACCCGACATACCGATGAGCTGGAACGAATAGCCCGGACGTTCGTCAAGAGAGTATTCGTCGGACCACTCGTGGTCCCTTGGCGCCTCCTGTTTGTCTGGTGGGAGTCCTTCGGAGACGTCGTCTCGCAGTGATGCTGAATCTTCAACTTCATCACCAGGGTGGGTGCCAATCGCATCAATCGAGTACGTGCCATTGACAGAATCCTGGTGCTGCTCGTGTCGCTGATTTGGTAGACCTGGACCCGCACCTGGCGAGATGAGTTCAGACCGAAACGCTTGAGGTGAGCCATCACTAGCTGCCGATATTCGGGTTGGAAAGTCAAAGTCATTACCCAGGGGAGCTGGTCCAGCAAGATTAGTCATCCATGCCTAGCTCAAGAACAATCGATCGACTTACTGATGGGAAAATTGAGGTACGACCAATCTATAGCGCCGGCTTGTGGGCCAGACTGCTGACCCAAGAACGACAGCTGGTCAGACACCAGCGGCATCGTCTGCGAATCAACATCGATATCGAGTTGCAAGTCGGCTGTCTCGAAAGTGCCGACATCGATGGCCATGGGGTCGCCATTGTATGCGGTCGTGTCAGATTGAGTGCCGCGATGCTGCGCTGAATTTGATGGAGTCTCCGGGAGACGCCATCGTTGTTGTGCGGAATGTGATTGATGTCCAGGAGGACTCCATTGTTCCTGTGGCGAATTCGACTGACCGTCTTGAGGTCGCCATCTTTCCTTCCTCAGGGGCTGCAGGACAAATGTACAACCACGACCAAGTTTGGCGCAAAGTTCACAAGCCCCACCATTGTCGGGAATCTTGCATTGGGTCTTCCTTTGACGGCATAAGTCACAGGGCCTTTGCCGCTTGGATCGATACTTTCGGGCCTGAGACCCGTACTGTACAGATTCAGGCCTTTCTGGACGCGTATGTGGTACCGGTTGCTGACCGAACATCTCGACAGCATCAACTCGTCCTTGAAGGTCGCGGGCCGATTGTTATCATTATGGTCAAATCAATAACGAGTCGTGGTCACGCTTGAGTTTAGCACAGACTTCAATAACGGGATATTGCCAAGCCGATTCTCGGAAGAATAAGTGACAGTCTGACACTTGGGGTTTCGCGAAGTTCCAGTGGATATCGTTACGCCATCTCCAGGTGAATCCTGGGTCAACAACGTTGTTCTTTCAGTTCGTAGCACTAGGAAGGCTGCCAACTCTATCACTACAAATTTGAAACCTGCATTCAAGACACCAGTTGCTATGAAGCTGCAGAATCCCAGAAAAATTGGTACGATATATCCTCCGTCAGACGACTTCTCGCCGCGGGTATTTCTTATCGCAGAGTGGCAATGAGTCTGGAACGATATCTCGGAAAGCTGTCCGCCATATCCGAGAGAGGTGGGGGATGGGGATGGGAAGCTTGATCCTACTTTATCTCTATGGAACATGTTCTTGGCTTGTACGACACCCACAATTATACATCCTCAACGTCAGACTCGCCAACCTTGTTGTCAGTCGCTTGACTAAATTGATATACATATACGCCGGCTTTCCCATTGTCGCGGTCGGTTGAAGTATTTCTCTTCTCCACGATGTCGCACAGTCGCATTTATGAAACGATTCGACAATTGTGAACCCAGTCATCTCATGGAGACAGCGATAGAGCTTTAAAAGAGGACGCGTGTTTTCGCTGCTGAGAGCATGGCTAACTACGAAGCATCCGCGCTACATCATCCTATTTTGCAAGCCGACGACAGAACGTTGTCATTTCCCGAGTGGTACTTGCGACAAGCGTCAGTAGGTAGTGGGCTTGTTTCGTGGTGACAAGCTGGACACCAAGTAAAGGTGAGATTCTGACACGCAAGGTTCGTGAGTGAAGCATCGAGGAAATGAACCTGAGGATCACCATATTTACGCTCAGACCTCACTTCATGCCGCGAAGGCGTAATTTTGATCCCAAAGATTACGTGCCGTTTTGCAGGATAGCCATTGCTTGTATCATCGGCCGACGGCCAAGTGTATTCCGGATAGCCTCCCATAAGGTATTGTACCAGACTTTCTCAACCTGACAAGTTTCGATTGCCGGTGAGGCACTGCATCCCAACGACAGCCACCGGCCTTTCCACAGCGATGATGGCCAGCACAATTTATCTCTGAAGCCGTGCACATGTCGTTCATTCATGACAAGCTTGCGCATCAGGTCTAGGCTCGCGCCGGCTCTGATCAATTCCCCAGGTTGAGAGCGAACCTTCAAAAAGGAGAGGGCTTTACGTTGTCGGCAGGCTGGTGCGTGAATACGATACTGGCAAGAAGTCTTTGGATTATATCGATTTGGCACGCCTTGCCCTGGGGCAGATTGACTCAATAATAGTTGCACTTTGATCTCTCAGTTCGCGATTGATAAAGCGACACATCGTCATGCAGTTCGCCGATGAGGTCAAGAAAGTCTTAAGAGCACATCGCTTGGAATGACCAGGAAGTGCCTCCAAGTCAGGATGGCAACTACTACACCCAAGGGAAGCATCGGAACGTATTGAGTTCTGGGCAGCATTTCTGCAACATATATGCCTAGCCCTTCGTTGCACGTTTCGAACTCGACGTCGACCCAGGTCCTATTCTGGAATATGAGACACGCAACCTGGTGTTACAAGAGCTGTCACACTCGCCAATCGAGTATTGCAGCTCTGAGTATCGTGCACTTGATGCAAAGGTGCGATGGAACACGTGCTGAGAGGGGTATGCACGTCTGCAAGTGCTGAATTGCCCGCCCGTCTTCGCTCCTGTCAAAATAAACATTTGTCGATGACATAGATTCCGTTGCATGCGGCAACAATGGCTGCCCTTTGATCTCCTCTTGCCACCACTAGTACAATTGACTCAACCCTGGCGGGCGAGACCATCGATGATCAGCGGTATAGATACACAGATCCCCCGGACGCCGTAATGAGATAGTTCACCTGCATTGACGGGCGTGGCACATTGGGGAGTGGGCCTGGGGGATATCGACCGGGGCCAGGCTCGGATCAAGTTGGCCGGTCACCGTTGATAAAGCGCCATCGGATTTCAACGTTGGCCACATTGATAACGCCCGACGACCAACATTCCAGAACTGCCACGGACTACACCGGTGAGTTTGCTGCATGATGTTTCCGCCGCTTGATGAGTTTCTAGAATGATTCTTCATATGGCGCACGATGGGCTGTAAATATCAACCCTATGAGAGATAAGTACTGGTTTCAAGCTTGCACTTGCCTGAGCCGTATCTACAACTCAGCAAGAATGGCAGTATCAACATTCGTCACGGGGACGCGCCCTGTTCTAGTTGCAGTCCTCTCCGCGGTTGCATACCTAGCAGGCGCCGTGATATACCGACTCTTCTTTGCACCATTATCAAAAATTCCTGGCCCCAAACTCACATCAGTGACATCGCTATGGGTCATGTACCATGAATTCAAGGGCGACAGAACTGTTGAGATTGACAGACTTCATTCTCAGTATGGACCGGTGGTGCGAGTCTCGCCAACAGAAGTCTCATTCAACAACTACGACGGCTTAAGGGAGATCTATGGCATCAAGTCGACTTTCTCCAAGAGCTCTTTCTACGACCTGTTCGTATACTATGATGAGCGGAACACTTTCACGAGTCTTGACAAGCCAAATGTATGTTTTCTCCCATACGCATCGACCCTAGCTCAGTATACTCATGTTTGACTATTCAGCACTCGGCCAAGAAGAGGCTCGTCGCAGATCGGTATACCAAGAGCTACGTGATGCAGCCTTCCGTTGCCGACAAGGTCCGCGAGCATGCTGCGGCATTCATGAAGCAAGCGTCAGCTCAACCTGTCCTTGACATCTACACATGGCTACACTACTATGCCCTGGAGTAAGCTTGATCTTCCCAGCCAACAGCTACAAGTCTAATTTCTTCCCAGCGCTATCACAAACCATCTCTACGGCATCTACGGCACCCAGACCCTGTCCAACCCAGAGTACAGAGGGATCGTCTACGACCTCTCCGGCGTCAAGCACCGCACCCGTCTATACATGCTCCACTACTTCGGCTGGTACATGTGGCTCACCTCACAACTCAAACTGGCAGTGCGCAAGCTCAGCGGCCAAAGCACTCAATTCCACGTCCGCGGCAACCGCCTCAACGACTACGGTCAAGACAGCGTCTCATCCTTCCGTCGCGACCAGACCACCAAAGACACCATCTCCACATGCGCCAAACTCTTCAGCCAGATCCCCAACAACGAACCCGCCATCGCCGCCGAGTGTATGGACCACCTGGTCGCGGGCGTCGACACCACCGGCGACGCAATGTGCATACTGATGTGGCGCATCTCCACGCCCGAGTACAAACACGTCCAAGACACGCTCTTCGCCGAACTATCCAGTATCAAAGACCAATTCGACCCGACCACCAAAACCGCACCAATTGCCGCACTCGAGAAACTGCCATACCTCGACGCCGTGATCCACGAGGCCATGCGCTGGCGTCCGCCGGTCCCAATGACACTCTTCCGCATCGTACCTCCCTCCGGCGCCCTGATATCAGGCCAGGTCATCCCCGGCGGCACCACAGTCGGATGCCAAGCGTACAGTCTTCACCGAGTCGAAGAGGTCTTCCCTAACCCCGACCTCTTCGATCCCACACGGTGGTTGACCGAAGACGTGGCGCACCTGGCTGCCATGCGTAACCACTTCTGGCCCTTCAGCTCCGGTGGGCGTATGTGCCTGGGACACAACCTCGCTATGGTCGAAATGAAGTTGATCGTTGCCGCCGTGTACATGCACTACACGACGCGGGCGACGCCTGAGGTCACGGAGGAGAGTATGCGCATGGACGACCAGTTGACGAGTGGGGTGCCTTATGCGCTGAGCTGTCCATTGGAATTCGTCGCGCGATGATTACTCTGGATATTATAAATCAAGTGGCTTTCAGTCGTGCAAAAGTGTCATTATTCCTTAATCCATTTCCGATCCCCCTGCACCGTTGGTGAAATTCTACGAAGTGTGTGTAGGCAGTTTTGGTACTTTGTGTTCGAAAGACAGTCTCTTTTGACTGTGATAGATCATACGAATGGACTTGATCTCATATAGGTGGTTGGTCCGCATCGTTATTATTCATCGTAACTGGCCTCTTCGATAAAGCTACTATCTCATCTCCCCACTAGCTTCTGGCAGAGTCCCTCGTGGCTCTTTCAATCGGCCTTCGTAAAGACCACCGTGCAGGTATCATTCTTCGGCGTAATCATATAATAATCCTTGAAATCCATATCCTCTTTCGCCGGCAGCACAGCCGGCTTCTCGCTCTGAAACGTCTTATACAAATGACTCACAGCAACCTTGATTGTGACCATCGCAATGTTCTGACCGATACAACCTCTGGTTCCCTTGCCAAATGCCATCCAAGCGGTCTTAGCCTTAGCAGTGGGCTCGTCCCAGCGCTCGGGGATGAACTCCAGACATCGGTCAAAGTACTCTTCCTGTCTGTGCATGCTGTACGGCTGTGCGGAGATGACGGTCTGTGGGGGAATGAATGTGTCGAGCAGCGTGACTCCACCGTCGGGCACGATACGTGGCTCCGATGCCGGAATGGATGAGTACAATCTCAACGTCTCGAGAACGACACCGTGGAAGTATGGCAGTTTGTCAACGGCGGTAAAGTCATTGAGATCGACGGTCATGAGCTCCTCATGCAGTTTCTTCTGTTGCACGGGGTTTTTGGACAGGTGGTCGATCAGGAATGTGAGTGTCGTGCCGGTCGTCTCGTGTCCGGCGCCCATGTGGTCCATGACTTCTGCTGAGATCTCCTCGCGCGACAAGCCCGTGTGGTTGAGCTTGGTCAGGAGATGCGCTTTCTCCTGGTCACAGTTGTCCATCCACTTGTGCGTCATATTGTTGATGATTTCTTCTCCTTTCGTTGCGCCTGCCCATCCTGGGATCAGATTGGCAATGCCAGTCGAGTGTAGCATCTTGGTGAGGTTAGGCAGCTCAGCCCACCAGTGGAAGGTTTCTCTGCGCGAGTGCCAGGCATCAAACACTTCGGTATCCTGGCCCTGCAGCAGGTGGCTTCCATTTTGGTTGCCGAAGAAGAAGCCTGAGATGACGTCTTGCGCCAGATAGTTGAATAAAAAGAACACATCTTTTGGCTCGCCAGGGACGATGTTGTTGACCATTTGTCGAACGCGGTCGTAGATGACGGTCAAGTTCTCGGGTTTCAGCATATACTGCTTGGTGTACTCGCCACCAAGATGCTTTCTCCTACCACTGTGATGCGAACGGTCGGGCGTGCTGAACATGTTCTTCGCCCCGTATGCCTCGAAAGCGTTGTAGAAATGCGTCTTCTCATAGTTGTAGATAGGACCGACTGACGGTGGATGGTTGAGAGAGACCTCGTCGGGAGCCAATCGCACCAGAGGACCATATTTTTGATGTAGGTCGTGAATATAACGGGTTCTGTTCAAGGTGATAGTCTGGTAGAGGAGAGGGATTTTGCTATATCTTGTGATGAAAGGACCAGGAACATTTTTCAGGGCCAGTGACTTGTAGTAGACGGCAGCGATAAGTGCCACAGCACCCACCACGGGGAGCAAGAAGAGGTAGGAAATCATGACGCTTTACATGAAGCAATGGTCTCTCGTAACAGGACAAGCATATCGACTTACCATGTGGGAAGAAGTCGCCCCTCCTATATCTCCAGCTGGAGGAGTACAAGCACTGAGTGCGCCCGTGAACCGGTGCGCTAAGTTACCCACTGCCCGTCAGGCTGCCGTGCCGAACACATTTCCTTGATAGATTGTGGGGACTCTTTCGGGCGGCGGATAACGTAAATCAATATGTTCTTGACTAGATTGGGCGGACCGAAGATATGATGGATGCGGTCGTCGTGGTGAGCAACCCAATGAATCTGGGGCGCGCATGGCGAGCCTTGCAGCAACACCGTGAAACCGGTGGTGACGAGGCTTATCGAGACTCATTATAAGCCTCCCTAGCCTGAGGACCACCGCCGAGATAAGGGCCAGATAAGGCAGGGACTGAGTAATCCCCTCACTGAGATAAGCCGCGCATAGCCATCTCCGAATATCGAAGTCTGTGCTAAAGTTAAGCTTGACCAATTTGCCCGTGTCGTCGGCGGATAACAACCGAGTTCTGGTCCCTGAGGACAAGAGCCTCACAAAGGGGGATCCATGATTGGCTAGCGCACGTCTTTGCGGCCTTCAATGTATTCCAAACACAGCAGTAGACCTCATCCATGTAGGAGCATATAGAAGGCGTCAAAATCAAATGGCCCTTGCTGAGAAAAATGGTCTTACACTTCCCCTTCTCACTTTCTTCGATTCTTCCTGTGAAATAGGCCGTTTCTGCTTCATTCCGATTCAAGATGAGCGACTCACAATTATCTGCCAAAGAGCATTCGGTGCAGCCAGCGATGGCCCAAGATGGTCTACTGTCCGCTGACGAACTCGAACTCCGAGCGCAGGGCCACAAAGGAGAGCTTCCGCGACAGTTCTCTACTCTTTCGACCCTTGCCATCGCCTTCCTCTTGACGAGCGCATGGATTGGATACTCAGCGACTTTCCCGTACCCTTTGTGGGCTGGCAGTGGGCCATACGTGTTTTGGGGCCTAATCGTCGCCACGGTCGCTTGCTCCATCATCAGTAAGATCAGGATTGCGTGCCCGATTCTCTGGATGTGAGCTGACGATTGCCTATAGCTGCAGGACTGGCGGAGCTGAGTTCGGCGTATCCCTCGACTGGAGGACAATACCATTTCGCATTTATGGTCTCATGCGAGAAGACTCGGGCGAGCGTTGCCTTCGTGATGGGATGGCTCTCAGTCATCGCGTATTGTCTCTTCACCGCCAGCGCCACGATCGTGTGTGCTCAGATCACGGCCGCCATCGCCGGTTTCTGGCATGAAGACTATGTCGCGACTCAATGGCAGGTCTACCTGATGTACGTCTTGTACCAGGCACTCGCAACAGCCGTCGTCGTGCTCCTTCCCAAGCAGCTACCCAAAACGGAGATCATGTTCTTCTTCATCAGTGTTTCTGGCTGTATCGTATTCTTTATCACTGTCCTCGCCGCCAGCCCAACGAAACAGCCCGCCAAGGTCGTGTTTACCGAAGTTGTCAACGTTACTGGGTGGGGTGACGGGGTTTCTTTCATTCTGGCAGTGGGAACGTGCATGTACGCATACATTGCCACTGATGGTGCATCACACATCGCCGAGGTGAGTTTGAAGATGACTGTATGAATAATCGCGCTCCAAGCTTACCAGACCAGGAACTCCCAAACCCTGGCAAAGGTGTCCCGAGAACGATGATGCTCAGTCTTACCATATCAGCCATCAGCGTCATTCCCTGGACATTGGCATTCATGTTCTCAACCAACGATCTCGACGCTGTTGCCTCTGCACAGCTTCCCATTCTCGAGGTCTACTACCAAGCGATGGACAACCGGTCGGGTGCCACATTCTTCGCTGTGTGGCTCCTTGTCATCTACTTCGGCTCCGTCGTCAGTGTCGTGGCGGCCACCGGGCGTCTGACTTGGGCTTTTGCGCGTGATAACGGCCTCCCTTGCTCACCTACCTTGGCGAAGATCCACCCCAAGCTCCAAATGCCTGTCAATGCCACAATCGCGTCGAGTATAGCTGTCGGCATTTACGGTGTGATCTACGTGGGATCCACGAATGCCTTTAACAGCTTCATCTCGATGTCGATCCTCTCCCTCAACGTCACTTATGCGATCCCGCAAGGCATTGTCCTCTGGCGTGGGCGAGACAAAGTTCTCCCATCAACACGACAATTTAATCTGGGAAAGATTATCGGTCCCTTCTGCAACATCTTCTGCGTGCTTTGGGTCTCCTTGTACACAGTATTGTTCTGTCTCCCAACGTTCTTGCCAGCTGAGGCCTCTGATATGAACTATGTTTCGGTTGTTGTGGCAGGTTGTGCCTTGATCATTGTGGTCATGTGGTTCACTGGAAAGAGGAAGACGTTTACAGGACCGGTAAGTTTTTGTCTTTCGCCTCTGGATCGTGAGAAGTGGTACTGATAGTCCTTGATGCAGCTGATCAACATGGAACTCCTCGAAGCAGCTGAAGGTCGGCACGTGGACGCAGAGACACAAGCGACATACATCCAAGCTTCCGAGAAGGCGGTCGAGCGTCGGTGATGGGGAACTCAAACAATGCCAGGATTGTAATCATTCATGTAAAATGAACATACAATGGAGTATGTTTATGTAGAAAATCCAAGAGAGCGTTTCATGATCGGGTTACTATCCGCACTTTCCAAAGGCACTGATTTTGTTCGTGGCAGTTCAGGCAAGTGGTGATTCGGATGCTTGTACCGAAGGAAAACCTACTTGAATTCGACCTCGAGCAAGGGTGGGCTCCGCTGTGCGAGTTTCTTGGTGTGCCGATACCAAAGGACAAGGCGTTCCCGAAGATCATGGACAGGGCCCAGTTTTATGAGACGCAAGAGATTGTCAGGATGTATGAGAGAATCCTGATGGCTATGCAGACAGCAAAAATCCTGGGAGGCTTGGTGGTAATGGGACTGGTTTCCTGGTATGTCCGCACAAGGTATCTCGATCGAGTGTAGACGCATGTTCCAATTCACTGGTAGCCCGGCGGCATCATATTTTCCATACCTTAACATTGTGCGGATGCCTCGAAAGCGCGTGAGCCACGAGCTTACTGACTGAACCCTGCTCTTCCCTGCCATTCCTCCATTCCTTCGGTCCTGCCAGATAAGTAATGAAACCTGGTGGTCCGGAGATGAGGATCTGTCGCTGGTCTTGTAGGCCGGCAGGTCTAGTACTAAAGACTTTGTCGTCGAATCTGGCCAGAGCACGAAATACCGCGTCTTCGTCGATCCATGTATCCTCTGTATTGACGTAGTATTCGACCGTGACTTGACCGGGGTACTTTTTCTTGAGAGCTTCTAATTCCTTCGTGATTACACCCTTCTCCTGTGTTGGCGGAGGGGCTTGTTTTGGCCTAGATTTGGTACTCGAGAACAGCCCAGACCATGTCGGTTTTGGCGGCAAGACTGTATCGGGCGGTGAATCACTGACACCACCCAGACAGTCCTCTCGCGTCCTACTCGCCCATAAGATGTGCAATCTTTTGTCTTTCTTGGACACACCGGCCTCATTGCCCTCGAACAACGCATGTGCGACTTGCAGAGCAGGCGCAATCCCCGTTCCGCCAGCAAAGAAGACGATTTGTCGGACATCCGGAGTCAATTCGTACTCTAGATATGGTCCCCGCATGGCAATTTCAGCCCCGGGAGAGAGCTTGTGGAGATAACTCGAGACCTCACCATGAGGATCCCTACGGATCAGAAAGCGCAATTCGCCCTTCTCTTGACCTATACTCTCGTCACCAGGCGGTAGAGGCGTGTAGGCTCGGACGATCTGCAATTGGGGTTGCTTGAACTGGACATTCCATATTCCTTTTTCCCACGCATCTTTGTACAATTCGAGGTCACGAGCCTTGCTCTTAGGTTCGAGGTGGAAAATGCTGGCCGTGGAAGAGACAGGTTTCTTGGCAACTAGCGAATATGCGGTGAATGGGTCGCGCTGGCTGTATGCATCATAAGCCCACCATCCTATGGCAAGACATAGACCGATGGACAGTCCGGAGAGGAAGTTACGAGATGTAGGCTTCGAACGCAACGACTCTCGTGCATTGGGTGATGCATGACCCTGCTCTGTCGTAGAAGAGTAGGCACGAGCGGTCACTTTCAAGGAGGATGAATGTAGACCATGCTTCAGGCTGCGCGGTGCTCGGACCGGGCACCTTGCGAACATGAAGGTCTCTGTCTGAAGGCCTGCCACAAAGTAGGTCGGCGTTGTGGAAATAAATTTCCTGGGGATGGTGCGAAGAGTTGGAGTAAACCGCGCCATAAAATGTACGGCGGCGCAGTTCGACCGCTGTGCGCGCATACCTTTTGGAAAATGCACAGAATCAATTACCAGTACAACCAGCAATCAACCCGCTTTTCGACCACCACGTAAGTAATACTCATTTTGATGTGCATGCAAACCGCCAGCATGTACGATTCTATGGGTACTGACAATCCACATTTCATCTGTGAGCTTGTCTCTGAAGGCCTCAAGCATCCATCCCTATCCAGCTTGCAGCCATATGTCAGCATCGCCCCATTCCATACTCAATCCCCAGATTCTGGTTGTGCCTGTATTGCTCTGACTCCCAGTCGTTTCTCGTCATCTGACGGATCAACCGACGGACCAAACGTTCTTCCACATTTCCACGACCAGTACTTCGACTGGGCATACCACACATAGCTATCAGCATTCTGGATCGTCTCAGCAGCCTTCACTTGCCTGAGACGCATGGTATTGTACGGACCACTATGAGTGCACACGTCAGGGTCAACTCAATTCCGTCGCAGGAAAAAGACTTACTATCCATCCCCTGGATTAGGCCCAGCAAAATCAGCAATCTGTGGAAATCCATCTTCGTTCTCATCTATGAGGTCTTCATAGTTCGGTATGTCTTCCAGCAAATATGTCCAGTGCATGAGTTCATGCAAGAGTACGCCCCCAGGTGTCTGCATCCAGTCGGTATCATGATCACCGAGGCCATCACATGTATATCCCAGAAGGGGATCGCCATCTGCATCCCTATGATCCGCTGATGGGTCCTCGATTTCTACCAGCGTTGGGAATCCAAAGGTTGGGTCGCAGAGTGAGACGAGGGCAACGGGTCCAAGTGCTCCGGGGTCGATGTACGAAAAGGCGAAGATTTGTCCTCCATCGACCTGCTTTCCACAAACTTGCTTGCTCGCCGGCAGCGAAGGATTGTTACCGAGCGCAAGCTCCAAGCTGCTGAACTTCGGCTGCAAGTTTTCGGCAACGGCGGCACTCGACAGAATCTCGACGACTGTGTTCCCATCGATTTCCGAGTTCAGAGGGATGTTGGCAATCGTCTGGAATACTTGCTTGACGAAAACGGCATCGATGGCGCAAAAGAACCGTAGGTAAACTCCTTCACAGGGGTCAAGCAGTGAGCCCGCAACCCTGGCAAGTGTGATCGCATCTTTGAACGACTGCTGAAGGGCCTGCTGTGGTTCTTGTACTTTTGTTCCCTCAGCTATGATAAATTCTGGGAGCACGGCCTGACAAGGCGTGATGATCAGCAAAAGGACAATGACCAGGCTCCGAAGAGCGATGGTCGAGAGATAGTCCATCATCTCACGCGTCGAGGAGCATGATGCTCACGTCCGAGGATTCGATTTCAGATTGATCATTAAGAACACGGTGAAGTCAACACAGTAAGTCCATCTCTCACTTCAGCGTCACCTTCACATTCGGTGAGTACGGTGAAAGACAGTAGCGATGCGAATGAAGGCATCCTCGATCACACACTCACTCTTACCTCTGTTTCACTGGGAGCTCGTTCAGGTGCAAGCTGCTACATCACATCGTCTTCCCCAAGATACTCGGTGGTTCCACTAAGAAAGAGACTGGCGATGTGAACAAAGACATCCTCGTTCGCATCACCAATTCACCATTCCAGTTCAGGTTTGAAAAGGGACTTTGTCTCAGCTCAAATAGTTTTATCACACCTTTCCTTCGAGACACTCCAGATATTCAAGGTGCAAGATACTATTGATATCGACGAAGCTACACTCACTCATAAACTTGTTCAGATCTACGTTTGGGAAGGAGGCTGCCTTGAGTCAAAGGTACTTCTTGATACGTTATCAGTGAGATGATCCATCATTCCAACGACCAAAAAAAAAACGAAGTGAACGACGGCATCCTTGGTTACAAGTTCATTCTTGTCTACGTTTAACTGGGTGATCAATTTATTGTGAAAAGGCTTTGTTGACATTGTTGTCATTGAAGTACTCTATCTTTCTATCGCCTTGCTCATGCTTGTTCCCAGTCTGGTCGCCACCGCCTCAAATATCAATTTAAGGCCCATACATGTCTGAAGTTTCCTCACTCTCAACCACTGATGAAAGCTCGTTGTGCACCACAGACGACTCCCGCTCAAACTCCTCCAATCTGGATCTCAAAAACAGGATTTCTGCTTCTTGTTCCTGTGCTTGCCGAGTGCGGCGTAGGAGTTCACCCTCGAGAACGGTGACTTTCCAGGTGGACACGTTGTTATTGTGCATCAGAGCACGGTTTTCGCGGTATAGACTGTCGTACTGCTCTGCAGCAGCGTACACGGCGTCCAGGCGAGGATCACCACCAAAGTGCAGGTCGAATGGGTCACGGCGGTTTTGCGGCTGCGAGTCCCATTCGCCACGATATTCGTCTGTGAGCAGGACTTGACCAGGAGTGATGTAGACTGGACCGTATGGGGCAAGGGGATCGTATTGTACTGCGGCAGGAGTGCGAGCACCGAGAGGCTGACCGTGTGCATGCTGTTCAGGGGTCTGGACGTATTCTTGATGGGAAACACTGTCCTGTGGGCGGAGTTTCGATTGCTGCGAGTCGATACTGACAAAGGGCTGGTGTTCGGTATTGACGTGCTCATCCGAAGAGCCTTCGGACCACGCACGAGATGACGTGTCCATACAATGGCGAGTATCATCAGCTGGAGCTGCTGGTTCACCACTTGAAGTGCCTTGAGCAGGGGCTTCTGCAGATACTTCACCATGCTGAATTACCCAACCATTCGAGGCCATGCGGACGAGGCGTTTGCTGCCAGTGCTTGACATCTCGTCTGAGTCAAAGTCCGACCAGCGTCGAGCGTCGTGGCTGGAGGAAACAGGCCGCGGGGCAGGAGGGGCTACGGCGCTTCGCGAGTTGGTAATCTGGTTGACTTGAACCTCCTGAGGAGCTGACACTGCTTGTGTAAGTGGTGCTTGCTGAGGAATAGACGGTTGCTCCATGACAGGGCCGAGAGCTCGCCAGTGTGGAGGAGACATGACGAATGGATCTTCAAAGCGCCAGCATCCTTTGACGAATTCCCGAGCACGCTTTCGTGGCAACGGAGCACCCCAGAATGGAGAGCCGCATGGAGTATCTGCACTTGAGCCGCCAGATGGGAGGTGCCGAGGTGAAAGAGCCGATGGAGTTGACTTTGCAGTCTCCTCATGAACCTGTGGCGACGTCTGTGTGCCTTGATCGTGTGTCGTCGGATACGTCTGTGTGCCGATATCGTGAGTAAGAGCCTGTGAACCGGCCTGTTCATTGCAACGTGCTGGTTTGAGGTAGTACTCTTGAGCTGGTCTGAAAGCATATCTAGCAGGGAAAGATGCGCGGTTCCTTGCTTGGGCCATCCGCATTCTCCACATTCGGTTGACGTCGCGGCGGGCGAGTCTGAGAGACCGAGGAGACATAGCCGGATTCGGTAGTGGAAGACTGGAAGAGATCAGTGGAGAAAGAGCACTTGGAGTTGCAGTAGTAGAGGAGCCAATGATGACAACACGTCTTGTGGTTGCAGCAGCTGAAGAGGAGCCGGTACCTCCAACATGTTGTGAAGTTGTAGCTAGAGGAGAAGAGCTCGAACCAGCAGGAGCGGATGAGCCACCGATTGTGATGCGGCGAGTTGTGCGACGAAGAACTGGATGATCCATGGTTGAGACATTGGTCGACATGTCGGCAATGCTGGATCCCACAGTATAGTTTACGATCGGGTTTCTTAACACTGGACCACCAGGATAAGGCGTTGGCGGACGAATTGGCGAACTCATTGGAGAGATAGTATCCGCATAATCTACAGAGGCATCTGTGCCGACTGTAAACCGTGGTGCAGACGCTCCTGGTAGTCGAAGCTTTTCTCGGACATAAGCCTTGGTCGTCTGAGCAACTTTGAGTAGTTTAGTCAGACTTGCCTTTGAACGGCGGATGAGGTTGATCGGGTTAGGCATTTTGAAGGAGATCAATTGCTTACCTGCAGCAATAGACCTCCTGATTCAAGAAGCAATGGCTCTGTTCGTTGTTGTGTTGTATGGTTTGTGGTTAGTTGTTGTGAGTGTTGAAACAAACCTTTTTCGGGCGATTGAGAGACAATACCAGCTTGGGTATTGAACTGATTGTTTGATGATGAGAGCGAATAGGGAAATAGAAGAACCGGAGGGTATATTTGAAAGGCTGATGGCAGCGCGAGAAGAACGCAGCGTCTGCCGCGCGAGAGGGCAGCCAATGCGGTCGTGAGTCGTCACGGCCATTGTGCGCGAGGAGACATTGTCAACACAGTTCCTGAGGCAGTCGTCAGCTATACTACGACTCTAAGCCCTTTGTTCCCCGACGTCTAGTCCAAAGTAAGTATATACGATATACTGGCTTGAAAGATTAGGGAGGCTGTGACCGCTGGAGGGAGCCAGGACAGGGGCGAACGAGCGAATATAAACATTGCACAAGCTCATTTCCATGACCATGGCGGTGGAGTCTGATGTATCATCGATTAAACTCGGTTCATCAGGGCGGGCAGAGGATTCTTTGTTATGCGGTCGGGTAGTTGAGTAGCTCGACATACTTCCAGCCAACAATGACGGCAATAGGTCTTTGTCCAAAGAGAGACGTCCTCGTTCCTGAGACAAAGCCAACTTCGTTCTGAATGACCTGTCACAGTGCCACTTCAAGGGGACAAAGAAAGAGACACTGAAGGCAGGGCCTGTCGGGCAATCAACTGTCTCAAATTTCGGGCTACCTGACTGAAAAGCACGTGCAAGGCTGTGAGAAAGTCAGGGGCTTCAGCACTCACAAAGAGTAATTTCATGGATCTTCAACATGTTACCCAACCACACCTCCACGTAGCACCTCCATACAAAGCCTGACTACCACCTATAAGCCGACAAGATTCACTTCTGGGACATCAAATCCATTTGGTTTGAGCCAAATTTCAGACTGGTAGACACGACGGCAAAGACCATGTCATTATCCTGACAGCTGAAGATGCTGGGTCGCTGCACACAAGCGACCACGGTATCCTGCGTCCAAATAGACCGTATGGAAAGGGTAGAACTTGGTTCTTGATTGTACAGCCCCAGACGTTGGAAGGTTTGCAACCTGTAAGGCTGGTTGATCGTGAAGCTTCTGATCACAGCAACACGCTCGCGTGGTGGTCATGACAGCATTGACCAGGTTCGTCTCAACCACCTGACACTTTAAAATGAATGCCCAAGCCTCAGACTCTGCTCCAGTAGTCTAGCATAAAATCAGATCAAGTGTGAGAAGCAATGCCAGATTGCTGGTCGTTGATGTTTCACGGGGCACAGCCACACCGGCAGAGTTGCCCTCTTTGGTATTGCACCGCCACACCAATGCTTTTGCGACTGCGCCACAGTTTCTAGATATCTCAAAGGAGGTTCTCAAAGTGACGGGAATCAAAAGAACAATTCACAGCATCAGATGACAACTCCTCATACAATTTCTACCACAGCTTTTACTTCTTCGATCGAGACCTTAGACCTCCCTCTTCATCACTTTCTTGTGTGTTCTCGCTTCCAACTATTGCTTCACTTTCGGCCTGTCACATAATTCTGCAGTCCTTCAGCCTTTGCAATCACAGAAAGAATCCTTCTTACATCCTCTCTTGGATTGTACTCAGTTTGTTCCGAGACTACCAGCGACTGCCTGCCACATCAGGAGTTCCATTGTTCTGTCCTGGTTTTGAGAACTCGTAGCCACCGGACTACGACTTCACCCCACACTCAAATCTTTACATACGCTTGAAGCGAGATTCTTTGATAGATTTTATCATGTCCGGTAAGATCATAAGCCCCAAAATTTGCGTCGCCGCGTCTGCTGGTGTTCGCTTCTGCGTCTCAGGATTCTGACTGTTCAACAGAGACTCCGCGGATCGTCCCCCTAACATGCCATGGCCATTCACGACCAATCACTCATCTGAGCTTCTCATCCGTCGTAGACGATGACCAGTATTACCTAATCTCGGCTTCCAAAGGTATTCTCACCTCGGTTCGCAGGTTAGGACTCCCCTGACAGTGTCTAGACAACAACCCCATGTTGAGAGATGGCATCACTGGAGATTGGTACGTTTTTAAATGCCATTTGCGAGACTCTTGACTGAGTCTTCCCAGGATAGGAACCTTTATCGGACACAAAGGCGCTGTCTGGTCGTCGAGATTGTCCTCTGACGCTAAGATCGCAGCCACGGGATCTGCCGACTTCACAGCGTACGAACATTTCTTTCACACCTGATCATATGCTCACTGGTACTCAGGAGAATCTGGGATCCACAAACTGGAGAATGCCTACATATCCTTGAACATAAACATATCGTCCGTGCCGTCGCCTTTCCAGTGCAAGACAATCCACAGTGTGTGGCCACCGGAGGTCAGGACAAGCGACTGAAGATTTTCGACCTCACCAGAGGTGGAAGTGCTGCGCCCCAGGCACAAAGCACCTCATCTCCGACCACCCCAAGCGCCACGGGCGAAGGACTCGAGATCGGTGCCGACGTACATGGAGGCACCATCAAATCAATCGTATGGAACGTCGACTACAATATTCTCACAACGGCATGCGAAGACAAAACCATCCGGTGGTGGGACTTGAGGAGCCAGCGCATGATTACAAGTGTCAAGACGGAGCGTGACATTGGGTCTTGTGAACTCTCAACCAATAAATCTGGGGATACCGATCCAGGCATCATCAGTGTCGCTGCCGGGCACTCTTGTCTCTTTTTCGCCGCCGGTCGGCCTGGGCAATTGATCAAACAGATCAACTTCGACCATGATATCGCGAGTGCGGCAGTCAATACCTCCAGTGGCCGCTTCGTCACTGGTGGTGGCAAAGATACTTGGGTCCGTGTCTGGGACTTTGAACAAGAAAAGGAGCTGGGTAAGACGAGCCTGAGCCTTCGTTACCGAGTACATACTAATCACATCACAGAGGTACTCAAAGGTCATCACGGTCCCATCTGGACAGCAGCATTCTCTCCTGACGGCAAGCTCTATGCGACTGGCAGTGAAGATGGCACGATCAAATTGTGGAAGGCTTGCAAAGAGCCGTATGGCCTTTGGCGCTGAGCTACATCGACTTCATGTTTTCAACAAGACACAGCACGATTGTCTCGCCGAAATGGTTCGATCAGTCAAAAACTGCAAATGATGCGCTAGAGTTGATCTGCGAGCAAAATCATCAGATGGGACTTTACTTTCCATTGTCTCATCAACATCCACGTCAAAGGTGTTTTGACGTCCGTGTCTCACCCACAATTGTTGGACGATGAAGCGGCGACGTAATCAAGTCGTTCACACAAACGCAGAAGAGTGAACCGGCCATCCCCGAACGCCACAGAACCAAGGGACCACTGGGGCTGATTATCATTGGTGAAGCCTTCTGGTGCCTGGATCTTAGACCCTATGCACAGCTCGAATTGGGGCAGGGGTTTTGGCAAGCTTGGGGCAGCGGAAGCAGGAGCTTTGAAGAACGATCGAAAGGACGCCCACCGGCAGTCCTCCAATGAGTGCGCCTAAGGTTCGAGGCTTTCAATGCTCGACAAAATCAGGAACACAATTCTTTGTCAATTGGCTGCTGCAGTGGTGCTAAGAACATTTCCAATGCAACAAGCAAGCTACAGACGCCGGATCTGCGTAACCTGATCTCACTTTCGGTGCTCGTAGAGGTGTCGCTCCCATTGGTGGCTGCTCATCTTCACACCGCCAGTTGGACAAGTCTTTTAGGCATGAGCGATCCTGTCAAGAGATAGGCCAGATATGGCGTTGCGCAATAGCTAGCCTTACCTAAGATGGACACTTAGGTGACTTTAACGCAGGTAACTGCAGCTGAACCCCAACCCACCAATATTTTCCATATCAGTCCACCCCGTAGTAGTAAAAACTGCCACTCTTTCCTAAACAATTGTTCCTCAAGGCCAACATCCAGTCCATTCGTTTGGCAATTGACTTTACGCGAGAAGTGTGCAGGGAACTAGCTCCGACATTCGCTTTGGCTTTCCCACATCCAACACTCTTATCCGTACGGTGCACTATCGCAACACACACATAGACTGCGCTGGTCGCTACGACTCTCCTCCAAAGACACTCCGCCTTGATACCTATTCGGTGGCGGCATTGGAGCAGCCTCTCGCTATTCAACACCCTACCTGAAACCCTATCATCACCAACCGCTCAGAGTGCCCGACTTTTGGTGTTTCGCACGATGTCTGGCAACAATGGCCTGGACCAAGAGAAACTAGAAACGATTACAGATCTGACGCTTGAGCGCCGTTCTCACAATGCAGCGCCTTCGCAGAAGACCGCCTGGCCTAGGTGGGTAAGGAGAGGGAGAGAAAAGAGCAGTATAGCACTTGCATGTGCGTGGGTAGTTGAGCATCAAATCAGTACGCATGCATAGAGCCTCCTATCAGAAAGAGTGAAAGACTGACCCTAATCTCAGGTATATCGCTGAACCTCATATCCATGCTCTTCTTCGTACACATATTCTTCCCTGCGGCGCGACATCATACGCAAAAGTTTTTCCGCATCTCCTACTATAACCCGGCCACCGGATCCTTTGGCCTGGGATGGGACGATATATTCTTCGTCTTTTACTGGATTATTGTCTTTACCGGCCTTCGATGTGCGGTCATGGACTATGTCCTGGGTCCGTTGGCCTCATATCTGGGCCTCAAAAAAAGGAAACCCAAGGTGCGCTTCGCCGAACAAGCGTGGATCGTTCTCTACAATACCACGTCCTGGAGCATAGGCATGTGCATCATGTACAATTCCGACTACTGGCTCAACTTGCGGGGGTTATGGCGAGATTGGCCGATCCGAGAGATGGATGGGTTGGCCAAATGGTACTACCTGGTACAATTCGGCTTCTGGCTACAGCAGATCGTGGTGGTAAACATTGAGGAACGACGAAAGGACCACTGGCAGATGTTCACACATCACATCGTCACATGCGCACTCATCTTCACCTCCTACGGCTATCACCAGTATCGTGTGGGCAACCTCATCCTTTGCTTGATGGATGTTGTGGATATCCTGCTGTCGTTTGCTAAGATCCTCAAATACCTTCACTTCCAGACGTCGTGCGACGTCGCATTCGGGGCGTTCATGATCAGTTGGTTCATCAATCGACATGTTTTATACATGTTGGTGTGCTGGAGTCTCTACACGCACATGCCGGAGGAGATCCAGTACGGATGTTACAAGGGCAGCGTCGGAAATCTTCAGGGACCACTCCCTACACCGGATGGTTGGGATCATCTCACTCAACCATTCCGTGACCCTGAAGGCCTGGTGTGCTGGAACCAGAATATTGGGCTGACATTCCTCGGCATGCTGCTTGCTCTACAGTGCATCATGATCTTCTGGTTCGTGATGATTGTGCGAGTGGCGTACAAGGTTCTTACAAACCAGGGGGCGGACGATTCCCGATCGGACGATGAGGATGAAGATGAGGAGGAGGAAGAAGAAGAAGAAGAGGAAGAGGTCCACAAAGACAAAACATCGCTTCCATACCTTGAGAGCGAAGTGCTGAGCACCGACACGGACTTTTCGCTTTCCACGCAAAAATCCAAGTCGACCTCTCCGTCTGGACGGAAATCGAGCCCAGAAGCCACATCTGGGTCAGGGCGGAGGAAGCAGAAGCACGAGAATGGGCATTCGTCCAGTGTCAATCTTCTGGCGGGAAGCAGTGATCGCAAAGAGCTTCTGGGCCGGATCGGGTGTGACAAGGGGTCTGCCTCAGACTGAACTTTTGCCTGTGACTAAAACGAAGGCTGTGTTCTAACTGTAAAGCTCTGCCTTCCATGTGGAAAGGCTCACATAGAGTCGAGGTCGAGCCGCTCAGCCTGCTTGGGGCAATGCCATGCCACCTCTACTATATCACATGAATGACGAAACTTGATGGAAATTGATTTATTGTATAAACCTTGGTCCGGTGATGCATTGTTGCAATCAGCTTGACATGAATGTTGCACCGAGTTTCATCAAACAAGCATCTGTGGAAACGTCCACAATGGTCCGCTGGTCAAGAAGAAAAAAATCAAGGCATACCATATAGATCACGTCGCATGGTTGGCCAGACGCATCATCGTGAACCCTATGAAATACTCTGTTACACTTCAGCGATGTCCCAGGACCGGTCTGCCTCTATAAATTACAAGATATTCTACAAGTACAAACCTTCCGGCTCGCCTTCGGTCTTGGTCTTCATGACGGCTTCCCTAGCGCTCCGGAAGTCGGCCATGTTAACGCGCATTCTGCGCTCACGCAGCGCCCTCAGCCCAGCCTCGGAGCAGATAGCCTTGATATCGGCACCACTGAGATCGTCCTTTTGCGCAATGAACTCATCAAGTTCGACATCCTCTGCCAGGCTCATCTTGCTGGTGTGTAAGGTGAAGATCTTCTTCTTGGTGTTGGTGTCGGGATTTTCGAACAGGATCTTACGATCGATACGTCCGGGCCGGATCAGTGCAGGATCCAGGGTCTCGATCTTGTTGGTTGCCATGATGACCTTGACATCGCCTCGGTCGTCGAAACCGTCAAGCTGGTTGAGCAATTCAAGCATGGTTCGCTGAATTTCTCGTTCGCCACCTGATGTCGATTCATATCGTTTGGTGCCGATTGCGTCGATCTCGTCGATGAAGACGATGCTGGGTGCATTTTCTGCTGCGACTTGGAAGAGTTGTCGCACCAGTCTTGGGCCATCACCGAGGTACTTCTGGATCAATTCGGAACCAACAATACGCAGGAACGTGGCTGATGTTTGGTTGGCCACGGCTTTTGCAAGGAGGGTTTTTCCTGTGCCTGGAGCGCCATAAAGGATGACACCTTTTGGTGGTTTGATGCCCATCTCTTCGTACAGTTCCGGATGTAGTAATGGAAGCTCGACCGCCTCGCGGACTTCCTGAATTTGATTCTCCAGACCACCAATATCTGCGTATGATTCAGTCGGTGCTTTGTCGAGTTTCATGACGGACACCAGTGGGTCGGCGTCGTCAGTAAGAACTCCGACGACAGATACTGATTTGTGATGCAGCAGGATAGAAGCTCCAGGCTCGAGGAGGTCTTTGTCAACAAAGGACATGATGGACACGTAGTACTCGGGGCCAGTAGCGCTGGATACGATGGCATGATCGTCGTCGATGAGCTCTTCCAGATTACCAACACCCATGGGACTTCCACGCATGTCGTCGACCCGGCTTCGCTCATCAGCGTTACGGTCCAGTTCAGCACCTTCTGTAGCAGCAGCCGGAGCTTGTGTCTGAGCGGCTTTGGCTTTTCTTAGACGTTCTTGGTTCTCGACGTATTCTTCTTCCAGAAGCAGGTGATCGTGCACCCGTTGCATTCTTAGATACCGTAGCTTGCATCGTGCAGTAGGATAGATGGTAGGTAGCTTCGCAGCGGCATTGGGTCCGGCTTGCTTGCGCTTCTTTCGTCCGATTCGGGTCGTTGGTTGTGGAGGTGGTTCGTACTTGGGCTTGTCCTTCTATAGACAGTATCAGTACTATCTCGACATGGGAGATGAAGACGGCAAACCTTTTTGTCCTTATCGTCTTTGCCTCCTTGTCCTGGAGGGCCGCCTCCCAATTGTGATTGATTGTTTCCCTGTCATTCGTAAGTCATGAGATAGCATTGGAATGCGAAGTTGTGTACCATGATTTAGAGAAGACAGAGCAAGGGGACGCTGTCTGCGAGGAGTTGGATAGATGAGAAAAGTGTCCTTGAAGATGATAGCAGGTTGTTTTGGGAGAGTAGAGGATGAATCGCGCAGAGGGTGACGATATGCAGTCGCGCCTAGCGGAGAGACTGCGTTGAATGCAGCAGCGAGGCCTTAGGCTAACCTAACCCATTCACAGTTAAAGCAGCGCTTACGGAGTTTGTTTGAAAGACAAAACATTCGGTTGTCCCCGCTAAAGGCCAAAGGCAGCTGCCCTCCGTCATCCGTCGCCTTCTGAGCCTGCAGTTGTCTTCTCCGAATTCGAGGTTCGTCAGATCCTCGAACCAACTTACTCACATCTGCGAACAGGCAACACGTTCTGTATTAGGCTGTGTAAATCGAACATCTCACTTTGGACGAAGTCATCGAACCCAACCGTGCCGCTTCGAGTTAAGAGACCTCTGGCAAGTCTTACTCGACAAAGTTGCACTGCCTACCATACTACCTGCAGACCATACTTGCTTCGATGTGATTCTCTTCCCAGCAGACAGCCTGATATTCTTCCAGACTTCATACACTTCTCACTCGCATCACACCTGTCACGACTTCTCACCTCTGTTCACTTTACGACCTTCACACAACTAGTGCCATTTTGACGGTCTAGTCTTATCAAGCCTTAGCCCGTTCCTGCCTCGAGAGAACGCCCTCCGTTACATTTCCTCACAACGATTGTTCAGACTTTTCGGCAGCCATGGCAGGACATAAAGCAAGACGAATACAGAAAGATCTGATGGACATCCGTGCAGACACAGCATCCCAAATTTTGGCAGAGACGATCGGGGACAGTATGACGAATCTTAGAGGCTCCTTCAAAGGCCCATCGGGGACACCATATGAGGGTGGCACATACGAAGTATCCATCACCATCCCAAACGAGTATCCTTTCAAGCCTCCCGTCATGAGATTCATTACAAAAGTGTGGCACCCAAACATCTCCAGTCAGACAGTAAGCCGCCAGAACTCCATGCTCAGTTTCAACTACTAACCTCTTTCCCAGGGTGCTATTTGTCTAGATACCCTAAGTACGGGTTGGTCGCCTGTGCTGACCATCAAATCCGCCATGATCTCGCTACAGTCGTTGCTCAGCTCACCTGAACCGAAAGACCCACAAGATGCGGTGGTGGCACAACAAATGATCAAAAATCCCAAGGAATTTGAAAGGGCGGCCAAAGAGTGGGCGGTGAAGTACGCTGGAGCACCAAAGACCCTCATCGGAGAAAGCAGCGGCGGGTCAACAGCCGAGTCCATTGAAGAGGCCGAAAGGGAGAGCAAAGAACGAGAAGCGGCTGCAAACATTGCCGTCTACGACGGTTACAACAAAGAGCTCATTGATCGATTTGTGCATATGGGCTTCGACGTCGAACGAGTTGTAGAAGCCTTCAATTATGTGGGTATTGACCGCAATGGAGGACAAGACTACGAACTCGAAGAGGCGTATATGGGCGACATCACGGCAAGGCTATTGGGGGAACCATAAGCATGGAATGCCTGGACTAGGGCTACTAGGCTTTGCTGCATAAAAGCGCTGGTGTTGATAGGATTTCGGGCCATGCACACTTCTTGACAATGGCATGTATATCACGATGGTTATGATCATATGACATGAATGAGCACTGCCATGTAAGGCATGAACGCTTCTATAGCTGAACTTTCTCCTAAACTTCTATGTAAACGAGTCAAACGACACCATCTTACAGACAATGATTTACCCCAGAATGTAGTATGTTGTGGTGGTAAAATGGTGTTTGGTGCCTAGTTCGACCCAAACTCTGACATCTCAGCGAAGTGCTTCAAGTGATCACGTTTCTATTTATTCTTCACCACGGATGCAATTGACTGTCACCTGAATCATGTCAAAACCGGGGCACTCGTTATAACTGTAGCAGGTTCAGATCAATGTCAATATGATCGAAGATGATGTGTACAGAGCATCGTCCCAGTACCGCTACTGGTCATACACAAAAGAAAGCCTCGCGCGGATACGTCAAAATACCAACGATCTCGCCTCGGAGCGTGTAAAGGCCGCATTTCGACGGGTACATGCCTCAAAAACAGCCCACCATGGAGCGAAAGATGACCCAAGCGGCAACGGCGCCCAGAATGGAACCGACGATCTAAACGTCCAGACCTTGACTGTCGAGGAGGAGCTGAAAGTGGTTGAATGGGGCTGCTCAAAGATCACGGATATGGGAGAGGCTATGAACCCGCGTATACCGTCACACATTATGGTAGGTAAATCCCTATGTGCTCACCAACTCACCCTGACTGGCATCATACTTGAGATGTATACTTTTGTGGCTCATCTGTTGACTATGCATGTAGGCTACCGCCATTCAGTATCTACGACGTTTTTACCTGACCAATTCAGTCATGACATATAATCCCAGGCAAATCATTGCTTGCGCCCTCTACCTGGCGACAAAGGCCGACCACTTCTATATATCGCTTTCGAAGTTTGTCGCAGAGCTTGAAGGCGTCACCGAAGACGACGTCAAAGCCCCGGAGTTCTTACTACTACAAGGTCTCCGCTTCACGCTGGATGTGCGCCATCCCATGAAGGGCCTGGCAGGCGGGCATATTGAGATGAATGTCATGGCTGAAGAAGGCCAACTCGGGACCATCTCGACATCCTCAGGCGCGGCAAAGAGAATAGGCGTGGCTGCTGATCACGCAAAGAGACTACTGGCAACGGCTGCGCAAATGACGGATGCATATTTTCTCTACACGCCCAGCCAGATCTGGCTTGCTGCCATAATGGTCGCAGACAGAGAACTGCTGGAAACATATCTAGATCACAAAATGTCCAGTTTGCCTTCTGGTGATTCTGCGGCGACGTTGAAACACAAGCTCGTCTCTACGATCTCAGCTTGTGCAACGCTACTCGAGTCGTGGCGATCACCGGAGGATGATGCGCCCCAGCGGAAAGAGATCAGACGAATTGGCAAAAAGTTGACTGTCTGCCAGAATCCGGAGAAAACGGATATCGTGGCAGTTGCAAAGGCGAAGGCGGCAGAGAAGAGAGAAGGAGACGGCAGTGATGCAGAGAAAGCGCTGAAGAAACGCAAGTTGGAAAGAGAGAAGCTCGAGAAGGACGGCGATGTTTTTGGCCCTGCACTCAAGGATTTGCCATGATGTTCATAGCAGACATAAAGGTTTGGTATCCTATTACAAAGGCCTCACCGTCGACAAAGACCACACCGGAAAACTACGCTTCTAGGTTAAGATCGTATGACCCGTTTCCAAGTCCAGGAGAGGGAATGGTTAGAGCCGCGATCAGATTCCCAATCGGCTCAAAATGGAAATTTTAGCAGTTCTGTTCTTTTAATTCCCCGCTTCCTGGCATTGTTGAGCTAACGTGGGGCATTGGTAGAGACATAAGTATTGTCGTCGGGCAATTGACGACGACAGACAAATTGTTCAACAATCTCTGCATCACTTTCTTGTCACCGGGCCTAATCTGAAGAAACGACAGAGAGCCAAGCCCAAAAGACCGCGCGCTGCTCAGAATTCGATCAAGCTTGTTTGGACGGTCACAACGATGCCTGGAGGCAAATACAACGTGGGCATCATTGGCTACGGCCTGAGTGCAAAAACCTTCCACATTCCCTTCATCACTGCTGTCGAAGACTTCAACCTATATGCCATTGTTCAAAGAACGCCAAAGCCGAATGATGATGCTAGCAAGGACCACCCCAACATCAAGTTATACCATTCTACCGATGATCTGTTCAAGGACGAAAATGTCCATGTCATTGTGGTGACCACGGCGCCAGATTCACATCTACAACTAGCTAAAGCAGCGATGCTCGCGAAGAAGCACGGTAAGGAACCCTCTTCAAAGATCCTACAAAGCATGGTCTCATGAGAATCTTAGTCGTCGTAGAGAAGCCGTTCACACCCACATCTGCCGAAGCTCAAGAGTTAGTAGATGTCGCAAAGGCCCAAGGAGTACTCATCACCGTCTACCAAAACCGAAGATGGGATTCGGATTTCTTGACGCTCAAGAAATACATCGATGACGGCACGTTGGGCAGAATCGTTGAATTCGAGACGCACTTTGACCGCCATCGCCCGGAGCCACCAGCCGATACCTGGAAAGCACACAACATCCCAGGAAATGGCGCCGTGTACGATCTCGGAACCCACTTGATGGACCAAGTGATCCATCTCTTCGGCATGCCGCAGCGGGTGACTGGATTTGTCGGATCACAGAGAGAGTCCAACCCTACAGGCCTGGAAGATTCGTGCACGGTGTTCCTGCATTATCCCCAGATGTTGGTCACGGTCAAGGCAGGAGTGGTCAGCCCGGAAGTCAAGCAATTACGATACTGGGTCCGGGGTGTCAAGGGTTCCTTCAAGAAATTCCACTTGGATCCCCAGGAGGACCAGTTGCGAAAGCAAGGGTTGAAGCCCGGAGACAAGGGATATGGTCTGGAGCCTGAAGAATCATACGGCACGCTCAATTTGAGCAAAGACGGGAAATTTGTGAGCGAGGTTGCGCCGACGGTGAAGCCAGCAACTTATGTCGAGTACTATCGCAGGTTGGCGGCTGCTCTGAGTAGGGATGCTTCTCAGATCCCTGTACCTCCTGAGCAGGCTGTGGGCTTGATCCGGCTGGTAGAGCTCGCCCGCGAGAGTTCAAGATTGGGGAAGACATTGGATGTATAAGTAATGACAAGTCAAAATGTATGGTATTGAGGACCGAAAAGTGAATAGCTATGTCAGAATGGATGTATTTCACGCATCGTTACCACTAGTATCGCGGTGGCGGACGTTTCAACTCGTGAGTGCATAAATGGTCCACCCTACAAGATGAATTACGGCAGATTATGCGGCAAACTATGGAAGGTGCGGCCAAATACTTATAGACATTCCTAGATCTGATCTATTGACCGACAACCAGCCAGCGACCTACACAGAATGCAGCCAGATTATCGAGACATGATCACATGAACGACGCTCAATGTTCAAGAGCCATGCCCGAGTCCTCCATGGCACAAGTGTACCTAGTCCTCTAGCCTTCCACACGACCTGTTGCCGGAGAGAAATATCTATAAGTCATCTGTTACGTGCGGAAAGATGTCATTCAGTGACCTCGTCACGATGTGCAGCATGCGAGAAGAACCTGGGCCATCCTCACTATCCGAGGCGGCCGTCATACACGAAGTCACATGCACGATCTTCTGGGTTTCTCACGACGACTCCTTCCCTAGTTTCGAGAGATGCCCAACAGTGGCGTAGCCAGAACTGTCAGCCCCGACATGGCTTCCACACGAAGCCAGATCTGCTCTTCCACCAAGGTCATGCTATACAAGGGGTCTCGCCCAGTCCAAAAAGATCTGGGCCCTTACCTCCGGTAGGACCGCCTCGCGTTCCACCACCGGGTCCGCCCGCGCCTCGTCACCCTCATGCCAAACCGGCGCCTCCCTCGGGGAGCAGGAGAAGGGTTGGACATGTTGAGAACGACCAGCAGCAACATTTGTCGAACCCGATTGAGGAAATGCGAAGAGAGAGGGAGCAAAAGTTACAGCAGCTTCGTATTCCACAAAGAATGGTACAATGGGATAAGAGAGTCGAAGAGGTTCTTTCCGTCGGTCAGCAAAATCTGAACAATGGCTCCAGTGTCACTCGGGCTACGATCAGCAATGAGGTGGCGCAGGCGAGGAAGACTGCACGCGCCCATTGGCACGTGGAAAGGCTCATGACGCCCCTCGATAGACAACTAAAGCAGTATGTTGCCAACATTGCCAGAGTCAAAGACGAATGCGGGCAACTACGGGGGGACATACAAGCTAGTCGGAAAGCACACCGGAAGGCCCTCCGACTCTTTCATCGTTCCGTCTTTCTACAAGCTAGCGAGGCATTGGACAATAGTCGGCGCGTCAAAGCAGTCAATGACAAGCTTAGGGCAACCGCACATCGTCTTCAAACTGTGGAGCAAGACTTCTCCAATGAGAGCCTCAAGCCTTTGTTCGATGACTTGAAGAGTGCCGGTTGGTGGGAGAAGCCAGCAGCGAACTTCCCGCTCCAAGGCGTCTCTCCACGTGGTGCTACTCCGAAGTCGCGTAATGTCCGTCGAGCTTTGGCCGGGATACTATTCGCACGCGAGGAACTTCTTGACTACGCGCACAGCATAAACATAGACTTACATCTTCTTCGAAGGGCCAGGAGGACCCGAGCTCTGTGCCGCCAACCAGACGTGTCCCAATTTCGTTTTCGGGGCGACAGACTCTACCACACCGTGTATCTTATCGGTACAAACTTGGACTCGATCACCATACATTATCACCGCTTGCGTACGTGGCTTAGGACGAGTAGCGAAGACCGATGGAAAGTGCCGTTCTATACCCAAGATCGATTCCACAGACTATTTGAGAGAATGTCGGAAACGGTATCAGCCATGCGAGACGAGTACCACGATCACCTCAGCAGCATCACAGCCGTTGGGATCAAGTCCAATTTCGCTCTACAACAGGCTCAACTACTGGAGTTTCGATCTCTCGTGGTCTGGCTGACAAGGTTCCATGATATGAACACCAATGTGCAGGAAGTCATCGACAGCAGCAGTATACATTATGCTACTCGCAGGAATCTGCAGGAATGGTTGAAAGATTCCAAAGAACTGAGACGTGAATTCTGGGACGCGGTAGATGTGGCTATCTCTTGGCGAGGTGCTGCCAATATTTGTTTTGGTATCGTCACTCGGCCATTTCATCAGAGCTCGTTGATGATGAGCGCGACAACGACCACGAAAAGCAATCTGCCACGCCCAACTGTGGACATCCTTCCTGAGAAGCAGACACGACTTCCATGGGCGGTATCAGGAAATCTGTATCCAGAGGAAGGGGGAATCCCTGTCCACTTTGTTACCACAGCCAACCATGCATCAATGGTCCTGCAACGATTTTCTGGCTGCAAAGTTGTGGGTCTCGATCTTGTAGTGAAACCCAACTCAGACATGCGTCTGGGTTCATCGAGGGATCATTTCGACTATCTGGTGTTGGCAAGTGGTCGCGAAGTGGCAATCTTTCATCTTGGGGTATTGAGAGCATCCGTGTACAGGAAATCCATCCTTGACGATCCTGCTATCTTAAAAGTCGGTGTCAACATGCAAAAGCAACGCAAGTTGTTGGAAGAGCACTGTGCCATCGACTTGATAGGATATCATGATTTGACCCCCAAGACGAACGGTAGCGCCGATGACCACGAAACAGAGCTTTCCAACCCGACAACTGTATCATCAGTGGTGGCCCGGAAGTTTGGGACGGTTTTACCAGAAATCGATCTATCGCTTGCGAGTCTATCTGTATATTCGCAAGACAACCCTCTCTTGGCAGATCCTCCGCAATTTTTCACCTGTGAGTGTTGTAACTGGAATTCTGTCTTGTCTCGCTAACGTATCCCAGCTCTCGCATCTCGTGGCTATGCAGCCCTGCAACTGTATCACTCTGCCTGCCTCGCTGCGGGAGTCACTGATCTGCCTGGGATGGTCGCACCCGGAGCTTCTCAAGCTGTCTTTGGTCCCGTCTCGTTGCACACTACCTTGCGAAGAGTCAGTCTGGCGATGGTAAAGCATGTGTTCCGCGAGCATAAAGAAAGATTGCGGCGCAGCCACACCATGTTGCGCAGTATCCAGGCATACTATCTTTTCACGTCGTTCGGGGAAGATTTGACAACGATCAGGGCATGCCTGCAAATACCCAATCCAGCTGCAGTGATATATACAGTGGCTGAACAGTATAAACTTCCACTCCGTGCGGAGTATCGGGAAGGGCTTAAAGCAGCCAGGGGCTTTGTTTCAAACTCTGTCGATGGTCTACAGGCCTTACCCTCTGGGACTGGCATATCCAAGGTCAAGGTTCGTGCTCGACGTGCGAAGAGCAACAAGGTTCCAAAGGCTGGTGTACAGGCTTTATCGTCTAGATCCGGGACCAAACAGCTCAGGACGCGTGCTCGACCAACGAAAAGCATCACGGTCCGAAGGGTGGCCCCCAAACTCGTTCGGAGCGTGCGGCCCGAAATCATTCGTCGGGTGGCTGCTGACCCGTCCACTGGCGCCAATGGTTCTGACCGGAACGGTACCCTTGAACGGCATTCTCGTCCACCGAAAAGGTCGACACTGTCGAAGAAGTCCTTGGCTTCGGAGAGTTCAACAGACAAAGATAGGGCAGCTCAGTCAAAGAGACGCGCCAAGTTGAAGAAAGTAGAGACCACTACGACAGCCGAGACAACGACGAACATAAGGAACAAAGGTGAACAGAAAACTCAGGAGGAGGCATCTGCTATGGTTTTAAAGTCAACGACGAAAAAGACCGAATCTGTGAGCTGGAAACCCTTGGCTACTGTTGAAAGTGGTCCAGCAAGTTCACCGAGCACGCTAGAGACGCGACGGCTTCCGAAATCATCCAGCTTCTGGAAAAGTAAACTGGCAAGGCGGGAAAGAGCATCTGCAAGAAAAATCCATCAGTTTACGCCTTTCGGAGCGTCTTCAGAGGTTAGCAAGACTACGCTTCCTAAAGCGCCGCGGTCAGATGTTCGAAGTATCGCCCCTTGATACACGCCGTGATCGACGCCTGGCACTTGGCCTGGTCACAGGAACTTATAAGATGTATGTGGAGTGGTGGACACATGCTTATTCACACCGCAATGTACGGGCTCATATACGTCGAATGAAACGCTCGGTGCCTCCCTACTGCCGTGAGGCTAATAGTAGTCCAATAGTGCCGGATGGTGTAATGATTCCATATACATGACAAATCTAAACATTTGTCCCAATTCCCGTCAGGTTACAATGTTTTAAGACCGTCCCCACCGTCTCCAGAACCGTCGCTCTCTCTTCCCCGAGATGCCCGAGTCGTCTCGTCCCGCAACACGCCAATAGTACACGGGGATACCGCTCGCGACGAACGCCACAACAATGACCGTCTGCAATGGTTGCGCCACCACGGCCCGACTGACCAGGAACAAACTCACGCAGCAGAAGATGATGGGCGTCGTGATCCAAGTACGGTATGGTCTTTCGAGATGAGGCTCGCGGATGCGCAGTACAATCAAACCCAACACCGTCAGGAAGTAGAAGGTATACCCTGCCACGCCATAGAACGTGATCAGGGTGTTGAACTCGCCTAGGCAAATATAGACCATGCATATCACCATGTTGAGCAGCATGGCATTGACGGGGGTGTGGCCCAGACCAACGGCCTTGTCGCCGAACAGCCGAGTCAAAGCCTTGGACAGCCAGGAGCGACGACGCAATTTATTCAGTGGAACGGGTGTCTCGGGCATGCCAGATGAGAAGCCGAGGCCGATCTTGCTGAAGACCGCGGGGATGTAGCCTTCGCGCCCGGCGGCGTAGACTAGACGGCCTGATGTGAAGGTCGTCGCATTGAGGGCGCCGAAACAAGATGCGCTGACGATCAACGCGAGGACTAGTCCGCCTATGGGACCGAAGACTTTGCTTCCGAATTGGACGGCGACAGTATTGGATTTGTCGATGGTGGCTTGGGGGAGAACGAAGATGTACGCGACGTTGGCGAGGAGGTAGCATGTTATCACTGCGGGCATGGCTGTGTGCAGGACACGCGGGAGGTCCCGAGTAGGATTCTTGAATTCGCCAGTCACGTAATTTGTGTTATCCCAGCCGTCGAATGCCCAGAGACCGGCGTACAGCGCGACGGCCCAGCTTGAAACGTCGGTTGAGGTGTTTTCGAACCAGTGATGGGTTTTCCAGTCTTGGTTCGCGGGTCCGTTGAAGGAAAAGCCGGTTGTGGCGACGACGATGCCGATGACGGTGACGGCCGCTAGAGCGATGAACTTGAGAAACATGAAGAGGTCGCCTAGACGGGCTGCGAAGCGCGTGGAGAGGCAATTGAACAGCGTGACGAGCATGAGCGCGACCAGGGCTGGGACCTTGTTGATCCAGGGGTTGACATCTTCTACGTCCGCGCCTATTGCTGCGCGTACCACGTACTCGCCGAAGATGATGGAGATGATTGCGGAGCCGCCCGGTTTCAGAACGAGTATAGCCGACCAGGTGAAGAGGAAACCAACTACTTCTCCGAAGATTTTGGCCAGGTAGACTTGAGCTCCGCCGTTCAAGGGGATGGCACCTCCTAATTCAGCGTACGAGGATGCGCCTGTCCATGCGAGTAGACCGGATATGGTCCATACGATGAGAGATGCGCCGGGCGATCCAACATGCGAATTGACCTGTGCTGGTGAAGAGAATATTCCTGAACCAATGATCAAGCCCACCACCAAGGATAATCCGTTAAGATATGTCAACGTCTTATTCTTCTCGAGGTTCTGTAGCGAGCCTCGCTGTCGGTCAAGCGAAACAGCCGATGGGTTTCCTAGCGCCGTGTATCCTCCTCCAGCGGTCGATGAGAGTGGGAATAGAGCAGGTGTGAAGTCGAAGGCAGAGGATATCGAGTATGACCTTCCAACACGTAGACCGTCGCGTGTCACTGGGTTGGCATCGTGTAAAGGGTCCTCATTCTCTAGTGAGATCCTTCGAGAAGATCCTATACCGGAACGGGATGAGGTCTCGGAAACGGGGCCTTCATCGTGGTCAGAGTCGGCTAGGGAGGCGAGCTCGAGGGAATCTCGTCCGGGGAGTTGTAGTGGCTTCTGGATTTCGGAGAAGCCTAGTAGAGGCATCATGGGAGAAGGAGTGGTAGGTTACTGCGGTCTCCTTGTCATTGTGGCGTCTGGAGTGCGATCGAGATCATTCACAATCGTACTTGAACTGATCACAAGGGCCTGGGCAGCATGGTTCGCCAGATCTAGTTTCGTTGGGTGTGAGGTCAGTCAAAACGCAGGAGGCATATTGACAGGCCTGCGATAGGCCAATCTCACTAGTTGAATTCGGAGTAAACACGCTGCTTTTCTGGCAGACTAAACGGCAAGACGGGGTCCCCTGGAACAAAGGACCCCGGATATTTAGCAGACACCGAGATCAGATCATCGGTGTTTGGTTTGGTGCTCTTCATGATTGTAACCATCCTGTCGCCATTCACATGTCGTCAAGGCGCCTTCGTATAAAAGACCAGAACGGCTTTTGCTCCCCGGAACGAATGCCGTGAGGAAGCTACCCCCGGGTCCCTTTGTTGTCTTCCATTTCTTACTTTCAACCCTTCAGGTAATGTTGCAGATTTCGATCGAGCTAATATCGGTGCAAGTGCTCCAGGATGACCAACCACACGATCGTCACCATGTCTGTGGTGAGTTCTGCTGCCTTAAGCTCCACGGAGAAGCCGAGAAACTTGCTCGCGAGGCTTTGCAGAAAGTCAAATGCTTCCACTCAACGCAACGAACGCATCCCAGACACCCTTCGTCAGAACTAAGCCAGACTGTAAGTGAACGCAAATGACTTTGATAAAATGGCGCGTCGGAGGACCCCGAAGAATCATGCTTCTTGACGAGAAACTTTGTCAGCACAGTGGCTAAAAACCCATGTGCCTCACCTCGCTGGACTGTTCGATGCAGGGGTTTCACATCGCCAGTACGCAATGAGGTACGTCCATCGACTCCCTATTGACATATCATATGTGTGGTGGCAAGCTTCAAAGCTACACAAATTGTGCAAGGCTGTCTCAACGATATCACCTTCCTGAGGCAAGAAGGACTATCCCGGATCGTCATTCTGAACATATAAACCTTACAAGTGACTGGCGTGGCAACATATCTGAGGCCAACGTTGGTTGGAGGATATTGGCCGCGGGACGCCATTGTACACTGTCATGGTCCACCAAGGAGCATGGTCTTTAGTTGCTAGCTTTTTGTCGATGTTTCTGTGCGCGGCTTATTGATTTACCATGAGTGTCCTGTTCTTCAGACGAACTTCAGTCTCTCGTGTCACAAAAGAAGCACCATCAGGACCCAATTTACCCTGGGCAGCAGTTTCCAGAGATGTCAAACATCCATTTCGTACACGACAATGAGCCAGGTACGCCATTGGACACCGAGCAAACTCGCGCCCTGCGCTCCCACGTGCGGAAAGTCAACCTCGAAAGATTGCAGCAAAGAACTACTCAGCGCATGGAGAATTTTCGATCCCTGTCGATCGACGACTTTTCACAGCATGGAGAGATTAAACCAGAAAAGCGAAGATTTCCTGTGCGGTTCGAGGTTGCAGCAACTGAGGCCTCTTCTTCGAATGCGCTTCAGTCTGATAAAGGCCCTCCCGTACCAAGGGCAGAACGGTTGGCGACACTTGCTGCTACAGAGGGGCCGGAGTCTTTGTCGGGCACGATTGGCGGAGCGTCGGCAGGGCTAAGAACAGGTCTGTCCTTGGAAGTAGCAAGTGAGGATGAGGTGCTTAGAAGTACCACGACGCGGCATCTCTACTCAGCCCAGATCTCCGCAATGACCGGGATTCACGAGAATCTGGCCGAGAGTCTATTGAGCAGTGGTCTGTAACCTGAACCAAGAGTAAGTTACAGGCGCTAACGTATTGCAGGAGCGTTTCGGGTAGCTACTGAGCCGCTTCTTACTGCTGAGCATCAGACACCCGATTTGATGCACCTTTCGATCTTTCCCGACTTGTTGGAAAATCGGGCATTCTTGTCGGCTTTGATTTATTCTATGCTCCAGTCACCGGACTATTCTACATCTGCCACCAAAGGTCTGCATTTCAAGGGAAGGGCTATTCAGTGCCTGCAGGAAGATCTCCACAAAAATGGCTCAACATGCTGGACCCTTGCTATCTGCACCATTCTTGTTCTGTGTGGTGCTGCTGTAAGTTGAGTCCCTGTCATCTGTTTCGTCAGTTCTAATTGAAAGTAGCGTCATTCTGGCGAGATCTCCGAGTATACTGCCCATGCGGAAGGACTGGACCGACTTGTGCGTCTTTGTCATTCAAGCCAGGTTCAGCTGCCATCTGATATTCTTCGCGCAGTTCTCTGGTAAGCCATGAAATAAAATTGCCTCTGTTTTCAGCCGCTGAATCTTCCGTCAGGCTCGATCTTACCGGTGCCGGGATACTGGGCGACAGGAGGAGGTTTTCTGAAGACGACTTCTCCGCCTTGCTCAATATCGATACGAATCTGCTATCCTGCCCGCATGACGAACTGCCATACGGGTTTACCTTCCACGGAGACATCATCCATCACGATCTTCTTTCGTGCATAGAGAGAATCAAAAGCTTGCAGAGTACAATGGCCACCAGCAGTCTTGAAGCTATCAAGGCCGACAATATGCGAGCGTCGATAACATCCCGGCTCGTCTCTCTTCAGCAGACTTGTCAGGGATTCGGACCAATTTCTGAGGGCTGTCGTGTTGCAGCATACATTATCTGTGATGCCTGCATTGACAGATGTGGAAAGAGCTCGTTTGTCGGTTCGCGTCTGTCAGAAAGCTTGACTCGCATACTCGCCGAGAGCATCGGCAGCGAAGAATGGGCTTATCGACGAGATCTGCTGCTTTGGCTCGTCTTGGTAGTAGGAGCGTCTGCCTCACGAGCAGGAGGATGGTTTGGTTCAGGAGATGATTCTCCTTACAGAGATCTCATGGAGCGTCTTTTGCACAATGCTAGCACCTGGGCTGAAAAGGAAGAGGGAAGTTTTATCCTTCGAAGTACTGTGCAGGGGTATATCTACGATCAAGATTGGCTCGATAAACGGCATTTAATCCCACATTGGATGGATCTGGAGAAATTACTTACGCAATCCGAGATCTTCGATGCACGAGCATCAGGATCATGAAATAGGATCTGTGGCTGCCACAGCATTTCCTAGAGCAACGGCATGCGGTTCGGCGTCCCAAAACAGAAGTCTTATCCTACCAAATTTGGAAGGTTACCGAGAACCACGACCAGTTATGGAGACAGTTCAGACCCTGGCAGAGTACCTCAATATACGAAGGAGAATACGTCCAGGGCCCTTGAGCATTGCCCGCCAACACGCTACGATGGTATAGGTGCGAAGACACTCTCATGCTAGGAGCTCGGGCAAATGAGGCCCCGCGGACGCAATCTGCGACCCGAGGGCCAAAATGCAGACACAAGCTATTCCTTGGGGTAGGGTTGTCTTCCAAGGTAGGAACTTTTAAAGTGATTGGGGTTGGCAATGAAAGGGGAGTGATTAGTTGTTCACAGGCTTCTATCTCGACGGACTGTGGTCATCATAAGCGTGATTCAACGACCTGATGTCGTTCCGAGAATGGATGGGAGTTCTGCAGCCGTATTGTGAGGGCACTTTTTCTGGTTGTTGTGATAAGGCTGTGCATTCCAGGGGCTGTGATTTGCTGGGAGCTCTGCCAGGCCTGACTGACTTAGTGCTTATGGCACGGGTGGGGAAAGATGCACTCATTGTATGGAGCACCTTTCCATTGTAAGACACTCCTTGAGAACGGAAAAACCGTGTTTTGTGTATATGCAGTCTTTCAGCGCCATGATAGCTATATTCCCTTCCCTCCGGTACGTGAAAAGGTCTCTAGCCTGACAAGCGTGCTTCACAGCAGTGGTTCTCTCTATACACCCAGGAGTTCCTCCCTAATTGAGACCCCCCAGTTGGTTTGACCGTCGCATTCTTCGTTGTCTCCAGTTCAAATCACAAGACAGGTGCTTAGTATAGCAAGTCTATACAGTCGCCAGAGCTTTGTCCCGATTCTCGAATGCCTGTTTACTGACCGGTATATCAAAGGCGACTATTTCGAATGCATGTGGAACACCAGGGTACAAATGAAACTCGACGTCAATATCTGCAACAGCCAGGCGCCGCACGTACTCGATACTTTCGTCGCGGAAAATATCCAGACCACCACAATCAATGTATGTTGGTGGGAGACCTGACAAGTCTTTTGCCCGGGCAGGAGCAGCGTACTCGGGTACATTGGCATCAGGATCTCCAGCCTTGTCGCCCAACAAGGCCGTCCATCCAGTGATGTTGTCACCAACCTTCCAGATCGCCAGCGGCTCAAGAGCCTCAATGGGCTTGTTGTTCCTGTCATCCAGCATGGGGTAAATCAGCACTTGTTTGGCCACGGGAGGTTGCAGGCTCTTATCGCGAGCCTTGAGGACGACTCCGGCGGCGATACCACCACCTGCACTTTCGCCCATGACTGCAATTCTGCTTGGATCGACGTTGAACTCTGCCGTGTGTTTGGACAGCCACACCAGCCCTGCATAGCAGTCGTCGACCAATCCCGTGCCTTCGGTGCCCGTGTGTTCCGGAGCAACGCGATAGTCGACGCTGAAGAATGGGATGCCAGTCCTCGCGACGGTATTGGCAATGCCCTTACTAAACCCAGCTACGGATCCCATGATCATGCCTCCACCATGACAGTGGAGCACGCCGGCTGTTGGGATTTTGGATTGCTGTTGCGATTTCACTGTGAAGGCGTGTACAGCAATCTGGTAGCCGTCTTCGGCTTCGACATGGTGGACAGTCTCCTCGACTTGAGGGACGTCGGGAAGATGAGACAACATCTGGATGATGAGGGCATGATTCTTTCTGCGCCCTTCTATATCGTGGGTTTCCGGTTTTGCTCTGGACTTTAGAGTCGGAATGAGTGGCACAAGGGCTTCAGAGAACTTGGCGGAGTATTGGAGCGGCATTTTGCATATGTTGGAACCACAAGAGCCACAACGTTACAGGAATATGATGTGAATATCGAACGGCGAAATCGTTCCCAGCATCGTATAAGTCCGGCGACCGGCTTAAGGCGGACACCGGCCTCGCCGGCTATGCAGAGCTTGGGTTTTGCCGAGGAATCTCATAAATCACACCCCACGTAAGCCATCGACGTCAAACTTTGGCTAACGTTAGCACCCCATGGAGAGCACACTACCACGGCTATGATCAAACCGTGAGCCGAAAGGTCCGAGTAATGTCCGTAATTCGGGATATGTGCAAGCTGTGATGTGATGGAATAGTTCTTTAGTACAGTACGTCCCAACATGGCGCATAAGTGTGTTTACACCAAGAGCGGTGCAACCCTACAGGCATTGGCATGCCCTCTCCTAACATAGGAAGTTTATCTACCCAGAGACATGTAATCCCTTCATAACATATCTCAGGCACTTCCTTTCACAACTCAACTGGTACACTCTCATCTCGCAATCATGAGTGCTCGTCCATGGATCGGGGTGTATATCCGTGCTTCGTATGGCCTGGAATATTGTACTCAGCCTACGACTTTTCCTTCGTGGCAGCCACCTCTTCCGTTGTCTCAGCACCTTCCTGACCAACGCCGTCCAGTGTGATCTCTACCTTAGGTCCGAAGTAGTGGTACCTTGCTCGGAGCATCCAGTCGACGGTCAAGACGCAAAATACGCCCACAGCGATCGGGCCAGCATAGTTCATGTCTTCCGCGGTGACCGGCATCACAGATGGGAATGGTAGAATAACCACAAAGAATATGCACCAGCATAGAGCGAAGATGTTAATCGGCACACCCCAGCGGCCCAGCTTCCATGGTCCGTACGCGATAGGTGTAGTCTGCGTCAGTCTGAACCACAAGAAGGACCCAATAGGTAGCGTATAGGACATGAAGGCTGCCAGTGTGCAAAGCGACACGATAGCCTCCAGTGCCACTGAGCTGCCGATCACAATGACCGAAAGCACGATTGATATGGTGACGCTCAAGTAAATGGCATTCAAGGGGACCTCGAGCCTCGGATCGACCTAGCCACAGATGGTCAGTCTCGAATTTCGAGTATAATACCAATTGAGGACAATCATACCTTTGCCAGGGTCTTCGCTCCTGGGAAACCTCCCTCACGCGAGAAGGACCACGCCAATCGGCTGGCGGCCGCTAACAGACAGAAGGAGCAGGTGATCTGAATGGTCATCATCATGACGTCCATGATGGTGGCCGCCGCCTTGGAGTTGGTGGCTTGGTAGAAGATTTGGATGATGGGGAAACCAGTCGGTGTGTCGAGCACGGTATCGAGGTCGGTGATGCAATATAGGCTGACGACCATGAAGGCAAAGGCCATGGTCCCGTTGATGAGCAGGGTGTAGACGAAGGCCCGTGGGATATTGAGAGAGGCGTTTCGGACCTCCTCGGACATGTGGACGCAGCCGTCGGCGCCCGAGATGGAAAATGCCGGCAGCAAGAGGCCGATACAGAAACTAACGCCGTTGTTGGACCATCCGCTGTTGTTGACGAACTTGGTCCATACGAATTCTGAGGATGCCTTTTTGCTCATGCTGAGGAGGACAATGGTGATGACGAGGAAGAAGACGATATGTGTAATCCCGGATACCGTCTGCATGACCGGGAGAGCCTTCTTGCCGAGCGTCAGCATAACCAAGCCGACGAGGGAAAACATGATCATCAGGAGAAAAGTGTGCCAGCTCTTAGGGACGTAGGAGCTGTGGTTGAGTACGATGAGCCCCTCGATTTGCTCGGCGAGGAAGACCGTGGTGCTGACAAAACCAACTTGCCATGCGATTGATGTCAACCAGCCTGTGATGACGCTGTAAGAACCTGTCTTGCAAGGAAAAGCACGTTGGATAGGCGACCATGTCCGTACCTTGGAAGTAACTCAGGAATACCCGAATGCGTGGGGGTGCAAAGTGGAAGGTCCAGAAGTATTGGCCACCAGCGACGGGATACCTACAGACACCGGCTTCAGTAAACCTTATTCATCCTCGAGAGGTCAAGAAGACATTCCACTTACATTGATGCCATCTCGGCGAGAGAAGCGTTGATGGCGAGGATTCCAAAAAATGTCGTGATGAACCCATACACTACGGCCACAGGGCCTCCATTGGTGAATGTCGATCCGATCAGGCTATGGTCCAGAGTCACTCCATGTTTTCTCACGCAGAACAGCAATAGATATAGCCTTACGAGGTTGCAAACTCCCAAGAGCACAAGTTGGTAACGGCAAAGCCAAGGATATTCCAGAAACCCCAGTTTCTCTGCAATCAAATACGTCAGTTCACGCACCCACGTCAAGGCAGATAAAAGAGGCTCTACTTACGCGGAGGAGATCCTTCCTTCCCAATGCTGCGAGCACAGCTTCGTCGTCGGTTATGGGGGCATCCACTCCTTTTCGGATCGTACTCGCCGTTTCAATGCCGTCGTTCGACATGGCTGCTGTTGTGCATGCACCGTTTTCGTGGAGCAAGGCGTGAGTGATGAGCGACAGGTGAGTGGGCTTTATAGTAGTGGGACAAGAACGGAGATTTGCAACTGCAGGACATGGAGATTCAAACGACAGACTAGAAGGTGATAGAGGGTTTTATCTACAAAAGGACGAATGCTGGGACGGCGCCGAACCGGTCATGTGAGTTCCCGGAATCTCAATCAGGCAACCCTCCCCACAGATAAGGCAGCATACAGCGTTCGGTTCATGGAACACGCGGAGATGCGCTACGGCCACACGGCGCCGTTTCCGAAATCCGGCTGTAAGCGTTGAGAGAAGCTTCGATGGGGAAGGAGACAAAACGCTTGATCTGCTGATGTGTTTGCAGCACACGAACATTGACTGTGTCTATGCCGAGCACAGAATCTACCCAGGTCGTTACGATAGAGGACTACTAGTTTGCACCATGGTGTCCGGCCAACTTCCAATACGTGTTGATGATCATTGCCCAATCACTTTGCCCGATGGCACCGTCCTCTCCGCGCAGATATGGCGGCCGGACGATGCAAGTGCCAGCCCGGTGCCTGCCATTCTCGAGTATTTGCCTTATCGCAAACGCGACTACACTGCACCACGAGACGCCCTGAACCACCCTTACGTCGCTGCCCACGGGTATGCGTGCGTGAGGGTGGACATGCGCGGATCGGGTGATTCAGAAGGGGTTTTGCTGGGTGAGTACCTCAAGCAGGAGCAAGATGATGCGCTAGCAATCTTGCAGTGGATTGCTGCGCAGGACTGGTGCACAGGGTCAATTGGGATGATTGGTATTTCCTGGGGTGGTTTCAACGGCCTCCAGGTAGCCGCTCGACGGCCTCCTGAGCTCAAGGCAGTTATTTCAATCTGCTCCACCGATGACCGCTATGCCGACGATATTCATTATATGGGCGGTTGCCTTCTGGTTGACAACTTCCTGTGGGGTGCTACTATGTTCAGTATGAACCCTTTACCGCCGGATCCGGTTCTGGTTGGGGAAAAATGGCGAGATCTTTGGCTGGCCCGCTTAGAGGCTGGCGGTTTATATATGGTGGACTGGCACCGTCACCAACGCCGTGACGCCTTCTGGAAGCACGCCTCAATCTGTGAGAATTACGATGCCATTCAGTGCCCCGTGTACTTGGTCGGTGGATGGATGGATCCTTATACGAACACGATTTTCCGGAACCTCCAAAATCTCACCTGCCCCAAGAAGGGTCTGGTCGGCCCCTGGGCTCACAAATATCCCAACTTCGCGGAGCCGGGTCCTCCGATCGGCTTCCTCCAAGAGTCGGTGCGATGGTGGGATAAGTGGTTGAAGGGCAAGGAGACAGGCATCATGGATGAACCAACACTTCGCTGCTATATGCAAGACACGGCACCACCACAGACTCATTACGACTTTCGACCGGGCCATTGGGTAGCGGAGAGTGGCTGGCCCAGTCAAGGCGTGGCATCACACGGCATGGGTCTTGCTCCCGGGCGTCTGACAAACGAGGTCTCCACGAGCAGCGACCACTTAGCCTTTTGCTCACCGCAAACAGTGGGCTTCGCCTCGGGCAGGTGGTGTATCTTCGGCCTAGATGCAGATGAACCCGCCGATCAGCGTCAGGAAGTTGGTGGTTCTCTTGTCTTCGATAGCCACACGTTCGCCGATCCAATGGACCTCCTCGGTCCGGTGTCCCTCCAGCTTCGCGTCGCAAGTGACAAACCCAACGCAGTCCTCGCAGCCGTTCTCTCCGAGGTGTTGCCCGATGGGTCGGCGACCAGGATTTCGTGGGGTCTCCTCAACCTCACGCACCGCAATAGTCACGCTGATCTGGAACCACTGGAACCTGGTCGTTATTACGACGTTACTGTCAAGTTGAACGATCTGGGACAGCGCATTGGTGTGGGAAGCCGCATTCGACTGGCGCTGTCCACATCATACTTCCCTACTATTTGGCCAGCACCCGAAGCTTCGAGACTGACGTTAGACTGTGCTCACTGTAAGTTGGATTTGCCGATGCGAAGCGAGAACCCGCTCGACTCTCAACTCAAGCCGTTCCAACCGGCCGTTAACGGGTCACCCCTCAAGACCCACGTCATTCGCCCGGCCCGGTCGAGCAACAAAGTCTCGCAGGACCTGAATTCGGGGGTAGTCACGATACTTCTCGAGGAAGATGCCGGACTCTGGGAAAATGAGCGGACTGGCTGGCGGTACGGAAGTGACCAGACCATCATTTGCTCCGTACATCCAGACGATCCTCTGTCGGCTCGTGCAGAGCAGCGATTCCGGAAGGAATTTGGCCGGGACGAGCTGGACCTCGCCGTGGCCGGCTGGGCCAAGATGTCGGCCACTCGGACGGATTTCGAGTTGACAGCGCACCTCGAGGCGTGGGAGGGGAAGAAGCAGATCTTCGGAAAGGACTATGCCTTCACCATTCCTCGTGACTGTGTCTAGTCAAACGCAGCCATTCAGACGTCGAACGAGCTTCATACTCAATCGGCAGGCGTACGGAGTCTACAGGACGTGCTCAGTGAGAATCCTGAACTCTAGTGCAACATGTCCATTAGGGAACTATATACAACCAGCACTTAATGGCAGTAGACCTGGCGCAGCCATTGTTAGTGTTCAGGAGGATACCAAAAACAGCGAGCTTAACGCGATGTCAATACATAGATTGATGACAGATTTCCTGGCCACCTTTCTAGTTGAGTGGTGCGTCGCAGAATACCCAGGACGAAATCAAGTTGGTCAGTGACTGATAGCAAATCCAAGTCATTTGGTCGAACGAAACACCATCTGTACATGCTCTTAGGGGTTCGCTTCCGTGTAATAGAGCACTCAGTGCGCCGTACTGATTGAGCACGGCATGGTTCAATCGACTAAGCGAGCCTTCTTTCGTTATCAGGTCGCTACAAGCCACCAACCCCGGTAGGAGAGTGGCGATAAGGCTAGTCCAGATGTGCCGTAAGATTCCTTTCCTCGCTCTCCTCGCGACCCCATAAGAGCCGTATCACGTGAACGGAATCGGCGCCGAACCGTGCTTTTCGACGACTTCCTAGGATACTCACCCTGCTTTGGGCACTAGCGTAGACACTATGGCATTGCTTCCACGATAAGGACCCAGACAGGAAAGATGTGATGCCTCCATGGGCAGCTTTGTTCGCGTCCATGTTTACAGCTTGAGCTGAAGAACCTGGTGATGAGCAGGGCCCTGTAACTCGTAGAATAGCCTGCGTCGCCAGCATTAGGTAATGGATCAAGATCAGCCCAAAAGATCTCAACGTTGTGCGGGTGGTGTTCTATTGTGCCTATTGTCGTAAGCCCTTGTGAACGGAATAGAAGTGGTTCTGAGTTAGCAAGCCCCTGGTTTTGGGAGGTAGCGGGCGGACCGGACGGATCAGACAGAGGCCAATATAAATCCATCCCCCATCATTGCGGTTACACTCCGACCTCTTTTCCGACCACGACCATTCAGCCACAAAGCCTGCCACACCTCCTCAAGTATGACTAGCACGATGGTTGTGGCTCCCATGCCGGTGGCGCCCTTGCAAACGACAGTTACTCGTCCAAATGTAGAACTGCCACAGTACCTGACAGAGATTGCTTCAACAACGGTGAAAACACCCTTTGACCCTGCCAAACACCTGGATTTTACTCCGCCCAAGACCGTCATTACAATGAAAGATATCGGACTTGAGGGACATGGTATCTCCCCGGTGGCAGTCTCAGAACCCTTCCGGCTGTTCACCGACGAAGCCGTTCAACAATTCAGGGCCGAGATCTTCAGCAAACCCGTCTTGGATCATTGTCAGGTGTCGTCCAATTTTGCCTCGAATATGATCCGCGCCTATGCCGCTGAGTATGAATCATTGTTTTCCTCTTCCATGAGAAATCCAGGACTAACCTCATCGGGCCCCTCAGCTATGGTCCGTTTGCCTATAGCGTCTGGCATCACCCGGAAGTCATGGCCATCATGTCAAAGGTCGCCGGTATAGACTTGACAGTGGGTATGGACATTGACGTTGGACATGTCAACATTTCCATCAATGATGATACGAAACCCTCAGATCCTCGGACTGAGGTCGTCCCCGGAAAGAACGACGACGAGACGCCGGCATTTGCGTGGCACTATGACAGTTACCCTTTCGTCGTGGTCACGATGCTGTCAGATTGCACAGACATGAAAGGAGGAGAGACGGCCCTGCGCACTGCCTCTGGCGAGATCATGAAAGTCCGCGGTGCAACGATGGTGAGTAGCCCTGCCGTACCTTTTCACGAACCTCACGTTGGGGGCGCAGACTTTCTAACGGCGTTTTTGCACAGGGAACCGCAGTGCTCTTGCAAGGACGCTACATTGAGCACCAGGCATTGAAAGCATGGGGTGGTCGGGAACGCATCAGTATGGTGACTTCATTTCGACCCAAATCACCGTTCTGCAAAGACGAGACCAGCCTTGCGGGTCTCAGAGGCATCACCGACCTCTGTCTGCTGTATCATCAATACGCCGAATATCGATTTCAAGTGCTGGAGACACGGTTTCGCACAAGTCGTCAGAATCTGCTCAAGAGCTTTCATAAACAACGTGGATTTGATCTGCAGGGGACGAGATCTTTCCTCGAGGAGCAGAAGCGATACGTGGAAGACCTATTGAGAGAGTTGGTGCCTTATCCTTGAACGAGGCTTTGCGTTCCATCGTCGCCCAAGTCAAGCCGTGTTTGGGATCTTAGATTGGTACATGGAGAACCATAGATCACGACTGAGGGGGTGTCTTTTGTTGTTAGCGTCATCATACGTAGTTATCGATTTAGCTACGTGGTCGAATAGGACGGAATGGTGCTGTGATGCTAATTTTCGACCTAAGTTGTCGAAAGATTAAAAGCGCCGAAGCGCAAGAGCTGGTCGAAAGGCGCGACAGGCGGACTGAAAGACGATCACCGATGATGGTGCTACAGTACCCGTGCTACTGTAGTTAATTTAGCCATAGAGTTGTGGCCTTCTCCGGCTGGCGATAAGGGGCTCCACCCCCAAAATCCTGAATCTACGCATTATGTCCATCCGGCTGGAGAAGTCATCGAATCCCTGACCAGAGACACTCCGTCATTTCCCAGCTTTGGCAATTGGATCCCGAACAGGCGCAATAACCTCCTTATCCTTTTCAGCCGCCGCTCGTAAGCGTTCTAGGTAGGCCTGTGCTATCGTCTGGAACTTGCTGCTCTGGAGGCATATGTACCATTTGGGGGTTATCAAATCCTCCACTCACCGCAGTCTCTTGTACTCAATTGTTTGATGCCTCCTTCGTCTCCAATTTTCAAAGTCATCAAGCGCGTCCAGCAAGCTTGCGAAAATTGCAGGTAAGTCGAGTAGTTCCATTCTAGAGTCTGGGGCCACTGGCTAAAACCACAACGATAGGCGAAAAAAGACGCGATGTCCCGGACAAAGACCAACATGTTCCAGTTGTGCTCGACTGAAGCAGAACTGTGTCTATGGTGGTGGAGATGCTGGTAGCCACAGCCCGTCAGCCAACTGGAATCGCCCAAGCTCTAATCGGGACCTGGTATGAGGAGCACGTTGTTCTGTTGCTATTGCGGTCTAATCCTTCCTCCAAGGAACATCGAATGGCGCAGCTCGAAGACGCGATGCGTTCGGTGATCTCTCGCACTGGGTATGGACCTGTTCCGCGGCAAGAAGGGTCCGATCACTGAGAAGCGTTTTAGGTCATCCGATGGTCCTTCAGCATTCGATTCGACACGACTAGACGCCAGATCTGAGACCCGATCCGAACAAGATGACCACCGTGCTTTGTCTCAGTCGAAAAGCCTCACAAGGCCCGGCTTTCTTCACGAAGAGTAACACCTGGATACCTCCGCCCCTTTGACGGTGTTGGGAACTGACTGCAATTCTTAGTTTACTTCCACCACCTGACTGTCTCTCCGAGATGACCTTACTTTATCGGCGACACTGCCATCGACAGCCTGTTTGGTTGTTTGACGATGTGGAGCTTGCATCCCTTTCCCAACAGCCGGAGGAGTTGCTGCTGGCGATACTGGCGCTAACGACAAGGTTCTCTGCAAATCCCTATTTCCACCGCACAGATAGGATTGACATGGCACAGCGGTTCGGCGATGCTGCCCGGAACCTGGTGATGCTGAAGATCGCGAACGCAGGTGTCAGGTTCAGCACCATCCAAAGTCTTTGTCTCCTTGCCTACGCGGGTTTTGCAGGTCTGTCCATTCCGAACCCTTTTGCAGCAAACCAATATGGAGAGTTACTGAAGGGATGTGCTGACGTTGTCTATTGCAGCCAGAGACACGTTTCTCGCCCCGCTCCACTTGAATCTAGCTCGGGATCTGTTGAGATCGGCTGGCTTTGACTTACGCTCGGCGGGTAATCAAGTCTCCTCGGCCGACCAGCCGATACAGCGGCTATTCTGGAGCATCTACCTCCTGGAGCAGCTGTACGGCACCCAGGGTAATCGGACAATATCCTTGAGAGACGGCCTCGACAACATCCACTACTGTGCCACGGTAGGCGACCACGCCAGGCGCCCGCTCACGTTGGAACCACCTCAAATCCCCGAGGAGGCCTCTGATCATGGCGATACACACGATCAGGGGATCTGGAACTACACTTTATGTCTGAGCACGCTGTGGAACGAGGTCAGAAACTACATCCATTTGTGCGCATCCGACTTCGAAAGGGCGCCGTGGGCGCCGGAATCCTACTACACGCTGATCGTTTCCTACATGCATGAATTGGAGACACAGCTGCCGCAACCTCATCGGGCCAACTGCAAGTGGTTCTTCCAGTGCTCTCTGGAGACCCTGGACAGCGATAGATCGTATTGGACGCCCTGGGTGTTTCTCCAACTCAGCTATCATGGGATTTATACCGTCATTAACCATCCATTTCTTTTGACCTCCCGGTTACAATCTCTCAAGCTGAAAATCCCCAACACCTTCTGGAGGACTTCGTCGGAGGCGGCCTTGCTGCATTCGACCTGGATCGTCCGGTTGATCAGCATGGCACGCGGGAAGGACTTCGAGCTTTCAGACCCCTTCCTGAGCTGGGTCGTGGGGGTGGCCGCATCCGCCCAGCTTTTCTACTGTTGTTCCCAGAATGACGAGTTGAGACTGACAGCACGGGACAACTTCGACAAGTGCAAAGCATTCATCGATGACCAAGCCAACGTGTGGCAGTGGTGTCGTGGCATTGTAAGCGTGGATGGTGAACGCTGTGACCAAAACTAATTCTCAGACAGAAGCGAAACTTGGAAAAGCTCGCCGAGCAGGCCTTCGGTGACGATCTGGTGTGTCAACCGTCCCAGGTGATCAGCATCGACACAACGGCGATTCTGGAGATCTTCGACTATAGCCGCTGCCGCGAAGCCGACCCGGCACGTGCCGGTGGACGGGTACTATTCGATGGAAGTCTGTCGCTGAGAGGCGACCGGGCGGGCAGCCAACTGGCAACCATGGAACTGTCTGAGAACATCAGTGACGCCGCCGGTCGACCGGTGGCACCCCCAGTCTGGCGACCCGCGACGGCAAGTAGCGACCCGAGTGACCGACCTGCGCCAATGCATATGGAACTTCTCCCGGACTCGGCCGCCACGCCATCCATCGTCCCGATCGAAATTGTCCATGACTCCGAAATCTTCGATTTGCCCACCGCGAACTTCAGCGACGGGCTCCTTCAAAACATATTCTGTCCGGACTTTGAGTGGTGGGACATCGACGCCTGATCAGTGCCGACGTCATTCATGTCCAGGCCTCGACATCCGTCCAAGGTCATAATCAAGGTCCCCGTACAATGTCGCCGTACATGATATCAGGAGCATTATTTGTACAGGACCGAGGGGCTGTCATTACATGCATCCACAACCGCGGAAGATGGCTATTGGTGCATCGCGCCGTCACGCCCATACCGGAGATTTGACTACGACTCCGCTTACAAAAGTATGCGCCGAATTGAGATTCGCCAATTGCGCCTGCCACTTGTCAGGGAGCCAGTGTACCTTGTTTTCAACCAGCCCGTGACTGTTCATCAACTGGGATGCCTATCAACGACACCAATACCGCATCATGTCGAGGTGCTATCGTTGAATATGACATCGACCGCTTCGACACATGATACATTACGATAGAAAAATGGGATCCCGTGCAAATATATCAGCGATATTGACCGATGTATCGCCGGGGAAGATAAGACTCCTTCTGGCCAGAGCTTTGCCGAGTCGTCACCTGAGAATTTCCATGCATGATGACAAAGGATGTTGGTGACTAAACTTTCTCAATCCTCATCAGGAAGACTACACCTTCCGTTTTCGCACCTAGCCAGGAACACTTTGTCAACAAGCAGTTCGGAAGTCTTTCGTGACACACTAGGTTTACGGGCAGTCCCATCGCTGAAAGCAAAGCGGCAATCCAAGCCATGGCGGACAGCCTGATTACGCATCAAGTCACAGTCGTCTGTTCACTGTTGCACGCTTGAACAACGAATCGGGAAATCGTATACCCTTGGCCTGAGCCAATGTGGACCTATACAAGAAGGCACGTCGCCATGATCTCTAGATAAAGAGGTAGGCAGCGAAGGTCTAGGAAAGCTACCATTTGTTTTCTGTAACAGCCTACACCTTTACCTCTTGGACACAGAACAGCAATGGCTTCCGCATCGAAGACAGTCAATCTTCATCCAGACAACTACCTTCCCTCGAATCTCGAACCGACCACGTTCGACGTGATAGTAATCGGCAGCGGCCCGTGCGGTCGGCAAGTTGCATCCAAAACCGCCGCAGCTGGGCTGTCTACCATGATCATCGAGGACGAACTCTGGGGCGGTGACTGTCCCTTCTGGGCATGTATGCCATCCAAAGCTCTACTTCGACCCGGCGAAGCCCTCGCCGCAGCCCGCCAAGTAGGCGGTGCCAAACAGCTTATTGAAAACAGCCGGAAGGTCGACATTGACGGCGTCTTCGCTCGACGCGATAAAATCGTGCACGACTACACTGATCAATCCTTCGTCAATTTGTCGTTGAAGCAGAAGTGCAGTGTCGTCCGAGGCAAGGGATCCTTGCTAGGCGAGAAGAAAGTCCTGGTCAAGAACGCCAATGGTCAGGAGAAGACCTTGTCCGCTCGACATGCCGTTGTCATCTCGACTGGTTCTGAACCTGTGATCCCGGATATTAAGGGCATACATGACATCGATTTCTGGACTCCTCGAGAAGCCACCTCGGTCAAGGAAGTTCCTGAGCATCTCATCATCATTGGTGCAGGGGTCGTGGGATCAGAAATGGCGACTGCGTTCGCAACATACGGAAGTAAAGTTAGCGTGATCACACCGACCAGCGAGATCCTGCCACGCTATGAGCCTGAAGCATCACGGCGCGTGCGTGAAGCCCTGATTGGACAGAACGTCGACTTCCATCTATCCTCACGCGTCGTCGAGGTGTGGAAACAAGACGCCAACGTATGTGTCAAACTATCGTCCGGCACCATCGTGACTGGCTCCACCGTTCTCCTTGCCGCAGGTCGTCGCCCACGAACCAAGGACATCGGCCTGGAAAGTATCGGCGTCACGCCCACCCTTGACGTCGATCCAAGCATGCTGGTCAACCCCGTCGAGGGTCAATGGCTGTACGCAGTCGGAGACACGAATATGCGCGCGCCCATGACCCACATGGGTGAGTACCAGGGCCGCATCGCAGCCAGCGCTATCATTGCGCGAAGTCAAGGCACTAAAACCCTCAGCTCGGAGGCATGGAGCGAGTATGCCGCTACAGCAGATTCCCTGGCTGCCAGCCAAGTCGTGGTGACGGACCCTAATCTCGCGACAGTGGGACTTACGCTCGCTTAGGCCTTGGAAAGGGGCATCAAGGCGCAAGCTGTTGATGTGAACTTCAATTTCCCTGGGGCTTGGGTATACGCGGAATTCGATTACGATGGGTGGGCGCGATGGGTGGTCGACGTCGAGAAGAATGTCCTTGTGGGAGCGACCATTGTCGGAAGAGAGGCAGGTGACCTGTTGCATGCGAGTACCGTTGTGCTGGTGGGACAGGTACAGCTGGATAAGTTGATTCATGCGGTGCCGAGTTTTCCCACGCGCAGTGAAGTGTATGGTTTGTTGTTGGAGAAGTGGTTGTCCATTAGACGCTCAAGCGAGGACGAGAGGAGTGCTTGGAAGTGACGGGCTCAAAAGAAGACCAGCCACTGCCTGTCAGTCAAGTCCAAAAAGGCGATAGTTTCGTGGTATCCCAAACGCCCCATGTGAACACCCCAGTTCAAAGACCATCACACTTCGCGTGGGTATCATAATGTGTCATTCGCAGCTTAAATACCATCGACCTCAACAACTCTCTCCCCATCCTCACTTTCATCGTCTTCCTCCCCCCTCATCCTCCACCACCACCGACTCCCCCTCCAAACACCAAAGACATCCCCTCTAGCATCTTCCTCCTCCTCCGTCCCCACCAACCACAACCACTTATCCAAAAACCACCTCTTGGCCTCCCAACTCCTCGGATCCCAAGCCACACTATCCCTCAACCCCCTTTTCCCATCCCCTTCCCTAGCCATCCTCGAAAGCGCACTCCCTCCGGACCGTCCCCCCCAGCACACCATGCCCCCATTCATGATATCCATGAAGAATTCCCCATGATCCAATATCCCCTCAACACTCGCCTTGACCGCTTTATCCCGAAAGAACGGAAAGACAATGCAATCCAGGTACGATGGGTGCGGACTCGTAAGTTGACTTGGCGTTGGCCTCAAGGCGGGCGCAATCCGATCCATATGCGCCGCCGTCTCCACTGTCACACTAATACACAAGCCCGCGATATTGTAACTCACGGGTCGCGACACGGTTTTGTCGTGAGGGTTGTCGAGGAGGACGTAACAGCCCGGAAAATGGGAGGGGTGGTCGTTGATGTATTGGGCGCGGGATATACCCACCCCTAAAGCAACGGCGAGGGATGCTTCGATGTTGACTTCCCCCACCAAACGCATGTGGTTGGCGTAGGGATCTGGGAATGTCTCTTGCTCCGCCGGCGAGGCGGAGGTGTACCGGCTGCGACTGCTGTTCGACGGTGAGGGAGTCAGCGCCATCAACGCGCTTAGTCTTTGGTATTGGCGATCTTTCTGGGTCGGCGGCCGCGGAGGCATCGCCCAGATGTGCGCGAGGGGCATGTCCTCGAAGTCATATTGGACGAGGTCCTGTTGGGCGTCGTAATCAGATTCCGGCGTCAAGATACGCGTACTTGTATGCGGTCCACCGAGTTGGAACTGTAGACCTGGAAGCGCATCTCCAGAAAAGGGCAGATCGCCTGCCGCGACGAATGCGTCGGCAAGATTGATATGCGGAACGAACTCGGTCCCGGTTGAAGAAGGCACAGCATTCTGTACTACGTCTTCTGCATCTCGGTCGCTGCCACTCCCAGTGAGATCCGAGGAGTCCTTTCGGTTTGAGTTGGTTGGGGTGATGACAGTAGCCGCAGCATGCTCCTCGAGATCCTCGAGTTTTTGCCTTAGACGCTCGCGGTATGCTTTCTGGGCTCTTCTGTTCTGCTCACGCCTCTTGTCCGTGATTACTCGGACGTATGGCTTTCGAGGAGCGTGGTTGATTTCTTCAATTCTGGTAGCTATTTGTTCGGTCATGGCCCAGAAGTGGTTCACTGGCCGTGATTGCAGATGGTAGACAGATCTGGGGTACTGCAGCCATGGTCGGAACTCGCCCTGATGATATGGCTGACGGATGGCCTTTCGTCCGTGTCAGCCAAATCTAGGCCAGATCATGTGCATCAGCCAGTGTGGAGCCGAAAGCCATAATTGGGTGGAGCGATAGGAGCATTTGTGGTCTGTGGAGGAGCAGCAGAAAGCTGACATAAACAATGGCTGATTAATCTTGGGTTGCCTGACACCAGTGTGATCCTCGGTCGACGTCATCATGGGATTTTGCAGATCAATTTACTCTCATTCTCGTATGCATATCATCCATGGTATATCAATTCTTAAATACTCCCTTTACCAGTCTCGTGCTATGCCCTGCAATGCATTCAATCAAACAAAACTCCCGAAATACATTCTTCCCAAGTCATCAAACCATTTTCATGCTCTCGTCAAACCCATATTTGTCCCCATGCTAGGCCAAGGTCACCTCGAATAAACACCATACACAGTCTGCCATTGTACCAATTCTTTGGTCAGCGTTTCCATCATATCCTGAGCCCCCATTGTGCCAAAATGCTTGTGATCTGTCAGGTTCAACCCGAATTCCTCGTCTCTGGAGCTGGCTTCTTTCAGCCCAGCTTCCACTGCACGAATCAAACTGGCTGTCGGCAACATGCTCCCCTCTTTGACCCCATTGGGAGTGCTGGCTCCTTTGGAACTGGAACTCGTACTGGCGCTCGAGTTTTGTGTCTGGCCACTTCTCTCCGTGTGCATATGTCCAACAAACTCCAAGATTGCTGCCACACGTCTCCTCATCTCATTCAAGCTGGTCCGGGCTGGATGCGTTTTCGCTTTGGAACTGCGACCACTTTCACCTCCATTGGCACCGGTAGGAGATCCTCCGATACCGTTGACATCATGTGACGCATCTCTTGCAGGAGTTCCATCTTCACCGTTATCTTTGGTATATTGGTTTCTTCCCAACCTTCCACGCCTCGGCGCCGGTCTTCCAGTCTTTCGGTTATGGTTTGATCGATTCAAGGGAGGTGTATCTGCTTTTATCTTGCCATTGGCTAGTGCGACTTTCGACGGTGAAAGATCTGGCGTAGGTGGTGGAGAATCTACTTTTGTTAGCCATCCATCCGCAACAATCGGCGAAATGAGTCTTACCTTCTCCTCTTCTCCGTTCCGATCGAGCAGCCCGCTTGTTTGCCGCTTCTACACGCTGAGAAAGCATCTGCTCCTTCTGCTTTGCTCGTAGTTCGTTTTCTTTATTGGTTCGTGCTACTGTTCCTCTCAATCTCTGTGAAGCACTCTTTGAAGACACATGGTTCTTGCCGCCACCGTTTTCCTCTGTAGTTGGATCGGGAGACTGGCTGTGCTTCGAGACCGTAGAAGACGAATCGGAGCCCGTGCGTTGTCTTTTTGTGGTGGCTTTTTGGCTGTAATAGAGTTAGTATGTGTCTGCCAACTTCCACGTCCGACTTACTCTACTGAATCATCGTCTCTTGTCCGTTTGCCCAAAGTACCCGTTGATCTAGTACTTTCTTCAATGGCTCTTCTCAACATTTCATCCTCGTCATATGCCCCACGACTGTTCATGGTGGCCCGCCTCTTGGTGCTCTCAGACTGCTGCTTGTTCTTGGAATCCTTTTTGCGAGGAACTTCGGGATTTGAGGATAAAGGCGAGGATCTGGCCGATGTCGTTTCAGGGATGGGAAGATAACGGGAGGATTTAGTTCTAGGATTTCTCGTCAGCATGTTTGTCTTAATTGCGAGGCAAACTTGGTGGGCATTGTGCTGCAACACAGTCTTTGACAATGCAAACCCCAGCTCCAGACATGTCGTAGCGGGAGACAAACAAAAGTGACGCAGGATCAACTCACCCATTAGCAGCCTTGGTGATCTTGTGAAATTGGGGCTTGCATTGTTCACAGTAGTACTCGTCAGGCAACATGGACTCATCCAGTAAGCCCATACAGCCACCATGCTGCCAAACACCACATTTGTCGCACTGGACAAAGAAATTGCCTGTATCATCCGACAAAACATCGGCAGTGGGGGGTTGTTGTTGTCGTAAGGCAGCCGAAGGACCAGGGTATTCAGCTTGACCGCAGATACAGCGAGTGACTTCCTCTTCTACAGCCTCGGCCTCGGCTTCAGCGTCTTCATCCTCCTCTGCGGCATGTTGTTTAACCACTGGCTCTTTTTCTTCGCCGTTCCGTCGGCTGCGACGCGGTGCAATTTGCTCCGCACGAGAGGTCGAGTCTGCGCCATCAGCAGATTCGGATCGTTGGGCAGAGGCCGCTCTGGGAGAGTTTGCGTGATTGCCGGCTCGGTTGTCTCGATCGGGTCTTGAGTTGTTGGAGGTGTTGGAATTGGTGTGATTAGGCCCAGCAGGAGGTTGCTGCGAGGAGCGGGCACGGGACGATCGACGAGGACTCATTTTGGGGTATTATTTTTATATTGTATTTTTGAAGCTGAGGAAGTGTACGGCGTCGTGTGAGCAGGTAGAGGACGGTGTAAGGATGTGAGACGAGCAGAGGTGGTGGGAGGGAGGACTTCGCGCCGCCAGAAAACTCGTTGTTTGTAAAGAGGCGGGAGGAGTTGGACAAGTCGAGTCGGATAACGATCAAAAAGTTGTGAGCAGAGACGAGCACTTTGCCAGCAGTGAAAGGAGCATCGTTCACATGGCGGTGTGTCTTTGATCAGGTTCGAAAGATTTCCAGAAAGCAAGGAGGAGGAGGTGGTGCACAAACCAGGACCACTGTGACTGCACTTCAGCAGTATTAAAGTGATCGGCATCTCTTCTTTCCAGGGCCCGATACAATAGCTGTTCACTGCTGTTATAGGCCGCAGAGAGGAAAGAAGCGGGTTTGACAAAGCCAGCCACTCCCTCAGCGGCTTTTCTCCCCTCACTGGCAAGTCGAGTTGGAGAATTGGCATCATAAAGACCGACACTGATCCATGAACGAGGCTCCCCCAACAATGCATAAAACTTTGCCGATCCGTCATGAACATTTTGTACGTACCTAGGTACAATTCTATGACGAGAAGCCTCTTAACAAAATTCGTGCAAATCGTTTTCAGCGGGAGAAGGTATGGGAAGCATTGTAAAACTTGTGAGCAAATCAAATATCCAGACACGGAGTCACGTGTCGTGGGCTTCACACTCGAGCCAATCAACGCGTCTATCATCTTCCACTTAAAAGACGCGTAAAGTCAGGTTGACCTGTAGTCGAGTCAGAACAAGCATTGTATGACTGGAGAGCACATGAGCGATAGTTCGACAGCCTACAATACAGCAGAACCCCTGTATCCTCTGGAAAGCCAGTATGATCGTATTCGATACCTATTGCCTCCTGCATGCCAAATATGTAGTATGCAATGGCTGTCCGAAACCCAACAACCTCCACCGCCAATGTGAATATCAAGAGAAGGCTGGCTTCCGCTCAACGCCAGTGCAATGCTCAAACACCAATATTCGTATGATACAAGTCGTGCGGCCGTTTCGTCGTAATTTCATATGTCCAATACGAATAGACTGAGAGTGATAGCGTAGCTGCACCACTTCAAAATATTGGCTCTGGGCTCGAAGAGAAAAAGTGTCCTGGATCGTCATGCTCACTCACACGCTGTGATTCGGGAACCTGAACGCCGCCTGCTTTGGTCACGCCGCCACGTCGACCCATGGACAACAATTCTTCTTCCTTAGAGATCGATTTGTCTGGTACCTTTCCCTTTCCTTTTGGTTCTTCAGCTTCGGGCCCGAGGTTCGAACTGCCCCTCTCCTCTCTCTTGGTCCTGATCAGCAGGCTTAACTGACTCTTTGTCCGCGGAAGCTCCATCTGGTCATCAGAAGACTCTTCAGAGTCATTCGCAAACTCATCGCTAGTGATGCTTGACCGCAATCTGGAAGGAGCCAGGTTTTCAGTCTTCAACTCAGGTGACGTCTCTTTCGATTTGTCCTTGCGTGGAAGTGTAGGTAGTTCATCCGCAAAACGTACCACACTTCCACTTCTTCGATCTAGGCTGGCGAGATTGGTAGAGCTGGCCAGTTTTCTTTGCGACTCCACAAACTTCCCACGAAAGTCACGGTCCACAAGGTTGGTGGAGGAAGTTACTGGTGCAGTCGATCCCAAATGAGGTCCGTCGTTACCGGAATCGACGCTTTGCCAAGAGGAGCTTGTGGGCAGATGAAATCCTGCTCCGCTTGTGGTGGCTGTCATGAAGAGGGTCAGAAACGAATCTCTATCTTGACATGAGGAACATACCTGGAGGGTTTGGTAATCCAGGGGGTGGGCCGCGCGTGAATCTAGGTGGATCTGGGGGAGCAATATTCACACCCTGCGCCATACCTCTTTCTGATGACTCGGGTTGTGGTCTCGGCGATCTAGGATTATTTGTGGTGACCGTCCTGGCAGAGCTGGATTTCCGCCTGCCCAGCTGTGGTCTTGTTCGAGTCCTGCCTGCAGTAGCGACAACAGCTCCCCTGGTTCGGCCACCACTAGCAGTCCGAGTCAAGGAAGGTCTTGTTGAAGATTCCGGTGTGGTATGTGCTGTAGATCCTGTCGTGTCATTGGATCGTCGTCTAACGTGCTGACTTGGCACACTTCCGCGCGTGCTACGAGACTCTGGGGTTGCGAAGGAAGCCTCAAAACGATTTGGAGTGACCGGGGATTGACTCGAGTGAGGAGTCGAGGTCTTAGCTAATGGATCGGCACTGGTTGGAGACAAACCTGGCGAATCAGCTCGATCCTGGGAGCCCTGTTTGAAGTCAGCCAAACGGACCACGCGTCTTGCAGTATGATTGTACCTGAGTCTGTGTTAATCGTGGCAAAAAGAGGCCCTCGATGGGAGTCAGGTCCATGTCGTCCGAACATCGACCCCATAGCCGAATTAACCGCGTACCGGTCATGGTCTCGGCCAACTTCGGACTGCTCCATATGCGCCAGAAGAGATTGCGAGATCTCGTGCTCGCATTGTCCTGGCTTGCATCGCTGGTAATAGCATAGACTGAGACTTAGGTCAGCCATCATGTGCGTGAACACGAAGTAGTGGTAACAGACCTTTCCAGAAACTGCGGATGGCATCAGCGTTCGAGATGTCAGAATCATCAAAATCATGTTGGTCAATAGCAGTAGGATTGATAAGTCCTCCAGGTAAAGTGGCCGTCATGGCATGGAAAGGTTAGGGTATTCCTGTTCTAACTCCACCAAGCCGATTGTCAACCACAATATCCCAAACTAACCAGCACATGTCCTTGGGTTTGAGAAAGACCAAATCGTATGTTCAAGAAGCTGCGTTGGACGCCAATCCGGGAAGGAAGGACGGATGGCCAACGATCAAGTGGCAAGAGCCCGCCACAGCAATTGCAAAGGACCAAATGTCAAAACCCGTGACACAAAAGTCAATGCGCCGAGTCTTAGTGATGGCGCGGTGATTCTCTGACTTCCTTGTCTTGTGGCAAACAGTGTAGAGGAATGCCAGGACGATAGTAGTGAGCAACGTCGACTTCACGAGGTGCAACAATGAAGTTGATCACGCCGTGAATAAGTGTTCTTTGGAAGAGCTTCTCCAACAAGTCGCCGGATTTCGGGATAATGGAGTTTGTTTTAAGGGTCTTGCACTCAGAGCCTAAGTTCACCGCCAGTGAAGAAAACGGGCGGAAGGCATCCGATGCGGAAAGTCGGAATCTGATGGACAGCTGTCTTTGGTCCAGCTGGCGTTTCTTAGTGTCCGGGGATGTGTGAAAGTTGACTGACGGCGCCGAGGTAATAAGATGGGAGGTGGTCGGAGCTGGCCAGGAAAAAGGTCGGGCAGTGGAAAGTCAAAAGAATAGAAATAGAATGTTGGTCATCCAAGATGTGAGACGTGGAAGATGGAGATTCTGGATGTCAGCCGACCATAGCTTGTGCGGCGACGCTGATCGAGACAGGGTTAGAGGCCGACGGTGGCAGCGGCCGATGCAGGTACCAAAGTCGAGTTGCAGCAGTTGAAACTAAACTGTTCGAAAACGAGGAGTTGCTTTCGGAGGGAATTGCTTGATATCAGAGAAGCTGATCGCTCTGGGGAGGTCTGGAACAGCGAGAGAGCGGGTACAAGCTTGTAGGTGTGAACAGAAGTGGAAAATTTGTAGCATGGCGACAGAAGGGGATTTCTAGAGGGGCACGACAGCGAATGAATCGTCGTCATTGGTCTTGAAGATGAGAAATGGAGGACGGGTGGACGGTTAGTCTAAGAGGGCGGGATCGGAATGGCGAAGTCAGTTCGATTGTTAGTGTGGACAATAGTCGATGATGGACGGGTTGACAGCAAACGGATACACAGAGTGCCACATCCAATCACTCGGTGGACGAAGGAGACATGTCAGGAATCAAGTGGAGTATCGACGACGAGGAAAAGGATGTATCGGCTATGAGAGGATATTGGCCTCAGCAGTATGGCACCATTGGGGTCAGAAACCTCGCTTGATGAGGAGAAAGAAGGAAAAGGGAAGTCCGAGGAGAAGAATTCCATAGTGTGAGTTGGAGAAGCCCTGTAACAACAAGGCCGAGCAGGTGCGATGAGTACGAGCAGTCAGGCTGCAAATGATCCTCACCGCTCATCTTGAAAGTCTTGAGGAGAAGTCTTGTTGTGAAAAGAGAAACCGGGATCAAGACGACAAGGAACAGGGGGTTAAGCCAAGTGGAACTCACTACTAAGTCGATCGGATCGACCAGAAGAGTCGAGAACTTTGACTAGAAGGGAAGCGATCAGTACGAGGCAGCTACTTCGTAAACTGGATGGATATAGTCGCCGACCAAGACTTGCATCTGAGTCGAAGCGAAGACTAGCTGTGAATTTAGCAATCCGCCATACTTTGAATGTACGTAAAGACGAATAGAAAGAGTGATGAGGTGGTTTGACTGTTGCAGAGAGGCGTGAACATAAACAAAGCCTTAAAGCCTATACCAGCAGCCATCTCGCGCTTATGAAACTCTACTTTAGGCACAACAAGGCATGTAGTTCTTCCGATCCGCGGCAGCACCAATTACTCGTTCAGGTACAACTTACCTGCTTGGGTACTTCTCGCCTGGCCCCATGCGCGTACTTGTACCTTGTACCTCAAGTCGTATCTGGAGATAGCAGTTTGCTGCCTTCCCACACACATCAACTCTCGCAACGTTGCATTTCCCCTTCCACGTCTCGCCTCTCGCCGTCGCCTTCCCTACCCCAATACCCCTCACCGCTTGCCTCGCCGCTATCTACAGTACTATCCCTATCATGTTTCAAACCCCAGCCTTGCTTCCCGGATCCTTCTGCACTCCCACGCAGTCCAGCGCGCTAGCTAATCAATTGCCGACATTTCCCACGTTATCGATGGCACGTCCCGGCTCCCACGTTGCTGGAACCCTCTGTAGACAACACCCTGGCTGGGCCCATTGCCTACAAGTCAACACGCGATTCTTAGGTAGACACAAATCACACCTTCCTAAATTGTCCTTTGCTGACCGCCTAATGATACCGCGGAATTAGAAGCCCAGAAGCATCTTCCATGTCCGTGTTACCCGAGGAGAACCGACGGGAAAAAGAAATGATGTCCATTGCCATATGCTTCTCTCAACTTGGGTGCAGATACATCCAAGCCTTCGGCGAAGCCCGTTAATATGGAGAGTAATGGTACAGTATAGTATGCAACCATAGCCTAATTTCGATTAGCTAGGCTATGAGTCTCCATCTTCCTGGTGGCGGCATCCACTGCGGATCATGGCTTTGACACGACGTGAATTGTCCAACGACGCAAGGATTGGACAACGGCCAGACATGGTCGAACACCCAGGCGGTCTGGACTCTAGACCTCTCCTTTCTCCATCTTTAACGGTCATTGCTGCCCAATTGTCAACAACACCTCCTTACCTCATCTCGATTCGGTCTTGAGATAACTCATGTGTCCATTCAAGAGACACTATCCCACTTCCAACTATCAGGAGAATCAACGACAGGAAAATGTGACATAACGAGTTTGCTCTGGCACAATCAGGATCGCAAAGCCCGTGAAACGTGGGACAATGTCCCACGTACCTGGCCCCAACAGCGCCGATCATCCGCTCAAGCAGACCAAATTCAGAATGCTTCACGACAGCCTGATCACAGATGTACTCACCATGTCCTGGGAAATGGCCTTGTGAGGAGATACACATCCTTGGAAGATGCATTTCTTCCCACATCCGGGGGTCAATCGCAAGACAGGTTGCAGGTCGTGCAAAGAATCACATCCCTAATTGGGCAATATCTATATCTATATTAACGCCATCCCATGCATTTTGTCGTCTGGGGCAGCGCATAGTCACATCTTGTTCAATGAACACATGTGCGCAACATCCGAGTCAACAGTCTTGTTCGAATCAAGACGCGTCTAAGTGCAGGTATATCTGTGATTGCTCAGTCAGCGGATGATACGGAACTGCATGGCCGCGTGGCACCGAAGAACAAATGCCAGGCAGATAAGGACAATCGTGAACTCACCCTCCATCAACTCGCAAGTCGGCTCCTGTGACATACCGACTGGCGTCACTGAGCAAGTAGACAACGGCACCTTGCAAATCCTCAGGCGAGCCCATCTTGCCCACAGGGATGAGTGACGTCCACTTTTGGTTGAGCTCTGGGTTATCGTCGAGAATCTTTCGAGTCCTATCATGCTATCAGTTCCGGTGTCATAATTCAAGGCTTTACTACTCACAGTGCTGTCAACATGTAGCCGGGGCTAATGCAGTTGACTCTGATGTGAGCATGTGCCCATTCAACAGCAAAGCTGGCAGCCAAATGCCTAATAGCGGCCTTGGCAGCGTTGTACGGCGCCTGGGGCTGAGGCACATTCACAACAGCCCCGGACATGCTGCCAATCATGACAATGCTGCCATGTGTGACGTTGCGCTGCATCAGGTGACGGGCGACACCTGTCGAGAATAGATATGTTCCGTCGACATTGACACCCCAAAGTTTCTTGATGCGCTCGTAAGGATACGTCTCGGCAGCGAAGTTCTCGGTGAAGCCAGCCGAAGTGACCAGGTGATCAATCTTGCCATGCTTGTCAAGGATTTCTGCCAGGCAAGAGTCCACGCTGGCCGGATCAGAGACGTCGGCATAATGAGCCGTGATCTTCGGGACCGCTTCTGGGTTGTCGGGGTTCTCGCGGCGGAACATTTCGACCAGCTCGACTGCTTGTCTTTCTCCTTCTTCCTCTAGTGGCTTGTCAGTAATGTCTTTTCTGACCAATGCTGAAATGTCAACTCACTGTTCAAATCCACGATAGCCAAGTCGGCACCAGAGCTGACGAGGGCCTGCCCCATCACAAGTCCAAGACCGCGTGCGCCTCCGGTCACAACTGCGGTTCTGCCTTCAAGCGAGAAGGTTGGCAGTGTTCTCACAGAATGCACTCCGCCCCTGCCTACTAGAGGCCGTTCTTTAGGTAGATCTTTCTCATCATCTGGGTATTCGACTACGATGTCTCTGTCTGTTCGTGAGGCTGAACCTTCGTGAGGACCGGCCGAAGTTCCGGTGGCTTCTGTACTGGCTTTGTGGTATGGATCTGAGGCATTCTTGCGGCGAGGAGTGTTCTCAATCAGTCGGGATGAGGTACTGGTCACTGTTCGAAAGGTGGTCCTGGAAACGCCTGTGGTAGGTTTGGCAAAGGCCGCATGGCGAGTCGCTTGCCGTAGGACACGGAGGGTGGTTGCGGAGTTCATTGTCCTTGAATCTCGCAAGCTTGTTAGCCTTCCCGCAATGTCCGCTCTTTTGAAATGACTCTTGAGGACTATAGCACAAGATATTGCACTTACAAAGATTGTATATTGGTGTTTTGACAATAAAATCAAACAAATTGTTCTCCAACAAAAAAATACTGTAAAGGGCGACTTGGAGCTTTGAGTCGTCCGACGTCATAAGGGACACAGAGGGGCCTAAGGACTCTCTCAACACAAAAATATGGGCGTCGAGAGCGTAACGCGGCTCCAATGGCGTCCCTAAAAGGAACATTATACCCCTTTTAGTTGTACCGGGACCACCGGGAGGGCCTGGTGGAGTTGATCGTCCTAGCCATGAATCGAATAATGAAACTTTGAATATTTTGAATTCAGCCTCAATGGGGCCAGAAAAAAAGGCGTGATTTTGTTATCGCAGATACATAGGTAGGTACGTAGTACTCGTGCTGTTGCAACAATTCCGTCCTGGTCGTGAGACATCAACTACTATGTTGTAAAGCCCCTGATGACTATGGCATACCGGTAGCAATCAGAGTTCCAGTCATTTTTTAGAAGAAAGATATTCATACATCATCACAGAACCGCCGCAGCCTTTTCACTACGAGCACTGGACCGCCTCCTTCGTCGTTTCTTATGTCTCGGCTTTTCCTGCTCTAACGTCCCATCATCATTACTGCCAGCCTCGTCCTCTGTGATTCCAGCCTTCCGGGCCATCCTTCTCACCACGTTGCCAAGCTTGTACATGCCCACTGGATCCTTGTGATCAACCAGGGGCGAGAGACGTAGCGGCACGAGCCAGTCGAAGACAGTGTAGCCCATCACTTCTTTGAAGTTGTTATAAGGGCCCATGTCGAACGGGTTCACGCCGGGCTTGGTCTCGAGGATAGCAAAGGTTCGCGTCTCTGGTGCTGTAGAAGGTCGCGCGACCGCTTGCTCCCTTGCCACAGCTGGGTGTGAAAATGGGACCTGGGGCTCTGGGCGTGGTTCTTGCTGCTGCGGATCGTATGTCGCCTGGGGCACAGCAGTTTGAGATGACAAGTTCGTCCCGCGGCGAGCAATGCTCTGCTCGCTCCCACTCAACGTCGCTCCGACGTGTTCAAGGACCTGGAATTGTTCCTCCGGCGGGCGTGGGTACGTTATCAACCGCAAATCGCTGCGTCCCGACGTATTATACCTGTCCAGCGCGCTTTTGGGGACATACACAGCCAAATACCACACTTTTGTTTTGCGCGTAAAGTTTTCGATCGTCGAAGAATTGAGAAACGCAAACTGCAAACTCGACCCGCACATGCCCGCGGTGAACATAAAAAACAGCGCTGCAAATATCAAGACAAGCAACCAATGCACATTAAGCGAGTGAACCTCGGAATGACGCTTCGCGAAGTAATATGCCACAAAGACCAGCGTGCACAAGGTGTATACAGCAGCCCATCCGGTGAACTGGATGAAGTACTTGAATGACGTCTCGGAAACGATCCCGCCGACCCACGGGCAGAAATGGTCCATTTTCAACACACAGCGACCCAGTTCGCTGCAGTGATGCGCCCGGTCGGGCTTGTAGTTGTAGCATGTTGAGCAGAAGGGCGGGCGTCCGTCCCAACCACATACGAATACATCTTTGTGCCAGAAGTTTTGCGCAGGGTATCCTCGTTCGATTCGATCGCCACGGAGTGCGCGCGGCGTATATCCCTCTGTCGAGCCGTATTCTAGTGCTTCCGCCTTATGAGTCCTACTTTGGCCCTGCTTCTTCCTCTCTTTCTCGACGAAGTATTGCGGTCCACGCGGGACAAGGCCGGGGTTCACTGTGATTGTCTGTATCAGGCGGATGAAGCATGCAATCGTGATGAACAAGAGGATGTAGTATATTGTGAGTATGGCGATCGCGGCGCCTTGTTGCGATCGTCGAACATATCCATGCAGATGTGGTTGGATGAGGTAGTCAACACAGATCTGCTTCGTGACCACGTACGACGAGTAGCCGATGAGACCGAGTAGAAAAACGGGAACGATTCGTGCAGTCAGTATGTTGCCTTTCTTGTTGGACTCTTTGCGCTCGTCTCTTGTCCAGCGAGGCATGGCGCGAGGAGTTGGCCGGTCAGGCCTCAGAGGGGTCAGTCGCGGGACGTCAGCATAGTCATTGTCACCGCAGCATCCTCACGGCCCAAGAGTGAAACCGCGTTCGAAATAGCGATATCAGAGAACTTTTGAAGTGAAGACGGCGCAGGCTGGTGTCGTCGTCGTCATGTCAACAAAGTCGGTCGTGGCGAGCCGGAGTACAGTGCTGAGGAAGGGTCACGTGGGAGGTTTATCGACAATCTATATCCCACAGCATGCCGGCACTATGATGTCAGACGGTGACGAAAATCAGGTGAGGATTTTGCATCCGGACTTGAGATGGCTCTTCAAAGATGTTCCGAGTGAAGTAGCGCTCCGTCTAGGAGGCGATCATAGACGATACGGACAGCAGTCATGTATCTCATTGATTATGGAAGAGTTTGTGTATGTACCGAGTGAGTGATCTCACAAGGCAGCTCCTGATGACCCTCCATCCAAGCTTCTAAATGTTTTGGATTCGGTGCAAGCGATTGACAATTTGGATGTACACTCAATTTCAATCACTCAAGCCTTCTCAATCTTTTCCCGGAGAATGCCCTTCAATGTAACAGCATCAGCAGCGAACTTGCTGATACCCTCGCGAAGCTTCTCAACTGCCATTTGTTCCTCGTTGAAGTAGAAGCGGAATGTCGCCTCATCGTTGATGTAGCTCTTCTTCTCGATGTCCAAGGAGGAGGCTGCGGAAGCATCGAGCTTCTTGGGGACGGGGTCTTTGGAGTTGTAGAGGTCCTCCAACAGGTTAGGTGAGATGGTCAAGTAGTCGCAGCCGGCCAGCTCGGTGATTTCGCCAATGTTTCGGAATGACGCGCCCATGACGATGGTCTTGTAGCCGTACTTCTTGTAGTAGTTGAAAATGGATTGCACACTCTTGACACCGGGATCTTCTTGAGCAGAGAAATCCTTCTTCATGGCTGCCTTGTACCAATCGAGGATACGACCAACGAAGGGAGAAATGAGGAAAGCATCGGCTTCGGCGGCAGCAATGGCTTGGACGAGAGAGAACATGAGGGTCAGGTTGCAGTTGACACCTTCCTTTTGCAGGATCTCAGCGGCCTTGATACCCTCCCAGGTGGAGGCAATCTTGATCAGGATGCGAGACTTGTCGATGCCAATGGACTTGTAGAGCTGCGCAGATGGTCAGTGGTTGAGCTTTTCACTAAATGTAGTTCTGCCTCACCTCAATGATGTGGCGTGCCTTTTCAACTGAAGCTTTGGTGTCGAAGGAGAATCGAGCATCAACTTCTGTCGAGACCTTGCCGGGAACAATGCTCAAAATCTCCTTGCCGAACTCGACCAAGAGACGGTCAAGTGTGGCGTCAACTTGTTCGTCAATTGATCCGCCCTGTTTTCACAGTCTTAGCTTGAGATACCGCAGGATGGACGTGTGACATACATGTTGCTTGCCATATTCGACAGCCGGGTCAATCAACTTGGCGTATTCGGGCTTCTTGGAGGCCGCGAGGATCAGGGAGGGGTTTGTGGTGGCATCTTGAGGTTGGTATTTCTTGATCGCTGTGAATTGTTAGCAGCTGTAATTCCGCGGAAGTGTGTATATTTACTGGAGAACTCGCCGCTGTCGCAAACGACGGTGGTCCCGGAAGCTTTCAGTTGATCGAGTGAGGTAGACATATTGTAGGATGAATGATGGGTTGTTTATGAATGTAAAAGAGAAATTGTTGAGATAGAATTGAGAAGGCAAGAGTTGTTTTCATCAATTAATTAGCCTGTGAGCCGGCTCGAAAAAGTGACGTGAAAGGTGATGGAGGGGCTTAAGTGGAGAATCAGGTGCGAAACCGTTCCATGGGCGGGATGAATCGGCGGGCGATGGCGGTTAGGTGTCTGTTTCCGGCGGGAAATCCTGACTGCGCCATTTTGTGTCCTATCCAGATGGTTGCCAGACACATTCATCTCCGTATCTGTTGACGTTAACTTGATTGTCATAACATACCTTTATTCCTGTAGGTATGGTTTTCCACGGAGGTGCAAGCCTCAGGTGAATTGAGGTAGTTACTCCTTACCCCGCCTGAGTCATCCATTCAACGTGTAGTCATCCTCCGGCTTCTCCGGCGCTGGTCACTACTGTGACTAAGTTTGGCCGTATTAGTCAGGTACTACGCTCGATGTTGTCTCAGAACAGCCGGACCACAAAACGAAATGTTTGATAAGTCCCTTGAAGCATCGTCAGCCTGAATGCCTTTCTCACACGAAACGCTAGGTAGGTGATTCGTCTCATGTTGGCTGTTCTCAGCCGGTCTACAGACAAGAACGGAGTATCGAGGTTGCAGCGACTAACATCAGTGCGAGTGTGATATGCGAGCTTCGATTCGGGAACCCATTTCCGATACAAACAAGAATGTAAGGACCGCAAGGCAAGGCAAGGCATGCTTTTCTCAACTCTATCCGGGAACTCGAGATGGATCTGCTTCTGACCAATAACAACGGCTACAATTGGTAGAAAGCCTCATCCAGGGGACGCCCACACGATCGAATGTTCCTTTCAGGCATGCAAAGAGCTGCTTCGCATCGACCGCCATGAGTCTCGTCCTCCGGATTTGGTGTCCAGGCCATTGCCCAACCGCGTTGGGGTCGATGTCTTGGCCCTTGCCACCAGCTCGTCCTTGCCTGACTTCATCACAGGATGGCGTCGGCAGCGAGGACAGGTGGCGAAGGCTTCATTCCTGATCGCATTGGTATTGTAACATGGAACAAGGTAGTCTTCCAACTCGTGAACAGATGGCATTGATGTCCACTGTGGAGAACCCCAGCTTGACAAATCCCCACCAGTCGCCGGTCGACCCAGTCCGAGAGCATGACCTTCCGGAGCACAGATCGCCGCACATCTTCGTTTCTCACATCCAGATTCTCATCGTCGTTCTTGTTCCGAAACGCTTATGCCATAGCCATTCTTCACGAGGCTCCAAAGTATTTCCAACAAACATGGTGCCACTGGCTTTACCCCTATCCACTTTTCTCATAGCCCAGCCTCCTTACCTACTCCGGGACTTCTCATCTCCAACACCTTCAACGTCTGCTCAAACACCTTTCTCTGTGCCCGTTTGCCAATATCTTCATGCACCCATCCGGCTACATACTGGTTTTGGCCATCACTCATGAATTCACCATGGGAATTGGGTCCAGCGCTCGCACCAAGTACGAGCGTTCTCGAGCCGACTTCCGCGGAACGCCCGAACATCCAGCGCATGAGGGTGTCGACGATACGTACAGGTAGGCTTGCGTCCCGGGAGAAGGCAGACCGGCTCATGCCAGGATTGACCAGATTGATTATCACGGGTGTGTTGGAGTTAATGGGGTAGAGACGATCGACGAGTTCGCGGATGAAGAGGACTTCGAGTAGTTTGCTTATGCAGTACCTGGTGAGACGTTAGTGCGAACTTCCACGAAGGACTTGAGCCACAAGCCTGAGATGGAACACCGGACTCACCACTCGAGCGGATTGAATCCCTCTTCGGTATTCAAACTCTCATAAATATCTGGGTTGTTGATCTGCTTGAACTTGGTGAGCCGTAGACCATCTGAGCTCACGATCACCAGATGTGGCGATGAGTCTTCGCAAGCGGACTTGGTCTCCTCCAACTTAGGCAAGAGGGACATGCCTAGCAAAAGAGTGTTGATGACGTTCACTTGGATGCTCTGCTCGAATCCTTCGACAGGTATCCATTTCTGAGCACCGAGTCCGGCATTCTCAACCAGTACGTCGAGGCGAGCGAGCTCCTTCTTCACCCGCTCCGCGAAAGCTAGCGTCGACGCAGTGCTGTTGAGGTCTAAAGACCACACTTCGATGGCGTCGGCGTCGGCGCGATGCGTGACGCTGCGGACGATGTCTTCTTTGGCGGTTTGACCTTTAGAGATGGTTCGGACGGCCAGTATCAGTTTCGTGCAGTTCAAGCGGTAGAAGTGCCGGGCTGCTTCAAGACCGAGACCGATGTTCGAACCGGTGACGATTACTGTTTGGTTGGCGAAGGAATTGGCGGGATATGGTGGTGGGTTGAAGAATTGGGAGTAGAGGAGCGTGCGAATGGTTTTGCCTAGTTCGAGCTCGATGGGGAAGTCTTCGGACATGACTGCAATTGACCTGTTGGTACGTGAGATCCATTCCCAGACGTGACGATGGAATCAGCATAATTGTCAGGCATTATATAGCATGAATTGTGATGGCAGGTGTCCAGGACGTGCTCGGGTCGACCCCATGGCCTTCGTCCGCCCTCGTCCGTGGCTTGAAAGTATGTCTGGGCCGATGTACTCGTAATTCCATTGCGGCCTGCGTTTGTACTTCAAGAGTCAGAGGATGATTTTCTTGGCCTTTGGTTGACGTCAGTAACGGGTGCCAGGAGTGCGTGCTATGTCTGAATGAACGAGCATCGGTAGAGGTCAGGCAATGCGATAAAACATAGCACAATACCATATTTCTCAGCGAAACAGCAGGCTTTGAATGAGAAGGATTATATTCATCTTTCAGCTAATGTGAGTGTGCGGGGAGCTCCACTTGACATTTCGTAATAAACTTCTCCATTTCCATGAAAGCAATGTCTTCATAAGCTCGTTGTTGATCGTACCCATTGCTATCTCCTTCACATAGAACTTCCTGCTCGAGTCCATCTTCATAACCAGGCTTCCCGGTTTCAATGCCATCATATCCGCCCTTACTTCGTGATTGGTCTCCCCTGGTTGGTCGTGCGCTGTTCGTCAAAAAAACCCCTGACACTGCGGCGCTGTCTTGTCGGGAGATCATTCGACAGTCGAGTCTACCGACTGCTGTGGCGGAGACAGTGGTTGCAGAGATGCTTCTGTGTCCTTATGCTTGACTGCGTGGGATCTTGCCCTACTGCTCTGTGTCGGGCTGAGGTATGAGGGGCTTGTACTCATTGCTGACATCGCGGAGGTGAGTGTATGCTCTCGCAGGGGTTTGGTGGAGCATGTGACGGACTTGGTCTGCTCTTTACCTCGCGTGGCGGCTTGCATCTGCTCGCCTGTTGACATGTCTACGGGAGGCGATTTCAGCCCGAGGTGCCATCGCTTTTCATTTTCACGTATGATGATTCCTCCTCGCGCATAATCAGGGACCACTCGGTAAGTCTTCCAGAACGGCTGTCCTAATATTAGGTCCCTCTGTATATGAGCGACAAGGACCCAAATGGACGCACAGAAATCGTTGTGCCGGATCTCGAGGTTGGCGACCCCATACGCAGACAGCGTCTTGTTTCCTGCCAAACAGAGAGCTCCTTGCCATGGGTGCACCTTTAGCTTCAACGAGGTGGCCAGTCTACTTGCAATCAAGTTTTCTGTTGCACCAGTGCCAGCAAGCGCGATTATCGTACGACCACTCGCTTGCAAACGACACAGCATCCACTCTGACGAGTATGGCCGCTGGAATCGGCTTGGGGAAGATCGACTGGCTAGTTGCGGAACTGGCTTGGCCTTGGTGCTTAGAGGTCCTGAAACTGATGCTCGTGAATTCTCTGCTGATCCAACAACATTTCGCAGCTGCTCTTCTTGCGTGCCAACTTGTGAGAGAGGCTCATCTGTCTTGGAGGTGGCTCGTTGAGGAGTGCTCCACTGCACCATGTTGACGAGCAGGATTGCGGCGCAAACTTGTATGCACAGAGTTGAAGGAAGGGAAACAAGCAAGGCTGACAAAATAGGGTCAGGTAAGGCGATTGGCCTTCGACCACGCACTCTCGGTGTCGAGAGCAAGCTGCTGAAGGTCGAGAGGTCAGTCCTCCGGTGGTGGAAGTTTCAGAAGGATGGAGTTCAACAAAGGACATGAAGCTGCGGCAATTGCTCATGTTCCCTGGAAGGTACTCAATCTGGTACTCGAGAACACACTTCACCTCGCCGCACCACTCTTCACTGGAAAACATCGAACTACTTCTGTTCACCAAATACCAGAAACCATAGGTTGCAGCCTATTTTCAACAACTCCATCTCTCGAAGTATCACTTTCAATTAACATCATCCTTCGCGATATCACCATACAATCATGGCTTCAATGTCCAACCTTGCTAGATTCTATTGGGCACGCTATCAAGGTGCCCTCGAGGATATATGTCACGACGCCATGTCTGCAGCAGTCGACACATGTTACGATCTACTACTGCAACCAGAGCTCAGCCCTTTCCTCCGCGCTCTTGTCAATACGACTCTCGCCACAACTGCAAGCATTCGCCGACACCCAGACAAGATGATGTTCGTCGACAGAGCAAAGACTATTCTCGCCGAGCTGCGAACTTGGCCCCAAAAACATGGCAGCGACGATGACCTTGACTTCCTGGAGAAGACAATCAACGATGCCGAGGCTACTGTCAAAGAAGAATTGGCCAAGACACAAGCGCAAGCGCAAACATCGCAGGACAAGAAGGGTGGCAATGAGGATATGGAAGTGAAACCTTGTGTTGTTGCGCCGTCGGTTCAGCTCAGTCTTACCAGCATTGATGATAGCGAGAAATCTGTCGGCAGAGAAGATATTCTCAGGTCGCTTCTTTTGATGGAAGGTCGAAAGGTGGAAGTGCCTGTATAACAGCGCACTTAGGTAGCAAATGAATCCACTCAATCCTTGACTTACCTTGAGGTCAGGGAAGCTATCCCCCAACCAAGTCCATCTGCCCAAAGGTACTGTGGTAGACATCGTCTAGACAAATCTCTGCCACTTTAAGTACTGCAGCGGTAAAGAGTGAAGGTGCAAACGCGTCATTGCGCGTAAATGGGACTAGTGACGTACCATAGTATAACGCGCGAACGACGCGTTGTTACCCCAGAATCGCGAATTCTCCCAAAAACAAACCCTCTTGTTCTCATTGATCAGACACACGCTGCCACAGGTCGCACCAGATTGGTGAGCTTCAGCCGAAGCCGTCTCTCACAAGATGGCGGACCCCACGTACGTGTATGATCTCATGTCAGAACAACGTCGAATTAACATGGGCAGTGACTTCTTCGAGAAGATGAAGGGTCTGAAGCCCGACCACAACCTAGATCCGGACGTCGCCTTCGTCGCGATTCTTCATCACGACAAGCTACCTGTTGACCAATTCGACCAGCATGACGCTTTATGGATTAAGTGTCCGAAAGACAAAGAGGTTGCCTCACTTCTTAAAGCATACAAGAAGCGGTATCAAGGTGAAGGGGATATCGTTCTGAGACATGACTTGCAAGTCATTGAAGAGAAGACAAAGGTCACCACGTTAGCAACGAGACCTCCTCACAACTTCATCGCACTTGAAGCAGTTCGCGCACAAGATCTGGAAATGAGAAAGGCAGAAGTACTTTCCCGTCCGCCACTCACAGAGGTCACAAACACAGCCAACCTGATAAGAAGCAAGAGTCTGTCGACATCCAAGGACGTCTCAGGACCTACAATCAAGCCTTATCAGCCGCGCACTATCCGACCTGCAACAAGCAGTCCCACTATGGCTGTCAATCCGCAACCCGCATCTCCTCATTCTTTCACCTCCTCCTCGCCACCACCAGACCAACTGGGCTGGGAAGACTTTCTGTTCGAACGACTTGAACTCCACAAGCAAGACGTTGAGTGCGGCCGCCAGACTGCACGACGATATGCGAACGTGCTTGCCTGTGACAAATCAGCTCGAGATGAGTGGCTTAGCCTACACGAGACTCAGAAGTCATACTTCCGTGGAAGGGGTGCCCGCATCACAAACATGGCTTACAGTCAAGATCTTCTGAAGCGTCGTCTAGAGCATGGGGCGTTCTGGCGCTTCTATTATGATGGCTATTTTGGCATCAAGGACAAGACCGGTATGGATCCCCACCACGATTTCAATACTCAGCGGAAGCACATGGAGGAGTGGATGGTTTTGTGGAGCAATCTGGGCCTGCATTCCAGAACTGTGGCCAGAGGTGTTGTCGACAATGTTCCTGTTCCTGTTCCTGCAGCAGTCGCAACGCCTTCCCTGACCCCAATCGACGGTACTAGCAATGTCAAGCAAGAGCTGTCGGCGTCACCGCAATCAGAAAATGACGCACCTCCGCAATACAATACCCCCAAAGAAGAAGACTTGCATATTGAACTTGAAGATGGCTCAGACCCTGCGGAAGCTGCATCTGAACCCGTCCGACTTAGCATGGCGGAGCTTTTCGATGGCCGCACACCTGAGCAGCTCGAGAAGAGTGTCGAAAAGGGTGTCCAACTGCTGGGTGATATACAGCGAACTCTGCAAGCACAGCCTAGTCATGATGCGACTCAGTGGCTGCAGGCGGTTGAGAAGGTCCAAGCACAAGCAGTTCGCTCCAAAACTGTCATCGGTGTGGTTGGCGCTACTGGGGCTGGAAAGAGCTCGGTAATCAATGCAATGCTTGACGAAGAGCGACTTGTGCCTACAAATTGCATGAGAGCATGTACTGCAGTTGTGACAGAGATCAGCTACAACTACGAAGAGGGCGCCCCCTACCATGCCCAAATTGAGTTCATTTCTCGTGACGATTGGCACAAAATGCTGAAGGTCATGTTCCAAGACCTGCTCGACGGATCGGGACAGGTGTCTCGCGAGTGTACAAATGAGGAGTCGGAGAGCGGCATCGCCTATGCTCAGGTGAAAGCTGTGTATCCCAAGTTGACCAAAGAAGAAATGGAGAAGGTCCCAATCGAACGGCTCCTGGCGCACGACAATGTCGCATGTTTAGGTACCACCCGCACCATCGAGGCTGATGACGCCCTGGTGTTCCACAAAAAGCTCCAGCAATATGTGGACAGCAAGGAGAAAGGTGGGGTCAAAGGAAAGGGCGAGAAGGAGAGAAAGAAGCCTCGAGAGATGGAGTTCTGGCCCCTGATTCGAGTGGTGAGACTTCATGTCAAATCCCCTGCTCTAGCCACAGGTGCCGTCATCGTTGACCTCCCCGGTGTGCACGATAGCAACCAAGCTCGTGCTGCTGTAGCCCAGGGATACATGAAGCAATGCACGGGTTTGTGGATTGTTGCGCCTATCACCAGAGCAGTTGACGACAAATCAGCAAAGAATTTGCTTGGCGATTCCTTCAAGAGACAGCTGAAGATGGATGGTGGATACAATGCGGTCACTTTTATCTGCAGCAAAACTGATGACATCTCTATAACGGAAGCCCAAGATTCGCTGGGACTTGAGGAAGAGCTTGGACCTATGTGGGCCAAATGGGATCAATTGCGACAGAAGAAGACGTCCTTGAAGGATAAAATTGAGGGCCTCAAGGACACTAGGTCTGACATCTCTGCTGCCATGGACGCCGCCGATGAAGAGCTCGAAGTCTGGGAAAAGTTGCAAGAAGACTGCAGTGCCGGTCAGACGGTCTTCAAGCCAAAACCGAAATCTCTGAAGCGCAAACGTGCGGATAAGCCTAGCAAACCTAGGAAGAAGCCAAACTACGCAGACCCCGATACCGACGATGACTTCATCTACGAGAGTGACAACGCCGAAAGTGATGCTGGCTCGGACTATACGTCTTCCCATACCAGTGAGGATCAAGGCGAGCCTTTGACGGAAGACGATATCACCACCAAGGTTACCGAGCTGCGTATTACAAAGAAGGAGGGTCGTTACGAAAGACATAAGATCGACACCGAGATCTCAGCTAACCGACGCCAGATCGAAGAAGCTGAGAAGGAGAACGAAAGCATTGATGCCTTACTATCAATCAAATGCATATCAGGCCGAAATGAATACTCGCGAGGTGCAATTCGACAAGATTATGCGTCAGGCATACGTGAGCTCGATCAAGAACTTGCCGAAGAGGCCGATGCTGCAAACTTCAACCCGGAAGTCGATGCTCGCGATTATGACGAAGTGGCTCGCAACTTGCCTGTGTTCTGTGTATCTTCTCGTGCATACCAAAAGCTGAAAGGTAGACTTCCGCGGGACAAAATGCCGAATGGCTTCAGTCAGATTGATGAGACTGAGGTGCCGGCACTGCAGGCCCACTGCATACATCTAACCACAGCTGATCGCCAGGCTTCTTGCCGCCGCTTTCTCAATAGCATGTTCCAATTACTCAATTCTCTTCGGCTATGGGCGTCGAACGATGGCACCGGCAAGAATCTCTCAGAGGGTCAGCTGCAGCGGGAGGCGCAAATTCTGAAGGAGAGACTGACCAAGCTCGACTCTGTGAGTTCCCCCATGTTGTTAGTCATCCATGTTTCATCAAATGTTGTGCTGCTTATATTCCTACTAATGCATTACAGGCACTCGAAAAGACAGTCACCAACGTCATCAATGGACTGGCTGAAGAGCTCCAGGACAAGGTGTACGATGGCTACCCAGCTGCCACATCGGCCGCGAAATCGCAAGCAAACGACACTGCTCGCAAGTGGGGGTTGCCTGTCAATCGGGACGATCGTTCGGCGGGAGGCCTCTACTGGGCAACGTATAAAGCTGTGGTCCGCCGCGAGGGATGCTTCACAGGTTCTGGTGGCTGTCATAATTTCAATGAGCAGCTAGTCGAGCCGGTCATCCGCCACATTGCTGGTCCTTGGGAATCAGTTTTCGCTCGCAGAATGCCTGGCATCCTCAACGGTCTCCCATTGAACGCCGGTCGCGTGCTTACGGACTTCCATAACGACATTGAGCGTCGCGCTGTTAGAAACGGTGCTTCGATTGCGTCGTTCCAGATGTTGAAGCACCAGATCCCTGTGTACAAAGAGACTCTGAAGGATGCCATGAACGAAGCCCGTGGTAGAATCACGGAAAAGCAACGTGACATCAATCGTGAATTCGAGCCTCAGATCAGCGCACACATGCTGGAGATCTACGATGCTTGCACCAGAGAGGCTGGACCAGGAAGCTTCGCTAGGATGAAGGTCAATATGGATCATTATGTGTCCGTGGAGAAAGATTCCATGTTTGACGACGCTGTCAACCATATTCGAGGACTCCTCAAGAAGATGCTCAGCGGTGTCAAGGACGACCTGTTGACCAAACTTGACGCCATTTATATTGCGATCAAGAGAGACTATACAGGCGTGGTGATTGGCCAAGAGCAAGGCAAGACTGCCGAGCTTTTACCCCGGGAACAACGCGCGATGCGAAAGTCAATCCTCGAAGTTGTCGATGGCGCTGAAATGGTCTTCAAGAGGGCTCTTGGCCTCGAAGCAGAACCGGCGGCGGAGCCTGAACCTCAGCCTCAGCTTGAGCAGACAGTCAAGCAGGAAACATCCGATGAGACGAAGCAAGAGACCTCTGAGCAAACCAATGACGCTGCCCCGCCAAAAGAGGAAATCAACGTTGGGCAGCCTTCTGTCAAACAGGAGGTGAACGACGATGCCGAGATGCAATAGGAGATCAAGATGAAGCCGCTTTCCGCTATGGAGGAGTGGGAAGCTCAGCGTACTACCCCCTTGACGGAGGCGGAGAAAGTCGAACGTGACGAATGGAATGCTGAGAATCCTCCCGACCAGTTCTGGATATCTAAGGCATGGGCAGATGATTGCCGAGACTGTGTGGCATACCTAGCATCTCTGGAGGAAGATTGAGGTGCGGGTGCTGAATTTCTGATTCTTTGCCCGGCTTTTGAGTCGATGCAGGAGCTGTGGTGCTCTATTGATCTGGAGGACAGTTCGGTGCATCTACCAATGCATTATCGAAAAGCGCTTTCTCACAAAAGCTTTGAGGCGTTTTAGGGCTGTGTCGTCGCGATTTGTACGGAATGGTTACGAATTGCAGAGAGTGGGGCTAATACGAGTGCTGGATGACATCGAGGGTATTGAGCGACATGGGCTACCTTCACATGTGTATGAGTACCGATCTTCTCCTAGGTAATTTCATTGACCTGCATGATACCAAGATACCTTGGGTCTTTTCTGTACCCGTAATTGCATTCGTCGCTGTCTCCCTTTCTCCCAATATTCTTCTCCGACTTCGACATGGCACAAGAGAAGAATCAGAGTTCCCAGTCATTATCGTTTAGGCTCTGCCAGCCTAGCAAGCTGTCCTTCAATATATGCCCAGTCCCGTGCGTCTTGGTCTCCTCTTTCCCAATATCTCTCTCCAACCTCGACATGGCACTGACCTCTTCCGTCTGGGTCTGCCTCGCTTGTGCATCTGACCAATGCTTTTCGGCCTTCTATCCAACTCGGGACGTGCGGCCCAGCCCACGGTCTAGTCCAGTCTCCAACCCAGAACGTGACGTTTTGCAGGACGCTGCCTGCTTTGTGCTGGCGCAAGAACTCAAATACTTTGAGAGCTGTTGTCTCGTTGACATACGGCAGGAGGAACTGTTCAGCGCCGGTGCAAGTGCCTTGGGTAGGACTGTGCTTTGGGTGCCAGGGTGGTAAATCTGGCTTCTGGTGCCGGCATTCTGATGCGATGTTGAGCCATAGATCTAGGCTTGTCAGATGTGATGTGCTGGAGGCAATCGCTGCAAAGGTTTCAAGGGGCCATGTGCCGTTTCGTGCGATGTTCAGCGCGAGGTGCGAAAGGTTCAGGAGCCGAGGAAGGCTGTCGATTAGTTGCTGGGGAGAGAATACAGGCGAGAGCTCGACGTTTGGTTCGAAGGAATGAATGTCGAGGTATTGAAGGGAGTCACCGTGGGTGGCGACGATAGGCGTGAGGATGTTTGTATTGCTCTCTGTGTCCCAGATGTTCGTCAAGGTCAGGTGAGTCAGCGATGAGTTGAGGTTATGCAGGAAGGTGAAGGTTTCGTCAGACCGTTCGGTCTCGTGATTGAGTAGAAGGCGTTTCAGGCCGGTGAGGTGTGTGGCCATTTTGTTGAGGAAGAATTTGTCATCAACAGAACTGCGTCCGGCTGACAAGGCGAGGTTTTCGAGCTTACCGAAGTCCATGGCGTCGAGCCAGAGATCGAGGTTCGTCTTTTCGCGTTGCAGCTGAGGCAGATGGAGGTAAGATAGACGCTTGAATGATGCGGGGCCGGAGAGGGCCCATTCGAGAGCCCGCTCGTACCATGTCAGGCCTGGCCTCTCCCACTGGGTCTCATCGACTGGGCGCCCGGAGAAGTAGTAGGTTCCCAGGGTCAGAGAGCGGAGTGGAGGATAGCACTTGCCGCCATGCAGGCTCAGAGGAAGATTCAAGCGATCGGTCCAGTCGCTGCAGCCTGGGACAGCGATGCGGAGATCCAGAGCGGTGATATTGGGGCAGGATAGAAGCGCGTGGTGCACGTCGGACATGGTCTCGAATTGAGGGTGGCCGTTACAGGTGCCAGGGATCTTGGCTGAGATTGAGGATGGGCAGGGGTCGTATCGTCGCCATGGATGTGAGGCTGAGAGGATATTCGGAGAGAAGATGGCGAAAGACAGCAGAAGAAGCTTGAAGATCCTCATTGTGAGCGCTTAGATGCTGTGAGACGCTGTGAGAAATAGGGAGAGTAAGTTCTGATGAGGGGGATTGTTATTGCAAAGTTCACAACCCATAGAGTATTTGTTATATCAGTTTTCCAGATGAGTCAAAGGTTGCCTTCGCCGTTTAAGGCCAGATATTCGTTGCTCACTGTGGTTGCGAAAGTCGCGACTGCGATGGTTGAGGCTGTTTCACTACCTTACCTTTTGTACTTACTGGAAGCAACATGTTCACTGTCACTTTCATCTTCTTCGTGTGTAACTTATGAGTCAGGAAGAACGCTAAACACGCTGCGTGAACAGATTTTGAACATGAAAAACCATTTTCATCAGGAGCTTCGGAATGAACGGCCCTGAATGAGAAGTAGGAACGAAACAAGAGGTATCAACGGAGCAAGCGAGAGGGACGTCGTCGGCTGTGAGCTCTTTTCGAGGTGCATCAACACGACGTCCATATGAGCACCTGCGGCTGGGCCAAACATATCCTCACACAACCAGATGCTACCACGGTCATGTAAGGGTATCTGCGAAGATGTAAGGATATCGGCTTCGACGTGGTTGAACTTCTGTCTGGCTTCCTTTCCTTCCCAAGAGATGACTGGCTGCGACTGGTTGACCAGGTGCACAACATGGGCCTGAAAGCCAAACCCGAACTAGGTTTTCAGTTCGGTGCGGGAGGTGACACGTCTGCGGAAGACCTGGAAGCCACAGGTACGTCCGACCCGAGCAAGGTGATTGACCTAGGGAAGAAATTCATCGAAGTCAGGGTTGAAGAAATGATGATCGAAAGTGAGGGTATCACCGAAAATGTCAAGAGCTGGCGGACCGATGTCATTCAAGCCATTTTGCGAGATCTGCGCTCGGAAAAAGTCATGTTCGAGGCAGCCGATCCGCCGGTCTTCAACTGGTATGTCCGAGAATTTGGGATCGATGTCAACTTGTTTGTGGAACACTCACAAATTGTACAATTGACGTGTCTAAGAAGTGGTATTTGGGGGATGGCCGACAATCCGGCAAGATAGTAAGTTATCGCGAGTGAAACCTACCTAAGTAACTTAGGTAGCCAGCTCGTGGGGGGCCTGCAGACTGGCAGTGAGAGATATAGTCATACCAAGAACTCTTCCTAAGGCATCTTAGTAAGACCTTTATGACAGTGGCAAGTCATGCGCGTCCTGTGGCGCAGCACCTGCGGAGGCTATGTCCCACCACCATGCTGTTCGGCTTGGCTCTGGAAGATCAAAGGAACAAATTATGTATATGTGGTTGTAAAGGTCTGAAGACGAAATACAAAATGATGAATATCCTTACGTGACTGAACTTAGGCTGCACAACCAAAGTCATACAACATGTTGACGCCACCTACGGAGGTGTCAGTAGTGCGACCTCGTATCGTGTGCATGAAAGAGCCTAAGTTTAGGCTTGCCGAGCCTGCCGATGCACGGCTCCCTAGGCTCCCGAAGTACTAACTAAGCCTGGACAATTATATTTCCGAGCCTTGTTGCCTGCCAACAAACCTACTTAACTTAATCATTAATTTATACTTGTCAATTCTTCACCTGGACGGATCAGCCGGATCATGATAGAGCCTCAGGCACTCATCTCAGGGCTCCACCATGTTGATGACTTGGAGTTGCCCATTGACATCATCAGCAATGTTTTCCCATGGCCACATGTAAGTACGGTGGGATGTCTACCTCAGTGCTTCCAAGGTGAAGTATTCATCAGTCTCCCACGATCAGACTACATTTTTACATCAGATGCATTTTTTCTTTCCATATTAACGCCCTTTCTTCTGGGTTCTCGCCGACAACTCGATATCGAAGCCTCAAATCTCTATCCGTGATATATTCCACCTTCTTTTCCCCTCCATTATCTGCTCGCGTGACACACCTGTGGTCAGCCGCCACTCGACGAGGGCAGAGGAACTCTAGCCATGAAGTTCGCCCTGCTGGCCGCGGTCGCCAGCACTATTGCTGCAAACGCAAAAGGTATATCCCAGTCTCAATTGCTTTCACAGGAACGGCCACTGACAACTGGAAGCATATGCTATCTCAGCAGATGATGCTCGTCTCGATGTGCTGAGGGCCGTGAGCATTTCACCTCGAGCCCTTCCCAACTCTCCGGATGGATATACTCCCTCCAAAGTCACCTGTCCAAAGAGCGCCCCATCAGTACGAAATGCTGGCTCTCTCTCAGCGAATGAAACTGCATGGTTGGAGAAGAGAAGGAACAACACCATTGCACCTATGCAGACACTGTTGGCCCGACTCAATATAACTGGTTTCAATGCCACTCAGTATATCGAGAAACACTCGAGCAATGCGTCTGCTTTGCCGAACATTGGCATTGCTGTGTCTGGTGGGGGCTGGCGAGCCTTGACAAACGGCGCTGGCGCCATCAAGGCATTCGACTCTCGAACGCAGAACAACACAGGCTCGGGCAAACTTGGGGGCCTCCTGCAGTCAGCAACCTACCTCGCTGGACTCAGCGGAGGCGGTTGGCTTGTAGGCTCTCTTTTCATGAACAATTTTACTACCGTGGGAGCCTTACAGGCAGACACGAGCGGCTCCGTCTGGGAGTTTGGCAATTCGGTGCTGGAAGGGCCAGATACCGGCGGTGTTCAAATCTTCGACACAGCAGAATACTACACTCATCTCGTGGAAGACATTGATGGAAAGTCCGATGCGGGATTCGATCTGTCTATCACTGACTTGTGGGGTCGTGCTCTGTCGTACCAGCTCATTAATGCGACGGACGGCGGCGCTTCATACACTTTTTCTTCGATCGCTTTGACCGACCCGTTCCTTGATGCGACCTCGCCATTCCCGATCCTCGTGGCTGACGGTCGATCTCCTGGTGAGACTTTGATTCCGGGAAACACCACGGTCTTCGAGTTCAATGCCTTCGAGATGGGCTCATGGGATCCTACCACTTACGGCTTTGTACCAACCCAGTACCTGGGAACCAACTTCACAGCTGGAGAAGTTCCAACCGGCGACAAGTGTGTGGTAGGTTTCGACAACGCAGGCTACGTGATGGGAACATCTTCTTCTCTCTTCAATGAATTCCTGCTCGAGCTCAACGAAACCGATCTTTCAGATACATTGCAAGGATTGATCGGAGACCTCCTGTCAGACATTGGTGAGGATAACAACGATATCGCTGATTATACTCCAAACCCATTCTATCATTACAATCTCGAGGAAAACCTTTCGGCAAACTCGACCCGGCTTACGCTTGTTGATGGCGGAGAAGACTTGCAGAATATTCCCCTTCACCCACTGATCCAGCCAAACCGGAATGTCGATGTCATCTTTGCGGTCGATTCTTCTGCAGATACGACGTACAACTGGCCGAATGCCACGGCTTTGGTCGCAAGTTATGAACGAGCTCAGACCACCATATCGAACAACACCCTCTTTCCCAGTATTCCGGACCAGAACACGATCGTGAACTTAGGACTCAACACACATCCGACATTTTTTGGTTGCAATGCCTCCAACTTTACTGAAGGGTCTCATATTCCACCATTAATCGTTTACATTCCCAATTCGCCTTATGTGACCTACAGCAACGAGTCAACTTTTACCATCTCCACGAACGATTCGTATCGAGATGCCATCATTCTCAATGCCATGGACGTAGCCACCATGGGCAATGGCACTGTTGACAGTACTTGGCCAACATGCGTGGGTTGTGCTATTCTCAGCCGCAGTCTTCACCGCACAGGCACGGACGTACCTGAAGTCTGCACAAAGTGCTTCGACAACTTCTGCTGGAACGGCACCGTCGATTCGTCCACGCCAAAAGCTTATGAGCCCAAGCCCGTTCTTGGGGAAGTCAGCATTTCGAGTAAAGGTTCCACCAAATTGCTCAACCGTTGGGCCGCAGCAGCGGCAGCTGCAATGGCAGTCGTAACAGCTATATAACTCGACATGCATCTTTTTGAATATTCGGTCCGGCTTTCTACAAGCATATATGGACGGATGGATTTTCTGGTTGGATACACCACAGGTGTTGGACGTCAACAAATGGTTTTATGCATAGCAACGAAAGGCCCAGGTGGTAAAGATGGATGCATGGAACATCATTCACGCATGGAAGGATCAAGAGCATTTGCATAGCACTGCTTTTCATCATTGCGGCGGCGCCGGTGGCATTTGTACTATTATTTGCATATTGAAAGGTGATGTTGTACAACATATTCCGAGGTACTAGGAGCAACAGGTTCACAAAGACTATCTTTCTTTGCGTGCAGCATGGCTCGACTAAGCGTCGTGTTGCAAGCCCATGCGTGGCGTTAGGCGGCTATCAGCGGCCTCTGGGGATTGGAAGCTTACCTAGCCTTGATTTAATTGTCTGCGGACATATCTCGGTCAGCGCACCTGTCGGTGACTCTCCGTGCCTGAACTAGCTGCCACCCGCTGCGAGATAGTGGCACCGTGCGTAAATCCGTCTCACCAAGCCCAATCACAGGGCGTCTCGCGCCCTTCGACGTCTTCATCGAAGTAAGCATCATCGTCATAATCTAAAATCGGCGGGGAAAAGATCACAACCGCCTCCTCTTGCCGATATCCGGTCAACAATGGGGGAACGGCGAAATTTTGCGTGTGCGAAGACTCGGAGGGCTCATCTGGGGTGTCTGACCTTGATCAACGACATGGTACGCCCTCCTCAGCGACTTTCCTTGGTTTGTAATACTTTTGTGATCGCCAGAAGTCGTTGGTGATAAATATCCATGGCACGGCGACGGCATTGAAATGATCTTATCACTGAGAAAACTTTGCCGGTAAAACACGGAACACGAACAGAACCTCAACTATGGCCGAGTCAATTCAATGTGAGCATGAGCACGACTCAACGCTCATATCCTCACAAACACATCATGACCATGAAAAAATCGAGGTTCAGAGCATAGACTCCAATGAAGAGCCCGTTCCAACATTAGAACCACCGGCGCATCACCACCACCACGTAGCCCACGGTGGCGACCGAGACGAAGACGCTATCGACTACGAATACCTCACTTTTGAAACGGCCATACATCTCGACGACTTACCCAGCTCACCCCAAGTTCCTCGGCCGAACCTGAAAAAGTACGATACCCCAACGTCATGGTCACCGACCCTCAAGACCATCATCCTCGTCCTATGCTGCTGGTGCACCTTCTCCGCGGCCTACAGCGCCGGCGCATACAGCATCGCCTCGGATCCTCAGCGCGCCAAATGGCATTTATCATCTCTGACATTCGAAACCGGTGTGACAACCTGGGCTCTCGGCTTTGGGGTCTCGCCCATGTTTCTCGCGCCGTTCAGCGAGATCAATGGCCGACGACCCGTGTTCATTGCCTCCGCGGTGATATTCTTCGCGGGGCAAATCGCGTGTGCCACGACGCCGAGTTTTGCGGGGATGTTGGTGGCGCGGTTCTTCGTCGGTGCTGGGGCGTCGACGTTCGCGACGATGGTTGGCGGTGTGGTGAGCGATTTGTATCACAGTGTTGATCGAAATACGCCGATGGCTGTGTACTCGGGCTCTGCGCTGACGGGCACGGGGATTGGGCCGCTGTGTTCCGGGTTCATCATTGGACGGGCGGACTGGCGATGGGTATATTGGCATCAGGTTATTAATCTGGGGATCATGCTTGTTGTGGTGTGGTTCTTCTTTAAAGAGACGAGGGGGAGTGTGTTGTTGAGTCGGAAGGCGAAGGTGTTGAATGAGTATCTTGAGAAGTTGGATGCCGCTTGTATCAACAATGGCATCAACGACAATATCAACGGCAATGCCAGCACCAACGGCAATGCCAGCACCAACGGCAACGCCAGCACCAACGGCAACGCCAGCACCAACGGCAATGCCAGCACCAACGGCAAGGCCAGCACCAACGGCAATGCCAGCACTAACAGCAATGCTAGCACCAACGTTGCCAGCAACGCCAACACCGCCAGTGGCAACGGCAACGATGTGAAAGCGAGACCATTAAGTCAGGGTGTGAGGTTACGGTACAAAGTCGCTGCTGACGAATCGCGCTCCTCACTAGCTCACATGCTGTACCTATCACTCACCATCCCGTTCAAATTACTCGCGACTGAACCGGTCGTCTTCTTTTTCAGCCTGTGGGTCGCATTCGCCTGGGGATTGTTGTACATGACATTCGATGTGGTCCCCTTCGTGTTTACGAACAGGCACAACTTCAACACGGAGCAAGATGGGGCTGTATTCGCGGCTATCAGCGTTGGCTCGATCTTGGCCACGATTATATGTGTTTTCCAAGAGAAGTGGGCGAAGAAGATTTGGCCCAAACTTACGACTTCCCCTGAGGGCAGACTGTACTTTGCATGTCTGGAGGCCGCGCTCTTGCCGATCGGGTTGTTTTGGTTCGGCTGGACGACGTTCAGCAGCGTGTCGTGGGTCGCGCCTGTACTGGCGCTCGGGTGTGCGCAGATGGGTATCTTTGTGATTTACCTTGCTGTGTTCAATTATTTGGCTGATGTGTATCATCGGTATGCGTCAAGTGCGTTGGCCGCGCAGAGCTTTTGTCGGAATGTGCTGGCGGCGGTGTTTCCGCTGTTCGCGGAGCAGATGTTCACGGGGCTTGGGTATGGTGCTGCTGCTAGTTTGTTGGGTGGGATTGCGGCGCTACTCACGCTTGTGCCGTGGGTGTTGGTGTTCAATGGTGAGAAGATCAGGGCGAGGAGTAAGATCGCGAGACAGATTATGGCGCAGGAGCATCATTGATGGCCATTGTGTTAAGCATAGCGTGAAGGGCTTGGGTTTTGTAAATAATATAGGGCGTTTGAAGCATTTAAGACTTCTGCTCATAATATGTATCCCTTTTAGAGTTCGTTTTCCATGTTGGTCGTTCGGCCAGTGATCGCCCTGCCATCTATTGTACAGAACAATTCTGTAAGCACTTTTGTTTGTTGGTCTGAGTTCATCGTAAACCTGCTAGTCGTCGCTCTTGAACTTCCGTAAGTGCTCTACTTCCAGAAAAGAATGCAACGACTCCCAAGACACCCAAGGCTGGCAATGCCTGAAACAGGTTCCATGCAGTGTAGTACAGGAAGAAGACGCCTTCTATTCCGACGACGGAGCCGAGAAAGAGTGCGTGTGAGAGAGGAGCGTCGGACAGAGCTTTCGAGATATGGTTGATATTGCCTCCTAGATACAACCACTACATGTAGTCAGTACATGAACCACAGCACAGTCTGCAAGCAACTTACGGCTCCCAATAAAGGCGGCAGGGTGGCTAGAGTTGCCAACAAGAAAAATGCACTAATGGCGACGTTGGGGCTTCTGGCGTCAGGGCGGAAAATGTGGTGAATTTCGGGCAGTTTGCCATATCGTTCCGGTGTCTCGGCCGCAGGGATAGGGACGTTGGGATCGAGTTCGATTGTCAGAGGGAATGCTTCGCTGTCGTATCCGGCTGAAGATTCAAAGGAGGCAATGACAATGCTTGCGGAGAGGGGAGATGTGGACCGAAGTAGTTGTGACGGGAGATCCTTGTGACTCTAGAGAAGTGACCGTCAGCACATCTGCAGTGGTTTCGTTATGGTTGTGACCTACCAGCTCAAGTTTGGCCTTTCCTGACTCTTTGACACTGAATGGATACGAGACATCGAGCTTCTTGGACGAGTCTTGCAGTAGGAGGAATGCTTGGTGTGGACGTTTGGCCGTCTTGCCGTCTTGCGTGGTCAACGTAACTTTGAGACTATCGGTCGCTCCCAATTTGATGGGCGTGGTGAGAGCCGTTGAAGGGGTGAGTCTAATTGATGAATATGTCAGTCAATGTCCTGCCGAGAAAATCGAGGCACGTACTGCTCTTTGAGGCCACCTCCAACGCCCGCACCCTTGGCCGCAACGTTCACAGACCCATCTGCAAAGGTCCAGGATGCAGCTAGAGCGGACGAGTGTAAGGCAGAGACTAGCAGAACTGTCTGCGAAAGAAGATTCGTTAACCGCATGGTGTTTGAAGGGTTTCGCAGAGTCGAATACTGCTTGTTCACGGAGGATCAATGCATTCAAGGTGTACCAGGAATTTCGGAGTAGATGTTGTTACGTCGCCAGATTGACTTGCTCCAATTCCCGCCAGGCTAAGCTTACTTAACCCGATCGGCACGAGGCTGAATGCCGCCCTGTGGTCACCCCTGGTCCCTTTTCGTGGCAGCCTTACCCCTGTTTTCAATCCCCTGACTTGTCATGGAGGTCGACCAGACAACCCCTTGGTCCCTCGTGCGTCCTCACCCACACTCTAAATCTTAACCCTCACGTCTGACAATGTTCTGACGAAGGTTGCCAATCTGTCATCGCTGCCAATGGACCTCTCTCGAATCGTTCTCGACACAGGAGAAGGGTCTGCGAGTGTGGCGACCAATCGGAGACATCTGGTCCCGCAGGAGCATGGCCATATAGCCCCGGAGTACAAGATCGACGCAGCGTGGCTCGCTGTAAGTAGTATGTTTTCGTTGGAAACTGAACCTTGGAGACTAGACCCTACTCCCCCAAGTCCTAAGCTTGAAGGTCTATCTGTCTTATCCCAAGTCTTTGGAGGCTTGTACCACACGACTGATGAAACTGGATCTGAAAGCACATGGCTTCTCATGAGAAGAAGGCACTGAGGAAAGGATCCCAGTGCTAGATCAGATCCATCCTGGGTATTGCTATACTGTTCCAAGGCCTTGCCCCACTGTGGTAGATTATCCCTCAAAAGCAGATGCCCTAACAATCTTATTCTAGTCGAAGTTCGGGAAATGGAATTATGAGCTCAGACAGGTACTCGAAGACCTGATGCTAGCGAAAAATTTCTTTAGCTTCAACAAGCTAGATGGCGGCTCGATGTTGGAGTTCAACAAGACCGCAGATTCGCTCCAACCGTACTTCGCAATCGAAACATGGACGGATCGCGAGACGCAGGCTCTCAGGAATAAGGTGTAGCGACACAGATGAAGCGGATTAGAACCGACTTGTCTAGACAGGGGCGGATCGTGAAGCAAGGAGATAAGTACGTCCGAGTGCCGGAACGGGTGGAAGTACAAGGGGACGACTCAATTTGGGCGACGCAATCAGCTGAGATCAGGCAACATATCAATACGCTGTCGTCGAAGGAGCGTGACGCCGCTTGGGAGTTCCTGATCAAGACCATGGATAGGCAAAGGCTCTGCTTGCTGCTTGGCAAGCTCGGTGACCGGTTGAATGTTCTCCACGGGGGGCACATCAGGGGGGGGACAACATCATCCAGCTTCCGACGAGGGCGGCGAAGACTAAGCCACTCAGTCTACAAGCTCTCTTGATCGACGGACAAGAGGGAGACAGCAACAATCAGGTCACCGAGTCGGTGCCGATTGGGCCAAATGGCAACCTGGACCCTTCAGTGTAAAAGGTTGATCAAGCTTGGTACGACAATGCTATGTTGTTCATGCGGCGTGTGCTGATAATACCTTTATGGGAGAAGAGGTGAATAGCCGTGCGGAGGTGATATCCTGTCATCCGCGCGACCAGCGTTCGGCAATACCATGACACTGTCGCAGTCCAACCCCAAGCAGCCGGAGCGGGCATCTTCCTTGACAGCACAGTATACAGGATTTGAGAGCAACCAGCAATCCGCGCCACACTTCTTGAGTCATGTGGACGACACTCGCCAGGAGCAGTATCGAACTCCTTGGTCGACTGCAACAGCGGTCGACTGAGCCTTCCATGGTGTGGACATGGCATTCTTGATAGTCTGATTTGTACCTCTGGAGCCGATAGCGTCGTTGCCGATGGTGGCGTATGTGTAGGTTGAGACGGTCTCCCATAGACACCATAGTGACATGCAGCGGTGATACACCCACCTGTACAGTATGTTTCTCAGGCATTGCACATCTACGGACTCAATTATTCGTGAATGACCTTGCTGTCGCCATTATAAGAAGCACGGCATGTTTTATGGAAGTTATAGCCGCTGCTTTAACCACCCCTGCCAAGCTGGTCGTCAGCCTGCGCTCGCCGCATCCAACTGGCGTCCAATCCGCGTCATTGCAGGTAGCAACTTGGTTGATTGTATTCTCGTTGTCGTCTCACTCGTTTCTTTGTTATTGCGTCTGCACTGCACTGTCTTGTCTTCATTAGCATCATGTATTCGTCTTCGAATTCGTTCTTGGGCGGCACCAACAGTGGTCGTCCGGCCCCTGGAGGTTTCGGGCAACAGCAGTCATTCGGTGGTTCCTTTAATCAAGCTTCCCAGCAGCCATCACCTTTCGCTCCGCAGCCTACCGGCTACTCCGGACAGCTACAGACGCAACAGACTGGATTTCCAGGCTTCGCACAGCAACAAAGCTTTCAAGCACCTCCGCAACAGCCGCAGTACACTGGATACCCTCCTGCTCAAAACCAAGCACAGCAACCTCAGTACCAACAACCACAACAGGCACCACAGCCACCACCTTTCCAGCAGCAGCCATCGTACCAGAGCGCTCCGCCACCTCAGCAGCAACCCCCTGCGCCCGCACCACTCCGTCCTCAGCAGACCTCCGCCCAGATCGCGCAGTCCTTTAGCGCTGGATCATCCAGCACCCCGACAAGAGGCAGAGCACCGAGCAAGGCCTCCAGGAAGATCCCCAACATCCGGTTGTCTTTCATCACCGCGACCGATCAGGCAAAGTTCGAGCAGTTATTCAAGTCTGCCGTTGGTGACAATCAAGCGATAAGTGGAGAAAAGGCTAGAGACCTGCTATTGAGATCCAAACTGCCTGGGAGCGCATTGTCGCAGATATGGATACTGTCGGATACAACCAAGTCAGGGCAGCTTCTGTTTCCAGAGTTTGCCTTGGCCATGTATCTTTGCAACTTGAGCCTCACCGGGCAAAGTCTGCCACCAGTACTTCCAGAGAAGATCAAGAACGAGGTGTCCAGCATGGTCGATATCATTTCGTTCGGTGTACCAGATGAAGGCCCAGTCTCTCAATCTCGCACGAATGCACCAGACTTCGATGCACCTCTGCGACAGAACGCTGTCTCTCCTCCCGCTCCGCAGGCACCGCGACCACAACAGGCATCAAATCAGCAGCTCTTGACGCAGCTTACGTCGCAGCCAACTGGCTTCTTCAACCAAGCGACAGGCTTCCAGCCTGGCCTTCAATCTCAACCGACCGGCTTCCCAGGTCCGCAACCAGGTATACAGTCGCAAGCTACTGGATATCCGCAATCCACCGGATACAATGGGCCGCGGCCACCGCTTCCACCTATGCCTACTGGATACGGAAGTAACATGTCACCACAACAGACCGGACCTCTACAAGCACAACCAACTGGAATTCCCGGTCAGTGGGGCTTTGTCAATGCGCCAGCAACAGGACTACCAAACATCGAAGCACTTCAGCAACGTCTGATGCCTCAAGCTGGTCGCGAAGGGGGTTATACCACCCAAGGCCTCTCTGGCAGTGCCAAGATCCCATGGGCTGTCACGAAAGACGAAAAGAAGCTCTATGATCAACTCTTCCGCGCTTGGGACGGACTCGGGAAAGGTTATATCTCTGGAGACACTGCAATTGAGATTATGGGCCAGAGTGGCCTGGATAGGCCTGACCTCGAAAAGGTTTGGACTTTGTCAGATCCTAATAACAAGGGTCGACTCAACATGGACGAATTTGCCGTTGCGATGCACTTGATCTACAGAAAACTCAATGGATATCCTGTCCCAAATCGACTCCCACCAGAGTTGATTCCTCCCTCAACGAGGAATATCAACAGCTCTCTCGACACCGTCAAGAGCTTGCTATCACAAGACGCCGAAGCCAGAAAGCAATCAGGCGCCTTTTTGCAACCACAAAAGACCGGAGTGAGCTATCTCAAAAACCACTCTTTTCGGTCAGGGTCGAGCTCCCCAGCCTTTGGACGAAAAGATGCAACCGTGTTCCGCAATAATGATGATGATATCGGATATCGTTCAAGTGCCAGACGCCGCCTTGGAGCGGAAGGAAGAACGCCATCGCCCGCTCCGTCCTCCGAAGTTTCCGACACCAGCAACGACGACTTGACCCCTGATCAGATCAGAAAGAAGATTCGCGAGAAGAAAATCCTTCTTGATGCCACGGATTTCCAAGACGAGCGTCAAAACGACGACGACGACGTCCTTGACCGACGTGATAGAAGAGAAGCAGAGGATCTCTTCCGCCAGATACGTCGCTTTCAAGATGACATTGATACTCACCCTAACTCCGGGCTTGGCGGTTCTGATACGGGTGCAGAGCGAAGATCCATGCGTAGGGAGTTGCAAAGATACCAGGATCGGCTACCAGCATTGGCCTCAGACGTTCGTAAGATTGAAAAGAACATTGCAGAGGCCAAGCTGCAGCTATTCCGCCTGAAAGACGCCAAAGCCCATCCCAATAGTGCCTCAAACATCGTCGGTACCGGTCCTGGAGGAGCGGTCACGGAAGCTGATCGTATCAAAGCACGAGCGAGAGCTAGGATGCAAGCTAGAGCTGCTGAGCTGTCAGGACGCCCGGTCCCGGCAGGTGACGATGAAGGTGGTGCTCAAAGACGTCTGGAACAAGAGTCCTCGCAAGTCAAGTCCGAACAAGAACGGAATGAAGCCATGACTCGCGATGTCGAAGAGGGCGTCAAGGATTTCGTCTCCAGTCTTGAAGACGGTCTGCGCGACCAGGGTGAGAATGCAAATCAAGAACATGAGCGAAGACGATGGGAGGAAGCTCTCGGCGTGGAAGACGAAATCAAGGAACTGATCTACGACCTACAACGGAGCAGCCGGACAGCCAAGGTCCGCAAAGAAGAGTAAGTCGATCGACGTTATCTGATCTGGTGGCACCACTAACATTGCCAGACAATCTCGTTCTGTATCGCAGCCCTCGGCTGCACAGCCTCGCGAAGAGCCAAAGTCTACCAATGGTGATCTGCCTAGTCGCCCTGCTCCCACAACAACTCCTTCTGCATCTTCCTTCACAGCCGGAATGTCTCAACAGGATCGCGTCGCAGCCGCCAAGGAGAAGGCCATGAAGCGTATCCAGGAACGCCTTGCCGCAGCTGGCATCAAGGCTGCCGGCGATTCGGGAGAAACTCCGCAACAGCGACAGGAACGTGAGAAGCAGGAAAGAGCCGAACGAGTACGAAAAGCCGAAGAAGAAGATGCCAAACGTGAACAGGAAAGACAGCAGAGATTGGCGAATGAAGGTGTTGCACAACCTCCAAGCCCCAAGTCTGCGAAGAAGCCACCTCCGCCACCCACAAGGAAGTCAAGACAGGAGAGCTATGACTTGTCCGATCGAAAAGCAGCGGAAGCCGCCGCAAGGGCAAAAGCAGAAGAGGAAGCCGCAGCTCTGATCAGAGCTGAACAAGAATCGCAAGAACAGGAGCGCAAGAAATTAGAGTGAGTCGCTAACCGGTTCCGCGAGATGCAACTTGCTAACAAATATCGCAGGGCACAAACCAGAAGCGGCGAACATGACCTTGAAAAAGAGCGCGAAGCAGCACAAGCTCGTCTTCGTGCTCTTGAGGAGCAAGTCAAGGCAGGCAAGGTCAAGAAGCAAGAAGAAAAAGCTCGCAAGAAAGCAGCCGAAAACGAGGCCAAGAAGAAGGAAGCGAAACTTGCTGCACAGCGAGCCGAACTCGAAGCCGCAAGAGAAAGAGAGCGACAGCTTCAGCTTCAGCTTGAGCAGCTGGGCGAAGATGACTCCTCGGACGATGATGAGGGACCAGAACAAGTCACACCAGCAGAGAGCACTCCAGCGACGAGTCAAGTCCTCACAAGCTCGGTCTCTTCACCACCACCAGCCGCGGTCCCTCTGCCACCGGAGCCATCTACGAATGAGCCTACTCCGCTATCCAGCCCACCAGCAGAAGAATCTCGAAATCCTTACTTTAGAAAGCTCTCCCAACAGTCAGAAGCTGCAAGACCAGCTTTCTCGCCACCAGCTGTTCCACACGCTCAGCCTTTCTCGCCGCCAGCAGCAGCAGCACCACCTCCACCACCGTCGGCTGATCTACATTCCACCAATCCCTTCCATAGAATTGCTCACCAGGAAGCAGCCAAGCCATTGACACCTAGCTTTACAGGGGCTCAGTCACGTCGTCGTCAAGAAGAGGATGATTGGTCGGCAGCTGGGTCGGACAAGGATGAAGACAGTGACAACGAAGATGATGCGCCTGCGGCTGGGTCAGCCAAACATTTGGCATCTATTCTGTTCGGCACCATGGCACCTCCCAGGCCTTTGTCCGCCATGGATAGCAAACCTGCGACTCCTGTTCAAGACGTGCCACCTGTCCCTGGAGCGTTTGACTCGGCGCCGCCACCTCCACCTATGCCAGGTGCTGGTGCACCGTCAGCCCCCCCTCCACCACCTCCAATGCCGAGCTCCGGAGCACCAAGCGCACCTCCTCCGCCACCGCCAATGCCTACTGAAGCTGCTCCTGGCGGTCCTCCTCCACCGCCACCGATGCCCTCTGCAGCCCCTTCGGGAGCAGGTGGAATTGGTGCTCTATTGGGTGCGATTCAAGCCGGCAAAGGCCTGCGCAAGACCGAGACAAAGGACCGAAGTACGAGTTCTGTGGCTGGAAGAGTGTTGGGTTAGAGTAAGCGATGGCGCGTGTGTGGTAGCTGCCCCGAGATTGTGTAAATATGAAGACGAGTTGTTCGTGCGATAGTCCTAGAAGCGAACTGTGCTAGTATGGCGACGACGCTTCACAACCATAACGCTCGTGCTCCCTGTGGGCGCGATGTATCCCGCTACGCTCGTCTAGGCTGCTATCGCCGTTAGACTCACGCCAGAACTGTCAAACGAACAACGGGTGACTGTCCCTGCTTACCAATACAATTCAAAATATGCGGGTCATCGGGTTAGGGTTGGGTTGACTCCTAAAGCGACCCGGAAACCCGTTGGGCTGGGTCGGTTAATCGAATACCCGGCCCGACCCGGCCCATGTCAAGGCCTAGATACTAGCCTAGTAGCCTCGTCGAACGACGTGTTCTGATTAGTTCAAATCTAGGGTATACTCGGCTAGAAGTAGTTATTGGCAAATCTTGGCAAGGGATGCGATTCCGGGCTCATAACTATTAAATAGTGTGCATGATGTAATACATTGAATTCTCTGTCCTTCTATAACTGACTATGTACTTACTACGTATTTATAGGTGAGAGAGGCATCATTTACCCACTTCCTATAACGTGATTTACCCACTGATCGAGACCTCGTCGTCGCCCTCCAACGCTGTTGTAACAAGGCGCTGTCAGACCATTGAATGGTGCGGGAAGCCGTCGCGTAATCTTGCCGTTTGACACAATGTCTTCGACCTTGTACACGTCAGGTCCTGTTGTTGTTAGAATACGATCGCTTGAAAGGCGTGCTGGAATTCTACCGGGATAGGTTGGGTATGTTAAACTGTGAGCGGCTGGATTTTGCCTGTACTCCTCAATGTCGACCTCATCTGCTCTTTTCTGATTGAGACCATGCTCGTTCCACATCTTGACCCATTCGGGATCGAGTTTTTCTTTGTATTCCTCAGGGATGGTGTGGTCCATGGCGCAAGACTGCGACGGAGTGACAACTGCGGCGGCCATACTCGTGGGGGCTAGTTAAAATCAAAATTTGATCCTGATAGTTGCAAGCGGGAGTATCACGATGCCCTTGGAACGACAGCCTGGGATCAAGGTACTACAAATATGTACGTTCATCCAGCTACTTCACATATATCTGATTCCTTACTCCATACTACACGCTGCTGATCGACAGCTAATGGCGCTCATCTCCAGGCCTAACCCATCGGCATCCACAAGATCTCTTCCCATTGGCGGCATTGGCGGCATACTGGACAGAACCTCATCAGGGGCCCCACAATGCCGGATAAAGCAACGATAATGAATCCGTGGCCAGGAAGCCGTCCACAAACTAAGCAATTTACCATGATAGCCATTCTCTGGGCTGCCGCTCGAACGTCACCTCATCTTTCACGTCCTATCGTTCGGAGGCCTGCAACCAATGTTGGCTGCGGACGAAGTGGGATATAAAGCTGGACATGGCCTCTTCTCGTTTCTGCAAGTAGCCCATTGCACCTCTCTTCAGGCAGATCGCTTTCAACTTGAAGTCTTTCCATTCCAGACTCAAGCACCTACAACGCTGGTTCTTGATTAACGACACTAGAAGCATGGGTGCCGAAGTCCATACTTCGCACATCACACCAGCCGACGCAGAAGCTCAGCAGCATGGCAAGCTCCGTCGGGTACCAGGCCCCATATCATGGATCCTCATCCTGATATGTGTAATGGAGGTAAGATTTTCCCCGCTCCGATGACTTGACGTTGTTACTTACCAAGTATCATGTTGCCTGTAGTTTGGCGAACGATTTGTCTATCATGGAATTTCTGGACCTTTCCAGAATTACATCCAGTGAGACACTTTCCAGCCACATTGCTGATAGCAATGCTGGTAGCAAGATTCTAATTTGGTATATCAGACATCCTTACCAACCTGGATCTCGGATTCCGGGAGCTCTTGGCAAGGGACAGGCGGTCGGTGTCTCATTGGGCGACTTCTTCAAATTTTGGTCATACCTCTGCGTGGCATTTGGGGGCATTACTGCCGGTATGTTGTGATTCCTTTGGAATGGACCTGTGTCGAACTTGTGCTAAACATACGGGGTTTCCTAGACCAATACCTTGGCAAATACAAAACCATTCTCGCATCATCTCCCATTTATATAGCCGGCTTGGCCCTGCTTGTGGCCACCGCTACGCCTGTGGCGATCAAGGCTGGAGCGTCAATGGGCGGCCTCATTGCCGCCATGATCCTGATTGGCATCGGGACCGGGGGCCTCAAGGCTTGCATCGCTCCAATGGCCGGTGAACAGAACACGGGACAGGGACAACATGTCGAAACCCTCAATACTGGTGAGACTGTCTTGGTAGACCACGACCTGACAACTGCGAGGATCATGATGTGGTACTACTGGGCCGCAAACATTGGTGCTCTATCCTCACTGTTGACTGTGGAGCTTGAGAAGAACTACTCGTTCTGGCTAGCATATCTTGTGCCACTACTGTAAGTTCCGAAAAGGCTTCCCCGCCAGCATACACCATGTCCTGACAGAAAAAGACTCCTCTTGGTCGTGTTGGCTGTTTTCGTTGCCTTCAGCCACAAAATCAACAAGATACGGCCGCAAGGCTCTCCTATTTTAGATGCCTCGAGAACCTTGGCGATTGGACTCAAGGAAGGATCCCTCGAAAAGGCAAAACCATCGTCATTGCGTGCTCGAGAGCACCTTGGTCGCTACAAGTTTGCGAACCAGGCACAATACACTGACTGATACTTACGTTGAACAGGTCAAGGATGGCCTCCTGGCATGCAAGGTATGTTTTTCGTTTTCTGTGCTATACCACGAGGAAGTGACAAGCTAATCGTCCTGACAAGTACTTTTTGTTGTTCCCGTTCTACTTCATTTGCTGGACGCAGATCTTCAACAACCTGATCTCGCAAGCAGGAGACATGAAGATGGGGGACACCCCCAACGACTTGATGCAAAGCCTGGAAAACCTCTTCCAGCTCTGCTTCATTCCTATCCTGGATTGTGAGTGTTACGCCAGTGCGCGTTTGAAGATTGATCATTCACTGACATGACGAAGTGCTCGTGTATCCCGCCTTTCGCAAAGCAGGCATCACTTTCAATCCTATCTTGCGCATCTTTGTCGGCTTCATGTGTGCTGCACTCGGAATGACGTACGCCTGTGTGCTGCAATACTTCATCTACCACCGGCCCGCGAACAGTATCCCTGTATGGATTCAAGCCCCTGCATATGTCTTTGGAGCGCTCTCAGAGATCTTTGTTATTGTGACCGGTCTTGAAGTGGCATTCCTGAAAGCACCCGAGAATCTACGTGCGTTCGTGTCGTCCATCTTCTGGATAACACTTGCTGTCGGAGCCGCCATTGGCATTGCGTTGGCTCCTGTTTCACAAGATCCCTATATGGTGTGGACATATGCGGGACTGGCTATCGGAGTGTTCCTGGCCGGTTGTGTTTTCTTCGTCTGCTTCCGACACTCAATTGCTGGCGAAGTTCCATTGACTGTGGGCTTCGAGGTTGCGGAACAGCCTGTTTTCGACGGCCCTGGTCCGGCCGGGTCGGATCCTTTGAACGGGAAGCTCGCTTGAGCAGACTGTGGCTGGTTCTCGAATAACAGAGCCCTTTGATCACTGGCGCTGCCATTGATGGAGCCTGGCAATGTGATCGCCGAAGGGACTTTCATGGAAACCGAGGCTGAGGCTCTCGTGAACAGAATTTGGGCTTCATTTCGGGGCGGTTATGTACATAGCTAAGTGTCTTCTCGAGAGGGGTCGGCTTACTCAGATCATACCCTCGTCGATACAATTCGATCCATTCTGCCGGATGACGTATTCTAATGCATATATCTACGGTGGTCAAATATAGTGGTCCGTGGGCCGGTGGCAATGCCGCCAATCACATTCGACGCCGCTTACAGCGATTTACCACTTAGGGAAGGAAAACCCTCACACAATAAAGTGGATTGTATGGACGCCTACGGTACCTCGGCGATTTTACTGTCTTGCTAGACGTGCATCTAATATCTCTTGTCCCCCTTTTCCATGACGATTTTACATGAGCCTGCGTCCATGTTCCGCGATCCCTATTCAGTGCCGGTGTGACACTATTCTGCTATGGCAAATTCGCCTCATCACAACAAAAGGCAAAGCTGTCCGTGCCACAAGAGCCATTGCCTGAAATCAAGCTGCTCGACGACAATATGGCTCTACTGCTGCGCGAGGGTTGCGAGCCCGCTCCAGGCGTGCTTATGTTCGAGAGATCCTTATATGTGATTGTAGAGCTGTTGCGACGGGTAGGATCCTGGGGCTTGTCTCGCAGGTTCGCCACGATACTTGGCACAATGACTATGCAGGAGTCAGGCCATAGCTGAGCCACGCCTTGGCTCGAATCACTTGGGCATAGGGTCACGATCAAGGAGTACTCAACATCGATCAGCAGGGTGAGTGGTCGGTGCCAACATTCTTATGTTACGGGTCTGTGTGATGGTCACTCGAAGTAAGATTCGCGTTCATCTTCGTTCCGTGTACTAAGTGCGACCTTTCGGTCTGTCTCGGCGTCCATGGTTCAAAATCTTAGCGGGTTCCCAGGCGAACTTTCGTTCCTCGACTGGAATAAGAGCCCTAGGTACATGGCCATGATCTCCTGCATTTGGCATTCTGAGCACGGTATGAATGTGGAACCGTCGGGGGCTCTTTGTTGGTCAAGAAGACTCTCGAGTGGTGGTCGAGTTCGACGGCAACGACAGGGTTCTGGATGCGGTAATCGAAGGCGGCACTGTCGTCAAAGCCTCCTATCCAACAAAAGTAGGTCTCGTGGAACAACGACTTGTTCTGATCTAGGTGCATCTTGCGCGCTTGTTGCGGCAGGTAAAGCAGAAATTGAATGGATGAGTTAACATGTTACCGTACAAGGCTGATCCAGAATTTCGACCTTGGCTTTTTGGCCATGATGCGATCTGAGAGGCCACCGCTGCTATGGGACCCTCATAGATAGCAGTGTTAGAAACATGACTTTAAGGGAGTTTACATCTTCAGGATCTGAATATGATGGAGGCTGATGCTTCCCGGTGGTTCGGGCACGAATTTGGGTGGTTAGGCGTGCGGCCACCTGTAGCCAATCAATCGCAGCTGCTCCTGCTGTTTGTAATATGCCAAGCATAGCTTGCACGTGACTTGGCGTAATCCGAGCTAAGCCCTTTTCGAACAAGTAAACATGATCCTGTTGATTGTTCATTAAACCGCATACATTGGCGAGAGTTGACTGAAGACGGATTTGCGACCACAGTACACAGCCAAGTGCTGCCAAACACTTGACGACTGGATAGAAAGGGAAAGTGCGACCTAAGGAAAGTGGTGGTCGCACCACATGTAAAGTCAACAACCGCAACTAAACAACCACGAGCAAGACGACAATATGCCGCGAGTATCGAGACAATCCACGGGAGGGCCGAGCAGGCAGGCGGTGGTGATGAACATGGCGCGCGAGAAAAACAAAAGTTCACCCATGAAGTAGGTATAACCTTTCTGAACGCAATTCACTTCTACGAGGGGCAGGTTGACAATTCTGCTTCACTTGTCACCCATTGCGCGCCGCAGTCGCAAACATCCAAGTGACTAACATTTCCAATCAGATTGGCATTGAACGACGATCGAGGCGAAAAAGCCGCACGCTTACAATCGCGACAAGCCCTCCAAGAAATTCACATGAATGAGATCCGCGCCGCAGCGAGTCCTGTCCGCAAATTGAATCCGCGACGAGACACGAACAGCCGAGCCATGTCGGAGTCGCCGCGCACGCCGCGCACCTCGGACGCGAACCTGCGCAAGAAGATTGCTGCTCAACGCAGACAGAGTCAGATCCAGAATGCGAACAACAACAGTCCCGGTGGAAGCACGGTGACGCCTATGAAGCGGGTGCCCATTCTGGCGAACTTTGAAGAATGGATGAAGATGGCGACGGATAATAAAATCAATGCGGCGAATTCGTGGAACTTTGCGCTGATTGACTACTTTCACGACATGAGTTTGCTAAAAGAAGGGGATGGAGTGAATTTCCAGAAAGCCAGTTGTACACTTGATGGGTGTGTCAAGATCTACACAAGCAGAGTCGATTCCGTAGCTACAGAGACGGGGAGACTACTGAGTGGCTTGGCGGATGGCGCTGAAGGGAACAAAAAGAAAGCCAAGGACGGAGAAGATGAGGAGGACGAAGACGGTGAAGAGGGTGAGGATGGGGAGGACGGCGAGGGCAAGAAAAAGAAGAAAAAGCCTGCGCGGAGCCATGAAGCTACTCTGGCGCCTGGCTTTGCTTCGTTCCAAGGGAAGAAGCTGGAGTTGGAGTTTGCGGTTGACCCACTGTTCAAGAAGGCTTCGGCGGATTTTGATGAGGGAGGGGCTAAGGGTCTCTTGCTAAATCATTTGTCGATTGACTCTGACGGACGAATTGTGTTTGATAGCAGTGATGATGCTGGTGATGCGGCGCTTGCTGCTGAGAAGAGCCATCAAGAAGGCGACGATACAGAGTTGCAGCGCACAACTGCCGAGGCTGAAGAACAACAAGAAGAACAGGAAGCTGCGGAAGCAGAGCAAGAGCAGGATGAAGAGATCGACCTTGGAGCTCTAGCGGCCAAATTCTTTCCAGACATGAGCATGTTGGACAACCAGGATATTTGCCCTTCGATGAAGTCCTTCACCCTGGGCGATCCATCTGGAGATCTCAACATTCCTTTTCTCAAGGCTCCGGATGACTGGCGCGAGCAGAAGAAAGGAGCTGCCACACCTCAACCTCCCTCGGCAGATGCGAATCTCAATCTATCGGATCAGACCGGGATATTCCTGGATGGAAGCAATGCCATGGGTTTCGACGATGACGATGACGATGGGGGTCTACTCGGCGGTTTTGATGTGGCCGACAATGTCGGCTTTGGCGAGGGAGGCGAAGCCTGGGCCAAAGACGCTGCGATCGAGGCACAGACGCGGGTCGCCAGGGCAGAAGACGTTGACGACAATCTGATCGAGGGCAACAATGCAGATGGGTACGCCTTGTCGCTACAACACAAGTACCAAGAAGACGCGGAGCACGAGTCGATCATGGCTTATTTCGACAAGGCATTCAATTCCCGAGCCAAGGGCAAAACGGCGTTCATGACGCTGGAAAATTGGCGCATGCAGAAGATCCAGAGGGCTCAACAGGCTGAGACAAGTGCGCCGACACGACAGAAGAAGGAGAAGGAGCCATTTGAGATTGACTTCCTGGGTCCCATGTCCGAGTCCTTGCAGGATTTGCTAGAAGCTCCAGCCGTACTTAACTCGCAGATCAGCTTGCCCAAGGCGCAGTGGAAGACGAAAGGGCGGAACCTGCTGGACAAGGACGATGAGGTTGTTGACCCGAGAAAACTCATGAGGTTGTGGACTAAGCCCAAGTGTCGCGTTGGTCGGCGTAAGGGCAAACTCGGTGTTATCGACGAAGGGTTTGGAGCGAGAAATCGTATCGGCACGGCGGATGCCCCTACTGAGGATGAAGAGGACGAAGGCAGAAAAGGCGACTACGATGCCGACTTCTTCGCGGATGATGATCAGATGCCGTTCTTTGACGGGCCGTTGCCAATTGACGACGATGATGACGACGGATTTGCAGATGGTGGAGGCGACGAAGGGCAGGCGTTCATGGATGCAAGAGAGATGTTGAGTCCGCAGCCTGAAGGGCAGCCAGCGGATCTGCTTGGGCCGATGATTGATGGTCCAGAAGATGGCGTTGACGGCGCGTCTCAAGAACAGCCGCTTCAGCCCGAAGTCAAGAACGAGATGGAGTTGCTTCCGGGAAGTTTTGGCAGTCAACTTGTCACGCAGGCTGGGCGGCGTTTAAGGCCTGAGTATGTCAACTATGCGAGGACGGCGAAGAAGGTCGATGTGAGGAGGTTGAAGGAGAATTTGTGGAAGGGCATGAGCGGGAGATTGGAGCGGATTGCCGTCTTTGAGAGGCCACCGTCTTCAGCGCCACCAGCGCCAGTCACTGAGGGTGAAGATGTGGATATGATGGACGTTGATGGGCCTCAAGGTGGCGAGCAGCAGGAGCAAACCCAACAACAACTGGCTGAGCAGGATGGTGCTAGTACTGGTACTGAAGTGCTCAAGTTCACGGACCTCATCCAGGACCTGCGCACGGTGTATCCGGAGCAGCAGATGCGCGATATCAGTACCAGTTACTGCTTTATTTGTCTTTTGCATCTTGCGAACGAGAAAGCGTTGGTGCTTGAAGGTGACTGTGACGGGTCAGGACAAGGGGAGATGCAGGAGATTCTTGTGAGTAAGGACAAGAGTGTGGGAGATGGGTATGAAGGAGAGTGATGACCATCAGCAATCGAGCTTTGGAGTTGATACTGAGCGAAGAGTGGCATGGGATGAATAGTTTTTCTAACGATGTTCTTGAAATGAAGAGTTGGTTGATTGACTCTGAAGCTGTATTGGCTCGATCCCGGCGTGTTTTCCAAGCGAGATAAAACTGTACGGCAATGTTGATACTCGATGTACTCATAGATTAAATTTATCTTGCCGTCTTGTTGCTACCCCAGGGTTGAAGCCTCAAAACCCATGGTGTTGTTCAAGGGGACCTTATGGTCGAAGGGCTTCTTGTCTATGTTCTATTGTAGCACTGGCAGCGTGCCACGCGTCTACCTATCTGTATATGTATGCTATGCCTGGTCTATCCCAGAACTTCTGCAGTGTAGTATTTCGGATTCACCAATTGCTTATCGCCGTCTTGACACATGTTAGATTGACTCTTTGTTCCGTCTCATCCGGTATAGCCTGAAATGACTTCCAGGGTTTGTCCTTGGTCGGTGGCTGGTTCCCGCTTCGCTTGCATGTTGGTGGATCCCCAAGAGTCCCATAATTTCATACTTTCAACACATCGGTGCCGAGCTCAAGTCTCGTCAGTGACATCCATGGTGGGCAGAGGACGAATCTTCGATACATTATAATTTGTCTTGTCTCTTGGTCAACACCCATAAACCCTCTGCTTCAGTCATGACCAGTCCGTCTTTGTCGACAATTTGACCTCTCGATAACCACTTTCGACCTTCTCTTCCGACCAGCCAGCACCTGACGAGGACATCGTTAGGTGTAGGTACGGGGGCGCGGTAGGTGACGTTCAAATTCGCGGTAAACAAGGAATCTCGTGGTCCGGATATATGTTGGTGGTGCAACATTATGCAGAGCCCCATCATTTCATCGAGAATGGCGCAGGCCATTCCGCCATGGATTACTGAAGGGTGGCCGTCGAGACCGGGTCGACCCAGTGTCAACAGCATTATACAATCTGGGTTCTCTGGTACTTCTGTGACCTTTGTATGGTTTTGTCCGGTCTTCAATGTTCCCCGTGGACTTTCTCTGGGGACGGGGAACTCTTTCAGCTGCAAAGTGACCAGATGAGGGATTGTGGAGGGGGAGCTGACGGTTCGCGAGAAAAAGTAATCTTCGCCAGATTCTTTCAATTCGCGCGAGAAGGTAGGGATCGCTGTATAGAGAGGATTCGAGAGGTGTTTGTTCGTCCATTCGATGGACGCGAAATGGTTGCGGGCATCTTCGGGGACTCGGTGGGAGGTGATGAACCTGGACATGAAGTCCATTTCGTGTGTCATCGTGAATGGTAGGACAATGTTACCTGCTACTCTTTCTTCAATCTCACAAAGGAACAAGGCAGAACACAGTAGTTTGAAGTTGTAGAACTGCTCCCTCGCATTTCTTTGAACCGTGGATATGGAATCGCAGTTGGAGATACCAAGACAACAGACTGTACCTCGGCAAAAGTTCTTTATCAGACGTCAATTGGCGCTCGACCTGGAGTCAAGGATTATAAGTGGCGGGTGCTTTGACGGACAAACAAGCTTCTTAGCCTGAGAAGACTAAGATGGATTTGGAGGAGAAGCCATGATATGCATGGATGATGCAGTGGCATACGTGGACTCGACACCAAAAGGGAAACTCTGAGTGGTTTGTTCTGGCAGCCGGACTGTTCTGCAAGCTTCGGTGGAGGATGCGACAGATGCACGATTGGAGCGGTTCTTTAATGTGTTTTAGAGTTGATGGATCTGTGAGAAGCTCCCAGCGAATGCCTGGCCAGAGGAGGAGTCTAGGTGCAGCCGGCCCTTGTTCTTGCACCCCGGTTAGTTGGTTGTCTAGCTGTTGAGGATCCCGAGATAGGCTTAATGCACCTGTTGGGCGAGATACGACTTTCTCTTGCCATGATTGCTGGACTCGTAGCAAAAATAAAAAGCCACGGCCCAGCAACTCAACACTGAGGTCCTTCTCCTTTGCATTTCCCAGCCATTGATTGTGATTCTCATCAACCTCAACTTCTGGCAGTGAGCATTATCAAATTAACAAACATCCCAACCTCTTCTTTCCATCAAATAAAAAGGTAGCTCTTACCCCAGCTGTCACTTTGAGTCAACTGCACTGCACTGATCACCTCGTTCTCGGTCCCTCCTGCCGCGTGCTTGCTCCACTACCTTGCCCGCTTCCCTTCCACTTGTGCGTTGCCCGGCACCTTTTTTCTTCTCTTCCTCTCTTCTTTCTCATTGCAATTCTTGCCTTCAGCTATCCTCTCTTACCAAGCATAGATTGACAATTGACATTCTCAAGCAGACAAAGCTCACCTGCTCCTCACATCCCACCGTCACCATGATCTCCAAGTTCATCCTCGCAGCTTCGGCACTTGTTGCCTTTGCTCATGCGCAGACCATCGAGACCTCCAGCGCCTCCTCAGTCGCAGCGTCCACCACAGTCTCTCAGTCAATGCCCGCGGTTGCCACCGCTGGCTTCAACGCAGCCAACGTCAGCTCTGCTACAGCATGTAAGAGAAGAAAAGTTGGAACACTTTGAAGAACCAAACACTAACCGGTATACAGTCGCTTGGTGTCATGCCCAGCTGAACACCTGCCCGCAAATTTGCGGCGGCTCTGCATCTTCGAATCAGTGTGACGATGTAAGTTGCTATGTTTTCTGGTCTGCCGATGCCAAAGACTAATTCTATCTTAGACCGCTTTCACCTACAGCTGTATCTGTGCCAATGGAACTGTGCCCGACTGCACTGCTTTCACCCAGACTCTTCCATACTACATGTGTCAAGCCACCTATGCCCAGTGCATCAATGACCATCCCAACGATGCTGAAGGCCAGGCTACCTGCGCCACGGACGAGCAATGCGGCACCCGTAATGCGACTGCCGAAGCACTTGCTGAGACTTCTGCTGCATCGTCTTCGGCCGCTGCTGCCACTTCCTCGTCGTCATCCAGCAGCAGCGCCACCGCCGCATCGACTGGCTCAAGCTCTGCCACTGGTTCCAGTGCTTCGTCCACTGCTACAGCCAAGAGCGACGCCATGACTCAGCATGTCACTACTGGAGCTTTCGTCGCTGTCCTCATGGCCGCATTCAAGCTCCTGCTGTAAGCTGTTTCATGCTTGCGCAGGTTTGCACCTGCACAGATTGTCTCTACCCAAAGCTTTCGACATTGGACATACTTTTCTCTTGGGGAAATGAAAAGCACGGGCGACGATGCAAACAGACACAAAAATAACTTAGTATTGGTGATGATTCTACAGACTGCTATGCGTATCGATGTTGACATGCCTTCACATCGATCCATGTCGTGCTTGGGTGGATGCTGGGGCCGAATGACTGGAGCAGTGAGCGATGATTTTATGTGGTTTGTGAGCGTTCTGCGATTGCTCTCTCAGGCAAAAGCAATTTCAATCCTTTAGCGAGCGTGTGGTTTGGCATGAGCTGTTACAGGTATTATGCGCATCGGAAGAAGGGTCAGATACAGTGCTTGAATTAATACAATTGCTTTTTCTTTTTTGGATCCTGCCCCTCGTCGCGTTCCGATGCACGGATCTTCGGTGATCTTCATGATGGCATGGCATGATGTTTCCACTTTTATGATGCGCAGCAGCTTTGACCTCTGTGTGGAGATGAGGCTCATTGCGAGCACCAGCCACACAAGGCTGTGTCAATGGTGAGGCTGAAGAACTCAGCCTTGCCCTTTTTATTTGCATGTGACTTTCGGTCCGCGGGGAAGCTCTTTCCAAGGTCATGCTCCTCCGCTGCAACCTGCAGTTCCTTTTATCCATGTTCCACTTGACCTCGACAACATAGACAGACTTTTCACCTCGTTCCGTTGATCATGTACGAGCGAAAGCTGTCAAATCCCGCAGATCCTCGGTCATACGTGCCGAACACCTGCTCGTCGGCCTAACGTCCTGCTATCCACACTCTGTCAGGTGGTCTGATATCATCCGAAGGTGGGACTGACGAAGCTTTGTAGTTTCCTGAATCTTCAGTCGAAGGCTCCTTCCTGTCTTCCCAAACTCACTCCATTTGCAGCATATCATATCGTTGCCATTAGCACCTGCTAACGTTGCTGTCAAGACGGTCACCATGCGAGCCTTACGGTATCATGGCGTCAAAGATCTCCGCTTGGAGCACGACGTGCCAGAACCAAAATGCGGGGATAATCAGGTCAAGGTAAAACGTCAGTTGTGGAATTCGTAGTAGGAAGTCTGAGTACTTGCTGACATGGTCGTCGGGAGTAAAGCTGCTTTCTGTGGCATATGCGGAACGGATCGTAAGGCCTGCCCTTCGACTCCATCACTGATATTCGTCTAGCAGCATCTGACCGCTCTCAGTACACGAATACTTCTCTCCAACATTTATTCCAGGGAAGGATTCCCCTCACCCAATTACCAAAGAGGTTATGCCCATTGCTATCGGGCACGAGTTTAGCGGCGAAGTGGTCGAGATCGGTGCCAATGTTGATACCTCTCTCAAACCTGGCGATAAAGTTGCCGTCCAGCCCACACTGGCTTGCTTCTCTTGCGAACCTTGCCATGGAGGACATATCAACTCCTGCGAAAAGGGAGGCTTTGTAGGCCTGAGTGGCGGCGGAGGCGGGATGACGGACTTCGTTTGTGTCGACCCACAGTTTGTCTTCAAGCTGCCTGACAACATCAGCCTGGATGTCGCTGCACTGGTTGAACCATTGGCCGTGGCCTGGCACGCGGTCGATCAATATGATATCGTATCCGGAGAGACCGATGCATTGGTGTTTGGTGCAGGACCAATTGGCCTGGCTGTCATCCAATGTTTGAAGGCACGAGGTGCCCGCACAATTATTGTTGTTGAGTTGGCCAAACAGAGACAGGAACACGCATTTCATTTCGGAGCGACGCACCTGATTGATCCAACAAAAGAAGATACTGTGAAACGAGCCAAGGAGATCACGAATGGTGTTGGTCCGCATGTGGCCCTCGATGCCGCGGGTGTGCCCGCCAGCTTGAAAGCCGCTGCCGCTGCGGTCAAGGCCAAAGGGACGATTGTCAACATTGCTATTTGGGAGAAAGAGGTATGGAAGAACTCAGACTGTGCTTGCTAGCAAGCTGGCTAATGCAATTGGCATAGGTACCTTTCAACCCAAATCTTCTGGTCTTTGGTGAGAAGACATATGTTGGTGGTAAGTAAATCTTTTTGACTTTACCAGACCCGATGCTGACAAGAGTGATCTACTCAGTCTTGGGCTACCTTCAAAAAGACTTTGCTGGTGTCATCGAGCATATAGCCAACGGTACCTTGAAGCCCGAAAAGATGATCACTGGAAAGATTAAGATTGACCGAGTTCCGGAGGACGGATTCAAACCTCTGATCGAGGAAAAAGACAAGCACGTCAAGATACTGGTGGACTGCAGGGCATAGGATGGAATGATGAGCATTCCAAGTGGACTGTCAGACCAACAGAGACACTTGCCAATTGCTAGGGATATACAGCCCTCTAAACACATTTATAACTCCTCAATTGTGTTCTTTATGCACGGCGATTAACTTCACAAGGCTGGACCCTGCAAGGCTGTCTGGAGTTTCGGTGCTTAGGTCGGCCAATCAACATTGTTAAGGCTGACTGACGTCTGTGGAGAAACTCGCCAACTGTTGTTTCTTGGTTGCGACGCAGGTCATACTTTGGCTCGTGAGGACTGTGGGGTTTCAGCCGCCATAAGAATAGATCGTCCCATCTTACCATCGTCTTGCAGCTTTTGTTTTTTCTGTTGTTCCTCCCTTATCATTCTTCTTCCCGTCCTTCGTCGAAAACTTCGCAATCCATTCCGTCTCCTAAAATGGCCGACTCTCACCCCGAAGGCGCGCCTCTAGAAGAGCAACTTGAGTCAGAATCCGAAGGTGAAGAACAAACACAAAACGGCGCAGATGCCACACAAGAACCAGAGACCTCCACATCTGCCAAACCCAAGAAGAAAAAGAAGAAGTCGAAGAAAGCCAAGTTGGTCGCTGCTCTGACCGGTAACAAGTCATCCGAACCCGCAGAATCTTCCCAACCGGCCGCCAAACTGTCAGACGACCATGTCAAGAAACTCCTCGATATGAACCCGTCGCTGAAAGGAGAGCTCGCAGGCGTACCTCCAGCAAAGGCTGCTGAAATTCTGAAGAAGATGGATGTGACACAATTGCTCAGTGGTCTGTCGCTAAACGGCAAGAACCAAAAAGATATGGCATCCTACAAATTCTGGGCCACACAACCTGTACCTCGACTGGACGAGCAACCTACTGTCGAAAAGTCAGACGGTCCGATCAAAGAGGTCATCCGCGAGCTGGTACCCAAGGACGCAGCCCCCCTCCCAGAAGGATATGAGTGGGTCGAGCTCGATCTCACGAGTGACGCCGAGGTCAAGGAAGTCTACAACCTCCTCTCCCAACACTACGTGGAGGACGACCACGCCATGTTTCGCTTCAACTACTCCGCCGTATTTCTAGACTGGGCCCTGAAATCACCCGACTGGAAAAAGAGCTGGCACATTGGTGTCCGTGCCAAAGGACCAAGCCGTCTGCTGGTAGCCTCCATCTTCGGCATTCCCATCAAGCTGAAAATCCGACAGAACGTGCTGGACGTGGTAGAAATCAACTACATGTGCGTACACAAGAAACTCCGGTCGCGAAGATTAGCACCGGTTCTCATCAAGGAGGTCACGAGGAGGTGTAACCTGGAGGGAGTCTACCAGGCCATCTACACCGGCGGCGTCGTGCTACCCACCCCCGTCGGCAGCGCACGCTACTTCCACCGAAGTCTGGACTGGCTTAAGTTGTACGAAGTCGGATTCTCCCCGTTGCCGCCGAACAGCACACAAGCCAAAATGATTGCGCGGAACCAATTACCTCCCAACACTAGTACGCCTGGATGGCGAGTCATGCAGGAAAAGGACATCGATGCAGTTCTGGACTTGCTGGTCAGATATCTCGACCGGTTCGAACTAACCCAGGTTTTCAATCGTGCTGAGATCGAGCACTGGTTTTACAACAGACACGAGCCCGACGATCAAGTCGTGTGGTCTTTTGTGGTCGAGCAGGACGGCAAGATCACGGATTTCGCGAGCTTTTACTGTCTGGAGAGTAGCGTCATTGGTGAGGTGAGCAGGAAGCACGATAAGATCCGCGCGGCGTATCTCTATTACTATGCGACGGAGACTGCGTTCAATCCAAAGGAGAAGGGATTGAAAGAGAGGTTGCTGCAATTAGGTCAGGATTTGTTGATTGAGGGGAAGAAGGTGAGTTTCCCGCGCCATGACAAAGATGAGTGTGTGTGCTAATGTGGTGCTAGGCCAAGTTCGATGTCTTCAATGCGCTTACGCTGCATGATAACCCCTTGTTCTTGCAGGAGTTGAAGTTCGGGGCGGGTGATGGGCAGTTGCATCACTACTTGTACAATTGGCGGACGAAGCCGATTAATGGTGGTATCAATGAGAGGAACATGCCGGATGAGTCGAAGAGGGGTGGCATTGGCATTGTGCTCTTGTAGATGCAAAGGCAGGTGGTAGCTACGCAATGCCTCCATGATCAGGAACCCTATGGTGGCTTGACAGCATGTACCATGGGCCAGGATATCTCGAAGCAGCTGTGAGAATATCACAGCGGTTTTATGAGTGGAGCTTCTTGACTACCTACTACCTGAGGCATTCCAGTAGCTCAACATTGTTGTTGCGAGCTACATCTTTCATCTGCATCTTCTTGTGTGATTGTACACATCTCCCGACCTCCCCTGCGTGCAGGGCGACTCGGCGCCCCTTCGCAATTGCGGCATTCGAATCCCTATATCTGCAGTGTGAGATTGACTCTGCTCGCCTCCCAAGTGCCACGATAGCAGCGCATTGGTGCCCGTGTAAGCTCTTTCCTTTGGATGGACAGTCAAAATCCATATGTTCACCCCGAGTAGCCATGCTATTGTCCTAGTTCGACATGCGCAGTCGCATTGCTAGCGATGGTGCTTTTCGCTGGCTGTAGCCATATATTTCTCCAATGGGGGAGGCACTGCTCGAACGAAACCCCAGGTGCTGATACTTCTTTCTGTTGCAGATCTCGTTGTCGGCCTCTTTCGCTTGTTCTACCTCCAGGATTTGAGTGGGCCACATGCTCGTCCCTCTTTTCATATCTGGAATGTGGAGCGTAGGCCGGTCAAATCATCGTTCTTCCCGACGGCCATGCAAGCCTTGCGACAAATCAGATTGTCTATTTTCCTTGTCTCTGCTTGTGTTTAGGATTCTTGTCGCAAATGATGAAAACGCGGTCCTTGCGGCGGACAGCCTGATAAAGGATATGTTAGCACGCTAGACTTGTGCACAAGTTGAGAAGGTAGCACACATACCTTGCAGCCCTCGCATAGCTTTTTGACTGAAGAGCGAGTTTTCATTCCTCGGAACTGCGACGCTACTAAAAGCGCAGGTTGTGCGATCTTTGATTGTACTACGGTTCTTGAGGTTGACAGGCATGTGCTGAGTGGTCTGAATGCGATGATCGTGTTGATACTGGTGAATCGTGCCTTAGGAATGAGGGAGCCCAGAAGGGGCAGTCTTGACAGTGCGGAGAGCGACATTGTGTGTATGGGGATGGAAGCGGGAGGTCGGGAATGTGATTCTCCAAGTAGACGGTGTCTGTGCAACAGGGCAACAGTCGTGGGGGTTTGGATCACGGTATTGGTGTTGTAACAATCGTGGTGTTCTTGTGAGAAAGCTGCAATGACACTGATCGACGACATGAACTTGCACTCTTGGCCGAGCTTATGTGGCTGTATGCGCCACCGGAGAGCTCCACCAATCGGCGATTTGGTTTGGATATAGGCTCCGGTCGAGCAGGGGACTTCTTGATGCTGCGCTAACGCTTTCCTTCAACTTCATTCAACAATGATTAGTGCTTTGTGGACGTAGATATATTAACACCATCCACTTTCATGAGATTCTGTTGTCGCGGTGCATGAAACAAGCCCGCAGTACTGTCTGGCCTCAGACGGGCAAGGCTGTGATCCCTGAATGCAACAATGACCAGTCCATGGGCACGCAGGGTCCTTTGACGCTGGTATCCTGTCTCAGACGCAGGTCAGAGACACCGGAAAGAGTCATAAAGAAAGAAATGGAGGAATAACGATCAAACAGTGTGCTGTTTGATGCAAAGACTACCGCGGCGCACACCAGTCATGAGTTGCTCTCCCTTGGGCACTTGCTGAGGCTGTTGCCGTCAGGTGCCAGTAGCAAGCATGGCTGCCTTTGGTCAAGGGCACTGGTCTTTAGCACCTGGACAGTCCATGGCAATTCCATTGCGGTTGAAATGATGAAGGTCCATGTCTTCGCAGCAGCCTTGCATCTAGGGGTGCAAGGCACATACATGGAGCAGGAGCCAGCTCTCTACGCTGCCTGCCAGTGGTTTCAGCGGTCCTCATGGGCTGTCGGATGTACTCTGGCAGCTGCAGGCAGGTCCAGCCTGGTATGTTTCACTTTTCGAGTGGACTCAGCTCTCTTTCGGTGGACGTCGACGGTCAACAGCCTACGGCGGCAGCCCTGGGTCAGAAAGGGAACTGCCGGCGAGCACTGACTCTCACCGCCTTCACCTACCACACGCTGCACTCGCCAAATTCTGGACCACACCGCAGGCAGCTCGCTCGCCAAGCAAACCTTTCTGGCTGCTCGAATTTGGCATCCTCTACCATTCAACAACCTGCGGAAGCATACACAGAAGTCTTACTCTTCTCTGTGCATCAGAATCAGTCGTGGAAGCTCTCAATTGCTTGAACAGTGCCTAGATCTTACTCTCTTCGAAAGCATTCTCAACAATTGAACCTCAACAGCACAATTCTCTGCCTTCCGCACGGTTTTCGCGCTCGAAACGCAATTCCACCTGTCCAGACACCGATTTTCGACCCTTTCACACCGTTTTTCGGCTGTCTCTTGCTCTCAAACATACTCAAACGCACAATGTCTGCCTCTACAAACACCACTGACTCGAACGACGCCGTCCTCGCCTCTTTCCAGCGCGCCGTCACCATGATTCTAGCCAGCAAACCTGCCAGCAACGAGGAGGAACGCGAGCGCCAGCGCAGCTTTGTGCGTAGGACTGTGCAGGCATTTGTGGAAGGAGAAGACGGACTTCGAGCAGACGAGATCTGGGGCTTGGAAGACCTACACAACAGATTCGATCTCACGGGCATTCTCGCTATTCAGCAGCACGACATTTTTGACGAACACAATACTTCTGATCCAATGGATCTTGACGCAATATCATCGGCTACTTCCGATACAGACTGGATCACAACCGAAGACGAATCGGCTTCCTCTGAAGAAGAGGTCGCTAGCCCACCACCAGAAATACGTGAGGCGGTAGCAAGTCCTTCTGCTTCGAAAGCTGCCCCTGCTTCTGCGCAACTCAATGTTGCACCTCCACTAGCGGGCATCATTGCCAGACAAGCCGTTACTTCAGACACAGTATTGCACTGTGATATCTGTGACTGGGGTTGTAGAAAGCCTGGGGACTTCGCTCGACATATGAGAGATGGCCCTGGTCGTGCTGGTTTCCGCGTCGTTCGCAGCGTGGCAGGGGAGGCCACTTGGCATGGGGCGGATGGGCAAGGCAACGTCTATCAGGGCCGCATTGGCTCTCACGTTGGCCGGCTCTCAAACAACTCTAGGGCCAGTTGCACCTTTGGGCGACGACGAGGACAATCGGGTGGTGGCGCGCAGTGAGTGTGGAGGACGACAACGTGTGCAACGGCGTGCTGCATGAGGCAGTTTCACGGCCTGTTTTTTCCCCTGTTTTTCAGATAGCATGACAATGAAGAGCGCTTCATTGCAAGACGATGTCCATTCTACGATGTGCTCAGTGCGTTCCGCAATGACAATGGCGGTGCGCTTGCTGATCGGTCCTCTAGACTCCATGCTCCTATCGTGCTTCATCCCTCGAATAAAGCTGGTGGACTTCTTGCTCCTATCGTGTACATCTCATATAGATATGCCGTACAACCGCCGCGATCTCATCGTGAGATCATCTTACAATGGCCCGTATAGATTCCTGACTCCCATCGTAGTTTTCAGCCTTTCATGAGGCTGATAAACTCTAGGCTCTTATCGTGTATGTCTCGTGTGAATGAATCCCATGAACTCCGTGGTCCCATCGCCCTTTGTCGCTCGATTAGTACAATGGACTCCGCAAGATCAAACGGCGTTCCTCAATCGCTGGAGATCGTAACCGTCCCAATATCAAAGTACAATTCTATGCGATGGAAAGAACGAGCTCCTTGTTCCTAAGGACTAACACATGTCTATTGCATTGTATGTGCTCCTGAGAATCAAGGCAGACGCGCTTGCCTTGTTGGCTCCGGTATCTTGCTGATATTAGTCGCAGTATCGTCGCATGGACGAGATGCTTTAAAGAGCATGGCCGCCTGAAACGGATGCGCGGCTGTTAGCATCTTTGTATCTTCGATGAGTGATCTCATCCGCGAAGTATAAGTCCATATTGTTGGTATCTGCCACTTTGGCTGCTCGATCTTTGAGGAAAGGTAGTCGGAAGCCCAGCACGTCACCACGATGATTGGCTGCTATTCTTGTCTCATGATGCCAACACCAAAACACCCTAGGGCCAAGCTCGAGGACGGCAGTAGGCTGCACTGCCCATCTGCATTGGACGTCTCTTCGTCTCATCATTTCACACGTCGATTCACGGCCGAGATTCGCTGGCGAAATTCGCTGCCGATGACTACCATTCACAGGATGAGCCAGTGATCGTGCTCTCCGGCCATCCCTCTCATCCTGACTGTCCGAAAGGCCTCCCAAGCCACAATCACCCCAAGAATTGAAGTGCCGGAAGATAGTGTTAGGCCTGCATAGTGCTCGTTTGCAAGGTTCTTTTCGGTGCATACATGATATGGTAGCGTCAGAGATCGCTGCAGACTTATGATATCTTTCTGAGGCTCAAACGCTTTCAAACACAACAGATCGCCGCCCGAGCCAAACGTTGATCCCCTGACCTGTGCATCATGCCCCGCAAACTACCCTAGTACTGTAGCTCGGCAGGTTCCCCAAGTACTGCGGGGAGATGTCCCGAGGCTATCTAAAAGTTCAGGATCCAGTACATGCCTATCATCACAAATCAGCTGATTACGACGTCTTAGGCAAGAGAGAAGCACTTAACATCAGTCCTACATTGAAGCCCAGGCCATGTGAGCGTTCCCACGGAAAACACAATGAGTTCGAAGAATCGTCCTGTTTCAGCCGCCCCCACAAAGTCGGTAGTTACAGAACGTCTTTCGCAAGTCGCTGGACACATATCCGAGGCTGCACCTGGGTCTTCTTCGCCGGTGAACGTTGGGCGCAAAAACCGTCGCTTGAGAGCTTCGCGTAATACCGGTGCACCAGCGGACTACTCCGATGTGCTCTCGAATCTGCAAAAGCTGAAACAAATCGCACACACGCCCGATCTTTCCAACCGGGGCTACATACGACAGAAACGCGAAGGGAAATTATGGGTGAGAGAACGTCTAAATCAGCTGGTCGACAAGGACAGTTTCAAGGAAATCGGAAGCGCCAGTGGGCGGGTGGAGTGGAAGCAGACCGGGCCCAAAGACGAAGAACCAGTGGCGTTCACTCCGACTAACAACCTTCAAGGTGAGGACCACTGCAGGTCTGGACGACGAAGTGCTTACAACGCTAGGCTTCGGCCTCTTGGGCGGTAGGAAAGTGATCATAACGGCAGACGATTACACGATACGAGCTGGACACGCTGATGGAGGTATCTCCAACAAGACCGTACGTTCCTACCAGCAGGATTCCATTATCGAATCTTGATATTCCCTGGCGCTTCATACTAACCGATTCAAAGATCTACTCAGAGAAGCTTGCCGTGTCTCTCAATTTGCCTATCATCAAGCTCACGGACGGGTCTTCTGGTGGTGGATCCGTGAGTACGATCAAGACGATGGGTTGGTCCTATGTCCCCGGTGTTCCCGGCTTTCTTGATGCCGTGAAGGGCATCAATATGGGAATTCCGAACTTAGCAGCTGTACTAGGCCCAGCGGTAAGTAACCCAGTAGTGTCTCCAATGTAACTGCTAACCACGTCACAGATTGGGCTTGGTGCCGCACGTGCGGTCATCTCCCATTTCTCGGTTATGGCAGGAGATATAGGTAGTCTGTTCAACGCTGGGCCGCAGGTGGTCGAAGGGGCGACTTTTGAAGAGGGACTCACTTTGCGAGACCTAGGTGGTCCAGGAATCCATTGTTTGAACGGCACGATAGACAATCTTGCAGCGAACGAAACTGGATGCTTTGAGCAGCTGCGGCGAGTTCTGTCGTACTTACCAAGTTGTGGACAGTCAAAGTTGCCCCCAGTAACTCCTGTCAGCGACCCAATTGAGCGAGCCAGCGAGGAGCTGAGGTCAATTATACCTCGAAAGAAGCAACGCATGTATGATGCTCGAGCGATTATCAGACCCGTTTTCGATGCCGGATCGTGGTTTGAGATTGGGGCGTTATGGGGAAGGACTGCGATTGTCGGCCTTGCTAGGATAGCTGGAAGACCTGTTGGGGTGATTTCGCTCAACTGCGAAGTCAATTCTGGTGCCCTTGACGCTGGAGGATCTCAGAAAATCACTCGGCATCTGAAGTTGTGCGACGTGATGAATCTTCCTATAGTCCAATTCGTGGACGTTCCTGGTTATGCCATCGGGACTGTGGCTGAGAAACAAGGTAAGGGGAAAAGCTCAGACTTATCTCACCGCGAATGGTCACTGACATCAATTAACCACCAGCAACCATGCGCTGGGGAGTTGAACTTGGGAAGGCTTATATCTCAACCACGATACCAATCTTCAGTGTGCTTACCCGAAGGGTCTATGGCGTTGCTGGCGGTATCATGGTTGCCTGCCGCGATCCGATGGTGTGTGTGGCTTGGCCCAGTGGTGAATGGGGAAGTCTGCCCCTCGATGGTGGCATCGAAGTCGGCCACAGATGGGAGCTGAAACAGGCAGAAGAGGATGGGAAGAAGAAAGAGCTGTATGACCGGCTCGAGAATGACTATCGGCGTCTCATGAATCCAATCCGCACAGCCAACGCTTTTGGAGTCGAGGAAATCATAGACCCGGCACACACGAGGCGGGTGGCTGCAGAATGGGCTATGCATGTGTAAGTGCTGTGGGGAGTTCTGCTTCCGTTCGACGTTTCTTCTGATCAATGCTAACCCACCGATCATCAGATATGACGATGTACTGCCACAACGTCTCTTGGACCGGGCTGCAGGCCGGATCCACCCATCATTTGCCTGAGTTGACACAGGTCCGGCTGAGGCGTATTTTGTATCTGCTGTGAGGGCATAGGGGCACTGGGCATTTCTGTTTGTACCCGGAAGCCTCTTGATGCTGGAGCTTGATTGCATGATCGTGAAAGGGCACTCGAAACGCACTCAGGGCAGAGTGGTCGCCTTCGGTACTGGCAGTAGACAAATGATACGTGCAGCCTTGCAACCGGTATCCGACCCATTGGTGCTACGTCTCCTACGGGCTGGGTAATAGAATCGGTCACCATCATTACTCTCAGGTCAGCGTGGCGCTTGATCTGCGCTATTATGTCTTACCGAGGCTGAAAGGCTGGCTGTCCCGAACACCGTAACTGACCCCAACTGGTTTGCATAACCAGGGCTATCTATCATTCCTTCCCCGCAATATCGGGTCAACCGCGGTCCCAAGGGTGCCTGGGGCATGTTGGGGCTAATGTCATCGCCAAAGAAGAAAGCATCTCAGGGACGAGATCTTGCTTTGCCCAAGGCATACCATCATTGTAATTGATCAGGATGTCGCTCGCTACGACCGCCGCGGCGGCGGCGGTCTCTACCGCTCTCGGCTTGTACTTGAACGCCAGATACTCCATAGGCAGCGACATTGCTCAGATTCGTGGAGCTCGAAGAATACAAAAATACGCACAGCGTCTCTATGAGGAACATGGAGAGGATGATTGGTCCTTCTACCATGTCCTTCACTGCACTTACGGGTCAAACGATGACCAAGAAGCTTTCGTCTTCGAAGGTCGTAGTTGGACCGACGGTCGTTTCAGAGAGGACATCGGCCGCTGTGCAGAAGCACTCAAGCGTCTTGGAGTCAGGAATCGAATGGTGGTCGGCTTGTTCATCAACAACTCGCCCGAATTCATGTTCACCTGGTGGGCGTTGTACAAGATCGGCGCGATCCCAGCCCCTATCAATACATCGATTACTGGTGCCCACATCAAGCATTGCCTCATGGTCAGCGAGGCAGAAATGCTCATCACTACCTTCGAACTATCCAGTACAATCGCGAAGACATTTGATCTCAACGATGGTACAAAGGATTTCAGAGGCGACCCTTTGTGTCCTCGGCTTGGCCACATGCTGTTATACGACTACGACACTTACCCCTTTCTAAGTCAGTGGTCAACCAAAAAAGGCGTTACTCTGCTGCAACATTCGAAGCTCCCTCCAGCAACCCGGGAAATAGGAGACTTCCCTAAGTCTTCGAGACCAAAGGTTCTACATACCGACGCTTCCCAATACCTCTTTACATCAGGCACGACCGGCCTGCCTAAGGCTTTGATCTGGCCGGCCGGATACAGTCTGACAGGTTCATGTCCAAACAGATACCCAGGGATGAACGCTAGACGACGGCGATTCTATATCTGCTTACCCATGTTTCATGGCACTGCGACGTAAGAATGCTCCATTTCGTATTAGTGTATTGCTCTAACATTGCGTGCGAAAAGATTCGCAGCTCTACCTGCCACCTTTACGACCTCAGGCACAGTGATTCTAGCGCGAAGATTCTCTCGGCGAGAATTCTGGGCGGATGTACGCCGATCAAAAGCAAATGCTATTCTATATATTGGGGAGATGCTCCGATATCTGGTGCAATCTCCACCTGACCCCCAATTCCCAGACGAGAAGGACCACGGAGTGGATCTGGCGTTTGGCCTCGGTCTGGCGCCAACTGTGTGGCGTGCAGTGAGAGAACGATTCGGCATTCCCTGGATAGTCGAGTACTATTCTGCAAGCGAGGCGACGACTTCGATTCTCGTCTCAAACAAGAACGATCTCGGCGTTGGTAAAGTTGGACGTTGGGGGCCTCTTATGCGTAGCAATTTCTTTCAAGATAAGTTCTATATTGTACGCACGGATCTGGAAATTGGTGAGATCCTACGTGATCCGAAGACGGGCTTTTGCATGAGAACACGGCCCGGCGAGGTTGGTGAGTCAATATGCAGGATCGCGCCCCCCGTTCAGCGGCGGCACGATTACGTGGGTGAAGGAGGACAAGAGGCAACGCAGAAAAAAGTGATCAAGAACGTGTTTGCCAGAGGAGATGAGTTCTTCAGGCTGGGAGATGCCATGGTGATTGTAAGTCGCTGTTCCTAATCTTGTGCTGATGTTCGCGACTGACAAATGACCCTTCTACAGGACGAAGACGGCTTTGTGTCCTTCCACGATCGACTGGGCGATACATATCGGGCAAAGGGGCACAATATCTCGACAACCGAAGTTGAAGGGTGTCTGAGTCGACATCCCAGTATCGCCTCAGTCAATGTTTATGCTATTCCAATGAATCGTTATGGGTACGACGGGCAGCTGGGCTGTGCAGCGATAACATTCACAGGCGGAGGGAGCTCTACTTCCGACAAGCCGGACGTCCAGGAGCTGGACACCATTAAAGAGCTCGAGAAATGGGCGACGACAGATGCGAATGCTTTGCCTGGATATGCCGTACCACGATTCCTGCGGGTGCTGGTCTCAGATCGAAAAGAGATCAACAGTGGTAATGATATAGGTGCCGATAGGGTTTCCCTCATCATGAAGAAGCTCAAAACGGGACTTCGCTCAGAAGGTGAGTATCCATCTAGCGTGTTTGCTGGCGCTCTAACTGACTTTTACGTGTGCTCAGGCTTTGTTCTACCGGCAGATGGCAGGGATAGGATCTACTGGATCGAGAAGGAGGGTTCCGGTTATGTACCTCTGACGACCGAAGTAGTGCAGGCTCTTCTCGCTGGCAAGGCTCGATTATGAGAATGGTTGTAACCCAGATGAAGGCATAGCCTTTGGTACGCTGTAGCTGGTGATAGGCGCTGTATTTGACAAAGTCAAGGGCATAATCGCTAGATCCATCAAGTTACCATAGATGCAATTACTCCGGACGGAAATTGTAAAACGGAAGGAAATCGAGACCTCAATTGCGGAGCCTACCCGAAGTCGGCCGTCAACCGAGGTTCGTGACCTTCGCTGCCCCCTCCTTGCACGGCAAGGAAGGCACGCCACTGCTCAATGCATCAGAGATTGGTGGCTCTCCGCATTCCGCGGGGCGATCCGGGGGCTTCATTTTCAACTTCGTTCTTGAGATTGGGCCCGAGGACTTCTCTTCCCTGACCGTCCACAGACGCTTAGGACTTCAGGTGTTCTTACGGCTGGCACCCTCATACAGCTGTCGAACAGTGAAATACAGCCCCTTTTGGGGGGTCAGAGACGTAGGAAAATGTGTAGAGATTGAAGAGATATGAGAGGTAAATAGCCGTATATATAGCCTGGTTACTAGCGTAGTAACCCCTGTTTCAAGGGGCTAATGTGCCGTCTGACAACAGCACAATCCTCTTTATGCCTCTAGCGGGCGTCCCTGTATAACTTCGCCACGATCCAGCCCGAGAAGACTTGTCTAGACCGCTGGCTCGGGAGATCAAAGGTGTGTTTAACGTCATATATCACCAGAAATGCTAGACTTCTGGGTTGCATTTAGAGACTAACGTTGAGTCTTCAACATGCCCAGATGCCTCGCTCGACAGCTGGTGAGAGATGCCGTCACAGGTTTACTACTCATGATAAGCGGATGCATGGGGGGCGGGCAAGGTATCCAAATATCGTTTCGTCCCTCGAACTGCACACTTTGGACTGTGACTGACTGGAAATGTTCTACAGAGCCTCTCTCGGATCAAGTATGCCGGCAACGGCGACGAGTGAGAGCAACTCCCTGGGCGGCAAGAGCCACGCCAATTGGCTTCTGCATTCCTTGAACGGAAACGCAATAGATCCGCAGCCGGATACCTCCATGACCGAGGCATCAACCACTTTCAATCAGTCTCATTTGGGGGTCATCGGTCCTGATTTCGACCTCTACGAAGCATCCTGCGTCGATGCCTCAGCCCTGTCATCAAAGCAATGTCTCTCCACGATCGCCAATCTAGACGTCTCATTGCAGACCTATCTACTCGATCAATTCTGGGAGCGCTTCAACACATGTACATTCCTTCTACACAAGGAAGCCTTCCAAGCAAGTCTTCACGAAACGCGATATGGGCCCTTCTGCTCGCCACATCTCCATCTTGCTGTCCTGGCAATGGGTCTACGCCGGGCTCACCATACGCGACCGGAGGTAGCACGCCTGTTACGGCCAAACTGGGACTCAGTGTTGCACCGCCAGCTTCGAGAAGCAGTCGATGGGTTGCTTATTCGTGGGGGGTGCACAGTGGTGAACGTCCAGGCCGTGGTGATCCTTGCTCATCTCGAGCGCGAGCGTGGACGAGATCATGCGGCAAGGCAATACCTGGGTACGTAACAGGCAGGCGACTAGTTTTGTCTCACACCTGGACCCTTGATTCTGGTGTGGGTTCCACCACTTTGATTGAGGGAAGAAGTGATAGTTGCTGACATCTTGCTGCTCCTCAGATTCTGCATTCAGCATGATGGAAAACATCCAGCAACGGACTCAAAATGTGCTTGACATGCGTGTGTCCGATGACGAAATCATTGTTCAGCGCACAACGTTACGCGCTGCCGTTCTGATCCACAGGTAAGCATTCTCGCTCGCATCAGTTCTCAGATGCTGGTCATGGCCATCTTGGTTTGCTTAACTCCTGTTGTTTGCGTAGCCATTGGTGTTTTCTCGATAATCGGCGTCTTACGAAGACATCCTCGACGTCAGTGGATAACTCACCACATAGACGGGGAGAAGTCGTTGCATCCCAACATCTTCACGGCAGCAGAGTACTGTCGTTCACGATGAAGAACGACCTCGCCGCACAGATCTACAACGCACATCCGGAGCTTGTGAGCATCGCCACTAGCGACATAGACGAGGTCTCGCTGTGTTCGGCGGCTGCCAATGACACCGCCACTGAAAATGCTTTTTCCTGCTTAGTACAGATACACACACGGCTGAAAAACTGGTACAGTGGCTTGCCAACCCATTTGAGTTGGAGCGATGATTCCCAGCACTCAGCACCTCCGAACCTGTACCTCCTTCATCAGCAATACCATGCTATCCTCATTCTCCTGTTTCGGCCATTCGTATCTCACGAGCCGTTGAGCGACATCACTTCATCCGTAGAGAGTGCCAGTTTGCACCAGCTGTCCGCCTCGATCAGTAAACTTACGCTCAACAGCGCAGCACAGATAGCAAGCCTGCTCGAAGAATGCGGCCGACGCTTTGAGATCGGGGAGATCTCTCCTCTGGCAGTCCAGCATGGGGCTCTTGCAGCTAGCATCATCTTTTCGAACATGCTGCGAACGGAAGACAGTGCTGTTCGAAACTTAGCCATGCGTCAACTCGATTTTTTCCGGCGATTTTTTTCTGACATGAGTGCCATACAGGAACCGGCTCAAAGACTGCTAAATAGTCTGCTGAGAGTCAGAGGTCTGAGAAATCGTGGGAGTGTTACTACGCAAGGGTGCGAATCCTTCCAGTCGTCGCCGGACGAAGAGGCTATCGAAACAGCCGCTGAGCCAAGATCAATTGAAGCTGAGATCAGGAACTTTCCCGGTGATGATACAATACCACCTGTCATGTCACCTCTAGCTTCGGATGAGGCCAGTGGTTGGTCCTCCTGCAATCAATCAGCCCTTGAATGGATCAAGACTCCTCGAGAGGCCCGAACGTCCTTGCGCCACTTCTCAGGGGGGCTCAGCCCCAGAACGCCTGTGCAGATGTCCTCAGCTGTAGCATTTGGCCACATTGAATCCCCTTCGCATAACAATGATCACGCATTGCTGTCTTCCTCGGATGCTGCCGCGGATCTGTGGGACGACGGAGAAGCAGTCAGCGTCTCCTGGTCGGAAACGTTCAAGACGCTAGGCGCAGTCAATCAGCGTACAGGTGGCGAGAAGATGAGTACTAATGAGTTCGGCGATGTGATGGGTTGTGTATTCCAACTGTAGTGATTGATATGAAGGAGCTCCCAAGGCTCCAGCTCGTTCACATTGCCTTCGTCACATACTTTCCTTCTTGCGCATGGTTGAAGGTCTTATATTGTGCCACATGCACCTACCAGGACTCTTTTCTTACTCAAGAGTACTCCATCCCGGCTCTGGAAAAACACTGGGGATCTCGAAGTTACCGATGTCTGTAGATGAGAATCCAAGGTCATAAAGAGGCAAACTCGAACCTTCAAGAAAATCGTAGTTCGATGCACTCTCCATCCACGATTGCCAGAATATCTCATCAGCCTCCTTGAACGGCGATGTCTCTAGTCCAGGTACGGCAAATGCCTCTGGCGCTGCCAAAGGCGGATCTTGCAACATTGTAGAGAGCCATGAGCTAGGGGGCTGCCGATCAGGCCACGGGGAAGATAGGCTTGCAGGGTCACTGACGCTGACTGTATCTTGCCACTGGGCAAGAGCTAATCCAGCATCCTGACTTTCAGCCTCCCTCAGATACTCCAACGCGTCGACTGCAGTGCCGTAGGAGTCCTTCAGAACCTCCAAGAACCCTTTGCACTGCTGAAGGCCGGCGACAGCGGCCCGTCTGACGGCCTGATTCGGCGCCTTGACATCCAGAAGGTGTATGACTACAGCGGAGACGACACTTCCCACAGCTCCCGTCGAGCAATATGATAGCAAGCCAGGATGGTAGAGATCTTGATTCACGCGTGTAAGCTCCCATGCTGTGTGGCGGAGAATGCGCTGCGAGGTTCCATCCGGCTGTCCAGGGTCATCACGCCAGGAAGAAGTGGGTGACAGAGCTTTGACCCGATACAACGCGCTGATTGCCACATGATAGAGAACGTGAACAGTGGATTTATGCACGGCCAGGCAACGGTTTTGCTGACCGCTATCCTGGCTTGACGTTATGTCATTGAGTTCATAGCGTAAGTCAGGAGTGACTTCCCGATACCATCGTGCCAGATCTTGCGCGCAGCGGTTGAGGCGGGTGGACGGTGATGGGAGAGGCTGGGCATGCTCACTCACGTGGCTTCGACTCTTCATCTGCTGGCGGCATTCGAAGATATTGGAGACGAATGTAGCGATGCAAATGCAAAGCTTCATGTGTTCGATGCACAGCCTCGCCAGAATGTTGTGCGTCTTCTGGTGCTCCACCACGTCGAAGGAACTGGTCAACTCCGTTGAACTGTGGTCCAGGGACAAGTGCACATTATCGTCGAAGTCTTCCAACGTGAGGATTCTTACGTTGTAGTAGGTTGACCTTGACGGACGTCCCAAGGCCAACGAAACCTTTTGATCCCGAGAAAAAGCGCACCACCAAAGCCGGCGGCGAAGACCTTGTTCCTTCACGTCGAAGCGTGTTTCATCGGGCTCGAGGTGCAATCGAATGGAATAGGCCAGGGACACCGCCGTGCCAGTCCAGAACCATGAATCTGCTCTCTCTTGTTTGCCTGGGTACCACGTACTCAATAAAACGGCCGCTTGACAGGCCACAAATCGATCAGGCTCCGTGTTACAGTCGAAAAGAACCTGTGTGGAAAGTCTTAGTTATCTGAAGACGAACAGATTGGCCCAACGAGTAACCAGCTCACCTTCGCCCTGTAGAAGAACGCACGGCGTGCTGCTTGTTTTGATGGGAAGCCTTCTCGAGTGATCAACTCATTTTCCACAAAAGTGACACCCGTGCACATGACCGCTTGGTATAACAAGAGACTAAATTGGTCACTTGTTTCGTTGTGCGGCAAAAGAACGAGCTGCCGTTTGTCCAGTAGTGGAAGAAGTGGATGGCCGAATTCAATATACCGAGCGACGCAGACGTTGCGGAATTCGTCACTCGGAAGCGACAACGCTTTCTTCGAACGCAGGTAGATTAGGTCTGCTTCATCCAAGGATTCAGGCAGTGGCGCGATAAAGTTCGGCAGGCTTGGGTAGATGATGTCTCTTGGTGCAACTGAGGCTGAGGGAAGAGCAGGTGCGATCTCCACCGGTGCCTTGGTGCCATGATTACCGTTTCCGTTCGCAAGAAGGGTGGCAGCATCCGGCGTCGCTCCATCGTCTTCCTTCTCGTCTTCATGTTGAACAGCCTGCTGTTGTGAATGGTTGAAAGTATTTTCACTTGTTTCTGGCACTTTTTCGGCCCTGACTTTGTTGGCATTAGACACCCTTTGCCAGAAATGTTCCAATCAGCTACACCAACTTCCCACAGCTCGAGATAGCTCGAAGACATACCTGTGGCGTCTGTTCTTGGTTAGAACACACTCCAATGAGTCTAAACGACAATTTGTGCATGGATTTCCGGTCAATACTGCATCACAGCGCACTTTCCGAGATCTACACAAGACACAAGCTCTGCCGGCACGCTTCTTCCTCCCGGTTTCACCGATGACGGGTAATTGCATGCTGACTCATTTCCGCGGACTCAGCATCATTTTCCAATCGAGCTTAGTCTTCGGTGTGTCAAATATGTTCATGGCTTTTGCTGAGAAAGACTGTGTTTGTACGGAGTACTCGGTGCTGAAAAAAGATTACCGAGATTCGACGTATCTGAGGCTTGAATAGGGGGTATGAATACTCCAAATCTAGATAGCCGAGGATGTGTTAAGAAATATGGGGCAATCATGCCACATACCCATTGAGAACCATATGATGTGATTAGATAGCCGAAACGACCATGACCTCGAGGTTTGGAGCAAGACTTTGCACGAATACCCCACGAAAGCGGGACCTGGGGCTCCGCATAGAAGGATGTGTTATGAGCAGCACGTCTCCCAGTCCACCTTGCTTTCCAACCAACCGCCACAGTGAACAAACATGGCAGCGGAAACCACTCTGTCCGCTAAGGACATGGCTGCAAAAGCAGAGCACCAGGACAGACTCAGCGAGTTGGAAAGAGACGTCGATGCACCCGACCCTCAGCAACTCAAACGAATCAAGATGAAAGTAGACCTACGGATCTGCGTTGTCCTGGGCGTGCTATATACCGCCTCATTGATCGACCGTGTCAATCTACCTGTGAGTGCTTTTCTGCTACAACTAGTTCCTCGCTAAGAGAGCCAGAATGCGTGAGTTGATCTGTGGTCTCGGTGCCACAAAGTCAGGGCTAACCGTCGAAGATATGTCGCTGGAATGGGGACAGATCTTGACCTAGTGGGCAATGCTTATGTGAGCTCCTATGGCCTTGAGCGTAAAAACGCGTATGCCAATACCGAGGCGAACAGTCTTTGCTTATTCTTGTCTTTTTTCCATTCTACATTTGTTTTCAGCCGCCCATGACGGCGATTGCCAAAAAGCTCCGGCCGGGCCGCTTCCTTGGGACCATTGTGGTTGCCTGGGGCTTGGTCATTGTTGGACATGGGCTTGTCAAAACCTGGCATGCAATGCTCGCCCTTCGATGCTTGCTAGGGATCTTCGAGGCAGGCTTCTTCTCGAGCTGCGCGTACTTGCTTAGTACGTGGTATGTGAGAGGTGAGATGGTCTCTCGCCCGGATAAAACCACAACCCTAAACTCTTGGTCCAGGGGAGGTCGCAAAACGGAATGCAGCATTCTATCTTTTAGGCTCGCTCATTGCCGGATTTGGGGGTATTCTTGCGTACGGAGTAAGTCATCCACACCCAACATGATATGCCTGTGCAAAACTGACTTCATCATAGCTGTCCAAGATGGATGGTGTGGGAGGCCATGCAGGCTGGCGGTGGATCTTCTTGATAGAGGGGATCATCACCATTGCTTTTGGCCTGATAGCTTATTTCCTCATTGTCGACTTTCCAGAAGATGCGCACAAGTCGTTCAAGTTCCTTCAAGACGACGAGATCAAAATCGTCATCGACCGAATCAACAGGCGGTGTCTAGACGTCGAGACACCACCATTTAAGCTAGGGCCATATTTGGCAAATGCTCTGGATTGGAAGATCTGGTTCTTCGCTGCCAACTTCGGTCTCACCTCGGTGGTGACATATGCTGCGGCATACTTTCTTCCTCTTGTCCTTCGTGAAGGACTTGGCTTCTCTGAGGCAGCAGCTCAATGTCTTAGTACTCCGGTAAGCTCATATACGGTGCTGATGACTGCCGTGGCCACATGACTGATGACATTGTGCTAGTGCTATGTCTTTGGCACGATCCTCGGCTTGTCAGAAAGTGTCCTCTCAGATCGGATCGGATTACGAACACCGTTCCTTCTCTTCAACTGCGTTATTGAGATCATAGGTGTCGTCGTTCTTGGCTATGCCAAACCGAGCGGCGCCCGATACTTTGGGGCATTTCTCATCATTGGAGGGGCGCAGTCAAACATACCACTAAGTCTGACATACCAAGCCAACAACATTCGGGGCGTGTGGAGGCGTGCATTCTGTTCGGCTACCATTGTCGGTGCTGGTGGTATCGGGGGTATCATTGGTTCCTTGACTTTCCGCTCTCAAGACGCCCCTCAATATAGGTAAGCTTCTCCATGGCCGTGCTCCAAACACGACAAGGTCGAGTTGTCAATGACATTCTAATTTCGGGTAGGCCGGGCCTTTATACCTGCATCACAGCTGCATGCATCACATTCCTTTCGGTCTGCACAACGACGACGTATTTCTATGTTCAGAATAAGAAGCAGAGCCATTGACGCAAGGTCATTGAAGGGCTGGAAGGCTTCAGATATACATACTGAGATGCCCACGTAGGACGACAAGGCAGGTTGAGCCATCGCAGATGCAGGACTCACGACTTGGTACAGATCGCCGCAATATCCACCTCCGAATAGCTCCACACGATCAGACTCCGCAAGAAGGAGCTGACTGAATCTGGCTCCATAAGCTGAGCGATGAACGGTCCAAAGATAATGATGACCGAACCATAATGTTGAAGGTGATTGATGGTATGGTAACGACTGGGATGGCTGAGTTGCGGTGTTATTGGGAGAGGGTCTCGGCAGCGGACGCTTATCATGACGACCGGAAAGTTTGATCGTGAATCCTTTTCTCCGCAATAACGACCTAAGTGATGTAAGAGCCGCGTCAATCCATGCCAGACCTTAAATGTAACGCATATCGGCATTATGGACCGCAGATGAAAGCCGTATGTTCAGCGTGCGGCTGCTGGACATACTTGCTCAGATGAACTGACTCGGACCTGTTTCAGGCATCCAACACTATTTGTCTTCGGCCTTGCGGTTTGATATCCTCCGCGACTTCCGAGTCCAGATTTTTGCCGAATAAGCATTGAACAGGTTGCATAACACTAGCATGGGAAAACCGAAAGACTTCGAGGTGGCGATCATAGGCGGCGGCATAGCAGGCCTGACCCTGGCCATAGCGCTCTATCATCGCCAGATCCCTGTCACCATCTATGAGCAAGCACCGCGATTTGGAGAAATTGGCGCTGGCGTGTCATTTGGTCCCAACGCGGTTAACGCGATGAAGGTGTGTCATCAGGGTATCTATGAAGCATTCGAGAAAGTCTGCACGCGGAACCTATGGCCATCGAAAGAGAAAGTCTGGTTTGACTATCTCAACGGCCAAGAGGATCCCCAAAGAGGACAGAAGGCGCAGGATATTCTCTTCACCATTACCAACAGCATAGGCCAGAATGGGGTCCATCGGGCACGCTATCTTGATGAGATGGTTCACCTTTTGCCTACCGAGATCGCTCGATTTGGCAAGCGACTGAAGAATATCGAGCAGAATGACAGTGGCAGGCTAGTGATGCAATTTGAAGATGGGACCACCGCCGAAGCTGACGGAGTAATTGGTTGTGATGGAATCAAGTCCACAGTCCGGCAGATCATTGTCGGGTCTGATCATCCCTCTGCACATCCGGTTTACACCTACAAATACGCGTATCGTGCCCTTGCCACTATGGAGCAGGCGATTGAAGCTGTTGGAGAAGAGGTCGCACAGAACTCGTGCATGCATGTAGGTCATATACCGGATATGAACTCTGAGCTGACCAGAGCAGATGGGTCGTGATGGACACGTACTCACGTTTCCGGTGAACCATGGCCAAACACTCAATATCGTGGCCTTCCGGACAACTTCGGACGACTGGCCTGACTTTCAACACCTGACAAAACCAGGGAAGCGTGAAGATGTGCTCCGAGATTTCTCAGAATTTGGCTCCAACGTCAAGAATTTATTGAGACTCACGAAGCCTGATCTGGACATGGTACGTACTTAGGAACTTGCAAGCTGCACGCGGCTAATCGTTCATAGTGGGCTATTTTCGATTTGGGCGATCATCCAGTCCCAACGATGTGTAAAGGCAGGATCTGTATTTCTGGAGATGCCGCACACGCGACAAGCCCTCATCATGGTGCAGGAGCAGGAATGTGCATTGAAGACAGTGCCGTTCTAGCTGAATTGTTAGCCGACGAACGCGTCCAGAAACCACAAGATCTCGAAGCCGTTTTCGCCACTTTCAATGCCGAAAGGAAAGAGAGAGGCCAATGGCTCGTGCAGAGCAGTCGCTACATGGGTGATTGTTATGAGTGGCGGGCAGAAGGGATCGGTAGAGACTTTGCTAAGATCGAGGCGGAAATCAAGGAGAGAGGCGCAATCATATCTGAAGTCGATGTACCCAAGATGTGTGAGAAAGCAAAGGAGGAGTTGGGCAAGAGACTGTCGAAATCAAGCCTCTGAGCCTCCGATATTACCTAGGCCGTGAAGCACACGTCCAGAGCAGTGACATATGCTCAATGTGTACATTTCGACTGTTTCTAACGACGCGTCCGAGACCGGGGAGGAGAGCCTTCTGCTCGGATCCTGTTAGACCGTATGCGCTTCGGAGGACAAGAACGCCATGAAGCCAGGCAAAACATCGTTCTGCAATATATTTGAAGATGTCTCCAGATATCATGCACTCCTAATTCAGAAATGCAAAAGAGATAAACATTACAGGGAGATAATCCGATGCCAAGCCCGTGCTCACATAATCTCAGCCTTGTCGCGTCAACTTCAGCCTTGTGTCACTTAACGTGTCATTCCTTCGTATCAGGCTGCCTCACCAAAGTGTCGTCTGGAGACCATGTACAGTCAAGTCTGGACGATGTTGCGTTCTTTGATGATTTGATCTTCTAATCAACTCACTTTCTAAGGAATATGGCACATCTCATCGCCTCATCTCCACTCTCCTCTCCTCCGCCAACTCGATCATCCGGCAGATCATTCACTTCCGCACCAGACACAACATCATACCGACCAACCAGAGAACTTCCCTTTGAACTCGCCCAGCACGTCCAGACATACTACGAAGAACAACTCTTTACCCAAGCCTACAACTTCTTGCTCTCCATCACCAGCAACAGTGCCTCCTCACTGAACCGCTCCGCTCCAGTCTCGATACCACCACCATCCCATCTCGCACTTGCGGCCACAATCACTGTCCATCCCGTCTTCACAACCCGAACACACTCTCGCGAAAAGTGGGATCAATCAAATGCTGCGCTGCGCTTACTCCGAACAGTCCACAAGACCGTCGGCCCAGTCAACGCCGACTTCAGCACGGCATTCAGTTTCCGCAAGTACGATTTCCGATCATCTCGCCATGGCGGTGGCGGCGTCCGCTTCGACGATGAAGATGGTGATGCAAGTGGGAACGACGACCTAGGCGAGCACGGCTCAAATCTGAACACACCCTATGCCGGGGTTCAAAGCTTATGGGCCGGTGCCGAGGACTTCTGGCAACTCGCAGGCTGGGCTTTCAATTGCGCCTGTCTACCAGGCATCCACGCCGCTCGATGGAGTCACTACCGCCTCCTCCTCGAATTTCTAGTCGACGTTCTCGAGACAGACTGGCACCTTCGTTACGCCGGTTCCACCGAATCACCCGAAGAGAGTTTGATATGGCAATACATCGAACTAGCAGCCGGCGGCCACGCACGAGCCCGACGTATCGTCCGCGCCATATTCGCAGACGGATCGACGCGCTCAACGAGTGAATTCCGCGCCATATTCGTCCACGAGCTCAAAGAACCTGTGGCACACGACGCGAAGATCAAAAAACGAGAAGTCGACGTTGATATTGAGAACGAGATCTACGGCGACTACTTGGTCAACGATGACTCGGACTTATCTGACGAGGCTGACGCCACTAGCACGGGTACTGGACGACCGTCGAAACGTCTGCGCACACGCACAGCAACACGCACGCCCTCTGCACGAAGTAGCAACAACAGTCTGCGGAGCGATTACGAGGATGGTGAAGCGGCAACGTCGTCCTCGGCGACAGCACTGGGAGACCCAGCATGCGTGAATCTGAGATTACGCCTGCTCCGCCTTCTTACATTTATCTCATCGCATCCCAGTCTGACATCGACAAGCCCGACCACATTTCCTGACTTGGAAGACCTGTTCACTTTATTCGTCGAGTTCATCAAGCCCCTACCACTTCCTGTCTTCACGCAGGTCATTCTTGCGGCTCAAGTCTTCGATCCACAGACGCACACTCTGCTTTGCGAGTCTCTACTGCAACGCATCCTCGAAAACTCCGCGCCAGCCATTCGGTCCAACGTGCTTCTTTCCCAGTCTAAACTGCAGGAAGAGTACCTCCCCTTTGCTGCGGGCCGGAACAGCATCGACGCCAATGCCAGAGTGTCGTTGCTTTTGGAAGCGTTGACACGTAGTCTCGCACAGCTGAATGTATTGAAAAAAAGCGACGGACTAAGCAAGGCTGTCGATCGAGGTGTAAAACGCCGAATGAGCAGGGTCGCTGATTTGGGCGATGCGAAGAGACGCAAGAAGGCGGGAAAGGGAGAAGAAGAGGCGTGGGCATGGCTCGTTGAGAGTGGTGAGAGATTGGCGAGGACGGTGAGTGGGCTTGATACTACTTAGCCTGTAAGATCTACCAAATGCTTGCAGGAAGCAAGAAGCAGACTTTTCATGCGGTCGACATACGAATGCAATGTACCCATCCAAATCATGACCCCTGAACTGTGGTTTGCATCCAATGTCTCATCACTCGTGTCTCATTCTCTTCACAACGTATACTCGATCGAGGCTCGCTGCTACTTACACTCAGCCACTGAGGATATATAAGTTCACACCATCACACTCAAGGCGGCGGTCTGGGTCCGATAATCTGCCTCCTCGCTCCTCCGACACCCAGTCCCGTTCCACCTCGATTCTGGCTGTCCCCACCGGTATATCCATACTGGTGGACGTCCCAAGTCTGTCCGGGACCGCTCCCTTCTTTGTGATCACGCGCTCTAGAAGCCGTGGATTTCTGACCCTCCTCCCATTCACGTTGACGCTCGCGCTCGCGTTCCATCTCCCGCTCTAACAGCGACTTGGACGCCCAACCTCCAGCTTTGGTGCGTGTTTGGGATTGGACACGGCGTTGATCTTCCATATCGACTTCCGAGGTTGTGGAGTAGTCTTGTGGACGGTACGAGTTGGCTTGGACTTGGGCTGGCGGAGCATTGGAGGCCAGGTACCTGTCTGTACGGTTCGTGCCCGACGTGTATGTGCTCGGATCTGGGAGTGGGCGCGCTGAGCTGTTCTCCCTTGGACGTGCTGGCTTCGGCGGCGGCTGCTCGTCAAAGTCCTGCTCCTTCTGCCACTCTCTTTTCAAATAGTCTCGCTCGGACGCTGCCCAGTCGTCGTCTTCATGGGCTGTACCGGCGACGTTGGGTCTGGATCTGCTAGGTAGAGCTGGAGGCGCGTCATCCGCTTCATATTGTGGTGCAGCCGATCCTGTATGACCGGGTCCGCTTTGCTGCGCTTTGATCTCTGCCAGCTGACGTTCAAGTTCGGCAATGCGTCTGCTCTCGGCGGACTGTTGTTCGGCAATGTGCTGCTTTTGAGCAGTCGCAGATTCTGCACGAGCTTGATCTGCGTTGTATTGGCTGAGAAACTGGCCATTCAAGCGAGCGTCACTCGTCGTGCGTTGGCGGCTCCTCTCGGAAGCCATGTGTGCTTCACGTTCGGCACGGTCAGCAGCTTCACGTTCGCGTTCAAGGTCATAAGCGCGCTGCTTGCGGCGTTGCTCTTCGCGACGGACATCCTCCTCCGCTTGCAGACGTTGTCGTTCTTCCGCCCTCTGTCGTGCAAGGTCCTGTTCCTGCTGATGGCGAGTCTCTTCGGCCCATCTACGCTCCTCTTCCTCTCTGGCCTGCCCCTCCTCCGCCTGTCGTTGTGCTTGTTGTCGCCGTTCGTACTCTTCAACGTCTCGACGTTTCCTCTCCGCCTCTTCTTTCAGGCGCTTCTCCTTTTCCGCAGCACTGGGGACATTGGGTGCGGGAGACGTGATCTGTCTCCGTGCACCGAATGCCACACCTTGATTACCCTGGCTGGCCCCACCCATATAACCATACTGATGTATGTTCCAGGCTGGGGCAGTCTTCCCTTCGTCGTCTCTGCTGCTCCAGGTACTGACCGCTCCACCGGGCGCGAGTCCACCCCTACCGAGGCTGCTTTTGGTAGGGCTGATGCGCCCTGAGTAGGCTGACTTGTTTAACGGGTTGAAGGTCAAGGAAGGACTCTCCGCAGTTGTGTTACTCGTCCCTCGAGGCCGGGTTGATGTTGTGGTATATGCAGGTGATCTTGGACCACTGGACCCGGTCCCTTGCGGACTCATGCCGACTCCCTTGCTCTTCGCGCCTAGTGTTGTCCGGAAAGCTGAGGGGTTGATCGCACTCGCACTTCGGCTAAACGCTGCGATGCATTGCAGGACTTGTGACGGATCTTTGGACTCGTATAAGTCGACAGTAAGGAAGCGGTCGTGGGAAGGAAGGTTCAAGGGCGGTCTTTCGCATGCACTCAGAAATTGGGCAATATTCTCCATCTGTACAAACGGCATGTTCGATTGTTTATATTTCACGCCTGGAGAGACGGCAAGGTTGACGAGCCTGTATGACCTGTCAGCAGATCTGCCTGCGCAAGTCGTGGGAGAGTTTCGTACTTGCAAAGAGCAACACCATCTTTGAGCGCGTCCATCAAGTCGCCAGGCGGCAGTCTCTCTCCCAGTGTCTCCTCGATCCATTTGCGCACTTGATTAGCAGCCGCCGGCGTGTACCGGTCGAGGCGCAACTTGCGCATATCTTGGTCAAGACTCGTTACGGAGGCCATGATGGTGGGGTTTAGGCGGTAGACTGCGATCTCGAATGAGGTGGTGGTGTTGACTTTCTATGCGCGGGCGCAAATGGACATTGACACGTCAAGTGGGATGTTGTTAAAGGACCGTGTCATCGGCAGGTCGTGCACCACAGTAGTTGTTAGGGGATGTAGGAAGAATAGTAGTCAGTGCACCTCATCTGTCAGAACAGCCGAACCACGCGGGCGGAATAAGCCTTGACGCAGGTTGACGTCGATCAAGTGAATTGCCTGCAGCCTTCTTCTCCAATGACGACCTCATGCATTATTTTTGTACTACATCAACACAATGCAGTAATTCGGCTTCCCTTCCCTTTGCATCTGCAATACCACAGCTCGCCTACTGCACATCAACAAGATGGGTGCCGCTCGCGATCTATGGGTTCGCTGGAAGATGCTCAGGCTTCCATGGCGAAAGAAGTTCCTAGTTGGTCAGTGCTAGAGGTCATGTCAACGAGCTGCGCCTGCTAACAACCTCACTAGGTCAAGATCTGTCCGGGAACACATTCTGGGAGTTCAAAGATGTCCTCAACACGGGTCGATGGCGTCGAATAGTCCAAGCCGACCGCCACACACACTATTCCGACGTCAAGATCTCACCTCAGTGGCATCAATGGCTGCGTCAAACCCGCGTCGACCCACCATCCGTCCAAGAACAAGTGGCCGACATTCAGAGAATGGCAACTCTGAAACAAAATGCCAGGCTGGCAGATGAAAGATGGGCTGCGAAGGCGAAGTACATTGAGAAACCGAAGCCTGCCGTGACACCTCAGCTGTCTGGTGATCCTCAGGTGGACAGAGTGCAGGCCGAAAGCATGCCTGGCCAACCGCCACGGGAACAAAAAACCCAGAGTGCCGTTGAAACGCCAAAGGCACCGCCGCATGATCCATGGAAAGAGGCCGACGAGACGGCACCAAACCCAGGAGCGAAATGGTCTCCAGAGTCCTGGGTCCCTCCTTCTACCAAGCGCTGAAGCCGTGAAAGCTGCTCATATATCCTCGGAAGACATTTGATGGACAGAGAACGCAAACTTGCATCACGTCAATGCATCCCCTCGGTGGCTTCTTTGATTGAGGCGGTATCGGCTATTGTGGTCGTTGTGCAACCAGGATATGTCGTCGATCTCCTGGTCATCAGCGCTACCTCTTTTGTGATGCATCTTTGCCCTGAGCGACGCTGAACGATCGATGGACGCATCAGTCGATACCTAATTGCTCCCTGGTGTACGCTGCGTGACCCCGCCGTCACTGCCCCTCCCAAGGCTCGGATTTTCAGGGGTCCGCCAAAGCGCAGATGAATTCATTTTTCAGGACTTACATTTACCAAGCGATGCAGACTGTGAAGGATTGAGCAAACCACTAGCGCCGTTTGCCAAATCTAGGACAATACTGTCCGCCTTTACAATCGAAGAAAAGCTGGGCGGCCAGCACGAAGCCGCCGCACCCAGCAATAATCTTGAGGAATTATGACTCTCCTCGCACTTCTATCGCACTTTCCGTTCACTCTCTCAGTCCTCAACGCCTCGACAACTCTCTACAATTGACTGTCAAGCACGTCCGTTCCGCGAAACCTCAATATCAGACACAAAGACGTTTCAACAACCATACAAACATGTCGACAAACAAATCTTCCTCTTCCACCACCGGCGCGCAAGCAAGCAACGTCGACCTCGCCAAATCCAAGCTTGAGACTGAAACGTCGACCAAACCAAAGCTCCGACCAACCATCATCGAAACAGACAAACCACCAGCCGACTTCAAGGGCGATGAATCAGAGGGTGCGGTCTTCTACTGGTGCAAGCGCTGCGGAGACCTCTGGGGTGTTGTTTGGGCAGACATCATGGATGTCGTCGTGCCCCTGAAGGACTACAAGAAATGGGCAGAGAAGGCCGTGTGCGAGGCGTGCACCGGCGGCTGGGAGAAGTGCGAGGAAGGTGAAGACTGGGAGGTGTTGTGAGGGCCTACGGGGCTGATAACCAACCAATGAGATCGCGCAAGGCTGCGCTTCAAGATAGCAGAATGACATGCATTTTCATACGAAAATTTCCCCCCTTTGGCGATGGTGTGCTCCTTATGGATAAGTGTGATGACTGCAAGCGTTGTCAACGGTGTCCTCTCTTGCACTGTTTCGTTGAAAACCCGCGGTAGCAACGGCAGGTACCCGGATACCATCTACTAGAACGACCTCATTGGCGCTGAGAAGGTTACCTTTCAGATCGAAGAAGATTCCAGCGATAGATAAGAGGAAGTCTCCAGACCTAACAAGAGAACAATGTTTTATTGTACATGAAAGGCGCCAAGATTTCATCAGGATCTATGTACGCGATGTCTTTTCGACGATAGCCTTTTGCAATGGACATATTCTAAGAAATGGGTGTTGGAAAGACACCTTTGAGACAACAAGATATCGTTACAGTTGAAGAGCGCCAGGTGTTCATCGATATGAACTTATGCGATGGCCTTTGAATGACCACCCATCAGAACCCCGCGAATCCCTCTCGTTAGGTATCCGGAGGTCCTTCATGTCCAATAGGAGAATTCGGTATTGTCGCACAGGAGGAGCGCCACGTGGCAGTGGGTGTCACACCGTTTGTCCCCCGACCACCTCACATATCATACTTGACTGATGGGATCTCACCTATTGGCCAACCTACCGGAAGTAACGCTACAAGCAGGGCACTGTTTAGCGCTGGCTGTATCTGTTCTAGAGTGCTGCATGATTGATTACCAATCTTGTGCTCTGTTCATCGCCTCATCCTCACTGGACGTGTCGGATTGGCGTTTCGTCTAAGCGGGGGCCACAGACCAGGCCTAGGCTGATCGCAAGCATGGATTTACAGTAGTATGCAGCCTCGCTTCCAGTAGGACAGCATTATTGAGGGGAGAACATTCGATGGGTGATGAGGCGGCCATGGTGGAGACCCCTATGAGGATGCGGCTGAGTCTGGACGCCAGCATCAGAAGACAATGTCCTACCCAGCCTGATCGCATGCCAACGTCTTCCCCAGCGTTCCTCACGGCCTGTCATGGAATCACAATCGCACAGAGTGGCCGCAAGGGCGCAGATCTGGCTGTATCTTCTGTGCGTCTTTGCATCTCCCGCTCATGGCGAAACTAACTCTGCATTACCCAGTGTCAGTACGGCCCTAGCATCAAACACGGCATCATCTCAGGCAATGCCACCGTCCGCCACAGCAGCATTCAATGCCGGTGATGTCAGTACTGCAGATGCTTGTAGGACCTACTACATATTGCTCGTGTTGATGAAGAGCGTTTGCTGACGATTTATAGCCGCATGGGCTTGAGGATTCGTCGACTTTGTGAGAGCGACTGAACCCGGGGAACAAAGGACCCTCTGCAAGTTTTGGGCTGGGTCAAACTGTGGCGTCCGAAAGACGCCAGTATAGATATCACAGAGCTGTTGTCTCAGTCTACCACGTACTTGAATTTAGTGCGCATGCCTTCGTCTTCTCCGTGCCGGGGGCGATGGCCTGACAGTCATTTTATGACCTCAAAGTTACGACATACCTTACAAGAAACAACGTGGCCCTCGAGGACTTGGGCTCATAAGTGGGCATCTGAACTACGAAGGCTGGCTCACTCGACAACGGATCGTAGACTGGATCATGAGTTGGGCAACTCATTTCTCCGCGATGAGTCGTCGTGAAAATCCATCGTGCCTTCTCACACAATTGGCCTACTCAGCCACAACCTCTTGAATGGACCGACCCTGATGATTGCAGCCTCGTTGTCAACGCCAAGCTTCGGCACCGGAACAATTCAAGTACCAGCTTCCGGCCAGAAAGCATTGCTATGCGCATCCTGAACTTCACCTACGTACTTCATCCGCCAATTACCACAACCTGTATAACGTGCACCACCGACAAGATGGCTGCACCGGGCGCAGAGCAGACGATCCATCGGGATCCAGCACTTTTGTAAGCTCCTTAGATTTCCAACCGCTACTGTCCTACCAACTAACTTGCTCACCAGCTACTGGATCCTGTTGCCCATCACAATCGTTATGATCCTGACCGGCGTCCTACGACACTACGCCACAGTGCTCCTGCACACCCCTCCCAAACCAGCATCCAATCTCCTCGAATCGCGCGAACGCCAGGCCATCCTCCGGGGCATCAATCTACGAAACAACGCCAACGCCGCGCTTACTACATCCTCCTTCAATGCTCGCAAAGAATACCTCATCGACTCCTACAAGAAGGGCACATTCCTAAAAGGCGGCCCAGAATCTCGCGGCCAAGCAGCAGCAAATCCCATGTCCGACCCCGCGGCGATGGAAGGCATGATGGGCATGATGAAGGGCAACATGGCGATGATGATCCCACAAACCCTGATCATGTCGTGGATCAATGCCTTTTTCGCGGGTTTCGTCATCCTCAAGTTACCATTCCCGCTGACCGTACGGTTCAAGTCGATGTTACAGGCTGGCGTATTGACGCGGGACTTGGACGTCAGATGGGTCAGCAGTCTGTCGTGGTATTTCTTGTGTCTATTCGGGTTGCAGAGTGTGTTCATTTTCATTCTGGGCAATGAGAATGCTGCGAGCCAGATGGCGCAGCAGATGGCGCAGATGAATCCGGGGGCTAATGCGAATCCGTTTGGGCCAGGGCAAGATCCGGATAAGATGTTCCAGGCTGAGGCGGAGAATTTAGAGGTCCAGGAACATTGGAGTGTGCTGGATGAGGCGGATGAGAGATTGTTGCAGATTTACGTCAACTAGATCGCAAAGATGGATTCGGGTCACGGTACGTGCCTGTGGATGCTTGAGGTCTTGTTGTCGCCATACAACTACACACGGCCGATTCGCTGGGCACGTCCTCAAGGTCAAAGAAGCTGGCGCGCTGGTGTCGCGTTTGTCGTCGACATCGACGGGGGCAATGAGTGCTCCGAGCACGGTCATGTCCTGGACACAAGTACCTCCTATCGAGGGAGAGTAATCCACGGCGCGGACGATGAGGTCGAGGACCTCTGCACTTGCTGAACCTGACAATGGGCAAGCAGTCTGAGTCACTGAGGAGGGCTTACACTCAGCGCCATTGTACAAGCTAGCTATGGCACGCGCTGAGTTCGGGGCAGAAACCATCTTGATGTCGGTCCACTTCACAAGAGCACAAGTCCCGACTTATATATTGATGCTAGTGGGTATCATGTACGCCGAAAAAGCACTGTATGCTATCTGCCTCCCAAGTTTGTGCAATCAACAGATGCCAATCAGAATAATCAAAGAGTCTTTTCCAGCTTGCTTGCCAGGTCGTCCACCTCCGCATCCTTCTTTTGTGTGACGGGCTGCTCTTCAGCTTCGTCGTCCTCCTTAAGCAGCTTTTCACGGGCCTTGTCTTGCTCCTCTTCGTCTTCCTCTTCCTCCTCTAGTTCTTCCTCTTCTTCCTCATCGCTGTCTTCACCCTCAAGCTCGTCCAGCTCGTCTAAGCCCCAATGGTCCTCGGCATCGTCGTCCTTCCCAGCCTCATCTTTTCTCTCGCTGAGCAGTTCGGCGAGACCCTCTATCGACGGATCTTCCTCCTCGAACTTGTTGCCATTCAGCTCCACCCGCCTTAATTTGGGCAGGGCGTCTTTCGCCGCTTGCAGGAGGGCCTTCACTCCAGCGGGATTGATATCGTTATATTGTAGCCTCAGAATCTCAATCTTCTCATTATTGCCCTCGCCCAGCGCCTCGAAGACTTTGATCGCACCCCGACCACCTAGCAGATCGTCGCCGACGCCTAGCTCTTTCAGACCCGACCATCCCTCGACGGCTTTTGCTAGAGCGCGCGCGCCCTGAAACGTAAAGGTGTTGTCTTGCATGTCGAGGACTTCCAGGCTATCGCAGTGTGACAAGCCGGACGAGATCAGGTGTGAAATGCCTTCGGATCGGATTCCGTTTTGCGTCATCTTGACGCTCTTGATGCCAGACTTGTGTGCCTCGTAGGCTTTAGCCCATGCGGGCATGCTTCCGTTTTCTAGGCGGTTTCTACCACAGACTATGCTTTCAAGGTCCGGGACGTCTTTGCCTTCCTTTCTGGCAGCTTGTTTCCGTTCGGCCAAGGTGATGAGCGCCTCGGCTATTGATGTGCCGGCGATGGGGCCCATGCCATTGTTGTTCAGGATGAGGTGTTTTAATGGGACGTGTTTTGCCAGGAAATCGACGAGAGGGTCTTTCGTCTTCAGACCGAAGGCATTGTCGCTCAGGTCTATCGTGTGGAGATTCGGACATTTTAGCAGTGCGGTGAGAAGAGAGGAGAGCGCGGGAGGAATCTCCTCGAGTAATCGTGAAGTGAAGATGTCATGCAGGTCTGCACTCTGAAGGGTGGTTTTCGAGGATAGGATGGGTGCGAGAGCGGCGCAGGCATCGACGCCCAGTGTATTCCCCGAGAGATCGATGTGGGTGACCTTCGAAGATTCGGCGAGTGGTTGAATGTGCTTCTCGAGATCCTCCTTGGTGTCTAGTTTTAGGCCTTTGCCTGCAAGAGAAAAGGTCTCTCCTGCCATTTTGCTTTCGATTCACGGAGAAGGGTTTCGAAAGAGATAGGTGTGGTTGTTATATCGATATGTTGCCGTAGAGTGAGAGGGAAGTCAAGTGCTGGTAAAAACAAATAGACCCGACAACCATCTAGAAATTTGGAGGGGCCAGACAACAAAAGTCGAGATCGCCCTTGGCTTGGCGTACGTCAGTCAAAACATGCCCCTGAATCCGCAGCCTTGGTCGGTCTTTCTCTGACTCTGATGGCTGTTGGATTTCACGATGCTGCAAAAGATCCCGTACATGTAAGACCACTTCAGTACAAAGCCATACACAGGAAGACTGCAGTAGCTACTCTGACCTATCCATCGGGTCCTCCCTGTTGCATACATTGCCGAGCGCTACCATGGTAAGTCGATGCCAACCTGGTGGGAAATGGCAGTTCATAAAGGGCTTTTCCATGGTTCACTCGATTTGCTGACGATTGACGAGCATTGTACGACTTCAAAGACCTAGAAAAGTAAGTGATCGTATGCAAGGTCAGCTCAACGCCCATCAAGCGTCTTATGGCGGCCTATGCCTTTCATGCCATGGCCAGAGCCGAGCCGCTCGGAGGAGAAGTGCTCCCACGTGCAGGCTACCAAGTCAACCCCTACTTTGACACCCGCAATGCCGTCAAGATCAGACTTGCTGTTCACCACATCGACGTTATCATGTAGGTAGACAAGATTGGTAAAGTCCTTGACCTGGGCATTAGAAGTGTTTTCCTTATCAGGGTTAGGCGGCCCGTCTTTCATGGATAGGTGAAGTGTAATCATCCGCCGGCGGTTTAACTTACAAAAGTCCCTCACTTGGGCTCAGCTTTCACAGAAGGTCGTTGTATGGCTTACGGCATGCTGCAGCTTCTCGCCTGACTAAGCTCATAGAAATATTGTTGTGGGTATTGGGAAGCGTATATAATGACCAGCCGGGTCTTGACTGCTTGATGGCAATGCAATTCGGCACAGAGTTCTGACCACACTTTCTCCATCAAACATTGTTTTAGCACTGTGCTTACATAGAATAACACCTCTTCAGCCAAGACCGCACGATGGAGAGCCTCCCGCCAGACTTTTGGGCTACGTCAAGAGCATATACTCCTCATATCTACCGGGACCAATACCCTTTTATCGACCCTGCTTCATCCAGCTTGTCACAAGCAGGTAAGACGATCATCATCACTGGATCTTCGGCAGGCATTGGGGCGAGAGGGATCGTCCCAGCTTTTGCAAAAGCCGGGCCCAAGGCTCTTGTCCTGGTGGCACGCAACCTGGCGGCGTTGAGGACCTCGGAAGCCGTTATAATGGAAATCAATCCAGCTATCGAAGTGCTTCTAATTCCGACTTCTATTGCGGACGAGGCTGCTGTCACAAATCTCTATGCAACAGTGCGTACGACTCTTGGCCACGCCGATGTCTTGGTCAACAATGCCGGGAGCAACGCGGATGTGGCCATGATTGGAGAATCCTCACCAGCCAAGTGGTGGACAGATTTTGAGATCAACGTCAAAGGTACCTACTTGATGACCCGGGGTTTTCTGCAATTGCTCGGCCGAGATCAAAAAGGAACTGTAATTACTATGAACACAGAACTGGCGGCGTCCGTGGTACCGTCGTGGTCTGCCTACGGTGTTAGTAAGATCGCAAGTCTACGATTGGTGGAGTACCTCGCTGCAGAGTACAGCAACGTGAGTGCTGTGAGTATACAGCCTGGCGTGGTCGCTACAGACATGGTCGAGGGTAAGTAGAGCCCAGCACCCTATCGATCGAGCATTATGTTGACTTGCTGCAGAATCTTTCAAACGGTTTGCCCAAGACACTCCGGAGCTGGTTGGCGGGATGTGCGTCTGGCTGGCAACGGATGCTGCTCGATTTTTGAGTGGCAGATTTGTCTCTGCCAACTGGTCTGTTGATGATCTTCAGAAGCAAAAGGATCGCATTCTGGCGAGCTCGGATCTCAAGGTTGTCTACGCCGGCATATTCGGGCTTGACCACATCAAGGCGACGGCTTAGAACACCACCAAACAGGATAGATCTATAGCAGTTACCGATGGCCACGCGCCCCCAGATAAGGAATCAGAATTTTGACGATCGCCGCCAGGTTGAACTTGGAAGCGCCGGGCCTCATACTTGCCTAAAACACTTTCTCAATAGGGTGACCGCCGCGCGTAGATCTACTCGATCACTCAGAAGGTGAAGAGTACCATCACAAGAACGAGGTTGGTTACGAGAAGAGTTGAGTTCAAGGTATTAATCTCGGCAATCCGGTGGACTAAGTGGCACCCCACGTGACATGCAAAATAAGGTATGGGAGTCGGTGCTGCCAAGACCGACAACAATTGGCAACTGGCATTCGGAGAGTGGCTGCAAGCGCAGCTGGAGGGCTCCGTACTGTCATTGAAAGGACCTCATCCATAACGAACCCAACTCTTGCAAGCCCCGACAAGCTTCAGAGTACCTCTCTCACACCTTCTCCTGCCGACCTTGCACCTTGCATGGCCTCCGACTGATGACGTGACGTCTGATTCCACCTGTCCCAAGCCTCACGACCAGCCGCGGACGCAGACATGGGTGACCTCGTTGATCCGAAACCCATCTACGACGAGGATGTGGGCGGCGTATATCATCCAAAAGATGCACTAGCAACTACGATACATGCAGTTACATACACGGGGGCCGCTGGATTGTTTCTAGCCGCGGTTCAAAATACAGTAGCGAAGGAGAATATTGGACCTTTGGGCATCTTTTCAAGATTCGGGAGGACTATCGGTATATTTGGTACGTATCGACTTTGTAGCAGAAGCACCGGTCTAGGACGACAGGAATCTGACATTATACAGCTGCAATGGGCGGAACCTACGCGTTTGTCAGCACGGCTTCTGCGAATCTGCGAGAGACGAGCGATCTCGTAAACCACGCAATCGGCGGTGCTTGCGCCGGCTCACTGGTCGGTCTTGCTAGTATGTTGAGAAAAAGTGTCGCAAAAGTGTCACATTTGTACTAACAGCGTGCAGAGCGCTCTATGCCATCTGTTGCTGGCTCTGCCCTCGCTTTGGGTGCTGGCATGGCTGTCGTCAGTTATACGGGCCGCTCTATTTTCGAATCTCAATCAGACTCTCCACAATTAGACCGACTTGGCCAGAAGGAAGAAGCCAAGACTCGGTACCGAAGACCTATCCAGGAGACTATCAATGAGCTCGGTGAAGGCAGAGGTAAGATGGATTCGATCTAAATTTATCAACTGGCTGACACGTGGTCCGCAGGTATCTATGGACCAGGATATGAGGAGAGACGGAAACAGAGAATCAAGGCGAAGTATGGTATCGAGGTTCAAGAACCATACTATAAGAACAAATCGGCAGCCGGCATGACCGACTTTTAGACAGCAATACTCGACAAAGGCAGATGTTATTTCGCAAACATACCTACGAAGTCCAAGAAGCAGATCATTGGATGGACGTCATGATGCCCAGGTGAAGCAGCCATTCTGGGCTGTTGCTCTGAAGCTGTTCTCCCCACCTACCTGAAGCATCGGAACTGGTGTACATAAATATTACAATTGAAGTCTGGAAGACCCAATTTTCTACCCAAGCGCATGTCGGGAGTACTTTTGCACATCCTGGATGCAGGTACTTCGGGTCGTCCTTTCGGCTATGCGTATAGACAATGGAATCATCGTGGTGTTCGCTGCAAGCTTTTGCGACGGCTGATTGAACGATGCTAGGCCTTTTCTGAAATGGACAGGAGCCCTGTTCAGCTATACTCGCGTACGCTGTGCGTTGCGCTCGGGAGCGCCGATGCTTCTGAGTTTCCTCGCCACCAAAGCTCAGGAAGAGCTGAACAGTATTTTGGGAATGTAGACTTCGGGCCATACTGACGATGCATGAGAACAATCTCATACAGTATGCCTTATAGATTATTAGTGACTACATATTGCGATATTATAGTATGTCCTCGGAGGAACCTTCAAGCGTCAGTTCCCAGTACCTGGCAAAGTGGGCCGGATTTACCGCAAGAAAGTCACTCCCAGTTCAAGAAATGTCTACTGCGGCATAATTTACTAGCGGCGCCACGCCACGAGGAGCTGGGCATTTGTTAGCCTTCTGCAGCAAGTGAGCGAGTCAATGACGCCGGAGGCGTATTTCATGCCCAGGATCGTCCTTGTAATAATGATGGCGCAAGAGATGACCATCATGTTCAACCCGCAAGATTGTACGGAGTAACGGCACACGACCCGAGCACATCTTGAGATTGCTGGGGTTGAGACCATTTGCATTGTCTTGCGCTTTTGGTTGCGAACATGTGCCTTTTGTGAGAGGGAGATAACCAGCCATAGAAGGCGCAGAACCTTGGAATGCGCCCAAATCCAGTACAGCTTTCTAACGGCTGACTACACTGCTTAGATGAACTCAAGTCGATCGGTGGGGAAATGGGGAGAGCCATGACTGCATCGATGAACACCTTGTACGCCTCTTTTTGGGCACCATAGAATCTTGACTCAACGCCCATGCTGAAGAAGCTCTTTTTCGGCAACAGCTGCTGTGCTAGGACAACGGTGTTCCAGAATAGTACTCTTACCTGGGTAGTGACAAGCTGAATAACAGCAATAACCATGTACAGCTGTAGATACTCCTCAGATCTCGCAGTTGTCCCTGTACATGAGGTGATAGCTGCGATGCAGTGCAGTGCCCGAGGGCCAAGCCGACCGCGATGCTTTTCTCGGTTCAGTGGCTACCGAATTAGCTCTTGCGACTAGCACTTGCTAAGCGCCCCAGTCCAGCTTTTGGTGCTTGAAGATCCTCGGTCCAAGCGAGAGTCTGAATTGCTCACTCGTCTGACAAAATCATAGCGTCACACGTGAATGCAGCCATCATGCCCATACCGCCCAAAATCTACGCCGATATCATTCCAAATGCTATAGCTGTTGGCCCATTCAACACTTGTCAGACTGATCTATTGTCCAGTGGAAGTAGCATGGATCACTCCACGAGTCCACCTGCAGGCCAGTCTTATGGACTCTCAGCTGGACAATTCACCCTCCCCAAAATCTAGAGGCCCAGTTAAAGGCCAACCCCTCTCCACTCGAAGCCCTGATTGCGAACCAAGTCTTCCCGCTCTGCCGGCTGGTTGCGCTGCACAGATGCACAGCAACCACCTCGCCGCCCACTCTTTTTCTCGCCAGCATCTGGCACTCTGGGTATCGAAGCACATCTCGAAATCATCACCAGTCTTTCCTGGGAATCGACGTCATTCAATCATACTTCCACCTCCTCCCCGTCGCATCTTAGTTCCCTGTGCTTCTTGTCTTGTCCGACTGCTTCCTTGACTCGATTCCATTCCTCTACATCTGCATCGCTTGATACCCGGGACTCAGCTTGTATGCCCGAGTGCGCCAGTAGCTATCTATACAGTATCAGTCCTTTGCAGCATGCTGTCTACGACATAGCTTGTCTTCAGTCTCCCTCCTGATCACCTCATTCACCCACCCTCCCCTGAAGCGAGCTTCCGCAAGCACGAGTCCGCATCACTCAACATGGCGTCGAGACCTGTAACTCCGTCGTCGCCTATACAAAATGCGCTGCCGAGTCATGAAGATCGTTCGATATACTCCGCACGGCCTACCACCGCCAAATCTGCTTCTCGGCCGGTATCCTACGCGGGCACCCAAGTTACCCACCATACCGATGCTCCCTCACATTATGAAGCATCTCATACCCATCATACCGATGCTGCCTCACATTATGAAGCACCTCAGACTCTGCCCGAAGAGCCATCCGCCTTATCGCACACGGACGAGCTAAATGATGGGGTTCATGATACTAGCGAACAAGCTCCAGAGCTTCCTCGGAACGATTCGCACATCTCAGGGACCCAAACCCTTACCCCCTCTCGAGGTGGTACATTGAAAAAGAAGGCTTCCTTGCACAAGAGCGGAAGCCTGAAGAGGACCGCTAGCAAACGAAGCAGCTATGCTGGCTCAGTGCGCAGCGTGCAGCTGGTCGAGAAGGAGAAGTATGGCGAAACGGAAGAGACGAACAGCGTCTTCTATTGCCCTGTACCGACGACTGGAAACCCCACTGAGCTGCTCGCGACTCGGTTCCAAGGTAGGCGACAACATTGTTGCCCGAAGAAGTCTTGCTAATATCATCGCAGCCTGGCGAAGAGTTCTCAAAGATATCATTGGTTACTTCCGCGAACTACACAAAACGTACGACCAAAAATCAAAGTCACTGATGTCTGCGTCCAGTGCCATCAACAATACCGCAATGCTTCCAAACTTCCTAACATCTGGGGGAATAGGAGATGCTGTCTACATTTTGCGCGACTTTCACAAACAGGCTCTGAATGAAGCCAACAAGGCGCGCGATCTGGAAAATGAAGTAATCATCCAACTCACGGGTCTCCGCAGTGATTTGCAACAAAAGATCAAGGAGATCAAAAGCTTGTCTGGTGACTTCAAAAACTCGGTAGACAAGGAACAAGAAGCTTCCAAAAGAGCTGTGCGATCCTTGCAGGAGTCTCTCGGCATGGTCGACGCCGATGCCGCATCGACCAGTGGAAAGGGTGATCCTTTCTTGGTCAAGCTCTCAGTCGACAAGCAAATTGAGAAACAAATCGAGGAAGAAAACTATCTGCATCGGGTAAGACTCAGCGTCCCAAGGACATGATGTGCTTTGATATACTGACAATACCAGGCATACCTGAACCTCGAGGCCTCTGGTCGCGAACTCGAGTCCATCGTCGTGGGCGAGATTCAAAAAGCGTACAATGTTCTGGCTGGCATACTCCGTCGTGAAGCCGATGAGAACTATGACGTATCAGACAAGCTGAAGGAGGGACCTCTACAAATGTCCAAAGACCATGAATGGGACGAGTTCACAAGCAAGAATAACCAGATGGTGGATCCGCGCAAACCTGTTCGCCAGTATGCGAACATTATCTATCCGGGCAAGGAACATCCAGCAGCAATCGAAGTCAGGAGTGGAATGCTTGAGAGAAAGAGCAAGTATCTCAAGAACTACACACCTGGATGGTAAATTTCCCCGTGAACCACAACCTTGAGGATCACTTCTAACAATTTCATCAGGTACATCCTAAGTCCAACACATCTGCACGAGTTCAAGTCAGCCGACCGCGTGTCGAGTCAATCTCCAGTGATGTCGCTATATTTGCCGGAGCAAAAGTTGGGCTCCTACTCTGAGCCTGGCTCGTCATCGCATAAATTCATGCTTAAGGGTCGTCAAACCGGATCTATGCACCGTGGGCATGCTTGGGTATTCAGAGCAGAAACTCATGATACTATGCTTGCATGGTATAACGACATCAAAGAGCTTACCTCAAGGCGAGGCGAGGAACGTAACGAATATGTTCGCCGGACTCACTCCCGATCGTTTTCCGGCAACAGTCTCAATAAACCGGCTAGCATCATCAGCTCAGAAGGCGGAATGGAAGAAGATGAGGCTGACCACATTGCCTTCGCAGGAGAACAGTCCGTCCGCGGAAATTCTGTTGCCGAAGGGGCTGGTGTAGCTGAAGCAGGAGGCTTAGAGGTTTTGGGTGCGGACGGGATTGAGGACGACAGATCGGAAGCTGGATGGCGTCCTCCTCAACAGAGGCCAGCACCAGGTGGGCGATTTCCGTCTGATCTCAACATCCAGCGAGGCTTAGAAGCCCCGCAATCCCCTTCAAGCGCGGATGATTCTGACCGAGATCGCGATGTTATAGCAGCTGCAGGTGGGCTACCAGGGAGCGGCGTACCCTTCGCGGATACCGTGGAAAGACACACCGAGTTGCAGCCGGCCGCGTATCAGCCTGCTACGACTCAGTCGGCAACCTATCAGCCAGGCACGTATGAGGAGACCACTTATCAGCCTGCCCCCCAGGAGCCGTCGGGAGTCAACAGAAGTATGAGCACCAACAGTCAATATCCCCCAGGTCAACATCCGAACCTTTTCCAAGCCCTCCACGGAAACCAGGGTGCGCCATCAGCCGGTGCGCCGTCAGCTGCTCCGCCGTCAGCCGTGGACGGAGGCAGCTCATATGGCGACTGGATGGCACCTATCGCCGCAGGTGCAGGAGGTGCCGCCGTTGGAGCCGGGGTCATGCATCATCACGAGCATCAGCCGCAACAGCAACAGCAAGAACCAGTAGCTGAAGAGCCCATACATCAACACGAGGCCGAAACCGCGATTCCTGGTCCAGGCGAGTCTTCAGCCCCAATTATGGTGGACACTGCTGCCCCAGTGGACGCACCTAGTGCACCACGTGCGATGAGGGAGTCGATGAGCGAGTCCACGACCGCCCCCAGCTCGGCTCTGGCCAATTCAGGAACGGATGTAGCGACTTTGTCCACTGTCCCTACCAGTACAGGTTACGTGAATGACAGCATGTTCGATTACAACGGAGTATACATCGGCCCAAGGACAGCATCGACAGAACCTACGCACTACACCTTGAAGGCGGCAGACCGGTCTAAGAGTAGCACGACCATCAGCCACTTGCACATTCCTGGAGAGTTTCCTGCTACGACTCCATTGAACGAGGAGGCGAGATTGTATGGGGATGTGATCGAACGATGAAGCGCGGAGGATGGAAGCGGCATCCAAGATCGCCACCAGGGGGCGCTCTTACAAGCAGGATGATACGTACACGGGATAACCAGGTGACCAGTCCATATCTTGAAATGTTTGTGCCGCATACATGCTGCTATCCAGTAATAGTGAAGGACCAGAGTCACAAGGCTCGATTGTTTTGTGAGGTTGTGTTCTTTTGGATTTACCACGATCGCTTTGTGGTGTGGCTCTGGCTTGTTTCTTTCGCGTCCGAGGATGCCTGTTTTGGGCATACAAGATAACGCAGCCACAGCAGGTCATTGAACTTGTCAACGTGGCGACGAAACGGCAGAGTATCCAGAGGAGGCACTGGGAATTACGATAAGGGGATGGGATGCATTGGGCGTCCAGAGGTAACGTTAGTTTGCGAGTCAGAACCAGAATCGACCCTTGTGATGCTCTTTTCTCACACTCGTGTTCATACATTCGTAGGTAATTAGTAGTATGGACATTTTTCATCATGAAGTCATTGCATCTTATGCGTTGCGGAACTCGTAGTCTACGACTGCGAGTGCGCTTTGTTGACGGAGCGAGGGTTATTCGATACCGGTCATTCTGTAATGTTCCTGTTCAAAGCACTTGAACATGATACTCTTGGAGAAAGCTATAATGCTTCCCGATGAGATTTAGACGCTATACAACCTCGTCAACGTGTGCGCGGGTCGAGCTTCCTGGCAGCGAATAGGTCCAACGCCATCTTGGTATCGTCAATGGCCGCCACCACCGGCTTCATGCCCGCCACGTTATTCTGCATACTGACCAGATGACTCCGGAGCTGGGTGAGAAGGGGTCCAAGATCTGGATCCGAATCACCATTCAAGGTAGGCGTGGCGGTCGTGGTGGTGGTCGTACTCGAAATGCCTGCAATCGTGTTGATACGCTTAATTTGTTCAACTTGTGCATCGTCCTGGTTGTCGTCGAGTTGTTGTACGATAGGATGTAATCCCCGCTCTTTCTTGCGACGGAGCTCACTGCTGGATTTCAATCCTCTTTCCAACGCCGCGAGTTCGGCGCGGTCTTGTTTGAGGGCTCTTTGTTCGCGCTTGATTTGACGACTCAGCAGATGCGCGGATTGGATGTTCGTGGTCAATTGCGATTGGAGCGAGGATACTCGGTGTAATGTGTTGGATAGGTCGAATGGGGTCTCGTCCTGTGCGGCGGTTGGGATCGGTGGGAAGGGCATGCGTGGGAGGCGGGAGATGAGCTTGTCTGTGATTTCTGCGACGATTTTCTCGTATTCTTCTTCCTTTATTGAGGCCTTCGAGGTGGACTTGGGTTTGCTGGTCTGGGAGCGATTCAAGGGAGGGATCCGGGCTGTGCTGCCGGAGCGTTTGGATTTGATGTTCAGGACGAGTTGTCTGATTTTGTCTTGTGAGGTGGTGGGGAGGGGTTTCCATTTTTTCTGGATGGTTGCTTGGGATATGTTCTTGATGCGAGGTTCGAGGGTCGCGAACTTTTGGCGGCGCGTGGCGGCGGAGGAGGATGATGGTTTTGACGCGCCCATATCTGCGAATTTGACAGGGCGATGTGCTAGAGGATGCTATTTGGCGCGTTGGCAGATCGTTTAATCTTCGAGAATAGAGAGTGGTGATGGAAAATGCGGGCGAAGTTGGGCTCAGTGGGTAGGGAGGAAGTGTTGATCTTCTGCGGCGGGACTAGCGTAGCCTCGCGTTAATGACGAGGCTGTACCCCGGAATATCAGGCGAGAATGAGGCTGCACCTTTTGATATCTGCCAGAAGCACTTAACATATAATCACGGACGAGGGGACATCTGATCTTGACGGCGTGAATCGTACAAGTCCAAGTTTGTGTAGTGAGCCGTACCGCTTCTTATAGTATGGCCATCTCTGAGATTGGGAGGCATCCCTCAGTTATAGATGTTGGAACTACAATCATGGGTGCACAGCCAGGGACCCATGCACCATACATCGGCCAGACATTCAAGCAAGCAAGGTAGCCAGTATAGTATTCCTCAGTTCGACCAGGGCTTGAAATTTTGTCGGCTCCGTCTTGTGTCCTCATATTACCCGTGACTGGTTTCTGCCGACGCTGTCCGCCTGGCATGTTCTGCCTCACCCCCTTCTAGCCCACAGTCACAGTAGCTTCCAAACAGAAAACCAAAAAGTATTCGGTCAGAAACAGACTTCGTGGATCGAACCCCAGCTTCGACCAAAAAACGACTTGCCTGAAGCCCAAGAGTGATCAGTTCATGGAGTCCAGGTATCGAAACCCCCACACACAGATCACTGTGGTCTCTGGCAGGGATTTTTCCGAACGCCCGTTGTCGAGTTTCGCCAGCGTTAGGTTGTAGTCTGTCACGAGGGAAACACCTGCTTGAGCTGGCCTTCAACCAATTCCGCCTACTCGGTGTCCGGCTGTGATAGGAATGGTGAGCGGACTAGACAGGTCAGCGTTGAAGCAGTTTTTCACGACTTTAAAATATATCCTTGTATTATTTTGTGATTGGTCCAGTAGTGAATGATTTCTGCGAAGAGAAGGCGGTGGTGAGGTATATCGGTGAAGGAGTACAGTGAAGGACGATGTTGTTGAGGATCCAATGACTAATATGTGTAGCGAAAGTTCGGCACCCCTTCAATCAGGTAAATTCCTTTCCGAGCCTTGCGGTTTGCCAACCAAAACCAGACTGTACAACAGGCAACAAGTACAATCATGGCAATGTGGCTTCCGATACTGACCCAGATTGCTGTTAAGTATCTTGGTGCCTCTGGTTGACGAACGATATAGCTTCCTGCGATCCCTCCCAGACCATTGCAGGCTGAGATCGCTGCTGCCACTGTGGCACGCTTCCATTGTCCAACGACATTGTTTGCCTGGTAAGCATTCAAGGCTGCCCAGTTGCTGACGTACGCCCCCATGGCCAGGAAAGTGCCGATATACCTGATGGTGACCTGACTTGGAAAACCGAGCATGCAGAAGCCAATGATGAGACACACGGCATTGAAGATGATTACCGGCGCTCGAATCCTGTATCTGTCCCCAATGTAGGAAGAGAGGAGCACTGGGAGGACGGCATAGTAATATGGCGGAGAAGACAACAAGATGGCCTTGTTAGAGTCGAAACCCATTCCACTCTGAAGAATGATTGGCAGGAAATAGGACAAAGCTGTCGAAACCAGGTTCAACAGGAAAAACAGCGCGCAGAAGACGTACAGTTTCGGATCGAGGAAATTGACCAGGATAGCGGCCGATGTCAGAGGTTCTGGCTTTCCGCCATCGCGACGGTCGTCGTTGATTCGTGAGATTGCTAGGCTCTTTTCATCTTCGGACAGAAAATGGAACGATCTTTCGCATTGGTCTGGAAATTCAACCATCCAGAAATAGGTGAGAAAGCCGAGAAATATGGTTACTGCTCCCTGGACCAGATACATGTATTGCCATCCGCGGAGTCCCCCTCGGTGATCGAGATGGTTGAGACCAAAGTTGACGATTGAACCTGTTGCAAGAATGATGATTTCGCCAGACTGCAGCAGGGCGAATCTGAGTTGTTGTTCTCTGCGGGTGTAGTATGTTGAGATGAGGTATGTCAGACCTGGAAAGACGCCGGACATTGAAATACCGAGAAGGATTCTGAGCGCTATCATCTGTCGCCAATTCGTGATAGCGGCCGTGCACATGGTAATCAACCCGAAGGCACAGGTGATTGTGGTGAAAAAGATCCTCGGGCCAACGTAGCGAAGCAGGATGGTCGATGGCAACTGGAAACAAATGGATGATACTGTAAAAATGAATATCGATACTGAATATTTGTTGCCAGTGAGATCCAAGTCGGATAACATGCTTGTGACTGATGCTGATGAAATGATGCCACTATCCAGCAGGTTCAAGCTGCACAAGATGCCGGCAATCGTGCATAGTCTGAGATCGATTTTAAGGCGCAGTCGACTCTCCGCTTCTGCACGGGCTGGATCATCCTGGAAGTCATCTTGGACGACTTCGTCTTGCGGCCCTTGGCTGTTGTCGTCGAGCGTATGCCTAGCGTCCTCCGTGGTGCCGTTTATGTAAGCAGAGCTTGACGTTCCTGCATTATCAGGCAGGTCGCTGACGGCGTGCTTACCGTTTGGAGGCGACATAGCGACCACGTCAAAGGAAGATTGAGGGCGTGAGACTACAGTGTCTCATGTTTCGGAATGACTATGCGTGCTCCGTAAGAAACAAATAGCTGCATACGTTCTCCGACAGAAAGACAAAGAAAGAAATATTTCGACATGACTCGGAGATCCGCTTTCGGGGTAGACCGCGATTGGTGTGAAGGTATAGAGTGGTTGATGAGAAACCTAAGTTTAATCTCGCAGCAAAGTGGATGGAAACCTGTCTGTTCCTCACGCCTCTGAGCTTCATTGATTCGTACCATTCCCCACGAGAAGTGCCGCTCTTCGCGAAATGTCTTTGTACGTTTTGCCATGCAATATGTCAATCCTTTGGAAGAATCGGAGTATAGTACTCATTCACATGTCAAAGCCCGGAATGGGTATCAAAACAGGGTCTTCAAAACACCGTGGTCGATGACCAAGATAATGGGCATTGAAACACTAAACTTTTGCATGCATTAAACAGAAATGGATCAAGCAGCCAATGCTCCTCCGGGTATCTTGCAGTATAAACAACACCTGACTCCAAACAGACGCGTTGCTCAAAACAGTCCTTACCAATATTCCCTCATCGTCGTGTCGTGCAGTCCACGTCGGGATCGAAACCGGTCACAGACTTCTAACCCTTGTCATACCACTTGTTTATAGCGCCGACAAGCATCTTCCAGCAATTTCCTCCCACTGCCGGCTCTGTGTCGACAATATCATAACCCCTAAGATCATTTTGTTAGCCAAGGATCTTTGATAATGGACTAGCACTGTTGATAGGACCTACTCAGGTATATCGAACCCAACGGCGTCGTCAAGATTTTTGAGCTTCTCTGTATATGCAGGATCGTTGCCAAATTGGATGAACTGGATACCAACCTGCCTTCGGGGATACTTGAGGTCCTTCATGGTGGTAGTCAGAGCTGTGATCACCTCACCAACATTGCAGTGCGGTTGCCACACAGCATCGGTAAAGACATAGATGTTGAGGGGCTTCAGTGTATCCGACTTTCCGAAGAAGCTTTTTCTCTTTCCAGGCGTACTCCTTTCTCTACGGAGACGCTCCTCATATTCTTCTGTGATTCGGCCGAGCATGTCAGCCATATTGGATTTGGCCACCGAGTTGACTAGCTTGCTGGCGAGTCGACTTTCCATCGTTGTTGCATTCGCCACGTTGTGCTTGCCCTCGGTGCAGGTAAAGTAGAGATCCATGCCATCCTTGTCCGAGGCTTTCACAATATAGGCAAGAGCTTTGGCAAGGTCAATAACACTGTCCTTGCCCCTCCAGTATTTCCTCATGCTACCCGCATCATCAATTAGAAAGACCTAGACATATACATTAGCCGCAAGTTTTCCCAGGTAACCATAGTTCTGCATACGTGATCTCGGAGCCCAAGTTCACGCATGATCTCATCTTTGTGCTCAAGAGGAACAACAACGTCTCGGTCTCGTTTCTTCCGAAGTACCCAATTCTCCAGCTCGCCCAGCGTGATCTTTGGGAGTTGGGGCCTTTCCACCTTTAGCACCTCCGCCTGTACACCTCCATTTGCTGTCGGGTCTTGGGTGGAAAGCGCGCCCTCCTGGCTTCGTGCGGCAGAAGGCGCGGGCACGAGGGTTCCCTGTTGAGCTCCTTCGCCCAAGGGGACAATGGCTTCCCCAGGGCTTCGGTAATTTCCAGATGGGCTGGAGATGTTGGGAACGGTAGGTCTCTCTGAAGAGCCAGTCGTGTTTTGCCGGGTGTTTGATTGTCCTGAGCCTAGACCTCGAGCTCCGTTTACATCGGAAGTGTGCTTTAGCGACAGGGAGTCCATCTCGGAGGCAAGAGCTGACGACTGAGAGCTGTTTTCATTGTTCAGTGAGCTTGGGTCTGACGCTGACATTGGTCGTAAGGTTGGACGCGACACCGACCCTGGGTCCTGAGGAGCGTGAGTAGTGACCGCTGGATCTCTCACCAGGGACTCGAGACTCCCACGACGTGAGCTTTCTGGGCTTGATGGCACCACTTCAGGAAAGTTAAATGTTTGCGATTTCCCCATAGCTCGCGGCTCTGCATGTTTGGATGCCTGGCCTCCCCAGTCATGTATGCCCCCGTCCGGGGGCAATTTGGCCGGTAGCCTGCGGCTCTTTCCCTTGTTGGGATTTGACCCACGTTGCCTCTCGCTGGGAATTACGCCTCCGTTGTTTCGTTCTGCTTCAGCTTGCTCTGCGTTGGTTAGTATTGTTTGAGCCTTTTTCCTCAACTGCCTTGCATTAGGTCGGCCTTCGAAGTCATCAAGCATCTCATCAAGCAATTTCCGTATCACCGCTTTTGTGATATGGTCGCTCTCGCGAGTACTTGAAAAGACCTTGTTGTGAATGTCCTTGACACATTCGAGGACGGTCTCTCCATTGTGGAAGCAACCGTGGTCCGTAAAATCATTCATTTCTGCCGTTTCTTCCCGTCGATCTCTTTGATAGCGTACCAAAGCGCCTTTTCCAAGCACCACCCACACCGCAATCTCGCTGTAGACGCAGCCGAGAGACCAGATGTCAACGGATTGCTTGACATCAAGTTTTTGATTTCGGTCGAAATAATCAAACCTATAGCATTCGGGAGCACCTAGGGAAGACGTCAGCGAACTGAGCACACTGTGTGACAGATATGTATGCCTAAATAATGCCTCACCATAAATTCGGGTACCTTGGGTGTCCCTGTCAGCTTCCTCCCGGTTTCCGCTCTTGATTCTCCGGAAATGGGCTAGACCCAAGTCTGCCAGCTTGAATTGCACATCAAACGAACAGTTCGTCTTGCTAGGTGTAACTAAGATATTGGACGGTTTTATATCTTGGTGCCATCTGCAGGATGGACGTTAGTAAGATGCATTTTACGGGATAACAGCGGTGCACCTCACCCTTGTAGGATAGGCGGCCCTCCTTCATCTTGGCTTAGCGAGTGAATACTTTGGATTGCCTTGGTAAGCTCGAAGATAGCGCTCCAGAGTTTGTGAATGTCTTCGGCATCAGTTGGTGGATCGTTCTTTTGCAGAAAGTCCTCAAGCGTGCCGCCACTGGCGTACTCAATGAGGGTATTGAAGGTTTTGCCTTGTCTGAAGCTTCCAAAGAACCCGATCACTACCTTGCCCAAGCAACCGGACTGAAGTCGAAGGCGCTGGAAGGCGTTGATTTCATTGCTGTAGTGCAATTCGGCATCCTGCGTACGGTATGTCTTCAGAACATACGTGTTTGTAAATCCTTTATTTGCGTCCTTGAAGAAGCAGGTCAACAATAGCTCGGCCAGGGAAATCTAGAGAACACTTACCCGACCTGGGTCCCGGCCAGGAGTAAGACCATCGTAGGCGGTGTGGACCGTAATCTTGTACAAATCTGCGAATCCACCGGTTCCGATGAGCACTTTCGATTTGATGGGAAGAATGCGCTCAGGAGCCAGATGAATGTCGACACTGTTGTGGAAATGATGAGAAAAGAACTGCCATTGGCGTTCAACGAATCTTTGAAAGAAGTCTGGGCACATGTCCGTCGTGGGAAATTTTGCAGGAGGGCTCTCTCTATCGAAGGGCATATGACCATCCCAGAGACTATCATATTGGACGAAGTATTGTATGTATTTTCCCATGCCGATCAGTAGAAGGATCGCAAACCCCTTCGAGCATTTGCCGAGGATATCTTGGGACTGGAGTGGAGGATCTTCGCTGTCCCACAGGGCTCGAAGAAGATTGCGGGTATTGGACGCATCTTTGAGATAGGTTTCCAGGCGCGATCCGATCATGAACTGTGTGTTGGGTTTCTCTGTGTCACCCAAAGTGCCAGGAACGCTGTTGTCATCCACCCATTTCCGAAAGCTTTGAATGATAGGGTGATGGTCGGGCTGTTTGGTAGCCATAGCTTTCGGTGGTCCCACGACGTACTAATCAAGTTCTGTAGCGTCGTGGCCGTGTCCCTGAATTGCGACCAGAGAGAGCTGCGAACCGACAGACTCAACTTCAGGTAGGCGATAGGCACAGTTGACTGTCAAAGCACCGGTGGTATAGAAAAGGACAGATGACAACAAGATGGGACGAGGGTGGGCGCAGTCTGAGAAGAAAGAGCGACAGCCTTATGAAGCCGTTATCCTTTCCCAAGTGATGCGCGCGAATATCTGACACCACCTGATAAGCCGTCCTCGATGAGTCCACCGTCCGGAGCCCATGCCCATGAGCACGTCAGACCCTTGCCATGGGATTGGCATGTACACGGTAGTGCCTGGCGCCGCCAGAGCACTGCCCTGAGTTAGACATCTTCAGAGGACCGGAGTGTGGGTCGGCTCTCCTCGGTCAGGGCCGGGGGATCTTAAGACCAAAAGCTTGCACAAAGTTTCTCATGTGCGCACTGCTTTCTCAGGCTGCCCAGGCATCGTTCGCATCGAAGAGAGGCGCCCACGCTAACGCAACCTCGCGTTGGGATTACGAGGTCCATTGGGAAATTTGCCTGCTGAGTTGCTAATCAGTAGACGCTACTGTACTCGTACTGCCACAGCTGCCTCGTGGCGAATTTAGACTTCCCAGCCCCACTGTCCCCCGCCAAAGTTTGACTCAATTAGGCGAGTACCCTAGCCAAAATCTGCCCTCGAGTTGAACTACAAGGAGGGGATGTCTGTTCAGCTTTTTCAGCTATCAACCATTCGATTCATGACTTGTGATCGATTCGGAAACAGAAGTCGCGCATGATCTGGGAATTGGCAGGTTTTAAGCTGCGACCCTGATTAATCACACCTCCCTACGGTGATGCTGCTGACGCTTTTCCTTTGACCTCAGCCTTGTCCCACTGTCTCTTCTGCCACCAATTGAGAGCAAAATTCGTTACCACCCACATCAAGACCGTCAGTGCCATCAAAATGAAACTGATTTCCAGAAACAAATGTAGAGCGCCCAGCGAGACCACCTTATGGTTTAGCGGTTCAGGCTGATTTTGAAAGGTCACGATATCTGTACTCATCAAGGTCTGTCACCATGTTAGTATAGTGCCAACCCTGCCTTTCGCGCACAAGGACTCACCGAAACGAAAGTTCCTGGTAAGAATATCAACGTAATGACCGTGATCACTTTCATGGACACGGTCTCCTTTTGAGTCTGTTCCGCTATCCGTTCCATTCGTCGGGTCATAGTTTCCATTTTTTCGGAAGATTCCTTGGCTTGAGCGGCCAGCCAGCTACTGGCTTGCATGCTTTGATACTCGATTATACTGCTCATCTTGATCTGGTAAGCTCACACCGTCTCACGTCGAGTTCCATCATGCGTAACTTACAAGAGTCTTTCTTTCCGCAAGCAGGCGTGACAGCGTCTCCAGGCGAGATTGGTGCAACTGCATTTCTGATACCGCGCCAGTGATACTGATCTGGAACTTGGTGAGAGCCGCCTCGCAATTTTTCGCCATGTCTTTCGGGGCGTCTTTCGAGTGGAGTATGGTCCCATAGTGTTCCAGAAGACCAGTCATTACACTAATCTGTGTCCTTAGAATCAAAAGAGCAGCATTCGTCCGTTCCTCAACCCTCTCTACTTTCCGGATGTCGTCGATGTCGAACTCATCTGCGTTCGGCTTCCTTTCTTGTTGCTGTGCAGTTACCCCGGGTGGAAGCTTGCGAGGAAGTTTCCTGGCTGGGGAAGCGACAGGGGGCTGTGCTGGACGAGGCTGGGCTGTTGGCAATATTGGCGGTGCCTCTTTCCTCCAAGTAAACGCTCGCTGAATTGTTGTCCAGGTCTGACTTCTCTCGATTGTTGGGGAGGTTGCGCCTGTCGCTTGTGAAGACGCACGCAAAGCTGCAACTACAGAATCTTTGTTGATGGTGACGTTCAATGTGCGATCTGTGATCTCCTGGACCTTTTCCTCCAGAAAATTGACATACCATAGCCAGTTTTCACCGACCCAGTCCTTAAACGATTCGTGCGTTGCAAGAGATGTCGCGAAACGTTCATCCCTACTGCCGAGTCTGCGGAGCTGTGGATGATTTGGTGACTCGATGGCAGAAGCGACCTGGTCCTTGATCTTAGGGTCGCCTTTAATTAGAATCCAGAGCATGCGTCCCGTTTCGAAGTCAAACGAATGATAGATGGACATTGGCTGTACGGACCATTCCCAGTTCTGGAATGCATTGGTCTTAGCAGGTGCCCACAGGCTGTAAGAGACTTGCAACCTGAGGCCACTTCGACTGAGTGGGTCCACTCGCAGACCTCTGTCGGCCTTCGAGAGCCGCGTTTCGTGTTTGAAGCCGCTGTAGAAGAAGTCTCTGGCATCTGCTGTCTTGCCAAATGGGAACACAAAGTCCAGAAAGGCCGGCATGACTTGATAGTAGGTGAGCAGCGCCATCAACATTTCCCTAGTCACCCGTAGTCTGTCCCGAGAATTCTGTGCATGGATAAAACTGGTGTAGAAGATGAGCACGGGTTCACTAAGGGAGGCAGGAGATAGATTTTTTCTCACATGAATTGGCTCTGAGCGTCCTCATCAGACTGCAGCTGTCCTTCTTTGAAGCCAAAGTAAGTCCGTAGATCGTCGTAGGATTTCACACAGCCGGGGACAAATGGGCTTTGAGACTCCCTGCACCTTAGTCCATGAACATTGGCGTCTGCGTCTGAACAGAACAGATCCTCCTCGCGACTGTCTAGCCTCTTCTTCAGCGCCTCTAGAAAATGGTCGTACGTCTGGTGATGGAGAAGGGCAGTTGCTTTTGGATACTCCTTTGCAAGCTTGAAGCAATCCACTAGCTGATTCATCTTGCACACACTGGTCTGGGAAAGTCTGAATGGGTCCTTGTAGGTTTGAAAGTGCTATGTGCTATGGAAAGCTATCGTGGAGGACATGAGGAGTCCTACTTGCTTTCATATCTTGCCAGAGACATACCCGATGAGGCTGGTGGCATACCAAGAATTGAGGCTGCATTTGCTAAACGCCTAACGTAGTGCAGGGTCCTGGACTATAGCAGCCACTGTCAAAGCTGAGACCTGTCAAGCTGTATCATAAACACCCCTCAACATGCCCACATGCGCCGTCGCCCTCTAATGTGAGTCAGGCTGACCTCTTCCATGAATGTGGCCAGAAGTTACGAAAGAGGGGTTCAATTGTTTGGCGTGCGCTTGGACAAAATTTCGTCCTCCTCAGCCTGCAAAACATGCTCAGCCTCATGCCACAATCCTCACATTCTCGACTCACCTTGGTCAAATCTCTTGGAATCCAGAATTCGTACTTATCGCCTTTTGTCAACTTTGAGTTTTGAAGTCAGCCATGACCGGCTAAGCCCCACTGGTTGGACAATGCTTGGGTCACGTACTTTGATAAAATACTCGGTAGGCTCATTTGGTGACAAAAACTTGTCGAGGCACGCTTGTAAATCAGCCTCCGCCAGTCGATACGCCGAAATGTATCTGAATTTGAAGTCGTCCTCAGGCATGTTGCACTGCGAGTTTTGCCAAGGCAGAAGGCTTTCACGGCTGCAGCTAGTTAACGACCAGCTTCAAGAAGGCCAGCAGGCGAGAGAACAGAATCCCTGGGGAAGGTTGGCGGCGAAGTCGCCTGGCCTCGACCTGATCGGGCGCCTTCATCCCTACTTATGTGGCGGGCTGAGTGCGAAGGATTTGAAAGAAGGCGACGTCACACCCCAGCTTGCCAGCAGGCGGAGTAATGCAAAGTCCATTTTGTCAGGCCTTCTTGTGGACAGGCATTTGTGGCTAAGCGCCTAACTGGCCAAAGAACTGGCCAATCAAGCCTGCTGTCTTGAGCCTCATCACTGCATAGCCGGGGCATCGGTGCGGTTGTCAAGGCCTATGTTCATGCCTCTACCTCGAACTGGTGAGGGTTTTCGTGCCTACTGCAAGCCTGCACGCCTGCATGGCGGTAAGTCAACAATCAAACAAGAGCGCTCGTGTACCGGAACTTGGATTTGGCCGGGAGATCTACGACATGATCACAGATGCACAGTTGGTTTGGCAACGTTTGCAGAAGAAGTGGCCACGTTATAGGCGGGACAACAAGAGACTGAGCATCTTTGCTTGACTGGATTGCCAGGTTGAAAAAGCTATGGGATACAACTTGCTGCGTTCGTCGACAGGGAATCATGACGAAGAGAGCTGCGATAAGAGTGGTGTAGCCGCCTCCAGAGAGTGCTTACGGTGCTCTTATGGCACTCGGGACCAGCAAGACTCCATTGACAGGGCCACAACTGTTGAGAAAGATGGCACTCAATATATCAGAACGTGCAGATCCAGTGTTCGTATGCGAGGCTCGACGTTCTGATGATGGGCTTCATAAATGGCGTTGATGTTCGGCGACAGAATGTGAGCAGGAGTTTTCAAGCCTCGCGCCAGTCACCGATTAACATAGGTTCTATCCTCAGGCATCTGGGGGCCACCATGCTGAAGCAAAGTCGGCTCATTTGAAAGCAGGCGGAGAAAGTCCAGGGGTTTCTAAAGTATTATGAGTACTGAAAGAACTTTGACCAGTGATTAATAGGCCGAAGTTTGGCCAAGACAATCGGTGGAGGGGCCGAAAATCCGGCCGGTCGAGCGGAAGTCCCCACGACGATGCCGCCGAAACGAGGTTGCGTCGAGGTTCTGCGGTTGATTCCTTCCGCTTCATGTTCGATTCTCGGGTGTTTAGAATCTCGGTCTGCGAGGCCACTGTCAAATAGCCCACATCAGACGCGAAATTGTCGTGCCTTCTATAGGTCATACATCAATCTTAGTTCGACATCATTGCTAAGTTCTGTAACGCTTGAATCAATCGAATACTGACTATCGCATACCCACAGTCTTCCTTCGGTTTTCTTGATCTCCTCTCTATAAACAATCCCAGTCGCACCACCCACATGAGTATCTTTGTATGTTGCTTGTGTGATCAGGCTTGATTGTTACCAGCATGGTCGAGCTGATCCCTCCTCCCGACCCTCACACCCTCCTACCGCCTCTGCTCGCATGTCTACCTACTTCTTTCGCCTCTCCAAGACCTCCACCGACCTTGCTGCGACTCCTTTCTCCCATACTACGGCAACGCCTTGAAGTCCACACCTCGACTTCGTCTCATGATAGCTGGGCCAGTCTATTATGTTGGGACGCAAGCAAAGGCGAAGTCCTCAAGGACAAGATCGAGCAAGCGACCTTCGAGCCGCACCCAGTCTCGGGAGAGCTAGAAGTCGGGGACACCGAACCTATAACGTACAAGAGATTTGATGAGGAAACGTTACGAGCACAGGTCCCTCTGATTGACTGGCCTTTCACCGTTTTATATTTGTGGTGCACCGGGAGCGAGGAGGGCAATGCTTGGAAGCTGGCCGAATTGTTACCGTTTGACAACGATCTTCAGAGGGATCCCTCCTGGTCCTCGTCCATCGTCGAAGCAGATGAGAGTGCCAGGGAGAGATTGGTGACTGAGGCTTTGCAAGAGGCGGACCGGGCAAATGCTAGAAGTCAAAGGAATCTGTCTGTTGCACAGGGTGATGATGATGATTATTGGGCAATGTACGACAAATCAGAAGGAAGAACCCCAGCTCGCAAGGCTTCAATCGATCCTCGCGCCGGTCCATCAGAAGAGGAGTATTATGCTCGCTATGGCATTGTCCAGCCTGCAATGGATGGCCACGACCCGGACGAGGAGACAACAGACGTCCAGTCATCGTTAAATGGCAACGTGCTGCAACAACTGCTTTCAGCGCAATCAAATCCATCTACAGTACGAGAACCTCCACCGTATCAAGGTTCTTCTGATCGTGACCAAGATGAGAGAGAAGTGGAGGTCACCCAGCCAGTGCCCTCATCGCCATCCTCAAGGGCGTCAGATACGGTGGCGCGGCTGGAGCAACACGCAGAACGCTATGGAGCTTCAGAGGCTGGGATCAGGCAACATATCAGCACGACTTTGAAAAGCATGTATCGACTGGCAAAGAGTGCGGGTATGGATCGAGAGGAGTTTGATCGTATAGTGCAGAGGGAATTGGAAACCCTCAGCATCTTTGATAGACACGACTGAGCGCGTGAGTGAGTAAGATTCGCATATTAGCGTTAGGAGTCGTTGCCGGACATATTCAACAATCAACAATATTTGTAAACCATCAGACCAGTATCTTGAAGGACACAGAGTGATAGAGGGGAAGTATGGAGAATTAAGTCGGGTGCACCCTTAATGACCCTTCTACGCGAGGCTCTTGTGCACGGGACCCACGCGGCCCCCGAAAACGTCGCGTCCCTGAGCACGAAAGTTAAGTTCAGGAATCAGGACACGTCGATGAAGCTGCCCTTCGAATGTCAAAATAATGCCCAATCTGAGTTCGAGGACACTTGGTCGTCTCTCATCTTGTTGAGGGTTGCTCCTTTCTTCTGAACACTTCTATTTAATTCCTTCCCTTCCTTTCTCTTCGAATCCATTGCACCGTTCTTTCCGCGGCGGATCTACAATCAACACCCAACGTCCTGCATTGGACCACACCAACATGTCTACTCCAAACGCTTCTCTGCGCCAGAGACCTGGGAAGGACAAGGGCAAAGTGGTGATCAATGGCGATAGGCATGAAGATGGCCCGGCCAATACATACGAGCCTTTGAAGAGATCCGCGTTAAGAGAATGGGACTACAAGATTGGTCTGACCATAGTCACCATTCTTGCCTTTGTTACCCGTTTCTTCGGCATCAGCCATCCTAACGAGGTTGTGTTCGATGAAGTCCACTTCGGAAAGGTCTGTGAGCATCTGACAACACAGTTGTGGCTGCATGGCTGACCAAGAGTTGCAGTTTGCATCCTACTATTTGCAGAGAACCTACTTCTTCGACGTCCATCCTCCCTTCGGCAAACTGCTCTTCGCTTTCGTCGGCTGGCTTGTGGGCTATGATGGACATTTCCTCTTTGACAACATTGGTGATTCCTACATCAGCAACAATGTCCCATACCTTGCCTTCAGATCCCTTCCTGCGCTCCTCGGAGCTCTCACTGTTGTCGTGGTATACTTGATCATGTGGGAATCGGGCTATTCACTACCTGCCTGCGTTTTGGCGGCAGGATTGATCCTCTTCGACAATTCACATGTGGGACAGACTCGACTGATCCTTCTCGACGCCACTCTCGTCTTCTTCATGGCTCTAAGCGTCTACTCCTACGTCAAATTTTACAAACAGAGACATGAAGCGTTCAGCCGAAAGTGGTGGAAATGGCTATTGGTTACAGGCTTCTGCATGAGCTCTGTCATCTCTACCAAATACGTTGGAGCATTCACCTTCTTCACCATTGGCTGTGCTGTCCTCATTGACCTGTGGGATCTGTTGGACGTCAACCGTAGGGAAGGGGCTTTGGACCTTCTTACTTTTGGCAAGCACTTTGCGGCCCGCGCCGTGGGGCTCGTCGTCATCCCCTTTTTCTTCTACCTCTTCTGGTTCCAGGTCCATTTTGCCGTCTTGACGCGGTCGGGTCCTGGAGATGACTTCATGAGTCCTGAGTTCCAGGAGACACTTAGTGATAACCTGATGCATCAAGCCTCGGTCGACATTCAATACTACGACCTCATCACTTTGCGGCACAAGGATACCAAGGTCTACTTGCACAGTCACCCAGACACTTATCCGCTTAGATACGAGGACGGCCGTATTTCCAGCCAGGGACAGCAGGTGACGGGTTACCCTTTCAACGATACCAATAATGAGTGGCAGATTTTGCCCATGGAAGCAGGAACTAAAGCAGGCCAACTTGTATTGAATGGCGATGTTGTCAAGCTTCGACATGTGGTAACCGACACTATGCTTCTCACGCACGATGTGGCATCCCCTTACTACCCCACAAACCAAGAGTTCACTGCTGTCCCTCTCGATGCTGCTAATGGAGACCGCCACAACGAAACGTTATTCGAGATTCGATTGGAACAAGGAAAGAAGGGTCAACCTTTCAAGTCGCACTCTGGACAATTCAAGCTCGTCCATTATCCTACCAAGGTGGCCATGTGGACTCACACAACACCACTACCCGAATGGGCCTTCAAACAAGCTGAAATCAACGGCAACAAGAACGTCCAGCAGTCCAGTAATATCTGGTATGTCGACGACATTCCTAATATCCCGGCCGATTCGCCGAGATTGATCAAAGAGGCCAAGAAGGTCAAAACCCTACCTTTCCTGGTGAAATATATTGAGCTTCAGCGTGCCATGTTCTACCACAACAATGCCCTGACGGCAAGTCACCCCTATGCTTCACTACCTTATCAGTGGCCGTTCTTGTTGCGTGGAGTCAGCTTCTGGACGCAAGACAGCACCAAGCAACAGATATACTTCCTTGGGAATCCCATAGGATATTGGATAACCGCAGCCCTGCTCGCTGTTTTGGCAGGTATCTTGGGAGCGGATCAGTTGAGTCTGAGACGCGGTGTAGACGCTCTTGATCGTCGTAAGTCATGTTCCTTGAGAATCATCCCAAGTCACCTTGCGCTGACATTCCACTTTCCTCCGCAGGCACTCGGTCCAGACTTTATAACAGCACAGGATTCTTCTTCCTCTGCTGGGCAGCGCACTATTTCCCATTCTACCTGATGGGACGTCAGCTCTTCCTGCATCATTATTTGCCGGCCCACTTGGCCTCATGCCTCGTCACAGGCGCTTTGGTCGAGTTCATCTTCAATGTCGACCCGGTTCTCGATGACGAAATATCTGCCACGATCTCCGCCAAGAAGGACAAAGTCGCCTCCAAGGTCCCTGAGAAGGCTAGACGGTCCTTCCAGACGGCCCAAGAACGGCTGAAGGGTCAAAGCATGTTTGCGACTTGGGTCGCGACGGGCGTTGTGTTGGCCGCCGTCCTTTATGGATTCTACTTCTTCTTCCCCCTCACTTATGGCTGGCCAGGCTTGACGCCCGACCAGGTCAATGCCCGGAAATGGCTTGGCTATGACTTGCACTTCGCCAAATAAGTCAAGAAGGCGAGGTTGCATTGCAGATAATGGAAGGCCCAGGTCGATCCTGGCGCATGTTTGCTGTCATGCTCCCCATGCCTTGTGCATGAGGATGATAAGGTAGCAACAAAGGCCGAAAGGAACACATGGAGGCCATTTCTCAAAAAGGCGAAACGACACTGCCATACAGAGCGCTGGGATTCTGCCTGGCAGAAAAAGTACTTGCGATTGGATGGCATGAGAGACATTGTTGGCGCCGGATGTAGATGCGAGTGGTGTTGGGACTAGGCTTTGCGCTCGATAAGAGGGCTCTGGGCTGGTCGGAGACGGTCATATGGTCAGATGAGCTACTTGGAGCCGTCAAAGATATGCACCACGGTCTCGCGTCCCTGCGTGCAGGCTGGCTGGGAAGCAAAAGCCGTGGAAGAGTGACAGGCAAAGCTGAGTGATAACAATTTGAAAGGGTATCCACATGGATTCTATGCCTTGAAATAGTCTAGTGTATGTCGACACTTGATTGGATCTCACTCGAATTTTTCACTCACTATCTGCGTGTCTGGGCGTTGTGAATGGTCAGGTCGTTGAGCCCTTCCCTCTTTGAGAAGGCAAACTGTCGCTTGCGCTGACTCTGACTCTGGACTCTAATCTATCGTCGACAATCATCCTCGTTGTTGCTAGCGTATGTGGATCTGGGATTATCAGCTGGCCTGGCAGTCGACGAGAACTTCGTTCTCACTGTTAGCGTATGTGGGCCAGGCAACGGCATGTCCGAAGGCAAAACTGTTACGAAATGTCGAGGCCGAGTCGAGAAGACGGGCCGTCTACGTTTCTTCGCCATTGTCTCTGTCGATTCTTTACGACTCATGCGGTTTGAAGAGTCTGGCGAGGACAGACAGGGAACAGGGAGCTCTTGCTCCTGCCTGCTGACATCCGTAGCAGTACATGACCATGTGTTCAAGGTGAAATGGTGAGGGCGATCAATAACAGAAAATCCTTGAATTGTACTCTCGCGGGCATTTTCTTCATTTTCTTTATGTGGTATGACAAGTACGTACTTTAGCTAAGTTAGATGGCCTCCAAGCAATTGCACCCATCGTTGTTCCAACAAGTCCATCAACAGATGCTGCGCTAAACGTGAATCGACGCCAGTATGCTTTTGAAAGACTTTGCTTTCCCGAGGTATAAATGCTGAGCGACCACCCCATGCGAACCCAATGCACCTATGTCAAGAAGTAACATGGCAGTGATATTCCGACTCCCTAAACGCCTCGCTTGTAGATTTACAACAAATATTCCCAAGTACAATCACGTCTCATCATTTCATCCAAAGACCAAAGCAAGGAAAATCGTAGAGTTGACCACGCGATGGAATCCAATCACCTGTAATGGACTGCTTCGCTGGCAATTTCAGCCAGTCGCTTAGGCTGATGAACAACGACTTCGTTCTTCTTGTTGATGCCAACTTGGGTCGGGATGTTGCTGACCATGGGGTAACGAGCCCGGCGCTCCAATTCGTCCAGCGGCGTTTGAGAGCGGATGTACTTGGTCCGGCCATCTTCATGGCCCTTCCAGTCCCAACTCTCAAAACGACCTTGACTCAAAGCAGACCAGACAAGTCTGCGTTGACGCTGGGTTCGTAGAACATCTTCGGTGATACTGTCAAAGTCCCATTTGGCGTTGGCTTCCTTCTCAAAGGCTTTGAAGACGGCCTGCGTTTCCGGGTCTTGGCTGGTGGCAAGATTGACGAGTTCTTTGGGGTCCGTGCGTAGATTGTACAATTGGGGAGGATCAACTGGGCATGTGATGTATTTCCAGGCGCCTCTTCGGATCATCATCAAGGGTGCCACGGTCCCTTCTCCCATGTATTCGGCAAATACCGTGTCGTGGCCACCATCGCCACCATACAAATGAGGCAACAATGACAAACCATCCATCGGTAATCCTGGAACCAGTTTCGCGCCAATCAGGTCGACCAGCGTAGGCATGAGATCCAAAGTCGAAACATTTTGAGAAACATGATGAGGTGTGAATTGACCAGGGTTGGAGATGAGCATGGGCACCCGAACAGAGTTCTCAAAGTACGACATCTTGTACCAGAGACCACGTTCACCCAGCATGTCACCGTGGTCACCAGAAAACATAACCACTGTGTTCTCATCCAGGCCGCATTTCTTCAAAACCTCGAGCAATTGACCAATGCAGTCATCAACATAGCTCACCGCACCGTAATAGGCTCGTCGAGCACGTTTGATTTGCTCATCCGTAAACTCATGGCCTTCCAGCTCACAGACATGCATCAGGCGTCTGCTGTGAGGGTCTTGCTCGTCCTCTCTCAAAGTCACGCTGGGCAGCTCGATGTCGACACCTTCATACATGTCCCAGTACTTGTCCTCAATAGCGTAAGGATCATGGGGATGTGTGAATGACACTGTCAAAGCGAACGGTCGCTTGCCAGGTGCATCCCGGGCATAGTCGAAGAGGTACTGCTTGGACTTGTAGAGAACCTCCTCATCGTAGTCGAGTTGATTGGTTCTCACACAAGGACCGGCTTGTAGAATAGAACTACTGTTGTGGTACCATTCCAAGCGACGATCTGGGTCTTCCCAGTTTACAGCCCAGCCATAGTCACCCGGATAAATGTCTGCGGTCAACCTGTTCTCATATCCGTGCAGCTGATCCCCTATGAAATGCATCTTGCCTGCCAATGTGGTCTCGTAGCCCGCGGCACGCAGGTAGTGGGCATAGGTAGGAGTATCAGAGGGAATAGAGGAAGCGTTATCGTATGAGCCAATCTTTGAGGGTAGCTGGCCGCTGATGAGGCACATGCGAGAGGGTGCGCACAGCGGAGAGTTGCAGTAGGCAGAGTCGAAGACGACGGACTGTTCAGCCAACTTGTCGAGGTTGGGCGTCTTGATCTGGGATTTGGGATTGTGCATCTTCAACAGAGGCGCGGCCAGCTGATCAGCCATGACGAAGAGGATGTTGGGCTTTGCTGGGAACAGAGGCCTCGAGAAACCGGCTGCGCCCTGGAAGCCATTCGGTGGTGACACCGGTGGGGAGTCAGGAAGGGGGTTGTAGGAGCCCATGATGGTGTGTATGAGAGTATAGTTGGTCTAGTTGTATAGTTCTGAGTGTGTGCACGTGTGATCTTGCCCGTTCAATTATCTCAGACTTCTTGAAGGAGAGGGAGACGAAACCACCGAAAGTGCGGAGGGATCGCAGATACAAGTAATGAAATTGACCAAAGGAATGGACGAAGCTAATGCGCTGGCAGGTTGAGACTTCCGCTGCGCACTTCGTGTGATAGTTGGGCAGAGTAGAAAAGGAAACGGTAGAAAGGAGAGGGAACATGGAGGGCACCGGGCATATTTACTCAGCATAGTATGGCGTATGTGGGGATGTTCTTTATCGGAGGCGTCACTGCGCAAGGCGGTCAGTGGATGGTTTGATGGTGGCCGCGAGTCTCAATCATCCGTCGCTCATTTCACCATATTTTGTGGAGTGAGAAGAGGAGAAAACGCTCAAGAGAGCGAGTGTCCAGGCTTAGGATGACGCCGAAAGGGAGGCCGTGAGCCTGCGAAGGTGTCATTTTCGCAATCGCAACATTTGGTGGAGGAAGCACGCCATTGTTTGCCACAAATGGAAGTGACATTGGCGGAACGACGGTAAGTTACTACTAATGTTAGGCGGTGAGAATGGAAATTTGCTTTTTTGGTGCCCGGAGCCTGATTGTCAATTTATTAGTGTCTAGTCCCTTCTCTGCGCCGAGGCAGCCCCTTGCATGAAGACCTGGTCCAATCACCACCTGCAGTTCCTGTCGCCTCAAGTGTCGGATATTATGACACTCTGCAGGATGCATCCCCGAGCGAGATCCGTCATTGGACTTCCTGCAACAAGTCGTGAACCATGGGGTTGAATTGAGGGGCGCACGGACAAGGCTGCCCTGCCCGGAGCCTTGAGGAATCTTTTCCCTGTGCAGCCCCCAAATGTTCATGATTACAGCACGAATCTATTTTTCCGCGACATCATTGCAATGCTTGAAGGGGTTTGCAATGTGTGTGAAGATCAGTTGACCGAGATAGTCGTTTGACTTTTCCCGCACTGCACTCAATCTGCCGATGAACGTCTTTGCCAAGTGTGCCGGGCTGCACTTATCGCTCATGCAAGGCTCAAGCCGCTAACTTATCTGCAGTAGTACGACGTACACCAAAGACCCTTGCTTATCAATGCTCGCGTCTCACGTGTCGGCCTCCAAGCGCTGATCTAAAGCCCTTGAAAGCCCTTGTGAGGCCTACGCATCCCATCCTGAAGGAGACATAAAATCCTTTCATGTTGACCACCTCCAGCGCCATGTCTTCTAACTCGGTCATGCAGCTACGCTGTCCATCTTACCACACTGCGATTGGTACCGCAGTCTTATCAGCTGCTCAAGGGAGCCCGGTATCGCGCTTTCTCACTAGCCGTTACCAACTTTTCTGATAGCCTTATCGGGCAGCGCTGCCGATGGTGTGAGGATGTGATTCTGCAGATGGCCACTATCTAGGTTGGGTGTGCACTGTTGCGAAGGTGTAATCCCGCATGCCTAGAGAGGAAGGAAAAGGAGCACGCGATGTCGATGCCTCTGATCAGCCGACAGCCTCTGGTATACCGGATATGCGGGAAACCCCATCCATACTTTCTGGTAACATTAGCGAATGGACAAGCACCGCCTTTTGTTTGATATCCTCGAGTGGCTTCATGTCTCGAAAAAGGGTGCGGATGGACCACCGCCGAGGAAACCCCTCAGGAAATAGTCCCTTGTCTACCCACATATGGCGCGCATTCTCACTCGCCTTCGAGTCTGCACATCGTACATTGTTGAGGTGTGAATGTTTCACACATGTACTCCATATCCGTACTTACAGCATTTGTGCATTGTGAGCATCAGTGAGCATCCTAGCAGTTGTCCCTCAATGTTCGTTGCAAGCCGGCAAAACATCGGCAACTTATTTCGCATGTGAAGGAAGGAGTTCGAGGTCTTTCTCTCTTGACTCTCGACGGCACTCGGCGACGACTACAAGTGCTTCGGCCCTGTAAAGACACGATCAACGACAAATGTTCCAATAGAGTCACTGCTGTGCTAGCAGCCGCAACATGCCGCTCATTGCTCGAGTATGGTGCACACAGCATCCGTCTGCTCTGGGGGATCTCCAATAAGTTAATGCCAGCCACGAAAACTGCCCGCACGAGTGAAAGGTACTCCGTACCTGGCCTAAAGCTAAGTTAGAGCTCTCCACACAGCCAACCTCCCGTTAGCAATGTGTCGCAAAGTCGCAGTTTCAGCAGAATAATCGCCTGCGCATTCCTTTAACGTCTATCTAAGCCGCTCGTTACTGTTTATAAGCAACTCTTCTCTGTTGTGTCTTCAAGTGATCTTGGATTCTTGTAACAACCTGCGCGACAACCCTCAAACGCTTCGCACTCCAGCAGAGTCGCAAAACTCACCATGGCCGACGCCGAGGACCCAGTCCAGATCGCAGAGTCGGGCGAAGCAGATGTCGACATGGGGACGGCCGAAGAAGTGCAAGAGATCGAAGATGACAACGCCGAGGCCGAAGGTGAAGGTGAAGGCGATGAGACCACAGAGCCCAATGGTGATGGCCCGGCCTCCAACCCTCAGACAATATTTCTCGAGTACCTCAAGTCACCTATCGTGCAGCTAGTTGTTGGCGATGGCGATGAAGAGACTACTCTGACCGCCCACAAAGCTATTCTGACAAAGTCTCCTTACTTCAACGACCTGCTCACCAACGCCTCGGACGACGAACTTGTCCTTTCACTTCCTGATGAACACCTGGATGCAGTAGGCTGCTTCTTGCAATATCAATACACAGGGGAGTACTTTCCAAGACGACTCGCAAATGCGCCAGACGGGCTGGAAAGCGATCCTTCTGTTCCCTCTGTCGACGATACTGGAGCGCAACTTCTCAAGCAGGCGCGTGTCTATACACTTGCCCAAAAGTTAGGATTGCCCGACCTTAAGACGCTCGCGCATTCCAAAATCCATCGCATCAACTCCACGGCTGTCGGCGAAATTGCCTATGCGAGATATGTCTATGGCAACACTCCCTCAGACGATGTTACCATCCGCAAACCTGTGGCAGCCTTCTGGGCTACCCGTTCTCATGTCTTACGTCACGAGGCCGAGTTGGAGTTCAAGGCCATGTGCTTGGAGTACCCGCAATTCGGTTTCGATGTCTTGAGCTTGGTGCTTGACCAACGAGAGAAGAGAGTGCGTGAACGCGAGGAAGATGGTACCCCTGGTGGAAGCAAAGGCAGAAAACGAATGCGACCCAGCGTGAACATATAATGGCCGCCTGTGACTTTGTATGGGTCCTTGGGAGAATTCGGTGTTTCATTGGGAGTAATAGATATCGATTCGGCTTAAGGGCAATGTTCCCGCCTGAACCTCATTACGAGGCTGTACTATTAAGAGTGGATCAAAAGCAGGAATTTTGCAGCACGATATATCTTCAGCGTTCGAGCATGGCTCTGGAGGTTGAGGCCATCTGCGGTTCCACCATTTAGAACAGACGTCAAAGTGTTCTGCGGCTTTTGCCTTGAGAGGTAAAGGCAATAGTCTGGAAATACCGAATCATTCGTGAGGCTCTGAAAATGCTTCCCATGACCGTAGAAAATGGAGCTGCACGGAACCGAACCACTGGAGCTCTCCCGAGTCGCCCAGAGATTCATGCTTGCAAACTGCAGCGCCCCAGGGTGGCCTCCAAATCTGCACCGTCAACCCCGCAATGTCCACACCGAGGCTCGCCCAGACTCGAAGTCTCTCGCTAAAGGCGCCTGCGTTCTTTGCACGTCCATCTCTTCTTGTTCACCATCACATATACCCTGGCTCATATTCACGTAATGCGCCTACTATCTTAGACTCCTCACGCACCTTAGACAATGAGATTCGGCGACTTCCGTGTCGACAGTACTGCCCGCAGTTCCGCATTCTAGCCTCGAAACCGCAGTCCGATTCGCAACTGACCGGACGATGTCAGATCTGAAGGATGAGCCTGATCATGCAGGCAACGGCACAAGTAGGAGTACAAATGGTCGGGCGTCCCTGTCGAATGAAGTAGCGACTCCTGGCAGTGAGCGCAAATCAAGTCACGCTTCGCCTGAAGACCAGCCAAAGAAGAAGCGGAAAGTGAATCATGGTTCGCATATCCTCCCGTATCTTGCTGCAGCCTTACTGATGCTTTGCCTGCAGCGTGCGTCTATTGTCGTCGTTCGGTAAGGCCGGTTTTACCCTTGTACCCAAAAGCACCAAATTTCGAGTGCGCAATGAGACATATGATGGGCTAACAGCGAGTCTTGGTTGGATACACAGCATATGACCTGCGATTCTGTACGACCCCCTTCCTATCTCTGGCGCGCAGGCGCACTGCCGTGCTTTAATAGGTACTTGGGCTAACGCGACCCTACTATGGGGCCATGTCTTAGGATCGACCGTGTAAACGATGCATCAAGAGAAACATCGGACACCTGTGTCATGACGAACCGAGAGAAGGCCACGGATCTCACAAGAAATCCAAGGCAGACGACTCGGAGACAGCTGGGGTCGACGACCCTTCTCCTCCAAAGGATGACTTTCCTCCAGCACCCAGCCTGCCTACACCCACGCTGTTAGACGAGACGGGCCACGATCTCCTGCAAGACAGCAATAGTGGTCTGAGACCCTCCACAAATGACACCATGCCGGTCTCTGTTTCTAATCAAAGCGCACCTACTGCAACAATAGGGCTTAATGGCAACGCTCAGGCTCGTGAGTGTGCGTTGCAATGTCCGAAGGTCATGAGCTGACTCCGTGCAGATTTTGGATATAATGACCCATGGCTTGGGGTGCAGAATCGATTTCACGACATGCATACTTTCCACCCTAACTACATGTTTAACGCAAACGAGGTCACGGACGAGTATAATCTACTCAACGACTTCCTAAGCACCAGTTTGTTCGAAGAGACGGGAATGTATTCGACGGATGAGTTCCAAGGTCCTTTCAATGATCCCTCTTTTATGAACTCGATAGCGGCTTCGTCGCTCACCTTGCCGCCAAGTGAGCCTTTGATTCCCCAGGAGCAGCAGACCGATGGACACATTGCAGTGCAGAACAATGCTGCGCAAGCCGCCATGATATCCCGACCGTCGAGCGTGAAGCCAGTCTCGGACAAGGCGAGGGAAAAATACTACATGATGGCGGCAGATCCTACAGGCGCTGAACCACCGGAAGAACGAATGCAGAAACTGCTCAAGGCCAAGTACGATGCTGGAATGCTCAGGCCTTTCAACTACGTCAATGGGTATGCCAGGCTTAACAAGTACATGGAGAAGAATATGAAGCAGTCTTCTCGTCACAAGATTCTGATGCAGTTGGACCAATTCAGACCAAAGTTCAGGGAACGAATGCAGAGTCTGACAGATATCGAACTAGTCCTGGTCGAGATGTGGTTTGAAAGAAGTCTGATGGAGTACGACAGAATCTTTGCTAGCATGGCCATACCAGCCTGCTGTTGGAGAAGAACTGGTGAAATCTTTCGAGGCAACAAAGAGATGGCAGAATTGATCCACGTGCCCATCGAGTCACTTCGTGATGTAAGTACTATTCCCTGAGGGACTGTCTTTATTATACTAATTTCTCCCGCAGGGCAAGCTGGCCATCCACGAGATCATTGTCGAAGATCAACTGGTCAGTTATTGGGAAAAGTTCTGTGCAATCTGCTTCGACCAGCAGCAAAAGGCAATGCTTACTAGCTGTACATTGCGGAGCCCAAATGGTGTGCAGGGCGACGAGATACCTTGTTGTTTCTCATTTACGATCCGGAGAGACAACCACAACATGTGAGTTCATAACCTGGCTGGATCTGCTTTTGGCTTACCATCTCAGACCATCGTTGATTGTGGGCAATTTTTTGCCGATGAATCCAACAAAGCATTGATTGGAGGAATGAAGTGTTACTTGTACATTGTGATGGGACCAGAGTATCATTACTTTGAGCGCATAAAAAGTCTGAGTGTCATTTCGTGTTCTGGTGGTTGCTCTTTTACCCTCCTCGTTCGGTCATGAGTCGTGCAATCCTCATGTGAACTTTTGGTCACTCCATTGCCGTGTTCCCGATGCCCTTCAATGAAGTCGCAAGTAAGGCGCAGTCGGTCCTTGGTAAGTTCGAAGCTGGTCTGATGTCAGTTGCTTACAGACAACAGTTTTTGCAACGCACCTGCAACGACTCCTTGCCAGAGATGCGAACCTCCCCTCCCAAGCCATTTCTGATATCCTGCCCTACATCCAGGCTCTGCCACTTCCTCGAAAGGACATAGCGCCCAACCAACGGATTGAGTTTGACCGAGCTGGAGTCGTACTCTGGAACACCTGCTGCAGACTCGGCAAGACTGATGAGGATCTTGACAAGAAGAATCTGGCCACGAGTGGGTGAAACGTCCAATGTCGTCCTACCTGTCCCTCCCTCCTTACACTCTCGCAGTACGAGCCTTTTCATATTTCCTCGTCGAGAGTGCGGCAAGCTCCAAGGGCAAAAGTACGACGACTGTCTCGCAATCATGGCTCGGTTCGTGGCTCATTCTGCGCAGGTATCATCCGACTGTTCAAACATGCACTCAAAGCGGTCAAATGCTGTCTGGGTATTCCTCGTCGTCTCTGACCCGGCTTCTTTCATTGACGAACACATCAGATGCTGCTTTGTTCGACATTGGGTCGAAGATTGTGGAACAGCTGGCTTCGAATTACGAGGACCTGTCGCATATCAAACCCGAGGAGGGCGAGAGCGAAGAGCAGGTGGTGAATGACCTTGGGGCCCAGTATCTGCTAGTACGGGTCGCTTTGGTCGGTAATTCCCGGTTTCTGACGACAGTGAGGGGTGGTGCTGACAGCAAGCAGGCCTGGAAACAAGACCGTGCAGAGTTAGCAGACCATTTCTATGCTCAGCTCGAGACCTCTCATCCATTGACGGACGCCAAAGTGGTTGGTGAACTCATTGACTTGTGCTATGAGATCGGAAATGATCAGCTACACCGAAACCAGTCTGCTGAAGCCACCAAATGGCTCAAAAGAGGTTGTCAATGGACGGATCGATACAAATCCCACCTTGGAGATCCTGACATGGACGGATCAAGACTCACGTTGCTTCACACCTACGGTGAGAGATCAACTCGTCGTGACTATGCAGAGCTGACCACATACGATGTGCGCAGCCAGAGCATTGCTTTCTACCCCGGGCGCATACCCTGGTGAAGAAGTTCGCAAGGCGCTTGATGTCCTTCACGAAGTAAGTCTGTCAGACACACAAGCAGCCATTCGTCGCTTACAGTTTTCAGGAGTTCGGGAATAAACTCTGCGTGAGTCTGCTTCAGTTGGAGGTCTACGCAGACGAATCTGCACCCAATGTTGATGCTTTTCTTGCAGGTGGATTGTTACATTTTGATTTCGCCTGACTTCGCTGATCACCGTAGAGCTGTCAAACATGATCCGCACTGCGCATTTGATTCCAACGAACCACAAGTCGTGAGTTTCGGATGTGAACATTTTAAATGTGAGGTTTAATGGCTTCAGGATCATGCACTATATTCATCATTTGAGGTCCTTGAGGTACGATAGTCCAGAGCCTCCAAGTTGCTTTTGGCTGAGTCGATGACAGTGTGGGCCATGCTATGAAGGCGTTGGAGATGTACATCACGACAAGGCTAGCCACAGATGATGAAAATCTCTGGACCGAAAACGCTGTAATTACGTTGATATGGATGATGGCCACACCACTCCAGATGACGTTCGTCGTTCCCCCTGACTTTCAAGATACACTGGACAGGATACTTCAGACTTGGAAAAGCGTTCTCAGCCCAGCGGCAGCGCATGCTGCACTCGTTGTGAGTTGGGTTCATTTTGCGCGGGTTCGATTACTAAGACTACAGTTCATCTGGAAGGCGGTCGAGCACACGATCGATGAGGATCAATGGTGTCAATTTGCCTTGCATGAGATGTTCAAGAATGCCGGAGATGGCAATATTGGCAAAGTTGAGAGGTATGGTTCTCATGAGGGACCGTTGCGGGCGCTCACATGCTTCAGAACCTTGATACAATTTCACCTCGACCAGTCCAATGTGGACGCTGCCCATGATGTATGGGAAAAGATGTCTCCAGCGCGAAAGCGACATGATCTCAGTCGGTATCTCCAGTACTGCATTGCTCTCCGCAGGGGTGACGATACTGCTGGTGGGTCACATCTCTCAACAGAACCATCGAGGACTAAGCTTGTGCAGTGTGGTCGGCATTGACATCACTGGCAACAGTTCACGATGATCGAAATAAGCTGCTTTTTGTAGCAGTATCCAAGGCTATGAAGTATGGGACCAATGCTCAAACAGCACAACTACTTCATCGAATACTCGAAAAATACAAGGACCGTCTGCCTGCAGAAGTGGATGCTTTCGCTTTATCAAGGTAAAGCGCGGATTAACGGCTTCGACTCCTCCACTGACGAATGCAGATGCACAGCTCGTCTCCTGATTCGAGCTCTTGAAGAAAATGACAAGCCCTCGGACGAACTGTTGTCCAGACTTTGTGCGGTGTTCAAATCAGGTATGCGGTAGGCCACTCCGTCTGCCTGCCCTTCTGACCAATTACAGCGTTGTTGCTATTGCAGAGGCAAGATACAACAGAGGCACGATGCACAGCTTCAATTCTTGCAGACTGCAAATGGTTTGAGCAGGCGAGCTTTACTTGTGCAATCTCCAATTGGAAGTCGTGGCCAGCAAGATTCGTCATTGACCTTCTGCAATACTCTTGTGAGGTAAGTCTGGCACTTACTTCTTCAAAAGGGCTTACTGACATTGTTAGACACAATATCCGCCTAATTCGCCCGGAGAAAGCCAGATTGAAAAGTTTCTACACGAAGTTACGACATCCTTCGCGCAAGCAGCCCTGTACACCGCGGAGGCAAGATCAGCATCAGCAGACTGGACGATAGAAGACCTCCCTAGATCTGCATATTCGAGCAAGTCGCCTCCTTTACCAGCAAATATCAAAAAGACATTGTATAGACATGTCTTCGACAAATCTACAAATCTAAAACGCCGGTACAATGAGCTGCAACGGGACTGGCCTGATGCTACACCTGCAATGCTGGAAGATGTGGGCAGGCAAGTGGTCGCCGTATCTCCACTAGCCCTCGAGGCCATGCTGTTTCTCGGCTCTCACGAGCATGCACCCGTAGCCGAGTTGTCGCTCAACCAGATAATCGACCAGGCCATACAGCTCCGTCCCACTACGAGACAGTACTCGAGTTTAGTAGATATGGTTCTCTGTGCAGCGAGTGTTGTTCCTATCCAGGGAGATGTGAACGAAGAAGTACGTCGCGGATCTCGACTTCCAATCATAACGGCAACCCAGCTACTGGCTAAGCTCATCCAAGGAGTGCGCAGCCACTCTGACTATGCTACCCCGGAAGCATCCCGCTGGATTCGCTGTGTGGTACAAATTGCCCTCGACGGGCGAGGCTCGGACAAGGGTCTCGTGTCTGCTTATGATGAGAAGGCGTTGAAGACTTTGGATATGATCACATATCAAGCTTTGATTCTGGCTCGGTCCGGCAGCGAAGACGATATCCCAGGACGGGACAACAGGAATCAGTACCCCTCGGAGGAGCTCGAGTGGCTCTCGACGACGCTTTTCAATCTGTCCATCGACCTCTACATTTCACAAATGGAGCTGAGGAGTGCGGCGGAGGAGCCAGTCGTCGATTCGAGTGAGGAATCCACCGAGTCCAAGTCAGATCTTATGCAACCCCAGATGTGGGCTGCAAAAGCCGTTGAGTTCGCCGACATACTTGCAAGGCCCGTGCAGCTTTCTGATGGGCAAGAGAATGCTGCGGTGGCCGAAGGGGCTGACTGGGGCATGCTTGCACGCGTCCTGAGAGATCGGTGTAAGGGTTTCGGATGGCATGTGTAGTTGAGGTCGCCATGGGATTTGTGCCGAGGCTTCATGGAAGGTCACTGGATGCTCGTGGAAGGATACGGCATACGGGGTAGGGATATGGGGCACAGGGGCGTCAATCCAAAGTATCAGAGTAATAGCACCGACTGGGTCATTCCGGAGATGTTTCCCAAACAAGATGATTTCATGACACCGGCAAATTGTGCTGCTCCGTGGGGCCCCGACGCGAGCGAGGTTGTGAATCTGATGCCATCATGCAAGGCCAGTTCTCGCTGGAAGCTACTGGAGCTGAACCTGGACCTGGATGGAGATAGCTTATGTGCATTGATGATCTTCTCTGTGTGCATCTCATTGAGAACGCTATCAACCATTTGACTAGGTACTCTGTATCTCCACATCATCCACCTTTTACTGCTACGTGCTGCGTCTCTTGCAAACAGCGGCCTTTCAGTGCTTCATCAGGATAAGCTTCATCTGCCTTTCGTCTGTATGTCCAGCCACTCGTCAACGCTGTAATTTTTGTGCAAAAAATAGGAAATTCGAAGTGGAGGGTATCTCGGAAAGCAAAAATAAGGGTAAGTAAATTCGTGTTGGCAAAGAGTACGCGATGACGGCGCCGACATCTGGGATATGCTCTTTCTCATCTCGTGCTTTGTGTCATGAGCGCCAACCCTGAACATCGCTGTGTAGCAGAGCACCTTGCGCACCAGCATTCATAGGTCTTCCAGATACAGGATCGAGACCTAACTTCAGCCTCAAATCTTCCACTGTCTGCTTGACACGTTGGACTTTGGCCACCACGACTTCAAGTTTTTTCATGGTACTCTGCTTCCCTATGTCCTCTAGTTCTGGCACAAGGTCATACAGTTCGGCGTAAGAACGAGCAGTAGCATCTCGTCGACGCTGCTCGGAGTTGGTATGATTGGCCTTCTTTTGTTCCAGAGACAGGGGAGTTCTGCTGGATGCGACCTTGGACCCGCTGGAAGAAGGCTGGTGCTTCAATTTAGGTTTGACTGTCGTCGATGTGTTCGGGGTGCCTTTCTTTTTCCGAGGGGGCTTTGGAGGTGGGGGCGTCTTCCGTGGAGGGCGAGCCTTATTCGCTGGCCACGGGGCCGGTGAGGGTGATCTGGTTTCCTCTTCTTCTGCCTCGGCATCTTCTTCGTGATCGTCCATTCTAGCATTCTCGGTGGTCATGGACGTCTGTGACTTAGTTTTCGACAGCGGTGTCCGCGGCTGTGATGATGGCTCACGCTTTGTGACAGAACTGCGTTTTCGTCGGGTATCGGATTGTGGTGGAGTAGGCTGGATTGTGCCCGTGGTAGGCTTGATGGTCCCGTTGCGGGTGTGATCTTGCTGGAACTCGTCGAACGTCCGCTTCTTCTGCCAGACAGGACTTGATGGTTGTGTGTTTGGCCGTGTGTTTGGTCTTGTGTTGGGTTGTGTAGTGCTCGCGCTGGCAGGTTCAAACCAATCCATCGGGTGCATTTTCATAGCTTGAGGTATGTCTGGGTCCATGGGGTTATTTGGCGCAGCATAGCCGCTGGGTTGGAAGCGAGAGTCCGTGCCGAAGTTTACCGTCTGTCGACCTTGTTGCTGAGCATGTATCATGTTGGGTGGAGGGAACGCTTGTTGCTGCTGCCAAGCAGGCCCAAAAGCTGGCTGCATCGAGGCCGCGGTCTGGAGTTGATCAATGAGTGTGTTGTGAAATCCCGTCTGATTGTATGCTTGACCATGCATATTATCAAGCGCATGTTGCTGTCCGAGAGGATCAAGCATGCCATCGCCGTATTGAAATCCTCCTTGTAGATGGTTGGGATCGATCACAGGGTGGTTGCCCAAATCCGTCTCTGATCCCACAAAGGTCGGCGGCATCGTAAAGTATTGGTTATGCGCCGTGGGCACGAATTGTGCGTTGCCGAATTGTTTGCTTGCAGCATTTTGGTCGAAGTCATTAAAGAATTGGTCGAGGTTGTGGTTCTCAACGGCGTTGAGGAGAGGTTGACCCGGAGGTGGGCCTGGGGTTATAAACTCGGGCAGGCCGATTCCATGGATGTTCTCTTGTTCGTCTATGAGATAGGTGTTAGCCAATGTGCATCCAAATAAGTGATGATTCTTAAAGCCATACAGCCGAATGGGAAATTCTGCTGTCCACCATGGGACGACATTCTTTGTGTTGCCAACATCAACTTGACACCGCCTCCACCTCTTCCAGGCTGCAACAGGGCAGCCCTAGGTTCGTACTGCAATCAGCAGGCGAATATCGGTCTGAAATGTGCTCGAAGATGCGACAGTGGTGGGGTTGGGAAGCGGGATAGCGTCGAAGTGATATTGAGGTGATCCTTGAGCGCAGTGATGTCGACAAAAACGCCGAAGTGACAGCAGAGCAGGATTATGTGCGTGGATGAGGCGATGCGACCAATGCCAGTATGACTCCCAGCAGTGTTGTCTCCTGGCAGCTGACCGACTGATATGGCGGAAATCTGTTGGGGACGGCGGTCCGGGGAAATGGTAGAGGGGCGTAAGGTGAATGACACACAGAAGCGAACAGGTGGACTTCCGGCGACCACTTGCTCGAGCTACAGACAGCGATCGTAGTTCAGGTACCTAGCAATCAGGAAAATCAATCTTGATAGTATTGGAGGCACGGAAATGCTACTCGGAGAGAATGTGAATTGTGTTTCTTTCACATGCAAAGAAGCAATGCACGAAAGCAAGCCGCAGGTAGACGCAGGCTGCCCCTGTCAAAAACCCGCCATCGGAAGCCGTCGACCCCGTTCACGTTGCCAAGCTTGACTTGCTTCTACTATTTAACTGTAGAGCTTGGTACAGACACTGGAGTCGAGATCTTCCTGATCGTCAAAGGTCAGAGGTCACTTTCAACGTCCTCTATATTTGTGCAGTCTCCCTTCCAAGGATCAATTTCTTTCGAGTGAACTTGAAAGGACGCCGCTCTGGTTGCAAATCTATTTACAACCCTACACGCTATGAATCATGACCTCTATCCGATGCACAGCATATATGTACCCTGCCAGTATTGCTGCCCTCTGGGGTTTGCAATCATTCAGCGCGCTATCGGATGAAGATAGAGCTGAGCCAAGCGTTGTCGTGACTATCGTGTAGACTTGATTGTGATCGTCCACAATCTTGAATAAATGAGTACTTCGCCGAGATTGAGAGAAGAGACTCCTGCGGCTTTGTCGTAGGATAGAAGAGGTTGTGTGGGTCAAGCCAAAACCAGGCCTGGCCACAGCTATTGATCTCGAGTGAAGTATCTTGATTTGCGTTGTTCTAAAGAGGTGCAGTCCGCAAGACATGTTGGGCATTGGTTGAGGTGTAGAGAAGATGAAGGAAACCCTCGTCACTGTTACATTCCTCCATATCAAGGCACGTGACCAATGTCATGAAGTCGTCGACGTATCTACAAGATAGAAAAGTCCATGATATTCACCTTTGGTTTCTTCACTTTCTCTTCTTGCGTACAACCCATTGAACTCATCCCGAACACCCCGACCTGCCTCGATCTACAAACCGGACCAGCCTACGAGGTCTTGCCACATCTTCATTGCCATCAGCTTCCGCTCCGATATGGTTTGCCACTGCTTCGCCGCGAAGAATATCGCGTTCACCTTACGTTGACACAATTTGATGGACGGTTTGCGTCCTTGACTGAATCATGGCGAGCAATGCGCGTATGCTCCTCGACCCCAAGTCCATCAAGAAGAACCCAAATCTTGCAGGTTAGTCTGATATCTCTGTTGTGATTAGTGATATTATCCCGAGCGGATCTACATTCATCAAAGTCCGGCGAGTGAAGTGCGAATGAGTTGTTACAAAATGCCTCTCAGTCTGACTGTCGCCTCACATTTAGATGCACGTCACTCACGTACACCGGTGGACTCCAATGGTGAAAAGACACCCTCGCCGCAGCAACAACGCAAGCCCGCGAACTCTTCACCTTCACCTGGTCGACTGCCTCCAACCGCCTATCATAGAGCGCTGCTAGATCCCCGAGCATCTCTCAAGTCCTCAGCATCAAAGTCAAAGCCTCCGTTTTTCTCGGCTGCCATTCCAGATCATACTATTAATGACACGCATGCACAAGCTACAACTCCGATTGGACTGGAACGCCAGAACAGTGGTCCCAGATCGCTGCTGGAGGGCCTCTATGGAGTTGAGTCTCGAGCCGATAACCCTCGAAAGAAGGTCAAAATCACCACCACTGAGGAGCCAACGCCGCCGAGCAAGACCACATCACATACTCATCACCCCAGTAATGGTATCATTGGCCAGTATATGCGACCAGATCCAGACAAATCTACTGCAGCCACCTTAAATTCGTTAGTTGATTTGACCAATACTGATGATGAGCCGGATGATGATGTCGAGATTGTATCTTCCCGAACACTGGATGATCAAGAAGTCTGCTACGGCCATCTCGCCACTTATGCACATGCGCATATGATTCCCAAGCTCAAGCACGAGTCAGCGTTCCACAGGGAAGGCGAGTGGCCGGTCATAAAATGTACCCTCGGACGCACGCCTGCAAAGGATACTGTCATTGATGTGATAGACCCTTGGGGCGCTGGATTCGCTAAAGTGGACCCGGAGTTGGCTATGGTTCTGGCTCCAGTCCTAGATGGTATTCCAGGATTACGCACGCAGGCGAGACTCGTCAACCGACGCAAGAAGCCAGGCGAGTGGGCTCACCAACCCTGCTCGGAAAAGTTGAGGATGATTGTGAACATCTACGGACGCAGGGGAGATGTTGCTAGGATCGGCAAGATTTTCGGCCAGCACAATCTATGGCTTCGGCCTCCCATGGCTCCAGAACCCGGCATACCAATCGTCAATCCTCATGCACGCAAAACGCCTCTACCACAACCTCCACGAAACACAGGCCAAGGGCGACTGCTTGCAGAGTCTCGCACTGTGGAGGAAGCCACAGAGGCTGTCTCGAAGCTCTTTGATTCCTTTGCCAATGCCGCACCCACTTTGGCCGAAACCGAGCCGCCAGCATCGATCATCAAAACGCCGTTGTTAAGTCATCAAAAGCAAGCACTCACATTCATGCTGCAACATGAGCAGCCGAGAACGTATGGAAAAGAAGAGTCCGAGAACTCTTCTTTGTGGCGCCGTAAGACCAACAAGACTGGAGGCACAGTATATCATGAAGTTGTCAGTGGTATAACGCTCAAGGATGAGCCAGACCAAGTTCTTGGTGGCCTACTTGCCGATGTTATGGGCCTAGGAAAGACTCTAGAAGCCTTATCACTAGTCGGCAGCACTTCAGAAGAATCGGTGACATTCGGCCAAGAAAAGGTCGTTCGTGACGATCAAAACATACTTCTGCTCAACACGAAAGCAACACTCATAGTCTGTCCGACCAGTACGGTCCAAAACTGGGAGGACCAGATCGCGACGCACATTGTCCCGGAGAGTATGACCTACCATGTTTACCACGGTCCACATCGAGAGCGGAACCCATATTCGCTATCAAAGTACGACATCGTCATAGCGACCTACGGAGTCGTGGCATCTGAATTCTCTGGTCGGAGTTCGGCGACTGTGAGTCCTTTGAAACAACTCCAGTGGTTCAGGATCATCCTTGACGAGGCCCATACGATCCGTGAGCAAAGAGCTCTGCAGTCTCAAGCTATCTTCAGCCTTGAGGCGCAACGTCGCTGGTGTTTGACTGGAACGCCAATACAGAACCGACTTGATGACCTGGGATCTCTGACCAGGTATTTGCGACTCTATCCTTACGATACCGCGATGCGGTTCAATCAATACATCAGGGGTCCTGCTCAAGCAGGCGACGCGGGCTTTCTGAAGGCCTTGCGTGTATTTGTAGACTCTTTCACCCTGCGTCGTTTAAGAGATCGGATCGACTTGCCGGAGAGAAAGGACTTTGTGGAGCTTCTTGACTTTTCGCCGGAGGAAAAGCGCCTTCACGACTTCTTCAAGGAAATCGCTCATGTCCAAATTCAAGAGTTGGCACGTGCCAGGGAGAAGAACAGTGGGGTTCAGCACCATGTTCTTCGTGGCATCATGACCCTACGACTCATTTGCGCTCATGGACGCGATTTGTTGAAGGAGAAAGATCTCGAGCGACTCAAGGGTATCAGCCAGTCAGACGCTATTGACGTTGACGAAGAAATGAAACCCCCGACTATCTCGGGTCAATCCGCTTACGAGTCGCTGAATCTGATGACTGAAGCTGATTTGGATCTCTGTCGCAGATGTGAAAGGAAGATCAGCAGTGGTAATGCGCAGATTGAATCTGAGGACGACGACCAAGGTATCCGCTGCTACGTCTTGCCTTGCTTTGACCTGATATGTGCCGACTGCTTCGAGCCAGAGAAAGAGACCTTCGATAGCAGGCCAGACAAGGAGCCAGTGACGTGTCCATACTGTTCGAAATGCATCAGTGCACAATATGTTGGATTTAGTGGATCCACTGCACGAGAGATATATGCCGCACCAGACGACAACATCGCCGAAGATGAGGGCGGCGAGAAGGACGACACTGATCACAGCTACCAAGGGCCCCACACGAAGACCAAAGCGCTGTTACAAGATCTTGCGATTATGACCCAGGAAAGCGCACCACTAGAGGCAGCCGGGGAGCCGCCTCTCAAGTGTGTGGTCTTCTCCGAATTTACATCTCATTTGGATCTTATCGAGATTGCACTTCGAGCTCATGGATACTCGTTCGTGAGGATTGATGGCAAAATGTCTTTGAGCAATCGCAAGCGGTCAATGGACTCACTCGCTTCCGACAACAACATTAGCATCCTCCTCGCTTCCATCAAAGCAGCAGGACAAGGGCTCAACCTCACTGCTGCCTCTCGAGCATTCATCATGGAGCCAATGTGGAACCCAGCCGCCGAGGCGCAAGCAGTCGACCGCATCTATCGAATTGGACAGAAGCGGCCAGTATTGGTTAAGCGATATCAAATGAGAGACAGCATCGAGAGAAAGATTGTTGAATTGCAGAAGCGCAAACAGCAGCTGGCTGACGTGTCGATGAATCAGAACCACAAACAGTTGAGCAGGCAAGAAGTGCGCGAGCAGCACATGAAGGACATTTTGGCACTATTCAAATAGAGCATTGTGTACAATTTGGGGACCTTGTGGCATGGCATCTTTGCTGATATTGCCGAGTTTGGGAAAGGAATATGCATGCACATTCTGCAGAGGGACGAAGTCAGTGATTTATCCATTCTGGCATCGCAGCTCATGGGCGTCAATGGTCGGTTAGAGGACGCACACATAGAATGGCGAAATAGCACAATTTGGGAGATACAATAGACCATGACATGATTGAAGGATTGGAAAGCCTCGTGAGGGTTTGTACGAGTCTGGAGTCGTTATGCGTGGTTCTTAACGTTAGATCGTCGAAACACGCATGCACTTGGGGAACTGGCGGTATGACCTCCGTGGGTCTCCGCACAGTGCACATGATAGACTTGCCTCAGTAGGCTGCATGCTTAAAACGGGACCTGCACCAACGCCTAAATAATCCCCTGGCTTTGAGGCTCTCGGATGCAGATTGCGCGGGTACCGTGGGTAAAAATGCCATAAAACTTGTTGAGAAAGCTTGCATGGGGATTATTACTTTTATTAGAGGCCCGCTATGGGCTTCCAGGTAGCCGAGCCTATCATTCAACCAAACTCACCGCCACCGACGACGGCTAAATCGATGGCAACATCTCACCGACTTGCCGTGCAGCTGCTAGCCAGAATATTGACTTTGTAGCATGCGCCGGAAGCAACGATCCAGAACTGGAAATTTGCTTCGTTAACAATTCCTTCCTGCCTCATCTGGCACTGATTGTTGCGCTCCTCTTCCTGTGCTCCTGCGCTCATCAAGTTCGCTCCTGGCGGCTCTTGAGCTTCATCGTCAGGGCTCCATATATTGCTTGTACAATTGGACCATCAACTCTTCCTCTCTTTCAGTCACTCCCACCGTTCGCTCTTTTCCGCGACATGTACTAAGTGCTGTTCACCGGTACTCCATATCAATTACATTGTCTGCCTACCCCACTATCCTTATCATCCTCGACAATGGTTGTCGTCGACCACCACGAATACCTCTGTGAGGAGGAGAAGCGTCTCAAAGAAGATCGAGAGCGCAACAAGTACTGGAAGAAGTGGGGTCCTTATGTTGCAGAAAGACAATGGGCAACAGTACGAGAGGACTACTCTGACAATGGAGATGCATGGAGTCATTTCTCCCATGACCAGGCAAGGTCAAGAGCTTATCGATGGGGTGAAGATGGCATTGCCGGTGTCAGCGACACTCACGGCTTTCAGAACATCGCCTTCTCGTTTTGGAACGAGAAGGACGATTTCTTGAAGGAAAGACTGTTTGGTCTGAGCAACCCTCAGGGCAATCATGGCGAAAGTCTCAAGGAGGCACACTTCCACTTGGACAATACACCTTCTCACTGTAAGTACGGGCTCGGCTGTTGTCGTCCAGTCAAGCTAACCATGTGACAGCCTACATGAAATACCTCTACAAGCTACCGCAAAGACGATTCCCTTACGAGCAGCTGGTTGAGGAGAACGCTAAGCGTGGCAAACAAGAGAGGGAGTTCAACATCATTGACTCGGATGCTTTCAAAGACGACCGTTATTTTGACATCTTCATTGAGACCGCGAAGGAGGCCAACGACCCAGAAGAGCTGTTGTTTCGTGTGACAGCCTACAACCGCGGACCGGAGGCGGCACCATTGCATATCATTCCGCATATGTGGTTCCGGAACACTTGGACCTGGGGCCATGAGTCCGAGAAGCTGAAGCCAAACATCCGCATGGTCGGACCCATGACTGCACAGTCAAAGCACCACAAGCTGGGCACACGGTTCTTTCAGTTGTCTCCCTCTCCTGGCTGCGGATCCGACTCAGATGACGTCCACCCTCAACTCATGTTCACTGAGAATGACACCAACACGGACCGTCTGTATGGCGCAAAGAACAAACAACCCTATGTCAAGGACGCTTTCCACAGGTGGATTGTCAACGAAGAAAAAGGTGCTATCAATCCTCGTTGCTCAGGTACAAAATGTGCTGCTTGGTATGATTTTGGACAAGGCAAAGGTGTACCTCCCGGAGAGTGCGCTGTAGTAAGATTTCGCATGTCCAAAAAGTACGACGGCTACTTGAACGAGGAGTTGCTCGACGACATCATGGAGCAGAGACGTCAAGAAGCCGACGAATTCTACTATCGCATCAGTCCTCTGCCGATGGCCGATGATTTGAGAAACATTCAGAGACAAGCATTCGCCGGTATGCTGTGGTGCAAGCAGCATTACTATTTCGTTTGGGACCAATGGGCTAATGGCGATCCTAACATGCCACCGCCACCACCAAACCGGCGAAGTATCCGCAACGCGCATTGGAAGCACATGCATCTTGATGACATTCTGTCCATGCCAGACTCATGGGAATATCCTTTCTTCGCAGCATGGGACTCTGCCTTCCACTGTATCCCACTTGCCATGATCGATCCCGAGTTTGCGAAGAAGCAGCTTGATCTGTTCACCAGAGAATGGTACATGCATCCCAATGGGCAGCTGCCAGCCTATGAATGGAACTTTGGCGACGTCAATCCACCCGTCCACGCCTGGTCAGTGTTCAGAACTTTCAAGATTGAGCGAAAGATGTACGGTCGGCAGGATCTGGACTTCCTTGAGCGTGTATTCCAAAAGCTACTCCTCAACTTCACATGGTGGGTCAACCGCAAAGACAACGAAGGCAAGAACGTATTTGAGGGTGGATTCCTGGGCCTCGACAATATTGGCCTATTCAATCGTTCTGATCCCCTACCCACTGGTGGTGTGCTGGAGCAAGCTGACAGTACTGGCTGGATGGCCTTCTACTGTCTCTGCATGCTCAACATTTCACTCGAGCTTGCCAAGCACAGGAGGATCTACGAAGACATCGCATCAAAGTTCTTCGAGCACTTTATCCTCATCTCAGATGCCATGACTTTCCGTGCTGGAGGCACCGAAAAGAGTCTCTGGAACGATGAAGATGGGTTCTACTACGATGCAATCTCGTGGGGAGGACCCTGGACGCAGCAGATGCCTGTTCGATCCCTTGTCGGCCTCATCCCTCTCTATGCCTGTGTGACCTTGGAGCCGGAGCTGATTAACAAGTTTCCCAACTTCAAGCGGAGAATGGAGTGGTTCATCGAGAATCGCACCGATGTTGCCGAACGCAATATTGCCTCTATGCGCAAGAGGGGCAAAGACCAGCGTCTGTTGTTATCGCTCGTCAGCAAGGAGAGGCTGGAGAAGATCCTCAAAAGGATGCTTTCCGAGACCGAGTTCCTGTCTGAGCACGGCATCCGAAGCTTGTCCAAGTATCACGAGGATCACCCCTACAGCATGGACGTCAACGGTCAACAGTACAAAGTCAGCTATGTTTCAGGAGATTCTGACTCTGGCCTGTTTGGAGGCAACTCCAACTGGAGAGGACCCATTTGGATGGCTGTGAACTTCCTGCTTGTCGAGTCACTGCTTCGCTTCTACATGTTCTACGGAACGAGCTTTGAGGTTGAGTGCCCTACCGGCTCTGGTGAATACATGCACCTGGGTCACGTTGCTGAGGAGATTCAGCATCGCCTGCAGCATCTCATGGTTCGAGACAACGACGGCCGCCGTGCTATCAACGCCGGCAATGACACCTTGGACTTTGATCCCAACTGGAGGGACTATGTCTGGTTCTTCGAGTTCTTCGATGGTGACACTGGGCGTGGACTTGGAGCTTCTCACCAGTGTGGTTGGACTGGCCTCATGGCTAAGATGATTCATGATACTGGCATCAATTGCCGTCTCCCTCAAACGCCACGAACTCCGTCCACAGCTGCTGCCCATTACTTCGATGACATCTACGGCCGAGGCATTGCCAGAAAGAATACCTATGCTGGTACTCCTGGTCCCAACGGCCCCAACGCTCCCCGTATTCGCCGCTCCTCAACCTCTCGCTCGATCGGCAACCGTTCGAGCTATGTCTCCAGCGCCAACGGCGACCACAAATCCGATGCTGTCAGCGACGATGGCGAAAATGGCTATTTCCCACAACCTCCATCCGAATCTCAAGCGTCCGAGTCCAATGCATTTGGAGAAGAAGAGCAACTGGAACAGGAACGTAGACGGAGCGCAGCTGACAGTCACTACGAAAGTTTCATCAAAGAGCAGCTGCATCGTGTTCAGACAGAAGAAAGTGTCGCTGTCTATGAAGACGAGTTCGAGGCTCAATTGGATTAAGGACGTTGCACTTTGGGCTTGACCTTCTGCTGCTGTGAACAGTGGTGGTTGTGCGATGACTATAACGACAAGAATTATCATTAGACGGGGGTAATAGAAAGATAGAAAGACTGAAAAGAGCGCTTGTTTTTCACGGAGGTTACGTTTGTAGCATCATTATTAGCGAAAAGCGGTGTGGTAGCCTTGATGAATGGATCGATCATGGAAGATACTTGCTCCAGAAAGCGATGCTTGACCTTGGTGAGATCTATGAAACAGAGACACGAGACTTAAAGTATGCAAGTTGTGGTGTCTCCAGCACTGTTGTAAAATATGCGTGACAAGATGGCATCGGCGTGAATCCAGTTTTCAGAGATGTTGCATGCTGGAGCAGGAATTCCCCTGGGCAAGAAATACCTTGGATCTGGACATTTTGAGGAGTCGCATATATACACATATTTGATTCGATGATTGGGAGCGGCTCTTTCACGGAAAGACCTTCCACGCATACCTAGTCTATCTTCGTTTCCTTTTCGAGATCGAGTCTAGCAGCGTGGCATGATTGGTTTCCCAGGAGTTTTCATGCACAAGTCGCGCAATGCATGCGCCATCACCCAAATAACTTCCCACGGGAATCTCTTTACACAGAATCTTGGAGCAGCTTGTTCAGACGATTGATCTTGGCGGACACGCTGAGGTCGATAGTGCGCTCGCCGATCTCGACAACCAATCCACCGAGGATATCCGGGCTAACTTTCGTCACGGTCTTGAGCTTCTTTCCCTGGCTGTACTCGGACTTGCCGATGGCGGTTTCCAGGCGTTTGAGGAGTTTGTCGTCGAGTTTCTGTTCCCATCTTAAGTCAGCTAATATTCCTCCGACTCTGAAAGGAAGTGCAGGTATGGGTTATGGATTAAGGAGAACGTACAGCAGCACTAGTAACAAGCAATTCGACCTCGCCCTTTGAAGCGCTAATCAAAATTCCAAATTTCTCGCACACGCCCTCAAGGAGACCGAGTCTGTTGTTCTCGGCGAGTGCGGACAAAAAGTTCTTGACCGTGCCGGACTTGTCGGCGCCGCCGGTGTGCTTTTCCAGTTCGGCGACGATCTGGGACTTGTCGCTGTCGCTGAGGGTGGGCGCGGCGATGATGCTCTGGAGTTTCGGCTCGGATTTGAGGATCTGGGTGAGGCTGCTGATGGCTTTGGAGGTGGGGTCGAGGACGTTTTGTTTGGCGGCGGCGGTGTACTATATTTCCAGTGTTAGTCTGCTGGCATTAAGAATCCTTTTCAGCTATCTTTCGCGGATTTTGAGGGGGAAGTTCTTCGTGTTGGTTTGGTGGTGAAGTGTAGGGTTTGGGTATGCGCCTCTCATATCCTCCCATGATCTCCCCCAGAATCACTCTCAGATTTCCTGTTTCACGTACCAAAGCATTTGCGTAGGTTCCGTCCAGGCCAAACAGGGCCACGGGTGGTTTCGTGTCGGTCGCAGGAGCAGCGTAGGTTCGGATAGCTGTTCGGGTAGCTGTGCTTCGAGCGGCGGCGAAGGCGGGCCGCACCAGCCTTGAGGACATCATCTTGATATGTGCGAGGAACGACCGAATTCACAAGCCCGATGAAAGTTGAACGGTGTGAGCTTGGAGTGGAGAGTCGAGGCGTGAATTGCAAGCCCTGCGAAGCTTGCGAGGTCATCGAATGTTCAAAGTTGAGCTGCTCTCAAAATCAGTCTAGTCCGAAAGGGGAAAGGCTGTGGTAAAATAGAGCAACTTCGTGAGCAGCTCCTCATTATGTCCATCAAACTAGTCTACTGTCGCTAGAATGGCACTTCCTAATGTTCACGTACAAACGTATGTTCTAATATGGCGCGGCACCGCCTACATAAGTGTTTGCCATGAGAAAGAACCACAGGTCTGGCGTATCGACGCCACTAGAACGCATCACTGTCCACCTCCCGGCTATGCAGGAGAATGGACAAGGGTTATTTTTTCTGTACACGGCCGCCAATGCTTGCCCTCGTGCAATATCAATAGGGCGCGAAACTCCAAGTCTCGATGTCGTCTTCGATGGTTAGACGTAGGCCCTTGACATCAATCTGCTCATACATTGCCGAGATGACACCACGTGCTTGCTTATGCCAGGGTCCTGTGCCTCCCAGGATCGCGTCCTCCTTACTTCTCCATAAACCTGAAGAGGGGTTAACGGGAAGGCCAGAATCCACTCCAGGCTACTTACATGTTGCTAGATTCCTTCGTTCAGGACTCGGTACTCCGTACCAGTACTTGAGCAGATTGCCCGCATGTGTGGCTTCCGCGTGAGAGAACTTGTCAAGTTTCAAGAGGAGGTCGACGTCAATATCAGCCTTCAACTTGGACCGAAACTCCACCACATACAATTCTTGGTGCGTCCATCGATAGCCTTCCATCTTGGCCAAAGATCTCAAGGAAGACATTAGTTTGGCCCAGTCGAAGGCGTCCTCGTATCTGATAGTCGCATACTCGGTGGTGGCTGGTATTAATGTCGTCAACGCCAGAGCGAGGAGGCGATTGGGCGTGTCTAGTGTCCGAAGATCGAGAAGGTGCTCGGGTTCGAGATATGGAGAAACTGTTAACCACTGTGGCCGGCCGTTTCTGTCTTGATAGTCGGTCTGAGCAGGTTGAGGCACTTCGGTCGCGGATATGTCACGGATGGTGACATTCTCGACACGTTTCTCAAGGCCTTTCCCAACGTCCAGACTTCTGGTTGATAGTACTGCGGCCATTGCTCTCGTGGGACGGATCCTCCGTGCAAGTGAGGTAGGATGCCGTCAAAGATCAGACACCCCACAAATGCTGGCTGTAGGAATACTTGTGATAACTGTGAGAGCACCGAAACAGTGAAGTAGAAGATACAAAAGCAGGACACGCGCAGGTGCGAAGTGACGGGTGTTGTGTTGCGTTCAGGATTGTGTAAAAGGCGCCATAGATCACGCAATTCGAGGGTTAGTACCATGGAAAGTGCAACGCCATAAACTCACAGAAAATGGTGAAGGAAATTGCAGTCACAGGAATAGCGGTCAAGACAATAATGTGGAAGTAGAAATACCTCGAACTTGTCTCTGTTTGGGAGACGCATGAAGATGGGTTTGCTTGCTGCAGAAGCTTGCGCTGGGCTCTGATAGCAGGCATCCTCACGTGCAGATTCGCGGCCTCTTCATCTCGAGATCCTTTGTTCTGCACGCGACTGTTCTTCGAGGGTGAAATCGAGATAGAGAGGAGGGATCGACGAGCGATAGGTGCAACACAGCAATCGGGTTGCAATAGAGATTGCAATGTTGTTACCCTATTAGGGCAAAATATCACGATAAAGAGAGTGAGTAAGGTACCAATCAGCAGGCACCGGTGAGTTGTGTACCACCCATATGAGGTCGACGGTCTCCAAGCAATAATGAAACAGGCATGAGACCGAGCATAATGGCTGCTTATCAACTTCGTTGTTGAGATATCCAGAATGAGAGGCTGAACGATGAGAACACTCCGTACTCCGTACAGTGTGGACAAGTTGGCCTCGCTCATTAACTTACTGCAACAGCTTCATTATTCAATCGGCAGTTGAGAAATGACCGAGAGCCGCTTGTGGTGGTGGTGATTCTGCAAAGTGGCCAATTGATTGGTCGGTCAATGCCTACGGTGCCTGCATACATTTTCTTTTGGTATTTTCATTCATCAATCGAGACTGCTCATTTTCTCCCTCTACAGACCCTCAAATAAGTCTCCAACAAACATCCCTCCCTATCCTCTTCATATTAATCTTCCATAAAACACCGCAATCATGGGTAGCGCTCCAGCTCAAAAGTTCAAGGTCGCCGACATCTCGTTGGCCGCTTTTGGTCGCCGCGAGATCGAGCTCGCAGAGATCGAAATGCCAGGTCTCATGGCCATCCGAACAAAGTACGCAGACGATCAGCCTCTTGCCGGTGCCAGAATCGCTGGCTGCCTTCACATGACCATCCAAACCGCCGTCCTTATCGAGACCCTGAAAGCTCTGGGTGCAGAAATCACCTGGTCCAGCTGCAACATCTTCTCAACACAAGATCACGCTGCAGCTGCCATTGCTGCTGGTGGCACACCCGTCTTCGCCTGGAAGGGTGAGACTGAGGAAGAGTACGAGTGGTGTTTGGAACAACAGTTGCTGTCTTTCCCGTCTGGAAAGTCCCTCAACCTCATTCTTGACGATGGCGGTGACTTGACCGCTCTTGTCCACAACAAGTACCCCGAGATGCTGAAAGACTGCTACGGTGTGTCAGAAGAGACTACCACTGGTGTTCACCACCTCTACCGAATGCTCAAGGGCAAGAGCTTGTTGATTCCTGCTGTCAACGTCAACGACAGCGTCACCAAGTCAAAATTCGACAACCTGTACGGATGCAGAGAATCCCTGGTCGATGGTATCAAGCGTGCTACCGATGTCATGATTGCTGGCAAGATTGCTGTCGTTGCAGGCTTCGGTGATGTTGGCAAGGGTTGTGCTCAAGCTCTTCACAGCATGGGTGCTCGCGTCCTCGTTACCGAGGTCGACCCCATCAACGCTCTACAAGCCGCTGTCTCTGGCTACCAGGTTGTGACCATGGAGGATGCTGCCCCTCTAGGTCAGATCTTCGTCACCACTACTGGGTGCAGAGATATCATTGTCGGAAAGCACTTTGAAGTCATGCGAAACGACGCCATTGTCTGCAACATTGGTCACTTCGACATTGAAATTGATGTCGCTTGGCTCAAGAAGAACTCCAAGAGCGTCCAGAACATCAAGCCTCAAGTCGACCGATACACCATGCCCAACGGTAACAACATCATTCTCCTCGCCGAGGGCCGTCTAGTCAACCTAGGATGCGCCACCGGCCACTCCTCTTTCGTCATGTCCTGCTCCTTCTCCAACCAAGTCCTTGCTCAAATCATGTTGTACAAGGCCGAGGATGAGGCTTTTGGCAAGAAGTACATTGAGTTCGGCAAGAGTGGCAAGAAGGAGGTTGGTGTCTATGTCCTGCCTAAGATCCTTGACGAGCAAGTCGCTCTCCTACACTGTGAGCACGTCAACGTCAAATTGACCAAATTGACCGAAGTCCAAGCCGAATACTTGGGTCTGGATGTCGAGGGTCCTTTCAAGTCAGACATGTACCGATACTAGATGTCCCTTTTCCGTGCATTGTACAGTCTCGGCTTTCTGGCGCATCTGTACCGGCGTTCTTGGTCCTCAACCTCGGAAGTTGGTTTCTAATGCTCAACGCATAGAATGGGAAGGCGAGACGATATGTTGAACCTCTTGGGATGGCAAAAGAATTTTGCATCAGCTCAACGACTAACGAGGCAAAAGTGGGAACGATGATATGACAGACACAACAAAAGTTTTGTGTCTTTCTTGTCCTCTTGTGCATTGTTCTGTTGAACAGCCAAGAGAGCAACGTCCTTCAACGGACGAACTGGAGAAGCTTCATCAGCTTTCCAACAGATACCCCCAGATAAATGAAGAGAATTAAAAGCCTGCTCCTGCGGGCATTTTCGTGCGCACCTTAGCTGGGAGTGATCCGTGGTTTCCGATCTTCGATAAGTATAACGATAGTCGCGCTTGTAAAGTTTGACACGTGCAAGTGGCACCATGCAACCACTCAGACCATGGCTCGAAAGCAATGACATTAGTAGTGGAAGGTCACCTGGACTCCTAAGAAACTGGACCTTACCACGAGCATTTGGTCGAGTTTTGCTTGTATCCTTATTCCCATCTTTATTCATCGAAGAATGATGAACAACCCACTACCATTTCGCTTGTGATCTTGTGCGACGTTGACATCCGGAACCATGAGAAGCCGTATAGGGGTGGAGCCGACTCGCTTGACAGGGACGTATGCACAGTCCGACCAACCTGTCACCTCTGAGAAAGGCTGTCTAGTCGGACTGGTGGACATGGGAAGGTAAGCGTGTATCTCTGGGAGCCAGGATCGTCCTGACGATTATGTTTTGTGAAGCAATGGGATACGATTCTCAATATCAGACCTGTCTCCTCCTACGACGAGGATCTTGCCAACGTTGTACCAAGATCGGGCCGGCATATCACTTTACGACGCACAGTTCGACCCAGATACAGGGGACAAGATTCCCATTCCAGACCACATTATCAAGAGTGTCACTGCTGAGCTCGAACGATTCACCCTCGTGTGCAAGGACTTTGGGGTCCGGAAATGTCGGATACGGATCGTAGCTACAGAGGCGACCCGTACAGCATTCAACTCGGAGGAATTCAGACATCATATCAAAGCCAAGACGGGGCTCACCGTTGAGATGCTGACCAAGGCACAAGAAGGTAACGTGGGTGCCATGGGCATCGTGTCTAGCTTCTCCGATGTGAGGGGCCTAGTGATGGACCTCGGTGGTGGAAGCTGTCAAGTGACATGGATCATTTCTCATGATGGAATGGTCCGCACCAGCCCCAAAGTCGCAATTTCATTTCCATACGGCGCCGCGGCCCTGACGAGGAGACTGGCCGAATGTGAGCAGGGCAAGGATCCGGCGAAGGCCAAGGAGGAGTTTCGGAAAGAGATCAGTGAGAACTTTCGCAAGGCCTATGACGAACTGGACATCCCGGCAGAACTCATAGATCAGGCTCGCAGGGAGGGTGGCTGGCATTTGTACCTCTCTGGTGGGGGCTTTCGCGGATGGGGATACCTACTGCTCAGTCAGTCGCAGAAACACGGTCAACACTACCCCATCTCTATCATCAACGGCTTCAAGGTATACAAAGACGAGTTGACGGACACGGAAAGGCTGAAGAAGGTTGCTCGTGAGGCTGAGACAATCTTCCGCGTCTCAGACCGTCGCAGATATCAGGTTCCAGCAGTTGCCTTCTTGATCAACGTCCTCTCTAACACATTGCCGCTGGGAATATCGGTTGCACGATTCTGTCAAGGAGGTGTTCGGGAGGGTGTTCTCTTCAGGGACTTGCCTCGTCAAATCCGAGCTCAAGACCCTATAGCTGTGGCTTCAGCACCCTTTGCACGTCCCTCGGCCTGGCACTTCAAGGCACTTCTTCTGAGTGCTCTGCCAGCACCGGCACTGGATAAGTGTGTTCCAGACACAATTACTCCACACATCATTGAGGGTCTTGCAAATCTGTGCTTTCAACATACCTCGATGGGCAAGGAGGTGGCCTCGGTTGCTGCCCTTTACAGCACCATCACCGGTGTATTGTCAGCGGCCCATGGCCTTTCCCATGCATCCAGAGCCAAGATCGCCCTCATGTTGGAGAATCGATATGATGGCGAGCTGCCACCACGCGAGGAGCTCTTCAAGCATCGCCTGGCGGACTTGCTTACCCCAGAAGAGGTCTGGTGGTGCAATTATGCTGGTATTCTGGCTTGGCTGATCGGGGAGATCTATCCCACCGGATACACAGGTGTGAAGCCCAAGTTGTGGCTGTCTGCAAGGTTTGCCAATAAGCTGGGTAAGAGTGGACAGAAGCAGGGGATTGAATTGACGATATCAACCCCAAGGCGTCAGAGCAAGGTATCGACGTGCCCTGGTGACGACAGGGACGGGGACGAGGATGAGAACCCCATCGTTGGCAGGACACGCATGGAAGGATATGCCAGGAAAGTATCCAAAGTGGGCAAGAAGAAGAATTGGATAGGTGGACGAGACGGCTGGGGGATGGCCGTCCAGGTGCTTATTGCAGAGCAGCTGTCCATTGATTGAGTTTTGGGCTTCAATGGCTCACCGAAGCCAGTGCAGTACTCTTTACTGTTAGCATGTATTTGTATAGCCCTACGATAGTGTTTAATAGTCAGGAGTATCGGGTGCCTCGTCGAAGACTGCCTAACTTCACTAACCTGAATCGACCCCGGGGATGACTGTGCTGGTTGAAGGAGCGCCTAAGGTCATGCTTGAAACTTGCTTGCGCTGCAGGTATTTAGGCCTAACTGTATGGCAACCAGGATGAAGCATCCCGCAAATGATACCATCGGAAACTCATGACTCAACCTTCATGCAACAAACAAGCCAGTGTTCAAAAAGCAGCCTCAAGATACCTTATAATCTGAGTCACCAAGTCGTTCTCTATGATCCAGGCTATCCATCTCCAGGAAATCAGCGATCTGATCGCCTATAGATTCTAGGCAACTGTTCGGACGTTGGGCAAGCAAGCCTAGCTACGCAATGCCAGGCAATGTTCAATGCCTCGAAGAGCTCTTCACACACTCGAAACACATATAACCAAGTCCACCTCGACAGCTCGCGGTATCCCAGCCGCCTTCGCTATCTCATCACGGCGAGAGTGCCAGTACCGTGAGTTCCAACGCAGAATGGTCTGGAATGCAGCGGCCCCAAGGCCGACCCATTTCATATGCTTTCCTTTGGTCACAGCGTCTTCCATACCACAACTTGCAGACTCATTAGCTTACTTCCGATCCGTCACTGCACCATCCGAGGGAAGCGAAGGGGGTCAGTCGACAGAGAGCGCTGCCACGAACGGCGGCCCAGATCCGAGATTACGCTTGATCCCGGTCGGGGCACATCGTCCGCCAGGCACATTTCACTTGACGCTCGGAATGATGGATCTGACTAGACCCAAGGACATGGAGCAGGCGCTCAAGATACTCCAGGACATCGATTACCTAGAATTTCTTCGTGAAGCGGAGCACAAGCGTGAAGAGGTTCGCGGGAGGAGAGGCAAGAAGCCTCATCCTACAGACGAATCACATCAGGAGCTAGGACCGGCGGCGGTAGAAGGTGATCAGGACCAGGCTGAAGCAGAAGCAGACGTAGACGCAGGTCAATCCAGCCCCGAGCCAGAGCGCAAGAGCAGGCCGCAAAATACATCAGAGATCCTGGCAACAACCCTCGAATCCCTGTCTCGCGCGATATCTCCACCCCCAACGATTAAGTCGTCGAGAGGAGACGTGCCTTCTAAGAACGATCCTCAGCAGTATTCTCCGACGTCCATATCCGTCACGCTCTCCGGCCTAGGCACATTCCCAAAACCAAGCAGTAGCCGAGTCTTCTTCGCCAACCCGCACGACAGCACATCCCGCCTACAGACTTTCGGCGAGTTGATTCAACAGCGTTTCAAAGATGCTGGACTGGTCACAGAGAGCAGACCTTTGGTCTTACATGCCACTGTCGCGAACATGATCTACGCCAAGCAGTGGAACAAGCAGCGAAGGAAGGGCGGCAAGAAGGACTCAGGGACAGTGGACGCAAGGGATCTACTGAAGTACTTCAACGATGGACGTGCTGCGAGGGACAGAGATGAAGTCCGGTCCGAACACGGTACTGACGCAGGAGTTGGGCCTGGCAGTGAATATATATGGGCGAAAGACATTCTCATCGATAGAATACGGATATGTAAGATGGGCGCCGAGAAGTCAGAGGACGAAGGCTTGGGTTTGGAGTATATGCCCGTTGCCGAGAAAGTGTTTGCGTCTTGAGTCGCTTACATACATACTGTGCACACACACCGAGAGTGAAGAGGGCAGGTATCTCAGACAAGTTCAGTGTGATTAGAGTGTACGATGACCAGTCCCCGGGAACGGATGTATCTAAACATATCTTATGGAAACCATGTAGAAGGTTGATGGTGTGTTGCTTTCGAAATGTCCATCCCCTGCTACCGTCTTGCACTGTTCGTTATGTATCCTATACTGCGCACTGCCATCCGGCCGTCTACCTCCGCCGGCTTTCTGGCTCTTCAGCCAACAACTTTACTTGTCGCTGTCCACATGCCATGATCCTACAGTCAGAGCATGGCCAACACCTGATTATGTCCGGAAATCGTGCCTTTGAGTGCGTCGTCTCGACTCCTGCTTTCTGCAGAGCACAGCATCTTCGTCGGCCGCCAACAGTGAGACTGTGCCTGGCTAGCGCATTGGGTTGCATATGATCTCAACAGGCATCTGCCTGCGATTCTGCTGCGCGCGTACTGCACGAGGGCACCTGGTCCAGACTTTGACCATATAGCTCGCCAGGGTCGCCACTGGCCATGTTTGCATCTGGCGCGAGAATACGTATTCTTCCCTCCCCAGCACAAACTGCGTCCGTGGTACGCCATGTTCGGCGGCGCCCCAGCAAGACTCGGCCTCCGCGCCTCCAACGGCGCTATTCTTCTGAGCTTGGGTTGCGAATCACAAACTCGAAGGCGTCCAGAGTTTTGCGATTCATGTCCCGCGGGACGTTTGTTGTCGTGTCTAGAGATCAATGTCTTTTGGAACTTCCTTCAGTGTTTCTTCTCGTGCTTTTCTCGCTCAGCCACCATCATCCAGCAGTCTTGCTCCCATCCTCTTCCTCCTTGGGCAGGTCTTCCAAATCAAAAATCACTTTAATCATCAAACTGCAACTTGGACAGACCGCGACATCCTGGCCGTCTCGCAAGTCCGCAATGGCAATCTCGAATCGATCACCGCATGGGCACGGGAAATGGTAAATCTGCAGGTTCGAGTCGTACGTCATGTCTTCGATCTCGATCTCGTCGTAGATGTCTTGGTCTTCGGCCGTAGACGATGAAGCAGTCAGATTCAGCGTCGTTGAGGCTGCCGCCGCTGTAGTAGTCGTTATGGACGGCATGGTGGCCGCAGAACGGCTAGATTCGCCCTGTCGCCCTTAAAGGAATGCACAATATGGGGCCTAGGGCGTAAGGATAGTGACGATGAGGTCACGTCGAGACAATAACGAGAGAATCTTGATCTGACGGAGGATGCGACGGGACAAGAAAAAAGAAGTTTATAAGTTGACGACCACTCGTACAAAATTCATGCGGACATTCGAAAGTGAAATGCGGGGAAAATTTGATTCGTGAAAACCCTCGTCACGTGCCACACATAAAAGCCGACCCAGGTGTCTCGCACGGGGGTGTACCTATTTGCGTGTCGATCTAAGCGGATACAGAATGCGAAGGGCGGTAAAGAAGGTAAAGAATATTCCCTGCAGACAGCTCGAGGAAAAGCCGAACAAGAAGGAAACACTGGTGAGCACGAATAGGTCGTCTCGCCCGGTTGGATGCAGTTCAAAAATTTCGCTTGCATTCATTTTTGGTATCATCCGTTCAGAGACGGGGGCCACTGAAACCTGCGTAATGCAGTGGATAGCTTTCGCCAGGCGGCACACCACCGCTTTCCATGCAAAGGGTATGCTTGCGGCCATAGACACGATCCCAAACGTAAGATTTGCGGAAACGATCCGTTTTCGCATATCATAACCACACTTTGACACCCAGACAGGTCCGTCACAGACCTCACATCTATTTGCGGTATCTCCAGAGAGACAGGGTGTTGTGTCTCTTCCAGGTCTTCCTTCTTCCAGCAGTAGTCTTGTTGAATTTGTGACCCTTGCCCAAACCACGGGACTTCTTGCCGGTTGCGGTAAGGCCACGGGCTTCGCGGTGCTAGAGTATAATATGTCAGCTCCTATGTTCCAATTGCTGCCAATGACATTCATTACCTTGTGGACAGGGTTGACGATCCAGTTGATACGGGCATCCTTGCGGATGGCCTTGTGTTGAGGGTCAACGAGGATGACTTCGAAGTACTTGTAGGTTGAATCTTGGTTAATCCAGTATGAGTTGAGGACGCGCAAGTTGGCGCAGCGACGACCGACACGCTCTTCGGCGGTGGATCGGAGAGATCGTTGGTACTTGAGCTGGTTTATACCCTGGTTGGTGGGTTTGCCTTCACATCGTCAGCTTGTTTGGAAGCGTGCCAATTCATCTTCAATGTGCTCACCATAAGTAGCACCCTTTCGCGAAGGTCGCTTGCGACCACCACGACGGACACGGACACGGTAGATGACATAGCCCTGCTTGGCCTTGTATCCCAGGCGACGGGCCTTGTCCGGTCGAGAAGGTCGAGAAGCGCGGTGGATGACATTCAATTGTCGGAGCTATATTGATGCACTCTCAGCAAAGTTCAACGAGTGTATAGCAAGACACAGGGAAAATCTGTGCCACAAAGACAGAACGACAAGAGTATCTTGTTTTCCTCCATCTTTCTGTCTTTTTTGTTCAGGGGAAGCTCACCTCCCAGCAGCGGACTCGGAGAAGGAATCGAAGGACATCGGATTGCTTCTTCTTGTGAAGTTCTTCGACGTATTTGAGGGCACCCATCTGTACACAATCGTTAGCCCAATTGTTGCGCTTGATCTTGAAGCCAGCGACGACTGACCTTGACTACTGTGCCTCACGAAGAACTGGTGTTGGCGATATTGGAATGAATGGCAGATTAAGAGTCCCATTAGATTGAAGCGCAGACAGAGGGATTTCAAAATTTGTGCAGTCTTGGCAAAGTCCGAAATCTTGGCATCGACTTTGGGGAATGGACCAATCAGATTGGCCAAGCGCTTATGTAAGTTCCCTCTTTCTCTATCAAGCATCGATTGATGCTGAAGTGGTGACTTTCTACTCATCAGATAGTGCCCGACGCCGGATCATCGAAGACCCTACCCTCCATAGACTCAGTGCTCCTTCAAGTGCTTGTGACCAGCAAAACACAGCTTCGCCATGGCCTTTTCCGCATCTCGAGCCACATTTCCCCAGCCCACGGTTTCTCTCGTCGCTGTCGGCAGGTTGATCCCTCTCGACAGCAGCATTCTGCCCCTTTGCTGCTCTTCCGCTTTAAGGCCAGAAGGACTTCGGATATTTTGGAACCTGTCAGCCAATAGGTTCTCGACGTCCGCCTCCGCCACTTGTCGGCCAGCTTGCACAGTGGCAACTGCAACGTCTTTTTCTTTCTTGAACGAGGTGATGATCTCTCCGAACCTTGACTGTTCCGCCTCGCGTGCGGAGAGTTGATCAAAGGCACGGATGAGGGCGTCGGACTGTTTCATGAGGTTGACAAGACCTTCGCAATATGGCTGTCTTTCAGCGCCGAGGAAATCGACGTGAATGGCTGTGTTTGCAGGATTGACTTCGTCCTTGCCGTCGATGCCTCCCAATGCTTTCTGTATAAGTGGCAGAAACTCATGTTCAAAGGCTGCCTTGTCTGCGGCACTGTTTTTGGTCAGTTGTGAACCGGGGTTCGCCGTGTAGAGGTGTACTTGTTCTCCCTGCTCTCCTTCAATTTATTCACGATCCCTTCGTGTCGTTGTTCTATAGTTTTGGAGAAGCGGCTAGGCCATGGGTCCGGCTCCTTGAGCTTCTCGCAGATCTTGCCCATGCGTTCTGTATCGATGCTGACACCTGTAAACATGGGTACGAAGGGTCATCCGAGTGCGGTCCTTACGCAAGTTCTCGTGCATAAATATCACTGAAAGCGCTGCTCTCGGGCTGTGACGGTTCATCCGATGACAGGATGGGAAGGTCGATAAATTCAACCCTTTTGCCGGTCGAATTTGACCTGCTTCTGCGTCTTGTTGACATTGCAACGCGTCCTGGACTCATTCTCCACCGTGGTCGGAAGTTGCAAGTGAGGTGTGGATGTGTGTTGTATTGAGTGCGAGCACTGGACGCAAATGTCAGAAGATCAAGATGTGACGGAAGCCCGACTGCATAGGAAGGTAGCTGCATAGGTCCAACCAAATTGAAAGTCGAAGTCGTCTGAACCATTACATTACAATAGGCATGGGGTAGGGAGTGAGTGTATCAGATTCTTTTGACGCCTTCTCTCTTCCGTTACTCCTCCGTTGGCGGTCGCAGGCACCCATCTGCACATTAGCATTCCTTCAGTCCCCCTCCCTGCTTATAACAATCTGCTTCCAGCCTATTTCCCTCCGGTGCCCTCAGACCTGCGACCTCGAGAGTCTTGTTGAATCCTAGCATAAAAACTCCTGTTGCAAATGTAGTCTGCCCTCAACCACTTTTTGAATTAAGTCTTTGTCTTTTTTCAGCCGTAGATTTCTATCCAGGTCGCAATGAATCGTCAGTATCTGAACATAGCTCTACAATGTCGAAACCTGTCTATAGCAGGCGGTAGTCCCAGGTACAAAGAGTCTTTGAAGAATGATCATGTCCGTCACCGAAGTAAGGTCAAAACAAAACAGCTCTAGGACCCAAGGGAAAGACCTTGAAATTGCCCCATCCAATCTTGCCGATTGCCGTTTCGACTCCTATAGTCGGGCCGACTGGTGGCGAAATTTGGAGCACTTGGATTAAGGGCTGCAGGATATGCTTGACCATAGAAGGACATGAAAGGGTCCATCTGACCCGGCATCGTTGGTGCATAAGATGCTGCGCCCTGTTGCAGACCTGCTGGGTCGGCACCCACATCTTGATATTGGTTGTAGTATGGGTTCCGCATTGCTTGGGACTGATTGTTGAAGTTTCGATCAATCTCAAACGTGTCTCCAAAAGGAGTCGTGATTTGCTGGGGCCCAGGTCCTTGAGTCTGCTGTGGTTGTTGCGGTCGTCTCCTTTGTCGCTCGTCACCCGGCGTTGCATTGTATACTGGCGTTATACCAAGAGAAGCGGTAGGGGTTTGGAACGAGGCAGGATTGATAGCGGACATCCAGATTCGGGTTTTGTAGATCTTGAAGAGGTCAGTGACCAGGTGGTTGAAATTGATATAGCTGTCGGCAAAATAGTAGAAGGTAAGTTTCTTGCTATCCCTGAACAACAGATTAGTCACCTTCGTCCTCGGCGAATGATGAGGAACTAACATTTGGAATTCCGCATCGAGAATCTCCATGTTCAATCGATGCTCCATAACCTTCTGCTGACAGATGCGCTTCGCTTTGGCTTCGTTGCCCTCTTTCTCTTTCAATGCCTGAATCTCATGAGTTTGCGCGAGACGTTTGATTAGTTTCGGTTTGAGTTCTGGATGCGTCCCATCATGAGGACCATGAGGACCCTGAGGTCCCATGCCACCGACTGCGCTCCCAGGACGGCCGTTCAAACCATTTGGATTGACGACGTTGGGACCCCCGTTACGACTTTGCAAAGAAAACATCATCAACCACTTGTAGTGTTCCTCAGCATAGTATTCTTTGTAGCGTCGGGCATCTTCCCATGAGATATTGGTATGTTGGACAGTACCTAAGTCAGTACCTCGATCTGCTTCGACAATGACAAGGTCGCCGACATTGACATGAAGACCTGTTCCTTCTTGGATGTAAAAGACATCTGACCGGCAACACTTGAAGTTGACGATGAAGAGCGGTTGCATAAATGGTTCGCCAAATTGGCCCATACCGAGATGTTGTCCATAATTCTGATGTGATTGATGGACACGGGCATCTGCTAAACGGCGTTGGGATTCGTTGGAATGGAAGTATTCTGCTAGGAGATGATGAGATAATCAGTATTCTGCGACTGGCTCTTTGCAGGCGTGTCGAACAGTGGACGACTCGAACAAGACAGCAAGGTTTCAACTCACGATCATCGCCTTGGGAAATGGTTTGGGATCCATTTCCATACGCCCTCACATCGTTATCGCCTACTGAGAAAATCAGTTCATGATATAGGGAGCAAAAACGAACGTTTGAATGTTTCTCACCACTCGAGCTGATAGATCCGTGCCGCGTTGGCACATCAGCGAAAGAGTGTCGTCGACTCTGGGGTGCTTCTGGTATGGGGCCAAATCCGAGCGAGGTTTGCCAGTGGGCTTTTCTCATCCCCTCCAGGCTTCGGTTTTCTATCCCGGGAGGCTCTGGTCGGTCAACAAATCCCGCAGCTTGCTCACTCATTCGTCGGACAGGGTGTTGGTGGACCCCGTTTCTACCCATGAAGGCGACTTCGTCCTGGTCATCAATAGCTGTCTCGGCTTCTTCCGGCACAGCTCTTGTCAAACGGGTATTTCTGAAACCTGGTGGTGGTTGAGTTGTCGCGGAGGTGCCTGACATGGTTCTGTCCCGACTTTGTGCAGCCTGTCGAAGTTGAGCATTCTCTTTCTCAAGCCGCTCAATCATACGGGCTTGCTCGGTCGCAACGGCACTGGGTCTCTCGGGGTTACGAGCTTCTTCCTCATCGTCGTCCACCTCACGAAGTCGGCCAAGACCGACAGAGTCCAACCCACCTATCCCACTTGTTCTGGACGTTCGTCTTTGCAAGGACGGATAGTTACCAGCAGGTCTACTTCTGGTCGGTTCGCCTGATGTGGCTACTGGGTTTGCAGGGCCTGGAGCAGCGGTCATGTCAAGCTGACCCACCGAATACGACTGCGAACGATATGTCTTAGGCGTGGGCTGCAACGGAATAGAGAACGGTATTCCTTCGCCATTGGTAGGCACCACCTCCTGAAGCCTTGTGGGCGGGTCTTTCCGAGCATCTTGACTCCAAATGTTTGGCCAAGCATAAGGAGCTGCTCCTGGGTTGTGCCATGTCGTAGCGCCTGGGTTGTTCATGTTTGTACCCAACCATGGTGCCTGTTCAGTGCCAGGGGTACCCGGATGAGATGTGGAGGGACTGTACAGACCTGTCATGGAGGGCTTTCGATTAGAATTTGAGGATGTGACATCGTTGAGCCAAGAGGTTCTTCGTCCATGTCTGTTCCCCTTAACGTTGCCAGTGGCGGACCCCTTGGCATGTTCGACCTCGTCGTCGGATGAAGCGAGAGCCTCTGAGTCGGGTGTTGAGCGCCGCAACCCAGGGTGGCTTTTCTCTAGTAGAAGTGAAGCCGATGCCTGGTGCAAGCCGAAGGTGCCGAAGGCTGGCATAGGCGCGCGTGCCGATAAATTCGATTTATGTGGTGGGTTACTCATGGTTGACGACGCGCTTGCACCTTGACAAAAGATGTGGATGCGATCTGGTTCAGACAAGTGTCAATTAAGGGTTCACAGTAGGGGATTATGGGAAACGACAAAGAGTGGTGCTGTTGAGTTTTCTCGTTGAGGTACCGAATCTCAGCTGAAAGAGTGAGGCTGAGCTCCAGAACACAGGTCGCCTCAGTTGTTTGTTGTTTGTATTGCTTATGGATCAAGGTTGACAGAGGAACAATGAAGCTGATGGGGGTAGTTGCTTTCAAGACAGGAAAGTTACTCACCCGTGTATCATAGGATTGACATAGGGAATTTGCAAAGCTGTTTGAGCAGCCTTGATCCGACTTCACTCGAAAAAGGCGCGGCCGCGATCTCGTACCGTTGACCACTTGCGGGTATAAAGCAGCGATGTGAGCGTCGAAGATGGGTCTTGGTGAGATTAGAGACGACTGTTGAGGAGTCAACAAAGTAGTCACAACCTGCAAGCGCCCCAGTGGCAACAAAAATCTTTGAAGACTATTGTTGTTCGGGAGCGCCGCGCTTGACAGAAGACAGTGAGATCCTTCGAAGAAAGTGCCGACGACGACGTTAGGAGTTGCTGACAATGAAGACCGTAAATATGTATGCCTGATGGGGAGGAAGAGATGGAGTTGAGCGTGGAGAGCGGGCTGACCGATGCTAGGGCGGAGGTATCCGAGGATGGGCGTGGACAGGAGATTCAAGTAGTGTGCCGCCTTCCCCGGATTTATGCTGAACAGGCTTTGCTGGAGTCTCACGCGACCGACCGCCCAGGATATCGGCTTGTTCTAGGGCGGTGGAAGGTTGAGGATGGTGGGGGTCCGGGCGCTCACGGCTCGTGCGATCTGCGATGAGGCACGGCTGCTTGAATGAACAAAAGGTTGCAGTATTAATGCGCTCTGGGGCAATACCTGAGCTTTTCAATCGCAGTAAACATCCACAAAGCGATGCTGTTGCGGTTCGGGCAATGGACGAAAAAGCACAGAATGTCAAGAAAACACAGAGTATGGTCAAAGGACGATGACGGACCAGCAGAAAGAAACTGTGGTCGATGGTGGCCTTCTGGTGATCTTGCTAAAGGGCCAGGTGGATAACATGGGAATGGCCTGACAATCTAGCCATTGGTTGCGATGCACAGAAAGGAAAAGAGGCAAATGGTGCAGAATGAGGGTCGGGCGGAGATGGTGCAGCACTCGGGTAGACAACGAAGCAGACAGCAGACAGGCATTATTCAATTATTGCCCTCTACGATGCCGCTGACCCCTCTTTCAGGTCACGCCAGGTCATGAAGACTCGACGAGTCTGGACTGGTGCGAACCGGGGTGCGAGAAGACAGAGTTTTCCTCGAGGAGGGGAGGGGCGCCCATTTCTAGGTGGAGGAGGGGTGGAGAGGGCAAAGGCCAGGTGGACTGATTGGTTAAATAACGTCCTTGCGCGGCTGGAACTGGATTTCTGGGGAAGATAGGGCAGTCCACGGAAACCACCCAGGTAGGGTGACTAGCCCCGTGGGCGTGAGAACCAGGGGCATCAGGGCAGGCAAGCTATTCAGACGGATACGAGATGGGCCGGGAACAAAGGTCACCTATGGACACGTCAATACTTGGTGATATCTCATGGACGACAAGCAGTACGACCGTTGTTTCGGCCGTCGTTCTGAAGTTAGAGACACCAAGGTGACAGACAGCCACTAATATGGTGAATTGAGTCATCAACTGGCAATTGCCAACATGGTCTGATCGATCAAGGACATGGCATGACCTGCAGCAACACGGGTAGGACACCCGTTTGCGTATTGCGGGGTAAATACGGCATGAAGATAGGTAAATGAGACCAACTCAGGGGCAAACCCCCCTTGCTGCGAGCGATGCATGCACTCGATGAGCGTGATTATGATGTCGTAGAAAACAATGCTGGTGAACTCTGTTGGCGACCCAACAGGCATAATGGACAGTACACGAAAGGTACGCCACCACTTGCGTAGGAAAGTACAACACCTATCGATCTGCACCCAGGTAATTATATATACTGCTGACATGACATGCGTCCTGATGAAGTATAACCTTATGGGATATGGATTGTGCTCGGCATGTGTTACCAAAGCCTAATCAGCCTAGTCCGCCTCTTATGCACGCAATACTCCTATATTAGCACTAACTTGGCCAGGATTGTCCAACAGAGTGCGGTCGTGTGTGCCTCCTCTTGTGTGAAGAGAGAGCAATGCCGCTGGTGTCTTTCATCACCATAGCTTTTCCCGAGAGAGAGTGTGGGGATAGGAAGTCCTGGTACCAACAACTTCAATGTCCCAGGTATCCTTCGGCTGTATTCGGTATTCAGGATGCTGCTCTGATCTGTCACCAAGCCGTAAGTGATACATTGTGCATAGTGCACAATCGCAACGGTCAAGTGGAGTGAATGAGATACCCTTTGTGTGCACTCTCACTCTGATCACCCATTGACTGATATCAGGATATGTCCTGAGGTGCGTAGAGGCCATTACCAAAGGGGTATACACGATGTTGCCCTATGCCCAATACCCATGGCAGAGTCTTTGCAGACACGCAGCGCGAGCTGTCATTTCCGTATTTGGTGGAAGTCAGGGACACCGTTCAGCAGTTGCCTTCCATCACTCCGCAAAGTCTAGGCTGCCTTTGCCCACTGTAGACGGTGCTGCGTCCGGGCCCTTTTGTTGCCGGAGCTTTTCTTCGAAGCGTTCGAATTCTTTCAGGGCTATTTCTTCTTCTTCGTCCAATACCTGATTCACACCCTTGACTTCTTCAATGTAGTGCATCAACATCGACTCGATTCCATTTTTGAGCGTCACCGTGCTGGAATCGCACGTCCGGCATGCGCCACGCAACTTCAACCCGACCATACCATTGTCGAATCCACGAAATTCAATATCTCCACCGTCTTCCTGAATAGCAGGTCGTATCCGTGTCTCCAAGAGCTCCTTGATCATGGCCACTACTTCATCATCTTCGTCGTTGGCCGCAAGGGAGTCTTCTCCTGCGCCTTCCTGGCCGTCGGTCTGAGCACCTTTGTCCACCGTATTCACAATCTGTTCTCCTGACGTTATGGCTTCGGTGATCAGAGCGAAGACCTCAGGCTTGATGTGGGCCCAGTTGACGTCCTCTGCCTTTGTGACGGTGATAAAGTCTGGTCCATAGAAGACAGACGTGACGCCATCGACGTCAAGCAATCTTGCAGCGAGCGGTGATGGATGTGGAGCAGCCAGAGTCGAGCGAGGTGAGGTGTATTCGAGGAAAGTTGAGGGGAACCCGTCTGGCAGTACAGGATGGTTTGGGAGGAATTTAAGGGCAGAAGCATTGGGCGTCGTTTGGGTCTGAATGTATATTGTTCGGTTTGCTGAAGGTATGGGGAGGCTCGTTTGATGGCTGGGTCTCAACGTAGGTCGATGGCGAGCCTGCGACGTCGTGATGGCAGGTATTCGTGCCGACTGGTGGACATTGCGGGTAGCAGCAGCTCTGCAAATATAACTGAATGTGTTGCTTCCTCGTGGGGCATGTAGAGCCCGTAGGCTCGAGGGTGACACTAAACCACGCATCATCTGGACAAGTAGCAGCAACTAGCAGAAGTTTGCGGCCGCAGTAAAAAGAAAGGGATACAGAAATATGAATGTTTAGGATTCGACGGCAACTCTTGTATCATTGAGGTAAAGAAATGTTGCGAAGCCGAAAATGACGCATATTCAGGCCGAGCGATTCACGTGAATGAACGCATATTTCGTTCTCATTTGTCAGCCTTTCTTTTCTTCCCTCCCATCCACGTTGTCCAATCATCACTCTTCGAAAGCAGGCACATACAATTTATGAGTACGACTATTGTATTCGTGCATATCGTCAACAAATTGAAAAGCTTTTCGCTTTCTCGAACGCGTTGTTGAGGCTATCTTCATGTCCACGCAGACTTGCAGTGTCTGCGATGCTTCAGGGTTCAAATATCACTGCCCATCCTGCAGAGCCACAAGGTTTGACATTTTCCAATACTGCGTGAATGCCCGCGCTAACTTTTATATGGCAGCTGCTCTCTGCAATGTTACAAAACCCATCAAGGTCAATGCACCCGTCTTGTCGGAGGGGATGATCCCAAAGTCAGCACGGCGGCGGCGTCTGCCACTTCGTCTGAAACGACTAAGGGCCTTCCCCTGACAGAGACGCTCGCTCAGGATCCAAGTCTGCAAGAACTCTTTCAAAAGTATCCGATTCTGCGGGCCAAGCTCAAAGTCATATTCGAAACTACTGTGCAAAAGGACCTTGACATCGGCCCTGCAGCGCATGCTAGACACCATAGGACGCCAAAGTCTCCCGAGCAGCGCCTCAACGGGGCGTTGCGACGTCTCGAGCAGGAAATGAGCTCGGACAATGCCGAGCGCATTGGGTTGAAGGCGTTCGCCGAGCTCGTAGGGCAATTGAGCCCGAAACAAGCCAAGGGAGAATGACCTCAACCTATTGCTCCTCAAACCCAGACTTGTTGCCTGCCATGACTGCTCTCTGGCAAGGCGGGAATGGGCGGGCTCTCCGTCAAGTCTGCCCGACCAGATCTTGATCTGCTTAGCTTTGTGGACCATGTACTTCTCGGCATCAGCTTCTCGACTGGAGGGTCGTCGAGATACATGTCGATGACTTCTTCTACTGCTGACTTTTTCCTCTGGAACACGGTCAGGAAGCTTCGCTGGCGCCTGATGCGGACTCCATTGGCGCTATGTTGGTCCTCTTTCTCCACTGACTTCGACCAGTCTTCCTCCTCCTCTTCATCGGAGTCGACGAAACTCAGCATGGGTGGTTTTCGGTTTCTGTATGTCATTTTGAGCGTCTCAGCCCCATCGCGCAATGCAAAGCTTTCCAACTCCCGACGTAGCTGGTCCTCACCGGGCGAGCATATCAGCAGCGGCGTTGGTGCGGGCTTTAATGTTGCGGTGGACCCAGCATGTGACAGTGCTGGGACAGGCGGCAGTTTATCTCCAAGATCCAAACGCGAAGCGGTCTGCTCGGGCACACAGCTGTCGTTCCGCGCGACAGAATGCTCTGGGCCCGTTAGGGCCCGTCGATGCAATGTCGGTGGGCGTGGCCGCCTGACGACAAGCTCTCCCGTTGGTGGTCCCTTCCTACTTGAAGTTCTCGGCGGTAGGGTCCAGTGTCTCTGAGGTGCATGGGAGGGTGCGTGAAGACCAGTGTATTCTCCCGAGTCGCCGTCAACGATATACTCTGTGTTTTTCAGGCTTGTGGAAGCTGTATTATTCGATTGGGATGGCACCAAAGGCCAGTCTGATTCGACCTGGGCATTGCCTGGGTAAGGCTCTTGGGCTTCCGCTGGAGGCTCTTGCTGGCACTGGGTCTCCTCTATCTTAACCTCGGCCGTATGGTCAAGTGCTCGCGCAAATCCTTGAGACGGATCCGGTTCAGGTTCGCGTTGCATGACCAGACTCCGTCTGATCTGTGACGATGCTCTTCGCGAATTTGATACCGGCAGAACAGACCCCATCCCGTTGGACAATAAATCATCTTCAAAAGAAAAGCGGCCCATATCGGCATGGCTGAACTCGTCTGAAGTACGTTGAGCCCCCTTGAAATGAGCTCCCACTTCGTCCATCTCGGCCGTGTATTTGTCCAGGCGCCTGAAAAGCGAGTCGAGATCGAGGTCGTTATGGTGCAGGTAGGTCGAACTTGAGGACACGCTCGAAACACCACGCTCTCCGATTGCCATATTTGCCACGGCTGATGATAATGGCCTCGAGATAATCAGCTGGTGCCGAATACAACGTCAGTCGCGTAGATCAATCGGTCAACCCGTCAATCTACGATCAACAACAATCTTAATGACGAGTCTGGGGAGAGCTGAATAGAGTGCACGACAGCTTGACCTGACAGCTATTGACCGAGCCCAAGCTCCAGTCCAGCGGCTTTCAACGTGGTTGACGCGTGACTAAGACGTTTTTGTGCAACATATGGACGCCAAAGCAGGAAATACGCGTCGCAGGAAGGTGAACCATGGGAGAATGGTCACAATGATACAAAAGCGAGAAAGCTGGAATGACATGCATTGAATACGATTCTTTCTGCATCTACGTGTTCCTACAGACGATCTTCAGGGGATGATCGCAAGTCAAGACGCGATTTGGGTTTGGTAGAGTGCCATGAACACGAAAACCTGGGCGTCCGACATGGGGGCGGGTGGCTTGAGACTTGTGGTGACTTGAGTTTGTAGCCGCGGGGCACACGAGACCTTGATCCAGATACTGATGACGAGCAAAGGAGACCGACCTGAGAAGAGAGGGGCAGCTTTGGTAGGTATAGAAAGTCATATACCGCTCTTGTCATGTCATGGCGCATGGGCTGCTCGTAATCGCTTTCTATGATCGAGATCATACTTGTTTAGACGTAAGGGTGGCGTGGAGCAGCGGACATTGAAGACTGATAAAGCACCACACAGCACGCGGCATTCTTCTTCCGCAACCAGGGATCTGGTAGCGACGGTTGCCGGCTCGGAGAATAAGAGACTTACTGTAATGATTGCAGGAAGGATCAGCCTCCACACTCCCGACTCCAGGGACGCGGTCCATGACTTGGGTTACATAGGAGTTCAAGTTGATTGCGCTTGAGCCTACAGAGTGAGGCGCGACAGAAGGAGATTGGGGAAATTAAGAGTGGATGAGGATTCAAGATTGGGTTTTGGTGGTTTTCTGCCCCTGATACTAATAAGATGGAGAGAAGAAGCTGGCTGTGAGGATGTCGACGACATGATTCAAGCACGTACTAGTATGTCCCTCACATTTTGTGTCTAGCATTCCTTGTGCGTCATGGACACAGAGGTGCGGTTTGTATGTTGAGATATAGCTTTCCAAATATCAATTTGGCGAGGCGGAAATGTTGAGCGAGAAAGGACGGGATGGATCACTAAGTAGCTTGCAGTACGAGTGAACAATTACTCCCTACTGTAGAGGGCCTCTGGGCCTGGCCAATAATAGTGGCAAAGCCTCCGCCCCCGTCTAGGCGACCTTCACCTATAACTTAGCACAAGCCATTCTCATTTCTAGGCGAAAGGCACCTACCTACTGTAGGTAAGGATCATATCAAGACTTTGCTCCCCTACTACTAGTAGTTCATTGTGACGATAGTTCATTGTGACGATAGTTCATTGTGACGACATTGCTTATTGACCAGTTCTTTTGGGTGCCATGCAGTGGTCTTCTTGAGCAACGTGCGATAACTACCGTACAGTGCATGCAGAGTGCGAGTGCCTTATGCAGGTGCCGGAAGTGAAAATCACCCACCTCCCAAAGCTGCGTTACGTACTTGTTGCTGGTACTTGCTACTCGTGCCTTCTTGTTTTTAATCGTACATATCGCCCACTTGGTGGCGGCGGGCGGGAGCAGGATCGCTAAAAGGACGGCAGCCTAGCCACCAATGGCGGCTGCTGTTGGAGAGATAGGCGCAGTTTCGTCTCCTCTGCTCCTGCAGTCGGCTGCCCGGTTGCTCAAAAGCCTGCATCCCCTTGTGCCTTCATGACCTGTCTAACTGCTGCTCCATCCAACCACCAAACGAGATGGTACCTGACACACTAACACGCGACGTGCAGTAGCCCTTCAACATGACCATTTTTTTTCACATGGGTCCTGGGTTTTCTCATCCAACAACAGACCTGGCAAGAGCCGACCACCAAGAGAACCACCCCACAAGCCTACCGTCACACTGCTAAATCAGACCAGGCCGAATGAACCCCAGAAATCCAGTTCGACACCCAATCCCAAAGCTTCTCCGGCTTGACGTTCTCTCTCCTCAGACCTCAAATCTTTCCTTGTTTGTGAACTCAACCTTGAACAGACGTCTGGGAAGACTGGAACTGGTTGACGTTGGCCATATACTGTAATCAGGCTTGCTTACAGCGACTGGATCACACAGCGCTCAGAACAGCTCCAGCTCTTCTACAAGTACTTGTTCTCCCTCCCACGTCTTCACTCCACCAGCCTTGACCATCTGGGATTTGTTTACCTCTCTGGCTCGATCGACACAGGACTTCTCCGGTTTCACCTGCATCCACTCGTTCTCGCTTCTTCAGGTCTAGGAGTGAGGAACTTCGTGGCCATCAAACCCGGCTCTCGATATCCTAACCCTGGTCTACTACAAAGGCACAAAGCTTTGATATCGCACGCCTTGCTTTTCACGTCGATCGTCCCCAAAGAAAGGCCATCAGAGACCCATTAATTTGGCGTCTTGATGTTTCCAACACCCATGACTGGCCTCCACCAGACTTGTGCATTGTCCTTACGGCGTTGAGTTGCACATGACTGGACCACACAGGATCGACCTAGTCTCGCGGATGAGGTTGAGTTATGCCTCACCAGTTTGACCATTAGGCCAGCCCCCAAGACCATGGAGAACAGATCCACCAAGTATCGTTCCCTCGAGGCGAAGGCTGGTGTCCCATCAACCAAGTCTCGAGAGCGTCACAATTCTGTTCCATCGGCTGATCGACGGAAAGATCAACAGTCCAAACAAGTCCCGGCCTCTACGACTTCTTCCGATAACACCCAGCGGAGTGCAAAATCCCGTCCTCGACAGGACTGGGCGACCTCCCCAGATCAAAGCACCATCACGCGTCACTCGGATCGACAACCTCAATCTAAGCTCGGTTCCAAGGTATGTACCGCGAATCGCACGTCTAGCCACTTACCCAAAGCTGCCGTTGACATGTCGAGACAAATCTTTCGCCGGGCACAAAGTAATTGACTTTTACAGACGAGCAACTCGAACTTGATACCATCCTTCAACTTTCTGGTGCTGGGCTCGGTGAATAGTGGCAAATCCACCTTCGTCAAACACGCCATAGATCGAGAAGGACGCCGCACTTCTACCCAAGTCACCGTAAAGGACTCATCCTATCGCGTCCACTTCATCGAGCTAGATCTCGACGATGTTGACTTCAGCAGCGAGCGAAGGCTGGAGTGGCCAACCTACCTAAATGGTGCTCCGTTCCCAGAACCTGACGGGGTCTTTTGTCTTTACAGTGTCTCCGACAAAGAAAGTGTCGCTGACATTCCCACTGCTTTAAGTGAGTGCTAACCCATTCCAGCGCCTTTCTGGGTTTGCAGACAAGCCATACTACCGTAGGTGCCAAGAGCTAACCCGATGAAAGCTTCTATGACGAACACTGGTCTACCATGCATGCTTGTAGCTTCCAAGTGTGACATCCCGCAAGAATCCCGTCAAGTCAACCCGCATTTTCTCGATCAGGTCCGCCGCAACCTCGCTAGCGTCGCGATTGCCGAAGTATCTTTCAAAAGCCCTCAAAGTATAAAGCTTTGTTTGCTCAATATGATCAATCGCGTGATCACATCGCCACGTGGTGAGTCTATTCTCGATATCATATGCCCAGCGCCTATCTTATCGTGCCTCTGCACCGTCTTCTTGAGACCTTGCGGGAAGTGCCCTGCGGTCGAGTGAGCACCCAGAGACGTTGTAGACTGTTGCTCTCTTCTCGCGCAGCTCTTTCACTTTCGGGCTGACATTATTGGTTAGCCTCAGGTCGAACAATCAAAACTGCTCAAGCTTCCGCACAATCCTCCAGCACCCAACGGGTCATTGTGAGAGAGCAGTCCCCCAAGAAAAGCCGGAGTCGTAGCCGATCCAACAGTCGGCTGCAAACTTCAAAGTCAAAGGAGCTTCTTCTCAACCTCTCTACCAGACCGGCTGTCATCGAATCAGGAGACGAGAACGAGTCTTCTGCGGCTGAAGATGTGGCATCTCCACCACGTAAAACCAGACTCCGACTTGATACTACGGCCGCGTCTCGCTCCCAAGCTCGCCGTGCAGGACCTCATACGCCTATGTCTTCTGGTGACTACACGAACAACCTGGGCTCGCCACCAGAGCCAACCACGGCAGCTGTGCCGGAGACCCCAGATTCATACTATGTGAAGTCAATCCTGCGTCCACCTTCGTCAGAGGGTGCGGAGAGCCGAGCATTCCAATCTTTCCTCAACATGGATGATGATCATAACGAAAACTCTGCTCGTTCGGAGATTGAGCAGCTGGGTCCTCCATTGAGCAGCTTGAAGATTGAGGACAAGGCCAGACATGACGCTGGGGTCTCATTCAAAGAGCTTGTGGAAAAATTACTGATCTTGCCGGCCAATAAAGTCGACTCGAAGTTTGTCCCTTCCTTTTTGTGTTTGTATCGCGCCTTTGCCACTCCACAGAAACTACTTGCGGCAGTCATCGACCAGTTTGTCGCTATTGAGAAAAGCAACATGGTTCACTTCTCCAAAGTGGCTGAGATGCTGCGGTATCTGCAAGTCCTAGCTCAATGGACTGCCACATATCCCGGTGATTTCGCCGAGGGGCCCGCCCGGGACCTTGCAGTTGCGTTTGTGCAAAATATCGAAAAGAGCAAGGTCTTCGCGCCAGCTGCAAGAGAGATCAGCAACAATTTGGATACACTCGTTCCCGACGAAGATGCAGAATGGGCATATAACGATGCTCCCAGCCCGAGAAAGACGCCAACGTCTTCATCAGGCAATCTGCAGGCTTTGCACAACGAGCTCCCTAAACAATTCCGAAGAGTCTCCAAAGATGAAGATGACAGTGAAGACGAAGGTGACGGAACCAACTCCTCCGCACCGGGGTCGAATGCTCCTTCGGCTTCTTCAAGCATCATCAAACCTTACAACTCTTCGAGTCAATCGGCTTCGAATTTCGCACAATTGGAAAATGCTAAGGTCCAGGCCGACAGGCTCAAGTTGATCCCACACATACGCTTGAGCAAAATGCAATGGCATCAATTCATGGAAATACCAGTCGAAGACCTGGCTAAAGAGATCACTCGAATTGACTGGACAATGTATTCTGCCATACGGCCGCGAGATTTTGTTCGCCATGTCTTCCTGTCAACAGAACAGAGAAGACGATCTCGCACTGTCGACAACATCAGCGCTATGGTGAAACATTTCAATCATCTGGCTTTGTTCGTGTCGGGCATGGTATTGCTACGAGACAAGCCCGAGCACCGTGCTCGAGCCCTTGAGAAGTTCATGGCGCTGGCGTGGAAAGTTAGACAACTAAACAACTACAATTCGCTGGGTGCAATAGTGGCAGGGATTACTGGCCATGAGATTGCTCGGTTGACAGCCACGCGAGACATTGTGCCACCCGAGGTCCAGAAACAATTCCTCCGACTAACAATCTTAATGGGGACGTCAAGGTCACATGCTGCATATCGGATGGCTTGGGACAATTCTTTTCAAGAACGTATACCCTTCTTACCGCTTGTGAGACAGGATCTAACCATGGCCGCCTCTGCAAATCAAACATTCATCAACAACAATGTTAACTGGAAGAAATTCGAGATCATGGGTGAAGTTATTGTTGGCCTCCAGAAGAGTCTCGAAACACCGTATACCTTTCCTCAGAGATCGAACCGGACGGAGGAGATCACGAGACTGCTGCTGGAGACCAAGATTCTTGAAGAATCAGAGGACTCTGCCGATCCCGGAAGCGAACTGTATGACCGCAGTGTACAGGTGGAACCGCAGAATGGAGTCGATCAGAGGAAAAAGTTCGATTGGCTACGGCGTTCGTGATCTTGAAGTCTTGAGGTTGAATTTATCTCACGGTTGGATGGGCTTCATCGTCTTTGCTCGGCGCGAATCGGGGCGTCTGGAGAACAACATATAGATGAGGAAAATATAACTGCGCGGCAATTGTGAAAAGTTTCGGATTGCGGAAGAGGTATGGGGTCTTTCATTGGGCCTGGCCATACCATGAAATGACGAATCTATGAAGGAATTATCATTTATGACGAACGGTCTGCTTGAGGTGCCTTCTGCATTGGTCGCAAAGGCAAAAGAAGATCGATGGCAGCCTTGAACATTCTAGCGTGTGCAAACAATGTACAGGGCGGCGTTCTGAGGGACTCTACAAGATCAGGTTATATGATCTGCCACAAATACTGTTTCTTTTGTATGATCGAAGAAGGCAAAGGATGGCTTAAGTTCTACCATCTCCGGACAACACGAAAATGTTATATTCCGGCCGAATAATGGAACCTGTATTGACCAGGCAAAGGCTATAGAGTTGTAACGCAAGATGCTTGAGGCAAGGAAGTCTGCCGTTCAAGGTCCAAGATATATTTATATCGTCAAGGTACAAACGTGCGTACTGTCTGGGTCCACAACTGGACTTATAAGCAAACTGAAAATGGGATGAAGGTGCAGAGAGCTTCCTAAAGGCGTCACTAACTGATATGAAACTGGGATTGAGTGTGAATCAATATCATGAGAAGCACTACACAGCGTAGACCATGAGGCTAAACACGTCTATGTACAGATGCCACACGATGAGCGATAGACATATCTATGTACAGTACAAAAAGGATTGCAAGAGGACAATACAAGTACAACGGCCTCAAAGTCTTCCAACACCAGTAATCAGAAAACAAGACATGGCGGCAAACATCCGAGCGAAGGAAATTTGTATGTTCAGTGTGAGCTGATCCTCGTCCGCCGCTCGCAAGTGGTGATAAGCCTCCTGCTAGGTGAAGAGCAGAGTCGACGGGAGCTCCGGACGATCAAAGTGCGATAGACCGTCGAGGAGATAAGGACAGAACTCTCCTCCAGGCCTCAGCCAACGTTTCCGCGTTGACGTGGAGACACCGAATTCGAGTATCGCCTTGGCCCATCCCTTGGAGATCCAGGACGAGGATTTCACAGAGGTGGAGTAGCAGTTCTGCGTGCCATAGCTTCGTCGAAAGCCTTGGACGAATCATGGACCCCGTTCAGCAAGATACCTTTCTTGGGCTTGGAGTTGGCGGCGGCAGTCCCGTTGGAATTGATGTTCTCCTTGTCAGGCATGTTGAGCATCCAATTCGGCGGCGTAATGCCCGTTTGATCTTGGATGGTGCTCAACAGTGGTGGAAGGGATTGCATGATATTCTTGATAGCTGAAATACCACCACTCGTCGCGACTTCACCAGCCTCTGACCCAGTATTCCAAACGGTGATCTTGGGCTGCAGGCCCTGGATAGCCTTGGCGTTGGCCAGCGCGAGCTTCTCGTACGTATTGTCCTTGATCATGAGGTATGTCAGCAGACCCTGCGGTCCGCCAAATGCATCGGCGAGGGCCGAGTACGCTTTGGCCTGTGCCTGAGTGGCTTCGGCATCACGGTGTTTGGCGTGGTAGTTGGCGTCGGCCTCCTTCATTTGGCGTTCGACGTTGGCCTGGATCTGGCGCTGTTGCTTGAACAGTTGGGCATCGGCGTCTTGTTTTTCTGCGTATGCTTTGCCGTCGGCGTTCTTGGACGCTTTGTAGAAGTTCGCGTCGGCTTCGCGCTCGGTGGTTTCTTGAGCGATCTGCGCGCGTACCAGGTCCTTGGCGCGCAGGCGCTCGAGTTCCATAGCCGCTTTTTTGGTCTCGACTTCGCGCTGGAGCTCGGCGTCGCGGGCCTCGGCTGTGCGTTTTGCTTTGATCTGCGCCATCTGGATGCCCATGTCCAGCTCTGTCTGGCGATTCCTGAGCTCAGCGTCGGCCTGCGCCTTGTCGGCTTTGCGCTTGGTCTCGAGGACGGCGGTCTCGGCTTCGATCTTGGAGATTTCTTGCTTGGTGTGGCCCTTCTTGGAGGCCTCGCCGATTTCACCGCGCATACGAGCCTCGGCGACATCAATTCGGGCTTGGTTCGAGGCGCCCTCGTGGGCTTTGCGTGAAAGGAAGGCGAAGTATTCGGATCCGGGGGTGTCTTGGAGTTCTTTGACGTTGGCGTTGTAGATGCACAGGCCGAACTGATCAAGTTCCTTTTGCACGTTTTCAATGACCTATCAATCTTAGTGTGGTGTTGCACTACACAAAGGGTTGCATCGCGGCCCTACCTTTTGCTTGAAGATCTGACGTTCCTTGAAGATCTCTTCCATCGTCATACTCGAGACAATCACACGTGTTTCACCCTCGATGATGCCTTTGACAATGTCCTGAACATGGCCCCTTTGTGTGGGTATGATCACCTGGTTCGGCTTGCCCTTACTGCTTGAGGGGGTCCCATCGGGATTTCCGCTGAGAAGAAGCGCATACTTTTTGAGCGCGTCGGGTTTGTTGTCGGGACCGATGGTGAAGACGGCTGGTAGAGCAAATTGTAGCTTTTCGATGGTCATTGCCTGCAGGTTGAGCGAGAAGTCGAACGGCGAGACTGAGATCCGGGCAGCTCGCTGCCATGGGTAGACGAACGCTTTTTTTACGATACGGACATCGTCGATACCGGCACCAGTGACCACAAGGTACTCGTTGGCATTTGAGATATGATACCACATACTGGGCATATGTTGACGATGGGCGGCAACGGAAACTTATCGATGTTGATCGAAGAGTGCCGACTTTGAAAGATAGAGCTTGGCTTTATATGAACTTGACAGGTGAGGTCTGCACAGGGTAGGGTTGGGGATAGTGGCGTGGAAGGAGGGGTCCTTACTTGACCCTTGGGTAGTCAACCTCAGATCGTGAAATGAGACAACAGAAAGTATAGGTGTGCTCAAAGACATACCGTTTTATACCTTCCTCGAGAGGACCACTGAAATGGAGGGCACTGTTGTCCAGAGTGCGGTTCCCATATCTGACTCACCCCTGGAAGAGAGGCTTCGCTAAGCCACCGGACGCCTTTTCCCTCTACTAGCACTGACAGCGAGATATATTGGTACGAGACTAGAGTTGAATGAAGAAAAGATTCTCCAGTTCGTTGATAGCTTGTTGTTGCGTCCGTGGGGGTACACAGCCAGGAAAACAAAGCGAGAGGCCAGGAGCAGGGCTTGATGGTAAGGCAGAATGTCTCCGAGAACTTACCCAGAGTGCTCATATGACCAGCATGAACAATGTCTGTATACCACAGTAGTCATACGAATACGTCTTGAGTTTGGCGGGATTATGGCAGCACGTATGCGCGTGGGGAGTACACCGGAGGCAGTAACCAGAGTATGCCATGGAAGGATCCATACGCCAAGTTGTTGGCGCCAGAGCGAACCAGTGGCTGTGTGGAGATTGTAGCCATCGGTTCACCTGGGCCGACATTCGACATAATGTAGAGCTTCGGGAGACCTCAGCGAACTCTTTCGGCCGCCTGGAGCGATAGTAGTGCGAAAGCATATCCCATAGGTTCGACGAGGCAGACCAGGTGACCAGGAACTGCGCTGGAATGCTGCCAGCCGAGATAGCCGTAAGGAGGTGGCTGCGCGAAATCTGCCGTTGATGGAGGACGTCAAACATAGTGGGCGCCTCTCAGTATCAATACATGCGCCGTATTAGAGAGGCTAATTACTATCCGCTGACAGTCGATCGAGATGAGATGAGGGGAAGATTGATGTTGTTGCTGTGAGAAGAGAGTGGGAAAGGTCATGCATAATTCACCCGCTGGGTTGAGGTCCCACGGCTTGTCAGTTATAGCAGCATGTTTAATCCTCCTTGTGCGACATTGTGAGCCTCATTGTCTTGGTGCACTGCAGAGGACCATCGTAAGGTCAGGACATATCTAAGGCCATGGCTGCCATAGCATCAGTGTCAACCCTGAAATGAAAGAGGTAGGACTGATACATGGCTACCATGCACACAGCCTGGTTTCCAGAAGCATGTAAACTCTGAAGCAGCGCTAAGTATTTCAGCCGCGCTAAGTAGAGTTCGCCTTATTGCTCCGGATCCCCGACTTCGCTTCCTTCTGCAGAAACCCTTCATCCCAGAGTGCGAACAAGCTTCAAAGTTCAAGCATGGGAAAATGAACGCCTGTGTTGGGGTGACATTGATGTTGGGTCCGGTACCGCAACAGACCCTCTTCTCACTGGCGACCCAGGGGAGACTCATGACACTCTTGATCAGCATCCCGTATGCGACCCAAGCTTACTAGCCTGCACTCCGTTCAGAAACTCTATATCACTCTAAAGCATGCTCGACGGAGGCTAGAGTATGGCTTGCACACCGGTTTTGATGTAAGGACCCCAAGCGGTCAAATGATACGGTTCTCACTCAACCTTGATGCATTTCGTTTGTTACTCCCTTCTGCTGTGCACCGACTCGTTGTCGCAAGTGTCTGCAGTACTATCTCGATCACGGACATTCCCAAGTACCACTCGTTTGACCAAACAGCTCATTAGCCTTCAATAATGTCCAAGTCCGGCTCAGAACACTGGGAGACCTCTGCAGTCTTCGGGGAGCCTATACCAACATACGAAGAGTCCCTCGCCATCTCGCCAGGCGGAGCAACCATACTTGTTCCAAGCGAGAAACCCAACAGCTCCGTTTCTTCATTATTTCGACAAGGACGAAACCGCCGGGTCCTCGATCTCATCTCGGATACCATCCTTCCAGCCATCAGCGTTGACCTCGCCAATGGTTGCTCCCATATACCCTTGGTCATAGTGCCATCGGAGACGCTCGGAAGTAGCAGCAAGCTCGATGAGCGTAACATCGTTACACCAGGTCGTCAGACTTACGAGGCTTCACGCACTGTCGTCGTGCTGCAGGGGCAGGATAAACGCCCCTCCTTCTGGACGCAGAACGCCGTTGTCCAGGAACTCGACCTTCTACTCCGGAAGGAGCTCGGCTGCTCGTCGCGCACAAGCAACGAAGAGCCCTTGCCCAGAGAACTTTCTACATCAGGTTTTCCATCTCAATCCCCGTTGCAACTGCAAGCAGAACCAACACCAGCTAATGCAGAACTTCCTCCGCGGCCGAAGAAGAAGCTCTGGCTGAAACGTGACAGTGCCGTCACTGAAGCCGAAAGTGATCCCACTGGCGAGACGGGCAAATGGAATCTCGGCTGGCGCGGGCCAGAAACCCCTGGTGGAAGAGACACAAAATCTGGAGATCATGACGTTCTACGACACCGTACACGAGTCCAAAACTTGAAAGTGGACGAAGTCGCACTTCATACAAGGTTACAAGACGTCAGTATCCGGACAGAAGACCAGATGGGCCTTTTTCGAACGACCACGGTGAAATGCATCTGGATAGAGATTGACGTCGGCACCTGAAAGGCTGAGGTATTCTCGTTGATCATGTTGAGGTGTAACACTTTCTCTACATCCTTGCCCAGCAATACCATTCTGAGCCAGCTGCCAGTCATGGCACAAAGACAGTTCTTTCCTTCTTCGCCACCCACGCTTCATGCACCTCTTCGAGCTTCTGAACCTTCAACGCCATATCAGGTAGCCTGGCCACCGCAGCCAAGAGAGCCGGCAACTCTTTGCCAAACCGTTGCAATGTCCACGATCCAGGTCCAGCACCACGCACGGTAATATTCTTGGACCGCAGCACAGCACCTGGCAGAGCAATGTCCGGGCCTGCAACAGTCCCAATCTGGACGTATTGTGTCGGAACCTTGGAGTTGAGAGCATTGACCAGTCCAACAATGGCCGGACCGTAAAGATAGTCTAGAATGACATCGACATCGCCCAGGGAGGAGAAGTCAGTCTCAGCAGGGTTGTCCGCAAGTACGACTGTCTGATCCAGGTTCAGGGCTGCCATTTCTTTGGCATTGCGCGCCACGCCAATGACCTTGCCGGCGCCGAGACCGCGAACGAATTGGGCGGCAACTTTACCGGAGAGAGCGGCCACGCCAACGATGACAACGGTCCAATTCTGTGGGAGAGGGTCGACACGCGTGGCAAGGGCCATCCACGAACTCATGCCCGGATTGAGCAGGCCTGCAATATGCACAGGGTCGGCTCCAGTAGGGATGGGGACAATTGCGGACTTGGGAACCGTTACATATTCTGCAAATGCGCCACCAGAGGCTATGCTGCTGAAATACACGGTCTCGCCTTCAGGCGTGGTGCCCACGCCATCAGCGCCCGGGATGTACGGCAGTTGGGCGCCTTTGGTGCTATAGTGCTGTCCTGCAGCTTGAGAGCGGACGAGCTGATGGAGACCGGCGGCTAGTACTTTGAGAGTGACCTTTTCGGGATCGGAGGTCGTTGGGTCGGGGTAGTTCGAGGTGAATTCGGGGCTGGTGTCCCACGACTGGACTGCAATGGCACGCATGGCTCTCCACGGATCTTTTTCTGCTATCAGCTGTAATGTGGTCGAGATGGCCTGTCATAGTAACCATCACGAGCATAGCAGATCTCTAGAGAGTAGATATATATCTGCCACCTTTGTGCGGGCATTCTACACAAACGTGATCTCGGCCGACTTCTTACTGCAAAAGGAGAACGCATATGATCAGAGGTCAATCAGAGGTTAGTACGCTCTGTCAGCATTTCTCCGCACTGCTCAGGTCTCCTGCTCAATTCCCCAAAACATTCGGGTTGCAGACCTCCCTGAAGCGTGAGTAAGTGAGTCGATGGTGACATGCTGCATGGTCATGTAAGTCCTCATTTACCGGATTCTTCGCAGTGGGTGCAGGTGGAAGAGCTGGCTCAGACGAAGCAGGTGAAAACGGAAGGACGAGGAGGAGAGTACTAGTACTGCCTGCATAAAAAGCCACTAGCATAAATCGGGTAAAATATTTTGTGCAACGACGTCACTCAATGAATTTAGAAAGAAATCGCGTTTGACAAAAAAAAGTCGCGGCTCAATGAAGGTGAAGTTTTGGAAATCACGGGCCACCAGTGAAGAGAATGCAGAAAGCAGCCACCCTTTCATTCTCAAGTGCAGTTTCAAGGAACACAAATATCGCAACCTTGCTTGGCTTTTCAATCCACCACCTTTTGAAAGACTCAACCGTTTTAAGAACATCTCACCGCCGCGCAAACTACGCCAGCATCAGCAACATGGCGCGCGGCAAGAATCCTCGCTCACAAATGGGTTACCCTCATCGTCCTAAACCTCAGCCTGCGAATTCAACGAATCTTGATCACCAGCAATCCTTTGTCTCGACTCACACCCTTCCTCCGCCAACCATCGAAGTACCAAAAGATACGCCGCGATTTGCTGACCTGCAAGGCAAGAACCTCCTCGACCCAACTGTCCTTCACACCCTTACCAATGATCTCAAATTTGATCATATGATGCCAGTCCAGGCTGCGACGCTAGAATATCTCCTCTCAGGAGCAGACGTATTGGCGCAGGCAAAGACGGGCACGGGCAAAACACTGGCTTTTCTGCTTCCCGCAATACAGACCATCCTGAAGAGGAATGAACCACGCTTGTCCGCACTGATCCTCTGTCCTACGAGAGAGCTTGCGTTACAAATTGCAGCCGAGGCCATGAAAGTTCTACAGAGACTACCTGGATGCAAGGTTGCAACCTCTATAGGCGGAACGAATAAAAATGTGGAAGCGACAAATATCCTGCGTGGTTGCAGCATCCTCGTTGCTACACCCGGCAGACTACTGGACCACCTCAGCGACGAGAGAGTGCAATCTACATTGAGCTCACTCCGGACTTTAGTGCTTGACGAGGCGGACCGTATGTTGGACATGGGCTTTTTACCAGACATCAAGAAAATACTGTCATATCTTCCCAAAACCGCTCGACAATCCATGCTGTTCTCAGCCACCATTGATGATCAAGTCAAGAATGTGGCACACCTCTTCTTGAACAAGGGCTATGAATTCATCTCGACTATCCAGGAGGGCGAGGCCAACACCCACGAACGTGTTGACCAATATCTTGTTTTGACACCAAATATGATTGAGCATGCCCCTGCTATGGTCTCTGTTGTTGAGGCAGAGTGTGCTACCACGAAATCATTCAAGGCTATCGTGTTCGCCCCTACAGCTGCTCATGCTGACTTCTATGCCGAAGTTCTTGCTTCAATTGGTACCTTGCCAAAAGTCTCGGTTCTGCATTCTCGCATGACTCAACCGAAGCGGACCCGAACGACGCAAGAATTTCGACAAGCCACGAATGCGATATGTGTGGCCACCGATGTCATTGCTCGTGGCATGGACTTTCCGAATGTTAGCCACGTATTTCAGGTTGGTTTACCATCTGACAAGGAGACGTACGTTCATCGACTGGGACGTACGGCACGCGCGGGTGCTGAGGGTCGGGGAATTCTAGTACTTGGCGAAGCCGAAAAGGGCTTCTTGAATCAACTGAAGGGAATCAAGATTCAAGACTATCCATCGAGTCTCCAGTACAAGATTGAGGACATTGAGCCTGCTCTGGCTGATCTCCAGACCAAGCCGAGGGTTTACCAAGCATGGCTAGGTTATTACAAGACGTATCTGAAGGTGTTAAAGTGGTCACCCGCCGATCTTGTTCGCGAAGCGAATCGGTTCGCACTTGAAGGTCTTGACTGTCCTGAAGTGCCCGCGCTGGAGAAGTCTACCATAAGCAAGATGGGCCTCAAGGGGGTCCCGGGGCTAGTGGTCTCAGCAAACAAGCCTGGTTCGAATAATCCTCATCGTCGAGGTGGAGGCGAAGGGCGACTGCAAGGTAGAGCTCCAGGCAGAGCTCCAGGCAGATCTTGAAGGGAAATGCATACAACCACCTAGGTTGACGATTTCCATGCGATGGAGGTCAACAATACTAACCTTGGCTGAAGCCAGATATGCTCGAGCTATCAACCAGTTGATCTTATGGGTGTCGACGATCTAGTGTGGACACGGATCGTCAGCCCCAGTTTGACGAACCCTCCCACATATCAGCGACCTTCCGACTACACCACGGTACCTTCGCCTCGCTACCGTTCTTTGAGTACGCCTTGAAATCCGTTCCGGAACTGCTAGGACGAACAAGCGAGTTATTTTGGCACTTCGACAACATACTCTGACCGAAAGTCGTCATTCTTGAGCGAGAATGCCTGCGCCTTGCTGACCCGGATTCAATTCTGCTTGGAGATGGACTTCATGTCCTTTGCAAAGTGCAAACATCAGGTCTTTGACAGTGCCTGGATGGGTGGATGGAGACCATTGTATGACGTCCTGCCACGAGGCCGCCAACGACCTTTCACAGCTTGTTGGACGAGACCAGCATGAATTAGACTTCCTGGAATTGTAATATTAATACGAAGACCATAGAGAAATAGAAAGGCTCAGAGCACGCCGTTTTGGGTATGGCTTAGCCTTACCCTCCATTCAAGGAGTTCCAAGCCCTTCAAAGGATAGTCGCAAGTATCTCAGTGTGCTGTGTAAATCGTCCGGTCGCGTGAGGCTTCATTAACAACAAAGAACCTGTTTAATAGTGACAGTCTAGAGAGTGACTGACCCGCCAAGCAGCGACGTCATTTGTCACTGAATAAACTACTGCAACATCAGTATAAAGCGATCAACCAGGAAAACGAACGACCCCGTCGCCATATGCATAAGTGAAATTTCAAGATGGCCCCATCCCAGATCCAAGTCGCCAGCAAGTCACTAGAGCGACTGCTCAAGGAAGAACAGTCATACTACAAGGAGCAAGAGCAACAGGAGGCTCGCATAGCAAAGTTGGAGAAGGAGTCTGGCGGCGAAGACGACGATGGAAATAAAGCGTTTACATTGAAACAAGAGGTATGTTCTCATTCTTGGACTGGGGCACAGTCATGTACGAGTAGTTCGGATTGCAAGAGTATTGAGTTGACCGTGTCAAACAGCGTCAAGCCCTGGAGGAAACCAAGAAGGTGATCCCAACTCTGCGCGAGCGCATTGTCAACGCCAGAGAGAAACTCGAGAGTGTGCTGGATAATGCTGCCGACGAAACGGAGAGGAACAGTGCGGTCGAGTTGCTCAAGAGGGCAAAGGAGGCGCAGAAGGACGACCCTGTTGCTGGCATCTCTACTTGATGACGGCGAACGAGATCATGGCCGACAGTCTAATGATTGTCTAGGTATTGTGCATTGGTCACAAGGGAGGAAGCGAGGTCTTTCTAACGACCAAAAATGTCAGACTTCGAGACCGTGGCCGCTAAGCGGTCGCGGTCGCCAAAGGGTCGAGCCAAGATCGGAGGATTGAGGTGATGCATCTCATGATGTCCTCATGGACTCTCAGAGCTACCTGTCCAATATTGCTACAGCACGTTGCAAGGAACGCACCAAGATGCTCCTGCAAAGGAAGGTCATTGAGCATCGCAGACCAAGCTCTCGGCAGCACAGCGTGTCAACAGCCAAAAGCATCGAAATGCATATCCCACTCCTGAAATCTTACGTCGTATCCATATCGTCTGGTGCTTTCTCGACCTTGACATCCGTTGTACTTCCACCTGCATGTTCTCCCGTTGCAGCACCAACATCCATATCTACATCCTCATCTGCCACGCGCCGAGGCGTCGCTCCGCCCTCGGGCAGCGTGGTGGGCGTCATCGCATTACTTCCGCGTAGATCCGCCAGCGGAGTTGGCGCATCGTGCATCGGTCTCGGCGTACCTGCGTTGGATAGGCCCTCCCTTGCACGGTCTACGCCCAGCATGTTCTCTTGATCCTGGTCGTCCTCTTGCCCGTCCTCCTGCTCTGCCCCATCCTCATCTTTCTCCGGCTCTTTCTCGTCTCGAATCACCCTGCGTAATCTCATTCCTTCACTGACGACTTTGCCAAACTGTTCTCTCCTTTCGACCCAGGCCTGGGTATGTTCCTGCGACTCGCGCTCCAACTCCTCGATTTCGGCCTTGAGTTTCTCAATGTTGACATGTTGCTCGTCACGCGGCTTCAATGCGGCATTCTTCGTGATCTCATCCGCTAGCACGTCGTAGGTTTTACGGATGGCAAGCGTCTTTTGCGCCTCATCCAGTTGAGAGCGGAGGCTGGACGTGTTATGTCTGACCTCTTCGGCTGTCCTTTCGATCTTTGCCTTTTCCTCGATGTAGCGTTCTCGCTCTCGTTCGTTGGCGGCTCTTAGAAATTGGATGCGCGCAATGCTGCTCTCGAACGCGGCGAAATCGAGAATTACATCTTCGCGAAACCGCTGGATGTCTTTCAGAAATTGCTCATGCTGGGTTCCTGTGTCTGTATCTGTGTCTGCATCTTCCGCTGCGGGCTCTTCTGGCTCGCTCTTTCGAGACAGGAACGAGTTTATAGGGGTCGTTGGGGCGAGAAGTCTTTTCGTTAGGCGTCTGAATGGGCGCTCTTCAATACCAAGCAGTCTTGTAGCATGAAGCTTGTCTGTGCACATTGGATGAGCGCGCGGACTTGGAGGTTATGTGCTTTGCTTACCTTCTTCGGCCTGATCTAATAGAGCGAAAGGCGCCATTATGCTGTGGAGGTCTGTTCAATAGCATTCGCAGTGTGCAGTATGATCAGGGACAAAAGAAATCCGCAATTATTGTCGAGCCAAAATTGGGGAAGTGAATGAATGCTCCGCAAGGACAATGGCTGAATCCGGCGGTAGGACAATAAATAGGTTTAGGCATGGCTGTAGCTTCACTCTGGGGGGCGCTGCTCCCTCCAACTTCACTCACCTTCTTTTCGATATGGCTTGTCACAGCGGCCGCCACCAGGGCCTCCGATTCAAGATCCTCGGGTTCTCTGCGTCGATCTGCACGACCTACAAGTCTCAGATGACTTGAGACGTCTAAGTCATCTCATTAAACGTATATCAGGCCCTTCCTCTGGCCGTGCTGCACTACCCCATAGCCACCATGCCTGCAGACAATCTAGTCGACATGGCCCGGCGGGCATGCGCACGCTATAGTGCAAGGATCACAGACATCGGCGACCTAGACTACGAACTCATCCGTTCGGTCCTCCTGAAGATCGAAAGCCCAGAAAAACTAGTAAGTCGACGGCGGCCCTCTATCTGGCGAGCCCTCACGCTGACCTATCCCCTTCCAGCACCAACTGGAACAAGCCTCACCCCAGATCATAGGCAAAGACGCAGAGATCTGGATGAACTTCATCAAGCGCGACATTCCGGATTGGCAGCAGAAGCGACATGAACCAAACGACCCCAAGAACTGGTGGAAAGTGTACCGCAAACTCAAGGAGGAAGCACAGATGGACTCGACCGCCGATGAAGCCATGCTTAAGGCCGCGCTAGCCAACATCAAGAACGAGAAGGAGCTAAATACCACGCAGATAGCGTCGAAGATGCCCGTCCCAGGCGTCTCCAGACGCACACGCCCCCTGTACAACTATATCAGTGGCCGGACAGGGAGCAAAGGCGCCAATAAGATGACTTTGATGGAGAAGATCCGCAAGGAGGCCCGCGACGCAAAGGCCTCGAAGATGAATAAACCGATGCACGAACTGCAGAAGAGAGCGACGCCCGTGACGCAAGCACCGCAACGGTTTGTCGAGGAGTTGAAACAGAAGTCTACACCAAGATCAACACCACCTCCTGGCCCCACGGCACGAACCTCGCGTCCACCGCTACACGCCCCCAGGAAGATCAGCCGTCCAGAAGTCTCATCATACGACCTTACACAGGACCGGGAGGCAAGACTCCGCGCGTTGAAGAGCGGCCGCCCAATGGAATCGAATCCTCGTGCCACACCAACGAGCAACGGGACCCTAACGACGAATTTCCTGGAAGACTCCGATCTAGATGATGTCGAGGACGACGTTGCCCCGGCGCCGCGGGACCAGGACCTGCTGAAAGTCAACGACGATCGATCGCGGTCAGCCAGTCCTATGAAATTACAGCCGAACCCTTTGAAGAGGAAACAGGCTCCATCACTTTTCATGTCATCCCCAAAACGGGTCGTCAAAGCACCTGGTGTATCCTGAAGAGTTAACGAATATCTTACCTATTTTATTTTGTATCGAAGCAAATCATCTGGATTGAGAAAGTCCGTCGTGACAGGGGACAGCATTTTGGCACAGGGCCGGAGCACGGAATATTTTGGGATCATCAAGACCGAGAAAGGTCCATAGCATAGAAATCTGGAGATCAATTGGGCTCTTTCAAAGACATGTCGTACCATTCGTTGGGCTCTCTTGCTCGCTTGTCTCGATCTTGTCTCGTCACGCTTATAACTCATGTTGCTCATCAATTGCGTCCCACCCTCGTCATCATGGTGAGTCAGGAGCAGACACCTCATGAATGCATATCTTCAGCCCAGTCTCGTCCGTCTGCCCTTCTGGTACCGCTCTCACGATGGCCCTTTCTTCCAATGCATTCGCCAGCCCATCGCAAGTCCATTCAAACAGCTGTGCAATGGCCTGTCTTTAGCATGCTTGGGGGGCCGTGTTGTCAATCTTTGTCCGCAAATGTCCATCATCTTGACAATCCTCCTCTGAGCGCCAGAACCAAATGCAACGTCTGTCCTCCTTCGAGACCGTACTCTTCTGCTGTCTTATCGTCGGCCCTGTTAATCCAGCCGTCAGTACACATCTCACACCACGTCTCTTGTCTCCAGGCCATGCTGGGGCTCAAAACGTGCAGTGTAAGGCACGGGAGTAACGAACATTTGTTTTCCACCGTAAATCAATCTCTGCTGAACAGGCGGGATGCCCTCCTTCTCCTCGACACGTTCCTTGATCCGAGAGACCTGTAGTCCATCCAATGTCAGCATGATCTTGCTCCTTGCTTTCCAACACGCAACCTGTCGATCGTCTAGCGGCCTCAATGACAACAAGCGCTGCGGGCAACAGGCTGTGGTGGGCTGGGCTGGGTGACCGACCTTGTAGTCCGGCTCGATGTCGAGTTCGATCTCCTTGCCGGTCAACGTGCGGACTCTGCGTGGCAATTGTTAGCCCACTACGGTAATCGAAAGCAGATCAAAGATTGCAGTGAGGGGAGGCGAGGCGTACTTGATCAGCATCTTGTCGGTGCGGAATGCAGGCCGGGAAACGGAACTGTGAGATGAGCAGTCAAGAAACTCTTCCGGGGTTGAAGGATGTATGAGAAAAGAGAGTCAGCCCTGGTGCTTTATAGACAAGAGAACAAACAAGCAGGGTACGTGTGTTGGTTTGTCGCATGTACTGTGGAGAGAGGTTAGACTGGTGACATCGACGCAATGGTTCCTCCGAAAACGCAGTCCAGCCTCGCTAGCCTGACGGGCAGTCGCAGGGCCTAACATCGCCTTGGCGTCATCATCCTCGTGTATTCAGGAGTTCAGCCTTGTCCATGGTAGATTCTACGTTCTTTACTTCACCTCACTTTTCGCCACTACCTTGTTGAAGAGCAAAAGATATCGAGGTCAAAGTGAATGTATTGAAATGCCTCCGATCAAAACGCCTCAAAATGACATTTTTCGAGCAAAGCAAGAACAAATGGGGTATGATGGTAACAACAGACACAAACACAAACAGCCCGAGCCAGGTAACACATCCCAGCCCATAGGCTTGCGCCGGTGCTCTCAAATCTACCAGTCATAGAAGAGAAATGTCAAACAAAGCCCAGCAGAAGTCCAACCCAATCGGCTCCATATAACACCTTGCAATCGCTGTTGCCAGCCTTGGAGCTCACGCCCGTTGGCTAGGCTTCTTTTATGTCGTTCCGTCGTTCCTTTTTTTGGTACACAGAGATTGAAAAAAGTCTTTTCCATCCCTTCTCTTTACATATACACATTATCAACAGAAAATGTAATCTTGCTTCCTCTGTCCATGGGACCAATAGGTCAGGGACCAATGTCAAAAGCCCCGCCATGGGTCCCTTGAATCGCTGCTTCCCCGTGTCGAGGAGCTGGCGGCCATCATCTCGTTATGGAGTAAAGAATCCACAGGACTGATGCTATCTCGTCCTTTCTCAAGTCCCCAGTAAGCCAAGTCTTTCCGTTTTGATTGGCCTGATCGCATGAAGTTGAAAGATGGTCGACCGGAGGACGTTGAGGTTTTACCATCAATGAATGCATCCATTCTCATAGTGTTCGCCGGATCCTTGTCCAGAAAAGCTGCCGGAATTGGCGGTGGGCCAGAGTTACTCGCCTCACTGCCTCTACGACTGCTGACGATGCTTTGCATGCCTGCACTAGGAGTATAAAGTCCTCGATCAGAGGAATAGACCGCTGTAGAGCGCACACTTTGAGAGTATGTAGAGCCTGGGCCGGACATTGTTGGTGCAGCTTCTTTGGCCGAGAAGCTTCGGAACGAGCTTGGTGGTACTCGTGGTGCGGTATTGCTGCGTTTGCATGAATGCCGCGGGATGATAGGTGGCAACGCGGGATCCTGTGTCGGGTCGTAATAATCCCGGCTTTGGGGTCTAGAGTCCTGGACTGGTAAAGAGCCGTCTGTGGTGAAAGACCTTGGGCCAGGTCCAACTCGGCCAGGATTCTTTGCGATCCGAATAGAGTCACGAATAGGCCGACGTCGAAGGGAGCCTGCAAGGGACGGCGTGGGTTGATTCAACGTGTCGTGCTCAGGTAGTGGCGGAGGTGGAGGAATTGCTGTCAATTCGTTCATAATCAGTGGCGAGTGAGACAAGAAGGACAATGCGGTAAGCCAGACATAGTGTCGTTCCTGTGAAGTTGCGGTAAACTTGAGTGCTCGCTGAGGCGTCAAAATCAGGATTGATCTGTTGAATTGTTGTCCAATGATCGATCCCTTGGGCATGGGATTGTCATCCTTCACATCTAGTACCGACTTGATAGTCACTTCTCCCGCGTTAGTATGTCTTAATACCAAATGAGAGTTCAACTTACGTTTGCGACCAGACTTTCCCATGAGGGCTGTTCCTGAAGTTGGTTGCTTGCTGCTCCACATCACTGCACGTTCATATGGCGCAAGCCAGACCCATCTCTTGTGGCGGACGCCATTACTAGTGACACTCTGAGAGATCTCTTCCACGCTTTTGGTGCTGTCCCAATCCGCCTTGTCGCTAACTCCGAACGACTTCCGTCTTCTTACATATTTGTACATCCACTCACCGACCATTGTCTGCGCAATGGAATCAACGACGGATGTCTGATGCATGGAGACCGCATCCGAATTGGTTTTGGTATGAGGACCGTGCCGACGGGGTCCCGTGGCAATTGAAGGACGTGGTGCACTTGCTTCGTGTGGGTTGCTGTAAGGCTCGGCTAGGAATGGTGCTGGTGCAGTCGTAGTTGGCATCTGGAAACTAGGCATCTCTGGCACAATCGAAACGCGTGGATCGAGTGGCGGTGACTGGCTTCGGGATCGACGTCCTTGGGAGTGAGGGGAAATTGCCGGTCCTGAACGTGCCTTTCTCAATATCGGTCTTGTATGCTTGGTTCGAGGTCGTTTTGTCGGGGAAGCATTGCTGCTCCCTGGCGAGCTTCTACCACCCTCGCTGATCGATTTGCCTATTTTCGCAGAGCTGTATCTCAGCGGAACTGGGAACGGAGGAGGATTGTTGCTGTCGAAAGAAGCCGTTGTAGACTGGGAATGAGACGACTGGTGTGCTGCAGTCCCGCTGGAAATCAGGGCAGCCCTCCTCATGTTACCAGATTTGGCAGAGGATACTCTCTTCAATTTTGAACCGGTGTTCTGCCTCTGAGAACCCTTGCCAGGGCTTGTTCGACCTTTGGACAAGACGTTTCGCATCTCTGGTGGTAGCCCGTCTTCGGAGAGCCGGATGGTATCCATAGCAGCAGCTTCACCAGCACTTGTTGCCACATTTTCACCAATGTCTTCCAGGAGTGGATCATGGGATACCATTTTTCCCGAACGAAGGACGAATTTGGCGGTCGGTCGACTGAAAATATCGTCTTCGGGGAAGCTGTTATCAGCAAGGAGATCATCCCTGAATTCTGCATCATCCTCGAACCCAGCAAAAAGGCTGCTTGTCCTGACAGGACGGGGCATGTTGGAAGCAAAATCTCGCGAGAGAGGTCCACTATCGTTCAAGGGAGCCGGAAGCCCTTTGGAAGGCCCGGCCACAGTACGTCTCGATCCAAACAAGGATGCAACGGTGGACATCCTATTTCGCGGGACAATTGGCGGCATTGCTGCGGATGAGATTGGTGGTGTGAAGTGAGTGGACAAGGGAGGTTGTGGCATTTCCCTGGGTGGTACAATGGCTCGCTTGTCGACTCGAATTTCTTCTGTCTGCATCGAAGTTGATTGATACCCCCCAAGAGATTGGAAGATTACCTGGGTACTTGCATTTTTGGTTCGGGGTGGTAGCACGACATTAGTTTGGGGTGTGGCAGGCCTTGATCCAGGAGGGACGATGGTAATCAAGGGAATCTTGAAATCTACCATTTCTTCACTTTCCGCGTGCTTGTGGCCATGATTGTCCATTAAGGCTGGCTCAGGCTCAGTCTGCGTGCCAACGGTAGCCATAACTCTTCGTTCGAGGGGGCTTTCTGGAATCGTAGCCAACGCATCATCGCGTTTGTCTGGTGTGAGAGGTGGGCTTGGTAGGGCTTCAATGGTCTGAGAGGCAGATGAGACCATGACTGGTCGCTGCTTCTCCCATGGAATTTCTACGCTGTCGACAGGGCTGACGGGGGATGGGGACACAGTCATGTGCTTGATGGTCCCAAAGTCGATCTCTGGTTGCGGAGTAGTGGTGGCATTGTGATATGATCCTGACACTGGCCAAGGTGACGGAGGTGGCGAGAACTGGATTGCTGTGTCGACATATTTGATGCTTGGTCGACGTCGCCGAAAAGCTTGAGGTGACCCTGCAGGGCTGTCATTTCGCTCGATGTCTTCAAAGTCTAATGGCAGGCCTAGGACTTTGCGAGCCTTGAGTGATAGGCTCGAAGTGGGCCGGACATGCTCTTCTGGAAGTGCATCTGGGGAGACTCGACCATCTTCATGATCATGAGCGTTGGCTATGTCTTCTTCCAGTTCGTCGAAGGCGAGCTCGTCCGCCAGATTCACTGAGACACCGTTATGAAAACTCAAGACGGAGACTCGACCACCATGCGTGTCACTATGGATCGAGTTGGCACTGAGCCTTCGACCCCTGCGTGTAAGGGTGGAACCTTTACTGGGGCTGTCCATCAAACTGTTGCGGCTGTGACATGTTCGTTCTGTTGGAGAGCCGGGAGGTGCATGGTGCTGGACATTTGCGACCTCGCTCAATACCACTTTGAGGCGACCTTCAGCGATATGGACCTTTGTCTCCAGGCCTCGCTTCTCAGTGATCCATGTCTCTTTGTCTTTGTCCCATAGCGCTTGAGTTCTGTCCGCAGTCTCTTCTTGGCTTTTCGCCCTCTTTTGACTGTGGTCGAGACGCTTGCGCATATCTGAAATGTCGTTCAGTGCATCGTCCCGTTCTTTGGCAAGTTCGTTCAGTGCAGAGAGTGTACCTCCCTCAAGGAGTTGCATCTGCCGCTTCACTGACCTCGACTCTTTACTGGCTTGTAGAAGGGTGTTGGTCAGGTTTTCATTCTCAGACTGCGTGGCATGAAGGGAGATCTCGAGTCTCTCTATGTCATTGGTTCGACTCTCGAGATCTCTGCGCAAGGACAAGATCTCCGAGACCAATGAAGCGTGGAGGGTTGGTGTGAACCGTCTGGGGTCAAGAGGAGAGATGTTCTCGTCGAGGGCAGTATTGATTGAGTCATTACTTCGCCTCTTGGTGGCTTGCTCGTCAGGCATGGGAGGAGGCGTGGAGGAGGGAGACATGTCATCATATCGTCGCGACCGGGAGGATTGGGAACTGGAGGGAGTGCGATAGGGAGTGTCGGCGGGCGAAGGCAGTGAGTAGCTGGCTTCAGGCTCCATACTCTGCCTCTCTGTGGTGATATCTCTGGTCAGTCGTCAATGATGCGGACTCTGACCAGTCTGAGCCAGCGTTGATTGACTCAAGTCCTGCGGCTCAGTGGCTGACCATGGATTCCCTGATGAAAGGTGAACCCATAAGATACATGTTGAGCGACTCGACCGTGTGTTCAATGTCGGTGAGTCCTGTCGAGTTCGTGTTCTGGTCGTCAAAGCGTGCTCGGGCTCGTAGATTGCAGGCCTCAAATGCAATTGCACAGTATGTGAGACGAAGGACAGGACACCAACAAGGTTCACGTCATGCACGGTCGCGTCAAATGGCAGTCAATATGAAGATGACAGGATAGACAGGAGTCAGGTTGGAGGATCTGCTCGCACGGGGTCCTAGTCTTGACCCTCACCTGCAATGCACATGAGGCGGTATAAGAGAGGGACAGAAAAAGGCGGAGTCAGCCTCTGGTTTGAAGGATGTGCTTGTGCCACAAGACCGATGCCCGCCTCACTGGTCAAATGGACTGTCTGCAGCGCGTCTGAGGCGGACCCTGCAACAAAGAGTGCAGAAGCGGTGCGCAGGCCCATTGGACCGCAGCCCTGGATTTCCGGGATTAAAATCATGATTGTCAGGGGCACCGTGGACGCGGACGAGATGGCCGACGACCAGGGTTTTGGTCAAAGTGGAGTGGATGATAGAAAGTAAGGGAGCCGCGAGCGAGACGGTTTAACGACTGTTCCGGGGTTCGCTGAACTATCGAGTGCGGGATGAACCTTCCTAATAATTGAAGCCTCGAAGAGCTCGTCTAGCTAGCTAGCTTATCGGGCATCAATTTGCAGGCCTTGAGGCTTCTGATGGAAGAACCGGAGTGTCGACATGCTCAAGACCTAAGAAGAGGTTATGGCAGGCTGGAGATCAACAAGAAGATGATGCGAAGACCCGAGACTTGGGCATTTCGTGAATCGCGATGAGCCCAAAGAAAAATTGTGTTTTGGGCGTGGAAAGCCCCGGGCCGGTAAGCTAATGCCCCGCTATCAGGCACAAGCGTGTTTCAGGACCTCCACCCATCAGTTGCCCACTCGGAAGATTTCATGGGGACTGTTCTTTGCTCTCTTGGGCCTTAGCTGCAACCACTTTTCAGCCTTCCAGGGGGTTCCATGTCAAATTCTTCAACGCCTTCATGTCAAGGTCCTTCAAATCATGACACAGTACACGTGCGCGCACGCAGACAGCCAGGGTAATCTTGCCCTCTTTGTGCCCAAGGTAGGTATGCTGCAGCACATGTATTCAAAGATCATCACTGGCATCAATATCAGCATTAGCATCGCCCGTTGAGTGCAAGGAACCAAACCCATCGTCAGCTGCATCCTCCCACTTTCGTTCATCGGCCCCAGGCATGAACTGTTCACACCGCTCGCTCGAACCATTTCTTAGATCCCTGTACCTTGTCTTTCCTCGGTTGTCTGTGCAATGCTTGTCTTCTCACTCTCGCTTGACTAGCAGCTCGCCTGTTCCGGCAATTTTCCAACGGGCCTGGAGTAACTAAACAGATGAGGTATAAAACGTGAAAGGCAATGCAACTATTGGCGATGGTCTCCTACTATCATTGCCTTAGGTCAAACATCGTCCTCACTTTGGACCGTTACCTAAGTTATCAGAATGTAGCTTCGGAAGATGAAGCTGTCGACGCTATCAAACATGAACCTTCAGGCCCGTTATAGAGGCATAGGTATCAATCAGTCTACCTGCAATATTGCAAAAGGGTCCTGTCAACCTGATGTCACTCAAGCCAAGTTATGAATACGTGACGACCATCCCTTCGCAATTTCTCTTCATAATCACACTCATCACAGGCTCGTATCACCTCGTGCGTTCGGAGACTGACCACTTTCGCCAGAGCATCACCTCCCAGGGGCATATGCGACCTGGTTTGTCACGTTGTCACTGTTCGACGTTGTGATTCTGGCTTGGGCGAACGATTGCACTTTTGCGCCTTTCCTGGTGGCGTGGTGGCGTGCCCCTACTGAGTCTGTCATGTCTGGAAACATGAGCCGTGCCTTCCATTCGCTCGCCTATCATGTAGGCCTCTGGGGGCTATGCCCATTGCCCATCCCCACCAGAACTTCGACGAGGTAAACTGATTCATCAGACCCTAGAACGTGTTGGTTGCAAGCACCACTGTGTGGATAGCCTCTGCTTAACATGGGAAGAGCAAAGGACATGCGCAACGTGGAAATACATCATGGATAACCCATGCTGTTGATCACCCTGGAGTCGAACCACTGGATCCTATTTCCTGGCACACCACAGTACGCCTTGATAAGATCAACCTAACTTAACGTTTCTGACAGGTGAAGGGGTCACGGGCGGCTTCGGGCGCTTGCGGCATGGCGATGCCGCTGTTCGGTGTTCTTGGCCGCCTAGCCTTTGCAAGAGCCTCGGTCCAGGGGGATTTGCTTCCCCAACTTTTCGATCTGCGCCTCCATCAATTGGTTCGAGCAACAATGTCATCCATCGTGATGGAAGGTCTCGTGTCGAGGTCCGTCCGCGTCGGTACCGCAATCCATGATTGAACAGCCGGAATAAACATCTGGCTTCAACGTACTTTCAGTCTACCTAACAATCTATTTCAGATCATCCCAATGTCAACATCGCACCCCCCAAAAGCGCTGTTGACGGACGTCTTCGGCACAGTCGTTGACTGGCGCAGCACCGTCACCAACCACCTATCCCTCTCCGCCTCCGAAGCTCTCAACTCCCCGACGACCTCGATACCCAGCACCGTCCGCACCGCAGCCTCTGAAATATCCTGGCCCGCAGTCGCCCAACTATGGCGCGAGTCCTACTATCAATTTACCCGCAGTTATGACCCCTCCACAAAGGACAAAAGTAATTTCAAAACCGTCGACCAACACCATGTCGAAGCACTCAACAAGATCCTATGCGACCACGGCCTCGACGGGCTCTGGAAAGACGAAGAAATTGAGAAAATAGCCCTGATCTGGCACTTTCTAGATCCCTGGCCAGACTCGTCGCCGGGACTCAGCAAACTGAATCAGAAATTTAAAACGGCGACCCTGAGCAACGGCAACACAAGCCTTCTTTCCGACCTGGCCAAACATGGCAATTTACCATATACCGACATCATCTCTGCCGAGGATTTTGGCGCATACAAACCACACAAGAGCGTATACCTTGGTGCTGCGAAAAAGCTGGGCGTCGAGCCTAGTGAATGTGCTCTCATAGCTGCTCATCTCGGCGATTTGGATGCGGCTCGCGGGTGCGGTTATCAGACTATCTACATAGAGAGATCGCAAGAGGAGGCCTGGCCTCAGGATAAAGTGGCCAAAGCCAAACAAGAGGGATGGGTGGATATGTGGCTTGACCTGGACGAAGGTGAGGTCGGTTTTCTCGAGATTGCAAAGAGGTTTGGGCTACAATGACGGCGAGGACCAGAGTCTTGTAGGAACTACTAAGCATAGGGGAAGGCGCTTATAGTCTTACCTTGTAGGGGTTGAAAAGGTCCCCCGTGTCAGGAAAAAAGGACTCGTTGACTGGTGTGAGAGCTTTCATGGCATATATACCAGAACAGGCCATAACAGGTGCTTTCGATGATTATGTCGCATCGCGGATTGGATTCATGCGATTTGGAGAGACGGAGGATGCGTGCGTGACATCCGCTGCCATTGGAGCATTCCTGGACATCAAGAACAAGGTCTGTTACTTTTTTGGTGCGCCCCAGGACCAGCAGTACGAGTTTTCTATTCACCTTTGTGAAGGATGACGTTTATTGAGAGCTACAAGGTTGTCTCATCGTCCAGTCCACACATTCGTTATTTCGTAACTACTTCTGTGATCTACCCACCTCTCAACCGACAGGTTCTCATCTTCATACTGCGAAGGAGAACCTATGTCTGTACCCTCCTCAGGATTGAGCCAGATGCATATTTGGAGCACCGAGCTTCTTCTCGGCCTTCTTCGCAGCTTTGTACCATTTGGCGTTCTCCTCACCGTGCGTGGTACGGCGCTTGATGACCTTATTTGGGTCATCGCCACCTTCGTCTTCTCTAGACGTCGACGCGGTGGCGCCGCCAGGACTGGTAACACCATCTGGAGGCAAATCACCGTCGGTGCCAAAGATGGCTCCCATGCCACGACCCTCGCCCTGTGCCGAGAAAGGATTGTGGCTGCTCGGGCTAGCAGGGGTGCCATTCCCAATTTTCAACCCACTCAATTTCTTGCTCGTGCCGTTGATGATGTCCCGCTCCTCTTCCTCGGTCAGAGGTTCGATATCTGGGACTGGTCCGCGGGGAACGACCACAGGCCATCCCACGTCGCTGCCTCCGTGTGTCTGACGACCCTTGGCCCGCAAGTAGCCGTACTTGTACACTTCGAAGAAGGTGGTCTTTTTGAACACCCCACCATTCGTCCGATCAGACTCGTCCCAGTACAGATTCCGCAACCACCTGGACAGCCGGGGATAGTCATGTCGGATCATCTTTAGATTACAATTGAAAATGTTGTAATAGGCCACATCGAACCGTGCCATAGTGGTGTACAACCTGATATCAGCCTCGGTGATGTGCTCGCCAAACAGGTACGGTTGATGTGCAGGGTCTGCAAGATGTTCCTCTAGCCGGTCAAGTGACTTAAACAGCGGGTAGACACTGGAGTCGTAGGCCTCTTGTGTCATGGAGAATCCACACTTGTACACCCCGTTGTTAATGGTGTTGTAGACCCACTCGTTCATGGCGTCGATTTCCTTTCGCAGATGAGGTGGATAGAACCCACCTTCTGGCTTGTTGGCCTCACGCTGATCGGGCTCCAAGAACTCATCAAATTGGTCGTACAACATGCGAATGATTTCACTTGACTCATTATTGACGATCGTATGTGTCTTCTTATCCCACAATGCGGGAACGGTATACCGACCTTCATACTCTGGATCAGCCTTCAGATATAGCTCTTTCATGTTCGTGAAGCCATATAAAGGGTCAGCGCCATCGGAGCCGTTGCGGCCTGTGAAGAGCCATCCGTTCTCCGTTAGGTTGAAGTCCGTCGTGATCAATTGGATGATCGGTTCGAGCGACTTGAGGCCGCGAACGAGGATGGTTCGATGTGCCTGAGAGGGTGTTAAAGACCGCACATTGACAGCGTGAATTCAGTATTCAGGCTCGGTCATACCCAGGGGCACCCGTAGTTCACTGGATAGGTCACGGATGTCAGTAAAATATGGATTCATGCAAGAGCAGAAAAGGAATACAAACCGTATAGCGCATATCGATCTTTCTCGGGAGGGAATTTAGCGCCTGATTCACTAGAAATCCAGTCTCGAAAGGCGCTGTCTTTTCGTCGGAAGTGGCCGTCATCGTCAGCGTGTGCATGTGTTGGGCGCTGTTTTCCTGTCAAACGTGATTCTCGGATTCTGCAAGGCCGTTGCTCACCGAATCTCCCATCATCAGGTATCTTTCACAGTATGCCGCTAAGGTCGTTTGAGTAGGATGGAGGAGGAACAGATATGGGATGTCAGGTCGTGTTGGGAGGTCAAGTCAGTGACACTAGAGTCTCACTGTGTATAGTGGTACAGAGAGGAAATATGCAAAGGCATGCAGCATGGAAGAACAATTGGGAATACGGAGAGTGAGCGAAATCCTTTGAAACTCGGCTACGTGAAGACATTTTGTTTGGTTGCGCAGCTGGCCTTGAAGATCGAGTCGATGAGCCGTGTCTCAGCCCCCAAGATACCTACGAGTACAGTGCTTACTCGATCTCCAGGCTTCGATTCCGCCCCGCAATCGCGGTCAGGCCACGAGCTTGGATGAGCTGAGTCCTCGCACGAGAACACGTGAAGAGCGACTGCTAATCCATCTTGGGATTGTCGCTGTCCGAGTGCTCCAGATTGGGGAGTGTATCACTTGATTCCGCGGCTGATTGGGAAGCAGGAGCGCGCTGAATGCTGCTGTTGATCGGAGTTGACATGATGCGGAAAGATCCTGCGCGGGGCTAGTAGCAAGGCTGAGCCTCATTCCGAAGACGTCATAGGGTAAACACAAGTCACAGCATTTATCTGTGGCCAGTATACCCCGCCCTGTGCTGTGGAAGACATACTCGATGAGTAAACGGCCAACCTGCTGAGTAAGTTAAGAGACCAGTTGCAGAGTTGGTTCCGCTGGTCGCCTTTAGGCCGCGAGCCATACGTCGGTTGGGGCGTACGACGTGTCAACCTGAGCGAAGGAATACTGCCTGCAAGACTGCTGAACCTCAGGTCATTCTGCTCCGGGGACAGATCGGAGTGAAGTTATACCTTCTTACTCTTGTCAGCAAGTCCTCTGGTTTTGTGACGCCACAAACCGTATTGCATCGTTATCTGGGCTGTCACACTGGCAGCTCTTGCCGCAAAGCGCTACGACCAATGCCTCCTGAACTATACTCCGACTCGGCAGAGAGAGCACAGCGCTTTTTCTCCCCTTCCGAATCCTCATGCTGAGGAACTGCTCATGGGGCAGGTTGGCCTCGCCTCTGCAGAAGGGCAGTCCTTCCGTCTTCTGCGTATGAGATTGAAGAGCGTTCGAGTTGAGTGCCTGTAATGATGTACCGGGCGGTCTTCATCAATCTGGCCAAGCGCACACCCATAAAGAGCAGAGACAATTAGCTCTGAAAGCTTGATATTGTGCATTTGATGGGTGGTGACAGTAACAGTCTCGGACCAGACAGAGACTCCTACTATGGTAGACCATGTGAAGATTTGAGAACACTTCAGCATACCTGCATAGGCTATCGCATTAGAGCCCGCTAGGCCACAACTCGACCACGATGCTGATAAACACGTAGAGAATGTCTGAGTTTGCACGGGTGCGGTGACACAACATTATTCAGCGCTTGAAGACATGTAAGCAGGTCTCCATAATGTGCTTCTGGTCGAGAGGTAAGGTGCCGATCCGACGGCAGGTCATCCTTCACGGAGGCGGCCTCCCACGCAAACGAGGTTCCCACGCCCATCTTGACCGCTGACAGACAAGCAAACAACTGATAGCACAGTCGCAAAGACGATACAACCTGTTTCTGATTTGTCACAGAAATAAGAACTTTGATCGTTGCGAGGCTTAATCTTCCATTTCTTCCGATAACCTAGACGACCTTGCAGACGCATGCTGCACAGTTCCGACAGATACTGTATGCGGATATGGGGAGATATCCCTAACCGAACTGTCACCTGGAGGGCTCAGGCCTCATGTATGAATTTCTACGGTATCCCAGAACCACGGTCAAATGAGATGACTTATTGAGTAGCGCTGTCCATACTGCCGACTGTATCTCGTCCTGCTATTTGATCTCAAGCCCGATGGTGCTCGTACGTCTCTGTTACCAGCAGTATCACGTGGCAAACATGATGTGCGACAAGGCCTTCTGTCGGCTTGCCAGCCTGTGGCATCCGCTTGCGCTGTGTGTTGCAGTCTCGGTCAGATTGGTCCACTCGAGGTCACGTCCTAGGTATCAATTCGTAGGACCGGAAAACACTCAGGTCAAGATGGATACCCATCCCCTGAGGGTCTGTTGCTCCGGATTTGACTTCATGTGCTTGCGATGGCGCAGGGGATCGATGTGTCTACCCGAGGTAGCATAGCAAGACGCTACTGGTCGACTCTGGAATGTGGTAGAGTGATACGGAGACTTGAACAAAAGTTGACAATCTCCACGGAGCAAGAAGAACCGACTTGCCAAAGCATGTGCCCGAATTGGCTGCTTTGAAAATCTTTGCCCGTTCGGCTTGTCGTAACGGTCCCAGTTGAGATGGTTCATCTACAGCACCGAGATAACGATTCCCGAATAGCAAACACCGTGATCAGCCTTCTCCATGACGACGTTGATCTCAGGAGCTGTTGGAATTAAGGTTTCCCCGTGGATCTGGAGACGGGATCTACAACTATAACTAGTCCTTATTTTTGAGCAACACTCTCTACACCTCTCTATCCTCCTTGGCCGCATGCGAGTCCATCTGTCTGCTCCCGTCTTGGCGGCGTTGATGCACCGTTGATCACTGGATTTCATCCCCATCCTGACCATATATATGCTTGCACCTTATCTATCTTGCTGCTCGACATGTTTGCCAAGTGACCTTGTGCTCCGTACAGTCGATGGCGCCGCTGACGCGAGGAACGCTTTGCGTCATCACATCACTGTTTTGAATGCCTCCTGATCATCTTGTTCAGCAAGATATGGCATTTGTGGAAGCCGACTTCAGATGACCATGACGATCATTGCGACCCCGGTGAACTGGCAGGCCGCTCCAGCATACGGCGCTATGCCAGACGACATGTGGGTATCTTCGTGCCATAGACTACAAAAAGGTAGACAGAGCCTCCCGCCTGCCTCGCGTGTTCATCCCATCTCTCCCTCGTCGTGTGAACTGAGCCGCCTTTTCCTGACACCACCAAACCCTCAAGATGTACAACTGCTACACGCCGCAGGAGACTACGGAGATAGTCTCCCGCGCTGGCGCAATTAAAGGGAACACGCGCCTTGACAAGGTCTTCTTCAGTGCCGTCTCGGCCGGCTGTCTTCTGGCTTTTGCCTGTGCAACGGCACTCAGCACCAACGCCAGTCCGTGGTATCAAGAGAACGCGCCCGGTTTGATCCGGACCATCTCCGCCATTGTCTTCCCTTACGGCCTATGCTCCATCATCCTTACCGGCGCGGACCTCTGCACAGGCAGCTTCATGGTAAGCCGATATCTCATTGCCCATCTCTTCCTCCCTTCACTACTCTTTGGCTGGAACATTCTTCTGACGTTTTCCGGCGGGATCAATAGTTCACCGGTTTAGCCGTTCTCCATCGCCGCCTAAGCATCGTCAAGATGCTCATCCACTGGGTCGTCACGTTCTTTGGCAACCTGGCTGGCTCGCTCTTCATTGTTGGATTGATTACGGGCTATGGCGGCATCTTCGACGACGCAGGCTACAAGACAGAAGCCGTCAAATTCGCCACAACCAAGCAAGTCACTCCCGAATGGCACGAGATCTTCCTTCGTGGCATTGGCGCCAACTGGCTCGTCTGTCTGGCCTGTTTTCTCGGCATGTCCGGTCGCGAGTACTTTTCCAAGATTGTGGGCATCTGGTGGCCGACCTTCGCTTTCGTGTCGCTTGGCTTTGACCACGTCGTCGCCAACATGGTATGAAGCCTTTTCTCCTGTTTTGCATGTTCTGATCTTCCGCTGCCGTTCCTCTTGTCTCTCCCTTTCCAACCCCTCTGGTTCCGTTGCAGTCTCAAACGAGAATTTTGACTAAACCGAAGTCAGTTCTTCGTGCCAATGGGCATCTTCCAAGGCGCCGACATCAGTGTTGGCTTGTACATCTGGAAGGGCATCATCCCAGCAGGACTCGGCAACATCGTGGGCGGGTTCCTGTTCGTCGGCGCCTATTACTGGTACCAGTACCTGGCTTTCCTACCGGCGCCCGTCATCGATGGTGTCGCCTACGAAGCCGTCTCGTCCAATGGTCATGTCGATTTCGGAGCTCGGAGAAAGACCCAGGACGAAGAGACACTTGCTGGGTGAGATGGAACTGTGAAAAGCCTAGCAAATCAACTTCGGTAATGGGGATCCTGTTTGTCAAGCCTATGGACCTGTTTCCCGTTGGTTTGCGCCTTGAACTCCTCGAGGCGATCACATTCCGCTCAAACGACTTGACATGGACTTCAAGAGCGCAAAGGGGGGCTGCGCTCTGTTCTCTACAGATAGAGATGATATCCGATAAGATAGAACATATGTAATTATCATATATTGACACAACTTCGATTGTGGTCAAGCAGATGGACAAACCTAAACATTAATAACATCATTTTGCATGGATCCTATCCAAAAGTCTCGGAAACATCGTCAACTAGTCGGCTGATTTTCTTCCCTTACGTTTTCCTTTGCCTGCGGGAGTTGAAGCTGGGGGGAAAATCTTGGTACATGTGATTGTGAAGGCCTCTAGTTGCAGACCCCTCTGTCTAGAAGCAACCCTCTACGGGAACGATACGGAACCGACGTTCGCAACACTCCATGTAATTGACTCCATAATTATGTCAATCTAGAGGGCGCCGCAGGCCTGTCGAGCTTCTATGAAGGACGGAGACCGGCGGCGGCTTGGATCCCGATAGAGGGGACGGCCGATCATAGGCAACGGGGGGAAGAGGATTCCATGAGGAGCTAGCCATGCTGGGTCACCTCGAAAGATCCATTTAGCGCAGACCTTGTCATCTGCCTAAGTGGGAGGTACCTTGGGGCCGACGGTCTCGAGAGAGTTGTTGCTACAAGTACATAAAGGAGAAGGGGTAAGTCCCTCAATAGAATACAGAAGTGGAAAAAGCTCGAAGCCATGCATTCCATGGAGATGATTTCCCTCCGATGTGGCTGCTGCTGCGTGGACTTGATGAGCGATGACTCCAATGGTGGACGTTTCTCTGGGTACGGAGTAGGCAGTTCAACCATCCCCTATAACCGGCGCGTCTCCCACAAAGGAAGGACGATAGCGACATCGGCTATTCACAGTACTCACAACTACTGCTGGTCTTGTACTAGACAAGGCCCGTCGTAGGTCGTGCAAGTCGGCTCTGGTCTGAGCCAACGATAACTTAATTGAACATTTCCCTTTTAACCGGTCCAGGTCTAGTGAATAGTTAAGGGTGTCAGTACCATGGGTATAGTTAGGCACCGTCGCTCTGTAGAATTGAGCACGACGTCCACCACTGTTGCTGGGATCCCAGTAGTCTTCTGGGCCATGGGAGGTACCTACCTTGTCCATGCACAAGTCACCGCCGCACTACACTTTCTCCGTCTTAGCTGCGTTCCAACATGCAGGCACTTGTGGACAAAATGAAATGCTTTTCCCTTTGGGAAGAGTGCAATGCTCGTCAACCGAAAAGAACTTGTCTTTGAAATTTTCCAAATCCCCTGTTGCTCTTCTGATTGACTTTATCCTCACCAGAAGGGCTCACGGCACGCGACGCTACTCGCTCACTTGTATACGCAGCAAAGCACCCACAAAGTATACAAGCACCGTCTTCGACACGAGGGATCCCACCATCCTTGGACGCCCCACAAAGCCAATCGACTTTGCTTTATACACCATTCAGGATACTTCCGAAGCCTTGACGATCATCATTGACATCAAATCTCCAAGTCCTGTACTGGTCTTTGGCCTTCTTCCGCGATCGTCCTGAGACCTGTGCTCGACATCGTTTGACAGATATTGAGCAAAGCCGTGTATAGTTTCCCAAGCAAATCACACCATCGGCTCCGCAGCGAAGGCAGATCACCGAATTCATCCCGCTGGTGCAGCAGCCAATACCGCAGAAACAAAGGTGTCGCAGCGGTACTCAGACCACCCGGTGATCGACTTTGCCCTTGCCTTTATTGCGATCGATCTTCCCTGCCCAGCAAACCCAATCCGACTTGCCTTTGGAGAGTTTCAACATTTTGCATCGCACGAGTTACCCCAATTTCTTCGTCCTGCCGATCGCCCTCTCCGACACACGGATATCTCGATTAACCAAGCTTCGGTCTGCACACCAGCCATACACCGAAACCACGAGAAGAAACAGTTGAAGAACTTCAGGAATAAGGAGGAACAAGGACGCTAATAACAAATTCGTGCCGAGTCAAGAAAGCAAAACATCCAGTGCCTGGTCCACCTCGTTCTCAGCCCATCAGTTCTGTAAGGGTCTAGGCCTCACATCGCCGATAAACGCAGTACAATCGCTAGCCCTACGCAACAGCTGCGCCTACCCGTCAAGTCGAATGCACACAAGATTTCTTTTGAAGGTTGAGAATTCCCCTGTGCGACGTCCACAGGAACACAAAGTTTCGGATTGTATTTTGCACCCAACGTCAACATCGAGGACTGGCACAGATCATGGCGGGGAAGATGACCTTGTATAAGCTGGTGGTGCTAGGAGATGGTGGTGTTGGGAAGACAGCTCTTACAATCCAGGTTTGTCTGCCCGACTTCTATGGTTTGTTATGAGTTGTTGGCTGACTTCTCACAGTTATGTCTCAATCACTTCGTCGAGACCTACGATCCCACCATAGAAGACTCGTATCGAAAGCAAGTCGTAATAGATCAAAATGCATGCATGCTGGAGGTTCTGGACACTGCAGGACAAGAAGAATATACAGCTCTTCGTGATCAGTGGATCCGAGACGGCGAAGGCTTCATTTTGGTCTACAGTATAACGTCAAGAAACTCCTTTAACAGGATAAGAAAGTTCCAGTCACAAGTGCAACGGGTGAAGGAGTCAGGACATCCGAGTTCACCAACAGGGTCAACCTACCTACCCACGCAAATGAACGGGGCGCCAATCTACACCGGGCCTGTTCCAATAATGTTGGTTGGGAACAAAAGTGACAAGCAGCATCAGAGGGAGGTTTCATCTCAAGAGGGCCAGGCACTTGCAAAAGAACTCGGCTGTGACTTTGTCGAGGCATCTGCCAAAAATTGTATCAATGTTGAGAAGGCATTCTACGATGTGGTCCGACAACTACGACGACAACGACAATCACCCATGAAACAGCCTGATCGCAAAGGCACCCCCAACTACGGGCCTTCGCAAGCTGCCCGGAACAATTATGACTCGGAACATCCACGCATTTACCGCGAACAGGGTAAAAAAAGAAGTGCAAAATGTGTTATTTTATGATTACGACTCAGCCAACGAACCTTGGAAAAGTTGGCTTTACGATGAATGATGATGTCGAGATGATGATTAGCGCAAGCGACAACTCCAGCGTTTTCAGCAGTGGTTTGCGGAAATCTGGATTCTTTGATATCCCCGGGCTTCACTAATTATTTGATGCAACGCCGATCGACCTGAGGCTTCAGGACTATTCAACGACGTTTATCGCCTGGTCACACAGGTGTACCAGCACGTCTTCGCACTCAAATACGACTCAGAGGCGCTTGTCACCAAAAGTGCCGGGGAGAGGTCAACGATTGATGTTCATCGTGGAGAACATGTATGCTGTGTGGGGGGTGGTTGACACCATGCTGGCAGACCGTTATAGCGGAATACCGTTGACAGCAAATTGCGAGTCTGGGCTGTGGCCATATAGCAGCAATCATCGTTGCGTCTCGATATTTCCGCAGGCGGTCGCAGACGAGCTTTGTGCGTTGGCCGACAATATGTCCCTTCTGGGAAAAGGCCAAATGAGGTGATTCTGACAGGCGTGCGATGTCAAGATCAAGCCTGAAAGGGAACGAAGCGGCAGCTAGAGGGCTTGCACACTGTTCGGGACCACTCCCCAGGCCCCGCCTGAGGTGCAGCAGCGCACTACGCGGTGCTGGTTTTCGGCGAATTTAGGCCATGTGCCCACCATTTGGAAGTGGGAAGAGTGGGTGAACCTGATGCTTGCGGGCGGGAAATGAGGAAAGTTACCTTACAAAAGGCGGGCCCCGGCGCAGCTACGAGGTCCTCCCAGAGGGCTCCATCGTCTAGGCGGGCCCCGGAACGCTTGTTGTGCATGCCCCAGCCGTACCTCAGTCAACGAGCCGCCCTGAACTTTAGATGATTGACCGGGAATACTCGTAGGGTACTTGGCTTGACAAGTTGACATGAAGAAGTGTGCCGATCGGCAGCCATACTACATACTTTAGACTATTTACAGCGCTCCATCAGTGGGTAGACATATATGACTACATATCTTGAAAAGACATATCGATGCGCCTATAATATGTGGTGTTCACTGGAGCCTGCCCGTGAATCTCCGACGTAGCAAATCCAGGTACTGCGATATATGTACCGAGGTACTCCGGCGATTCTGCAAACGAGGTGTTTGTAGATGACCAGGCCGTGCCAGGGCAACTAACTGTAGTATATCACAGCACGTTTGATGCTCTATGGCGAAAGAATGTGATACACTTCGGAACGTACCACGTACTTCCTCATGGTTCTGTACACTCTACTACAGTGTGGAGAATGTGCGTATATGTAGGTAAGCACTATGAACTACTGTATGTCGAAAATCCCGAACGACCACAAGAGCAATTTTCCCCCACTTGTCAGGGATAGTCCTGGTATGTGGAGAGCCTGCATTAATGCTGCATGGGTCCATAGCAAGGCTCTGCTGAAGTGTCTGAAGTGGAGGACTGAAGGCACATAATTGCCAGATGACCCATGGTCATTTTGATTTAAAGATCGGCGCCTCCCCTACTGAAGCTCTTGAGGTTGACTGAATGCCAAGACGAGCTCTATGCAAATGCCAGGGCTGACTCTATACACGGAAAGTCATCCGTGTCCAGCGGCTTCTTCGGTCTGATGGGTGAGGAGGCTGCATTGCTGAATTGACCATGACGGCTCTTGGAAGAACTGCCGGACAACAACACATGGAACCCCAGATACTCGCAATGCCCAGCTAAGCTACCCTCGGAACGAAGGACATCGTTCAAAGGCTTGCCATACAAGCCTGGTGGCTGATGGTGACAGTCAGGACTCAGGACGGAGCCCTCTCCAATTCGTCGATTGTTGATTGTGATGGTGATCTTTCGACAGGGGTGTCATGAATTCGGAGAATGTACTGGGTAGGATGGCCTTTCACTGGGCAGTAGACTCGAGCAGCTTAGTTTGCGTCGTTGCTCTTGGAAAGGCCTGCCCGGACAGGGGAGAACGGTCTTTCATACGTTGACCACGGTCACCAAATGATCCGTGCCGCATGCGGAGTTCGTGGCGAGCATTGTCATGTCGCACAGGAACGCTTCGCTCGAAGCCCCACAGTAGAGGCGTTCTGCCGGAGTATAATGTCTATACCTGCGCGAAATGATAGGAACGTGAGGTTAGGTCTTGATATGACATTCTGAAGATTCTTGAGGAAATCCCCGAGCGGTCAATCAGAAACGGTTCCTGCACGGTGGAAAGGTCCGTGCCGCGATAAAACAGCCTTTGCGGGGTGGGCTTTTTGCCGTTTGGGGTATTGCGCATCGAACCCCAGACCAGCAGCGGTCTTTTCCCGCTCGACCCGATTGCTGTTCGATTAAGAGTCTCAACATGGTGGGAGGCTAGTCTGTCAGGCCATGCAGGGAGACCAGAAGTCCCATGTCATGGTGAGGGGTATCAAGCTTGACACGGAACAAAATGGTCAACAAATACCGCGACAACTTCAGCGGGTTCCCATTCAGGCGGCCAGTCTCTGTCAGTGACGCCGAAAGCGCAGTCGGGGGTGATCTGCATAGATGCTGCCTCCCAAATGTCCAGCTCATCGGCACTTTTTCATGCTGCCGTCCCGACAGTGGCATTGCCTCCACACAGGTAGTCGCAAGAGTATAGGTCCGGCTCGACTGGTGTGGGGTTTTCCTCAACAAGGCAATTTGGCACATGTCTTTTGCGAGGGACGTCCATTGCCGGGAAAGAGGGATGTCCTCCGCCAGCCTCGTATGCAGAACCGAAACAGGGTTGTTGCTTCCAGTACAGCCGCCAGTGGACTTGTCAAGCCCTTTCGCGACCTGTTCAGAAGTGTATGCCCAAGTGTGTAGGGCAGAGCTGCATCTGAAGAGAGCTCGACAGCAGAATTTGGCTCTTTTGTCAAGAGATATCATCCACACAATAGGATATACCTTGTCTTTTTGTCACACCTCGGATCGTCGTGCAGTGGGACTTCCCCTGCCTCTGCCTTTCTTCGGAGAGTTCGCAATGTCGTGCTTCAAATGGCTGATCACTGTGCGATTCGTCTCTTTTTCAGCCTCAAGGACTGCAATACGGGATTGAAGCTCTGCGATTTTCTTGTCTTTCGACTGAATCGCTAATCTCGTGATTTCGCGACCCTTGATAATCCCCTGAGTGCGAAGATCATGCTTGTTGAGAAGTTCAACGAGGTCTTTCTCCACCCTGAAGTCCAGCCGAGATTGTGAAAGTACGTCGAGGGCCTCAGACGCCAGCGTGGAGGGTGTTAGCTCAGGACCTGATTGTTGTGACAACTCTTTAGCAGGCGTGCGGGTAGGTGAGAGCAGCCCATTGCCGCTCGACTTATGTGACGTGGAAGGTGTTGTGAAAACATCGTCGCTCAAGGGCCATGCATTATCAGAAAAGTTAGATGGTTTAGCCATCTCATCAAAGAGCCTTTTCCCCGGCGATGTCATCAAGTTTGTTCTAGCCGCCTTCTTGGGTGTCTCAAAGAGTGCTGCCTCCCCTAGTACTTCTTTCTCAGCCTCCAGTAAGGCCTCGTCGTTGCTGGAAGACCAATCAAAGCTTGCATCGTGTTCTTCGTTTTCTTGACGACCTTCGATACCTGTATCTTTCTTGCCCGAGGTGATCCTGCTACCTCTTGTATCTGGCGTCGGCGGCATGGTTGTCATCTTGGCTTTTTCAGGAGTTTTAGGCTGCGCAATTGGCTCGGAACGCGAGTTGCCCAGTACGGCTGCTTCTTCACGGACTTTGGCATCGTCTGTCCATAGGAAGAAGCTACAGCGCTTGTGCTGCGGCTTCTGGCATGTATAGACTAAGGCGATGGTTAGAGTCTAAGGTCGATACCGGGATAGAGTCGACTTACACCATCTGCCATGGTTCTTGCCTCCGTTCTTCGTCTGGAATTTGTCTGCCGGCATGCGCGGCTCACAGTCGCAAAGCCAGACTCCTTCCACGAATGCGCCTCTTTTACTGGTTCGACCATTCTTTGTATGATAAGACATCTTCAAGATGCGGAGGACTTTGGTACATCGGGAGCTATTACCGAGCGCAGGCAACAGCTGTCCAGGCTATTTGCCGAGAAGCAGAGCGCCGAAGGCTTTCGAGAGAGCGTCACTCCCTCACGAGCCTCTAAGCCATCAGCGACCTTGCGTCGCCTTTACAAAAATGGTCATCTGGATTCTTCAGGCCGGTGAAACTGGTTTGTTGACGCAATGACGAAGGTGGATCTTGTGATACAGTTGGAGATGCAGGTCACCGCCTCTCCCCGTTGCTTAGCAGAAGGCAGAAGTTCCACCCTCGGCATCACCTGCCATACTCAGACTCGCCTGCGCTCATCACCAAATCAATCAATGAATCGCAGGGATCCCAACGCGACACGTTCTTGACACTTTGAAATCACAGTCCGTGCCTCCACGCTGCAAACAAAATACCGTAAACGACGCAACATCATTCCGCGACATTGCGCTGCTCTCAAATCACTCAATTCTCTCCGCCGGCCGTCTTGAACCAGTCCACTGGTGAATAGACAGACCGGACGATGTCCTCCTTGATCGACGAACCTGACCGACCATAACACGACCGATACAATGGCCCCTACAGGTGGTGGGACAGCTGGCGGTGGAGGCGGAGGCAACATCAAAGTCGTTGTACGAGTGCGGCCATTCAATAACCGCGAGATCGATCGCAATGCAAAATGCATCGTTCAAATGCAAGGCGCGCAGACTGTGCTGCAACCTCCTCCAGAAGCGGACGAACGACTGCGGAAAGGAGGGAAAGGAGGCTCGGAAAACCACAGAACATTCAAATTTGATCAATCGTACTGGTCTTTCAATAAGGGAGATCCTCATTATGCAGGCCAGGACAATTTGTTCAACGACTTGGGGACGCCGTTACTTGACAATGCGTTTCAAGGCTACAACAACTGCATCTTCGCCTACGGCCAAACTGGTTCCGGAAAGTCCTACAGTATGATGGGTTACGGTGAAGAGGTCGGTGTGATTCCTCGGATCTGTCGGGATATGTTTGAAAGGATCAACGCCATGCAATCGGACGTCAACCTCACATGTACTGTGGAGGTGTCTTATCTGGAAATATACAATGAGCGGGTGCGCGACCTCTTGAACCCAGCAACCAAAGGCAACCTCAGGGTCAGAGAGCATCCTTCCACCGGTCCGTACGTGGAAGATCTGGCGAAACTAGCTGTGCGCTCGTTCAACGAAATTGAGAATCTGATGGATGAAGGAAACAAAGCTAGGACTGTGGCAGCCACTAATATGAACGAGACCTCGAGTCGATCTCATGCCGTCTTTACCCTGACATTGACACAAAAGCGTCACGATGTGGAAACTTCCATGGACACTGAGAAGGTGGCTAAGATCAGTTTGGTCGACTTGGCCGGTTCAGAACGAGCAACATCGACCGGTGCTACAGGTGCCCGTCTAAAGGAAGGGGCGGAGATCAATCGCTCTCTCTCGACCCTCGGTAGGGTTATCGCGGCCTTGGCCGATCTCTCTTCTGGCAAAAAGGGCATGAAGGTACCTTATCGTGACTCGGTCCTCACATGGTTGCTCAAAGACTCTCTTGGAGGAAACAGCTTGACTGCCATGATTGCTGCCATCTCTCCAGCGGACATTAACTTTGAGGAAACACTAAGCACTCTGCGGTATGCAGACTCGGCCAAGAGGATCAAGAACCATGCTGTCGTCAATGAGGATCCGAATGCCCGCATGATTCGTGAACTCAAAGAAGAACTCGCCAAACTGAGAAGCCAGCTAGGGGGAACGGGTGCACCCGGGATGGCAGAAGAGTCGTACCCTCCCGACACGCCACTCGACAAACAGATGGTCTCGATCACCCAGGCTGACGGCTCGATCAAGCGCGTCAGCAAAGCCGATATCATGGATCAACTGAGTCAGAGCGAGAAATTATATGGGGATCTTAATCAGACCTGGGAAGAGAAACTACAAAAGACTGAAGAGATCCACAAAGAAAGAGAAGCCGCCCTCGAGGAACTAGGAATCAGTATCGAAAAGGGCAATGTTGGAATGAGCACGCCAAAGAAGATGCCTCACCTGGTTAATCTAAGTGACGATCCGCTCCTGGCAGAATGCCTTGTTTACAACTTGAAACCAGGAATAACCACTGTTGGCAATGTAGACTCCTCCGAAGCATCAGAGATCAGGCTGAATGGTTCCAGAATTTTGGACCACCACTGCAAATTGGAAAACGTCGACAATGTCGTGACGGTTGTTCCCGAAGAAGGCGCTGCTGTCATGGTCAATGGAGTGCGCGTAGACAAGGCTACGAGACTCAAGAGTGGCAATCGCATCATCTTGGGTGACTTCCACATTTTCAGATTCAACAACCCACTAGAAGCAAAAGCTGAGCGGGCTGAGAGGAGCTTGCTGAGGCATTCAGTCACTGCTAGCCAGCTGAACTCACCGACGCCATTTCGTCCCGCCCACGAAAGGTCCTGGAGCGCCGCAGGATCGGAATTTGATGGAGATTCAAGCAGAGCACAATCTCCAGGTTTGAACAACAAGGATTTTGACTGGTCTTTCGCCCGACGTGAAGCCGCTGGTGCATTGCTTGGCTCCGATCCCAAGATAATGCAACTGACCGACGAAGAGCTCGACAATCTCTTTGCGAACGTGCAGCGTGCACGAGAGGAGCGTCGTGGACGTCCTGAGAACAGAATATATGAGCACGACGAAGATTCCGATGACCTGAGTTCTTTTCTTGTACGAGACAAATACATGTCTAATGGAACTGTGGACAATTTCTCCTTAGATACGGCCCTCACACAACCAGGAACTCCTTCTCAGCATGGCGACTCCCAAGAGGACGGCGATGTCACGTTAACTCAAGGCCAGTTCGAAGAACAGAGCCAGGAGCAGATCATATCAGAAACCGAGGAGAGCCGTGATAAGTCGCCTGCGCAAGCAGGACAAGATGGTAAACAAGAAGATCAAGCGAATGAAATGCAAAAAGAGTTGGAGCTCGCAAGAAAACAATTTCAAGATGAACTCCAGAAGCAGAAGGATGCCTTTGAAGCGCAGATCAAGAAGATGGACCTGGACGTTCGAACGCGTGAGGCGGGGAGATCTCCTTCTGGGTTCTTGCCCTTAGATCCCAATGAACTCGCGATCGCCCGGAATGTGGTCGAGAAATGGCAGCAAAGAAATTACGTCCTGATAGCCGAAGTCGTGCTCCAGAATGCTAGTCTTCTAAAGGAGGCGCAGGTGATGGCAAAGCTCCTTGATCCTGACTGCAACTTCCAATATGTCATTTTGGACCTCGGACAAGATCGTGGTTCGTCGTACGACCTCATTCTGCATGACATCTCTGGTGACGAAGATGATGCTCTTGCCAATGCTCGCAAGCCTTGCCTCGCGGTGCGTGTCATTGACAACCAGCTCAAATGCATACATTTATGGTCTGTGGAAAAACTGCGATCACGAGTCAACAAAATGCGGCAGATGCTTCAATACAAGAATGAGCCCGAATACTTGCAACACTTTCGAATGGACAACCCCTTTCGAGACTCAGATCAATCGTTGTTCTCCTTGGTAGGGGATGGTAGCATCCCTTTGACTGCCGTGTTTGAGACAAGAGTGCAAGATTTTGTGGTGGAGATCTGCTCACCTTCCACGCAACAAATCATTGGAAGAGTAAGGATATCATTAGAACCCTCTTTGACGGAGTCTCCTCCTCATACTATCAAATTCAACATCATTCTCCGCGATCTGGTTGGATTTTCCGAGCACGAAGGTAGTCAAGTACATGCTCAGATGACAGTACTTGGGACTTCCGACGAAAGTGTGGCAACCACCCAACCAATACATGGCTTCGGTGATGGCCCAATCCGGTTCGAAAGCATACATAATCTGAGCGTTCGCAGGGCAAGCGAGAAGTCGGCAACAATGAAAATTGCAATATTTGCGCAAGTCAGCTCGACCCATCTGGACAAGCTGATTAGCTGGGACGAACTGCGTGAGATGGATGAACATGGTCCTGATCAAGACAACGCACATCGACTGCCAGAGTCGGAATACAATGTAGAAGAACGACACGATGTTTTTGCGAAGGTTCAAATGCTCGAACTTGCAGAGAACGGCCAGTACATGCCCATTGAGGTCTTGCAGACGAGTGCGGACGACAATGGAGCATTCCAACTGCACCAGGGTCTTCAGCGTCGGATCTCGATTACTCTGACTCACAGCTTGACCGAGAGTCTTCCCTGGGACGACTTGAAAGGCCTTCGCGTGGGAGAAGTTCATTTGATCGACTCTTCTGGACGGGTAGCCGACATTGGATCTGTCACGCCCGATATTCCGCTCAAACAAATTCAAGAGCCTATGATCAAAGACAACGCTGACGGCACCTCAAACATCAGTCTTTTGGGACAATGGGACAGCTCTCTGCATAAATCCCTTCTTCTTGACCGAGCCACCAACGAGCAGTGCAGAATTCAGATTGCGCTTCGATGGGACGTTGTTTCCAGCCGCTTGGAACAAACGATGACCTTCTCGATCGAGCAGCAACTACAGATCCTGCCGAGGTCTTTCGTACGTCCCCAATCAATGTTCAAGTCGTTCTGGACGCAGGTTCGAACAACGCATGCCACCGACGGGCTGTTTTCGATTGTGGTTCGTCCGATCAGCGCGCAGAGGGCGGCAGACCTGTGGCGACTGGACACCTCAAGAAACTACATCAAAGGTGAAGAATTGCTGGGCAACTGGAAGGCCAGAGGCATTTCACTCGTCAAAGATTACCTGGTCGCTCGACGGAAGAAGCGACAGCTGCAGGATATAGAATCAGCCAAAGCAGCATTTGGTTTAAAGAGGCTAAGTGTAAGCAAGACTCGGACACGGGTTGCCTCACCTTCAGACATTGACGCGAGGGAGGAGGCATTACTTCGCAAATTCTTGGCGATTTGGGAGAAACCAAGCATCGAGATGTCCAATCCCGTGTTCAACAACAACGATGGTTCAGCGTCGCCTCAGGGTGATGCTGAGTCGACTAACACGCCGGATCTCAACGCGGTTTCGGGTCGCAAAACTCGATATCTCGCTGCAGTCACCAGCGTAGCTAAAAGTGTTACGTCTTGGAAGTCAGGCTATTTACTCATGCCTTCCGAGAGCCACGAACCTGGTCACAGTCAGTCGATGCAATGGAAACGACGGTTCGTGGACCTTCGACCTCCATACCTATACATCCATTCGGTGCCGGACGGCGAAGGCATCAATGCGATCAGTCTGACGCACGCACGGATTGACCATGATCCTGACTTCAAGCGCCTGCTTGGAAGCGGCAGTTCTATTAGCTCTGGCGATGGCGTTAGTGGGCACAAGAGAAGCGGCAGTGCCGAACTCCATGGTCTTGCACATGTGTTTGCTGTGTATGGAGAACAGAACACCTTCTTATTCGCAGCACGCAGTGAGAGCCAAAAAATGGAATGGATCTTGAAGATCGACCAGAGTTATTTTGAAGATGAAAACGAAGGGGAAGAGGCATAAGGTGAGAGCGGCACCTGAGATGCTTGTGCACTGCTTTTATTCAGTAGGTCGTGGTGTTTTTGGTCACCCGGCTGTCAATTTGTGATACCCCCAAGGCATTGATTTGGCACTGCGACACATATATGGACGATGTTGTATGAAGTTCGGTTCGTGTGTGATTATATTGATGTATATACGATGAGGAGTTATGACCGCTTTCAATCAGCATCAATGTCAGTGAGCTTCTCGGACAATTCCATGTGGCATTACCAGAAATCCATTGACAGGACGATCGAGATTAAAACAAGTCCATTGTTATTGTTGAAGTCGACTTGCTCGTCTGCGCTCTGACGTTTGATAGATTTTGACGTCTCTGGGCAAAGCCACTTGATGGGCCCCCCACACAGAATTGGATCATACCTAGGTAGGGAGTTCGGTAAAGCCACCCATCATCTCTCGTCAGCCGTTTGTTGCTGTTCAGCCGTTCAAGCCTCCTTGAGATCTGGCGCCACCATACGAATCTCACTCTTGGCCTCACTAGTGTCGTGGATATTCAGGGACAAGCCTATGACGGTTTTTCCAAGCGAACCAAATAAGACTCCATTGGAGATACGGGTTGAGTTAGAGCCAAATCGAAAACGGTTGAAAGGTTTTCTGGGAGCCATTGGGAGCCTACTGTGGTGCTTAGGCGTGAGCCACATCAAGTGCCAGCCATCCCGTCTTCATGCTCGATTATGTCATTATTGCCTTCACAGCACACGGGAACCTCCCCCATTAGACTGGTGTTGACTGGTGCAGGTATTATTGACTTCATCCCTACGCGCAACTACATCACTTTCAGCTTTTGCTCTCATTGTTGGACAGTGGACACTCGACACGGCCCCAGCCCGTCTGCTCGGGCCATTGTGCCTTGCGAATCGTCCACAGCGACTGGTTTTCCGATGTTTATTTGCCCATCCTGGAGAATGGAGGAAGGAGCATGCGCCTCTCGCGTCACGAGCAGTAATCCCCTTTGACTCCTTAAGGAGCCCATCTTCTAGGGAGTCATGGCGTAGACTCTTCCAAAGGCTGCAGGAAGTACAAAACCGTCACCCCTACCCCTGGTGCTCTTTTTCTACCACAGTCTTGTTACGAGGTACTCCCTGCAGCAAGTGAAATCGTGACATTACCACTCAACGGCTTTTTGACATCATACCTTGTTCCGAGGGGAAGCCTCTGCCTACCCTACGTTATTAAACCCTTTTTCAACCCTGGGCCTTTCTTCGAGTCCCTCCTTGAAAAAGCCACACCTCGCACCACCTTCAACTGTGACACCGCAGTTTGATTATGCCACGAGATTTCCCTCCCGAATCGCTGAGAGGATCACGCAAGATGCGCAAATCAAGTGATACTGCTCGGGACCAACGGGTCCGCCATCAGCCTTTTGATGGCGTCCACGAGGAGCGTCAGAAGGAGTCGAAGATGAAGACCATGCGCCAGCATATCATCGCCATGATCGGCGAGTTCGCCGGAACCTTCATGTTCTTGTGGTTTTCGTTTGCTATCGCTCAAACATCATCCGCGACAGGCACCGTGGCTGGCACTCCGGCTGCCGTCACCCTTACATCGTTGGGTTTCGGTTTCTCGCTGCTCGTCAACGTTTGGGCATTCTACAGAATCTCGGGCGGTCTGTTTAACCCGGCTGTAAGTTTATTCTCGTTGCTCTTGGATCTGGAAACACCGTGCTAATCACGCCGACGCGTTGGTAGGTCACACTAGCTATGGTCATCACTGGCAATCTCCCCTGGTTCCGCGGCCTGTTGTTGCTCCCCATGCAACTCTTGGGTGCCATCGTGGCTGCCGCGTTGGTCAAGGTCATGATCCCAGTACCCTTGGCTATCAACACTGAGTTGTCCAACGGCACCACCCCGGCACAGGGTGTCTTTATCGAAATGTTCTTGACTGCTCTACTCGTCTTCACAATCCTCATGCTCGCCGCCGAGAAGCACTACGCCACATTCATGGCACCCGTGGGTATTGGTCTAGCACTCTTTGTCGCCATGATGGCTGGTAAGTTTTAGCCTCAACAACCTTGGAATTCCACCATTGATACTGACTGTTTTGTTTACAGGTGTGCACTGGACCGGAGCGTCACTCAACCCTGCTCGCAGTTTCGGCCCCGCCGTGGCCCAGCCTCACTTCCCCGGATCCCATTGGGTTTGTAAGTTTTTCTGCTCCCTATCAAGATGGACATTCATCTTGTCTTTTCCAGCTTTTATTTGTAATAACGTTACTGACTGTATTGTGCAGACTGGGTCGGCCCTCTCCTGGGAGGTCTTCTCGCCGCCGGATACTACCAATTCTGCAAGTTCTTCAAGTATGAGGAGGCCAACCCTGGCCAGGACGCCATCGACGAGAAAGAAAAGGACAAGGAATCCGAAGGCGCTCAGGCCCCTGAGCACCCGCCGCGTGGTTGAGTGGCTTTTGCCAAGTTTGCCCCAACATGCCCAAACACGGCTGGAGGCTTCAAGGTGTCTGGTTGGGAGGCAAATTGTGAACCATAAACAACAATGCTGGTGATAGATTGGGTACAACTACAAGTGTGGTGGATGAGCATGAGCTTTCAGCTGCCAGCGCAGTTTGGCTCTTGAAATCTAAGTGCTGAAACCCCGGACGGCGGTGGAAATATCATCTCAGTATGGTATTGGGTGCAAAGCGGTGTCAACATCTACGGCAAATAAGCAAAAAAACCTGGGTGGTTGGGTGTTTTTCTGAATCACTACAGTATAAGCAAAGCAGCGTTTTGGCAAGGCGCGGTGTCGGTCTTTTCCAGTCGGTCATGTTGAGGCTTCAACGATTCAACGACATGTATTCATATATCCTTTTTAATACACGAATAAGGAAGAACGGTACACCTGAAGAACATGCAGTGTATCATCATTTTTGCCGGCGTGGTGTGTTTCAAGTGGTCAAAGTTGAGGGTTTTCAACGAGACTAACGACTATGCGTTTATATATATATCCTTTTCAAGACACGAACAAGGAAGATAGTACACGACGAACTACATTCTCAGCATATCACCATATAGTTACCATATAATTACCATACCATGTTCTCACGCGACTTGACTTTGTACATAATCGATTACAGACACTCTCACCCGGAGATCGGACGCTTGAAAGGCCTCGAGCACTTCGACATTTCGTTCACTCAATTCCATGGAGTTGCCAGCAGAGAGAGGAGTGTCGACGAAGCTCTAACAACTCCTGCTCTTCAACAACCACATTCAAACACTCTGTTATGAACTCGGATTCTTGCATAAATTGGAAGTACACGGCGTTGATGGCAATCCATTGGAACACAGGATGACAACATTTCAGCATGTCATCATAGAAAACATTCAGTGGCTTATGCCCGCACCTTCAGCGGATTATACTTGCAGCGATCGGATTCTTACCGAAGCCCTGAAATCATGCATCACTTTCTGCTTGTGGCGATGACAGTCGAGTGGCTCAGCATGTCACTGCACCGTTGAAGGTACAAACACGTCCTTCGCTTGCTCATAAAGTCGGAATGTTCATAGACCACGCACATGCACAAGTCTGAGCAATCATTTTCACCTGCAGTCACGTTTTTGATTCATTCGTATCATCATTTGAAGCTACTCTGGACTGATATGCAGCTGTAAGCGGTGTGCAACTACCTCCTTCACGTCCAGCCACTTGCTAAGTATCGAGTGTGGTTATGACAATTACTTTTGACAGTTCCATACCCTCGTCGACATGCCTTCAGCCTGTCCATGCCGTGTCCATGCATTGTCCACGAAATATCGTACCATGCTTGTCTCAAAATGTGTAATCCTCATCAAGGAACGACTCTTGCTTTTGACTCTTGCTGTAAAGGATCGTGGCCCACATGAAAGGAATACCCGGTCCAGCTCCATGCGAAATGACCATTCAAACCACTAACACTGGCTCAGAGGTCGATAAACGTGAGTCCACACAACCCAAATCGAATAGCAATACATTTGTCGAGGCCGTCTCATTCGTTGAATCCTGAAAGTCTTTCAAAACACCCTTCGTTGATGTTGTCCTTACCCTGTACAAAGGTACCCAAAAAGTGCCCCCATTCTATTCAGGCGATAGAATCGTGCGTGTAGATGATTGAGATCAAACATCAATCATTTCTGCATCTTCTGCTAAGATCTCGTCCGCTGGTCCCCAGTTGCCTTCAAAGATGGTCGCTCCCGCGCGTCGTCTGGCATCTGCAAATCTGACACCTTCAGCATTGAGCACATCGTTGACGAGAGGGCGGTCGTCGGGGTCTGGGGATATCATCCAACCAACAACCCGCTCCAGTGCTTGTTCGTCTAACGGATCAATCATGAATTGAGGTGCATCGATCAATTCACCGCTTCGTCGGTAGTGTAGAGCTTTATCGTGTTGTTCCTTGGTGGTCGCATGATAGTGTTCGTCGGCGTCGACAAGGTCAACATCACATTCATCGTCATCATGGTTGGCTTCAAGAAACGAGTCTTCAGATACTGGGTTCCCAGATGCATCCCGTAAGACTGTGCTGCCACCCGTACTCCACGTTAGACTAGGGACGTCGCTCATATCACCATTTCGCAGTTTCTGCCATGACACACCATTGTCCGGAAGAGCAACATTTCCGGCAGTTTCGAGCATGATCAGTCCCAAGGCGAAGATATCTGCTGGCTTGTCGTATTTTCCCATCAACACCTCTGGCGCCATGTATTCGCGGTCACCTTCGCCTTCAATTCCAGCTTTGGCCGGCCACTTGCACGCCATGCCAAAGTCGGCAATCTTAAGCACACCTTCGAAAGTAATGAGGATATTCGCAGGCTTTAGGTCAAGATGAATGAAGCCACTGTCGTGAACATGCTTCAGACCGAGCGACAACTCGAGGAGGATTTTCCAGATGCGGAAATCGTCAAGCCGTGCTTTCAGGCCCACTTGAGCCAGAAAAACATCGAGTGTACCTTCTTCGCAGAACTCTGTCTGGATGTAGAGATGACCTTGTTCCTCCCAACTGTCCACGAACGTCACAATATGGTCTGAATGGCCCAGGGCCTTGAGTACATCCACCTCATGGATCTTTCTCGCACGGTCTTTGGCTCCAGTATATGGATATCGAGACTTCTTGACTGCCCACACTTTCTCCGGCAGAGACGACCTCGACGATGGACGGCTCGTCGATACGGAATAGATCTTGTGATATGGCGACAGTTCCGGTGGTTGTGCAACTCGATAAACCTGCGAGAATTCGCCCGACCCAATAAGATCGACTTTTTCGAACCTTGATGATAGGCTGTCGTCAATACTAGATGTATCCGCTGCAGCAAGGTTGAGGCTCGGTCGATTGGAAAAGTTTGGAAACTGTTCTTTCGGTCCTGTTGGCGTTGCGGGTATGATCGCACTATTGCCACTATCGCGTCGAGCCAGCATGCGCGAAGGGCGGCCGGATATCGTGAGTCGACTGGGATCTGGAGGAAAGAAGAAACCTTCGAGGGGTGTTTGAGGGGTGATTCGGTCCGCTCCATCGATCCTTGGGCTAACTGTGGAGACAGATTTCATCTCAGTACGTTCCGAAGCAGGCGAATGTAGAGGTTGAATTGAAAGAGACTTCCTCGAGAGTGGCCTAGGAAACCCAAGGTTTTTCGACATACGACTCTCAGTATAAGAAACGCCTGGAGTCGAGACGATGTTCAACGACGATTTTGGTCTCAGGTTGGCGGATGGAGAGTCCTCCATCACGCTATCACTGTCCTTATCGACGCATCCCGGTGATGCTGAAATAGGAGACAACTTACTGCTTGCAACATGAACATCAACCGCTGATCGGGGTACAGCTGAATTGATGGCCAATGCAGAATGGTGAGGCGAAGGTGAGACAGAATCTCGGTCCTGTGGGTCAATGAAATGTCTGGTGGGCGTAGGCGGATAATCCGAATCCGTCGACTGGCTTTGAGCACGAGTGAAGGACGATCTACTAGTGGCTTTGTTTTCGACGTCGATGGATGTGAAGCTAGACTCGGGTACAAGGCTCTGTTTGTTAGGTCGAGCACCAAATATGCCGACACTTTTGGAAAAGGGGAATGCCGAAATCTTTGACGGACCGTGCTGGATCTCCAAAGGAGTCGTAGATGCCCCAAAAGACTGTCGAGGTCCCCTGATGCCGACCACGTTGGAAGGAGCAAACTTGTCGTCCGTCGGAAAGATGGCTGACTGTCTTTTGCAGGGTGTATCTGGCATATGGGCTTTGGGTAAACCGGCGTCCGGGTCGTCCACATTGCGATTCTTCTTCGAGATGAGCCCCGTAGACATGAAAGCAGCTGGTAAAGGTTTGGCAGCCTTGTAGTTACCAGGCGTGGCGAATGAGTTTTGAGACGAAAACTCGTTCCCTTCAGAATAATCTATAGGCCTGAAGGAGCCGATGGGCAGAGACTTGGAGAAGTCGTGAGATCGAGGTCTGTTTGGTCGATGAATAGGCTCATGTGTAGGTGAATCGTCTTGGTCACCCATCTGTGAGGATGACTGGGTCAAGGTACGCGATAGTGGATGTCGAGGTTGCTGGGGGAAGCTTCCCTGACTGGATGGAACAGGATGAATAGACGCGCTCAAGAGGCTCCCCTGGCTGGAGAAAGGGCTGTCCCGTGGAAGTGGTTGAATATGGTTGTCCAGGGACATACGCAAGGGTTTCTTTGACGTCGCTGGTGTTGGCTCGAAGATCGACCGGTCCACCTCCATGATCTGATTGTATTTCAGATTGCTCGGTCGGTCCACTTGTCTTTGCTGAAGTGTAGATTTTCGCAGAGATGAAGATCGTCTTGGGATAGTCGAGAATCGTGAAGCTGGTGATGGCAAGGGAGTGTGGCTTCCAAACCAGTCATTGTCGTCTTGTGCGCGTTTGTCGAGAAACATGTTGCCATCAGAACCGTCCGACTCAAATATGCTGAAGTCAAGACCTGGACCATGGACACTTCGTCTCTTCACAGAGGGGCTCTCCAGCCCCGGCGTATCGTCATTCGTCGGAGCATCTGTTCGTTTCATAGGACTTGACGGCACCACCATACCGATCAGAGCACCACCGGACCGTCTCTTCTCCTGACGACTCGTGACGGGTTTGTAAATCGGACCCTCTTCGGACGATCTGTCATTCTCTTTTCCTTCTTCTGCTGTCAAGCTCTCCAGGGCTGCTTCACGGTCGGCTTCTCCTGAGCTTCTCTTGCGGAGAGGCATTGGCGAGGAGTTTCCACCATCGCTCAGATCGGCTAGGGCTCTTTTTGAAGGGCTTTTTGGAGATGTGCGGACGCGTGGTTTTCCATGCAGTGGAGCTGTTCGACGAAGGACAGGACGCTGAAACCGCGATCCCTGAGGTACACGAGGAGAATGGGATGACACCATGGAAGGCACCCATAGATTGTCGGAGGTTGATTTACGCGATGGAGACAGCGGTGATGGTGAGAAAGGGAGACTGCCAGGACCTGGAGATCGAAGAGGGAATTGACGAAGGTCGGAGCCCTTGGAAGGTGAGCGAGATAGCGACCGGCGTATCTCCCGTATGGCGGAGTGAGGGTCGAAGTGCGTGAGAGACTTGGGAGAGTGCAGGTGCGGTGTTTCTGCGTCCTCGCGGTGAGGAGAGTATGTCGCCATCATGGCTGGAAGTTGTGATTCTTGGTTCAGACCAACACCGTTCTCAAGCTCTTAACCACAGCGTCTTGGCCATGAACCTGGCTGTCTGGCTGAAACACTATGTCTCGCGAAGACCTTCTCACTATCTCGATGAAGGTGCGAATGATCGGTGAAGATCAAGGAGCTTTCTGCATACTCAGAGGCACAGATTCCCACTGCAGTTGCGAGACGCTGTGAATAATGTCGGACACGCGCGGAAGCCGCAGCAGTGCTGGTGGAGGAAGCCACGCGACGACTTTCCTCGAGCTGCGGTGTACGATGACGGAAGTAATCGGAATTGACGTGCTTCGTGTAAGACAAGCCGGCGAGACTGAAAGTTGATATTGGCAGTGGCTTTACGACGTGATATGGATATACAGCCTAACGATCAACGCAGGGTGAGTGATAGAGGCTTGTAGTTGTCGTGGTCTTTAGCGGCTATTGTGCAGGTGTTCCGATCGACGGATTGGGTAGCAATCGGAGTGTTTATGTGCGTGTGATGTATCGCGCGCCGGGATGCGCAGGATCTCGAGAGGGCGGGGACGGACAAGTACTTTGCTGTTGTGTTGTCCACGGGTGGCGATCCTAGACTGCGGTGAGACTTGGTTGCGAGGGTTGCAATGGACGATGAAGGAGGAAGAAGGTAAAGGCAGGGGATGAGTGGACAGAGATTGTCGATCTGGCTGCCTGGATTGACGTTTTGGTTTTGGGCAACAATTCAGAGGCCACGACACGCTCTCGTAGTTTTTCGTACAAGGGCCACTGCAGCAGAGACGCGTCGGGGGTTCAGTGCCAAGTCAACAGATGTAAACAACCAACTTTAGTGGCTCGATCAGCCATCATTCTACTTATGGTTAGTGTTAGGGAAAACAATCGCGCACTAGCATGGTAAGGGGAAGCTAATCAGTTTAGCCTCCGCGCGGCATTACGACTTCAAGCCGGGGTGATGGGTCAGTCAGTGTTGGATCAGCCAGGGTCGAAATCCGCTGCTGCCCCACTTCCATATTACTGTGTAACAGTGTAATCAAGCATTTCTAAAATCTCGGTAACGAGGCTATTTCCAGCTCCATTCCTGTTTTGCTATATTTGTTCATCTCTTACGCGAGATTGTACGCAACAGCGCAATCTCTGACCTGTACAACACCCGATAGCAGCCACCTCGGTCCCCGGAATTCGGGTGGTCAGAGCCTAGAAGTAAAAGAAGCAGGACTAAACCCAGTTCAAGGAGTAACAATAATCTCAACTTCCTTGGAAATGGAGTGCGTTCATGCGTGAAAGTTGCTTCGTCATGCCGGAGGGCCCTGATAGCCAGTCTCGCTTAAAGATGGGGAGTATGCTCGTGATCAGTCAAAATTGATCCTGCTGGCCGACATTTCCCAGGGGCAGATGGGGGTCCTGGTGAATTCCTAGCACAACAGCCTCGTAATAAGTTTTGTAAAGCCACTCATCAGCCACGATCGTTCTCCCGTGGTATGCAACGGGTGTTGCCGCAGCCCGAGAGATTATTAGTGCTCTCCGATTTCTCGGAGTGTGGTGAGGAAGTTGCGCTAGTCGACACCATGTCCGAAAAATTGTGGCCTGGTTAGTCTGTCCCCAGGAATGACACTGCCTGATCGCTGTTGCTCCTCAGGTTCAAATAGATATCCTTCCTCGTCTCAGTCCGGAGTCCTTCGCAGAGTACAATACAGCTTTAGCTCTTGACGGGAGTAGAGGTCATCACCTCTATCGTTCACTCCTTCTCGCTTACTGTCCAGGCACCCGCTGTTGTGAACCTGCTTGACTTTGAACTTCTCTCGTCAATGTACGCCTTCAGACGGTGCCACCGTCTCTGAAAACAGGCTCGCTCAGGCTCGATGGCTTTTCAAGTTGGATATCTTTCAAATCATCCGAAAAGGGTTTGTTGGCCATTCTTGATGACTAATTTATTGCTGGCCCGACTTGTCTGTCTCCATTGTGTGGAGCTATGCGGCGCTGGTAAGCATCCCAACCCGCCTTCTGATACTGCTTCGCTGCGCTGACAGGATCAGGAGACGCGTAAATTCCTCTTCCCGCAATGAGGAAGTCCGACCCTCCTGCCATAGCTGTTGTTGGGGTCTGATACTGCTGGCCCAGAGGGTCCCCTTTACTCGAGATATTGACACCAGTCGTGAAGACGACAAAATCTTCAGTAGGTGTATTGCTGGGAGAATGATTGGACAATTCCGTAGTTGACACGAACCCGATGACACTTTTGGGATATTTCCTTGCATATTCAACCGAGAGTCGTGTGTATTCTCCGATTGCCAGAGACCCTTTCGAGGTCATTTCGGCCAGAATTAAGATACCTCGGTCCTCGAGCCCGCCTTCACGAACGGTCTGGTCCAAAGCCTGAATTATCCCCTCGCCAGCTAGAATACTGGCATTGACAATGTGCGCCCATTCGTGGATTCGTAGCACACCTCCTTTATATTGCTTCTGAACGGTGTTACCAATGTCCACGAATTTGCGGTCCTCGAACAGAAGAAAGTCGTGCCGCTCAGCCAGCTCTGTAAGACCTTGAACAGTATCCGGACCGAAGTCCGAGACGATGTCGATATGCGTCTTCAAAACAGCAATGTATGGCCCCAAGCCTAGAAGCAAGGTGTATTGTCAGGTTTTCCTTCATCCATGACTAGCGCAAATTCTCGACGACTTACTGTCAGCAATTGTGAGCAACTCCTTGGTGGTTGTCAGATCTGCGGATAGAACCACATTTGTCTTTTTCTTTTCGGCTATCTCGAAGAGTCTGCCGACAAGTGGGTTGGGATGTTCTGCACCCCTCTGAGCGAAGGATACAGTGCTCCTTGATGCCATGACGAATGTATCGTGATAGTTTCGACAATCACAGAATGTCCTTTCCGATTATGAGATTTTATGGAGAAATAGGCAAGGCGTAAGGCGTCCTAACTACGATGCACCCTTGCAGCAGTAGTTTTTCCGCTCAGCACCACGGGGCAACGGGAACCAGGAACAGGCACCGGCCGTTGATCTGGAGGTGGCACTGTGGCAGAAAACGAGAATGGTTGGACCAGGAATGCAGGAATCAAACTGCCGAAGCTCAGGACGGTGTGGTGTGGGAGCCCAGCATTTTGGGGCCACCAGAAAATGCCACGTTGAAGGGGAAGCAAGCCACATCTCTACTCCGTTAAGGGAACATGCATGACGCTGTTTGCCCTTTTCGCCATTCTTTCAACCCTGCCAATTCCGCTCTATCCATCGCAACTCCCATCCCGTCATCAACTTCAGGACACACCGCAGGCACCACACCACAAACCACTTCTCTCCCAATTTGTGCCGGTGTATGCATGCCTCCACCACTCGTTTGCACTTCCCTTCGCTGAAAACCTGCTGGAAAGCCACCCCAATTGCTTTGGGTGCAGTTGCGGCCGTGCTCTCCACCTGCAATCCATGCGTCGACTGTTATACCCAGCGATCCCTTCGATCCCTTCATAGCCGAACATCGCCTTTTACTTTAGTCGGATCAGCCATCTCTCACATTCACCAGATACTTGCAATTTTTGCCATTATTACAATCCAAGTCACATCTCTTCCGCTTACGGGCCCTTCCTTGCACCTCGGCAGTCCCTGACGGCACAATTATCCGCAATGCTTCGGAGCAACGCACTGGAGAAATAACAACGTCCGGGAATACGCACCCGGGGAGGGTATTGAAAGCAGGAACAACATATATTTCCGTACATCATGTCGGGACAAGCCTCAGAAAAGCCCTCCTCATTAGCAGCCGAGCCTCCAGATCAGTCCAAATCCTCCACCGACGGGTCTCCTGTCCGTAATCCTCGCAGTGTCTCGGCCAAGCCTCAACTCTCACGGTCTCGCAAGAACAGTCAGGAGTTCAGTCCTACTCGAAGTACTGTCACAAACGGGCCCTCTTCAACCGTTCCTTCAGCCGCCGCAGTGCAGAGAGCATTGTCGGCTCAGAGGCCCATACTACAACCTTCCGGTCTCGATGGTGTTGTCGATGGTGGCCGTGGTTCAGAAAGATCATTGAAACCAGGAGTGAATACCCCAGTCTGGCCTACTTCGCCTCGATTGAAGTCTCCTCCACCAAACAAATCGGGTGCAAGAGCAGGTACGAAAAGGAGTGACAGCGAGCCTACACCGTCTAATACATCGTCGAGACGACTGGCCACCGTTTCGAATCCAGATCAAGCCGCTGTCATGCAAGCTCCCGACAATCAGGAGTTGTCGTTTTCACACTCCACCCTGCGAGTCCCGGCTCGAGGGCCGAGTGCGGGCGCCGCCTTGGAGACCGTGGCCGAGAGCAGTGTTCCTACTACTCCATCCATAGGGCCCGTGCAGTCGGCACTCCTCGATTCGAAAATCGAGGTGCCTAGCCTCAATCAGCGGAGCGAAGTACGGAACGAGGCGTCGACAACGAAGGATGGCGAAGGAAGTGGTGGTGATACTTCTTCATCTAAGCCTAGTGCAAGTACAGGCGACAACGGACACAGATCGAGAGCAGCTAGTAATTCTCGTCCGCCTTCGGAGCTTGCTAAGCGTTCCCTCGCCAGCCTCACTGGAGCCAAACCCAAAACCTCAACCGATCCTCCGAGGACAATGACGGTGGAGACTGAAACGGTAGCGTCTGTTCCTCAATTACTGGGTCCTGATCGAGGCATCTCCGGCAGAGATGGGAATGGTAGTGTGCGAACCAAGCCCAGCAATGAAACGATCCGGCCAAAGAAGGAAAAGAAAAGAAGTTCTCGCAAACCAGCTTCGTTACACGCCGGCACTGTCACTTCCAAAGCCGACCTATTCGAGGCCAAAGTGGCCAGTGCTGTCGATGAAGCTGACTCGTCTGATTCGGACGAAACCTTCGTCTATGAGTCCAACCCGCCTGACAGCCGGCCGAGTCGACATCATTCTCGGACACCGAGCGCTACATCACTCGCCAGTCAAGAACAGTATGGAACTCGGAACAAGCACGGTGTTCGAAGTGGCAGTCATGCAATTGCAGGTAAAAAGTCTATGAAGTTTTCAAATTCCACCTACAACAACCTCGTAGATGGCGAAGGAGGATCAGAGGGTAGGGGAAGCCAACGCAATACCAGCACAACTCCTCGTCATCATCACATCAGTCGACATGGACGACCTCATCATACCTCGATTCTTGATACCGATTCACCATTCACTCAAACCAACAAGCCCAGTTCTCCTCGGTCGGCCAATAACATGGGACGCCTTTCTAGACCAAACAGTCCCAGGCTTCCTAACGGGCGGTCACCGGCCACTCCTCGGAAGGGCGAACCTTTCGACCCCTACGATGATGCCGCAGATGATGAGAGGGCTCCTTTGATCGGGTCAGTACGCATCAATCGGAACAGGCACAGCCGAAGACCGCACAGTGGTTCCTTCCGGCATCTGGACTACGACGAGGCTTACGATCGAAACTATTGCGGACGTTTTGGGGGTTGCATTTTCCTAGGATTCGTCGTTCTCCTGATCTGTGTTGGTATTGTCACGTTTGTTATGGCGCTCAACCGACCTTTGCTGGACATTTCGATCAAACGCATCCAAAACGTTCTCGCTTCGGAGCAGGAACTCATGTTGGATCTCAATGTGGAGGCGGTCAACCCCAACCTTTTCACGATAAATGTCAATGATCTAGACATCAACCTCTTCGCCGAGAGCCCCTATGTTAATTCCAGGCCCGACGATGGAGGGACTTTCAGATGGATTACTCGCCGCGCCGCGTCAAGTTTAGGATTCAATTGGCCGCCTTGGGAGTCAAACGACGGGGTGGACGAAGGTACTGATCCAATCGATGAACCTGAGCCTGGTACCCAGAAAATGTTGCTGGGAAGGATCCTCGAGTTTGACTCACCACTGTTGTTTGAGGCTTCACCAGTGCGGCGTACAAGGACTTCTTCAGTTGGCGAGATTCGACTTGCGAGACCTGGCAACAGGACCGAAGAAGGCGGTTCAGCACGCTGGGAGAAAGTACTCCAGCATCAGTTTGACCTGATTGTGCGAGGAGTTATCAAGTATCAGCTACCCTTGAGCTCCAAAACCAGGTCGGCAAAAGTTGGGAGTCGAATCAGAGTCCTGCCCGACGATGACAGTAAACTCTACGAAGGAAATGGATGAGCTTGCTGTTGTTCAGGAAGCCACCGAAATACCATACAAAGCGACAACAGGCGGGTGCTTAGTCGATATAATGACGTGAGACGATTTTCGTTTGTCAATTCAATATGGCCCATCAGGATGGGACAATTAACGACTCAGATACCCAAGGGATACCCCCAAAAGCGGTGGAGTAACGATATACTTGGCTATACATGGTCGAGGCATGGGGACATGGGCGGAAGAGAAAAAGTGTGCTTTGGTACAAGGCGAAGATGCTGCACCAACTTGTGCAGGATCATTCATTCCCTTTGTCCTTACTATATGTATATTGACATAGTGGCCTAGTGACCGTCCAAAAAGCAAGACAGACAGGGATGATAGGCATCAATTCCATGCATATTCACTTGGAACCCCTGTGGTCGTTGAATACTAAGTTTTGTAGAATCGTCTTCAGTGTGACGATAGAATTGCCTGGTAACCTACCTGGTACCTACTAGTAGGTACGAAGTACCCGTACCAGAGTAATAATTCGAGGCAAATGACCTACGTCACAGATACTAGACTGGACATGATGATAATGGAGTATTTCTCGCCCAAAAGTTGGCAATTCTATTGTGATCGGTTGGACAAGCCATGTGCGCATTACTGTACTGTAGTTCTGTTCCACTGGCAATTCCCCTCCTCTTCCCCCGCCACTCACGCTCTTCACCTTTGCCTGATCCGCCGCTCAACAGTCGTCCACTCTTTTAACTGACTTTTGGTAACTTAACTTCTGCTGCGGTAATTCCCGGCCACCTGAATTTTGGATCGGCTCAGCTGAAACCTTGGGCACACGCGGACAAGCCAGAGGTACGAATCGCCCCGTTCCCGCTCCCACGCAGGCTTCTGATCCTTCAGCCCCAATTGAGTGACTTTACACTCACATTTGCCTTGCCAGCTGGCTTGCCCTGCTGTTCTTCCCTCTCATCATCTATGCGACTTTGGCCTGCTCTTCAATTAACCATCGCAGCTGCATCGACAGAATTTCTCAGACACCTTCGAGTACCACCTGCGGCCAGCCTTACCGACCCTCTCACATTGCTCGAGCCGAAGGCTTACGACTTCAGCCTTCGAGGCCATCCTCCTCAATCCATCCTCTGATTCCATCATCCCACTACGGTCAGCATGGGCTCTGTCTACCGCGATCGCGATCGCTATGACGATTCTCGAACGACCGTCTCATCCGCTCGCCGGGACGGCGGCTACACCACCGTAAAGCGCTATGTTGTTAAAGAAGAAGATACTCGGTCCTCGACCGGTCGTGATCGTCGCTTTGTTCCGGAACGAGCAGGAGAACGTGTAGAGGAAACTCGCATTGTTCGTCGTGAACGTGAGGTTGAAGAGCCCGTGCGCGAATCGCGCCGGGACGACCCTCGAGTCTCCGAACGAGAACTAGTCATTCGCCGTGAGCGGGATGATGAACCTCGAAGAGAGTATTACGATAGAGACTACTATCAAGACAATCGGCGCGACAATGGTGCAGCCGATAAAGAGATTGTCATCCGACGGACCACCGATCGCGAAGAACCTCGTCAAAACGATTCGAATGTTGCACGATACGACGACCGTGGACGGGATGTGCGGATTAGTGAGAGTCGTTACCGAGATGGGTACGAGGTCCTTGCGCCACCCCGGGTCGACGACCGTGATCTTCAGAAGTATATCCGCACTTCAGAATATTACAGTCCTGCACCTCAGCCACAGACAATTATCATTCGACAGGAACCCATCATCATTCGAGAACGCATTCGAGACGATGACTATCAGATTGTTCGCAAGTCGGACGTGGACGATGAGCGAAGTGTTGTGCGTAGCCGCGATCAACCCCGTGGCGAAGAGGATTTCTTCTACGAGAAAAAGGTGCGAGAACGGCTTGATGACCCGCGCCGCGATGATGATGATTATTATGAGCGCCGGAACCGACGAGGCCGTTCGGTGAGCCCGCATGATTCTGTCTCTCAACGAGGTGGCCGAGATGACTACAGCAGTGACGACAGCATGGTTTACGTCCGGAAGGAGGTCCGCGAAGACGACAGTCCCAGCCCGCACCGTCGTCGAGACCTCGCTGCCGGTGTTGCTGCAGGTGTCGCAGCTAATGAGCTTCTGCGACGTCACAAGGAAAAGCAAGGACAGGAAACATCGCACGGTATTGGTCGCATAGGACGTGACGTTGGTGCCGGTGCTCTGGGAGCTCTTGCAGCGGAGGGCATTCGCCGAGCCAGATCTGCGCATCGAAGCAGAAGTCGGCGTCGTGGGAGGAGCCGTTCTGAAAGCTCGGGGCGTTCTCGCTCGCGCCGCAGCCGTTCCCGGTCCAAATCGCCTTCAAAGCTGAAAGCTCTCGGAGTTGTCGGCCTGGGAGCGGCCGCGTTGGCCGCAGCCGCGACAATTGCCTCCAAGCGCATGCAAGGTGGCGGCAATGACGATGGTGACCGACGCAGTCGCTCAAGGCGTCGATCTGACTCGGCCTCGAGCCTGGAAAACGACACTCGGGCACCAGGTGATACCGCCCGTAACCCCAATCACCGCAAGAAGAGAATGGCCGAAGCTGGTGCCGCTGGTGCTATAGTTGCAGGACTTATTGAGCGTGCTAGAAGCAAGTCCCGAGCTAGAGACGGCAAAGAGCGTTCCCAGAGTCGCATCAGACAGGCACTTCCCGTGGTTGCTGCCGGCATTGGCAGTGCTGCCCTGGCTGGTCTCTACGAGAAGAACAAGGCGAAGAAAGAGGCGCAGGCAATTTCCCAAAATGAGCGCCGAGCCTCTTCACGGTCCAGGAGCAGAGGCAGATCTGATGCTTATTACGATGGTCCAAGTCAGGGTGCAGCCAGCGATCCTGCAATGCTCGGAGCTATTGAGTATGGCAACGGCCCAATGCATGGTAACAACTTCGGCCCCGACTATTATGGCCGGCCACCACCACAGGAGGGTTACTACGGAACTTCCAACGCCGTGGTTCCAGCTGCGACGGGAGCTGCAGCGGGTACGTATGGTGCGCAGAGAGCGCGGAGTCGTAGTCGCAGTTTGAGCCGGGAACGTGGCGGCCGACGATCGTCTCGCAGTTCTAGCTCATCGCCAGATCGCGGACATAGTCGTCGTCGATCACGAGATGCTGGCAAATCCGCGGCAGCTGCCGCAGGAGGCGCGGTTGCTGCTTCTGAGTATGACAGACGCAAGCAGGAGAAACGTGATCGTAAGGCACGGAAACGTAAGTTCGGGTCTCCCAAGTGTAATGAAGCATCCTACTGACTTATACAGGCCGCGAGGAACAAGGCTACGGCGCAGATCCATACGAGGAGAACTATCCTCAAGCCCAACAATATTCCCCAACGCCACCACCAGCGACTGACCCGTACGCCACTCAACAAGGCTTCTACCCTCAAACGAGCCAGTTCCCGCCTCCGCCCGGAGCTGTACCACAACAGTACCCCTCTCAGAACCCAGCTCCAGGAGCAGCCAGTCCATATGCAACTCAGTCATACCCTCCACCCCCACCACCTGGACCTCCACCAACTGGTGCCACAAACTATGATGCGTATGCTTCTGGGGCAAATCCTTATGCTCCGCGTGGTCCTGAAAATGTGAGTGCTGAGCCGAGTCCTGTGTTTGGCAATCCTTTCACATCTGCCGCTTCCAATGACCAGCACCATGTCCCAGATGGTACGTCATAGTCATGTACCTTGAAGTATACTTGATTAAGACTGGGAATGGCCGATGGCTAACGCTGCTCGTATAGGTCTGAACGTGTCGCCTTCTGCCCCTCCTGCGCCGCCGATCATCAATGTCCAACCACCTTCGACAAGTGGTACAAGAAGATCCAGAACTCCTGACATTGCTTCACCTTCCGTCAACGGATATGTCCCGCCGACAAAAACCATTCACGATTATGTCTCATTGCCCAATAGGACAACATCACCGACACGTTCACGATCTCAGCCACCGTCAACAGGCCGCAAGAGCGTTCAATTTGCCGCTGCCCCACAAGTTACAACGCTGGAAGACAATCCGCCGGTGGAGTCCGAAGCTTCCAGTCCTGAAAGACATCGCCACAGACACAAGAACTCTCATTCTGGTGGCTATGAAGCCGAAGAAGATACGGACACAATACCTGACGAATCGCGCCGTCGAATTCGCGAACAATCTTCGCGGTCGATCGATCCGGAAGCTACGGAGCGCAAACACCGTCGCCGTCGCTCGCATGAGCCGACGTCCTCTCGTGGCGAGCCAAGTAGTAGCTCGAAAGGACCTGAACTAGAAAGGGTTTCGAGTCCCAACGATTCCGATGCCACAATTGAACTACCGTCGAGGTTTGATGAGAAAGGTCGCAAGAGGACTGATGCAGGTGATGACCCATTGGGTGGCAAGATCGAGGACATTTTGGCAGGCAAAGGAGCTGCAGGGAAGGTGTTTGGTAACTTTTTGGATGGACTTTTTGGACCAGATGATCGGAGGAGGAAAGGGAGATGAGGCGTTGTTGGGATACGAATGAAGCACGACAGGACGAGATGACGGCATTCTTGCAACGAATTTCATTGATTTATGACTTGGGTTGGCTTCTGGATTGGATCATGGGAAGATATTCTATGCTTTCTCCAGGAGGACCTGGCGGGATTGAAGATGCTAGATGCCAGATCTTACACGGTCATAAGACATGTCAATGATGCGGGTTGACCACGACAGGATTATGAATGAATGACCAGATATGAATTCGAATTGAGAGTTTACTTTACCTTTGACGACCGATATCAGGACAGAGGATTTGTATGTCCCGTCTGCCTTAAGTCTGAATGTCTTTCAGCCTCGGCTACTGTAATCTCCGCACACGAACCATTTCCTCCATACTGACTTCAATCTAGCCAGGCTCTCGACTCGTTGTACCCTCAAGGCGATTATCGTGACTATCAGGACACGGGAGCATACTGACACTCAAGTCTGCCGCTGCCGATTCTTCTTTGCGTGGGTAACTCGCCCAGAGCCTCATCGCGACAAGCTCCGGGTTGTCCAGGGAGGCATCCGACAAAGCCATTGCAACCAACACTCTTGCCTACCATTCCCGATATGGCGACGAACGTGTTCGACAAGCACAGCGATAAGCTTGCTGGCGTTTGGAGCCTCATCTCCTTTGAGATGTTCGACATGGACAATCCGCATAAAGTGCTTCACAAGCCTCACGGTGATGAACCACTGGGCAAAGTCGTCATATCAACATCGGGACATCTATCAGCCATTCTCAGGTCACCTCTGGACATGGAACCCCTTGAAAACGACGAATGGATCAAGGCCTCGGACGAGGAAGTGTTGCACGCGGTACGAAGCCTGTCATGTTATGCAGGACCAATGACGCTACTGGAGAGAGAAGATGGTGGGTTTTTGTGGCACACCCAGGTGTAAATCTCGCACAATCCGAATTGGATTGGGAAGGCGCAGACCAGAAACGCAGACTATAGTGAGGAAGATGGACAGGCGTACATGACTCTCAGACCTGTCACGCCGTACAGTCTAAAGGTTGGTTTCGATAGTCCTATGGAGGACATCGGATGAGACTGTACTGACACACGAATAGGACGGGAGGAAGACTCGACCTGTGCTGAAGTGGAAGAAAATCAGTAAGTGATGTGCAAGTCTTTTGGTACGGGTGACATTATCCATGTAGCTATCTGGTAGGCTATTTCCATGAGAACAAAAAGTCCTCGAAGGAATAAATATCCTCCGTGATCATTTCATGCACATCATCCACACCAGCGATCTCAAGCTCTTCCTCGTCCACGTCCCTCAGTTGTTCTTCTTGAGGTTGTGCAAGCTCATCAAGCGGAGGTTCAGAACATGAGTCTCCAGGATCCATTTCAAGCAGGGCATATATGTCGAATTCTTTGGACGGCAGGTGTACACTAATCCCTTGTGGGGCATCAGTGACAGCCGAAATCGAATGCACCACGACTTCGTGGAGTTGTAAAATCCCTTCGGCGGCGATTGCTTCATCTCTGGGGATATTACCATTGGCTTCGCTGTTGGGGTCGCAGTTGTTGTCAATGCCAACACGTTCGTAATAGCGCCGCAAGACTTTGATCTACCCGGACAATTAGAAGGAGATTCGGTAAGCGATGGCAATGAGGAACTTACCCAGTGAGCAGCGAGGGCCCAAATCTCTTGCAATTGGATCATCTTCCGCAGGTCTTCAGCCAACAGCTTCTTTGCCGGCACTCCCATGTACTGTTCACAGCTCTTCCACGTGGAAAATGAACAACAGGCGTGAAAAGTCCCGGCGGTCATGAGGCATATCCCAGAGAACGGATATGCCCATGGCGCCAGATCTCGGGCGACCATCTCATGGAAAAAGGTTGATATGCGACGGGCACTTTGAAACCCGGTTTGGATGGATTTGAACCAGTATTCTGGCGGTTCTGGAAGCGACGGTCGACGAGCGAGCGGGGGCCCGTCACAAGGACCGTTGGCAGGATCGTACCCCTGTGGTGGTATGAACGGAATGTACTCCCGGTGCAAATAGCATCTCGCATGATAGTTGAGCAGATGCATCAAGGCAAAAAGGTTGCCCTGTCCGCAAGCCACATGGGCAGCCAGAGTTTCAGGATGCAACTGCATGTATCGGGGAAGCAAATCTTCCCAGTCATCCAGAGCCTTGTCGAACCGGAAGAATGGTGAGGTAGGATCCCAAGGACATCTGTCATCGATATCTCTCCCTCCAGCACCACTCCACGCCACGACAGAGCCGAGAACATCTACGATGCGTATTGTGTATGACAGCAAACTCTCTTGCTGGTTCGGGTGGGCCAGGGTGGTCGTTCGAGTCTCTCTCCCGAGAACGAAATCCGCGTCAGGGGCCGGCAGCAGTGTCGTTATGGACGCAGAGTCAAAAGCAGGAGGCCGGTCGGACCCATTGGAGATCAATTTGTCCAGAATGAAACAACACCACAAGGATCGACGTTTGCTTTCGGCATCGGCCCAGTCTTTGCGCTCGAATTTCTCTTCGTTCATGAGCCGCAAGATGTGCACCATCCTGATCGCAACTCCAAGAAGGATCCATGCTCTGTGTTCGTGTCCACAACCCATCTCAACCAGGGCCAGAATGAGATAGCATTGTAGATCAAGGATGTTGACATCGTCAAAGGATGTGGCCAGTTCCGCACGAGCCAGCTCGGCGAAGTGCTCCGATGCTTCGAGAGTACCTTTGTACAAGGAGTAAAACGGTTCGTGGAACCTTGGAACAAGTGAGCATTTGACCGACTTCAGGAATGCTTCGGAGACCGACCTTGAGGCAAGAGCGAGAATTGAGAACAGCATCCGCAGAGGCACTTTATCTTGCGACAGATCTTCCATGAACCGGTGACGCACGAGGAAGGTGAAGAAGGTCGATCCATAGTAATCGAAGAATATGTCCACGACTTGTCGAACATGGTCTTGACCAGGGAGACTGGCACCTTGTTCAGTGGGATTTCAACCAAGTCCTGGAATACTAACGAAGCCTCCTTCTGCCTCAATTGCTCCTCAGGCGCGGCTGGATGAGCTGAAGGATAGGAACAGGGTAGGCTCCTTCTCAAACAGTCTCTACAGCATGGCCACTCGCCACTGCATCGCACTTTCCGGGACCTACACAATGTGCACTCAATTAATTGCGATCACGAATCCAGATGGCGCACTCACCGGCATCTCTTGCAGGCCAGTTGTACCCTTGCTGCAGACCTGTTGCGCATGTTCTTTTGCGTCTCGTCTCAATCGCCGCAGGAGGTCAACTAGACCCGACAAAGGACTACATAATCTCGGTTTCACAGATCGGGATGCCGTACGGAGTACACCTCAATTATAACTAAGGGTCGTGCCACGGCCAGAACAGGGACCTACGTGTGCAGAGGTCGTTTTCTTATCAGTGGGTCTGCTTGGCTCGGAAATCAACCGGCATTAACAGTTTGCCGTCAACTCGTATAGCCTTATCAGTCACCCGCCGCCATATCGACTAACTTCCTGGGTGACAGGCCGGCTTTCTTATAATGGCGCCAATTCCATCTGGCCATTGGCTCCAACGATGCTTGCCGAGTTTAGTCAACCATAAAGTTGATGGCGTTGTTGGCTCGGTGTGCTTCCGTCAGATTCGCTGGTGGAAGCTCGGTTTGCCGTGGGTCGAACTGCACTACACACGGTGCTCAGAGATCAAGAAGGACATAAAATCGGGCATGCGACCACCCTGGGTTGAGAGATCATGTACCGCATGCTTGTACGCTGAACCTGGAGCAAAGAACATTGCCTCTGATACCGACAAAGATGGGATTGAACTTAAGAAGGAACCTGTAAGCAACACGAGCTCTTTTCCTGGATGACTTGGTTGAGCTGACCGTCTCATTTAGCCCTGAGGTACAGAATGTCATCTCTGGTATCTGTCTATTCTTCGCTGTTGGTATCTATACCGCAGTCCTTAACCTCGGAGCTGGTGGAGCCCAGGCGGATTCGGCTCACATCAACAATATTGTGGCGGCATCTTTGTACAGTATCTTTGGAGTGGTCGCGTTCTTTGCAGGAAGTGTCCTCAACAAACTCGGCCCTCGATATACGATGATGGTAAGCACAGCGTCCTTCAAGCGAGTCGCAAAGGTTGACAGGACAAACAAAGATCGGTGCTTTCGGGTATCCTTTCTACATCACAGGCCTCTGGTACTTTGATAAGAAAGGCTCTGCTGGCTACGCGATCACTGGTGGCTGTGTCCTGGGTGTTGGTGCCGCTATGCTTTGGACCGTCTCAAACTACGTCGCCTTCGCGTACGGAGCCGAACATCAAAAAGCCGGCTTCTACGCAACCCAGGCAATCCTCAACACCTGTGGAAACTTCATAGCTGCATGCGTCGTCTTTGGAATTACACACAACAATTCTCTGCCTGATGGTGTTCCGGAGTCCGTTTACGCCAGCTTCTTCTGCTTGATGATGATGGCCATTGTTGCGGGTTGGTTCCTATGCAAGCCTCAAGATGTCCGACGCAAGGACGGGCAGCCTTTGGCCGTCTTCAAGAATGAGACTTTCTGGCAGGAGGTCAAAGGGTGTGCTAGCCTGTTCAAAGACATTAGGACCTGGCTTCTCTTTCCGGCCTTACTCTGTGCCGAAAACCCTCTGGTTCTTCAGCCAACCATCAGTGGTATGTTTATCCTTGATGTTGTGGGCGGGAAGACTCACATAATTTAGCTTACTGGTTCGACTTGAGAACCCGGTCCCTGATTACTCTCGTTACGGCCGTGATCCAGCTCCTTGCCTTTATCGGCTTCCAGTACATCTTGGACCTAGAAAGGCTATCACGAAAAGCTCGAGCATATGCTGGCTTCGGAATCCTCTTTACTGTCCTCGTGGCAGCATACTCTGGAGAGGCTGGCTGGTTTTTCAGCCACCCTTCTGGGTTCCTGACCGTGGCAAATGGTGTGGATTGGACTGAGTCTGGGTTCGGTGGATTCTTTGTTCTCTTCCTCCTCTTCCAGATTGCCGCTGCCATCGGTCCAATGTATCTTTGCTGGTAAGGTCCTTTTCGGAGGCTTTTAGTCCGCATACAGATACAGCTCTAACGTCTCATATAGGCTCATTTCGACTTTCACCAATGAACCAAGGAGAGTTGGCTACTATGCAGGTTTCATGCGCTCTGGAATGGCATGTGGTACGGCAGCCTTCTTTGGAGTGGCGGCAAGTGGTGTGTCTCTGGAGTATGTATCCCATTTCTCTGGTCTTTACCTCACTAACGAGTCTCGCAGGAAACAAGTCATTGCGCACTTTGTTTGTCAAGTCTGCTCACTATTCCCCGTGTTCTATCTGGTCACCAAATACGTCACAGCCACAAACTACCTGGAGGAAAAGGATATCGTCTTCATTCCTAGTCACGAGGCCGAGGTCCTCCGTCTACAGTCAGAGGATGGTGTTAGTATTGCTGACACCAACCCCGCTGTCGAGGAGGAGAAAGCCCTTCCCAAAGGGAACTTGTGAGTCTGGGAGAGCCTCGCTGGCCTGTGTTGAACCGCTGGGAAAGGCGACGAGTGATTTCATGTATGACAGTTTGATTTGACGCAAGTCTTGGAATGTGCAATTGTTATAGTCCGTTCTTCTGATCCAATCGATCGCTAAATAACCAAGAAGCCGGGTCCCCGTTGGAGCGGAGTTGATTGCCTGGCGAACTTCCTGGCTTCAAAGATGTTGTCCTATGTTGTCATTTTGGAATCCGTCGTACACAACGATATATAGCATTGGTCATTGGCAAAGGACAGGTCGTCAGCTTTACCGTATATCCCACTCGTCTGTAGCCCAGGCAACTGCTGTTTGCAGACCTGCTGGACTATGAACTGATACCGTGAGCGTATTCTGTCCATCGGTGTTACTATTAATTGGAACAGGCTTGCCACTCTCTAAGTGATATTAGTCCCCTGACCCAGCATATTATGCTAATGCATAGTAAAGTTAAGACTTTCTGGCATACTGAGTCCCGACTGTTCGGACGAAAGCTACCTATCGTTTCTAGTGTGTGCCGTTGACTCCATTGACCAATGCCTTCTTGACTGGCAGCACCTTCAACACGTCAGCCACTGCTTGCTGCCCAGCCGAAACCGCCCCATCCATGTAGCCTTTCCACTTTGTCGCCATCTCGGTACCAGCGAAGAAGATACGACCATGAGGAGTACGCCACTCCTCACCGATGGCGGTCAGGGCGCCACAGCCCAAGACAGGCACTGGCGCACCAGCACTGAATTCTTCATTCAGCCACTGTTGTTCCAAAACCTGGTACGGCTCCATTGCTTCGGCGGCGTGACTCGGGAAAAGTCTCGCCACATGCTGTTTGATGCTAAGGATCCTCTCCTCTTGAGGGAGACGTGCATATTCAATGGCGAAGTTGGCCATGGGGAAGCAGGACAAGCTGTACTGCCGTGGGGCTAGCGTTGGGTCCGTCGACTTCCATTCGCCGTCAGATGTGTCCATGGTCTGAGTAATAGGTCCGACAAGAGACATCCCAAGACCAGAGTATCCGGCTTCACGCCACCATGGTCGGTCGTAGATCATGACGACCTTGGTACAAGCCCCCATGTACGACCTCTGCCCGTAGCAGCGCTTCTTGATCGGGAGCATAGGACTCCATGTGATGGTGCTGTAAAGTGGACTTGGGATGGTGCAGATGATGGCGGAGGACGTGTAGATGGCACCAGCCCGGGTGACGACCGTGCAGATGTCGCCTTCCTGCGAGACCGCCTGCACGGGAGATGACAGTTTGACGGACCCCTTGGGCAGCTTCGTGACAATGTACTCGGATACGCGCATCGAACCTTCACGCATTCGTTGATACTGGCCCCCCCGGCTATCGTTTGATGCTAGACTTTCGTAGCCACCTATGAACACGTCAGGCAAGGATTGATAGTAACAGGGGATGGGAAGAACGTACCTCCGCAGACAAAGTAATGTAGAGTGTACAGAAAGGAGACGTCGTTCAATTCAAGGGCGAAGAGACATCGTATGAAAGACGCCATTCCATTCTTTGTTGCTTGTGATGCCCCAACCGAGTTCAACCAGCCCAAAAAGCTGATCGAGTCGAATTCTTCGGCTCTTTCGCACTTCCATGGCTCCTCGATGTCGACAAGTTCGCATAGCTCGTCCAATAATGCGACCACTCGTTTCTCGTCGAGCCTGTCTTCCTCGGGCATTCCCTCTTCGAGTTCAAATGTACCATCTGTCAAGGGTCAGTGCTATATTCCCTTGCAGGCCACAAGCTTACTGACGATCTTCATACGTTTGTATCTTGTTTTTTGTTCTCTCAATGACGGCGGTACCATGGATCGATTGGTGAATGATGGGGATGCCAGCCTCCTTTGCAAGTTTTGTGATGTTTGGCTGCGTGAACTCATTGATCCAGGCACCTCCCACATCACTTCGGCCACCGGACTCCGTGTCAATGGTGTAGGTTCGACCGCCTACACGGTCTCTTGCTTCTAGGACGATGACGCTCTTCCCGGACTTGTAAGCATCGTAGGCGGCAGACATTCCAGAGATGCCACCGCCTACAACAATGATGTCGACAACCATGATCGCGACTGGGTCGACTAAAGAAAATGAGGACTAAAGATGGCAGAAGAGAGATGGAGCGGATAGTGCAGTTTAGTCGATCTCAAGTCCACACTGGCCTTCCTCATTCGGATCACTCCCTCTTCAACTTCAAACTTTCGGGATACCGTGGGCGTGTGCCGGAACAAGTACCCAACCACTTCGCAAACTACTCAGAATGCTATCATTCACTGCTAATCATCGATTGGAGGTCCACTATCTTCTAGTCCAATTTCACCGCTGCTTGGACTTGCACCTCGATGAAGCAATCAGGATAAGCCAGTGCCTGAACCTGGACCGCGGTCCCTGCCGGACGGTGATCTCCCAGATACGACTTTGCGACCGAGTCCAGAAGCATTCCAACCTCGGACGATAATTGTCCAACTAGGTAGAACGTCATGGTGAAGACACATTGCCATATCTCTTTGGAGTTCAGCTCAGGCACCGCTGCACACAGTGCCTTATCGGCGTTCTGATAAGGGTTACCAACCGTGCTCAACGGCCGAATAAGAGGATGACATTGCGGGAGGTTACCATACCTTAAAGGCCCCGACAATTTGTTCTTCCAGAGTCCCAAACTTTTCACCCAGGTTGCTTCCTGTCTGGCCGGAAATTGCAATGATGCTGGACCCGGGAGGGGTTCTGACGGCGGCCGAGATACCGTAAGCGTCAGCCGTGGCCTCGTACCCAGGATAGTTGAAACAGGTGAGTTTAGTCGCCATGTTGGGTAGGTGTGGAATCTTGCGACAGGAGTCTGGACTGGGAATGTCTCTTCTGCGATGGTGGGATGATATGAGGACGACAGTCGTTGCAAACCTGTGCCGAACCCTTGGCCGAAAATCAGAAGGCATGCCGAACAAAGTGAAGGCCTCTCTATCTCCACTGTGGGCATGGGTCGTTCCACCTCATTTTCTGTGCCATTAGTGGGCAGGGTAGATCGGATCACCACCACCAGAACATCCAAGAACCCAGATATGATGCCATTCGGGTGCACTCCTAGCTTTGACGAGTCGAGACTTGACTTTGCAACTGTACGAAAGTCAGATACCGTGTCGCGAGGAGCGTGTGAGCGTGAAGGTGTTCACGAACGAGCAAAATGGTGGAATCTCTAGTCAAGAACCCATATCATCCCATCCTGCCTCAATATCTGGAAGGCATGGACCCGGTATTTGTCGAATACTACAACAAATACCACCTCCACGCCCAAGAGGTTCAGGAAGTTCCAATAGATTTGTACAGGACGGACCCAGCCTATGCTCTCATGCCTCCTGGAAGGAGTACAGGTCCTGAAGTTGCCAAAATCAAAGATATCAAAGTCCCGGTCGATGGAGGGGAAATATATGTCCGAGTCTACGAACCAGACACTGCCAGTGCTCAAGGTCTACGCCCCTGTTATATCAACCTACATGGAGGCGGATGGACTGTCGGGGGTGGTCGAGACATTGACGCACCGTTCTGTCGGCTCTTGACCGCTGAATTGGGCTGTGTGGCATTTGATGTTGATTACAGGTAAGATGAATAGCCCAGTTGCCTCGTCTGAGCTGTCTGACTGTGGTTTTAGACTGGCACCTGAGTTCCCCTACCCTGTGCCGCTGACTGATTGCTGGACTGCCATTCAATACATTCTCGAGCACGCCTCCGAATACAGCATCGACACTACTCGAATTGCCGTGGGCGGGTGTTCAGCAGGAGGGCACTTGTCCGCCGTAACGAGTATCCTGGCTAGAGACCAAGGCACACCGTTTGTGTTCCAACTGCTAGGTTGTCCATGTATCGACGCGAGCGCCACAGACGAGAGTGGCGAGGTGAAGGTGGCCGACGACTGTCCATACGAGAGTTGGCGAACGAATGCAGAGGCGCCTTGTTTACCATTGACATCCATGGTCTGGTACCACAACAACTTCTTAGGAGTGCCGCGACCTCAAGGCTACAAAAACGTATGTTCTACTCCTAAGGGGTCGTTGCCAGAGCTGACAGCTACCAGGACTGGAAGTTATCCCCAATTAAGGCACCGAGTCTCAAAGGTCTACCTCCCGCGTTGATAGTCACAGCAGAATTTGACGTTCTTCGCGACGAGGGAGAGGCTTATGCTGAACGACTTAGGTCTGAAGGCGTCGACGTCACATGTGTCCGCATGAAGGGCGTGCCTCATCCTTTCCCTTTGTTTGACGCCGTTATCGACGCGGGCAAAGAGTACAATAGGATTGCTGTTGAGGCTCTACGAAAAGCATTCCAATAGATGTCTGAAATTTGAGCTACATAAATGCGCCACGGAGGGCACAAATGACAGTGCCATGCTGCCACTGGTACGGCTGACCTGAGGCGAGCTATTGCCTTAGTTAAACTCAGGAGAACGAAATACCTAGATTTCCAAGAGGTTAGATACGCCTGAATAGCGACGGGGTGGGAGCATGATGTACCTCCGTCTACAAGAATACTCTGGCCTGTGATGTTTCGAGATTTCGGGCTGGCGAGGAAACTGACCAAGCCAGCGATATCTTCTGGTTCCTAGGTACCAATGGTCAGCAGACGCCCTCTTATAGGAAGACGGAAAGGAAATACCGATGCTCTTTTCAATGCGACCCTCGACTGGATAGATTGTTCAAAGGCAACCCGTGGAGCGAGACCCTCCCGTCGTTGTATGCTCGCGTCAATTTCTCCCCACATCGCTGTATCGACTGGGCCAGGACAATAGGCGTTGACATTGATATCATGCTTCGCCAGCTCCAGAGCGGCAGATTGCGTCAAGCCTCGAACTGCCCATTTACTCACTCCATACGCGAATGTATTGCCAGACGGTCTGTGTCCTGCCGTTGAGCAGGCCCCCACGATCTTGCCCCCTTTTCCTTGCTTGATCATCTGTCTCCCCGCTTCGCGATAGCAGAGGAATGCTCCTCGAACGTTGACCGCCTGGACTCGGTCCCACTCCTCGACACTGATTTCAAACATGGTTTTGGCCACGATGATACCGGCGTTGGCGATCATGACATTGAGTTCTCCGAGCTGCTTGACCGTAGATTCGACCATGTTGATGACTTCGTCTTCTTTGCTGACATCGGCAACAACACAAATTGAACGTCGTCCTTTCTGTTCTATGGCGGTCTTCACTGCCTCGAGGTCCTCCAGCTGCGTCTGAATGTCGTTGACCGCCACGTCCATGCCATCATCTGCTAGTTGCAGAGCGATGGCTTTTCCGATCCCTCGCGAGGCTCCCGTAACGAGGGCTATAGTCATACCGGGTGGTATAGGGTCCTTGTGTTTCAAGTTGCTTCCTGACGCCTGATAGACGTTGCTAGTCTTGACAATGTCACAATGTACCAAAACAGGATTCAGTGTTCATTGTAGGTTGTCGAGCAGTTCCCGTATCCATTAAGCCTCGGGACGATACCAGTCGCGATGCACTCCTCCTCACGAGTCTCCTCACTTACTCCTCACATTGACACTCGGTACCTGGGGCCACCAAGCCTAGTCCGTATATGGTGAGAAGCTATAAATGGCAGAATCTATTGGCCCGAGCCTGTCGTGGCTGATATCTATCCCTATTATTCTGCGAGGATGGACGCTGCCTCTATGAGCTCGGGCACGGGGCCCCTGTCACTCACGGAAACTGTCGTCAAGCATCAACTACAACCTCACCACCTCAATTTGTTCGCCGCCTCTTTCTCCAGCAACCACAACCCTTCCAAATCTACTTTGAGCGCACCCTTTTCATCGATATCCACGCCTTCATCTGTCACTGGATTGACTTTCTTCGTATGTTGTACTTCCTGCTTACTTATACCCCCTACATCTCTCGGGATCCAAAGCAGAGGCGGCTCCTCATACATACATGGCGGATAGTAGATATTCCGTTCCAGCTCCGAGGAGTACTTTGGATCTGGGTATTGATCGTGAGGGATCAATGATCGTAATACGCTGTAATCTTGATAGACTTCGGGGTGAAGCCACTTGATGAAGAAGTTGGGTTTAGGATTCGTGAGACGGGAGGGAAAAATCCAGTTGTTGAGGAAACGGAAATGGTGAGAGACAGTTTTGAAGTCGAGGTAGCTGGAGGCTTTCTTCAGGGCGTGGCCCTGTACAAAGGAGGCGACAGTCGAAAGAGCGTTCGGAGCGCCTTCGAGGGCGCGGTTGGAACCTGGTTCGTGGTGGATCTCATCTTCATCCTCTTCTTGATCCTCGTCATCTTTGGCGGAGTCTCCATGGTCGCGCGGAGGGTCGTTATGGCCGAAGTCGAAGTTGTTGCTTTGGCCAAAATCAAATTCGTCGGAAGCGGTGGTGTTGATGGGTTTTTGTGAATGATGAGATGATGCAGTTTCCCCAAAATTGAAATCATTGCTTTGACCGAAATCGAAGTTATCGAAAGCAAGTATTTCTGGTGTTGGGAGCTGGGGAGGTTTCGTGGCGTTCCTTTCCCCTGTTGGTGTTGTACCCTTGTCTCTCTCCCCTTGTGATTCTAGCGAAAGCGTTTTCGGCAAAGCATTGAGCAACGGTCCAACGGCATTGTACAGTGACACATGCAGCAGGACCGTGAAAACGAGGAGGCCCAATGACATGACGAGAGGACCAAATGCTTTCTTCAGTACCAAAAGACCAACCAGACATACCTCTCCAAAGTATACGCCAACTAGTAAGTGCATAAGGGCACGAGGATACGAAAGACCCATGGTGCTGACTTCGGAGTCATAAACAAAGAGCAGGTTGTAGCGATACACGACATAGGCAAAGCATATGCCTGCGCCAGCAAATCCCAAAATAAGAGGGGCAATGCAGGCGTAGCTTAGGACTGAAGGAAGAGGTCAGCAACAACAGTTTGGGACGGAGGAGGACTGTCAAAGTCTCACCAATCACTCCCAAATTTGTGTAGACCGGGAATAGCTTTCCCCAATGTACTTGTCGAAGCCCGTGCCATCGCTCCCAGAGCCTTCTAGGGTTAGAAGTGAACTTTCGCATAACCTGCAGGCGAAAGTAACTAGATGCATGAACCAGGTGTGAGGCCCCAAAACCGAGGCATTGGACGAGTATGTAAGAGATGTAGAAGTTGGAGGCTGTGGGGAGATTTTTTGCGAGAAGACTTTCGGCTTTGGTTGGGTCTTCAACAATCTGTGTAGCAGCGCCGGAGGCCGCAGATGTCAACGTGGTGATGAGGAACACTTGGATGATCTGGAAAGCAAAGTAACACTTTTGACTGTACAGTTCAATCAAGGTCAGCGTGGGAACACCAGCAGCGCGTGCCAATTCTATGTTCTTGTGAGCATGCTTTCTTGCAATGGAAAGTCCACTTACTCCGTAAGATGAACGGGACAATGTTCATAATCCAAGACAGGGCCAGTGAAGGGAGTAGACCACTAATGAAGCCAATGATGGGCGATGGAAGATCATCGATCCAATGAAGAAAGAAGACGTTTTCCGCAAGGTAATGGACGTTGGATATAATCCCAACACCAGCACAGGGGATTGCCCAGAACAGAATCAGCACTGCAACAACGGCATCAATGGAGAATTGGCGTAAAATCTGCTCCCACCACGTCATTGACAGATTCTTCCATACAATTTCGAAAGGGCGGACACCAATGTGACTCGGTGACATGTGCATCGGCCGGTGATGTGTCAATGTCTGGGCTGCACTTTGCGCTTCTGCTTGAGAAGTGAATTCAATGAATGCAACAGGCATTGGATTGACCTTAGCCGTCAGTTGCTGACGTCGTAGCTTCCTAATCATGAAATTGAGCGTTTTCAGTCTCGTTCGGGTGAATTTGATGGTATCAACGCGACGACCTCCATTGGCAATTGGTCGATGATGAGGTCTTGCGCTGTGGGGGATCCATTGAGAAGCGACAGAACCGTTCACATCAGGCAGAGGAACGGCCGCATCAGACTCGAGATCGGTCTTTTCAGAAGCATAAATGTCCTTCGAGTGTCTTCGGACTGATGAGGGCGAGTCCATAACAAGCTTTTGATCCATCTCCCTTGCCGAAGATTCTGTAGAGCCCTTGGCTGCGTTGGGATGTGGGCGTTCCTTGATGGCAAAGTCGCCTGTTTTCATAGCCTTGGTCCTCGCTGCATTGGCCATCTTTATCAGCGCCAACTCGGCTTTTTCCAGACGCAAAGCTGTTTGTCGCCTTTCATCAACAAAGTTCGCTAGCTCTTTGGATGACTTGGGGAGCCACACGTTCCTCACAGAGTCCCCAAAGATCTTTTTAAGCTTGGCCTCGTCACGATACTCCTTTGGTATGCTGGTAAACATGACTGTTCTCGAGGATAAGCGTTTGGCGTAGAATGGTGAATGCAAATAAGCCTGGCGAAGATGAACATAGTATATACATTCCCGCGATACCATGTACAACACAAAACCTATCATGACAGTTAGGCCTCGTCTGATCGGCGAAAGTTCGAAGGCGTCAATCTTACCGAAGTAGATCCAGAGTACCACTGCATGGGCCCAGAACCTATCCAAATGAACCACGTTTCCAAATGCAAGTTGATCCAGTTGGGTGAGGCCGCCTCCCCCAGTGGCATGGATGGGCAACAAGATGGGCCATGTTATACAAATGCCGACGAAACAGATAACCACCAAAATTTTCAAAAAGCGAAGGAAAAGGTACCCATCAAGAGAAGAATGGTTGAGTACATGGGTGTCGGGAATTCGGCAGAAGGGAAGAATCCAGTTGAACCATCCTGTCGGTAGCTTGGGGCTTCGTTCACTGGTGGGAAGTCAGCTCAAAAGTGTCTTGCGCCTGACCTTTTGTTTGAGTGTAGCATACTGAGGGTCAAGACTTGTCAAGATTGACCTTGGCGCATAGACCCGGGGAGATTTGCGACGCCCGATTACGAATATGATGATACATATCGCTGTGTAGACCAGGACGGGCAATAACGTTGCGTAAAGCGACGACAGTGACGACGAATTGCTGCTTGAACCTATAGACGTAACGGTCGTCGAGCTGCTATTGTCCCGCGCAGAGCCGACTCTGGGATCACTCGCTCGTTCCATGAAAGACGGGAGAGCACAGTAATCACATGATGCGCATGATTCTTTGATTTCCTCCGAGATACATCGCTTGGATGGGGAGGTGAGAAATTCGAGATGAGTTGACGTCTCATTGAGAGGAAAACAAGCGAAAAGTTGGCGGATAAGGGGAATTGGGTAGATAATGCCTAGTGCCTAGGTATGAGGAGTAACTTTTTGGAAGTAACTGAGAAGGTCCTAGGGTTTCTTAGCCTAAAATATATAAGCTCCTGCCTCAAGCGGGAAGGTTTCCGGGGGAGGCTCAAGGAGGCTCCCTGCACAAGAAGTCAGGCGCAAACTCAGTCTTCTGGAGGAGGGCGATCATTTTCAGGATTACACAGCGAGAACAGCCGCAGGTCGGGTTGACCGAGCAAAAGTACTCAGTCTTGAATTTGGTATGAAATTTGATGAGGTCAGGATCTGGGATGAGTATCCTGGTAGATTGTCTCCGACCAAAGGTGTACCTAGTAGGTGCTGTAAACATATCTAGGTACTCAGCGACGAGTATCCAGGAAAAGTCGATGAGGTGCGGCCGCTGTCAAGTGACATGCACGTGGACTTGTCAAGATGCTCAAAGACATGTTGGTTTCGGTGCAACCCCGGTTAAAGTTGATCGTCGTTAAGCCGGGGATGCCTAGGTGCACCCCTACTTCCCTCGTTAAAAGTTGTAACCAATTAGTCGCTTTGTCAGCCAGGTAACCAACTACTGTGACGGCATTATCTACGGCTTTCCCCTGCTGAGAATGCTGCAACATATTACCAATATAGGTCGCTTAAAATCTTGTCCATTCCTTTAGAGGCCAAGGTTGAGCACAGCTGAGCCTGCACGCCTTGTAGTTGACACGCTCCATCTATCCGAGTATACAACTCATGCTGACAAAGAGCACACGGTATGCCGTGTCCAAAGGGAATGAGAGAGTCCAAAGGGAATGAGAGAGCTGGAATGCCCCTCAACTACCATTAAAGAAGATAAGTATACATCCAGTTCCTATTGTCTTGTGGAGGCAGCAAGCTCAGGCCGTTTCTTGTGAGGACATCTGATCGAAAGCTCGTCCACTGTTCTCTTGTCTCTATCATCGTCCAAAATGGAGCATTTGTCTCAAGATGCAGACTCGACACCCGACTCTCTGGCTCTACCTTTTCCTCTATCCTCTTTGCATACACTTTCGCATCGGATGGTACTAGCCCCCATGACCCGCATGCGCGCTTCTGACGACGGCATCATCAACACCAGCGCCGCAGAATACTACTCGTCACGAGCGACGCCAGGAGGCCTGCTCATCTCCGAGGGCGTGGTCGTCGCTCCACGGGGTCGCGGCTTTCCCAACACCCCTGGTCTGTACACGCCAGAACAGGTCGCGGCATGGAAAGTGGTGACTGAAGCTGTGCACGACAAAGGCGGTGTTTTGTTCGCACAGATCTGGCACGTCGGTCGGGTCGCCGTGCCCAGCCAGACGGGTGGTTATGCGCCGCTGAGCTCCACAGCTGGACCTCTGCCTGGCGCGCATCAGTTGTTCGGACAGCAGAATGCAACGGAGTTGTATGTGCCTGGTGAGGCGATGACGAAGGGTCAGATTGAAGAGGCTGTGGGTCAATTTGCGCAAGCAGCGCGCAATGCGATCGAAGCTGGGTTTGATGGCGTCGAGATCCATGGCGGAAATGGGTATCTGCTCGATACATTTGTACATTCGAACATCAATGATCGGACAGATGAGTATGGTGGCAGTCTTGACAATCGATTAAGGTTCCCACTTGAGGTTGTGGATGCGGTGGTCGAGGCCGTGGGCAGCAAAAGAGTCGGGATCCGGCTTGCCCCGTTCCATGTGCTTCAGGAGACGTTGGATGAGGATCGGATGGGCACTTTCTCGGAGTATGCGAGGTGGTTGAGCACACGGGGATTGGCTTATGTGCATCTTGTGGAGCCGCGGTACGATGTGTTGAGTACTGAGGGAGCATTTGCTGGGAAGGTGGACAGAAAGGCTGGTGCTGCGGAAGAAGTGGCGTCAAGTACAACTTTCAGTCTCGAACCGTTTCGGGAGATCTTGAACAAGACGAATCCGCCTACGCCGTTGATTGGAGCGGGAGGGTATAGTGCTTCGTCGGCGAGGGAGGCTGTGAAATCGGGAAGGGTCGATTTGGTGGCTATTGGACGACATTTCACGAGCAATCCGGATCTTGTGGATAGATTGTTATTAGGGAAGAGCCTGACCAAGTATGATCGGCCGACGTTTTATACGCCATCGTTGGAGGGTTATTTGGGGTGGAAGACATGGAAGGAGGAAGAGAACCCGCCAAGAAAGTAGACCTGCGTGGCCTGTAGAGGTGACTTTGAAGTCTGTGCTGCGACATATTGAGCATGGCATTCTCAAATCGGAGCATATAGCAATAATCTGGTTTGATTGTGACTGTCACTCACGCCAATCTCTCATTCCCTTTCCTGCTTCGCGGTAAATCCGCTTGCCGTGTCCGCGAACCACCGCCCTATCTTGCGAGCCGTGCTCTTGCGGCGTCCATCCGTTTTGTCGCTCCTCTCGCCCTGCACTTCGGGTTCTTCGAGGTCGTCACGACTCAGTGTCTGCACCATAGCCTTGTCATCGCGCAACTGGCGATACTGCTCTTCCCCCCTGCGTAGCCGTGATTTCTCCTCTCTTACAGACAAGAGTGTGGCCTCATCACGTTTAGCCGGATCCTCTGGCTGGCGGCCTATCGCGGCGTCATACGTAGGGAGGAGATCGCCTGGCTGTCGCCCGGCGTGCTCGTTGGTGCCTCTGATGCTGCGGTCTGTGTATGCTGGGGGACCGTTGGTCGAGGGACGGGTGTACGAGTCGTTGTTCGACGTGCTGTATGCCGGGGACAGAGTTTTCTGGTCTTTGCGTACTGGGGCGCCTCCGACGCGTTGCGAGCGAAGGTTGCGCTCCTTTTGACTCCGTTCAATCGACTGCTGGTAGAGCGGACTGCAAGAATATTCGTTGTTGGACGCTGTTAGTGGCATCTGGTACATATTGAAGAGGCAAGGAGCTATTAGTGGAACGGCCATGTTTCCTCAAGATTTCAGGTCTGGATGTATGCTTCTAGCTTGAGGGTACTTCTTGAGAGAGCCTGTGGTGGTTGTTGGCTTAAAGGGTGGTGTCCAGAAACCGGTACAGATTATAGGTTCTTATGAAGGGGAGTTAAGAAACTCCAGACGAGGTCATTCGACTTACAATAGTGACGATGGGCGACCGTTGGCGGGCGGCCGCAAACCAAGCTTTGATTGATCTGACGCACCGGTATCTCGAGAAATGGTGTGGGCGACCTGGTTGTTCAATGCCTGTTTCAGGTTAGTCGTCGTGGTAGCGATTCAACCCCTCAGCAAGGACGAATGGCAGGATACGAGTGTAATCGAATTGACAGCTCGATAAGTCCGGGAGAACAAGAAGGATCTCCAATCTTTGGAGTCGTATTGAGATATTTCATGCAAGCGAGGCTGCGTCCTTGTTTGATTAGTATTTGCGTCGGAACGGATGGCCTCGAGTGAGGCTGGGGTACGGAAATGTTCATGAGGCAAGTAGCGGGTGGTTTGTCCTGGATTCGGGATTGCATCAGGAAACAATCTCGGACTTCACTTCATTCGGATGAGCATTGGCATGCCCACTGATTGTGGACGGGCAGTAGTCCGCGTCGGACTTGCAGTCTTGCATTCGTAGAAACGTGTCTGGGCAGACTCGATCGCGCAGGGATGTAAACAGATAGCTCGTCAACCCATGCGCCTGGATATAGTGGCCGCTCCACTTCTTCACAATTCTGATTCGGGGCTGTGCTTGTAGCTTCGCAAGGGCCGGGACAATGATAGCTTCACGTGGAAGAAATGCACCTCACATGCAGAAGTTCATGTCATTGGTATCTGTGACACACCATCACCGCTATGGCGGTGAAAACCATCCTGGTAGACCGTTGTTACCGCATACGTCGTTGATCGAAATTGCTTCCGCAACCGCACCGTAGAATTGCATGACCACGCTTAGAAAACCAGAGCCGCACCCTTCGTCTTCTTGTCACCACTAATCGCAGTCAGTATCAGAGAGTCAACATGGTGACAGTATCATAACATACCCCAACTCGAAATGCTTGCATCGCTTCAGCGCCAGTTGAGCCTTCGTCTTGCATACTGTGCATTCCAATCTCAACACGACCTTCTTGGTTGTCTTTGCCTTCTTGTGGAAGACGGGCTTGGTTTGACCACCATAACCGGATTGCTTGCGGTCGTATCGACGCTTTCCCTGGGCGAAAAGGGAGGCCTATTATTGGTTGTCAATACATGCTCGGTGGTTCATATTCGAGGACAATCCCTACTTTTCCGGCCTTGTATTGGGTGACCTTGTGCTGAGTGTGCTTCTTGCAGGACTTGTTCTTGCAGTAGGTGCGACGAGTCTTTGGAATGTTGACCTAAAAGGCACATTGAAGTCAGCGCATCTTTTCCTGAATCAATCAATCCATTCCACAAAGTGTTCATCCTTCTCTTCCAAAGCGGCGTATGTCCGTATCCTCGACTGATGTCTCTTATTTCTCGATGCGCCCAGCGATGTGTTTGCGCAGGAAATCGTATTGATGATTTTTCCCACAATGTTCATCTCATCTCCTCCCAGCCAACTTCGCCAATTCGCAGTCTATCCTCGTGGCCAACTTCGCTCGTTCGATGACAGTGCACGGGGAGAGTGTCTTCTTACCATTTTGACGGTTTGGGCGAGACGCTCCTGGTGATTATGATGAATGTCGTGGGACAATAGTCGGTGGTCAATATTCGACCGTCTGTGAAAGGACCGCAGCGAAATGCCAAGAGCGCACAAAAAAGCCGCCAGTGAGTGAGGCATGTTAGCCGAAAGAGTTCATCTTATCTAATCAACCAATCTAACGGACTAGGGTGGAAACTGGTTTGGCCCTCGTGCAGCTGTTGGGCCGCGTGGTACCTGGCTTTAGGGGGCTTTCTATCTCCAAGAGAGTTCCATATGTCGTCCACATAAACCACGCTTTGAACCGCGTCTTGCCTGTAGGCGCTCGCTGCATGCGAGGCCAGCCAGATACGCTGATAAACAATGGCAAAAGTTGTCTACGAAGACTTGTCCGGTACTTCAACACCGGTAACCGGCAATCCTTACGAAGGTTTGATCAACGCTTGTCACGGTGATCCTGTCCGTTTTGCTATTTCTGGCCTCAGCTAAGGTTGTCTGATAATTTGCCTCAGAAACTAATCCAAGAACGATATTCGGCACATCGGCTGAGCAGGAATGCTCAACAAAAAGAGAAGATTCTCAGTGAGGACTTTCAAGGCTGGATTCTGGACGAGTATCTCGTCAAACTTGACGGACCGCGAAAGGATGAAACATTCCTTGATCCTCGATATTGTCTTGTCTTTTGGGGCAGGCCTCCTCTCAAAGTCAGGAACTTGGTTGATGTTGTTCAATCAAAGTTGAAGGATGCTGCACCAGGTATGTGCCTAACTGAACATATAGCTTCACTACTCACAATGTAGATCTCTGGCTTATGCCCATCGACAATTTGCATATAACGGTGATGGAAGTGGCGCATTCCAAGTCAAAGGACGAGATTGCAATTCTCACAGACCTGCTCCAACCTCACTGCAAGAAAATTGCCGACTATACCCAGGCACACCGTGCAAGGTTGATTAAGCCTCTTTTGAGCTATGATTCAGCTGCGCTGGCACTGAGCTTCGTCCCGGCTGCTGGGGAATCGGTCTCTCACGGCCGGAACGCAGAGGACGATAAATACACCTATCATCACCTGAGGCGAGATTCCCACGCTACCCTCACTGAATCAGGCGTTCCAGTCGGGTCGAGATACGTTGTCCCGTCCGCACACGTAACAATCGCAAGGTTTAACACGCCTAATGTTTTTGGTGGGGATCCATACGATGGCAGTATCACCCAGGACATCAAAAAACGTAGGCACTGGATCAATGAGATCGAGATGATCAACAAGTGGCTCGAAGCAGAATTCTGGCCTCAGGAAGAGGGGAACTTGATCAAGCCTGGGGGCGAATGGCTTGTAGGTGAGGAGAAAGGGCTCGACTTCCGCCATGGGACGTTGTGGTATGGTGGAGGCGAAACAATATATTTAGGTGAAGGGTTCCTACACGGTGAAGACTGATATTCATCAAAGTCAATAATGCCAGGGGACGATCTCCCTGAACACATACAAGATATTGCGTTGCTGTTAGGCCACAAGAAAGGTCTAATGCATATATACATATAACTGCTTTATGGCGTCATAGCTATCGTCATTGGTCGGAGCGAAAAGAATACAGTGTTTTCGTGAAAATCGACCGTTTTGGTTTTTGTCAACCTTCTGTGACGCTCGAATGACGCTGCAGACTCCTCATACATTGGATGTTGATTTTTAAGCAGACGTTGATGTGGTACATGGATGCCTCCAGGGTCAAGGCGACCCAGCAGGTAAGAGCGGTGATCTGTATGAAAGAATCCCATTCTTCCACTCAGCAGAGTCAGAACTTGTGTTGGTATCGTGCCCATCCCTTGTTGAACCCCAAGTTATCAAACAACTGATCATAGCCACTCAACACATATACCTTCCGCAAGATGTCCGCTTCTATCAAAACATTCAATCGTGCTGCCTACTTGAGGCAAGAAGACCCAGAAGTCAGAATACACTATGTCGAATCACATCCACCACGCAGTACCCAGAAGAAAGGCACAATCCTCTTGATCCACGGCTTCCCAGAAACCTCTTACCAGTTTCGCCATGTCATGACACCCCTTGCTGCAGCAGGATATCATGTCATCGCACCAGACAAGACCGGTCACGGTTACAGCTCGAAGCCAATAGGCGACATCCACCAGCAAGATCCGTTCACGAAAAGGTCGTTGGCCAACGATCTCCACGACCTCGTCACCAAGCACGTTGGAGTGGAGGACAAGATTCACGTGGTCGGGCATGACATTGGCGGCATGGTCGCTCACGCATATGTCTGCCAGTTTCCGAAAGACGTCGAATCTGTGACCTGGGGTGAATGCCCTTTACCCGGATCGACATTGTACGACAGTGAGAGGCATTCGCGGCAGCTCTGGCATTTTGACTTTCAAAGCCACAACCCGGACATCGCGGTAGCTCTGGTCCAGGGAAAAGAGAGGATCTATCTGAAGCACTTTTACGATCGACTTACGCAGAATCAAGCAGCCTTCACGCCGGACGTGGTGGACTTTTACGTCATGCATTTCAGCATGCCGGATGCTCTGCGCTGCGGATTCCTGACGTATCGAGCATTCGAGACGGACGCGGAGGATAATCGTAAATGGAGAGATGAGAAAGGCAAGGTCAAGGTGAAGAATATGGTTCTGTCTGGGGCGCAGTCCTTCCTTGCCCCCAAGGCTGAGGACATGGCCAAGGAGTTCTATGAGGATGTCAAGACAGGCCTTGTGCCTGACTCGGGACATTACCTTTCCGAAGAGAATCCTGAGGGTTTCGTGACTGAGGTTTTGAAGTTCATCGAGTCCTGAAGAAGAGGCTCAGAAAACCTAGTTTAGGAAGATGGTAGGGAGTATTCCTCTTTCCACCTGGGCCAGAATGCGAAACAGGCCTCTCCCCATCCGATTTCCCACTCGTCACTTAGACCTTACTCATCAAGGTGGTCGTGAACAAAGGCGGCAAGGCTGAAGTACCACACCCTACGGCGGTCAAGAAATATTAGTCGGTTATATGTTTGGAATCCGAAATCTTGGTCACACAATGAAGCTGAGAGAGATGCAAAAGCACTCTTGTAGATGGCCGAGTCGTAAAGTCCTGATTAAAGCTCCATCATCCCTTTGATGAGGTGCAGTTACTTTCTACAGGCCTTCCCTTCCCCTTTCCCTTCCCCTGTCGTAGAAACCGAAAAAAAACCAGTGTGGCGGGTTTCACTTACCTACAACCTCCAAAAAGGAGCTTGTGGGCAAAGTTTTTGCTCTTTCGCTTCGACGCTGATCTTACAGTTGATGGTAGTGAGCGTGTGTACCAGGAAGGAAGGATGTCACAACAACCAATCCGAGGTCCACCAAGTTGGCTGACCGGATTGTCGGGGTAAATGCAGCCATGATTGAACCTCGGCATTTTCGTCTGTTCGCCGTCTACGCAGTCCATCAGCAACAGACGAAATAATAATCACCAACACTCGCCCGATTCCTCTTCTGCTACAGTACTAATAAGATCATCGACCACTCCTTTGACAAGTCATCTTCGACTAGAGTTAGCCTACACGAACCACAAAACCAGTACTGTTCACAACCTCAGACACAGCCCGGCCCGCTTCCGTCCCTCTTCAATAAAGTCCATCCCACTCGCACGATCACTTCTCGAGCGCAGCACGCAACATAGAGATCCTCAATCGCCGAGTGCAATCGACACATTAATATCCAGTAGGCCGCTCGCTGCAGCGAAAGGGAATCACCCTCGCATATATTACATATATAAGATTCGACAAGAATGTCCAAAACATTCACCGCCGCCGACGTGGCCAAATACGACGCCAAATCCGGCAAGGATCTGTACATCATCGTCGACGGCACAGTCTACGACGTGACCAACTTCGTAAACGAGCACCCCGGAGGCGCCAAGATCCTGAAGAGAGTCGCGGGCAAGGATGCGAGTAAGCAGTTTTGGAAGGTAAGATGATCCTCACATACAAAGCGGGCAAAGAAAGAGGGAACACATGAGAGCTAATGGTTTGTGGACAGTATCACAACGAATCAGTCCTGAAAAAGTATGCGCCTAAGCTGAAGATTGGGGAGATTGGTGACAAGGCCAAGCTATAAAATGCATATATTCAGATCTGGGAAATGCAAGAGGAGGCGGCGAGGCGGTCATCAGGCATGGGACTGTAGATTTGAAGAGCACATATCGCGAGGAGTCGATATATATATATTCTGTTACTCAAGAGCATTTGGTGAGAAGTACCCGTTATGACAACATAAAGAATATGGAATCCCATGGCATTCGTAATGGTTCTTCCTTGACCTCGCGACATCGTGTTGTGGACAGACACGATGGCAATGATCAATTGAAACAAATGATCAATCACATCTAAACATTACACATCGCCTTCGAATGGAGACCGTGATACCTCACTTTGTCCTTGGCACAAGAGGTGACCAGGGGATGCCAGCCTTGCGAGCCTTGCGCAATTTGACCCCTGGTCAAGATTGGCGAGGCATGCGAATGACCCTTTCCTCCACCCTCGCTTTGGCCATCTCCATACGCTTTGGAGCTAACTACTCTTCCCACGGGGCATTCGAAGTATCGACTGAAATCAAACTCGGTCATACATGCCCGCGTAGTGCGGGGTCGTAGCACGGGTCGTAGCACAAATGATGCCGAGGAAAACGTTTCGCAGGTGGTAGCGATTCTCCGGCGACGGGCGTGTGGACAGCGACATGCAAAAAATGTCTATCCCATGACCTGGAGCCGAAGCGACCTTCCCCAGTTCCCTCATAATCTCGACGACAGAAATCCAGCACCAACCTACATGCACTCTCTTATCAGTAGAACATATTGAGGCTTGTGCTGCGACGCAACGACTTTTCGGTTTGACCATGGCCTCGTTCGAAGGAAAAGTGGTAGGTCTTACCTCTCATCTCTCGTAGTTCCTTTGCTTCTTGTTTCCACAACCTCGAAGTCGATGACTCTACCCGCAGCAAATGTGGACCATGCTGAACCTTTCAGATCGCAATCACCGGCGGCGCGAGCGGGATCGGGCTGGCAACAGCTAAACTGCTGGCTTCGCGTGGTGCGACTCTCTCGCTTGGCGACACCAACCAAGCCGGTCTGGATGATGCCATCAAGTCTCTCTCTGGTGGCAAACATACCAGCACTGTCATCGACGTCACCAACAGCAAGCAAGTAAACTCGTGGATCGAAAAGACCGTTGCAGACCACGGAAAGCTCGACGGCGCAGCAAATATGGCAGGCATCGTCCTTAAGATCGCTCCAATAAAGGAGGAGACAGACGAAACGTGGGCCAAGATCATGGACGTCAATTCCAGCGGCGTGTTCTACTGTCTGAGAGCACAGCTGAACCACATGAAGGAAGGAGGAAGCATCGTAAGTGCCTTCATAGCCATGTTTTGCAGATCCTGGGCCTGTCCTGCCTGAAGCTGACTTGGTGCGTAATGCCGCTCAGGTTAGCGCATCGAGTGTTGCTGGCCAGTCGGGATTCGCAGGACTGGCAGCATACTGCGCGAGCAAGCATGCAGTCATCGGCTTGACGAGAGTTGCTGCGCGAGAGCACCCGTCAATTCGTGTCAATGCGATTGCGCCAGGTGAGTATTGGCCGAGAATAGTCGTGGTACGTTAACCGACGTGATGATCTAGGAACCATTGCAACGCCGATGGTCAGGGAAATGGAAGGACGATCGGGTCAGCCTCAACCAACTGTACGACAATGTATCGATCGACAGGCGGATCCCAGTGAGGTGGCAAAGGTCATTGCTTTCTTGTTGTCTGACGATGCAAGTTTCGTTACTGGAGCCGTGTACAATGTAGATGGAGGGTGGATGACTTAGGTCCGTCAGGAGACGCGCGTCGTGTCGAAAGCGGGCATTGGAATGCCTTTCTGTCGTATATCATGACTCTACCGCAGTCAGGAAGTGGTCGAATTTCCATCTGTTTGCGTGGCCTCGACTGCTGAATCGTGAGGCTTCGCCTTCTGAGCCTCCTTGTTCTGCACAATTCGCAGGAGATTGCGAAGGAGAACAACAATCGTCACTTTGCCGATTGCCGGCACGTATATTGATGCTCTCTCCTTGACTTCAAGGGGGAAATTCTGCAAACACAGGAGCACATTAGTTGATGTCGGCTGATAAGTGCGGATAGCACCTTCTCGTCTTCGACCATCAGGGCTTACCTTTTCACTTGAGAAATTGATGCACACGGCTCCTTCCTTCAGTAGGTGGACGGGGAATTTGTACGTGTCGCCTGGTACGCCTGAAATGACAACATCACACAAAGGAGCACAATTCTCCACCGTCCAGCCTTCTTTCTCGTGCACCTCGTGTTTGCGTTTACGGATGCCTTCACCTCGCGTAAACTGTTGAACGCCAGTGACATCGACGCTGTACACGGAGGCGCCGTCGTTGGCCAAGAGTGCCGCCAGTGGCCGGCCAACAACCTCAGACCGGTTGACCACGCAGATGGTGCGACCAAATAGCCGATTTCCGTACGGCAAAATGGGGTTGTATATGTGCAGATACTCGAGGATCTTGATGACCGCGAGTGGTGTGCAAGGGAGAATAGATTTCATGACTTGTTCATCGTCCAAGAAACGAATGTTCTGGTACATGTTGAAGATGTACTGATGACTCAAACCCTCAACATCCTTGGAGACATCCACAATCTGCTGCAAGTACTGATCTTGACGATTGTGGAAGATGGGATAGTACACCATGATGCCGTCAACCGAAGCATCGTTGTTGCCGGCTATGATGGTCTCCTCCGCGTCGTCTTTCTCGGCCACTTTCAAGGTGTAATCAAAACCACTGTGCAATTCACCTCATGTCAGATGTTGGTCACCCGAAGGGACACTTAGCTTGGTCTGGCGGGATCTCCAGGCTTACTTTTCCTTACATGTCCTCTCCGTCCAGTCAGCATATACCTTCGAAGCCGGATCGGCATTGGCCAGTATCCCGAGTAAATGCGGTTTGCGACCCAGTTTGCTCAGGCCTGTTTGGACCTCGCTGAGGACGCCTTTCGCAATGTTGGCGGCCAAAATGACCTTGCAAGGGGTGGCGGAGTCCTTAGACATGTTTTCGTCTCTACTATGACGAGGCTCTCGGTATCATGATGGAAAGTAATTCTACTTTGCGAAAATAGACGAAGACAAAACTTTTTGAGGCAGATCCACGTGGTGGCTTGGCGAGGCTGAATTTTCGCAGCCTTGCGGAGATGCCATCTACCAGGTATTGGGCTGCATGCGGTCCAACAAGTGACCAAAATTCATATCGCCAGATTTATTATGTGGACTATATCTTACTTTGGGCCTTGCCTTCGCCTCTCGGAACCTTGCGCTCAACACCCAGTGATTCCAGATCCTTTTTCTTATAGTAATGCGGAGCCACCTCAATCAGCCACTCTGGTTTCAGGGGCATGCAGCTCCTCATATACTCCTTGCTGGTCAGGACCAATTCATGATAGATGGTCCATTTAGGCTGGCTCTCGATGAGGACGCTGGAAGGATGCACATAGACAACCTGGCCATTTTTGACGGTCCGATAACTCTGCCCATCACGCTGTAATCTGGCGGAATGCGGGAAGAAGCCGGCCGTGATAGCCTTCTGAACTGGCTCAATGTTTGTTGAACCGCCACAGCTTTTGCCAGCGTCCACCTCAACTCTGTCACAGAGTCTAGCCAACTGATCTCGAACATCTCGCGCCCTTGTCAAGCTCCTTTGCTGCAGGAAATTCTCTCTAGCCCACACGAAGCTGTAATCGGAGTCGGCCCATTCTTGAAAGACGTTCAGTAACGACAGATGGTCGCCACCGTCTTTGTTGGTGAATCTTGCTCTAGCGCTGTCGGCATGGATCTTCTTGTCTTTTGGTCGAAAGAACAGAGCAGATGCTTCGCCCAGCATGGCAATGATGGACAATATCTCTTCGACGCAGCCATATTTGTCCGCGGCCAGGATTGCCCGCGCAAGCATAGGGTCAGTGGGGAATTCAGCCATCTGGCGACCAACTTTCGTCAACTCGCCTGCGTTGTTGAGCGCGCCGAGGGCATATAGCTGTTCGACTGCACGAACAAGCGTGTCTGTCGAAGGTGGATCCATGAAATCAAAATCGAGAAGGTCATTGATTCCCAAACTTTTCAGCAGGAGTACAACGCCGGTCAGATTCGTCCGCTGAATCTCTGGTGTAGTGTTTTCGTCGAGTTCGTTCTTGTACGCCTGAGCCGTGTAGAGCCGGAAACATTTGCCGGGCCCGACACGACCAGCTCGACCAGCACGTTGGCCTGCTGAAGCACGGCTGCACGGCACGACAACCAACGACTCCATCCCCGTACGTGGATTATACTGGTTCTCTTTGACGAATCCAGGGTCAATGACATACACAATTCCATCGATGGTTAGAGACGTCTCCGCAATGTTGGTAGCAAGGACAACCTTTCTCGCCCCAGCTGGAGTAGGCTCAAAGATCTTCGCTTGCAAGTCCGTCGGCAAATTTGCATAAATCGGACATATGATCATTTCTTTGATCTTGCTACCCAGCTTGCGACCCGTTTCCTGTAAACTGGCTTCCATGGCTTCAATTTCTTCTTGTCCAGTAAGAAACACCAATATGTCGCCAGCGCCTTGCGTGATATGAATCTGGAAGACGGTGGTGATAGCGGCTGCCAGGTAATTGGCTTCAGGTTGTGCCGTATAGTGGACATCCACTGCGTACCTTCGACCAGGAATGTTGAAGATGGGCGCATCATCGAAATATTTCTGAAACTTCCTGGCGTCCATAGTAGCGGAAGAAATAAGTAGTTTCAAGTCAGGTCTTGCACGGGCAATATCTTTCAGCAGGCCACAGGCGATGTCCGTACTAACAGTCCTTTCGTGAGCTTCGTCAATCATAAGTGCCGAGTATTGTGATAGTTCCGGGTCGGTGAGAAGCTCTCGCAACAACATACCATCTGTCATATACTTCAAGACAGTCTTCTCGCTTGTGTTGTCCTCAAACCGAATAGCATACCCGACTTCGTTGCCCAGTCGTTTGCCCATCTCTTCTGCCACTCTTGCCGCAACGGACATGGCAGCCACTCTTCGAGGCTGAGTACATCCAATTTTCATTCCATCCTTGGTAAAGCCAGCTTCGTGGAGGTATTGCGGGATTTGGGTCGTTTTCCCACTGCCAGTCTCACCGACAATGATCAACACCTGGTGATCCCTGGTTGCTTGAATGATTTCGTCTCGGAATTGGTAGATGGGCAAACTCTTCCTCGTCTCGTCAATACTTTTGGCTTTGGCTTCGGCAGCGCTCAACCTTTGAGCCATCTCGCGCTGTTCTCTTGTCATGCCCTTGCCCACGTCTCCGCCGAGTGTCTCTGACATGACAAACTTCATTTGCTGGCTTTCATCGAATACATAGCCATAGTCTCCCTCGTCCACAAACTCCGTCTTTTTGATCTGCGCCTCAGCTCGCTTGGTCTGCTCCTTTTCCCACTCTTCATGTTCGGTAACGAAGCGCTCTCTTCCGCTCTCATCTCGGTCGACGTAGCGCTGGTAAAGAGCTTGTTCTTTCTTGCGCCTGTCAATCTTACCTTTCTCCGTGATGTAGTCTTCTGGCAATGCATAGCCATCTAGATGGTCATCAATGCTCAACCGTTCTTCGGCGATGCGTAAAATCTCCTTGTTTCGTGCAAATTCCTCTCTCTCTTTTCGTGACAAATCCGGATTTTCTCTCAACTCTGCCTGCTCTTCAGCAACCTGTTTCCGTAACAGGGCCAGTCGCTCTGTCTCTCGCTTTTTGAGGTAGTCTTGTCTTGAGCGTTCTCTCAAATCCGGCATCACAGCCGATCGTGCCGCAGCATCGTCAGCCAATGCCCTCCGCTGAGCTGCTACACTATCCTTGGGTGCGGAACGGTCTTCCAGAATCTTATTGGATCGGTCCCTCTCTCGCTGAGCCAGTCTCTCTGCAAATTCGTCCCTTTCCTTCAGATCCTGGTCTCTATCTTTTCGTGCCTTCTCTTCGGGTGTGTCGGTGGGCGGAGTCGCTTCTCTTCGGTGAGAGGCTGAACCGTCAGAGAGTTTCACCCGCTTGGAGGAGGATTCCGGAAAGTCTGCCTGGTCGGCCGTCTCTTCATCTTCCACAAACTCCTCGTCACCCCAGCGGTCCTCGAAGTCGTCATCGTCGCGACGTCTTCGATGTGCAGTGTTCCGCTTATGAGACTTGCTTTGGCGTTCGCTAGACGGCTGTTCCGACATGCCGACTACACGAATTGAGAGTTCAGATTGAGGTTTCACCTGACACGATTATGGGCTTGATCCGACAGGCTTTGAAGGAAGGGCCGCGCTCTTTGGCTGCGAGACGCCAGGCCGGAGGTTTATGGGTTTCGGAAGCGCTGGTCGCACCAAGTCAATAGTCAGAGAGGCCACGGGAGGCTGAGTACTAGATTTCAGCACTTCGCACGCTCATGAATCCGTCTTGTTGAATACAATTCGTGAGGCTGCGGAGTCGAAGAAATTCTCCGCAAGCAAGGATTACATAAGCCGTAGTCAATACCTGGCGAGTTTCATGCCAATACATTATCTCAAGAACCACGTGAGAAGAATCAGGACACATTTCATGGCATGCAGACTCCCTGGATGCTCTTTGAAGGATTTACTGGTTTGATAAGTGATGCATTTCATCCAACGGCAGCCAACACCGAATGCGATCTTGACCTTTGACACATTATGCAGAAAACAGCGCCAAACATCATGATCCTGCGATATGCTTTGCACTATCCTGCTTCAACGAATATCCAAATGAAACCGGTGAAGCCATAAATTCTGTAAGTTGGGAAGTCCCTTGTTCTAGGGCCTCTTCCTCAAAACCCTCTTTCCAGCCGCCGGCTCAGCGACCACAACCTTCTTGTTGGCAGTGGTAGCATTCCTCTTCAATGCTGTCTTGGCTGCACTCGCTGCCTTAGCCACACCTCTTTTCGCCGTAGCACCAGGGCTTTTGGGGTCAGTCGTTTTAGTAGTAGCTGGCCTGCCACGCTTGGCCTTGACCAAGGTTGTGCTGCTTGATGCCGTGGACACGTCCGTTGAGACACTGTGCGTGCTGTTTTGACTTATCGTGCGCTGCGGCGAGGAAGAGGCGCCGAAAGGTGGTCGAGGTGGTGGAAGCATCTGGCCACGGTTTGTCGCAGGCTTTTCCTTCGATGCGGTACGAGTCATTTTCGCCGTGGTGCTGCGCTTTGCATGCTCAAACATGCCGTGCATGGAGGCCGAGATGGCAGAAGTGGCGGCCGTTGCGGCTGTCTTGAATGGAGAGGCAGGCTTCAAAGGTGACGTTGGACGGGCAATCATGCTCTTTGCTGGTGAAGAAGGGGCTATTGGGTAATCCTTAATTGGGGAACGTGGAAGTGTCCTGGAGTTGTGAGAGCGTGGGGATAGGACGGATGATTGTTTCGTGGGTCCAGATGTCGTGGCCGCTGTTTTGGCGCGTTTGTTGTTCTTCGCGACGGGAAGGGTGTCTGGTACTCCTGTAGCGTCATTCTCCTTGTCTGAGGCTATGTGAATTTCCGAGCTCTTGCGCTTCTTGCCACGCGCAGCTGCGGACTGAGGTTGAGGACGTGCCGGTGAATGAGTTTTAGAGGCTTCCTGAGGTGGTAAGGCTGGTAGAGCTCTTTCCTTCGATGCCACTATCTGGGCTTGCGTTTGCCTGGTCGGTTTTGACTGTGTTTTCGATTGTGCTTGTTTGGGGACATCATGTTTTTCCATCAACTCTCCCATGGTCATCTTGCGGATTGCGAGCGGTATGCGATTAACACGTCGTTCTATTCTTGCTCGAAGGTCGGCGCATTGAAGAGCGTACCCGGCTCGCAGCTGGCGCGCTCGTTCCGTAACTGGAGTCTGTCAGTCACTGTCAACAGGGAGGTCATCCTTGATGCTTACTTTCTAGTTGTAAGTTGTCCATCAACGCCTGTTTCTGAGCTTCTGTGATCCTCATCTTCTTGCTTGCAGGGCTGCCAGTTGGCGTGACTGCGAAGGTAGATTCCTCCATTTGGTCGGATTTCCGCTTGCGCGTGTTTGTGGATGACATGTTGTGTGTGACCAGTGTGAACGATAATTGGGGCGCGTAGGGGCGTCAAGGTGTATTGCTACCAGAGTTTGGCGAGATTAATTTCTGGTTGATTGTAATGCATGGAATAGACATTCGATGTCGGGGCTCTACCAAGTAAGGATAGGTAAACAAATAAAGGAGGCTTAGTGGCTTGGCGGCACAAATACTGTATATACCTAGGTACCCCTCCGGGCTGCGGAAGGGTATGACCATTCGTCAAGCTTTCAATCTACCATGATACTATCAGTATGACCTATAATATGCGTACCCTGAGGTCAAAGTTTTTGTTCTTTGGAACAGTGTGCATTGACCATAGAGCTATCTCGGGCCAATAATGCGATATATCCCAGGCTCAATTGTTCTTTACTTTGGATTGGGCTTGTAGCATTTTGCCAAACGGAAACATGGAGACTATGAGCATGTCCTACCCGAGTTCAATCAGCAAATCACTCTCTCTTCGAAAGCGAAGGGAAGGTATACTCACCATCATCCAGTCTGGCAACAGCCACGCAGCGATGCGAGCACCCGCTGCACCTCCACCCACCCAGTATTTTCCTGTGGTGCCTTTTTCGACTTGACGGACGACCTTGTCACCGAACTCCTTGGCTGTGATGCCATCCTTTTGCATTCTGCCATCCAATTGTTCTACAATCCAATCTCTGATTCCGTAGTAGTACGAGGTCTTGGGTATGATCGGCGGCTTTACGTTGCTGAAGGCATTCGACTTCACCCCGGCTGTCACAAGGGTCAGGGTGCGAACCCCGAGAGGCGCCAGCTCTAGACGCCATGTTTCGCTTCCGAGAATTGCAGCGGCCTTGGAGCTGTTGTAGATGGACCCAAAAGCCCCAAACGGAACCAATCCGCTCACAGATGTGTTGTTCACCACATAACCTTTTGCTTTGATCAGGAGCGGAGCAAAAGCCTGGACCATAGCGAGGACAGCCCAGTAGTTGGTGTCAAAATGTCTCTTGCCCTCCTCTATCGACACATCCAAAGCTGGCATGACCATGAGTGTGCCGCTGTTGTTAACAAGGACATCAAGCTTGCCGCCTGTTACTCTCGTAACGCTCTCAACAGCCGCAGCGATCGACTCGGGCGACAGCACGTCAAGAGCTAAGCTTGTGACATTGGGTGCTTTGGCGAGGGATGGTGAGATCTTTGAAGGTGTACGCGCTGTGGCGAAGACATGATATCCCGCTTCATGGAAGGCATCGGCCAGCCCACCACCAATACCACCTGCAGAGCAACCGGTTATAAGGACCGACTTGAGTCGTGAAGCCATTCGAAGGATTCAGGTGAGCAAATGATGCGGCCGTCTTTTGTATGGTTCGAAACCCTGAATAGCTACTGTTCTTGTTCTGACCGCCATGTGAACATTGGGAGTCATACCGCCTCTTATACCTGGAAAGTCGCAGCATGAAAAGAGGGTCGCCTATCCGTTCCGTTGGAGGTAGGAAGCCATGCAAGCAGCCTCGCACTCGGACCATGTAGGTGGGTTGAATGCTTCGATAACCAGCGGCTATGCCTGAAATGGCAAACAATATTCAGCTTGGCACGCTTGATACGGCTCCAGATGATCTCGCATCTCCATGTCGCGTCTCAATCAACTCCGTACATGGCACTAAGACGGAGGGGATCAGAAGCTTCGCCCGGCCATGTAGGCTATCTGAATTTGCCTTACTTGTTATGGCAAACAATCTAGTACACGACGAGGAGGGGAGGGATGTCTTTGATTCCGTGTGATCATGACTCTTTTTCTCGGCCACTTATCAACAGCCCCAGACCGAATGATAGACGGCGACGTATGGGGATAGTCCCAGTCTTGTAGATCTTAGGAGTAGCAACCGACTTCAGCATCATTCAGATCACTTGCACTGGAACACGTAAACACTCAGAACATGAGCTAATGCCGCCGCTTTTGAGGGAGATCTGGGGTGAGTACAAAGCGGCATCACCAATGGTCTTGGCATCGGATTCACGTAACGACGTACTCCCTCACATTGAGCCATCACCGCAGCAGAAGCAATTCTTGTTCATAACAGGCTTTTCACTCTTTCAAGGGGAGAAGATAGATGCATGCATTGTGTTCGTCACCACTACCACCCTGCTAATCTGAGCACATTGTTGTCTCGTGTGTCATTGCGTGTTCTCCATACTGTCCGGGTCCCATCAACTGCAGCATCGCCGCCATTGCGGCAGAGACATAACCTACTCTCCACAAAGACTCCATTTGCCAGGCATACCAGCAACATGGCGATCACCATTAACCACCCACGGGATCCCAACACTCTATCAAACTACAACAATTGGCGGACAATTCATACTTCCACGACCCTTGACATCCTGTTCGACGAGCAGAAGCTGAAAGGCATTGTGGCACACAGCTTAAAAGCTATCACCGACGGAGAAAGCGACGAAATCCTCCTCGACTCAAGCCATGTACTTATCAAGAGCGTCATCGTCGACGGCAAGCCGGCACATTGGGAGACTCTCAAACGTCTCGAACCATACGGCAGTGCACTGAAGATCAAGCTCGACCGGAAACCGAAACTGGACGAAACGATTGACGTCGAGATTGACCTAGAGACCACGGAGTCATGCACAGCCCTACAATGGCTGACTCCAGCCCAAACCTCCAATAAAAAGCATCCATACATGTTCTCTCAATGCGAGGCAATTCATGCGCGATCAATCTTCCCATGTCAAGACACACCCGACGTGAAAGCAACATTTGACTTCGCCATCAAGTCACCCCTTCCCGTCATCACATCCGGAATCGGTGCCAAAGACAATCCAACGTCCCCTACTTCCAACGGTAGCTCTCAACTCTATAAATTCCACCAAAAGGTCCCAATCCCATCATACCTCTTCGCCATTGCCAGCGGAGACATCGCGACCGCCAAAATTGGCGCCCACAGTGTAGTCGCCACGGGACCCGACGAGCTGTCCGACTGCAAATGGGAACTCGAAGACAGCACCGACAAGTTCATCAAAGCCGCCGAATCACTAGTTTACCCCTACGCCTGGGGCGAGTACAACGTCCTCGTCCTCCCCGCATCTTTCCCCTACGGCGGCATGGAGAATCCAATCTACACATTCGCCACTCCCACAATCATATCCGGCGACCGCGAGAACGTCGACGTCATCGCGCACGAACTCAGCCACTCATGGTCAGGCAATCTCGTGTCCAACGCGTCGTGGGAACACTTCTGGCTCAACGAAGGCTGGACAACATATCTCGAACGGCGCATCCAGGCCATCGTCCACGGCGGCGACCAGTGGCGCGACTTTTCCGCGATCATAGGCTGGCAGGCCCTGACCGAGTCGATCAAAGGTTTTGGCGAGGAACACGAATTCACAAAACTAGTCATCGACCTCAAGGGCAAAGACCCCGACGACGCATTCTCCAGCATCCCCTACGAAAAGGGGTTCAATTTTCTGTACCACATCGAGAAACTCATCAGCAAAGCCGAGTTCGACAAGTTCATCCCGCACTACTTCGAGACATGGCGCGGCAAAAGTCTGGACAGCTACGACTTCAAGGCCACGTTGCTAGACTTCTTCAAGTCTGACAAGTCTGTATCCGCCAAACTCGCAAAGATAGATTGGGACACCTGGTTCTACAAACCCGGCTTTCCGCCGCGTCCGGACTTCGACACGAGTCTGGTAGACGTCGCGTACAAACTTGCCGACCGGTGGGAGTCATTCACGTCAGACCCCAACGCTGATTTTGCGCCCAGCAAATCCGACATTTCTGGGTGGACAGCAAATCAGCTCGTCGTGTTCCTCGAGCGGGTCATGACATTCAAGAAGCCTTTACCAGCAGACCAGGCAGGCCGTATGGGAGACGTTTACTCTCTCAAGCAGACGAAGAATGTCGAGGTCTCGGCGCGGTACTACCAGATTGCCATGGCGAGTAAAGACGACTCGATCAAGAGCCTTGTCGCCGAGATATTGGGACAGGTTGGAAGGATGAAGTTCGTGAGGCCATTGTACAGGGGTCTGATCAAGTTGGATTACGAGCTTGCGGTGGACACATTTGAAAAGAACAAGGACTTTTACCATCCTATTTGTCGGGGGATGGTGGCGAAGGAATTGTTCGGGGATAAGCAGCGCAAGCAGTAGCCACAGGCGCAGCCGCAGCCGCAGCCAAGGAGTTAGAAGTTGGCGATGACAGACAAAATAGAATACCATATACGTGATGTGCAAAGGATTCATGATAATGTACAAGACCCCTCATAGAGGGTTGGTGCCGTATTGCTCCGCTAGAGAATGCTAGTATGCTGGATATAGCCATGAGAAGGAACCAACCCGCTCCGTTAGAAAATGCATATCCCGACCAGAAATACTAGTAGTAATGCCTTTCCAAGACCTAACGCCCCCCCCGCTAATAGTCGACAAAACGCTATGTATAGAGACAAACAGATGGTCAAATTAAAGCCCATCACTCACTACTCCTACTCCGCAACCGTTCCATCAAGATCCGCAAAACCTCGTCTTCCCAATCACTTGCCTCGAACCAATCAGGTAGGGTGATCGAGTCTTTGGTGATAACAATCCTCTCATCCTGTCCCTGTCCGACCTCGCCTGATAAATGCTCTTGAGTATTGGAATGCGGCACTCGACTCCCAGCCGAGTACGACGTCGTCCTGGCCATCGACAACCCGGACATCGACGACCTGGAAACACCAGTCTCCACTTTCCTGAGATCGCCGACATGCGAACCAGCCTCTGTATCAGCATCGGACATGCCCTCGCTGGGAGGTCCACTTGAAGTCCCCTTCTCAGCATCCTGATCCTTTCTGGTCAGTTTCTCCTGCCGTCTCTCCTCCCTCAGCGCTTTAAGGTCGACAGGAGTCCACCAGTACACCGGGAACCGGCGGCCAGCAGCGTTGTTCAAAACCAGTGCGCTGGCCAGCATCAGCGACGCCGCCAACAAGACTAGGGGAAGAAGCCACCAGCCCAAAACTTGGATGTCGGCATTCGTTGCGGCGAGTAATGCCGTAGCACCCGCTGGCGGATGCACAGTCTTCGTAAAGCTCATGAGCATGCTGGCGACGCCGACGGCCAAAGCGCCGGCCAGCCATCGCAGATCATCGAATCGAGTGGGCGGCAAGTGTTCAAAGAGCTTGGTGATGCCGACGGCAACGGTAGCGGAGAGAAAATGCCCGAATATCAGATTGCGGGGCTGAGACAGAGGAGACTCGATGGTGTTGTACTCTAAGATGGCAGCGGCGCCGAAGGACGCGACGATAATGGGGACGGCGTGGCCTGATAGGGGTGGAAGAGCGAGAAAGACGTTCTCAATGATGGCTAGCCCACAGAAGGCGCCGATCATTACTGATGCGTAAAGTGTCAAGGTGTGCAGCGCGTAACGGTGTGTCGACTGTTTTGGCGCTGAGTTTGTTGCGCGATAGCCGAACCAGTATGACATCCATGTTGGGAGGAGGTATAATGGGTTTCGCGGTATGAAAGGGTTGAGGTACTCGTCAATATCGAACGGTGCTTTGACTTTGGGAGATGGAAGTTGTTTTGAGTGCTGATCTGGTATGGATTGCGACATGGCGAGGATGTGTAGGGTGGGAGATGACGAGGCTGTGCTGAATGCAACCACCTCTGGATGAACGGATGGACTGGTACAGCAGGGGATGTATGGGAAACCTACCCTTTACATACGAGCGATCCGTGCCGCAAGCGAGTGGCAGGACCCAGGATACATAAAGACCTGACACAAGGGGGCAAAGGCACGACGACGCCTTTGCAATTGATGCCGTAATGAGGTCCGGATACATGGCAAGCAAACCGCAACATCTCCGCTGGAAGACAGTTTTGCCATAGAAAAAGCCACGGCTGAAAAGCAGCAAGAACTTCGAAGCAAAGCACGCAAGATGCCACTTACCTCCCATGAGGAAAACATCATCCCAGGTGACGGGGTGTGTTACATGAGAGAAATGCAGTGAGTGGCTGACATAGCAATAATTGTAGTCATGGGAATGTTTTGAGTCCCTGGCCCCGTGAGAGCCGCGTGCCGCTATAAGCGTAGACTGGGGGGGCGATCTGAAAATTCTGGGGGAGGGGCCTCTGTCTCTGTAACCTCTTGATCGCACTAACTTACAAACTTAGTCACACGGGGGTTACCTGGCCAGGGGTGACGTCGAGCCCGAGATTTGGCCAAAGCAGCGCCAGATCAGACCAGATCGAAAAGGCTTGATGTCTTAATTTGGACATGAAAACGGAAGAGCGTTCCTTGACTCCTCCGGCGCTGTCGGAAACTCTGGTAAAAGGTTTTGTTTCTTCGATGAAAGTAAAGTGGCTCAATCGTTGTTTGTCAGCGCCCGGACAATGTCCGAGACTTACTTCTGGGTCATGTTGGTCGCCTCTCATGGTCACGATTATTCAGCGACAAGGCTAGATGTTGATAGGTGAGTACATGACCCAGGTTGAAGAAGAGAATTGACGTAGAGATGAATGGGAAGCAAGTAAAGGACATGGTGATGAAGGAAGAGGCAGCAAAAGCGAAGAGAGAAATTGCTTGAGGTGAAAAAAGTCACGTGGACAGCCTTTTTATTGTCTTACTGTATCTATGCTGACGTCATTTGCTAACGCCTTCTTTTATTGACGCTTTGTGACGCTCTATCAAGTTCATATCCAGCCGACCCATTCGTGGTGCGACCATTGTGTTCACTTATTGCCCATCGATTGGCTCAAGTACGATATTGGTACTCCTGCTCTCAACCCGACTTCACGCGAGCAATCTCACTTCTGACAGGAATGTTGTGCTCGGGATGAGGATCAGGGAAGCCCTCAACCTGCACTCCCTTTCTGAACATCAGGCAATGAGTCGATCCACCAAAGTGGAACATGCCGATCTGATCACCCTTCTTAACATGTTCGCCTTCCTTGACCGTGATGTCGCAAGTCGAGACTTCACACATGCCGACGCCCAAGAAAGCCATCAGTCCAATCGCCGGGTTGTCAGCTTGAAAGTATATGATCGCTCTGGTCGCTGTAGCCGTCAAGTACCCCTGGCTAGTAGTCTGTCCCTGAGGATCCGCCGCATGATCTTCTGTAAAGTCCGCGAATTGAGGTTCCGAGTAGTATGTGCCGTCCACCACGTGAGCCTTGACCACTTTTCCAGACACGGGCGCGTGCCAGCGGTGATAACTCAACGCACTCAGGAAAGCCTGGTACACGGTGCCCCCAACGAACTGGTCCGAAAGTGGATCTTGAGCCAACATGTCGTAGACCGAGTATGGTTGTCCCTTTAGCCAGAACTTGTCTCGAAACTTGACGTCACGGGCAACGTTGTACGTCTTGGACTCGCAGGCATTGGCAATCACGTTGTCGTCGTCAGGGCTAGCAACTGGTCGGGCTTCCTCACGGAAAAGACGTGTGAAGAAGTGATCCCACGACTTGTATCCCATGCGTGGCGCAGACGGGTCGCACTGGAACAGCTCCTCGAACTTCTTATTGGTTTTGCCAATGTTTGCCGTGTATTGCAGTTCGTCGTGGCCGTGCTCGCTAAACCAGCTGACCTTGGAGTCCTCGTCGAGCACGTAAGCCGAATGTTCTGACTTGAGGAAGTCGCCCCAGGCATTCAGGACCTTTTTGAGCATTTTATTCACATCGGGATCGAGAAAAACGGCAAAGCCACTCTTAGTGCCCATGGGCCAGTCGAACAATGCGTTGAATGGGAGTCCCACCAAGCCGACTCGCTCGGACTTGTCGTTCCAGGACGGTGCGGTGGTGAGGATGTGGTTGATGACTTGCAGCATGTGAATGTGGTCACGGACAGTAGGATGGCCCTTTCCCTGAGGATCATTACTGTATGGCTGCTTTCCGGGGATCTGCTCGAACATGGACGAAAACAGAAGCCATATTCTGGTGTTGTTTTCGATGAGGTCCTTGAATTCTTCGACTACAAGATGTAGCTTCTTGGGATTTTTGTCGACATGGTCAATGACTCCTCCAAGCCAATCTTGGTGAGCTCGGTGGTCATGAGGCAGCCACTCTCCCGTTCTGTCAGATACCTTTGTCAGTTTAATGTGACATGCGAAGTTGACATCACCGGGTATTTACCTGTGGATGTGGTGCTCGTCAGGGATGTTCTTCTCGTGCAACATGGTGAGGATAGTGTGATGAGAGGATGAAGGATTCTTCTTGATGGATTGAAGTGATTGTGAATATGAAAGAATGAGGAAAAGCAATTATGTATTTGTGTAATCGTCACTTCTTCCCTTTGAAGTTTGATATTGAAGTTGAGCCGCGAATCAGAAATGTTTCCATCCATGGAACCTCGAACGATGCCGATGCCTACGTCACAAGTTTCATTTCGCCGTCATCCCGGATTTCAAAACGACAACAACGTTCCTCAAGACAAGGCAGTGGCAAGGATATGCAAAGGGACTCGTATGCCTCATGGGTGTTGCTGGGATCTTATTATCTCGCCTTGTTTTGAGAAATGGCAATCGAAGATATGTACGAACTATCAATGGAGACTGTTGTTTCGTATTGCTGATCTTTCCGCTAAATTAACCATTAAGATCAAGATACGTCGCAGATATTCACTTGACCACTTCTCCAAATGTTCCCAAATATTGCCAAAGCCCTGTCATCTACTTGTTTGTGATACTTTTGTCACCCCAGAACGCCAGCAGCATGTTTCATCAGTTCCAATTCTGCCAAACACATTCGCAACCGCCAGTGCCTCCATCAATCCCTCCAGCTGCCGGATCAAAGCCACTGTTGGCAGTATTGAAGGATCCATTTACCAGGGCAGGTGCCGGATTGATCAACTGCCCATCAACGCCTCGAAGCTCGGGCACAATACTCCTCACATCATCCTGGACCACCTGCAAATCGTCGACCCCGTAACAATAGACAGCCTTCTTGTTAATGTTTCCACCATGACGATCCAGGCTGATCGTCGTAGGATATGGAAACGAACCCGGGCGATTGAAATCAGTTGCTGAGCTGTTGGTGGCCTTGGTCTTGTTGGTCACTGAGATGGGACTGAGCAGGTTTGCCCCGAATGCCGCATTCGTCCACATTCTGACCAAAAATCTGGTCTGGCTGAAAGTACATCGCAGCTTGGCCTGATCTCTGGTTGAGCCGCCATTCTCATCATCTGGAACCACTCCATCATTGTCTGCGAACTCCGAGGTATTGACTGGCGCCGTGGTTTCTAGAAAAATGGCCTTGTCATAGTACATGTAGAATCCATAGTGTTCTTCCGCTTGCCCTCTGTTATACAATTGAATAGGCTGAGATGTGGGATATGGCGACGTCGGGAGCAAGTTCGCCGGAGCCGCACTTCCGTCGCTCAGAACATCAGGTGCAGGGATATCGTCTGAGCTGTTCGTGGCTTGTCGGACAGCGAGTCTTGATACGCTGGCACTGCTGTTGGTGATATCTGAGGGATCAACAGGAAACACCGGAATGAAAGTCATGAAGAAAGGTGTTTCTTCCCCTTGGAAAGGCTGTGTGATGTTGTCCGTGGTATTCCCCATGAAGATCTGGTCTGCCCGACTAGGTGGAGCAGGGTTTGGCGTGAACAGGTCCTCTGTGAAGGGATCATCTGCTCGGGCTTTCAGCTTGCCTGATTTCTGCGACACATTGTCGACTGGTATCGTCATGTTGGCCGGCACTGTGCCATTCTCAAAAGTAATCTCGAAGCGAAAATTGGGCTGATCCGGGTTGTTCGGAGCTATCTCAGCCTGATCTTCTTTAGGCAGTGCGCAAGACCACATAGTTGTCGGAGCCACGCAGTCAGGCTGCTCTTTGACAGCGTCCGGCATGGCAATAGTCGAAATTCCGGTTGGTATAGGGGGATACCCAGTCAGATTGAGCCACTGACTCTGCACGGGTGTCCCATCTCCTTTACGTGTGAGTAAAGTGGCCAACAGGATGGATCCAATAACGATCAGGAACAGGAAAATGCCAATAATGAGCGTCCATCGGCGTTTCTTGGGCTTGGCTTCCTCATTATTTTTCCGTTTCATCTTGTCCCACATAGACTTAAGCCTGGAAATGATGCCTGGCTTCTTAGCAGCATCAGCAGTGTGGGCATTTGGTGGTTCAGTATCTGAAGCAGACACCTGAACCGCTCCCTTGGTCTTAGAGGTCATCGCAGGTTGTGAGTCCATCAATTCCCTTCTGGTCTCGAAATATATCGGTCCCGTCGCAGTTGGGTTTCTCTGCGCGTAGGTAGTGTGATGGTGGATTGTGACTGATGAGGGTTCCGTTTGGGACCATGTTTGGTTTTCATCACCTACCTCTGTTTGCTCCACAGAACGGACGTGACTGTGAGGGCGATCGATCTCCGCCATGGGAACGGCGCCTTGCGATGTCAATGTCTGCTGCATTGCTGGGGAGACCGGACCTGGTGATAGAAGTGCAGGCTGAACAAGGCGTTTTGGCACAACTGCAGAAGTCTCTCGATTTTGCAGAAGCTGCTGCGTAGTATCGGGTGCTGGCGACAAGTCTGCTCCTGGGATCGGAATCGTCTCATTTTCTGCATCTGTCGACTCGAGTTCGACCTCGCGTGAGCCTCCATCACCGGTCTTGGGGGTATCGACTGTCGTCGCCTTCAGCACTGCTGCTGTGTCGGCTTCTCGAACCATAGGCGATAGCTCGGCTTCAGGATAGCTCGTTACACCACTCATGCTTCTTCCCTCCACTGATGCATTCGGGATTGCGCCAATGGCAGGGCGGGTCAAATTTCCTGTCTCAGCGCAACGCTCTACTACGGTTTCAGGCTCGAAGATCGAATGAAACTGAGGCAGCTTTTCCACGCAAGAATGATTTTGGCACTCAAAGTACTGGACGCCACTCAGAAGTTCCACAGCACAAGCATGATAATATTCCGTCGCGAGGCCATTGCCGATATTGTCAGCGAGGTCGATAGGTTGGGCTTCTTCGGCGCCTGGCGACAAAGCTTTTCCATTTCCAAGGTCAGAAGTAGAGTCATCAAGTTGCCTTTCCTGTGATTTTACTGCTCGCTGCTTTTCCCAGGAAGTCCATCGAGACCATATACTGGCTCTCGCGCTGGCCAAACCAAGCCGTCTGGGAGTCTCGGGAGATTCTGCAGACACCGAGGAGATGGATTTACGTTTCTCCCACGCACCAAGATCCGGCATAGGAGGTAACGGCGGCGTTTCAATAATTCTGATTTTGTCGTTCTCTGTGATGGTTCCCTTTCTCGAGAGCATTGGGGACAACATCAGGTTCCACCAGCCTTGCGACTTGTGTCGAGCCTTATCCTCCTCCGAAGGCAGGATACGTTCCTGGCTTTCTGATGAGATTCTCTCCGGACTGTCGCATGACTCAGAATACTTCTCGTCTTCAAAGGTTGGATCGTCCATGTCCCAATGGTTGGGTTCTGCACTTGGTCTAGTAGTCCTTGCGCCTGGAGCGTACCCAGGCTCACTTGGAGGAAGCTTCGGCACTGGTGGGGGACTCTCCACTCTGGCCAATTGATCGTCGCGAGGATGCGCAGAATACAGGCTAGAAGCTGGTCGAGCTTTGCGTAGGAATGGAGGTTTCCAGGAGTCTATCTCTTCAGCTGGGGTGATTACAATAACTGGAGTTTGTGGAGTTTGTGCTGAGACATTACTGTCGACGGCACCTCTTGAACGGTGGGCTTCTGCTTCGCTCGAGGGGACACTGAGTCCAATGACTATGGATCGAGCATCAGGCGAGTGGCCACTCGCTCCATCGACAGTATTCGGATTGCGATTGCCCTGGTTTCGGCTTGACGAAGGTATCTGTATCGGCTGGAGGGCTTGATTGTTCTTTGCTGATATAGTAGCTGCCTTACGAGCTGCCTGCAGCTTTGTGAGCCTTGCCACTGCTTCCCACCCCTGCCTTCTTTGTGATGCAGGCAGCTTTTGCGCGCCGTTAACGACCTCTTCAGAGTTTTGTGGCTTCCCTGCGGTCGGATCCATAGCCTGTTGAATTGCCAGATCCATCATTGATTGGTTGACATGTTCAGCTTTTGCTGATACCACAGAAGCAGCAGTCCTACGGCCCAGCTGCGGTTTCTGAGACTGCACCTCATCAACCACAAGCCCTTCCGACCGCGGTGTTCTGTGCTCATTTGGAAAATTTGTGACAATGTTGAGTCCTGGACTTTTCCGTTGAGCGATCTTGCGTACCCGACTGGTCGGCAGTAATGAGCGCTTCTGCCCTGGGTTCATGCTTTGGCTCCAGGATGTGTTCTGGCTGTACCTTTCCAGATGGAACTCATCTTGTCCACTTGACGACCCGTCGTCATCATCGGAAAGGTTCGATGTAAAGGTGTTCGAGGTCAAGAACAGATTGTTCAAGGGTAGAACCGCCGCGCCATTGCTCGGCTTGAAGGAAGCCAGAGTCTCGGCGGGCGGTGAGGATAGAGGAAAACCTGGAGATGGTCGGCGCTCTCCGAGGAATCTTGCGGGCACGTTTGATATTTGTGCTGGAATGTCGTGACGCTCAAAGCTGGTGACCATGATGGCGATGTACGAATTCGCCAGGACGCTGGCTCCGGGCAACCTCGACTGGGGTCTCTGTCAAGAATCGATAGTGGCTGAAGGAGAATGTTAGACCTGCGGCAGTTTCTGGGCTATTGTAAATGGCTCATTGTTGGAATTCTGGAACACCGCCTGACTCTGATTAGTAGACAGTCTCCACTCTGCTAGAATCAATGTCTCTCTGGGTTGTAAGACAGAGACTGAATCAGCAAAACTTCCTGGCCTCAATAAGTGTATGGGAGAGTAACAATAGGAAAGGCATAAATAGGAAGGAAACAACTATGGTGCAGATTAGATGGACATGGCTGTAGGGTGCGGCAGGAGTCTCGCATTCTTTTGGACTTTTGATGATGTTCCAGCGGAGCCGTCTGATACTCTTGAAGAGTCCGACAATGGATCTCGACCCAAGGCCGACTGCGCAACCATGACAAGGTGGCCATGTTTGTTTGTGTCGGATCTTTGGCGGCGGCAGATTCGAACCTCGCGACAGCGCGGATAACTAAACATAGATTGCAGTAAGAGGAGCCTCAGCTATCTTGAGTAGCGCGGCCAAGGCTGGTCTCGTCAAGATCGATCATTTGAATGGAAACACGCAAAGTGACTGGGTGAAGGATAGAAAGAAGAGGAAATACGCGCGCTTAGATGTTTGATGTTGAAAGAAAATGGCAGCCAATTGCAAGGCTGGCGGGTCTTCACATCAGACAAATGTTTCATACAAGGCTGAACATTGCAGCAGCACCTGAACCGTACAAGTCTTTCGATCTCGATCTGGATCTCTCTCATTGTCGCTCATAAATTATCTCTCTTTCCATCTACAATATACATACGAGTAAAAATTATATCTCGTCAGTCAGCCACGCCTTCCGCTGTAGAATTTTGTGTCCGCAAGCATCTCGCAAAGGTAACAATCCATATCCAAATACCGTCCTTGCTCGTGATCACACGCCCTTTTGGACAATGATATCGTAATGCCATCAAATCATCCCGCCTGCAAGAAATCCACTGTTTACTGACATTCCCGGCCTATGGCGTGGGAATAGATAACCGCAAACCCACCACCTGTTCGGGACCAGAGTAAAAAGACAACCCAGAAAGAATTACTTTCAACTTCCAGACGCCTGTAGAAGCTGACTCTGAGAAGCTCGGCACCAGGCCTACCGGCGGTCTTCCGCGTATTGTACGCCTTGCATAGAGTTGTTGTTCATCAATGGCGGTAGTGTTCGGGCGGGTTCTTTAGAGCCATCAATATGGTTGCTGAATTGGGACCCGTAGCCCAAAGGACTCTGTGGCAGTACGTTCGGCGGAGGAGGAAAAGAGCCCTGAGATTGTTGGATGTTTCGCATTTGTTGACTCATTTCATGCATCTTGGCTTCGAGGTCGGCGATCTTGATCCGTTGGTTCTCATAGTCATGCCTCCGCTGCTTGTTGTCGTTCTCAAGCTGTGTGATGTAATCGATTGCTAGCAAATCATTCAGCAAGCGCCCAAGATATTAATCAGATAAATGCCAACACTTACCACGCGACAATGTCTCCCATTTGCTGGACTTGTTGTTCTGAGCCGTCGGCAAACGAGTTCTCAATTGCTCAAAGCAGTCTTTCATTTCACTACGTCGCTTGCGCTCTGCAAGTTTGTGTGTGACTCGTAGTTCCGGTGTCCGACTGTATGGTGTCTGGCCGTTGGGCGAATCAGGATCATCTCGTAGACTGTCAACCTGTTTGTGCTGTAGGCTATGATGATGGGCTTCTGGAAGTTCTGAGATTATTGCGTTAGACGGGCGCACGTCAGAGTAAGAGCTCTGCTTACCTTGCTGACCCGGAGGTAATCTGGACGATTCTACCGTCATAACACTACTGGTAAAAGACTCTGCGAAACTGTTCCTTCGCGAAAATGTGGACGGCGCCCGACCTTGTGGCCGTGGTGGTGTTGGACCAGCGTCAGGATCAGGAAATGCATAAGCTTGACCTCTAGTGGGAGCTTCTGCACTGTATACTTCTTGCTTGGGATTTTCCAAAATTGGAGGTGCAACACGCCCAGCAGAGAACCCGCTCCGCCCTCCGCGGACAGAATTGTAGGAGGAAGAGGATATCGGGCCGTTCATTGTCGAATACCGGCCTCCACCGTATCCATTTGTCTGTATGCCCCTTTCTCTTTGAAGCCCGGATACCAGTGATGCTTGAGAGGCATTGGACGTGGTGTAGGGTGAGGTTGGGCCAAGGACGAGGTTGTTCATGCCCTGATGAATGCTGTTTGTGACACTGCTCCGCCTAGATTCGTCAAAGTCACCACGAAATTCACCACGGAAGTCACCACTGCCTCGGTGCTGGTTTGGATCGGTCGCCGGTGGTGGAAGGCCGTTTGACTGGTGAACACCGCCATTGTATTGTGCTGGAGGAGCAGTATGATGATGTTCTGGGGTATACGGCGAAGGGACGGTGGGGGAATGTGCGGAATTCAAGTATGGCATGGAATTGCCGGAGTGCGCAGAAGAGCCTGAAGAGAAGTTAGCTTGATTCCCAACACTCTAAATATCAAAACTAACGAATTCCCGGAGTCATCCAACTTCCAGAATCTCTCTGTGGTGGATGTATCGACAGGTCTACGGGCGTCCTGTCGTGGTGTTGAATAGGTAGCTTCGATGTTAACGAAGCTATTGAGGGCAGTGTTTGAGTGGTCTGGGGGAGACTGTGTGGAGGACTCGGCTCCCAGGGCCGGCGGCTTGTCGTTTCCATTTTTGCAGGGTTTATCGACTTGTTGCTTGCTTATCGGTGTAAGTAGCCTAGAAAACGACTAGAGTTGTCGCAAGTGCGCATATAGTCTTCGAACGAGATATGAAAGTCCCTGACTCGTCGCTCGACGAGCCTGAGAATCAAAAATTGATTGGCCCGTACTCCCGTAGATGATACGTGAGAGGTACCGTGGCGAAAAGGTGGCCGAGGAGAACTGACACAGCAGCCCGGTGTTGTACAAGCTCTTGCGCAAATGCCGCTGCTGGGGGACCTCGCTCAGAAACTGATTACTTCTCCACCTGGAAGAACGCTGGTGTCGCAAGGGATCGTTTTCGGACAGAGCGATATACAGCTATTCGCTGTACTTGTATAGTTCCTGGCGTCTGAACCTCTTGTTGTGCAAGAACCAACCGTGTACTGCACCACGAGGACTTCGCGTTGCAGGATCCAGGTATGTCTTGTGGTTCTACAGAGCGCCAATGGTTCGTTTCAGGTATCCAGAATCCCTCTCAAAACGTGGCGCCGAGGAATCTTGTGGAGCCGAATCGAGACGATGCGCGAACCCAGGAGGTCGACGATGTTCCTTCCGGTAGACTTTCGCGAATCGGTGGTCGTCGCACGAAAGGCGGAAGAACGCAGCGAGAAAACCTTATCAGTCCACGGCAAGGTGCGTCGAACGAATTCTGGGAAGTATGTGAGTTGTGGTAGCGATCTTAGTTGCTAGACAACGTACGTCTGGTACTTTTCGTATAGGATGAATATCGAGCGCCGGCGGAGGAGGAAGTCGGCGAGCTATGGTGGAGGGGAAAGGAGAGGGACAGTGTCGCAGACGCTGTATGTATCGATATGGCGATATGTCCTCGAGAGAGTGACGATATGAAATAGATTGACTGAATAGGTAAAAGAGAAGGAGGAAATCTGAACCCAACAGTCTAGTTGAGGTGATGCCGATCGAGTGGTTCGGTTCGCTTGCGGGTGGTAGAATCGAGGTGCGAAGTGACAGTGGCAGATGATGGCACCTCAAAGGTCGTTGAAGTTGCACTTGCGTCCGTCTACTAGTTCCCGTTCTCTAGTCTGTGCGTTTTCTTGATGAGATTTAAATTCCCGAGCATGGGGTTGGGGGTTAGATAACGACCGTCGCAGCAGCTACTTTTCGCCTGTTGAGATGCAAGTAGAATAGTAAAAGAGACTATTGTATGCGCATCCTCAGATGGAGAGGGAAAAGGGAAAGGATGCGTAGCGGTAGGTAGATTGCCAGGTGCAGGGGAACAAGTCAGAATCACTGGGGGGGGGGCATGTTCCCTTAGGTGTTAACTAGGCCCAAGTAAACTCTAGCGAGTGCCTTTTGGGCTGGATCAATGTGGCCATCCACGGTCCATCCCGGTTCATTTCCAGCGTCCACTTTTTGGGTCATTACTGTGCAGTGGTCACTGTCCACTCCCCCACGAGAATTCAATTCAGCAGCTTGCAGTGGGCAGTGGACACCAAGGCGTCCGCGGAAGGAAACCTCTTGTTCCTCGGGCTGCAAAACCAAACAACTCATCACCCTCTGGTTGATCCTTTTCCAAACGCCACCGGACAAATCCTTGACTACGATGGTACGATGGCTTCCACAGTCGCAGTCTCCATGTTCCCGCACGATCAACCAGACCAAAACCGCACGAGCTTAACGAATTCCTCACATTTACAGAATTTGAGAAAGATGAACCACAAGTCACCCCTCGATGATGCGGACACAGGCACATATCTCACCATCCTGTGACAGTTTGGATTTCAGGGCTGCCCTCGCTCAGGCCGATCCGAAGACTGGCTGCAATCCCGGAACCACCTTTATTGAACCCACGTGCACCCACTGCAGCTGAGAGCCTCTTTTTGGTTGAGCCCCCATCCAGCCGGATACGATCGCTGGCCCTGTGCCCTCTCCCCTCACATGCAGATCAGACCCCTCGATACTCGTGGTCGCCTCGTGTTTCCATTTTGTCCTCAGGTCGATCACTGCCTCTGAGCCGCTTGATGCCCTGCAGCAAGTGCCTGCAAGAGAACAATGATTCATCTACCGTGACCATCTAGGTATGAAAAGAGGAATGAGATTGAAATGGTATACACCCACTACTGCTGGCAAGCCCACCCCTGCTCGATTGTCAAATAATGATAATGATGAAGCTAGGGATGTTAGGGCGCATTTTTAGGGACCTCACTAGGCTGCGCCCGACCCCTTTGTGGTGCCCTTCGTTAGGCTTCGTATCGAAACCGCGGCTGCCGACGACTCGATGACGATGATCCTTGCCGTATGTGTGCCCTCACATCTCAGTCTCAATATCCACGGAATCCACCTGGGGAACCCGAAGCCGAAATGACAAACTAGAACTAGCTGTTGGCAGATAACTCAACTCGGATCAAATATAATATCTCGATCGCTACTTCAGAAATCAATAAAACCTCTTCGTTCCAACATTTTTCAGAGTACTGCTCGATTCATCGATCTCAACCACACCCGGAACAATGCGCGAACCGGCCCCATTAATGACGTCGCAAAAACACGAGCACCAAGACATTTCTCGCTCCTCGTGTCGCCAATGCAGCTTGCCCTGACTGGCGTTTCTTTGAGTCCACCCAAAACTCAGATGAGCCCAATCAAATACTGCTTGCATTCCCTTGCAAGGGCCTTCGAAAACGTGGCAGCGGCACGCACTCAGGGACAGTTCATTCATTCCCCACGAATCATGGCCTTGTTTGTGCGAAAAGTTGGAAATTTTAGGGTTTGCAGATGCAAAATGACATCTTTACGATCGATGTCAACGTTGAAATTGGCTCAACACCGTCCCACAATCGAGCATTGCCTGTAAGTACTTGCACTTCAAAATCATAGTTCTCGCGTGGCATTTCGGCGAGCCGTTGATAAGGGACGAGTCGAGGCGCAAGAATCTGCCGCCAAAACGACCCACGATCGGACATTTAGACCAATCGAGGTCTTGAACTCCGGTTGAAATCAAACCTGACAAGCATGACAGTGACTGCGCTAGTGCGCAATTTCTTACCAGTTGCCAGACAGTTTCAGCTTGACTGACGCCTCCGGAGGTTTTCACGTAGTCGTCACCAATGTGGCGAGATGGCATTGGCCACCCTCTGTCGCGACAAAAGGACAGCATGTGATGAGGGCCATGGTAAGTGTATTTCACCGACGTTGCGACTTCCTCTCTCAGCAAATGGAGTATTCCACGTTTTCTGCAGCCGGGATCCGCACACGTGGCACGGAGACGTTGACGCAGGGTACAGTGGACACGGAGAGACCGGTTGCTTCGCTTCGCTACCAGGTAAGCTTTGAGAAGTCCGCAAGACGGCACACCTTCTGGAACCCAATGTGTGCTCAAAGACACGCTTTTCCGTCGGATACCGAAGAATGATATCAGCCCGCCGTTCTAAGGCGAACCTTGTTCATGAGTAGCCGCTTCAGCACAAGAAGAGTCAGCTAACGGTAAGCCTCAGAAGGACAAGCCTTAACCCTATCTTCCACGTGGTTGTCGTTTGCAAAGCATGTTTTCACAATTCTGCGCCTATCAGGGAAGAAGAACAGTCAACCCCTGCAAAGCCAGACTCATCATGACGTTCAATGGCTGTTTTGTATGAATCTGTCCCAGTAGCAAGACTACAGCACTTTCTCATCGACGCTTTCAGTCCGATTAGGGGCAGTTGAGGGACGCCTGGAGAATGGCCCGACACCACTCGTGCGTCGATCCATCTCAACCATCGGTTGTTGGACCTCTTGATCCGCGACACTCATGCGTTTCCCATGAGCCGTGGACGGACGCCTGATGAATGGCCCTAAACCGCCGACACTCGCGCGTGGATTCATGCCATCCCTGACATGTTGAGCAGCTTGAACCGTGACACTCATTCGTTTTCCAGGAGCCGTAGAAGAACGTCTGGAGAATGGCCCTACTCCATCAACACTCGCGCGTGGACTCAGGCCATCCATGGGATGTTGGACAGCTTGATCCGCGACACTCATTCGTTTCCCGGAAGCCGTAGAAGGACGCCTGGAAAATGGCCCGATACCACTCGTCCTTCGATCGATCTCAACCATCTGAGGTTGGACAGCTTGGTCCGCGACACTCATGCCATCTACCGGAGCTGTCTTCGGTCTCGCAGGCATCTTCTCCTCGTCGTGATGGACGACAGCAGTACTCTTCCTTCGACCCAGACTCAATCTTCTGAAGAATGAAGGTCTACGGTCTGGCATGGGAGGAGCGACACTTTTTGCTCTTTTCTTCGACTCGATCACCAATTCCACTGCTTGGGCGTCTTCAATGATTGAAGGGTGTCGTTTCGCAAAGTATTGTGCGTATTTGACCGCCGAATAATACCTATCATTACGATCTGTTTAGCCTCATCGAGAATAGAAGGGTCTTGCTGACGGCGATGACTTACACTGAAACGATGTTCATCAACCTCAACACAAATTTGTAAGGTGGATAGTATAACATTACAACTTTTCGAGAAACCATCTCATTTTTCCGGCGTAAAGTAACCTGTACATTACCAGTCAGCATCTCTTTTCCTTTCATCACGTCGGAACTCACCTCATTAAAGTAATTGACTATAAGAATGTACATGGCCATCACAACCCCAGTCATCAATCCCATAAATCGGGGCTTGATGGCAAAAGCGATCGGCAATAGTACCGGACCCGTGATATACAGGAAAGTTTCATAGAACTGTCGCACGTTTAGCCCATGGGTAAAGACAAAGAGCGCCCATTATCGACTCACCCCTTGGAAGGTGTAGATCTTGGAGCCGATATCGTAAACTCCAAGATTCCACTTGAAAAGAATGTGCTCGAGATTGTGCCACAGGCGAAACAAGAACAGAAAATTCCAGCGGTAAAAGCGCTGTTTGTACACGGTCATCTCGCCAAAGCCGCCTCTGGAGCCGGAGCCGACAAACAGGCCAGATGGGACTTCTGTTTCGACCAACACAGACGAGCACATGACGACCCGACCTCCGAGGTTTCGGCAGACCAGACCAAAGTACCAGTCCTCCGAGATCTTGAAGCCAGGATGGTGCCGGAAACACTTGAGAATGAAATCTCGTTCCCATAAAGCAATGGCGCCGTGGGCGAAGGTGGCACTGCCCCAACTTCCAGCAAACTGACGTTGCATGCCCGCCATCTTGTACTCCAAGTCCTGAAGCTGTTGAATCGCATTTCCTTTCGAGCCGTTTGGACCGGTGGCTTTGATGGTATATCCAACGCACTTGACCAGACCGTGCTTGGTGCCGGGTTGGATGCGGTCCGAGACGATTGGGAAGTTGGCCGGAAGCAGGCAGTCGTCGTCAATCATCAGGACATACTGGAATTTGTATGCAGCATAGGTGCCGACGAATTGGGCCACGATTTTCGAGCCGATAGGCACCCATATGTGATTGACTTTGTAAGGTCGAATAACCTCCTCGGTGTCGTCCAGTGGTGTAGGACTATTGCCATTTGCAACGACGTAAATGTTCTGAGGCGGAAAGGTCTTCAGAGCGGCCTGTAGCGTCGCTTCAATGGCGCCCGCGGATTTGTAACACGGAATGATCAATGCTGTGCTGCCGGCTTTTTCGATGTGTGATGCAAGCTCATCTGGCGACACTGGTGCTGGGTCGGGTTCATAGTGAACTATCAATGCGCCCATAGAGTAACTATGACCTCTGTTAAGATTCGTTCACCACACCATGCAATGAACAGCAGGGCGAAACTTACAAGAATGCGACGCCGATGAAAACCACGCAACCTGCTTTGATTGTGTAGATATACTTGAGAGCGTACCTGGATACATGGTGAGTACAAGGGAGGATAAAAGTGAGAGTATAAACGTGCATACCACATATACCACACCGCCCCTTTCCATAGCGGTCGCCCAATGGCGACAAGATATATGAAACACACGATAAAAGTGTAGACTGAATATTCAAAGAGGAGTTGACATGATCTGCTACGCGCTTTGTGAGAGGCTCTAGTCTTCAGGTTGTGCCACCTCTCGAGACTGCGTACACTCTCACGGGTCGAGGGTCGTCGAAGGTGTTCGAATTCTTCCTCGGGATGTTCGACAAGTCGTTCACCTTTGAATGTGGCTAGCGGTTTGGGCCCTGCGTCAGTTGGAAATAAGGTGTCACGACGGAAAGGACTGGGCGTGAAGATGACCTTGCGGACTTCTGGTTTTCCCGGCGCCGAGTTCAGTGATGGGACGGAAGCCGATGGCAATGAGTTCGAACGTCTTCTCTGAGGGAATGGACGCCTCCCTTCAGCAGGAAGGATCGCATCTGGAGGGATCGGGATGCCAGAGATTGACGATCTTCTTCGTTTCGGACTGTATGATGGCCGGATGGGCGTTGGACCTTCCGTGGAACCATGGCGCTGTACAGAAGCGTCGATTTGCGTCGCGCAATCTTTGGCATCGGATCCGCGTTTGGTAGGAAACTGAAACCCAGGGGACCATTGAACATGAGGACTCGTCGAGGTCGTGTCAAAGGCGGCGGGCTGCTGGAACGTGGGTATGGGTGCATTGAAGTAACCTTCCTTCGTCGACGATCCTATCCTCGGACTTGGCGAGTAAGCCTCCCAAGGGAATCTGAATTGGGCGTGTGTACGGTCGCCTGTAGTGTTATGCTGCTGATGTTGCTCTTGCTCCTGTTGTTCATGCTGCTGCTCAGGCAGCTTGGCGTCATTTTTGGAGGTCATCCAGAATAAAACAAGACTTTAGACGTCCATTAGAAGAGCAGGATCGATCAATGCTTGAACGCCCCATGTCTCTGTCAGCTCTATGTAAGCCCAGTTCCTCCCTATATGTACAGTCGTCGGTGCGTCTCGGCTCAGAATACAATTCCAATTCGGGCGAAACCCTGACAAACACTTCTTGTTGTGGGGTGGGATCAGACGGGGGAGGTGGATCTAGGGGAGGCTACAATGCATAGTGTAGCCATCATTGCGTCTCTCAAAGTGTTGTGAAAGCACCGAAAGTATGAAGGTTGATTTGTCCAAGGACCCTGGATGTAGGCGATGCGACTCCTCGTTTCGGTTAATGAGTTGAAGGACGAAACTATAGTCTTAGGTTCAATTAATTTGTGGATAGTATAGGTATACTTCTGAATCCCTAAGCCCTAGGCCTCGAGCACAGATATTTCTGCATCCACTGCTCGTCTGTAGTGAGTTTTGAACCAATAGGGTATCACCCTGCCGAGACCGGTTCATGACCGGTTCCTGCCACAAAGGGACGTGCGCTGTTGGGTGTGGCACGGACAGCCAACTGACACGGCCACCAGTTGTCGGGTTAGGTTGTTGTTGATTGTCATTGCAACAAATCTTCGCTTCCAAGAATTATCTATCGCGTGATCTGCGACAGCCAAGAGGGATTAGAGAGCCGCTCACTTATGTTTGGTGATACCAACGTCCATCGACGTGCCAACGGAGGCAGGACCGTGCTTACCTTGATCCGAGGTAGAACATAAGGCTTACCGCTTGATTTGTGTCGTTGTCATTCTTTTGAGTGTCAGGCCAGAATACATGCGCTGGACGTAAGCGCCACAGACCTCATTCGCTCTCAATCGTCTCTCTGAACGAGGAAGCTATACCCAGGGCCATCTCGCCACAATGACCACAGTCACCGGTCTCCTACTAGCTCTGTCCTGGACGGGAAGCTGTGTGTCCCAACATCAACATGGCCACTCGCACCTAGAGCCCAGGGCAGCGGCGACTGACTGTTCTCTGTATCAGGTTTCCGGTCAAAGCGCCACCCCCTTTGAGAACTATCGGTTCCTGGACTTTCGCAGCCTTTCCAACTACACCGCTTCCGAGCCAGCCGAGATCACAACTCAGCAAGACTCTGGTGAAGAGGCGGTGACATCACCGTATTTCAATTCAAGCACGTTCGAGGACGTGTTCCAGATCCTTAGTGGCGTCAGAAATCCAGATTCAAACCCGCCGATGATATACTCGGCCCAGAATGCGTACATTTCTGCCGCGGAATCAGCAGATGGCAGCGACACATATCTGACTGTCCGCACGTCACGAAACAAGGACTTCCAGAGCGTTGCTCAGATGAGAAGCGTCGAAAGTGTCTTGCACGCAAGCATGCGGATCTGTATGAAAGTGCTGGAAGATAGCAACGACACTGTCGCCGCTGGTGCAGTGGTGGGCTTCTTCACCTACAAATCCGATACACAGGAGACAGACATTGAAATCTTGACCAAACGCTCTCATCATCAGTTCCAAGTCACCAATCAGCCTTCGACCACAGAGCCTGCCGGGACCTCCAATGTGTCTTTGGCCACGGGCAAGAACTGGACAGATTGGGCTGAATATCGGGTGGACTGGTTGCAGGGCCAAACCATCTGGTACATTGATGATGTCTTGGGGTATCAGACGACAAACAGCGTTCCGACTGAAGCCAGTGCTCTGATGCTCAACCTCTGGAGTAACGGAGGGTCATTTTCGGGGAACATGAGTGTAGGTGCTCAAGTCCGAATAGCAGTCCAGTACATCGAGATGGTATATAACACCACGGACGATGCAACAAGTGGCGGAACAGCTACTCGGTGCAATGTAGATGGAGTCGAAACGAAAGGAGAGCCACAGGTCGTTCAGACCTCAGCGGCTGTTGTGACCACCTGTATCGCGTCCTCCACTTTCTTCTTCGGGCTCGTCGTCCCCTTGCTGTATGTGTTAATAGACTTATAGCGAGGAAATGCATGTCAACCAGTAGAGACCATGTCTGTTGGCACCTTGCGGCGTCCTACGTCAAAGCCAGGGTACCGAGCCTGATGCTCATGCCAACTTGGAGTCAGTCGCTCTTACCATAACAATAGCGGCTGCGCGATATACCGCGTGTCTCGCTTCCGACTTCGAATAGACAGCTTTCGGAGGTCGCTCTTCACATGTCCCGCCCTCATGAGCAGATGGCAACGTCCTTGGTCAGTGCCTCTACAGCGCAATCTATGATGCTGTTTATAAGTCCAGGCGCCTGTGGCCACAGTAACCGGAGCTTGATTTAAAGCTTGACCAAAGCTTGGCTTTATTTGACTATTTGATTATTTGAAGTTTGCCACGTTTGCACACGGCAAAGGACTTTCCTCCTACGAAGGCGCAAGCACACGTGGGCGGCACCGTGGCACCTTCAAATAAGCCAGTGCTCTTTCCATTTCTACATTTTGCGCGCGCTTTGATACTCCATCAAAAGGGATGCAGAGAGCACAGATCCCTTCAGCGTCGTCGCTCATCTGGCCTTGAGAGCCTCCCGAATCCATGTCTCCAGACGGCACACTTGATTGAAGCTTAATACTCCGCCACGATCTACACAAAGGTGCACACACCGGGGGTGAACTCTCGCAAAGGGTACATTGACCTTTGGTAGATTTGTCTACCAAAGTCCCCATGAAGAGACAAAGCAGTCCCGCGCACATCCATCACGCAAGGTCCCTTGAGGCTGAGAAAGTCTAATTGCCTTTATCTCCACGTCCTCTTAACCACAGCCTCGTCTGCCTTACCTTGCGTTGTAGGCTTAGCGTGCGTCTCACTACGACGTCGAGAATTTGCTGTTGCTTTTGACGAGACCAGATCACTCCAGATGGTGGTATGTCCTTTGCCAAAAATATTATTCCGCATTGCGGCTCAACAGTAGGAGAAATGGGTCCTCAGATGCATGCTAGCGAGCCCAGAAAAGTGGCCCTGTCCAGCTCCTCGAATCCCGGAAGGCATCGTTTGCCCTTCCGGATTATCCTTCACACGCAATAGTATAGCGTCAGCCCTTTGACAATGTGCAGGTCACCAGCTTCATGGTACAGTCCCACTGGCTCGCAGTCAAGGCACCCGCTTTTTGGGACCCGCTGGACTTTGCGAACTTATGTTGTCGATTTACTCCATGTCAGACAGTGCCACCTTTTGTGGCAACAGGCTCGCTGGGTATAGCGGCGCTGGAGACAAAACCATGTAAGATTTCACGAGGCAGAAACAGCAGAAACAGCGTGGAGATTCACTCTTCAGTAAAGATGCAACGATGTTCTTGATGGGGGAGTCCCATCAAATTAAAAGCTGATTGTCACTTACTTTCCCCTCAATGCCTGTCAGAAGTTCCCAGTACAAACAGCTTCTTGATCTCCGTGCCCATCTACGGGGTAACAAATACACAACTCCAAGGCTTGCAGACATCTTTTGCAAGACAACAAAGAGCAAGATTGTACGCTCTATTGGTAAACACGGATTGATTGTGCGAGCAGGACAAACAACGAGAAGAGCTTAAGAAGCAGGCCTCTCAGCATTTCCACTCTTCAAAATACATGATCTTCAAAGAATCATTTCAAGGCGACAACATCACGGACAATTTCATCATGGTGAACAGAACCTACAACCTTCCACACCGTCCACATAGCGATGGCGGAAAAGATGATGGTGCTGATCAGCAGCTGACCATCGCAATGCACCCAATCCAACACGTTGACGACCATTTCCTTGTCTCGATCCAGCCGCCCAAAGTACCCAAAGACGGTCTCAAACGAATTTCTTGTGACACTGTGCTTGTCATAGATGTTTCCGGCAGCATGAACGAGGCTGCATCACTACCCGATGTTGCGGACAAGAACGAGCGGGAATCAACCGGACTCAGCATCCTGGATCTCACCAAGCATGCTGCAAGGACCATTCTTGAATCTTTGACGGATAATGACAGGCTTGGTATTGTGACTTTCTCCAGTGACGCAAAGGTAAGAGCTGCCGTCATACACCCAGACAAAAACTCACATTCAGCCATATAGATCGTCCAAGAGCTCACCTCAATGACGAAGCTCGCAAAGTTAGCCACCTGGAAACGGATCCAAAGCCTTCGGCCCGAGTCCTATACTAACCTCTGGGCTGGAGTCAGGGCCGGGCTCAAGTTGTTCGAAGTGGCCAAACAAGTCTACAACGTGCAAGGGATGTTCGTCTTGACTGACGGAATGCCCAACCACATGTGCCCGCCACAGGGATATGTGTTCAAGCTGCGAGAAATGGTTACAAAAGCGGATACTGAGCACCTGACCATGCCAACTATACATACTTTTGGATTTGGCTACCAAATGAGGTCAGAATTGATGCAGTCAATCGCCGAGGTGGGAAATGGTATTTATTCCTTCATTCCTGATGCTGGAATGATCGGCACTGTGGTAAGTCCTTCTCGCCCTCGTAGCTGCGACTTGAAGACAAAGCTAACATGTTACAGTTTGTACATGCGATTGCGAACCTCTTCACCACGTATGCGACGTCGGCCAGACTAAATGTGGAAGGCCTCAAAGTGGCGCGAGCCGTTGGCTTCAACAATTTTGAGATCCTTCCAAATGCACATGTTATGCGTTTGGGCAATCTTCAATACGGCCAAAGCCGACAATTTTTGATTAGATGTCCTGGCAGCCCCAAAGATGCCAAAATCCTGATAAAGCTTGACTACCAACTGCCTGATGGAACAGCGGAGAGCACCCGGAGCCGCACCAAGATTGCAAAATCGACCAACATACCTCTCGCAGATGCTGATCTCCACATCTCTCGAGCACAGCTCTGTGACTTCTTGTCCTCTCTCTTTCCCCTGAAGCAGAACGGAGAACACATGTATATCAAGGGCGAAGACAAGCTGGTCGAGGCAAGAAACCAACTCGATTCGATAGTCACCGGGATGGAAGCACTCGCTGGTCCCAAGAACGCCAAACGTGCGGACGGTTTTATCTGGTCACTCCTCGAAGACCTGAAAGGCGATGATCCTGCGGGTCAGGTCTTCAAGGCGCTCGAGTGCTCCGGCGGAAAGAATTACTGGATGAAATGGGGTCGTCACTACCTTCCGAGCCTACTGCATGCCCATCAGCGACAACTGTGCAATACGTTCAAGGATCCTGGTCCACTCATGTACGGCAAGGACAGTCCCATGTTCAGCAAGTACCGAGATGAACTCGATGAGACTTTCAACGACCTTCCACCACCCAAACCAAGCCGACCTGAACGGGTCGTACCGGTCTACGCTCCAAGTGGGGAACAAACAGGGACACGAACCATTGGGCACTCTGCAGTGGCATCAATGAAGAGCTTTAACAACAGCGACACACCTTGCTTCGACGGTGATTGTCTTGTCAAGACCGCAGCTGGAACAGCGATCGCTGTCAAAGATCTCGAGCCTGGCATGCTCGTTTGGAGCCCAGCTGGCGCACGAAAGGTTGCAGCCGTGGTGAAGACAAAGGTTCGCAATGGTAGACAAATCTGCCGTGTCGGAGAGCTACTTGTGACTTGGTTTCATCCGCTCAAGTATGGAGAAAAATGGGAATTTCCGATTAACGTGGCTGACAAAATTGTGCCGTTTGTCGGGTATGTCTACTCGGTTATGCTTGCGCCGTCGAACGATCCTAATGCTCATGCCATTGAGGTTGGCAAGCAAATATGTGTCACGCTTGGGCATGGTGTTGTCGAGGTCAGCAAGGCTGACAAGCGAGGACATCCGTTCTTTGGCGATTATCGAAAGGTTATGACGAGTCTTGCTCGTTTGCCGGTCGATAGGAAGGGGCATGTGAGATGCGGAGGTTTGAAGAAAAGTCGGCGCAATGGTCTTGCTTTTGCGTTCAAGGTCCCAGCTGCTGGTAGAAATATATCGAGGGGCTGAGGTAGGCTGCGGATAGCAATAACCAGGATATTGTGCCGCATTTGATGCTGTTGCAGTTGGAGCTTTCTGTGGGGTGGGGTCATCTTGAAAAGTGTTATGGCAAGAGAAGTGGTTGGAACAATGCTGTTTGGGAGGCTGTCGTTTATGCGGAAAAGTTTTTCCTATTATGTACCGTATACATCAATATCTACGTGGTGTGAGTTAGTGCTTTTGCATTCTTCCAAAGATTCGACTTCAAAGTTGCCCAAGAAACTCGTCATACTCTGCCATGTGGTTCGACCTATTCGTTTAGCATGATGAGGCCCAACTGTACAAGGCTGAGATCTCGTTTTCGATTCGGTCATATGCGTGGTTAAGCCTCAGAAGCAGGAAGTACTTCGGATCCACGGCTTCCCGGCGCAACATCACAGGGCCAATAGTACTGATGCATAACTTCAAGATCGACCACTGGGAAAGCAACGCATGTCTCATTATTGCCAAGTGAAGTCATGCTGCTCATATCTCGCGCTCACTCGCTCTCGGAGCAGATGGAACGAGATGAGATCGAGTAAGCAACTGAGGGGAGCATATAAGCTGGGCCCAGCCCACCTACCTTTCGACTTTGGTAACGTGGGGACCTTCGGTCCTGAATACCAGCAAAAGGCGTTTTAATACCCAAGATGGCGAACATCCCACTGATACTAAGCTGCCTTGCCACTCCCTTCGTGGAGGGGACGGTGATGCTCGTCCATTTGCGCCATTCAATTCACTTTCGCAAACCTGTGGGAAATGACTAGGGTTGGATCTTTGGGCAGAGGGTGCAGCGAAATTGGCATGGTAGTATTTGCCCTGGCCTTATGCCTGGAACTCCGCTGATCGTGTTGGAAGTGAGCGCCAAAATGGATGAGGCCGGAGCGCTCAGTCGCTGGTGTTGGAGGAGGACAAAAATGTCGGCGAAGATGGCAGAAGGTGAACATGGAACAAGGTTCGGTGGTCGTCAGACTGACCTTCAGGAGTTGTGCAATGCCACGAGCACAGGGCGAAAGGCGAGCAGGCAGTGCTTGACATCTGAGGCACTGCTGGGTCAGTGGCCTTGGGAGATGATATCCAGGCAAGTCTTGTGGGCTGGTGGTGCCACCTGATGTGATTTTACAATGGTAGTCAAACACAATGTCATAGGTGTGTCTTTCCGCTGGAGCGGGGAGGCTATTCTTCCTGTGCTGTCGCGATGCGTGAAGCTGTGGCCCTGACCTACCAGCCGGAGCTGCTGAATGTATTGTTGGATGTACATTCAAGCTCGCAGTTTCCAGCAAATTACTTTCACCCCCAGCAGCAGTGCTATACCGGCATGTTCAATATAGATCTTTGATTTCTCCGGAGATCGTACGGAAATCAGTGTCGGTCCGCCGCCACCATCAGGAACCCCCAAGAGTTTCCAAATTTGGCATCATAAGCCACACTTGATTTTAGGGGCCGGACTGGCGCCAGCACCCCGCGCATTCATCCCGTTTTAGCGTCCGCCAGTCTGCATCGTTGCGCAGGAACAGGCGTGAACAGGACGAGTCAGAGACCACTAAATACGCCTAACGAGAAACCACAGTGCCTAATGATGCGGACTAAATGACAAAGCCTCGGACGAAGCAAAAAGTCTTGTGGTAACGCGAGAGGCGGTGTAACCAGATAGACCCTCAATGCGGACTGCTCTTATTTACTTTCTCCTGAGAACACACCCCTCCTTTTCTTTCTCACTATAACTCTTGCACGCGACTTCTTTCCTGCCGCTTCTTTTCGCCAGTCAATCATCTGTATCATTCATCATGGCGTCCAAGGACAGTTTAATCTCGTGGGAAGGTGAGTCGGCCGCCCAACGCACTTTCAGCGACATTTGTCCACAGTCAAAAGAACGGCGAAGCTGACCTACGCCGCCAGACTATCAAGGGTGTCTCACTGCCTACTTCGAGTGGGCTGAAAGCTACGACTCGAAAGTGAGTTTCATGTTTCAGGAACAGCCCACAGATTGCTAACACCATGACCAGAACTGGGAACGTCTGCGAAAATGCATTGCACCTACCCTCCGCATCGATTACCGATCGTTTCTGAATAAGCTATGGGAGGCTATGCCTGCCGACGAGTTCGTCAAGATGGTGTCGGATCCCAAGGTGCTTGGTGACCCTCTCCTCATGACACAACACTTTTGCGGTGCCTCCAAATGGGAGAAAGTCAGCGACACCGAAATCATTGGCCACCACCAGCTGCGTGTGCCTCACCAGAAATACACCGACGCCTCGCGTGCGCACGTCAAGGTCAAGGGCCACGCCCACTCATACAACCTCCACTGGTACAAGAAGGTCGATGGTGTGTGGAAGTTTGCCGGTCTCAACCCGGATATCAGATGGGGCGAGTTCGATTTTGACAAGGTCTTCGAAGAAGGCCGTGAGGAGCTAGGAGACAAAGAGAAGGCCGAAGAAGCCGACAAGCTTGCGAAGCAAGCTGAGGGTGTCCCTTCTTCATAAAACTACCGTCTATGCTATATATGCACAATTTACACTCGAACCTCTAAGAGAGAGGTATCTTCTTCACGAACATACAGTGCTGATGTGTACAAGACACCATGAAGTCTTCAACGTCTAGGATCTTTCGTCGAAACCATCAATCGGCCGGTCACTAGAGCCGGCTCTGCCCCTGAATCCTAGGTTGGAGGAGAGGTCCAGTGCCGCTCTCAGATATGGACGGAATGAGGCCTTCGTCTTGAAGGACCTTTGTGAATGCTGCATTCACATCATGTTCTGTGAGCCAGATTGTACTCGCCCTACTTGTCATTCTCTGCCTGAGCTCCTCGTCCGTGACTGGGTTAACAGCGTTTGCAGAACCGAGGACACCATTTATCAGTCGCGTCGTATGCGGTCTCCTGGTGTTGTCGTACAGCGTTAGCGCTTGATGGATGTCCTGGGAGGTTGGCTTCTGGCCGGGATCAACTGTGGCCAGGACCTGTTTGAACGACAAGTATAGCGCCCAGGCATCGTCGAGCGCCAGGGACCCTCCGGCAGCGTGACTCCCGCCGTGCGTGTGAGCTGCATCACCGATCAAAGTCACTCGCGACCCAAACACCCAAGACGCCAGCGGCTCGCCAGCAAAGTTGGGATACAATCGCACATAGGGAGTGGCCTCTGCCAAGGCCTTGACCACCGGGTTCCAGTCCTCCTTGTAAAGATCTTTGAATGGCGAAACATCTGCCACTTGATCCCAGCGCACACTTTCAGGGTCCTCTTTGGAGTAGTCTCTGGGGTCGAAGCTACCAACCGTCGTGTACATGTTGCGACCAAGTCTTGACGCGAAAAAGGTGGTCTTGGGTCCCCACCAATGAGTCGAATCTGGTGGCAGGTCTGGTATGTCTTTGACCAATGAGTAGTCAAACGTGGAACGGAACAATGTCCGACCAGTCCAATGTAACTTGTGATCCGGATTGAAGGTTGTTCGGACTTTGGATCGAAGGCCATCCGCACCGATTAAAATGTCTCCATTGACGCTTGTGCCATCCTTGAAAAACAACGTGACACCATTGGAGTCCGCTTCAGCAGAGATGGTCTCTTTGTTGAGGTGGATGCTCTCCCGAGGAACATGTTGGAGAAGTGCATCGTGCAAATGGGCTCTGTGGAACCGAGCTGTCTGATGTCTGTGGTCAGGGACATCGGCAAATTGGTCGACACTAACGATCTCGTTTGTCTTCCAGTGTCGGTATATCATCGGCAGGGCACTTGGACCCCGATAACTGATATTGTCGTCGAGTGCATTCTCTATTCCAAATCGCTCAAGGGTCCGCAACCCGTTCGGGCTCAATGCGATACTTGCGCCAATTTCCTTCAACTCGGGCGCCCTCTCATAAAGATGAACATTGAAATTGTGGCCGGAAGAGTTCAATTGCCGCAGAGAAATGGCTGTCGCAAGGCCGGCAATGCCTGCTCCGGCGACTATGACCTTGATCTCGGCCATCACTTTACTATCGTTGACAGATGCGTCGATGTTCTTCTTTGCTCTTTCGTGCTTCACCAATATGAGGTATACGGAAATGGTGATATACTTATCGGTCCGGGGCCACCGAGGATAACAGATCGGATGTCTGCCACGCGGCCGGAGATAGGCGCGTCAGACCTTATTAAGACTCACACTGCCGCTTGCGTGCTTGCACGGTTCTAAGCATGGTTGGGCATGAGATTCTTGTGACCTGTCACGCAATGACATGGGTACGAGCACGTATAAGAACTTCGATGATTACTCTGCGACCAAACATGCGCCTCGACCGCAGACCTCCCGCGCCACTGGAAGGATTCTGAAGCATGCTGCCCACCATGACCCGTGTCTGGAATATGCGACAGCGATTATACCGTCGACGGCGGTTGTGATGCCTTTGCATTGACAATCCGTGGGCGACCAACGAGATCATCAATAGACATGGCTACACGCGAGAAGCCTTATCTTCAACGAATGGTTGCCAATCGACTGTGCTGTTAGAGCTACATGGTATTTGATAGCAGACCAACGAGTCTAATCTCTATCATGCATAGCTAGCGACGGCGGCATGTGCCCGCCAAAGTCCTAGCAAAGATCACGCTCGTTTTGGCTTTAGCACGCAACGAATTGAAGGGCTTGAGTCATGCCGAGGATGATCACATCTATCTTGTCAAGCACGCCATATAGGGGGTGCATGTCGTACGGACAAACCTGATAGGTTGCATAACCTTGGCCTCGTCTACACCGTCGCTACCGTGTTGTGGGCTCTTGCCGTGACTATATCTTCACGAAATCCCTACTGGCATGCCATGATCAGTTCTTTCCCTCTTAGCATCGTCAGATCCATTGGTAACTAGGTCCCAATCCTTGTCTAACGACACAGATCTTCAAAATGTCCGAGGAGGACAAAAAGCTGGGTATCACCGAAGACGTATCTTCAGATTCTGACCTCGGAGTTGGAGTGGCGAAAGTCCCTCCACGCTATGCGGACGAGAGCTTCAAGCTCTTCTCACAAGTACAAGTCAAAGACCCAACGCCTGAAGAATCTCTTAGGATCAAGAAGAAGCTTATATGGAGGATCATCCCCTTTCTCTGCGTCGGTTACCACTTGATGTACATTGACAAGCAGACTGTGAGTGCTGTAACGACTTGTCGCACTGATCGAGACTGATAATAATATATAGCTCGGTAGTTCTGCCATACTGGGCATTCTCAAAGACAATCACCTCAACGCCAACCAATACAACTGGCTCTCGTCTATTTTCTACTTTGGCTACCTACTCGCAGAATGGCCGCAGAACTGGGCTTTGCAGAGGTTTCCAGTCGGCAAGTGGTTAGCAGCAAATCTCATGCTGTGGTGAGATCCACACTTTTCACTCTCGAAGGCGCTCTAACCTCAACTCAGGGGAGGAATTGTCTTGCTCCACATACCATGTCAGAACTTTGCCGGTATGTTTGTGGTCAGGTTCTTTCTTGGAACAGCAGAAGCATGTATCGTGCCTAGTTTCTTGTTGACCCTTTCTATGTTTTTCACATATCAAGAGCAGGCCTGGTTGATGCCAGTGATGTGGATGTCTGGCAACTGCAGCCCAATCACTTCCGGCCTGCTGTCCTACGGCGTCCTCTTCATCAAGACCGGCAATTTCGCACCGTGGAAATGGTTCATGGGTTTGGGGCTTCGTTTTGAATGTGCTATGTTGCCGAGCTAATCTCCTCGACAGTGATAACCGGATGCATCACTATCGTCTTCGGCGCCACTGTCTGGTTTTTGTTCCCCGACAGTCCCTTGAAAGCCAAGTTTCTCTCTCCAGAAGATCGCGCCAAAGCCATTTTGCGCATCAAGGAGAATCACTCCGGCGTCGAGCACAAGCGGTTCAAGAAGCATCAGTACGTGTTGCATCTCCAGCCTTTTCTTTTTAATGCCGTGCTCACTCGTCTAGATTCATCGAAGCCCTCCGAGACCCAAAGACATGGCTCTTCTTCCTACACGCATGGAGCCAGGAAATGGCCAACGGTCTCACGAACCAATACTCACTGATCATCAAATCCTTCGGCTTCACCACTCTCCAAACCACATTATTAGGCTGCGTTACCGGCCTCACAGCACTGTTCTCGCTAGGTTTCGCCGCCATATTTCTCAACAGGACCAGGAACTGCCGCGCCTGGATTTCCGTCGCAGCCTATGTACCTGCAGCCCTCTCGAGTATTCTGCTGATTAGCTTACCCTGGTCAAATCGCTGGGGCCTTGTGTCAGGGATTTGGATCCGTTCGACAGCCGGGATCCCGTATGCCGTCGTCATGATATGGGCTGCGAACAACTCCGCCGGCCACACCAAGAAGACCACCGTCATCGCACTGTATCATATTGGGTATGGTCTGGGGAATATTCTGAGTCCGCAGTTGTTCAGGCCGAGTTGGGCGCCTAGGTATTACGCTACATGGGCTTTACTTCTGACGGTAAGTCGACAACGACAATAGCCTTGGGGCTAGATGTGTCTCGCAAGTTCCTGTTCCTGTTCGGATGAACTGACACAGCAACAGATCGCATGTATCCTTCCAGCCTGCGACATCCTATTCCTACGCTGGTATCTTCTCCGCGAGAACAAGCGACGGGACGCGCTGGAAGCGAATGCCCAGGTAGCCCACGAGGGTATCATAGAGTCAATCGAGGTGGACGGCACGAAGAAACAGACGGTCGTGTCGAATAATCAGCTCGATCTGACAGATCGAGAAAACCTGGAATTTCGGTACGTCTTGTGATGTCGCTGCAGGAAAGCTGGCAATGAGGACTAGGACCTTAAGATGCCTATGTAGGATTCCAGGCATGCTTAGCGTTCTTTGACAGCACAACACACTTGCTGTCCTTGGACGGTCATGGAATCACGTGTCAGGCTGAACGACCCCTTTTTTCGGGGCCAGGTCTTTTCGCAGGCTTGCCTTGCCGGCTGGTCCAAAACCTCCGATTAAAATAAGAGCAACACACTTCACAAGCAATGACATGTCCACAAATTGAAGTCAGCATGATGATTACGCTACCGACTTGAGCTCATCAGCCCATCCATCGACTTTCGTCAAGATGATAGTACAACAATTAGTAGTCTAGTACACAGACACGCCGCCAGATATGCACCACGAGATATCTCCTAGACCGACCGTATTCCCATGCAGCCCGTTTTAAAATCACCCATCAATCACCTGCCAGCACCTGGTATCCATGCAATGCAAATCTTCCCATCATGTCTTTTTTGTTCATTTCATTGATATTTGCAGCTCTTGCTTGCGTCATTAGCCATAAATTCAGGTCGCATAAATTTAATGCTCGCGGTATTGTTCAAAGGCTTGCGTCGAACCATACCCACTCGCTGGACGAGTCTCCTGTGGCACCCAAACACCATTTGCTTGTGCTCGGCGCTCTAGAACTCAGTCAGTAAAAGCTCAAGTCATACAGTCATGGGGATTCTCACCTCTCTCGAAATCAGCCCACCGCTTCATCGTGATCTTGGTGCTGTCGAACTCTCCTTCATACTCCAAACCGGCCTTCTTGGTCTTTTCGCCTGCTGTCTTCCGAGTATCACCCCAACTGAAGTCATCGAACTTCCAGTAGGCATACGTGGGCAGGACGAAATTCCAGATTGGTAGAGAGCACAAGTAGATCAACATCCAAAGGATGTATGACCAGCGATGAGCCGTGAGGACAATGAGAACCGCCGGTAAGCCCAAAATAAGGCCCAGAAGAATGAGCGGTATGATTGGGACGGGCCTTCGGACAATCGAAATAATGATCAAGTAAAAGGTGAAAGCGATGGCAGCTGGCAGGACAAGTGTGCCGATCAGTTCGATGAAGACCACAAACTGCATACTGAAGCAGAATGTTCCACACAAATCTCGGACGAGAACAAGCTCCATCAAGTTGTGTACCGTACTGTTGATCCATCTTCGACGTTGCGAAAGCAAGACTTTGAATTCTTCAGGAACAGTGGTTTTGCACACGGCTTGAGGTACAAAGACCTGCTTTCGTTTGGGAAAGGTCTTCAGCATCAGCGTCGACAAATAACGATCCTCACCCAGAAGGAGGAGGTTTTTCTTGTGCAAGGTGTCGACAACGTTCTCGGAGTAGTGCTCGACGATGTCGGGATTGGCCAAGATCGGAACCCAGTAATTGTGACCACCTTTGGGTGCCTTGATCCGGTACATACAGAAGCATCCGGGTAGACAAGTAACACCACCAAAGACTGATTCGAATGACTTGGAGAGATGATGTGAAATGAAGTATTCGAAAACCTGAATCCGGGAAACCCAAGAGGCCGTCTTGTTGGCAATTTTAGTCTCACCACAAAGACCCATAATTTCGGGGTCGGTGACCATGGCTGAGACCATATGAGTGAGGGAGTCAGGGAAGACCTTGGTATCCGCATCCACCATGAGCACGACTTCGTAAAAATCAGGCGACATTCCTGTCACTTTCCACAAACCATTAAACATTTCGAATTCTAGCTCGGTCATTCTTTCATCGAACATGACCTTTTGCAGGAAAGACATGAGGATAATCTGGCTGTCACGCTTGCCTCGGTTTCCAGGTTTGCTTTTGATGGCTTCATCGGGCGTTCCGCATTTGAAGACAACCATCATGGGTACTCTCTGCTGTTTGAGTGGGGCAATAGCAGAGTTATGGCCGTAATCATAAAAGCCTGCATAGATCTTGGCCATATTGTGTCGTTTGGCACCACTTGCCACAGCAACATATGAAAAGGCTTGGACGTCCTCAGGCAGGACGACAAAGTCAGTCATCATGCCCAGGACGATTTCTGGAGTAGTCAATTCTTCTCCTTGGCCTTTAATCAATCCATCGCAGATGACGAGGATTGCTTTGTGGCTGTTGGGATAGTCTGTCGTGGCAACGGAATTGAGGGTCGTACGAATACCATCTGCACCTTCCGAATACGCAGTCACCAAGCAAAGGGCGTGAGCGAGTGGATATCCAAATGGCTGCCATTCCGGCGGTGGTTGTGGAATGACATTGTCATGGACAAATCCGACAGGGCCATTGCCACCAAGATTGTCCATAGCAACCGAATAGCGTGACACCTCGTGAGCAGAGAGAAGCAGACTGGACCTACTAGCTCCAACGCTCATCGGCCGGGCAAGGGTGTTTTCGCTAGCATTGAATCCACCCTTGTACAATGATGCGTTTCCTGCTGGATTTGACTTGGCTTGGGAGTATTGACTCGTCATTGTCGTAGGCGGAGCCCGATTAACCTTTGCTCCGCGTTCGACGGCATACGGGCTGGTAAAGCGCGAGGTCGACGGGAATAACATGCTTCCATGTTTACTGCTTCGACCTTCTGACCCAGAAATGGTGGTGGCAGGATCTGCGATCTTGGGGGGATTTTTGTAGATGTTGTCGGTCCAGGCCTCGATCTGTTCAGCTCTTTTTTGGGGATCCATAGTCTGTGAGGTTTTCGGAGCGGCATATTTCTTCGCCAGGAACCACTGGAAGGCCAAGGCTAGGAAAAACTTCGCCAGTACGATACTCAGGATGAAAAACAACGACACGTATAGGACGACCTTGGACGCGATGCAGCCAACCGATTCCGTATCGATTGAGCCAACTTTGATGATCTGGGAGAGACATCTTCCGACCTGTCGATCTGTAGAAGATTGTAGGACGTGAGTGAGGTCCGCACCATGGACTTGTGCGTTTTTGCGTAGCTCGTCAAACTGAGTGGGCCACGCGACTTGACTCTCGTTAAACCAATTGAGAAGATCCAAATCAAGCACTGAGCCAGAGTAGACCGCGAGGTTTCGGCTCTTGTTCGCGATGTCGTCCCAACTGAAATAGACCACACCAGCCTTCCTAAGGTTGTAAAAGGTATTTCGTGCCTTGGCGGTGGTATGACAAGCATATCCCAGATAGTAGGGGTCGGTCAAATTGACTTTCGATGAACCATCCTGGTTGAATGCGTTACAAGGGAAGTACCACGCCAGGTCCCCGTCTGAGTTCGTTGGGACATCTGAGCCATTTGCTAGCGTGATGAGTCCTTTGCAGTCTCCATTGACCTGCTGAAACATAAAGCTGCCATCTTGGCCGCCGTATTTGTGGGGCAGGTCGTACAGGACATTGCTGTCGAGTGGAATTCCTTTAGCTGCTGGATGCATGGAATTGTCCAAATTGTAAGCTTCGCCATGGAAAATCATGTAACCGGTGTCAACATGGTTGATCTTGAGGCGTAGTCCTGGCTGGCCGCAGACCGCTTGAGTGAAGCCAAAGGTCAGAAAGCCGACAAACCCAGCAATAAGAATGATGATACTAATCAGGCCGACCTTTTCTCTCCAGGCTCTTCTTTGTGCTCTGGCAGGCATACCAAAGCATTTAAGCATGAAGTCGGGGGCCCAAAATGTGATGATTGCACAATAAACGTTCCAGGTGCTGGGAGGGCGAATCTTGTCCATTTCCTTCTGCCGCAGCTTCTCTTCCTCCGTCATGTGGCGAGTGTCCTTCCTGACCAGTTTTCGAGGATGTTTCTTGTTGCCCACTGGCTCTAGCTTGCCTGGCAAGTGTGCTGTTCGTTGTTCGCCAGGCAAATCGTCGTCGGTAAATGGTTTGAGGTTGCTGCTACCACTACCAGAGCTGACTGTTCTCCCATCAACCATGTCTTCCACCACTGGGTCATTTCCCGTGGTAGAAGGAAAGAACTCCATATTCTGAGCATGTTTACGATAGTAGTAGTTGGGGTGGTCTTTGTCGATTCTGTTACGTTCGGGCCGGATCAAGGATTTCTTGCGACCGAGTTCGCTCTGGGTCCCGGGGGTTGCCATGATGGGCTCCCAATCCGCGGTTCTGGAGCCGGGTGAGGGAGGGTTGGGATCGTGGCGAGCACGCTGCGGCGAATAAGCAGTGTTTTGAACTTGTGCATACCCTCCTGTTTCGATGTCCCTGCCTCTGTTCCTTCGAGAAGGCGAGTCTCGGTAGGGGGAGTGTGCTTTCTCGCGTGTGGGAGAGGTAGCAGGCCGTGGCCTACGCGGTTCGGACATGGTGCTACAGGAGCAGGAATGTTAGTGGGGCGAACATTCATAGACCACAAAGTCATTGTCAGTACTTTCACTTACAGTGTGTATAAACCTTAATCGCCCGGCATAGATATCCTCCTGACAATTGGTTTCTTCACGACCGAGTAATGAGCTCAGCGCCTGCGCTGTCTCTCAGCAGCGGGTGATTTTCGAAAAGGAGAATGCAAGGAGTGGTATAGCCTGACTGCTAGCGGCCGCTGTCATAGACTTTTGAGGTAGGAGTTGTTTATCGGACGGACTTGTTGGTGTACTCAGGTGACAACAGGCTGCAACGACAAAGATGCAGTTGAAAACGCAAGGTGAGTTGTGGCTGCGTATTCTGTCCACGGTCTTGGACTGTGAATATAAAGCGCCCCAACGAGATCTGTCGCCGAGACAAACCCAGATGGAACAACAAAACACAGCAGTGATGCAAAGACGGCAATTGAAGTCTAGTGAACGAGTGTATAGGTGAGGATATGGTCGGCACCGTGTCCGTGGGAAACAATTTGGTAGTCAGGCTGATGAGATGAGAGAAACGACAAGCAAGGCACAACAGCGATCATCTCGTTGGTTGTTTGGCAACTGGATTCGGAAAAAATAACAGGGTTTGGGGCGCTTCGCTTTGGTGGTGCCGCTGTGCATCATGTGGATCATCCAGGAGAAACAGGAACCAGATCTTTTGACATGCTTGGACCTTGGTGACTGGTTGTGTTCCATTCGCCTCTTTGACTCCTGAACACGATCTCAATGCAACACCGTCGGCTACAACTACAAGGGTCGATTCTGTATAAGTATAACATCTCTCATACATACAACTCCCAAGGAATGTTTGTCCTGCCTATTCTTCTGTTCCTCACCTCTCACATCTTCTTCTCCATCTCGCTTATCCACAAACTGCGGAGAGAGGCTCGGTTGTGGCTGAGTGCTCTTTTAGTCCCTATTTTACTTCCGTAGTGGTATTTTTATCTCCGAGTTGCCCTGGCAGTCGGCACCCAAATCAGCCTATCAACCTTGATCATGCCACGACACTTGACGCTGTTTCTGGGCGCATCTTAAAGGTACAACTATGACATGTGCCGCAATCAACATAGGACAGTAGGTAGATCGAAAAGCTCGGTCTGAGTGAAGCCTGATGGCGTTGTTTGCCCAAGTGTTGTCTATCCACTGCCGAGATGTCATACTACGTCTCCCAGGATGTCTTCGGCTGACCACCAACACCATCATCTCGCCCGGAATGGTGGTGACGGCTCTCCAAATGTGAGACCTGCTTGGAACCAGGCACTGAAAGATTGGTGTCATGGAGGGTTTTTGGGTTTCCGGCCCCTCCCGGACTCAATGTTTTTGAGCAATAGGCATCAAAGACGCCTAGTTTAACCATACTTAGGTTTACCATTTGGCGCCTAATGCAACCGTCCGTGCCCCATGCACCAAACGCGTGCGCGCCATCAACCTTGTGCACAAGTATATAAAGTGTTGATGGCAGAGGAGATGTATGAGTGACATATAGATCAACGATTGCAGACTCTAGTCGATGAGCAGGTTGGCATCAAGTGTAGCCACAAGGACTGTTTCATTATCATGAGCAACAAGAGACGGCCCCCATCTATTTTAAACAACAAGGGTTTTTGCCTTTGATGTCTGCGTGGAAAAAGGAGAAGACAAACAAAACGTCAATGGAAAAAAGTGTGGGGAGCCTCAGTCGCAACCCTTGTCACCAACGCCTCGTCTAGCACTCCATTCTGCATATTCTTGCTCATGAGACTGTTCTCCTAGCCCACCTCCTCCTCGTCGTCCTCCTCTCACTACAACCCTTTCACAATTCCATCCCTTGACGTCTTGTACTTCGTATTATCTCGTGTCAAATTTTTGATTTCTATTTGTATGTCGGTGTCCCATCTTCTCACTCGCTAGGAAACAATAGTCAGCCACATTCATTGCGGACTCTACGACGGGCGCTCTTCAGAAACGCATTTTCCTGTCAGGCAAACATTCCTTGCGTACTAATCGACGACATAAGCGACAAGCATTTTTATACGAACACCCTCCCGCACCTTAATTAGCGACATTCCAACATCGTCTTCACTCGTCCGTGATTGCTGGTCAATCACTATTCTTTTCCCCAACCGACCGCTAGCCTCAGTCTCAGCTGCGTCTCAGGACAAATGCCTGCAGTGTAGAGAAATCCTGCTTCTCTTCGAAATGGCCGAGACGACGAGCCACCCCCTTCCTCCTACACCTCCTCCAAACATCTACTCCCCTCCTCTGCGATCCGACAGTCCGCAGATAATAGAGCCGGTGGAAGAGCGCGGGAGAGGTGTTACTCCCATCTCGCGGCCGAACACCTCACCATCTAGAAAAATGAGTGGTCCCACGATATCCATGTCCCCTGCGGATGGCCGTCCCTACAAAGACTCATATGCGGCGGCCGGTGCCGACTTCAACACTCACGATTATCCTTTGTCACAGACTCCCGATTCCCTGGCTCCAGGCAGGACATTGACTCCTCAGCATGTTCCGCAGCAAGATCCGACCAGATTATCCCCTGCACCACAAGCCATACTCCGGGTGCGGCCTGGCGAAGGGGGGGCTGATCACCGACGAGTCTCGTCAGAGACTTTCACCAGTCATGGCGGCATAGAGTTGACACCTTTTCAAAAGAGGAACATGCGACACGTATCGACCTCTGCGCTGGAAGAGGAGTCGACCTCAGATGTCTTTGAGCCGTTGCGGTACCATCATCAACTATTGGAAGACGCAGAGTTGGACGCCGTCGAGAAGCGCGCTTCGAGGATGACACTTGGTACAGATGGCTCTGGCCATGCAGACACCTCTCGTATGAGCACGTACGGCAGGAATCTGCAGAGACCGGACTCTGGGTTCTCCAGCACATCTGACTTCCGCGGACGAAACTATTCACCTAGTGTGTCTCCATCCCGACCAATCTCAAGAAGTTCTCGGTCGCCTGACACGAGGCCGTTATCATATGTTGATCTTTTGAACGTCCCATATCCCCAACCTCCTCCGAATGGTGCAGAAAACTTGGTGAATTCGGGCCTACGGACCGTGGTCGGTAGCAATGCCAACCTGTTGTCGACCAGGAAGACGCTGGATATGTACCGGGCCAATGTCAAGAAGACCAGTGATCCGGCTGTTCAGTACGAGTTTGCAATCTTCATGATCAGTGCAGCGCAAGAAGAAGGACTGGAAGCTGAAGGCTTCTCCGATGCGCCCGTATCAGAGAAATCCCATGCTTCGGCGAAGGACGATTTGCTGAAGGAAGCCAAGCACATCTTGCAGAAATTATCCGATCGATCTTACCCATTTGCGCAGTACTACCTGGCCGACGGCTATGCCTCTGGACTCTTCAACAAAGGCAAAGAAGATTGGGATCGCGCATTTCCTCTATTCCTGGCCGCCTCCAAACATGGTCACGCCGAGGCGGGATACCGTACCGCATTGTGTTACGAGTTCGGTTGGGGCACTCGAGTAGATGCAGCCAAGGCTGTGCAGTTTTACCAACACGCTGCAAGCAAGAACCATCCCGGAGCTATGCTTCGACTTGGACGTGCGTGTCTGACTGGTGACATGGGTCTAACAAAACGGTACCGTGAAGGCATCAGATGGCTCAAACGAGCTGCAGAATCGGCAGATTTCCAGTATAACCAAGCTCCCTATGATCTAGGCTGTCTGCATGAGACGGGCTTTGGTCCTGACGTATTCGTCGACGGAACCTACGCTGCACAACTGTTCACCAAGGCTGCTGATCTGGGACATGTCGAAGCCAACTACCGCCTCGGCCAAGCATACGAATTCGGTCAGCTCAACTGCCCCAATGACCCTGCCCTCAGTATCCATTTCTACACTGGTGCAGCTGAGCGCGGACATGCATTATCACAGATGGCGCTTTGTGCTTGGTACATGGTAGGAGTGCCTGCCGTCTTGGAGAAGGACGAAAGCGAAGCATATGAATGGGCGAAAAGGGCTGCAGAGCAAGGACTGGCAAAAGCACAATACACTGTGGGTTATTTTACGGAGATGGGCATTGGTTGTCGACGTGATCCGCTCGAGGCCAACGTCTGGTATGTGAAAGCTGCCGATCAAGGTGAAGAAAGGGCCAAACACCGCATCGCTGCAATCACAGCTGCTGGTAATGGTGCAGATCCTGTCACTGCGGCGGCTGGAAAGAAAGCTGTGTTGCGTCCCAGCAAGAGTTCTGGGAACATTGGACGTCAGGGTGAGCACGCCGACATCAACTCGAACGCAGGTTCAACATTGCTAATCATGAGAAATACAGAAGGTGAAAAGAAGAAAAAGTTTGGTATCTTCTGACCAATGCATCACGTCTAGCATTCGACGGCGTCAGTCATGGGACAACTTCGGCTTACTAGCCCCTAATTTTGAGATCGACACGGAAACATGACATTGATGAGCTGTGACAACGTCCGTGACTAATTTAGCCTCACAGCACCGGACCTCAATGAGTTTCAAGGGCGGTTCACGTCTAGACTCAACCTTTGCAAAGCACATCAGGACGGCACAAGATGAGGGATGTTGTCATGCGTGATGAAGAGTACTAAAGCAAGGGATTACGGAGACCATGCAAGGGACTCAAAACGAGTCATTGCAAGACGAACATTTGCAGGTCTCTAGACCTGGTTCGTGACAAATTCTCCGTCATGTGTGGATTTGGAGCCCCTTGAATGATCACCTGGCAGACTGGCAGTATGATACATCGAGGTTGTAATAACGATATGATCAACGCCCACATGCTTTTCTCCATCTCGTGTCTCCGTATCTCCCCGTCAACACTCTCATGTCGGGACTGGGCAATTGTTAGTCATCCTGACGGCTTCACGACACACGGCACAACGACTCAAGATGGAGGGTGTCCGTGATGTTGGTCACCAGGGCATCTCCGTTGGTGGTCGATGGCGTCGTCGAGCTTTGATATTGACTTATATCTAGGGTAGATGGTGTGATTGGATGCTTGAAGCGGTGTACAGACCGAGTCTCTTGGCCTGCATTCTTTTGCTGTCTGTACCAATCAATCTTCTGGAGCATCACCCATCTGCCCACACTGCATCGATTTAGCCCACCACTGGTGTCAACCACGAAACAAAATCTCCATCACATGGTCCTGTTGCAGACTTTGGCCAAATGAACTTTGGCTGGGGACGGTAAAACGGCATCTTAGTGCCGGCTTTCCATTATCCATATCCACCATAGTCACAGATTCTGGCGTCTACGACGATCTCTTTTGCCCATGGGAATCTCGCTTCCTGTCCAATCCTTCGTGCAGCCGCCCACCATTGCCGTTCACGCCCTTACGGCGGGCGAATGACCCCTTGCGTCGAATGGCGAATATGCAGGTCTCAAGGCTTTTTTGCACGCCCGCGCCAGAGGGCACGCCAGTCCCAGAAGCCTCGGGTGATGATCTCCCAAAATTGTAAGTCAGTCGAAACGAGAACAGCACCCCTACTGTACCCTGCCTTTGTGGCCATTTATGTAAGTTACGAATTTCTTTTCCTGTCTTCGTTCCATAAGTCCCATTAATTGGGAGCTTTCTGCCCATTCGAAGAACCGATGAGTGTTGGGAATATCCTGTGGGGTTGAAACTATGAGACATGACATACTCCAAAATGCATGGACTTGAGTTGGGTGGACTTTTCAGATACCTCAACCCCTCGTCCAATTGAGATGCTGGGGTGACGACAAACGACATCGGGTTCTTTCACCTTTGTTTGTGCCTTGATATCCTTTTCGTTGTTTGCTTTGTCGGATTTCTGTGCAACAAAGGGTGGGCCGTGAACAGGACTACCACCACCACCGCCACTGCATTGAACGTCCCGGCGGGGAAGTGCTTGATCTACTAGGGATTACCGACTGCCCGACTGTCGAGTAAAGGACAAATTATCGAGGGGCCTTGGAGTCCTTTTGAGAGGTTTCGAGACGAAACTCGAATTACGATCTTGAAACTACGAACACACAGGACGAACAATGAATCAACATACCATTGACGAAAAGCACTCCGACGCCGAGTCATTCCACTCGGCAAGGTCGAGTGTGGGAAAGGATAGGCCGCATCCTCGACGGAGCCGGAAAACCGACAGGTCATCGAAGAAGGGCCGAACCGGCTCTGATGTAGAGTCATGTACGAGAAAAAACAACGTCCAGAACGATAGCGCCGTCCCTACGGAAGCAGAAATGTCTTCTGGATCAACGTCGACATCGACTGCGACCGTGGACGACGACGCAGCACGTCGACACCGTCGCCATCAACGCCAGTACCAGCGTCAAGATTCACATTCAACCTCAGTCTCATTGCCAGACCGAAAAAGCAGTCTAAGCCAGGACAAAAGACCGAGAACGAGTCGAAGATCTTCACGCAAAGATACAGCCACACTGCATCGTCAGAGCTGTCTGTTGTTCGAGTCGTTGGACGGAGTACTCGCCCTCAATGGTGAGTCTGGCTCCGTGCCGAGTCTCAGTCCGCCTAGCACACGTGCCACGACGAGACGGACGTCCCTCGAGCCTGCGATTGTGGGAGGCGATGATCAGTTTGCTGCGGTTGATGGGAAAGAGAGTGTGAGTGTGGGCAGACCGATCCAGGTACACTCGCATTCATACTCCTACTCTTCAAGAAAGACGAGCATATCTTCATACGGTTACCGCGATTCGAGGCACAGTGAGTCTCTATCTGCCAGTCCGAGCCGAGGCCAGAGCCAGAGCCCTTATTACTATCGCGACCCATTTGACCATCGCGTCACGCAGCGTATGTCGGTATCTACTGAACGCATCAGCCCACTGGTCGGCCGGACATATGGTGATGATGATGGCAATGCTGGCGTTGATAACAGCCCACCCCCAATACGACCACACTTCAACACAGTCATATCATGGACATCAGACGCCAGCCGGCGCACCGAATACGCAAAGATCGACCGCGCGCATTCCGGGGTTCGTGGGTTCTGGAGGCGCGTGATGCCAAAGTGTCTGCACAAGGATGGCAGACGCGCTTTCTTCTCGGGTGATTCAGACTGTGATGCGGATAGTGTGAGGAGATTTAGATTGGATTTGGATGCAGATGCAGATGCCGACTCCGACACAGAGGCTGAGGATAATGGCGATGCGTATGGGGAGAAGATCGATTCTCAAAGGGCTCAAGGACGAAGCCTAGATGGCGAGAAAGGTCCGAGTCCAACGGAGCATACGATCAAGACGAACATTGAAGTATCTGGGAAGGACATCGAGGGGAGGAAGAACTGGTGGACGTGTTTCCAGTGACGACACAGACGTCTATTGACTATACCGGAGATGGTGTGATGGGTGTGTTGTGTTTGCATTTGCATTTGAGCATTAGCAGCATTATCTTGGAAGCGACATTATGATCAGCAAGCGAGCATATCGAGATTTGGAGGGTTGAAGACACAGAATGAACGATGAACCACAGACAGACGGACAGCAAGCGAGCCATTTTTGAGGGCTCCTGACTGCTCTGAGGGATGATGAATGACAACAGAATAAATACAGACAAATTTGACTCTAACCTGCTGATCAAGTGCACATACAATTGAATACAATCAGGGACTTGAAGTGGGAGAATGGCTGACGAACAGCAGAGTACGACTACACAGGATGGCAGCCTTCAGTGGTAGAATGGGATACGCCCATACGGAGTAGAATGAAGTATATTAAGATCATGCTTGATATTGAAGTCGAGTACTTCTTTGTTCCATTCCCGCATCTCCATGAATCAGTGTCGGACCGACAAAGTGTCTAGGGCATGACCCAAGTAGACCAGCCTAGAATGACCAGTTTCGTTTTAGTTGCTTCACACTTGTGTGGTTGATGTCCTTTTGATTCGCGTCTAGCACCAAAGGAAGAGCGGCACTAGCCCAAGCTGATATGCCTTCCCGGGGCAGGGGGTGATTTGCTCAACAGCGTCAATGGCAAATGAGCAGAGCGAGTGTCGTTCATAGCCGAAGTATTGAGAAGTTCCAGGCCATAGGGACACTGTGCACAGCATTCATCAATTCCAGAGAGGAAGTGTCTGTCTCCCATCCCTGAACCGTAGATTCATTGCCTGTCGGAAGGGGGTACAGGTGCGATGTTGCAAAAAGACTTTCGCACACTGTGTTTCGGACTATAGCCTTCTTGTTCGGAGTGAAATCTTTCCAGTCCGTGTCGTTGATTCTTCTTTGCATGGGAGGCGTCTACGCCGACTTCTTGTTCTCAGTTCGGAAGCCCTTGTTGATGCGAGAGACTGCTGTCTCACGGCGTTAACCTGCCTGCGTCCCTCGGCAGTGTGAAAGCGAGTCCTCTTGGGGTACATGTCACCTAAAGATAGTGTTGTTTGCTGCCTCCCACTGCTTCCTTGGGGATTGGTATTGGTAAGGTTTAATCTCTGGTCCGGTCGCATGTCCACCAGCGTCCGAATGGAAATCTCTCATAGCAAGTCGAAATCGTCCAATTTCTCACGATATTGTAGGACCTGTCTCTTGACTTTGCTTCCGTCGACCCATGTGACGAAATCCTCCATGCCTCTAGAGATCAAGAACGCCGGATCCGTCACGACTTCGGTACCGACACGTATATGCCCTTGCTCGATGAATTTGTGGGCGGTGCTGATGTTCTCGACCATTCCGATCCGGACCATGAGGACGCCCAGCCTCCGTCGACAGAGGGCGGACACCGTCACATCCTTCTCGACATTGCTTAGCCCGGCGCCCTGGCCACGATTTTGTTTTAGGATGCCTGTCTGGTGCAGCTTTTCGAGCATGACGGTTTCCATTTCGACGCGGTAAGGGTCTGCCGGATCAAGGTTGGAAAGTTGGTGTGCTAGTTGGCGTAATCGGCCGCAGAGGACATTGTATTTGCTGTAGTCGAGTGGGTGGGTGAGATGGTAGCGTCGTCGGACGGCGGCTTCGCGGTGATTATCACCGTCGGACTTGTAGGTGATGAGGTCGACTTTGCGAAGAAGACGCTGTTCGTGGTGCTTGAGTTTGCGGACCATTGTGAAAGATCTTGCCTGAGTAGAAGGGAGGGCGGACTCGTTGAACAGACGTAGATGCAGAGGAATTGCGCTGAATGGCAATCGAGTTGAGAGGAAAATAATTTTTGCGGAGAAGCCTCAGCCTCGTCACCGTGATCAGACAGCCTTGTCAAAACATGAGTTGCTCCAACATGGGCAACTCAGCCGATGAGCCTTATGTATGTAAATATGCAAAGATACAGCCTCTGATCTTTTCGTTCACTACGGGACTCGACTTATGCATCTCCTCTATCTGTCAAATTCACCGCAGAGAAGTAAGCACTGCAATGCTGCGTAGGCATTTCGATCATGGTGCAATGTACGCGAGCGGTTGACTGTAGCCTCGATGGCTTCTGTTCGCTGCTCAGGCCACAAGGGTGAAGCTGGAATCCACTGAGCAAGCCTGGAACGTTCATTGGTCTCAAATACTAAAGTGCAACGTGTATCATGTTTCCCAAAACTATCAGGTATCAAACGAGCAAAAACACCACGCGGAGTGCCTCTAGGCTCTGTGGGTCAATACTGATCAATTAGTAAGCCAGTAGAGCGGGGACCTGGCAATCAAAGCACGTACATCGTACATATACTGCGATCTTGCCACTACCTTGTATTTGATGCCTGATCAAGGTGATAGTTCTCTGAATTGACGACAGGAGCCATATTCTGTTCTTGTCCACGTCAATTTCTATCATCGAGCCTCACCCAGACTAACCTCGGTGACGGAGACCTCTTGACACTTCTTTGCATCTATATATCTGACAAAAGTTCACGCCGTCCTACACTGGAAGAATCTAAGCTGTCCAAAATGAAGGCCATCATCCTCCATGGAGAGCCGGGAAAGGCGTCTCTTGAAATGGACCGCCGCTTTCCAAAGCCGAGGCCAGGATATGTCCTCGTTGATGTCAAAGCGGTAGCTCTCAATCCCACGGACTGGAAGCACATTGACTACATCAACAGCAAAGATTCTTTAAGCGGCTGTGACTATGCTGGCGTAGTTGCGGAAACCGGCACGGGCTACTCCAAGCAATGGAAAGTCGGGGATCGCATCTGCGGCTTCACTCATGGAGGAAACCAACTGCAAACTGAAGATGGAGCATTTGCGGAAAGAATCGCCGCAAAAGCTGACATTCAGATGCGCATCCCTGAGAACATGTCCTTCGAGGAAGCCTCGACTCTGGGAGTTGGCGTGATCACATGTGGACAAGGTCTTTTTCAACAAATGGGTCTGAACTTACCTGGCAACCCGGCCACAGGGGAGATTGTTCTCATTTATGGAGGCAGCACGGCCACGGGCAGTCTTGGAATCCAGTTCGCGAAGCTGTAAGCTCTTCATCCTGGAGCACCCATCTTTGAGGCTGATCATTTATCCAGTGCCGGTTACACACCGATCACCACCTGTTCTCCACGTAACTTCGACTTTGTCAAGTCGTTGGGAGCAGCTGAGACCTTTGACTACAGTGACCCTGATTGCGCCGAGAAGATTCGAAAGTACGCCGACAACAATTTGAAGTATATTTGGGATACAATCTCGCTGGACTCTTCAGCCAAGATCTGTGCGGAGGCAATCGCTCCCGGAGGTATCTGCGGTCGCATCTTGGGCGTCAAAGTTCCTCGGGACGACATCAAGACAACCTTTTCTCTAGGTTATACTGCTGCAGGTGAACCAGTTAAAAAGCCGTTTGGCGATATGCCCGACAACGCAAAAGACTTTGAGTTTGCTAAGAAATGGATTGAGACTGTCGAGCCTCTTTTGCAGGCAGGCAAAATCAAGGTCCATCCTCCGAAGGTGGGAAAGGGCCTTGAAAGTGTTCTTGATGGGCTCGATCTGATGAGAAATGACAAGGTCAGTGGACATAAGCTTGTGTATGTGTTGTAGAACTGTCAGAGGGTTGTATGACAAAGGCTGGTGCCTCTCAAAGTCTCCTGGACGAGCAGGTAACCAGGGATGTCACGAGGGGCAAATATACATGTACGACATAGCATACACACGGACCATCACGTTGCAATCCATCATGTAGAGTTTGGAATCTGGAACCACTGAACAAGCCTCAGGCAAATTCCCTCAGCCACTGGGATTTGCAAATCGCCCTGGCCATTTGGCGTTAGCAGTTAGGGTAGTGCCCCCACTAGCAACAGCAATTGGCAGCACGAATAACAGGCATATTGTCCCTAGGAGCCCCATGACGCAGTCATCCTGCCACAATTACGAACACCATTAGGTATTCTTGAATCTACTAATGCAAGGCTTCACAGCCACCATGCTCTTCTTTGGACGTACGACAGCAATATTCATGCTTTTAGACTTACAGGTGAAATCCCTGTCGCAGCAGGCTTCGAGTACTTTATTTTGTTGACCGATCAATTGACATGGTTGCTTGCCCTGTTCTTCGTCACCAACTGCGCAGGTCGCCTCGCCTACAACACTCACTTCCTCACTTTCCTCACACACTTCCCTCCTGGAGCCAGCATTCGATCCGTCCTTCCTTTTGTTCCTAATCCCAAAATATCTTCCACAATATGGCAACTCAATGGGGAGCTCAGGAGCCAACGCCTGCACCCGCGCCTGAGACTAATGGGAGTGCCAAACCCCCTCAGATCAAAATCCAATCCGCACCGTCGACCCACGAATCTATTCCTCCTGCCGGCCAAATGCTGACGGGCAAGCAAGAGCATTACCTCAAGCGGGAACTCATCGCAAGCCAAGTCCATGACGAGATTCAAGAACTCAGCAGTCCTACGGCCCTTCAGCGCTTTGGCGCACCTTTTCGTTCAGAATATGGCGAAGTGTCGCCCGTGGACTCAGAACTACCAATCTTACGATACATCTTTGTCAATCATGTTCGCAAGTTCCCCTTCCTCAACCAAGCCAAGGAGAAGGAGTTCTGGCAAGACAAACTGCAGATGTTTCTTGAGTCCTTTTCAAGCAAGTATATCTCTTCATCAGAAGACCGGCTCGAAGAGACGAAGAGAAAAAAGCTGGCGAAAAAGTCCGAAAAACTGGTCGAGCTGATGATGGTCTCGGGTATTCCTACAGCCTCTGGTTATGAAGAAAGAATACGTTTCGCAGAGATGGAGGTGGTAGACCGAGGAGCTAATGAGCAAGGCCTCATTGCCAATCAGCCCGAGGGCAACTACATCAATGGTTGGGATGTCAACGTGGCTGGTGTCAGGATCGCGTCTGTGAAGAGAAATCTTCGTTACCATCAACATGCAGAATTCTTGATCCGTGTCAAACGAGCCAACGAACCAGAAAGATATGTGGGAAGGAGGTATGGTGACTTTGCCAAAATGCACAAGAGGTTACGAACAGAGATGCCTGGAAAAGTGCTGCCGCCGTTACCACGGAAGAACAAGAGCTCCACCATTTCGTCGATGATGCCTGGTGGCGGCGACGACGATGACGCCTCGTCTGTCTCCTCCGCCTCGACGCAGGCCTCCGCTGCAGATGAAGGTAGCAGAAGCTTTACACCCTCACATCGACGTTTCAAGTCCGGCAACTCATTGACCGCCAGCATCAGTTCTATGACATTCGGTAGATCACCAAGGAATAGCTTGTCGAGGGAACCCAGCCCCAGTCAACAACCCGTTCGGCTTCACCGTGAAGATCAGCGAGTTTCTCTCAGGGCGTTTTTGCGAACGATTCTGCAGAATCCCCAGGTTGCCGAAGCCAGAGCTGTGGCCGACTTCTTCACCCTGCAGCCGATGAATCTCAACGAGGAAGAAATGGATGATATTGCACGACGCAAAGAGATGGATGCGAGACGGCTGGACGAACAAAGACAATTCTACGAGATTGCCAGACAACGTGCAGCGGAGCTTGACACTTATATGGAGAAGTTCCGGAGGGATATTGTAGAGAGCAATGGCCTAACGAAGCTCTTCGCCGAGATTCGCACCAAAGAGAAACTCGAAGATCTGAGCCCGGAATACAAAAAGTTTGCGGAGTGGTTAAGAATCGAAGTGGCAGCCACAATTTACCACTTGTTCCTGGCCGAGGACAACTCTCCCGAACTATTTGCGCAAGCGAAACGGATACATTCGCTGGTGCCATACTCGGTGATGAAGAACGTCATCCGAATCGCCAACCCTGCTGCTGTCATGTCTGGAGTCTTGGATTTGTTTTTGGCACAACCATTTGGGGCAAGATCCTTGCTGCAACGCATATTTGCGCAAACACTTTCGGATGGTATAAGACAGTTTCAGAAATCCATTGATGATCTGTCTGGAAAAATTGCAGATCCTATACTGATAAGCAAGCTCAAAGCATTTGTGGATAGTCCAGAAGAGATCAAGAATGTCGTGCGCAGCGAAGCTCAGAACGAAAGCATCGACCTAGTGGTCGCCATTCTTCGGTCGGACCAATTCAAGCCAGAGCTAACAGCACCGCAAATCCAACGAGTGTTCAACGCCTGGGTGGCTTGGAACAGTGCAGTGGAAAATGAAGACGAGGAACTCAAGCAAGGTGCCGAGCTTTTCTCGCAGCTTAAGCAAATGGTCAAGTTGATGACTCGCCAACGCGACAAAGCCATGATGGCGCTCATGATTGAGGAGCCCACGACTCTGCAACTCTTCCGAGACCTGTTCACCATTTTTTATGAGCCTCTGATACGGGTATACAAATCGGCCAACGTATACAATAGTATCACGGATTTTGCACGTTTTGCAGATGACGTTGTCAAGACGGTGGAAGTTGCGCAGCGTCAAGATGTGTCCGCCGATCCCAACCAGACGGTGCAAAGTTTCATCGACTTGTGTGCCCGGCATGAACACAACCTGTACAAGTTTATTCACGAAGTACACTGCCACGATAATGGCCTCTTTACTGCATTGATGGGATGGATAGAGGGAATTCTAGAATTTTTGAGAAAGGGGCCCAAAGGCGGAAAATTAGATATGAACGCAATCTTTCAGGGCGCCTTGGATGTGAATATGGTGGACAAGGACACATGCATTACAGAGATCAACGCTCTGATCAAGTGGCAGCAAGCTCGGAAGAAATGGCACAATGACAAGACGAGGCAGAAAATGGCGGCCGAGGGCACTGATCCGATCGAAGGGCCTCCTGGCATGGCGGCGTTCAAGAGCAGCGATTTCGGATTGCACGAGGTACGTGAACCATTTGACAAGAACAGCAACACTCATCTAACATACACTCAGGCTGATCTGATGGACCTCAAAATCTCGGACGAAGAGGACGATGAAGACAGTGAAGATGAGGAGGCCGAAGACGACTTGGATCCGATTGCCGCTGAGCGACGACGAAGGAAGAAGGCCCAGGACCGACTCAGACGCAGTGCTGGGGAACCGGTCAAGCCTGAGGTCAGCGAAGTGTTGAAGTTGCAAGAGCCATTCCTTGCGATGTTGAGAGCGGTCCTGAGCGACTAGACGATGATACGTGGGTTACGACAGGCATGTTTTGCATTGACCATCATGTGACGGTGATGGGCACCACGTTCTTGGACGGAGTTGCGGCATTGTCGGGACATGTCCGGTCAAGAACATCTCTTCATTTGACCCGAGACATCACGAGGCGCAGTTGACATGTGACGATGTATGATGCCTTCCTTCATGCCTGAACGACCCGATTGAGGGTCTTTTTTTCGGCGGACAGGCGTTCACGTGAAGAAAGTCTGATGATTTTCAGGCAGCTGGACGAATGATAGAGACGAACGGACAAAATCAAGCTGTTCAATGATATGATTGGAAGCGGGCTGAGAAAAAGGCAGCGCTTGGGGTGATTTTCTAGGTGACCAGAAGCGTCATTGGTACGCTTCACCACTCATTAGCAGGCTTTGGGCAGTTGTCAACTTGCGAAGCGAGGAGGCTTCCTTGCGGCGATCATGAGGCAGTGACGGGTTTCAACGCAGGCGAGCAGGCGGCACAAAAGGAACGGCAGCCCGGTTGTGCTGGCGGAGACGATAGCCTGTTTGAGGAAACACCTGTTGCTGTGCGTCATCTTCAGGGAATGCCTTAGAGGTGAAACTCTGCATGCAGTGATGCTTGCACCTTACACATGCGCATCCGAGGCAAGGATTCAAGACACTTGCATGAGGATCTTGTGATAAGGCAGCCATGTTTCTGTGTGGCGTACGACGGAAGAAGCTAAATACTCACCGAGACAGCGTGGAGTTATGCTAGCAATGGAAGCGATAGTCACATGATTCATCAGTGTCAAGTTTGCTTTTCTTCTGACAGCGGTGAAATTGACGTGGAGAGCGACTACTATAATAAGGCATTTTCCCCACTATGATCGACTTCGCTTGTAATCATAAGCACACCAACCTTGATACCTGGTCTTTTGCACAGAAGAAATAACCTTTGCTTGAAAGAAAGAGAATCATCGTGGAATTATACACGCACGAAATACTAATACTAATCTACCAGATGGAAAATCATAGTAAAAGGTGAATAGATTAGTCAGGCCGCAACACAAACACCCTTGAGGTTTAGGCCCGGTCACGAGGAAAGAAGGTGGTTGGTGGACCAGTCGCATTGCTGTTCAAGTTTGGTCTGGCGTCACTGACTGGCGGATGAGATCCTCGGGTGCCATTGCCAGGTGCCTGCCCATTGATTGCCCCGCTCCCCTTTGCTTGTGAGGAGTCTGAGGACTTGTTTTCTTCTCTTGATGAGTCCGACTCCGACTTTCTCTCTTCCCGTGATCCCGTGCATGGCCCGCTCTCTCCCTTCGCTTTCCCTTCCCTCTTTTTTCCAGGTCACAGATCAACCAAAAAGAAAGTCGCCCTCTGGTGGCCTCCTCTTTCTATTTGTCCACTCGCCCACCGCCCACTCATTTCTTCTCTTTCTTCTTCCCTCTTCTTTTCCAACCGCCCAATCGCCCTCATCGTTTCATCTCTTCTCAAACCAATCACCTCTCTCTCGCCCATTTCAGTCCACTCACCTTGCACAAACCAAAGACATTGCACGACAGAACAAAGCCCTCTATTCACGTGGGTCTTTGCCCTCTGCCGGCGCAATCATAGTTGCAAAACAGCCTGGCTTTGAGCCCCAAAAATCCTCACCCAAGCTCGCTGCCGAATCATCTCAAAGGACCTCTCTTTGACTCTTGATTCGACTCCCTGTTTTCATCAGATCCACGCCTCTGGTAAACAAGCACCGCCTATCAAGTTACGAAGACCACTAACGTCGCCTGTACAGCAGAGCCTCGCGTGTATCTCGACTTCAAGCGCAACAACGGTGAGCTTGATTGCTGTTTGCGCGCGTCCGCTGGTGATCTCATCAGCCCGGAACGCCCCTAGACAAGCAAAGCCCGCTCCGATCCCAGCCAGCTCCCAGCTCTTGCAGCCCACACCGTCCGCGGCAATTCTCCCGCTGCTCACCGCTGGCAATCACGCCCAGACCACTTTTCCACCACATCATCCAAGGCCTGACCGTAACTCCAAATTCTCCCACCACCTCCACCCGACTGACAGCGCTTCCAAACACATTCGCGCGTGTCGCATTGAACACTATTCATTGTTCTTCTGGAAATCACGTATCATTACGCGTAATCAACCCTTCATCGCCGTCGCGAAAAGTATTCCGAGTCCTCACGACGACTTGTGAACCGACAGCTTCATTGCGCCAGCGCCAGCTCCAGCCATCACAACTTTGGTGCACCACCCGAAGCGCAACAACAGCCGCAGCCAGACCAAGACTCGTTGACGTCGCCAGCAGCAAAAGAACCAGGAAACCAGCTCTACAAGAATAGAATCCCAGCTCTTCCTTGTGGGACAGGAACTAAAGGTGAGTTGCATGAATGCCAACACATCACTGCATGGGCCCCCAATGGAGGCTACCTGACTATGCCCACACTACCTCCCCCACCAATAACCACTCTGATCGTCTTTCATGGCCAATACTGATCTGTTTGTCCGGTTACGTAGCCTAGCAGTCGAATCGCAGCTTCCTTTCCTTTCCGCCCTCGAATCATTCTCCGGGTCGCCGCAGTCCAAATAACCCAATCCAAGTGCGCGCGTACATCAAGCTTCTGGAAAGTCAAGAGGCTTCAGGAACGTCTATTAACCGGGCCGAAGCGACGTCGCTGTTGTAACGCAGTCAACAGCAAGGGCGGGAAAGAACATCGTCAGAGATCTTGGGCTCAGGCATCGTCATCCCGCGCCACACTCTTGCCTCGCACTGCCTGCGCGGAGCAAAAGTGACAACTCATCAAAAACGCTACGCGAACCCCAGCTTTGCGTCCTGCAAAGAAGCCCAATCCAAGGCGAACTCAGCCGGCTGCACGCGGCTCGCAAACCATCTTGGACAAGCTTCGCCTCATTTGTTGACTTGTCTTCGTCGATATAGTGGAGAGAAGGTCAATCATTCCAACTTTCCCGAGCAAGGTCTGTCATTGCATAATCTGCTCTTCTACTTATTAAGGTCAGTATTGGTGCTTCCTTGGTGGTCCAGTGACCGGCAAATACTGCGCTAGCTGCTAACGCAAGGGACCAGTCTCCATTCCACCGCTCTTAACCCTCCTATCAGAGCATCCAGGCGCCGTTTCTCGACCTTCCAAGGCACACCGACCCCAAGAGCGCGTCTCAGCCGGCACCTGTCGCCTTCGCCCGTCTTTCACAGCGCAGCATAGCCGTCGGAAGCTTGCGTCTTCCGCAGTCGTGACATCTGCAGCGGCCAGCAAGTCACCTCCAGGCGCCGCAACCTTCTCAATCCGCAACCTGGCATCCAGAACGAGCCGAATCGACTGAATTCACTGTCAGATCTCACCATGGAGTATCCTCCCCAATATCAACAGCATACTCAACATCCGCATCTGCAGGGTGGGTACCAGACATCGCCTCAAAGCGCTGGTCCAGGTACGCTCCAATCGCCTTCCGGTCCTCAACCGCATATGCAACAACACAATCCCAACCAAGCTTCTCCCATCCTTCCATCGCAGACCCAGAATCATTATCAACCTCAAGCAGCTGGCGGCGCCCACCAGCCGATGGGTTACCCACAATATGGCATGGGCACAGGCATGACACAAGGATATGGTATTTCCCCTACACAAGCTGCGGCGATGGCCACAGCGGCAGCATCAGGTTTGTAGCCTCTTCACATGTTAACTTGCGCCAGCTAACACATTGACACAGGACAAATGCCTCCCCTATCGTCCGCAGTTAACATGCCTCAACCATCTCAGATGGGACAACAGAGACGTATGAGCCAGCATATCACCAGCCCTCACGGTCAAGTCTCGCAACCGGTTATGAACCACACCTTACCTAGAGCATCCGTACCTCCTGCGATGGCCCCTCCGCAACAACAAGTACAAGCACCGCAAGAAGAAATTGTGGCTGGAGGTGCTGAAGAGTCGCCTTTGTACGTTAATGCCAAACAGTTCCATCGCATCCTCAAACGACGCGTCGCTCGACAGAAGCTCGAGGAACAGCTCCGACTTACGTCCAAGGGACGCAAGCCGTATCTTCACGAGTCCAGGCATAATCATGCTATGCGACGACCTCGTGGACCGGGAGGTCGCTTCTTGACCGCCGACGAGGTCGCTGCGCTGGAAAAGGGTGAGACAGTGCCTGGGGTCAATGATGGCACTGCGCCAGCCTCGAAGAACAGCGAAAAAGCGACATCCGGCAAGAGGAAAGCCGGAGCGGCTGACAACGAGACGCCAGTCAAGAAGTCCAAACTCGCCAGCGAAAGTGCAGAGGAAGAAGATGACGACGATGGTGAGGAAGACTTGGGTTGAACCTGAGCCTCTCATCCAACCGTCTCTTTTTGTCATTTCATATGTCTTGCATACAGGGGCTGTCAGTTTTAGCAAGCGTTGACTTTGATTGACGACGGAAATCATGGTCTACCTAGGCTCGGAGGTCTTTTGGTTTCGAAGCTTGCTGGTCACGCTGGGAGAATCTTTCTTTTGTTGATTGATAATGAACCCACAGAGAGGTTATGGGCTCACGCCAGGACATGCCGGATACTTCACCACGGACCATTCATCCTTTCCTTTCGTCAACTCGGTCATTTGCGGCCACAGTACCACCATTGACTTTGGATTTATCAGCGCACTCTTCCGATCAACTCGCTCGCTGCCTTTTCGACAGTCTTTTCAGATTGCACACGCTTCGCCTCGCATGTCTATTTGTTTGTCAGCTCGCCAGAAATATGTGGACGGATACCGTTGCCGGAGAAGACTAGGGGTGCTCGACCGAGAGCCATCGACAAGTGATGCCAAGAGAACTTCGAGGGACGAGTCGTTGGTGACTGATGGAGCATGGCGACATGTTTCCCATACGATCGAGGGCCTTGCTAAGAGGAACAACGGCACACTTGGCTCGCTGTGACGAGCAAAGAGGAGAAGAGCCTACAGTTGCGACGAAGGAGGGAATCTGATATTTTTTTTCGGGCAAATGGGAACCGGCAACGGACAAAACCACCACTGAACGGTTTCGATTCAATTCGCACATATCACTTCACCGACTGTATTTTGTTGATTCCAAAGATCATCTTCCCATCATTTTGTTGCGACGATCGCTCCACGAATCTCTTTGCGTTGCTCGTCCGAACTCGACATTGTTTTCGAGGTAGCCTACCTAAACAGATTGCATGCTAAGGAGGGAGGGACGGAAATTTCAGGGGGACGGCTAAGAGAAGAGATACCCAAGCTTGGTTAAGATAGCTTAGCAAAGTGCCACTGCCAGGTGCAGTGGGTTTTATGATTGACAGATGTTGATCCCCATCCTCAGTTCTGTCTCTTTTCTGTTACGACAGTATTCGTACGCGAGTGATATATTCTGGACTACTGCCTATTTTCTCTCCTGCTGTTCCGCAACATGTAAGTTAGTAGTGTTGTGGTCGAGAGTTTTGTATGGCGGTGAGGGCCGATCGAGATGGGCCGAGTGCCAAGGCTGAAGATAATAGGAGTAGTCGTGTATACTGTCATCGACTTCAACCTCATCTCTATCTCTTTGCTTTTCCACCTCCGACTTTCCGTCGTGGTCTACGCCGGTGCGACGCTCTTCTATTTAGCTTTGTGAGCTTTGGGGCCTTGACTGAACATACTACCACATCCGTTCAATGAATACGCTACATTCAGTATTCTTCCCCGACTCTATGCACGGAAGTCGCATCCGCGGTTGTCTCTCCCGTCCTCCTGACGAAAGATGAATCATGAACCCCAAACTGGCCATGTCCCGTCATGCATCTATACCACTAGTAGACCCTCAGATACTCCGGATCGTGTATCGGACATTTCTTCCATCTCTTTATGCGGAGAGGACCTTCATCCCAAGCTTCATCCTGGTCCACTTAGTACTCCCCTGTCAGGCCGTCGCGTGCGTTGACCTGACGCTTCTGCTTGTACCGAGATACCAAAACGGTAAACATTACCTCACTATTCCGGAGGGACGACGCGGATCACATCTCGATGATTTGCTAGACATTCCTCTCTTTTCCGTCTATTATTCTTCTTGCTTGTGACCACTGACACCTTGGCCGGACGCACTGTGTTCAAGGTAGACTTCCTTCCACTTCCACTTTCACTTTCACCTTTGACCCTCCTTCCTCTACACCGCAAAAGGCCCAACTCACCTTCGCGTATCAAGCAACATGGCACACCCTATCCAAGCAATTCAGGAGATGGCTGGCGCGGCCGGCGTCGATCCGAGACCAATGCAGCGATCAAGCGTCTTCCAAGGTCTCAACCAAGGTCCAGCAGTTACAGCGGCCATGATAAGTGGTGTCATAGCTGGAGGCAAGCGTGCTGACGACGCGCCGTACCACACCAACAACGACGGTATTCCGTGGCCAGATCCAGCCCACAGCAAGACTATTGGGGGTATTCCCGTTGCGTCGGATGTCTTCTTGTTCCAGAAACAGCAGGCCTTCAACAGACACAAACTCCTGGAGAGAATGGTTCATCCTTGTGAGCCGAGACTGAGATACGCGTAAGAAGACATTGCTCATGTTGCGCAGGCGGCAGTGGTGCGTTCGGATACTTTGAGACGACCAAGGACGTGTCTCATTTGACCAAGGTAAATGGTCATGTCACAAGATTGTGGTTTTGTCGAGGCTGACCTAGTTCTAGGCACACTTCCTCCGCAGCTCTGGTGTCAAGACCCCAATTTTCATCCGCTACTCTACCGTCACCCTCGGTCGAGAGTTCCCAGATTTGGCCAGAAACCCTCGAGGCTTTGCCGTCAAGTTCTACACCGGGGAGGGCAACTACGACATTGTCGGGTTGAACTTCGTACGTCGATACTTGTTGTGGTTGGGAAAGGATACACTTTTACTGACGTTGTCGCGTCGAACAGCCGATCTTCTTCTGTCGTGATCCCATTCAAGGTCCAGACACCATCCGCAGTCAAGGAAGAAGACCAGACAACTTCCTCCTGGACTACAATGCTACATTCGACTTGTTGGCTCATACACCTGAAGGGTAGGAAAAAGATGTTCTGGCGGTTTAACCCGTCTGCTGACCGAGGTCATAGAAACCATGCTGGCATGATGTTCTTCAGCGACCATGGAACCCCTGCCGGATGGCACTCTAACCACGGCTACGGTTGCCACACTTTCAAATGGTACTCAATAGAGCACCGCCAGCTTCTGGGACGGATTGCTGACATACCTCCAGGGTCAACAAGGAAGGAAAGTTCGTGTACATCAAATACCACTTCCTCGCAGACGGTGGACAGAAGCAGTTCACTCGTCAGGAGGCCGTCGAACTGTCTGGTGTCAACCCCGATTACTCCAAGCAAGAGCTCTGGGAGGCCATTGAGCGTGGCGACCCAATTTCGTACACGGCCCACGTCCAGGTCATGGAGCCAGAACAGGCCGACCCCGAACAGCTGGGTTTCGATCCATTCGACATTACCAAGGTCTGGCCAAAGGACCAATTCCCTGTGAGTGTTTTCCAAAACCCCAACCATGTGCTTTGCAAGGGCTTTGTTTCTAACCAGGCCTGAAAACTGCTTGTAGCTGCAAGAATTCGGCAAACTGCACGTGACCAAGAACCCAGAGAACTACCACCGCGATGTCGACCAGGCCGCCTTCTCGCCAGGTGCCATGGTCCCGGGTATCGAAGACAGCCCGGACCCATTGCTTCAGTTCCGCATGTTCTTCTACCGCGACGCCCAGTACCATCGTATCGGAGTCAATTACCATCAGATCCCAGGTAAGCCCTCAACGAGCCTTCTTAAGGCCTTTCCCCTTCTCATTCGGTGTATTGCAACATGTTTTGCTGATACTGTGGGTTGCAAGTGAACTGCCCCTTCATGTCCGCCAGCATGTCGTCCCTCAACTTCGACGGGCAAATGCGCATCGACGCCAACCACGGCGGCAACCCAGACTACGCGCCCAACTCGTACGAGCCCGTGTCGAGGTTTAGGAGCGATGTGGCTGAGACCCCCTACAAGGTCGCCGACCCGATCATGAGCCGCAAATCGCATTTCTACCACGAAGGCAAATTGTCCGACTACGACCAGCCGCGCGCGCTGTACGAGAAGGTCATGACCGAGACGCAGCGCCAGCATTTGCATTCCAACACCGCCGTCATGCTGGGCCATGTCTCCGACACGAAGATCCAGGTTCTGTATCTGGCGCAGCAGTACAACATCAAGCCTAGCTACGCCAAGGCTATTTACGATCTATTGCCCCAGAAGAAGTTTGAGTTTAGCGAGGTTGAGGCCGCGAGTAAGGGAGCCGAAAAACGCACTAAGACGCCCAAGTTCATGCCTAGTGCTGGTGAGAGGTTGATGGGTATGCCTGCTCCGGGCGTTTACAACGTGTAGATACGGGTCGAGGGCCTCGAAAACTGCCGGACAGCTGGCACGTGAGAGACAATGGACGCGATGACTACGCATGGTAGGTGTGCACAGTGGACGGGATAATGATGACCTGTTCAACCTGGTGCTGAGCTCTGACATGACCGAATGGAGTTGATGTCGTTGGGCGACTTGGAGTGGGTTCGACCATGTTGCTCAATCGCACGGCGGGCTACTGGAATTATGTATGCTTTATCCCGAGTCAGTATGGACTTTGCCCTGAATTCTGTCCAAAGTCGATTCATTGCTACAAATGCAATTCATACTATCATTCTCCAGACTGAAATAACCTCCTCTGAAAGACGCCTCTGGTTGATCAGGCGCGCACCAGGAAAATACCTCGTGCTCGTACCTGACAGATGTAAGTGATCATTAAAGTGGAAGGCTCGATGGATCTTGCATGAAAGATGGCAACTAATCAGGATGGTTGAGATGACGCTTACCTTTCCTTAAGTCTGCCCTATCTCAATAGGAAAGTTGGGCGGTTCAGGGCTCCCCGGGCTCCGGCATCGCTTACAATATAATTAACGTCAAGTGGCTTGGTGGGCACTTTTGGGCGCCTGCATGCGATGCCGCTCCAGTGATGTCAAACTTTGAACTTTCTCTGTGGTAGAACTGCAATGCATGAGCAATTCTCATTTCTTCCCGATTGCACCTCCAAAGTCACCATGTATCATGGCTCAGTCCGATGCCCGAAATTACGTCCTAGCGATAGAGAGCAACAGGCAGGAAGCCGCTCAGATTGCCCAGTCCGCCGCTCAGAGTGAGTATCCTCAACTGCATGGGGCGCAAATGTGCTGATCCAGTCAAGAACTTGAGAGCCGGCAGATCACTCTGATCGAACTCGTCCAATCTTTGGGCGAGTATATCAACGATGAAGACGGCAAAATTCGCGATCGAGCGCTCTCCTACCTAGTCGCCGTCATCTCTTCTCTCGCCCCGAAATTCCTCTCTCGCCAGCAAATACAGGTCTTGTGTCAGTTCCTGTGCGATCGCATTGAAGATGGAGGGGCTATCGATGGCCTGTCCAAGCTACAAAGCTTGGATAGATTCACCACAGATATGGCACAATCAGTTGTGAGAGCGTGAGTGCGACTCACCACGCGACAGCTGTCCAGGAACCACTTGTATTTATCAAGGTTGTCTGGCAGCAAGTCATGCATGCCATCTTGACTGACACATCGCAGGATATTCCAACACTTTAGCGACCTACAGACACGGAATCAGGCCGGCAGATACAGAGTACTACAATTGCTGAATGAGCTACTGGAACGTCACCGCGAAGGTAACTACTTGTCCCGAGGCGCGAGAAAGTCGCTGACGATATCTGTAGCCGTCCGAGACATGGGAGACGAATCTCTTGTGGGCATCGTCGAATTGGTCGCCGGCGAAAAGGACCCTCGCAACCTGATGCTAATATTCTCGATGCTAAGAGTCCTGGTGATAGAGTGGGACATCACAAAACATGTTGAAATCATGTTCGATTCGGTATACGCATACTTTCCCATCACCTTCCGACCACCTCCCAATGACCCGTATGGGATCACAGCCCAAGATCTGAAAGACAGACTGAGGGACTGTCTGGCTTCTACTGGTGCCTTTGCCCCTCACACCTTTCCCAACATGTTCGATCGACTCGACTCAACGTCGACCACAGTCAAGAAAGACGTATTACAGACTCTGGCCGCTTGCGCGAAAAATTACGATGCGGCAACCATCAGCCAATACTCCATCACACTCTGGGATACAGTCAAGTTTGAAGTGCTGCAAGCTCAGGAGCCCGAACTCGCTGAGGAGGCTTTGAGTGTACTGAAAGGAATCGCCGAATGCTTATCCCAGGATGTGCAGCCACTGCTTCAGTATTTGAAACCAATCAACAAAGAGTGTTTGGAACACCTTCAGGAACCGGCGTCACGCCAGGCGAAAGCTTCTGGAGACATACTTAAAGCCGTGGCATCTGCTTCTATACAATCTTTCGAGGTTGTGATCCAGGCTATCGGTCCGAGTCTATTCACCATCTACCAGTCTGGGCAGGGACTGGTCCATCAAAGGGGGGTTTTAGATGTTGCGAACCAGCTATTCGAGGCCTCAATAGAAGTTCATGGATCGTGGACGAAGCCCAGTTCCAAGAATCCTTCTGGCCAAGAAACCCTGATCGGCGACTTTAAGGACCAATTTGTCGCCATCTACAGCCAGGCGCTCATGGGCACTGTGAAAGAGGAGGTATCCTTCCGCCTGACAGCTGCCACTGGATTACTTCTGATATCCCAGATGAATTCAATGCTGTCTGACGATGAGATTGGGCTTTTCGTGCAATACTTTGATGATATTGTTCTAAAAGAAGAATCTTACGGCCGTGATGAGCTGAAACGAAAAGCAATGTCTGCATTGGCCGAGATATCACAATTCAAACCTAGCCTCATTTCTAACGTCACATTCCCTGCCTTTATGGCTCGGTTGCCGGATTCGGAAGAAGATGCCCAGTCCGGTGACTACCGCCCTGTCCTCGAAGGATTGGCTGAGATCAGCATTGAGAAAGAACCGCTATCGACGTTGATGAGACGTCTCTTGAACAAGTTGGATAGTCTTCTCAATTCAGACGATCGACAAACATATCCATACACTTGCGCCATCCTGGGTACCATCCTCTACGTACTCAGTCGAGCGGCCTCGTCACAAAACACAATTCTGGATCAATATTACGAACGAGTGGTCGTCGGTCTGTGCAGGAGGACCACACAGTCCAGGAACGGGCCACTTACGAACGAAAACGTCCTGGATCTTGTCGGCCGACTTGTCAATCTGATCGTGCGGCACTCGTCAGTTGAGCATGTCCAGAAAGCCGCAGCGGACATCTACCTATTGTTCCGGGACATACAATCTGGTGGCAAGCCACCCGAAGTCATAAAACTACTTGAACCACCAACGGTCACCCTCCTATCAACGTGGCTACTGGCAGCTATTCCCAGGAAAACCCAGTCTAAGGTACTGATGAAAGACCAAATTCCCAAAATCATCGACGAGCTGATATCATTCGCATCTTCAAAGTCGTCCACACTCGCCATCACTCAGAGCTGCCTCTCGCAGATATCCCTGTACGTCAACAAGCATCTGGACAACGCCGATCTCTCTTTGATCGACACGTTACTCTCAGAAAGACTATCCGCCTTGAAAGAAACACCGATGGACGAAGCCGAAACACCCGACTTCAATATCCGTCTGTGTTTCTCGATAATCAAAGCCCTCACACTCCGCCTTGCGCCAAAAACGAACGAGTACCTCACAAACCTCGTGGACCTGCTCGCCGAAAGCCGATACCCACACGACGTATCGAGCAAAGCAGCCATGGGTTTCGCGACGCTCCTGGCACCAGACGACATACTTTCCAAGCAAAACGGCGCACAAATCAGGTTGCTCGCCCCACAACGAGTCTTCCAGATCCTCACACCGCTTATATCCGAGCGGTTCAGGGCTTCGCAAACCCCATCCGAGAAGGAAAACTATCTAATTTCCCTAAGTGGTGTCCTGGCACATGTCCCCTCGGACATCGTCATGCCTGAATTGCCGACACTGCTGCCGCTGTTACTCCAGTCCCTCGACATTGCCGACCAGGCCGTCAAAGTCGCCACGCTCGAGACGCTGGCTGTCGTGATATCCAACAACCCGGTCGCCCTGGAAGATAGCGGCCACATCCCCGCGCTGGTAAAGAGGCTTGTAGCCGTGGCGTCGGTGCCTAAGCATAAACAGAAACAAACACAGTTGGCCAACCAGAAGTCGTCAGCGGCGGCGGCAGCGCAACATAATCTTCCCAAGATTCGCCGCCTTGCAACGCGCTGTCTGACACTCCTGCCGAAATACGTTACTGGTGGTGCAGGCCGAACGAACCCCTTGATTGTCCTAAAACGTGAGGTCCTGCACGGCTTGATGAATGTGTTGGACGATGTGAAACGCGATGTCAGAAAGGAGGCCGTCGATGCGAGAGCGGCGTGGCTTCGTGGTGTTGACGATGCTGCCGATGGTGATGATGACGACTAAGGGAAGAAACCTAGATGGTACTATGGGCATGTGGAAACAGAAAGGCACAGTCACAAAAGCTAGAGTGGATAGATGAGTAGAACATTATCAAAGCCATGTTGTGTTAATAATTCCTCATTTTGTCTCAATTGGTATGCCTACATACAAGGTGAATTTTTGCTCTTCATACAAACAAGCCATCTGGAAGTAGGGTATTTTCCCATATCAGCGCCGTAGTGATGACAATTTTGTGCATGTTGCACCCAGCTCAAAATCAGCCCTTGGAGATGATGCCGCCCCGAGCTGCTTGGTCTCAGGTCTTCAGTACTCAGTCGCTCATTTCATGCCACGCAAGATCACAACTAGTAATCAAGCTCTGCACCAGCCCCAGCCTGCGCCGCCGCATTGGCACCAGCACCGCCGCCACCACCACTCGGAGCGGCGTCGAGGTCTTCATAGCTCTTGATACTTCTCCCTTGAACAGCTTCTCTAGGTCCCATGGCGTTGGTACCACCACCCGCGCCGTCGCCCCATTTTCCACCACCGCCACCACCACCTTGGGCAATGAAGGCAGGATTCATGCCAGGTGGAAGAGTGCCCCTCAACAAGCCACCGACGTTGTTGTAACCACGTTGATTGTTGCGTGGGCCATTGCGGTCGTATGGACCAGACCGATTGCCGTACCTGCCACCACCCCGACGAACGGGACCTCCACTATGACCTCCGCCGTTCATTCCATCTGAACCGAATCCAACGCCGGGTGGGAATGGTGCTTGTAAGCCTTGCATCCCCATCATGGCATTTTGACCAAAGTTCGCCACGTTCATGCCCATATTCTGCAGACTAAAACCGCGAGGGGTGCCACTGTTGAGATGATGATTGCTAGGTAGAGGGAAGTGTCCGTTTGAGTTGGCGTCTGAGCGTGACGGTGCGATGTGCGAGGGATCCAGAACGTATTGGTTGACCAATTCGAGCTGTCGAGGTTAGCATGATTTAAACCTGAGGGCATTCAGACTTACATCTTTCTTGAGTGCCAAATACCAGTCATCGTGTCTCTTCTCCACATGTTTCTTCCAGAAGTGTTCGGCTTTGAAAAGCTTGGTGCACTCAGGAACTTTGCACCTATATTTGGCTTCATCTTCTTGCTTGACGAACTTGGCCATTTCCTCGTCCAGAGCTTCTTCAACAGGCTTGCCACCAATCTTCTTTAAGTCGACATATTCGGGTTCGAGGATCTGCAGGATCTTCTCTTCAAAAGTTTTGACCCAGTTGAAAGCGCGAAGAAGTTGTTGATCGTTCTTGTTGTTGAACTTCGATGGCCGCTTTTCTTGCACAGGACTTTGAGGTTCACCATCGTAGCCGTTCTCTCGTCCATCTTTCTTGTTACCTGGGAATGGTTCTCCTAAAGCACTTGCTCTGGCTGCTGCTTTTGCTGCTGTGCTCAAACCAGCTCTTGGTCTTCGTAGATGGCCACCGGGACACTTTCGAACCAACTCATGTACAGAGTCAGACTCGAAAACACAGAAGAGGCAGAAGTTGTAGACGCGTCGAAGATACTCCACCATGAGGTCGAGCTTCTTCTTGATTACCAATAACTCCTCATCGTCCGCCTCATCTTCATTTTCTTCACCTTCCTCGCCCTCTTCTTCGAACTTGATCTCGTCGTCGTTGTCCTCGAAAGTCGGTTTCTTTGGCTTTGCGGGTGGTTGCAAAAGTCCTTGATTCCTCATCTGTTCGACACGGACATCGATTTTGGTCAAACCGCCAGAAGTCTCGTCTTTGCCCAATTCAGCATCAAGCTTTGTAACGAGTCTCCTGGCAAGCTCGTAGTCCCGTTCAATGCGTTCAGGAGCAGAAAACAAATCCCACAGAGCTTTCTTTCGAGGTGCACTCGGTGGTGTATGGACGCCGACATGACACGTGAAGTCTCCTCTTACAGCATCAAGGATGACTTTGCCGTTGATAAGCTCAAGAGCCTTCTGGCCCACGGAGGTCTTTTCAGGCTCTGGCTTTTCTTCGCCTTCTTCGTCGTCTTCATCCCGACCATCGCCACGCTCAATATCCTGCATTCCATCACCATCTTCCTCTGGAGCAGGATTGAGCATGATCCAGCCGATACGATGGAACTTTTTCGCCGGATTGGGATCGCTCAACGACAGACCCTTGAAGCCGCCGTCCTCTTCACCAAGGTGTTCCTTGCAGAATTCCTCGATACGCTCTCTGCCTACGTTCGGCGCGAGAGTCTTGATCAGCAGTGCAGGTTGATTGATGGAATCGTCTTTGAGGTCGCCGCCTTTAGCGGGCACAAGGTCCAAAACACCAAGGACCTCACCACCACCAACAGCTTCGCCTTCTTCTTTCTCTACCATACCACCAGCGCCATCGCTGTCGCTCTTGTAGATGCCCTCGAGTGTGAATTCGTCAAAGACGCCCGACTCGATGTCTTTGATCCATTGTTCAAAGGGACCTTCACGGGAGTCCATGAGCCGCGTGCGAATAGGATCATGTACTTCGGGAACGTATCGCTCTTTGAACCATTCTTCGCCCTTGTGTTGCTGGACGAATTGCCGGGCCATCTTGACCTGAAATTCTTGCTTGTACAGGTCATAGGCTTCTTGGATTTTTGCTCGTTCCTTCTCTCGGTCTTCCTTGGCCTCTCGTTCACCTTTGACGCGATCCGAAGGTCTTCTGCCACCATGTTTTTGTCTCTCCTTTTCCTCTTTTATCTGCTGCTCGCATCTCCACCAATCTGCGAAGAAACTAAATCCGGCTTGAGTGTCGAGCGACAGCGGGTTGGCCAAGGGGTTGACTCGGACGACTGGTTTGTTAGGTTCCTGGCCCGGCACATAGCGATCGATATTCGCAGCAACTGGGGAAGGAGCTCTTCTGCGATCGTCTCTTTCTCTTGCAGCAGGCCTGGGAGCCTCATAAGAATTGTCTCGATTCGGTCTTTCACGGTCCGGCTGGTATCTGTCAATGGCAACTGGAGATCTCGAGCGGTTTCGGGGAGCCGGGCGGCGTCGATCTTCGACTATATGAAATTAGTTCATTGTGTCAACAGCCGCAGTAGAAAGTGGTCTTACCAGGAGATCGTCTTCTGTACGTGTCTCTCGGTTGATATGTGTCATCCTCTCGCGCACGATACCGAGGGGACCTCTCGGCAGGAGGTGATCCGTAGGCCTCGTATGGATTCATTTTGCTTTACGTACTCGAAAGGACAAATGATGGCCAGGCAGTGTCGTCTTTTGTGAGGTCAGAACGACCCTTGAAAGAATTGTTTCTCGACTAAGTCATCTGAGACTGCGAGTCGTGGCGCACCGTGGTCAAGTTATGTCGGATGTGAAGGCTCGGTCGGTCGAGGAAGAATGGCTAGAAGGAGGCTTGAGAAAGGTTAGACTTGAGTAGAAGAGAGTGCACTGTAACGACAGCATCTTGATAAAAATATAGTTTGAGCTCAAAGAAGAAGAAAATGCGGTAGGCATTGATGCCTCTATATGATTTTGCAAGAAGCAGGAACAATGGTATGCAGGCTGAGAGGAGCAGGAGTTCAGCCGACGAGGCCGTTTCAGGGATTGTGAAAGAACAATGTGAGAGTTGCTGCTCTCGTAAAGCCCAAAAGTATGAAGGCGCACCGGACGAAGAATTGAGGTGATCAACGTACAAGAAGATAGGTTGAGAGAAAGGGTCGAGCGAGCGCTGGTTGTTGCGATTCAAGGTTACCAGCTTGTATGGTGGTTGACAGAAAGGATGAAAGGACGACAACCGCGGCGCGGTCGGAGAATACAGTAGCAGCAACGGCTTGCCAATGCCAATACTAGCCTGCGCCAGTAGTAAGGAGGAAAGGAGGAGGAGTAAGTCACCGCAGCCAATCCCTGAGACCGCAAGTAGCTTAGTAAGGCATGTGGCCTGGGTAAGAAGGTTGCCGCGCAATGGGAAGGCACAGCCATCAAGACACATGATACGACATGGCCTTTTAGCTGCTGATGTCTGGACACGAAACAGAGATGGACGTGAGAGAAGCGAATTTCAATATCAATTTCCTGTCCCTAATCGCTATGTTACCCTTTCCATACCATCCTGACATTCATTCGTGATTCATTCCTCCGTCAATCCATCATAGTCGAACCTTTGCTCTATCGTTGAACATGTTGTCCCGTCGGTTTTCCCCTCTCGAGCCAATCCTTCAACAATCCCCAATCCCTATCATCCAATGCAGGATCTTCAGTGCCATACCGGGCAATCAGGAGCCCAGACAGGCTCCCGCCATTTGCAGCCGCTTTCATGCCAGGTCTCGAGTCAGGCTCATCCGTCCATCCATTTTCTTGCAGTATGGCATCGCGGTTCTCGCTCGAGATGTTGTCGGTGAATTGCTTGAGCAGGTTGAATTGGGTGTCATCAAAGACTGCATCTTCGGTGCCGTGCAGATTAATGGCAGAGCAGGCCAATTTGTGTTCTCGGATTTGTTCACCAGTGTCCCCTAAATAGTCCATCAGCAGCGTTGCTCGTCCGCAGGAAGCAGTCCACCTACAAGTGCCTTGTGTGGAAGACATTTCGAGAGAGGAGATCCGTGTGTGCGAATGATGTTTCTGGCTGAGGACGACAGGATGGGTCTCAAAGACGGTGTATGGATGGCCCTTTTATAACATATCACGATCATGGGCAATCCAGGGTTTCTGTGGTCGCCAGAGAGACCAAATCCTACCAATCAAGGTATGTCAACACTACCAGGGGCATCCCTACCTCAAGTTCACTCATTCCGACCATCCCGCCCTGTTAATTTATGCCACCTTTTCCCAGCAAATAGACTACCTTCCTTACTGTGCACCGAGGAAATTCTTTTGTGGAAGACCAATAGTCCCATCCTCCCAAAGTCCTTAGGCAAATTTGGGCCCCAAACCGAGATCGGTCCCACGACCTTAACTTACTGCATAGGCGTTTCACCATTTACCAAGTCACCATCAGCGTATTGCTCGATCTTGAATCCGCGTGGATCAGCCCAGTAACCAAAACTTTGACTGCGAAGCACGTATCGGCCGACATCCCAGACACGCTCACTCTTCCAGCCTTTCTTCGATGAACTTCAACGAGTCCAAAGTCGGCAGCAAACTTTGCGAACTTTGCCAGATCTGGGTATTCGAAGTATACATGAGCCAGCCTCACGAGCTGTACCTGGAAGGGTCGTTGAGAATGGGTGGTATCCGCATGTCGGCCATGATGTATTCACGGATCGCTTGCGTTAGCATAGACAAGTGTTGGGCCAGCTCTCTTGACTTTGGCACCACTCACGTATGTATCCGCAACCCAGAGTGAAGGCGGAAGTCCCTTGGCCGTGCTGGAGGGGGTGTGTTGAATCTCCTCAGCTAAAACCCGGAGAGAGGTCAGGTACAGTGAGCACTAGAGGCTGATGATCATCCCCGGCGGAATTGAGAGCTCTGGCTTGCGAGTTGTATTGGATCTTGAAGACCTGCCGAGGTGTCTTACTCCTTTCTTATGATAATCAGAGGACATACCTTCAGGGGCAATTGTGTTCCGAAGTCTGGTACTTGCGTGAGTGATGAGGCTCCAGATGGTTTTAGGTGGCTGCTGATGTTGCACAGCCACTTCTAGCGGAATGGCAGATCGAGCGCATGGACGGCAGGATCCCTGGAGCATCCATATTGCGGTGTAGGTATTTGGAGAATGGTGGCACTGGGGCAGTTGATCTGTCGAGTGAAGGTATCGGCAAGTTGCGATGAGACTGATGATCTTCCGCGGAGGAATCAGTAGCACTCTCTGAAGCCTCTCGGGCTGTGGTCCACCGCAGGTCATCAGTAATCGAACAAGCGGCTCCTCCACGATGAATGTTAGATCGAGTATATGTCCATCTAACAGTGGACCTGTCAATAGCTCACAAAGAGAGCATGGCAGGCGGTACGAGCAACATCATGTCCAATTATCAAAGTTCCATACTTGCGAGAAGGAAGCTGTATAGCCTTCTCGGATCACACCGAGTCTCCCAGGATCAGGAATATTGGGGACGTGTTTCAACCAGTCTTGACTTGGAGCCGCAACCCGATGCAACATCCCATGTATTTGATCGGATGTCAGCGGTCCGGAAACTAATTGTGAGAACACTTCGAATGATGCTATATGACAATCAGCATCAGGCCCATATGAACGTCTGGATCCCTACATATGAGTAGCCGAGGCAACGCCCACGGCGTCGCGAATTGTTCCAGAAAAAGCAAGAGGACTTCCTTGTGCAGATTTTGCGGTGTCAGTCCTTGTTTCTCAGGAGAATATGCGTTCTCATCAAGGTAAAGCAACACCAGAGCTGCTAGCATGACATGACATACGGCAGGATCGACTGTGGACGAAAACTGGCTGTCCCACTGTTGTGCGACCGCCACGATATCTTCGCAGGACTCAATACTTTGTTGCCAACCAGTCTGCCACAGTCCTTCATCTTGTTGTGGTGGGTCGGTGGGAAGGCTGAGGAAGATGCGAGCAGCATGAAGATGGAGAACGCTAATTAGCCGTGCGTGGTGCGCGCGAGGCGTCTCACTCTTCAGGACGTCTCGCGTAGCATTGAGATAACGTGCAGGCAACGCTAGTCTGATAGCCGACATGCATTCTTCTAGTGCGATGCGTCGAGAATGGACCCGAGCCGAAGGATTGCAGATCTGCAGGCGCCGGAGTGTTGAAGCCTCCCTGAGGAAAAGCGTTGTGATGATGTGCATGTTGAAACCAAAGTCGCCGCGAGATCTGGTGACCTCCTGGATCGTCCACCAGAGTTGACTTGTCTCGGCCGGCAGGAAGACCTGGTCCTGAAACTGTGGGTTGTCCTGTGAGACCGTGATCAAGGCTGTCGCAATACTTTCTGTTTCCACAACGAACGGCGTGTAAGCAGTGATGTTGGAGTAGGAGTCGAGGCAATAGATGCACCACCACAGGTATCTCCATTCTTTGATCTCAGCATTGTTGACTAAGAGTTTGCTCCAGATCGGATGTTGATTGTGGCTATCAATCTGATGAAGGCCCCATTGGTACGCTTTCCGAGTCAATTGGCCGATCCGTAACCACGCCCCGTCTCCGGGAAGCTGATGAAATTCATAGAAGGCAAGCAAGCAAGCCCGCCTAAAGATGTCCAGATTCAATGCTGTTGAAGTTGCATTACTGATGGGCTCCATCTCCAAGAGATATTTCACTCGGTCGTCCAGATTGTTCCCGTTCCAGTATTCAGTCTGTCCTAGTATCTTTGTTGTCACCACACAGATTGTCAGCAGCAGATGGCTGTCTATCATTGCACGTTCATATTGTTGAAAGAACTTGGCTTCATCAAATAAGGGTATCGATGGATGAATATGTGCGAAGAAGTGATTCAATCTGCGAACGCATGGATCAGTAAGGAGACTTCACATGGCATGCAAACGTGAGAAGTGTCTCGACCGCATTTGGACTTACAGTTCTCGTTCCTGGTGAAGGTCTAAGTCCGTCATTAGGGATACTGGAAGATTGACGGAAGTTTCTGAAGAGTGCAGTGGGGGGAGGTAAGAGGATGGTCCTGCATGATCTGTTGCTTGGTTCGTGATGGAAGCTCCATATCGACCAATTCCGGCTTGAGAAAGGGGCCGTTGCTCGGATGGAGACGGCAGGAACGATTGATTCGCTGGTTGTTGAAGTGATGGCAGGAACGAGGGCGAAGAATAGTCGGGATTGCCCTGAGCGAAGGTCGATTCAGTGGTAGAGACAGCAGCGGCGTGCGACGGACGGCTTCCAGCATGCCCCTGAGAGCCTGTCGCTGACTTTCGGGGCATCCCTTTACGTGGACCAGGTTTTCTCTTGGAGTTGGAGTACATGCAAGGGTAGTTGTCGTCAAGACAACGGGAGCAGCTTGGGCGCTTCATGTTACCTGAAGATGGGAATCAGCCTGCTCTCTAACCACGAGGCTAGCGCATCCCGTACACTTCACCTTCTTTCTGTAACGTGTCAGCGCACATTTGACAAAACCGCGGTCTGAGGAGTACACACAAGATGCATCGATCGCAAACGCGGATATTTACATCCACTTGTGGTATTTCAACGGGGTCCGGTTCGACCATGTTGTCGGCAGCTTGTCCAGCGACATCTTCAGCAGACACGAAAGTGAACTCTGGGTGGGAGGTCGAGGACGCCATGTGGTGCAGAGAGGACACTCGGAGGCAAGCATGGGGCTGGAGTAGCAAGAGGCGCGATGGAAGATGTGGAATATTATAAGAAGGACGTGCTATGAGTCTTGCTCGAGCTGCTGTATGCCTGCTTATTCAGGACGAGGACGGTCAGGTGATGGTGCTGAGGATGGAGAAAATGGTGAATGGTGAATGGTGATAGTAACTGATTCACACAGAATTGAAGTCCGGGGAGCCTTAGTCACCGCCACTGGGTTAGCCCCAAGTCAAGCTAGTAACGACCAAAGGAGCATACCCCAGACATTCCCGCCATCTCAAACATCTCCCGTTCACAGAAACACAGTATGGAACACCGAGTTATGAATGCATTGGTCAGGCTAAGTTAAGTTGATCATACGAAAATAGATAGTTTCGTCCGAAAGAAAGTCATCACGTCATCGTTCAAAACATATCTTCCACCATTAAAGATACAGTCTCCCCTTCTTCAACGGCTCGACGGGCACCTCAGGGTTCTCGACATCCATACTTACCAGCGCAATGTGTCCCACAGCCTCTTTGGCTTTGACATCCGCAAACCTGACAGGCATATGCATGACTTTCCGGGCAAATATGGGCCCCTTCATCGCTGATCCGCCCTTGGGGAGCGGCGTGTACGGGTTGTCCTTCACCATCACGCTCACACTGCCCAAAACGTCAGGCATCAGAGTATTGTAGTTGAAGACCAGTGTGAACAAGCCGGCCACAAACGACAAAACAGCACAGGCCATGTAGATGCCGAGCCAGACAAAGTTCACCTCGTAATGTTGCCCAGGCACGGACACTGTGGCATTCACATTGCGGAACATGACGTTGGTAGGGAAGGTATCGCCGAATCCCAGCCCGATCTCCGACTGAGTCATAGCCTGCAAGTTGCAGAAGGCGTGCCAGAACGTATTGAACACAAGAGAGAACCGCTGGGTGAAAGTCTCAATATCCAATTCCGCGATGTCGACGTACGTGATGCCACCATCGTTGTCGGTATCCGTGGAATTGAACCCCAACCAATCAGTCGCGACAAGGATAGAGTTGGTGCTAGATGATGCCGACTCGGTGCTCACATCATTGATGAAGCGTTCAGTTGGGGAAGAGGAGCCTTCTGGGACATTTCCCGTGGCAAGAGGCCATTGCTCGAAGAAACGTTGCGGGATTCGATAGTTTGCATCCAAGGCGGTGTATGGATCGAGAAGTGGATGAGCCGGATCCCGTTTGACTCTGTCAACGTAGCAGGCTCCTGAAGAGGTCTTTCCAGACATGGTCTTGTCGATGTTCCAGAGAGGGGCGCTGAAGTTGCAATTCACTTCAGCAAGCACGTACGAGGTGTATACTGAGCAATTCGCAATAGTGGTGCCGTCAGGGGCCCGAGAGCCAAAGATCAGTGTTCGAGGGGACATGTCGGCGCCTTGTAAGCGAGCGTCGCCGTCGGCATCTCCGAGGCCAGCCAAGGGAGTCGTCGTATCCACGAAGAATGTGCTAGGATGATTCGAGTTCCCACTGTCCCATATGCTAGAATTGTCGCTTGTGTCATAAATTCCACGATCTGGGATGGTAGAGTTGAAGTCGGTGTCAGAAGCCACGACATCCAGACTGGAGCATTTGAAGACGTAGTAAGAAACCGAAAGGGTAAAGTCCTGGATACCGACACCAAATTCACCTCCAATGACAGGAAGGCCTGTCAAAGAGCTCCAGGTTCCTGCTGTGACCGAGGACGTGTTTGCGCCATTGTTCTTCGTGGCGATATCACGGGAGCACCATCCGTCTGATCCACAGCCCTTCGTCTCCTCGAGATACTCGAGGGAGGGGATCTTGACGTTGGTCCACGGATCTTGAGGTGCGACAACGGATGCCGGGGTCAGCAGTGACGTGCTGTACAAAGAATTGACAGCATAGCTGTAGTACTGAAGGTCACTGCTTTCCGCTTGCAGACCGGTCGGAATGGCATCAGTGTCCATGTAGTTGAGAAGTGTAGTGTTCACATATGTGCCGTTGGCGCTGATGATTCTGAGACCCGCCTGAGACGCAATAGGAGCGAGAGCCCAGATTGTAAGGAGGAGTATGCCCACCAAGTTGACGATCCTCAGGTCAAAGATGCATGAGATTGTTCCACCAAGAGAACTGCTCCTCAAGAGTTGTTCCAAGAATCCTAGATGTGTACCTCGCTGAGCACGCCACGTCGCAAATGATTTGGTCAATCGAGCGACTTCGATTCCAAACGCCATTGGAAAGAAAGTAGGCATGTAATTCTGCACTTTCAGCATCGCTGGTCCGTATAACTGACCTGACCAATTGTATGTGCCGTCTCCAAAATAAAAGGATGTGGTAGGTCGGTTGTGGAGTAGCCCAGCTAGAATGCCATAGATGATGAAGACTAATGGTAAGAGGGCCAATGCAATATCGCCGAGAAGTATATCGAAAGGTGGTAGCACAGACAGCTTCTCGGGCTCGGATGGAAATTGTTGGATGAAATGTGAATGTCGTTTGGCGTTTTCATCGCTCGGACGATTCGAACTATCGTCCTCAATGCTTAAGCCGGCGTATTTCTCGTCGACGGTGGGCAATTTGCCATTATAAGAACCCGACAACGGTCGCCACATTCCCTCGAACTTGTCCCCCATCAATGGTGAGCCGGGTGAACGAGGGGTTGTCAGTGCTGGACTCGTCATAGAGGTTGGTCGTGAAGTCTGGCTGGCCCATGATATTGGCCCAGGTCGAGGCCTGCGTGAGGGAATCTCTTTCGAATCAACCTGTGAGATGGCATCTTTGGTGGGAGAATCCATCGTAGCGACGATATAGACTGGAGTACCAATGCCTCGTTACGAGTGCAAAGGCAGGCAGCTCTTGTAGGTGCTCAGTTCTGCAGAGGAATTAGTCAGGGAGGAGGGGATTGAAGAGTATTTGAGTTCACAATAGAGGCTGATGTGGGTTGAAAGCGAACCTTTGGTGGCCGCCATCGTGTTCTAATTGAGGACGCCATCCAAAGGTGCAGATACACCGGCTGAAGCCTCTAGACTTTCCTCGACATGGCCTTGGTCGGGCATCAGTCTTTCAAGCAAATGAGGAGCGGCACAAAACGTTTTCAGCCATACAGACAGCGAGCCAGATGCCGGAAGTCTGGCTCAACAAGGTGTCCTCCGTGCGACCACTAGCCTGGATGCGCGACCATCCCAAAGGCGTCAGAGTCAAGCATTTGGCGCTGTTTGGCTTTCGCAAAGCTTTTTAGCCCGTGTTGCTGCATAAAGGTATGGAGATGCTGGAGTTGCCCCGGGCACGTTTTCTTTGCGAGTTGAAAAGGCTGGCTGAATTGAGACAGAACTGACTAACCGGGAATGGAAAGCGCTTTGGGATTTGCAAGCCGAGGCGCACGGCGACCAACCAGTCGACGGCCTAAAAGGGTCGAGAACCAGAAAGGCGTTGCAATGGTGTGCGGCTTAGAACTTTCAAGTCTGCACGCGAGGCACGCTTTCCCATGTTGGCTCTTCGCCCAATACACTGCCAACAAGATTTCACAGGTGCCAAAGGCAATTACTTCATGTCAACGCCGACAGGCATCTGGATGAAGTCCGTCATTCTTCCGGACAGCGGGGGATTCGCCACAGGGAATCTCTTTTCCAGATTTGATGGGAAACGCTGTACGGACACTCCCCAGATTCGGCTATTTTGGCTGAGAAAAGAGTTGCTGAGTTGAAAAAGTAGCGTGAAATGCATGGTAGAGGGTGTTTGTTTCATCCACATATCAGCATAAAGCGTAACTGCTATGTAAGAAACAGGGCTTCTTCGCTTGTTGAATAGCAGGAGGTGATCATGCCCCGTGTCGGCGTAGTAAAACACCGCCGATGAAACATCGAAACGACGGAAGACTTCGGCCATGATATGCGAATGCATAGCTACGCCGCCCATGTGAGAGGAAGCCGCGCTCGACTTTCCCCCAATGCAGCGAACACGAGTCGAGACCATCACGAATCCTTCTTCAATTCGGCGCGTTCCTCGCTTTGCTCGGTGCTCTTCATTGTCCAGCCATTCAGGTATCCAGTTCCAGCCGTCAGATAGGTTGCGAACCCTAGCCATGCAAGATACGGCGCCATCAAATAAGCTGCCACCGGGTCGACCTTTTGCCAGATATACGTCAAATAACCGACCGTTCCAGTCAAGGTGACTATGTCGAGCATGGCTTCGATTGGTCTGCCCAAACCAAAGAACAATGGCATCCAGATGATGTTCAAGCCAAGTTGTAGGGTGTACAGTGTTGCACCTCTTCGTGTATGTTCCACAGTCTGGGGGTTCAAGCTGGCCATGCCAGTCGTCCAAGCCCGATGAGCGGCGTAACCCATCATCAGGTACAAGGTACTCCACGCAGGGGCAAAGACCCAAGGCGGTGGTCTGAAAGGCGGCTGCTTCAAGGCCACATACTGTTCCTGCGTGCTCCGAAATTTTCCTCGCTCTTTCGCTCTTTCATCTGAGAAGTTCTTTGGTTTCAGTCTTCCTGGTTGTGATACGAGGCCGGACCCGAGACCTAGACCGAGAGGGAGGAGGATGGAGACAGGGGCATTGGAGAAGATCGACGACGGAAGGGTGAGGCCAGGTACGTAAGCCATTGCAGTCACAACGGTGTCTTCGACTTCAAGTAGTTGATGCGGTGTGGTAGGGATGCCTGCAGTACAGGTACGAGGACTTGATTGATAATTCTCTCGTAGTAGTAATGGTACTTCGTCTTCTGCAAGTGCAATGGACGATCAAAGATGGCTACTCCAAATAGGACTCGATATGAAATACCAGTTGAAGACGGAACCCTAGAGCGCCTTTAGTCAAGTTGAAACATGTACGGTGGAGTGACATTGATATATCATGGTCTGATGTTGGCGCGTCAGAACCCAAACATGCCCCAGCATTCGACTGCGTAGGGGCTTGGGCTAGGGAGGCCTCCTTCGGCAGCCAAGGCCTGAGTCCATAGCCTGAACGGGACGAGCCGCTAGGATTCTGGCCCCCACAACAGATGCCATAAACGCATTCATACTGTACCTATTATCTGTAACCTATAAGCACCATGCTGACACTTGCAACGCTTGCTATGTTAACGATCATAGACACTATGGATATACCGAGACATCTCAGTAGCCTAATGAGCAACGGCTGGAGTCCCTCGCCACCCTTGGTCACCTTCCTCGGGCTTGTCTTCACGTTCGATAGGAATGTTCATTGACGACGACCCAGACGATTCTGGTACCACCGGCTTCGGCTCCTCTTCAACAGCCCGGTTGACCGCGAATCGACTCTTTTTCCTGATGAGGTGGCCGTATTTGTAAAAGACATACGGAATAGGTGCCAGCAGCAAACTGAGACAGCCCATGATCGTCAACGTCCAATGCATACCAACATTCGACTGTCAACAAGATCGTCAGCTAGATGTAACACTGCAATGGAGGTTGTACTGAAAGACTTATGCCTCGATGCCAACCTCTTTCGGTATGATGAACTTACATAGAACGGCACACCAACAACAACCATGCCACCAGCCACACAGTATCGGCTCAAAGTCGCAAAGGTAAGAGCGCTAGCAGCATACATCTCGTAGCTGTCGATGATGTACATGTAGGAGCTAATAAAGATCATGATAACGCCGTAACCGAAGAGGACCGAGGCCATGATAGGTGACCAGATGGACACGTTCGGCGAAGCTGACCATCCCATCCAGAACAACGACACCGGAATTGCAGGTGCGCCACCGAGCATGGCAAACCATAATCGAATCTCGGGATCGAATTGCTTTCTGCCCTTTGACTCGGCCTCCGCTTGCGCCCGGACCGTCTTCTTGTAGATCCAAGGTAGCCATACAGCACCAAAGAGAATTCCAACCGCTATGCCGATGAAGATCGTGTTCGAAAGACCTTGCGAAATGTTGTATGTTTGGCGAAAGATATAGTCGTATCCGTCGAAGAAGGTGAACAGGATGATGTACAGCACCGTCATGTACAGGCAAATCAGGGAAATGACGGGTTCCCTGAAAGCCATAATAAAAGGCCTGGGTAGTGCCACCCTCAGTCGTTTCAGCACCGATACATGCTCGAGCTCGTGTTCGGCGTAGTAGCGGTCATCGCCCGTGATGGCGCGTAGGTGCTTTGCTTTCCAACTCAACAGCAGCGGTGGAAAGGTCTCAGGCTGGAAGAGGAACGTCAAGAAGAAGACCACGCCTCCAGTCAATAATGCCACCCATTCAGTCCATCGCCAGGTATGCAGGTAAGGAGAGCCTGGAATCCATGCGCCCATCACACTCGCCAGTGGAGGGCCGAGAAAGCCAGGAATCGCAAAGACAGGAAACATATAAGTCTTCTCCAGCGGTGTAAACATGTCGGACACCGATCCACCAGCGCAGACGAGCGGCGTGGCACCACTGAAGCCTGCCAAAAATCGGAAGACGACCTGGGCTCCGAAGTTGGGTGCCAGTGCCGATGCCATGAGCCAGATGCACATAGACGCCAGAGAGACAATATAGGTGGCATTTCTCCCCAGGACTTCAGAGAAGGGGCCAACCAGAAGTGCACCCAGCCCAAAGCCTACCAAGAACACACCGACAGCGAGTGACTCGGCCACTTCGCTCACATGAAGGTCTTTCGCAGCCTGAGGTAGGACGGTAGCATCGATAGGTGCAGCAAGGCCCACCATCAAAGCAATGGCAGAGATAATCAAGGTGGTGTAAACGCGTCGAAACTTGGGCCAGTTGCGCGGGTTCATTGGGTCGTCAGGCGCATCCCATCCCACAATGAGAACAGCTCGTCCGTTGACAACGCGTGTTTCCTGTCGGGAAAGAAAGGGCAGTTGCCGCGCAGTTTCGACATTGTTTGACTCCAGCTGTTGACGGATGACTTTGCCGATCCGCCGATATTGGAGATATGTCTCCATGGTTGCAATGAGTCCGATAAGGCGGTCAAATGGGCAAGAGAGATCAGTTCACACAGACATAAATAGTGGTGCAATGGCCATGAATGTGAGTAAGAGAGGCAAAGTAAAAGCGAAGAAATACCAGTCAAGGCCTACCACACGGTGTAGGGTACGAACGACACAAAAAGCTCGATATCAAAGCAGAGGCGGCGAGGTTTCTCGAAAGAGTATATGATTGAAACTTTTCAGGGTAGGAAGGCTCGGAGTTGATGGCTACGATCCTAGTAGTGACATTCCGGGTGACCAAGTCCAGCCAATTCGGACACGTTAAGATAAGCTGTGGATTCGACTTCGAGGTCAAAAAAGACATATCTCTGCGCATTTGGACAAATGATGATGTACGAGCGGATAGAGAGTGGCAGTGGTACGAGGGAAACAGGAGACGAAGTCGGAATTGTGGCCGGTGGAGAGATAAAAAATGACGTGCAAGTTAGGATAAATTAGGCCCGGCATTATACGGCTACAGACGGAAGGAGGTCAAGCACGACCTATTAGGTAAGGCTTCCGCAATCGCTGATATCGCGCACCACACCGTTCACGTGTCAGAGATTTTAAACAGTACCTACTCGTACTACGCCATACTTGTACATTCCACTGCTATGCTCGCCGCCAATTGCCAGGATAGTAAACCCTGCCGCCCGACCACACATCTCCAGGGAAACACCAGTGTACTGACGGACTGAGTGCCCACAAAATACTGCAGCCTCGTCTTATCACGCGAGGGGTGCCTCAAGGCTTCAATCGGCAGGAAGTGGCATATCGGCGCGAGGCGTCCGTCGGCCAGAGATCAGGCAGTGTATCCATCGATTGCGCAACCTCGTCGACGATATACTCCAGTATCGACATGGCACCGCCAACACTATCATCAGCTTCAAAGGGGAACCCCCAACCACCGACAGCGCTGACTCTAGAGCCCTTAACACCGTCAGCCTTCTCCCCTTTCGGAACAGCCATATCTTCCCCCTTCCCCAGATCCTTAAACAACGTCCCCACCAGCATCCCTTCCACCCTTCACGCACCTCACCAAGCAGAGCCAGTATTTGCCAACCAGAATTCCGCGCTCAAGACGTCCCCGATATCTCAATTCTCGAACAACTACCCATCCAAACCAGACTACGCGCCATCAAAGCCTCAAATGAGCATGTTCTCCTGCTTCCCTCGCAACATTAGTGGCGCGGGCATCGACCGGTCCACTCCAGGCATAGCAACATTCAGCGTCTCCATCCTCGAGCGCCATTGCTACACGACCCAGACATTCAGTCCTCTGGGTCTCTCAGCAGACGACAAAACGACAGTATTTCTCGTTATCGTCGCACCCTCGCTTCCTGGCTCAGCGACGGCAACAACATCCACAGGACAGGAGGTCACCATCTCGAATCCCCCAGACTTATCACGTCTCAAGGCTTTCGTAGCTCGTGGCGATCAGGCCGTCACGTACGGCCCAGGAACGTGGCACGCACCCATGGTTGTCATGGGCCAGCGGAGGGTGGACTTTGTCGTCACACAATTTGCGAATGGTATCCCTGACGACGATTGCCAGGAGGTGTTACTTGGGCAGAATGCTGTGAAAGTAGATCTGAGATCTCTTCGGCTTGATCTACCAAGTATTCAAGGTATGGCTAAGCTCTAACATGATACGGTCCTGTGTGAACCATGCACCCAACGCTTCAGGGTATTAATACCAAGTACGCCGGCTACAATCATGCTCCAACAAGTGCCCCCACAGCAAAGACCAATGTTCTCTTTCCGGACTGCTGGTCGTCCATAACACAATACCTCAATGTGGCAAGCGGCCGCCTTGAAGGCCCTCCAGGTCTCTCAAGGTTTGACACCGTCGAATTTGTTCACCAATTTCTTCATGGCCACCCATTCTTCCATATTCTTCTCATTATTGCCACACTGTAGCCCTTTGCCAACATCAAAGACGGTCACCACTCCATCCAGGCCACCAACAGCAATGTGGCTGCCTCGCTTTTCTTCCCAGGCAATTTTATTCAACCCTTTGAAGGGGACGATGCCGTTCTTGCCTCGAGTCGGAGTGCCCCTGGCAATGGGCACTTCGACATCGTAATTGAGGTCAAACACCTCCAGATCACCGGCACCAGTGACACACGCAAACACAGAGGGCTTATGCGGCGCCCACTTTGCATCATACACCAGGTCTTCCCTCGCGATATTCAGAATAGGACTGACAACAGTGGGTGCTGTACCTGCAGCCGAAGCCGCGGCGGCAGAGCCTGAACTCGCTGCCGGTTTGACTTTCCACAATTTTACGGACCAGTCGGAACTTGAGCTGAGCAGGAGATCACCCAGATCCACAGGCCCTCTAGCAGGATGGAACTGCGAACTCATGACCGGAGCGGTGTGACCACGGTACGAGAATCGTGTATCGACACCCGCTTGGGCCCCTGCACGGTCATATCTGTGGCAGGGATAGATGGTGCCTTCCTCCGTGCCGACAACGAAGAACGTCGGGTCGGATGCGGGAAAGGTCATACTTGTGGGAGCAAGGTCATCTGTCTTTGCTGGAGGCGGTGTATTGAGAACTAAATATTCCTGTGCTTGTGTAAGCATGTCCACCGACCAGGCGCAGACAACGCCGTCCATCGACGCAGTCAAGATGTTGTGGGCATTGGGTGTGCCGACCACACTGATACTGTAGACCGGATGTGTGTGACCAAGGTGAGAACCTGATTGTGGTGTTTTCTGAACAGGTTGGCCCGTCCGTCCGGATGTCCTCGTATCCCAGAGACATATCTGGCCTGAATAGCAACCCCCAATGACAAGGTTCGGATGAAAAGGTGAAAATCGAGCCGACAGCACATCTGAAGACGCGGTGAAAGTGTACTCCGGGCGTGACGGGGAGTGTGAATTCCATAGAAGCACGAGCCCGGCCGGTTCGTGAGGAGCGGATGGGTTCTTGGTGTAAGAGGACAATAGCAGCTCATTAAAATGGGGAGAGAATTGAATGTCAGAGACTATTCGTTTCCGGGTGTGTCGATCCGAAAACAGTTGAAAAGATTCGCGTACGGAATGGGGTTTCTTGCTGGTTCGTGAGTAATTCCTGTCATCATCATCGTCGTCCAAGGTCGACGTCCGTGTATAGTCTGCCAGCAGGTCATACTCATCATCCATATCAAGCGCTCTCTCAATCACTTTTGAAGAACGTTCCACAAACGAAACGAAGTCGGTGGAGGCCACCACAGCGTTTAGCTCGTTGCTTGTCAGCGTCCTTAGGGGAAAGCGAGGTTGAGAACTGGCAGGTTGAGTGGTCGTCGTCTCTTGGTTGAGCGTTGCCTTTACTTCCTCTTCGATTTCCTTCCGTAGGCTCTCGCGGATTTCTTCCGCCCTCTCCAGATCACGTCGACTGAGTCGTCTCTCTGAGCCAACGGGAAGGTCATCTTCGGTAGAGCCATGGGGCTTAGCAATCTCTTCCCAATCAGGCTCCGTTTGAACGCCCTTAGTATATGTGATGTACTCCTTTTTCGGTGGTGGTGGAGGTTCCTGTGCAGGAGCTGCAGCGTCTTCGTAGATAGAGAATGGGCCGGTAGTCTCGGTCTGTGTCGACGTTGACTGCATCAGCCGCTTGGGCGATGGTTCGACCTCATTGTGAGGAGTGGTTTGTCCCGTTCCTTGTAGTGAACTGGGACGGCTGCGTCGACTTGGAGATGCGGTCGAGTCTCTTTGACGGTCGATGAGGCTGGAGACTAGGTTATCGATTTCGGATCTTCGCTCTTCAGCAGTCTTGCCTGGCGAGTGAGCCTTCGCATAGTCAGTATGAGAAACCACATGTGACGGATACTGGCCTACCTCTCCAATGCTCTGCCGCGACGAGGCATATTGCTCCTGTCGTAACTCTCGCTGCCTCTTCAATTCAGCTAGGCGAGCTTTCTTCGCCAATAGCTCGTCCTTACGCGACGACATGTTCAACACCTGGTGTCCGCCTCCCCAAAGTCGACCATGAAAGTCGCCATGATTGTTTACGACGGCGTCTTGGGGACGTGGTTCGCGGCCATGAGATTCACGAGATCACGTGTTTAGCAGGGTGAAGCAGGGTGAGCTACGGCAACGAAAACCGAATTCCCAAATATTCTCTCGCATTGAACTTTGAAGCTTCCGCAACAACAACTCTTCCCTCAGCACAACGATACAGGGCGATAGAGGGAGCACGTCCATATTTCGGAGTGCTTGTCGGATTTTACTGCTGTACTCACGGCCGAATATTCCCACGCGCGCCCTTTCAACATGTCCACCTCGCAAGGAGTCAACGTATGGGTTACCCCATTGTTTTACCAGCTTGCCCGTTTTCGCAGCTGGGTGTGGTCCTCGAGCTTCGCGCTGACCAGTTTTAGGTACTCCGGTGGTCGGCCCTGGCTGCAGGCATATTTTACGGATTTACGCACCAGAGAACCATCTCCTCAAACACCGCGGCCGCTCATGCGCATGCAGAATACCAACATAAACTCGACTTAATACAAAAGGCAAAGGCAGAATACGCAAAAAAGAACCTGCCTCCTCAGTCAAAGACAGCCAGTGGTGACAGTACGTGATTGATGCGACAGCATTCTGAAGTTGCTCTTGATTCTGTGGTACATTACTAACTTGGGGATAGTCATTACGGATCCCAATGACAAGAACTTCGACCTCGAGGCCTACCTGACGAAGTTATCTGCGGAGAGCTGAAGTGAATAACCCTGAAGATAGTGCCAAATTGGAAGGAGATGGGAGCAAGGCATGACAGCTACGGTGGACACAATTAGAGATGGCGCTTATCTGGAGTTGATATCCCAACGATCGGACTCAGGAACGGCACCCATTGCCACTGTTGCGCAAGAAAAGTACCAGTAATTCACCAAAGCGCTTGTACATACATCTCGGCCGGAGGAGAATGCTGTAAAACTATGGTCAATACGTGGTGCTTTCAGCAGGGCTCATGTTCTGTTCTGTTCTCTTCTTATGCGACTCTGTTCATCACATGTGACGACCTTCTGCCCTCTCACAACCCCTTGAATTGTGGCACGGTCGGTCTTGAGGCCCCAATCGACGGCCTGTCGCAGACGTTGACGCACTTGAAGCGTTGGAGTTCCTTGGAGTCTCTTGGGCGCCTCATTGGCAGATGGGTAGTTCGCACCAAGAGTGATGCTGCTGACATTGTGACAGCAACCTGGTTCGTCAAGTACGTACGTCGAACAAGATACCACGAAATATCGACAGGCACATGATCAGGTGATATTCGCCAACTGGCTCGGACTCTGGGTTCACATGCCCGCCGTTTCTGAAATAGGCTGACATGGGTCCGCCGCCGCCGCTGGTAAGTACGCCGCCAAAGGCCATTACTGTCGAAACCCATTTAAGGGACATGAGAACTTGCTCCGGTATGAACATGGGACGGTCACATGACCACATACCTAGGTATCTATACTGCATCTTACGCTATAAAGGTACGAGGGATACTACTGTGACTAGCGGTCAATCTAGTGCTGAAGTGTCTCAACGGACTCGTTCAAATCCCATCCGTCCGGAACTCTATTCGAACATTTTCTGGACCTGCATCATCTCAACAGCAAAAGGACGAACATCATATGACGCCTTGTATTTGTCTGTATATTTGCCATCGTCCGAACCGGAGACAAACACTTCTAATCACCAAGGCTGTTTGCAGAGATTATGGACGAGGAGCAGGTATACAGGATCTTGCCGGAGACGGCTCTGGTATATTGCTCCTGCCGATTCGGACTAGATCAATGCACACCGGGCTTCCAAGGGAAAGTGAGGTTCCAGTGTTGAGGATGCTTTCAGTCACAACCTGGAGACAGGGGCCACTGTGGACAAATGGACCGCACTCCTCAACTACTGTCTGGGGCGGTGCCCTCTGCAGATCATTTGATGCTATTCCTGTTCTTGTGCCTTCAACTTCTCAAGTGCTTCAAGTCTCGTCCAAGCTTGGTTACCCCTCCTCAATTAACTTCACGTCTCGTCCTTGACACTGCGGATATGAGGCAGGCACTCCATGTCGCAACAACCCTCCAGGGTCACGACATGGATGGATCACAACCCTGCCGAAACATCCTCCCAGGATCACCAAATGTAGGGATCACACTTGTCATTGAAGCCCAAAATCCATGATCTCCTCTTTGTGGAGACCTAGACTCGACCGGCATCTGTTGTAGGCTTGTAGCCGACGCTATGCAGCGCCGAGCCATAGAGAGGCATCTCCCGAGATCGAGTCAGTCGATGCATCAACCCCGCAGACGTTCCACTTCCGAGACTACCGTACCAAGGATGACTACTTCCATTGACGCTGGCGTCGCCACGCAAGAATCGTATTTAGTTTGTTACCTTGTCAAGCACCAAGAGCGAGTGTCCTTCGGGTACAGCAAGAATCGAAGGTGTGGCTGTTAGCTGCAGCGATTACTGTCACCACAAGGCCGGTTTCATTACGAACAGGTCGGGACAGAGTCTGCTTAGACACCTCAATACCACATAAACGAACAATGTCGATCCCTTTGCGAGCTGCACGCCATCAAATCACCTTCGCTATGCACTATACCTTCCCCAGTATTCCCCCGCAGAACAAGGGCGTCAACTGTCTTAGCTCCCATACACTAGGTGAATCGCTAGCATCCACGTCATGTTTGCTGCATTATTGGCAGAGCATTGTCTCCTGTCTCCATATCGAGCATTGGGACTGGAATCACAAGAGAAGAAAGCGTCGACGAAGCAGCACATTGACTGCGCTTTCCACTGGTCCACTACCTCCGTAAGTAACCCTTGCCATTTCTGCTGTCAATCATTCAAGCAATTTCTTCTCGGAGGCTTGTTGCTCGGCGCCCTGCCACCAATGATCGGTATGAATGGCTGCTCGGTTGAGCGGGTTGGACGTGCTCCTCTCCACCGAGAGGAGAACATCGCATGAGCTGCCCTTTGGGTTTGTGACGCGAGTACTGAGCACGGCAGTATATTATTGAGCAATATGTCTGCTCCTAGTGAGTGCAGGTTGTGCTTGTGCTTGTGTTTCCATCTCCGGGTTCGTGCCAGCCCTTGTTCACTTTCACCTCACCTTCGCCTTAAGGAGCCTTTCCCGTTGCCTTGCCTCTGAAACCAGCTACCAAGTACATCATCTCTACCTCTTACAACTACTGCTCTCTTAGGTGTCGTCAACATGCCCGTAAACAACAACACTCCAGATGTTGAGAAAGACCACGCCGGCAGCGGCTCCTTAAATGGCGGCTACGACCTTCATCATGACCACCACGACGAAGATACAGCCTTGAGAAGACTCCGGACTGCCGGAAGCATCTCTATCAGCCCGGAGCTCTTCGAGAAGATCTACCTCTCGCCCAAGAATCGTGTCTCAAACAACATCCGATCGACCTTTGGCAACCCAACTCCCCTGTGAGTCCATCTTTGCCACTTTGGCGACTGCGTGACCCTACTGACATGTGACTCAGCGCTCTAGTCGGCTTCCTGCTCTCCTTGACTCCTCTTTCCAACGTCTTGTTAGGTTGGCGTGGTGCTGGTGGCCTCGGTGCCGCTGAAGTGTAAGTGAAAGCAAACAAGATCATTGTGCAGGGTTCGGAAGCTGATGGTTTCACAGCGGTGCCTACTTCTTCTTCGGCGGTCTCCTCATGATCCTGGGTGGTCTCCTCGAATTCGTTCTAGGCAACACTTTCCCCTTTGTCGTGTTCGGGTCCTTTGGAGCATTCTGGTTCACTTTTGGAGCCACCTTGACGCCATCCTTCAATGCCTCGATCGCTTATGACCCGACTCATCCAGCGGCGGCATCATCCAACCCCACGTTTGCTTCTACCTTCGCCTTCTTCCATGTCTACATGGGCGTTCTCTGTTTCGTCTACATGATCGTCGCACTCCGAACCAATATCGTCTTTGTCGGAATCTTTCTGACCCTTGTATGCGCTTTCGGCTGTCTTGCCGCCTACTTCTTCGAGATTGGGCAGGGGCACGTCAACCTTCAACTCCAACACGCCGCAGGAGGTCTTACCTTTGTTACATGCCTACTGGGATGGTACCTTTTCTTCGTGCAGCTGCTTGCGGCTGTCGACTTCCCTCTCAACCTCCCGGTTGGTGATCTGAGCAGGTTCATTAGAGGGGCCAGTGAGCGGGTCAAGGCCGAGTAATGCGCTCGGCGACACGAACACAGAACGCAGACAGTCGTGCTTGGGCAACATGTGCCAACAGAAAACAGCATGCTGGAGATGAGGTGGTGGTGGTGGTTCTTGAAGAAGCACTGAGGAGGATGCTGAGAAACAAATACTTTGCACGGAGAGGTACAGGATTCTGGTCGCAGGAACGGTCATGGTACAGCAGCAGATGATAATGGTTGGGTGGCCAACAATTCTTGGATGCAATGTGTCTTCTTGTCATTTAGATGGGACGATTGCCTTTGCTGTCTACCCAGCGCAGTCTGAAGCTGTCATAGGATGGAGTTGCAACTTCTAACGATGCTCAAGATTGTAACACTGCTTTTGATGTTTGGCGTATCTTGGATGCTGAGGTTGGTGCTGATAAGGCTGTGGCACCGAGGTGATGTAAAGTCGGTGAATCTTTATGGTGATGAAATAGGCGCTTTAGGGCACCGCATGTCACACCACATATGTACTTGCTGCAGTAGACACTCTCAAACGCCAGCGGTGAGAAGGAAAGAGCACCCTCTACCTATGCAGTTACCTTTGGCCAATTGTGGATGTCCCAAGAAACTCCTGATCCCCGGGTTCCGCTTTCCCAGTTCTCCGCTTGCGGCAGCCTCATCCCCCCTGATTCTCCTCTCGCCCGAAACCTTCGCCCAACGCACCAAACTATGCCAGTCGGCGGTGGGGACAGCATTGAACTTCGGATCAGGTTGACCATCCATTTCATACAGTGCACAGCATCTAATCAACTGCCAGGACGGCTACTGTCGATGGCATTGAATGGCCTGTCTCAACGCTTCTCCCTTCGCGAACGCGGAACATCTCCGCATTCCGACATTGTAGACCTCGATTTCTCCGTGGCAGGTGAACCATCAGGAGAATGATCTTCTTGACTTGCACTGCCAGGTACCCGATGGTCAGACATCCTACTGTAGTATGTCCTGCTGTTAGCTCGGCGGAGCAGATATGATGAACGGAGAAAAAATAACATGACAACCTCTGACCGCATGATTGACAAATGAATCTTAGGGCATCGAGTCAGTCACTTACCAGCACTTCTATACAGGTTTAGGCAGCAACACCGTGAGAGCACTCGATGAAGAACACACTACAGCGGTCCGTCGCCGTCGCCATCGCAGTAAGTCAACATAGCACTGGACAATCTTCATAACTCAAAGCCTGAGTATCAGCCTTTCCCAATCCACCGCCCCTACTGCCAGACCTGTCTTCACTCCTTCACTTCTTCTCCCTTGGCGACACGTTCCTGCTATCCACATCACTTCACTTGCTTCCAAAATTCATGGTTCATATACCAAACTCATAGAAAACTGGTCAACAATTCCTCACTGGCTCTGGGTTTCACCGACAAAAGTGAAGCTATCAAACTAGCACCGGGCTAGAAGGCGTGTCAGTGACGAATTGTCGCCAGTTCGATCCTCCGAAGAAACAAATTTTCGATCATTCTCTCGACTCCTCGACGACAAACTGTCCTAGGTCTTATCAGGTCAAACTAGCACCGGGCTAGAAGGCATTAGGACCTCGACTCGAACACAACGACCGTTGATCCTGCGAACCCGGATCCCAACCGACGACAACCGAATCGGAAAAAGCCTGCGAACCCGGCTTTCACTTACCATGACCCCTATACGACAGGGTTCATGGTAAAGTTTTTGCCCCATTGAAAGGATATTAGGTCCATTACTATGTGGCCGTGGTGATACACTGATACGGCTTCGCCGATACTGCCCAGTCTCATCTCATGGTGTCGTATACCATGCTATAAGGTAGATACGTCAAACCGACCATCACAGGACTCATAATACAGAAGACCAGTCAATAAACATGCTATTCTATCTATTTACCCAACCTGACGACTCTCCAGTGTCCAGCTGCCGCACCTTGCCATCCGCGACTGTGCTCTCCAGGCTCACTTATAAAGCTGAGGATGAGCCTCCTTAATAATGTCCGCCCCCTTCTCAGCAACCATGTACACATCATTCTGGATCCGACAATCCGGAATGACAGGAAAGATACTCGCATCAATAACCCTCAGATTCTTGACACCATACACCTTCAACTTGGAATTCACAACACCCTGCTTGACGTCCTTACCCAATCTGCACGTGCCGCAAGGGTGAAACCCCGTCTGCGAGCGCTCGAGGATCTGCCGGATCATAGCCTCGTCCGAGTTTCGCGGCATAGGCCAGGGATAATCACCCTCGATGATATCCTTCATGCCCTCGCCGTTCATGACGATGTCGTCGATCATCCTCACACCTTCGCGCAAAGCGATCAAATCAAGATCATTGCTGAAGAAATTCAAGTTGATGTACGGCTGCTGTTTGGGGTCGGTGGACAGCAATTTGACTTCGCCGTTGCGAGAAAGAGGGCGCAGCAGGTCGACGATAACAGTGAAGTAGTCGCCGGTTGGTGGTGTGGGGAAGTGCCATTGGAAGGCGTCGCAGAACATGGGCTGTCAATTCATCAGCACCGGGTCAATACAGGAAAGATAGGACTAGACATACCACAAAGTCAACTTCAAAATGTGGCTGACCGCCCGGCCCAAAGGGATCGACGCCGCCGTTTTTGGCCTTGTATTCGCGATAATCCTTTGACTTTTCGAACCACTCGTCGGCCCTGGGGAAGGCGACGAGCTCGAGCAGACCGCTACTCAATGGTCCGCTCCTGTTCTTTCGGTACGCCGCGACAGCACCGTCCTTTTGCGGCCCCGCGCGCAGAAGGTGGCTATCCAGACCGTACCCGTCTTTGATCTTGAAGACATGAGACAAGATAGGGTGGTCCAACATGTTTTGACCGACGTGCTTCGAGTCGACAAGCACCTTGATACCATAAGCCTCGAGGTCGGCTTTGCGTCCGATGCCAGAGAGCATAAGCAGCTTCGCAGACTCGTAGACGCCCTGTGACACAATGACCTCGTATTTGGCGCGAAAGGTGTACTCGTTGCCGTCGGGGCCGATAACAACAAGACCTACGGCCTTGCCGTTCTCGAAGATAATGTTCTTGGAGATGGTGGACGACATGACCGTCACGTTTTGTTTGCCTTCGAGGAAGACAGCTGCGTGGGATCGTTTGCCTTTATAGATGGAGCTGACGCATTTGAAGAGACCTTTCTGTGTTCCGCTGTAGACGTCAGAAGACAATTCTTGGCCTTTGCTCACCCAGGCCTTCTCAAGCGCGTGGCGGAAGGGCTTGAGTTCAGGAACCAAGTCGGAGTGCGAGATATGGAGGGGACCGCCTAGGTTGCCGATCTTGGCGAGGTCGGTTGGATACAGATCCTCGTCGTCGTGGTAGGTGGTGGATTTGTTGAAGTATTTCTTGGTGTTTTCCCAGTTCCACTCTTCCGTGCCGTATTCTGCCCAGTCATCGAACGTCGCAGCACTGCCTCGGACCCAGGTGTAGTAGTTCTCTGCGCTGCTGCCTCCGAGCGTCTTACCTCTTGGATTGGGTTTCTCGACGCGGGTGTAGTCTGGACGATCGATCATGGTGGTCTTGTATTGCCAGTCCCACGGGCTGCCTCTCAACTCGAAGGCACGGGCTGGGGTGGTGATCTCGGGGATCTCATCGGTGTTGCTGACAGTGTTAGTGGAGGACAAGAACCTTGAGTGTAGTCGGCATACTTGAGTCCAGCTTCAACGACTAGGATCTTGACATTTGGGTTCTCGGCTAGACGGCCAGCGACGACGCAGCCGGCGGTACCGCCGCCTGCGACAATGAAGTCGAATGCCTCAGGGGCATTCTTGGGAGCTGTAGCTGGATGCACCATTGTGTTGGTAGTAGAGGCTTCGTGCTTGTTGGATGTGCGAGGATGCTGGTAGGCTCGAGGGTGGTCTCCTTATGAGGACAAGGTGCTTTGATGTGGTCATAACGGGTGCATTCCCGAAGGAGAAATTTCCTCTGATTTATAGCTTCATGGACAGTGATGCTTCGTGCTTGATCCTTGTTACGTGTGCGTGATATCGGCTGAACATTACATGATTTTTCGCGTAGGCCTAACACGGCACACCTGCGAGCTGCAAGGCACTGGCAACGCTTGGATTGCTCGTGTGAATAACCAACGGTCGAGACAGGGGACTTACTGGTGTTGGCGAAACCGAATAGGCAGTTCAATGAGCCAGTAAAGCCAGATCAGCCCGTCGGACCCGACCAAGAAGTTTCAGGGGCTCGATTTCTCTTGACTCATCGGAAGTTGTAGGTCCATGCTGTTGATCCCTTCAGCTAGTAGCAATTAGGGCTGGAGAAGCCGGGCTTGCCGCGAAGCAAGCTTGTGTCCACGCGCAGCATGCTGTGTAAGATGACTGAAATGTTCCATAAAAGTCTCTGCAGAAAGGAACAGAGTTTGAGGCCGGAGCAAGAGAAAGTAGACGTTAGGCTCGCACGAGGCTAGGGGGCTCGCGCGGGACAAATATTGCGGCTAAACCTGCAGTCTTTCTCATGGAAACGTTTCGGGAGAAGGGCGATTATTCAGCCGCGAGGCTAGCTGTTCCTCGCTTATTTAGCAGATGTTGATTCGTTTCTCCGACTTCGAATTGGACCACTAGATGCTTGAAATCGAGATGCTGATATGTTCTCTTGTACAGCGTGGTCCTAACAACCCTCGCATCAACAGTGTACGCGGGTGCCAGAGTCTTTGGGAATGGTCCCGACCTTTTACCCATATCCACGTTCCCGAGAAGCGTTACAGGAACACTCCGTGTGCTCTGCTGGAAACATATACTTCAGTTTCAACGAGATGAATGCTCTTGCAGAGGTCATCAACGCAAGTACCATGGGGCAACCTTTGCCTTCTCCCTGAGCCGCTTAACCTGGGCCTGTGGGGCAAGGACATATTGTCGACCACCGAGAGTGCTTCCAGCGCGATGCTTGTTGTAATAGGTCTTGTACTGGTCGGGCTTAGCAACAGTGCACCGAAAAGATGTGTCGGCCGCAGACACTCACCTCTTTGTCCCACTTCAGACGCTTCCATGCCGCGATCGTCTCCTTATGGTCTTCATATCGACTTGAGTCCACACCTTCCTTCTTCAGTTTGTCTTCGATACCCCATGGAGCACGCTTGAATCCGATGCCTCTGTGTTGTGCTTCAACGATGGCAGCATCACACCATTTGAGCTCGTCGTCAATGGGATACTCAGGACCACAGTTCCCTGGCCAATCTTCCATGTTACGTCGGAGATAAGCGAGAACCAGCGCAATGTTCTTGACAGGTGAGTCAGCCCGTAGCAAGTTGTGTTCTTCCAGGATCTTGAGCGTGGAAAATACTGCCACTCCAAGTATCTTCAAGGTTTCACAGAGACCATCCGCGTCGTCAATATGAAACCAATAAGCACGGTCATCAGGCAGATTGAATGCAAAGGCTTCTAATATGGGCCACAGTGCGGCCGGAGAAGGATTTTTCTTCTGGATTTCCTCGTTAAATGTCACCAGCTATGGCCGAAATTAGTATGCGACAGGTCGAGGCGGTGGTAAGCACTCACATGATTGTCAACGACCTCCTGAAACCCATAACCACTATGATCACCATACTGCATCGGGTCCCATACCTCTGCTTCCCTTAGTAGCACTTCAACTCGAAATTGAGCAACAATGTCAAGTGCTTTCCTGCTGATAAACCATGTCCAGCCTGGATGCTTTGTGGCCGGGTCTTCACGGATGCAGCGAAGATTGTCGCACACCATCATCTCACGCTCTCGCTCGCGGAACCTTGGTGCAGCCGCGACGTCTTCAGAGTCATACTCCTCATCCTCATACCTCAGATCGGGTCTGCATATGGCTCTATAGTCGAATGCATCCTCATTTGCTTCATCCTTGGAATCGTTGGCCTAGACGGATCAGTAGGGTTAAAAATGTTCGATTGCGGCCATACATACCTTCTTGCTGTCTGCTGTTTTCCCTCGCTTAGTAGTCGTCGCCTTCCCATCATCTTCTTGAAGCCTTTGAACAAGTTCCGTTTTGCTTCCACTAACACGTAATGAGCGATCTCTGAGCATATCAACAAGTGTTGATTTCAAGTGCTTCTCTTAGTCGGCAGGCGGCTTTCCTGAAGACTTGGTATGCTTTGTCTTTCGTCCCGAGGCTGGTCCCGAGCGGGTGACATTATGGTCAATCTCACTGAGTGGTCGTTTGGTGGGTGCCATAATGTACAGTAGTAGGTATGCAATTGTTGACAAGATCAAGGGGAGGAGAATGGAGAATAACCACACTTATGAAGCGATAGCTGGGCGGGCTTGGTGATATCAGTGGCGCAACGTGCCTATCCTCCTAGTTTCTGTCAATGCATATCGGTAGAAGTGCACGTCGTCGATCGCGATCCTCTGCGGTTTGTTTAATGTGTTACGTCACGCGTGATAGAAGGGTCGCGCCTTCACGTGATGGAGAACCGCGATGCTTCCCGGAGGAAGGAAGAAGTGTCTGAGAGTCAACAGTTCGACTGGCTGATGTTCTGTGATGCCCTTCATGTACAATGTTATAGATCACATTGATCACCACCGATATACTCTTGCGCCTTTACTTTGCACATCTTCCAATTGAGTATTGTCACTATGACTGTCAATGCCCATGTCTCACCACCACACATTCCCCATCGAACCACTCAGCCACTTCGCAAATGGGGATACTGCCATTCGAAGACCACGAGTATGTGCGATCCCCAATAGAATGTTCGACCACTGACAGTTCCTAGGAGATCACCTTCTTCTCATACGATGAAGACCACAAATATCGTCAGGATGCGTCCAGTCTTCGCTACTACTATCCTCCAATCCTCCCATGCGATCTCAACAGAGGGTTTGAAACCTTCCGCCAGCTTGATGATTCAGCCGACGACCACCTCGACGGACTTCTAGAGGCCATTATAGCATACGAGAAGGAGAAAGGGTCCAAGACCAGCGTAGACATCATAACATGGAGAGGCATGATGACCAAGGTGTGAAGATTGATTCAATCACAACAAGCGTTGCTCATGGCTTGAACAGATTTTGGTGGTTCCATTTTCGAAACTGGACGAGTGGGAGATGAATGCGACTTTTTTCCAGGGCACTCTGTTCATCGAAGAGAACCACGACAAGAAGCTTTCTTCACGTCAGGAGCAGTCCACAGCACCACGCGGTAGGAACGCCATGTCCCAAGACCTTATGAGTTTCTGGGGATACAAGTTTGAGACCGTTTCGCTTCTACCTGAACCGTGGTCCATTACCTCACGCGAATACATTGAGTCCCGCGAGAACCAAGTGGTGAGCAATTATTCTCAGTACTGTTCCATCGTTCGTACTGGCCTCGGAAACACGAAGATGGTCATTGGCGGAGAAGTGGACGCGGTAATGGATGTCAAGCCAGATGACAAGTCTTTGCCTGTCAACTGGGTCGAGCTAAAGACCACCGCTGCTGTCATCAATGAGCGCGAACAGATCAAATTTGAGAGGAAGCTGTTGAAATTCTGGGCCCAATCATTTTTGCTTGGGGTGCCCAAGATTATTGTCGGTTACCGATCTCCGCAAGGTATATTGGAACGCGTCGAGGAGCTCGACACGCAAGCAATCCCAGACAAGGTCCGACTGAATGGTAAAGGCCTGTGGGACGGCCAGATCTGCATCAACGTTGCCTCAAGCTTTCTGGAGTGCAAGTGACCCTCTCATCGAACCAGATCTATGGCTGACTGTTTCAGGGCTAAAAAGCGTCATCACTGAAGAAGGTATCTGGCGAATCCGAAAGCAGGAAAAGGTCCCCAGCATCGAGGTCTTCAAGCTTGAACAGACTGGTCATGGCGATATCCTCTCACCAGCCTTTGTGAAATGGCGCACAGAAGGCCTTCCTGCGCTACAAGCCGAGCAAGACACCGCCTTTCCCGCCACCATGCAAAGTTACATGGGAGAGCTCGAATGTGTGTATGGAGTGATTAATGGGGCCAAGGTACCTTAGAGACGTCGTCCTACCCCAGATACGCCTTGAGCTCAGTTTCCTGCTTGCAGAAATTGGCTGCAGATGACGATTGCGCTTGAACAGCAGCGTTCATGTGTCCTCGCGGGGTACTTCGGGGGCGTTCTCGCTTGGTCTCACCTCCCGCTTTCGGGTGGCAGCCACTATTTTCTTATGCCCACGACTGCCAAGGTGTAGGTGCCACTCTTTGTCTGTCAACATCGTCTTCTCGCAAATGTCGCAAGTTTTTGCGACGCGGTTGCTTTTAGTGTTTGACTGATCAGCAGCCGTGAGCAACTTGCCTGCCATGGTAGACAGACTCCTGTGGTCAGGTAGTTCATCATCATTCAGGAATGATTGCACAAGCCTTTGAGCAGGTTCCGATACTTCAATGTCCCATTTCTTGAGTTCTGAGCAGTCCAACGCAAAAAGCATATCAAATTGCTTGGCTTCCTGCAGGGCATTGGCGAGCCGAACACGAATGTAGCGGTTTTGGCGCTTGGCGTAGCGCCTTGTGCCTGCTTTGACAGACTCAATTGCCTCGGTCAGAGTGGCGGATGTTTGAGCGAGTTCCAGCTCCTGGGTTGGGTGATTGTCTACCCATGGCTGCAACTCTTTATAGCCAATCGACACCCATATTCCCATGCTCTTGTTGACTGGAATGCCTTGCCTGCTCAGCTCCTTTTCGAGCTTCGACAAAGTGAATGCCTCATCGACCAGACCGCTTTTCAACATCACATCCACGCGATCATTGAGTCGCTCTTTCAAGACTGCATCATCCGCTTCTAACCACAACAGCAAGGTTCGGAATCGCAGTCCAGTTCCGGCCTCGTGGGCTCCTATTTGATCGGGTCCAACATCGTCGCGGTCGACCACCCGCCGTTTCTGCTGTTCGGCATATACTTCTGAAGCTTTTCTTCCTGTCCTCAGCCAGATCTCGAGCGAACGTTGGATCTTTCGTCTGTCCCGTGGATGCCACCTGCTTGCCATCTGTGGGTCAACCTCTTGCAGCTTCTGGAAAATCTGTTCGGTCGGCCCTGACAAGATTGGGAAATCTTCTTCGCAATTGGTTGTTGTGTGAACAGCCGGTTGTTCATCCGCAGCGTCATCGGTGAGAGTTGCGTCCGGGAACAACAGGGCGTGTGTATAGTAATGCGTCCCTCCTACCACAATAGGTAGCTTCCCTCTTGATCTGATGTCGTCGATGATGCGAGAGCTTTCCCTGACGAATTGTGTCACTGTCCATGGTGCTTCTTCCAAACCTACGAAGTCGAGTAGGTGATGTTTGATACCACTACGCTCATGCTCAGGGATCTTGTTTGTGATGATAGGCAAGCCTTTATACATTTGCATAGCATCACTGTTGATAACTTCACCATTGAATCGTGTAGCCAGATCCACAGCTAACTATCTGTAGCGATTAGTACGCCGTCCGTCAGCAGAGAGTGGGCGTAGTCACCTTGGACTTGCCGGTCCCTGTGGATCCTATCACCACCACAAGGGGATCATTGGGTGCTTTCGACATCATCTTGAGACCACGCCTAGAAACCAGGGACATCACAAGTTTGGGCGACCGGATTCATGCAACCCTCCACCAACAACATCTGTGCATTTCATAGCAACCCGAAAACGGCAAACAGGGCTAGGACAAGTCTCGCGAAGTCAAATAACCCGTCCGCCGCATATGCAATGCCCATGGATTATAAGGGATCTTCAGGGCTTGGAAAAATATTCTTTTGAAGAATATCTGTGAATGAGCGCGGGGGATAGTGATAGGGTACTCCACCGGAGAGCAGTCAGGCAGATCATACAAGCCTTTTGCGCAATATTGCAACTCCTCCGAAACTTTTTGACTTGCACTTCTCAAATTTCTAGAGCCTCCCGACAAACGTTCATACCTTTTCCAGCAGTCACACAACTCAAGCGGCAATCCAACATGGCGGAAGTAGTACAAGCCCGCACGACACTCACTCCATCTTCTCCCTCTCGCAAGCGCTCGGCGTCTCCAGATGTAGAGCCCACCGCGGACTCGACCAGCGGCGCACTCACCACGACGAACAACGAAACCTCTCTCTCCGAACCACCCGCAAAGAAGACCAAACTGATCCGGCGCAAGCGGCGACCGGCGCGCCCACAAGTCGATCCCTCAACCATCACATCCGAGCCTCCCCCACAAACCGGCACAATCTTCAATATCTGGTACAACAAATGGTCCGGCGGCGACAGGGAAGATGCATACCTCTCCAAGACAGCAGCCCCCTCTCGCTGCAACATCCGCAATGACTCAGGCTGGACGGCCGCAGACAAGACTCCAGGAAGCTACTTCTGCCTATTCTTCGCACGGGGCCTGTGTCCCAAGGGCCACGAATGCCAATATCTGCACCGCCTACCAACCATCTACGACGTCTTCAATCCTAACATAGACTGCTTCGGGCGCGACAAGCACAGCGACTATCGGGACGACATGGGCGGTGTAGGCAGTTTCACTCGACAAAACCGCACACTGTACGTCGGCCGGATCCACGTTACGGACGATATTGAAGAAATAGTCGCCCGCCACTTCCAGGAATGGGGCGAGATCGAGCGCACTCGTGTACTAACGGGCCGCGGCGTTGCCTTTATCACATATGTCAATGAGGCGAACAGCCAATTCGCCAAAGAAGCTATGGCGCATCAGGCGCTCGACAACAGCGAGATTCTTAATGTTAGATGGGCTACCGTCGATCCGAACCCGCTCAGCCAAAAGCGCGAAGCCGCCAGGATCGAAGAACAGGCTGCGGAAGCGGTCCGTCGGGCTCTGGGCGAAAGAGCGGTGCGCGAGATCGAAGGACGGGAAACAGCTGAGGAGCGCGAGCAACGGAAAATTGAGTCCGGGTATGGACTGGAAGGATATGAGGCTCCAGAGGACATATGGTTCAATCAACAGAAGGCGCTGGAGGGACAGCAAAGTGAGCAGAGGTTACTCGAGGCACCCTCTCAAGAACACACGTTGGAGGAGCAGCAGGACGACTCCTTACCGAGTACGGAGCAGCCTACTGAAGAAGCGAACGGCCACGAGAACGGCATATTTTCTGGGTCTACACTTGCTGCGCTGAAAGGGTATGCAAGCGCTTCGAAAGGAAATTCAAGCCCAGCACAGGCTGCACCGCCCAAATCGGCAGGACCCTTGGTTGGGTACGGTAGTGACGATGACAGTGATTAGGACGACCTTCCGAGAAGATGACTTCCAAGGGCATATGTCACAATGGAATAATGCGAAACTTTCATGTATACGTCTCATATCCGTTTTGTTCCACAAATTCCCCAGTTGCAGGACAGTCATATTCGCCTTTTCACTCTACTATATCCGGCATTGCTGAAACTGAAGATCTCTTCACAGCTCGCCATGCGAAATGCCAACCTGATCAGCAAGATCCGGCATCCGCATAATGACCACGACCAGACTCGTCCAGCCGGTGAAATGCTGCGTACGTTGTCCCGCGCCCGTCTCCGGGTTATACTGCTCCCACGCGAAGCCCGTGCGCTCCCACTGCTCGAAGACATTCTTGACCAAATTCGTCCTAAGCTCCGTGTAGATCTTGGTAGCCTGGGTCTTGACCTTGGCCGGGGCATTGGTGTCCTGAGCGACAACCAACAAATTCTTGAGGATCATGTAGTTCATGTTCACCCAGATCGGCGAACGCCAGTAATTCTCCTCGGTTCCGTAAAATTCGTCAGACCGGGACAAAGACCGAATGCCATAGGGCGACCAGAGTTCCGACTCAGAGGAGATCAGCGCCAGAATGTGCGGCAAATTCGGGTGTGAGGACGGCAACAAACCCGTCATGAACGGGAAGAGACTGATGTAGCCTTTGTGGCAGACGTGGACGGAATCTTCGTAGTCGTCGATCGTGGCATCACAGTAGGCCTTGTGCTCGGACGACCAGTGCAGGTCGTCGATGTTGCGCAATATCGCGGTGTGCTGGGTCTTGTACTCTGAAATGTCTTCCGTCTCGGAGACAAGAGTCGCCAGACGCAGTAATGTGCGCGACATGAGACCCATCCAGGAGATCAGGTCGGTGTGCAACTCGCCTGGGTGAGGGGGTTGAGGGCGTGGGTAGTCGTCGAGCCCAGACGTGAGGATGTGTTGTGGGCTGCGGCCGCGCCAGCGGTACGCTTCCTTTGTCGAAAAGGCTTCGCGGTCGTACGACTTGATGTCGCCAAACTGCGTCCGACGGAACCAGTAGTACTGGCGTTTGAGGAGGGGATAGAGCTCTCGGAGTTGTGACTCGATTCTGTCTTTTTGAGCGGCATACTTGGGGTCTGACACTTTCTCCATCAACGTCTCGATTATGAAGAAGAGCGTCGGTGGATTTGCGTAATGAGGATACTGGACCTGAAACTCTGGAGGGACTTTGCTTCGAGCTTCGGCACCCAGGATCTGTTCCCGAGCAATCCAGCCGTCTGTGTCCATCAGCTTGAACCATGACTTCACAATGTCCATGGTTATATCAAGGTCCCATTCCGCGATGGGAAGGAGGTGGAAACCTTCGTCCCACAGGAAGCCTCTGGGAAAGAAAGGACGGGAGGGCACGCAGGTGAACAATTCAGCAGGAGGGTCTTGGACGATTTGGGCCCGTGACCTCGCTTCCGCTGTTTCTTCCCAGAATCCTTCATTGTCCTCGTCGTATTCTGGAGCGTAAGACCTGTCGACGAGAGAGTCGCCATAGAAGTAACCAATGCCACCGAAGAGATTTGAGAACATGGACTCGGCGAAGTCGGTGAAGGCTGGTTTCGTGAAGGGCGCCAAAGGCTTCAAGACCTCCTTAAACTTCTGTTTGAAAGCGGTTGATGATGAAGAGATGGATTTTGTCAGTGACTGCGAGGATACTGAGGGACCAGAAGCGGAGTTGAACAGGATATCGAACTCGAACGCGCCGACGAGTACCTTCTGGACCATGTGAAAGTTTCCCGGTCCAGAATCCTCCGCAATAGTAAAAGCTGCCCATGGAGGTGGTATATTCTCCTGTCCATATTGTGCCACAAACCTGTCAATCTCTTGCTTCATACTGGCAAAGACGATGTTCTTTGCCTGCCAGAGGGCGTCCGGCGGTAATTGCATGCTCCCGGTCAGGAGCCTGTCGAGGGGCTTCTCATCCCAGGACGGGTGTGTCTTGTATGGTAGTGTGTTCTCGGATGGTTCTTCGAAATTGAAATCGAATTCCCCAAGCTCAGCTGTGTATCCATGTAACGCGGCTTTCCCGTCCGCGTCTGACCCATCGTCCTTGAATGCCAATTCCCCTAGACCTTCCATGCCAGCATAGAATATGAGCGTTGTGATCAGATTGGGTGGGGCGTCTTCTCTAGGGGTGCCCTTGACTCTCGCGGCCCAGCTTCCACCATTCTGACCTCCAGGAACTTTGACAAAGTCAATAGTCAGGTCTATTTTGTTCCCTGTATCATGTATGACCTGGCGACCACCGTTCCGGGCATCATACTCTTCCCAGCCATAGCCGGCCATTCCCTCATTTTGCTCGCAGGTGTAGCGGAAGTTGTTTTGGGCGCTAGCAAAGTTGTCCGTATTCGCCCACAGCAATCCGGTCGTCAAGCTGTTGGGCACACGTGGCCGTACGCCGAAGTAGACGTTGGGTCGGTACGGACCCCATAGTAATGTGTCGTTCGAGGCAGCGGCTGTACGCGCTGAGCAAAGGCAGAGCGAGAGAAGTATGGACAAAGAAAAATATAAACTCCGCAAGGACATGGAGCCCCTCGAGAAACTCGACATTTTGGTGTTTATCGACTGCAAGGACGCCAGCAAGAGCAGCCGTTGCTCTAACTAATACCGCAGCACAGCAGTGTTCGCGTCTCGGGACTTTTTTTGGTGGTGATCTGGCCTCGGGCGACGTCACTTTCAGGGGCATGGAGCTAACCTCTTCAAGGGGCAAAATGTATACCGAACGGCTCCTCAACTCCAACCGCTTCTCCTTCACGTTCTGTACCTAATCAAAGAGACGGTACACCTTCGACAACGAGGGCGGATTGTGATTTTGATGCAACTGACCAAAGATCCTAGTTGATCACCAGTCCCAAAACCCGGCGTCAAAGATTGCAAAAACTCATCGAGGACGACCCAACTTGTAGTTGAACTACTAGCACCCAAAAGGCACAGTCAGGTAGTTTTTGTCACTAAAAATGCCTGATCGCTCAATAAGATGTCGCTTTCGGACTCTCTCTATTGCTCAAATACGTCGCAAGCTGATCCATTGTAGTAGAAATATCCCACTCTCCATCTTCACCGTGTGAGTGAGTGGTTGGATACTGGAAGGAGGACCTTATCAAGGGCTCTTCCTGGGAGAATCCTGAGTGAAAAGTATCAATATTCCCTTTTGAATTGTCACTGACTTTCGCTGGGCGAATCTCGCAATCACAGGCACGCAGCTCACGGTTTTACGTGAAGCACCAAGTCTTCCTACACTATATGCCCTGTCATATTTCCAGAGCGGTGTGGGCGATGCAATTGATACTCCCAGACATGGCATGCCGCATGGGGTATCACATGGACTGGAAGAGAATTTTGAAGCCGCAGTGAAAGCGACATGGCCGGCAGGGAGACGTTGCGTGCACCGTACTCTCCGTCCGCAAGATAGAGCACATTACCGACCAGGCCTTGGGTGCTCATGCCATCGATGCTTGCCAAGTCGTAAGCAGTGGTGATGACGGAGCCCTATTTCGAGGTCCATGCGACAGAGTTGTTTACTGCCTTTCCCGTTCGCAGGATGCCTGCCGGGAATGCATAGAGCCTGGTATTGGAAGGCACGAGCCAGTCCGTTGACCGGCCGATGACAGTCCGGTTGCTGTCTTGTGGTCCACCGGTGTAGCTGACGCGCGAGCACGCCAGTGTCGTCGTGAAAGCAAGGACCTTAGTTAACATGATGAGCAGTGTGTGTTTGGACTAAAAACCTAGAAATAGACCTTTCTTGCGAGTAATTTTTAGCTGCATCAGAGGTTACGAGCAGGATCCAGACTCCGCGACCTCAACCGTCACGAACTAAATTACTTAGTAAACTACGTAGTAACTACGCGTAAGAAACAATACGCAAGGTTGCGAACTTGGTGAAGAACTATAATTAGCCAAAGGAAAAAAGGAGAAGTTCTGAGCGCGCTGGTCAGCAGGGGGAATTAGGGAGTTTTTACGCCCTATAGTATCTTTTAGCGGTAGTCTACGAAGACAATTGACCTCCTGTGAAAGAATCTCAAATTCATCGAAACCAATATTAGCCTGCACCACTTTTCTTCACGCGTTGCCATGAACGATGCCACTCTCCTGTGCAACTATGTTGCGCCCTGGATCGGTCCAAGCAACTCGTATACTACCATAGGGGTCGGCAGTAGAACTCGAGGCGCGTCTATCCCCCGCAAACTCTCCTGTCGTTGCCGTTAACCTCCGACAAATCGGCTCCGTTGCCCTTATTGAACCCCCTTGTGGTGCGTCATAGCGGCAACTCAATCCGTCACGCCGTCATTCACTGATTAATGACATCAATGCAATCGACATTCGTAAAGTCGTCACTTCAAGACTCGTCGACACCTCATTCTAACCCTCACACCACTCCATCAATTTACAAACCTGCATCCGAAATCATTTCAGTCCAGGCCACTTCACCAACTACAATCCCTATCTCTATCACCAACACCACCGCCAAAATGACGCCCAACATCATGAAAAGTCAAACCGACACCTCGAAGTTTGCCGGTCAAGATCCCAAAGCCACGGGCGCCACCGACCCAAATAACAACAACTTCTCGAACTACAACCCTGCCTCCGGCGACAAGTCGAGTTCCATCCTCAGTTCCGAGGGCGCGATCGGCAGTCAATTCAAGGCGGACGGTGCCATCGGCTCGATCGGTCAGGCGGTCGGTGGTCCCCTTGCTGCGAACGGTATGATCGGCAAGAATTTCACGGAGCACGGCTCTGTAGGAGGATCGATCAACAGCGCGGTTGGAGGAACGAAGAAGGATTAAGCAAAACGATATTAAAGGGCGTAGCAGTGTCCTGGAGAAGAAGGCGAATTGCGTCAATAAACACAGCATGAAGCTCATTGTAACACTAAGTAACTACGAGGCCAGCGCCGAGGTCGTCATACAGACCACACAGCAATGAATATGATTCATTAAATATATTGGTGACATGCAACTAGGTGTACCTTTCGCTTTGTGACTTTAGGCGGACGTACGAGTAATGGTGGTTGATACCAGAAACCCACTAGTCATACGTCTCGTCGATTGATCCCTTCTTCCAGTTCAGAGTAGGTATGCTGCTGTTTCAGACTCCAAGCACCTAGGCTATGACTTATGCAATTTCATCCCATGGAACAAGTGCATCCTCGCCCACCTTCTCCTTGATGAGACTTGTGCTCAAGTTCCAGAGTGCCTCGGCCAAAGATCTGTCGGAAGCTTGGGAAGACTCCTTGCCAGGTTGGCCCTATGGTATTGTCAGCATCTCAAGAACATCACGATAATCTTCGATACACGTACCGGGTCAACGAAGTAGTATCCCTGCAAGTTCTTCTCCTCGATCTCCGGACTGGTGGCAGCCCACAAGGCGCTGTACGAACCCTGTTCGATATCACGTCCAATCGTCGTCATCGCCCATGACAGCATGTTTCCGAAGACTCCCGGGTATGCATCTTTCCACTGTTGCTGCATGCCGGTGTTGACGGTACCTGGATGAACGCTCACAGAATAGACATGGTCGCCGTTGGGTTGAAAGACCTTTTCAGGCAAGTTGAATTTGGCCAACAGAATGAGCGCCAACTTTGTCCGAGCGTACAAGTGCGTAGCACCAAAGTCCTTGTTGTTAATCTCCTCGAGTGAGCCGAAGTGGATGTTCGATGGTGCTGCTCGATGGACCTCGGATGCTTCGAAGACGATGCGTGGGGGAGGAGTGTCAGGCAACTTTGCGGTCTTGCGAATCAGCGGGTATAGCAGATTCACGACGTAGAAATGGTCGAGGAAGTTGACTCCGAAGTGGCGGTCGATGCCGTCGGCGTCGAGATCGAATGTGTTGGTGTTGATGCCGGCGGACAGAATCAGCTGCGAGACCACGTTTAGACATTTGTTCATCGGATTTGGTAGGGGGAAGATCCCACCAGGTCAAGTCGATCTAACTTCTTGCGAAGGTCAGTGAAGACTTGTTTCACCTCTTTGAGGCTTCCCAGGTCACAGCCGACCCACTCGACATCTGCACCCGGCGTTTCCTCCTTGATCTGCTTGATCGCTTCGTCTCCTTGTTCCTCCTTGCGGTTGACCATCACCACCTTGGCTTTGGCTGCCGCAAATTGGCGCGAAATCTGGAAGCCGATACCATTTGCACCGCCGGTGACCACTGCCACGCGACCAGAAAGGTCATGCAGTTCTTTCTTTGGCCCGATGATCGAATGAAGTGCGGACTGCATGTTACTGGTGAAGATGGATGAATGTTTCAATAGAGGTTGACGCTGTCAAGATTTTGAGATGATTACGAACAGACTTGAAGTCAGAAGGAAATCGAATAGTTCATTCAGAAAACGTCTCTTGTCCTCTTCCTAACAGTGGAGGACGAATGATATTCCATCACCACTCCGGAACCAGAAGCCGGCCGTCATACTGAGGTGTTGTGAGGCAATGACATGTTATGCATATTCGCACATGTCATAGAGGGAGAAACTCCATTGCATTATTCCTTACCTTCGCTACCTATGTAGCCTAATTGAAGTTCATCGAAGTCATTGAAGACTTTAGCCGGGTCAAGGATCAAGGAGTTGACCTCCTCTGTACCTGGTATTCATACCAGCAAGGAAGAAATTCCCGCTGTCGATGGCGGTTGTTTTAATGCCCCTCACCAGTCACCACATGGTTTAGCTTTCAAGGGTCCCGCCCCTCTGCAACGTCATGCCTTGCAACTTCGGAATTGTGATCCGCAGCAACCCTAGTATCCTGGCAATTGCTTTTCAACAGGACCAAGTGGTGATATATCTCCGTGACAATATGGAAAGTCCCTTACTCTGCCAGACTCATTCATTATTCCCCGACGCCAAGCTGCGAGACTTGATGCCTCAGCCTCGCCGGGATCTGTTTCCGTCTGGGTCATTAGCGGCTGTTGTTGCCAGCAAACCGGCAATCGCCGATGAATTCCGTGGTGATCGTCTCTAATTGCCTTGATTTCCTAAATCACCCACAACGTGGCGGATATTCTCACCTCGACTCGACAGCTTCCAAAGCTGGTGTCAGGATTGACACCTACCATAGTAACTACCGGTCCTAAGCGACACCATACGAAACAAATCTGGTAAGGCCTCTACTGGCGTAGCGGACCAGTGATACTCAATCTCGCACGATGGAGCTGCAGGCAGCCACAATAAGTTCATTGACATGCACAACCCCAGACTGTTCATGCTTGGGAACGTGCGCTTATGCCATCTGACATCATACTGGGTCCCCAGATCCGGAATTATCCTCTCTCCTTTATCATGCTGTTGTTTCCAAACATTAACACGGAAGAGAAATACCTTGAGTCTGCCATTGGACCGCGCTGTTGACCACACACAAAACAATGGACGAAGCATTCGAGGGTCGCGTCCTTGTCATTGCTAACCGACTGCCCATCACAATCAAGGAGGTCTCAGAGGGCGACTTCGAATACAATATTTCCTCTGGTGGCCTGGTATCTGGGTTACGAAGCTTAGCAAAGGCCGTGGACTTCAAGTGGTTCGGTTGGCCTGGTATAGATATCCATCGCAACGATAAAGACAAAGTTAGACACGACCTTGCGGACAAATTCAATGCGTATCCCATTTTCCTGCCTGAGGACCTTGCACAAAGGCATTATAACGGCTTCTCAAGTACGTTCTTTCCCTCCATCTGCTGCTCCGCTGACCGGCTGAAATAAGATTCGGTACTATGGCCCCTTTTGCATCGAATGCCCGAGAAGGTAGGCGCCGAGGAGAGTTGGTCCAAAGCGTACCAGGAAGTGAACGAGATCTTTGCCGACAATATTGTTCCCTATGTCGAGGACGGCGACATCGTCTGGGTCCACGACTACCATCTTTTGCTTCTTCCAGGTATTCTGCGAGCGCGGCTAGGCAAGAAAAAGAATCTCCGCATCGGCTTCTTTCTGCACACACCGTTTCCGACGGATGACTTCTTCACCATTCTCCCGTTCCGCGAGGAGATTTGTCAAAGCTTGTTGCTCTGCGACGTGGTTGGCTTCCATACGCAGGAATATGCTAGGGACTTCTTGGACAGTGCGTCCGTTGTGCTAGAGTATGCATTGGCCATTCGATGATTTCTTGGACGTAGCTGACTACTTCTTGTTCAGGGGGGTTTCGAGATCGCCGAGCGACCTACACTGGGATGGCAGAAAAGTCATTGTCCACGGGTTTCCAATCGGAATCGAACCTGGAGATTTCCGGGAGAAAATGGAGTCGGACGCTGTTAAACAAGAACTCGACGGACTCAAGAACCAATTCAAAGGGCAAAAGATCCTTCTTGGAGTCGACCGGCTGGACTACATCAAGGGCATACCCCAGAAATTAAGAGCGTTCGACAGATTCCTGACGGAGCATAAGGAATGGCTGGGCAAGGTGGTCCTGATTCAATTGGCCATCCCAACACGGCCTGACGTGGTCACTTACCAGAGGCTGAGAGAGGAAGTCGAGTCACTGGTCGGCCACATCAATGGCAAGCACGGTGAGTGACCATATCTAGTTTCCCCCGAACCCTCCAGAGCTTTGTCGACTGATGTTGTTTGTTTTCCAGGAACTTTCTCTCACACCCCCATTCACTATCTCTACAGATCGATCAAGCCGGAACAACTATGTGCGCTGTACGCCGCCTCAGACGTTTGTATCATCTCCTCGATTCGTGATGGCCTCAATATGGTGAGCTACGAGTACATTGCATGTCAGAACAAGGAGACGGCCGGCACGCTCATGATGTCGTACTACGCTGGTGCCGTCAAGACCCTACCCTCCTGCATCGTCATCAATCCTTGGGACATACCCAGATTTGCAAACACAATACGGGACGTGTTGGACATGCCCCAGGAAGAGCGGAGGCAGCGGTACACGGAAAATGCACATGTTGTCGACACATATACCAGGTAAGGAATTCTTGCAAGTATCTTCGGGTTCTAGCTTGGCGTTAACGTTGACAGTGTCCGATGGGGTACATCCTTCCTCAATACCTGCTACAAGATGGAGCTGCCGAAACAGACGGATGGGGGTACTCCAGAAGAGCGCAATAACCCGGATGACGATCGCGCACTCAAGTCAGCGCACCTCATGCAGAAAAGTCGGAGTGGGGAGTCCACTCCGAGGGAGTTCATGTAAACCGAGGAGGTTATATGCTCGGGTGCATTTTTGGAATTTGCTACTTTTCATTGCAGCTCATTAGCGGACGGAGAATCATTGGCATTTGAGACCTCTTTCGCGGTCGATCATAGCATAACCAGTGAATACAGGTCACAAGCGTCAGCGTGCTCAAACCTGGAGCGCCAAACCCGCTGTCATGCAGGGAAGTGGTTACAAGGGTGGTCACAATGATCTTGATCCGTGGACGGCAGTAGCCTTCCTAGGTAGTCAGTACCTCACAACGCTGCGATCTTGTACCTGGTGCACATTGGCCCTTGTTGGCCGTTGTCGGCAGAGGGCCGTCCGGACTTTGTCAGCTGCTATGAAGAACGGGGCTGCTCCATTCAATAACTCAGTATGGATTGACAGGCCGCAGCACACGTGATAGGACACAGGAGGAGCCGGCAATCTGGATTGTGCAAGAACGGTGTGGTCCAATATTATTCCATTGTGATATGAGCCAACCAGGATAGCCTGGTATGCAAATCAAGAGTTTGAATAATTCTAGTGCTCCTTGTTCGTCGGTCGTTCATCCGGCCACTTCATCCGATCTCAAGCATTCAATGGGGGAATGCAGCTTCATTTCTTGTAAGAGTTTCCATTGGGCGCAGTGTAGGTGGATGATCCGCTACCAGAGTTATGGTAGGTGCTGCCATTGCCATTGGAGTAGTAGTAAGATCCATCTGGAGCAACATGATTAGCTTTTTGAGTGTGACAGCGTTGGCAGTCTGTGCCTTACCGGTGTTGGAGTAATGGAAGGCATCACCACTTGGTTGGCTGCGGGTGTCGTAGCTGTTGCCCTGCAAGCCTTGTCAGTCTATGCAATTTTGTAGAGGTTTGCACATCAAGGTACCTGGCTGTTGGTGCCGCTGCCGGTGACGGTGTATGGAGTGTAGCTGGAGGATCCTGAGCCGGAGCCCGAGCTGGATTTGCCAGACATTTTGATGGTTTGTTGATCGTTGAAGGTGATGATTGAGCTCGAAAGAGATGTGAGGGTCGGATTTGGGAAATGGTGGTCAAGTCGTGTGTGGATGAGAGGGATGTTTAAATAAGTGGTTGGAAGAGGGGCAGTAGACCTCCAGGTTGTCACTGTCGAGGGGCAGTTACGACTGTGACAAGGTACTGTACCTAGCAAGGCTGGGTTAAGCGAATCACTGCCGTTATCTTTGCTTATCTAGTATTATCTCAGGCGAATGCGGGGAAGCTTTCAAGTATTAAAGTGCCACTGGCAGCTCTTGCCGGGGCGGCATGTCCAACCGACAACACCACTTCCGTCGATCTGATAAGACTCTTCACCTCACTCCCTCAGGGTGTTTGATTTTCATTCTTGTTGATTCAGTCTGCTGACGCTTACGTATCTTCCTATAAAGTGTAGCGTGCAGCAAGGGTGGGTCTGTATACCATTGTATATTTGCTCAGTCGTGCCTAAGCCTTGCAATCAACTTCCCAAGAGTGGCTTCTCAAACATTGCAGAGATTTCCAACACCAACATCTTCACGCCACTGTCCCACATCAACGCAGCTTCTGAATTGGGGCCAGCGTGTGGCAATGCATCCAGGCTTGGGCATCCACTCGAGAGCTTTTCCTTTCCCAGAACCAGAAGGCTACCGTTCCGCGCACGGCAAGGCATCCTCGTCTGCGAACCATCAGGAAAATTCTTCCGTACAGCCCAGGTCGAGGCGCCATGATAACGGGCTGTGCGAGACGTTTTTGCGTGCACACTGGTCCCGTGCCATGGTGTTCATGCGCCTGGGCTTCAGCTGTTGGAGCTAAGATCAACGGCCACTAATGAAACGTCCCTAACAAGTGTTTCAGCTTCACGACTTGACTCAGGTCATGGTGCCTCATCCAGCTTCATTGGTGAAGCTGACGGAACGTCTTTCAACCACTCCACTTCTGCAAATGCTTCTTCGCTGGTCATTGTCTAGGTAATTGCTGATGGGTCTTCGCGCCCCGCTTCAAGTGGTCCCCTTCAAGCGGTCCCCTTCCACCCTGATCGTTCAAGGGGCAAATCTTTGTTGAAACGCGCGCCGGGGCGAGGGCATTATCGACTTATCTGTGGATACTGCGTTACATTTCACGGCCTCTTTATGCCTTTTCCTCGATTTCCATCATTTGCACATCATCGAAACTAACCATACAGGTTTCTTTTTCCATAACTATGTTCTCTGTTGGCTGTTCAGCGTGAATATCAAGCAAATCAAACACACAATGTCTGTCCATGGCTCTGCGGATAATAGCACAGCCCGTGTGGGACACCTTTGTCTGGCCACAATCCGGTAAGCTCTTGGAGTCTCCGAAGGTGCTGCGAACTCATGTTCGTGAGATAAAATGCGAAGCTATTCACTCGTGACCCAGTTTGCGTTCCTTCGATCTCTTCTGACTCTCAAGTACCACTTCATCTCTACAAGACTGATAGACAGTGAGCCACTGAGCCTTCTTGAGCATGTGGTAAGTCTCAATCAAAGAGAACAGCTCTAGTGGTAATTAACCCTGCATAGCCGACCGTACTTAGACCGGGTCAACACTGTGGTTGGACGCCACGACTCACTCCAAGCCAGCCGCCTAAGCCAACTCGACGGCTCAGACGGCGACCATGGGCCAACTTTTGACCTGCCTGGAAAGCTCGATGATTCGGAGCCCCTCACTCTATCAGGCACGAATGGCTACACGTGGTATTGCTGCAACTGTCACGACGGACCGCATAGCTACAAGTTCGTCGACTATTGCACTAAGTGTGGCGTCAAACGGTGCAGCAGATGCCAGGTCAAAAAGCAAAAGTGACATTAATACCCAACATCAATCTGGTCCGCTAGTGACAAGTTGCGGAAGGCCTTCTAGGTAGCCCTGAGAGTTTGGTTTTCTCGGTGGAAACATGCTGCTCTTTCGTATGACGCTGGTGTCTGGGAACAGGGGAATGTGGCTTAACTTGCATTAGCACCCCTGATGGGACATGCATCTCACGGATATTCGAGGATTTTTAGCCTTAAAGGTTGTGGCTGATGCGGTCAGATGTACGTTAGGTGGTCAGTTGATATGAGAGATATCTTCTTAGGCTCGGGCAACGGCTGGGAGTCGAAAGCGACAAAATCCCCCGGTTGAAGGCTGCCGAGGCGCTCTGTTGTAGTATTTCCCCATTGAGTTATTTTCGTTGAGCACTTTAGGACTCTGATCTCCCTACGGTAAACAAGGCTGACAATCAGCCTCGCGACCTAAAATGGTATAGGGGTAATGCCAAGACTTCAAACGCCGCGCTGCCTGAACCTAAGGCTTGAAAGGCATCTTGACTGCTTCTACATTGTAGACCCCCGATTACGACGCATTTGCCTGTTTGGTATTCTTATTGGAAGAGTTCGATGACGTCCTCAGCGGCGCAGCTTCCAGACTATTTGCGTTCATGCGCTGGCTGGCACTGCTGACGGGGTTGACCCGTCTTATCACGGTGAGGGTGCTGCACGAACGAGCAATTCTTCCAGAGCACGCAGTTATAACGTTCTGCCCGGGCGAATGCGAAGTCCCGCAAATATAATGGCGCCTACAGCAGCCCCGTCTCGAGATCACAGAAAAATGTTAGGCGGGCTGGGCCAAGAAGACAAGGGCAGATGTGCATTTCTGTCCAAGGAATATTGCAATACCATGTCATGCGGAAGGCTCGTTGACATTAGGTCAAGCACCGTTGATTGAGTCGATGGCCATTGGTTCGTCTTTCACGCCTGCTCAGCCTTTGCCACCTTCCTGTTGCAATGTGACTCGGTACTTTTGTTGCCCTGGCTCAAAACAACATTGCCGAAGTATCAAACATGTTTCAACACCTTTGAGTATCTGGACCTACCTTGCTTCGACTTTTGCCTGCGACTGAGATGACAGTCACCGTTGGTTGTTTTGAAGGTTACCGTGGCGGGTAGACGAGAAGGCAACCAGCCAGTGTTGGATCTGGAGCGGTGAAAGAACTTTCAAAGTGGAAATCCGATGGTGAAAACTCAGCCATTCCGTGCGGGTGACCCAGCGAAGGCACTGAAACCGCAGTCCAGCCACAATTTTAGCTGCCGCTAATTGTCTGCCCTGGAAATGTCGCTGTTCATTTGCAAACAACAATCTCGATGCTGCGGCGCGGCTTCCGCTTTTTTGACATATGCGAAAATACCTCACCTTGCCTCATCTCAACGCTCACAATCACACGTCGTATTCGATGTTCATGACTTACGTTCCGACTCTAAGCCAACATCAACCTCTACGATCACAGCAAGATGCTGATCCTGTTGTCCCAGGTCTGCATCGTTTCGCAGCCCCACCGACGAGGCGTCTTGCCATTACTACTCCACAGCTGATGCCGACCGCGTTATTGGACATCATGGCGACGACTAAATTGCAAAGAGTGGTCAAGTCAGATGTTTCGGGCTCAATCTCGCGGTGGCTATGGTCACTGCCGTCCATCCTACTTGCGCGTACAAGATATGGGCATTGCCTGTTGCCCTTTTGTGCAGAAATTAGACTGAGCATATAAGGACATGTCTCAATCTTTCTCTCTCTACATCTCATAGCATCAGTGCCTGGATCTCCTTAACTACGGCATTTCTCTCCAAAGTCGTTCGATCTTCTCCTCCGCATACCGAATCTCAAGATGTCAGCTGTCGCTCCAGCCAATGGCTGGAAATGTAGCAACTGCAGAGAAGCCAACTTGTTTCAGCACGATCGATGCCCAGTGTGCGACCACCGGCGCGACCGCCACGACAAGCTGATATCCATCCAGCAGCATAAGAAGTCCAAGAATGAGGACAGGCGGATTCCCAAGCGATGAAAGAGTTCACAGTCGGTAAGCAATGACGAAGTGTGCCAAAGTGCCTTGACTGATACGTCTAAGACCTGTACTATGCCTTTCAGCATGGAGCATCTCAATATACCGGCACCAGCAACGAGCGCCATCACCTCCCAAACACAACTTTGACCCCAGAACCTTTGAAGAGGTCAGGCAAGGCTACTTTGAGAAGCTCTTTGGAAGCGAAATATCTTGATCAGCTGGAGATGCAAATCTGAATGCCGAAATCAGGGGTTGGGAGCCTTGTTACGTATCGCATTGTTTAAGTCGGCCTGACGCTGTTTTTCCATGCCCGTCTATGTTTCATGTAGCCCTGTAACCACCAAAATATGCTTGCCGTTATCACAAAGATGTGCCCTGACCGACTTGAAAACGATTGCCCAAAACTTGATGGTGCAACAAAAGAACATCCAGTGTTGGAGATGCCGAGACTTTCTTATCTGGAATGGATGCATACCTATGCAGATCGTGCAGATAGCGCTTTCCCCAATTACACCCTTGCTCCTTGCATTCACATCTCCTGTGCGTCACCCGTTTCCCACCTGCTTTCGACTCACCCTCCTCCACACCGATGCTAGTTTCAGCATTGGTTGCTCTCCTACCATCGACAAGAACTAGAGTGATCGGACGTAAGTCCTGGAAAGGACCTGCTCTAGACATTTACTATCCGACTTGATCAGTCGTCGTTCATGTGGCACCACTTCCCCAGACATGCACGTCTTCATCTCGTTTCCTGGGCTTCACAAGTCCGAAACTGTGAGTGCCTATGCCACGCCACAAAGAACCTGCCGGCCCTTCACCGTGCAGCCTAACCTTGAACGCTTATCTGGTGGCATCCTGGATTTCCACGTGGTGACCCACAAGGTCGGGCCCCCGACGGTGCCAGACAAGGAGGGATCTTCCAATGTCAAAGCCTTTCTACTCCTATGCCCACAAGTTGGGCACAAAAAGTTTCCCAGCAGTCTCAGCTCCGCAGGATGCTTTGACCATCTGACATTGTTTTCGCGTGGAGACTGAAAGGCAACGAGGCGGCAAACTAGGCTAAAATTGAAGTCACCTTCCCAACATCTGGTGAGGAGTGTGCCTTTAGGGTGCCTGCCTTTGTCCTCTGACGCATAAGCATCACTGACCCTGCAGCAATTATTGGTCAAGGCCTTGATCCCTATCAGGCAGGTGCGCAACAGCAAACTTCCTCGCACAGGTGTGAAAGGTTTCCAAATCTCCTAGGTCAGGATCGACATTACGTATGAAACCCTTCGGCCGCTGTGCGGTGTCTCCGTCAAGGTCACTGTGTGCACCGTTCCAGTTTGAACTGACTGTATGATGTGGAACTTCGGCGCTCGGGATTCTCTACCTCAATATTGAACCCCCAGGTGTTCGCTATCTGACCCTGTCTTGACCACAACATTGAAATTATTGCTTCTATGGCTGGCAACCTGAGACTCCAATAAGAGCTCATACTTCGATTGTTAACTATAAGTATGCACACGGCAGGCGTGGTAGTGTAGCTCATCATCTCTACAAGCCCTGCTACGCGAAGACGGTCCCACCGGCCTGCTGAGGACGCCTGTGTGTTTCGCCATGGGCCATTGCCAGGGCCTGGCGGTCTACAGAGGATATCAGAAGCAGTCTGCGGTCATGCTTAAAGGCACTCGAGAAGCCCTCCGAAGTCGATATCACAGAAGCAGTGCTATTCTTCAACTTTGATTCTCACTCTGCTGCAAGTTTTAGTCACTTACTCTGTTCCTGCCTGCTGGGTGTCCAGCTTCCTTGTAAATCATGGGTCGGAGTGACCCTAGGAACCCCGAGCTACGCACTGCAACGCATTGGTACTGCTGCAACTGCGACAGAAACAAGTCCGAAACGCCTTATTTATGGGATTTGTATAAGAAATGCTTGAGATGCGAACATGTACGCTGCTCACAGTGTACGGCTGAGGTCGTTAAGACATCTCCACGCCGCTGAAGCTTCCGTCGTGGATGCAGAATGGTAGGTTCACTCAGTTACCTGGTCAGCCAAAGCAACACTGACACGATCAAAACAGCCAACGAATCAATTCATTGCTTAGTCGCCTGGTGCTTTACTGTAATGCATCTGGCAAACTATCAAACCTCCTCCTGCTCATCACCACCATTCATTCGAAGTCATACCTCCCATACTGCGGCACTTCGACCCTATGCAGCTATCAGACCTCGAGGCTCAGTCTGATGTGTCCTCATGACATGGGGTGTCCTTCTCAACAATGCATGCTCGGGTGACTATCTAGGAGATGTGCTGCGAAGTGACAACGACTACACTCGGTGTTTGAGAGACTTGGGCAACAGGAGGATGATCACCTTGATGCTGGACATCAGGTGAGTGCGCACCGCTGTTTTATGTGTTGTACTGTCTGGCCAAGTATGCGGCACACGCACAACATGTGTTGTTGCCTCAACAGATATAGATTCAACCTTGCTCTCTATTGTTTTGTGATTAAAGTTGCATGCTAGCATGTCCTTTTGGTGTCCTTTTAGCAACATCAAACCCTGTTCACTTACCCTGCAAGCGTTGACCCCATACCCACGAGCTGGACCTGCCTGAACAGTATCTTGAACATTTCCTTGACCCGGGGCTGATCCTGCTCACAGTTCAATCACCCGCCCGGAAGACCCTCTCCTGTCTCATACATCCTTGCATCTTGCTGCACGATTGAACAAGAACAGCATCAGATGGACCGTTGTGTTTGCCAGCCAAACTCAATGGAAGCACCGGCTTCAGAAGTTCTGTAAGCCCCATGTCGAGAACAATACAAAGGTCACCTCGAATTTACCATCCATTGGCTGAGACGGATGTTCATCATGCAATAGGTTTGCAGACTCGGTACCGGTAAGGCTGCAGTACGCCACCAAAGTGATTCAGATGTTTTCTGTCAGGACAAAAGCAAAGGGACCACCGAATATGTTCTGTCACTCTGCAAAATCTGCAAAAGGAAGCTTCATGAAACCCAAAGTCGGCCTCACCGAGGCCAAATGTGCCCAAATAGCGAGAGATCAGAAGATATCTGCGTCACAAAGATCAGAAAAGGAGGATTGTGTCCCAGCTACCAAAGCTGCGTAAACATCTTCAAGACTTTTGACGGTAGAAAGTCCTTCAAAGGTCTCTCTCAATGGATACGTCCTTTTGATCAGTTACTAGAAGCAGTACAGCTAGTGGACATGGCCTATCCAAAGTATCAAAAGCTTTCCCTCCAGACAATTTTGAAAGAGCTATACGCAATAGGAGGGCATCTAGAAATCATATCTTTGCGTGTGCCGCTTTGCCGGGATGGCCGTTGCACTCTTGCTTTGCATGCAACCATCCGCACCACCAACCTCGTATTATGTTCCGCAATGGAACAGAGTAAGGTACCGTGGTAGGTGATTTTTCTGATTTTTCCCTAAGCAAAGGTATCCGGGAGCCCTGCGTGGCGACGATGGTGGTGGTGTTTGCTGCAAGGTCTGTCTTAGCGTAACCGGTGTGTCAGCTCCTGCATGTACTGCATGTACCGGTAAACACCTGCATATGCTCAATCTCAGATGACGTCCAATCAGCCTGGGCTTTCGGAGAGACTTGTGACTTTCAATTTTCCTGATAAAATGGAATTGGGCTCGGTTGAGAGAAAATACTACACTATTTGATCCTGGTTGGCCAGGGGCGACGTGGAAAGAAAGAAAAAAGGGGGCAGTGAAGCTCTTTTGCAGTCGCAGGCTCTCCTCTATGACATGGGCATTTGGCAGGGCATGAGAATGGGCAGTACGCATACAGAAGTGCTGCGTGGTGGGCAATCAATCTGCCAGGGAGGCAACGCAGGAGAGACTCGAAAGACGCCTCCCAGCCACCATGCGCACCCGGAGAGCAAGGCGATCAACGTCCAAAAGCTCTTCGAGCAACAAAGCCTTTCTGAAAGAGTTTTCTGCTACCCCCAACATTGCTATGCGCCTTTTCTCTGGCCTTTAGTTCCCTTGAGACAATAGACAGGTAGTTAACGTACATGCCCTGAGAAAAGGCAGAATGATTGCCTGAAGAAGGCCCACAAACCCGTTGCCCCTTTTTCTTTCTCGCAATGCCCCAGCGGCCCATGCTTCAATGGTCCATATCTCTCCAGCCCCGCTGCTTGTGGCTGTAGCTGTGCCGGTGCCTGTTAGATGCCCATCTCATAGCCTTGCAGATACGACATGACAAATGGGAGAGAGCGGTCGTAAGTCATATTATATGGTGTGTGTGCTCTCCTGCCTGCCCTCACCGTTGATGGCTCTGATATGCCTTCTCGCCTAATCAACGACTCTGACATTTTTGAGACGAGGCGGTGTTGTTCTGTGACCTTGTCCTGCAAAGACTAAACCATGAGACTGTGGCTCAACGAGCACCGGCCTCCTCTTGGCGATGTTTGAACTCGGTGATTTGCTGGCAAGCCTGCTTGTGCCCCTTTTCCTTCCAAGCACTTCGCTGACAATCCTTCGAACAATACTCTGCAACCATACACTTTCCACACTTGAGCAGCTTAACACCTTCTTTCCCACAGTTCCAGCATCCTTTCTTGCCGTTAAGCATGTTTGCCATCGTGGTTTCGTCAAACTCCTCTTCAGAAGGTTCCTGATTTTTGTCCGTGATTGCAGCCAGATCAAGTACCTTCTCAACAAAAGGGACGGGGAAAAGCGGCGTGATGGCGATCCGCGTACAGTGTTGAGTGATCTTGTCCCAACCGAGAATATGCTGGTTGTACCCTTTCGGAAACTTTCCACGCCCGCATGAACACAGCGCGTCTTCTCCTCTTTCGGTTGACAACGGAACGGACGCTTCAGCTTTGTCATACTCGCAGAAATGTCTATGCTGCCAGTCACGGCAGCGCTCGGCAAAAGCTGGAAGGACATGTTGCCAGACTGCGAGCTCGTTCTCGTAAATCTCGATAGCTTGCAGGTTCGACTGCAGCCTCGCGCCGAGGAAATTTGCCGTTGCATGTTCGTTTTGCTTCGTTATCGGTAGCAGTGCCGCGTCCAGGACGATGCTGTGGCTTGAAATGTCGATGCGAATCGAGGACACACAGATCAAATACTGCATGGCTGGAACCCCTTTGAGGCAGAGAGCGAAGACATCCTGCTTGGGACTTCCACGAGCTGCACCAGTCGAGACCATGAACATACCGAAGAGGGAATCCTTGAAGCTTATGCGTCCGTCGTCAGGCGTGATATTCATCTTTTGGCAACGGTCTCTTTCTGCTCTTTCTCGGGCAGAGAACATTGTGATCAAATACATGCCCATCCAGTTGTGCTTCGTGATGTTCTCGGTTTTCTGAATATCCAAGATAGGCAGACTGTCAAGGCTGACGTAGGGCAGTGTCTCCAGCAGCGGTTTGCCCTCCGTGAGGCTCACTGGAGTCATGCCGTCCGTGCGCGACATTGTCTCTGTGGGTGATGCAACGGTGCCGATAAACTCCAAATATGCCGACGTCCGGGCTACTCTGGTCTTTCCTCCTGACATGCTGAACGGCATTGGCAGTCGGACGTCTTGCTGAAATCCATTGAGGCCAATATTGAACCTCAGTCGGAAAGGGGACATTTGTTGAACGTTGACTGCGCCTTTGGCCCTCAGCAGTGATCGAGCTTTAGGAGAGACAATGTCGAGATGAACGTTGAGCTTCTCTACCTTTGTCGCTTGATTCTCAAGTGAAGCAGTAAACGTCACTGTTGTGGTTTGGTCGGTGGGATGGATTCCTACCGCAAGAGCACCAAAGGCCTGAGTGATACCTTGAGAAGCTGCGGTCTTCGAATCGCACGGGAGTGGTGGACGTCCAGCCATGTTTGGAGGATTTGTGGTGAGATACACATCGTCGCTAGCCAGGCTGGACTTGTGCAATTCGAGCATCATGCCGAGATCTGCCGTGAAAGCAACGGTCATTGGAGTAGACTTCAAAGCAAAGGCAACCTTGGTCGAATGGTCCAGGTCGTACAATGCCAACCAGGTAGGGATCACAACGGAAACGATCAGTGGACCTTTGCCTTGCCACTCCTTCTCGTCGGAGTCCACGTAAACAGTGAAATCACCAGTATGCTTCACACCAGTGGTCCGAACTTTGCCAAAGCCCAATTGCAGGTCAGGAAAGAAGTTTTGCCTGCCATCTGTATGTTGAAGCGCAACATGACAAAGTGGGCTTCCTGTATCCGTGGGAGATTTCTTCTGGAATAGCCAAAGCTTGGAATGTGGGACGACAAGTGTCAGACATAATGTCGCTGGTAGATCCTTCCATGTTCGGAGTGGGCTGTCATTCACTAGGTCCATGAAACCATCAAGACCTGGCTCGTAGGTAGATGCAGAAAACAAGCCAGACATGTGCAAGTGCATGAAAAGTTCCTGGATGTAATGAGCTCCCATGTTCAACACAGTATCGTGTGCCACGTTGTCGCAGAAAGCCTTGATGAATTTGTCGAAGTCAACCAGCTTTCCACTCTTGACGAGCTTCAAGAGCTCAACAATGCTGGCACGAGTGTAGGGAGCATACTGAGTCCGCGTAAGTTGAGCAGCGGAGGTCGACAACATGTTTGCCCAGCTTTCGTCACGAAACATCTGCAGATACACCTTATACATCAGACGTGCTAGCTCGTCGGAGTCGAACTTGATGACCGGGAGCACGCCGGCCTTCCACATAAGAATGAGTCGGGATTGAGTGAGGGGCTCTTTGTGAATCTCTTTCATGAATCCGTCTTTCAGGATCTCCATGAGGCTTGAGATTGTCGTGGTATTGGTCCAGTACTGACACGGCGAGATGCCTAGCACAGCTGAGACTGTTGCTAGGTCTCCACACAGGAGGGTTTCAACATACGCTGCCACACTTGTATCTCGCAAGACGAGTATCTCAGTGTAGAGAGCCGAATATGGGCTTTGATGCAGAAGGGGAACGCCTGCGACGAGAACATTGAGCGGTCCCAAGTGGTCGATCAGATTTGAAGTGTCAATGATGTCGAATACCGTGGGAGCATGTCCACCAGGTGTGTAATCCTCCGAGTCTAAGACGAGCTGCTCGTAATGCGTTCGGTCGCAGTACCAGTTCGCAGATTGAGTTTCTTGATGGATGCGATGATGCTGCAGCACGTAACAGAAAGCCAGAGCATCCGAAGCCACAAATCGAATGACGAACTGAGCGCGGCGAAAGCTTTTAGTCCAAGCTTGAAATTCCGCAAAGGCGGCGCTTGCAACTGCTCTGGCACTTGACTGTTCGGAGATTTCTGTGCGCAAGGGAGAGCCTTCAGCGAGAGACACAAAGGCCGGTGCTAGATGAAATCCTAGGAGAGGATCTGTGGCATAGTGTAGTGTAACGGTCTCTTGCATTGCCCCGAACATTGGATTCAGATATTTTGACGCTTTCACAAGCTTCTTATTGTCCAATACAAGCCCTGTCTTCCAGTGCTCAGTAGAGAGAAGTGTTCTATCCTCCATAGCCAGCATAGTGCATGGAGCAGTGGAACGAACAGCTGAGTAATTGACTTTACCGCCGACCAGTTTCGTGTGTAAGTTTTGTGCCTTGGAAAAGCTAGCTTGCAGTCGCTTCTGCTGACTGTGGAAGACTGGTCCATGAGAGGGATCCAAGGAGTAGAATTTCCAAAGCTGGATGACTCGCGTAAAGGTACCCTGGTCGCAAAACCGAATTGAATTTCCATATGGACTGTTATGCCAGGTCTCCAGTGATGTTGTCAGTCCGCTGAGCTTCTTTGCTTGGTCACGAAGGAGCTGCAATGCATTCTGGTCGACCATCGTGTGATAGTAAATGTTCCAGATCAAGTGTGCGTTGTTGTCCTCCTTGTCGTCGATGAGCAGGGTGTAGAGTAAGGCATTTCGTGCTGAATCCATTAGCAATGTCGAATAAGCTTGGAAGGTCTTCGTACCAATTGTCTCAGCCAGGATATCACAGCAGGTGATGTCAAGTCTGCCAATTCCTGTGCCTCATTAGATTGCGAATAGGTTGCAAGGGGAGGTGGTGTCCGCTCCCACTCACCAGAAGGTAGTCGAGAATATGCAGTAAAGAGAACGTTGCGAACATCACCACATCCCAATAGGAGGCATGTTCCATCTTTCTCAGGAGGCAACGACTGGGCCAAGTTGACAGCTGGTGTGTTGCCAGTTGCGTAGAAATAGGTGACTGGCTCGATACGTGCAGGTACGGCCATTTTAGCGCTTGAGGAGTAAGGACGATAGGGAGTGAAGCGATCACGGAGCAGATGAAAGATTAAAAAGGTCCAGCAGATGACTTGCTGAATGATGCAAACAACAAAAGCGGTAAAACGCGAAGCAGTCTGCTATGAAAGAACAGACATTGAACGTGGATATTTCAAAGGTCGGATGCATATGACTCCGGAACCATACTTCATGATGGCTTTGACTGCTTGCTTCAAACAAAGGAGGCGTAGACACGTAAAACTTTTGACAGATATGCGCGCGAGCAAGCTGATAGCCTTGAGCAAACATACAGTGGACCCGAGCTGGCAAAGCAATTCTGCTCGGGGTATATTGTTAACTTCCAAAACCAGCTTGGGCAGTAGCATTTGCTCCTGCAGGGTCAATCCGAGCACAAGGATCTGCTTCATTGGCTTTCTGCTGTATATAATATGGAAAATGTGATTGGGACATGACGGAGCCTCAGAAGGTTTCGTACATACCTTGTGTAACAGTTGACGATTCTCTGCTCCGAGCTTCACTGCACGGACTTGATGTTTGACCTGGTTTTAGCCGCAATTGTGGGCTCCATGGTGCCGCCCGACTTGCTTCCGGTCGGGAAAGCCGTCTCAAGCTCCCATCCATGCCGTAATTGAGGCCACAACGTCGTGCAGGTGCAGAGAAAGAGTGCAGAAACACACCTACTTTCTCTTCTTTGCGCCAGCTTTGGTCTCGTTCCCACTAGCACTAGCAACTGGCGCAGTTGGCTTGAGTTCCTTGGTAGCTTGATCCAGCGCTTTAGGCACCGAAGTCTTCTCGCCGGGCGTGCTTTCATCCTCATCATCACTGTCGCCACCCTGCCCAAATTCGTTGACTCTCTTGTAGTCGACCTTGTACGCCCACTTCTGGTACAGCCAGACAAAGAAGATGACGTCGTCGCGCAGAGTAGCTAGTCGATGCAAAAGGGGCATCCGGATGGTAAATGCGAAAAGGTCGTCGATGAAAGTGTTCAAAAACTTGTATGTGAGTGCCTTGCTGGGCATGTGTGCAACGGATTTGAGGCGATAGTTGATGTACAAACTTGGAACCATCATGAGGAAACCATACGCGTAGACTGAGCCCACAAGCGTTTCGATGACGAAGCTGTACCATGACTTATGCGTTTCATAGATTAGAGAATAAACGGCGTAAGCCAGCAATAGAGGCACAGCAACGATGTACAGATAGCGGAAGGCTATCTGGTCGTACTCCTGGGTCTTCTTCTCTGTCTCTGAGAGCTTGTGCTTGTCCTCAAAGACAACGACGTAGGGGAGGAACTTGAAGCTCGAATCCGGACCTGGTTCTCTCAAACGCACGTCGACCATCTTGGTGATTTTCCAGGCCTCAAGAAGAATGCCAAAGCCTTGACTGGCCAAGATCATCCAGGATGTTGCATCGGAGTTGTCGACAAGGTACAAAAAGATGACCAATTGCATGAAGACGTTGGCCAGGATCGTCCGGACGGAAGTGCCCACGTTGTCTTTCTTCTTCCGCCAGTGTGAAATGTCGCTCTTGAAGGCGAGGGCTTCGAAGACCATATGTAGAATGCTAACCACGAACGTGGTTCCGAGAAGATACGAGTTTGTGTCCAAGAGAATTTCTTTGAACTTCTCGAACTCGCTGCCATCGCCGCCGGCAGGAACAGGGCCGCCCGAGGCAGCTTGCTGTTGATTTTGTTTCATACCTTCATCGATGCTCGAAATGATACTGTATTTCCAGTTCACCATATTGTATAGCTGAATGTTCAATGGCACTTCGGCGACGGTATCATTTAGCTCGGTCATATGGGAGCGAAGCTGCCAGAAGGTGTTCAAGAAGATGACAGGATAATACCATCCGTTTTGGCCAGATTCGTCCCGGGCCCCTGTGGGTTCGAGTACGATGTTCCTGCGAAGTGCGGGATGCATGGATCGCCAGTTTTGGACGCCAGTGTTTGGAATGACGGCCACGGTGAAGTTTGGATGATAGAACGATCCAATCTGCGCTCCTTTCGGCTCTTCGGGCTCCTCCTCAGATTCTTCGCTCTTGTCGAGCAAGTTCTTCAACTTTCGGGTCTTCTTCTTTGGGAGGTATTGATTGAGAGGTCTCTTGAAGTGGAACGCTTTGGCTGGGTCATATTCTGTGACAGAAGGATCCAGTTGATTGCCTGTCAGAGCGACGAAGAAATGTGCCCACAGTGTGCCGTTGTGTTGGGCCTCTTTGGGAATGGCGATTTTTGTTTGAATCTCTCGATTTTCTTCATAATTGCCAATCTTGAAGTCCTTCTCATCAACCACGAGGGTGTCCTTTGGCAATTTGGACAATTTTGGGACGGAGTCTTTTGGAGACACATAGACTTGAACATCAACAGTGCTCCCTTCAGGCCAGATGGGTAGAATGTTCTGTGGTATCGCAGAATAATTTGTCAGAGCGGTTGCATCGGCGCGCTCTTCGAAGTTGACGTTTGCACTGGGAGCGGCACCGCCAGACTGTGTCTTTGAGCCGAAGAATTGGTTGACGACAAATTGGGTAAAGACGAAAATGGCAAGTCCTTGAAGGATGGTTTGGATCATGGACTGGTAACATGTCAGTAAGTGTTCGGTCCAGGAGTATGGGTTCGATGCTCACCTTTCCACCTCCTTCTTCCTGCGTTGCAGCAGTACCGCTGCGACCTGTCGACTCCGGCATGTTGTCTGTCAAATTGCTGTAGGAACTTGGGTGAACAGCAATGCCGGACTAGTCAAGATGGCACAAGAAGGAAAGGTCGAGTCGCCAGTTCGCAGTTGTCTTCTGCATAGCGGCGGAGAAGCTTTGTCCCGAGGATGGCGGGCAGCGCTCTTGGCAGCATCTTCGCTCTTTTGCTAGTCCAATGAGCCTGCCACCTTTGATCACGACATAGCGTTCTCTGATCTCGACTTTAACCAGCCCTGGGTTAATAAGATTCAACAAGCGATCTCCTTCCTAGATGCCTGCCTGCGGCTAGGCCATGTTTCCTCAAGGCTGAGATGGCAAATGGAGGGGCGGCTCCCACACCTACGCCTCAGTTTCCCACGCATAATGCCCCTCGAGTTTGGCTGTTGACGTCTGGAGATTCGCCTGTAGGCATCTCGATAGCTCGGCAAGTACTCGATCATGGGGATTATGTCGTGTCCGGTATCATCCAGGCTGAATTTGAGAATGAAAGTTTACGAAGTCAAGAGTTCAAGAACTTCCTCTCGGAAGTGGTACGAACGGATGGATGGAAGGATAGATTGAAAATTGTACCGTTAGACATCAGGTATGAAGCACCGTCCAGCATGATGCTAAAATATTTGCATTTGTTCAAGCAAGAGCACAGTGTTGATCTTGCAGTAGGCTTGTTGGGCAATGTCAGGCAGCTATCGCAGAAGCCGTGCATACCTTCAGAAAGATCGATATCCTTTTCTGCTGTACCAGTGAAGCAGTGATTGGGACAGTGGAAGAATTGTCAGCGAACCAGCGCACGTTGACAATGGTCCGAGACCAATTCGAAAAGAATTTCTTCGGTCCAATGAACATAATCAGAGCCGTTATTCCTCATATGCGCTCGCTGATGAATGGGCACATCATTGTGCTTACCGGCATCAGTGGCCATCTGGGCACCCCGGGGCTCAGCATGTATTGTGCTTCTGGTTGGGCGATAGAAGGTTTCTGTGACAGTGTTGCCTATGAAATCGCCCCGTTCAATATAAAATTGACCATCGTTCAAGCCAGCGTCGAAATTGGCATTTTGACGAACAAGATCACTTCAGCCCCAGCAATGAAGGCATATACCAGAGAGTATGGGCACAACGCCCCCATATTCCGAGGTATTATTGATGGACTGCTCAACCGACTACCGGGCATTCGCGCTGAACACCCTCCACCTCCAGAGAGAGACATCCAGTCACCTTCTTCAGAATCCGAAAGACAAAGTGGTCCTTACCTACTCAGTCGCGACGACATTGCGAGCTTCTATCCACCCTTGAGCCATGCACACACGGAAAAGTTGATAGCCGAGACGGTGCATGCCTTGACGGCTATTGGAGGCCATGAGAACCCCCCAGCACGGCATATTGTTGGGGTAGAAGGCGTGGCCAGTGTGAAGGAGAAGCTCAAGATAGTCAGTGAAGAACTCGAGGAATTTGTCGACACGAGCGCATCGGCCGATATCCTGAAACAGCAGGTCATTGCCGGGCGTGCCTCGAGCATAATGGATGTGGATGCGAAAGATTTCGACGGAGATATCTTCGATATGTCATCGAACTTTCGCTGACAACTGCCTTGACTGAGGAGTCTAGCAATGAGAGCATCATCGTCGGTCGTCTCGTCTTGCAGCGTCGCGACGTCTGTACCCATCCTCTCGCCGATGTCGACCAGGTGACCTGCTTCGGGAGCCTCGTCTCCGATCGCGCTTTGTACTCCGGTCCAGAGATGCGGATCTTGAGCGCCGTCTATCCCCTCTCTCGTCTGGCGAACGATTTCTATGTCCCCTGTGTCGACGGTCATCGTCTCTGTGCTTCCGATGATGGCGACGATGCCGTTCATGGGCATCATCCCGGCTTCCACTGCCATGCCTTCGATCACCATGTCGTCTTGTGTATTCTTTAAGTGCATATTGAAGCTCCTGATCATGTCCATTGCTCATGCCTTCAAGTCGTTCGGTCGTCACCTCACCTGCCTTCGATCCTGGTATCCCTGCTACGCGGCCATGACCGACGCCCCTTGATCCTGGTGTATCATCCTCTTCTGCAGCCTCTTTCAAAACTTTCGCGACTTCTCGTTGGGCGCCTAACTCTTGCATATTGGGGTTGTCTCGTGGCGCGACTGGCAATCCCAATGCCCTGGCGAGTGCATCCTCTTCAGCCTCTTTCACCCTTCGTATCTCTTCTTTCCGTTCTCTTGCAGCTTTTGCGGCGGGGTCTTCTCCGTCCACTGACTCCTCGTCAGGTTTAGCATACCAACTGAGATCCCGGCCTTTCTGCCATCGGCCGACTGGTGCCATCAACGAGTGGCCGAGATAATGCTCACGATGCGAAGAATTCTGGACATCGGACCATTTGAAGTCCCCAAGACCGCCTCGAGAGCCTTCTTTTCGGACGGTTGCCAGTAGATCCATGTTGACCTTGCAGCGGCTTGCGAAAGAAGAAATGAGTGTTCTGAAGAGATGGAAAGAGCCTTTTCGCGTCCAAAAAGTTTCCTGCTGTGTAACCCAAACTCCTCACAACCACGGGAGGAGCAATGACGATTCGATTGATTTGTTCAATCGCTGGCCAGTCACGGGGGCTCGATAGGTATCATGCATTGATCGGTGGGCGAGGAAATGGCGCGGCGTTAATGCAGGAGGGGAGAATGTGGTTGTTGGTCGTAGGAAAAATAGTTCCCTGCGAGTTCTTGTTCTTGTGTTGCCATCCACAGCAAGAAAATGCAAGTATCGGCGGTAAGGTCATGAATTTGAAGGTAATGCAGGATGGTGCAAGGACATCATGACCGTCGATAACGATCTCTGTACGAGCATCGCATCTTTTTTGTTCAACACTCCTCATGCCACTTGCGCCGGCTGGTTACGGCTGCGTCATTCATCTTCTCCGCGTGCGACACGTCGTGCGCCTCTATCAACCCTTTTGAACACTTGCATCTCGCAACTGTCACTACTCGACTGGCACTGTGCTTCTTCTACCACCCAAAGAAAACATGGCAACCTAGGTTGCATGGGATCTGACACTCCTGCTGCACGACGAGTCCAGCGATCCTCAATCGAAGACCTGGCAACCTGACTGCACCCATGAAATTCCATCTGCCTATTGGATCCGAGCGACCTCCAGACGAGCTCAAACCTCTTTAAGTGACCCCGTCCAGACGCCCTGCAAATTACAAAAGGAGCCTTGTGCCGTGATTCGAGAAGCCAGCGCATACAAACTATTGCATTCATTCTCCATGTGGAATCGTTGAAGTTTTGTCGCAGCCCGGTTGTCCACAGACTTGCAAGGTATGGAGGATGATCTTAGGTCCTTCCAATCTGTCAGTATCGGGTTGACGAGTGTTGAAAATGGCAAGGAAAGATTCACAAGAGATGGGCTCTATAACCCTCCACCACTGGCTTACTGGAGGAACAACTTGACCGCATTGTCCCAGCGCTATAATCTTTATCTCGTTGCAAATCGCGATTCCGTCGCCGTCTACAGGCCTGAGTTCCCCTTTCAGAAACTACACAGACTACCCGCGCTATTGATCCCGCCTACTCTGGCGAACCCTTCTGCTGGAGGCTACATCGACACTCATTCTCCACATACTATCAATCACATCGTGGTAGGTGACTTGGGATCAGAGGAAATCGTTCTTGTCGCAACCGACTCTGGCAATATCACGGGCTACTTTACCAAAGCAATCGATGAAGCCGTGCGAAAAGACCCGTATCGCTTCAGCACAAATGCACGAAGCGACTATGTCGGCGTCCGGGCTTTCTTCAGCCAGTCGGTGCACGAGTCAGCGTGGGGACTTGCCATTCACTCCCAGGCTCGCATGATTGCCGTGTCAGCCAACACACCGCACTATGTCCCCAACGACGACCCGTGCGCAAAGCTCACTGTCTTCGCATTTGCGTTAACCCATGATGACGCTGATGTCGACGAGGATTCACCTGACACAGCTGACTTTATCGAGTATGCCAGACAACCAGACTGGGAAGAGTGGGAAGCCAAGGGTGTTCAATCTGCACCGCCTCCTCGCGACAAGAACTACAAGATCACGTTGGGCGGAGTCGAGGGCCATGATCATAATATTCCAAGCGTTTCCTTTGTGAATACAGACGAGGACATCGAAGGGAAATGGCTTCTGAGCACTGACATTGGCGGACAGATGAAAGTCTGGCAGATCTGGCAAGGGATCTGTCTCAAGTCATGGGATTTTGGTGAGAAGAGAATGCGCTCAGGTTTCTTCCGACGCCGAGAAGGCGGTTGGCTCGTTGCCGCACTTGACCCTGCTGGATTTCGCTCCGCCTGGACCATGGAACAGTTTTGTGGTCATTCTAAAGCAGCATTGTATCATGGTCATGCCGGTGAAAGCTATGACCTTACCAATATCGTTCGCCTGCGGACGCCTGGCAACAGTCTTGCCCATCCCAGCATCAATAGCCAAACAAATGCGCTTGTTCCAGACGAAAACGACCACGAGATGCTTGACTCTTGGTCAGACTTGGAAGACTACGAAGATCAACTGATAACCAACAATATCGGTATTCATGGCGATAATGCCACGGCGCAAGCTCTACAGGCGCACGTCGCAGCTGCTGGAGTTGACCAAACAACGAGAAGTACAGAGGGGATCGGTGCTGTTGCAGCCAATGCTACCAGCACAACCCTTGTGGAGCCTACTCAAGCCGCGGAGACTGCTGACAGAGATAGTGGCTCGTTAGAGCTCATACTGATGGAAGAAGACGACGAATCTGACTCTGATGGAAACGATGGCGAAGACATCCAGTATGAGTGGAACTCGGATGGACGAGAAGAGCAGCTCTCTTCTAGTAGCCATCATAGCGCGACATCGCTTTCGAGTATCGCGCCACGCAACAGCGTGGAGAATGACGCACAGTGGCCCTTCACGCCCGACGTGCAGCCTTTCTCAATTTCGCAGTATGCACTGCAAAAGCCAGACCTCAGGCGCAAAAGAGGCTACGTGGCTCCGTATGCTCGTGGTGCTCGCACACCTAGCGACATACCCATGATACCGACACTTCATTGCAGTGCATCAAATTTGAGACTCGTCATGGCCCCGGAAGCAGATTCGCCTCATGTCTTTTGTGCCAACATTCTGAAACAGGCACTGCCGGATGACATTGAGTTGACGAATCATGTCCACCTTGACAGAATCAACATGCTGCAACAAATACCCGAGCTAGGGGTCGTCATTGTCGCTTCGCAGATCGGTCGATGTGCTATATGTACAACGACTAGGAACGAGAAGACAGGGGCCTTGGGCCTGAGGGTCGACTGGGTGCTGCCAAGCAGAAAGCAAGAATTAGGACGTGTTCGTCCATTTATGCCGCTGCTCGGTATTGCTGTTTCACCAGTCCAGGGACGCTTCGTTGTAGGCCACGCTAAGAGATGGTCAGGCTCTGAAGATTCGACCGAATGGGGTTCTGACGGTATAGTGGACGGGGTGAAAACTACCTTTGACCCAACTGTCGTCACTGTCACGGAGCCTGACAGCCAAGAAGCTACTGACCACACTGCTTCTGAAGACAGCGGAAAGGGTCCAGACACCGATGACCACCAACCGCCCCGTGACGTTCACGGTACGAATTTATCAGATACCACTGCGGAACAAAGTTGGTGGGAAAAGCCGGCAGGAAGAGAACCCTGGCTTGCCACAGAGAACGGTCGCAGATATCGACTCATGCTAACATATCTGGACATGACTGTCCTGACATACGAGATTTCCCGACAGGTTGAAAGAGATGACATTGCTCAAGATGAAGTCTCATCGCTTGAGCTTATGGATTGACCCAGACCAGAGTCTGATTATTCTTGAAGTGCCTCATGTCTGTGCCACCAGAATGGCTCTGGTCTCGAAGGACGAAAATACACCACGCAGACGCTTTGACGATGGTCCTCACCCAGTGAACAAAGCATGCATGATCGAGGCGTTGTGTCAGGTCACCAGTCTCGGCGGCAGGCGCCAGACAAGAGTAAAGAGAAGCGGAAAGCACATTTGGATCGTCAACAGGATCTGGAGAGCACTGGTGCATCGATTCACATCGAGGTATCTCTTTTGGGCTGAGTAAAACGGCACGTGGAAGTCATACCCTCTTTGGGCCCTCGAGCAATTGAGCGATCGAGCATTGATTGGGCGCATGTTTACGGCGTTTTATTCATGATGTTTCCATGGGAGGCCTCGTCTCCGAAATCCTTGTCCGTGGTCGCTCCGGTGTGTAAGGACGGATCCGGCTTAGTAATCCCCATCTCAGGGGTCGGAGCTGTATGCCATAGAGGTGCTGACAACTCTCATTCCGCCGTGACTACGGTCTGTAACCTCGCTCCACGATGATCAGGTATGGTGCGATCTGGAGGCCTTAGGTCGCTGTCTGCATAAGTTGTTAGAAGTACGCTGGTCACTGCTGTATTGAAGCGCAAATGACGGGCCTGGCCTACACACGATTACAAAGCCCTCTCGAGGTATAATTGCGACGAGGAGTGGGATGACAGTATAACAGCATGAAATATCCTGCCGTTCGTTTTTCATAGAGCTTGCATTTCAGACTCGGACGCAAGCACACGGTTTCATTCTCTAGTAATGGCCCTTGACACGCAGAACTATGGCCTCATCCGCGAAGGTGCCGGCAACGCGGTCTTGCGGCGCATTCCCGTCCCTCAACTCCGCGATGACTATATACTGGTTCGTACGGTGGCCATTGCTTTGAACCCCACAGATTGGACGACTCTGGACGCCCGGGGCGACGACGGCACTCTTGTCGGCTGCGACTACGCAGGGATTGTAGAGGCAGTAGGCAAGGCGGTCAAGAAGCCCTTCAAGAAGGGCGATCGTGTTGCTGGGTTTGGACACGGAGGTTTGTCCCTGCTCGTTCTGAGCCTAGAAAGCATTGCGGCTCATCTCGGTGGTGGTGTATAGGAAATGATGCGAATCCTGAGAATGGCGCGTTTGCGAGATATATCGCTGTCAAGGGGGATATTCAGATGCATATTCCGGACGCTGTGGGTTTCGAGGCTGCGTGCACGGTCGGTGTTGGCGTTGCGACTACGGGGTATGCACTTTACCATGTGCTTGGACTGCCGCTGCCGGTTCTGGGGAGTGTTGAGAACACCGGTGACGGGCCGGAGCCTATCTTGATATACGGTGGGAGTACTGCCACTGGGACTATTGCGATTCAATTCGCGAAGTTGTAAGTGCGAGACCTGCTTGCTGTTGACGTGTACCGGAAAAGGAAAAGTACTGATGACGGGACTGTTCAGATCTGGATTGAAGGTGATCACCACGTGCTCGTCCAAGTATTTCGGGATGATGAAGGACTTGGGGGCCGATCTTGTCTATGATTATGTGAGTTGCTCAATGCGATGCTAGCGGACATGGTGCTGACGGCTCGGCGTGTGCAGCATGACACGAAAGTCGGTGAGACGATTCGAGCGGCCACAGAGGGCAAGCTGAAGAACGTGTTCGACACGGTGACTGTTGAGTCTTCAGCGGCGATCTGTGCCGATGCCATTGGCCCCAACGGTGGTGTTTACTGCAACCTGCTGGGACTGAATTGTCCACGGCAGGATGTTCAGTCGACATTCTTCCTTGGATATGGTATATCGGGCGAATCGTACATCTTTGAGGGCGACAAGTACGAGGCACGGCCAGAGGATCTTGCGTTTGCATCCGAGTTCCTGGCTCTGGCTGCGAAGCTGTGGGCCGAGGGGCACCTCAAGCCTCATCCAAAACGTACTGGGCCTGGAGGTCTTCTGGGAGCAATTTCTGGGATGCAGGAGATGCGTGAAGGTAAGGTTAGTGGCCAGAAGTTGGTTTATCGTGTTGAGGAGACTCGATGGCCATGAATACCTCTTTGGATAGGCGTATTGGGAATTTCAAAGAGCGGACTGGTTACAGGCCGAGGACGAGTGAGTTCTTTAGCATGTCGCGCATCGGTGGCTCGGGGATCGACACACTTCATCAGATGCTCGAGGAAGCGAAGGCTGATGGAGGACCGGGTTGGGACTAGGAATGGGTCTTGGGGAACGAGCAAGCCATCGTGGGCCATGTTTTGTGCTGGGACATGCTGAGGCAGCAGTGGCATGAGTAGTAGTGGTGCTGGTGCTGAAAGGGCTTCTGGGTTCAATCCAAGGCTGTTCGTCCGGTGACACCTGCTATAGTAACAGTGGGGAAGGTCTATACAGCAACGAGATGGTATACATGGGATGGTTTGAATAGGAAACGCCCATAATATTACTATCCTTCACGTTACCCAGGTACCTAGAGTGCCACGAGTGACTAGCAAGGGTGAGCGGAGGCGGGCATCTCTTGGCAACGACAACATACAGTACAGTACTCCGTAATTGGAGCGGAGAACTTTCTCAAATACAGCAACTGTCCGCAAGTGCGCTTCCACTTCCAAGTCACTTGCGCGACGCTGCTTCACTGCGCTTTAAAGAGAACTTCTACCTTGCGAGATCAGCGCAAGATTGAGACATGTCTAGATTCCCACGCGCAAGTCCATAACCTCTTTGCCTTTCTGGGAATGTCTTGAACACAAACCCTGTCCTTCCCCGAACTCGCCCTTGATTGAGCCTCAAGATGGCAACAACGGTCGCGAGAAACGGCAACGGCCCAAGCACAAATGGCACAACAGTCGGCATCACTCCCACCTCACGTTTCTCCGATATCCCTGCCGCTATCGACATTCCTGTTTCCGGTGGCCTCGATGCAGATGAGGCGGTTGAGGTGAACCTCGAGGATCATTTGGACGACCCAACAGAATTATGCCAGCTCTTAGAGAACGAGAAAGCCGCGAAGAATTTGTGGATCACAATAGCTTTGGCCTATGCAAAACAAGCACAAATCGATCATGCTGTGGAAATTCTGGTGAAAGGATTGGGATCTCTTTCTCGAAGCGGTCCCAAGGAGCGTCTGAGCCTGCTTACATGTGTCGCATGGTTGAATCTACTCAAGAGCAGGCAGGCTCCTCGTGTCTTGTCCGAAAATCAGCAGACCAACGATACGAAGACAAAAGATACCTACCTGCGGGAAGCGACCACCACTATCAACGATGCTCTGCGGATCAATCCCGCTTTTCCTCCTCTCTACCTCACACGTGGTGTCCTGTTCCTCCTCCGAGCCTCCTTGCAGGCGTCGACGAAAACTGGTCCTGGTGCCGATGCCGAAAGAGCGGAATCTCTGAAACAGGCCTCCAAGTGTTTTGATGATGCGCTTAGGTCGTCGGATGGACGCAACATGATGGCCGCGATGGGCAAGGCTCGGACATTGTATCTTCTGAAGCAATATGGTCCAGCCCTGCAAGCATACCAAGAAGTGCTGTCCAAGATGCCTGGTCTCACTGACCCAGATCCCCGAATCGGCATTGGCGCTTGTCTCTGGCAACTGGGATATCCTGACCGGGCAAAAACTGCGTGGGAAAGATCACTCGCCTTGAACCCAGACTCAAAGGTTGCAAACGCGCTCCTAGGAGTCTTCTACTTGCACGAAAGCGCCAAATATCCGGCGTCAGATCCTCAATTCAATATCCTTTACAAAAAAGCCATGATTGACCACACCAAGAAAGCCTACACAATTGACAAGAACTTCCCTCTGAGCTGTGCGACGTTCGCAAGCTATTTCTTACTCACTGGTCGGTACGATACCGTGGAGCCACTTGCCAGGAAGGCGATCGAGCAAACCGATATCAACGCAATCGCTAGTGAGGGATGGTATTTGCTCGCCAGAAAAGAACACAACAGCGGTGACCTGACCAAAGCAAACGACTGCTACAGCAAAGCGGATCAGGCACGAGGTGGCCTAGACAGAGGTTACTTCCCTGCCAAGTTCGGCTTGATCCAGATTATGGTACAATCTCAGGACATTCAAGGCGCAAAATTCCGCCTCGAATCGCTAGGTCAACTCAACCGTCACGTGGAAGCAATGACTTTGCTGGGATGCATATATGCCGAAGAAGCGTTCTCGACACAAACTACTATGACCAAGGAGGACAAAGCAGCCTCGGCTCGAAAAGCAGTGTCCCTACTCGAGAATGTGCGCCGAACATGGAAGGACGAGAAGTCTCGAAACAAACCGGATGAATCGGTGTTGCTCTACCTCGCCAGGCTCTACGAGCAGGAGAATCCCATCGAGAGCCTGAAATGTCTTCAGCAAGTTGAAGCAATGCAACTTGAGAAGATCCCAGACGAGGATAAGCCAGATCCCAGCGAGGACAACGCTGCTTACATTGCGCAATTACGCGAACATCTCCCGCCACAACTTCTAAACAACATGGCATGCTTCCTGTACGGGCAAGAGTCCTATACCCTGGCGCGGGAGACATTCCAGATTGCACTCAGCGCATGTGTGAAGCTGACGGAGAAGCAAGAAGCGGAGAAAGAAGCTTTGGAAGAGGGCAAAATCAACTTGGAAGACGTTGACAATAGTGATACGGATGCTTTGGTGACCACAATCTCCTACAACTTGGCTCGAACTTATGAAGCCTTAGGGCTGGTCACTGAGGCACAGAAGGTGTATGAAGGGCTCCTTGGAAGACATGCTGATTACACGGACGCTTCCGCCCGATTGGCTTATATTGCTTTGGAAACGTCTCCGCGTGAGGACGGTCCGCGCAAGATCCACGCCGTGTACCAGAGTGATTACGGCAATACTGAGGTCAGAGCGTTAATGGGCTGGTACCATCATAGCGCTAAGAAGAAGACCACCAACCTTGCCGAGGATACGGAGAATCGACATTACAAGCACACGTTACAGGGCTACGACAAGCATGATCTCTATTCACTCACGGGCATGGGCAATGTCCACCTCACAATTGCCCGGGACATGCCTCGTAACACGGACCAAGAGAAGGAAAAACGAAGCAAGATGTACGCCAAAGCCTACGAGTTCTTCGACAAAGCTTTGCAGTTGGACCCGAAGAATGCCTACGCAGCTCAGGGTGTCGCCATCGCTCTGTGCGATGACAAGAAGGCTTATTCGGACGCCGTGCAAATATTCACCAAAATCAAAGACACCCTCCGCGATGCTTCGGTCAACCTCAATCTGGGTCATGTGATGACAGAACTGCGCCAGTATCAACGCAGCATCGACAATTACGAGATCGCCCTGAGAAAAGAAGGGAAAGGAGAAAATGCTCAGTTACTGGCGTGCTTGTCAAGATCATGGCTGTTGAAGGGTAAAGCGGACAGATCTATTTCCGCCTTGAACACTGCTCTTGACTACATGAAGCGTGCATTGGCCACTCAAACTGACTCTCCTCATCTCCAATTTAACGTGGCCTTCATTCAATTCCAAATTGCGCAGCATGTCAACCAGGCTAAGGAGACCGATCGTACCCTCGAGGATGTGGACGCTGCTATTACTGGACTTGAGGAGGCTATCGAGACTTTTGAACAAGTGGCAAGACACAAGCAGCCACCTTACCCTCGAAGTGCGCTCGAACAGAGAGCGGCTATGGGTAAGAATACAATGCGGAACCAGCTTGAGCGACAACGTGGGAAACAGGCAGCTTATGAGACTGAAAATGCCACTAAACTGCAGGAAGCCAAGGAGAAGCGTCAAGAAGAACTTCGCAGACGTGAAGAAGCGGCCAGAAGACGCAGAGAAGAGGAGGAAGAACGTGCAAAGAAGATTGCAGATGAACGGCGGAGGATCGTGGAAGAGACAGAGAAACTTGCGGAACACCTACGTGCAGAGGCCGCTGCAAGGGAGGCTGCTGACTACACTGATGACGAGGAAACCGGCGACCGTGTCAAGCGAAAAGCCAAGAAAGGAGGATCCAAGCGGAAGAAGAGGGACGACGAGGATGGGTTTATCGAAGATGATGGGGACCAATTTGACGGTAAGAGCGAGAGGAGCGTGTCTAGAACGCCGATTAGTGGGTCCGACAACGAAGCTGCAGCTGAGAAACCGAAGAAGAAGAGAAGAAAGCTGGAGAGAAAGAGCAAACCAGCAAAAGAGCCAAGAAAGAATGACAAGTACAAGTCTGCTGCTGTGGTCGTCGATTCCGATTCAGAACTGGAAGATGAGCCTGAAGCTGCCCCCACGCCCGAAGAAGGTGCTGAATCCCCTGCTGGAGATCAGGACGAGGAGATGGTCGATACTCGTGATGACGATGACGATGAGGTCCGACCTCGGCAGCCTGCAAGACAGAGAAAACAGCTTCGCACTATTGCCGATGACGATGATGATGAGGACGAAGATGAGGTTGGCGCGAATGGCCATTCTGAACCTTCCGAAGCGTCGAAACCCGCCGACATTGACGATGAGGATGACGAGTAAGCGTCCTGGGCGTTGGCAACTCTTTTGAAAACACGTTTGGGAGCAGCGGATCGGACTTTCAGAGGGTAAAAGCACTCGAAATCGGGCTGGGGGGGACCATCCGATATGACATTAGAGGGAGAAGGCTGCGTGACTATGCCAAAAGCTGAGACTTTTACTTCTGGGTCTGTATTGACTGTATAAGAAATGAACTATTCATACCCTCGAAAGCTTTGTAATTATCTGATTATACGGTGCCCAAGTTGCCTTGTCTATCCGCATGGCAAGGCTGGCATACTGTAAATATCTAGCAGGAGAAATTCCGGCGAGGCTGAAGTTGTTGACTCATGATCGGCCACTTTTATTTGAATCTTGAATCAACAGTTTGCTGCCTGAGTCTCACGCAGCTTCGTCCTATTCAATATTGACTATCAGAACAAGGCTGACACTGTCGCCTGTCAGCGGGCTCCCATACCCTGCGATGGCTTCGTCGAACTCATCGACAGCGCTTGTGAAGCGTAATTCAGTCCAAGATGTGGCCGCTATGCCCCCACCACCTTTCAAGCGGATCAAGAGACCACCGAAAGTCCTGGACGAAGATGAATACACCAGTGCGCTCTCCGATATCATCGCGCGAGATTACTTTCCCGGCCTGCTAGAAAGCCAAGCGCAGCACGAGTACCTCGCTGCGTTAGACTCAGAGAACGACTCGTGGATCGCTGAAGCCGCGCAAAAACTCAGAGACGCAGCCGCGCCAACGTCTGGGAGCAAGAGAAGGTCAGCAAGAAATACAAAATTCGATGGCATTTCTTCCGCTGCCGCGACACCATTACGCACACAAGGTGTTGCTGACACGCCGCTGGGCTATACGGGAAGCGAGACGCCAGTCACACTTGCTGGCAGCGAGGTGGGTGACGATGTCTCAAGCGAGCGCGAAAATCTCAAGAGCCGTGTCGACGCATCCGCCCTGTCGCTAGGCGCATTCCAGGCGAAATACACATCGGAGGACAATGAGTCGTTCAACGCCCTGCTGGACAAGCAGAACTACAAGCGCCGCGAGAAACACGCCTACCTTTGGACGCAGGACCAACGCATCCCGTCCGCACGACAGATCGCATACCGCGCGCACGAAGCACGCCTGCTCAAGGAGCGCGAGGAGCTTGAAGAAGCTACAGGAAAAGAACTCGTACTAATGACGACGGGAGCAACGGCTTCGCGCCCCGCGAAACCAGACGCCTGGCAGAACAAGAGGCCCGACAATACATTCATGTTCAACGCCTCGTCCGTCGACGAGGACGGCCTACAAACGGTACAAGAAGTCAAAGAGCAAAACTCCAAAGCCGGGCCCAAACACGTGGTGCACGCCAACACGAGGTTCCCGTCCATGCTGTACGTCGACGACCCAGGCCCGGTTCCGCCTTCGCCATCGCTGAACACGGATATCATTGCGAGGCGTGACGCCGCTAGACATAAACGTGCAGGTGCAGATACAGACACTGAGACCGAAAGCGAATTTACGGGTGGCGAGACCCCGCGCGTAAATGGATACGCCTTTGTCGATGAGGATGAGCCGGAGAATGTGCCGGTGGAGAACACGGCGCCGAGTTTTCGCGACTTACTGGCCGGGCAGGTTGGCGACGCGACGCCCAATCCTTTCAAGATCAGTGAGAATCGGAAACGGGAGGACTTGCATATGCGCATGCTGGACAGGCAGGCGAAGAGGCAGAGGGAGAAGGACCGACAGACGGCGAGACCGGCGGATATAGCGGCCACACCGGCAGGGAATATGACACCCGCGGCGAGACGGTTGATGGATAAGCTTGGAGGGAGGACGCCTGTGCCGACCGACACTGGTCATGGTCATGCGAAGGATATGTGGACGCCTGGACGGACCCCGAGGAGAAGTACGGCGGTGAGAAAGTGAGCTGCTGAACTTGGCTTGACGGACGATGACTCATAGGACAACACCTGGGTGATGGAGACTGGGAAGCGCAACTACATTGGGGTGGCGGCGGCGGCGGAGGCAACAACAATCATAACCAGTGTCGAAGCGAAGAACATCAGTGCGGCCGTCGTAATATTATTTTGCGATCTATGAAACACGAATAGCCCGTCGTGAACACCATGCTACGAGGCTTAATGGTCAAACTCCCCCAAACACCACGCTATATCGCTGAAAGAAGAATTGCTCAAACTTCGTCATGAACTCATACATTGGTGAAAGCGCTTCATGCTTTCATGTGCGTCTAGAAGAGGTTCATCAGGACCGCCACAAAACCCACCAGTGCCACAATTCTCTGACCCGGGATCAAGACAGACTCTGCTCCGCTGAGATAATATGCAGCGCCCAGGTAGCTACATGTGATCAGGCCCGAATTGTTACTTCTGCTGCCATAGCTCTCCTCTAGCCCTGCACCCGGTAGTGGACAACCGAATCCCAGAGCTGCCGGACAGCTCTGAACCAGATCCCAGCACAGATCCTTACATGGAAGGACTTCTTTATAGGGGCCAGGTCGAATGGTTTCGTCGATGATGGGATTTCGTGATGAATTGGTCGCCACGGCGTCCAGGAGCTGTTGGGTGAGACCGTACTCTGAGTAGGAGATGGTTGACCCGTTGACAAAAGGCTGGCCAAGGTTCCGCGGCATCAGGTACGGGCTTGTGTTCGAATAGTCCGCACATCTAGGTATCGTCACGGCGCAGAGCCATTGTTTGTAGGCGCGCGCACAGTCGTCACAGTTCCGCGCCAAAGAATACTGTGAGCTCGAGGTGGTGTTACATGGTATTTGTTGTAGAGAGTAGTTGAAGTATTGGTACATTTGTGCGGCGTGAGAGTCGTAAAGACCAGCTAGATCGGGGACGCCTGTAAAAGGAGGATATTTGTCAGGGTTTGTTGGGACAGCATATGCGACTTCCGAACAAAAAGAGAGGTTGTACATTAGAGCACAGTTGTCTTCGGTTTTGGTCTGAAAGTCAATGTACTCCCAGACTGTCCCTCCACCTCCCACCACACCATTGCCAGATGCTGTTGAATTTCCCACCATAGCCAACATGCCCCAGTAATTCGAACTGGCATTGAGTCCTGTGATGTAGAACTGCTCCTTCGGTTTGCCTCCCAGCCCTCGATTGGTCATCTTAGCGACATTTTGATTCATGAAACCATCGATATTGGCCGCAATTTGGGCATAGGTTTTGAGACCACAGAATGAATTCTTCACACCGAGGATAGCGGTGTCGTTTTGATTTGCAGCGAATACTCCCCAAGGCGGACTCATGTTCATCCACTCTTGGTATACGGTCGAGTTCGAATCGGCTTCAGTTGTATCGTTCGTGATCAGCAGTGCTGCATGATTATCGCCGTCGACAAAATACAAGTTTGACGAGTTTTGGTGCAGACCGTGGTAAGGTGCATCTATCGAGGCTGCAACTTCGTAGTTCCAGATGCCCACAAACGTCGTGGTGTTGGGTGCGCTAACACCAATGTATACACTGCTATCCGCGGTTCCCTCAAACAAGGCATATCCACCATCGACTGTGATTGTTTGCTGGGTTGAGCTATCGGCATCTGGGCCGGGTGTCTGATTAGAGTCAGACAGGGAAACGTACATTGTCAATTGTGGTGGTATTGCATCGTTGGAGGTCGCGTTAGTAGTGTTCGACGAGGGCTGCAAGCAAGTATTGAGAGAGATGTACACTCTGGTTCCGGCACGCTTTCGAAGTTCTGATACTTCAATGTCAATTTCTCTTTCCTCCAATTTCTCAGACGGCAGTCCAACCCCAGTTGTGCCATGGGAGCCATTCACGGCATCGCTTGGGAAAACCCAATTCTGCGTCTCGCCAATATTGATATTGATATTTTGTGCATCGTTGTTTGCCAACGCCGGTCCGGCCTCAGCACGGGCGGCAATCCGTTCCTCTTGTTCTACCTCGATTGAGAGTTCCAACGGATCCTCGTCAAATATGAAATAGTGGTTATGGTCTTCGGAGGGTATCCGTGAATCAAGTTCGAGGGCATAAGCGAAATGTGGCTTGGTCAAGGAGAGGTAGACAAGGAGGAGGAAAACTGATGCTGCTAACGAGGCCGCGAATCTGGACTGCAGCGGAGTGAGTTTTGGAAGGAGAGGCATCCTGAAGTCCAGCTTCACGGGATGGCCGCTTTCGGGGAAATGGCTGGCGAAGGAGTGCTATAATAGGATCATGGTTTGTGAATGGTCGTCCTCAGGCATGCCGCGTCGAGGTGGTTGTATGAATTGAAGTGAGAAGTTGGAGACAAAACAGGAACAGGGGGTCAGCCCTTTCCCGCAGTACAAAAAGGTAGAGTACGTACAAAGTTACGCGTTCCCCAGGCTCTACCTAGGTAAGCCACTGATTTTCAGCCTCGCCAAACCCTCAGCCTTGTCCCGAAGCAGCACGTGCAGATTCACGTGATATCGGTTTGCCTCATCGATCAACGACCACTCTTCATCAGGGTTTACTTCTCATCCTTTTTGAGACCTTGGGCGATGCTTCAGCTTCTGTAAAGACGCATCTACGTCGAGAGCGAGATTCTGTATTTGAGCTGATGTGTGCTTCTGGAAAGTTGATCAAGCCTCTACTGCTCAAGACGCCGGACGTCCTATCACTGCCTCAACCATCGCTATATCCCCCAAGATCCAGGATACCTTCAAGTTCATCAGGATGACAGACTCATGCGAGCACAAGCGAACGATCGGCTGTGCGTTAACGGCCTTGCCAGGATGTTGTGCTTGTGCAGATAAACGACCACTCGCCACTGCCTATCCTGTCTACATCGATGGCCAAGGCATGAAACTTCAAGGCAAGCGCTGGGCGCGTTATTGCTGGAAATGTCGAGGTTAGTTCAGTTCTTTGGAGTTTCAACAAATGAACAGTCTTTCTCTATTTCAACATTCTATTCACTAGTCCTTCGCTTATTAACATATTGTTAATCTGGTAATAGATTATTGGAATCTACGATCAGAAGCCGTACCCAATCTCTCGTTACCCGTCAACCCAGAGCTCGTACAGGCAATGCGACCATTACCTCGTTCTGCAACCTCAGTCAGAGAAAGCATGCCCTTTCACCAATCTCTCCAAAGTGGCAGGCAGAACACGTCCTGGTCTTTCGATGGAGTGGCCGATCTTCGACAGAACGCTGGCCACGAGCTGAATCCAACTGAACCACAACATCCCACCTCCATACGCTCAAATCCAATCTCGGACCCATCAAGAACCCGGAGAGTCTTACCTTTAGATCTCACCGTACCCCAAATCCACAGCGGAATCACGCCTGCTACAACTACAGACCAGCATGGGACAACATCCAGAAGGCGACATCGCCAGCACCCCAATCCGTTCGGCACCCGAGAAGAAATTGAGTCGGCAGATTACTCTAGTCCGGTAGCGGACTTGTTTGGTAGGGCCTGGAACCGCTATAGAGAAGTCCAAGAAGGCAACCGAGCAAGAAGGACCGAGGAAGAAGAACGAAGAAGAAACGGTGATGTCAGCCTGCTCGGAACTGCTCCACCACAGGACAACGAGGTCGATCTCCATTCGGAAATGGCGTATCAGCTGGCCCAAGCTACGGTATCGCGAGAAAGGATACGATTGATCGCCATGGAAGAAACCTTACGTCAACGTGATATCTTGCAACAAACACCACGCGTCAACCCCATAGATCACCAGACCTCACGCCCGCCTCCCCTGACAGCGGAGGAGATGAGGCTTGACATGGCTTGCAAGATATGTTGTGAGCAAAAGGTAGATACGCTGTTGGAGCCGTGCATGCATCTGGCTATATGTCACTGGTGTTCAGAAATTGTCCGGCAACGCGCCCATCAACGCCGGCGCGAGCGTATTGAAGCCATGGCTACGACTGGCGACGACCGGCATAAATGGAGATGTCCTATCTGTCGCCGTGATGTCATGCAGTCTCGGAGAGTGTTCCTGGCTTGAAGAATGAGCAGAACTGGTGTATTGTGTGAAAGGGAGGCCAGGAACGTTTTGGATGATACGTCTAGATGTGATGACCAACATCAGCAAGGAGTTTTGAGGGACGGTCTCGGGAACCAGAACTTCGAGAAGCCAGAATGTGCACAGGAAAAAGACCATGACTTTACGCCGTCAAAGATGATTTCATGTGCAAGCGAGAGAGATAGAACCCCCAGCGACATACGTAATGTTCCTTGTAAACTTGTTCACGTCGTTAGTCCTGACCCTGTGGGTGCCGATTGTGAAGCCATTGACAGCAATTTTGCTCCATCGCATCCATGCGGCTGTCCTCAGGACAATCATGTACCAGGCCACTTGGAGTAGGTACCTCGGCGTGCTGGAGTCCGTGACCGTTGAGTCGTAGTCTAGAGCAGCTCAGTTAAGCAGGCACCGTTGACGCTGGAGAGCACATCGGAACACAGGGCACCTCGACTCCCAGATCACGCCTCCTCCACAAGGTCCACGAGGTCCACGAGGTCCACGAGGTCTGCGAGTCTGAGGGGCTGAGAGCTCGGAGGTTTGGAATCTGGGACCTAGGATATGGTAGTCTGGAGGTGTTGGTGTCTGGGAGTCTGGGGAATTGAGCAGCATAGGAGTGCGAGAGCCAGAGGCTGGACGCTTGGGACCTAAGAAATCGGCAGTTTGGAGACGTGGAAGTTCGAGAGAAAGGAGGTGCAGCCAGCTCTCTCGCTGTGCACGACAGTGTAAGAGTTGCTGTTCGGTGCATGAAAGTAAGAGGTCACCGCATCGTGCTGCAACTTCACAGATTGACCGTCAGCGGTTCTAGTCAGTTATGCCACGCATCACCGACTGTTTCGATCCCAGCATTTGAGGCGCGAGAATCGGGCGCAAAGGGGCCCGAGAAGGCCACAAGCTGGAAATATTCGAGCGGGTTCATCACAACAAGTTGAGAAGAGAGGAAGGCAGAAATCGCGAGTAAAGGTCAAGGTTCCTGGATCAGTGCAAGGCGCCATAGCTTCACAGTGAGGCAAGTAACCACCTTCAAACCGTGATAACTTACAGTACGTTTGGATTGGTATGGAGTCGTGGGAATCTCCGGGGCAGCATGGGCGAAAGTTGGCACTAGGCATTTTGAAAGCATGGAACGCCAGAAAACCCTTCCAAGGTTGTGCTTGAAACCGAAAGGCAACCTCTCATCCAAGTTCAAAGTCCTTTTTCCCATCCGTTGCGGAGTACACTTGGGTAGACGTCGTCGCTCCATTTGACGAGACAGGCAGAAGCCGCAGAAGGAATCATTTCCTCGGGCGCCGAAACAGTTGGCGTATCCAATCTGCTGACGCGGAGACGGGACACAGTCATCCGTAACTTAGTTAAAGGGGGGCCACGGAACCCAATCCTACTGTAGGCGCCTGAACCCCACGGGCGCTGTCCAAAGCTTTGCGGCCTTGAATCCTTCGCCAACGACGATATGCGCATGAAAGTGAGGCAGACACATGACGCCTGAACAAGAACAAATGTCACTTACCTCGTTCGACATGTCAACTAGCGGTGATCGGCTGGTCCTCCACGAATTGGATCCACCAGCCAGCTTATCATGAGACTGGTATTGTTTGTTCTGCCCCCCTATAAGCGGTGTAGTGCTGGAGCATCTATGGCTCCAGGATACCCACATAGACAAGGCAACCGTTCTTGCATCATGTCGTTGACCCTCTGACTCTCGTATCGGCGTATCCAGGCCAATGACGTCCATCCTGTAATGCTCCGTGAGGACGGTACTGGTGTCCCACGCTCAATAGCACCCGCGCCAGGGAACTTGCTTTCTAGCGTGGTTGCCTGTCGTCGTCGAATCGACCTCGAGTCCTTTGTCTTTACAACACATTCAAATACTTACATTTCACTAAAGATGATTTGAACAGCGATCTTTTGCCTTGTCCCACACCAGTGCAGAGGCGAAGGCGACAGAATGGCTGACTTGGCCCACGCTGAGAGACGACGTAATAGTCGGTGGCATTCGCACCAGTGAAGTTCCAGAAGCATCTCAGTGTCCCATCTTTGGATCGTCTGTGCTATGCGATAGGCAGACGTCACCTTGGGCTGTGCAGATGGCGACTTCACGACTCAGCTGGGGTTGTTTGCCACTGCTGCTCGAACTCCGCATAGGCTTTCATTCGTGTGATCTCATTGCAACAGTTGGTGTGCCGCTTTCAATTGAAATCGATCCCGTGACCGAGTATGCCCAAGGAGAGACCATGTCGTGGTCACACTCAGGACAGCGCTTCCGTTGACACAAGGTCTGCCCAGGCGCACAGAGACAAAGAGTGCATATGTGACCGACACACTGCAGAAGCCCAATTTTTTTTCTTTATGGCGCGAATGATGAGTAAAGTGGCGTTTCAAAGTAACGCTGCAGTGGCGTGCTCCGCGTGGGAGGCGATATCGGTTGACATCTGCTTGTGTGGAACGGCTGCTCTTCTTGGTAATCCACTGTCTTGTTGCTCATACCATTCATCAGATTGCTTTTTTCGTATGTCAGTCCGGCCAAAGTGTTGACGAATCTTAAGGCTGACGACGCGAGGGGTGAAGCGATGAGGCTGAATAGTATTGCCAATGCAGACGACCGCCACACAACGTCGAGACTGTCCCGACCTTGCAGATCCTAGTAAGAGCTTATACTACTCGTGATATCAACATTGCTTGGAATGGGATCAGCATGGTGAGGGAGCAGATTATCGGTGCAGCTGCACTGGCGCAAGGCTGGCATGCACCAGTAAATCCCGGGAGGGAGTAAAAGAAATGCTGACCGTTACGAAGATGTGGTGGCGCACGCGTGAGACATTAAGTGTACATAGACAACTCTTCAAGAAGCAACAATATGATATGCTGTGGTTAGGTTAAGAATATGACCTGAGGAGCTGAATCATAAGGCTAGTTTCTCGCCGGCCACGAGAAGCGCCTTTCTTATCCGACGAGACGCAAAAGGACCGTTTCGCTCATCACCATTGGCTTCGGCTGTACCTACCTAACCTAAAACTTACGGGCCGAGCCAGGCCTCTCCAGGTCACAGCCACGCGGTGCCACACTCATCGCGCCACTCTTTCTTGCCAAGCTTCATTACTGCCAAGATCCATCGAAGAAACATCAACCCCACTCCAACTTCAACCTCAATCCTTCTCGAGAACTCACAACAGCCTGGCGTTGAAATGTCGCATACCTTCTGAGCATTTATAATCCGGACCACGGGTCATCCTGTGTCTATCTTCAGTTGAAGGACGCTGTCATGGGGCGTGTAATCTGTCCGCAATCAACAACACCTTGACCTTTCCTGCGGTAGACCACCCGGAGGTGATGACCTTTTTCTCTTGCCGCAGTTGTCCTGACAGAGATACTGGAATGCCATTAATCGAACACAGGCGCTCATCACCTTTTTTCCAGCCCAATCTTCATCGTTGTTGCGGCATTATGCATAGCATTCATTCGTCTTTCAACATGTTCAAGGTTCCTCTATCCTCGTGGATGTGCGAATCCTTTTTATCCAGAGAGAGTGTCCTTGCCTGACCTCAACCAGGTCAGACTTGAGAGTCTGTTGATCTGAAATGGTTATTCATGGTCCTTCAACATCCTGAAACCCTCAAGGACATTCAAGACTTGGGTCCCAGCAAGACAGGCACGATCTCGGCGTAGGAGCGCGGTCGAAGCTACAGACTATTATTCCAGAGTGCCTCCTGTCTTTACACTGTTGCAGATCCTCGTACCGCATTCCACGGCTTTATGTGGCACTATTATGCGAGCTCGATGCGTTTTTGCAAGGCACCCTTTCCATGCTAACATCCTCGAAGTGCTTCCCTGCTTCACCATCAACTTCCAGATATCGAGTCCATGAATGGGCTACGCAATACCAACCCAGCTCTGCAGCTCATTCGTTGACAACAAGGGAGACCATGGCTGTTTCACTTCGATATGGGAACCTTGGTCTGATCATCGCAGGAAGGAGAAAGCTTGGCCTGTCTGTTCTTCGAGCTGGACCCACCCAGGGAAAGCCCCAGAACGCAAATATGCCCAATGATTGGGCGATCGACGGGCAGCCGAGCCTGTCTACCGCTGCAGGTGCCATCATTCCCGGCTCGCTCGCAAGATGCTTGTACCAGATCCCTGTGCAGACATCGGTATCCGACGGCTGACAATGAAGACGACTGCCGAGAAGGCCCTCACCACCATCAAAGGGTGTCTGGACACGACAAGGAGTCATTTGGCCCGGAAAAGCACAGTGACGGCATATGCTCCTGGTCTGCGTGCTTACGAAAAGGGAAAAAATTGTCAGTCCGTCTACAAGTCTTGCCAGAAGCAGCTAAGCTCCATCACGTGTTACAACTCCTTGCCAATCAAGATACGGACTCAGACAGGGTTTGCCTTGCGCTCACAGCATGATTGGTTTCGCAATGGTTTAACGCACTGCGCAGTCTCCTCTTATTGGCTCGGTGCGACGTCTTCAATCAGGCTCTCTCATTTCAGGGTATTTCCAGTCCCCCCCAACTTCACCTACCTCACCCTCCCTCATCTCTATCTCATTATCCCCATTCTCTTCCATCTTACGATCATCTCGAAGCACTGCAAAGGCGTGATCAAGCCCTCCTGCTGGGTTCTCGGCAGCATTCCTGTACCCTACCACCAAAGCAGACCTGGGCGAAACTCCCCATTATCAGTTCCGCTATACTATCACATACACCATGGTCCGACCAGTCACCGACTCCAGGGGATACAGGACGGCGTTACCGGCTCGGAAAGCGTATGGCTTCTGACCACCACCATGTTCAAGTGATGTTCTGATTCATGACACAGCAATCGACATATACCCCTGACAGCATTCACACTGTTCACTGTCCCAGAAGAGTCAATGCTATCAGAGTTTGCGAGGAGCGACACAGGCGACATAGGCCTCAGACTGATGTCTCTGTCAACGCGCGCAGAGCACAAGAATCCTAATAGCAACCCTCAACCACACGATCACAGTGACCGGAAATCAGCAACCACCTCCGAGGAAGCTACTGCCACCGTCAACACGGAGGAGGACATGGACGCGAGCAATGCCGGGGATGCGTTGCTGGAACGTGATCTCATTAAGTTCATGGGCGCCATGACGGCGTATGTCTCACCCAAGGAGGTCATCAAGACCATCTCTGCTTCCCAAGGCTCTATAATCCGCACCAGGACTGGCTCTTGAGAAGCAAGTTTGCGAGCGGAACGAGCATATGGATCGACATGAACGGGCTTACAAGTGCCAGGAAGCTGGCTGGGAACTCAATCCACGATTTACTGACTCTGGCGTATTGTGACGGCACCAACGTGAAGTACACAAGATGCATCTAACGACACAACAGCTGCTCTGGTGTCTTTCCCTAGCCCGGAACATCCCCGAACGCTGTTACTTGTAACTGCAATTCAAATCTGAAGATAAGCGAAGTAGTCAATACACTGTGTCTCTGCACGTGAACCTTCGCCAAAATGCGGAGGTTGTCCAAATGATTAGACCCATCACTCATGTCCGTATATCCAGGTTCAGGATTCGCAAGTCTGATTTGAATGTGATTCGCCTTGCCACGTGAGGGTTGACCATCCTTCTGGCACGGAGGGGTGAGGAACAATCACATCGATCTTTGCACGATTGGAACAAAGACCATAAAACATGAAACTTGATGCCATTACCGGTTACCACATATCTGAGCTTTTGTTGAAGAAAGACTGACTAACATGTTCCCGAAAGAGGCAACCAGGAAGCGCAATTGATGTACTTTTGTCTTCCTTGTGCCAGGCTGTAAGACTTCGTTGACCATATTCATTGCTTGTTGCTGTAACGCAGGGTGTCAAAGCACACATGCCCGATCATTGACTTCATGTGTAGCGAAGTCTTCGTACGATATTTTTGATCCACCTCTACAGCCAGGATACGCTGCAGCAGACGGATTGATTGGGATGAGCCAGCTTCACTCAGCCGTGTAGGCTTCAGCTGTGACAATGCCTACCTACCTCATGAGCCAATCTTTTCCATGTCCACTCTTCATCCCACCGACATCATAATTCGCAACTTCACGTCGGCAGCCATCGATCTCCACCGGAGCATGTCCTCCTGAATCTGGCGACTGATTGTCCCTGGAAACCGCATTATATTTGCTTGGTCATGACAAGGCCATCCATCCTGGTAAGAATAGGGATGTCAATACTCCTAGCAATAGCATATGGCCCGAGAGAGTCTTTGTCCAGGGGCTCTTTCCATTGGATGGACACCGGCTCCACGTGGACAACACCTAGAGTGAGCAACTCACAATCCCGGTAAACCCTATTCACGGGACCACGTCAGCCATTGCGGCATCTTGGTCAGGGCCGGCAGGCGGTTGGAGCTGCAACGTATGAATGAGCGCATCGTTGTTCAAAGTCAGCGCAAAAGCAGTGCAAGCGAACTGTTTCGTCTGGAAGTCATAAGTGATGTAGCGTTTGAGCTGGACTCATCGATTAGCAACAATTTGGAAGTGTACGTGGAAACTCACAGATGCAAGTCTGACACCCAGCCAGAGACATCTTTCAGCGCGTGGTGCTGCATGGCTTGGAATTTCCAGGGTGCGCTCATCTTCGTCAACCACCTCTCGCTCGAAGAAGTCTGGTGGGTAGACATAGCCAGAGGACCATTTGAGACCTCGCATTGGGAAGTCTTCGGGCAATTGAAGACCTAATCCGGATCTCTGCTGAGGGAAATCGCTGGACTCAACCGTGGCATCAGCAACACCAGATCGACTTATGGAATTCAACGCCTTGACCAGCTTCGCCCATGGAACGTATTCTTCGAGATAGACAAGGGCTCCGGGAACGTATGACAAACTCCATAGGAATCCTAACATAAAGTGCATGAATGGCAAAATGTTTCGATCGCCGATCTTTCCTGCAACAATACCGATGGCAGCGCCCCACACTGGCAGAACGTATGAAGTGACCTCATCAGACGATACGAAGTTGGCTCCGAATCGGCCACCAGTTGCAGGAGCAGCCTGGGTCGCTGTACTGATTGGGACGTTGCCCCAATACCTCTGCTGGATTTCTTGCTTGATTGTTGGGTCTTCGACCTGCACAGCATCCGTTGATGGATCCGACGACCTTGCCGTCTGGATTTGTCTGATGGTGTCCGAATTGTTACAATAAGCTCTCCAAAGAAAGTTGTCCTCAGCACCAAAATCCAGAAGCAAGGCAACCAAGGAAGAAGCAACTTCTGGTCCTTGCACCTTCCAATTGGATCCGGATCTGCTAATGTAAGCGTCAAGCTCAGTGATGAAATCGATGATATGCCTGCAATAATCATACACGGAGCCTCGGGTGAACAGGATGCCAGCTGCGGTGACCAGGGAGCCTTCCAATCTTGAGTACTTTTGACTTGTGGTCTCATAGTGGTCCAGGAAAGGCGAGAACAGTAGCATGATAGAGTCCCGAGCATTAACAAAGGGGATTCCACTGACAAGCGCCTTCGAATAGAAGAACAATTGGCGAACAACGTTTGGCCTAGCCAGGACGGCAAGGTGATGCTGAATTCTTCCTGTTGTGGGCGAACGATCAGCGGCTTTGTTGTACCACATCCTTGCAACTCCTGACCAGTTTTCTCGGTCGCGCATGTCAGCTTCCTCGATGGCCATTCTATAACGGGCTAGATCGCCCAGGCATTCGATCCACGTCTCATGATATGCATGAACTGATTCCATCAGCAGTCCCATCATCTGATAAGCGAGGTAGACAAAGCTGAGCATATGCTCAAGAGAATGTGGGAGCCGGTGGCGGAGCAATTCGAGGAAGGAATGGATACCATGTCTCCACATTCGAGCCGGCATAGCATACTTGGTGGGTAGACGGCGGAGTGTAGGAGAAGCCGTGGGATGTTGGCTGGCCAGGAAGAAGTCGTGGTGCTCATGTAGAAGTGTGCGATGGAGCGCGATCAATGCTTGCCATTGCTCGTTCGACAATTTGTTAGTTGTCTGAGACTGTTGTTGGCAAATCTCGACACACTTCTTTTCGACCATCACGAGTCCTGCGTATATTCCCTTAACTTCGTTGACGAGTTGTTCTTGTGAGATAGGTCTTGTCTCGGGCTGTAACAACATCTTGGTCTCATTTCCGGACGGAACATCTTGCGGGTGAATGGAGGCCGGGTCTGGCGACGACATGAAACTGCTTTTTTCTTGGAGCAAATGAGACGACTGACGTAAGTGTTGACGAGCTCCAGTGACTGGCACAGGTGAAGACAGCTTAGGAGATGAGAGTGGAGTTCTCTGGGCCGATCGGAAGCCAGCCGAAGGGGTCGGTGTCCTTGTCGAGTCTATTGGTGGCGACGGGACATGGGACAAGGCTTGCTCATGACGAGGGGAGTAAGGCGAGGCTGAACCTCGATCGTCGTGCGAGCGAACCTTGTTTGGCCAAGTGACCTCTGGATCGTGAGCAGGGCGTTTGAGTTGGGTGACAAGTTGCTCGTGACTAGGTTCTTGCTTCACGCGTGGATGAGCTTGCAGTGATATCTGTTGTGATGAGTCAAATGCTGAGGCATCACTCCCAGGCTCCTGTCGCTGTTGCCTTTGTTGGTCGGTAGTTTCGACTCTAAAGGCAGGCACGAGTCAGAAAGCTGTACTTTTGCCTTAATCGTGACCAGGTCATTACCTGCTTAAGGTTTTGCTTTTCGTCGGAGATTGATCCGTGGAAGGGTGGCCCGGTCCGTGAGGTTCAATATCATTGCTTCGCTTAGGTATCGTCTTCCACCAGGACTTTGAACCGGGTGTCGGAGGCGATCCAGCTCGCATATTTTGAGATCGTGGTGATTGACTTGGGGAGATGTCCGATTAATACCTTGCCAAGAGACCTAAAATGCACCAATGGCGTCAGCCCGAACTTCCGCTTCACAACACAATCGTCGCGGACTCCGACATCTCGCACACTCCAGGCATTTCGACAGAAATACCCTGCATTTGCAGGAAATTGGGCAGGAGAGTCTCTGAAAACCACATACCCGTTTTTCTCCGCAGAACGCTTTTGAGGCGAGGCGATCCAGGGCGTGAGATTGGTAGACTCTAATGAAACCGACATCCAACAACAATTATGGCACAACTCGCTACAGGACACAAGAGAACTGTTCCCCGGATCGCCTCGCCTCAGATTATGCGCGTTTGACTTCAATAAGGAGCTCATATCATGAAAGAGATCAAGAAGACCATGCTATGCGGCTAAGATGCTGGTTCCTTATATAAATTTGCGGACTCCGTTGTGATTGTCCAAGGAGTACGCACATCCTTCTGCGACATTACTGAGGCCTGCATAATCTAAACTGGGCGTTGACCATATGCTATCCAGTTCGGGCCACGACCGGTGAACCCTCGTATGACAATCGAGGTTCGCGAACCAAAAGGCAACCACGCTTGGGGCTCAATTGCAGCCAATGACAGGCCATGAGGTGAACTGGGGCAACGACCCCACAGCTCTCACGGCATCCCTGGACAGCCTCACTCAACTCCAGAATTCACCTCCCAGACACCAAGTCGAGTATTTGGAGAGCGAAAGATTGATAGATTTCTCTGCGGAAAAATCGCTCTTTATATAACATGTTACGGGCCATGAAACCTTTCAATGCCTCCGAGAAAGATTTTGGTATCGCTTTGACTGATACGAGATGGGACTTAATTCCGGGATAATTAGTCAATGCCCTCTTCGGACCCCTTGCGAGGTGCTCTCTCCATTGCTTTCAAACCTGCTCATTCCAGCCGTCAGGCTGGAAACCACTTCACCCACTACATCAGGAGTACTGCATTACAGAAGTTGACGTCTTGCGGACCACTTGATGCCTGAGAAGAACTGTCATGTAAAGACTGCGTCGTCAGACCGAGCATCAAGGCCTCCCATATGGGGCCCGGTCAGCGGTTCCGGATCACCCTCGTTGTTACCGCTTTTCGCTTCGTGATTGATTAGAACTGGTTCTCAGCTCCTTCAGGCTGTCGATGACCATAACCGCCACGCGCGCTTTGCACCGGCTACTTTCGTCCACAAGACACCGCCTTCACACACTCAAGCTCTATAACCTCCACATATATTTGCGAGGCCCAGCCACTGTCTGGCCAGGGCAGGGCATATGGTGCTACTGTTGATACCCAACAGATGATGCTGCGAATTGCAGTCGCTGCGCGTCACGCCATTACTACATTGGGATGCGTGCATAGGCACGGTTGGTGGACAGATCGCTATCACATAGCAACCACAACCCAGGGCATCAAATAATCCCATACACCATCTCCAAATCAATTGCACACCAATTCGACAATGCTGTGCCCTCTTCGGCGCTGCTCGTGGTACAAGAGTGTCATAGGTTGCGCGGATAAGTTTATGGTGTATGGGACATTGCGATATGCGAACGTCATCAGATATCAGTCACTGCAACGAGCTCGGAACGGAGCTCTTGTACCGTTCTTATCGACCCAAGGACCTGGTCATACACTCCATGAACAGAACCATGCTCCAGGGACAGCATTCTGGTCGCACGTCCCGCAAACGAACTGTCACGGCCGCATCTACGTACGGCGGCCACTCCGCGGTGAGCGTCTGCCTTTCCTGGAAGTCCAATCATTCCATGATGAAAAGGTGCCTTGTAAATCTTCAGAGACCACAGAAACCGATGGAGTTGCCATGTTCTCAAGGTCCTGGTGACAGCTTTTGCCTCGTTCGGAAGAATGTGTGTATCACTTCAGGAGGGTGAGTCACTTTTGTCCAGTTAGGTGTTGGTGATGACGAGCATCATCACACTCAAAACCCGGATGCATGCTTGAAACGTGTCTCGAAATTTCGTCGGTGCCCTCTTGTTTGAGGGATTTGTCATCTCAGCCGGCCTCTGCCACTAAGGCGAGTAACTTACGTCGTTGCGAAGGGATCAGTCGACCATGGCTCTTTTTCGCAACCACTTCACTTGCGGATATTTCGGTCTTCTAGAACTTCTAGAACTTTTTCAGTTTCCGAGAAGTTCTGGAAAGCCGCTAGAAGCTCTTCTCCAGTGTACCCTAATTTGAGGCTCAGTTGAGTGGTTTGGAACTCAACCAGTGCAGAGTAAAAACTAATTTGGACGGAGACTGTCAGTTACCTTACGGTTATCGTCAAGGAGGAATATGCCGCAGTGCATTTAGCAATGCTGCAAGACCTGCTGGGCAAGTTCTGTCAAGATATTTAAGGAGGCACAGGACGTTGCTAGAAAAGTGAAGATGTTCGTGTCAGGGGAAGGTGATGTCATCTTGCGCGGCTTCATAGAACTCAGGGTCCAGGGAGCTGCAAGGCAGCCAGGTAGCAAGTAACTACCTATTTCGTAGGTTGTACAGTACAGTATCAGATCCGACCCCCACACTTCTCTGTGTGTGCACCTTGTTCCTCCTATCTATCTGATAATACCATGTTTCTAAAGTTTGACTGTCGACATCCAACTCGCTTAGGAAGATTTACCTCCCAGCTCTCCTTCTCGAAGTGGCCACGGCAAGAACTTCTTGCAAACGAGGTTTGAATAGTCTGGACGTTCTGCATGGCGCCCGAGCTACTTTCTCGGCGCGGTTATCCCAGTTTCTTAACCTCGTATTCATTCAAGAATATGCTATTTCTCACCCTAAAGTAAATTAGCCTCATGTCGTCGGGCAACAATGGCTTGAGTGATGTCCGTCGTCCGAGCATCACGACAGGAAAACCTGCAGCTGAGGAACACGAAGATGATGTGAGACTAGGTAGTCTTCCCTCAAGCCAAGATGAGTGCTGTTACATTATGATGAGTACCGACTTGAAAGCTTGCGCAGGGCGCTCGACGGTAGCCTTCGTGCCAGCCTCAGACTGCCGATACCTCAACTCAGTTGATGAGTAGCTGACCACAGACCCTGAAAGATCATATGCCGCTGCGTTGGAGTTGAGCGTTTGACCAGAGAAAATGCATACATTGTACTCATTTTCCTGCTCTAGGCTGGTCATGAAGCCTGTTAGCGGCGGATGCCAACAATGCAATTGGGCGCTACGAGCAGTAGCGCCAGAAAGCTGCTTTCTTGATGCATGCAGCTTCAAGAACACTCTCTTCTTTGCCCTTATCTGCCTGGGATCGAAGTCAAATCAACATTGGCCTGAGTAGGAACCTTGGAAGCACTCTGCCGTTGCTTCCCTGTACGCCAACTCGGCAACGGAGTGCGAAGTTCTGTCCTGGCCTATCATCTACGTAGCCTGGTATGCGGGATTTCGATGTATCATGTTGTGCCGAAAGAAACCCATCGAGAGGCCATGCATTGAGGAGGCAGAAGCAAGTTCTCGGCAAGGTGTACCAGAAAAAGACGTCTTCCCTGGCAGGCAGCGGTCTGTTGATACGGCCTCCCGTGACTGGGGTAGGATGCGATCGCTCAACGACCAGATGTCCTTTTGAAGCAGGTTGCAGGACGCAGCTAGAATATGCTGGAGGCCTTGGGAATTTGCGGAGCAGCCCGTAAGGCTGTGGAACTTCTGTGGACGACGGAATGAGCCGTTCCGATCGACGGCATACGGTCTCTATCAAGTGTTTTGATTAGGCCCCCCATACCAGGCACCAGACCCCTAGGTATTTCAGCCTTGTGGGGTCAGACACTCCCTTGTCATCTGGAACTGCCCAGAATCAACCGGTGTGATACATGGTTTCCTCTCCAGGTAACCAGCAAAATTATCCAGACAGGCAACTGGAACCCGCTGCCTAATATTCACTTGATACGCTATTTCGACGATCTATATTCGAGGTTCACGGAGCAGAGTATGTACCACATCACAAGGACGTCGGGGCAACGACTGGGGCACAAGACTAAGAATTACGCACCGCAGAAACCAGCGTGACACGATGTGCGTTCAACTCTACTGCATACAGTCCGGTAATGAAGTCAAGTGCATAACATCAACCAACACGCATCCCCCTCTGTCCGGATTAATGCATGGACATTGCCCTGCAGGGAATTTCCCGGTATATCGATAGCACCTCTTTGGTACCCCTCATCGCGTATCTACATGGGTTCCGGGAAGCGCCCTGACTGTGCTGTATACTTCAGTCCATACTAAATTGACATCGAACTTTACTTCATTCAAAACACCAACAGCGCTTGTATGTTCCGCCTCCCACATCATGAGTCGTGTAGAGACCATCGGTTAGAGACACCCTTACATATGCAATTCCGGCATCATTGCATGGCACGAAAAGGCAACCAGGCGAGCTACCTATTCTGGTGGTTAGTCTTCCGGGGTTGCATGCCCGCCGACCCGGTGCAAACCCAATATCACACTTCAAGCAGCGACTCCTAGTCCAACATCGCGAGAGGCAACGTGCAACGTGCCGGGAAATAGTGTTCGGAAATTAAATCATTCTCAGCCTTACGGTGTATACTATTCCAGGTTCCCGCAACATGCACCTCAGCCTGATATCTGGCCAGGCATAGTCATGTGGCAGACTATCGTAGCAGCTGTGGGTGTCTATGACCGGTCATGGCTTGCCTGGCCGATGGACCCACGGTTTCACAATATCTATGACTATACGACCTTGGTCATGTGCAGTCAGAAAAGGAAGATGCTGGCGCCCAATAATACCTTGGTATGGACATTGTTGCCGCGAATACGGCTGAAAGGCGTGAGAGTGACGAGATGCACTCGTGTACTGGAACACCTGGACGGCACGGTCAGGCTGACCCATGTGAGACAGTGAGAGATTGTGCTGGTCTTGAACCGGGCCGCATTGTCTTCGTGGACATGGCGTCGGCGTGTCTCTGCCTCTGCTAGGGCCACTCACCGGCCAGCAAGAATGCACACAGACTGTCGGCACAGTGCTTTGACTCATCATGACGACGAAACCAAGGTAAAGGGCTGATATCGATCGAAGGACGGAGACTCGATAGCGCTCGGATGAGAAGTAGGACCAACTACTCATCTCTCGAGAAGCTTGAGAAGCCAAGAAATGCAACAAGTCAAGGCCTGTTTTGCTTCCAGGTATCGCAGGATCGTCGTGGCATATCTTTCGTACTGCAGGAGTATGTCCTGATACTCCTAAGATACTTTTGCCTCAACCAGTCCGATTGGTGCATGCCAGTGAGATCGTCTCCTTCTGCTCTCCGTCGACGGCCGGAGAAAGTCGAGATCTGTCAGAATATTCATATCAGGCTGAACTATCGGTCCTTGTCCCAACGCACAATTGAGCTGCTTGTGTCATGGTCGTTGCTCGACTTGGTCAATCTAGCATGCACTTACATCAAACACCTTCCTCTTACGCGGATAGCTCGACTCCTGAACCCAGGGAGTATGAGAAGGTGATATGGGTACCGTATTCGCTGCTGAAACCACAATGCTCACAGGTAAAGATGCTCTCGAAATTTGTATATTTCGAATGTGTCTGATGAGGTTGCCCATCCCCAGAACGTTTGCCGACGTTCGGGCCAGCCGCATGGAATCTTGATCGACCTGCTGTCGGCCCCCTCCATTCTGCAATGATGATAGAGGCTTGATGATTGCGATAGAGTGTCAGCGACCTATAGCCCTAGGACGTACAGGATGACAACTATCTAGGTGGTTGACACAATCGGCACTATTAGGCCCTGTCATTGGTCGATAGCCCCCGTCAGGCGTTTGTGGGAAGACCCTTATTTCAGGACCACCAGCCCTCAAGAGATACCGAGGCTTATTCGGAAAAGGCACTAGATAATCGTGCTACATATTATTTACATGCCAAAATTTTCATCAAATCAGCTACAAATAGCCTGTTTCAACAGGACACTTTGGCGGTTCGTAATCTCTAGCTTTGATGCCTGTGCAACCTTCTAACGTTACTCAGGAGTGGTTAACGCGGTTCGTACTTTCTCATCATCGTGCCTATCAACATTCGCTCATTCGTATCTAGCTGCCCTGCTATGTATCAATCGGTATAAGCAGTATTAGGCAGTTCCTTCGGTAAGCTTTATCGTTTGTGACCTGTCCTGGATTACCTCTAACAAAACATAGGGAGCGCAGGTTCGGTAAGAATTGTCAACTCTTGCAAAAGTCGAACTTCGACTAACAGATTCGAAAAGAATCCTGCAGGTGTCGCGTCTTTTTTTGGACTTTTCTTTTTTGTTGTCTTGGGGGAATTGACGTGTTCTATTTGCGTCTGTGTTTGTGCTGTCAAATCGGCTTACAGCACGTGTCATTGATCTGCCATTTCCATCAGTGAAGTGATTTAAGACATTACTTTATGCCAGAGATGTCCGTCATACAAAAGATTGAACCAGCCAGTACCTTGTCAACATTCACGCAGCTTTACACTCAGCCCCGACTAACCTTTCGCAAGCTCAATGGGAACGTGAGGACCAATAAAAGAGTAAATGATCCCAAGATAACAATTGCTCATGTACCAATTGTCAATATGGGGTTCTGCACAGACGGCACTTTTTATTGTTGCTTCTTTACGTCCGAGGTCTGTTTGACACGGCTTGCAGCTAAACGAGGAAGCAGATTCAACTTTAGTAAAACCCACAAAAACCCCAAGACTATAGTAGTCACAGTCACCAATTCAATGGTCCTCAAACTCGATGATTGGGTGTCCAACACCGGAACCGCGATGCGCTCAACCAATTTCCCGGCAGGTTGAGTTTGTGGTGAAGGTTCCAGATGGTAAAACATCGTCCTCGGCCCAAAGAGTCCATCATAACCAAGCTGTGTCCTGTCAAACGGGTTGACTGGGAATCTTGTGCCTTCTTCCGCTGTGCAAGCCCAGAAGACAATAGGCCAAGGCATCTCCACCTCCGATATCCCTCCGTCCTCAGGTTGCATGTATCGTAGATGTAAAGGAATCGTGGCGTCCCAGGTGTCGGCAGACTCATTGCCCTTACCACCAGTAGTGGGGATTTCTAGCAGCATTGTCGACCCCCATTTCTCAATGACATAGTCGGGAGCTTCCAGGTCCGTCTCACCCGCTATGGAATGCAGTTGTCCTAGATTGTGCGATTTCTGGAACAGAGGGTCGTTGCTGAGAAAGGCGTATTTGTCTGCGAAGAGATGCGACGGGAGGGTGAGGTAAGTCTGTAATGCACAAACGCTCCCAGGAGGCTTATTCTCTGGCTCGGTCAAGCACTCTGCAGATGGAAATGAGATTCGAAGTATTGGATGCAGGCCTGTAGGTTTGTCGAACGAAACACCATATTTCTGCGAGAGCCGCTGTGCTGCATTAAGAGAATGATGCCTCGACGGAAAACTGAACAATGTGGGTTTTGGATGGTCATCTTCTCCCACTGAAGTCAGAAAGCCTGAAAGCTGGATGTCTGAGGGCTCGGTCGCTGGAGCTGCACTGAGAATGCCAACCTCAGCCTTATCTGTGTTTTTCGTTTCAATGTCGAGATTCCAAGCGTCAAGAGTGGTAAAATCGCCTATGGGGTCATAGACAACAGGTGGTTGTTTGGACCAGAATACGGTCATAGTGAGCGCGTGAGAAATGCTGTCGTAGTCGAGATCCACATTATCTGCAATATTTAGTAGTGACGCCGTATGTATACATAGCAGGTCCGAAGGCTTGCAGAAATTGCGATGTAGGTAAGCCACAAAACGCTTCAATGATGGGAGGAGGGTGTAATATTGTAGTGATGAAGTCTGAGCAAAGCGCTCCGACACCAAAGGAGGGCTGATGAACGTTGACCTGGGCAAGGTGCACCGAAGTTCCTCTCCAAATAGTTTGTGAAGGAGATCACAGAGCTGGTCCGGTTGATCCTCCCTGAGAGGAGTGTATTGAACGTGCAGACCGGGTGAGGTCCTTGACAGGAACGGAGCCGTAGTGTTGTAGGCACGCTCGGGTGCCCAACGAAGGTGAAGTTCGTGAGAAGCACGCAGAATCTCCACCACCTCCTCAGGTAGCTCCTTAAAGCCAAGGGTCACACGCTCTTCTCGTGCAGCCTTCAGAGCCCCAAGGAGGAGCTGATTCTTGCGGACTTGGATATCGTCCGGGTTAACGGCACGACTTGGATGCGTGATCCATGTGGATCGCCTGCGCATGATTGAACGAGTGAGTCGGGTGACAAATGTACAGACAGCACGTATAAAGCGTAGTTATTGTTCATGGATTGGTGGAAGGCATATGAGTGGCAGAGAAGAAGCGTGTGTTTTGAACGACGTAAACGGCAATGGAGAACTACCGAAGTTCTACCGCTAGGCGCATCGATGAACCTCGAGAACATACACAATTTACAATACGCGTTCATCTTCCTGCCGATGGATTCCTGCAGCTCAAGTACGTACATGGAGCTGCAGCCGAGTACATGCGATCATGATACCTTCGTGATACGCCATTAGGGCGGAGAAATTCTTGATCGACAGGTCAATATGAGTGTACGTTCCACCCTCCCCGAAATCTGATCAAACTACTTTCGCTAATACACCTCAGGCGCATCATGAAAAAGCCCAGCGCTATATTGGCCTCCTCGAGACCGTGCGCATCGCCGGCAATTGGCATGAGCTCCCGGAGTTGATACGCAAAGTAACGAAGCACGCCCCAGATCGAAAATGTATGGTTCCTCAGAGCGCAACCTGGACTAGATGTTGACCCCATGACGCAGGCTTGATCCAGACTGCAAAAGTCGAACATGCTGTCGCCAATTACGCTTCCTCGTCCATCCACAGGCCCGGTACAGCAAGCAGCACTCAGACATCCCCAGAAAACCAGATCGCCTCTCTACAGACAGAGTTACGTGCAAGCGGGCAGCCATCGGAAGATGTTATACAAGGACAGACTGCCCTGCTATGGGCTCGTTGGGTTGGACTGCTGAAAACGGACCTCTCTGCGACCATAACCTTCGAGCCCACCCGCGCGGCTGCCGATGCAAACTCCTTGTGGACAAAGATTTGTGTGGTCAAGGCAGTTTATATCAAGGGTATGCTTCTTGCGCAAGCCGGAAGTGACCATCAAGCAAGGGATCTCCATTATACACTTCTTCCGTGGTTGGATTCCAATCGGAGTCTAGTGGTATCAACGCCTCAGCTCCTCTACTGGGCACAACAGCTACTTGGTCGGATAGGATTGGGTCAGCGGCAACCTCGAGGATCTGACCCGGTAGTATCGAACAGCGGCGACACAGCCTCCTTTCGACTGCAATCTTTCCGACACTGGGCGGTTCTAGCTGTTAAGAACCAGGATGTACCTGCCTCAACCTTCGGAAACCCACCGGGTCATGTCTCGAAACTTGCAATGTGGAGAGCATATTACAGATTTGTGTCAGATATCATGCAGCAGAAAGGGGAGATCAACCAGCCACCGAGTCATGTTGACTTGGCGACAGAGCTGCGACGAGTAGAAACATCATACGAGAGCGAACTCTTGCGCAATACACAATTCCCCAAGGCCACTGAATCAAATATGCTGATCGAAGACTGGGTGGAAGAGTTCATCCGCAACTGGCAGATCCTGTGTGGCCCGGACTTCGCTGACTCGGATCTCGGTGAAGGGGGGCGCAACGGTGTTGGCAGAAACATCCTCGATATGCTTTATCGTGCCGCGACCAAGACTTTCCACTCGACTCTCATTCTCAGGCGACTGTTCCAGGTGCACAAGACCTTGACAGAATTCGACCTCGCTTACAAGGCCTTGGACACTTACATAGAACTCATGGACCGGGCACGAGCACGAGCGTCCAAGGATGGCGCCGACACGACAAGGCGAGATAGCGATAGCATCTACATGAGGACGATCGCCGAGGGTATCGAAGGACTGTGTTCTTTCGGGCGCAAATCGGAAGCCGAGAAGGCTAATGACTTGTGCTCCAAGCTCCAAGATCTCCTAGAGGAATTGCTGCCACTTGCCGTGGATGCAACCCCAAACCATGCCAAGCCCGTGAACGGTCATGCTTTGATCAATGGGTCAGCACAGGAGCCATTGCCGGCGGATTTGCTGGAAGTTGTGTACCGCGCCATTGGGATCGCGAAATCTCAATGGGCTCGGTGGACACCTTTCAGTGAAAACCGGTCAGGCCTGCAATCCGAAGCCATTCAGAGTCTCCAGAAAGCTGCTTCCCAGGATGTACCAACAGAAAGACAGCTGAAAACGTTATACGCACTTGGTAGGTTGTTGGCGGAGACACGTGACGTCGACGAAGCGATATTGGTAGTGAAGAAGGCATTGGCTTGTGATTTGACGGCTCATCAAGCGGAATCTACCTACAAGTTGCAGCGCGACCTGATTCCATTCTGGCACCTGCTTGCTCTGCTACTCACCTCAAGGCAAAACTTTGAGATTGCAGGCCAAGGTTGTGCTGCCGCTCTCGAACAATTTTCACCGCCGGGCGTCATTTTCGGAGACTCATCAAACTTTGCGGGAGCTGAACAGAAACAGATCGGTTCTACGCTGCATACTGGGCTCGTGGACGATATGGAGTGCGAGGAACTTCAAAGAATAATTGAAGTTCGGATCACCGAGCTTGCCCTTACCGAACTTGTAGAGGGCCCCGAACACGCAGTTAATATCAGCAACGATCTGCTCGTGCTATATGGACGGATTTTTGGTCGATTTGGTGCTCTTAATGTCATGGAGGAGAAGTCGAGGTCCAGAACAAGGCTTACGCAACCTCCCAAGGGCTCCGCTGGCACCATCAAGAGCGTGAGAGGTAGTATTTTCTCTCGCAGAAAGATGGACCGCTCGAGTGAGTCGTCAAGAGGGCCCGACACAATCGCAGCACCAACAACACGACCCAGCACTCAGACCACACAGGCCCCAACAATTGAGGTCACTGATGAGGATGAGAAGCCATCACCGCACAAACATCGACTATTCAGATCTTCGCACGAACATTCCACCGACGGGAGACGACAAGGTCGTAGTTTGGACACCCGACGATCTCTCGACACGACTCCAGAGAAGCCTCTAGCACCGTCGGTGGCGACACATCCGCGGCTGCAAACAATTCAATCTGGGGACGTTCCGGTTATACCGGCGTCCTCCATCCATGATCAGAGTAGTGAGGCAAAGAGGCCGTTAAAAGAAGTCCCCCATAATCTTGCACCGCACGACAAGATGCCACCACCCGTTCAGCATACGACTCAGCCGCCACAGCAAGACGTTCGACTACCAACAGGAGGATCGCGAATCTCACAATTAGATCCAATTCCTCGTTTTGCCAGGGCCGCGTCGCAGCGATACGCTTTGAGCATACTCATCAAGATCTGGTTGGTCATCGCCACGCTTTACAGGCGAGCCAAATTGTTCGACGACTCACGCGAAGCATGCGACGAAGCAGCAAAAGTGGCAGCGAAGATCGAAAGCTTGATTGCAAGTGTCGAAAGTTCGGCTCGAGCATTTAGTGACAGTGAATGGGGTGGAGGCGGTAAGAGCTCCGACGAATTATGGGCTGATGTCTATTATGAGCGAGCGGAGCTCGTCATGGCCATTGCCCGGGAAAAGGAAGAGAAGAACGGAGAGATGAATTCAGAAAGTGTCCGTGATGCAGTCGAGCAGTACGAAACATGCTTGATGTGCTATGCCGACCATCCTGGAGGCATTATTGGGCTCAGCAATGTGCTGCTAGACTACTATGAGCGCAAGGTGGATTTGGTCAAGAAGGTCGACGGCGGTCCAGTCACGACGAGTGAGGTTCCAGCAGAAAAGAGTCGACCTCAGCATACGCGATCACTGAGTCGATCCTCTGACGTTGGTATAGTCAACGGCATGCTCGACCTCGATGGACAGGCCACACATCCAACGGCGCAATCGAAGGATGATGACCTCAAAAAGACGCCGGAGAACCTCAATCGATTGGCGGCTCGAGATCGAGCATACGGACTATTATCATCGCTCACGAAACTCGGGTCTGCTTGGGACAATTCTGAAGCATGGTTCGCCTTGGCGAGGGCGCACGAACTTGGCGGCGAAATAGACAAGGCCAAGGAGATCCTGTGGTGGTGCGTCGAGCTTGAAGATACACGACCAATTCGACACTGGTCGAACATAGGCAGTGGAGGATACGTACTATGAAGGAGATTACAGTCTCAACATGATAATTACATGTGCATAACGATTCCATTGTGATGATGGTGTTATTGCAACGACTGTGATTACGATGGAGAAAGGTGATTGTTCAACTGCAAGCTTCGGACCGGCAGGCCTTTGGGCCCTGGGGACTTGGGAGGCTGATGAGGGCCGGGCTAAGGTTAGTGAGGCTTGCGAGGGGGCTGGAAGTTAGGAACGCGTTGCTCCAATGAAATTGTGCAAGGCTGACAGTGACCGCTAAATTAGCCGTGAACTTATTATTTTTAGCACTCTCCGCAAAGGCCTAAAAGAAGTGGGCTGGGAAGCCTTATCATCAGCCTCATCATTTGTGTCCAGCCTCGAATGAGGTCGACGTGAGTGCAGATAATTGAGGCCTGCTGTGGACACATTGTTGATTGTAGAATCAGATGACCTGGCGTGTACATCTAGGTAGATTAAAAAATGTTCTGGGGCTTCGTGGCGCTTGGATGTGTTCGTCATCGTTAGTTGTAGCCGGCCACGTAATAGAAAGCAACTGCGATCTTTTGAAAGGCCCCTCAAGGGAGAGGAAACTAGGTCACCAGGGTCAATTAAGGTGTGCGTTTAGGCTTAGGCTTAGGCATAGGCGGGGACTGCCATGGGTTCCGCGTCATCTCCCGCGAATCTTCCTGCCGACTTGTCCGACATGCCGCATCACCCACCACTGCCATTTTCTTATTTTCCATGACTGCGCCTGCGCCATGCCACTACAGACTCCATCCATCCATTCACTGCCATTGCGCCTGAAAAAGAGCGAACGGGCATAAACCATGATGATGCTGCTGCTGCTGACCATCGTTACTTCCATCACCATTACGACTACTATTACCACTGCCACCCAGCAATAGGCCCAAGTTGGTTTCTTTCCTTTTACTTACACCTCACCTCATTGCTTGCGTTTCGTCGTGCATTAACAAACACTTCGTCTTCCTCTCTTACTACCACACCCTTCGTTTGCTGCATACATATTTGCGCTACATCACCTCCGCATCATTTAGACCTCGCAACCTCAGAAGCCGTTCTCCTCCTCTCATTGCAGCCTATTGGTTCTCACAAACGCACGGCCCTTGCTGCTGCAAGCACTTTCAGCATGAAATACTCCTCAACAGTGGTGGCACTGGCCGCCGTAACAGCACCTCTTGCGTCGGCCCTCGCTCTCGCCACTCGCACTTCCTCCCCCAGAGTCCTCAGCCTACCTATTCAGAGACGGAATAACCCAGATGTACTTGCAAATCACCGGGCAAGGTTACGGAGAAGATCAGGGACAGTAACAGAGACGTTGGACAATGAGGAGAGTCTGTACTACGCCAATCTCACGCTTGGAACACCTGCACAATCTCTACGATTGCACATCGACACAGGCAGTTCCGATCTCTGGGTGAACACTGCCAACTCCACCTTTTGCGAGGAATCGAGCGACCCTTGCGAAGGCGGCACTTACAGCACTTCCAGCTCGTCAACCTACAAATACGTCAACAGTGAGTTCAACATCTCGTATGTCGACGGCACTAGCGCAGTCGGCGACTACGTCACAGACACCCTGACCTTTGGAGGCGAAACACTGGAAGACTTTCAATTTGGCATTGGCGAATCATCTACCTCATCTCAGGGTGTATTGGGCATTGGCTACGCTTCCGAGGAAGTTGCAGTCAATCGAGCCGGGCTTGATCCCTACCCTAATCTGCCAGTTGCATTGGTCGACGCTGGACTCATAGCCTCCAATGCCTACAGTCTATGGCTGAATGATCTGGACTCGTCTGAGGGGAAGATCTTGTTTGGTGGCGTTGATACTGCCAAATACTCGGGCGACTTAGCTACCGTACCCATCGTTGAGATATACGGCGGCTATTACGAACTCCTCATTGCCTTGACAGGCCTGGCTATCCCGGATCAAAACCTGTCCTCGTCCAGCTCTTTGCCTGCAGCCGTTCTGCTCGACTCTGGCTCAACTCTCACTTATCTTCCCACCGACATCACCGAGACTATCTTCGACAAGCTCGACGCGGTTTACGAGTCGGATCTAGGTGCTGCGTACGTCGAATGCAGCAAGAACTCCGATAATTTGACCATCGATTTTGACTTTTCCGGCAAGACAATCTCGGTTCCCTACGACGAGCTCTTCCTTGACGCCGGCACCAACTCACAAGGTCAGCCTTTGACCTTCTCAAACGGAGAAACAGCCTGCTTGTTTGGAATTGCGCCGGCAGATGATAGTACTGCGGTTCTGGGCGATACATTCCTGCGATCTGCGTATGTCGTCTACGACCTTGCCAATAACGCAATCTCACTTGCTCAAACTGTCTTCAACTCGACCTCCAGTGACATTCAGGAGATTACCAAGGGTACAGATGGTGTTCCTGGTGCCACTGCCGTGTCCAACCCGGTCACAACGGTCGCAGCGGGTAGCGACGGTGCTAGACTAGGTGGCACCACCGCTACCGTCACAGGCTCGATAAGCGCTGCATCTATGGCCAACATACCTCCTGTGTCACTGCTCGGTGCTATCGTCGCCATCGCAGTTGCCGTGCTGGCCGGCTAGATTGCAAACAGAAAAAGTTCAACACCTGGATGGTACTCCTAATTGTACATGGCTCTCTTCAGGACAAATGGGTTATTAGAGTGTTGGGAACGACTCGACGACATGAACGACTTCGTATGCAGCCAGCAGCTCTGGCTCGATGATAGACTGGACTGGGTCTTTGCAGCACTTTCCACAGCATGGCATACTTGCATTGGGATAGCGACAGCGGGTGTGGAATTCGAGCATTGCGCGGTGTTGTCAGGTGTTGGCACCACAGCTTCATTGTTACAAGCGTAGCAGCGTTCAGGATCGCGCGCATATTAGACTTATTAATTGGCCTCCTTTTCCACAGAGAAAAGTCAAGGATCAATAATGAAAATTAATTATCTTTCGACGTGTTACATATTCTAGTCTTTGTTTCTCTAGGCACTATTTTTCATCCTTTCTAATGTGTCGGGGAAAGACCAGATATGAGTGACATGGATATCTCCATTGAGATCCAATATCTTCTGTAGACGCCAGCAATCGTCAATTCCCGATCGATTACATACTGCTCAGCAACATGTGATCATGTCATAGTCGATAGATCGAGTGATGAAGTGACCACAAACTGAATCAGAGACCACACTGTACTGTACACCTGGAGCCTGGTTCCTACTGATCAATCCGTCAACGATCTAATGAGATGATACCCGCTCTGTCGAGTATCGCCGTGCGTGTCTCATACTCATACCCGATCCCTAAAAAGGCAACCCGGTGAGATGATAATTGAGCAGGCTGTTCACTCCTTCAGCGGCACCGCGCGTATCTTGACCCCAATTGAAAAGACCGAAGGCCAGGTGACTGTCTGGACGCAGTACCTTCGAGCATCAACCGCGACGCAAGACCATCGTCGTAATGCAGCGCATATCTTAGATGGACCGCGACGCGCAGATCATCCATGATGCGAATTTCGCAGCTCGGAATTTGCAGCGGCCAGCTCGCATCCACGGACAAAAACTTGTATCGTTATTATCGGGATCCGTTATCTCGGTATTCTAGGGAGTCTTTCTCTTTTTCTTGTACATGTGTGATTCCACACGTATTATCTAACATTAATTCGTCGTCGGACCCACACTAGGCTTGGAGCTACCGATTCGTATACCGCGTGCAGTGAATGCAGGCTGCGAGATCGGACTGGACCGCCCGGACCCTGAGGCTGAGAGTGACGCAGACCTGGAATGTCGGAGCCCTTGGGTTTGAGGCGTGATGGGTCGTTGAGGTTCGCCTTCATCGTCAATTTCTCGTTCAGGTGGAACATTTGTCAGTTCCTGGGCAGTGGATTGGGCCCCGGCGGCCTTGGAATCGTTGCCTATTGGCGGCGACCGTGCCGTGGTACTCGTCGTGGTGGGACTGTTGCTACTCTGCTCCTTTGCAGCTGCTGCGTCTGACCTCGCTTTCACAGCGTTTCGCTGAACATATGACTCGTCCGCTTTGCCGTTTCTGATCACTTGGGCATCCTCTTTGGGGAATTCGTAGTTCTGCTCGTACCATGACATAAGAGAGTTGCCTGGATGTTCTGGGTCACGCGGTGTGGTTGTTCTTGAACTAGGTTCAACCTCGTTATATTGCTGCCTATAAGGTCTTTCGCGAAGCTGCTGAGCATAAGACTTGAGCCTTGGCGTGCGCGGCGTGTCATTAGCACCGTCAAAATCGGAATACGAGGACTCGTCCCCAGACCAGGTGCCGCCACTGTGCTGTCTTCTGTGTAGGTGTGCGGAATCAGCTATTGACAGCGACAAACCCTTCGGCAAGCCGTTCGTTGTACGCCCGTGAGCGTAATAGCGCAGTGCCTCCAACACATGTGGGAATACGAGATTGTGCACATCTTGTCCCCAGAGGAAATCGAGATGCTCATAATGAGGAATTTCCGTGGCGATGGTATGTCTAGGCAGTTCCTTGAGCATGACCCGAATGTCCACTAGCGAGTCGCTGCCGCCGTAGACAAGAACAATAGGAGTCTTGATATTCCGTGTAGGGAACTTTGCGACTTTGTAATATCGGTTGCTGGCGCCGATGCTGAATTTGTTTGAGCCGTCATCATCGTACATCTGGAAAGACTTGTTTCGAATGATTTGAAACCAATGCACCACAGACTTGACGCTTGTGAAGCTGTACAAATGAGGGTATGCTGCCAGTTTCTGCTGCACGGTAATGTTCCGTCCGTACCAGGCGAACAGGAACGAGAGTGACATGTCTATCAGGCGGACGAAGATAGGAGGGTAGAGGATGGATTGCCACATGGTCGCGGAAGACAGGATTGATTTGCGACCGAAAGCGAGGAAGAGGACGTCAGGACTTGTCTTGACCAATGCATCGACAATGCCGTTGCTCAGACCTGCTGGAGACATTGCCGGAGCCAGGGCAATGAAGACGTTGACTTTGTCGTTCAGACCGGGATGGATGGAAAGCGTAGCAAAAGCTTGCGCAGTGCCTTGACTGAAACCAATATATGAGAGCGAGGGTTGGGCTGTTGTGTCAAGGATATAATCGATAGTGTTCGGAACATCGTGGAATGCGAATTCCTCAATCGAGAAGTCCCAGAACTTGGTGGACGTCGGCGAAAACTGAGTAGACTTCTTGCTGTATTTGTTGCCTCGATTGTTACCCAACCAGACATCGTATCCTTGATTGACTAGTGTAAACGGCAGACACCGTTCTTCTTCTGTGATGCACACCCACACCTCACTATTCATCAGAAGACCATGATGAAGGTATACCACAGGCTTTCTGATGGAGTCAGGTCCAGCATTGACTCTCGCAGCACCCGCCTCTTCCCCTTTGCGGTACGGCAGTCGATGCACGCCGAGAAGATATCCATCTCCTGTCTGTACGACATGTTCCTCGGCATAATACCCATATAGCGCACAGAGTTCGGTGAAATCGGAGCAATTAGCGATGGCAGAGTACCTTGCTTTCCGTTGCGATCGAGCTTGTTTCGACTTTGGGGAAGATAGACGATTGAACAACTTCTTGGACGTGTTGTAGCAGAAACGAATGATGGGTTGAGCTAGGATAGTGGTCAGGTGCAGTCCTAGGACAAAGGGAGTGACTTACGCAGTCCAAGTGTAATGATCCGAACGAATACTTCTAGCGCGACGAGTATGAGAGACCCAAATAGAGCAAGATACTCTCGGCTGAACATGAGGTTAGCGGAGTCGATGATCACACGAGGAGATCCTTACAAGAAGAGCCTCCCTATGAACGGAACTCTGGCCATTGTTCAAAAAGACCAAGAAGGTGAAACGATCGTGGACGGTAGTTCAGACCAGCTGGACATCAGAAGCCATCACCAACAAGCTAGGGCAGCGTGGTGAGGTAGATATTCTTTTCACATGCGCTGCATATGCGAGGAAGACGGCAGCATTGAATGGCCGACGGGAGGAATCGATTTCGACGTCATTCATGGTCATTTACATGCAAATGCACTAAAAGGTACAAAGTCAATGTTCCTGCGGTCAAGCAGAGGAAGATCATTTCCGCAAGTCCAGGCACGTGACTGGATTTTCGTGTGCAGAATTATTTTTTGCTTCAAAACAACAAACTTGACTTTCTCTTCTCTTTTTTCTTCTTCATATGAACAACGCAAAAACCAACGTTCCTGCAAAAGCGTTCCTACGAGGCTACACTACGGTGACCCATGATGTACGGAAATCGTCTATTGGAATGGAGATCAACCATCTTCGGCCGATCTTGGGTGCAGTGCCAGTCGCGTCCTTTTCAGGATATGACTGGGAGTGCAATGATTGACCAGACAACCTTTCAATAATGACAACGATACATAAGATGCAAGATCACAGGACAACCTCCGTGGTTCATTGGTTCTCCTCATCAGCAGAATACGCACGTCAAGGGTATCTTGTGAGCCTACCAGGTATTAATACACAAATAAAATGCAATCAGGCACTTCATCATCGTTTACTTTCCAGCCATTCCTCAATTCTCTCAACAAGGTCTGCCTTTTTGCCGGTCGCCGATATTTTCTTCGAGCCACAGAATTCCTTCAGTTGCGCCACCGTCAGACTTGCTAGTTTGCCTTTCTCCCAGAGCTTTCTGATGTCCTCTTCACCAACGCCGCCTGCTGCTTCGGTCTTGACCTTCTTCGACGCACCACCAGCGCTCGAGGATTGTCCATTCGTGTACCGTTTGGATCCTGTAGATATCGTATCTGGATTTTCAACTTGATATTCTTTGAACACCTTTTCGAGGGTCTTGCCCCATTCAGTCGTCTCGCTGCCCACTCTCTTGTCTATTTGTCGGTATTTCGGGACAGTCTTGTCTTCGGGCTTTTCAGGGATTTCGTCGTCAAGTGCAAGTGCCTGAAGTATGCGATAATGCCATTGGAGGCTAGGGTTCGGGTATTTCGAAGGGTCATAGATGCCCTTGGGAAGGTTGAGCTGTTCTACAAGGGGTCAGCTCTGTGAATTACTCAGAAAAGGGCAGAACCTACGCATGATTGGTCTCATGGAGTCCACGAGCTCGTCCGGAGCACGTAGAGGAGTTTCGTGGGTTGTGGGTGGGTTTTGCCGGATATCATCTGCGTACGGGAGTGGTATTAGGTGCAGACCCTGAGGCGCACCAGTAATGGAAGCACCTGCGGCATTGGAGTTCTCTTCAGTCGGTTTTGCAGAGAGAGTTGGGACCATGGCAGCCATAACAGGCGTGGCATTCTTTCTTGGTACGAACCAGGTGAGGGCGAATAGCTTGTCCTTAGCCAGCTTGCGATGTAGGGCGCTGTACACTCGAGTGCTTCCGACATAGGCTTCTTCAGAGGGGTATAAGAAAGTCGAGTTCTTGATGTTGGCCCACAGAGGTAGTTTCGACACTGGCTTGAATCCAATCACTCGAATGACTGGAGGACCAAAGTTACGCAGTGACTTGGCCTCTTCCTCAGTGAAAGTGATTTGCTCACCACCAAACATGTAGGCTTTGCGAATCTCAGCCTTCTGGATCTTGCGGCCTTCGTACGCTACCTGATCGGTATGGCCAGTTACAATTTGCGGACGCTCCGAACCTAGGTAGATGTAACTGCTTCGAGCTGGCTTCTGATGTTTGTACAGCAAATAGCCCTTGACAGATATCTCGAAGCCAGGTGCAATTTCGAGATTTACCGCAGAGAAGAGAGCCCGTTTGGGTGTCACCTTGGAAGCAATGCTTGACAGCAAGGACTGCAACAAGGAGATTCCATCATTGGAGCCAGCCGCCAACTTGGAGGCGTCAGTGTCGACGATGGAGGGAGGATTGTAGGCAATTGCGTCGGGGTCTGATGGCGACGCTTTGTAGACAATGTCATCGTAAAAGAGCTTCGTATCGAATGCGTGGTCTGGAGTTGAGATTGGAAACAACTCTATAATCACACCCAAGTCGTACAGATCCTTTGCTCTGACCGTAGCTTGGGACCGAGTGCCCTTGTTTGTGGCATGTGGATCGTCATTGTCTGTGACCAAGAACAGCCGTCGAGAAGAGAAGTTTGCTGCCTTCTGTTGGAAGATTTGATTTGCACAAAACAGAACATTGTGCATAGAGACTGGTTCTTTGCATTGTTTAAAGATTTCGTTGGACTCTGGATCTTCTGCCTCTGTCAATTCCTTGAGCGCCTTTACATCCTGCGCCTCTGGGACATCGAGGTCAGTGAGAAGATAACAGTGAGGAAAAGACCAGCCGCCTCGGGAGTTTTCATCTTCGTCGTAGAATTTGGTCGCCTCTGTGCCATACAGCAAAATCCCCATCAGATCCCGAGGTGTAGAAATGATGCGTTGCTGCATGAGATGATACGCACATTTGAGCGCGGCCAAAAGGGGGGAAGTGGTGTCGGCCTTCTTTGATGATGAGGTTTGAGGTTTTCGTAACATTGAGTCGCTGACCTCGATGGCGAAGAGGACAGCATCTTTGACTGTCTTATAGCCGGTCTCATCGACTTCCTCTTCGTCCTCGTCAGCATCTTCTGCTCTGGCTGGGTCGTCCGGTTCATCCTTCGATCGGTAAGGTAAGTTGTCGGCCATTTCGGTTGTTGATGAAGCCAAAGTATGGCCGGTGAAGTTGCGGGGCAAACGTACCTAGACAGGCACGAAAGGCAAGCGTCCAATGTGAGGCTACGAAACGCGGATGACATGCGCATAGTACACGACGCGCTCTCACGTGGCAAGTTCAAAAAGTGAGGGCGTCATTCACGGCGATTTGAGTGGGCGCGACTCGGTCATCGTTACTGCTTGCGGCTTATTTGTTCGAGACACAAAGTTTACTGCTTCATCCTGCGGCAGAATAATTCAAGCTGCGTACCTACCTAGGTACTTCATCCTGAACTTCCTCAACCGTCTCAATACTCATACCTCCTACAGCAAAGCCTCTAGTGATTTGGTCCCTTTTCCAGAATTGTCGATGGCCCGGTAGCCTTACTTTTCTCCAGACTCCAAGTCACTCACAATGTCGATCCGCCACTCGGTCTCGCACCTTACTCGGTCAATAGCACAACGTCCAGTTGCTCGCTCACCAGTCAGCCTACTCAACAAATATGGCTCACATAAAGCTGGCATGGCCAGTGTGGTACCTCCGGTAACCCAAGATTCCGTTGGCAAACAAGGCCCGACCGCAATGGTATTCATGAATATGGGAGGTCCTTCTACGACGGATGAAGTGGGAGGCTTCTTGAGCAGGCTATTCGCAGACGCCGACCTGATCCCTCTGGGACCGCTACAATCATACATCGGGCCACTGATTTCACGGAGAAGAACGCCGAAGATTCAAAAACAATACGCAGCCATAGGCGGTGGTTCTCCGATTCGCAAATGGTCTGAGTATCAATGCGAAGAGATGTGCAAAATCCTGGATCAAATCTCACCGGAAACGGCGCCTCATCTACCTTATGTGGCCTTTCGATATGCCAACCCCTTGACAGAGCACATGTACGAGCAGCTGATCAAGGACGGGTTCGGCCGCGGTAAAGGTGGTCGAGCAGTTGCGTTCACACAATATCCTCAATACAGTTGTTCCACGACAGGAAGTTCGCTGAACGAATTATGGAAGTGGCGCAACCGCCTCGAAGGCAAAAGAGCTACAGGAGAGGTAAATCCCGAAGGGGCCATTACATGGAGTGTTATAGACCGTTGGCCTACGCATCCTGGCCTTGTGGAAGCATTCGCAAGGAATATTGAGGACAAGCTGGCTGAGTACCCGGAGGAGCGCAGAAAGGATGTGGTGCTGCTATTTTCGGCCCACAGTCTTCCTATGAGTGTGGTCAACAGAGGTGATCCATACCCTGCGGAAGTGGCAGCCACGGTCAATGCCGTTATGCAGCGGCTGAAACAGTCCAATCCATACCGACTGTGCTGGCAATCACAGGTCGGACCTTCGGCATGGCTGGGTGCACAAACAAGTGACACTGTCAAACATTACTTCGAACGAGGGCATACTGATATGATCCTGGTACCTATCGCCTTCACAAGCGACCACATCGAGACTCTTTATGAGATTGACCAGGAAGTGTTGCATGAGGACGCCAAAGGGCACCCGGGAGTCAAGCGAGCAGAAAGTTTGAACGGAAGTCCCGTCTTCATCCAAGCACTGGCAGACATTGCCCATGCTCATCTTCAAAGTGGTGACAGTTGTTCCAGACAGATGGGTCTCAGATGCCAGGGTTGTAAAAGTGAGCGTTGTTTAGAGCAGAAGAAGTTCTTTGCTGGAGAACAAGCAAATATTCTGCCCACTGTGAGGTAGGACGACTTGTATGAACACTGTCTTCAAAATTTACCTAGGAATCTAATATCCATCTACGTTCGATGATCATAAGTTAGATGTAAGAAGTGGTTCGTGATTGATGCTTGTTACGGAGGATGGTGCGTATTATAGATTCGGCACGGAGCATGCATTTCCTGGTTTAGCATGCAGGGCGTGAATGCAGATTGGCTTCGGGCTTAGATCTAGGGGGTCGTTTATGCATCCGGTGAGCCACACAAGCCCCGAAATGTGGATATTTAGCCCGGCACAGCGGTTGCCGCCTCCCTACGAGGTGGTGCATTTCAATGCATTTCCCCCTTCAGTGCATCAAGCACTAGGGAAATTACGTCAAGACACTGCCGCTATCTTCATTTGCCTTGAACGATGTTATCAATCAATTCTGCCGCCTGCGAGTCGACTTGATCCAGTCACTCCCTTCGGTCATTTCGTAGCACAGATGCGACAACCATACTGATCCATCTACTTCGTGGTCTAACGCGCTCCTTTGCGGTGCCAGCACTCCGAACACGCACGCACGCACCCCGCGATCACGCGCCCGAGACACTCAGAATGGACCATGAAGATGCGTTCGCGGAGGAGGCTCAAGAGGAGGCGTTGTTGTCCGAGGCCAGCACCACTGATTTGGGCATTGAAACACAATACTCAATGAGAGAGGATGATGAGGATGAGGACGAAAGCAGCCCCTTGGTGAGTCCTCGACGTCGCCGGCCACAAAAGACACCATATAGCCGAGCCAGCGCGAGTTATCAAAGGGCTATCGATGAGCCTTGGAGCGGAGCTCATGGTTCACATGACTTGCCATGGTATAAGAAGCCTTCGGTATGGTCTTTTCATCACCTGTCTGGTGCTGCTTGCTTATTATCTTAGATCTTCTGGCTCCTTCCTGCATTCTTCCCATTCTGTATAGCATTCGGGGGGATCATTGTCCCAAAGACATACCTCATCCTCGACCTCATCTGTCAAGACTACCTGTCAGATCGTGCTGCAAAGGATCCTACCTTCACGTTCACACCGGTACTTCTGGGATCCGAAAATCCACAGTGCAGGGACCCCAATGTTCAGGCACGAGTAGCGACATTCAACTTGGAAGCGAATCTGTTATCCGGGATCTTCTCAGCCATTATATCTCCTCACCTTGGTTCTCTCTCTGACCGCATTGGACGGAAGAAGATTATCGTTTGCGCATCGTTTGGAGCTCTAGGTGCCGAGATTATCACGATCATTGTGGGCAAGAATGAAGGCAGGGTCTCCGTGTACTGGATATTGCTGGGTGCCCTTTTCGACGGCCTCTGTGGCTCTTTCACTACAGCCATGGCATTGGCTTTCGCTTACGCTGCCGATTGTTCTCCGCCTGAACGCAGAAATGTTGCCTTTGGCTATTTTCATGGCACGCTTTTTGCGGGTATTGCGCTTGGGCCGATTCTGGCTGGCTATCTGATCAAGCTCTCTGGCACCGTGTTGATTGTATTCTACGTCGCTCTCGGCTGTCACCTCTTCTACATCCTATTCATATCGCTTGTGGTGCCGGAATCACTGTCCAAAGAGAGACAAATGATCGCAAAGGAGAAACGACGTCTCGCCAAAGCTGAGTCGCCTCCGAAGCATTGGTTCACCGAACTGAGGAACTACAACCTTTTCAAACCTCTGTGGGTGCTTCGACCTACAGGCCCAGGTACTAGTTCAAAGCTGAGACAGAATCTTTTTGTCCTGGCTGCCATCGACACCATGATGTTTGGTGTGGCTATGGGCACTATGCAGATCATCATCATCTTTGCGGAGTTTCGATTTGGGTGGACGGCTGTGGACTCGAGCATGTTCCTATCAGCTGTCAACGTGTGTCGAGTTACGGGATTGCTCCTCTTGCTTCCCATTTTGACGCGGATTTTCCGTGGACCCACGCAAGCACAATCACAATCGTCGGGACACAAAGGTGCAGATATGCTCGACATTAACATTATCCGTGGCTCCATCGTCTTCGATCTTCTGGGGTATATTGGTTACGCTCTGACACCGTCTGGTGCGATCATGGTCATCTCTGGTATGGTTGCATCCTTGGGAGGAATTGGGTCTCCGACTTTGCAGTCTGCTCTCACGAAGCACATCCCAGCAGACCGTACCGGGCAGGTCCTTGGTGCGTCAGGGTTGTTACACGCGCTAGCACGTGTTGTGGCTCCAACCATTTTCAATCTCATCTACAGGCAAACTGTTGGTGTTTATGCAGGTACTGTATTCATATGTCTCGCATCGGTTTTCGTTGTTGTTTTCGCTTTCAGCTGGTTCTTGAGACCAAATGGTATGTTGTATACTCAGCTGTCTTGGATAACGTTACTAACGACAAATAGTCTACCTCCACGAAGGATCAAACGTCGACTCTGATGAGAACGAAGTTGATGAACAGCACCCATAAAGCAAGCGGGATGTAATTTATATATTGAGTTTTAGCGATTGTGGTTTCTTGCACTAGATCATGGTTTTCACGCGAGATGGATATACAGTGGAGCGAATGTCACGCCAATGTGTGTGTGATGTGTGTTGAGCAGGGACTATACGTCTGTGGTGCAGAGGCCAGTGTTCAGGCCGATGCATGGAGTGACGACGTTGGGCTGTTGACATGCTGATATACTGTACTATGGGGCTCCTTCACTTCATCGTCGGCTGTTCATTGCAGTCCAGTGTGCTGGAACGGATATACATGGATAAGTACCATTAGCATTGTAGCCTTCGTAGGTCCAGCTATTGTATGTATGATGCCTGCTCAGTTAAGGCTGAGGTGGATTCGCAAGGCTAGGCCTTGGCAGACCGACCGGAATCGGAGCCGATTGGCTTTTGGAGATGAACTGCGTCTGCACGTTGCGTGATACTAGTGACTGCACCATTTATTTCCGTAATGCGAGCCTCACTACCTCACCTCCAACAGTCTTCATCGATCGCCGCGATCTGAGCAGGCATCCCTGGCTCTTCATCACCGGAGATGCCCTTGCCATGGCATCACAGTCACCGGTCGTGCCTTCAAAAAATGCTTTACGAGCACTCCGTCGACTGGCCCTGTCGCCTCCAACGATTGTCATAGGGACCCTGGGGAGTGTATGCGGTGTCTTGACGCTCAATCATGAGACACGCCGGAGGGTTCATCTAGCGGAACAGATCGTCGAGACCAAAAGGATATTACAATCTGTGTCCAGCGGTACAGCAGCTGCCCGCCTCAATGACATGTTTGATGCTGCGGAGAAGGGAGAAGACTTTACGTTACGAGCCCAGCACGCGAAGAAGAGGAGGAAAGCGGATGGAACGCGACCCTTCTCTACAACAGCCATACCCGAATCAGACGGGACCAGCAATATCGATACAGCCGATCATGTTAGAGCCACGAACCGACAACCAAGAAGTTCTCACGAGCGAGATTCCCACCGGCTGGCCATCGATCCATCACTTGCAATGGAAAAGTTGACATTACACGACATACATGCTGATGTCGTCAGTAAGATTATTGTTGCAAGCAAACAGCCACATAAATATTCGGGTCATCCTGTTTATGGCCGTCCAAGTCCACCAGAACAAGTCGCAGGCCATTTACCAGGGGCTGTGAGAAAGCGTCCGAAAGAGATACCACGCGTTGTGGATAGTGTGTCCAGGAGAAAAGCCTCGAGCTTGGCTCTGTCATCTTTGCGCAAAGCGGTGCCGGAGCACGCATCTGAACCCAATGGAGCGTTGAAGTCAGGATCGTTGAAAGATCTGCGCATTGCAAGGAATGTGGTCTCCAAAGGCTTTCATTCTTATTCCGCCGCAGCCTTTCAGGGAACATCTATAAGAAGGTTAGCTTCGCCATCATATGCATATTCTGAGACCGCCGTATCTCCACGAAAGGGTTTGTCCGGTCCTGAACATTCGGCCAGGCAGGAATACATAAAGGCTAACATCGAGGCTCATCCCGTCTCCAAAACTGGTCGGTCGGATCAAGAGGACACGGATTATGCAGATACTCACCCAGAGCCAGTATCCACCGACCAATATGCTACTGCTCAGCAAATCCCACCGGGATACGTCTCGTGGAGGCCGTATCGGACTGTCTCCGGTATGCCGCGAGGCCGTCGTTGGTATCGTGTCAGGGTCACATCGCCATTAAGTGGGGAGCCTGACCACGATCTGAAGAGCTACCTAGCTCAAACCGACCCTCAGCAGTCCCAGATGGATTCGGACAAGTGGCCTGCTCTGTGTGTCGCTGACTTTGTTAGCCGTGGTATTGACGACGACACCGACCAGGCTCTGAAGGAACATCTCCACGAGACTCAAGACCTTGAAATTGACCCGGACTCACACAAAATCTTCGAGGGCAATTACATGGTTCCGCGCAACATTGTCGAACACATGACAGAGACCGCCGATCGCAAGGCTTTCGTTTCTATCAAGGCCTTCATATTGCCTCCAGATGAGGACTTGACCTACGAGGAATCTCTGCGCCGCTGGTTAGCTGCGATGAGATATTACACGCAGGGCAATGTGCGACAGTGGGCTATGGCAGAAGCTGTTTTCCACAGTTTTCGTTTCCAGTTCGAGCCCGAAGACATTGTCAGTCCGCCCGTGCTTGAGCTCGTGAGACATCTCCTGGCCACAGCGCGGCATTCCGACAGAGTGCATCAGGTTCTATTTCCAAGTACTGTGCCCAATGGACTTGACAATGTTGCTTTTCACAATCTACCATTTCAATATTTGACTACCATCTGTGAGACCAACAACGACACGGATTGTATTCAGGAGCTTGCAAAGGTTCGTTTTGTCGCGACACGTACGGGATTCGAGCAGAAACTCAACCTCTTCATACCATTCATTCAAAAGAGACTGCGGCAAAATGACGCGGAGGAGGCCAGCGCTCTTGCGGACGTGCTAGCGCCAGTCTATGGAAAAGCTTCAGCGCCACGGATCTGGGCCGAATGTGCTTTGTGGCATTCAACTCACGGGAATTGGAATGATGTGCAAGAAATACTCGAGCTCATACATACGAGCGGGTATCCCAGAACTCGACCGATCTACTATGCAATGCTGTTTCATAAGCTGTTATTGCGATATCTCGCGACTAACAGTGCAGTACGGTCGTTTGGTTTCCTGATCGAAGGCATCAAGTATGCTGGTTTGCAACCAATGCACATGATATCGACCACGTTCATATGTGCATGCGTCAGGGAGCGGCGTTTCGATCTTGTGTCTGAGTGGATAAGCATGATCCATGAGGCGTTTCCCAGGGCCATGTCGAACTTCGTGGAGGAAAAGGATGCATGGCGACTTGGGCGAGCCTTGCTAGAGTCCGGTGCCAGCTGTCGGGAGATTGCAAACGTTTGTCGAGAACTCTCCTTCGGACGCCGCGAAGATCCGTTCCACGTCATGCTGAAGGACTTTGTTAGGGAGCTTGTCAGGCTGGATCTAATTCACCGAATGTGTTCCATACCCGAGCAGATGAAAAAAACCGGTCTGTCAGACATTAATGTCCGTGCGATGACATTGCCGCAGATACTGGACCTCGCGGAACAGTTTTGTTCCACCGAAAAATCATCCCGCGATCTCGACACGCGGTTTGAGATCATTCAGGGCGAGGTCGCAGCTCAAATTGATGCCATCGATGAACTGAGTTACATTTTCCAAGGTGACTTCCAATTGAATCGAACTTCGAGTCGAGACAATCCGGACGACAGTGGTTGGGATGGGCCACTTCAATCGAAATGGGAGCCCGTGAAAAAGCCGTTCGAGGATACTGGTCCTGAGCAATCACCTGCTCAATGGGGAGATCTACCGGACTACCCGGAACTGACAAAGGCAGTGGCCGACCATTATACCCTTCGGAACAAGGCGAATCTACCTGTAGATCATGCATTGCTCAAACAGCGCATGGCGCAACTCTCAATCACAAGGCCATTGGACGCACTAAGGCTGGTTGAAACAGTGTATTCCAGCCACTATGTTCAGGGACTTGGTGGGAAGCCATTTGACAACGGCATCTTCTCCAAGTGGCTCGAACTGGTCGTCGAGGTGGGCAGTGTCTCCTCAGCCTTCAAAGTTTTATGGGCAGTCATCGATTCCAGTCGACATCTAGTATGGACGTTTGACTTTGCCACGCTGGTTCATATGGCGGGCACGGTGCATATTCGGGAGAAGAAACCCATATACACCAAGGAGCGGCACCCGGATCACGACTTGAGGTATCTTGTGAAAAGGGTCTTGTGCATACGACAGGATTCACCTGATTATGTTGAGGATGACTTTCGCTTTCCCCACTGGCGTGATTGGGAGGAGACGTTCAGAAAGCCTCTGGTTAGACATGCGTCACATGTGCCATATCAAGAGCATGTTACCACGTATGGGTGATGACCGGCTACAATGTCGCCATGTATATACTATATTTTCAACGAACATATCGAAGTACATTGACTCTACTTGTTTCTGCGGATGATGATCAGGTTTTGGATTCTCCATGAATGCCAGCTTTGGTCTGTCGGAGATAGGCGGACAATGCGGCCGCTTGATCGTGCATCATACTAATGTCTCGCGTATCTAACACGATTCCTTCGTGCTAGTGGAGCATCTCATGTACCACAGAGTCATCAAAGCAGGTGCTGAGATGTTCAGGTGTCTATGACTTGATCGACAATATCATATAAGAATAAAGGATATGTCACGGCAAGTTAGACCTTCTGATTGTGAGGACATCGTCATTGAGGGAATGATTGATTAAAGGGCCGACTTCCCTTCCTCCCAGTACTTACACTTCAGCGGTACATCGTTTCTGTCCGAAGCCCCTAGATGGTGATTATACAATTGCTTCTCCACCACCCTCGTCACCTGGCTGAGACACACGCACTGTCTGTTCATCGGACCATCGAATGTGATTGCCACCGCTTCGAACAGCTATATGAGCACAGCACCACGTCCACCTAAAAGTACCGTGAATACTTGCGCTAGTTCAAGCCTCGACAATTCTCAAGCGTCCTATTGACGTTCTGTCTCAAATCAGTCTAGCAAAATCATTCATTTCGCAATCATGACTGGCGAAGTCAACCTTCCCGCTCAGACTCTCGAGGGGAAAGTCGCCATTGTTACGGGCTCGAGTCGTGGCTTGGGAGCCGAGATGGCGATGGACTTGGCTAGGAGAGGTGCGAAGGTACGTATATACAAGGTTTGGCTCTGGGCTGACGACGTCGTTTCTGTCCTGACGTTGTATCTGTTCCTTCCTTCTTGCCCTGGCCAGTCCGATTTAGCTCATCTTTGACACTGCTTCTAGGTAGTGATAACACACACGTCGCCATCCTCCGAGTCGAAAGCCGCACAACTCGTCTCAGACATAAATGGTCTACCCTACTCGTCGCAGGCAATCAGCGTACGCGCCGATATGCGCGACACATCTTCGCCAAAGGTGATCGTCGATGCCACACTCAAAGCATTCGGCTCCGAAATCCATATCCTCGTGAACAACGCCGGTGTTGCCCTAAGCAAAAGTCTCTCGGAGATGACGCTACCAGAAGATTATGATAGTGTCTACGAAGTCAATGTCCGGGGCGTGATACTGCTCACTCAGGCTGTCTTGCCGCATTTACCCGCATGCTCACGCATCATCAATATCTCGAGCGTGGGTGCGAGGGCTGGGTTCGCGGGTGTCAGTCTGTATACGTCGAGTAAGGCTGCGCTGGAGGGGCTGACGAGGAGTTGGGCTGGCGAGTTGGGAGGGAATGGGACGACGGTTAATGCTGTGGCGCCGGGCCCGGTGAAGAGTGATATGCTGGATACTATTGACCCGAAGATCGTGAAGATGCAGATGGAGAATACGCCGGTACAGAAACGGGTGGGGACGAGTGAGGAGATTGCGAATGTCGTGAGTTGGTTGGCTGGACCGGAGAGTGCGTGGGTCAGTGGGCAGGTTCTGTGTGCGAGTGGTGGGTGGATGATGTACTGAATGTGGAGGGGAGCCAGGCGAAGCAGGTACATTGATGTTGATGTCCGGCATGGAGGGTTGCTGGAGGCAGGCAAGGGCGATAATTACGGATGAGACTGGGGGCGAGGACGACGATGCATGATGGCTGCTTGACATGCGAGCATTGCCGGTTGGTGAAGAGAACGCCGCATGCACAGCTTTGTCGACACTGCTAGAGCTAGACAGATACAATTGAATACCAGGATGTTGGAGGTCAAGCCATGATTGGTAGCGCATGGGTGATAACTCTATCATCTATTCATGAGTGCATACGTGATGTATATCGTTGTGTGATGGCCGCTTAGTACGTCTCATCCGCGGAAACAGCATACTTCCCACCCCCAGCATACCACGCAGCCATGATAAGATCACACAGATCCTTAGCCTCGACATCCTTCAACGGTAAATGGTGCCCACCCGCAAAATCCATCTGAAAGCAATGGTCGCTTTCACAAGCCTTCCACAACTCCTCACACCCGGGTCTTACATGATCATCTCGTCCCCACGCATGCACCGTCGGGATTTCCCTTAGCAGTTTATAATCGTTCGTATCGACCGTCTCAGACAACGCGATCGGCGGGAATGGACCGCCAATCATGATTCCGAAAGCGAATTTCGTTTTGGACACACCTAGATCGCGCTCCTCGATCTTTTGCCGCAGTAACAACCCCGCGACGAGGCGCGAGCCCTGGCTGAAGCCGATGACGCCTTTGAACGTGTCGACTCCACCGTTGGCCTCCATTACATCGAAGAGGATTTTGTTAATGGCCTCGGCTTCAGCGGCTGGTGTGCCTTCGACGTCGGATTCGCCTGCCGCGAAACGCCGGGTTACCCACCGGTAGAAAGGGGCGCAGGATTCAAAGACGGGGAGCATGCCGTGGCCGGGCGTGCCTTCGATGGGGGCTTCCGCGAAGACGAAGCGGAATTGCTTGGAGAGATTCCAGTATAATCTGCGGGTTTGGATTTTGAAGACTGTGGCGTTGGAGCCGCCGCCGTGGAGGCATAGGATTGCAGGGAGGGGGGCGCCTGTGCTGTCGTGCGTGGGTTGGGACGTCATATTACCGGTGTGGTGAGGATGGTGATCATGCGTCTGGGTGGATGAGAAGGTAGTTGACTTTGTTCTTGCCTGTCTTTGAGGTCCGGGGTGTGTGATCAGTGTACCTTGAGAGTCTGATGCTCGGCTTGAGACGAGATATTGTCCAGATAGCTGGTTGAGTGAGGCTGATGTTGTGTGAAAGTGGTGAATTTTTTTGAAGGGCTGCGAGCTCAAGAATATTGCTTTGTTCTCTAAAAGAAGTACTGGTCTTTTGCGTAATACACGGACGAGTGAAGAAAGAACGAACAGTGAGATCCATCAAATAGGTGGAATATGAGAAGCCTTACGATGTGTCATTGTGGTTGTTCGAGGTACGGCCGCCAACGGACAAGGCTGTGGGAGGTTTAATTTGGGCCTACAAGGCTGTGACTTCGCCGAGGAGCACGCCTAAGTAATTTAGGCTTGACACCTAGGATACAGCATAGGCGATATCGGTAGCATGCTAAAAATAGGCAATTTCCTTTTCTTCCAATCTTTTGTTCTTGGAGTCTATCATCGCAGATACTATGGTACTGCTTCTCACGCTCGGCTGATGCAACAGTCCTTCACACCAGAAAGGTTCCACTGTTCGAATGAACAACAATCCCCGTAGCATTCAAGTCTTTCAGGCAGTAAAGGTATGCTTCCGCCAAATCTTCAGGTTGTCCAACTTTGCCGGTGGGAATCTTGGTCTCATGCTCTGCAAAGAATGCCTTTTTACTCTCCTCACCCATTCCTTGCCATAGGTCAGTCTCAATAACCCCAGGTGCCACTGCGTTGACCCGGATCGGAGCAAGGTCAAAAGCCAGCTGTCTTGCCAGTCCATTCAAGCCTGCACCAATGAGTGCCAGCATCGACCATCCGCCAGCAATAGGCTTTTCCGAGATCGACCCGCCGGTCAGTGTGATGGAAGAGTGGCGATCTTTCTTCATACCTGATGCCAATCTTGGCCACGAGGATGCTGGCAATTGTTCGAACTTGATTGCACTTTTGCCATTTCTCGAGTGTGATTTCCTCCAGCGGTATCATGGGCAGCCGGTCGCCAGCCATGCAGACGATGTGGTCGATCTCGCCGATATTGTTGAAGAGCTCTTCGATGTTTGCTTCGACGTCGGGGCTCGCAAGGTCGCATGCATGACCAGAAACCCGGTCTTTAGCTTCGGGATAGTCTTTGACGAGAGCAGCACAGACGTCCTTTACCTTGTGTTCGCGAGATGAGGAGATAATGACGGTTGCGCCGTGCTCAATCGTGGCTTGAGCAACACTGACACCGACACCGCCTGTTCCACCGACCAACAGAACGCGTTGTCCGACGAGCTTGCTGGTGAATCGAGAAGGGGTCATCGTGGCAGGCTGTGTCTTATTCAGCGAGTATGCCGAAGAGTCAGTGTGCGTTTACTTGTGCGGTGGCTGCGTTATCGCTTGTTCGGTGCTAGTGAGCAAGAGCTACTAGGTAGCTGGGCATTTGTGCCTTTCGATGTTGAGAACTTTCGACCCCTTTCACCTCCAAGCCCGCCCAAAACGCTAACTCCGGAAGCCACGATCGGAATAAGTCCATGGTGAAGGCCAGGCCATCCCATGCTGTCCGTCTCATCGTCCACTTGAGCAGGTTGAGGGCACTCCCATGATGCAAGGCTGGACCAAACGCGATTTCCTAATCAGGATGTTGCGCTGCAGGAAATGTACGTCATTCAGCATGTACCCCTGCTGCTTTGAAATATCATCGTTCTTTTCTCTCTCCAACTTCCATCTTTGCTTCTCTGGCGCTGTCATATCCAGACTTTCTTCACAGAGGCCGCAAAAGCCGACTTGTCGGGGACATTAAAACCGACAACCTTTGACCATAATTGGATCAGTCGTGGTTCTATTGTTGTGGCTTACTGGTGCAGGCTACAGTTCGTGTAGCTCTCAGCCTGAACATTCCGGGCCCAAGCCGAATCGGTAAGTTATAGCCTTGTGCACCTCAATTCTCCTTTCAGCTGGGAGGCGGTACAGTTCCTCAAAGGATTGCAAGCTCCAGGTTTGACATCTGTTCTTCCTATCTTGTCGGTGAAGCGACTGCCTGGTGAGAATTGCACTTTTGATATGTGGGTATCCTAAACTGAGCAGCGAATGGGTATGGCTTTCAAGATGAAGACCAAGGGGTGTCCCATACTCTACTCAGTCATGTCCAGTCTCCATGTCCCACACATCTTTCTGTCAATTGCCTTACTGAGTCGTGATCGTTGATATCCTCGGTGCATTTGAGCAGGCGATATCTCCGTTGAATGCTGGACTTATGCCATGACCCGATATATAATGCCCTTTGTTTTCTTTTTGCCGTCAGGAGGGAGGAATGATCATCGCAAAATTCATGTCCCAACCATTGGTCTTTCTTACAGATGTATCAGGTCCCATTGGCTTTGCAGCTCTTGCCGCTCTGCTGAAACGGGGTCACCCAGTACGCGTTACAAGTTGCGACCGGGAAACGAACCGACAAATCAAAGATCAACCTGCGATTAGGCCACACGCAAAGTCGCTTTCGTTCATCAAGATTAATGACTTCCTCGTCGCAGAGGCCTTTGAAACGGCCCTCAAAGGTGTATTCCATGTCATCCATGTCGCCTCACCAACACGGGATGATCCAGTCTCGGTGACAATGTTCGGTACCCAGAAGGTATCTGCCGATTCCGCCAGTCAAGCCACATTGGCTATGCTCAGAGCAGCCAGGAGATCTTCTTCAGTCCACCGGGTGATCATCACGTCCTCGATCGAACTCCTGCAGCACCCGACCCCATCTTCGAAGCCACATGAAGTCGTGCCGAACGTATGGGCTGCATATCGGATATTGAAGACCATTGATTGTGCCGCGAAAGGATCTAAGCCGGCACAGCAGTCATATTTGCACGTTGCCCATATCGTGCCGTCATGCGCCTCAACATGCATCGACGAGTCTGCCTCGTATTCCAAGCCCCAAATCGGCGGAAAGGAGCGGCCTCCGATAGCCTCGGAGGCCCCGATCAGCAGGAATCAAACACGACCTCCTCAATGGGTACGCTGTGACACCGTCGTTGCCGCATTGGTGGCGGGTTTGGAAACTGGCGACGCAACCAGCAGGGAGGGCTTCGATGCCTCGTATCCTCCCGCGGTACAATGGTCTGAGGTAGAACAGGTAATGAAGCAAGTGTTTCCTTAGCAAGGAGGACACTGACATACGGCTTCTTTTGTTGAAGAGCAGCGCGGGTGGCCGACCGCTGGGAGCTTGACGCAGATGTTCATCGGATCAGGTGATAACGGACGATGGCTAGGAAGTCAACCTTGGACTGGCAGCATATCGACTTGTTGCAACTTACGAAAGCATTGCGGAAATTGCGATGTATTTGGAAGCATCGTCGATAGGCGGAGCATCTCAGCCGCAGGTAGAGATGGTTCTTGATCATGTGTTCATTGATGTCGTATCGAGTGTGGGAAGCCCATTTTCGAACGTCAGACCATGTTTGCAGAGCTGGTACTCGATAGTCGACGCGCGTGTGAAGGGTAATTCTGGTGCACCTTCAATCATGCAATGTCTGCCTTGAAGACGAGGGCAACACCGTCATCACCAGCTGTAACTATCCTATTATCACCACCGCCTTGCACAAAGCCTAACACACCTCCGCCTTCTCCTTCACCTCGGTGTCCTCTCCACTCTTGTATGAAGCCTTGTCCCGCAGCCGTCGTTCCACCACGGGCATCCCATCGTCTTACCACGCCGTCCATGCCAGCAGTCGTCAAGATCCATCCGCCGCGCTCGCGGTTGCGTACAAAATCGACCTTCACCACCGCGTACTCTTCATGGGCCTCCTTTATATGCCGTCGGACAGCAAAGCGGTGGGCCGTATCGAACAGCGCTATTGAGCCGTCAACGCTGCCGGCAGCCAGGAGACTGAGAGGAGGGGAGGAGAAGGACAGGGTCTCGACACCATCGCTCTGCGCCTGCAATGACGCAAGGATCTGGCCTGCTGATGCAGATGTGGAGGCAGATTGACCACCTGCACTTCTGCCGCCCTTGGCGTTCTTCTTTGTTTGGTCTGATGGTTGTGGCAGGCCGACGACCTTGATGTTTCCGCCTGCGCCACCCACCGCGACCAGTGACGGTGTGCATGCCACGCTGTACAGGCCACCTTCGACCTCGAAGCGTTGGTCCGCGGCTGTCTGCGAGACAACGGCCTGACCTGTCGAGAAGACGTCCCACACGTAAAGACTGCCGTCCTCGGAAACAGTGGCCAATAGGTTGCCGTCGGGAGTCCATGCGCCGGCCGTACAGGATGCGGTGTGTAGGTAGAATGCTTGCACGATCGTCAGGGGCGATTCCTTGTCCGTGGCGTTGATCTGGTATATCCATACGGAGCCGTCATTAGCGCCTAGCGCGACAACGTTCTCGTGCGAAGGGTTCGGCGAGGCGGCAACCCAATTGATCTCTTCGACCTCGGAGACTGCGGCTATGAATGTCCAGCTCTTAGCTGATGAGTCTTTACTTTGCCAGGCTCGCAGCTGGCCGTCTAGGCCCGCTGTTACAACGTAGTCTCCGCGAGGGTAGGTGAATGTCACGGCGTTGACGGAGTCTTTGTGGCCGTCGAGCTTTTGGAGTGGAGGGAGGCTCTGGCGTTCTGACCCAGGTGTGTGAGCGGGAGTGGAAAGGTTGGCCGTGGATGCGTCGAAGATATACGCTGCATCATCTCCGCCGCCGGTTATTATGATGGAGGGTCGTGCTGGGTGTTGGGCTATGCAGAAGATGCTGTCGGTGTGTGCGTCGAAGTGGGCAGCAGAGTCATTTTGTAGCTGTATCTCCTCGCCTTCAATGTCGACGTCTTCATCGTCTTCATCCATTGGGTGGTCCGGGTCTTCTCCAATTTCTTCGGCGGCATCGTCTTCTGCGAGGAGGTCCTCATCCTCGACGTCGTCCGGGGGAGGGTTTTGAGGAGGATTGGAGGTCGACATGATTGTGGTTGCTCGATATGAACGGTGTTAATGGATGTAGGAGTTTTAGGAGGCCAGGAAGGAGAAACAAGAACGCAATATTTGATATAAAGACTGCCGGCACGCTCTCGGTGTTGAACGGCTTTGAAATTATGGCTTAGAAATTATTTTGATTGCCCGCAGAAGCAGACAGGCATTGCATCATAGTCCAGGCCAAAGAATGATGTTCAGCCTTGCGCCCATCGGCCCCTCAGCCTTGTCACGAGTAGCCGTTAGCTGACCTGACAAGAGAGGCCACACAACATGAGCCATATGACTTTCACCTATCCGGCTTACGGAATTCTTCAAAAGCTTCTAGAAGAGCACACAGCAAGAATGATCGATCTCCGGGTTGCTAGATGGCCAAGGGCTGTGTGACATTGATCCGACGGAAATGCAGCAGAAGTATCAATCACCCTAGTCATAAGAGTTGGGCACCCACGCTCAATGCTCTCGTTGAATTTTCTTGATCGGACACTGTGAACGTTCCAAGTGCAAATAATCAGGGATTTGGGAATGACTGGAGTGGAAAAAGAAGATATTCAAAGATCGTGACCTTGGGCCGTAAAAGTCCCATGTCAATGGCAGCCAGTGAGAGATGGTCGTGGTCCAGAGAGCCCGAGGAGCCTTCGTTTTACCCCCCAATTGAAGAATTGTTGCCTCCACTAGACCCAGGGCCTCTTTAGCCGCTCTCGATGCCCGCCAACCATTCCATCCAACCCATACTGCTGCAACCCCATCGCTGGCACATCTTCGTCCACTCACCCGTTTGTCGTCTCAGCCTGATCAGGGTTGTGTGAGAATTCGAGTACATTTTGTCACAGCCCTGGGTCATCATCGACCGTCCTTGTAAAGCCCTACTACCGCACTACTCGGGTGATCTCCAGAAATTCCCCTATACCTGTCGAGACCAGACTATCCAAGATTTGTCGATTCGCTACGACCACCAGTCGCCTCAGCGGTGACTTTTCACTGTTATCGTGGTATCCTCAATCGTCAAAGTGTAGCGCGGACCAGGCATCAGAAGTCAACCCGTGAAACCGTGCACAGCAGCCATCAACCTCTGCTTGTCCAGACCTCACTTGTCCCGACTATTCCCCCGCAGACACCGCACGCATGCTTTCACAGCTCGATCAATTCCGGCGGCTTATACCACTTTATTGAGCACCAATCCTGCCACAGCTCCACCGCCTCCGTGTCTCACGATTGACAATTTGCTTCACGGATTACGTGTAACCGAGTTTGTTTCCGCAGACGGGCCGGACAATGGCTTCAGGCCAGGAGAATGGGTGAGTGTTCATGATATCCCTCATCCTGCATTGAAATCACATGCGTACCGATCTCAAACCCTGTTTGCATGGCGCTGACCTCGACAAGTTTCTACGCTGGTCAGTTCATGAACCCGGGTCCTGCACCTCGTCCTCCGACAGATAGACCTCGACACCTGGACTTGGGACGCTCGGCCACCTCTATCCCTACCACGAGCTTCGAATCCATGTCTATTAATGGCCCTAATTCGCCGTCCGTCGCCACACCCAGTGCCCCTTTCTTCTCTAATGGAAGCTCTCTGTCGCTCGCAGGAAGTGGAAAGACTTCAGGACCGGTGACAATAATAAAAGAAGGACATGTGCGTTGCAAAGAGGACAAATTCCTGGCACAATGGAACCAAAGATACCTCATCCTTCGAGAGTTCAGGTTGGACTTTTTGAAGAGCGAGAATGGGAAGCTGATGCAGTCTATTCAGTTGAATACAGTGACTGGGGTGACGCGCTCGGAGGATACCCGTATGGCGTTCGAGATCATTCGGATTGCCAATCCCAAAGACGCGACCGGCAAAGTCATCATGGCCCGAGACCTGCCTACGAGGACGATCACTTGTGAGGTTCGGAACGATGACGAAATCTACGACTGGATCGATAAGATCTACGAGCGTTGTCCTGGGATGGGAGGTGTCAGTAACCCGACCAATTTCAGTCACCGCATCCATGTTGGCTTTGATCCCCAAACAGGTGGCTTTGTCGGGTTACCTCAAGAGTGGGAAAAGCTGCTGAACAATTCTGCAATTACGAGAGATGACTACAAGAAGAATCCCCAGGCCGTCATTGAGGTGCTGCAGTTTGTTTCGGATCAAAAGATGCGGGAGCAGCATCCTGAGATGTATACCCCTGGCATGGTTACACCTGCTGCAACTGAACCCAACAAACAGCTTGGGTATCCTGCTACCGGAACCACTGTAGCTCCTCCAAGGCCTGCACCTCCTACTGATGCACAACGATACAACGCTAACCAGTTCATGAACAAATACCCCGAAGGTCCAGCACGAGCCGCAACTCCTCCCAGTAAACCGCTGCTACAACGGTCCCAAACCGACAAAGGGTCGTATGATATGGAAGCCGATGCTGCACGTATCAAGGAAATTGCCAACCAAGAGCAAAAGCGTCTTCAGATGGAAGCAGAGCAGAAGCGCGTACGGGAACTAGAAAAGCGACGAGAGCAGGAGCGAGAGGAAGCCGAGAGAAACCGTCGAGAACAAGATTCTTACAACGCATCGCTACCCAAGGCCCGTCCACCAATGGCACAAACAGAGCTCGGAGGCTTTGGACCCAACAGACAGGATCCTAGGTTCAATCCCGCCAGAGCTGCTCCCAGTGCTCCTCAGCAATCCGCTTCAGGACTCCCGAGACCGCAACAGCAGCAACAACAGCCAGTTGCACATAGACCGGCCCCTTCCGCTCCCTCTACGAGCGCTTCCCAGAAAACGATTCCCCAGTCTGCTTCTGCCGGTCAAGCCTCCCTACGATCGCCTGACAGCCGAGACCGGGAGCGACAGCCTTCGCCAAATGCACGGTACCAGGCAGACACGCCCAGTAAGAATGGTGCAGCCAAACAACAAGCTAATGGAGCCAATGGCCAATCTCCAAGCCGATCACAAGGTTCTGTGCAGCAGCCAAAACCCTTGAACGTTGCCAAACAACCACCAGTCAAGGCCCCGGTAGATGCTCGAAAAGAAGCCGAAATTGCACTCACCGCGAAGAAGCCTGTGGAAGAGCGGGCAAAAGAGGTTAGAATGTCAAGCATGAGCGAGAGCGAGGTCATGGCCAAGCTCAAGCAGGTGGTCTCCAAAGATAACCCCAACGAGTCATACAGCAAGCAGAAGAAAATCGGTCAAGGAGCTTCTGGCTCAGTCTACGTCGCGAGAGTAAGAGAAAGTGCTACCTCCGCTGTTGCACGAGAGATCTACCGGACTCATGGCCCCAAAGGTCAAGTTGCCATTAAGCAGATGGATCTCCGAAACCAGCCGCGCAAGGAGTTGATCGTCAACGAGATTATTGTCATGAAGGACTCGAAACATCCCAACATCGTCAATTTCCTCGACTCGTTCCTGCAAGAACAAAACAACGAACTGTGGGTGGTCATGGAATTTATGGAGGGAGGTGCTCTCACCGACATCATCGACAACAACCCTGTCATCACAGAAGATCAGATCGCCACCATTTGCTTCGAAACCTGCAAAGGTCTTGCCCATTTACACTCTCAAGACATTATTCACCGAGACATCAAGAGTGACAACGTGTTACTCGACCGTGTCGGTAACGTCAAGATCAGTAAGTTTGACTCTTTCGTATGTTGTAGTGCTTGCTAACATCTGTCCCCAGCCGACTTCGGATTCTGTGCCAAGCTCACCGAATCCAAAAGCAAGCGAGCAACAATGGTTGGAACGCCGTACTGGATGGCCCCGGAGGTGGTCAAACAGAAAGAGTACGGTCCCAAAGTCGACATCTGGTCTTTAGGTATCATGGCCATTGAAATGATCGAGTCAGAACCTCCCTATCTCAACGAAGAGCCTTTGAAAGCGCTTTTCCTGATTGCCACGAACGGCACACCGCGCCTGAAGAATCCCAACAAGTTGTCGCGTGAACTCAAGGCGTTTTTGAGCGTCTGTCTCTGTGTGGATGTTAGAAGCCGAGCCAGTGCAGATGAATTGTTACGAAACGACTTTATGCGTATGGGCTGCAGTCTGCCCAGTCTGAGCGAGTTGCTGAAATGGCGGGAAAAGGGGCGACAATGATTTGTTAATGGGAATCATTGAATTATTGAGACCTCTTTTGCCTTTGCAAGGGTTCGGGCGCGGCTTTGTTTATGGATGGACACATTGGGGCGCAGGAGGTGGGCGTCACGATGGGCAAAGAGTCAGCGATTTGTTGATGAAATCACCAGTGGACTGGACGCACTCTTGTGATTGCATTACGTTGAGTTGTTGGCTCCAGGTATTGACAGTCATGAGGTTGGATATCTGTGGATGCTTGGATCTGGAATCGAACTACTGTATACGGAGCTGCAAGATTCGAAAGAGCATGAATACTGTCGGCCAGTCAGGGACGTTTTGCCGCTGTGTAGCTGGACTTGCATGCATATCGTCATGTAAAGAGCTACAGCATGCATGGGATGCCTCTTTCTCGCTGTGGCACGACGGGAGCGACGTGGAGACCAATGTCACTGGCTTTTTGGTGCTATCTTCCCCGGGCGACATAGGGGAACTTGCACGTTGTGATATGGCTAGGGCTATGAATTGTAACGCGTCAGATGAAAAGAGCAAGGAAAATGATGATAGACATGCCTTCTAGCTTGAGGTAACGATGAATGAAATGATGGAGAAGGAAAAGTCTTCAACTTTTTATTCTGCTAAACAGTAGACTGAGTCTGCTTGCGTGCATGCTCGTTTCCTGGTAGCTATTGACCGCCCACAATATTGCCGACGGCTCCTGTCAATTGCGAGAAGAATATGCCCTTGAGCACGTTCTCGCCTTGAGCCTCAGCCCAGTGGCCCGCGTCGATGAGCTTTTGCTTCCAGCTCTTCTGGTCAGTCTCGCTGAGCTCCTCCCACTTCTTGATTGTTTCTCTCTGGATCAGATCCGCATCGGCTGCGACTTCTGCGGACAACTCGCCAAGGTTGGCCTCGCGGACGATGATGGCCTTTGGCGTTTCGAGCTGCGAGTTCCTCTGGATGAGGTCGTGCAGTAAGTACTGCTTCAGATCGGACGCGGCATTGGCGATGCCGCTTGGGATTTCTACGATAGCCTCCTTGACTTTTTCGGCGGCGCTGTGTGCGGCGACCGGGATGTCTGAGTAGGCTACTGAGGAGATGTTTTCGCCAAACATCCAGGGACGGGCGACGAGGTTGCGCATGCTTGGTGTCAGCCAGTTTGGTGCGCCGAGCATGGGTGGGACGACGCCCCGGATCTCGCAGAAGGCCTGCATCAGGAACGCGACGATGCTGACAACGACAAGGGCCACGAAGACGCTGAATGTGGTCTGCATCGCCTCGGAGCGGCCTGGCGGAGTGAGGACATAGCGGGGATTCTTGCTACTGGATGGGTAGGGGCGCAGAGGGAGATAGTGGACCAGAACATTCATGTCGACGCCTACGGAGGCCAGGCGGATGGATTGTGCTGGCAGTTCTTTAGTGACTGGGAGGGTTGGGCCGATGAAGTTCGAAAAGACTATGCGCGTGAGTGGGCCGCTGTGGACGTTACGTAGCAGTGTGTAGGGTCGAAATGTGCCCACGCCGGCGTCCGAGTAGTCGATCGTCAGAAGCTCGATGGAGCTGGCGTCGCCAGACTGACCTGCCACTGCGACGATGACTTGGTATTCGTTGAGACTTGAACGGGTGAGTTGGCAGACGTCTAGGCCCACAGCGGCTTTGGTAGAACTGTGCAGGCGCTTGCGTAGAGAGATGCGCGACTGAGAAAGGTCGTTGGTGATTCGGAGGATGAGCAAATCGGCTCCGGTCCTGCCTGGCCGATTTTGCAGGAGCAATAGGTACCTAGGACTCAGGAAGCGCACAGCACGGAACTTGGGCCGCTTCGAGGGTGGTAGGGACGTGGTTGACTCGGTTGTCCGGTACAAGGACATGGGACTAGCAGGTCTGAAGGAGGCTGGTATTTGTTGGATGAAGACTTCGTCGTCTGTGCAATAGGCCAGGACGTGGCCTTCTTTCTCGCCGACGTTCACGTTGAGATCTAGGTCTGCTGCTTCGCGTTTTCCGAGATCGATGCGCGAAATCTCGTCTTTCTGCGTGGGTGTAGGCGTTGGTTGGAAGACGATAATCTCGTTCTCGGGAGCAAGGCCAGAAGCAATTGCTGCAATGCGAGACTGCCCTAGTGTTTTGACTGGCGAAAAGCGCAACACTCTCTGGTATGTCTCATTCTTGGTGCCTCTCGCTGATTTGAAGAGTGCTGTACGTCCGAGTGCTTGTGAGCTTTGTGGCTGGCTTGTTGGCTTTTCTGCTCCATTCACGGTCGTCCCGTCCGCTTTCCTTTTCTTCGCGGGAAGAGGGATGCGAAAAGACCTTAGATGTTCATTCTTACCTGCATCCTGAGCGGCGACAGAACTGTTGATGCCGGCGAACGCGGTCAGACAAGATGCTAAAGAGTCGGAGACCGCAAGACTTGTCACAGAGTCTTCCCCTTTAACGAGCTCGACATCGACAACTTCTGTCAACTGGTCGCGACGAGAGGTGTCTATCAAGGAGATCTTGTTGGGAACACCGGTAGATGATGATCCTCCTCCTCCGCCGACCAGCAGAAAGTCAGGGTTGTAAGGGTCGAAGTCCGCGGCGTAAAGAGGGTAGGACAGTTTTGACTGCGCAGAGGACACGTTTGGCGCCATTAGGACGACCGTTGTGGGACGTGGATATGTTGGGTGTCAACTTCAAGCGAGACTCAGAAGCTGGTATGGCTGAGGATCTAAAGAGTGTAGGACATTCTTTTTATAGGAAAATCGTGCTTGAGAAAACCAGGTGAGGACCACAGTGGTAAAGAGGGAGCCAGACAAATGAATCAAATCGAAGTCGGCCAACCAAACAGACGTCAGTATCAACAAATGGACAGCGAGACACCTTTTCTTATCGATAAGGCTTCGGCCGGCTGAACTTCGGTATCTATGCATCCTTTTGACATCGATGCCCCAAAAAATTCCTCGACACCAAAACCATGAAGCTAGAAGGAGGCCGGCATGTACCTGTAGTTCCAAGGGCAGCACACTTGCATAGTCCGCACGGGTCGTAGAAAAAACAGTCGGCCATGCAGAATGACAGCTCCCTTCGAGCGATCACGAATCGCCTGAACGTCACACCTGTCGACGATCTGCCTCGCGTTGCTGATTTTCTCGCGGCTCAATTAGCAAATTGTCGTCTCGAACTTCTTTTCGCAGACACAAAAGCACGCGACAACTCTGTGACTGCTCACAAGCTCAAAACTCGGATCAGTTCCTTGCTTCAAGAAAGGTCTCCTGCCGGACGCTATACTGCTGTCGTCTTGATCAAAGCGGTCGTCGACCATGGTGGTATCAATGGACTTCGCGCCTCTGAGGGCTGGGCTAGAGGCTTGCTCAATTGTCTGAATAAGCCCGATCCAGTTGCACTCAAGGCACTTTACCTTGTCACCCTGACACGCATCTTCTGCCTCGCGCAGGACGATCCGACTCTATTGAGGGAAGTAGCAACACCCCTGCTTCCGAGCTTTATCAAGACCTGCCTGGGTCTTCTCAAACCCATCGACGTCCATAACGGTGGCACAGAAAGCAAGTCTGTACCTAGTCCTTTGCTGCACCCGGTGTTGAAATGCTGGAATCAATTACTGCCTCGACAGGCTTCCATCTTTCGGCCGTCCCTCGATCAGATCCAAATGTTCTGTCTGGAATTGATAGGTGGCGGCGACACCTCCGTGCAAAGCCGAGATCTGGCTTCAGAACTGCTTTGCCTACTACTATCGTCAACACCCAAAAACACGTTCACACAGGAATGGACACGGATGGCCAGCAACATTATTGAGTCCGCTCATGTAACTGCTAGTCAACTTTTCCGAGCGGTGATCGAGGAACATGAACCAAATAATCCAGCTTTTCAGACTATTCCTTGGAAAGAAAACTTCTCAAAAGAGCCGAAATCGTCTGAGCATGGCAAGTTTGGTTTCAGATCCTGGAAGGGCATCTACGAGGGCAGCAATAGACTGATGGCGTTGCTATCTTGGCTTTCACACCTGGTTTCAACTCCCACCCCATTGCCAGTGGCTGCACCAATCGGTGCCCTGCTGGACCTCACGGCGAGACTCACGGTTGTGACTGTGCCAGACTTTAAGGGCGACGCAGGGAACTCTCTTCGACTCCATAAAGAGGCTAGTAGAGAAGAAAAGGAAGAGTTATGGCTGAATCTGCCAAAGATTCATATGGCATGTCTGCATGTTCTCCATGCTACATGGTCTGCTTACCGGCAAGCTCTTGTTCCCGTGCAGCGGACTATCGCCATCCAGATTTTGGATCTGTTCGACAACATGTGCTGGCACAACGGTGTTCGATACGAGGCATACAGACTCTGCACCACTCTTCTGGCGGATGTTGATGTCCTGAATCTGGAGTTGAGACCAGCTGTTTTATCGAGACTCATTGAGCATTGTTGCAATGACCTGAAAGCAGAGTTTGCGGAGGAGAAAATCAACGCATCTAGCACTGGCACACAAATCGACCTGAAGGCCAAAACGACACAAGGCAACCATGCACAAATATCTAGTACGAATGCATCTGTGATGCGCCGCTCAGAGACGTGCCGTGCAGCATGGAAGCTACTGCCGGAGCTCCTGAAAGAGTTTCCAGCTTCTTCGACACCTCGTCAATTGAGGATTGAGATGGAACGCGTGGCAGTCTTGCTTGATCATGAGGACGCTATGTTGGCCAGCGTCATCAACCCAGTCATCTCGAAAGAGAACAAATCAACAGCCAGTCTATTACCTTTCTTAGCAAGGTCTAACACCGAAAGTTCGGCGATTGAAGCGTTGCTCAGGCCCAGGATGCCTGTCGTCCACGGAACAAACGTTGCTTCTTCGGAGAAGCCAGATGATCACGTTTCTTCGGATGCTGATGAGGAAGAAGACGTCCAAAATCATGGTGACGAGAGTGTGCCTTCACCAGAAACCTCCTTCAACGAGGTGGCAGACGGTGATAGCCTCGAGGTCCTTCCGAAAGAAAACAATCTCTTGAAAAGTATGATGAGTGATCAGATGCTGCAAATTTCCGGATTGCAGAAACGACCATTTGAGAATCTTGAAAGCGAGGCTAAGGAGAAGGCTTTCTCCGCAGATCAAGAGCCCGAGGAAAGAGAAACCAAACGGTCGAAACCAAGTGCAGATCCGTCAGACGTGGTCATGGGTCTCGAAGAGAGCCAGAATGAAGGTCAAATTCTCAGACCATCCGGGGGTGACGACGTGAACGCCATTTCGATGGCTGCTGATATCCCAAGCATGAAGGGGAAGGAGCCAGACCACAGTTCGATGTCATCGAGACCGCAGAATTTGCAAGCCGAGGACAGTGATAGCAGTGACTTCGAAATACCAGCGATCGATCCTGGTTTTGATACAGATGAGGTGCTGGAATAGCTATTTCAATTAGCTTGATGTCCTCTGCGGCTTCCAAGCTTCAAGCAGTCTACATCGCGTCATATAGGTACAAACAAAGAAAATCATGTCCTGGTGGACTAGTTGTCACAACCCTGGCAAGCCTCGTTTTTTCATTTCGCTAAATCTGTTTGCTTACCAAGTCACGTGAAACCGTGTTCTTACTGAATATCAGTCATAAACAAATTCACGCGTCAAGCTCTTTTTGAAACCTCGTCTCACTTTTCATCTCTGCATTTCCATATCTGCCTTGATTCCATCACTTACTCAAAGAACCTCTATCATAGAAGCAGAGCCTGCGGCTCGCAGAGGAATCCTAGATATCAAGTTCGCCACGTTCAACTGCCCCGTGTCATCTCTAAGCCATCTCCACCTCCACCATGACGCAGGGCAAAAGAAAAGCAGTGGAGACAATTGATCTTACTGGCGACGACGACCTCCCAGCATCTCATAGAGCAAAGGTTCCAAAATCGGCCCCATCATTCTCTTCCCAGAAGAACCGTGGACATCTTCCCACCCCACCATCATCCAGCCAACCAGGCTACGGTGGAAGCCAAAGTCACAACAACTATCCTTCTTTTTCCAGCTCGCAAACACACAGTCAGCAAGACCGAAACAGCTGGCTTTCCACCCAGGAACAAGAAGCTGACATCGCCCGAGAAATTGATCTGACTGAAGACTTTGATGACGACGTTTATGAAAACTATCGTCTTTATGGGATCTACGACACCAAGATCGTCGGCTGCAGATTCTACGATGGCCAAGCAACCGTGGGAGAGTACGTCAAGGTCCGCCGGGAACCAAGCAATCCGTACGACAGCAATGCTATCAGAATCGACAACGTCCTGCGTGATCAAATCGGACATCTTTCCAGACAGGTGGCTGCTAAGCTCGCTCCGCTAATCGATTCAGGCCAACTGCTCGTGGAAGGCGCCTTGACTGGGCCAAAGTCGTACTACGAATGTCCCATTGGGCTCAAAATATTTGGCACCAGTGATCCCGTTGCAGGCGCAGCGCTTGCTCAAAAGATGAAAGAACTGAGATTGCCGGTCAGAGAGTACAACCAGTCCAAGAAACAGCTACAAGAGTTGGAGAAAGAGAGAAAGGCCAGAGAGAAAGCTGCCGCTGCTATGGCTAAGAAAGGCAATGCTGTCATCGACAATGAAGGTTCCAATAGGTACAGCAACCTCAATAGCGCGTCCATGAGCAGCAGTCAGACGCAAGAGAGCTTGGACCAAGTTCTTACTGGGACGACTACTTTCAATCCCCGAGATGTTCAGGATGTTGTCAACAAAATAGGCGCAAGCGAAGAGGTGCTCGAGAAGCTGCCCGTAGCCGCGCAGCCCGGTGCGCTTGCGACAATCTTGCTGCCATATCAGAGACAAGGCCTGCAGTGGATGCTGGATCACGAGTCGCCTCAATTGCCGCAGAATAAGGATGATGTCGTCCAGTTGTGGAAAAAGGCAGGGAAACTCTATACCAACATCGCCACAAACTTCTCTTTCAGCAAGGCTCCAGAGCTTGCCAGTGGTGGCATCCTAGCTGATGATATGGGTCTAGGTAAGTCTTCCCACAACAGTCCCGTGCAAACGAAGATCATGCTAACAAAGATTGGCGGCAGGCAAAACTATTCAGGTCATTTCTCTCATCATGGCAGACCCGCACAAGGACGGACAGCCAACACTAATCGTCGCCCCGTTGAGCGTCATGAGCAACTGGAGCCAGCAGGCATCTCATCATGTCAAGGAAAAGTTCGCGCCACGAGTGTTGACATACCACGGCCAAGGAAACAAGGATCTGTCACCAGAGCAATTCAAGGAGTACGATATTGTGATCACCACCTATCAGACCATGACGCAGGAGCTGTTTGGCTTCGGCGGAGACAAAGCTAAGAAAATCCCTACTGCCAAAGGATTGTTTTCCATGACATGGCGCCGCGTTGTGCTGGACGAGGGACACCAGATTCGCAATCCCAAAGCCAAAATGTCTCAAGCTGCATGTACACTCATGGCGCAATCTCGATGGGTCCTTACCGGCACACCTATTGTCAACAACCTCAAGGACCTGTACTCGCATGTGAAGTTCCTGCGTCTGTCAGGAGGATTAGCAGAATTTGAAATCTTCAACTCCACCCTGATTCGACCGCTTAAAACCGGCAATGATGGGGCACGTTTGCTGCTACAGGCACTTATGTCGACTTTATGCCTTCGCCGCATGAAAGATATGAAGTTCATTGATCTCAAGCTTCCGGAGATCACATTCCACAAATACGCGGTCAAATTTCTGCCTCACGAGCAGGAGAGGTACGATGCTTTCAGAAGTGAGGCCAAAGGTCTGCTTGAAGCTGCCAAGGCCAAGAAGGGAGACACGAACATGACTCACTTGCTTGAGGTGCTGCTGAGATTGCGTCAGACTTGCAACCACTGGAAGATGTGTGGTGACGAACGTATCAAGAGGTTGCTGGAGCTTGTGGAAGGCAACGCCGTCGTTGATGTGGGGAACGCTGCCAACCGGAAAGCTTTGCAGGACTTGTTGCAGCTAGCAATCGACTCCCAGGAAGACTGCCCTGTCTGCCTCGACTCGCTCAAGAGCCCTGTCATCACTGGTTGTGCACATACTTTCTGTCGAGGATGCATCGAAAGAGTTATTGAAACTCAGCACAAGTGTCCGATGTGTCGAGCCGAGCTTCTTGACAAGGAGAAATTGGTCGAACCAGCCGCAGGCATCGGAGAGGGTGACGAGCCTGACCTCGACATTGACCCGGAGAACACAAGCAGCAAGATCGAGGCACTTATCAAGGTGCTCAAAGCGTCTGAGAAGGATCGCAATGTCAAGACTGTTGTGTTTTCGCAGTGGACTTCATTCTTGGATCTAGTACAGGCCCAGCTCGAACGCAATGGGCTAAATTTTACGCGGCTGGACGGTAAAATGAATTCCACCCGTCGTGACGCGGCGATCGATGCGCTCAACACGGACCCTTCGTGCAAAATCATGCTGGCGTCACTTTCGGTCTGCTCGGTCGGACTCAACTTAGTCGCTGCCAACCAGGTCATATTGGCCGACTCCTGGTGGGCACCGGCAATTGAGGACCAGGCCGTTGATCGCGTCCATCGACTCGGACAGACCAGAGACTGTAAGGTTGTGCGTCTGATCGTCGAAGGAACCATTGAAGATGAGGTCCTCGAGATCCAAGCCAAGAAGAGACAGCTGGCCAGTGAGGCGTTTGGAGAGAAGGACGGAGGAAAGAAGCGGAAAGAACAGCGTGCAGGCACCTTGAGAGATATCGAAAGAATGTTGGGATGAAGTTCACCGATGACTTTCTTGAAACTGTTTGTGCGGAGATACCCTGTTCCAACATGTGCTGATTCTAAGAGTGGCGCAAATCTTCTATTGTAAACAGCTTGGAAATAGAAGGAATTGGCTTTGTACAGACTAGACAATCGTTGTACTCAAACCCTCGATTGTCCATTTACACACATCTCAGCAACAAGGATACAGTAAGTTAGTCGCGCCGTCAATAAGGTAGAACTTCGGCGGCCGTGTGGAAGCCTATATCTTAGTGGCAAGCATTCAACCTATCCAACCTACCACACAGCGGCCTGACTGTGTGACTTTTACCCCGAGTTGACTTGGTATGTATCCATCGAAAATGTACCTAGGGGAGTTACAGTACTACACAGTAGTTACTGTAAATGTTGATTGATGGCTTACATCAATTAGTGTGTTGCTCGCTGAATCGCAGGAGAAACCAACTTCCAGTTGATGGAAACCAAGTCAGCCGCGGAACTATTCGTCCTATCACTGTCAACATCCCCAATACTGAGTTCATCAGCATTCCCGGTTCAACGAGCAATTGACGAGGATCGAGGATGGATCAGAGGGAACCGGTACTCACGAGTGGAGAGACATGGGAGCTGGATGATGGCTCCAATTGGTTCCTCAACCCAGTGGGCTCTTGACGGGAGAGGCTTGACGGAACTTTCCAAAGGACTGAGATCAAGAGGGGCATCTAAAGGCCGTCCTGTGTCGCGAGAACGGACCAGTTAGCGGAGTCTTGAGAGGACAAATCTTGGGGCATGAAAGGGTTCTTCGCTTATGTGGCAATGATTCCCGAGCTCGTTTCTATCAAAGAGATATATATGGCAATATGGCGTTCTTAGCCTGCCTTTGGACGCCTCTGTTGTCGTACGCCACCTCAATCCTGTCCGGGATTGAGAGGGACTGGTTCGGAAAAATCATTTCACTCACACTATCTGTTTACGGATTGCACATGGACCCGCAATGCAGATTGAACACTGGCGACGAAGAGGAGGACGTGGAGGACGAACATCCGGAAAGGACGTCGCCTGACTCAGCTGGCGACATGCATCGCCAAGGATCACAGTCGCCACCAGCTGTACAATCGAAAGACATAGACCTGCAGCTGCCCAAGGTCAAGGAGAAATCGCTCTATCCATGCTCGAAATGCGGCAAACCTTTCAGAGACCTAAAGTCACATATGGTGACCCATCAGGCTGACCGACCGCATAAATGCCCTTTATCGAGTTGCGAATTTCACCTACGAGGTTTCGCCCGCAAGTACGATCAGATTCGTCACACCATATGTCACTATCGAGGTTTCATGGTCTGCGAGTATTGCCCTGGCGCTCACTCACCGAACGAGATTAGCTTCCATAGAGTCGACGCCTTGAAACAACACCTCGTCCATGTACATCATGTCGAGCGGACGACGAAGAAGAACAAGAAGGTTCCAGCTTCAACTGTCTGCCCCAATGACCACCAAGTCATCGTCCATCACGGCGAAAGCATGATCATCAGCAGCACTAGCAGCGCTAGCAGTATTCCAAGGTGCTCTCTTTGTGGCTACATTTTCCAACAGCCTCAACACTGGTACAATCATCTCGACGACTGCATTCTGTCTACGATCCTACAAGATGTGCCCTCCAACCACATCAATACCTTACATCTGCTGTCCGTTGCCGACGATCCCCTGGTGGAAGAGACCCTGCACCTACATAAGATTAAGAGTGACCATGGATTGCACCCATTACGACCCACCATCCGCGACGAGGCGGGACCACGAACTCAAGGCAAGGAGCAGGGGGAGGGTAATATTGAACAGAATCACGCCGTCCACCGGGAGGTAGAAGAGGAGGAAGACGGAGAAGGAGAGGGCGAGGAGAAGACGGTGAGAGGAGCACGCATTCCCGGCGAAGGTAGAAGACGCCGCAGCCGCCGAAAGGATGGAGCCTACCCGCAGTACTGGGGGGTGTCACCGGAATATCTCAACCTGAAGAGACGAGCTCTCTATGTCCACGATGGACCCCATCGCATCTGGAAGGACGACCTCTTATTGTATACCTCTTTAGAGGTCCGTTTACCACTCAGTGGCCATACCGCTCATAACTACGTCACCGACTTGGATGTCCAGACCATCCACACCGCCGAGAGCATCTATCATGCTCACCGTTCTAGGACGACGACACCCCCTTGGAATTTCATGACGCCCTGATCATAAGGTTTCCTTGAAGATTGTGGCGGCCATGGTCTCTTCAGATTGGGCGGGAAAGAAACTCGATCCAAGTTCCTTGCGGCCTCTCATTGTTTGATCCTCGAAGAAAACATGTGCAGGAGAAGGCTCCAAGTAGAGAAAGCTGTCTCACTGTTGAAGGGGTTTTCTACCGGTCGCCTCGTCAAGAGCCATCATATGTGGAGCCTACGAAACTTCAACGAAAGTACCAAATTGGACTGAGCTGTATTGTGCTGATGAGCTCACTGACTAAGGAGAGGCTCTCTTCCTTCATTAGGACGGTGTGGCAATTCCACATTATCAGAGTACGCTACTATTTTGCAAACTAGTCAGCTAATCCCTGCTCAGCTGATCGCCTGCACTACCGTTGAAAGTGCCGGGAAGGGGCCGGATGACCCCTGGTGTAAGTGGGGCAAAAGAGCAGTCTACTGTGTGTATGGCGCAATCTACAGTCCCCCACCTGGAAACTTTCTATCTACTGTCAACGACCGAGGAGAGGATTTCCCTTTCATGGCGAGTGGCCCTTTACTATGAACCTAGGATTGATTCTGGCTGATCTGATGCCTCCACAGGAAACAAGACAAAAGGTTTTTGATGATGTATACCACAGTACACACAGATGCATCTAGAAAATGAGGAGTCCATTTTCATGGCTCTTTTTCTCCTTGCCACTGTGTCTCGATGAATGGTCGATCCGCTCGGCTTGACTCCTGCTTCGTATAGTTGCATTTCGGAGGATCTTGAGCCAGCACCGCGTGGCTCGATATAGCTGGCTCGCCGAACGATCCCTCCTAATTGCTCGGATCTCCTGCCTGATGTGGTCATCAGCAGAGGGTCGGACTGGTATTTGTCGGAGCGACATGCAAGTGAGCGGCTACGTTTTTGTGTTCCGTGCCTCCAGGAGTAAGACGATGTGAATGTCGAAGAATCTATAGTGGTTTCGAGCCCCGGTGGGTATGGTGAGAGAGGGTCCACGTAGTAGTATTCGGAGCAAACAGCCTCACTGAAACGATGGCGTTGTCGTCGATAAATATCATTCCTGTGTATTGAACTTTCTTGCCATGCGGATTGTGAATCTGCACATGCGCCTCTACCCTTGGCAGACCTGGTGCCAGTGGGGGCCTGTCGTCCACTTTCAGAGCGACGTTTCGGGAGATAGTTTGCTCCTGATGGTGCAGCCTTGAAAGGACGGAGCCATTGCACGGGAGAGAGCGCATTCGAAGGTGTTGCTGGTGGCAATGGACTCGACATACCGGAGTATGACGAAGAGGCCGACTGTGCAGGCAAGGGACTGCCAGCACTATGGTTGGAGTGCGGAGTTGAGTTGCTGGGAAGGTTCTCGCTCGCTTGCTGTCTTTGAGCAATGTGGGTAGCTTTGTCGCAAGGTGGGAGCGCCTCGCGTCGAAGTTCAGGCTGCAGGACTTCATAGTGGTGCCGGCCGTCACGTTTGGAGAGTACCGAGAAGCGAGTCTTTCCAAAGTCTGCAGGATCGGATGGTGGTAAATGGCTCGTCTTGGAGGTATTGCGCGGGTATATCCATGTCTCCTGTGCGTCATAGTCTGTGTGTTGAGAGCAGGAATCAACAGGGCCCCGACGAGCGAGCAGTTCTGGTGAGCGATGCTCATGCTCAGCCGTTACTGAATAGGTGGGACGAACAATGGCCTCTTGGTTTCGAATGTCGTCGTTGTTCGGGTTAACGCCCCACTTGGTCTCGGCACCCTCCTTTCCCAGTAAGCTGAATCCAGGTCGAAGTATACTCCTTCTGGTATGTTTGGCCATCTGAAGCGCAAGTGATGGTACAAAATGGACACGCCTCGTGGTACGTGTCTGATCTTCGGATGAGGCATTCGATTCATTCTCGCATGGTGTTGTAGTCGACCCTAGATTCCCCTGAGAAACATGACGATGTATACGACGCATTGTCACCCAAGCTTTATCGCCTCGGGTCGAACTATATAGTCACTGATCTCCCGGATCTTGTTAGCAGTTAGCTGTAGGAGATGAGCACTCTGGTTCTGTCAATCGATCGACTGAATTGGTAGCAAAGACAGGTCTGCAGTCAGAGAAGTCACTCCTTAGCGACAACCGGTGCTCGAGCAAAGATATATGCATGTCGGCTGTGCCAGTCAAACTCTTGACTTATGCGCTAAAACTGCCAAAATCAGGCCAAGCACAGATGATCTGCTGGAGAAGAACTGTCTGTAAACATTCCCGAGCGATAACGTGCATGCGGTCCCTTTGGCTTGCTATCGTGTGAGTTTGAGATTTGGGTTGAAGCGCATGGAGCAAACCGGGATTTGCCGATGAAAGGAAATTGGGATCACTATATATCTCACGAGTTTGGTATCTCGCCAGCAAACTTGAGTCTCGGAAACTGAAATCGTTGACAGTATGAGCGACGTAAACAAAGCCTCTTTGGTAAGGTCTTAGTGGCACTTACCGCTGGTGAGTTCGGGAACTTGGATTGTACTGGTTGGTGGCGTTGATGGTGCGTCTATCTGTGATGATGAGGCGCTGCCTCATGCTTGAAAGCCATCGTAGCATCTCCGCACCAAAAAAGGCGAAGACAAGACTCCCTGTGAGCTTGAGAGAGGAAATCGTGAACGATTCACTCTTACCCCTTCATACAGTTCTTCAACGCAACAGGAGCGTCTTTCGGGTGGAAACATCTGTCGATATCCCATTGAGATGAAGTTGGGGGCGAGAATGAGGGACACTTTCCAACTCTTGTTGTGACTCTCTTGGGAACCAGAACATGTGCGTCGATCGCTGCAACTGGCAAGTGTACATAGCCAGCTGAAGAGTGGAGTTGGTGGAGAGGAGCGGACGCCGCCTAAGGTGTATGTGCGCCGGGTGCCAATGTGACAAATAACGAACGGGGTGTTCAGGAGCCTCACTATGCCACCTGTGACTGACTCGTCTTTGCTTTTTTTCTGAGGGCCGGTAATTTGGATCGATTGACTGAGCGGCTTCCTGACAAACTTTTGGACGTAACAGCGAGGACATCAATATTGACATGAAGCTATAGTTGTCTTAACTATCCTCCATGTATTGCAATCGAGCGGACAGGGCTGGCGCGGCTGCTCTTCTCACCGAAGACGTTACGAAAGGGAAGTCAACGAGTCAGACGAGCTTCTTATGTTTGTTTCAGACACTCTCAAGGTGGTGCAAGTGCTCGGCCATGCACCAGCCGTTCGTACTAAGTCTGATATATGCTTGAACCCTGGGTGTCGTTCATGCCAGGACGTGCAGATTCTTGAAGTGTCGTCTTGACAAAAGGACTGATCGGCGTACAGAAGCACATCCCGGCCGGGGACATTTGATCCACCGACTAATGAATGGGAAGACTACCACCAAAACCTCAGGCGTAACACGAAAGATCTCCCTCGGCAGTTTGACAAGCTCCAACAAAGCTTCCGAGTAGTCGTAGAAAACTCTCTCACCGCCACGCATCAGCCACTGCCGAGACCGCATACACACCAATTCCGTTGTACGCCATCCGACCTGTCAAAGGGCCGAGCGTGCCACGACAAGCTTTTTGTTCCTGAAGCTCGAGCCAGCGATATCTTCACCCCTTAGTTGGTATAGGAAGACCCCGGAAGCACTCGAATAATCCAGTATATCTAGAAGACCCAACCTGCGAGGGACTACCATAAAATTGGAAGGGAGTGGTGTGATGTCTTGAGATACGTACTGGATCGGTGTTGTTTTGGTGGAGCATGTCAGTCATGGCGGCTCACGGTAACGACAAGCTTGTACTGTGTTAGGGGTAGCTAGCCGGCAGAAGGCTGGCAATTTGGCCGACCGAGAACCTTTCCGATGCCTAAAGTCGCTTAACGGCACGGAGAATGGAGCCCCAGTGGGAAAGTAAACCATGCCTTTTTCTTATCATCAACGCCACAATCTGATAGCTTGCGCTTAGAGGTCTCACAATTCATGTCACAACGTGTTTAGAATTCCATCTCTTGTCTGTTCACCGCCATGCTTCGATTCTGACAGATACAGTACGCCGCGACAGGGGACAAATGTCGCACAGCAATGGAAGAACTTATCTGCGGGGTGGTAGATCTTGTTGTTTCTGGGGACCAGATGACCTTGGATCTTGGGGGACATCAGGGCATTTCATCATCCTGTCATATGGCTGAAGACGTCACCCAGCATGAGAGGAGGTGTCGAAATCAAAGCCTAGGAAAGCTGTTTGGCTGGGTGACTGATTAAGTGGAAGGCTAGAGAGGCTGCGGGTGGATGCGGCGTGAAGCTTGCAGGCATTTGCACCTGCAAGAAACCACGGTGCGGGGAGGCCGCTGTACGGGCTCCGTCAATCAGATTTGCAGCTTCTTTTTTTCCCTTCGAGTTCGAGTCCGACTCTCCAAACATCACGCCCCAGGCATTCTTTGGGGTTCACTAGGCTTTGGATCAACTACACAGTTGGTGATCTTATTCTTTTTCGACTATCTGCATTCATTCATATACGTCCTCACCAGCCATACCCGCCCTTTGTCCTGTTGTTGGCCCTCAGATCCTCCTCTGCCAACATGGCGCCCATAAGTACAGCTGTCTTTGCGACGGTAAGCTATTGTATAGCTGCTTCCCCGCATACATCACTGACGCACGCGTACAGCTGCTCATGAACGATGCCTACCTACCAGGTATGCCATACATGGCAGGGAACTCGTCTACGCAGCTAACACACGCCCAGGTGCTATGGTACTGGGCCATTCGCTCAAAGACCGGAGCGCAAAAGCTCCTTTGGTAGCTTTCGTTGTCATCGACAGACTGGCCAACGACACTATCACTGAACTTCGAGTCCGCCTACCATTCCTGTTATTTTTGTCCTCGCTCTAACCCGCCCAGACGGTCTACGATGACATTGTGCCTATTCAGGCGATAACCAACAAGAACCCTGCCAATCTCTACCTCATGAACAGACCCGACCTAATATCCACCTTCACAAAGATCGAGCTATGGAGACAGACACAGTACAAGAGGATAATCTACATGGATGCAGATATGGTGGCTTTGAGAGCGCCTAACGAGCTGCTCAAGCTGGACACAGAATTCGCTGCTGTGCCTGATATCGGTTGGCCGGACTGCTTCAACACTGGTCTCATGGTCTTCTCGCCCAATATGGGGGACTACTACTCCTTACTTGCACTTGCGCAGCGCGGAATCAGCTTCGACGGAGCCGACCAGGGTCTACTGAACATGCACTTCCGCGAGTGGGAACGATTAAGTTTCGTCTACAACTGCACACCCAGTGGGAACTACCAGTACGTCCCAGCTTATCGACATTTTCAAAGCAGCATTGCTGTCGTCCATTTCATCGGCCAAGATAAGCCCTGGACGTTAGGTAGAGACAACAAGATGAACACCGGCGTCTATGGAGAGCTCCTGGGGCACTGGTGGTCAGTATACGACCGACATTATAGATCACAGGTGAGTTATACTCGGTCTACGTGAATCCCGACTGAGTGACTCAGGAAACCACGCATTATAATACTCGAACACAACAGTCATCAAAGAAGGTTCAAGATGGTCAACCTACAAACGTAGAGATGCCTTTGGGCGACAGTTCAACACCTGTAGGCCAGAATGACTTCACTCCTGTGTCGACAGTGGAACAAAGACGGTTCTCGGCTCCCCACATCGAATGGGATCCAACGAGGTAAGAGCTCGGGGTTAGCACGATGCCCGCTACTGACACTGTTGCAGAGCACCACCACCTACACATGCCAAACCTGAAGCGGCTAACTTCCCTACTCGAATCTATGACATGTCCAGCGATACTCAGCTCTTCCAACCACCAAGTCACTACCCTGAAGCACCCAAAGACATGTGGTATGAAGTACCACAAAAACCCGCCGAGCCTGAGAAACCCAAACCGATTTTCCCTTGGGAGGCCAGAGCGCCCAAACCTACCCGAGTATTTCCTAGAGCGAGGGCCCCCAGCCCACCTCCTGTAGAAGAGCCGATGTCTCAGGTCGAGAAAGATGAGCTTCCATCCTCTTCGGGAACTGATATCACAGATGCAAGCGAAGAGAGCGTAGCCACACCGAGCGACCCGTGGGCGTCATTCGAGCAAAGAGTAAATGCCTGGGACGACATGCCTGAGATCGAACGATACGTGCGGAACCTCAGTCTAGCCCAAACGAGAAAAGGCAATTTACAAGTCTTGCATCCAGCTCCTTCCCAAGACTCGAATGCTACGCCACCTACCAGAGACACTCGCCGAGCGAGTTTAAGACTGACCGATTTCCCCACCGAAGTTGAACGACCGAGCTTACCTGTAACTCCGGCCCCAATCCGGCGATCCACCATCTGGGGACAGGAGAGAGACGAAGAGTCACTTCCAGCAGCTGAGGGAGTACCAAAGCAAGAAGATTGGGTGCGTTTCTTCCCCTCCTATGCGCCTGCGTTTACTGCTTTGCCGTCCCTTTTACATGATTTGAGCGTTGTGCTTTTCTGGAGATGCCAATATTGTGGAAAACAGAATCCGGTTACGAAGCTCGAAGACCTTCAACGACGGCAAAGCGAAGCATTATTATCGCCCACGGGCAGTCGACAATTGGGTGATGCTCCAGAGCTTCCACAAAGAGAGATGCCAGACAGTAAGAGCAAGGAGGATGTGATGAAGAAGGCAGAACTTTCAATCTCGCCCTCAGAAGCACCGAAAAAGCCCAAACCGATATTAAAAGCGCCACATTTTGAGTTGGGGCAGGATGTGGACGAATCATCCAAGCACGCCCCCGGTCGAGCTGAAGAAGATCTTGACCCTACGGAGGCCGTGTCGCCTACGACAGTGAGAGAAGAGGGCGCTACAGAGAGCTGAAGACAATGAATGCTAATGGTAATGAATAATCAAGAGGGTCGAAAATGAAGTTCCTGGGTAGGTAGTACATGGTTGCCAGGATGTTATTGGATGCTTGATGAGACATCGTTCATGAAACATGTTGCCGATGGCTAGAATGCAACATTTGTTGACGACTATGGGTTGGAATGCAATGCCATTCCCCTTTGTAGCATATCGCATAGCAAGCGTCGAGGTTTCTGTGTTGCGGCATGTTTTTAAGTACCATGAGAAAGGGTTGGAATTTATTCCTGTGGTTGAGTGTTGCAATTTATGTCCCTCGAGATCACTGCTCTAAGTACTGGCCCATCACTATCTGTTATTCCGTGTAAGTGGCAGGATGACCAGAAGATTTATACCTGGTATCTTCTTCCTGCTCTCGATGTTACCTAGATGGCTCGCAGTGGATCACGACCTTTAACCCTGGTCCTTCTCAGCCTCGTCTTGGCATTGTCGTGCCACCTCTTCGATTCTCTCTATCTGAGGTTGACTTATGCCTCATCTCGCTCAACATGACCATAACAATCCTGTACTCTAACACTTCAGTCCGCCAATCTTGAATATGCTGATCGCCATTGATTCAGCCTTCGCGCGAAGTGTCGACCACTCCAAAGCAGCTTGATTGTCAGCCACGCCTTTAGAGGTGCAAGGGGTTTGGTATTGGCGGTGACGCTTGACGCCTCATCAATCCTGGATACCAATATCATCGAACCACCGCGGCTGTCGAAACAAGAAAAACAGTCACGATGGCGTACTCTTTCGTCACACTTACGTCCGCCGAAAAGGACGAACGCCGCCGTCAACTCAATCTTTCTGGAGAAATGGCCTGGGTCAGTCCCATCATCATTCTACTAGGTGTATACATACACCGCAAACTCCTGCGTCCTTTACTGAGTCAGACGCTCCCACCGCATTTGTTGGTCCAGTGGCGTCGAGTATCATGGGTCCTCGGCACAAAGACATCCATCGGCGGTACCGGCGACTTCGGTCCCCTGGGCGTTCAACTCTTTGGCGCGCTGTACCTTATATGGCTTCTCGTCCTGATCTTCCGGTCCACAGGGCAGGATTACATGCACCTTGCCAAAGCGTTTGGACATGTCGCTGTGTCGCAACTACCGTTGAATTATCTGCTCGGTATGAAATCTATGTGGTCTCCTGTGAGTCTTGCCACAGGGTTATCCCATGAAAGGTTGAACAGCTGGCATAGATTGTTCGGGCGAATTTTGTATGCGTTGGTGGGTGCGCATGTTCTCATGTATTTGAATTTCTTTGTCCAGCAAAATCTCCTGGCGAAGCGAATTGGGGATTGGGATGTTCTTTGGGGGGTTGTTGCGTTTGTGGCGTTCAGTCTCCTTTGGGTGTTGAGTTTGCCTGGGATACGGAGAAGGTGGTATCATTTTGTTTTCTATCGGAGTCATGTTGTTTTGAGTGCTGTTGTTGTGCTGGCTTTGTGGTGGCATGTGCCGTATACGAGAGTTTATGTTGGACTGGCGGGGTTGGTTTGGGGGGCTGGTGCGGTGGTGAGGAGATTTGGAGCTAGTGTTGTCGTCAACGCACAGTGTGAGGCGGTGGAGGGAACGGAGTTGGTGAATGTGTTGCTTGAGGTTCCGAGAGAGTCTGCCCTCGCAACTGGTGGCCCAGGGCAGCATTTGTATTTACATGCTGAGGGGTTTGGGCCGAGGACGCCATTTACGATTGCTGCGGTGGAGTACCAGAAGAAGGGTTTGGTGAGCGTGAGGCTTGTGGTTAGGAATGTGGGTGGACCGCAGACACGGTCGATTGCGGATATTGCTAAGAGTAGGGAGGTTAAGGAGCTCAGGGTTGAAGGACCGTATGGAGGGTCTGGGATGAGTTTGCCGGAAATGGTGCAGCGAAGGGAAAGTGGTCCTGTTTTGATGGTCGCTGGAGGTGTGGGAGCTACGTATATAATCCCGATTTATATTGCGTTGGTGGAGCAGCGGCGGTCTACAGCTGGGAAGGATGCGATGGTCAGAATGATCTGGGTGGTTAGGAGGTTTGCTGATGCTTCTTGGGGAATCGAGATGTTGAAAGGGATTGGTGCTGAATTGGAAGAGTGTGGTGTCGACGTATATGTCACCCGTGGGAGTGTTGGGTTTGATGTTGAGATGGAGGAGCAGAGGTCACCGGAGCTCACGAAACATGGTGTGTCGGTTCATAAATTGGGGAGGAGGCCCGATCTGGAGCCGATGATCGAGGGGTTCTTCCCTGTGAGTGCGGGTGGAAGCAGGGTGATGCCTAGTTCGGATCCGCGCTTGTATGCCCTAGGTGAAGCGAGGAGGAGGCAGATGGCTCTGGAGGAGGCGACCGTCTTTGTCTGTGGACCTGGGTCGCTGGCCAACGACGTGAGAGAGGTCGTTGGGCGGCAGGTCATGGAGGAGGGCAGGAAGGTGAAATTGATTGAAGAAGTGTTTGGATTCGGAGGCACCTAGATTTTATATGCTACGAAGTTGAAGGCTTGGTAATGGCAGACAAGAAAACGATAGAACTTGCACCGTAAGTGGCCTAGATCGGCGAGCGCACACGAGCTTGATATAGAGGAAACGATAGATATTCTAGAAATCGTTTTGATCTCTCACATCGTAGTGAAGCACTATCTAGAGATTATGGTATGTCACGGTGTCACCAGACAGTGCTCGAAAGCATGACATCTGTGGTGGGAAGATCAGTGATGTTCTCAGCACGCGCAAACAAGGGAACAGGAAGCATGAGGTCCAAACACAGAGGAAGTGAGCAAACGGATACATTGGACACCAGAAATATAGAAGGCCTCCAACTCTCTGAGCTCTCGACCTCTCGACATACTCTTTCGAAACCACCACTCAAAATCGATACATATCTAACCCAGCAAAACCCGCCCCAACGGTCTGCTTCGAGGTCGACCAAAGAGCACAAAGATCTATAGGCATCGACAACAGCATTCTTACGTCTTCCGCCTCTTTGAGACTCCATGACCGCACGGCCCACCATGATTTTGACCAGAGCACTTTCAGAGAGCGCGGGCGTTGATGCCAGTCAGTCAATTCGCAATGGCGTCTCTGATCGTGCACTCATCTTCTTCCTCGTGGCGGTGGGGTTCTTTTCTGTGTCACTGATTCGGAACTTGTACATCCGAATCGGCTGGCACCGGGACGGCGCAAGACAGATCGACAAGAAGGCCACCACAGCCATGGAGATGGACCGTTTGCCGACCAACGAAGTCAGTCAAGGAGAGAGCCAGCGGAAGTCGAGGGGTGCAGGTAGATGGCTGAGCGCTGCGATCAAAGCGGCTTGAAGTTGCCGGACGCTTCAAGAGCTGCAAGGGATGCCGGCATGAATTTCCAAGAGCCCTTCAGATTGTGCCTGCAGGAACTGACGATTTCCGGGACGGGATTGTTTGACGGGATATCCCAGTGATGGAGCTTACTGCGGTTTGTGAAGCATTGTGGTGACAGACTCGGAACTTGACATGACTGTCTCGATTGTGTGTCGAGTACGAGTGAAGTGCACGCCGATTCGATAGTCTCCAGGGGTATTAATATGAAGCCCAAGTCTTGCTGTGAGCTCTCAACATCGCAACAAATGACACCTCAACTATTGCCAGCACGAGTATCTCGATTTTGAACAGCAAGTGCGCAGAAGACCCGCAAGCACTGCTCTCGCAAGCTACCACATTCGGCACAGATCTGGGTCGGCATCTGTCCATCTAGCGCAACATGGTGTCCGCCGCAGCATGGGGAGCACCAGTTCTGGTGTTCATCATTGTCGTCACAGCATGTGTCTGCACCTACCTGTATCGAAGGGATCCTCAGCCTTTTCACAACAACATCAATCGATTCATCTTACGACGCAGAGCCAGAGAGCCAGCACATCGCGCAGAGGACTTGGGGAGCGCCAATGACGATTATGGTCCCCCTCAGGGAGACAACCGGGTGCACCGATAATTCATGTCGCAGTATCTGCCTGCAAAAGGGTAGACCAACGCCGGAAGGGCAACAAGGGCAATTGGCAAATTTCCAGTCTGTTTCGAAAGCTTCCCTCGAGGGACAAGTCGGCGAGTTTGGCTTTCACTGAGCAGCTCAAAGGCCCCCAATCAGGCAAATGGTTTGCTGTACACCCATCTCTGAAGTCAGCAGCGAGGTCAACATCGGATGGTTGGGTGCTGTTACACGGTATGCCTTCAGCACCGTCATCTTGCTTCGAGGCGACAGACAGATAGTGGAATGACCGAGTTAGCAAAAGCTTTGGCCGAGCAAAGCCTCAAGTTACATCATGAATGACTTCCATGCAATTCATTTTCAAGCGGAGATGAGACACCGAATTTCTTAGCGGAGCAATTCGTTCTGCAGGTTATCGAAGCCGTCGTTGACACGTTAACAGCACGTTGTGATTATTGTGACAGTCAAGTGCGTCTTGTTTGGGTATGCTGCAATGTACACTCGATCGGAGCGTCCCAGGTCGATTGAAGGTTCTGCTTGTCACATGCAGCATAGCAGTCTGGTTAGTGAGATCCGAAATCAGCTGAATTCAGAACTTAGGCATCAAACACGGGCCAGTGTCGCTCAAGGACGGCGCTGATCTCGAGGATTGAGGTAAGATCATCTCATGGGAGACGACCGTGCAGTTCAAGCTCCTGCGGTCCTCGACAGGAGAAAAGCATTCTGGGTTGCACTGTGCCGAAGGGAAACGGCCATGACATTTGGCAACGTGTTTATCGACATGGCTCATGGCTTCTGTGACGGCGACGCGTGAGCATTTAAGAATGTACTCGTAGAACACGAGTTTGTTGACAAGAGAATGAGGTCTTAGTCAGGGCCGCAAGCGAATAGACTGCGATGAGGGGAAGACGGACGCCGGACGGATTGGACCCTGCAGAACCATTGACCGTTTTGGCGCCTTGTGCCCCGCCCATCACCGCGTGTTTCATGTCCATCGCTGCTTAATCGAGCTGTCCATCGTGATGCCGCCCTCAACTGTCGCTCGCACGACTCCAGGTCCATCCTGGCTTTGGGAGAATCTGTGTTCCCCAGGACGGCGTCCAAGCAAATGACAAGCAGATCCTCAACAAGATCTACTCGTGGCAACCTGTCCAGCTTACGCCGGGTGACTCTGACCACCGCACTGCGATACGGTTCACGTCCATGCTGCTCCTCCTCATGGTCACCTCTACACTCTTGTCCCTCGTCTCTCACAACTGTCCTTCGTATCCTCATGTACTTGCTTGAACCATTCTCCTCGAAACCACCCAAGACACTGTCTCTCCGTTGACTGAACCGGGGAGCAGGTGCCCCTCCGGATGAATTGACCTCAGCCCTTTGCAACAGCAAACATTCCTCCCGTCGCTCCCAGATAACCTAAGCTCGTCCATACCAATCTTCGTCATGGCCTCTAGCTTCATCAAGCACTTGCTCGGACAAGTCGCCTTCTATTCCTTTGCCCTGTTCAATTGGTTCCTCTTTTTGGGATTGTTCATCAAGAATGGGACATTTTTCAGAAGAGATTCAGAGCAAGACAAACTTCAATACGCCATTGGTATGTATACCGGGTGACCTCCGACATCATAGCTGATTTGATCCTACCGCAGAACGAGATCGCTTCTGGAATCTGACCAAAGAACCTCTGCCGGGCTTCAAGCACAACTTCTACACCTTACGCAATGGCCTCAGGTTACACTACATCAGCAACCAACTGGAAGCTACCCACGGTAGTCTCGTCGTCTTCTTACACGGTTTCCCAGACAGCTCCATGATGTGGAGGCATTTGATGCAAGAGCCCGCCATATCCAAGGAAGATGCCACACTTGTCTGCGTGGACCTGCCTGGCTATGGGGGAAGCGACAGTTTCAAGAGGTATGACACAGAAATATTGGAGGCTCTTACGGAGTTCGTGGTCGCCATGCGGGACAAATACCTACCAGAGGACAGCGACCAGCCCAAGACCTTCATTGTCGGTCATGATTGGGGTTGTGTCCTCGGTTTCCGTCTTGCTTCAGAGGCTCCTTGTTTGGCGGATCGGTTCATCCTCACCAACGCTCCCCATGTGAGTATCTGTGCGGGTATTTTGCAAGTGGCAGCTTCTGACTCTTTCCAGGTTGAACTTTCATTTGCCAACAAAGATCGCATCATCGGATCAGCTTCGAAGATCTTCAGACAATTCAAGCAGTCCCCAAAGCAGCATTTTGCATGTTTGTCAAAGACCATCAAGACCCTACAGCCACTTCTCGTACAGACCATGATGATGGGTTACATTTTCATGTTCAACCTACCCAGTGTCTTTGTCAAAGCGATTGGTGTCGCTGGCAACTATTCGTTCCTTCGAGGAGCTCACTGGTCCGGCTATGGGAAGCGTTCGGACGAATATCGCGTCCAGGAGTGCATGGCCTCAACCTTTGGACCCAGCTTGCATGAGTGCAAGACCTCGTCGATCTCGCACAGTGCCAATGGCGACACCGGACAGACTTATGGGTCCAGCGTGGCTCAACGTGCAGACTCTCCTGCCGCGGCTTTCTGGAACATGACAGGCTATTACCGCGACGGAGTAGCGTCGCTCCCGTGGACAAAGTCGCTTGAAACAATTGCCGACTTGTATGCAATTGAAACCACGGCCTCCCAGTCCAGCAGCCCAAGCCGTCGTCGATCTTCTGTGTCGAACTCCCTCTTCATAGATCACCTCAAAGGCCAATTGAATGCGCCAACTTATGTTCTCTGGGGAGAGAGGGATCTAGCCTGTGGGAGGCCGATTTGCTTGGATGGCTTGGGAGACTATCTGGCCAAAGACAGTGAGATCACAATTCTGCCACGAAGTGGTCACTGGACACCGGTTGGTAAGGAATCTCGAGCAGTTCTCGCCACGGTTATTGGCTTGTATGCCCGAAAAGATGCCAGACCCGTGTCCAAGATGACTACTGAGGTGCAGAAAGTCTATCCGGATGCATTTTTGATGGCAAAGAAGTAAGGACCTCACACCTCACGCTGGTATGATTATGGCCAAGGCGGACCTTGTGGCCGATAGAGCCTATTGGTGATTTACGTTGAGAAGTGTACGATATGATACCCTGGGAAGTTGCAATGGCAGTGATATGAATTGAGCCCAAGGAGGGCTCTTCGACCAAAGTGTGTTATGATAGGAGCTATTCAGGTTTTCAAGGAAGGAATGTGCAATCTGTTCCCTGCAGATAGCTGTGGACAACTAGGCCCAGGAGCTGGACCGTGTGTCGATATCACTCCATTACCCAGTCCCTCAAGATATCCTAATGCTGCGGCCGCGCATGAACCTTTGCATTCACGTGTCACTCGACCGTATGGTGCAGATATTCAGTGCCAATCTCTCGCCAGCTAGAACCGATCACGCCCACAGCGATAGCTATAGTACTGATCTCCTCCCAATTAAGGTCCATACCGACCAGATGGCCAGTTGCAACCCGAGAAGCACAAGTACGATGCTGGCGACGGTAAGCGGAAACTCGGTCGTGTTGTAACACGATGGGTCGGACGGTGCAGGTGTTGTTGTTGTTGTTGAATGCGGCAATCTGGTGGCCGTAGTGCTATGACGGGCAATCGTAGTACTGTGAGTGGTGACCATGGGCGAAATTTCTGGCGGAGCTGCTGCAAGCGACAGCGAGATGAGTATTGCGAGCGTAAGGAATGTCTCAAATGGTCTGGGACAGGAAAAGACTAAGCGACCCATCACGATATAGTACTCGAGTGGGTTTTCGGGTATAGGTCTCAGTATTGTCGCATACAGCTGGAGCTCTGATTGTTCCTGAGACTGGCAGATCTTGCCGTGATTGAACAGAATCAATATAAATGCTTATGTTTGGTTGCAGTGCCAAAGATCCCAATATTTGTATATCATAGTGTAGGAGTCTATTGGGCCAGTGAAGGCCTAGACTGGCGACTGGTGCTAGTCATTATAAGCGTGTCACAACTGTTTGTTCTATGACCATGAACAACCGTTTGGTGGCAATGTGGACACATTCACTCCGTTGGATGCCCTCGAGGACTGTTTGCACCCGACTTTGGAAAACCCGGCTTCCTCGAACGGATTAGACAGGGAGTCAAACAGATGCAGTGATGTCAGAGATGCGGGAAACAGATGAAGTGCCAGGCAAAGAGGATTGAGCATGGTTCTTTCCCACCGTAACTCCCCCGTCGCTGTAAGGGTTCCGTTCTGCCTGTCAATAACACACACCCTCCATTTGCGCCATATGTACAACCAAACCACGCTTTAGAACAAGAGCTCAAGACAGCAACAACATGTCATGGCTGCAAGTAGTGCAGCGCAACACCCTTCTCCACCAGCTCCCATACCTCGATCTTGATAATATGGTCCTGGCTGTCCTTGTTGGTAGTACATGCCTTGCTGCGGGGGTCCATAGTAGCCATAGGGCTGCTGTTGATAACCTTGCTGCTGCCACGGCCCCGGACCCGACGGACCTTGATTCCAGCCTTGGGGAGGTTGCTGGTAGTAGCCGTTTGGGCCTTGAGAAGGGTAAGAATTGTTTTGGCCGAAGCCTCGATCGCCGCCGTCCTGGTAGGTGGGTTGTGGTTGCGCCAGGCCTGGTGGTGGACCTTCCGGCGGTTTGTATACTGTGTTCGACATGTTCAAGACGGAGAGATAGGAGATAAGGAGGGAAAGAGACTGAGTGTGGTTGTGAATGTGAGTGCACTGATGATGAGCGAGGAATTTACGTGAGGCGGTTTGATGGGAATGTCGCAGTTGCTGTCGCAGCCTAAACCAAAAGGTCCTCCGGATTCGTCGGCTGCGGGGTTGTTGAGGGCAGTGCCACAAATAATGTCACGAGGCTGAAGGACCGAAGGGAAGTGGGTTCTGCCAACTGACGAGGCTACGCACAATGGGTCAGTGGGTAATCCCAGAGTGTTGGAAGCGTCACTGTGTAGAATTGCGGCTTCTCATTTTGCAAGTATCGATGTCGACATTCGACAAGTATTCAGCCTTTTCACTCGCCCTCAATTAGGTCAGAGCACGTGAATTTGCTTATGGTATCCGTGGCATCGTGCCGAAAGGCGAAGGGTTTCACTGAGTGAGTCAGCCAGACAAAGTGAGCAGCAGCCACTTTTGAACATCTGGCTTGAAGCATAAGAGTAGATGGAGTTCTTTTCCATGAGATTGTCGATCGACACGTGGTCAGGGCGAAGACTTTCTTTGGTGATAATGGCCTGGTAAGAAACGCGATGCCGAACATGTACATATGTGCGGAATGATTGCGTAGCACCCCCAGTCACCAGACCGTTTCAAACCAAGGATCAACGAATGTGCTGGCAAATTGAGAGAGGCTTCGGCAGTGATTGAACAACATTTTGGTGGGCTACTTGTGGTGCTGGAACTTACCGTCGTAGCCTGTCAGTGAGCGGGCAGTTTTGGCTAATTTAATCGTCGTATGGGGAGTGGTGCAATTGCAACTGCAATTGCCAGTCGTCGGACATATTGTCATGTGCAAACGACCATCAGCGCAACCCCCATGCTTCTTTCCCTCATACTGTACTCCGTACACACTTCCGCTAGGCAGCGACGAAGAGTCTTGGACGACATCATCGTTATCATCATCACCACCACCATCCACGTCCCCTTCGAAAAAAAGAAAGGATGCTCGTGCAGGACATGTGCTCTGATAAGATAACCCGGCAGTTGAATGATCAAGCCGAAAGCTTCGAAGGATTGTACCAAGTACATCGACCAGAGTACCTGACTCGCCCCTTGCCGTCTTGCCGGCAGCCTCCATGCCTGTGCGTTCGGAGCACGGGAGTACCCTAACTTAACAAGCCTATCTCATTTGTTCCACACGACTATCAGGCTATCAACACCCTGTGGCATGCCCATTCGAAGCAGACCCCACTCCAACAACAAGAACTTCTTCCCTCTCCTCACCCTGCCAGTGGTTTGTTGGTATCTCGTCTAACAATAATGTGCTCATCAGACCTTGCCATGGCGCCATGCGCATCCATCATCATCATCACCGATGCGGTGGGGGGCCCCATCCATGGTTTCTTCATACGGTCAACCATCTCGGCGGGATCCCACGTTCTTCCGTTCCGCAGACAGACCAGACGCAGCTAGCCTAGCTTGTCACTCTTCCTTATCAATCGGTCAATCTGCGCCCATCACAGGATCCAACGTCGTCGGGCATCGTTGGAAGCTAACATTGCCTAAACCGATTTTGATCCAAGTCACTTCTACCTGCACCTCCTGCAGATGCCCTTCCCCGATTGTCTTCTGCCTCCTGATTCGGGCTCACCCGTCGAACTGAGGTCCATTTGCCGTACCGCGCGCAGGCACATGTCTCCCTAACTCTGCGTTGCCGGCATACCACTGTAGTTACGTCCTTGTTGAGCCGAGCACGTCTTCCTCCCAAAGATAACAACCGTGGATCTTCCTTCTCCATCAAAACAACCCATCTGAGCCTGATAAAAGCAGACCTCCGACCGCCTTGCTCTGAAACCCGCTCTGCGGTCTTCCTCACCCTTTCGCCATTTTGACCTGTTTTCACCGTCCAAGCTACAATGAGCACCTATTTGTGGTATACGTTCAGCTGGAGTTCTCTGAGAAAGAGCCACGCACGGTGGTAACAGGAAAACACCAAGACAAATTTGCGTATGTCACTCACCGTATCTTCGAGCATATACCATTTTGCTGACAAGTGCGCAGCAGAATATACCTTTTGGAAGATACTCTTTGCAGCCGAAAAGGCACACCGTACAGAGATATCACCCTCCCACTAGGAGGGGGTGATCCCTCTACTTCGTCATCGCCGTGGGCAGCTTCATGCTCGCGTAAAAGTCGGCACTGTTTCTTGTGTGCAAAGAGTCGTTTGTGTTATATGATATTTCAGAGTGGTCGTTGCAACCATGTTCGGCACGAATACCCTGTCGCTTCCCCCTCCTTTCGCCCATGAGCATCACCCTCTTCGATTGACCTCTGAGACTCCGCGCCCTCAACCAGCTGGCGGGTGCCGATATGTTTTGTCACACCCATCGGCTCAGAATCAACAGTGCTCATGTCAATCCTTCCATCACAATCGAACCGCGCCAGGCAATATTTGTGACTGCGGTCATCAAGCCTGCTTTCATGTTCATGACGTTGCGAAACAAACCTCGGAAGCCCTCAGCGCTACAATCGAAAAATTAGGTGAAAAGATCAGACGTTTGGAAGAAACCATTCAGAGTGAGCGAGGAAATAGAGAAGCTGCCTTAAGCAGGGAAAGACAGTTATGGGAAGGAGACACCCGCATCCTGCGCGAGGCTTTAGCACCGTTCTATCAAAACGAGAAAGAGATGCGCAGGAAGATTCTGGAACTAGAGAGCAAGCTGGGAAATTACAACGACGAGCAGATCCGTCTTCGAGAACGCGTCCTCGTGGTGGATGATGTCTACGTCGCGATAGAAAATCGCGTGGAAGAATTGGAAAGTCTCCGCTCAAAGAGGAGACGGGTGGGTCGGGCTCATGGTCAAGACGAACCGCCCTTGCAGAATGGCCATGTCTCACCCGATACTGTTGCTGCGAGACCAGTCTCGTCGAGCGTCGATGGGAGATCTGTCCATACAGCTTCCTCACGCCCGTTGTCGGCCAACGGGTCCGGATCAACCACCACTGACCCCGAAGAGCCTCGTTCCAGTGGAATACTCAACCTTGTGGAGATGCCACGATCGGCGCCGCTCAACATGCCTCAGCGTCTATCCCCTTCACAGGAGGAGCCAAGATCAAGCGGCTTCTTGACTATTGACCGTGTTGACCGACTAGCTCAAACCGGTTCTGAACAAGCACAAACAGTTGCACTTCACCACGCAGCCCGCATCACTCCTCCTCATGACCGTCCAAGTCCGCCCATTCACGTCAAACTTTTCACAGATATCCCTAGGTCTGCTCCCACCCCTCCGGACAATGGGCCTAAGAAAGTGCCGATGCTCGACGTCATGGTACTACCAGTCAATACTTCACCAAAAAAGAGAAAGTACCACCTCGACCACACCGCCTTGGATGTTCTGGCGGACGTGAGCATATCCAGTCCACTCATTCATTGAGACCTCGGTCTCTCGTTTTCTTTCTGGTCACTTCCGGCCTTCCACCATTATGATATGATAGCCGTGGCTTGTTTTCACTTCCGCATCTGTCCGGCAGATTGATTAGCGCTGATGGGTGACCGTCATTTGAGCGACTCGGGCAGCATTTTCAGCAAGCGACATGTTACCGTGGGGTTGGAGCGTCGGATCATTCTTTTTAGAACCAGGTCCTTTGTACAGACAGGGGAGATCCCAATATTGCACATTCATTAATTTTGGAATGAGATAAGGAACTTACACTTGGGATTGGCTGTGGTGCTTGGTTCCAAATCGTATGCCACCTTTTCAAAGTCGCCATGTAGACTGCCACGCACTTTCCAGCCTAGCGAGCCGCCTATCATGCAGATCAGTATGGCAAGTTCCTAGGGCGGAAAGCTGCGGCTGCTGATAGAGAGATCTTCGGTTAGGGGACAATGTACCTTGTCGAGCTTTGTCCTCTGAGAATTCTCTTGCCACGTCATCGAATTTGGCACCATCACGCAGCTTTGCTAGAGCTTCTTCTTTCTTTGAGTGCTTCTCGCACTGAGAGATGCAGGCAGGAAAGATCAGATCAAAATACCTCATGGCTAGATGTTTTCTCGAGAATGGACCTACTAGTATGTGTCTGGCATTGATGGACTGGGCTGCCTTCAGCTTACCACTGCCGCCAGCTGAGGCTTCATCGTCTTTGCCCTTTCCTTTGCCTTTACCGCCTGCTGAGCCAGACTTGCCCGAATCTTTGTTCTTGGGGGCCATTTGAATAGCTGTATCGCTGAAAGGATGCTATGCTCTTTCCAACGGTGTGCTTCAGCAAGGCAAGTGCTGGTAGCTGCACCCAACCGAACAAGCAAGTTTTATAAAGAGAGACGGCAGCAGAGTTTCAAGGAGGTTCCTGTCCCGATCTGGCATAGTCTTCCCGGCCGTAGCGTACTTGGCTGGGGGTCACGCCCATTCGCGCCATGATGCAAGTCAGAACGGGAGGTCGATTATTATTGCGGGCAAAGCACCTCTTTTTTCGGGGGGGTTCAGGAAAACTTTGGGCGAAGGAGGAACAAGTCAGTCACAACTCAGTCAGAGTGCCATGTGGATCAAACAGCGACTTGCCCGTTACCCTCGCTTTTGCATCAGCCCTCTTTATCTCGAACAACATTCAATTACAAGAGAAATAAGTCAAGTATGGACAAAAAGTCCATCGGATGGGAAAACAACATTCCCCTGACAATTCTCACCACCCCAGATAGACAACCCTTTGTATAGAAGAGAATTCACGTGACTTGGGCTCACTTTCATGTTCCTGGCCCTTAACGCCGCACCCTGCCCGAGTCGCGCGTATTTGTGAAGATGATCCAGACATCCGGGCAGACAAGCTTGGGCTGCGAACACTTACAGCTGCGACTGATCATGCTCCGTATCTGCCTACATTGCCACATCTCTTCATCTCCATCACCCACTCTCACCCAAACCATCATCAATCCGTCGTAACCATTGCACTTTACTATCGCGCGACCATTACTTTATCGTCGCTCCGATTGAACAATGTCGCAAACCCCTTGACGAGTCGAATTTGGTGACACGACTACACCGTGCCAGCCGCACTTTGGTGAGGTCAGGAAGAGCGGACCGAACGCCCTCCCAGTCAGTACAACCGATCTGTTCACCATCATTGGCGTCCTTCCAAACGAGGATTTGCGAACGACCTTGACATAATTCACATAATCGGGCAATGGAGGCTTTGGACAAATATCATACATGAAGAACCTGCATTCAGGCCCATAATTGAGGAAAAGATAGACCAAAAAGACCAAAAGCAGGCCCAAGACGACAGAAGATTAAGGACAACACCAAAAATGTCGGGATCAACGCCATTCACGGCTCGTTCGCCAACGCAGTCGAACCAGTATCCACCATATTCACCATCTCATTCAAATCGCCCCTACTATGGTCACGAACCCTACCAAATACCTCCACCTCAACATCTCACGCAAACACCTCCGCCATTTCCACCCGCCTCTTTGGTACACAGCCCTCATCAACATCGTCAACCAACATTGGCATCACCCTTGCCTGCATCAAATGCTCTGCCGCCTCCACCTCCCCCAGTCGGCAACGTGCCTGGTTATCTACAGCAATTGACCTCGAGTCCACCATTCGCACTTCAGAGAAGCTACCAAGGACACCTTCCTCCTCCTAACATGCCTCCACAGTATGACGGTGCTCCTTCGCACGCACACCCTCCTGGTCCTTCGGCTCCTGGACTGCAATCGCCCATAAGAAGCCACCACAATCTGAGCAACGGCAGGCCGACTGACAACCTTCATCCAGACTCGCGTCCTCAGTCCAAAGAGGTACATTTTTACGCTCAATCTGTCTGACAAAGTACTGACCACAAGCCACAGAAGCCTGATCGAGCGAGCAACCCCATGTCCTTCGCGAGCATATTAGGTCCTTCAAACAATGAGCCAGCCTCGAAGCCTGTGGAGTCGAAGCCTCCAGGACCCATAACGCCGCCGCCAAAGCCTGTGGGTGAAAGCAAAATCTCACCTGAAGAGTCACTCGTTGTCAAACAGCCATCATTCGACTCATCCCAACCTCTAACAAACGGTGATGTGAAGTCTGCAGCAAAAGCAGACACGGTTCAAGTGGCGAGGAAGTTTGATGCTCCTGCCAAACCACGGACAATGTTGACTGAGCGGGAGGCCGATAAAGTCCTGAAAGCACTTGCCGGGGTCGATGATAGTCAGCTCAGTGACGTGGAAGAAGTTGGTTTCTATGAACACAAAGAGCGGTACAAGCAACGAAGCAGAAAGCGAGCTGCAGAAGTTGGTGAGGCAGAACTGCGCAAGCGCAAGGTAAGTAACAAAATATGCCGCACCCTGCTTCACAATGTCACCAACTCACTCTTTTGGCAGCGCCGGCGAGAGTATACTCTGGACTCCTTGATCAAGCCTTTCGAGTCGCACGCCATCAGCGCTGCCCAGCGTTTCCGCGAACAGGTCGAACCGATTGCTGCTAAAGAGATTGCGGACAAAGATATTGCAAGCGAAAAAGAACGCAAAAAAGACATGCAAAGAAAGCGACGCCGTGAACAACAAATCCGCAATGAAAGAGAAAAGCTAGAGGAACTTGAAGAGCGGGCGCGAACCGCAGAAGATCCAGAAGATGCACAGAAGTACCTTAAGCAGGTCGAAAAGTCTCAAGCTCGTATCAGACAAACTGCAGAGCTTCTCGAGGGTGTTCCATCGCAGGAAGACTTGGAGGTTTCAGCTCCCGCTCCGAACTATGAAGGCGGTATCACCTCGTCCTTCCAGATTGGCTCTCCTGAGCCTGGAGAGCCACCCAAGAAGAGAACTAAGAAAGAGCCCGGCGCTCCGTCTGCTCGTCTGAAGAAATCGAAAGAGAAAAAGCAGGCAGAGAAAGACAAGGCAGAAGCAGCGTACGCCGCGATGGAAAGAGACGCACTGATCAACATTGCTCCTAAAGACGAAAGCCCACTTGAGCCTGTCACCAAAGGCAAAAAGTCGAAAGCAAAGAACAAAGACAAGGAGAAGGAGGAAGAAGAAGAAGTTGCCGCTGCTCAAGGGGTCAATTACGATTCCAAAGGCTACAACCAGATCTACGAACAGATTTGGAGAGATCTTGCTAGGAAGGATATACCCAAGGTCTACCGGATCAAGCAAGTCTCACTCAGCACGAAACAAGAGAACCTGCGCAAGACCTCAATTCTGGCTAGCAAGCAAGCGCGCAAATGGCAAGAGCGTACCAACAAGAGTATGAAGGATACTCAAGCACGGGCCAAACGTGTTATGCGTGAAATGATGTCCTTCTGGAAGCGCAACGAGCGAGAAGAACGAGATCTTCGACGCATGGCAGAGCGTAAGGAGATCGAAGATGCGAAGAAGGCTGAAGCAGACCGTGAAGCCAATCGACAGAAGCGGAAACTCAACTTTCTCATCTCACAGACTGAACTGTACTCGCATTTCATCTCGCGAAAGATCAAAACCGACGAGGTGGAGCGGGCAACTGATGATCCTGAGACTGCCGCTACTGGCGAGAAGCCTCATGCACGAAACCGTGACATGGACGATATAGCCTTGTCCAACGAACATGGAAACCACAAGGTCACCAATATTGAAGATCTCGATTTTGATGTCGATGATGACTCTGCCTTGCGACAAGCGGCAGCCGCCAACGCCGCGAGCGCTCTGCAAGACGCACAAGACAAAGCCCGAAACTTCAACGGCGACGACCCTATGAATCAATTTGATTCCAGCGACATGAACTTCCAGAATCCCACCATGGCTGGAGACGTACAGGTCACCCAGCCCAAAATGTTGCAGGCTCAACTCAAAGAATACCAGCTCAAAGGTCTCAATTGGCTGGTCAATCTTTACGAGCAGGGCATCAACGGTATCCTGGCCGACGAAATGGGTCTGGGCAAGACAGTACAGTCTATCTCCGTGATGGGATATCTTGCAGAGCAGCACAACATCTGGGGCCCTTTCTTGGTCATTGCACCAGCTTCTACACTGCACAACTGGCAGCAAGAGATTACCAGATTCGTGCCTTCGATTAAAGTCCTTCCATATTGGGGCAGTGCAAAGGATCGAAAGGTCCTGCGCAAGTTCTGGGATCGGAAGCATGTTACCTACAACAAAGATTCCGAGTTTCATGTTCTTGTCACCTCATATCAACTTGTCGTCATGGACGCCCCGTACTTCCAGAAAATCAGATGGCAGTACATGATTCTTGACGAGGCACAAGCCATCAAGTCATCAAGCAGTTCGCGGTGGAAGACTTTGCTAGGGATGCAGTGTCGAAACCGTCTTCTTCTCACCGGTACACCAATCCAGAACAACATGCAGGAATTGTGGGCACTGCTGCACTTTATCATGCCTACTCTTTTCGACTCCCATGACGAATTCAGCGATTGGTTCTCCAAAGACATCGAAAGCCATGCCCAGAGTAACACAAAGTTGAATCAAGACCAGCTTAAGCGGCTGCATATGATTCTCAAGCCTTTCATGTTGCGTCGTGTCAAAGCTCATGTTCAGAAAGAACTGGGTAACAAAATAGAGGAAGATGTCTTCTGCGAGCTTACGTACCGACAGCGTGCGTACTATGCAAACTTGCGGAGCAAGATCAGTATCATGGATCTGATTGAGAAAGCAACGCTGGGCGACGATCAGGATACGGCCACACTGATGAACCTGGTGATGCAATTCCGGAAGGTCTGCAATCATCCCGATCTTTTTGAAAGAGCCGACACCAGTTCACCTTTCTCGATGTCCTATTTTGCCGAAACAGCCTCGTTTCTCCGCGAAGGTTCATTCGTTCAAGTTGGCTATTCGGTGCGCAATCCCATTCAGTATGATCTACCACGAGTCCTGTGTAATGATGTTGGCCGCCTTGACATTGCTGGTCCTAGCAACGTCCGGGCTGGTTTTCATCGAGCCGGTTTTCGGAAGGACGCCCTGGGCGGACTGTTGAGGATCTGGACACCCGAAAACATCAAGAAGTCTACTGAGAACGATGGGGCCTTTTCGTTCCTACGCTTTGTAGACACCTCTGTTGGTGAAGCTGCTGCAGCTGCTGACTACGGTCTGTTTGAACGAGCAATCAAGCTGAAGAAGCAGCACAGACGAACATTGCCGGTATACGAGGATGTCGAGCCAAAGCCTCCTGCACATGCCATGTTCAACATTGTTGAGAACACACCTCGGAAGCTGCTTGCGGAAGTTGATCTGAATTCTCCTCTGGCGCGGCTGTTCAACATCTCTGGAGAAAGTATCGAGGACCAGGGATATTCTGTCTTCGAGCCAGCTGCTTTACCCAAAGCTTTGGCTCCGCCCATTGAGGTCAGTGCCTTTGACCAATCTTCACTGGCCGAGCGGCAGTCGACCATGTTCAACATGAATGTGAGGGGCACACTTTATCCACTTGAGGAAAGTCTCGAAGAAAAGCTGTTGAACCAAGATGTGGATCCTGAGCACTTCCCATTGTCTGAGTTGCTACCTCAACCAGAATCGCGAAAGGCCAAGTACACCCACATATCTATCCCGTCGATGCGCAGATTTGTTACGGATTCCGGCAAGTTAGCCAAATTAGACCAACTTCTTCGCCAACTCAAGAATGGCGGCCATCGGGTGTTGCTCTACTTCCAGATGACACGTATGATCGATCTCATGGAAGAGTACCTCACCTACCGCAATTACAAGTTTGTTCGATTGGACGGCAGCACCAAGTTGGAAGATCGACGAGATACTGTACATGACTTCCAGACAAGACCAGAGATCTTCATCTTCTTGCTGTCCACACGTGCCGGTGGGTTGGGTATCAACTTGACCTCTGCTGACACTGTCATCTTCTACGATTCTGACTGGAATCCGACTATCGACTCGCAAGCCATGGATCGAGCGCACAGATTGGGTCAGACCAGGCAAGTCACAGTGTACCGTCTCATTACCCGTGGCACAATCGAGGAGCGGATCCGAAAGCGTGCGATGCAGAAAGAGGAGGTCCAACGTGTTGTCATCACTGGAGGTGACGGTGCTGGCGTCGATTTCAACACGCGAGACCGACGTGAAAACCGAACCAAAGACATTGCAATGTGGCTTGCCGACGATGATCAAGCTGCACTCATCGAGCAAAAGGAGAAAGAAAATGCCGATAAACCGGAAGACGAGAGTACGAAAAAGAAGAGCAAGAAAGCACAAGCAGCAGCCGCCAGCAAGAAGCGCAAGATGGAAATGAGTCTGGACGATATGTACCATGAAGGTGAGTACTCGCACATTGAGGTTGTATGCTACGGTGACTAACTCTTTTGCAGGCGAGGGACATTTTGAAGGTGAATCGTCCAAACCGTCAGGTGCAGCCACACCTGTCAGTACTCCTGAGACACCTGAACCCAAACGTGGCCCTGGTTCTCGTGGTGGTAAGGGAGTGAGTAAGAAAGCCAAGACGGCCAAACAACGTCTCGCCATTATCGATGCTGAAGGTGATTTGGGAATGGGTGGTGGTATGTGAGGAAGTCGTTTGATTCTGGACGGGAAACCTCGATTTTGCTTTGCAGAGGGGAAGCCGACGTGCAAAGAACGTTCACATCATTGCATTCATGTAAATTATGGATTATGGGTGATTGTTATTGTGATTTGCCGCAAAAAGCAATGCGGATGGGATGATAGATGCATGCATGGTCTTTGCGGTCTGACTTGTGCATACAGCATTGCATACTGGAAGCGGCCTAGGAGGGTCCAGGGTCAATGGACTGGGCTGGGTTGTTGCCAATGCCTACAAAATGGGCGTGCGTTATGGTGTGCTTTTAATCCTACGAAAATCAATGAGGGAACCTGAGTTCAAGGTAGACTTTGGGGAGACAATGAACAGACATTTTGATATGATCGTGGCTTCATACCCGTACGAAGTGCTCGTACTGATTACTTGAGGGTTGCCTATGTAGAAAGTCTTGTTCATTGCACGCCAGTCGTGTGCCGTCTCTTAGAAGTGGTGAGTTCCCTACGTCTTGTGTGGTATAGTAGTGAGTGTGATGCATTTTGACATCACCACTTCTTGTGTGCCACTGTGGAGCCTTGCATCATAATGATCGCGAAACCTCAAAGACTCTAAGCATTTTGTGCTTTGCCTTTTCGCAGTTCGTCATTTGGTGTAATCTACGACAGTACTAGGTGGTTTTTTTGGTAACAGCGGTACAGCTTGATTTTGACCGAGGAGATCTAGGTGGAAAGCGATTCTGCCAGGTTGGAGGCCCCCAAACGTCATTGTTGATATTTGATACAGTATTTGAAATGAGGCTGATCGTTTTATGTTTTTGTATGAACTCCAATAGGTCTTAGCTTTGACGATTAAAGAAATCCTCTTACCATCGAACAAGACTACTAGATTTGTTACTTGCACATATAGCAGACTTACTTGACAAGACTTGCCCCCTTCAATCGCTTAGCGTCTAGCTTTTCAATCGTCTAACATGTCGAAATCAACTCTCGACCTCATCGACACGGCCGTCATCACGGGCGGTGCCGGCGGCATTGGTCGTGCCATGGCAGAATGCCTGATCAAGCACGGCAAAAAGGTCATCATCGCGGGACGGACAGAATCAAACTTGAAAAAGACGTCCGAAGAAATCGGTGCGACAGCCTACTACGTTCTCGACACGGGAAAGACGGATATGGTTGCAGAAGTATCGAAAAAGATCATAGCCGAGCACCCGGAAGTCAATTGTCTGGTGAACAACGCCGGTGTACAGAGGCCGTTCCAATTTCCTGGTGTTCAAGAGGATCAGGACTACAGCTTTGACTTGAGCAAGGCAGATCAGGAAATTGACATTAACATTCGAGGACCGATGCACTTGACGGTGCTGTTCTTGCCGCACTTGCTGGAAAAGAAGGGGGGCATTGTCATCAATGTGTCGAGTGTGCTGGGGTTCTTGCCCAGTAGTGTGATCAACCCGGTGTACAACGGGACGAAGGCGTGGGTGCATTTCTTCACGTTGAACTTGAGGACGCAGTATGCGGGGAAAGTGAAGGTGGTGGAGATTGCGCCGCCGACGGTGTCAACGGCATTGCATCGCGAACGGACGGATCCGAATGATAATTCCAAGGAGAAGAACCAGAGTGCGTTGACTTTGGAGGAGTTTATCACCGAGGTTGAGGCTGGGTGGAAGGAGGGCAAGGACTTGATTGCGCCGGGACCGGCGGGGGCTGTTGTATCGACGTGGCAGGAGGTTTTGGGGCAGAAGTATGAGAATGCGACGGCGAGTTGAGGTGTTTGATAGATGGGAACGGGAAAAGGATAAGAATGAGATGATAAATGATATGAAAAGCCGCTTAGAGTTTGTACAGTAAAGACTGAAGAGATATCCATCGATGACGATCTGCTTGTGAGCTTGGAAACGTGCTTTCTGACCTCTTTGGTTTTGTTGATGTTAGTACACCTCCTTCCACGTAAGTATCATCTGTTCTTCAAATTCAATGCAGTCACGAAGTGTCATCTCGTTGATGCTTGAGGGGGGGTGCACCAAAAGTGCTGTCCCCATGATCTCTGCCTCGGGCGTCGACTTGGCCGACTTTAACCGTGCTGCAAAGGTACATTCGAGATCCGATCAACCTAGACCAATCCAGATTGACGCGCGGTTGACACTTGCTTGAACATAGTGGCGTAGAAGCAGTGTCTCTTCGATATCGAACATCTACAGTTCCCTGCAGGGTACAGGTGCTGTATTAGAGCAGCTGACGTCTCGCAGAAGATCCAGAAGCCATTCTAGCCCCAGGTTACCGATGATGTCCGTCCGGTGGCGAGCGACCATCTCCGTCTGGATCTCATGGACAAATCCAGGTTCATACTACACAAGGATGTGAGCCTTTGTGAGGAACAATAGAGCCCTTTAGACTTTGAGCCTGGTGTTTTGATGAAACGTCGAAGCTTGAGATATTTTCAAACACACGAAGTTGTCCACTGGTGGATTAAACAACGGTGGATGGTTCCGGAGTTGGACATCTCCGTGAAATGAGATCCATTGATCCAACAGCTTGGACCCGAAAAAAGTCTCTCGGAAGTTTCCAAGAACGATAGTCTCGGTACACAGACATCATCTTACGAGTGCATCATCAAGCAGATACTGGTCGCAATGCCTAAAGGGGAGCTGTTCCCAGCGTCCGAGCACGGTGAGGGACGGCTAGGAGACAGACACATCTTCTCATCGATTTCGGCCTTGGAGACTCATCCAGTGATGACTCCGTACGGTGGATGATTAATCGTCACTCATCAATTCGAAGAATCAACAAGGCTTTGGGAACGACCCATCATCGACCCTTTGAGATGGGACCCTGGGCGGATAAACAACAGCACGGTTCCCGCTGACGCCTGTTAACTTGTAAGAGATGGACGCCTCCCGAGACCATCTCGCTAAGGACATCAACTAACTACACCTAACAACGTCGCACATCTCCATCTGTCCTATCACAGGATCAATGCTCCTCGTCGCTCACAACCGCCTACCGATAACGAGTCCACACAAGCCTCATAAGCACGGACAACCTCGTCTCCACCCCATTAGCCACATGGCAATCACTTCGCCTTCTAGCAACAAAGATAAGGCTTATTTCAATCTATTCCGCGAAATTCATAACGACGTTATGTCCTGTCAATGGACAAAGCCTTGGCCACCGAGATATATATACCTTGACGGAGATCCTCATTGTGCCTGGCTTGACCTTTCCAAGTTTCCACTCTCGGTTCATTCCATCGCGTGCCTTTGCAGAAGAATTCTCAGCCTCACAGTGACTCACAATGGCTACCCGTCGGCTTTCGTCCATCGTCCATGGCGGCAAACAGAACGAAGCATTCGACTCATCCCTCGGCAATGAAGCGACACTCAACAAAATGGGTTACGAGCAGGGTACGTTGCGCATCACCCTGATCAGTGATGCGCGGACACCAATGCTAACGCTCTCGCAGAGCTCAAACGTTCCTTCTCCCTCCTGGGCATGGTTGGCTTCAGTTTCTCCATCGTCACCTGCTGGACAGCATTAGGCGGCACCCTCATCCTGGGTATCGAGTCCGGTGGTCCTCCTGTCATGGTCTGGTCCTGGCTCGCCATATCCGCCTTGTCCCTCTGCGTTGGCTACTCCTTTGCCGAAATGTGCTCGGCCTATCCAACAGCTGGTGGTCAGTACTCTTGGGTCGCCATCCTCGCACCACCCAAGTACGCTCGCGGCGCCGCCTGGGTGACCGGCTGGTTCATGTGCACTGGTATCGTAGCCATGGGCGCGGTCAACAACTTTGTCAGTCCCACCATCACACTTTACCGTACGAAACATAACTAAGTTGCCTTCTAGATCGGATCCAACTTCCTCCTCGGCATGGCGAACCTCAATTACCCAGACTACGAGATCCAGCGCTGGCACTGCGTCCTGGTGACATACCTGATGGCCATCATCGCCGCAGGCGTCAACATTTTCCTGTCGCGCCACTTGAACACCATCTCCACCTTCGCCGTGATCTGGAACGTCGTCAGCTTCTTCGTGGTTATCATCACCATGCTCGCCTGCAACGACCACAAACAGTCCGCCAGCTTCGTGTTCAAGGATTTCCAGAACGACACCGGTTTCGCGTCGGGCGGTATGGCCGTCATGCTGGGTTTGTTGAACACACTCTTCGGCATGTGCTGCTACGACGCACCCGCACACATGACAGAAGAGATGATCAACCCTGCCAAAGAAGCGCCCCAAGCCATCGTCTTGTCCGTCTGGCTCGGCGCCATCACCGGTTTCATCTTCTTGATCTCCGCCTTCTTCTGCGTCGGCGACCTCGAAGCCACGGCCGACACATCTACTGGTGTGCCGCTCATTCAGATCTTCTACGACAGCACAGGCAGCACCAGGGGCGCCACCGCTTTGGCAGCTTTGATCACCGTCATCGTCCTTATCTGCGCCAACAGCTTGATGGCCGAGGGCAGTCGCGCTTTGTGGGCTTTCTCGCGCGACCACGGTTTGCCCTTCAGCGGCTTCTTCGCCAAAGTCAACAAGAAGTCCCAGGTGCCTGTCAACAGCGTCATTCTCTGCCTGTTGATCCAAATGGGTTTGAACAGCCTTTACTTCGCCAGCTACGAGGGTTTCTCCACCGTCATCTCCATCGCCACGCTCGGTTTCTACATCTCATATGCCATGCCCCTGCTCGTCCGGCTGTGGAGTTACTTCACCGGCCACGAACACGCCAAGGTCATCCCCGGCGCATACTCCCTGGGCAAATGGAGTTTGATCTTGAATGGTGTCGGTCTCGTGTTCTTGCTCTTTGCCGGTATCGACTTCAACTTCCCCTCCGAAGGTCCAGTCACCGCCGACAACATGAACTACTGCAGCGCTGCTGTTGGCATCATCGGTCTTGTCAGTCTCGTCACCTGGATCTTTGATGGAAGGAAGAACTTCACCGGTCCACAATTAAATCTGAGCACTATTGAGGCTGAGGATAGAAGTGTACCTTTGAGTGGCGGTGTGGCCGCTGAGAAGTACAGTGACGCAGGAAGTGACCAGGCTAGTGGCCAGATCAAGATCGGCCAACAAGTTTGACAAGCTTGCTTGATCTCAAATACTTAATATGTGTACTATTTGTCTAGTTTCAATACAACCACTAGGCTGTCGTTTCTGCCATTACTTCCTTTATTTGAGCGCATTACATGTGCACTCTCTCGGCTCTCAATGGGTTAGCAGCCTAGCATGCTGTCCATGAGTACTAGCTTCAGCCACTTCTAGCACACTTCACACTTCATCAAAGGTTTCAGCGTTGCATGTCGATTCAATCTCCGCATCATGTTTATCGTGGGAGATATAGGGTTTCTGGCTTGTGCTTTGTCGGGATTGGTACTTTTGGTCGATTGACTAAAGTAGTCATCTTTCTGGCAGCTTCGTTATTCTCGTCATCTTCTGCCAAGTCAAACACCGAGCCTCGTCGTTTCTTGTGGCGGTTGGGTGACACTGTGTTTGTTCTTCTTTTGAGTCGGTACTTCTTTCTCGGAGCACTGATGTCCTCTTCACCAGTGTCTTGACAGTCACTCATTATCGAAGACTGGTCTTCACCCTCAGGGTCACACGATGGTTCTCCGCCAGTAGAGTCGTATGCAAAGTCATTTGCATTGATCCCATCCCCAACATTGCTGGCAGGCTCATCTTCGACGTAAATCCGGCCAGTCAATATGTCGGTGTTTCTTGTGACGAGATCTGGAGGCATAGAGCTAGCGCGTCTTCTGAGGCCGCCCTTTTGCGATCTTGGAGTCAGAGGCCGTCCTGGCGACTTAAAGTGGTTGTCCTGCACGACCACTCCGGACGGCTCTTTGACATAGGATACGTCTGGTAAGGAACGATGTTCCGCTGCTGCCTTCGTTGTACTACCCAAAGAGCGCAGTGTATCGCCAGTCCGAGTCTCCGGTGGTCTGATGAAGAATTCTGACTGAGGTCGAGGTGGAGGTGATACCGTACGTGCCCTGATATCTCTTGAAGTTTTGTCCTCATTCTTGCTCCAATATGCCGAGAGAATTTGCTTCTCTTCCCACGAGACGTGAGGCCCAGCGTGTTCACGTTCGCGAAGAGAATCCGGAGCCCAATTCTCTATGGCTCCCAACACTTCTGCAGACAGTCTTCTCTTCGCATCCCTCTTCGGCCAGATGTTCAAATGCATATTTCTCGGAAAAGGCTTGTAGGGAGGATCAACAGGACTTTTGTGCCTCTGATGAAACCGTTGGCCGAAGTCAACTGCATCTGGTGATCGTTTCAACAGGTACTTGTAAGTTGGATCCTGGAACTCGATAGTTGGCGGTTTTGGTGGCCGTGGAACCCAATGTTTGATTGTCCTTTGGTACAAATCCTCAAAATCGTTTCTATGCATCTCATTTGAAAACCATGGATGATTGAGAGCTTCTGCAGCCGTTGGTCTCTTGGCTTCGTCAAGGACCAACAAATTCTCAACAAAGTCCTTTGGTCGACGTCTGACTTGTAGCCATTCGATAGACTCCTCAAGGAATGTGAGGTTGCACTCTCTAGCAAGCTTTTCCGAGTACATGTTCGTGGTCGGATCAGCGAAAGCCAGTCCGCCGGTGAGCAAAACGACCGAGACACACCCAACCGACCACAAGTCAACTGCTCGTGTATAACCGCGTGGTTGGTATTGTGCTCCGCTTCGTGATTGTTTCAACGTCTCACTACAACCATGTCAGTAAAACCTGTCAAATGGTTGAGCAAAAGGCATACGGTGCAGCATATTCCAGGGTACCCAGCAATGTGGACATCCGTTGCAGCCGGCTCTGAATTCTGCGAGCAGCACCGAAATCGGTCAACACGACTCGAGAACCTGCTGAAAGACTTGTCATGAGAATATTTTCCGGCTTGATGTCTCGATGCACAATGTTGTTTTCGTGGAGGAAGCACAAAGCAATAAGTATCTGTCGGATAATGACCGCCGCTTCGACCTCGAGCAGTCTCCCATTTTTCGACTCAATGTAGGAGAACAGGTCACCAGCAGTAACAAGATCTTGCATCATATACCTGTTTGATCAGTAAAAACCTACCGCACCACGAGTTTAGCACTCACACCGTGCTATCTGTCACGTAGACTTTTTCGATTCCAATGATGTTAGGCTGCGCAGTCAGTCAGCTTATGAATACAAGGATGTCAACGGACTCACGTGGCTAACCGAAGCCAGGATCTCGACTTCACGGAGGTATATTCTCAACTTATCTTCCAGATAGCCTTCCCTCTTCCGTTGACCTCCCCACTCATTGACCTTTTTGAGTTCGGCTCGGCTGTCCACGTCTTGAGCAGCCGCCGGTCGTTCCAGACCTTCAAGGAAATCGAGTGGTCTGTCCTCAAGCCTCCGTAAGTCAACCAACTTACATGCCACTTGTGCCCGTGCTTGTTGTTCGATTGCCATGAAGACTTTACCGAAAGTCCCCGCGCCGAGAAGGCGGTCTGTAACCACGTAATGATTCCGGAAGCGCTGATGCTATCAGGGGGGGCTTGTATACGAGTGTCAAGATCTTACCGCCATCTCCCACTCCTGCGCGAAGTCGAAATGAGCTTCAGGTGTTCCGTTTGTTTTGTGCTCGAAGACGAGAAATGTCTGGCGGCTCAATCTCAGTACGTCCCCATCGCTGATTAGGTAGCCACCATTGCCATTTCCAATGAGGCCACCGTTCCAGTAGGAGCCATTCTGGGACAGGTCTTCCGCGTAGACAAGAGTTTGGACTTCGTCAGGCTCATCATTTTCGTACACGACTGTATAGAGTCTGAGGTGTCTTTTTGAAACGTACGGATCGTCGATGACATATTGACTACAATGTAAGCACGGAACCAGTCTCAAACATGCAGCCTTACCAGCGACTTCTGTCCCGACCAATGATGATCTCATGGTTGGCATAGATCTTTCTTCCTGCACAGGCTAGTATAACCACAAACAGAGCGATAGCATTGACGGAAAAACAACGCACGAGCAAGCACCTGGCCCCGATGGTTTTTGTGAACGAAGACACCTGCAAAAGGAGGTTTGGAAGATGGCGATGAATTGCTGCGTACACGATGAACGCCAGAACAAGGTAGGAAAGTCATGGTTGCGAACAAAACAGGCACAAGCAAAGCAGAGACTTGTCAAATGGTGTTAACAACAATGGAGATGCAGCAAGTGTGAGAACATTGAGAGGAAGCAGAGAACTAGTCAAACCGCAGAGCGTGACCTACAAGGCATTCCACGAAAGGCATAACCTGCATTGCACAGAAAGAGTGAGTTGTGTAGGAAAGGTACATAGGAAGTTGCTCGAGACTGACACCTGTAGACAATGATGTCAAGGCGTGACTGATGTCCACATCGAGGCTAGCTAACTGCAAACACGCCAAGGCCTCAACACACAGTTCGTTCTTGCTCAAATATCTCCCCGCAGCTGCTTCCGTTGTTCCTCTCCTCTCCCAGCAACTCATTTTCCGACAACAATCTGTACGTTCTTGCAAGCCTTGCTCCAATGGACAGGAGCAGTGAAGCATGATCCATATACTGACTGGGCTATAGTCGCAATCCCACGAAGATGAGAGCCAAATGGAGAAAGAAGAGAGTTAGGCGCCTTAAGCGTAAGAGGCGCAAGACCCGTGCCCGCAGGTATGTTTCAATCAATGGGACTGTCGGTGAATGAGGCATGATATTGACCTCTTCCACAGCAAGTAAACGCGTCAATCGCTCCATCTCATCGTCCCTCTCGACCAATGTCAATGATAACTTCAACAATGAGCTGAGTCCTCAAAACTCGAGTCTCGACTTTAGCAACAACAAATACCTCTACGAAGCATTCACTTCGACGGATACGCAAGGAGGATTGTTGGAAGAATCGGCCTTACTATTTTGACAATATGTCACTGTGTAAGAGGAGTGGAAGATGGTCAACCCACCAATGGAGCTTTCTGATGGTTTACTTATGATGTCTTGGACATACTACGGAGGATTCGGAACGCAGAATCTCCAGACTACGATCTACATGTTCAACGACTCAGGGTTTCCAATATTCAGAGCTGTAAATAGCACTCAAGTGTCCTGGATGTCGTATCTACCGATGCTTCATCTGCAAGGCACTTGTGCCAGAACGTCAATCAATCAAATGTGCTCTGAACAATCATGCCTCCCTAAAACTGTCAATGATCCGTTGCCATCTTTCCATGCTGTAAATCTCAGCTGCTGTTGGTCCTTGTCTGTGAGGCCTCTTCGAGTAGATATAACAATTGTGTGTTGTGTGACGTCCTGTGGGGCGGCGCCTTCTCGGCTTAATGCTGAACGCCAGCCAAAAATTATTTTTCAGAGTTGGAGATCGTAAACCGCATCTCTTCCATTCTTTCGAGCGCAGTCCATCATCCTTGAGCCTGTCTACCCCCACTGTCTGTACGAAATGGCTGAGAAGAAGCGCAAAGCAGTTGCTCCAGAGGGCGAACGACCAGCCAAGAAGCCCCAGACCAGCAAAGTCAAGGTCACTCACCTGTCGACTGCTGACATCGCAAAACCAGTCGTCGGTAAGGAACCATCACCACGACCACAGCACATTACTGACAACTTGCTAGCGTCCTCCCCAGGTTTCAACCTCCCTTCCAACGCGTCGTTCAATGCCTTCTCCAAGAAGTCTTCTGCACAATCCACACTCCTCCTGCAGTCCTCGACGCATCCAACGATAGACTATCTCGCGACCGAGAGTTCCACGACCGATGTCGCCGACAAACATGTCAAGCACTACATCGCGGTCTTTGACCCAGTGACTTCCCATCTCAAAGTCCTCCCAGCCAAGAAGATGAGCGTCCGCTCGAGCGTACGCACACCAGGACAAGACTCCAACTCAGACTCTGAAGCCGAAGCTACCCAGGCCACACCTTCCTCTCGCGCAGCGCTGACCGCAGCCTTCGGCACAAAGAAGTCCAAAAAAGCAGTGGCATCCATGGCCGAGAATCGACTTCTCGCTCACGCCGGAGACGCCGCAGACGGCACCCAGGACGCCCTCTCCTCCGCCATCCTCTCATCCATCAAAGACGAAGGCGACGACGCCGACACAGTTGACCAGGCCACCGCCCGAGCCAACAAGCCCCTCCCACAAGCCGACCTCTCCGCAACAGACATCACACAAGTCTACCCATTCTCATCACTCATCTTCCCCGGTCCCCCACGCACAACCCTGTCCCAAATGCCCATAGCATACTGGCGCGACCGCATCGGATCCTCCAAACCCGTCAACTCGCGCTTCCGCTTCATCGCACACAGAGTCGAGGGCTTGACAAAACCACACATCGACAACCCCGCCGACAAGACGTACTTGACTAACCTACAAATTCTGCGGTACATCCAGCTCCTCCTCGAAATTCACACGTACATTGCGCGTCTGCCCCACCGGCGACCAATTCCAGATCCAGAGAAATGGCCTGCAAAGACCACATCCGACGCCTCCCTCTCGACGACATTCCTGTCCAAGTTGATTTCGCATTTCTTCCCAACGAGTCAACCTACGCAGCAGGCCAAAACTCTGCTTATTACCACGATCCTAGCTCTCACTTTACATATCCCGCCGCCCAAGTTCCACGCTGGCCAGGACTTGCCGGCCCTGATCACGGAGCCGACCGATATCAGTCTCGATCTGGCGCTGCAGCCTGCCGAAGTAAATAAATATTACCGCGAGTTGGGATGCAAGATGGACAGTCTGACGGAAGGGGAATTGACGAGATACGGGTGGGAAAAGGCGGGCAAGGCGAGGAAAGTGGTTGATGCGACTGGAAAGGAGGTCAGCCTGCCGAAACCCAAATTTGCGAAGCTCAGGTTTCCTATTGAATTTCCCAAGGTCAGTTCCGGAAGGCCGTCTGCCAGGAGATGATCTCGCATCAGTGTGGCGCTCGATAAGCAGGCATGGCAGGTAGCAATTTGTCGGGGGTTGTGACAGCAATAGAGGCGAAACATGTCTATGATGAATATGCAAGTCAAAATGTAGCTGATGGAAGCGAAAACGGCCACGAGGACGTGGCGATTTGTATTTCCTCTCTCCGGCTACGAGAGGTAACCGAAACTAAATTTTGTATATATTGGCTGGCTGAAGAGCCTGACTTTTGCCTCACTCAGGCAAAGAACGCTGATCACCTCCCCACTTTCTCGTCCTTACATGCGACGAGCACTTCCTCTGCTGTCTAGGAGGAAAGCTCAAGCCGCAGCAGCCGCGATGGGCATGACGCGCTCCTCAGTCACTTCGTCAGCGACGGCGGGCTCGGCGACCGTCTCAGCATGCCCCAGCTGGGCATCTGTCCAGAGTGGCTCGACTGGAGTAGCATCCTTGACGCCGACTCCAACAAAGCCGCCTTGTGCGGCCCAGTCCGCAAGTCGCTTAATGTCCAAGCGCTGCCAAACATTCTCGAGAGCATCAACCAACTCGGCTCTCAATTCAGTGGTGTGGCCGGGTGTGGGAGTGATGCGAAGTCTTTCCTCGCCGCGTGGGACAGTAGGGTAGTTGATGGATTGAACGTAGATACCATAGTCGCTCAAAAGCATATCAGATGCTTGCTTCGCTGTCTCGGCGTCACCAACCAAGAGAGGCACAATGTGTGAAGGGTTCGGGATGACGGGGATACCACGTGCAGTCAGGTCGTCCTTCAATGCTCGGGTATGCAGTTGCTGGAGACGTCGATCTCCTTGGTACCTGGCTTGATACTCAATTGCAGTACGGGCGCCAGCCATGGTGGCAGGCGGAAGACTGGTAGTAAAGATGAAGCCTGGAGCAAGAGAACGAATCGCGTCGACCATGGCAGCTGAGCCGGCGATATAGCCCCCAACGCAGCCATACGCTTTGCCCAGTGTGCCGGTGATGATATCGATTCTGTCCATGACACTGCCTTTCTGCGACTCACGTGTTCGGTCGGGGTTGGCGTAGACCTCATAGTCGAGGTGTTCAGCCACGCCAGCTCCTCTCGGGCCATACATGCCTACTGCATGGACTTCATCCAAAAAGGTGATGGCGCCGTATTTGTCGGCCAGATCGCAAATCGCTTCGATAGGAGCAACAGAGCCACACATGCTATAGACGGATTCAAAAGCAATGATCTTGGGCTGCTCAGGTGGCAGACTTGCCAGCTTCGACTCCAAGTCGGCCAGATCATTGTGCTTGAAAACCATCTTCTTCGCACCCGAATGGCGAATACCTTGAATCATGGATGCATGGTTCATACTGTCACTCAAAATAACGCAGTCAGGTAACTTGCTGCCGAGGGTAGCCAGTGTGGCGTCGTTGGCAACATAGCAGGAAGAAAAGACCAGGGCTCCGTCTTTGCCGTGAAGGTCGGCCAGTGTCTTCTCCAAGGTTACTGCGTGCTGATTGTGGCCGGAAATGTTTCTAGTTCCTCCGGCACCAGCACCATACATGTCGAGAGTCTCGTGCATCGTCTTCAACACATGTTTGTTCCGACCCATACCCAAATAATCATTTGAGCACCAGACGGTCACGCGCTCCTCTGGTACGGCCATATGTGCGCGGGGAAATTCTTTGGCGAGCCTGTTGATGTTGTTGAAATACCTGTATGACTTGTCCTTATGCTTCTTGTCAAGCTCATTCTCATAGAACCCTTCATAGTCGAAACGAGGCTTGAGTGGGGCCGTGGGCTTTGGACCGGGGTAAGTGTCTGTTTTCTTGACGAAGGCCTTTGCTTTTTGAGGTGGCGGAGCTTGAGAACAGTTAGCAATGGATTGGTGACGAGACTGCAAAGAAACGCATACCTTTCTGGGCAGGGCGAATCATGCTGGTGTCGACGTTGGCTTTCTTCTCGGCAGAAGTATGCAGCTTCTTCTCAAGCAATGACTTCACCACTCCGGTACCGGTGGCAATCTTGCCATAGCTGCGTTGGGTGTTGAGACGAGCACTCTGAACAGCAAGCGCCTTGTTCATGACGGGACATCGTCTCGCAATGTGCTGCAGGTTGGTGATAGTACCGCCTCCAGGTGAATGACGGGTCGAGGTGGACAGCGAGCGCAGAGTAGCCGGGGAGGTTTTTTTCAAGAATGGGCAGACACCCTTGGATTGGTGTAAAAGAGCCTCCATGATGTTGGTATTGCAACGAAGATCGCTCCGTCGCAAATAGAGAGTGTATGAAGAGGGAGAGAGGTGTATGAAGGAGGAATGTGGGAGAAGTGAGGTTGTTGTTTCAGCGCAACTTCTTTGCGAGCTGCTAGTCTCAAGAATCCGAGTAATATGGGGTCAGCGACAGGGCTTGAAGCGGCTTTCTCTATGTGCCCCCACCATTAAAGTGCCGCCTCCAAATCCAGGCACTTTCGGACGTTTTGGAGGCCAATCGCCTCGCTTGGATTTCTTTCGCGCCCATCAATCTGGTACTCGCTATTTCTTTCTGCTTCCAATCATTTTGCCTTACCTTTGACGTGTCGATTTCCTTCCGACTATGATGACTCCGAGATCCAGAAACCCTTTTTCTCTGCCGCGGAACCCTTCACAGCACGCTGAACATGTTGTTGTCCGGTTTCCAGCCGCGTCTGCCGCCTTCTCTGGCTCCGGTAAAATGTTCAACATTCGAGGCCTCATGATGGGCCAAATTGTTTGTGGTTCCTGCCCGAATAATCCACTCGTACGCTCAGTCGCCTGCTGGACCGCGGAGACCGCCCTGCAGGAACCATCCTTGCCATCCAGTCATTCTTGGGTAGGTCTAAATTTATGCTGGCCGCTGCGTTGATCCTGCGGGCGGATGATTAACGCCACAGCACACCGATGCATAGGTATGCTTGCCAGACCTTGCGCAGCATGACTGTCTGCAAGTGGCGATGTATCGTCGTCTCAAGCGATCTTGCTTTCTTGACATAATCGACACGACTGCCTGAGCACCAACAGGCTGACTCCAGCAGCGGCTGACCAACCCTCGAGATGATATTCACTATGGAGGCAATCACGGGCGCTATAAAGCCTCAGAACCACCCACATATTGGACCTCTTGCTCACTCGACCCAGGTGCAATATCGTGTGTTAAAGTTGGAGCAATCTTCGCCAACAAGTGCTGCAGCTCTTCACTGCCGCAGCAGCCATTGCGTGTCCTGCTACCTCATATTCAGACAAGTGAGCATTGGACGTTACCTACTGTGTCTGCAATTGCATCTCAGCTCGGTATCAATCCCAGCCTGTTTTCTACCACCGTCAAGTCTTTGTTTCCGCAACTTGTTTGGTCATTCTAATGCGCCCTTCCAGTCTAGGTGCGATAGCCCTGGTCCAGTCGACCTGAAACTCCTCCATGCTCATGCTGTCACAGCACTTGCCCTGCTCTTTCAGTCCAGCCAGACGCCTCCACTTACGCATCACTTGTTGTATGATCCGCAACTCCCGTTCACTCCATTCCTCCTCATGAACCTCGACTGGGCGACTGATCTCATCGTCCGAGTCGTCCAAGTGCGTAGTCATCACTGATTTTCTCCGTTTTGTGTTCCGCGAATCGTTTTGCATCGCCTTCTGGTTCGGTTCGACAACAGGGTGCGTTTCATGAAGGTCTTCATGTACACCGTCCCAATGCCTGCTCAAGCTCTTGCCCCAATGCTTCCATTTACCAACGATCTTCAATGACATGAAGTACTGCCGAAGCAGCATGCTGATCAAGATGCCGTTCTCTTCAGAGACAATCTCCTCCGCTTGTCCTCCTTCGGATTCCACGAGCAAAGAGTCGAATCCGTCCTTCCCTCGTCCCATATACCCTCTCGTCACGACGACATACTTCCTCTCCAGATCAAGCGGTCCACCATCGACTTTAGCCCAGTTTATGCGATGATTCGGAGGCAGCGAGGGATCGAATTCGAAAGATATATTGGAAACTTGGGGAAACCGGCCCTCCAATGCAGGATATGCACAAACGGAATTCTCCAAGGCCGCCAAAAGTGCGGCGCCCGTTATGCGAATGACAATGCAAGGATCTTCGAACGGGAAACTGCAGAGCAACATGTCAGCCTTTCCCTTTCGTTCTATGCAGTGAACAGACTGACCAATTCATAACATCCTTCAACTTAATCACTCCAGGCGGATAAATTTGATCACCCCGAACAGTCCCCGATGCCATCAAACAGCAATCGCCATCGTAATAATGCCGCATCAAATCACACACGAAGTTCCCTAGATTCGACTCCTTCAGGCGAACAGTCGTGAACCTAGCGTCCAGCGGCGCAGCAGTATACCCAAGAGGTTTTTCGAGTTTCGATTTCAACGACTCCGTCACGTCGTTAGTGACCTCGAGCATCTCTGCATCCTCAGCAATCTCCGATGTGATGTCTCGACGAACGATATGAAAATCCCATCTTCCTGGTGTTGACCGTCGCCTTGCCTCGATGTAACTGAGCTGTTTGAAGTCGGTGCCCGATCTCAGAACATGCGTCTCATTGATCAGTGTGTGCGAGTAGTAGTGGTCGTGTCCGCCAAGGACCAAGTCAATCAGACCTTCAGGGATCTTCTCCGCGAGTTTGTTATCATTCGGCTCGCGCTGGTGCGTTACTGCGATGATAATGTCCGCGCCCTGCGCTCGCAGACCAGGCACCAGCTCCTTCGCGGTCGCCGACACGGACTTGTATACTAGATTCGGTGGCAATGAGTTGATTGTATCGAGCCACTCGCGCTCGACGAGCCCGACGAGCCCGATCTTGATACCATTCGAGGCTGTGAGGATGGTCGTCTTTAACGCATTGCCTAACGGCACGTCCTCGCCTAGTTGAGGGTCTGGGGGGCGTGTCAATCGTGGTCTACCTCAAGACGAGACCAGTCCAGACATAGGATGCATAGCTTACCTGTAACGTTTGCCAGAAGCCAGGGAAAGTCACACTGCGAAGCAAGACTGCGGAACTGTTTCACGCCAAAGTCTAGGTCGTGGTTCTGCAGGAGTGATGTCAGTCGATGTTACTATACCCTTGTCCCCGGTATATTATGGAGACATTCATAGACTTACTCCCACACAAGCAGCATCTGTGCCGATCAGATTCAAGACAGGCACCATATGACTTCCTGTCTCATGTCAGCCATGTCGATATGAAGCACGTGAGCATAAGTATTCCAGACAGAAGCTCAATATCAGGACAAGCAAGGGATATGTGTACCTTTCGTCACACTACTCTCCAAACTCGGATTGAATGCATCGCCCGAAAACAAGGTGACCAGTCCCGGTTGGCCTTCAAACCGGGCATCATTGCGGTAGTATTTGCACACCGTCTGGAAGCGGGCGACACCACCTACTGGCTCAGCAGAGGAGGAGTCGAGATGGTACACTAAGTGCTGTGTCAGTACATCATCGTGGATGACATAATTGTACCGAAAAACAGAAGCCGTACCGTCATTGTAGTGCAAGAGTCTAAGGTCAGGCGGCGAGGAAGTATCGCCAGCAGTGTAAGTGACCGCTTCCTCCATGTTGACTGCGACAATATCAGGTCATTCTGGGAGACCGTGCATTAAATCAGCTCGAGCTCATCGCAGACTAGGTATACTCCGGGCACGAGCATTTAGTAGTGGCTTGGAAATGAAAATAGTCGAAGTCATGTCGCGTGCCCTTATCTGTGGCTTCGGCTATTATGGAAGACATGGGGTGCTGACGGAGATCCAGATCAAGCAACCAACGGCTTGGTATGCTCGGCAGCGGGTGTTTCTGCCAGAAATCAGCTTACATGATGGCTTCACATTCTACTATAGCATTTCGTTGTTCAATTGTGTGCGCTTTCCTGGCGATGAATACCTAAGTGCCAGGTATCTTTGAGGGCTGTTTCGTTGACTCAGTGAATTGGTGACAAGTCAAGTTAACGGTGGCATTGTGGTGGTTACCCTGCATGACTGACGGGGCAGGAGTTTGACCCACGTCTCAAGTAAACCACTAATAGCGAATGCGGAACACCAAGCCTGATACTGATATGCGTGGCGCTTGCCCAATGCGCAAATCCATGTTGGCAGCAGAAACGCGAGCCCTGCATCTTTTTTCGTCCCTCAGGTCAAAGGTCAGTAAATACCAAGATGTCATGGCCGGACATCAGTAGCGATACTGAAAGATGCCAGAGTCTGACCTCTATTATTCACAGGTCCTAAGTCTCAATGACGAAAGAAAATCCTTCACACCGAGCTAAACCTTGAGGGGGGAGGACTCCCAGTGACGGATATCGCGGTCCATACTGCAGGCACCCGTCGCTGTGGCCTTTTCCCAGTGACAACACCGAGGAACAGAAATCGAAGAGATGCAGGCTCCCGAGACCTTTGTCACAGCCGTGAGATACAGATCCCTCTGTTTCGCCAAGCCCTTCGTCGCTCTACTCGCATTCACTTGCGCCCACCGTGCAAGACGCGGTCACGATCACGCTACGTTGATGAAAATCACGTAACGCCCATACCTCTGTGCGACATGCGATCGTGCCCTACCCTTCCGTGGTATATCACGATCCTGATGTTCGTACAATGGTTCTCGAGATGAAGAGTCGGGAAAAGTGGACAAGGTTGCTTTGAGCGCTGACAGTGGAAAGGTCCTATCCACGCATGCACTTAGGCGATGAAGACACTCAGCACATCCCGAAGCGACGGTACAAGTACTGTCCAGTCGCAAGCGTCTGTGGCCGGTACTGTTCTTTTCGCGATTGCAGTATCAGCCCTCTCTGCTTGCGCTGCTACTGAGGCCTTGAATAGTTTTCAACCTGAGCCTCTACGCAGAAATGCGAGTGTGTGCATGGAAGGCACTTCCCTGTCAGCGTGGCTTCCAGTCCTCCTCCTACCTTCCGAGATCTTAATGCCGCTTGTCGAATATGAAACCAACATATTCAGACGTATATTACAGGCAAATCATCCACAGTCTTCCTGTTGACCAGGTTGAGGAACATGAAATGAAGAAGAGAAATAAACTATAAAATGTCACAAGAAATGCGCGCATGAAGTGACCATGGCCTGCATGTTTGAGATACGAGCAAGGAGCGAGCTGCGATAGATGAGAGAACCCGATGACGAGTCGAAGTCCGAAAAGCCAAAGTCGAGACAGCCGAGTGCTGGTTGTATTGTGCTTACGAGCTTACGATCATCCACACATCTGGCAGTCCATGTGAACACAAGAGAGCTAATCTGAGGGTTGAAGACAATATCATCATCTGCATCTCAAATTCATTCGTCTGTTCCATGCGAAGGCGCATGATCGCCTGACACTGGACAACATCACGTCCTGTTGTCACCGACTTTGACGCTAGGACACAACCTCATACACTGCAAGAGGTCGTCAACCTTGATTTTTGCAAAAGCCTGTCTCACATCGTCCAGCCCAATGCCCACCAATAGCTCATCACCCAGGTATCCCACTCCTAAACGCGCCATGGTCTCAACATCATCCTGTTCTTCACCCTCATCGCCTATCCCAGCAGAATGAGGACTCCACGCCCATGCCAAACTCGGCGTGTACGTGAAAGATGCCTCAGTTCTGAAATCACCAGTGTCACCCGAAGCATGTCCTCGACCAGCCTTCATCCTCTTTGCAAGCATCGTCCCCATATCCGTCCCATTCCAGCCAGTGTTCTCTTCTGGCCAGTTCTCAGCAACAGTCCAGGGCTTGGCTCGCTCATTACGCGTCAAGATTGGCCACCGACTAACAGTCAATACTTGGAACGGCGGCCGACCGTCCCACACCACCCCGTACCGCTCATACCGCAATGGCAAGTCTATCTTGTTGCTGAACTTGCGGTGCATCACGGCGACATGAACAGACCTCCCATCCTCGACTGCATCCTCTTCGTCACAGGTTCCGCTCCTCGCCTGCGCTCGCGTGCACAGTATGAGTCGAAGGGCATTGGACCCCTGATGCCAATGTCCTGTGTTCCCAAGGTTATCCGCGTCGGTGACCATATCAAGTCCCGAGCTAAGACACGGTAATTCATCAGGATGCGTCAGGTTTGTCGTTGTGAAGCCATTCCCTATCAATTTCGCGAACGTTCTTCCGCCTTGCAAACGTGTCCTTGTCCCTATTTTGGTCTCATTCTTCCTTGTGCTGGCGGTGCTGTTCTTGTCGGGCACATGTTCAAGCATATCGTAGTGTACATACGCGTCGTCCCTGTTTGGGAACCACATGACCCAATTCTTCTCGACGCTTGAGCGACTCGACCAAGGATTGCGCGTAATCTCAGTGAGATGAGAGTAGCTCATTAGTGGGCCTGTGCCAGGCTGTGCTGCACGTCCGCGGGCGAGAATGGCGTCGAGCTCAGGGAACAATGTACGCAAGTCCACGATCCACAATCCCACGCACCCGTAGCGACTAGCGCTGTTAACAAGGATCAAAGGCTCGCCTTTGCCAGACCAGAAGATCCGTGGGTCGTGGAACCCCGGAATATCAGGGAAGGCCGTCCACGCGCCGTCGCACTTCTCGGCTGGTGTGGGCGGGATGTTCAGCGCGATAGGCGGCGAAGTACATCGCATGCCGCCGTGTGTGCCGAGGAGGGCGATGTCATCGGATGTGCAAGCTCTGTTGTCGGTATTGGACTCATTCTCAGGTACGCAAATGTCTGCCAGACAAATGTGCGATTCTTGGTGGAATCCTGCGGTGACTAAACGCGAGACGAGGATGTACTTGGGTGCACCTGGACAGCTTGAGGACCAGTGCGGCAACGGGATGATGGCTGGATTGAAGAAGCGCGCATTGGGATCGTGAGTGCTGCCCGGCGCCGTCAGGCTGATCTTGTACAGGATATTTTGCAGACGGACGTGATGCGTGACGGGGTTGAATGTGGCTGTCGAGTTTGTCTGGAAGGATGCGATGAGCGGGTGGGCCGCAGGAATAGGGCGAGTTAGATGTTTCTCAAGGAATACTTTGTCGGTGCCATGGTGGGTGGTGACATTGATGAGAGTGAACTGTGTGTCTCTTTGGGTGTAGGTTCGCAGTGCAGCGTGAAGGAGAGAGCTCGCAGACGGGTGCTGGCGCTGGAGAGTCCTTGTATAAACGAGCAGGAGGAGAGCGACGAGTGTGAGTACAAGCCATCGTCGTGCTGACGGTATGTAGAACATTGTATTGGATGATGGATTGAGCCTTCAGGGTTGTCTTCAGTTTGCAAATGGGGTGAAGTTTGTCATGATATGGAGGTGATCCCATGGACAACAGGTATGCGTATAGGTGATTGACCCGGAAGTGAATGATCCAATTTCATTCACAGTTTAACATGTACCATTAGTAGTGGACGTCCAGGTCTAAACAGTAATACCCCTTTTCATGCTGTACACCTCTAAGCATCTTTAATAGTCCTCCCATTTTCATGTCTCGTTACGCCGTCGCTAGGTAGGTATTTCCAACATCTGATTTTCGAAGTCAACAGAGGCATCTAGCCTTCTTCGTCTTCCGACTTGTCGCTGTCATCATCCGCATCGTCTCCAGACTCCCACCCTTCAGCTTCCAGGTTGGGTGATCTAATGCCAAAGCTCAATAGAAAACCGATAAAGGCGATGCCTCCGAAAAGACCAAATGCTAGAGCTTCTCCTTTCGGGCGGACCTTTGTTGCGAGGGAGAAGAGGCCGCCAGACAAGAACGGCCCGACTGCCCGACCAGCAGCCGAAAGTGTCTGAGCAAGGCCATTCAGTGTGCCGAGGACAGAGTGATTAGGAGCGGAATTGGTAATCTGCTTCTCGTCAGCTCGACTACAGAATTGGGCAATGCGATGACTTACCAGCAGCAGAGCACTTGTCAGACCTCCAACCGCTGCAACTGTCTTGATAAGGAGCACGACGCAGATCTCAATCCATAGCCAAATGGAACCACTTGATAAAGCTGGCTCACCCTTTCTCCCTTTGTAGCCAACCCACGGCATAAGAAGATAAGCGACAACAAAGCCCGCAAGGCCAGCTCTGTATGCCCATCTGTTGCCCATCTTGTCACGTAGTTTCCCAAAAACACCCACTTGGAACACGATTGTTACCAGTCCGGCAAAAGCAAGTGAAAGCCCTATTTCTTCGGGATCCAGGTTTCGTCCAGTTGGTGGATCAGCCTGTGCGAAGATTGGATACAGGGAATTGAAGGAGATATTCGATAGCTGGAAGATGAGATATGTAATGAGCAGCAGAATTGTGTCTCGATTAAGGACATCCTTGCTCTGCAGCTCCTCTGTTGCCGCAAAGAAATTGGTGTCCTCGTGGTTTGCATCATCAGCACCGTCATCAGAGGCATCGGACGGTGCACTCCCAGGATTTTGTTGCTGCCGTCCTTTGAACTTCCGTCTCAAATATGAAGGTCTGCTTGACGAGGTGAACTGCCATAACCTGGTAAAAATATGCTTCACTCTGGTACCCAATGGTGCCATATATTGTGCTTCTTCTAGCGATTCCTCGAGAAATATTGCCGTAACAACTAGGTCGACACACAAGACAGCGGCGGAAAGCAGATTCGGAAGGAGATATGGATATGGGTTCGGTTCCGACTTGTTGAATGGATTCGTTTGCGAGACCAGCACACCGCCAATGAGGGGCCCTGTTATTCCTCCGATGCCGTAGATGACGGGTAGATATACGAAGGCTTTGGACTGGTTGCTGCGGTCGGTGATTTCGCCTAAGCAGGTGGAAACGACACCTTGGTTGCCATTCAAGAGACCCATCAAAGCCTGAACGAGGATAGCTTGCCAAAGCGTCCTGCAAAAGCCGAATGCAACAAAGCATGCTGCCGTAAACAGTGTTCCCAATAGTATCACTGGCTTCCTTCCAATACGATCAGAGAGCCAACCCCAGAAGAAGTTTGTTGTGAGCTGCGCAAGCGCAAAGGCTGATGCAATCAATCCGACATAAACGCCAACCTGGCCAGCCTTTACTTCTGGGAACGTCGAAGCCATATCAGGTAGATAAGGACTGATGGAGTTGAGCGCAGTCTGCTCGCACAGTGCTATAATGGCTAGGACGGCCATCTGTTTCTTCGGCAGAGGTGAGGACTCGTGGTGATGGCCATTATCGGAGTGATGGTCATGGCTAGAGGAGTTTGAAGAGTCGGAAAGAGGCCGACCTCGCGATTTCGGAGGTGCGATGCCACCGAAGGTCTGGTAGTGAGGAGTAGAGGATTTCCGTCGCAGCAAAGGGCTGCCTTGCTGGGAGGGCTTCATCATTGCATTTCAAGCATGCACACACAGGACTCGAAATCGGTCTTGTGGAGGGTTGGGTTGACTTGTAAGCGCTTGCGATCAAGGAAATCAAGATATATAATTCAAGACAGTCCTCTTCGTGGAGGACAAAGATCGAGTCAGGAAAGCCAAAGGGAAATCAGGACCGTCGTCGACGATCTGCTATACATGACAGAAAATCTTTGGGAAGGCAGTAACGAATCTGCAGGTACGACAAGTCATATTGTGAGTAGCAGGAAACGCTTTCGGCATTTGGATGACGTCCGTCCTCGCTAACAAATTTAAGCTCGGTGATAGCTGGAATCGTGGATTTGGGCGGTCCGAATGCAGCTAGCAAGAGATTCCCACCACTAATTCGGTCATGTCAGAATAACCCTAGCCTCTCGTGCCTCTCTAGAGATACGCAATTATGGCATTTCGAGGCTGTGCGAGGTGGCAGCACATGAAATAAATCATTGTGGTATCATATACATAATCCCGTGGCTCGACATTGGAACGAAAAGAAGTATACGACTCTTGATCAGTCCGAGATCCCGGGGGCAATTTGTTCAACATGTGATATGACCCCGGTTTTCGTTCCATTCTCCTGACCTCCTGTCGTTTGGTTGGTCTTGTAGTGCTGGGTAAAATCATACCGCAGTGCCATGGGAGACTTCATAAACTCTTTCAGAGCCTCGGTGTTGCCTTGCATGCTGTTGACCACTTTGAGGAACTCGTCATTTTCCAAAGCTTTGTCCGGATCTTGATCGAACAGCCGCTTGATGTTGTCTGTGGAGATTGGGTCTGTGACGGCGTAAAACCTCTCTCGACGCATTTCCGAGTATTTGTCGAGAATGCTCTCGTCCGCCTGGCCTTCGTAAACGCCAATCAGGCAATCGTACAGGCCTCCGATGTCCGTCAACCCACCTGTTAGGCCAAGACCTCCAAAGGGGTTGTTTACTTGGGTAAAGAGTCAGTGCTAAGTACCTTCTGATATATCTGACGATTAACTCACGGTGTGCGGCATCAGCTGCAAGTAAAAATCTTCCCACTCTCATCTTGTCCACGATTCTCTGATGAATCTTGTAAGGACTGATAGCGGCAAGATCGTATTGATCAGGCTTGGGATTTCCTGGTAGCATTGCCTCGAATTTCATAGGTTGACGAGCAATCAGTTCTTCGCGCGTAAGACCTGAAAGCTCGCCATAGCTCACTCGCCACCATCCACTGCCGTCGGCATTCTTAGTGAGTCGCGCAACCATATGCCAATGCTCTGGGTGAATGAAAAAGTTGGCATCGTCATAGCCATATTTTTCAAAAGGGTAAGCCACCTGGCGAGGATCAGAGAAATATTCTTCCTGGTTGGGTAAAGACACATACATTCGTCGCGACAATCTGTTTGTCCCAGGTCCAGCCCGGAAACTCCTTCCCGTACAGACACCTTCTCACAGCGCTGGAGGCTCCATCGCATCCAACAATGTAGGTGGCCTCTAAGCGCTTCTCACCCTTCGGTGTCTCTACATCGACCCATGCTTTGTCTGCGTCCTGACCAATGTCCAGGACTTTATGGTTGAAGAACACTTTGAGCGTCGGTTGAGCAATAGCGTGTCTGTACAGCAGGCGATCAAGCTGAGCCAGAGGAAGACATGCTATACGGTCGGGATAATCGTGCAGAAGACTGTTGTCAAGGCCAGCAAGAAAAGTGCCGTCGAGCTTCCGCCACGATGTCATTTCCGGATCGAAGCCTTCGCCGCGAATGTCGTCGATGACACCAGCACGCCGTAATTCATACGCAGCAGGTGGACCATAGTATGCCGCACGAGGAGAGTCATCCAGTTCTGCAGAAGCCTCCACAATGTGTACTCTCACGCCTTTTTTCGCGAGCATCACACCCAGTAGAAGTCCGGAGGGCCCAGCGCCCACTATGATCGTCCATGGTTTCTCGGAGTCCGCCATAACTTAACTAAAGGAATGAACTCCGTCTGTATTTGTAAATTCCCAAAGGAAAAGCGTAGAGTGTCAGTCGAATTCTGATCTGGGAGTCAATCATGCTTTTTTATCCGCGTGAACGCCTCTTGAGCCCCGCGATCTAGCTTTACTAGAGATCCATCAGGAGACATGCGTGCCGCCTACCATAGGTGCCGAGAACGCCTAGGAGTCGTGCTAACGACCATGGGGGTTCTCCGGATGTGGAGAAGTCCAAGGCGTGTAAGAAATGGTGGGGCGTAGCACGGGATTGTGAGGAATGTGGTGATGGCAAATGAAGGCCGCAAAACATGTTGTTGAAAGAAGTGTCATTTGCTCCAAGACACACATCTGGATCCTCCCGCTCGTAACGTCGTGAAGGTAGGGACTTCTAGTGTTTGCGCCTACAATTGGCGTTAAACTCTTTTGCAGATGCGATTCTTCTTAGCCGGGGCCGGTTTGGAGTAGATGGATCACTGTTCGCCGTGTTCGGAGCCTCGCCTGAGCCTCTTGAGCCCCGCATCGGCATCATACATACAGAACTTACCAAGGCACATAAGGCCAGGATCTACAAGAAACTCTGATTAAGAAGCATTGTATCCTGTGCTTCAAAGCTTCTGTATTTATACACATTAGACTGTCAGTGGGGCTTTCCCGACCATATATTCATTCTCAGATATCTAGCCTCTTATCGCACGTTGGCGTAAGCAGCACCCATGGCCAGCAACGATGACAAGGTGGCGGACGCCCACAAGACGCTTTATGAACAGGGTCTGCAGATTCGCAGCGAGGTGACGGGCGCTGAACACGTCCAGCGTTCTTTACAAAATGGATCATCAGACTTTGCTAGGCCAATGCAAGAACTCGCCACAGAGATGGGCTGGGGAAGCATCTGGACTCGACCAGGGCTGGAACGAAAGACACGGAGTCTGCTGAACATCGCCATGCTCTGTGCATTGAATAGAATGACCGAGCTTGCAGTACATGTTCGAGGTGCAGTCAACAACGGTGTGACTGAACTCGAGATTCGGGAGACTTTGATGCAAGTTGCAGCTTACTGTGGATTGCCCGCAGGGCTCGAAGGCGTCCGAGTTGCTCAGAAGGTGCTGGAGTCAATTCGTGAAGAAAGCAAGACTTGATAGGGAACATGCGAGTCAGGTTGTGTTGGTAGAAATTCGTAGTCAATCATGGCTCAAACACCACACCGACGTGTCTTCTCTTTAGGGCCTCCGCACTTCATTTGTCGATGTGCACAGATCAAGACATGTGAGTACCATGACCTGGAGGAATGCTTCCCAGGATGCTCCCAGAAGTACTTCTGTGAGCAGGGTAAGAATTGACTACCTACCTACCAGTAGGTGAAGGCCGGATCGATCCTTGGGATGGTCAAGCAGCATCTCATACGTGGTAATGACTTGTAGACATCTGGAATTGATTAGAGACCTCGCTCGCATTGCTCCTATGTATATATAGAATGATCTTCGAGGCGCAAGAAGGGAAATATTAGGCGTCCTGACCTGACCTCAGCTGTTCTTTTGTACTTAGATCTTTTGGCTTGGCTACCTAGGTACCTACCTTGAGCCTATACGTACAACTTTCAAATGTCAGGATTTTAGGTGTGGAATATTTGAGTTTGACTGGCATGACTGCTATTTGGGGCGGTTTCTTGGGCAGCCTTACGAGCACAGTTTTGGACTCCGTTCAGACGATCAGTCCCGCCCGCTCTGGCTGACTGCAACTCACCTGAACTTGCTGCGACAATCAATGTTCGCTGGCATACCAGATTCTTCCTCGTCTTTATTATTAACGCCCTCTACCTTCATCGAGCTGTATACGTTGCTCGCCCGGAATTTGTACCCCTACCTCGAATGCACAATTGAGCGAATGCCGACTTCCCCCTCCTGCGGCGGCCGCCTTCTAATCGCTTGCCCTCATCGCATATGAGCCTGCGCACCCAGCCTAACACCCTTCACTCAGATCGCCAGAGCCGCTGAGTGCACCTGCGACTCGACTTCCATGTGTCGAATATGCGCCACGTCTTTCTAGGCCCAGCCTGCGTCGACTTCCTCCTTTGGCGTCGCGAGAGCCCTACGCATACCTCCCACCACTGAGATGGCCAGCTATCAGAACGGCCAGCCTTACTACTCCTCCAGTAACCACCCCTCGTCCGGTCAGAACAGCGGAAACGTTCCATATGGCTCGCAGCCTGTGCATCCGGCACAGCCATTTGCGAGTAGGACAAGTTTTGACGCCGGGGATGATGAACCATTATTTGGTGATGATCAGGCACAGGCGCGAGCTGTTCAAGGATATCAGTCGTATGCTGGGACGGCCGGAGGGAGTCCAAACATGAGCAGAACACAGTCCGCGAATATACAGTCTTCCGCGTCGAGTCCTTTCCGGACAAATACGCAGCATACCGTACTGGGTGGATATCAGCATCAATATCAGCCTGGGGCGCCCTCCCACACTACCTACAACCCCGCCCAATACCAGCAGCATCAGACAATATACAGTCCTCAACAACATGCTGGTTCGCCTGTTTCTCAAGCACCCAGTGCATATCAGCCCTACATCCCGGCAGCATACAGCGATCCGAACCTCAACCGCCGCCCTTCCGTGTACAACAGCTATGGATACTATGATGCCAATTCGCAACTGAACTATTCGTCATCTCAAGCCCCTCCGCCTCCTCTCCGTCCTGACCAGACCCCATATCCCCAGCAGCAAATTTATGGTGCCTACCAGCACGATGCAGGTCAACAATATCCCGGCCGCCACCCCAGTTCCTCGTCTCTTGGTCGGAGTCAGTCAACATATTCTCCGCCAGCACCAGCTCCTCCACCACACGATTCGTCCCTCACAGACCGCCGGCACTCAAGGTCGACCAGTATTCAGGAGGAAAGGTTCTCATATGGTTCTGGAGCCTCTGTCTCATACCAGAATTCCACTTTGACAGCCTATTCTTCACCGGATATCAACAGGAACTCCTCGTTCGCGAGCCGAATAAGCAATCAGTCTGCTTCACCGCAACCATCCATCCCTACTCCACCAAGTAGAAACCTTTCCAATGCCTCTCCACAGCGAATGAATACCCTCAATCGACATCCGCAAGGAAGGTCACTTCCGGGCGTACCCTCGGAATCCGAGTCCGACAATGACTATTTCGCTTCAGCTCAGTCTCAGAGCTCTACAGCCCGCGGTTCAGCAGCCTCGGGATATGATGATCTAATGAACCATTTGGATGAGGCCATAGGTGGTAGCACTAGACATACCAGGTCTTCTAGCGATCAGAGGTTTCGAAATTCACGGGACGAAGGCGTCGGCGGCCAGGCCCAACAGACTTCCCCACGTCCTCTTCTCTCGCCAGATGAGGCCCCAACGCATCTCAACGGGAGTATCGCCTCAACCGGAGACACTTATATCAATTATGGCGCATTCACCGATGACAGTGATGCAGAAGCGGCAGCTGGTCTGGCCGCTATGCAAGCTCTGGACGAGCAGGAGAGGGCCGAGGACGAGCGCAGGCGCAGCGGTTCGGCTACACTGTTTCCCACACAGCCTCATGAGGAAGAAGCTGGCCCTCGACTGTCGTCCAATGAACAAAGCAGTGACAGCGACTACACTGGTTATGATCTCAGTTCTGCCGGAGGTGGTTATGCCCCTGATTTGACCTATGGTGGAGCTCAAATGTCAAACTATGCTGCTGCAGCTTCTATGCCTCAAGCAGAACTATATGGTCGACTCAACAATCGGATGAGTTCAGTACGGAGCTCTGGTGTTTCTTCCGAGGGAAGAGAATCCCAAGCAAGCGGTTTCGAGTCAATTCCACCCGTCGAGAGCCTGGGGCCATTCTCTGTCGTCCCGAGTGTTGCTCGCGTGGATACAGGTGGAACAGGCGGCCTCACCGAACCAAGCCCACATCCTAGACGGTTGAGCTATGAAGATGGTGATGAAGGGGTCTTCGTAGACTCGGACACTGGCCATGCTTCAGGCGAGACGAGCCCTTCTCGGGACTCCATCCCGGACCTCTTCTTCCATCCAGGTATGAGCCAAAACCGACCGCTCCCGCCGCCTCCTTCACATTCCGATCCTGGCGCGAGAGTACCGCATTTAGTGCCTGCCGGCACATATACGCAACAAAGCCGCTTTTCGCAGTACATTGATACTACTGTAAAGCCATATCCAGCAGCTCCGGATGCTTATTCAAATGCTCTGCTCAGCCCTACCACAGTTCCTCGATCGACATCATTGTCAAGCATTAGAAGTGCTCCCAGAGTGGAATATCCGATGCGCTCGAAGACGGACGCAGATCGACAGAAACTTTTGCGGCAACAAGGACGTCCAGCATCGGATCTCTATGATATTGCTAGCCCACAATCTGCGGTTGCACTGGACCTTCCAGCCATACCTAAGAAAAGGTACAATGCTGCCAAATTGACTGCTGACCAGTTCAAGAAATGCACCGAGCCTTGGGCACTGAGCTCTCTCCTGGCCTGGATCAGGGACTTGGCCGAAGAAGAAGTTGACTTGAAAGAACACAACATCGCAGAGGGCATCGTTGCACTTTTCATGAATAAAGTACCAACAATGTACAACACCGAAGCCGAGGCCCTCGGGGATAGGGTCGTGAAGGAAATGCTAGCAACAGAAGCTTTAGTCAGAGAGGAGGAATGGGTCAAGTTCGGGTCTGGTACGCTGTCAGGCGTCCTGTATCAATTAACAGGCTCCGGTTGTTACTCCTCGAAATTGCACCTGAACCCGAGTCGAGGACGCTGCTATTCGTATCACTGTATGCGAACCCTGAAAAAGGTGGACCTCGATACTCTGCCCGATGAGAAGAAGACCGAGGACTGGGCCACATTTTACAAACTCAAAAAGGAAGACATTGAAAACCACGACAAGAAGGAAATCGAGCGACAAAACGTCCTACACGAAATAGTTACTAGCGAGGACCTCTATATCAGTCAATTGGACGTCCTCAGAGTCCTCTACCGCGACAGACTAACAGCCGCACAGCCACCTATTATCCCTGCAAAGAAGCTGCCAGGTTTCTTGAAGGAGGTTTTCGGTGGTGTTGACAGGGTGAAGAAAGTCAATCAAGATTATCTGCTGGGACAGCTCAAATATAGGCAGACTGAGCAAGGACCTTGGATAGCGGGCTTCAGCGACATCTTCCGTGAATGGATCAGAAAAGCCAGGCCTGTTTACGTTGAATACGCATCGAACTTCCCTCGTGCCGACTACCTCATGCGAAGAGAAGCGGAAAGGAACCTTCACTTCAAGACCTTCCTTGACCAAGCCCGAGAGGATAAGCGTTCCAACCGTTTAGGCTGGGACAATTTTCTCAAGGCTCCCATTACACGATTGCAACGCTACAGCCTCCTGTTATCGACGGTCCAGAAAAATATGCTGAAAGACTCTGAAGAGAAAAATAACCTTGCTTTCGCATTGGACGAAATCCGCGCGGCCACCTTTGAATGTGATTCCAAATTTGCCGAAATGACCAAGAAAATGGAATTGATCGAGATGCAAAGCAAACTCAGACTTCGAGCGCCCATGGAGAAGGAAGTGGAGCTCAATCTTGACCATCTGGGCCGCGAAATCATCTTTCGTGGCGACCTCCAGCGTGCTGGCGGCAAAGGGTTCCAATGGGTCGATACGCATGCGATACTATTTGACCATTACCTCGTTCTGGCGAAACCTCTCAGCCGGGATCGCGCCAAAGAAGGATACTACGATGTATCCAAGGTGCCTATACCGATGGATCTACTTGTCCTCGAAAGTGCCACGGACCAGGCTGTCGTGAAATCATCCGTCAAAGGCATTGGCGCCGTGACGACAACTGTCGTGCCTCGAGGGCAGATAGCTGCCGACAATCGACTTGCTAGAGCAGAGTCTAGAGCCAGTGGTGTGCCAGGCACGCTGAGCCACACAAATACCAGTTTGTCGATTGGATCGGGAAGCAACAGTCAATCGATGGTGCCGATTACATCACTAGAGTCTGGGAGCTCGAAAGAAGAAAAGATTATGTACCCTTTCCGAATCAAGCATCTCGGCAAGACTGAGACCTACACTTTGTATGCTCCCAGTGCTCAGAACCGACAAGACTGGTGTGAAGCGATCCTTCAAGCCAAAACGAGGCATGCCGAAGCCCTATTCTCCCAGAACGCTGAACCGTTCAAGCTCCGAGTCTTAGCGGACACTGCTTTTGGCTATGAGGGTATCTCTTATCCAGCGAGACAGATCGTAATCCGAGGAACTCCATTAGACAGGGCCATCCAAGAGTCGGACAAGATATTTGAGGGACAGGGGAGGCCAGCTCCAGTCTGCAGAGCCCCTGTGAACTGCGCAACAGTATTCAACCAACCCTATGGCAGACTCATGTGCGCCGTCGGCACGGACTACGGCGTGTACATCTCTGAGTATCAGAATTCACGGGGTTGGATTAGGGTGAGCTTCCTCGTGCGACCCGTTTCCGAATCTGCCACTGACAATTCTTAGGCCATTCAAATGCAGCGCGTAACTCAAATTGCCGTCCTCGAAGAGTTCAACTTATTCCTTCTCATCTCAGACAAGGCCTTGATCGCCTATCATCTTGATGTGGTTTGCCCACCCGCTGGAACGCCCGTCCCGCAGAATGATGCCTCGGGTCGCAAAGCACCTCAGAAGCTGTCTGGGTCCAAGGACGTGGGCTTCTTCGTGTCTGGCAAAATGAAGGAGAGGACGCTGGTCTTCTACAAGAAGCGTGACGGTATCGCCTCGACTTTCAAAGTGCTGGAGCCTGTCCTCCAAAAAAGCACAACGAGTCGATCACGATTCTTACCTTCCACCTCACGTCGTGGTCAAACTGAGTTCTTTAGAGAGTACGATGAGTTCTATATTCCAGCAGAGTGCTACAGTCTCAATCTGTATCAGTCAAGCCTTGCCATTTCAACCGCAAGAGGGGTTGAAGTGCTGACACTAGAGAAGAAGCAAACATGGAGCGTGCCTAACCTGAGGAGTGAACAGCCCGACACCCAAGCACATCTCAGCTCGATTGCCAGTCGAATCAAAGACCTGAAGCCGCTGGGTATGTTCCGGCTAGGAGAAGCGGAGTTTTTGGTCACTTTTGAGGAGTGTGCTGTCTATGTCAACAAACATGGAGACATTTCCCGTGGAGTGGTGATGGAATTTGTGGGCCGCGCGAGAGCGGCCTGTCTATACGCGCAATACTTAATACTGGTCGATGAGGACTTTGTGGAGATTCGAGATGCGCAGAATGGCAGACTCAAACAAGTCATCGTTGGGAAGGACATCAAGCTACTTGACGATGGAGGTGGTGGCGCCGGCGGACCCGGCGCCCAAACGCAGGCTGCTTTAGGAGGTGGAATCAATGGACTGGGTCTCAAGAACTTCGCCACTGCACCGCGTACGCCAAAGGTGGTGTTGCAACATCCGGAGTACGAGAAGAGCCATATTATTGTCGAGTTATTGTTGACGGCAGATGTGGAGTAGGGCGCATCATGTCAATCCTTACCCTGGATTGCTGGTGGACATGGCGTTGCTCAGCAGTATTGAGATCTTTTCAGTTGGCGGCCTTTGGGAAATGGTGATTATGATTTGGAATGAGTATGAATGGATACTACGGCGCCGACAGCGACTACATGCTTCCACCTTGATGTATGGAGGACCACAGAGCGAGGGAATGATGATACCAGATATTATATACATGGACCATATGATTGCGGATCGGCAATGTCCTTGAATAGTCCATGTCGTGGTCTGTCGCGTCGTCTTGAATATAGTAGTTCATCATGCGTATAAGGTACACCAAGTAGGATGAGTGTCTGCTTATGGTATCAGGAGATACAGTAATGACTTGCCGCGCAAGGCTGACGAACTTCCCCAATCAGACGCCAAGGCTCCGCAGTCTGCCTGCCTTATGGCCCCAGCGTCTCCTTTGGATACGGAAGCGTTGCTGTGACATTGGTATTGTAACCATAAGGAACTCGTTTCTCAACTCGTCCGCTTACTCCCACACGGCAGAGACCCTCCGCAAAGATCGTAGGGGTCGCAGTATGACGCGCAAGTCGTGATCAACACAGTCGCGGGCTGGTAGTAAGATCTCGACCAATACACCTGATGAACCGCCTATGCGCTGCTCTGCGCGATGTTGAGCTCCTTCGTCCAGAAGTTCATCGAACAGTCTCCCCTCTCCTCCAACAATGATAACCGTCCCTCAAAGGCCGCACTCTTCCAAGAACAATTCAGACTACCGGCGGGTCAGCACCCCTTACACGAAATCACTGCCGAACTATTCCTCCCACTCCCTTCCTCTCCAGCCGGCGGTCCCGTTACATCCGGGGAGAAGTCTAGAGACAATGGCAACAAGTACATGGGAGAGTTACACCTGAGTGAACACTTTCTCTGCTTCTCGACTATACGTACCAGTTTCCTCCCTACCGCGAGTCACTCTTCATCTACCTCATTCACGGGCCCTACTCAAGGTGCCGGGCCTGGGGGCCATGGCTTCACCCTCCCACTTTCCTCTATACGAAGGGTCGAGAGGTTGAACAGTCAACAGGACAGATTTTGTCTTGCCCTCACCACTTTCGAGTCTGTACAGAAGCCCTTGACCGAAAAGCCCAAAGCACCCTTACCGCCTCCACGAAAGCTCATTATCACCCTTGACGGCAGTCGGACCGCCTGCGAAAGCTTCTGTGATGGCCTGAAGAAGGGACTAAGAGAGGGCATGAAAGAAGCCGACATTCTTCGGAACGTAGTAGCACAATCCTACTCCGAGTATCTCCTGGACCCTGTTCGCATCAAGGCCAAAGAGGACGGTATCCAGGGACCAGATCCGCCGGACACCGGGCTAGGCATACTGTTCAGATATCCAGGAGACGCCAGGAAACTGAGAGACAGGAGCAAGATCAGACTGTGGGGCGAGTACATGCGAGAGAACGGCCGCAACGCTACTATCGTTCGCCAACCGACCTTTCACAAACTCATCCGCGTTGGATTGCCCAATCGATTGAGAGGCGAGATCTGGGAGATCTCCTCTGGCTCATTCTATACGAGACTAAGAAATCCAAATCTCTACGAAAAGACTCTGACCAAATTCGTCGGGCAAGAATCCTTGGCCATCGATGAAATCGAGAAAGACTTGAACCGCAGCCTCCCAGAGTATCCTGGCTTCCAGAGCGAAGAAGGCATCGGCCGGCTACGGCGAGTACTTACAGCCTACAGTTGGACTAACGAGGAAGTCGGCTATTGCCAGGCCATGAACATAGTTGTGGCCGCTCTACTCATCTACCAGTCAGAAACTCAGGCGTTCTTCACCCTCGGCACTCTTTGCGACAGGCTCCTTCCTGGATACTACTCCAAAGACATGTATGGCACCTTGCTTGATCAGCGAGTCTTCGAAAATCTCGTAGAACGAACCATGCCTATCCTTTGGGAACATCTGGTGAAGTCGGACGTCAACCTCTCCGTTGTGTCACTGCCGTGGTTCCTGTCTCTCTACGTGAACTCCATGCCACTTGTATTTGCATTCCGAGTGCTGGATGTTTTCTTCTTGGAGGGACCAAAAGTCTTATTCCAGATCGGCTTAGCGATCCTCCGTATCAACGGAGAAGAACTACTTGATGTTGCCGATGATGGCTCCTTCATCTCCATACTCAAAAACTACTTCTCGCGACTGGACGAGTCAGCTCATCCTCATTCGGAGAACGAGAAATTGAGAGCTATCACAAAATTTCAGGAGTTGATGGTAACGGCCTTCAAGGAGTTTGCCGCCATCACGCACGGTAGTGTTGAAGAGCTCCGAGAAAAACATATTGATAGTGTCAAGGAAGGCCTTGCCACTTTCGCCAAACGCACATCGATACGGAACTTGGGACCAGAAAGTAAGAAGTTGAGCACCGAAGACCTCAGTGCCATCTATGATCGCTTCTTCGGTGTGTTGTCCGAGCGACATGAACGTGCTCAAGCACGAGAGGAAGAAAGAAGAAAACAGGAGCAGCAGAAAGTTCGTCCTGGCTTACGGTTGCACCACTCCTCATACAATCAAGATGAACCTGGTCGCAATGCTGGACCGGCGCAGACGATGAACTACGATGCATTTAGAGAATTCCTCGCGAACACCGCCAAATGGGCTATCAGCGATTCGCCGACGTCACCGTCAAAAGAGATTGCCAACCCCAACATGAGTCAAAGGAAACGGGGCAAGACTCTTACGCAATGGGGTTCTGGGCCCGAACCAGCAGATCACGATTTCATGCAACGACTGTATGGTAAATGGGACGGGTCTCACCAAGGGGAGATGACTCTACAGCAATTAGTCCGTGGGCTGGCCCAATTCAAGGGTACCACAGATATCATGAACTCGATGAGCCTGTTCTTTGATCTTTTCGATGACGACGCTACGGGTAAAGTGGACCGCGAAGGTATCTTGCGGATGTCGGAGTCTCTACTGTTCCTTTCAAGACGGGGGTTTGACGGAGCAATCGTACCTGCCGAAACTAACGACTTGACTTCTCCGTTGTCACCAGCAGAGTCGAAGGAGGCGATACGGCAAAGTGCCAACGAAAAGTTTCTGGGCAGTGTGAGTGCCTTTATTCGCAGGTGTTTTGAATATGCGGATCCGGACGAGGCGGTAAACGAGGCTGAGGCCAGGCTGGAGGCTACAACAATCACTCCGGCCACGGAAAGAAATCTGCTGGACCTCACAGAGTCAGAACCGCATCACAAGACCGCCACATCGCCAGAGGCAACGGAGAAAGATCCCTTGTCAGACATGACGCCTCCGGGTACCCCCTCGATGCTAGGCGGACCCCAAGGTGGCCGCAAAACATCAGCTACTCGAGCTGCGTCTCACAATCTTGCCTTGGACCCTAACAAACCCCTACACATCACCCTTCCTACGTTCCGGATGGTCATTCTCGCGGACGAGCTGCTGGAGCAATTCTTCGAAACCTTCTTTCCTCAATCCTTCCGCCTCAGCGACTCACCCAACGCCAGCAGCGCTTCATTGGCGTCGACTACACTGTCCGGCAACCTCACGACGTTCAGTAATCTTGGCACGCCAGTGAAGAATTTGATAAACGGGGCACAGAGCAACAAGACGGTCATCGATGTCGGGCAGGCCGGAGGAGTAGTGGAACCGGGCTCACGTGGCCTTCGCGGTGTGCTGGACAATATTGTCAATGATGGCATGCGGATGGCCGCGGAGATGCGTAAGAGGATGGACGAGGCGCAGAAGGAGTTTGAGCGAAATGCGCGTGATCAGGGTGGTCAGCCAAGGCCGTATCGGGACGATGACGATGAAGATGAACAGGACGAGGGCACGGAGTTGGGCAAGAGTGATCAGGAGCTGCTTGAGGGTGCTGAGGTCGCTAGTATTAGGACTCTGGGCAGTGATGGAGGTGTGAGGAGTCGGGCGCAGACACAGAGCTCGTTGAGTCCGTCGGTGGCGGAACACGGCGTGAGTATCTTGGATGTAGATGATGTGTCGAAGTAGATCTCTGACGAAGGGCAATTGAAATGAACGATATTGACAGGACAGCGCTGGGATGTAGATTCTCTACTGGTATGTATTCATTTCTATTCATGAGATGTGAATACGGCAAAGAAAAGGACAATCCGAAATTTCGCTTCGATGAGATATGCAAAAAGCCCGGGGTGCAACAAACGCCAGGACGGCACCAACACCTTGCTAAATCCATACCACAAGATTCCGTCATTTCGAAAAGTAAATGCAAGAGATTGGATGCTGCTCCTAATAGTGAGATTCCAACCTTGCGCCAAACCATGTTTTGATTACGCCGAGCCAAACTGAGATGCATGGGGTTAATTGTTCAGTCGTCATATGAGGCTGCGCTCTCGTCGTCCGACTCTTCATCATCTTCGTCGCTCTCGACGGGTCGCTGCGTCTTCTTCTCTTTGCCGGGAGCGGTCAAGGCCTGTGCATGTGCCTCGTTGCGAGCGTTGGCAGCCAGGAGCTCTCCAACAGCTGCAGGGCCTCCGTCGTCATCATCTCCTTTGATTGACCCGGTGATTTCGTCGACCTTGTCGGCCAGAACTTGCACCTCGTCCAGAGCGGATTTTGCCACGTCATCGCGGTCGAGGGTCGGTTTGTTTTCTATGATTTCGTCCTTGGTGGGCACGACGACTTTGAGACCTAGCTCCGGTTGTTTGGAGTAGACGCGCAAACCGACGACGCAGCTTGCATTCCAGGGGTTGCGGTTCGGGTCGCGTTCGGGATCGTCAGCGGAGTCGTCCTTTCCGTTTCCATCTCCATCACTGGAGGTGGTCGATGCTTGGGCGACGCTGGCTGGGGCTGGCGGCGTCCTGGCTCCCACGGCTGATGGGGTGGATGTGCCGGAGGATCCTGGGACGGTTGTCCCTGGCAGCTGGCCCTTTTGGTGGGCCAGGTCGTATAACTTGCCGATTTGGGTGATCTTGTCGCGGCGGTGGATGTTGTTGCGAATGACTTTTTCGACGTCGTCGCGACCGGTGGAGACGGCTTCGACTTTGACTAGAACCGAGTATGTGCCCTTGGCGAGCTGGACTTCGACGTTGACGGATCGGACAAGCTCGTAGTTGAGTTTGCTCCTGGCTATGTACTCTTCTTCGTCGTCCGAGTCTTTCTGGACGCGGAACTGTAGAGTGAAGTTGTACTTGCCTTGCAGACCCTTGAAGTAGCGGTCGTCGAGTTGCGAGAGGACAATGACCGCCTCCGTATCTTCGGGTACGTCGATAGAGAAGTGGTTTGTTTGGTAGTCGAGGGTGCTCCAGGGTACTTGCACGGACACCCACTGCTGGGCTACGTGCCACTCTGGCCCGAAGATGCGTGTGCGGTCGATGTACTTGTACTTGCTTAGCAAGTCTGAGTAGGCAAGCCAAAAAATTCCGTCGTCATCGAAGGAGTGATGGAGGCGCTCTAGCCACTCAGCGGTCCATTCCTTGGAGCCGTCGCTCCAGGCGCCGGTCCATTCTTTGCGGCCCCATGGGTTGCGGACCTTGACCAGTCGTTGCCCGTGGCCTTCGTAGGTGTCGAGAACGGCATAAGCGTGTTGGCTGACGATGCCGGAGCGGCGTTCTTCGCGGACCTTCTCGTTCATGAGGAGGTATGGGCGCCACTCGCGCCAGCGGGCTGCCGCGCACGAAAAGACGAAATCCTTGCCTATACGAGAGAGTTCGTTCTTCCAGAATGCGTCTATGTCGAGGATGTTGGTCGTGTAGATCTCGGTGGTGACTCCACCGGTCAGATCTTCGATCGCTTCGCCTGTCTGCCCACCGGAGATGGATGCGTAGTCTCCATGTGCTTTGGCGTAGGCCTTTTCGAGAAGACTGACCCATGTCTCATTCTGATCGCGACATTGCGCAAAGTATAGTGCTTGGGAACCTCTCTGGAAAAGCTGCTGGTATTGGTCCTCCTGGTTCGCCCGTCGAAGGCCATATTGGCCAAGAACGACATCGCCACTTTCATCGTAGTTGGGAGCTCGGAGAAACAGTTTGTCATCGATGATACAATGATGCCAATCTCCGTCTGTTGTCCTCAGTCAGTGACGCTTTGGAAAAAGGTGGAAAAGAAAGATCATACCTCGATTAAACACGAAACCGTAGACGCCCACGGCTTGGTCGTGGACCACACACACGCGATCAATGAATTGCTGGTTACACCCCAATGATGATATGGCTGCTAGAAACCAGCAGTCACTAAGTATGTGTTAGTGAAGTACTGTCACAAGGTGCCACGCGACTTACCCAGCTGAACCTTGCAAAATGTCATCGTATGAGACGCCGTCCACATAGAACTTCGGTTCGTCATATATATCCTAGAAGACCCTGAGCAAGTGTACCGCCTGTGATTGAAGCTCAACTTACGGTTACCCGTTTCACGTCCGCTGGGTATTCCTTGTCGCTGGGATCAACCACGAGACCATCCAAGCAGTCTCGGATTCTTGTGATCTTCAGATCCCTTTCGATATCGAAATGGGAATCCGTATACTTCTGGTTTGCGTCGCGGCACTCCTTGATGATCCTCTTCACGTCACGAATGCAGGTTTCTTTGGCATTGTCGTACGAATTGGAGGCGCAGTGAGCGATTTCGCCGACCAGCTGTGCTAGAGAGAGGTTCTTGTCGGTCATACGCTCGGGCAGAACCCGAGTCACCTTGCCGACGTATTCGGGGTCAAAGTTGGCCCAGAACTTTGTCATCTTGGTCTGCGGATGAGGCTTGTCTTTCTTCTTGGGAGGCGGAGACGGTGCCCCAGCATTGTCCGGCACGAGCATTAATTTGATCGTTTTCCCTCCTCCTAGCACCAGGCCACCGTTCGGTGGTGTTGGCTCATTGCCCGAAGGCCTGGCCTCGAGATTGAAGCCGGAGTGTGGCTCGAGTTCCGTCCTTGTGCTGGACCCATCGCGTTGCTGTTCTGTCCCGTCGACGGAGTTCTGAGGACTCATAGCTATGCTGTTGGGAGTAGAGCCGTCGTCGTCGTTGTTATATTTTGTTTGCGCCCTGAAGGGGTGGCCTTCACGACCAGTAGTTTGACGGGACATGATGCCGTTGTAAGGCTGGGAGAGAAGTAAAAGTGTGGAGAAGAAGTGATAATCAGGGTCCAGAGATATATGGTATGCTAGCGTAAACGCACGCGAGGCTTAGGAGAGAATCTTCAGGCCACCGCTCGGATGTCCCTGCATGGGAGACATTAGACCAGGGCTTTGTGGTCCTATCGTGGAGTCGGCAACCCCATAATCAAGCCTAGATTGTCACACAAAAGAGGCGGTAAGAGAGAAAGTGGTTTCCAATCACGGTATAGCCTGTTAAGTCTCACTATCGAGCGAACAGGGGTTTCAGCAAGACGTCGGACAACCAAGATAAGACAACTCGGCCCGAAGACTAGGGTGGCACTGGAGGGTCTCTTGAGAGGTTGAAGGCTGACAAACGGTCCGGACTGATGTTGATGAGAATGGCGCACGGCGAGTGGACGGTATCATCAGGCATAAAACAAGAAAATGCGACAGAGGACGGAGCGACAATGATAAGTGATAAAGGGGACGGCCAGAACACTCATCTGCTTACCGTTCGCATTGTGAGCTGCTTTCGGTGTTCCAGGATAACAAGGAGACCCGTGCGAGAGCCGGATTCGGGAAGCTTAGGACCCAGAAAGCCCCAGAGAGATAAGGGAGAGCCATCTTGAAGAAATCTGACAGCAAAAGTCCAGACCACGAGTGCTACCCAAGCCCGAATGTTGTGCATCGAGGATCGGGGGCTATCAACGGCCTGGAACTCGGATACTGGAGTGGGCTCGATTGTTGATTGAGAGAAAGGGAGAGTGAGACTGAAATTGGGGAACATGCCGAGAGACTTTCAGGGTCCAAAATCCACTATTCCAGTTGCGACGAGCCAGGTCACGTGCATCGGTTTGCGTATGCGTAGCGCCGTGGTTGGGTCATTACCTAGCTATGATTGGACGATATATGACAGCATGACTAAGACGCAATTGACCGCCTTAATGCCGCTTCCTCCGACTGCGCATCATGCATCATCGCTTCCACAGGCAAATAATTGTGTTCTGTTAGAGCTTTGCCGACAACCACTGTACCCTCACATCCACCACGTCGCTAACCTCTATTCCCTCCGTGTCCACCATCTACGTCTTCCTTGCGTCTTTCTATGAGAAAGTCTGCCCAATAGATGAGGGATTTCGCTTCAGAGCAGTCTGTATTGGCTGCTACAGCCGGCCGATATTCGTCACCAACATCGCCCCTCGTTACTTCCTCCCGAGAACCTCTATGCGGTGATTCCGAGGGCTGGGGTCCTATCAGCGACCTGAGATGGGATTTCACACCCTGCTTCCTTGACGTTTGGATCATCGGTGTCGCCTTATGGGGGATCTTACTCGGTGCAGGAGCAATATGGTATCTGTTGAAGAAGCGGGTTCCGCAGGATGTCCCGAAAAACTGGCACTTTTATACCAAACTGTGAGCCAGCATTCTGTTTCTCGTTACCACACCGTCTGACGAGCTTGAACTAGGACCGTAATCGGCGTCATCATCCTCGACACCGTTGTACAAGCCGCACTGCAAGTCCAACGCTTACCAGGAATATGGTTTCAAGATATTAGATTTTATACAACCATCGCTACCATCGCCTCTCTTGCTGTTATCTTCACTGTACAGTATTATGAGCATTGGCGGTCGCGCAACCCGAATGGCGTGGTTCTCTTCTACTGGGTCTTCTTCATACTCGCACATGCTGTCAAACTTCGCTCTTTGGTGGCTAGGGATGCCCACAAGGATCGACTGCCCTACTTTGTGACATACAATGTGGGCTTCGGTCTGGCTATATTGGAGTTCGTATTGGAGTACTTCATTCCTAAAAAGCTGAGCGCCTACGACGCATTGGGAGCCGACGATGAGTGTCCATACGAATACGCCGACATCTTCTCCGTTATTAGCTTCAGCTGGATGACTCCATTGATGAGGTTTGGCTACAAGAATTATTTGACCCAAGATGATCTATGGAACTTGCGCCCACGAGACAGCACCAAGGTGACCGGGGAACTCATGGAGAAAGTTTGGAAGCACGAGCTGGAAAGGAAGAAGCCGAATTTGTGGATAGCCCTGGCTCGGGCATTCGGAGGCCCTTTCCTGAGAGGAGCTCTTATCAAGACCATCAGCGATACGCTTGCATTTGTCCAACCTCAATTACTCCGACTCTTGATCCTGTTTGTGGATTCCTATCGCCCAGGTCGAGAACGTCAGCCACCCATTCGCGGAATTTCCATTGCATTGGCCATGTTTGCCACATCATTTTGCCAGACAGCTGCCTTGCACCAATATTTCCAGCGTGCTTTTGAGACCGGCATGCGAATCAAGTCTTCTTTGACTGCCATGATATACTCAAAATCTCTGCGGCTTTCCAACGAGGCGCGTGCCACCAAGTCTACCGGTGACATCGTTACATACATGAGTGTCGATCAACAACGCCTCGCTGATCTAGCTCAGTGGGGCCTACAGCTTTGGTCTGCCCCATTCCAGATCACTCTGTGCATGCTGTCACTCTATCAACTGGTGGGCGTATCATGCTTTGCTGGAGTGGGTGCAATGATTATCATGATACCGGTGAACGGTTTCATTGCCAGGTTCATGAAGAAGCTCCAGCTGTCGCAGATGAAGTACAAAGATCGCAGATCCCGGCTCATGACCGAAATCCTCAACAACATGAAGAGCATCAAGCTGTATGCATGGGGTTCGGCGTTCATGGAAAAATTGAGTCACGTACGCAACGACCTTGAACTGAATAACCTGCGAAAGATTGGAGCTGCCCAGGCTTTCTCAACCTTCACGTGGTCTGCGACTCCATTCTTCGTCTCATGCTCGACCTTTGCCGTCTTTGTGTTGGTCAACAATCGACCACTCACGACGGACCTGGTGTTCCCCGCTCTAACGTTGTTCAATTTGTTGACGTTCCCGCTTACAGTCCTCCCTATGGTGATTACCAGCATCATCGAAGCCTCTGTGGCTGTGAAGAGACTGACTGATTTCTTCACCGCGGACGAGCTCCAGGAGGATGCAGTTCGATTCGTTGACGAACCACCCAAAGAGGCAGGCGAGGCTGCGGTCACTATCCGGGATGCAACGTTTACCTGGAACAAGAACCTGGACTTGAATGTGCTACAGAACATCAATTTTACCGCCAATAAGAGCGAACTGACCTGTGTCGTCGGTCGTGTCGGCGCTGGTAAATCCTCTCTTCTTCAGTCAATACTCGGAGATCTATGGAAGATTAACGGCGAGACGGTCGTGCGAGGGCGCATCGCGTATGCTGCGCAATCAGCTTGGATTATGAATGCGAGTGTGAAGGAAAACATTACCTTTGGACATCGATGGGACCCTCATTTCTATAATCAGACTGTCAATGCATGTGCTCTGGTCGATGATTTTAGGCAGCTACCCGATGGTGATTCAACGGAGGTTGGCGAGCGTGGGATATCTCTGTCTGGAGGCCAAAAAGCTCGTGTTGCACTAGCACGGGCCGTGTATGCGAGGGCGGACATATACCTCCTCGATGATGTCCTTTCTGCGGTTGATCAGCATGTTGGACGACATCTTATCAACAACGTCCTCGGGTCGAAAGGTCTCCTGAGTGGAAAGACTCGGATATTGGCTACTAACGCTATTCCTGTGCTAAAAGAAGCTGACTACATGTTTCTTCTGCGCGACAGTACCATTCTCGAAAAAGGAACATATCAGCAACTCATGGCCATGAGAGGCGAGGTCGCCAACTTGATCAGGAATTTCACTTCCGAAGACGGTCACGAGGAGTCCGAGGAAGAACGAAGTCCGAGTATTGAGGGCATGGAATCCGACGATTCTACAACTGTGATCAATGGGGATGTTAACATTATCCATGACGAGTTCGACGCCGAAGAAGCCGAACAGGTGCGTCAGGATGTTGGTGGCCTTATACCAATCCGCCCTGGCCCGACCGGTCCATCAACTGTGCGGAAAACAAGCTTCAACACTTTACGACGTGCGTCAACGGCCAGCTTTCACGGTCCTATGGGCCGAATGAATGATGAAGAGGCCGGCCTGAAGTCTAAGCAGACCAAGGAGACTTCGGAACAAGGCCAGGTCAAGTGGGCTGTCTATACAAGCTATGCCAAAGAGAGCAATCTTATCGCCGTCTGTATTTATTTCGTCGCTCTCCTTGCTGCTCAAACGGCCCAAGTTGGGGGCAGCTTCTGGCTAAAACGCTGGTCAGAAATCAATGAGTCTTTCGGTTCCAATCCGGAGGTGGGAAAGTACATTGGCATTTACTTCGCTTTCGGCATTGGAAGTGCGGCACTTGTTGTCGTCCAGGTACGTTTGCCATTGGCTCTACAAGACAACGCCACTAATTCCATACAGACTTTGCTCCTCTGGATTTTCTGTTCGATCGAGGTTGGTATCCCCCTTCCATGAAAGAGAGTCAATGCTCACGCTGTGCAGGCCTCCAGGAAATTGCATGATCGAATGGCTTATGCGATATTCCGATCGCCTATGAGTTTCTTTGACACCACCCCCATCGGACGCATCCTCAACCGCTTTTCCAGGTGTGCTCAGTGGCTCCTGTCAGCAAAGAGTTTATTACTGACTTGTGTGCAGTGACATATACAAGGTCGATGAAGTCATTGCTCGTACTTTCAATATGGTGAGCCAAGTCATCAATGCCAAGGACTTAGAAATACTGACAATGCAAGCTCTTCGTCAACACTAGCAGAGCCTTTTTCACGCTCGGTGTCATTGCTGCTTCGACACCAATTTTCTTGCTTTTGGTCATTCCTCTGGGTGCTATCTACATCGTATACCAGAGGTACTATCTTCGAACCTCCCGAGAATTGAAACGATTGGACAGTGTCAGCCGCAGTCCGATCTACGCCCATTTTCAAGAGTCGCTAGGAGGTGTCTCAACAATCCGCGCATACCGGCAGCAGAAGCGATTTACCAAGGAAAATGAGTGGCGCATGGACGCAAATCTACGAGCATACTTCCCCTCGATCAGCTCCAACCGTTGGCTTGCGTTCCGCTTGGAATTCCTCGGATCCGTCATTATCCTTGCTGCCGCCGTTTTTGCCATCATCTCAGTGACGACTGGTGGCTCACTTTCTGCCGGCATGGTCGGCCTTGCTGTACGTAGATATGCATGTCGGGAGCGGAGACTGTCCTAACGCTAACGCTTTCCAGATGTCGTACGCATTGCAAATCACACAATCACTGAACTGGATTGTGCGCCAAACTGTCGAAGTTGAGACCAACATCGTGTCTGTAGAGCGAGTGCTTGAATATGCCGCTCTGCCCAGCGAAGCGCCAGATGTCCTCTTCAAGAGCCGTCCCAGCATTGGATGGCCCGCACATGGTCAAATCACATTCGAAAACTATTCCACTCGGTATAGGGAGGGCTTGGATCCCGTTCTGAGGGATATTAACTTGAGCTTCAAAGCTCGGGAAAAGATTGGGGTGGTTGGACGCACTGGTGCGGGAAAGAGTTCTCTAACCTTGTCTTTGTTTCGCATCATTGAACCAACATCTGGTCACATCAGGTAAGAGCTATCTTCAGCTTCAAGGCGTGGCATACCACCTGCACCGGTCGAGTTGCATTTAAGCTAACCCTAACATTGCAGCATTGATGGTCTCAACACCTCTACCATTGGTCTCTTAGACCTTCGAAGGCGGCTGGCCATTATCCCACAGGATGCCGCTCTTTTCGAGGGCACGGTTCGCGACAATCTAGACCCCCGCCACGTTCATGATGATACTGAATTGTGGAGTGTTCTTGAGCATGCCCGCTTGAAAGACTACGTCTCCGGCCTGCCTGGCCAATTGGATGCCACGGTCCATGAAGCTGGTGAGTGAACCTGATTCCAACCCCTGCGATTGATCATGACTGAATCGGTCTTAGGGTCGAATCTAAGTCAGGGTCAACGTCAACTCGTGTCTCTTGCGCGTGCACTACTAACTCCCAGCAACATCCTGGTTCTGGATGAAGCAACTGCAGCAGTGGATGTGGAGACTGACAAAATGCTGCAAGCCACTCTTCGCAGCAACGTGTTCGAAAATCGCACGATTATCACGATCGCCCATCGCATCAACACCATTCTGGACTCTGATCGGATCGTGGTGCTACAACAAGGGCGAGTGGCCGAGTTTGATACCCCGGAGGAGCTGATCAAGAAACGGGGATTGTTCTACGAGCTTGTCCGAGAAGCTGGGCTTCTTGACAGCTTCGGCAATGGAAGTGCTGACTCAAGCCAGCACTAAGGTAGCCACCGCACCAATCGGGGAACAAGGGGCTCCGGTTCCGTAACCCCTGCGTCGGTACCAGTCAAGAGCAACTTTAGATCGGACACGGCACAGCAGAATGCTGACTTACAGATCGATCGGGGCACACGCTCCCGCTATTGTTCAGTGCTCCCTCCTGCGGGGCTTCTACACCAGAGATGCTCCCAAATCGTCACTTCATGCGAGATGCGCTGTCAACCATTATCTTGGAGCTCGGAGGAATCACAAATTGCTACACGATTCTATTCCAACGTCTTGCCCCCCGGATCCTCCAGCCACCAAAGAGAAGATAGTGGGCTGCAGTCTGCATAGTGCTTGCACGAACTAGCGAGCATGTTTGTGTGACCTTCGACAAAGACTCCCATTCACAATTGCTAGGGGAAGGAATATGCGAATGCTGACGTTTGGACGCAAGACTCTCGGTTTCCCGGTATCGAGGAGTATCTCGTCAGTCAGATCAGATTGCACGGAGGGATGTACATTATAGGGATGTAACACTTTGGGTACCACGAAACGCCGGTGTCCGGCGCCGAGTCCAACCAGAAAGCCAGAGGTGTTCAACCCGACACATTGGTACAAATACCTCACATAGGTGCGGATTTGCTCTAGCTGAATTGTACCTGTTACTCGTCCAGTCTTGCAGTGACTCGGAAGAGCGTTGCACTGTGAGACAAGATGGAACATCGACATTCTCAAGTACCTGTCTGCGAGATATTTCAAGTCACTGGTCCTGTCTTTTGTGAAGGGCGAAGTGTTGCCGTGTACAGAATACCGATCGTGAATAGGAATGAAGCTAATGCGAGTAAGTTAAAAAATACCTTGAACATATGATGATGACAGAAAGGTGGTGCCTCAACAGTCCGGTGCTCTTCCCATCTCTCACTCTTGTCTTCGGGCAAGGGTCCGTCTCACTGGCGATAAGCAGAGGTACAAACACGGCTTTTCAGGAATTGACTGACCAGGTGGTGCTCGGAGTGTAGTAAGGGAGAAGGATTCGCCTATAAATCGCGGACAGCCTTCTATGGAGAGGCATTTGCAGAGGCAACAAATTTGGGATAGGAGAGTTGGCAGTGTACATTGGACCACCAGGGTGCCACGAGTAAATCTCCACGGCGGGACAGGCTGAAGCCTCAAGCCTCATGCCTGAAGGGAGGTCCCCTGTCTGTGCAAAGTACAAGGAGCTGAGCAGATGTCCCCAGTTTCTTGAGCAGAGTGCTTTCCTTGCCACCTGCATGGTTAGAAGACATGTTCACGTCACCACTACTCACTGAGTTACGGCTGCTCTACCGAATACGAAAGCCTGATGCTAACTCACAAAGAAGTTCTGGCATTCTTGCACGATTCTCCCCAGAGACGACTTGTGCACACCATCGAAAAGGTGGAGATCATTGCGCTACGTTGGACGGTGTGACAACGATCTCTCACAGCCTGGTTAATGCTGTCGAGGTTCGCCGCCTCCGTGCATCACGCGGATGCACACCCCTTCGGCCTTTGCCTATCTGGTTGAACCCCGTCGAAAACTCCAGCAATTTGCAAGAACAGAAGCACGCACAAGCTCTCAAGGATGACTGTGCGTCATCTCAAACAGCAGTCATGGTGTCATGAGTGGTCGGAAGATGCCGACATCTAGCAGTATCAGACTAATTGTGGATTTTGGTGTTTCCTGTGCCTGATACTACTCTGAAGCAGCGGCAGCTTCTTTGAGGCATGCCAGATTCGCCTCTCTGTGATCAGGCTGCGATTCCTGGTTAGTTCAGCATGTGCCATGAGAGGGTGGCGTCCAACACCCCTTGTCGCCCGCAGTAGCACGTTCGTTGGTGGGCAGATTGGAAAGTCGGAAGCAACACTATGCCACTAAGTGCATGGCCTGATAGCAATAGGAGCAGAAAGGACCACCAAGGTTTGTCTCCGGTAACCAAGGCCCGTCCGATCCGTGACGTGCCATGGCGTCCCTTTTTCAACTTGAAGTCGTCACGGGCCGAGTCATTAATTTGAGGGTTAGTCGATTGAGAAAGGATTTCCATATCCACACCTACACGCACAGTGCACGCACATCCCATGCAGACGGAGTTACTGATGTTTGCTTCAAGGTTAGGCGCAGTCATAGTCGGGTGACCTCCTTGTCGCACCCTGGAGCAAGCCTATGGAAAGCTGAAATTCTCAAGCTTCAGATGGCAAGCAAGACGGCGAAGTTCATGTTCTATTTATTGCCATTCGAGTCGAGGGGACTCAGTCGACGAGGGGAAGACGTCGTCCTGTTTCACAAGGGTGATTGCCCCGAGCAAACTAGTCTTGCTCTTGCCTGCTCCTTCCCCTCCCATGCCTACACCTTTTCAAGATCTTGATTCATGATCACCCTCGAACAGTGAGACATGGAACGGTCAAGAGACCAGAGTCAATCAACACATTGCAGAATGATCGTCTTCTCTAGTAGAGTGTAGGGAGAAGCGAGACGTACCCTCCTTGTACAGCTTTCCAATGAGCAGCAACGAAGATTCAGCACAGGTGAGTATCACCAGACGGGCAGCGGCAGTTCTGCAGTTGGGTCCCGCCTTGCCACAGGTTGCGGATGCTAGGCGCGCCGCAAGCTCTTTGGCTCCTGCACTGGTTGCAAGTAACGCAGCTGCTGGCAATTCCTTCCCCGAAAACATTATCCTTTCTCCAGGTGCCTGATTGGTATCTCACTTGTCTAACTGGCCTTGTCCAGCAGCCTCCTCAACCTTCCGAAGTCTTTCCCTCGCCTGCCACCGGGGCCATGCACGCCTGCATTCGCGCGATCTCGAGCCAGCAGTCGTTCAAACGTCAACATGTGCCGCAGGGCAGGGGCTGGGGGGCTATGACCTGGTCCTGACGCAGATACGACCATCAATCCCGTCGACTCCAGGTTTCCAGTTCGTGTCTGACAACGCCACGAACAACAGGGACTCGGTGCAACAGAGACCAAGATCGACGCCCCTCCGGCATGTCAAACGATTGTGAAATGCTAAGCAACCGACTCGAGCATCCACTGGCTGCACACAATCTCTGGCAAAGTGGGTGCTGGTGTCGCCGACGATCGACCAAGCTGATTTGAGCGTGGTCTTTCTCCTTTGCATTTGCTATCTACTATACTCCAGGCGGCACCACCTCTCGCCAGGGCCCTTGTTCATTGGCTGCTTGCATTCCTCCGTCCGATTGGCAACTCCCATATACATCTTCATCTCGGTCATGCGAAAGTCCTGCCTCTTCCTTTCTTCCCTTCTTCTCATTCACTCGCGCTCGCATCAAGCTAGTTCAGATCTGTTCACCCCGCGCTACTCTCCTAGATCTTGAGCGTTCACAAACAGCCTAGCACCAGCACAGGGAGACACGATCATCGGAGCAACTAACCGGTATACGAGCACACTGCCGAGCTCACCTTATCAAACATCTATCCGGTCACTTCTACTGCTCCTCGAAAATTCTTCCTCTTTTCACGGCTCAACACAAAAGATAGCCTTGGAAAATCGCTTGGGACATCAGCGCACGTTCACCATAGTAACATCATACTAGACGACCGCCGGTGCAGCAGCAGGTAGTGGACATGGCTGTCTAGCAGATCACACACCCGGATCACGCAATTGGTCGGCTTTGTCTTTGTTTTGGTCGATTCTTGTTCTCTCTTTTGGTCCTGGCGACAGTCGGCGAAGTCATCCCCATCAACAGTATCAGTGGACGGGAATACTTTGCAGCCTCTCAAGTCTCGCTAGGGGTTGCGCCGACTCAGGAAATTGTCCCAATTGCCAGTTGACAAAGGCGTGGGCTGCAACTGGAAAGGGTCAGTATTGGTTCCTTTTACAGTTTTGTGTTCCCTTCGTTACGAGAGCGAGGCAACCCAAAGCAGCTTCTCGAGCAATCATTGTCGTCTTGTTTGACATTGGCGAATGACGATTGCCGTCTGCCAAGCTGTCATGCCGTCAAGCTAAAGGCCCGAAAAATGAAGCTTTGGAGCTAAAGGGGATGACCCTGGCCCTAATTTAGGGCCCGAGTGGTCGCCGGAGGGTCCATGAGCTCACAACTCATGTCATGTGCATATTGGCAAGTCTCGACCGATCTGTCGGCACAGAAGCACAGCTGAAACCCCGATGTGAAGACCCTGATCACTCACAGACCTAAGAAGAGAAACACTTACTGATTCCCAGTTGGAAGTTGCCATGTGCGAGCTGCAGGATTGTCGTGTTTACCCACCATTGCGCTAACTTGACAACTTGGTGATCATTGGGCGCTAATTTGATTGTGTCTGCCGTTCTTTAGGCTCAACCTTATCCTCGAATTCCCACCTGCAACCGCCCCGGGACATTTTTTTCTCCCCACCTTTTCTGTCCTGCTCCCCCGGAACTTTACAGCAGAGGCCGCAACCCACTTTCCTACCGCCTCCTTGCCGGGTCAACCCAGAGCTCATATATATCGTTCCCAGCTCGACTCGATCCAGTATTCTGGGAATGAAACCTGATCTGTTGCACCACAACATGGCTGCGAGAAGGATCACAACAAACAGTACCTCTCCACCGCCACCTTTCATGAGTTCTCGCTCTGTCAAGTCAGAAGATGTTGCGCCCCATACCGAGGCTATGAGACTTAGCAAGGAAGACAAGCAGAGATACATCATTGTAAGACAATCAATCCAGGCGCGTCAGATGGCTGACCAGTCTGTGTGTGTGTGCAGAACGAAGTCAAAAAGCTTCTCGAGGGATGCGACCATTTCATTGGTCTCGTCCCAGGCGAGCACGGCATGCCTGAGATTATTGCTTCTGACAACTTGAAGCAGCACAGATTCGCGATTCTGGGGGACGCATACGAGAAGTTTGCCCGGTATATGAGCAGCCGTGAGCTTGCCTCAGTGACTCGTATGATTTGATATGTCTGTGATAAGCTCCGATACTGAGTTGCGGCAGGACTCGCGGACCCCTGGTCTTCCCGGGCGATAAAGGGCAAGGGAAAGCCCATACACACTCCAGAACAAGTTCTGCCTGCCCCGGCTTCGATCTCTTATCCATTCCAGCGTCCCAGCAAGCGTCATCGATCTGCGACGCTGAGCGGAAAAGGTTCGGGCACGAACTCGCAGAACATCCTGGGAGAACGAAGTATGAAGACCCTCAACGAAGCACCAGCTATCCAGCTCAGAGTGGACGACCGTGAGAGACTGGAGCGGTGGTTCAGAGAGGCCTTCGTGGCCATGCAGCAGGTGGCATGCCGCACGATTGCCAAGATCTGGATCAAGAGAATCCATCCCAAGAAGGTGAAGTTTGGCCGTCCGCTTGTTGATGATGCCACGCTGACACCTTTGGTAAAAAGCAATCAACGCATCCATACAATGGTGGAATGCCGCGTGGTGAACCTCTAGATCCGAATCGAACTCGCCCACCGTACTGGCCTGCACGTGAGTCATGTGTTGGATGGGCGATATATATGAAGCGTTGTCCAGTGTCTGACTTTGTTCCAGATGTCATCCATCGTGAGCCAGACCACATAGGTCGTGATGGTAAGGCGTCGAAGCTCTGAAGAATGATTTCCTAGCTGACGTACAGGTTAGACCGAACAAGCCTTTTGGTCCACCTTATTATGAACACCCCATTGGAAGTTATCACGAATCCGCCAGAAACACATAGCAGACAGATGGTGACAGCATCGGCACTTTTAGAGTGTCTCGAGGTCAAGAGGTCTGACCCCACTATCCAAGAGGATCGATGGGAAATTATCGAACAGGTTTGCCGGGCCAGAGACATGATGGAACAATATGAGGCTGGTGAGATAGGTTGGTTCCACGTCAATCCCAAAAGTCACTTTTACCTTGAACTGACGGTATCCAAAGATGGCGATGCACTCGTCTTTCTGAGTGATTATAGCAATGGCATCCGGCTGTCGTCGAATGACTCTGACACTGAGGTGCCGCCTGTGCAGGAAGGACGACAGGAGTCGGAAGACGACGAGGTCAGTGGAGATGGTGAATTCACGCCGGGGTCGTCAACAGCGAATGATTCACCCATCCATCGCTCATATGCCGAAGGGCGGGCTCAGACGGAAAGACTGCGGAGTTCGGTCGCCATCGAGAGCTCGACTGATGCTACGGGTCGTCGAAGCAATGGCCGCCGGTCCAGAGCTTCGGTAGGCACATCAGGAGCGAGGGGGGGCTCGTTGATAGGGTCACGACATGTGCAAGACCTCCCTTATCGGATGTCGGGCTCCGTGAGGAAGGCTGAAGCCGGCGCTGCCTCGGCGCAATATATGACGGGTGGTCGACGGAGGAGCGTCAATTATCAAGCTCCCAACTCGGATCTGTCTGTTATGATGACTTCCAGGTTTCCTTCTCAGCAGGAACTGTCTTTGACAACTCTGGGGCGCAGCGAGTACGACGCCCACAACACCGACTCCGGGTCCAGAGATATGATGCAGCACATGCTCTCGTACAGCAATGGAGCTTGTCTCCCTCCACCGCATTCTGTGGGCTGGGGGATTATGGGGCCCGAAGCGCCTGATCATGTCTTTGGTATGCAGCCGCATATGACAACACAGTCGCCCGAGTCGGCCATGGCGTACTTCGGCCATGCAGCCGCTCCTCCTCATCAGCCTCAGCCTCAGCACCAAGAGATGATGGACAGAGTCGAAAATGGCTTGGCCTTGATGGATGCGATGCAGTATCATGATCTCAATATTGGTGGCCACCAGCATGTGCTGCCTCTACGGGTCATGGATGCTTCGCACCATGGGACGATGTCTCAGCCGGATAACAATATGGATCTCAGTCAGGGACCCTTTTATCCGATGTGATGGTTCGAATCCCGGACAATACAGGAGACGGAGACGGTACCATCGCTCGAACAAGTGTTGCAGCTCTTGACGGTGCCGCTGGCTCTATCAGAGGAGGATAACTCTTTTCCGTCGCATGGTTTGGCTGGCTTGTGGCGAATCTCGGTTTCCGTCCTTACGTTCGCTTGTTGGTTCCTCGTTGAGACTCTAGCTCTCAGTCTCGCGAGACGTTGTTTTTGATGCGTTTCTTTCTGCACTTACACTCGCATAGGCTTGGGGCATCTTGACGAACGAATCTCCTTATCCTTCCAAGGTTTTTGATTGAGATTGTTCCGCGGGTTTGGCTTTGACTTATATCTGTACAGCCTACATGGTCAGTCACCATCAGCGGCTTGGGCAGGTTTTCGGTCTTTTTCGGCGAGCGTTGTGTTTTGCGTCCTGACAAAAGTACGGGGAGGAGTAATGTTGAATGAAATGCATGTCACTCCATTGATGCTGGATGGAATGCGGGCTTTCAGAAAGCCCTTTGTGACAGCTCCTCATAAAGTATATCTATTTATTCGGAAGAGGTAGACAGTCTAAGCAGCATTGACATTGCATGCACTGAGGAAAGACGGTCTTGGGTGTTGGGTAAGAGAGTCAAGCTGAATTCAGAAATTTATGATGATTAGGAGAGCATCTGAAGTATTCAGCAGTAGCATAAGACCAGGGGATACAGTACTCCGTACTGTACCTAGAAAGATGGTGGCTTGGGTAGGCATATTAGGTAAGCTGCCTCAAGTCGCTTAACGGTAATGGGCACTGGGGTTGGCCAGTCACTGGCACTCACGGCCAAGCGCTGCTTGCGGAGGAAAAGTTGTACGCGACCATTCCGAATACCATCGTTGCAGGCAACTTCAATTCACAGTCGCGCGACATTGATCATAGTGACTTCCAATACCTGAAGCCAACACCACGAATCAAAGCATTACTTCAATACCTCTACTCTCCTTCCTGCAGCATGCTTGCACCGGAACAATTCTCCTCGGCTTTGATATGACAGCAACCCAATGTTGATCGAATCCCATTGCGCCAATGTCTGCGCCGTCCACCCGCGGTCAACGCGGTGGCAGCTCGACCAAGGGCGGACGAGACAACAAATCATCAGCCTCCCGAGATCGCCGTAGCACTCGAGGAGCTTCCTCATCCGGACGAGGAAAGGGCAAAGGCGCCGCGACCGCAAACCTCTCCTCCAATAGTGGTGATGGGGTGTTGCAAAAGATACGAGCAGAGACCGTCAAGAAAGGATCTGAGAATGGCACAACGGCGCCAGGCAGAGGTGAGCATGGTACAAAGCGGAAAGAGCAGAGGCAAGGACGCTGAACGGAACCAGACCGCGAAACTTCAACCACAACGGCCTCCACTCCCAGTTCACAAGGACGAGGTCGTGGCCGTGGAAACTTGTCGCAAACATTCAATACGCCCAACAATGGGAGTTCCAAGCCACCATCACGGCCTGCCTCACCCGCGCCGACGAACCATAAAGATTTCATGAACGCTGCCTTCGCACGATTTCAAGAGGTGCGTTCCGACCTTCCCTGCGTCCGGCTGACCGCGACTCTGCCTGTAGGTATCTAACATGCGAGTCCACACTATAGCTCAAGACAAGACGAGACGGAGAAAGGGCCAAAGCTATCCGAGATGGCTTCCTTGCCGACCCAGAGAAAAAGACCAGCCTGGACAAGGCCATTACACCAGTTGGAACCTGCACCGAAATGTGTCCGGAATTCGAAAGAGTGGAGCGGATTGTTCAGAACATGGTCGATAAAGCAGAGAAGGTGGGGATGGTCTTTGGGGATAGGTGGATATATTGCTGATAATGGGAGCAGGTTCATAACGACGATACTGGAAGAGACGTGCCGTCGGAAGCACGCATGGTCAAGCGGTTCCGTCGTTCGGCTGCTGGGTACGATGAGCAACTGCCTTCAGATATACGAACGCCGGCGACGTTGAGGAGAACACTGGACTATCTGCTGGACAAATTGATCGGCGGTGATGAAAGACTTGCAACGATCCATAAGTTCGTCTGGGATAGGACGCGAGGAATTCGGAACGACTTTTCAATACAGCAGGTGACCAACGTCGACGATGTCAAGATTGCGGTTGACTGTTATGAGCGGATTGCCAGATTCCATATCCTGTCGCTGCACCAGCTGTCCAACCCGGACAATCTTTGGGAAGGGGAGAACTTCGACGCGCACCAAGAACGAGAGCAGCTCAACAATACCCTTCTGTCACTGCTCTACTACTACGATGACAATCGGCAACGCATCGACTTTCCGAATGAAGCCGAGTTTCGAGCGTATTGCATTATCTTTGAGTTTCAGTCACAGCACCCGGACTTGGAAGATCGCATGCAGGCATGGCCCTCGAGTTTGCTCAAGGACGGACGAGTACAGACGGCACTCAAACTGTACACCGCCGCCGGCAATGCTCTTTTTGACCAAGGACCGCTCCGGCCAACCGAGCCTTTCGCCATAGCACAAAGCAACACCGGAAGTTTTTGGAATGTTCTCTCCTCGAAGGCTGTGCCGTACATCATGGCCTGCGTTGCAGAGATCTACTTTGCTCATGTCCGATATGCCGCGCTCGACGCTCTATGGCGGTCATGCAAAAGTGCTCCTGCTGCTCAACAGGCGCGGTCAAGAGACTGGAGTCTTAACGAGGTGACGGCCTTTCTGGGCTTTGATACTGAAGAAGAAACAAAAGACTTCTGCGCCGCCTTCGAGCTGTATTTCGGTACCGATGAAAAGGGAGAAGAGTACCTGGACGCCACGGCCAATGCTGCTCACTCTCTCGATCGTGCGTTGTCCTACATTCCCAAAGTGGTTGCAAAACAAGTTCTGATACCTGCGTAGAATCATCGATACCCAACCTGCAATTGTTTTCACACACTTACGTCGAGGAGAAGCGCTACCACCGAACAATTACCTCAGTCATCAACGGGGCGACCGTAGCTGAAGCCATTCGAAATGGCTGGATTGAGCCCGAGGAAGAACAAGAGACCGCTGAAGAAGAATCGAGAGATGATGATCAGAGCATGTTCGTCCCCGAGGATAAACCAACAGCTTCGCCAGCTTCGTCCGTCTTCGGCTCTTCACTCAACGCAGCGGCTTCTGCTTTTACACCCAATTTCGCTCAGAGTCCTCCCATTACTAAACCAGCAGAAGCATCGACTTTCGGACAGCCAACGGGCTTCGGACAACCGACGAGCTTTGGCACTTCAGGTTTCGGCGGTTTTGGGTCTCCTGGCCCGTTCAGTTCATCAGGCCCAGCTCCACCTCCATCACTTTTTGGGAAGAAAGAAGACTCTAGTCAGCAGCAACCACAACAACAAGCACCTTTGAGCTTCGGTGGCTTCAATCAAGGTGCAGGAAGCTTCGGACTAAACCGACCTGCCTCAAGTGAAAAGACAGAGACAGGTGGGGCTATCAAACAGCCAGAGAAACCTGCCTCAATCGCATCTACCCAAGCACAACAACCTGCCTTCACAGGGTTTGGTGGTGGAAAAACGCCTTTTCTACCAGCGACAACTGCATCAACAACGCCAACTTCCTCATCGACACCATCGGCAGTTCCGGCCATTTTCGGTACCCAGCCCCAGTCGAAGTCAGCATTGCCTGTGACGAATCAACCAATTGAAGGTAAGACGCTTCACGGATTGCTCAGACCGCTCCACGTTATACCTCATATTCCTCGATTCTTAATGATCGCAGGGTTCACATCGAGCTCAGTGGCTAATGGATTGTCGTAATTAGGTTCGAACAAACCCATCTCGACAACATCACCCTTTCAGTTCCCAAGCTTTTCTCAACCTGCGCAATCTGCCACACCCCCTGAACCTCCAGTTCAGGTGCAGAAAGTCCAAGAATCATCGACTCCTGCATCTTCGCCGCCAAAGTCAACGTTCAATTTCCAATCACAAGCGTCTCAGCCCCCTCCGACACCTGCACAATCACGTCAACCATCATCTTCAGTGCTTCCCTCATTCACGCCTCCATCTGCAGGATTTCAATCTTCACCCGCACCGGCTCCAACAATAATTCCACCTAAGCTAGATCTTTTTGCGCCCAAGCCGGGCGCCGCACCTTCTGAAGCCTTCAAGTTTCCTCAAATTCAGACGTCAGCGGCCTCCACAACAAAAGCTGACGTACCTAACGCAAAACTCACATATGAACCATCCGCACATAAGGCCCCATCCTCCAAGCCTACGATACCGCCTCAGTCGCTCCCACCACCACCCTCCCAGCCAGCCTTCACTCAAAAGGACCGCGATCGACTTGCAAGTGATCTTGCGAGAATTGCACTTACTCGCCAAGACGGGCTCCTTCGAAAGTACATCGAGTTCACCCTTCCTGATCTTGTAAAAACCGCACTCAACCAACACCGACTGGAGCTGCATGACGCAGCTGTTGGTGAGTACTCCCAATTTCACAATTTGTCGGTACTAACCAGGATGTGTAGCCTCAATACGACAACGAATCCTTGCTCGCAAATTTGGCGCCATTTGGCGATCAAGAGCTTGGAGAAATAGGTTAAACCGGCGAGCAAAGAATCGACGACAACTCTTTGCAGACACAATGAGGGCTGCAGGGGCCAAGAAGAAGAGAAGTGAGGAGGAGCTTGAAGCTATCCTTCAGGCTGCACAGGAGACCCAGAAGCTACAAGAAGAAGTCAAAGCTGCGGCCGAGGCAAAGCAACTTAAGCAAGAGCAAGAAGCCATCGCCATCGGCAGGATTGCTGGCCAGAAGAGAAAAATACTTTCCCGGCAGACAACAGAAGACAACTCTATCGCCACGAACGGATCTCCACGATCTGTCGGACACAAGAGATCCAAGACAACGAGCACTTCCTCCGAGCTGTCCATTTCATCTAGAGGCGGAAAACCGCCGGTCCCGAACTTCAGGGAGTCAACCACACGACCACAACACGTCTCAATATTTGCAGGACATTCCCTGCTGGGTCGATCTACCAGCAATCAGGATTTGAGACAATCTGCCTTTGGACAGAAGGTCGATAATACCCACACAGACTACTTTAGACTCAAAGCCCTGGGAGTTGATCCCGAGACTCCAATTGTTCCGTACACCAAAGAAACCTTGGCCCTTCGCAAGAAGAGAGAGGAACAAGAGAGGCAAGAGGTCTTGGCTAGGGCAAGGAGACGACCAGCTACTTCAGCCCAGTCTTCTCCCCCTGCACCTGCCGTGGTACATGCAAAAGAGGCTCCTGCCGAGACGAAAGTGCCAGTCAAAAACATGCCTAAAGTCAACACCAAACCTGCAGTGGAAGACGATATCCTCAAACAACTTCGAGAAGCTCGTGAAGCATTACAAGAACAATCAGAGTGGTTCAAGCAGCAAACGGTCGAACTCGAGAAAGAGATTGGGCAGGAAGAGGAATTTAGAAAGAGTCAAAGTAGCCGTCGAAACAGCGTCAACCTTTCCTCAAGCGGCTTCGCAAGAGCCAACGGATACGAGTATTTACCTGGCGAGACGAAAGCCGGTCACGATCTATCACGCACTGAAAGACGAATCCGGCAAACTGGCGCTCACGGGCTTGCCACCAAACCACTACGACCTAGCTCTGAGTATGTTCCTGTGGCGATGTCGAAAAGAAGTGCGATGATGTATACTGGTGCAAGTCAATCCAGTAGCCCTGTGAGAAAGCGATCATACGACGACGATATAGATCCAGCATTGGAGTCGGCCACCGGTTTCGCGCATTCCTCAAAACGAGCGCGAGCAGTCTCGAATCGAGCAGGGTTTGCTGGTGTGGATGCACAGGCCATGTCTCGTAATGTCGCCAAGAATCCTTATGAGCTTTTGCAGGGTGTTTCTCAAGATGACGAAGAAGGAGATGATCTCAATGAGGACGAGGAAGATACTGAAGAGCTTTATGATGAGGAACAGCCTGCTGGACAGTATCCTATGTATCCTGAACTCAATGGCGACGTCGACTATGGGGAGGAAGACGAAGAAGAGGAAATCGAAAATGAAGCTGAAGGGGAATATGATGAAGAGGAAGATGAAGGAGAAGAAGGGTATGATGATGAAGAGGATGAGGGCCAGGATACGGAGGAGTACGAGTACGATGCGGGATATCCTCAGGCTCAAGACGGTGATACGCCATTGACAAATCCTCAGCTCAGTCGAGCTGCTAGTAGCGCTCCTGGCGGGAGCTTGGACGACGCATTGGTGTTGAGTGATAGTGATTGAGCGCCACGACATGGTTTGAGACATCAGACAAGGCTACTAAGCTTAACACATTGCAGCGAACTGTCGAGGTTGTGTCGAAATGTTCGGTTCAGTGTGAACACGAACCTAGATCTTCCGCATGTAATGATCTTGCAATACGATTCGTACGAGAGAGCGTCAAATCTTCGGTTGCTGATTGATATACGTTGGGACCCTCCCCAGTCCTCCTGCTTCTGATCTACAGCTTCGCCTTGAACTTTGCCGCGCCCAACTCCTGCCGTTCTAATCCTAGAGACTGGAAAAGTTGCGCCGTCTTGCTCTGCTGTTTTGCGATCCTTGCCTGGATCTCGTCCTTGCGCTGCCTATTCTCGCGACGACCGAGTTGGCTCAGATGTGCTACAAATAAAAGATTAGTCTTGCCTCAAACAGAACTGTACTAACAGGCCGCTGCCCGCCGTCGGGGGCAAGTGACATACCTTCATCCGGCCCATCAGCAATTCTCAATGTCCGGAGGTGAGCCCACATATACGCCAGTGGGGTATCCTGACAAACACCCATGGCGCCATGAGCCTGGATCGCGCGATCAATCACCTCAAGTGCAACCTGCGGGACCTTGACTTTGGCCTCTGCAATCTCCTTGAGAGCGTGCTTAGCGTCACGCTGGTCGATCTTGATCGCGGCGTTGAGCACGATCAGACGGGATGCATCGATCTCGATGCGCGCTTTTGCAACCCATTCGAGCAGGACCCCATGTTCGCTCAACGGTTTACCAAAGGGGATCTTGCGTTTGTCGTTAAGTCTGTTGATCAGCCATTCTAGTGCGCGTTCGGCGGCACCGATGGCGCGCATGGCGTGGTGGATGCGTCCGGGGCCGAGGCGGCCTTGCATAATTTCGTTGCCCCGGCCTTCACCTAGCAACAGAGAGTCGACGGGGACTTTGACGTTGGTGAATGTTATGTGGCCGTGGCCGTGGGGGGCGTCGTCGTAGCCGTATCTTTGCAAGCGTTAGCGAATCGGTAGCACAGTACAGGGCCCCGAGTGTGGTAGGTGGAACAGTGGGTGAGAGAGACTTACACGCTGAGCATACGGTGCACCTTGATTCCAGGGGTATCTGCGGGAACCAACAGCATGGATTGCTGCTTGTATTTGTCCGGGTTGTTGGGGTCGGTCTTGCCCATGACGATGAAGATCTTGCAGCGGTCGTCGCCGGAGCCGGAAGACCACCATTTCGAGCCGTTGAGGATGTAAGAGTCGCCCTGGCGCTGCATGCGAAGTTGGATGTTCGACGCATCTGACGAGGCGATGTCGGGTTCTGTCATGAGGAAGCCGGAGCGGATCTCGCCTGCCATCAAGGGTTTGAGCCATTTTTCTTTCTGTGCGGCCGTGCCGTACCGCGCGATGACTTCCATGTTGCCTGTGTCGGGCGCGGCGCAGTTACATGACTAGTCACCGTCCCGTTAGCACTGCTCGAGACAGAGGCTTATATGACAGAGTGCTTATCAAATGCTCGCGAGAAGCAAAGCCACTTACCTCACTTGCTGTGATACTCTTGCCCAATTGCTCCGCCATGAGACCGTACTCGACATTGGTGAATTGCGGGCCTTCTTTGAAATGGTTCTTGGGCAGGAACATGTTCCAGATCCCTGCTGCGCGGGCTTTGCGTTTCAAGTCGTCCATGATAGATGGGTGACCTTGCCATCGCGCCTCGCCGATGCCGATTTGAGATGAGTACACTGGGTCGGCGGGGATGGCTTCTTCCTCGACGAACTTCTCGACCTAGAAAAAGTCGTACTCAGACACAGGTGCTTTTCGCAGCACGACTCGAGCACTTACCACGTCCAACATCTTTAATGCCCGGTCTGAAACGAAAGGCTCCACGATGGGAGGGATATTCTGAGAGGCTGGCATCTTGAACAGGCTCGCTTTATTGCGGGTCGTTTTGGTCCTTTGAATACTATCAAAGCGAAGGGAAGATCAGCGACAGGTACTGTGTGGTACAAGAACCTTGTAGTATCAGGAAGGAGAAGAGCAAGAACAAAGGTGAGACGGTGAGCCAGACCTTAGAAGTCTACAGGCCTCGGTTGTAGACCGAGTAGAGTGGAAATGCGGGGGACTCTACTGTATATGTGGAATAAAGTCAATTCGGTTGGAGACCCGGAGTAGGAAATATGCCTCGGCCAATTCATCAGCTATAACTTGCCGTCTCACTAACGGCGGTAGGCAAAAAAGGGCGGGGACAACTACGAATTTGTTGTCAACGTGTGTGGTGTATGAAGGCTGTTATCAGAGAGTATTTGAGAGGGTTGTAATTCTCCATTGTTCCCAACTTGTCCATGACAAGGAGGGCAATATAAAGTAACTAACTACTTTGTCATCGTTGATTGACAAAGCACAGAAACCAACTATCTCCAGGAGAATTGATGTGATTCAACAAGCACGCCGGTGTTTTTTCTCTTCGCTTTTTCTCCAAGCCCTTGAAAGTGGTGAACCGCCGACAAACTCCCTTTCCACCGCGTCAGGTAATGCCGCCTTTTGTCGATGTAGAGAGAAAAAGCTTTCCAGTAACGGTTTGAACATACCCCATTCAACCCGCCAATAATCCCAATGCAATTGTCCAGGTTTTTGATGGGTACAAAGACACTGTTGTTACACTCCATGACACCTCTTTCAACTCCTTGTTTGTAAAAAGTCATCAGTGTCAGGTCCCATCCAAGACAATAAGCGAGGGTCGGTTTGAGTATGTGTGTGAAGATTGAAGTCTTCTTTTTTCCCCAACGTCAACAAAAACAAGTTGTGAAATTCTCTGGTATCATGTCGCCCCGGTCCACACTGTTCAAAAAAGCTCCGCAAACAGAATGCTGATAGAATCACAAATGGAAGTTATGCCAACCTCCAACCCACTCATGATCATCCTCGTCCGCAGACGAGTCAATCACCTTGCTTTGACGCCAGTCCTGTTTCAAGTACGCCGGACGTGCCTTATTTCGACTCTCCCGCCGATGGGATGCCTGTTGATCCAATCCGCCTTGAGGGGGCTTCTTTCCTGATCCTGTGGTGTAGGATCGTTTCTTGGCACTCCAGGCTGGTAATTGGATGTCTGTCTCGATATGCTGACTGCGTCGCTTGTTGCCCAAAGCAGCCCACTTGTCGACAGGAACGTGGTTGGGAGAGTGTCGAGATGGTCGCATGCGCCATCCAAGAGGGTCATTCTCACCATACCCATGAGCGGTCTTGATGGGAGCTGGTTTGGGAGTAAGGCTGCGGCGAGCATTACTGTTCGAGCGACTCTTGGACTCGGCAAGAACACCAGGGGGCACCGGCAGAACTTTTTGACTATCTTCGCTCCAGCTCCTAGAGTTTTGTTCATGTCGCAACTTCACTTCAGCTTCACGCTCAGACTCTTCCTCGTCTTCTTCAAACATGTCACTCCAGCTCTTGGCCACGGTTTCCTCCTTCTTCTTGCCAAAGACCGACGACATTGTAGGAATGGGTCGAGAGGGACGAGTCGGCAAAGAGTGAGGAATCGGCACGGGGTCAGGACGCGGTGGGTTGCGCGTGAATGGACGTTTGATTGCAATTGATTTGAGGGAGCCATACGCAGAATCCATGACCGAACCCAGTGACGGGGTGTTGTTGTGACCAGAGAACCAAGATTCACCAAGCTTGAGGTTCTTCTCGGAGTCGAAGAGATCCTCCTCATACAGATCAGGAATAGAAGCCAACTGTTGCTGCTTGTGTTGTGGGCTTGAATGCAAAGCCTTGGCCCATGGAAACGACTCGCCATCCATTTGAGGACTCTGGATCGATGGTGTACGCAATGGCTCGCGATTGGCACTGGCACGTACCACATCGCGTTCCTCGGCGCAGAACTCATCGAAAGAGTCATCATCAGTGGTGAAGGTGAGAGCGCGGAGCACAGCCTGCTTCAGAGCACCGAGGTCACGCTTGGCAGGATCAATCGCCATGGCAATCGACAAGATCTCGAACGTGTCCTGAGACATGTTTGGGAAGATGTCGAAGAGAGATTGACGATCTCGAACGTAGTCCGCGAACAAAACGTCTGACTGTGTCGGAGTGACAAAAGGATTCCTGGCGAACAAGACATTGAGCAAGCAGATACCAATAGACCAGATATCAGCCTTGGCTGGAGAATAGCCGGTATCAGCAGGGTCATACTGTTCCGGAGCCATGTATCGATCACTTCCAACGCATGACTCGTAGGACCACAAACTTCTGGTCGCCAAGCCAAAGTCACCAAGCTTCACAGATCCGTCACCGGTCAGGAAGATGTTCTCTGGTTTGATGTCTCGGTGGTACAAGCCGTTGGCATGCATGTGTTGCACCGCACTGATGAGCTGCAGCATGAATCGTCGAACATGTTCACTCTGAAGTGGTCCATGATCAAGTCGGATGGCCTCATACAAATCACCTTGAGAGCAGTATTCGAGAACCAAATAGCTGTGAGCTTCTGTCTCGAAGTGGTGGACGAGGTTGACCAAGTGATTGTGATGCTTGAGAATAGCATGGCATGCGAGTTCTTCGGCACCCTCATCGGCAGTCAATGGCATGGTTGATTGATCGGCAACGGCAGGCTTCGTCAAACATTTGATGGCCACCTCCTGTCCAGTCCGAGTGTCCAATGCCAGGAACACCATGCCAAAGGAGCCATGGTTCAGAGGAGCGAGAGTCCTGAAACGTCCGTTGAGTAGCTGGTCCTTGCGGAACACATCCTTCATGCATTCCATGGCTGACATTGGGAGGTATAAGTCGTCTGAGGAGGCTCTTTGGGAAAAGAACTTTTGTACACAACAAGTGAAATAAAGTCCGGTTGAACTTTATACAGGATGATAGACAGGGGGGGACGTTTGTGTGTAGAGTGTGAGAGCAGCTGTGCTCAGAGAGAGACGACAAGGTCGTGGAATGAAATCGGGACACCAAGCATAGATCCACCATATAACTTCAACCTTCAACCACCCGTGGCATGTGTCAGGAACAACACAAGTCGAAACCGCGAAACTCCTAGTCGTCGTGTGATCAGAGGCTCATAGAGTAGGTAAGGTCGTTAACGTAAAACAGGGAAGATTGGCTGGACGATGACGCGGAGCCTTCCGAGCTCGTTGTGCAGTCGAACGAGCAGAAGCGTAGAGATCGTAGTTATCGGGACATGATAAAAGAAGAGTTGGTCTGGTTCCGGCGGTAGGCCAAAAGAACGTGCACTCAGCGTCGAGTGTGAATAATTGAGGATGAAACAGAAGAGATTATATGTCGTAAGGAGAGTCGTAAATGTAGGGAGAGTTGAAGCTGAGAGGGTGTAGGTCGTTAAGATTGAGGTGCCTTATCGACAGGCAGCCACAGACCACTTGCCACGGGATATGTTGCTGGCTGGCAGTGTGAAAGATCACTTGACTCGTCTGGTGGGCGTCGTGAGTCAAAGAAGTTGTTCTCCTTTGTTATCGTAGTGGTTGGTGGCTTGACGTATGACACCACAATAATGAGCAATCAATGCAGGCCGAGGTAGACAGCGAGACTCGAGGGTGAGAGCGTCCAAATATAGCAAGTTCTCTCTTGTATTTACACCCAACAGCAGCTCAAAGGTATAGGAGGACTATAGGTAGATGAGGTCGAGTTCGAGTGCTGCAGTTGGTTTCGAGGCGGGGAGGTTCTGGTAAGGAACAGCGGGGTGGGCTGTCGCTGGGTTACAGCGAGGAATGTTGGAAGGAGCGTCGTCGATTGATGGAAGAGAGGCAGAAACCCGGCCAGGTTGTTGATTGAGATAATCAGGAGAAACGAACACTCGTTGGGAGGCTTGTCTTTTACATTGCAGTGTGGTCTGAACTGAGAGTCGAGGTAAGGAGAAGTAAACAAGAGGAGAGACGATGGATGAGTTATGAAGCTTGGAAGATGGAGAAGAGCAGAGTGGCAGCTTTGACGGCGGCCGAGTTGGCGGTGACTGGCAGACGGCTGCTGGACTGTCGGTGTCTGTGTTGTAGCCTACGAGTCTAAATTACTGGGTCTTGGAGCACTTGGGTCTAGGGGCGCAGCCAACTTGCAGGTGTCGATGGCGAATCCCGCTGGGGGCATCGAAGGTCGTGGAATTGGCCGCCAATGGGTGGGGTCCTGCAACAATGGTGCCTGCGTCCTGTTATTGAACCAACTCATGCACCTTCTAGTCTCTATTCGTCTTGGTTCCTCTGCACGACCTCACCACGCAATCTCCTCCCTAGCGCATGACCTGATCTGCTCAGTTCTCAATTCTACGCAGCCTAGGTGTACTGTGTACTCGACGACGACACTCCTCATCAGTCATCACTCTGTCCTTGGGAGTAGAGGACCACAGCGGCATCCATAACTTGACAATCTCGATAAAGGATCTGGTCAGATACTCATCACTTCTCTTTGCGAACATCCGCTTTCAGTGTCCGTTCGGATCCCTCTTTGTGTCTCCCATTCAGCCAATAAGAAAAGATCACGCCACGGCTGAAAGCTATCACGAGCACGAGCACGAGCACGAGCCTTGCCTAGGTGACGCCGCCTCACATCCAGGCCCGCAAACACGCAAGTTATTGAACTCAACAAGCTACTGCTTGAGATAACAATAGCAAAAGAACAGGACACTTCTCCTATACAGATCAAATGTGACATCGTGAGTCGTGAAGTGAAGCCTGAGACCCTGAGTCTTCCCGAGACATCCTTTCTTCCGGTGCCGAATGACTCAAGGTATATGAGTGCATTGTTCATCACAACATTGTCTTCGAGGGATGGCATATCCGGGCACCACAATATTCTCGGGTGTCGTTGTATCCAGATGATAATGTACATTTCTTGCTCATTACAAATTGCGTCAGTACACCCTCATTGTCAATGAGCAATATTCTTTTTAATTGCTCGATCTCAGATCTGGCCAGGCTGAGTCAACCTTACGAACCACACGTTGCGTACCTAACCGGGCAGTTCCTCGAGGTGCCGAGTGCCCAATCTTGGTAACACTACCCCGCAAATTTGGATCATAGGAGGTCATCGGCGGTTGTCTCACGCCTGCCTGAGTTTCAGAACTTGGAGCAACCTGACGAATGAACAACGTTGGCATTCCATCTTCTGATCATAGTAAATCATGTGTGACCATATATCCTCTTTTGAAAGACTCGAAATGTTGCACAAGACACGAGGAGCTTTACAGGAACTTCCCGAGTCATGTGATCTAGGCTGAGATGTCTGTAATGTCTGTCTCAAAGCCACAGAAAAGGACAGCTGTGTCCGTGGCTGATCATCATCCACCAAGCTATCTTCCAACTTCCATGAATTTCCAAGAAGCGACCTTCACAAACCGAGCTAAACCTCCAAGGAGCTGACATGTTATCTGATCAGCAGTCATCTTGTCCTTAAAGGATTGTGCAAGTTCTCTCGATTGGGCAAATGATCAAGACCGAACCACGTGAACGATAAGAGTGATTGGCGCATTGGAAGGGGAGATCATCTCGGATAAAGTCGCAAGTGACTTGTGTTGTTCAAAGCGCACTGACACTTGGCCGTTTCGACAGTCCTATCTGTGCTATCTTGAGACAAGTTGTTGATGTTTCGGAATTAATCCTTGATGACAATCAACAACAGAGGGACCATGGATTCTCAACGCTTTGACCACCAGAATAAACAGTTCTGCAATTTACTCGCAGTTTTAGTATTGCTTTCTACAACACTGTCTGTATACAAGTCCCTATTCGATATTGTTAACACTTTGCCCGAATGTCGGTGAGAAGACCCAAGAAATGCAATTTTCGGTCCAGGCTCTTCTACTGGCAAGAGAATAGCATTGTCTTGGGAGTGCAGTGTCACGGGAGACTAATGCAGGCTACGGGTGCTCGATATGCACTTTCTGCACAAGCGCAACAACAAAATTTACCCTTCCAACCCGGCCATTCCACTTTGCCTCGAGTTGCTTTACTTGCAGTCTTGCACAGGACTGGTCCAGCCGAGGGAAGGCCAGCTAAGTGCCCACTCGCCACCAACCTGCCCTGGTATAGATGACCGTCCAGTCGGCAATGGCACGGTGGACGACTTCAACAATTTTTTTCTGCGGATAATATTGTGGCTGTCGGCCCAATGAGGCTCCCTCATTGCACAGACACCGCCTTCAATACAACTTACAGGAAAGATTTCTTGCCGTCAAAGCAATGAAGAGATGATGGAATATGGAACATCGTTCTGTGGGCCTCTTTCGTGGGCGTAAAGGCTCGATGCCGCGGGCCGACGCTGGCTCCAGTCGCTGCTGTCGGTTCTCCGCCGAATGTCGATCGCATTGCAGTCCTTTTGGCTGGGATGTGTCCGTTGACTCCTATGAGCAGGCGCTTACTCTGACATGAATACTTACCACAGTATTGACGCCCTGGACCTCTCTTGTGGTCACAGTACCTCCGTGACAATGAATGGATACATAGTAACACTGCCACCGCCAGACGCCGTCCAATATGCGCTGCTGCTAATTTCTCCCAGAGGTCGAATCTGAACCCCCTGCCGCACCTATCATACATTATCCCAGTCAAGGACATCGCCGCTCACCTGAGCAGGAACCTTTCTTGCCGTCGAATAACGATATGGACTGAGTATCATTAGACCCAACCTCGAATTTCTGGGTCCGTCGACTCGTCTCTGCCATGCATTGCATGCCCCGCACCACCACATCTCACGCTACGGAATATTTTCGCCCCCCCAAACTGCAAACTTCGAGTTCCTGATTTCTCCATTTGCATGCATTCGCCAGCAGCCACTGCCGCCTGTACTCCGTCCGTACTGTGTCCACAGACCGTACGGTAGTGTAAGGCACCAGTGGGCACCACGGGATCCATGGGGTGCTGATAGTGCTGAGCGGGTCACTCTAGGTCTACAGTACTCGTAGGGTTGAGGTAGGTTTTCCAGGCCAAGGAGGGGTGGTTGCAACCCTTAGTTCTAGACTCCTAGACTCGGACCTACTAAGCGACGCCATACAACGGCCATACCCACCCTCCTTCTCCCAAAAGCAGGATGGGCGGTGTATATACCGCCCATTTGAGATCTCGACATCCTCGCCTTTACCCGTCCGCATCGTGTATGAATGCTGCATTGTGATACGGAGTACTGGATGATGAGGTGGCGAGCTGCGAAATCTTGGTAGCGCACATTCGAATTTTTCTGAAAATTTTGTCTTTGCGGTGAGCATTGTTGGCAGCTTGCGGGGGTTGCAAAATGTTGTTTCCTTTTGCATGTGCAAGAGTTTTAAAGAGCTGCATTGCGCTGATTGAAGCGGTGCGATGAGATGCCCTCAACCGTGCAGTCCTGGATGCAGTATGATTTCTTAATCTCATGCTGGGAGAGGTAAAGTTGAGCAAAGTCCATGCCACTAGAATGACTTGAACGTCTCATCATGAATCGGATGTGTACTATACACTCTACGAGATTTGCTTATATATAACACATTATTCGTACAGTCCTGTGCCCAAGTCGCTGCAATCCAGTGCGATGCAAGGAGGACGAGCGAGAGCAGCGAAGCTCGGAGTCGACGCATCCTCGTGCCGAGACGGACGATTTCGTGGGAGTCAAGACAAATCGCAACAGGCATACCCTGCTACGAATTCACAGCGTCTCTGATATTGTCTGCTCTGGAAGAGCCGACACGCAGCACAGTCGTGGCAAACCGTCCTCGTGACTTTGACTGACAGCTGCCAAAATCTAGACCGTCACGTTGCACGTCGGAGAGAAAGGTCCAATAACGGCGTCGACATGCCGTCAAAGCGCACCACCAAGAGCCTCGACCAACCACAAGGCAAGTCTAACCCTCAACCCAACCCTTCGATCGACTTTCGCCAGGTCGTCCTGCGTCGTGATCGTGGCATCCGCCTCGAGGTTCTCAGTCTCCTTCTTGAGTCTGGCCTTGAGCCGATCATCCCCCGTCACGACCATTGCGCCGATCTCCAGATCTAGACTGTAACTTCTTTTGGTGTAGTTGCTGCTCCCGACCACAGTGATGCTCGGTCCGGCCTCATCGACCGTTTTCTCTGGCTCTGAATCCAGTTGAGGCGGAAGCGTCACCCAGAGCCCTTTGGCATGGTATGTCATCGCGCCTGGTTCGCCGACCGTCCCTTTCCGCCATTCCTTGAGCTGAATCTGGTTTTCCTTTCCGGCGTTGGCTACGGTGCGCAGGAACCGTCGCGATAACAACGTGTATGCGGCGGGTAGCATACCACTTACGCCGGGGCTGCCATAGAATCCGTTGGCCCAAGGCGAGGCCGTGATGACTGTGCAAGCCTTTTCGAGGGCTTTGGTGCCAGGGGCTAAGACTCCTGGTCCGGGAGTTGCGGCTATAAGGAGTTTGGAAATGTCCGGGTCGATGTTGAAGTATCCTGCAGTAAAGGCCCATCGAGACTTCTGCAAGCGTTCGTCGTCTGCCAGGTTAGTCAACAGTCGTGTGATTGCAGGCTTCTCTGTTGAGGTATAGCTCGCGAATTCGTAGTCGAGGAAGGCGATGTTCTTGGGGTCGCCTAGCAGGATGTCGAATTGTGCTAAAGGGTACACAAATGTCTTTTCCTTGGTGAATGGCACTGGAAACATCTTCTGTCTTGCCTTCTTGTGGATGAGCGGCTCCAATGTTTCTTTGGCAATCTGTTTGAACCGCTTTGTGTGCCATAAGGGGTCGGGGAATCCACGTTCGTGCGGGCTGATCAATTCGAAGCCTCCTGGGCGTTCGTCGGACGGTATTAGCGTATACGACAGATCGCAGACAGCCTCATGGACAGCCGCGTAGAAATCTGTAAGCTCTTTTGACGCGAATAGATGGTAGCGGTCCAGTCGGTTCGTGAAGTAATCGTTCGATAAGTTTGCCCTGCCTCAATTGTTAGTAATGGTCAAGATAGGGATCATGATATGCAATACCCTGACAGCATGATTTCATCGTCGAACCCGTATAGCTTCATGTGTTGCAAACCCCATCCCTCGTTCAGGCGCTTGGGCATGTATTTCTTCTTCCAGCCGTTCAGGTTCGGTGTGTGGAACATGGAGATCTTCACTCTATCCCCGAATTGGGAGACCAAGGGAGCCAGAAGAGTGCCGCATGATGGGTCAGGGTCTTCTCGAGTCCCCCGAAGTGCGTCCGTCAGGATCGAAAGCTCGAGATTCGGGTTTGCCTCAAGGGCTTCTCGCAAGGTCGCAATCAGTTCATGCTCGCTCTTGCCAATGTACAATGTCGACAAGTAGATCCTGCGTTTTGCGCCTCTTATTTTTGCCTAGCATGCCCTTTAGCGAAAGCAACTTTGTCGGGAGTGTCCGATGGTGGTACCTTCAAGGTCTCGTAGAATGCGGTCGGAGATTCGAGGATCTCAATGTTGTCAGGGTCTATCTCGAATCGAGGAGCCACATGGTCAAGTTGCGAAGCGACTCCAGCCAGAGGATGTGCCGTTGGAGCAGGGACATGGCTTGAGGCGGCGGTCGAAGTTGACGAGAACCTTTTTGGAACTGCCCGGACTGCTGAGGTCGATGAAATTCTTGTGGCTCGGGTGCAGTTGACGATGACTCGCACGCCAATGCTCCGTGCGAACATCTCAAGCCGAGCTTTATTGACACACACGGCAGCTGCGGCGTTCTTCCCTCATCGCTACGGCAGACTCGAGGAGGAGCAATAGCCGTCTTGAACAGCCTCGACAGCAACTACGAAATTCGAGGGACAAAATGGCCGATGTTTAGCCGGCTATCAACAATTCCATCAGCAGCCCTAGGCGTCCTCGGCGTCACCTGAAGTCCAGCCTGATGGGCCCCCGCGATGCCAGGACCAGCTGAAATGCTCTTGCTAGTGGCTGGGCCTATGCAATGTGCTGGCTGTGCAACACGCCTGGCGAAAATCAGTCTTTCTATACTAGCGACTAGCCGGCCTACGAGATGGCCGGACAGATTGGAGCCTCCTTTCTGATCTTCCCGTCCGGCAAGTGACAACTCTCGAAGTCGACGATTGGTATGATTCGGTATCTCAATCACAGCTTTTCGCAGATCCTGTGTTATTGTTCAGCTGCACCGCAAGGTTAGCGTCTGCGACTTCCATTCCCTGTTGTTGTCACCCTTCTCCACCAATTTTCCAGAGCCACCGGAACGTGGTCAAACATGGAGGTGCGAGAAGACATGTTTCGCTACCGAAGGCTGCCTCCAACATATACGAGACTCTTCCTAGTTCCTCCCATCCAAGGTGGAGCACTCCGTTGCAGACTCTTCCACCTCCATCTACTCGAATGTGGGACGAAAATGAGATACAACGCCTTGTCCTACACATGGGGAGATGCCACTGAAACCACCACAATCCGGCTTCTCGACGACAAGACAGGTCACGAGGGTCAGCTCGAGATCACGAAGAGTCTGGAGATCGCACTTCAACGAGCGCGACATCCAACATCCGCAATGCTCTTCTGGGCGGACCAGATATGCATTGATCAGGCCAATCTAGAAGAGAAAGAAACCCAAATCGTGTTCATGAAACTCATCTATGAAAGAGCTGGGTCCATCTATGCGTGGTTAGGACCAGCGGCCGACCAGAGTGATATAGCGATGAGTCTCATCGGCACAATGGACTGGGCTCAATGGCTCTTGAAGCTGGAAGATCCAGATGAAACAGAAGCAGAATCAGAACCGAGCTCGACACATTCTACTGACAGACTCACTCCCAACTCGACTATCTCAATTATCAAACTCATGCGTCGGCCCTGGTGGTCGCGCACATGGATCTTGCAGGAAGCCACTGCCCAATTGCCCAACCAGACAATGGTGTGCTGCGGAGAAAAGGAGGTTCAGCTAAGCAAGTTTGCCGACTTCATTGGGGTCATACGACAGACCTTACTTCGGCCGGAGTTAGTACCTGCAGAGGTGCGCCAACTGTATAATCTGTCCTTCATGGCGAAGTTCATGGCCTTTCGGCAGAAAAGAAACCAAGCACCACAGAGACCTTTGCTTGAACTGGTTGAGAATGCTCGGGACACCAATGCAACCGATGCTCGGGACAAAGTATACTCAATGATCGGTTTCGCCATGGATGTCAGAGACATCCCGGGACAGACACTCCGTCCAAGCTATTCACAACCAGCACTCGCTGCTTATGTCGAATTCAGTCTATGGCATATCGAAAGACACCAATGCCTGGACATCTTGAGTCATTGCTTTTTTAGAGGAGAGCCGTTCGCTGAAGCACCTGCCAAACCAGGAAGACTACTGACTGTTGTGGGTGCGCAGAACGTACTTCCTCCAGAAGGTGAAGCTGGATCACGTACAGAGTCATCGTTCCTTCCGACCTGGGCTCCGGACTGGAGACAGAAGAGCAGTATCCAAGTATTTCCTAAATTGCAAGATCTTGACGATCTGTCCTCTCCAGCCCTCTTCTGCGCGGCCACAAATCAGAAGACGATCTTTCCTAGTCTTAAATGCGACTACCAGGCGGTGAGGGGCTTGAGAGCTCATGGAGTGAGAGTCGGTTATCTATGCCGCGTCGAGAATAAAGCCATGCCCAGAACCACAGGCCTCGACGTGGAAGATACATGGCAGCCCCATGACAGGGAGAAGATCTGCCCTCTCACAGGTCTTAGTATGTTGACAGTATTCAAGAGAACCATGTTTGCAGACGTCAAAGGTTATTTTGGAGACAAGGGTCAATTGGCCTGGCGCCGCAGCCACGCTGAAGAGGACATTCTGTGGCCCCCAGTGTCAATCTTACAACATGGGCCTCAGTATCCAGACTTCGTTACACTGAAACGCACCGCCATTGGTAGGTGCCCGTTTTCCTTGAAACCGTCACATTCTGCATCGGATGGTAATAACATCTGGGGCCTAGGGCCGGGCTGGGCGCAGGCAGGCGATGAAGTGTGGCTGCTTTCGGGAGCGAAAGTACCCTTCGTGCTTCGGCCTAGGCATCAGGATGTTCAACGTACTCTTGGGGGTTGCATACTTGACTTGCATACAGGGATTGTGAAGGCATATGGGCCCGATGCTGGACAAGTCGCATTTGAAATCGTTGGAGAATGTTTTATTCTTGGACTCATGGACGGAGAATTGCTTGGCATGATGGGTCCGCATCCGCATCGCCGTGAAAGACCGCCAGCGTTGAAGGACTTAGCTGATGATTTTTCTAAGCTTGTTATCTTCTGAAACCGGATGCGAAGAATGTTCGATGAGGATGGGCGAGAATCCTCGCGATTTGTCATCCGGGACGAAATGCGCCGCATGCCAAATTGAGGAATTGACGCCACCATACTGGGAAATCGGCGAATAACCCTCGAAGTATGCGGCTCGAACGCGATTGTCTCAAGGTGAGCATAATCCCCACGGTAGGTGTACCCAAAGAAAGTGTAATGTATCAAAGGTCAAATTGGGTATATTGTATATATCACTGAACGAAAAGGTTTCTTTTCTCCTGTTCACAAGATATGTTTATCATTCCGGAAACGCTTGAACAATTCAACAACACAAATTCAACCTCTTTTATGCCGAGTCTGGGTTAACGGCATGCTTCACCTGGTCAACTCTGATCACTCCGTCAGCTTCATGTCTGATATAAGGACAGCAGGACAACCTTACACTGAGCGCTTACGTTCTGGCTCAAGCTCGCCCGCATCGACTTTGCGGTTGACTTCTTTCATATGTCTGTGCGAGGCAGGCTGCGAGTGATCGGGAGCATATTTGTCTCCGTCCAATCTCAAATTGGGATGGTCTTCGAGTCTACCTGGAGTCAGTCCCGCTCCAGGCGCTCATGCGAGGAGAATCAGTTGACATACTGTCGAGCGTTGTTTGCTCTTTCCATCATGATTTCTTTACCACTGTTGATATGGTCGTTGGCTTCCTGGTGACTATGGTCGGACGTGCCTCTATCGGCGGCCTGGCCCTTGAGATGATACATGCTGACTAGTTTTCTGATTGGTGGAGTGTGCGACTTCGGCTGTATATACTCTTTTCAGGTATCAATATGTTTTCCGTGACTGTTGCAGTATTGAGTAAATGCAAGACTGCTGGACCTAGTTGCAATGTCAATGTCGAAATAAGATTCGGGTAACTGTCCAAGCTTTATACACAAGCTCATTGCTAAAGATGTTGGCTTGTTCTTGTACGGGACTCAGGTATGTGCATCGCTACCTGAATGGAAGCGCATTACATCAGTGAGTCCCAGGGGTCATACATAATGTGGACCGCATCGTACAACGTCATGAACATCAACATCATCAAGCCCACGTGCGCTGACAGCGAGCCTTGTATGGGCCTTTCTGGTACCTGCTTACCCATACCTCATTTACCGACGTATGAGCCTTGAGGCTGAGATGGGGAAGAAAAAAGGATGGTTCATTCATCCGAGCGAGATACAGGCGACGATTTGACGAGGACAGGCGACCTTTTTCGATCAGGGCCGAAGAGAGTGCGTAGCCTACGCAACAGGGCACAATGTAACCTATCGCGGTGCATAATTTGAGAACGAGTCTGACCTTTTCTGGATGATGTTGTCGGTGGCAAAAATGGTCGCCGTCCTAACGTGGATTAGGGTTGACGCGAAATGCTTATCTCGTCATTATGAGGCGTGGAGATCTGTTGCTTGTCTGCTTTAAGCGCCTCTCCGTCCCTTGGCGTGTCAGGGTCTTCAGCCTTGTCTGCGCAGCCTCGTCAACTGGAAATGACTTACGTTACTTTTTCACTTCAAACTTGAATATGGCGAATGTAAAACTTTCGACACGACACTGCTGGCTTCAGTTCTGTATCCTACCAAGAGCTCTGCACTTGTGGAAGAATGACGCTGAGTTATACGTTTTAGGGGCTGACCTCGTCTCCTGGCTGATATATGCATCAAGTCATTCATAGGTCTACGACAGGATTGAGCTATGTACCAGCAAGACTTTACAGTTGAGGCGGCCGCCGGGCCAAAGTCAGTTGCTCAACGCCATAGGCAAGCTCAAGCAAGGTCTGTTCACGGTATGGGAGACCAAGCAACTCCAAGCCAACAGGTAAACCTGCATCGCCCTCGGTCAGTCCGGCTGGTACGGTGACAGCAGGCATGAGCGATTGAGACGCGACCAGAGTGTTCGTTGGGAAGTCTGCAGCAGGCCATCGCTGCTTGAGAACGTCTTCGAGTAGTGGCGCTGGGATCTGGCAGTCGGGGAACGCTAGTGCATCCAGCTGATGTTTGGCCATGACTGTGACGACTGAGCGCTGCAATTCTTCTCGCAAGAGGAGCCGCGTCGTGAACTTGGGGTCATCCTGGGGCGTTCCCTCGCCGAGAGCAATATCCTCGAACAGGTCTAGTGCTGGATGGTACCTCTTTGAGCCATAGATTTCTTTGGTGCTGGTCTTGAGGTAAGAGTGTCGACTGAAGAATGCGTCCAGGTCTGATCGAGAGCGCTGTGGGTAGGTGAATGTCTCTTCCAGGAGAGGCTTGAGGTTGGGGATTTCGACGTCGACTAGGGTTGCCCCATTTTCTTGCAATTTCTTGAGTGCGTTGTTGATGACATTGTTGGTGGCGCGACAATCGGGGTCTGAGTCTGGGCCGAAAGCTTCGCGTAGCACGCCAATTCTTGCAGTCTTGATCTTGTCAACGGAGAAGTTGGCGGCATAGCTACCACCGACGGGTTCTCCGGAGATGACTGCTGCCGCTGTGTAGGGATCTTGCGCGTCGAAACCGGCTAAAACGTCGAGCATAAGTGCGACATCGGTAACTGTGCGGCACATGGGACCTGGAGTATCCTGCGGAACGAGGAGAGGTGAGAGACCGTATCGGCTGATAATGCCTGGTGTGCAGCGGATGCCGACGAGGCCACAGAACGAAGACGGTAGACGGATGGAGCCTCCTGTGTCTTCGCCAATACCGAGCAAGCCCAGATCAGCTGCCACTGCCGCACCGGTTCCTGAACTTGAGCCACCAGGGTCGCGTTTCAGATCATATGGATTGCGGGTGACTTCCGAGATTGATGATGTCGAATGCCATGATGTCGCCCAGTCTATGAATATCATCAATAGGGGTTCGATCCGGACATGTACGATCTGGTAGTCTTACCGGGCATGCTGGTCTTCGCAAGCACAATTGCCCCAGCGGCTTTCAGCTTGGCGACCAGTGTCGCGTCTTCTGTGGGGACATAGTCTTTTGCGACGATGGAGCCATACGTCGTTGTCAAACCTTTGGTGGCGGCTTGGTCCTTGACGACGACCGGGATGCCGTGTAGAGAGCCTTTGAATGCGGATGTGCTCTTGAGGTGGGCATCCAACGCCTCGGCTTCCTCGAGTGCAGTGGTGGACACGCCGAGAATGCTGTTCAGGTGAGGGCCGCTTTCAGCTTTGTCGAGTTGCTCGATACGGTGCAGGTAGTACTCTACTACTTCGCGAGCCGTGAATTTGCCGCTGCGATAGCCGTCGTGTGCTCGAGCGATAGTCAGTTCTTTGAACAATTTGTCCATGATGGCTCTCTCCCACGCGTGACACTTTTCAGGTAGATCAGAGCTAGACTACGTAAGTCATGAAGAGCAGTTTGTTGAACCTCCCAAAGCAGGGAATAGTTTATCATGGCATCTTCCAGGTTACTCGGACATGACCGCCAGGATCCCTGGGCATCGTTGTTCTAAGAATGGGGCAACAAGGGGGCTTTCAGGCTGTGTGCCATTCCGGCAAGAATGAGTTAAGGATCATGTACACCCATGATTCTCAGAACTTTCACCTTAATTTCTTCTCGATACCTGCAAGGCTTTGCGATAAAGTGTCCAGTAAGTCGTAGTCCAGAAGGCGAAACATACCGAGGCTGAGATCGGTCAGGGGTTAGGGGGCTCCCAGCGAGTGCCAAAGCGCCTATGACGGAGTTGAGTATTCCTGGCCACGGGTCACGTGTCAAGATTTATTTATTGGCGAACACTGATAAACAGGAACGTGTCTTCCAGAGATACAGTACTGCATCAAGTCGGCAGCGTGCACATCATGACCACTTCATGATACTCATTCGGGCCTATGCCTCGTGAATGCATAGGCTACGATCTCATCACACGGCGCAGCCAAAGATGTGGGCTTTCCGCCAACAACTTCTCGCCCTATCCTTCCTCTGGCTCGTCGTAACGACGTCCTCGAAAAGCACTACCGCTACGACGTCCTCTACTTGTCCTTCTCGCACTGTGAACTATATCACTCACAGCCTCGCTCAGCAGTGCCTGGCCTCCTCTCGCGTTGTCAACGTCACTTCTAGCAGTGTTGGACCTGCCCTTGCCTCGACCCAGAACTCTACAACGATCATCCCTGTGGTCATCGAGACTCACGACAGCACCTTACCGCCCTCTGGCTACTTCGCGGAACCTGCTGTTCCGACGACCGATCCTACATCAACTAAGCAAGATGTACAAAGCGTTGAGTCGGAGCGGACGGTTACGGAGTCCTCCTCAATTGAAGCGTCACAACCATCCACAAGCCATGCACCACAAGCTGCCGCTGATGAGTCTCCGCTGGAGGAGGGGCACTTCTTGTCATTCGAAGATTGGAAGCGAGAAAACCTGAAAAAGGCGGGCCAATCTGAGCATCTGGGGAGTGGACACGCAGGCGAGCCCAAAGAAGTCAAAAAACGGCCCTCACTTGACCATGACTCCCTTGACTCACTCGGAGACGACGCGGAGATAGATCTCGACTTCTCTGGCTTCGTCTCCGATAACATTGAGCCTCCACCTGAAAGGCAGCAGAGCAGTGCTCCTACAGTTCGAGAGAACCAGATTGAAGTCGAGTTGGGCCGTGCTCCGAGGGCAGGTGTCCGCCGCAAGGATGCTGGCACGACATGCAAAGAAAGATTCAACTATGCTTCCTATGATTGCGCGGCGACTATCCTCAAGACAAACCCTGAAGCAAAGGGCGCATCTGCGGTTCTGGGAAAGAACAAGGACTCTTACATGCTCAATGAATGTTCGGCGCAGAACAAGTTTCTGATCCTCGAGCTGTGTGACGACATCTCCATTGATACAATCGTGCTTGCGAACTTCGAGTTCTTCAGTTCCACTTTCCGCACGTTTCGCGTCAGCGTGTCTGACAAGTATCCTGTCAAGGTCGATAAGTGGAAGACATTGGGGACTTTCGAAGCTCACAACACGCGGAATGTACAGGCCTTCTTGGTTGAAAACCCGGTAATATGGGCACGATATCTGCGCATCGAATTCCTGAGCCACTACGGAAATGAATATTATTGTCCACTCAGTCTTGTCAGAGTACATGGCACGACCATGCTGGAAGAGTACAAACATGACCTTGAGTCTCTACAGTCCGACGACGACGATGTCGAAAGTCAAGAGAGCGATGGGACTGCCGAAGTCGATGCACTGGTGCCTGAAGCAGTGGACGAAGCGATATTGACGAAGGTTGAGCCTGTTAAATCCGACGTTTCGGTCGAGACACCCCACCTTTCAGAAGAAGCCAGCTCCAACGCGTCAGGGACAGGGTCTGCTTTTGTGAATGCTACACAGATTGTGTCCGTCGACGCCGCCGCGACTACGATGCCAACATCCCCTGCTAATTCGTCTGCCACGTTCGACAGTACGACTATGCACGAGGAGATGTTCCAGACGTGTGAGAGTATCGATTCACCCACGAGTGCCAGGGGAGCTAGTAGTGATCAGCAAAACTCGAGTGAGCAGGTAACAGCGAAAGAAGAAGGCACGCTAAAGCCTACTGTTTCCACCGCAACCCTGACCACGAACAAGACTTCGGTGTCCGACGCGCGATTGGATAAATCTGCCTCGAGATCCACAAGCTATCATTCTTCAGTACCGAGCTCAGCTGCAGCAAATACTTCTATAGTGGTCAAGTCTTCGTCGTCCTCAACCGTCAATGGCACCAAAGTGCCGGCGTCTTCAACACAAGCCCCTGCTGCTGCTCCGACTATGCAAGAATCTTTCTTCAAGTCTGTGCAGAAGCGTCTTCAAACGCTTGAGTCCAATTCTTCACTCTCTTTACAGTATATCGAGGAACAATCCCGAGCTCTTCGAGACGCATTCCTGAAAGTTGAGCAGAGGCAGATGGCCAAGACCACTTCATTCTTGGACTACCTCAACACGACCGTTTTGAACGAGCTTCGTGATTTTCGGCAACAGTACGATCAACTCTGGCAGTCCACCGTGATTGAGCTCGAGATGCAACGCGAACGATATCAGCAGGAAAGCATGGCTATCAATGCTCGACTCGGCATCCTGGCCGATGAGGTCATCTTTCAAAAGCGGATGTCTCTACTCCAAATGCTTCTGATTCTGATATGCTTGGGCTTGGTCCTCTTCTCAAGAGGCTCCCTGAATAGTTACCTGGAAATGCCGCTGGTACAGAGCGTATTAGCCAGGTCGCCAAGCTCCAGGTGGCTGAGTATATCAGGTCTGGACACACCTTCGCAAAGTCCTTCAACCAGCAGAGCCAATTCCACCAGGGAAGCACGCCGACGGCAGAGCATTTTGAAGAGCCGCCGTCACTTGCCCTCGGAAGATACTGGGAATGAAGGAGTCAGCCCTACAGATCTTTACCGTCCGCCCACCCCAGTTAGCATAGGGGAAGCTTCGGACGATGGGAGAGACAGCACCGTCTATGAGGATCCTCAATTCGACCCAAGTCTGATTGAGAGGCCTAGCACAAGCCCACCAATTTTATTGGGAGCAGAATCCCCTCCCGAAACTCCACGACCTGTGGCTGAATTTGAAGATGGCTCAATTGACGCTAGGATGCTGGGGTCAGCTCCACGTTCTCTGGGGAGAAAGCCTCCCATGCTAATAGTGGAGGAAGCCACACCTCCCTCCAAGCACCTGACATGGAACCTGCCCAACGATTGAATGATGCGATGCTCTGCTTCACAATCCCGTTTGCAAATCGCGACAGTATGGCGGAACACGATGCTCGTCCAGCCTTGCATCTTCAGATGTCAAACTCAACGACGAAGTACCTTGCTCCTGATATGCAGATCATTGAGACTGGCCATGTCAAAAGGCCTGGCACATACGCTTCATGTACTTGCTAAGCGCCACTAGCCGGTGCCTGAACCCCAGGTACGAAGACTATCAGGATCGCGAAGATTCTATCGCAAAGTCAGCATTGGAGGTGCTGGCGCTGGTGGGGAGAAAGATCATGACATACTGAAGCAGGCTCGAGATGAAGTTGTTTCGGCTGGTCCTTGCGGTCAATACCAATGGCACGAAGCAGCAAAGGAATAGCCCCGTGATGTTGATGAAGGTTTTTTATCGGTGTTTTTCGGATTCAAGATCCACGGCTCGACCACCAGTAAGGCGACGCCAACCATTTGGAAGACCAAGCGAGGCCAATCTCTACGTGGTGCGGGTGTGAAGCCGCCGTTGCTCGCACTGCTAAGCAGGCGAGGGTCCTGATGTAATCAGTTCAGAAGAGAGACCTCAGGTATATTGAGTAACTCTTACATGTTGTGCCAGCATTTCAATGTCTGGCAATCTGCGTCGATCCGTCCTGTACGCTTGTTGGGGTCTTACAGGTGGTGGAGGAAACGCTTCTGGAACCGACGGGAGATCTGTGGGTCTGGGGAGACCCAAGCTTTGTGTGGAGCCTTCCATGGCTTTGCAGGTAGTAAGTTCCCTTGGGAGCTAGAAGACAGGCCAAAGAATGATGCCACTTCGGACAATGACAGTATCCCGAACACCAGATATATAGTGACAAGTGGAACATAGAAGGAGACCACATTCTTTTATGCTTTGAATAGTAGCAAAGGAAGCCATCGATAAACCAACGTATGCCTGGATGTTTCAGGTGGGCTATGAAGGCGCTGCTCTGGTTCATTTCTGCCAATCGTATCCTTTCCCTATGGTGGCAACCTGAGGTGTGAACACGAGGCACCTGTGGAGGATTCCGTGAGAGCAATAATGGTACGAGTTCCTGCAGAGTAGCCTTGGAGGCGGCATGCGCTGCACTTATCATTGGTTGTGGCGCATCAAAGAATCTCCGGCCGATGACCTTCAAACTCGACCTCACTCCGCTTCAGCACCTGCTGAGTACTGAGAAACTATCTCAGAAAGACCTGGCAGGTAATGTCCAGCTTCCGATTAATAGAGCAACCGAGCCGCAGCCTCCTGGACGTATCAGGACGAGACGGACACGCAGCCAGCCCAAAATTCCAATAAGCAACTTTCCTGGCTACCGACCCAAGCCGCTCGTTCCACTACCAGACGTAGCCAAAGAACTCGGAGTCAAAGCCGTCTCATTGTTGCCACGAGGGAGTAAGCCACCTGCTAGGGCATTGGACTAAGAGTACAACGACACCTGGTTGCCCTCTACCTGGGGTTCACTCCCTGCACTGGAATAGACCAACTCCTGCTGCAACTTAGATAAACCCCCTCATATTGCTGACTTACATACCAACATCATTATTGTTCCATGGCAACTTTTCGCGCGGTTCCACTGCTGTCTAGGTGGACCGACTGCAAGTTTTGAGACTGAAATTGATTCTAGGAGGGCCCGAAGTGCTCTCTGGCAAAACTGTGATTGGAATGACGCATCCATGATTTCCCAAGTACCAAAGGTCGCCCATGAGTGCTTTCTGTGGAAGGTTGGCAGGGATGATGTCGGCAATCATAACGATACATACATTTTCGGGTTGTCGTCGTGTCCATGGTCAATCGGACAGGGCGGATATGGTGGGTGTTGATGCTATTGAGATATCACACCTAGGTGAAGAATCTTCGCTGACCGTCTTCAGCATCCATACTGTTGATCGGACTGTCAACATTGGTGTCTGACGAGATGGTTTGCTTGAGACGTTGAGCTTTTCCCGGGTGTGTTCTGATTGCGAGCTACCCTCCTGGTCTGCACAACACGCATGCGTTTGTTCGAGTCTTCGTACTGCCACACTTTCAAGCGTCAGATCAAGGCTGTAAGCAGAAGTTGTACAGCGGCTCAGAAGAAATTATAATCGTTGCTCCACAGCCACGATTGACCTGCATCCTCAAACGACGTGAAGGGATTGCTGAATACTTCGAAGCCAGACACGAGCTGATTGTCCAGTGGCGCTGGGTCGACTGCAAGATACTGCTGAGCGTTGTGGTCGAGTGCGTTTGACTGCTGCGTGAAGGCTTCTGGATGTATGACTTCCTGTCCAGCAAAGCCGATATTCGGCACACCCTCGCGGAACACTATTGGAAAGGGTAAGTCAGCTAAGAACTTAAAACTGGAGTATAGGGAAACACTCACTGCTTTGCAAAGATGTCAAAGCACTGCCGAAATTGCCTGACGGACTGAGAATCGACTGTGCGCCGGGAGGGTGTGGGGATGGCATAACGAGGTCATGCTGTTCGGCACTTTGTCCGGTGGGGCCCTGTCCGTAAGCGGCGACGATGGCGTCTACAGGGATTTGAGATGTTGTTGAGTGGGCTGGCGCTGGAGGAGGAGTTTCAAGGTCTTGTAAATCCCTGATGCTCGAGGAGAGTCGTGTAGATGCTGGGTCATTTCGACTGTGCTGATCAATTTCAATTCCTCCAGAACTGGAAATGCCTTGGACTGCGCCTCGGCTATGTCGTTTTCCTGAGACCAACACTTCCATCTCTTCGGACAAGATCAAGCGGAGGAGGTTCTCGAGAATGTTTGCACATTGCTGCCAAGCAGCATCACGGAAGCCAACCGTTGCCGGCATCTGTATCAGTCGACTAATGCCAAGTTTAGCCTTTTGAGCCCGGTCCGAGCATGGGTTCGACAGTGAGAAGATTCCAAGCATTACGCCAGCCGTAAGTGCTTGCATAGCTAGGTACGCTGCAACGGGTGTCGTCCGAACCAGTTCGAGCACTTCTGGGTGTTGAGCGAGGAGAGACGTCCGCATTGCAGACTCCCAACACTGATTCCTGCTGGTTCGGATCACCGTGGCAGTGAGGCCGCCAATATCAACCTTGTCACCATTATTCCGTCCGGCGTAACCTTCTGCGAACGGATCGGCATGATCTCGAGAGTCATCGTGGGCGATCAGTGACCGGTGGAGAACCAGCTGCATGTTGTCGTACGATAACTGGAGGGCCAGGGCCTGGAGTCTAAAGATGTCGAATGTTGCTGCTTTCTCGGGGTCGATGTCCACGATGGTGAGGGATTCCAGTCCCAACTCTGGTGGAAGACCTTTCTGCCACTCGACAAGCCTTTGATGAATTTGTTGGACCTGTTTGACGACATCATGTATGCCCGCACGCTTGTGTATGTACACACTTCGAGTTATAGGTTCGGCAATCTGGTAGAGGCGGACCTTGTACCGATGATATGATAGGATCGTGACAGGCTCAGGTGTTTCGTTCTCTCGTACTTCAAAGGACTCGAAGCCTGGGCAGGTAACGTAGGTGTCGTCGATGTCCTTCTGCATTCTAAGTTGGCAACTTGGCTCGTGAACGATGCACGGTTGTCCATACATAAGCGCAACAAAACTTTACACGTCAGTACATACGACTTGACCCGTTGAGGAGAGGCAAGCGGTGCTTTACCCATCGCAGCCATATAATGTCCACCAAATACGCCGGCGTACCTCTCTTAAGACTTCGGACTCGTCGGACGGCCATGTCGACTCTCGGTCGAGACCGATTGCTTGCGCGTCCCTAATGGCCGCCTGTATTAGTTTGAAAGCCCGCCTCGGTTTTCGATTATACAATGAGTAAGAGGCAACAAGTAGTGTAAAGGTGATAGACTCGAGGGTGGTTTCATCAAGACTGCGGATAAAGTGTTCCCTCGATTTTGTCTTTCATAGTTGCCTCCAGCTCTTGGATATCCACGCCAGGACAGAGCTCCTTCGCAGATTCATGCGGGACATACCGGGCCCCAATAGTCAAAATGATGAGAACAAGCAGGAGAAAAGTCAACCGGTCTTTTAAAACAACTCCATGGTCCAAGATGGGCTGAAGCTCTTTGATCAGTGTTGGTGCATGGAAGATCATGACATGCCAGTGGTAATTCTTGAGGTAGGAGGATAGAAGAACGCTGACAACGGGTCCAGGCGGCAGGGCAAGGCCGATGAGTTGCTGCACAGGGGCGTAACTACCCGCCAGGGTAGTGTGATTGCTGTGCTCCGGCCTGCTGTCTGGCAATGCATCGACAATATCGCCAGCCGCAGAAGCCGCATTGTGTTTTCGGAATACCTGCCAGTGTCAACCACGATTTAGCAGCACAGTTAGCTCATGGAGAAAAGCTACCTGCTCCATCAAGTTGACGGTAGAAGTGCGTTCATTGAACGGAGACGATGACTGGCTGGCCTCTTCAGGAGTGCCCATTGAAGCAGCCGGAATTGGTCGGACATCGTTGCTAGCAGTGACCGGCTGTTGGCTCTGTAAAAGGCCAGGCTCAGGATTCCCTAACTCGAGCCTCGGTAATATGTCGACAACTTTCGGGTCGCACGTTTTTCTGATCTTTCTAGGAGACAACGCCGGTTAGTATCCTCGTTCCCGCGCATATATGAAAGCATTGGGCGATAGTCACCAACCTCGGACGTCCAGCAGTCTCTTCACATTCAACGCCCGTCCGGCAACAAAGAGAGCAAGGGCGGTGATTATCACACTACGCGAGTTCAGCCGTGGCAAGCAGCAGATAGAAAGAGCTCCTGCTCACCCGAAGTTTTTGCCGCCGGCATCGAACGCATGCTTGACGTGTCCTTTCATGTGGTGATGTCGTTGGGAGGTTCATAATTGCACGCGATGCCATGTTGCTGGATCAAGCCATCCACTGACTGGCTTTCATGTTTCTCGATTCTTGCCTTTGGTAGCGTCTGGGCTTGCAATGGACATTCTACGACTTTGCAGGCTTTACCGAGGTAATCTCCAAGACTTATGAGGCAGGCCGTGACTCCTGCCGCAGAGCACGACTGTGACGTGCTGGATCACATGACAATCGAGGACGAGGGCGACACCAGGCCCGTCAGCCGCGAAAGAACCCGCTCCGTGTATCATGATAGTTGTTGAGACGGTGCGGTTTGAAGAAGGAGCATGTCACTATGGAGATGGTAAAAGATTTATGCGCGCCTGGTCGTCTCCATCTGCCACAGTAGTCTCAGAAGATGATACGGCGGAACACAGTACACTATCCTATGCTTTGCCCCCTGCCCCTCAGCCTCGTCCGCTTTCACAGTCTCATCAATCAACCGCACTACAAGTCTCGCTCTGACTCGATATTCTAGGCCTGCACCTCCCTAGCGTCCCCTTCGCTTCCATGCACCTTTGTGTCATAATGTGTAGCTGCAATCTTCTCCAATTCTTCGTCCTGAATGTGTCCCGCCGCGGCTTTGCCAAAGAGAGCATCGATCTCCTCCAAGGCGAGGCCAGACGTCTAATGACCATCATTGTGTCAGCCTCTGAGCTGTACAAAAGTGTGAATGGTGAGTTTCTTGTAGCAGTGTCTTACCTCGGGCAGTCTAAAGTATAGGAAAATCGTATGCACAACACCCAGACATAGGAAGACGAGGTAGTACTTCCATCCAATAGTGGCCATTGCGGTAGATGCCAGTTGAAGCCATAGTGTGTCGGCAAGGAAGAGACCTGATACTGCGAGGCCGGTTCCCATCGAGCGAAGATGACTGGGAAATATCTCCGCGCAAACAGTATACTGGTTTGGGTCTATAGCTCCACCATACCTGTTTCAAGGTCAATATCGTGTAATTACAGACACGCCCGCTGGAAGACCGACTTACGCTGTGACATAAAGGAAGAGAAACGTCAGAGCCGCAGCAGCATAGCTCTTGGAGCTGTTTTCGGCGTACTTGGCGATCAAGGCCGTAGCGATGGTGAACATGGCCACATTTGCAATGTAGCCGCCAACTACGATTATTAGCAGGTCATATAGGATATCTTGCATGGGCTCAGCTTACGCAGTGCCTTCCTCCTGCCCAGGCGGTCTGAAACCATCGCTCCAACAAAATTGCCAATCATGGCCCAAGTGTTGTATGCGGCTCCCACGATCAACGCTTCGGAGGTACTCAGTCCAAGAGACTGATAGAGCAGCGTATTATAGTTGTTGATCACCAGCACGCCAACGTTCTGGCCCCCAATAATTAGCATCAAGGCCAATATCATGCGTTTCCGGTAAGTCTCCTTGCTGAAAAGTTGCCATTTGCCGTCGGCTAAGACCGCGGCCTGGTCGGCGTCAAGCTGTTTCTTGATCAGCCCGAGCTCGCGGTGGGCGAAATGATCTTCGGGATCATTTTTGTCATGGTGCAGTTTGCAAAGGATCTGGAGAGCCTCTTGGTCTCGCCCACGAGCACAGAGCCAACGAGGGCTTTCGGGGACTGGATTTTGTCAGCTCGGATTTGACGATTTCAGGATTGTTGATTCGGACATACTGAAGAAAGTCCCAGCAAGCACACACAAGGCGAACAACAGGAGCACAGCGTTGGGGAAGCGCCATCCGAAACTCGACCCCGAGGCATGGAAACACGCGAAGCTGCAACGCATTGAGTAACAGACACCAATGATGCTGGAAGGCTGAACCTACCCGACCCAGGCAGCCAGGGCATATCCAGCGTTCACAAAAGATCCGTGTGCGCCGGCCATCAAGCCTCTCGAATGTGGTGGTGACACCTCAGAGAAATATGTAGGCATTGCGGTGAAGACCTGCCCAACCGAGACCCCAGTAATGACACGTGCCGCCAAGTACTGGCGCTGTTGTCAACCTGAGAGCGCGAAACCATATAGATCTTGACTTACCATGCCTTGGTTGACGGCTCCTGTCTGGATTGCTGACCCAATGACGCCAATAACTGCTGCTAGGCGAAGGCCGTTGAGCCGACCTAGCCCCTCGACTGCCAAGCAGAAATCAAGCAGCCAAAGAATCCTCCAGCGAAGAAGACGCCGTTAGCGGCTCCAATGATTGCAGTGGTATGTGATCCAGAGAGAGCCAAGTCCAGCGAGGAGTAAAATGTCGGCTGACCAACAGTCGACACAATGACAGCATGACCATATCCAGCAAAGAGGGAGCCGAAAGCTGCGAAGAGCACGACCTACGTAGCCATATCAGTCATGACGATCGTCTATTGTGAGTTGTAGCTGCTGGGATGACCTACCGCAACATTATATGCGCTGTATGTTTCCATGTTGAAAGGGTGTACCGCGATGAGAGGTATGAAATGCTCCTAGACGAAGAGGTGTGACAGTGGATGACCAGGACCTCTTATGGCTCTCCGCAGACAGGTCATCTGCCCCTGCAAGTGCCACTTGTCTACTGACCCCGACATCCCCATCTCCATGGGAAGGACCCCATGGACGAAGGGCGGAGTCGGTGCGCAGGTGCCAATGGGATCGCAGCCCCGCGTGTAATCAGCTGCGACCAATGCCACCTTTAATGTCCCGAACAGGCTCGAACGTCTCAATGCTTACCTCGATAAGGTATGGCGGCTGCCGTCAATCGAGAAAACACTGCCGGTGGAAATCTGGGAAGTTTCCGTGATTGGTCAGATCATGCCGGTGGGAGCAAGAGCCAATGAGAGGTTGGAAGGACCAGCTTATCCTCACCAGTCTGACGAGATGAAACGATCCGTTTCGGAACAAGCTTCATCGTGGCTTAATGCACATGGAACCTGAGGCCGGTCAAAGCTCGTCAGAAGGACCCATGTCGTGAACTCCACTCACAACGGAATGTTGCCGGATGAGGCCCCCATTGAGCCTAGCAATACTCAAGACTTTGCAAATTTTGAAAACCCTCTGAGCCGCTTCCCATACCTGATGAAAATGAAGGGAAACGGAGCTGCCACCAGCGTCAAGAAACCAAGCAAAGAAGCCGCCCACCCTATTCCCATCCGCTCGAACACTATTCCATCGGCAATCAGCTGACATCCACCCGACATAGTAAGAAGGAAACGTACTTTGAACCCCAAACAACGGAAATGCGGCTGCAGACACAAGTCTCGTAAACGCATTCGCCCCGAGTGCCGATGCAGCGTAAATGGGATACGCTTCAACTAGGAAAGTCCAAATGCCAGAGTACACGAAGAGCCCACCAATACCGAACGGCACAGTCCCCAGAATAGGCACAATCCAGTGAATTGATGGTCGTGAAGTCCAGCCAAACCAGAAAAGGCTTATAGGCAGACATAAAGCTCCAAATGCGACCGAAGGAAGACGGAACTCGGGTTCCGAAATGCCATTGTTGTTCTTGACCTGCTTTCCGCGATATCGACGCCAGAAAGGGTCCATAGCCATGGCGATGAAAGCGCCGACAGCAATTCCGAGAAATGTGAGACCGATTTGCCATAGCTCGAAGTGATAGACGGTCTCAAAGACATATGTAAAGCCGCCAAATAGCAGGTATTGAATTCCCAGGGTGAAGGCTGTCAGGATGCAGAGGCATGTTACCATAGGGTCTAGGACAAGCAACTGAAAAGGCCTTGTGCAGCTGATCAGCACTGCACGGACGATACTTCGTGGCTGCACGTCAACGCTGATGTCCAGACCGCTTTCCTTCTGCGATCGCTCGGTTTTCCAGCGAACGAGGACTGGTGCATATGTCTCGGGACTGAAGAAGTAGAAAAAGACCAACAGGATAGCCGTGCATATCATGAGTACATAGAAAGACCATCTCCACGTCGTGTACTGGTTGATGACGGCGCCAAAGATCGGGCCGACGTCAGGTCCGAGGAAGCCAATAGTTGAATACACCAGCATAGGCGTTTGGAGTTGCGAAGGTTCAAAAACGTCGCCGACCGTCCCTCCAGCGACACTGAGGAATGCGCTTCCCGCAGCGCCGGTGAAAAAGCGGCCGATGAGCTCTGTTTCTATATTGCGCGCAAGGGCACATGGAACAAGCCAGACGAGATAGGCAACCAGAGAGCATAGGCCTATGATTCTGCGGCCGTAAAACTCGGAAAGTGGAGCGATGACCAACGGTCCCAGACCCATGGCGAGGGTGTAAAGAGAGAGACCGAGAGTCGACACCTCCCTCGAAGTGCCCCATTCATTCCTGAATTGATCGTATGAGAGCGTGTAGATGCCAGAGCCAGCGGTGACAACATGTGCCGCCATGGAAGAAATAAGCACGATAGTCCATTTGCTGCGGAAGCTCCTTTTCCTTGGGTGCTCGTCTCCAAGCTCAATCTGGACGGGGTTCTGCGGCGCATCAAGACCAGATATTGGCACGTCTTTCCCAGGTCGGTCGTTGTTCGTGAGCAACACCACCCCTGGCTTCTCCAACGGCGCTGCTGATTCCATCTTCAGAGAAATGGACGGTCAGTCCTACGCAACTGCTCAACATGAGGTCAACGCAGCGCACAGTCCTTGGTCGCTTGTCCTCATTGCGATCTGCATTAGAATGCGTTCTCAAATTCGGTGAGCATGGTCAGTTGAGAAAACGGCAACTCTGCGTCGGTAATGACAGTGATGAGCCTCTCCAACGACATTTTGGTGGTTGGAGAACGTTGGAAAACGGAGACTTGTGCGTGCTCCAAGGGGCCATGATTGACCAAGGTTAGTGCTTCTTACAGCCTGGGGTTGTTGGGGATGCGGCGCTTGTTGCGGGGATCGTGGAGCTATGGAATATATGGGAGATGTCTTATTTCAACCTCAAAATCAATATCGACCACGTTCACTTCTAAGGCCGCCTGTAGAGCTGCTGACATATAGCGAGCATCAGTCGGCCGAGAGAGTCGCACATCGTAAGGCTCTTCTTGACGGACCCACGACAAATCGGGGAAGATTGACGAGTCGATAAATGATAGGATTCACCACAGGTTGGCCTAACTTACTTGTCAGATCTCCGGGCATCAAGCATCCCCGTGATAGGGATTAATACTACCTGTGCGGTTTCTGCCAGAGTCCGGTCGAAAGTTGTGATATAACTCGGACACGCTCGTACGCCGAGAAGTCGATACCAAAATGCTATAAGTCAACGTGTCTTCCCACCCTCCGTCGTGCTCGCCGTGGGTTCACAAAGAAGGCATATTTTGTGAGAAACATACTTCGACAAGAATCGTTCATAATCATGGACAGAAACACGCTTAGAGAGCCCGTCGAGACCAAGGGCAAGATGGAGCACTCCCCGGGGTCCCCAGATGAACCGATACCTATCATCTTATGTGGCAAGGCTCTGGAGATAGGGGAAATCGTCTCACGGTCGACCCAGCCTGAGTTCCAAGGTGCGTCTCCAGGAAAACCTCCTATTGCTGAAAAATGGCATTGACTAACCTCGTGGCAGTCATTCACTTCATCAACACATTCGAGGACGCGAAAGCCAATCTCGGTAGCCTTGTTGCCGGGCATGGGCCCCAGACGCCCAGTTCGAACCACATTGGTAGCCATGACTACAGCAAGCCACCGCGCGCCGTCGTCTTCGGGCGTGCATATAACTCGGCTCATGTAAAGGAGCTCCATCGCCTCTTTCGTGGAAAGGCCAATCACCCTGTGGCATGGATTGTTAGCGACCCGTCCGTCAAACCACCAGGGCGTCCGGGCCCAAGCTATGCGGAAGAAGCAGCAAACAACGTCAGAAGGGCATTTGCAAGGTGGAGCGATGCCGGGGCTGCCGGTGAAGACTTGGTTTACTATTGAGTGCCGGATGGGAACGTTGGATCTTCTTCAATGCCAGTTGATGGATCAATATAACTCGTCAGCATCTTGAGCTAGAGACTCTCGATATGGATGGAAGTGCTTGATCGTGGGCCTCCTGAAGCGGCAGTGGTGGTGGATCTCTGTCCAGGTAGCTTTGACAAAAACATCAGAACGTCTCGCAAGGCTTTGCAAGCTGTGAATGATTGACCTCACATACCACTACTACCGCGAGGCTTGAATGCTACAGTCAGGCCAAGGAGCAAAAACTCATCCCACAATTCCAGTTGTCTGGAATTGCACGGTACTGAGAAACAACCAATGAATTGATGGTTTATTTGTTAGGTTCAAAATGCTCAACACCTCTCTCTGAACACCTGCAAGCTACCCTGTTTAAGCCGAAGAATCAGGCCGGCAAATCTTGCCCGTAGGGACGATTCAGATACTGGAAGAGATGCAGACCATTCTGGAGATGTTACTCCGGAACTCAGTATCGACTCATGTATAAACTTCATTCACAGGTCGTTACCAGAGCCAGGCACTTAGTCTCTACCTACAAGGTAGGTAGAAACAAGATTTATCCTGGATTTTGTCTCGGTGCCCTGCTATGAGCTTAGTGACGAGTCGTGCTGAGCCAGATACTGAAGATATGGTCTGAAGCAGATTCCACCCTGCAAGAGAGGTACTAATTTCTTAGTTCTCAATTGTTGACCAAAATTCTGGACATTTGGGATATAAACTGTGGATATTTGTTGCACTTCACTGACGAAGTAGTCGCCAAGGAGCAGGGCATGGGGTGGTGCAAGGCTGGAGGGCGCCAGATACAAGAGAGGTGAAGTAGATGGCGTGAGAGGGTCAGCGTGTGTGCGGCGGCCGCCACCGCAAGGAATGGTGAGGGTCAGAAAGCAAGTGAGACATTGCGGCCTGGTCTTGATTGGGACACTATGCTGTGCTTGCTTGAACTCCATCACTAGGCACAGTATGCTCGATGAGCAGCTGTCGAAGATACATTGATCCGATGTCACCCTTCGCAGTGTCTCCCACTGAGTCTCGATGAGTGACTCAAGGGCATATCACCCCCAGACTGGCATTTAATCATCATCTTTTTCAGCCGCGGCCTCTCTCGCAGTGCGAGCCTTCGTCCGTGCACCCTTGAAATGCTTCTTGCTGTTCAACCTCACCTCAGCAGGGTCAATGTTCTTTTCCAGAGCCACCATTGTCCGCGCCTTTCGTCCAGTAAGCTCCTTCTGCTGTATTCCCTGCTCTGTATATTGGTGATTGAACGGCATACTCAGGTGTCCTGCACTGCTCGAACCCGGACCAAAGAACCTCTTGTCAAGCTGCTTCGATCGTTTCCCCTTTCCTAATGGCCGCACCGGTAATGCCGCCTGTGATTCAGTCTCGCCATCGACAGTGGCCTCGTCATTGTGGGCGATCAGCCAAGCCTGTCGCTTCGCAGGCAGATGCGCAAAGTCATACAAAGCCTCATTGAACTCGTTTCCATCAATTTCCGGCTCGTGTGGAGGTGGATGACAGAACAGTAATTTGCCTGTGACATAGTCTTTCAAGATGTACCGTGCTGCGCGGGACTCGTCTGGTCCACTGTGGCCTGTGGTAGTGAACCCACGGGCTTTGGCATAGGCTCTGAGTATCTCTGGAGCGGTTGGTGTCCCTGTACCACCTTCCTCGACCGGTCTCGTCACGATCTTCATGCCGTACACATTCTCCAGGAATGCCTGTGGTATTCTTGAAGCAACGAGTCCAGCTGGTCCCGTGAACTCTCGTAGTTGATCGATCGGTAGGATGCCATTGCATACTAATTCGGCCTTGGTAGTGGCGAAGTTGGGAAACACCAGCCCGGGACAATCGCATAGGATAACACTGTCCGACAAATGTATCGTCTGAAAATGCTTGGTCTTGCCGGGTGTGGATGACACACTGACCTTCTTCGCACCGATCAAAGCGTTGATAGTTGACGACTTTCCGACGTTAGGGTAGCCGACCAGACCGATGGTGGTCTTCCGGTCTTTGGTGCTATCTTCCGGAATGTTCTCCAAAAACAAAGCTTCAAGCTCGTCCACCGTTAGAATCCGAGTATCTTCGGGCGATTGCTCTTCGTGCTCGATTTCCGACCCTTCCGCCTCCTCGATTACTTCCTCCTCATCCTCGTCTTCATCCTCACCGGCCTCTTCATCCTCTTCATCGGACCACTCTTCTTCCTCTTGTTCTTTGAGGTTAAGGTCTTGGAGGTTGTTGACCATGGTCTTTTGTGGCATGTTTCTGTCCATTTGCTGCTGAATCTGGCGCGCATCGAGTTCCTCAAGGGCGTCGCGCCCTTCGTTCATCTCTTTTGCCAGATGAGCGGAGAAAAACTTGTAGTTTATGCCTTGCTCATTGAAATACTCGGCCCAAACCTTCCGCTGCTCCTCAGTCATCATATCCGCCTTGTTGACAAGCAGTAAGTTCCTCTTCTCAGGGTGGACCTCCTTCACGTATTTTTCAAGATCCTCACTTCGGAACAGCAGCGGATTTCTGGCATCGACAATCTGCACGACCAAATCTGATCTTTCGATGACTCGCCATAGTTGTCTCCATACTTCGATGTTGCGCTCAAATGGTGTCATGAGAAGATCATCGTTCTCTTGCAATTCGGCGAGGCCCCGTCTCCAGTCTAGCAAACTGGCTCTCTCTTGGTTGTCCAATTGTTGTGGCGTTGTGCTTTCATCCCATTTCGGTCTGCGTGGCACGGTCAATCTATTTCGGTTCTGTGCATGCTTCCTCCTAGCGCCTCTCTCTTCAGCCGCACTCAGCAAATATGGATTCTTCTGGTCGGTGTGTATGATCTTGACATTGTTCATCTTCTCGGCCGTGAAATCTGTGCCAGCCAGTTCTGCGGTAGACAGAAACTCGTCGAGAGCCCCTTGTTCTGTGACACTGCGCATCTTGACCCATGACGCCTCCTGCGCTGCATTGGTAACGTAGGTTTGTCCGGTCGATTTGTCGGTTCGAAGAATGCCTTGCGCCGACACTTTCTTCCTGTCTGCGCCCTTGCCTTTGCCGAAACGATCGTTCATCAGGCTGTTGCCCAGCCCGACGCTGTTCTTGCTCTTGGCTAAAACCATCTTGACGGACTGATGGGATATCCAGATACAATAGGCGATAAATTCGTGGTACAATTTGAGGTCGTGAGAGGCCTCAATGAGTGGGTGGGTGGAAGTAAAGAAGTTTCAGGGCCGCTGGGGACGTCATATACAGTGGCTGCGGCTGTGGGCGCTACCGCTGAGAAATCTTAGAAATTTATTTTCCGCAACGCCTTCATCCCCGCTTAGTATCCTTCACTGCCCTACAGCGCATACACATTTGCACTTCGCTGTTCACTTGCCTCAGAAATCCCCCATCAAACATATAGAGAGCAAAATGCCTCGAAAACGCTGGATGTATGCTGCTCTTCTTCTAGTATCGATATGGCCGCTGACACAATGACAGAGACAAGAAAGAGGCCCAAACATTTCAACTCCTCTACCGCCCACAGAATGACCCTGCTCTGCACAATGAGTCGGCCGGCGACCGGGCTCTGTACCAAGTCTCCGGACAGGGTGCATCATCTCAAGAGAGCGCACCAAAAGGGTTACATCTAGACGACCTTGAAAGTGAACTGGACTTCGAGAGTGTACGCGAGAATGAAGGCGAGGCAGCAGAGTATGGAATTTACTACGACGACACGAATTATGACTACATGCAACATTTGCGGGAAATCGGCGAAGGAGGCGGAGAGGCACATTTTGTTGAAGTCGCACCGGCGAAGGGCAAGGGAAAAGCAAAGGCGATGAAACTGGAAGATGCATTGAGAGAGATATCGCTCGACGACCACGACGATCGCAGTGTAGCTGGAAGCGAAATGCTTTCTACATTCTCGACGTCGACCAGGCCACGGACGTACCAGAATCAACAGGATGTGCCGGACGAGATTGCAGGTTTCCAGCCTGACATGGATCCTCGATTAAGGGAAGTGCTCGAGGCGTTGGAAGATGATGCTTATGTGGATGAAAATGACGAGGAAGACCTGTTCGGTGCCCTGTCGAAAGAAGGTCGTTATGGCGAACTCGAATTGGGCGAGTTCGAGGCGAACTTTGTCGATGAGGACGACGAGGGCTGGGAATCAGATGCTACTGAAAAGGCACCCGAGCAACCTTCAGAGTTTAAGCTCCCTTCACATGCTCCGGTTCTTGACGGCGAGGATCCAACAGATCGGGATGCCGCTCTGGACGCCGAAGCTGCTGCAGCGGAAGATGGAGATTGGCTTCGGGACTTTGCCAAGTTCAAGCGTGACAAAGGCAAAAAGCCCGAACCCAGGACGGCAGAGTCGATTGTAGCTGCATCTGCTGTTCAGGACATGGCACCCTCCCTCTACACACTCAATGGTACACCCTTGCGGCAGAAGAAGCGAAAGGGAGCCTTGACCAATCCGAGTGCATATTCCATGACCTCATCCTCTCTAGCACGAACAGATGGTCAGCAGTTACTGGACGCACGATTCGACCAGGTGGAAAAGATGTACTCTCTGGACGAGGCCGAAGAATTTGACGATATGGATGGTGGGACGTCCTTGGTATCCGGTATGACAGGTATGACGGGCCGCTCAAAGATGTCACAACTCTCCACGACCAGTTTTGCAGACGAAGGGGCTGTTCGGGAGGATTTTGGTAGCATGATGGATGATTTTCTGGGTGACTGGAACAAAGCAAACCCTGGCGGTAAACGCAAAGGTGCCAAAGGCAAGCGTGGCAAAAATGGGAACGAAAAGTATGGTCTGCAACAACTCGAAGAAGTGCGTGCCGAGTTGGGTCCAGCGAGGATCCAACGCACCGGCAGAGCATGACGAGGACGAGACACAGGAGTTTCAAAGGTCGGTTTTCGTGTGACATATCAGAGATACCCCATTTTGCAATAGACGTGATGTCTTTCATATCAAACCCGCTTCAAGAACGCCTTGTGCATGCAACTGTACAAGTAATATGTTCGTAACCTCAGGCTTTCGGTTCGAATTCGCCTCCTTCCCGTATGTCTCCTTTGGTGAAGGGTGTAGATCCGTCCCTGGGTTTGGCGACAGGGTCCCAAGCGCTATACTTCGGTTTCGTCCTGTGAAAGTGTCAGTCAAAAATGCCAACTGCTGTCGGCGGATCTTCTGCGCACGTTGAGTATGGTGTATATGCTGCTCGGCCTCCTGTATTGTTGATCATGGGCTTCTCGGGCTCCCAAGGTCTCAATCCCCTCTGCATTATCTTATCATCCGGGGGTGGTTTGTCAACCATATAGCTCATCCAGGCATGCCAGCCGGGCTCTATGTGACTGGCGTCAAGTTCTTTGTCTTTGTAGTCGACCTGCAACAGCTTTAGCCCAGCATCAAGGTAGGGATTGTGTGCTCCTCATACCCATCGCGTCCGTAAGGGGAGATCTTCTTCCAAGTTTTCGTAGTACTTGTTTCCATATCTGTCTTGTCCGACAAGGGCTCCGTATTTGGTATCGCCAATGTATTGCATTTGGTGGCCATAATCCTTGAAGCCAACCTTCCACAGATTGCGTAAAGTTCGGGTAATGGTCGACATGATTATGGAGGAAGGGTGTCAATGGACGGCGAGTGTGATGGTGCAGCTTCGGCGCCGCAGAGCCTCGGCTTCAAAATGAGGGCTCTGTTGTCAAGAGTTGTGGCGTGTATGTTTGAGTTTTATCTTTGGGTGTGTGTCGGAGTCGCAGTCGCAGTCGCAGTCTGAGTTGTAGCGAGATAGAAGCGAAACTGAATTGGAGCTCTAAATCGCCCAGGTCGCTTGGCGAATGATGTCTTGAGGACTAGGCAGCCAATTAGGCGGTGGTAACAGCGTTGAATGGATGCCGTTCGAGGCCGCGGGGCAAAAAAAGGCGAAAGGCCAACAAAGACGCTTTGCTTCGCCTCGGTGAGTCGGTGCTGAGTGAGCTCTTAGATGTGTGCGAGGCATATCTTAGCTACACACCATATGTGCAGATCCTCTGACGCGTCAATACAATCTTTATCATTGCCGCTGTCGCTGTGCATTCAAATAGGGCCTCACAAATGCCTTGAAACGTGGACCTTGTCCCTGCGTTCCCCCTCCCCAAGGCCGTCGCCGAAGTTAGATATCACTTCAGGCTTCAGCCATTCGGACCACCATAAACTAAACATGGTCCGGTGACTGCCAGTACAAACGACCGTACTGGTAAAACGGATGGGATCACCAGGAAAAACGACATTATGAGCGGCGTTCACAGGTTCCTCTCCAAACGAGAGGGAAAGCACAACCGTGACTCTCACGTCCATCACAACTCAAGCATCCTAAACAAGAAGCCTCCTCCTGCGGCGGTGACCGTGAGTCTTTGACCCTGTCTTTCGATGCATGCTTTCTTGGTTTATCTCCCATGTCAAATTCAACATTGCTGTCTCTCTATCTGTACTCTCAGGAGATATCAAGATGGGTCTTCTGTATTTTACGCGCGACGCCCCCCTCTCTTCCTTTCTACTTATGCTAGCCTCCCTACTGACACGTCTATTTGTCCAGTCAAGCCCTGAACTGGTGCTGCAAGCGGTCGACCCGAACTCAGCAACCGATTTCTATGGCTTGTTTGATGCATATGGTGGGACCAATCAAGTCGAGGAACAGAAGGTCAGCATGTCACTGACTTGGGTACCTGTGCACTGGCAACTGACGCACGATCCAGGTCAGGACGCTGAGGCAGCGATTGATCGATACGAAAGGCGTTGTCCTTAGACATGCCCAGATCCTGTGGGCCCTCCGCTCATATGCCGCCACTGGCGATGTCGACGCTGCATATGATCTGTTGCTTGCCCTGTCAGACGCCTCAGAAGGCATTGTTACCGGCTATGATCCGACCAAAAAGTTGCTAGGAGCTGTGAACAGACAGGGGGTGACCTGTTTCCTGGATGCCACTTTATTCGCCATGTTCTCCCGCCTCGACAGTTTCGAGGCCATGCTCTACAACACATTCGAAGATGTACCGAGGAACAAGCTCGGCTTTGTACTAAGAGTGTGGGTGAATCTGCTGAGAAGGGGAAAGTTGATCACCACCGACTTTACCAAGATTCTACAAGATACATTAGCCGAATGCGGCTGGGAGGAGGCAGCAGAAGTTTGTCAGCAGGATGCGTCTGAAGCATTCACGTTTATCACCGGCAAACTGGACTTACCATTATTGACCCTCAAGATGGATATCTATCATACTGGCAAAGAGGATACCAACGATGACCACAAATTCATCAATGAGAGACTATTGGAAGTCGCAATTCGTCCTGATCCAACTGGCCAGCGGAACACCATTACGCTGGAGGAATGTCTGGAAGATTATTTCAACAATCGTATTGAAGTTCGAAGATATATGGAGCGAAGAGCCACCCTATCGTCGATGCGGAAGTCAAGCGCTGTACATATTGAGACTGTTGAGATTGATCCTGACTCGGGACCTTCCACCCCCACAACCTCGCCCACCGCTCTACCCGGCTTCGCGCCCACCGACCGACCTGTGAACCGCCATCGGGCACACAGCATTATTCAAGAGCGTTATGTCCCTCCGCAGAATGACATCGCAAATCCATCATTAGCCAGGGTGCAATCCTTGGATTCTGGTCGACACCGCGCCGGAAGTATGCGCAAGGAGGTTATGATGCCCGCGTGGCAATTCTTCAGCCTGATACCGTGGTACACCGATAATGCACCTATCAATGATGCTCAAGTGGCTGCTCACTTTTCATCTAAGCGGCCTATCCTCGGTCTTTGCCTGAAGAGGTATTCGATGTCTGCGGATGGCACTGCGGCCAGGCTAGACACTCAAATCGACATCCCAGTCGAGATAGGCGTGCCACATTTTATTCAGGATGAACATATGGAAGAGGCTGGGTCATTGTTCGGAAACTTCAAGCTTTCGTTGCAATCAGTGGTCTGTCATCGAGGATACTCGGTGGATTCAGGTCACTATATTGCCTTAGTACGAGGATCGGCTCCTCCAAACTCTGCCAATGGCACGACGGCGGATCCTTCGAGCACATGGATGAGGTTTGACGATCTCGCTCAAGATCGAATCACTGTGGTCGATATTGAGAAAGCTCTGAAAGAGGAGACCCCGTATTTATTATTTTATCAAATCGTCCCAGTTGACGGTGATCCAGGATATATTACCTCGGGCGACGAGACCTTGAACTCGACCTCTGAGCGGGGCGCCTCGGCCAGTGGACGCTCCAGCGCTTCTGCTTTGACGGAGAATCAACCGATCTCTGGACGAGGCAGCCTCGAGATATCTGTGCAGGATGATCCTCGAGGTCGCTCTCCGACAGAATCTCGTAGAGCGAGTGTGGTAGAGTTTGTGGATCATCCTCCAGATCGCACCGCCGACACGTCCCTGCAGGTGCCACGAGATACCGATGCATCAACGGGTTCTCGGCGTGTTAGTCTCACTCTCAGTCAAGCTCAAAATAGGGCAAGTGAAGGGCTCGGTAGGACACTGTCAAAACTCACCAAGAGGAAGAGTCGCGATGTTCAGTTCAGCGAAGTCAAGAATGGGGGACCGACTGAAGAGGGAATTCAAACTGAGATACACGTCAAAGAACTTCCTAACCGACCATCGCCGGAGAAGAAGCCAGAGAAGATCATTGTGAGGCAGGAGGCGCCGCAAGGTGAAACTCCAAAGAGCCATCACAAAAGGGAAAAGAGCCGTGGCCGTCTCTCCAGGAGTAGAGCTCATGGGGAGAAGCCAGACAGGGAGTGCATTGTCATGTGACGGGGGTATGCACTCGACGGGGTATGCATTGCCGGGACGCGTTCCCTCTACGAGCACATATTGAATGGTCGCATGATTGATGAAAGAGAGCCTGATACCCTCGAAGTTGTCTGGCGTTGAATACATTAGGTATGATTCAATCATGATGTTGCATACAGTACGAAGGCCTTGCGAGACACACACAAGATGCAACAGTTCAATCGTTCAGTTCGAAATGCCAAAAAAACTTTTTCCTCCAAGGCATCCACATATTTTGCGGTGTGTTGGAAGGAAGTGAAACCATCACAAGGACGATTCTTCTCGACTATGCAATTCTTCTGGAGCCCCATTAACTGTGAACCTGTACAGGCCAAGAAGCGGATGGCTTTGTCTTGAATTGTGAGAGAAATATCTACGACTCAATTGTATTAAGGTCAATTTGGTGTTGTGCTGGAGGGTGCGGTAGAATCAATTAGCGGCGATGAGGCTGAGAAACCGGCCACCAAGACAGGGATCTGTAGATACTGGTCATACTCCCGAGTTGATGCACGTCTCTCAGACGTCTGAATGACGGTCAGAGGGGACACAGATCGAGAATACTTCATGGCCAGCACCGATGACTTCCTGACTCTTATGGTACGAGAGAGTGCTTTGTTCGAATCGATGCAGGCAACTACCTTGGTAGCCAGCACGGTTTGGGCGTGGGTGTCCGAGTCAACGAGGTCGACACCAGTCATGTACTGAATGTTGCCTCAAGATCTCTTCCTCGACGCACATGAAAAGCTGAGGCCTCTTCAGGCATCAGAACCTACTATGTCAAGTCCGATACTGAGGTTATTCCTAGATGGCAAGGATGGATACTACGGATCATTGACATGATGCGGGGATGGGCGGTCGTGGATCAACCCCTCTGTCAACACAAAGTTACTCCCCTCCCCCCGCCTGCTCATCCAGAACATCTATCCGAGAAGTGCCAATGAGATAGATCCGAGACCCGAGCAGTCCAGCTAACCATACAGGGCGACTACCATGATCAACAGCCGAGAGCTACTTTGACCGTGAACGTGTGAGGCTTCTCATCCGTCAGGCCGGTTTGCGGGCATTGACCGAAGAACCTCAAATACCTTACCTTCTACCATACCCCTCGCACACCCTCGTCATAGTAACCGAGAATACTTTGTGTGAAGCGAAGGACATCTCAACAGCTGTGAACAACGACTTGTGTACTTACTCTTGACCAATCAAAATGGCCACCATATCAGCCGAAGCTGTTCCCAAGCTCAAATCCCAAATCGAAGAACTTACATCTGACCCGGCAGGTGCTCCAGGCGTGGTCTTCATCGCCGTCAACAAGGAAGGCCAATCGATTTTCGAACATGCCTCAGGTAAAGTTGGCGTCGGCAAGAGCCAGTCAATGACCATGGACAACGTCTTCTGGATCGCCAGTTGTACCAAAATGATTACTGGGATTGCGTGTATGCAGCTTGTCGAGCAGGGCAAACTGGCATTAGACGACTCGGACTTGGTCGAGAAACTTGCACCGGTGAGCTTGCTCTAGCCTCATGTGCTGGACGACAAAAATACTGATGAGGCACCAGGAATTGAAAGCAGTGCAAGTCTGGCAAGACGGCAAACTGGTGCCCAAGAAGAGAAGCATCACTTTGCGCATGTTGCTCTCACACACAGGTCGGTAAATCCTACGCCACTATCATTCCTCTTCTGGCCCTCTGTTTGACCGCACGGCTGTGGTCTGGTCTTTTCTGACTTGGTGTCCATACTGACTTTTGGTCAAGCCGGTTTCGGCTACGCCTTCTTCGACGACCGCCTGAACGACTGGGCCGGCCCCTTGGGTCTTGACGAGTTCTCCGGCTCGTACCACGACTACCTCACCCAACCGCTCGTCAATCAGCCAGGCGAGGCATGGGAATACGGCGTCAACATCGACTGGGCAGGCCAACTTGTAGAACGCGCCTCCGGACTCAAATTGAACGATTTTTTCCTCCAACACATTTTCAAGGCCATGGGTTTAAGTCATATCACCATGTTCCCCACGGATGAAATGAAGAGTCAGCTCGCGTACATGAACTCCCGCGCTCCGGACGGGAAGTTGAGTCTGAACAAGGATGGGCATCTGAATCGACGGCCGCTGTACGCTACTACGCAGCAGGAGATTGAGGCGACGTTCCATGCTGGTGGGGCGGGGTGTTTCGCTAAACCTACGGATTATGCCCAGATTATTGCCATGTTGTTGAATGATGGGGTGCATGCGCCGACGGGAAAGAGGATACTGAAGAAGGAGACTGTTGATTTGATGTTTACGAATCAGGTATACCACCTTTTTGATTGACCACTGGGGTCAAACCCCTTACGCAGCTGGGCTGATGCTGACTTGTGGTTTGAGTAGATTCCCGATATGCCGAACTTTGGGCGCCAGGTATGTGTACAACACACCCTTCACCTTCAATCCTGTCAATACAAAGGGAGGGGGATGATCTTGGCTACCCAGGGTCGGGGTGGGTAGAAGCATGATACTGACCAATATATCGCAGCCGATCAATCCGCCCAAACCACACCTTGCCAACGCCCTGGCCGAGCTGTATCCTGAGCCGCACGACATTCCACAGGGTTGGGGTCTGACGTTCTTCCTGCATTTGAAAGATTCGGCTGTTCATAGCGAAGGAACGGGGTGGTGGGCCGGTCGTAAGTCTATCTTGACATCAATATCTCACTGTACTCAATGCTAACGTCCCTTTTGTCCCAAACTTGTTTTGGTACGCTGATCGGAAGAGGGTACGTCCAGATCCTATCCAGCAGGTTGTCGTTGTCGTGGAGACTAACGTGGTGATGTACAGGGGATTGGAGGCATGATAGCCTCGCAGATCATTCCATTCGGTGAGTCTTCCCATTCCAGAGCCGCGCATCTGCTCGATACACATGTTAAAGTGCCTGGGAACGTTTTACCTCTTGTTTCGACCGGGGTGCTCTTCGTTGCAAAAGTGTGGTTTCTATGCATGATGCGCGAGGCTGACCCTTCACGTGATCATAGGTGATCTCAAGATATTGGGACTTTGGGCGAACATTGAAGCTGGATTGAACCAGAGTCTTGAGACTAAGTAATCCGACCGTGCGCACAAGAAGAGAAGAAAGGACTGAAGGAGCTGACTGGAAGGAAAGTGATGCCATGATAGGGTTTGTTGGGAGGAAAGGTCGGCTATGAGTACTTTTTAGTGCTGGTCTCTTAGTAGCTTAGCCAGCAGCATTGTAAGATGATGAGTATCACTGGTGCGGGCTGCAAATAAGTCCGATCGCATCTCAAGGCTTCTATTTTCTGTCTGTAGAATGGTGGTGCCCGCTCATCCTCTGGCCCATCATTACGGCCTCAACCATCGTACATGAGGCCCGGACGAAAACTTCCGACACCCTGACATCGCGTATAAAATCGGTGCAGTTTCCTGTATGATATGTGGCCGACGTGACTTCGTTTTGGCTCGTACGTATGGTAGTCGCCCTGCGTCCAGTGCCTCAGCTCGCATGACGGGCGGTTTGAGGACCTCCGTCCTCGAAAGATGCAGAAAAAAATCGAGACTACCTAATCCACGATCTTGCCGTAGAATGGAATCCCCAATTGCTGCAACAGCAGCCTGGCGTCCTTGTCGCAGCTTGCAGTAGTGTGGATGGTAATATACAGACCCGGAATCTGTCGAATATTTGGATAATTATCGAACGACGTCTCGATTTCGGGGAAAGATGCGACCACTTCCGAGTTGAAACCCATTGCTAGATTTCCGCTGCCGTCTCCCGTCGTGGCTCTCACGCCGTTCCAGTCCTTGATCCGTGGCAGGACCAGGTTCACTAGCTTGCCCAGGAAGTGATACATCTCCTCGCCCTTTAGATCCACAGTCATTGAGCAGGGCTTGCCTTTGATGAGGTTCCAGGTCGCCTCGTTCGTTCTGGCGCGGTGGACAGTGACTCGATGGTTTGTGATTGATTGTAGCACCATTCCCGCCACATGAAGTGGTGCCGATCCGTGCTTCAATGCCTCTTTGACGTAGGCGTGTACTGTGACTCGTTCGACCATGGGGATGTTTCTGAATGTGACCGGTTTGCGGAGAAGACGCAAGACATCTCCACCTCGAGGACCACGAAGTTGTCTGTTTGCAAAGTATGGCGAGTCACCTACCCAGGGTCGTAGCCGCGGGCCTTTTTCCAGACTTTTGTACCCCGGAGGCTTATGCTGGTAGACCAGAGTCATATAATCGGGCGCGATTATGTTGTGGTATGCTTGCTCGACGCGAGGTGTGGAGAAGGGACCAGGAACGAATTCTCGACTCGCCGGGTCTGATGGAGGAAGGGGTTGGTGAGGGTGTAGAGGGCCTCGATCATATTTGGGGCTGCGGAATTGATATCTGAACGATGTGAGTATAATCTGCTCGAAGCACATAGCAGGCAGGAGGAACAGTACCTGCTGGGTGGGAGCTGGCGTTTTCGTGATTTCGCAGTCTTGACAGGATCGAATCTTGTGGTTTGTGAGTCTGGACTTCCGAGCTGATTCAAAGACGAAATCTCCTCCATGTCAGGATCTGATGTGTTTGCGGCGACGGCTTGTGTGGACGCTGTTCTTCTTGCTTGTAGACAGCGATTGCACATCGATGAGTTGTTTATGGACGGCCATGACCGCGCAAATCGGAAAGGTAAAGATGGGGATGCCATGTGTCCAATTGAGACGACAGACCTTGCGAGTAGACTATCTGTCAGGATTTGTTCAATGGTGCATTGCTAGTTGAAGCTCTTCGTCGCAGACGAGGCCAGAAAAATCCAATTGGGATGCGTGCGATGCCGCTAGAAACCCGCCGGCGCCGTCATCAAAAGCGGCGCTTATTTTCGACGTCCCAAATCTACTTGTGATCTGTAGCGTTACTGAGAAACATCAGGCTCTACTAATTCCGAGACGCCTCGTCGGACTTCGTGTTCATGCTAGCTACGCTCAGTTCGTGTCACAACGTTATCTTGTCGCTATGATTCCAAGTAACATGCTCTTGAACCAAATTGGACACTGTGATGCAGCACAAAATGCGTCAATATTATCGTTCACCAAAACCAACTCCGGAGGTATTCCTCTACTACCTGGATTCGCCGTACACACAGCCCGCTACTCAACTTTGATAGCTGCACGAGAATGAAGGAAATTGTTCCTCCAGCCGCCAGTGCTATGCAAACCTGACAGATTGAGAACACACCGGAAGTCCATGCCTTGAAAGTCTTCGATTTCACGATCAGCACTCTGCGGACGAGGGTTCGGCAAATACTGCCGGCACCGCGCTCAGGCTCTCGAAGGAGGCGGAACTGTGTTGGCCGACCATTGAAATGGGCCACCGAAAATAGGTGAATCGTAGTAAAGTCCCGTGGTCTCTGCAAGATCATTCGGAGCGCCACACCCCAACCCAGCAAGGCAATCAGTTCCCTCGACAGATGATATGATTTCGTGGCGGTCAGAAGGCCAGCCGTGCTGATAAGGCCAATTGAGGATGTCGCCCACCCGATTGGCGACCTCACGGGGACGCAGGGAGCCTCCATGACTAGCGGAAGTCTGCATTGTGGTATGTCCTAGCGCTTTAGCATGTGGCGATTGCTTGCCTGTACCACTGGAGGCATTGACTGGCGGCGTTTTCAGGGCCTTGTAGTAGAATTGTAGCATCTCGTGATAGCCTTTGGCGACCAGGTCTCCCTGAGCAGTATTCAAACGTGTCGAGACAGGATTCCGCATGGGAAACTTCTTCCTCATATTCCGCCGGTCTAGCCCCGTGAAGTCGCTTTTGAGCGACGTGGAAGAGCAAAACCGTACACGCGCTGAATGATTGGTAGATTATAAGCCAACACTACCGGAGTCCACCAGTCAGCATCATTGTCTTGCCAAGGGTCGATAGGGAGAGAAAGACTTACTCGCTTGAACATTGCTCTTTCTGACATGAGTGAACGCAGGAGCAGCGCAGAATGTAGCGCGGCGGCTACGGCGTCTTCGGCATAGGCTAGAGCCTCGTCCATGTCGCCATCCAACTGCCACGACACATCCTGATGTGTTGTGGAGAGGTAAAACAGATGACGACGGTACAAAAGTAGCAACGCTCCCAAGTAGTTTACGTGGACAAGAAAGACACTTCGCCTCTGGTTCGTTGTCAAGGATTCATTTCTGGTCAACGAATCTAGTTGCATTGGCGCAGGTATTTTGCTTAGCCATTCAGCCAGCTTCAGCTTGTGTTCGCGCGTCGCGACAACACTCAGCTGTTTTTTGAGGAATACGTCCTTGAGAACGCCCGTTGTGAGCACGCCGATGGATGTCATCTGCTCCTGTACGAGCGATTCGATAGTTGGATTGTCTTCTACCACGGCGTATGACTCCTCAAACACTGGTTGAAAAGCTGCCATGATCTCCGGGTTGCTGCCCAGAGACGCTGAAAGCCAGCTGCGTAAGTGGTTAGTGATGGCCAGCTACGTAGTCGGATGGGCGTACCTGGCCAGGAAGATCAAGGTTCTCATGATTTTCTTTTGAGATATCCATTCTTCTGGGCTCGTGGAAGTCGGACGTTGCTCGAGGTGTATCCCTCGAAGTCGAGCCAACTTAAGGCCGGTTACTGGACAGATTAGTTGTGCACAGTCATGGAACCAGCGAGAAATCCTCACGTACAGACCCATGTCCATGCTGTCAAGCGCTTGTCCATGGCACAGTAGATTGATAGTAGACATAGCACACGCATACCAAGCACTTCGTCTTCTTCGATGCAATCATCCAGATGGATTCGCGGTCTCATAGTACGACTGCCGCACCGAATGATCGATTGTCACCTCGTCATACTGACTAGCTACACAAGCAATTGCGCATATAGCTCCGAGGGCGGCTTTTGTTGGGCCCTCCTCGTCCATATACACCGATCGAAACAGCTCGCTCGACTCCTCTGTGGACAGTATATAGAATAATGTGCCTGTGCACGAAAAGAAGGTGTCCATTAATGCTCGCGTAGCTGAAGCATCTGCCAACTTGCTACTGCATAAGATCTCAGCAGGTGCATTGGCCCTTTTGTTTTGAGTTCTCTCACGACCTATAGGCAGGAAGAACAGCCTTGCCAGCTGTTCAGGCAGGACCGTCATGTTGGCCGTCTAGCACCGAGGGAAGGGCGAGGGAAGCAAAGGAGCAAGTGATCTAGAATTGCTCAGAAGAAGTACTTATGCCAGACTACACCTTCCGCAAAAGCAGGTCGTCTCCGATGGCCATCGTCGTCAGACCACCAATAAAAGATGCAGTGATCGATGCATCGGCAATTTGGCATATACTCGCCAGAAACGGAAGAGTGTCTGTAGATGAAGCGCAGTCGAGACCAGATCTCGAGGCATCTTGCTCGGAGGCGGCTCTTTGTCCCGCCCAGTCAACATGGAAGTGACTGTGGCAATCAGCAAAAGAATTCCGATGATCGGGGGACATAAAGGCTTCTAGAACATCGGTGACCCTTCAGGGTTCAAGGGTTCAAGGATCCAAGGGTCCAATTCGCATATGGTACTCGGACCCACTGCGGATTCGGTTTTGTGATGCCCATCGACCCGTTATTTACGGCATGGATAGATCGGAGAAGAGGCTATGGTGGCCTTCAGGGAACCTGGAACACGACATGCGGTATCAGGTCTCTGGAATGATTCCTGAGACGCCTTCTTTATTTGAGACTACTTTATTGACTTTGCCTGCCCGAAAAGTAAGTACCGTGATATCACCACTGTTAGCAGTTGACATCCTTCAAACGCATCAAGACGAAACCACCTTGGGTCCATGCTTTGACCGTTTTCAGGTATTGGGATGACAAGCTTCGTAAGACCAATATGGTGAACTTCACCCATAAACCACAACGCCTACCTAGTCTTAAGCAGTGGAATGAAAGCAAACGCGGACTGCGTATAACCCACTGTCTCTCATCGAGAGTATCGTTTCATCCTGCGTCCCGTTTGTCTCCTTTTTCAATCCAAGATAATGCTTGACAACAGATAGCCTGCCTGACCACAGGATTAGTAGAGAGACACGCTGAAAAGACACTTCAGACAGCCGAAACTAGCTTCGAGCGAAAGGCAAGAAGAAATAATCGCTCTGTGGAGGAGGCGGTCCAGGTGCGACACTTGCAAGAAAATCATACCCCGGCTCAGTGTTGACATTAACGCATGGTTCGGCTTGCTCGAAACATGCCGATTGGTATCCGGTGAACGAACACGCCGGCTGTGTCAGTGACGGTGGTATCGGGTCGCTTCTGCTAAATAGCGCGTCGACTACCGCTGCTGGGTCCGCAATTTGAGACTGCAGAATCTGACCCTCCAACCTTCTCAATGATGTTCGAGCCCATGCTTGTCCCGTGGAAAGCTGTTGAAAAGTTTCAATCACGGTCAAGAGCTCATTAGAAGTGGTGGGGAATGCCTGGAGGTGGACAGAATACGCGTCGAGTGCAGCTTGAACAACCAAGGCATTCATGCCTGTCAAGCCATACAGACTTCGATAGCAGCTTAAAAGATCCATAATCGTTATGGCGGCCTGTTGGCACATCACAGATGCCATGTTGTACTCACCACGACCAAATGCCAGCATTGGTTGAGAGGTCCGGATGATGCTGGAATGGTACCACATATGCATCGCTATGACGTGAGCAGGACCTTTTTCGGCCACAGCAAGCGAGTTGGGGAGACTCTCGTACCAAGCGTGGTACCTGGATGCCCAAGTCCTGACATCAACACGTCCCTGATTGAGCAGCAGGGATTTCGACTCGATCAGAAGTGCATTAACCACCTTCGAAAGTTCGATGAGATAGAAAGCACAGCTAGTATGGTCTCCCGGAATCAGGAATGGCGCAAGCGCTGGAGTAGGTGGCCATGATTCAGAGTCTCCAGGGTTACCAATGCGTGGAAACTCGACGGTGATATCGGCGCCCGCAATTTGTGGCTGCCATCCGGCATTGCTCGAACTCATTCTGTATCAAAGTCAGTAAGTCGCCGCGCTAAATTCGTCATTATAAGCTTACTGGTCGACCTGAAAGCAGACCCAGAACAGCTGGTGACGGACCGCAGCAAGCATGCTGCTTTCTGCGTCCGGGATTGAGGAGTTCCCTTTATTCTTCACCTCCTTTTGAAGCCCAAGAAATAGTGCCATACGTGAAGCACGGCCTGAATACCTCCAGGCCCTCTGATAGCGGAGGTGTAGATTTTCGATCATTGCAAGAACGGTCAATGCTGCGACAGCCGTCAGACTCGGCTTGGGGTCTTCAGCCAACAAACGCCCGGCCTCGTTGGTGAATGCCTCTTCAGACGGCCAGACCTCGATGCCTTGCTTCATCTCGTCCTGGGAACCATGAAGCGTGCACGCCAAAGCCAGCATCGAATTCACCAACAACGGCGAGCAGTATGTTGTTCGGCCAGTAGTCATGTCCGCACGGATCAGTGGTTCTGGTATTACCCGGCAGATCGGGTGGTGGTAAGTGAAGTAAAGGTTCAAGAGGTGATTGATGATCTGCGTATCGTTCGTGACTGTGGTCCAGAGTCCTACGGTGCCCGTAGCGGCATTTGGCGGACTGGTTGCTTGGTCGAACGGTTGTAGCAGACCGAGTATAGACGGTGCGAGGGTGCTCTCTCCCGACCTGACTGTGGTTGCAGCTGATAAAGAGCGCGGAGGTGCTTCTTTGGCCAGGAAACCGTGCTCCTTGTCAAGGTCACCAGGAGACTTCGCGTTGCTTTCCAGCCCTTTGAGTGCCGTGGAGACATCATCGCCAGAGCGCAGAGCCCGCACAATCTCTTCTCCTTCCAATTGAGAAGACCGTCGTATCGCCTTCAGAAGCAGATTGAACCCTGCACTTTGTTCATTGGATTTCGCCAACACTGTTTGCATGTACCTCTTGCTTCGGTGATCGGTCTGGTATATACACTCCTCACTGGCACGTGCGCAGTGCGAACAAGGTCTCGAGCCATCACACTATATTTAGTCTTAGCCTGTGTTGTGAAAGAGTGTGGCGACAGAAGGACCAGCCTACCTTGCGGCGCCGGCTTCGACATGATAGGCACGCGGAGGAGACGTTCGTTCGCTTAATCGGGGCAGGGACTCCTGTCTTGATGACTTCCACACTCGACCGTGACGGTCTTAATGGCCGCAGGGAGGTGGACATGTATGGGACTGGTGTGCCGACAGCTGGACAGTGCGGCGATCTACTTTCTCATGTTGTTCAGGCGACGAATGCGCCCTAGGTTAGTGGTGAGATGATTGGGGTATTCTGGAAGTAATGGTGGCTTTATGTATGATCGAGGTCATGGCAGGAAGAGGTCGGAAAACAATTGCGACGCTATCCCAACATCTTATGGCTGAAGCCTTGGACATGGTCCCGAGAAGGGATCAATCGCCCGACATCAAACTAGGACGGTCTGTGAGAGGGAGAACTGGATGTTGGATGCCGGCAGCGCAGCAGAGGAATGGGATTGGCTGAAGATGCGATTAACCCACCGCAGATCGGAAAAGGAACGCGATCGCTGAAGCAGCAAGCACCTCTGCCGCATGCATGTTAGTGGGAAAGTGTCCCCCGCAGTTCAGTCGGCGAGGCTGATTTTCCTAACCCTAGGCCACGCCTAACTTGCTTGCACCGCGCTTATTCACTTTGGCACCTGCACCCATCTTCTCGTCTTCAAAAATCTTACCCTGACCTTTGACGAGGCCTTTCCGACATTTGGCGGAATAAGACCTGTAGACAAAGTGTGTCTCAGCCGTCTACTGCTCCAGCTCCTACGTAACACCTTTCTCGGCTACAGAACAGTGCCGAGAACGGTACCAATTGACCTAATGGACCGCAACGTTCAACTCTGGTCGGCATCTGAAAGACACGTCTCTTGACCCTCAAAGCGGTCGCAATGACCTATTCCTCCCAACCCAATCAAACATGGAAACTTTCGCCGAACAGGCGACTAAAAACGTAGATCGAACGGAGAAAGATGTGTTGGCTTCTTTGAAACAGAAAGAAACAGCATACTCAAGCCTGGAACAACGGCTGGCCAAGTTTCGGTTAGCATGTCAGGACTTCATGTTCGTTGACTTCGCGGCTGCCGCTCAGAAGAAGACAGAGAGTAGGCTATGGGATGCCCATTCGAAGGTAAACAAGAAGTTCAGACAATTCCTGGCCCAGTTCCGTGAAGGAGATGGCAAGAAAAAGCATGTTGAGCGCCGAAAAGCCGAAAAACTATACCTGGAATTCATTAAATCGAGCATGCGATTCTACAGAGGTTACATACAGAGGCTGGCTTCACATTTCAGCGAGGTCCCCGAAGTCTTTGAGATTGCCAGGAAGTTCAACCTCGACAGTAAGTTCGTGGTCTGGAAAGTGGGCAAGGACTGACAATGCTCAGCCGAATCAGCCGATACACCTCAGCCGGTCGACACGACGCTGAAAGGCCACATTGTCCGCTCTTGTTACTTGACTCTGATCCAGCTCGGCGATCTATCTCGATATAGGGAAACCGAGTTGCAAAGCAAAGAACGAAACTGGGGCCCTGCGAAAGGGTATTATGATCTTGCGACTGCTCTCGATCCCACATCTGGCATGTCATACAATCAGTTAGCTGTTATCGCCCTGACAGATCAAGATCATCTGCGCGCGGTCTATTATCTTTATCGAGCTATTTGTGTGGACAAGCCTGCCCCTTTAGCCCCGGGAAATTTGGACCTGGAGTTTAAGAAGGTCAAAACAAAGTCGAACCAAGGGAAGCTTTTTGCAAATGGTGATGTTGCTGGGGACGGCAGCCTGGCTCTTCAAGACCGCTTCCTGCTCTTTCATGCCCGCTGCGTCGACAAGGATTTCAATGGTTACGAAGACCATCAGGCAGAAATCCATCGCTTGCTTGCGGACGAACTCCGAGAAAAGCCTTTCGATACTATCATACGCAAGTTTTGCTTGATCAGTATTGCGGCCGAGCAGTCCGCTGGCCAAAAGGTGCACGGTATGTCAGCTTAGCCCATGATCATGAGTGTTTTCTTTCTGACCACAACAAGACGATTCGTTCGCCATCCGCTCCTTTGAGATTTTACAGCACTTCAATGTAAGCACTTTCTTTATGCTCCTGAAACTTCTACTCGATGAGCTCCAGCGGCTTGCGAAGCATCCAGACAGAACTACCGAGACTTCTCCTGATGACTGTTCACACATCAGCCCAGTCACCCGCCGAATCCTCCCTCACCTAAGGGTATATAGTGGCTGGCTCCTCAGCACCGTCCACTTACTACTCGCGAACAAATCTCTGAGCGTCCAAGTGAGTGAGCTGTGGCAAGCCTACGCAGAAGCCCTCACTCTTCTCAGACAGACGTTCTCCATCCTTGATGTGCAGGACATCCCTTACTTATTGGAGGAAGATCAGGATACTGTAGCCTTCACTGCATTCAGTGAATATCTACGACGACAACGCTTCCAAAATTCGTCCCATCAATCCAAGCCCTCTTATTCCGAGGCGGTTTTCGGCCAGCGTTCAGTTGAGAACGAAATGCTTCATAGGATCAAGGGTCTGGTTAAGGATGGCATGTACCTGTGCCGCAGAGAGGTAAGTCTACATTGTATCAAAGTCCTGGCGTTGCTAATAGTAAGAAGGGCGATTTCGAGTCTTTGTCAATACCAATGATCTTTGCCGGCATGCGATTTGTGTACTCCGCCCAAGGTGAAGCACATCCTGGAGATGCTGCAGACTCTTCCCTGCAAGCTCATAGTTCGGCGAATGGGCTAAGTCGGGAAGACATTGAGCGCGCGAGGACCTCTATCAATGCTGCCATCCAGCGTTCAAACCAATATGAGGACACGTCCGAAGCTGGAGCCGCATCAATGACATCCACAATGGAGAATATGGTCAATAACCTTACCAAGCACGATGGACCCGACATGAATACTGTACCGACCACTGTGTTCCATGAACATGCCCCGAGGTCTCTGGGAACGCCACTGGGACATTCACCCGCCGAGCGACGGGCTTCAGGCATGCTACCACCCAGTATGGCAGCCTTTGACCCACCGCAACCGACGAGGCACTCGATTGGCTCGCTTCCCGGGCTTCACGATCGACTTAGAGATAGATCTAGTCTACCTTCTATCTGGAACACTCCTTTCACGCCCCGGCCAGACGACATATCTGCATCGTCACCACGACCAAGCACGGCGCACCGCACCAGTGCAGCTTTAGCGCCGTCGACCCTCAACAGTCCTGCTATGTTTCAAGCCGACGTTCTGCAATTACAGGAGCAAATTCAAAATCGGTCGTCACCGCCTCAATCCTTTCAGCCGACCATGTCTAGCCATTATGAAACCCCGACACACTTGACATCTTGGATCAGGAACATCGATCAATTGCAGCCTTCACCGTCACCTTTTCAAGCTTCCTCTGCTGTGGCTGCTGTCCAAGGAACGGTCATACCAACAAGATCTCCGGAACCATCTCCATTTGGTGCCATCGGCGAGCCACGAGCTAAAAGCCGTGCACCTACAAGTGGGCAGGCAGGCTAATGGCACATCCGCGCTCACATAGCATGCCATACACGTTGGTCTGCAAGGCGCTAAACTACTACCGCTCATTGGCCGCCTGATGGCAAATGCTGGTTTTCGATCTCGATCAATCGGTGGATATCAATATTCCGGCTTTTCTATCGTGGTCTACTTGTTTAGGAAAACCCCGCCGTCTGATGCAATCCAGTTGGCAACACTTTTCATCATCAGGTCGTGGAAGACGTGGTATCATGCCCAACCCATCCGGTCTTGTTGAAATAGACCGTCTCGGAACGCCATACATCAAATGACACATGCCAAAAGAGCAATGTCCAGGACTAAACCAGACCACTATGCCTTGAAAGTTTGCTTGGGGTACGGGTAGCTGGAGCAATTGTCAGAGAATGGTCGGCATATAGGATGGGTCTTCATGGATGGGGACGCATATCGGGGGATCAGAAAGCGAAAGACGAACGCCGTGGTGACGGTAATGGGGAGGAATGAGCACTTACGAAGGACCGAGTTCTTGCAAGCCCAGTCTCGCCAACCATTGGCCTTTCTTGATGCACAATCCCAATGAATCGCCCTCGACGACGCCAGCACAAAAGCCGCCGGCAAATGCGTCGCCGGCACCGTTGGTGTCGTTGATGAGCTTTTCGTCGATCACAGGCACGGGGTATTCCTTAATATCCACCTCTTTGCCGTCCTCTGCAACAGCAACTATTGTCGGATCCGTGCCTTGAGTGATAATAACAACTCTAGGTCTTTTCGTGTTCACCTTGGACGTCTTGGCCAATAACTTTGCACATTGAGGAATAGAGATGTCGGCATGACCCTGCGTCTCAGCCCAGGTCTTTGCCTCGTTCTCATTGCCGAACACGTAATCGCAGTACGGCAGGATCTCGGCCAGCGAGTCCTTGAAGAATTGTGGGATGAAGCCGGCGGACAGGGAGAGCATGAAGATCTTGTTCTTCTCGGCGGCGTGCTTGGCCAGGGCCATGGCGGCTGGTGGTGAGACGGTTAGGTGGTATCCACCGACGTAGAAGATGTCGGTGTCTTCGACCATAGACCAGATGTGTGGTTGCAGCAGGTGATCGATCTTGTAGTTGTTGGCGGCTGCCAGGTGGGTAAGCATGGTTCGGTGGTGGCCTGTGATGACAACGCCGCATTTGCCTGTCGGCGTCGTCGAATCGACGGAGTATTCGACATGTAGGCCTACACCATATCAGCTCGGCATACTCGCCAGGTGGCATGGCAAGGGTTGGGTCGTTGTATACATACCTTGTTCGGCGCACTTTTCGCGCAGGATTTTGGCGTACTCGTCGTCGCCCACGCAGCCGATGTACCACACTGATTTGGGTGGAAGCATGTACTGTGCGCCTCTTGCTGTGTTTTGAGCGGCGCCGCCGGGAATGAGCTTTGCGTTGCGGTTCTTGATCAGGTCTTCGTACAGGCCCATCTGGTGGTCTTCGGCGAGTAGGGTGTCGTCGACTTTCAGACTGTATTGCTCGAGCATGGCTTCATCGCTGCAGGTAAGTCAGTGCTAGCTCCTCCTCGATAATTCCAGCCTCTTGCCACTGGTGGGCTCTTGTGGTTGGACAACTACTGGACGTACCCTTTGCCCTGGATGTCGAGGAGGGGGTTCTCTAAGCAGAGAAGCTTGAACTTGGGAGTAGACATGGTGAGGATGTGAGAGGACGTTGAGCTAGGAGAAGGTAAGACTGTACAGGAGAGGTTTTGGACAAAGTAAGTCGTTGGTAGTAATATCTGTGAGCTTAACGAAAGGAATTGCCTTTCGGCAGTGAACACATTGAAATCATGGTGTTGAACATTTGGAGATTTTGGCGCAGGTGGGGGAACGCTCCGTAGATGCCGCAGTTGTCCCGAAGATCAAGATCAAGATGCGAGCTACACCAGACTTGTTCGACCCATCTCATCGTGAAAGTCTCACATCAAGGGTTCACAACAGATATTCAAGATCGAGCAAGCCTGTGAGCACTTACTTCGCTGCCAACGGATCGAGACTACCTGCATTGCCTCTTTGCCATCAATACCCGAAAGGCCTTTGAGATCCAGGCATGAACTGAGCTCTGCGTCTCCTCTATCACCATCCAGACATAGCATTCACCATTCGTCCTCGCAACGATGTCCTCCAACCCGGCCGCCGAACTGGCGTCAGCCATCCAATCCGTCTCCATCAACCGCGCCCCCTCATCAGCCCACGACATCAACCCTTCTACCGCCGCATCCAAAAAGATCCCAGCCAACATCGAATCACCTCCCCGATCCCGCACACACTCGTTAGACTCCGCCACAGACACAAATTCCATAGCAAGCGACGTGATCCGCCCCCGGCCACGGCGCAAGGATTTTCCTCCCATTCCCGACTTCCGTTTCGAGCAGTCGTACCTAGCGTCCCTCAAGGACGCCGATACGAACTGGAAAGTCGCCTTCATCACGATTCGAGATCAGGTGTTTCTGCCGCTCGTCCAGGGCATCGCGTGGAACTTGATCATGAGTGGATGGCGGCATTGGAACCGTAGCTCCAAGTTCCAGGGCCAGACTCTCGGAGCGAAAGTGCGGAAGTGGTGGTGGGGAGTGAATAATTGGAAGGTGCCGCAACCAAATGACAGTTCGAAGGCTGCGAGGAAAGACGCAAAGGTTCTCCGTAAGGCGGAGGAGTTTTTCGTCGACCGATTTGGGACGGCACTGGGGGATTGAGTCGGTTCGTTTGAATGAGGTATTGAGTTGTATCTACGAGGATCCGCGGCGACGGTGTGGATTTCGAGGACGGATGCGTGGCAGCCCGCAGAAGGGCAGTTCGGTGTCATCCATCGGTCTGTTCATGGGTGCTCAGGCATTCGAAGATGGTTCGAGCATCATGCCGGGAACCAAAGGTCTGACTTGCAGAAGTTTTAAGGCCGTACAAGGGGGTCACGTCAGAAACGCCGTTGGACGTCGGCATGCTGCATCATAGGGGCAGTTTGTGTGAGCTGGCCAGGCACAGGGTGGCTTTGGGCTCAAACAGAGTTGTACTGGCACCACGAATGGGACGGAACCGCAGGCAAAGAGCCTTGGGCGAGCTTGCAAACAGCAGAGTTACGCGTTTGCCTCGTATCCGCACTCAGCAGAGATGTCCCGAGTATTAGGATATCCAAGATGTTGAACAAAGAATGGATGTATCACAGCTGAGCTGGGTCTCGAAGACAGAAACAGATTTCAGACTCATTGATTTCTGATATCATACCGAGTCAATATGTGCCATCACGCTCCTGCAGTAGGAGACGTGCCCTGCAATAAAAGCCAGCATCGAAACCTCTGCCCATTTGCAGAACCGAATTGGCTGCATGCAGCAGTTTGCGAAAAGCCCCGAACTCATCATCAAGCCCAGCTTCTAGGTGATATTTTTGGATCATGACGAATAAACGTTCTCGCGATTCCGAAGAACAGATCCCAACATCGCTTATCTGCTGGTGGCCTGGACCTTACCAGGCTTGCCCTTGGCCTGCTGCTTGCTGGCAATACCACCACGAACCTGACCGGCCGCAGTTTTAGCAGCGGTCTTGGCCTTCTCAGCCTTCTTCTTGCTCTCCTCCGTGGCCTTCTTGTCCTTGGAGTCTTTGATGGCGGCTTGACGGGCAGCGGCGCGGGCTTCGGGTCGTTGTGAGCGGCGCTCCTTGATCACGTCAAGAGAGGCACCGACGATGGCTCGCTGGTGTTTGACAGTGCGGCGGGTTCGTTTCTTAGCGACTTCCTATAATTCCCAATCAGTTCTGATGTTGAATGTCTCATTGCCGCAACATATATCGTTGTATTCCTCCTCTTTCGAATCGTCAAATCGTCAAATCGTCAAATCGTCAAATCGTCCATCGTCCACATCCTCCCACAATCGCAAAAAACATAAGCTCGGTAAATGTGTGTAAAAACTAACCTCAGAGATACCCTTCTTGTGCATCCGCCGATAGAGGATGGTCCAAGCTATTCTTCGAGGGTTCTTGCGCTGCAGGAACAAGGATTCGGTCTTTCCATTCTGGAATCGGAAGATCTTGCTGTCACCACGGACGTAGAGCTTGCCCTGTAATTTCCAACTCATGTCAGCGATTGTCCTTCTTTTCAAATCTGCATCTCATTCTGTGGAAATGGAATGCGCCTCTCGATGTGCGAAGCGGGGGTTTGATTCGGATCTCGAGTGGAACTGACCTTGCCCGGGTAGATCTTGGTACCGCTGAAGGTATCGTCGTAGGTACGCATGTTGACTGCTGATTGCCGTACCTGTGTTCGATATGTTGTTGTCGAAGTGAAATGAATGCCGCAGTCAGTCGACGTTCAATGAGGCAACCGCGCACATCAAATTCAGTGCGGGCTTGGCGTTGCCAAGCCTGACTGGGTGGGGTGGATCACTAGCGAAGATGCACACATAGTGCGGCAGAGCATAGAGACGGCAGGGAATGACGATGCACGAAAAAGGGGCACCGCTTACAATAACAGGATGATATCAACACCTCACATTTTGTCGTGGTCGACGACGAGCTTTCTATCTAAACACAACACAGGGGCGAGGAACATGCATCTCGAGGCCTCCTAGAGCTCAATAACGCCATGATGAGATGATACCGTGGGTGACGACCTAGATAGCAAGTCGGTTCATGTCCTTGTCGTGCCAGATGCACTCCTCCCACATACTCTTCTTGCATTTTCTGCACTGGACGTCAGCGCAGATTGGATTTGGGCACTGTCCGCAGCAATCGGGGCACACCATCTTTCCACATCCAAGCTTGTCACCAGGGGCACCATGAGTGCATTGAAGGAATGTTGGCACCTCTTGTCCGTGTGCGAAGACGTTTGCAATGTTACCAAGAGTTTCTTGTGCACGAAAGAGTGACTCTGGATTGTCCTTGTGGATTTTGGTGGCGAAATATGCCGCTTGGTAAGCGCAACAGGCACGACCGCAGACGGCGCAGCATTGGTCCATGCACGTAGTGCAGTGAAGATTGCGTGAATGCCAGGCTCGACCGGTGTTTGGGTGACGTGGGTATGGCTGGTCAGGAGAATAGTCGTAGGTGCGAACGTTGAGAGTGGTGCGTAAATACCGCTCCTGGGGAATGGTCAGCAATGTTTGATTGTGTGAATTGGGTGTAAAAGGACGTACAAGATCAGGACGCTGAAAAATGCGTGGAGGACCGCCGTCTGGGGTTCTCAGAATAGGTGAGGTGTCTTGAGCTTTGTCTGATTTTGGTTTGAACAGGTCAGCGACTTTGCGCATGCCCGATTTCTTTGAGTCGAAGCCGTCCGAAATTGGAGTGCTGGCTGACTTAATACTGTCGACCGGAGTCTTTGGTGGAATGAGTGCTGGTCCTGGACCAGGTGGGGATCCTACGCCGAGAGCTTCGTAGGCTTCAGCAACAGTCTTGTTCTCGGTATTGACATGCAGACGAGATGGATTGGTTCGCATGGTGTACGGAGTCACAGTATCGGTACTGATCCAACCTTCGCGGTGTCGGAAGCCAGAGAATGCAGGAGCGTGGAAAGATCGATATGGAGTTCCTGTCATCGCGGCTTCCGCTGGAACTGGGCGTGCATTGAATGGATTGTCCATCGAAGGGAGATTGTTTGTGCTTGCAGCGAAAGCGTTCCTGCCACCTGCATTTGAGAGTGTCTCATCGAATCGCACCTTGGTGTTGCGCTCAGCTTCGTTCTTTCTCTTCTCTTGAGCCCATTTACGAATCTCTGCCGCACTGGAAGTGGTAATCATGAGAGGAGCATTGCTGGTAGAGGTTCTTGGATCAGCTGCGAAAGCAGGGTGCTGGCTGATGTCTGGAGGAGGTTGGAGAGTCAAAGAATTGAAATCAGCCGTTACGGCTGTTTCGGCACTGTCCTGGCGCTCTGGTGGCGACGACATTGTTGGAGTTTGACCTGGAGTAATGGTCTTTGAGTCGTCGTCGTCGCTCAAAGTTCCAGGAAGATTGGCCTCGGAGGCGGTGAAGTTGGTTTCTGCCGTGAATACATGTCAACAGTGAATACCGTTGTTGCATTGTCACTCTTACCGGCCAATTGACCTTGCACGACTTGCATGGCTCGTGCCACGTCGAAGTCAAACGGCTGCATTGCCGTCGTGACAATGGACAAAGGTCTAAACGACCGCCCATGTCTCGCCAGGGGCGACTCCTCCCTGACAACGAGTCTTTTTTGGGCCGAAGCCCGCCTGCCTCGCAGGCTGGACAAACTCAACTTGCTCCTTAAGGAGCGGAGGCTCCCGCCGGAGCGAAGGAGCTTCTTGGGCGTGGAAGGGCTATTCCATTGTGGTCAGTATACTCCGGAAATCATCGATGAGAGGTACTAACGCAGCCGCGGTGTCCATATTGTCGTCCGTCCGAGGAAAGGAGAGGAAAAGACGACAGGAACAACGGCCATTTTGTCTGTCTGGCAGGGTCGTCGCCAAGTTATGGTCATCGATAATATCCTCGATCGACCAATGTCGCGCTCCGTTTCTGCCGTCGTTAGAAGGGGATGATGTCGTCGTCGGCCAATGGGGCGCACCGTTACTGCCATCGCCTTGGGACAGTGAAGTCGATGGGACGAACGGCGACATCATCGCTGGACAGCTTGGCGGTAGGCACGGCGGTGGACATCGTGGGATAGACAAGCATGGACAGGACAGCTATACAGCCTGTTTTTTCAGGGACACAAAGGACACGTTGAACACGGTCGACGACACCCTTTTAAAGGCAATGAGATCAGGAAGGAGTGGCCACTCACCCAGGAGACAACGAAGGTGGGAAGCAAGGTCTGTGATCTATTGAAAATGATCTTCGTTCATACTCAATCATGGCGGTAGAGTCGCAGGCTCTGTCTCGAAATTTGTCTTCAAACTCTGGCCCTGTAGTGGTGCATACTCTCGCTGGAATCAGGTACATCAACAGCAGCACCGTCCCCCTGTTGATGAGCCGAAAGAGCCCTCGTCAAAAATTGAAATCTCGCACCATCAAGAAGCCATGGCATAATTCCTGGTCCATTCCCGTGCTGTCTGAATAGCAGCCTCCTGGTCCTCCTTCCACCGCTGAGCCACATCGTTGGCCAAGGGGTCATCCGGATTTGGAGCACCCAGCAGAGCCTGTATTGAGAGAAGAATGGTTCTAATCTGTAAAGCTGGCGACCAGTTACCTGCAATTTGATTAGTACATCGGTCCAGCCCGCAGGGACGCCGTCTATGACCTACTCTTCAAGACGTCCAGACAAATCCGACCCAACTTGTCAATGTTTGGATGGTAGATCTTTGTCAAAAATCGGATTTTCGGAGGTGTCATGGGGTAGTCGTCTGGCAGGAAGAGCTCGAGTTTGAAAACACCACCTGATCAGCAGTCAGTAGTGTACCGGGTGGTGACGGGTGGAGATACAATACCCTCGTATGGCGATTGTGAAGGGCCGTGTATGCTCACGTCGAAGTATCTGAGGTTGTCTTCATGGGGCACAGCACTGATACCCGGTACACTATCGTAATGATTCAGCCAAAGGGGTCTCGCGCACAGCAATACAAGAGAGTTTATCCGTACGGTTCAGCCATCAGTCGCTCCGTCTCTTTTATGATTCTCTTTGGCAACGCCATGATGTACAATTGTCTGTCGGTGGTGCCGCGAAGGGCGGAAAAGAAGGATTGTCAGAACCGCAGTGCTGGCTGTGTTCGAGCCGAGGCTGCACAGTCAAAGGTGTGTGCGGTCGGAGTCAGTGTCTGGCGGAGATGATTCAGACGGTAGAGAATGGCTACGGCAATTGATGTTGCAGTGTGAAACGCTGAAACAGTGACTGCAACGGAATCTGTGCGACAGAAAGGTCAAAGCAGCACAGTGAGGCGCATGTAAAGTTCGTGTGTGTGGTTCGCAATGCGACTGCCTTGCTGAGGTGATTGTTTGTCAAAGGACGATCCCGGATCACCATCATGAACGACGTTTGTGACAGACGACTGCGCAGATGAAGTGACGAAGTGGTACCTGACTCGTGCTTGCCGTGGAATCTGACATAAGCATATCTGTCATGACTCGTATAGTCTTCTTCCGACGACTCCGTACAAGGAGAAAAGGACAGTATTCACGATAGCATATTCATACACATTTCTTGGGTATCTCAGTATCCGTACGTTTGAAGTTTACCATACTACACCTCATTTGATCTTCCGAATTGTGGCATCACTTCCTTTCGAACTCAGTCCACGACTCAGCCCAGCTCCAATCCCCCGGCCCAGTGTGCCCGATTTGATTGCCGCCCATGGGTTGAGATGAACATCGTCCTCGGTCAGCGCCGCGTCGAAATCATCACCAAGTGGAAGTTCGACCCCGTTTGTGCCGGTGTCAGCCTGATTGTGCATACCAGCAGCCTCATGGGCCCGTGGCGCGGAAACTGACGAGGCCTTGCCGCGCGCCACAGTTACAGACTTTGACCGTTGATGAGGTTGAGTGAGCGCAAGGAATGCCGCAAGAGCGGTGTCAGCACCATAGTCTGCAGTCGCCAAATCGCTGGAAGACCGTTGCATGCCGGTAGTGTTCTTCTTGCTTGGGCGATTCATAAGAGGCGGATGCAAATTCTGGGGATCAAGTCCAACTTCAATTGGTGGGTGCGGAACCTTGATAGTCGTCAATGTCGCGCAAGGACAGCCGCAACCTGTGGGACAGGTATTGTGGACATCATCATCGCTTTCTTCGATCTCTCGAGAACCGTCTTTGCTGGGAGACCCGCGACGTTCTGCTGATGACCTCCTCGATGCGTACCTTTTCATCCGTTCTGAGCCAAACCACCCAGTGGCACAGTCGTAGCATGTCATGTGGCCGCACTCCAAGCAAGGCACTGCAAGTCCTTGTACTGATACATCGCAAATTGAACACGCGCTGTTTGAGGGTATCTTCGATGTCGCTCCTGAGTGACTTTCCTGGTTTACACATTGCCATGCTATAGGTATGCCGTTTTTCTCAATAGCACCCAGCGGCTCTCCACAACTTCGACAGCATCTTTTGACGTTCAAAGCTGGGCTTGGAGCTCGAGAAGTGGACGTTGTAGTCTTCCTTGTCAGCCGTTCCTGATATTGAGCACTGGCTAATCCATTGGTGGTTGCGTTCTCTTCGTTGGAGGCTCGGTATTGGGTAGTGTCGAATTCAAGACCATCAAATTTCAGTACCTCGGCACGCTGGACGAACAGCTGCCAGACATCAAGCAGATGCGCATAAGACGCTCGATATGCGCTGCATTTGCTACTCAGCCCAGGATCCATACTCGGTGACTCTGGATACCCATCCAGATCGAATTTGTGCTGATTGAAGAGGTGGGTCTTGATCTTTTTACGTCGTGCTGGCTTTCTCTGCTGTGCCTGCTCCAATGTGGTGGCTGTCGTCACAGTTCTCGTGCTGCGGCGGCTAGCGGCTGATCCTTGACCGCCATTCTTCTGTGAATGCCGTAAAGCTCCTGATGAGAGTGACGATCGAACGTTCGTACCATGGCTTTCCTGACTTGCAGCCTCGCTGCTATGGAAAGACCTTCGCGAGGATCTGTTGCCGGCCTGACCTCCAAAAATACCTGTAGATACCCAACCAGGTGTCAAAGATCCGGAAGGGCTGTACTTCTTCAACCCTGACGCGCTGGCTGCAGCAGGAAATTGGTTTGGTGGAGAATTTGAGTACGACTGCTGTGTCAGCGCAGATAGGCTTGCTCGCGCTGACGAGTACTCGCCACTGGACCCTCCTCGAAGGCCAAGTGTGTTGCCCTCAGGAGACGTGGAAACGGAAATCGTTGCGGAGTGCGGACCTTCGTCGCCCCTGAAGCTTGGTGCACGAGAGGATAGCCCGCTATCTTGACGACCAAGGTTGCTGAGTAGTAAGCGCTGAGCATTGAACCCCTGGGCACTACCTGATGTCTGAGTACTGGAGTTCACAAAAAGGTTGGCAGTATCAACCAGGACGTAGCCTTCTGGGTCAATTTCTTCCTGGAGAGTTGCTTTGGCGACAGCCCTGGAAGGATAGTAATCCGATCGAGGAAGAGCGAGACCCCTCTTTCCAGTTTGCTGCTCAAGAGTGGCATCACCAGGTATTGTGCCATGATTGAGAGTGGACACAAGTACACAAGACATCATGGCCAGCATTTGGACATCTGCTAGTCTTTCAAAGTGGTCAAAGATTGCCGGAAGGAGGTATGTCGAGCCTAGAGGATGATTTCCCCACTTTATCCTCCCAAATGCATCACCTTCGGGTTTGCCACCAACGCCACGTCCTTGCCGCAGAAGCGTTGTCGCAGTGCGTGCTATGACGGTTATGTCATCGAGTGCAGTATGTCTCGAATCCGAGAGAAGCGCCAAAGGGACAGCATCTTCCAACACGAGGCCCAACAAGGTCCATGCGGAAGCTAAGTCTTCGAGACCAGCATTTAGAGCGACATCTGCATTATTCTCGCAGACTTCCTTGCCATCGCCCATAATCTTGTACCCCACTGCCAGTCGACGTTTGGACGGGATCAGGTCATCAAAGGTATGAATTGACACTGTTGTTGTGCGAGGAGCCTCGTTCAGTTTTGGACCCCCAGTAGTCGACTGATTTGAACGGTCAGGGGACCGCGAACGCTGGTGTCTGCCGGATGCGCCAATCAGATAAGAAGAGGCTCCACGAGCGTGGTGGTCGGTCTCAAGAGAGGACGAAGAGCTGCTAGATGATCTCCTGGATGAATCTGAGGTGTCAGAGTCAGAGTCGTTGTCACTGGTTTTAGCCGCCTTTCGTGCAGGTGAGCTAGTATGCAGGCGCCCGAATCCTTCAAACAGCCTCTTTGAATCTGATTCCTCTAGGTCTTTTACACCAAGGGTACTGAGGAACGAAACTGGCTCCTTCGATTTAGTCGGAAAGAAGCAGACGAGCTTTCCAGTATCCGACCACAGAGCACCACAACCTTTGGCAAGTGGCACCATAATGTTTGCCGATGCTTCCAATCTGTCTCGAGCGCCATCAACTAACGGGTCGTCGTCATCACTGCTTGATTCATCGGCTGGGACGGCGCCGGGGTCCAAGGATGGGTCCAAGATTTTTGAGTCTGATAGAGACTCCCCAAGAACCCATGAGACAATCTGCTCTAGGTTCTGTTCCCGTAATAGATATCGCAAAACGGCCTCGAGGCAACCTCGTTTTCTTGATGCATATGTCTCGGAAATGGTATGCAGCTCGGTACTAATCATTTTGTGTGTAGCCTCGTCCACAAATCCAGACTTCTGCAGGCTGAGAACAGCGTTAGCACTCCGAGGATACAATTTGGGGAAGCGCATCTCAAGTCTGAGGAAGACCTGACTCTGATCCTCTCCCCATGGAGCTTGAAGGGACATCACAGCTTTCCGATGTGATATGTCAACGACTTCAAAATCCACCCTTTTGAACTTCTCTCCTACGTGGCGGATCTCCTCAGCCAGGGTGTCAGGGTCCCAAGACGATATCTTGACATTCTTCAGCCATGCAATGGGATCCGCGCTCTGTCTATTGTTACCACGACCATGCATGGCTGATTTTGGTGGTTGGCGACCACCCTGCACCCATCCTCGGAATTGTGAGACGGGCATCTTGTTCATGCCCACACTTGTGCTAGATCGGGGACGGAACGGCATCAAATGGCTGTGACGGGAGAACATCTCACTGCGGGGGGTCTGTTCCATTGGTGATTCGGCGTCTTCTGGTTCATCACGAAAGGTCCTGTAGACAGCGCCTTTCCGGGTCAGATTCAGTCGTTGCGACCTCGTTATGCCTTTCTCGTAACCAATGTCCGTGTATGTGTCAGGCTCCAGAGCGTGCAACTTCAACTCCCTATCTGTACCCCAAGTGACCAGCTGGAAATCTCTGTTATCCACGCCGTTCTCGATCGAGCCTCTAGCTCGCCACAAGAACTCCTTCACTTGTCCTTCGTGCCCAGGGAATGTTGCCACTGCGCGCACAGGTCCGCTCTCGAGCACGCCATTGATCGCGCGACGATCGTACATGTATAGATCGCTGTTCCCACGCTGAGGCATGACCAGAAGACCCCATCCAAACGGGGTGTGACGTGCCCTCCAGACGGGGAAAGGAGTCTCGATGATGCGCTCCGGCATATCCTCCTGGTTGTCTAGGTCCCAGAACTTGATCGTCCTGTCCAGAGAACAAGTCACAATCTTGTTCTGCTGGAAGCGATTCCAGTCAATGCCATAGATCTTCGTGCCATGTGCTTGGATTGTCCGCAACGGGTATGCGCCTTTCCTGACATCCCAGACGTGAAGATATTTATCGTGAGAGCTGGCAATAACATGCTCATCTTGTCGATTCCATTTTACCTGGGTGGCTCCAGCGAACCAATCTGAAAAAGAGTGCACCGGTCGCGCAGGAGCTCTTAGATCCCAGCAATGTACAAAACTGTCGACCGCGCAAGTGGCAAGGACGTCGGGGTTGTGCGCGGAGAAGTTGATGTCGGTGATTGCCCTAGTATGACCGTGAAGGACGAATTCGATGGAATCTTGCCATGAGTGTGCTTCCAGGTTCCAAACGAGAGCTTTTTGATTTGAGGTGCTAATAACCCAATAGTCACGCACCGCAAAGGGTGACCACTGAACATCAGCAACCTCCCAGGGAGTCCTGTGCGGTAGGTAGCGGGGCGGAGAATACGGTGAATCGAGGTCGATGATATGCAGTCCTTCCTTAGAGGCCAGCGCAACATCGCGACCACTTGGGGAAATGGTCATTGACCCGACGGGTTGTTCGAGCCTGAAAGATGCATCTTGGCCAAAGGTTTCGCTTTCGAAAGCCGAAGCAGGCCCGCGACGTGCCATTCTAGGCGCGAACTGGGGTGAGAAAGCGTTGATAAGGAAGCCTCCTCGTCGGAACTGTGGGGTATTGATCAGTAACTCAAAGTCGTTGATAGAGCTCCGCCAACGGCACGACCGGGCCCCGTCAAGGCTTGCATTTCGAGGTGCAGCTTTCGAGCCGTCGCAATGTTTGATTCATTCACTCAAGAAAGCATCGTTACATTGTAAGCTCGTGATCCGAGAACTACACCCTGTCGGAAGATGCTCGCACGTAGTCGCCGACTGCAACACTTTTTGAACTAAGCACGAAGGAAAAGAGACGTCGAGAGTCGATGTTGTCGCGAGATTGGTCGACGACGCCAAGGCTACGGTCACGAGCATGGTTACGTAATGACCGCGGACAAGGCTCGCAGATTATGGTGGCACCAGTAAAGGGGTTCTTTGGCAATCTCCCATCAATTGATTGCAGATCCTCACTCACCAACACTTCTTGTGTCCTCGAAAGCTATGTCGAGAGAATACTACCTTGGCAGAAGCATGCTCACCCTTCTCCGAGATCAATACTTGAACGGCGTATGCAAAGACTTTCACATTGCCGTACGTTCCCAGCCTTTCCGTGTTACAGTTTCGCTGTGCCGCCTTCAGATGACGGAAAGAGAATACGGGATATCCCCCTGCAAGCCTCGACCAACTCCTGTCCAGTATAGCATGCAGCAAACACAAACCTATCCGGTCGAACAAGTACGTACTTCCTCCCGCCAAGGTCAGTCTTGATCCGGTACATGTCGTACCCGACGGGCGGCGGTCGGTTCTCGCAAAGTGTCGAAGATTGGAATTCTTCTCCTGTTGCAATCCGGTAGACTCTCTGTCTCAGTATGTTTGATGGCTGCTGTAGTTGACACTCAGGCGACATCACCAGGTAACAGGCCTCGTCTGTACCCACTTCACCATTGGAGGCAGTCGCAAGGTCGAGCGAGGCCAGTTCCGAGTGTGCTTCTCCAGCCTGTTCCAGGTTATCGACCAGAACCACAAGTCGCAAGGTAGACTTTGACTCCGGGTGGAATATCACGTCATCTGTGAACTGCACAGGTGGTGGATCTCCCTTGTCCGCAAGTAGCACTGATCGACAGTAGACCTGGGGAAGGCACCGACCGCCAGCAAGATCCGGCAAGAATGCCATGCCGTCCTTCCACTGATATCGAACCATCCCAAGTGCTCGTGGCCCCAGCTCGATCTTCCGTCTGAAGCTGGGAACAAGCCGCATGAAGCACAATATCCAGTCTCTTACGAATATCTTCAATGGACTGCGAGCTGTCGTGAGGTTTCCATTTGCCACCGTTACAGCAATGGACCGGTCAAGCTGCTGCTTGCGCTCCAGGCACCAGCCATTGAATAGTCGTTCATGACTTCCCTTGAAGTCCGGTCGGCATGCTAGGGCAAGTCTCCAGGCTACACCTGCCGCGTCTCGGAAGCCCGAAGCTATACCTTGTCCGCCAACTAGCGCCAGTAAGTCTGAAACCCTTTGGAGCAGGATCCAAGAACTTACATGGAGGCATAACATGCGCCGAGTCGCCACAAAGCAACACCCTTCCTACTGACCATTTGTTACAGCTCCTGGCTGAGAATGAAAACGGCCGCGAACGAAGCAAATGCATGCAGTCAGTGGGGTATTGCACTGCGGCGTTCAAGCTGTTAAGTCCGAGAATCAGCACAGCACCTGGCCCACCAGAGCAACACGTCTTACCCGTATCTCTGGCCCGGATGCGTCAAGTACGGGAATATCACCTCTGACATTTTCTCGTAGGTTGCCATTTCGTTCGGATCTTCTCCTTTGTCCACGTCCACGACAAATTCGAATCTCCAAAGTCGCTCTTTCCTTGGACCAAATGTTCCACAGACCGAAGGCCTATCAGGATTGCCGATGAAACGAAAACCAGTCGGGAAAAATGCGTCGTAGACATCTTCTGGTGTGTGATTGAGCTTCCACAATGGAAAGTCCGGGTGCGTCTCAGGTGTTGGCAGATCCATATGGTAGTTGACCGCGACCCAGGTCTCTTGGTACTCATACCTGCGTCTTGTCACCACTTTGGCCTCTTTCGGCTTTTCACGGTGGCTTACCCTGAGACTGTCTCCAGCACGACACCTTTTGGCTCGAGATATCTCTTCCTTGTGAACCCCGTCTTCCCATCCGCCCCCACGAAAAATTTCGCTCGAATCCACCGCTCTTTACCATGGTCATCGAGATACTTTGCTCGAACCCAGTTTCCGTCCTCCTGAATCTCCATAATAGTTGCTCCCAATCTCAGGACCGAACTTGGGCACCTGCGAGCGGACTGGCGTATGTACTCTTCCATGACTGGTTGCTTATGACAAATTGCGCCGACATGACCTGTACCACCCTCTGTCGATGACATGTCCATTTCCATGAATGGTTCAGTGATGAGGCCTTGCTTGCCGGAGATGAAGTGAATACGCCCAAGAGTCTCCCCGATTTCACTGTGGACTTTATCGTATACCCCAATTTGCTGAAGAAGCCGGATGCCTTCCTCATCCAAAGCGATGCCTCGAGGATCGGTAACTACCTCCTTTTCCAGTTCAAGAACGACATTGTTCACAACCCTTTGTCCTAACAGGGCGCTCAAGAGAGCGCCAGTCGGGCCACAGCCACATATGATCACGTCAGTCGTTTCCGTATGATCGTTAGTGGTGACAGTCATTTTAGCCAGTGGTGAATGGCAATCTCCCAGCAATGCTGATAAGATTAATGTCACGAACTGTGGGGAAGTGGTGAGGCGACCTTTGGTGACCGGGCGCAGATTCGCATCTATGGTGACTCGAGGCGAGTCTATGCAAACGAAACGGACACCCGGCCGGCATCGATTTGTCCACAGAATACGACGGCCGCCTCAATCCAGCAAAGGTGGCCTCAATTCACAATTCAACTTACTGTAGAGATTCGAAGACGGCGTCGGGACCTGTGGTTGTTGAAATGGCATAGACGATGCCTCGGCATAACCGATGTGGGACGCTAGCCCCAGAAGGCAGATTTCGCGGAGCCCCAGGAGACCAGCGCGGGGACGATGAATTGTGCGACAGTCTGCCATTCGACCCCAATTCACAGTCTCATCGGATGAGTAGCCATTTGAGCATGATATTGAAGCTTTGTAAATAGTAATGATATCCTTGGGTCAGTCTATATTTGACTCATATGAGTCGCGAAATGTCCAGGATGCCATAAAAGGAATGTTGCAGATTACACCGGGAGTCCAGCGGGTATAGGATCGCAAAAAGGGATATCGGAGGTATTGTCGTCATCTGTGGTGGCGCCAATGCTCATATAGGACGGAGACAACAGACGCAAGCAACAGAGCGTGATTCAATTGCATGTGACAATCCCGAGTAAGAGGGATCCGCACGCTGACCTCACCGAGATCGACGTGTGAAACCAGCTAGACAGCCTTGCGCAGTTCAGCCACTTCAGCGTGAAGAGCCAAGTCCACGAGCCGAAATGCCAGGCGAACGTTGGAATGAACCTCTGCGTGCATACAAGTTCTACGGCTTTGGAGCCGCCAAAAGCGAATGAGTTGCCGAGAGATACCAGCAAAATCGAGATCCAAGAATCCCGAACAGTGATTTGCCCGGCATGCATACAGCCTGGGATCGAGGCCGAGCGTTGCAACTGAACTTACAAAAGTATGCGCGTCTCCAAATCCTTCGAGATCAGATCTTGGGAGCCGTTGCCAGCGTCCCTATACAGAGGCTAAGATCACGACTACGCCAGATACTGTCAGCTGTCAGAAACACAATCTTGGATGAAATTATGGATCAGGCCCTATTGACCGATCAGCTCTCAGATATTCCTTTGCTTTTAATACCTTGCCTGTCCAATCAATGGTCGGGCTGTCGCTAAAGCCCCGACATACAGACCGATTTCGCCTGGAGCCTGGAAACAAATATCTCAGCTTGGATGGGCGCTGGACCATTGCGCATGGAAAGATCAAAATAGTGTGTTGACGCAATAAGAAGCCCGTATTCGTGGGAGTCTGACAGTATCAGCTCATTAACACCAATTCATGCTCACAGTCCAGGCGGTGGTGGCACAGATGAATAGCCTGAAGGTGGCGGTGGAGGTGGTGCACCCGAATTGTCTGTAGAAGGCGGCGGAGGTGGGTTCGCGTCACCTGCAGGTGGAGGAGGGGACTGTTGTTGTCCTCCAGCGGCCGCTTGCTGGTAATACTGGTAGTATGCGACGTAGTTTTGATAGCCGCCATAAGCAGCATAAGGATCTCCGCCTGGTTGACTAGCATAATATTGAGCCCATTGGGCTGCATAATCCGTAGGAGAACCTGAGGTACCGGGTGCTGGAGTTGCTGGAGTCGCTGAGTAGGGCGAGTCGTAGCTGTTATTGGCATGTGAGTAGCTGTCACCACGTCCTCTGTCTCTTCCGTAGCCACCGCCACCGTACGAATGACGGTTCGCATCGGCGCCATATCCGTCGGTGTAAGACTCCATACGCTGAGGCGGTGGGTTTGCCTTGAAATGCTCGTAGTTGGCCCGGACATTGGTCAGGAGATCCTCACAGAGCTCCTTTGCCTTTTGGACTTGAGCGGGTTGAGGACCAGCAACGTGAAGGTACATTGGTTCATCTGCCTCCTGGCCTGTGCTGTGCTCCATGAAACCGCTTCCACGTCCTTTGATTTGAACTCGGCAACCTGTTTCCTGCTGAATGTGTTTGACGTAAGCGCCTCCTTGACCAACTACTTGTGCACGAAGATTGAAACCGGGAATATTCTCCATATCAAGTGGGATTCGTTCTTCAGGCCATTTCCGCTGTATAGAGTCAGCTCACTGGACCTTTTGCGCAATATGCAAACCTTACCCTTCCAAACTCGTCCCGTTCGACCTGTTCTGGCTCTCTACGTCGGAAACGTCGCTCATCGACGAGGTTGGGCAAATCCTGCTTCATAAGCTCATCAATTTTTTCAATGGCCTTTTCAAGTCCTGCTTTGGAAGTGCTAGTGACGTGCAGGTACAGCGGCGGGTTCTGGGCTCGTCAGTTTCGCCTCACTCACGCAAACAAGAGCTTACTCACTACTGCGGTCGCCATGGACTTGTCAGGGTAGTACGAGCCGCGTGTTGTGACATCTTGCAAGTGAATAGTAAGCAGATTGTAGTTAGCATGAACAGCATAAAAGCGTACCAGCGCCTGTATCATCTTTGATCTGGAAGCACGCACGTAATGTCAGCAAAGAACTTGAACATACACGAGACGCAATCTTCCTTGCAACATGCAGATTCGAATCAAGGCGAGACTTGCGTCAACCCGAATATGAGGAATATACATAGAACATTGCATTCATAGCTGGGAATAATTACCATCTTTTGAGTGGACCCTTTTGTCAGTGTGTAGCGGTTGCGCAGATCATTGATTTCGATGTCTTTAATGTAATCACCATCGGCAACATAGATCTCTCCACCAACATTGCTGTTATCGTGGCCGGTCGTAGGTGTGGCAGGCTTCGCAGCTGGAGTAGGAGTTGTGGACTAGATGGGTTGTGTGAGTTCAGAACGACAAGGAGAAGGAACCTGGGCCACGTACCGAACGGATGGGAGGCACATCAACATGTTGGATGCCTTTACGAGCCTGTAAGTCGGCGTTGATCTTGGCCGCGGCGGCAGCTGTCCACTGTCAGTAGGGATCCACCCTCCATTGTCCAGAGAGAACTACCTGCTGCCGCAGCAGGATCAAGAGGAGTGCTACGTTTCTCCCCAACTGCAGGACTTTGGCGATCTCTGTCAAGCGGGCTGCGACTTCTTCTGGACTCGGCTTGTCTTGAAGAAGGGGATCGAGAACGTCGGTCGAATCGAGAAGCCTTGCGTGGCTCCGGTTCTGTCTGGTCGAAACGCGACCGTTTTCGAGGGGCGTCGTCAGACATGATGAGTTCTGTACTGGCCCTTTAATAAGAGGAAAATAGGGTGCCGTATGCAACTCAGGAACAAAAATATTTCCACAAGTCGCAGGAATACGGGATGGAGAAGAAACATCTGTGGAGCAACAATCGGGAAGGGGAGCCCTGCAGGACCGAGTTTTAGATGCATCGGCAGCCTTGGCGCTAATTATCGTCTACTGTGTACGTGAAGCAATTCCTTTTGGCTGCTTAGCAGGTTGGTACGAGTACACCCTTGAGTGGCATCTTCCATACAGCTTCGTATCACAGGTGACTTCAGTCGCTATCTTCATCGTCACTGTCGCGCCCCTTTTTCCGTTTGCTCGAGTACTGCGAACTTGGGGCTGCATTCTGGTCTTCTAGCACATAACATCTTGCATCACGCTCCTCGCCTCTCCAAGCGCCCTTCCTCTTTCCTTCGTCGCTTCTGTCCTTACCAGTGATGATATCTCCCACAGTCCTTGCATGGCTATAGCCGGGGTAAGCCGACCAGGGAAATTTGAAGCTTTCCACGACCTTCAATCCAGAATGCCTTGCAAGATCCCGAACATTCCATAGTGTATACGGCTCTCCTTCGAATATCGTGACCAGTATTTGGCCATTGACGGCTCCGGCAGCTTGAATGTCTTCCGACCACTCATCATAGTCGTCAAACTCGTCCTCTTCCGAGGCTATGATCTTGGCTGGTCGGTTGGGTGTTGAAAGCAGCTCCTTCGCACTCTTGAAGAACCCAACCAATAGTTCTTGGTTGTAACGCACTTGCCTGTTGACATCTGTGCTCATACCTCCAACATGCGGAAAGTTGAAGACGATTTTATTGAACGGAGTGTAGGGTCGTAGAAGCTTCTTGTGCGCCGAAGAGAGTTTCGTTGCATCAATACCATAGAGAATGTTCACTTTGGCTATGTTCGAAAGGCCTTCTTGCTGTTCATCGCCTTCTACAGCGCGAGAAGCTGGTGGTGATGGCGAGAGGCCTTCCCACACAGAGATGTCCTCATTGCAAGACTGCCCACTATGCTTTTCTGGTGAGGTCGTGAGCGACGTGAGTCTCACTTCGTCATTCAAGACTTCCAGCTGCCCAATGGTCTTCCGCACGTCCACGTATTTGCTTTCGAGGGTCTCCTTAGAGTCGTAACACGTCGTTGTGATCTGATTGACCCGGTGATGGAGTTTTAGAGATAAAGAGAATGAGAAGTCCCCTTCGCCAATAAGCAACACATTATCAGACTTCGTGAAGGGCACCTTCACTCGAATTTGTGGTGGCCCATTTCTGGCACGCTGTGCGACCACCTTGTTCGACTTTGAGGGTGGTAGCTGGCTATGCTGTCGCCTGTTAATTGTAGACTTGGGTTTACTCGGATTGTCGTGATGATTCGAATGTTTCCTCGCTTGTCGTTTATTTTTGCCCATCTATCAAGTCGGATCAATGTTTCGTGGAATGTTATGTCTCACAGAAGAATTCGCAAAAATTGAATGAAGCAGCACTTTTTCTCATGTTAATGCAAGCCCTGTCCAATAATGTGGGACCAGAACCATCAGGGACGGTATCCTCTTACAATATTTGACGGACTGGTGGATTTATGACACTCACAAAGTCTCCTCAACTTCTACACCTATCTTCTTATACGTTATTTCATTGGTATTTCTCTTTCCAAGTGGAAGTTCTCGAATTATAGTAGCAGTACAGCAACCGGGATGCTCATCAATCTAAGTTTCGTAGACCCAGCAAAAGCAATCCGTGATACCCTCTAAAACTGTTTGGCTATATAGCCCCGTAGTGTTATAGCTTCCTCTCGGCTTCAAGGACCTGAATCTTTGCGCCTCGCAATGCGTCAAGTGCAATCTTGTATGACAAATAACACCAATTCTTCAATTGAAAATGGCCACGTAACTCGCCTTATTTCCCATCATGCCTTGAGACTATCCCGAGCACTTTGCGCACTAGCACTCATCGGGATGTTGGACGTTGGCAGGATTCCAGTCTTTGGCTTCGATGACTCTCGGACCTTGGCTAGGGCATAAACGATACCGCTCACGAAGCCGACAAAGATAGCCGAGACACTAGGAATAGTGACTGGTGCATCGAAGAAGATGAGGCCTGAGACGGCGATCGGGAGTTTGTTCAAGGCACCAACCATGGAGTAGGTTGTGGACGATGTGGCGCGGACACACCAGGCGGATGTATACGAGATGAAGATGGACGACAGGCCGGTGAAGATCATAGCGCCAATGATTCCATTTCGTGTAACAGGTGGGAAGTTCTTGGCCAGGTTCAACGCGGACCAGTCTTCGGTGATAAAGGAACCAGCCAACAGAACGGGGATGGTTAGAAGGTTGTTGTAGAACATGGCTAGTGGTAGTTAGCGTCTGGACCGGAAAAGAACTTCTAGGAAGATACTTACTGTCGAAGTCCTTGAAGTTGGTGAGCTTAATGCGCTTTCGCATGCCCAAGACGTAAGCAGCGGTGGAGAGGCAGTTGAGCAGCATCCAGACGTAGCCACTATTGAGCGTAGACAGCTCTTGCGTGCCTGAAGCGGTATGCGATGACGCCAAAGCGTGTGTAATGTCCGCCCAGGCTGCAATAATGGAGCTCATGACCATCAATCCGAAGGAGAACAGGGCCATGGACGAAACGGAGCCTCCAAACCACAGAACCTCGCCATATGCGATCAAGATAATGGTCAAGTTTTTGAAAATCGTGTAGACCGGGATCGAAAGGAATCGCAGAGCCTTTGTGCTCGTGTAAATCATGCCAATCAGGAGAAGAGAAATGGGAAACCCTGCTCTACGTTAGCTCGAGGGCTCTTTCGTGTTTTATTCGGGTCCCCTCTTACATTTCTTTGCCTCATCGGTCTTGAAGTCTCGGTAAGTGATGATTCCGGCGGTTTTGCAGGATTGAATAGCCACAACGCAGACGATCGACTACTCAGGGGTCAGTGGGAGCGGAGCATGTGGAAGGAGATCTGTACGAACCTGGACGGCCAAAAGCAAGAAATTGAGGTTGTAGTCTGGGAATGAGAGAATGTACTTGTTGGCAACCGTCATCAAGATGGACGAGCCGCAGTAGCTGATGACTGGTAGGACAGGGTTGTTCTGCCAATTCTGAGAAGCTGGTGTATATCGAGGTGTGGAGGCTCGAGCAGGAGGGCTGAATCGACCCTGCTTCTCGCCATGTTCCATCTCGTTGCCATCCAGAAATCTCTTCTTTTCTTCTTCAGCCATCTCTTACTGGGTTAATCCAACAACTTGTTGGACACGGATGAGGCTTCGAAGACTAAAGTAGGGGCTGTCAGGGGTGACTCGCAGGTTGTGTGCAAGAAAGGTTCCGAATGCTCGAGACCACTACAGAAAAATATCTGAATGGTTAGGAATAAAGACAGATGACTTTAATGAATGAAGTGAACTCGTTCAGGGCGCAAAGTGGATGAAGCCACGCAGTGCAGTCTGACGAAGTTTTGAAGTGGGAAAAAGGGGACTAAAGAGGACACGCGCAGGACCGAGTTCAGGCGAACCCGCGCATAGTGCAACGCCCCGTGGCTTACGAACTGTGACATCCGTCAATCATGTTAAGGCCCAGGGGTCAGGGCCGATCACTCGGCTCCTCTTTAACGAGGAGCCACTGGGTACCATTAAATTTCCCATATCTATCTGATAGCCTCCGGTCCGGTATTGCAGCCGGGGCTCTGCAAGATCTCGATAAGTTATCCACCACATCCCCGAAGCCAATCTTCAACCTCTCTTCGTGCGGTTGCCGGCTCTATCTCGACGCAATTCGCATCGCTAATCATCACATCGATTTCAGAGAGGTGCAAGAAGAGCTCGTATCCACCGAAGTTTCTCATCTCGGGAGACCCTTTTGTATCGCATATCGTTGAAATCTCAAGATGCCTCGCTAATGACCCGCATTGAGGAGATTGCCGTTGTCTCCAACATAGAAGTGGTCTGCTTTCCGCACGGCGCACGCCACGTTGACCAGGTCATTGAATGCGGAGAATGACCTTTTGGACGCGGTGATATGTTGATGCCAGCGGCCATACGCGTTGCTCGCATCGATTTAGCGCAGGCGATCTTCAACGGTAGAAGTGCGTTTGTGAAGCTCGCTGTCGTGCTCAGTCCCAATCGTCGTCTTCGTCGTCTCTGCCTTGCTTGCGACCGGCAATACCTCTGCGACCCATCTTTCGCTTGCTAATCGTATCATCACCATTTTCGTCCTCGCTAGCATCATCGTCATGACCCAAAAGTAACCTCTTCCGTAGAATAGACCAGGTCACAAAGGCCTCTTCGATGGCTCGTGTGACGTTGATACTGCCCTCTTGTCCATCCCAGCACAAACCCTCGAAACCCGTAACCCGACCCTTGACGACTCCTTTGACGAAGCCAATGACGCAGGGCAGGACTCGTACGTTCAACTTTGCGACCACGAAAGGGCAATTCTTCACGTCGACCCTTGCGAAGGCAACATCTGCATCTGTGTTGTCGGCGTGCTTCTCTGCTATGATCTCGCAATGGCCGTCCATGGTGTTGCATCGAGCAAAGTCGGGGTGGAAAAAATGAACGACAGCCCTCTCATATTCGGTAGAGAATGCAAGAGTCTCGTCATCACTCTTTAACGTGATAAAGTGCTTCTTGACAGCATCAAATGCAGTTGTCGTCCTAGAAGATGTAGCAGCATCGCTCAGTTCTTGTAATCTTTGAGCACGATACTCGGACTCTTCCTCCTCCTCAAGGGAGGCGAGTATGTCGTCCGGATCATCCTCTTCTTGGTGTGGCAACGAAGGCATTGCCTCAACACCAATCTGTTTTTCGTGTGCTTCTGGAGCCATAACGTACTACACAGAGGCCCAGCAGAAGCCCTCGGCGATATCAGGTCGTACTTCGACAGGTTTTGCAATCCATGCTCGAGCCTCAACAGAACGCCCTTTTTGCCAAAAATCTATGGAGACAGATTTTGACAAACGAACAAGCAACAGAACAGAACACGCACTGAGTCCCTCCCAGTTTTCAAGTGTATTTCAGCCTGATGTTCTGGGAACGTGAAGGTCGGTCAAGCCAGGTGAGGATCGCGTATTATGTAATCAGACAAAACTTCTTGGCGAAGCCAATCTTGGCAAGCGCACTTGAATTTTGACTCGCAACTTCCTCGAACGGCCTTTGATCGAGCAGCCTTAACGACAACCTCGACACCAACTTTCCTTCGAGGCGCAATACAGTAGCAATGGCGCCACCAACCCAGAAGCCGAAAGGTACGATACACCCATCAGTTTCCTGGCATTGATCAAGAGAAGGAAGGAGGACATCAGTCTGTGATGGAGGATACAAAGCCCGATTGTGGCCATTCAGACTGCCGAACTCTCTTGGAATTGGAACTTTCGGGAATGTTGTATTCGGAGAGAACAAATGCTGACCGATCTTATTAGGCGGCTCCAAGAAGCCCAGTGCCAAAGCCAACCAGGCCGCCAAAGCCACCCTCAAGGGCGTGAGTAGCACTTGATACATTTTCTTTCGCAACAGCCAACTTACAGACAATCAGGTCAACACCCACAAGGCCCGCAAGATCCGGACATCCACGACCTTCCACAGACCAAAGACCCTCGTCCTGTCTCGATCACCCAAATACCCCCGCAAGTCCATTCCTCATGAGACCCGACTTGACCACCACAAGATCCTCATTCACCCCTTGAACACCGAGAGTGCGATGAAGAAGATTGAGGAGCACAATACATTGGTTTTCATCGTGGACACCAAGGCCAACAAGCGACAAATCAAGGACGCGCTGAAGAAGTTGTACGATGTCGAGACGGTCAAGATCAACACCCTGATCCGACCGGACGGCACGAAGAAGGCTTTCGCCAGATTAACGACGGATGTTGACGCTCTGGATATCGCTGCCACCAAGCTGTCGATCGTGTAAATGAGGGATGTTGCATTGGTGCGGAGGGTGACTTTACTGTTTTTGTGTCCACGGATGCAAGCATATCGGGACCTGATTCATTAAGCGGGAACAAAAGTGCAGGACTCGCCATAGAATCAACGTGTCATGTTTGAAGATCAGGCGTGGTTCTGAAGATTATGAAACCCCTCAAGAGCAGAAATTCTTCATTATTTCGAGGCAACCAATCCTGCCCCGTTGCGAAGTGGTAATACACGTCCTGGACTGAATCAATGCCCATGACACCTGTTGCATGCGATGCTCTTCTTGTACCCGACTAGTCTCTCATCCGGACATCCAGTCTCTGCATGTTCGTACACAATAGTTTGCATTGAATCGATTCTACTGATTCGCTCGCAATGATTCCAAATGCTTCAAGACTGCCAAATTGGAGTCCATAAACCTGTTCACACAGTTTGACATACAACTCTCCTCTTTGCTAGCCAATTTCCCCGAAGATATCGAGCTGGTTATGCATTTCTTAAAGCAGACTTCCGTCAATTCGTGTACGGCTAGGATTGCGCATGCGCGTCAGCGGCAGCCCCGGTCTTCAGACACACAGTCAGACTCACACTTATGGACACTAGACTTTTGAGCTTCTGTCTGCAGGAACGTTTGTAGCTGCACCTTCTCGCCAGCTGTAAGCTGGTCGATTTCCTGTTGACTAACATTGATTTCGTCGTCCATGGTGATTTAGGTTGATTGTAACGGGCCGGGCACAGTTAACGAGGAATGACTGATGGTGGTAAAGAGGTATTGGAAGTTCGAAAAGTGAGCGTTGGCTGCAGGTGCTGTATATGGATTGCGCTTCATACTATATGGCGGCCAAAAAAAAGTTGACGTCCTACACTCAGGCTGGCGCGCCGCAAAGAACAAAAGGCCGCTGCTTTAAACACAAGGCTGCACATCTAGTGACATTTCTACCTGCCATGGTGCTTTCCCCGCCGCTTCGACAGAAATATTTCATTTCCCGCAGCCTCGTTTTTGAATATCACCTGCCTCCGCTGCCTGTGATATTTGATCTGAGTCCTCCCAGCCTATCCATAAGCGCCACTCCATCCGCTCTCACGGCTTCCACATAATCTCTCCTGTCGTCACAGAAACACTCCCTCGTCAGACACCGAGATCGCAATGCCACCAGTCCGATCACGCGGGTCCCGCAAGCCCCCGCCTGAAGGCTTCGAGGACATTGAAGACACACTCCTCGAATACAGCAACAAAATGCGCGACGCTCAAAACGCCTCGCACGAAGGCAAGAAGAAACACGAAACAGTCTGGCCCATCTTCCAGATCTCCCATGCCCGATCCCGCTACATCTACGACCTGTATTACACCCGCGAGGCCATTTCAAAACCCCTCTACGACTGGCTGCTCAAGAATGGCTACGCCGACGCCAGCTTGATCGCAAAGTGGAAGAAGCAAGGTTACGAGAAACTGTGCTGTCTGCGGTGCGTGCAGACGAAGGAGACAAATTTCCAGGGCACTTGTATTTGTCGGGTTCCCAAAGCCGGCCTCAAAAAGGAAGATGGCGGAGAAGGAGGTGCGGGCGTACAGTGCGTCAACTGTGGATGTCGGGGTTGCGCGAGCAGCGACTGATCTGCAAACCGGGAGTCACTTACGGTGAATGGATGGATGAACCTTTTCGCAAGCAAAAAAGCATCTGGCGTTTATGACTGAAAACGGTGGACATGATACCCCCGGCATTTTTTGTGGACTGCAGCATATATGGAGTCACGGCGTTGCACAGACAAGGAAACGTGATTCAGAGCAGATTAAACGAGTGATATGACATTACTCAATGAGCGATATGGTATTAGCATGATGTGCTGTAAGATGACTGACCTGCAGCACCACAACCTCCAGAACAAATGAAATCGACTTCAAAAATGAGCATTTCGAACAGCTTGAATATCGCGTGTTTCCAAGCCTTGACCACATCCTTTCTCACATCAGTCGTCATGTCATAAAGAACTCGCATTTTTTCAAACCAATATCCGAGATCCGTCTGTCACATGAAACTCCCGTCTCCGTGTCCTTCTAAACTTCAAACCCTAGATGTAAGATCCAATTTCAGAACACGTCGCAAATCATCTTCCAGCTGTTGAGCACTGGGCTTTGCGCGTTGCGCTTGGGCTTGATGCGGGGTGGAGTGAGCCTGTCCTTCGACTCCTGCTCCGTTTTGTGGTGCTGCGTGTGCTGTAGATTTCCGTGGTGTCGGTATAGGTGGAGTGATCGCACTGTCCGATGATAGCTCCGCATACTCCGGTTCGCTTTGGGGCCCGTAGACGTTTCTTAAGCTCGAAGAGTTAGGCCTCTTCGGAGTATGCATCGGTCCTTGTTGATACTGGTATCCCTGTTGGTGGAAATTCTGAGGCTGACCATAGCGAGTGTATTCTTGTGTATACATCGAGTTAGACCCAGAGTTCTGACGGATGTTTGGAGGGGCTGAAGGCAGAGACGTAGGCTGCTGATATGGTGCTCTAGCGTTGAAAGGATTGTTTGCATCAGGAGCCGAATTGTTGCGGTGTTCGTTGCCTTGACTATTTGATTTCATTAGAAGCTTCTTCAGGGCGTCAGTCTTCGCCTTGCGCTCATGCTCGTCCATGGTCTTGCCCCCCAACGATGTTGACCTTGTTGATTTTAGTGCGTCCATACGATCTTTGTACGGTGTCGCAAAAGAACCACCGTCTTCGCCCGGAGCCGAAGCACCATCCAATTCGAAAGGGAACATGGGTTCACCTTCCCGCGGCGCAGGGGACCTCGAAGCAGGGCTTCCAGTCGGCACCGACAGATTGCCAGAACGAGCGGCAGGACTATCACCAGTGGGTGCGACTCGCGCCTGTCGAGCAGCTGCAAAGAGAAAGTCGAGCGGCGTTGCTTCTGGCTTGCTAGGCGAGTTGTCTGCCACTTTTATTGGAGAATCTTGTGTTATTGTCGGCGCATCGTTGCCCAGCTGCGATGGCAACGAACCCGTGGCTGGTAAGGACTTTGAATAGAAGCTTGGGATCGGAAGAGCGGATGGGGCTGGTGATTGTTGAAATGTTGCTCCTGCGTATGCGGCTTGCTTGACGGGTGTCGCTTTTGCCATGTCCGGCTTACCTCGATCAGCCGAGGAAGCTTCGTGTTGTTTGTTGTGTGCCTGTGAAGACTTTCTCGGGTGTCCTTTGTTGTTATTCTTTGTCATAGCGGGTGAGGTGTTGCGCTGGTATTCGGTAAGTGCGCCGACATCTGAGGAGAAGCCGTCATGTGTGTTCGGATTATGTTGTTTCTTTGAGGACCGTCGAGGACCTCTAGCAGGCTGCTGTTGGGATGAAATGACAGTAGACATTGCAGATGTCTATGATCGGGCTTGATAAATCGGCAGCCCGTCGACCTGGGTAGAGGCAGAGAAATGCAGAACGCTAACAAACAGTATCGAGTATTGACTACAAAGAGAAGTAGACAAGATCGCAAAGAGCTGCGTGTCTATCTTGTGCATTTGCGATGAGGGAGGGTGAAGCGATTTGAATATTGTCTTCGGGTTTGTAGGATGGTAGGTGCTGTGGAAGTGTAAGTGTTCATTGTCCGAGTTTTGAGGTGCTGCAGAGGTTGAATGCTGGGACTAGAGCGAAGAAAGGAGCGTCGTCTAGTGATGTGATATGGTATGAGCTTGTAAATAGGTATTCCTGGAGAGATGGTTGTTCTGAGATAAAGGTAGGGAGCAACCTGGTGAACCGTGAGTGATGTAGTGGCGCAGGCAACGGAAGGACCAGGTGCGGGCTTGGGCTTGGACTTGGAGGAGACAACGATGGAGTCATGCCTTCCATTACTGTACATTCCCCCACGCCACCACTTCACTTGCCTCTATTCATTGCAGCCTTGTCGTGCCTTGCCTTACTACTCTGACCACTAATTTAGTCACCGGGTCACTACGTGCCCTTCTATATCACTGGCAATAGGATCCATCTCCGCTTTGCGTCCTCCTTTTCTACCTCATCTGAGCAAGTAGTCTGCCATACCTGTACCTCAATACTGGGCAGCACCGCAGCCTACCATCTGCGCTTTGTCCTCCCCGCACGGTTCGACCTCTTCACGAGACTTTAGCAATCGAGGACTATACTCAACATGGCTGACGTCGAGATGGCCGATGCTAATGCTGCGCCTGAAGAGTCCAAATCCAAAGTCGCGGTCAAGGTCCCCAAATCAGGAGCCGTGGAAGGCGGTGACAATAAGAAGAGATTCGAAGTCAAGAAGTGGAACGCCGTCGCTCTGTGGGCGTGGGATATTGTTGTCGACAACTGCGCTATCTGCCGAAACCACATCATGGACCTCTGCATCGAATGTCAAGCGAATCAAGGAGCTGCTACTACAGAAGAATGCACAGTGGCTTGGGGTATCTGCAATGTAAGAAGGCATTATCTGGACCCAATGAACTTGACTCACATCAGATACAGCACGCTTTCCACTTCCACTGCATTTCCCGATGGTTGAAGACGAGACAAGTTTGCCCTCTGGACAACCGAGACTGGGAGTTCCAGAAATACGGGCGCTAGAAGACTTGCGATGAGAAATTCCATATTCCCGGCTGTGTCTAAGGTTTGGGCAATGTTCGGCCACAAGAGCACTGGTCAAGATTCCGGCCACGAGCTTGGGCAAGCCAGATCGCATGCTTCGGTCCAATACGGCAAGACAAGTGGCGTTTGGTGGGAGAGACCGGGCAGACTCAGAACATCTCTGCAATGACCTTGAGATCGAGGAGCCTTTGGTGCGAAATGTGATGAACTTATGAGGAGAGAAGTGATGGACCTGAAAAGCATCATAACTCTGGAAAGCTGGTGCGTGAACACGATTCATAGGCATTGCAGAATCTGATAGAGCCTGAAATGAAGCAGTGACCATCCTATTTTCCTGGCGCTCCTCCTACCATGATCCCGCCTGGCGGCAACGCAGACTTTGACCCTAACCACGGCTGAGGATGCTGATTGTAGACCGGCCAGGGAGGCACAGCCAGTAGCATTGCCAACGCCGTCCCAGCTAGGCCAATCCACATGGTCAAGTAAATATCTTGTTGGATGAATCCAACTGTTAGGGCGATGAGCTAAGGGCAGGGGTGTCAGTCTGAACGCCCATCCCCTGATATCGAGCGAAGGTGTTGGAGTCTCACCGATGTAATAGTCAGAATGGCATTAGAAATTGTCTCAGCCAGGCGTTGACCGTCGAAGTCCTTCAGGTGATGTTAGCATACGACCAGGCTGATCATTCGGCGACTTACAATCTGGCCTTCGAACAGATCTTGGATCTGGCTGATGACGGCGTCCATGGTTGCGTGAATCACCAAAAAAGTCTCACTGAATTCGTAGTATATTGGGTTGGGTATGTTGGTATCTTTCTTCGGTGTACAGTCATGAAGGGTCTTCGAAGTTGTAAAGTGGTCAGTGATGTCGGTTTATGCTGTGTGTTAATTGGTGTTTGACGCGCGATGGCACGTGAAGTGTCAAGGACCGGGAAAGGACAAATTGCGCTTGAATCCTGATTAATTCAGCCTCGTCAAGAATGTATTCTCCGTCCTACATCATCACCACTACTTATTATATTTTCGAGCATGAACTGTCCTAGCTTACGATATGTGTATGCTTGGGATGATGAGAGCTATTGCTTGCCAATTTTGATTCATAAACACATTGACCTTTAGTGCGCGGCACTGGTCCGCTTTTCACGGTCGGCGATGTCGACGTGAAGTGACCCCTTCATCGAACTACGAAGTGATGTTAAGGGGTGCTATCCGCTGGCCACCATCAGCAGTCGGGACTCTGTACAACACATACGGTTTGACCCTTCTATCGATACTTGGAAAGTAATTCGGTGATCGCCAAAGCTGATTCTCTACAACATAGAGATATCCATTGGATGTCCGCATGGAGTCTGCGGGATCTGATCAGTTGCCATCTCTCTTCCCGCAAGATTGACTTACCGGTCTACCCAATTCTAGGATCCCGCACATAAGTGCTGACAGTGTTATCACGATTGTTGTAGATATTGATGGCGTTTTGCTCAGAGTTGCTCGCATAGATGTACTGGTTTGTATCTTGCATGAGGCCATCGCTTGACCCTTATTCGCCGAGATACCGAATATTGGTCTGCGCTATGATTTCGCTGGTGAGACTATTGTCGAGCAGGTATTTGCTTGCGATGCTGTACAGATACCGGCTGCCAGTTGGCGACCAGACGACTGTGTCTCCTCCGTCAAGAACCGCAATGCCGTCCGCGCCGGTCGGATCGTACGTTGTTGGGAAACCTGGGCCAGGCACGAAGTACACAGGCTCGCCCCATACTTCCTTGAAGTGCTGTCGGGTGGGTCTGACGGTCGGGGAATTGTCCAGATGACACCAGGCTTCGGTTATGCCGAGGTCAACGATGATCAGACCACTGGTGCCCATCTGCGATGAGTCGGTGTTGTATGCAACACCTTGGCCCGAGGCGGTCACGTCAGGTCGAATGTCGATGCGCACATCCTTGACGTAGGAAAGTGGGTAGGCCGCAGTGAGCAGCAATTTTGTGCGATTGATGGTGTTGGTGGCCAGGTCAATAGCTACCAGCTTTGTACCGCCAAAAACTGCAGGAGTCAAGGTTCCATGGGGAGTCGATGCTCGACCAGTATCGAGAATCCAGGAACGTTCCAATGGGTCAATGGCTAGCGATTGGACACCAATGAAATAGTTCTGGTAGTTGGCGCTGGAGACAGGATAGGTGCTGCAGTTGAGGGATCCTCCTGGGGGTGAATTGATTTGAGCGTTTGGATATGGTTTCTCGGTAGAGTTGCCAGTTAGTTCAGCGAATTGATATTGCGTGTTATTTGCATCAAGGCCGGCTGGGTAGCAGGAGAAGATGCGGTTCGAGCTGCTCACTGCAACGCCTGTCGGGAAGTCATTGTAGTAAAGGTGCACGATCTCGAGAGGAGGTTCTCGAACACCAGGGTCTTGTGTGATTTACTGAGCAGCGACACAGCTTGCGCTCACGAGCGTTGCGATTTTGCTGAGCTTCAAAATGTTGATGGTAGTACAGACAAGCAATGGAAGTCGCGCAGTGAAGGGAGCAAACGCAAGCTCATAAACGCTACCTAGACACAAATAAATCTATGAGCACCTATCGGACAGCATTTATCGTCATCGCTCAGTAGCTGTGCTTTGGCTACTTGCAGAGAAGAGCATGCTCCCGTAAGTCATGATTTCAGGACTTCAACAACGTGGTGATTTCACCCTCGGCATTTGGAAGGGCGGATGCGGTACGTTTCGAGCACCTCCAGTCATTGGAAGGAGATGGCATATCATCCGCAACGTTGCTGCAGCCTTGTTTCACTGCCGTGTAGCCATGAAGGAAACAGGTCTTGACAAGACTGTCTCTAGGCGCTGTTCAATGTATATATACTGTATACACGGCGATGTTTACCTTTGTAGTCTCACCGTGGTAGACATAGATGGGAGGAGCTTGCGTTTAGGCGAGCGGCTGTCCCACAGTGCTTGTTCTATCGGTGGTTGGGCAACACTGAGCAATGAAACCAGCAAGTATCGTGAATCAGAACGCGATTTCTACAACAACAAAGATGTCCATCTAGAGTTCGAAATCAAGGACATGTGTATGGTTGGTTGGCGTGCATACGGGGGGCTCCCCGCACACGGCCTCGGCTGTGACGCACAGGCCAGAAAGTGCCTCATTATGGCTGTGTTGAGCCTAGTAGACTTAATAGGCTTGATAGGCTATGACCAGGGAACGCAAAACACCAAACTCTGTCACCGTGCAAACCTGCATGAAAAGGGATTTTCCTTCTTCTAGGCTTTTCTCGTTCTGCAGTGACATCTCGGTACATAAGGTAACGAACCAAAATTCTCTCCTCCCCCACATCCGACCAATCCTTCTTATACCAACTCTTTCGTCGGTGCCCGACAAATTTTTCTTCTTGTCAGATCCACCCTGAGGTCAACTCGACGACAATCGTCATAAGTACTGAGATCCTTTCCTGCTGTGATTGACGATATTGCACAATTGCAACACCGGTTCGACCCCTTCGCACCTCGTTCTTCGAAGTATAGGAAGACTGTCAATACAGTCCTTCCTATCTCTACGCGCATTTCCCACCCACCCTGGCGCTCGACAGCCATTTCGACGCACAAACCTTCAAGTTGGCGGGCGTTCGAGTTTCCCTCGTCTCCTTCATCCGACCGCTGCTAGGAACCACATTCATGGTCTTCTGCGGGACGACTACTCGACCCCCGTAACTGGCCTTCCGGTATATAGTGTCATCCCTGGCCAAAAGTGGCCAGGGGAGATAATCTTACATCAATAGAAATAGAAGGGATCGATCTTCTTTGGAACATACCGAGACAATTGGCAGACAGATACCTGCCATTGCGTTGACAAAACTGGCGTAACCACGAACATCCGGTGCACTGTTCGCAGTGTAGGTGCAGCGTTGCAGAAGAAGGGATACCGTTGTTCAGGTCAAGATGTCTTCATCGGGGTCTTTGCATTCCCAGACACACAAGATGGATAGCCGTTACAGCACGCCAGTGCCTGAGTTGGATGATCACCGAGGCAGTCGGGGTATGGCTGCAGTGCAGAATAGTCTGGCTTTGCCCGCTGTGGAGTTACAGGTGCCTACTCCCAAATCGACCGAAATGAACGAACAAGACCTCTCCAAAGTCAATTCGGCTTTGCTCAACAGCCTGAACCCGGAGCAGATTTCTGTCGCTCGCGACTTCGAGCATGCCATTATCGACGATGACAAAAGCGATGCAGGAGGTGAAGCACACCCAGGACTGGGCAGACACAATTCGACCCGAGTACGACGCATGACCAATCGAGAAGGCCGTCCACGCATCACCGGCATCCCTCGACATGATCATTCGCGTGATACCTCGTCTTCTCGGTCGACCTCGCCTGCCAACTCTGTCGAAGCTTTTGCCGAACCACGTCGACGACAGCGTGCCAATACTGCAGAGAGTGTCAATTCCTCTGTCATCGAGGATTTTCGTTTCCGCAATCGCGTTGGCTCAAATGGTACGAATACCAGGCGGCCAACTCTGAGCAATGTCAGCATACCAGCGCCGCTTACCCAGCGGACCGATCGAGACTTCAATGACGATATCACTTTTCCTACGGATGATGAACCTGGCAAGACGTACAAAATCGATTTTGAAGAACTGGAAGAGTTTGTGGCTCTGAGCGCTCAAGGGAAGATCTCTGGGGATTTGATACCCCATCATGTGAAGGAGACCAATGAGTTCTGCGACCTCCGGAGGCTTGAGGACAGGAATGAACTACCTAACCCCGTTCTCAATGGTGACCAGTTCTATGAGAAGCCCTTGGCCCTTCAATACACGAACAAGACTTTACAATCGTCTTCTTCCGAGAAGCTGCACCTGAAAGGAAACGGTGGACCCGAGGAGCGATTCTTCCTGTTTACTTCCGAACTGAGTCAAGGCAAGAGTGCAACCAAGTTGGGCGATTTCGTGGATGACGGCACCACATTCAGGGATCTTTTCGAAGTCGGCCCAGACGGCGGTGTATGGTGGTTGGATGTTCTCAACCCGACCAAGGCAGAACTCGAGGTCCTCGCAAAAGCTTTCAAGATCCATCGCCTGACTCGTGAAGATATCGAAACACAAGAAGCCCGTGAAAAGGTCGAGCTTTTCAGCCAGTACTATTTCGTCTGCTTCAGATCATTCAACATGGACAGGACCCACGAGGATTTCTTGGACCCCATCCACGTCTACATTGTTGTCTGCCAAGACGGTGTCCTGAGCTTCAGCTTCCAGGAAAACCCTCATGCGCGCAATGTCCGCAAGCGTATCTCGAAGTTGGGCGACTTTTTGAGTCTCGGACCAGATTACATCTGTTACGCCATGATTGACGACATTGTCGACTCCTTTGCGCCGATTATCCGTGACGCCGAGCAGGAATCCGAGAATATTGAGGACCAAGTGTTCATTGCGCGCGAGGACGACTTTCTGGCTCTGCTGCGGCAAATCGGCGAGTGTCGCAAGCGCGTACTCAATATGATGCGGCTGCTTGGCGGCAAGGCGGACGTCATCAAGGGTTTTGCGAAGAGGTGCAACGAGCAGTACGAGATCACACCGCGTGGCGATATAGGCTTGTATCTGGGCGATATCCAGGACCACGTCGTCACCATGATGTCGAACTTGGGGCATGTGGAGAAGATGCTCTCGCGGTCGCACGCCAATTATCTCGCGCAATTGAACGTCGACAACATCCTGAAGGGCAATTCGACCAACAAGGCTCTTGCTAAGATTACTGTCGTTGCTACGATTCTTGTCCCGCTGAATCTGGTGACTGGTCTTTTCGGCATGAATGTCAACGTGCCAGGCAAGAACACTGACGGGCTTTACTGGTTCTTTGGCATTATTGGCGCCATCTTCTTGTTTGTGACCTGTTGCCTGATCGCGGCAAGAAGATTGAGAGCCATTTAAATGGAGACGAAACTGTATGGTTGTTGTTTGTTCATGTGATTATTTTTGTTTGGCCTTTTCTCAAGTTACTGTTGATTTAGTTGTTTTTGGCTATATCTCGTTGCAGTCATGTCTCCTCACGACGGGTTATGGTGTTTTCATTTGTACTATGTGAAGACGAGATCTCTTTACGCACTGGTGTTACTTGGAGAGTCGCATGGTCAAAGAATAAGTGCATTGATATTCTGACATTTACATCACGTCGAGAAGAAGACTGGAATAGAAGTCCTACCGCTTCGGTTGATAGCTTGCAGAATCGAAACGTTATCATGCAGACGGTCCCGCGCTTTAGACTCTGTAGCCATGCCCTTCTTGTGACTGGAGATAGACTGCAGCACATTACTTACATCGTGTAGCTCTATGATTCACGAAAGTGGTAGGGAGGCCTTTGACAAGGTACTTTTGATATGTTGGTGATGACTGTTTCTCCCACTTGCCGAGTCGCTGTAGCACGCCGACGTAGACATGGCCAATCAGGGATTGCGTGCGACATACACTATGTGCTGACCACCTTTTCCAAAAGCCCGATACTGGTACTGGATGCGCAGATGCACACGGCTGTGCATTTCGCTAGCCTGCATTGATCCCTAAGATGTGCTGTGTCTCCAAGGTGTGTAGCGACATTCTGAGGTGACCATTTGAGTGCCGTTGTCAAGATATCCAACATGGCAATGCATGAAATACCCAAGATATTGAGGGCATATAATTGGTCACTAGACATGAAACAGATGCAGGGCAGGGGCTATACTTATCCATGACGGCTGCAGGTGCGGCAGTCCAACCACGGAAACTTCTTGTGTACCTGCATGGGCGCGCGTGGCAAAATTGCCGTAGCGCAGTAGCGCGCAATGAGATTTCGTGGACGAAAACTGGTTGGAAAAAGGACTTCTCCTATAGCCTCTTTCGCACCTTTGTATAACGAAGGTGTTGTAATGGATGTTGTCGCGTATGGGCATAAGTTAGGGCGGTTCCGGAGACCGAGGAGAGATCGGGCGCGCCACGATCCTGGAGCCGCAAGATCTTGGACCCAAGCACTGTTTTGACGGGACGGTGTGAAGTGCACGGCTGCCGGATATAGATCTGATGGACGTGAAGGACTTCCCGAGCGCATTGGCCACGGCTTCCAGACCTAGGCTATAGTGAGCCAGAATCCAGACTGTTCGAAATTCGCAGCCCAAAGATCCGATGAAAGAAGAGGCTGTGCAAGTGGAACAAGCTCGCCAGATGCTGGATCCGGGTGGTTCACTATCATCCTTAGACTTCAGATAGTATACTGTGCTACGTTGAAAATGTGGGAAGAGGAGAATTTCCTCGCCAAACAGCTCCCGACACGGCGTTCTCCAGGAAAAGATGTTCAAGATCACAGGTTGACAGTGCTCCAAAGTGATGGCGTGGAACAGATACCCGAGACATGGAGGGGAATACAAGACCTCTCTTCCACATGGATCGGCATGATTGATAGTCGCTTTGGCCCGCACATGGCGAATCACGATACACGAATTGATATGGACGTGGTCTTGGTTTTTCCTTTCCATGGTTGTCCGAGAATAATGAGACTCCCTTTTAATCAGGAGACTTGCGGTGTGTTATGGCCATCTCTTATAGGGGTTGACCCGCGGGTATAGTAATCTCCAACGGTGGAAACCCCGGCCTATCGGATTAGCGTGAACGCCCCAAGGCTTGATTCGCAGGTACGAAATCAACACGGTCCATGAGAGTTGAGACGCGTGGTATGGTTGAGGCAACACCGAAGGAAAGAAACTATTGTCGATGTCGGTCAACAACGGTCTGATGGAAGCCAGCTTGGGCGCAAGAGGACATGGGAACGGAAGTTCATGTTCGACACGAGCGGTTGACGGACTCGGTATCCTCCTCTTATTGCCTCCCTGAGGCCATCCTAAAGCAGATGTAGACATGATTGGCGAGAACAGAGGCGCAGTGCATGCAGGGATAGATCATAGATGAGTGATGTCCGGACCAGGCAACGATAAACAATGGTTGTAGGCATGGGATGATTTCTTGTTTGATCAGCGCCCGGCTGCATCATCTTCCAAACCAGACTCAGTCGTAGCATGCATCATAGTCTGTAAAAGATAGACCGGGTGGCGTGAATTATGTTTAGTACCCAGATGGTTCAGGATTTTCGTGGGTGCGTAGGAAGAGGTACAGAACGGAGTAGTTACTACTGCAAGTCAAGATGGAGAGGATCGCAGGCCCGCAGAGTTATGCGTAAAGTGGCTTGTTATTAGGCGCGGACAAGGCAAACTCAAAAATAAAGGACCCAAAAAAGCAGGACTGGGAACTAAACTGCGCTGCAGCTGCGCGTTTCCTTCAATCTGCCAAACAGCACCCGCACCCGCAGTTGTTTGTGTGATGTTTTCATTTCTCATCTCGCCTTCTCCCTCCCCTGACTAGCATAACACCAACAGTGATCACAATCCCTTTATTTTCTGTATACACGTCTACGGTCTGACACTGTCACTCCTCAAACGTGGTTAGGACTCATTGTTGGTATGCGCATCAAGCCCTCTCCGTCATCTCAGGACTCTTTCGATCAGCAACCCCCGGTTCCAACGCCAAAGAGCCCACTCTCTCGCTTCTCTCCTGGGCTCACCTAATTCACCGCAGAAAACCTGCTTTTGCAACCACATCAACAGCTCCTCCTTGTGCAACACTTCAACCATCACTGTACACGATCGTTGTACTCCTCGACGCGCTTCCGTTCTCGATAGCATTGTCAACACCTTGGAATCTGTCTTTGTTTGGTGCTGCAACCGTTTACTCCGTTGGGCGGCTTTGTTATTGACTGCCCGCATTTCCAATCGCGAGCCAAACAACAGATCTCCCCATGTTATCCTGATCCGCCACGAACATCAACGACCGCAATAATCTAAGTCAAAGTGGCCGCAGCTACTGTGACTGTCTCGCCAGTCATGGCCAATCCGTACGGTACCTTGAACGCTGTCGCGAAACACGCTGACCCTTCCAGTTTTACCTCAGCATGGCGCTCCTTTTGGCATACAATGACCTCCTACGACCGACACGCTTCCCACGATTCTCCCTACAGAACAGGACAACATGTGCCCGTTAGCCAAAGCCGCCATGCTCCCTTGACCTCGGTCGCAACAAGTGCCGCCGAATCACACCAAGATCTTTCAGTCACCTACCAAGATGAATCCAAACGAGGTTCTATTTCCTCATCACAACTGGCAGGATCTCCCGCCAGACCGTACTCTCCGGGCATGCGTTCAATGTCGTCGCCAAAAGTTCCCAACGTGGAAGAGGTGATATCTCCTGGTGAGATACAGATGCAGAACTTTGCTGATGGTGCTCCACCTCCACCTCCGCCAGCACATTCATGGAAGAAAATCGATCGATGGGCAGAATTGAACTACGAAGAACTCTGGGATCAACTTGGTGGAGCATGCACACAGAATGATATCAACGAGCTAGAACACGAACTTGACATGACATTACCCCAGGACGTACGCGAATCCCTAAGCATCCACGATGGCCAAGAACGCGGTGGCCGACCTACAGGCATCCTCTTCGGATGCATGTTACTGGACTGCGAAGAAATTGTACAAGAGTGGAAGAACTGGAAAATCGTCAACGAAGAATATTTGAGTGGTGGTAAAAGCAAATCCTACAGCTCGAAAGGTCAGAGTAACGGCTCTGCTTCGTCGTCCAGCCAATCCCAAAACAACAATCGTTTCTGGAGGCAAGACCTCCTGGACAGACAAGAGTCACAGCCACCCAAAGCCATTCAGAAAGCATATGCTCACCCTAGTTGGATTCCTCTTGCCAGAGACTGGGGTGGCAACAACATTGCAGTTGACCTTGCTCCTGGTCCTATGGGCAAATGGGGCCAAGTCATTCTATTTGGACGCGATTATGACTGCAAATACGTGGTTGCGCGATCATGGGCTCACTTCTTAGCTACCGTGGCCGACGACCTAAGCACTGAGAAGGTCCATGTGGATGAAGACACTGGAGAATTAAAATTGAAGGAGTTCAAGACTGAAACTGTCGAACCACCTTACATGGACATTCTTCGCTGGCGTGCGGATCAGAGATATGGACGACGAGGACCCAAGCGGAGACCGCAGCCTGCTGGTCTGAACACGAACGTAGTCCAACAAAATGGACGACACTCACCATATAGCAGCCCGGCTATGGGCACGGAGGACCGTGGTCGATCACCACAGAGATTCTCCCGAGGACCTACAGGCAGCCCAAGACACGCGGTTGGAAGCCCACTGGCTCGTGTACAGGAGGAAATTGCGCAGCCACAACCCGTACGACCAGGCGGCGATGTTGTGCGAGATTTCGCCCAAGTTATCGAGAATTCGAATGAGGGCAAAAAGCGGGAGAAGCTTGTGGAAGCCCCAACACCAATTGAGACCAAAATTGCCAGCATTTCCAGAGACGGTGACAAGCTCGTCGACGCACCAACGCCAGCTTCGTTAAGGAGTGTGGATTCGGACTTCGCTCCAAAACGGATCAGCAGAATATTGACAGCAGGCAACCAGCCCAAAGATTTGCCCTCGCAAGCGCAACCCAGGGACGAAGTGAAGGGTTTGGGGGTGGATGGGATTGAGGAGGAAATGAAGACGGTGACAATTTAAATCATTCTTCAACATGTTAACAACATTGACCGGCTGGTACGACTCATGGACTCCTGGATATGGTGCGTCTGGTCACGAGTGGGAGTTTTTGCCTGTAACATGGTTTGCAGGTTTGTTTTTGGGGAGAGGCTACATGCAACACAAATGCAAGAGCGCGGCGTCTTATCAGCGAAACAACCTACCTGTACCCATTCTTCTGGAGTCATGACAGTCATAAAAACCTGTAATGCAACGGGAAAGAGTGGCATGCTGTAGTGGGTACGCAGTATACATTGAAAACGCGACCTGGGGACACAATCTGTTTCGACCAAGCAAGGCAGATCAGAGATGCCGACAGGAAACAGAAAAGCTCAAATCAAATTCTTGTTCTCGTGTTCAAGATACTGCTCCTCTTTGTATTACTACGGCAGTCATGATTCTTCGTCAAGTATGATACAGAAATTATTCCGCCCACCTCCCGGGTTGATTTCCTTCTTCGCAAACACGATCTGTCCACCACTCTTGAGCCAGTTGGCTCGCTTGTCCAGGTCGTATCGCCACAGGCTGTAATGCAATTTGCGCGTAGTTTTCGTGTGGAGATGCGTGTATCCCAGTGAGCCCATGATCAGAATGAGATGTTCTGGCGTCAAGTACCGCGAATTATGTAGTGTGGGGGCCGGCAAGACCAGAAACAGACATGGTAGGAGCTGCATCGGCTGCGTAGATCCATCCATAGTCGCCGGGACGTCTGGATGAGATTGGGAGAAGAAGGCAGTTGTCCGTTTGAGCATGGCGCCTCGTCCACACGCGTCAGGCACGTAATTCAACACGAGACTTAGACTAAGTACGTCGTAGCCCCGTCGGCCCTGCCAGATTCCTTTGCCGTTGGGGTCGTCGGGGACAGCGAACGCCATGAAGTCCGCTTCCTCGATACCAGGGCCCGAGGAGCGCAGGTCGATTCGGCGCACGGTTGTGACATCGGGTATGTTCAGCGCGTTGGTCGTGCTCAGGGCGCCGACTTCCAGGATGCGGAGCGGAGTGACCGGCGCATTTGCAGTGTTGGTGCTACTAGAGCTGGACGTCGACGTCTTGCGTGCGTCGATCTCGGACCTCAACCAGTGGACGAGCACGCGTGAGGAGTCGCCGCCGCGGGTGGCGCTCTGGCCGACTGTGCTGGCGAGTTGATAGGATTCTAGGCCTCCTGTTGCTGAGAGTTGGGAATCAAGTTCGTTGATGAGGGATGTGTCGTTGGTAAGTCGTGCGGCAGCAAGGCGCTTTTGGAGAACGTGGTGGGTGCGTATTAGGGTACGGGTGTGTTTGGAGGATATTGACGGATGAGACGTGGTGGTCGTGCTAGTGCTGGAGGAGAGGAGTGGTGGACGGCCAGATTTGAGAGACTTCGACTTGGGTTTACCGAGCCCTAGAAATGCCTTGGACTTGCTGGATGATTTGGACTTGTTGGATGTTTGAACCATTCTGAGGGCACACTAGACCGGTGTATAGGTCAAGAGATAAACGTGCAGTGTTGTCCTCGGTACTTTATGTTCCTGACCGTGGGTTGGAAGAGTCGGTGTATGACAGAAGTGCAGTTTTTATTCATAGTGTTTTTCCCTCAGCTTTTCCAGTGCAGTGCTTTCATATCGTAATAGACATGTTGACTTCTCTGACCAAGCCTCATTGACAAACGGACTGGATTCCGATGACATTGACGCTAGGCGTCACGACGTCTTGCGTTGATGCCAATTAATTCCTGACTGAGGTCAGGCTAGTGAGGCGTACATCACATGCTTATAAGCGTTGAGGTGTTAGTATTGAGAACTTTAATCTTAAAGCCGAACATGAAGTGATCCGCCGTACTTGGATAGCTGCCCTGAGACATTCCCCTTCAATGAATCCTTCTCAGCCCCCTGTCTGAAGACGATACTGACTAAGTCTTGGACAGGACGATTGCGTGCCCTGATGGCGTGCTCGAACTACTCCAAGTCTCCCCACTCCGGGTCAATATTTGCTGGGAAACAAGCGCGGGGTTTTATCTGACGACGATATATCGAGGCACACCGTCCTCCGCTTATGACTATCTTTATTCAGAGTCCACATCCAACTTGACTTCATAACGACGAGATGCCTTCAGCGACAACCGAGACTCCACCTCCACTTCGCAGGTGGGAACGTCCGTCGAAGACGGCCCACGAGCTTGACTGGGCCGACATCAAGGTCATCGATATATCCACGTTCGATGAACCAGGAGGCAAGGAGGAATTGGCCGAGCGACTCCGCGATGCAGTAGGTTCGGTGCCTTGCCTTGAAATTGTACACATGACTAAACATGTTCGATAGGTTCATAAAACAGGATTCTTCAGCATCACGGCCACCGGCCTTTCTGATGAAGAAATCCAACGACAATACGACATTGGCCAGGCATTCTTCGACCTACCGGTGGAGAAGAAGAATCTCGAGGGTTGTCGTTGTGACTTTTCTGTCGGAAATTATTTCGGATATCGTGCTGTCTGTCACCATCAAGATCTCACCACTTCCGATATAGCATTGACTTTGAGTCCAGGCACACGAAAAGAAGATCATGTCCACCGACATTTTAAACATTGAGGAATCCTTCAACGTCCCAAAGATCATTCCTCACCATGAAAACGAAGTCCGACATCAATTCTTCGAACCATATCGTGCCGAGATTGAGGACTTTTCAAGGGTACGCTCATTCCCTGCTCTTCCCACGTTGATGTAACGTTTGCCTTTCAGCGTACTGGTGAAACTTTACACACGGTGGGAATCGTCGATCTCAATGCTAAGAACCAATGGCGTGTAGAAAGCACTATCCATAGCCAGTAAGATCTTCACCCTCTTCAGCATCATCCTGGAATTGCCCCAAGATTACTTCTCATCTCGGCACGCATACGACTCTCCGAGCGAAGACCACCTCCGGTACATGGTGTACCACCCGCGCTCGGCGGCCGACGACGCCAAAGTCGAAAACACATGGTCCCGAGCACACACGGACTTCGGCTCTCTAACACTCCTCTGGAGCCAGAACATCGCGGGCTTGCAGATCAAAACTCAGACTGGGGAGTGGAAGTACGTTCCGCCCGTCGACGAGGGGATCATTTGTAATGTCGGTGATACGCTGGATTTCTGGTCGGCAGGATACTTGAAGTCCACGACGCACCGGGTCGTGAGGCCGCCAGAGGACCAAACTCACGTTGACAGATTGGGGCTCTTTTATTTTGTGCGTCCGGGTGATGAGGTTGATATCAAGCCTGTTGCTTCACCGTTGTTGAAGAGATTAGGGCTGGTTGGAGAGAATCAGGAGGATGCGGAACCCATTACTGGTAGGCAGTATGTTAGGGAACGAGTCAAGAGTTACCATAATCATACGGACTATGCGAATATGAAGGGGAGGAAGTTCCGGATCGGGAACCTGGAGATTGAGGATGAGGCGGAGTGAGAGCTGGGACTACGCTGACCGTAGACAATGGAGTAGCCAGGTCTTGGACTTACATTTCGTGTGTCAAGTGAGCAGATGGGAATGCGGCACCAAGAATGCTGGCATGCCGCTTCGAGAATACTGGCTTGATCAAAGATCGCGATTGACCGGTGGTTTGCCCTTAGCATGGAACGTCTTCTCGTAAAGTCGGGGCACCATCAACCAGCGGCGACAATGCTTTCCCTTCTTCTTTCTCTTTTCTGGCTATCGCTCCATGTCTTTGGCCAGTAGACGCGCTTTCAAGATGTGAGGTATGGACAGCGTTTCCTCCTTGCCTTTGTATATGCTCCCCTTTTGGGCATGTCCATTCTACGGTACGGATGAAGGCGCGGATTTACTCTGGGCAGAGTGTTCGCCATAGTTGGCCCCGAAGGTCCAGAACGACTAGGTGCATATAGAGATCCTTTAGTCTTTCTTGAAATTGGTTTCCGGCGTCGTGCTTTTCTTCCCATGGACCATATGTTCGACCATGTCATGTCTACAGATTGCCAGGTAGCTGGTAACCTTGGCTTATTCTTCTATCCTCAAGACACATCCACACGGTCAGGACTTTGCGAGCAATCCATGGACATCGTATACTTTTACGTAATTTACCTCATCATCTTTCCACCCTCGTGGTTCATCGCCAGTATGTAGGGCTCTTGGACGCGAACATTTCCCATGCCTCATCAAGCGTCTGGACAACATCTTCCGGTAGCGGTCCCTTTTCCAGATCCTGCAGATTGGTTTCTAGCTGACTGAGACTGCTCACGCCAATGATGATCCCGTCGTTACCCTCTCTTCCCACTTTCAGGATCGAATGGTGCACACACCACCGCAGCGCGGTCTCAATGAGAGTCAGATTATGCTTCTTGACCACAGGCTCGATATGCTGCAGTGCTTGGAAGGTGGTGTCGTGAAAGTACCGATCTCGGTACATCTGGATTGAGGTCAGCAGCAGATCACAGTTTAGACCCATGGACGTGTAACCTTTCCTGCCCGGTGCAAATCGGCAAACCGGCCTTCTGTAGGTGCTTCGTCTTTGGCCTTGTATTTACCGCTAAACAGGCCGCCAGCGAGCTGGTACATTTCGTCAACACGGGATCCATACCAGCATATTCACTGCACTTACCGGATTATACACAACCAAGTCAATCCCATACCTGATTTCCCATGTAGTCAGCAAAACGCACTCAACTTGGTATCACGGCCAACTCACTTTCTGCAGCACGGTACCAATTCTTTCTCCATATCCCTCGTGATAGCGTTGTACATGGCCTGGTATATCGTGGGCTTGACCCATCCTTTCTGTTTCGCAATGTTCCAGACCTCCGCCACCTCCCAGGCCGCGAAGTTGCTCAACCCGAGCTGGACGAATTTGCCTTCCTTGAACAGAGCATTCAATTCACCCAATGTCTCTTCAAAGGGCACACTCCGGTCCGGCGCGTGCAGGTAGAAGATGTCGACGCAATCTGTACCCAGCTCTTGCAGACTCTTCTCGAGACTTGCACGCACATTCTCGGGTTTATGGTCGCCTGGCTTGACGGGAAAGCATTTAGTGGCCAAGGTCAAACCGCGGTCCTTCCACTTGGCCTCTTTTGAGAACCCTTCTTGTTCGCCGCCAACATATGCCCGGGCCGTGTCTACTTCATTATACCCTTGTTGTTGCAGGTAGTCGAGAGACTTGTTGTACTCGTCGAGCGTCGTGACACGGCTACCTTTGGACTCGGTACCGGGTGGGCCAAACGTCATCAGCCCCAAGATCACCCGTGGCTTAGAGCTGGTCATTGTGGAGGGTAGGAGCGCCATTTGGGTGGCGGACGAGGCGGAGAACGGGGAGATTTGGCGGGAGAAGGACCTGAGTCGGCCAGTTGCAGTGCTTGAAGTCAGGGGAGAAAATGATACCAGACTCCGGAGCATCGAAAGAAAGCAATGGAAAGATGTAACTTGGGACGGTCGCAAAACGCATGAGCTATAGGCTGAAATAGTTGATCTCGGTAGTTATCTACGCCATTGATATTGCGTATGCGGGGAAATATATGTCAACGTCGAAATCCACTCACAAAGACAAGGAATCATCTTGATATTTGCATTAGACCTAACTCATTGAAACTATCGTGAATAGTTCGGAGATCCTTATAACCTGCCTAGCAACGCTATCAAGTTGAATAGCAGCTTGTGGTCAAACTCGTCGAAGCGATCAGAGACGCAGTCTAAATTCGCGCGCCATTCAGAAATGCAAGATGGCAGTCATATTTCAGCTCCCTGTACAATCAAAGCCCGACTTCTCAAGCACCATATCCATGAATACAGATTGTACTATTAGTCTAACGAGCGTCCTGCCGCTTGCGAGCTTGTAGCATTCCTGGAGATTATGTGTAGCTTGCGGCTGATGCTCAGAGGTGCTACATATCGCATTCACTACCTTTTAGAGTGACAGAGCAGGCGGTGAAGTGATTGTTGTGACTCTCGTGTGTACTCAAGTTAGGCAGATTCATCTTCCTCTCAGATATTCAGACGCAGCACAACGTGTCAGACACGCAGCACCCGAGCCGACATGGCCCACCACCAACATCAATTGATGACCCGCACTCCCTACGGCAGACTTTCATGCAATGCATCGTGCCGGAGGCAAGAGCCAGAGTGGAGGAAGCCTTGACTATGTATGAGACGACGAACCTCGACGGCAAAGATTACCGTGTTCATCGAGACGTCTCACCCAAACTCGGCTCGTCCTCACACGACGTCACTCAGGCCGTCAATATCGCAGACTATGTCCACGCCATTCATACTTCAGCTGGTTGGCAATGCAAAGTACCACAATGTGGGGCTACATTTGATCACGAGTTTACAATCGACCTACACCTCTGGGCACATGGTGTTTCTGCCAAATGGTACTGCGGCGAGCCCAGTTGCCCAAATGGTCCTGACCAAGGCTACATTGATCGTCATAGCTTCGGAGAGCATGTGGCTGTAGAGCACATGAATTCAGACTACAGCTTCGCAGCTGCACGCCGCGCTCCTCGCAAAGATGTCTTAGTGGCAGGCCTTTGGCGCTACTTGAAACTTGCACGCGTTCCAAAAACTACAGCTGTCAATCCGAACTCGACTGTTGATCATACCGTGCCGAGCTCGGTAGAAGATGACATTTGCGAAATTCCAGACGACGGAGAAGATGACATTTGCGAAGTCCCAGACGACGGAGAAGATCCTACATGGAATCACGTTCTCGCCATGTGGCAGACCAACTTGCACGGTCAGCAAAGAGAGCTGAATTCGCACGAAGCAAGAGATTCTGAAAACATGAAAAAATGGCTTGGGAAATGTTTCGTATGGCTTATGATATGGAAGGTTTTGAAGAAGATTTGAGCCCATCTGAGCGAGAGGTCAAGGAGACCCTCCTTGATGAAGACTTCAAATCGAAGCACCCTTATCGCTGGGTGTCTCTCTGGAGTGACCATGGGTACTGGGGTCCGGATCCTCTCAACGAGGAACCCGGGGTGTACTTTACCGAAACACTGACATATCCTGTTGTCTATCTGGATCTGCGTGAAGCTAGGATGTTCGACAAGTCTTGTCGTGCGTTGTGTGACATGCTCGGCACCAAGGACAGAGACGTTCTGTGGCCTGCGCTAAGCCAGATGATTCTGGGTCTGCCCCCAACCCTGGAACTCGATATCGACTTTGTGGATTTTGACGAAGATTTCGAGCAAGATTCAAACAATATCCAGAGCACTCAAACCAACGATACTGGAATAAGCGAGGTTCGCGGATCAGGCCCCAAAATTACGACTGTCTTGATTTGCCCCTGGCCTGGATGTGAATGTAGGAAGGTCCATACACACAGCATCATAGTGCACTTTTTGGCTGCTCATCTGAACTGTGTGTGGCAATGTCCTGAGATGGGGTGTGAATATCGTGGCTATCTTGAGCCTCATGTCTTGGAACGCCATTGATTACTCTGCCATGTCGGTAGTCCGCTTCAATGCGGTCACAACGGTTGCGACCAAGTTCTCCGCAACGATCCCGCTGCGAGTAGGGGCCACGTGGACTACTGGTCTTTTCGCAAACATTTTGAAGTATTCTTCAGTCGGCAGATACAGAATCTTCCCCAGGAGCTTCGCACTTCAAAGTCGAATCCACAGTACTTCAGCGACATCCGTCGGCATATGCCGCCACTTCTTGACGAAGCCGCGTATAAGCAACGTTTCGCGGGTGGCGGCCGTGAGTTCTTTACGTTCGAACGCCGCTCTCAGCAACTCAAGAAGAACCTCACTTTCCTCGGCGTCCAAAAGGCGGACCTTGATGTTCGGCACACCAAGACTTGATCAGGCTTCTCAATAGATGGTCGTCATTTTGATTGCGTCGACTCGATTAATCTGAGACTCCACACAGCGATGGTAATCTTCGTTCCATCTTTGTTACTGTTTACGGTAGCGCCTAGATGCAACTATTGTATTCATGTTATGTCTCAGCTATCGCCTCCTCATGCGGCCTTACCGCTTCCATTTCTTTTCGGATCACGACGCGATACAGCCTCCAAGGGGAAACGTAAGCGAGTAGGTATCGGAAGAAGCGTGAACGACCAGTCTTCATTTCTTCGGGTTGTCCAAGAGGATGGCTTACGCTTACCACCGATGGCGAAACTATACAAAGAGCTCAAGACAATGTTTCCTCGGAAAATCTTTATCATTGACTTCGAGACTATGCGGCGTACGAAGAAGGGTCAACCTTTGGTTCTACTCGAGGTTACCGTCCGGCACGGAGATAACAACATAATCCTGAGCTGCCCAGTCAATGAGGAAGGCGTTACAAATGCTCAATTCGAGGAGGATATGAGAAAAGCAGGATTCGACGCAGCCATCATTCGAAGCGCACGCAAAATTCGAGGTTCTCCAGGACAACAATTCCCAACGGATGCCAAAACGGCGGCACAGATCGTGAGAAAACCCCTTGATGCAGGGCTAAATCCTGACTCATTATGGGTTGAATACTCGACTCGTTTCTTCGACTATCATTGTATGGAGCAGTTAATCGAAACAGCTAGGATCATGTCCGTCGACCAAATACTTCCGCGTCGCGATAAAGTTTGGTTAGTGTGTCCAGATTTTATGCGCGTTTTCCCCGGTAAGTGCGATGACAAGGCCGCTCAGTTTTATAGTGAACCCTTCCTAACAAGATCTATAGGGCTGTCTTCATACAAACTCGGTCGCGTTGTCCGGTTGATGAACCCTGCTAATGAATATCTGAAGAGCCTTCACTTCTCAGCATCTGATACTGCAGTGCTCCACGATATGCTGGAATGCTGGGTGGACAAGTATCAATTTGCAGTGTGAGAAGTGAGGAACACCATTCGCGTTTGGCGAGTTGAATGAATGAATGCAAGCGAGAGCACAATGCCTACAAAAACATCCCAAAGATGGAAGGGCGCTGTGCAATGACAGTCCGCCAATCCCAGGGACAAAATGAGGCGGTCCTGTATCGATAGTCCAGAGGTTGTCGGATGTTTCTCAGAATTATTCTTTAGATGTGAGAGTAGGCACTCAGTATCCAATGTCAAAAGGTTGATTACCCTCTGGATTGATTACTCTGAGTTAATAGACGAATCCAGCTTCGCCCGGTGCGTACCAGGTAGCTACCTACTGTATATGTAAGCAGCTTTTACCGACAACTTTGGCTTACGACAGCTTTGGCTTAATGATGATGTGAGAGAAACAGGAACTGTACCGAGGTCATTACAGGGTCACGTGCTGCAAAAATAATGTAGTTTATATATTCAAGTAACAAAACTCTGGTCAACAATTCCCCCGTGGCGCAATTGGCTAGCGCGTCTGACTGTTATTCTCTACCATATATCAGGGTAAGTCTTACAATCTATCAAAAAGTCCATTTCCTAACATATTTTCAGAGGTTGGTGGTTCGAGCCCACCCGGAGGAGTTATCTTTTTGCTTTTTTGTTTGACCATTACTCAGACCATACACGAAGATAATCGTTGTTGGAGTCTCCATCGTGTTGAAGTTACGTAGCAGGGAAGAGTTTAAATTACTTGCACAGGGCGGATTTGCAATCTTTATCAAAATTTATCACGCACGCTGGAAGTTGCGCATTCTGAACTCCGTACTCATATTCGACTTATGAATTGATCATACCTTTTCGGAAACCTTGTCTTTTGGTAGTTTTGTCTACTTACTTATCAGTCTTAATCCGTCTAACGTGTTCAGTCGCTCACCCAATGAATGGTTCACATCTTTTCACTCCTCTCTATCTCTATATAGACAGAAGGCAGTATCGTGTGCTGGAGCGACTGCGTCTGTGTTGCTCACAACTCCGAACTCCTCGCCTGGCCACAAACATCCATGCACGATCACATACACACAGCTCACCATGCAGTGTAGCCACCATCGACAACGATATCAGTTCCTGTCAAATACGACGAGGCATCGCTGGAGTAGCAGTCAGTATACATGTTCATAGGCCCGTGCGGTGTGCCCATACCTGGCCATCCACACGACTGTTCCTCTGAATTCATCGGGCTTCGCAATGCGGTGCAGAGGAATCATGTCAACCCATTGCTTGCTAAGGGCCTCCATCTCGTCTCCTTGAGTCTTTGCTGTTTGGATGTAGCCTGGAGACAAGGCGTTGACGCGGATCCCATGCTCACCCCATTCAGTTGCAAATGAGCGCATCATATGATTGACGGCAGCTTTGGACTATGCAATATCAGTCCATTCATGAAAGTGCCCAGGAAGTCGAACAACATACCGCATTGTAAGCACTCTGCTTCTGAGGCTTGTTGACAATGCTGCCAGACATTGAGCCGATCATGATGATGCTGCCTGGGATTTTCTGCTCAATCATGTGTTTGCCCGCAGCTCTAGCAAACAGAAAGGTGCCATTCACATTGACATCGAGTATCTTTTGCCAGTCTTTGAAGTCGTACTCTTCAGCCGCGGCACCGCCAGCGACGCCAGCGTTTGTGACCAGTACGTCCACTCTCTTGAAGTGCTTGACAATTTCGTCCCATGTCTTGGTGACCATCTCTTCGGAGGAGGTATCGCACTCATAAGCTTTAATGTCCGGCTCCTGTAATCCCGCTTCCTTGACTTCTTTTTTGAGGTCGGCAACGGTCGATTCGGCAGAGTCCTGGGACAGGTCGACGACAGCTCCTTTGGCGCCGGACAGAGCGAAAGCTGCTAGGATTTGGGATCCCAGACCTTGGGAAGCACTGATGGATTGTCGGTCAGTGGGCGTCAGGTTACTCGTAAAGCTTTACTCTCACCCAGTTACTGTACCATGTCAATTACCCACAGACAGTGATCGAAAGTCGCAACTTACCAACACAGGTCTTGCCCTCCAAAGAGAATATTGGAAGGGTCCTAGAAGCACTGTGAGCATATCGTCTTCCTACACTGGTTGCTGCAACGAGGTGATTCCGCAGCAGAGCAGTCCGTGAAACGTACGGAGGCATCTTGTCTGAATGGCGATCAAAGTTGGGCTGTGTTCAGTGCGAGACAATAGTTTAGCAACCTAATTGTTAGTATAAATTGAAGAATTCGAGACCAGGCACGCGATCATGTCAGTCAAGCACACGAAGCGGAACTCCCTTCCCTCGCATAATTGTGGTAATGTACCTAGCTACCATTCAGTGTGTAGGTAGTTAGGTACAAGGTACTCAGTGACTGGCCGGGTAGCTCTTCCATTGCACACGATGTCACACCATGACCATGTCGGTGAGGTAAGAGCCTCGGAAGCGGATGTCTTCTCCCACCAAAGATGGGCGTAAGTCATTGTGTATAGCTTGAGAGTTGAAAAGAAAGATAAGGGGAGGGTCAAGGAGAAGTAATGGCCTTGTGGAGGTGGAAACTGCTGTCGAACTTGAGTTCGGGGAAGCAACCAATACAAAATGCTGTCAATTTTGGTAGGCTCTGCGGAGAATCATCTACTGCTCTCTTGCCGGATTTTTACTTTTCCCAGAAGCCGTGTCTAACTCCCCCTCATACTGCTACAGAATGAAGAAAGCAGTCTCCCACTAAATGGTCATCAATGGATGATGTTACCTCGCGCACCAGGACCTGTGGTATAAACCAAAGAAACCCGTCATTATCACCACTAGTATTGATCATCGCCTCCATACTGGTCCTGTCCACCGTCATGACCGTGTTGCTGGTGACCATAGTGCTGGCTGCGGTCGTCATACTCATTGTCGTCGCCACCTTGGTGGTATGAGTGTTGCTGGCCGTGCGTATGTTGACCATGCTCACCGTACTGCCCGTCGTCTCCACCATATTGCCCATCCTCGCCGTACTCACCACCATCGCCATATTCACCTTTGTGATGGTCAGCATGAGAAGGTCCTCTATACCCTACACCATAAGGGCCGCGGCCTTGAGAATGACCATGAGAGGGTTTACCGTCTTCTCCATCGTCACCGTAACCACCTTCTTCATCATCACCATAACCCTCCCCGTCGTCGCCGTAACCTTGTCCGTCGTCGCCGTGATCTTGTCCATATGCCCCATTGAAATCGTGCCCGGGATGCTGATCTTCGTGTCCGAAGCTGTCCTGTTCAGGGTCCTGACCCTCCTTTTCTTCATCTTGCGGGTCATCGTCTCGTGGGTAACGGGGTTTGTGTTCGCCTGCTTCCATGCCTTCGTGTCCGTAGAATTTACCTTTTGTAGCGCGTGAGAACCAGTCATGCAGCTGGGCAGCACCAGGATTATTGGGCTCTTGTTCGAGCAGCTGTGCTAGCATTTGTACTAGGTTTGTGCCGTGATGGTGTAACGTGTCTTGCTGTTCGTCATCGTCCATATCTGGAAAGAAACGCGTCAGTCACATTCCGCCGCTGCAGTAGGATCGTGGCCTTGCATACCTTGCCGGTCATGATCCTCCATATACTGCTGACATAGCTGATAAACTTCGTCTTTCAGTGATTGATTCGGGTCGCCGGCCCCAGGGTCGTCGTCGAAGTGACTGGGACCACTGGGATCAGCTCCTAAATGGTCGAGGCCATGCTGGAATTGGCCTTGGACCATGTGCTGCTCACCGCCTAGATCTCCGCCGAAGCCCTGGTCGAATACCTGGTGGGATTGGTCACCCAGACCGCCTCCCAGATGCTGTTGAGCCCCCAGGTGGCCCCCCCCAGGCCATCGTCCAGATGTTGTTGCAGACCACCTTGACAGTGTTGTTGGCCGTCAAAACCGCCGACCGATGGTCCGCGAGGGCCGCCTCCCAACTTTTCATCGAAACCACCATGATCACCCCCAGAATTCTGTTGGGTGCCATCGGAAAGTTGCTGTTCGTCGCCAAAAACTGCTCCCGATCGGTCATCAAAGCCACCACCCAAGCTTCCAAAACCACCCTGAAACTGGTTGGCGAGCGCGTCACTCGTGATACACCACGATAGCAAAGATGAAGGAACAAGGCCAAGAGGATATCGTGGAGCAGATTGATCAAACGTTCAACTGGGAGACTGCGATGCGCGGCCGGCCTACCTCGAGCATGGTTTAAGTATCGTGGTAAGCCATGCCAAATATATCACCTCAGGTATTGGATGGTGACTTTACTGAAGGAGTATCGCGTCTTCGCCTTCAATGTCAGCACCCAAGCCTCGATAGAAATATGAGGACACCGTAGGGCGAGATGACATGTTGAAGGTTGCGAACAGGCCTAGAGGCCCAAGACGCATCTCAGTGATGACAGCCATATCAGGAAACGCATTGGCTTCCACTTTCGAATCACAGGGCCCATGTTGGTGCTGGAAATAGTGCATGGGTGTTGTCAAGTCTAGGTTGCCGTCAGAACCTAAGTCTGTTTGGTTATCACACCATCAGCAGACGATAGCAAATTCGATGTGGGTGGGGGAGGGGAAAGGACAAACAATGGTGAAGCTATCCGGAATAGGTTCCTACGGCAAGTAAGTTAAGCGGCGTCTGACATCAGACGAGATTAACTTCCAAAATTAACTGTTCAGAAGCTCCCCGTTTCTCTCTTCAGCTGCTTCAAGTTCACGTTAGAAGACAATAATCAACCCCACTACTCTTGTGCATCATGCAGACATGACGACCCTGGTCTTTACTTTATCACTGGGGCGCTGGCGCATTCGTTGCTGGGCCAGGTAGATGAGCGGTTGAGCTTATGGTACCTGACATAGGCGCCGCTCCTCCACTGCCGCTAAAGGTCGCCGCCGCAGCTCCTACTCTTTGTGGGCTCGGAAAGACTGGAGCAGTGCCAGCACCTGGCCTAGCAGCCTTCCCTTGAGCTCCTGCAGGCTCATGCGAGGCGACGAGCTGGTGCTCGACAGGCTCGCCTGCTGGCCCTGTAGCCTTTGCTGCTCGATCCTGAGTTGCGACAGGTTCGCATCTAGAGTCAGGACTCTTGCGGCGTGGTCGGTGGTCAATGCGGCCTGTGGATTTTGACCGGTCAACAGGTACATTCCGATTACGTCGTCTCGCATGTTGATGACACTATTGCCGGCACGATCAAAACTTCATCACTCGAAAAGAGTTCCGGGCCCCATTTACTTACCTCTGAATCATTGGCATGAGCCGCCCGATCAGCGTCAGCTCCTGGCCTGCTGAGGCGGCCACCAACTGTGCCTGCAGCCGTGCTCTTCTGTTGTCTTGGGTCTTCATCCGTCCCTGGACCAGATTGATCTGCTGTCTAATGATTTGCGGGTTCTCACCTCTCAACTGTGCGACATTTGGCCTGTTCAGGTACTTGCTCGCATCGACGGGATTTCCGATTGGTGGCTTTGGTGGCAGAGATGACGGCAAGGGCGGCGCGGTGCCATGGGCTGCAAAGTTGATACTTCCAGTACATTCGAGAGGGGCCTTTGAGCCGTGGTGTTTGCCGACATGTCGATGTCTTCCCCAAAAGTGCTTTGTCAAACTTACCCTGCGAAATACCAAGGAACGAAAGGTCTACGCGAGGTTTGATTCGGGTTGGATTGACGTTGGATTCGACATGCTTGGACTTTATATGTAGTCTTCAGGTCGTGGACTTCGTTCCACCTTTTCTTCTGTCATATGGTGAGAGCATGGGCGGAGAGTAGCCCTTTTTGCATGTTGAGACAGGTATTTCGTATTCGTGGCGACCTCTTTCTCCACAAGATTACTGTGCCAATTGGGCCTGAAGTGTTCTCCAGGCTGTCTAGCTGACCGTCATGCAGCGCTGCAGAATTGGCCCCCGCGAGCAAGGCTGTCGTGTAACCGGGTCAGCAAGTCAATCCTCGTTTCCCCTTCGGAGCTCCTGGCGTTTGTACCTGCACTTTCTTTTACAGCGCGTACTTACGAGTGCCAAGTGATCACCCAAAATACAGCGAAAAACCATGTGGCAGACTGCCACTCACTGTCGTTGGGATCGGTCCAGTGCTTTCTCGCTTGCACGATCAACGAATGTCGTCAAAGGGCTCAGGTAAGTATGCGGTATTTTCGCCGGCACTAGGATGCAGTGTCGGCTGTGTCAAGCTTGATCTTGAACGTTCGTCGAGAAGGCCAGTTTCCTTCTTCGATTAGACTCTATCTGGTTGCCATGCTGCCTGGTTTCCGCTATTGGTTAGTCCGTCCCGGTGCCGGGCCGGTACCGGCTACATCAATACGAATACAAAGGTCACGCGTGGCGCCGTGACACGTTAGGACATGGCAACATTGGCATTGCATACCAACAACAACAGAGCATGAGTTCATCAGCGGTCGAAGGCACATTGCAGAAGCATCCTATCACCAAGTCCACTCAACCCACAACCACTGGCCAGGCTCCTTCAACGCTAGAGCAAGTCCAAGCCCAGTGTCAGGCGAACACCGCAGTCGAAACATCAATCGACGCCGCCCAGCCAGAACACAACGACAGGGAATGCCATGAGGCAGTTCAGCACCCAACAGCCAAAAATGACTCCATCTCCCCAGTTTCAAATGCACAGTCTCCCCTATCACCACAAGAAGAAACCCAGGATGGCGCCGACGTCGAGCAGCCGCCGTCCACAGACAAGGAAGATCCAAATGGCGACGTCGAGAAGCAAGCCAGCTCCACGCCAGCGGCAGCAGCAGACAAGCCATACTCCTCTTTCACCCAACGTCAAAAATACCTGATCGTCCTCTGCGCAACACTAGGCGGGTTATTCTCCCCATTCACAACACAAATCTATTTCCCCGCCCTCAGCACAATCGCCGCTGATCTGAACGTTTCCATATCGCAAGTCAACCTGACGGTAACAACATATATGATTTTTCAAGCAGTCGTCCCCTCCTTCATCAGTTCCATCACCGACACTCAAGGCCGGAGGCCAACCTACGTCCTCGGATTTCTGGTCTACACCGTGGCAAACCTAGGTCTGGCCCTGAACAACACGTACGCCGGCCTCCTAGTCCTCCGGTGCATCCAGTCCGCGGGTTCAAGTGGACTCGTCGTCCTCCAACAAGCCATCATCGCCGACATAGTCACCTCCGCCGAGCGCGGCAGCTACATCAGCATCACGAGCATCAACGGTATCGTCGCGCCCAGCGTGGCACCCATCGTAGGAGGCTTGCTCGCTCAACATCTCGGCTGGCACAGCATCTTCTGGTTCCTGTTGATCATGTCCGGTGTGTACGTCGTGCCTCTTATGCTGTGGTTCCCAGAGACCGCGCGCAAATTAGTCGGCGACGGCTCGATCCCTCCTCCACCACTGAACAGGTCGTTATGGTATATTATCAAACAATACCGTCACCGCGACCGCACGCACTCCACCACCAACACCACCACCACCGAGACCGAGAGGCCAAAAAGAAAGTTCACATGGCCCAGCCCTCTCGGCACACTAGCCATCGTTGTCGAACTCGAAGCCGCCGTTCTCCTCACAGTCCTAGGTATAGTCTACGCAGTCCTGTATGCGGTAATGGCCTCACTTTCCACCCAATTCCACGACATCTATGGTCTAGACAGCACGATGCAAGGCCTCATCTTTCTGACCATCGCAGCCGGCACCATACTCTCCGCATTCACGAACAGCGTCCTCCTCGACCGAAACTACCGCCGACACGCGCTCAAGATGGGTCTTGACCCGGACCGCAAGAAACAAATCGCCATGCAGGGCTTCCCTATCGAGCGTGTAAGACTCGAAATCGGTCTCCCTTTCTTCATCGTGGGCTCCTTCGCCGTGATCGCTTACGGCTGGATGCTGGACTATCAGGTGCACATCGCAGGTCCGATCGTCATGCTGGTCATCATCGGATACACTACGCTCGCGGGCTTCAACACCCTGAGCGTGCTGTTGATTGACTTGTACCGGTCGAGAGCCGCAGCGGCCATTGCGGCGGCGAATCTCGTGAGATGTTTGCTGGGCGCGGGTATGACGGCTGTGGTCAACCCCATGATCATTGCCATGGGTCTGGGATGGTGCTTCACATTCACGGCGCTGGTACAATTGGCGACGCTGCCTCTCTTATGGGTTTGCATGAAGTATGGTGTGACATGGCGAGAACTGCAAGCCGCAAAAGAGGGCAATAGGGGTATGCAGCCTTAGGCCATTTCATATGGATAAAATGTAAGTGTGACTCGGCTATCGAAATCAGTGCTTGCAGGGTAACGCATGGCCTGCACCTCATTCAGATCTCGTTCGTCAAATCATTAAGGCCCAAAATAACCAGACACCTGCGGGGCACGCCAGTCGCTATGCAAGACCCAACATGATAAAACCACTGACATTTGCAGCACTGTTAGATCGTCTTTCGCCATGTCTTCTCTGACTCGCTCATCGCCCATACTCCAGGCTGGGCACAACCACTGGTCCATATTTCACCACATTCCCATAAGCTCCCTCTCCTTGTACCAAAAAGTCGGCCGCCAGACTCAGCTTGCCGGATCCCCTGTGCATGCCTGTTTGGCCAAATGTGCCGTTGACCACTTCTGGATCGTAGACTACCACAGCCACATAGTTCCTCCTCGCCATTAGTTTCCGGTTGTTGATGGGTTGACCAGTCACATCGTGCGTAAAAATCTCCATCATGTCCTCCTTGGTATCAGTCGGCTGTGACGGCGTCGATCTTTGCCCATTGGCCGGAATGTAAAGCGGCTTGTTGTTGTTCAAGAGCTTCATCACGTAGCCCGGCGGTGGAGTATTGACGACAGGGGATGAAATTAGCTGATACATCGTCTTGTGATCCGACGGGTGTGACGGGTCGTGCACCAGTCCAGCTCCACAGGCATTTACGGCACCAGAGACAAATGTGAAACGTATTGATCTCTGATGCGAGATGCCTTGCAACGTGCGGAGGAAGTACGTTCGTTCGAGGTCCTGTTTCGGTTAGCAATCATCACTCATGGCTTTACAGCTGACTCACCTTGGATTCATGGGTCCATTGGTCTTTCAGTTCATCAAGCATATCGATATCCCCAAAGGGATTCAGGATCCCACCCATAAGACCTGATTTGCCAACAGCACGTTTCACCGAATCAAATCCTGAGCCGACTGCACTCTTCGCTCCGACAACTCCAGCGACCGAGCTGGTAACCTTTCCCAATACATTATATGCCCCTGTCACGGCTTTCTTACCCGTAGCCACAGTATGAGCAATCTGCTCAGCCGCGTCAAGCCGAGGGTATATGAGAGGCACAGGTACCATCATGAGACAGTGCTGTATCGTTTGAGGCAACATTGCAATCTTCGGGAATAGACCCTGGTATGTCGGACCGGCCATGACTTGATGGGGATTTCGTTCGCTTCTTGTGTCTGGGCCGACCACGGCGACTGCTGGACCGAGAAATTTCACGAAATGCCATCCCGTGCCTGTGATGGTGAACAAGTCTCGATCGTCAGAGACATTGCGGAGCAGCTCCAGGGTCGTGTGGTGTTGGAAAAGCAGATACATCTCAATACCAACACGTCCAATGTTTTTAAACATGTTGCTAAACTGCATATACTCCGGATATGAACCGAACCCATCGAAACTGTGATCGGTCAGTAATGTGCATCCAGAATGGGATGGATACTCACATGTCGTGATCATCAAGCGTAAGAACATAAGGAATCTGAGCAAAAGCTTCACGCAAATAAGGCTGATCGAAATGACTCGTGTAATAATGAAAATACGCATGAGTCACGTCTTCTTCGTGAGCTGCCGTCCAGACGGCATTCTTTCTGTTTTCTTTTCCGCTTGTCGCCAACCACTGCTTCAGAGAGGGAATCTCTTTCCACATTCTGTCGGCATAGATTTGACTTCCTAAGCCGAGCTGGCAGTGGAAGCCACCACATTCAGCATGCTTTTGCATAATGTCCTTCCACATAAATCCCACACCTCCTAGTCTTGCGCGTTCATTGGCACTGACATTCAACGAGAAGTCGTTACCGGACGTGGTAATGAAGCGCCAGTTCGCCTCGTGCTTCCCAGCAACTAAAAACTCGTAACGGGTGCAGCCAAGATGGGAGGTGATCGCATAGGTCCATTTCGCTGGCCCAGACTCGTCCATGAGAAGGTCGACATCGTATTTGTAGAAACTCCACCGTTGGTGGGTCGAAATATTGGCCGCTTTGAGCTGACGGGGATTTGGGGAGAGGTCAAGACTTTGGTGTATGTGAATGGTCGGTGGCTGAGGAGCATCTGTCACAAGAAGGATAGACCCGAACCAGATCCCTCTCTCAATATCCATATTGGCATATCGGAGATATGGACCAAAGTAGACACCATTGGTGGCCACGACCTTGTATATATCGATCCCACTACTTGGCGGTGGACCTGTGAATGCAGCGGGACTTGACATGCCCATAATACTCTGCTGATCGTAGCCTGGCGTCATAGGCAACCCCGGTGATGCCAGAGGCTTGTGCGCGAAAGACAGACCAGGGGACGCCAAAGGGTTTTGGTATACACTGGCAACTGGTGACAAGGGTGTCTCATTCAGATTGAGCGGTGTGGGACCTTTCGGGAATTCCCATTGAGTCGATTGTGTGGGAAGGTGGATATAGTAATACTGTCCTGAATTGGGATCCATATGGGCAATCCATCCCTCGGGGAGTGGGGGAGGAGATGCTGGAGGGATTTGTGACGGTGTCTGAGGCGTTGCGGTTTGTGCATGCTGTGCTTGACCATTGGCAAGTGGATGCGTCGTAGGGCTCTGTGTATTCTGCCGTGGATCATTTGCAAATGCTGGATGATCTGCTTGATTGGGCACTTGCGTGCCGGGCAGTGCGTTCGCTGTGGTGGCCGCCGCAGCTGCACCCACGAGTCCTGTTCCAACTGCTGGGGCTGCTGCGCCCACCACGCTCTGTCGCTGTTTCTCAGCCGGACGACCAGCATTTGCTCTGCCAGAAACCTGTGAATATGCAGGTGGTGGTTCTTCATGAGGTTGCAACCTAGCAATTTCATTCTCCATGGGATGTTGCGCTCGCGTCGGAGAGTGAACTGCCGCAGGTTGCGGTGCAGGGGCTGGTGAGGCCGTTTGCGCAGATGACTCTACAATTCCCATGCCCTGATAAATTGTGGGTGCTGGGTGCGCGCTGGTGCCTGGTGCCTCAGTCGGCGTCCATGGTCGTCTAGGTGGGTCATTTTGTGACTGTGCAGGGGCGGGTGCGGTAACACCATAATGTGCAGCCCTTTGTTGTGCAGCCAAACTTTGAGCCTGCAGGCTGTTCAATGTAGCTGTGCCAGCAATTCCAGACGCGGCATATCGAGCTTCAATGTCAGTCTGTGGTCGTAGTCCAGGGCCGACGACGGGTGTTTCAGGCGGAGGAGGTGAGCCCCTCGTAGCCCTGGTAGTGGATGTCGAAGCCGTGGAGCTTATGCGATTGATGGAGGACGGATCTCTGATCTTGAGCCTGTTCAGAGCGTCCACCGTGGACGAGGTTGAGGGAGGTGGCCAATATGTCTGCTGGTTCTGACCTTGTGTACCCGGTAATGGTGCTGTGAGAGGAGCATCACCACGTTGAGGGGGCCGTTGGAATAGACCTTCTTTATCCGGCGCATCTGGTCCCGGTGATTCTGGCAGAGGCTTAGGCACTGTGCCACGACGTTCTGCCAGGGTCTGGCCTGTCCGACCATCTCCTGATGTCCTCCCTTGTGCTTGGTGTCTTGTACCATTCGCATTTTGCTCTGGGGAAGCCACTCTCCTAACGTCTGGATAGGGATAGGGATTGGCTGCGAGGTTGCCGTTCGTCCGTGACGATTGCGATTGTTGCCTAGGCCTGTCGTCGGGGTATGGCAAAGAGGGCATGGGGTAGACTGTGGTACTTTGGGCTGGGTGTTGAGGAGCTGGGCTCTGTTTACCAGGTAATGAGGGAACGCTGGAGGATGCGCTGGAGGTCCTTTTGTTAATGCGCAGTGGTTCAATGATTGTAGGTGAGTCGCGGTCAGCCGGACGGTTCAGGAACATCTCGCCCTCGGGCATTCCTCGCTGCCCGGTGACACTCATCATGTCCTGTCCGTCTTTCGGCACCGTGGATCAATGGTCTTCGCTGGAAGGCTGTGATATGGTGGTAGCAGTGCCAGGCGGAATGCGGGGAACGTCAAGGAGGTGGTAGCTACCCAAACTCAGGCCATCTAAGACCACTGAAACAAATGGAAGTTCAAAGGCCTCAAGAAGGCCGCGGCACATACGAGACAGGCGCGAGAATGTGGTATGGCAAACAGGAGATGAATGGGATTGCGAGAAGGTAGGTAGTTATGTTTGCAAAGCTGTAAATGTGCCGCGTAGTCGGGTGTAATCTGGAAGGGAGAGCAAGGATTACTATCCTGCCAACAGAAGCGAGAGCGCAAGAGCACCTTGTCGTCTACACATGGCCTAGACAGGGGACTCTTCACCTGTACGATGCAGCTATCAGCTGTTCATCCATTCGCAAGTCGAGATGATGCTGTAGCCGCCTGGCCAAGCGCCCTCCCTCGACACGTTGCCCCACGTATCCGGGCGTCAATGTCGTCTTTATCCCATTGATTGGCTTACACAACTACCCACTTCCCGTCATCCATCAAGGGTTGAACGCCAGTATCCGGCACCGTCAGGGCTTCACCCTTTGGCATAGCGCAGTGGTGGGGATGTACTCGCAGCCGCCGCCAGTCGACAACTACGAGACAACACTCACAATCAGGATCATGATCACAGTAATCTTGAGTCTGTTAGGAGAGTGCGTGGAGGATACATTGTTGTAGAATTTGTTATGGGGGAGCTAGACCATGACTTCAAGGGATATAAGGAAAACTGCTAACTACTTAACCGGAACATACAACGTACACTTACCCTGGATTCCTGCGCAACAAAGTTCGATTGATGCCATATGTCCCAGAAACTCAAACAAAAGATGAATGTCAACCCATGAGAGAAACAAAGCACAAACGCATATCACCACCAATTACAACATCCAGGCCGTGCAACCGACAACAGTAACCAAAATTCCGGACAGGGCAAAAGCAAGTCTTCCGGCACCACCAGTGTACGTCGCCGCTCCTGGACCAGCGCCCATACTTCCAGTCCCAGCCCCAGTTGCAGCTCCAGCCGGGGAATTGTGCCAAGTGCCGTTGCTGTTACTCGTGCTGTTGCCTGACAAGCTTCCCATCCCAGCTGGAGAACTTGTACCGCCATTGCCAGAGACTAGATCGCCAGAGGTGTTGCCCGAAGTGCTGCCAGGAGTAGAGCCAGAGGTGCCCGCACTGCCCGAGGTACCTGCATTTCCTGAGCTGCCACCAGACGCAGCTGCAGGAGTGTCATTTGAGGTGTCACCAGAGGTATTTCCAGAAGTATTACCAGAGCTTCCACCAGAAGTATTGCCGGATTTATCACCTGACGTGTTACCCGGGGTGTTGCCTGAAGTATTACCTGAAGCACCACCCGACGCAGCAGCCGGACTCGAATCTGTTGCGGTGGGGCTGTTTCCGTTGACCTCCGGCGTGACAGAGGCATATGCACCTGTTGAACATGGAGTGGTGATGGTGACAGTTGTAGCTTCGCCATTTGCGCCACACGAGGCGCATGCGAGGGCGGTAGTTGTGAAGCCTGCTGGGATGGAAGACGGATTGCGAGTCTCACAAGGACATGCTTCAGTTATGGTGTAGGTAGCTTGCTCCATGCCCGTGCCAGTGGCGCAGGGCTGATCATAAACGGTAAGATATTCGTTGTAGACGCCGACCTCTCCATTGGGATATGTCGTGGTGAAAGAAAGGATTTCCCCTTCGCTGACAGGACCACTAGGTGGTGCAGTAATCTGTGGACCACCTCCATTGCAGTACGGTCCGGGACAATAAATGATCGTGCTTGACAATGTTGTAGTTGTGGTTACTGCAGTTGGACAAACAGAATAAGTGACAGTGGTCACACCGGAGTCTTGAGAGTTGTTGATGATCGTGGTGGAACTCTGGGCAGTAGCAGTAGTAACCAGCAATGCCGCTGTGAGCATGGCCTCGGTAGATCGCTTCATGTTGGCGGGTGGGTTGAGTTGACTGGAACGAAGCTGTGCAAGGTAGGTGATCGAATAGCAGAGGTTCAAAGGAATGACTGGAGAGCAGAAAGCACTTTCAAAAACGAGCGTACGAGTCTCAAAGCGAGCTGGATGAGGGAATCTGTAGGTACTTTGTGGCCAACCATGAGATTTACCTTGATATAATAACCGTGCAAAAGCCAAGATCCACATAACGGTTCACTGGAATGCATAACACACCACCACAACAACCAACTGACTTGGGTATAGAGCTTCTGTTGGGAATGCATGCACGCTCCAGCACATACTTCGAGGCTGCCATTGAGAGCCAAGCCAGAGCGGATTCGGCATATGACTGGTGGGAGAAATACTCGTTCTCAGAACAGAGGGCCGAGCTGCAACGAGGCTTGGACGTTGCTAGTCGACAATCTCCAGAGCTCAGACGCACTGCGAATTCCTATTTCCGGAGGCGACTCTCGATACATCAAAAGAATGTTTCCCTCAAAATCGACATTTCAGACTCATCGCCCTCACTGAAGAAGACTCAACGAGAAGGAAACTTCCTAGAAGGGAAATGAAACTCTCTCTCCAGAGCCATCGAGTTCGGAGAACTCATGGCAACACATCGCTGTAGGTGAAAGACGTAACGACGGTCGTGGCTGGCTCTGTTACTTTTTGATGAAGAGAAAAAAAAAGAAAAGCTGGAAGCTTTGGGAAGCGAAGTTGATTTTTGACGAGAGGTGGCACCCGCCAAGACAGCCAGAAAGTATCACGTGATTTACTCTTTTACCTCGTCTTGCTCAACATAGACTCGGCTTGATCATTGACACTCGTCTACTCGGTACCGACATGTACTCTTGTAGGTTACAGGCATACGGTCTTAATCCTTCCTGCGAAGTGGCACCTCGAACACCATCGCGCCATTCTTTCCACGGGGCAGCTTCATCCACCTGCCGAGCCGCATTTCTTTTCCTGTACCTGCCACAATGCAGATACCTTGACATTCACCCTCTTTCTTGCCGCCAAATTCGCTTGTAATCTCTTTCCTCCTTTCAAAGACAGCTAAGGAGTTGATGAAGCCGTTAACAACCCCTGTCGGCACATCGATGCCTGCAGAAACTGCTGGCCCTGACGACGTGCTCGAAGGTGTCGACTCTGCTTCCTCTTGCCCTTTACTGTCACTGTCATCCTCATCAATCTTTCCGACCGTTCCGAACGGTAGCAACGACCTCTTGTCGTCACTAAGCTTCCATACTCGGATCCACCCATCCCAACTGCCACTCAGGACGATATCTGTCCCAGGCACGGCAGCCAGAGACGTGATAGCTCGAGGCACTGGCTTTCGATAGTCGTCCTTCTTCAATTCCTCGATTACTCTTGGGTCCGATTCAGATGTCACCTCTTCGAGTGGGGGTGGTTCGTCCACGCCGTGGGCTGTCTGTATTGTGAACATCGCCTTCTTCTTGTGGACACTCCATAGGCTGATTGTTCCAGAGTCCGACCCAGTGACAAAACTGTTTGGCGGGAGGGCTGCCACACAATCTAGACTGCCCGTCTGGTATTCGTCATTTCTTGAACTGTCGCCCAAGAACCTGGTGAGGGACTCCTCCACCACCTTCCACCACAGCGCTTTCCGGTCTCGAGCACCAACTGTCACACATTGGTCCACTGACACCGGGGAGATACCTACAATGTGATCTTGATGACCAAAGAGAGTCTCAACATATGCTAGACTGTCCTCTCCAGCAAGGCTGTACGTTTTCAGAGACCGGTCCATACTTGCGCTGAAAAGTTGTGCCCCAAATCCGGACTCCGTATTCGAAGAGGGCGCAAAAGCCAGACCGGTAACTCCATCTCTATGTGTTGTGAAAGTCTTCAAAGGCCGTAGATCTTCGGCGGACCAGACGATGAGCTTCTTGTCCGCTCCTCCGGTAGCCACATATTTCCCGTCTGGCGAGGCTGCCACGCTCAGGATTGCTCCGGTGTGTCCATGTTGCTGAGGTGCCAATGCTCTTATCTGGATGCCTCGTACATACTTGAGCTGCTTCGGGCGTCGTCGTCTCGGTGCTGTGGCGTCGTCCCCACCGATCGCTGGTTTTTGTAATTGCCATTTTATCAAAGTTTTGTCCCTGCTCACAGTGTATGCATAAGGTTGGCAAACAGCGACGCCAGTCGTGCTCTGTGTATCAGCTTTGAACGTGCTGTGTGTGGCGTTGGTAAAGTCCAGATTTGTGGCAATTTGTCTGAACTGCCGGCCCTTTGCCTCGTCCGCATCCTCCTTTAGTCTCTGTGCGATCAAGTCTTTATCAAGATCTTCCGCGTCAAAGCCGACCTCGTCTACCTCATGTCTGATGTTGTCAAGGTAGCGTTGCGCAAGTCGTACTCTTCGCTCCGCGGCCGTCTCGCCTTCTTCAGACGTGGCTTCAGACTCATCGCCAGTCTCAGGCTCTATCTCCTCTTCCGAATCGCTTCCGGAGATCGACTCGTCCCTTTCTGTCTCTCGAGGACGTGGTTCGTTGCGCTGAGACCGCTGCACCCGTCCGTCTCGCGCCTCAGTTCCGTCCGCCTCCCGTCTTTTTCTAGGCTTGCCTGGGGTCTCTGTCGGCCGCTTACGTTTCCTCTGTGAGGCAGGAACGGTGAAGAAGGAAGACATCTCGTATGAGAATGAGACACCGGGGCAAGAGCAATCTCGCCTCGCTCGTTGTAGGGTGATATACGCAAGTTGGAGAACTCGCACCCAAATTTTTTTGAATGCCAGCGGACGACGCAGCCTTGTTTAGCCGATGAACCGCCAAACCTTCCTGCTTTCACCACCTATGAATTGAAGGCAGCTTTCGCGTGCGTGTCGGGCTCCAGACTACAGCAACATACAATTCATTTGAAGCTCGAGACCAACTCTAACCCCTCCTCGTTCTTCTCATCATCCATATCGGCACGCTGTCAACATGTAAGCCTCCGCCGATTTATGCAATACCAGGTTTCGAACTGACACACATCTACAGGGAAGTCCTTCTAGGCCTCACCGGCCGTGATTTCACCATCATCGCAGCCTCCAAAGCAGCCATGCGCGGCGCCACGATACTCAAAACCTCCGACGACAAGACGAGACAGCTCAACAAGCACACCCTCCTCGCATTTTCAGGAGAAGCAGGTGACACGATCCAATTTGCCGAGTACATTCAAGCCAACATTGCCCTCTACACGATGCGAAATGAGACGGATCTGGGCCCGAGCGCCGTCGCAAGCTTCGTCCGGAGCGAACTCGCCAGGAGTCTACGAAGCAGAAAGCCATACAACGTCAACTTGTTACTGGGTGGCATGGATCCGATCACCAAGCAGCCAAGTCTATACTGGCTGGACTACCTTGCCAGCAGCGCAAAGGTGCCATATGCTGCTCATGGTTATGCTCAGTAAGTGCAGCGGAGTTGCGAGAAAAAGACGTACTAATCGCCCATCAGGTACTACTGTCTCTCGATCCTAGATAAACATCATCACCCAGACATCTCGTTCGAACAAGGCATGAAGATTCTCCGCATGTGCACAGACGAATTACAACGACGATTACCTATTGACTTCAAGGGGATGACAGTCAAGGTGGTGAAGAAGGACGGCATCATTGACATGGAGTACGACACCAGCAAACAAGTGATGGCGGCTTAGATCGGGTCTGGAAAGGAGGAAAAGAACTTCACATCCGTACACTTGCATAGCGTGGGCGCATATTAGGTTGTCTCGAATCAAATGGGTATCAATTGTGGGATAAATACATGATGATGTCCGTGGATCTGCGTTCAAAGTCTTCCTGTCTTTCGCCCAGCATCCAATGCCCAGCAGCCATGGATGGTGCTTGAGTTGATCAGCGCCCCGAGTATTCTCAACAGAAACATGCCCAGCAGGCATGATGATCGAAGTCGCCAAAGCACGCCAGATATCAGTAAGCCCTATTGCCTCCGCCAACGGGTATACGTCTGCCATAAGGAGGTCTCTCGTAGCCATTCACGTGCTGACGCCCTCGACTTTGATTCCTTGCTTCATCCGAATAAGGGTGCCAGGTCGATCCCCGGGCTCGGTGAGTATGTGATTGGAAGCCAGCATTGCCTCGTCTAGCACGTTGACTTTGCAAATGCTGCATCCGTCGAGCCGAAGAGTGTGGAGGCCGAATATCTGATTCATCCGATCCCGATCCTTCTTCATCGTTCGAACCATTGCCATTAGCACCATCTGCGTTGTCTTCATCCTCCTGATCCTCGTCATCGTCCGAGGCCACGTTATCCCCAACTTCACTATACTCCTCCTCTGATTGCGGTTCTTGCGGCGTCGTTCCCTCCGTCTGTGCTTCGTCATCCACTTCTTCGTCTTCATCGTCGCTGATGACTCTGTTAACGCGTCGGGCAGGCCGGATCGGGGGGTCATGTTCTGAGGGCTGTGAGGCATTGTCGTAGTTGGTGTTGACATCAGAAGCATCGTCGTACGGAGTGGCTTCGCGATTGGAAGCAGAGTTGTCGTTATCTGCGTCATCGTCCGGATCATCATAGTCAGTGGTGTAATCTTCACTAGCAACTGAGGCAGGTTGATGTTGATTGCGAGCTGCTTGTATTGCTCGATGGTGAAGAGCGGCTATTACCACTTGAGGGTGGTAGCCTGTCATCGTCGCCTCACTATTGGCGTCTTCGTCTTCGTCCCCTTCGCCAGACCTCCCGTCGTCAATGAAACTCTCCATGTCATCGTCGTCGTCATCGTAATCGTCGCCATAATCGTTTCCGTAAGGATCAGGCTCCGATTCTAGACCATCGAGCTCGGGCGATCTCGATCCATCGTAGATGGTGTTGCGATCGTACATGCTGTTGCGAAAAGCGTAGTCAACGTCATCGGCATCATTGTCAAGGTCGTCATCAAGAGTGTGTATGCTCTGCGATACACCAGAGTCCTCGCCAGAGTCGTAGTCACTATCTCCCGGCTCGTATTCATGGAAACCACACTGTAGGCATTCTCCATCTTCCAACTCCCAGTGACACTCAGGGCAACGCAGCACGTTGTCTTCCTGGTCTAGTATTCCCTGACCCCAGTGAAGCAGCAAAGGCCGGTGTGCTCGCACAAACGCTCCCTTGAACAGCCCAGCACCAGTACGATCTGCCGCTAGCATCACAGCCTCATCCTCTTTTGCTTGTTGGTGTTCCTGCACAGTCTCATCCTCTGGAAGAAGCTCTGCTCGATTAATGAACATGTGCACCAAGTCCCGAAGGAGGTAGTTCGGCGACGGCTGCACTGTGACCTCAGCCCTGCAATCAGGACAATTTTTCTTCTTTTTCCTGTTCTGCGCGCCACCGAACCAGCTGGCAAGACATGAGTAACAGTATGTGTGACCGCATCCTAGTATGAAGGGTTCGTAGAAAGGTTTGATGCAGATTTTGCATAGCGACAGATTTCGCATGTCCTCGATGTGCTTCTGAAATGTTGCAAGGAGCGCGATATCTGTGCCCGCACCCGCGGCCACAGGCGTTGCTGTTTCCGTTGACATGGTAGAGACCAAGTCGAGAAAAGGTCGTCGTTAAATGAGTTGTCGAGTATGTGAAAACGTCGACTGACGGCGACACGCCAGGTGTCCAACCGCAGGAATGATGCTGTCAGTGAGGCGAAACTGAGATTCACAATCAGATCTCTGGTTTTATCTGGGGCGCGTTTGGTTTGACATTCTGGTAGACTAGCAGACGGCAATTGGGCAGCGCTCCGCCGTAACTCCGACACGGTGAAGCACAACTACATCATCAAAAAAATCCCATGTCATTGCTAAATATTTACCTGTGCCATTGTTCAAAGGCAGGCTATCCTCAGCAGCCATGTCGAAGGCGATCTCATTTGGCTTCGGCAAACAGAAACCTGCCGGGAATGCCAAAGGCGTCCCTCCGCCTTCTCGAAAATCTGCGACTGGTCCATCACGGACAGCGCTTCGCCATGATTCCGACGACGAAGACGAAGAAGAGCCTAGGCACGAGTCAGTCGCTGGATTCACGTCAAGTGGTGCTATTCTAAGTCAACCCGTACAGGAAACGAAAGAACTAGTCATCAAAAACTTGGGCAATGGCGACTGGCGAACACGAGGGCGCAAAAATCTGCTTCCTGCAGAAGTCCAAGCACAACAGCAGGGTAATGGTGTGGTCATGGTTGAGCGGAATGAAGTCAGCACAGCAAGCGGCCTCCAGATGGCCGAGAAGAGCGACAATATGGAGGCACCGGCGACGAATGGCGACCAAGAGGCGACACACACTGGCACCAATATACACGCGCCACCAAAAGAGTTGACCGCTGATGAAGAGGCCTTAGCTGCGCTCCTGGACGACGGAACGGGGAAGCCAAACTCAAATGCCATCATAAGCACGCTAGGAAACGTGCGACTCACCGGTCGAGATGAGATGGAAGATTTCAGAGACGATGTGGCATCGAGGCCTGAGTCGAGTACGTTGGAAGACTACGCCGCCATGCCTGTAGAAGAGTTCGGAATGGCAATGCTCAGAGGCATGGGTCAGAAGCGACGTGCGAATGGTGAGCTCATCGCCCTCGATCGTAAGGCCGACGACAATCCTCGAAAGGTGCGCAAGCAGGAGGGCTTCCTTGGGATTGGCGCGAAGAACGTGCCAGGAGCGGGTGCCGAGCTCGGTGCTTGGGGCAAGGCGGACATGCGGAAAAACAACAAAGGGGAAGGCTTCTTCACGCCACTTATGCGTGAAAATAAGGCCACTGGCGAGAGGATATCTGAAGACGAATTTCAGAAGAGGATCAAAGAGTCTAAAGGCCAGAGCCGGACGAATGAGAAAGAGGAAGATTGGAAGGAGCGACGAGACCGTAATTTGGAGCGAAGTGGAAGGGATGCGGACCGCGACCGCAACGGCAATCGAGATCAAAAGTTGCTGAAGAATGGAGATGAGGGCTACAAAGAGCAGATGAACTCATTCTCCCGGTCGAGCACCTCGAAACGAGACGATGGAGATCATTCTCGTTCAAGACGAGACAGAGACGACAGAGACTACGACAGCTCCAGGTCAAGACACGACGAAGACAGATCAAAAGATCGAGGGCGACGGGATGACGACGATCGTCCTCGAGAAAAGCACCGTGACCGCCACCGAGATGATGACCGGTACGACTCATCCTCCTCACACCGCAGTCACCGAGATCGTGATAGGGATAGGGATAGGGATAGGGATAGGAATCGAGATCGAGACAGAGACAGCGACCGCCGCCACCGAGACAGAAGATGAGGCAGCCGTGACACAAAGCCCGGCCCAATATCATGATATTCTCCTGCTCCCTTCATAACATTACAAAGTCCTCTTCATCCCCGTTATCATGCCCATTAGCCAGTATCCCGTCGAAACCGGCGGAAATACCCGAAATTTCATCCATCTCTCGTAAAGTGTACTCAATCAAGTAACTCTCGTCCACCAGCTCTTCCATTCTTTTATAGTGGCGCTCAGTATACACTTCGAGCGCCCTCAGCAGTTCTTTCATACCTTTCCCACTGGCGCCGAGCTTGCGCTCCTTGGCCATATCCACAAACATGCTCGCCGGATAACTTCTGAACAGACAGTTTAGGACTGTTTGCGCGACGGTCGCGGTTCGAGCATTCGTGTTCCAATCGCGCACGCGCTCCAGCAGCGTGAAGATCTGCTGATGGTCGAGGGAGGCGAGGACTTGGTCAACGGCCCTGACGCCCATTACGCTGGACGTTTCTTTCTCGGCGTCAGGGAGATTGACCACGTCTTCGAACACACGGAGAAGGCGACCCGGGTGGTTCAACGCCAGAGACAGCGTGATGGCTTCGCGGTAATTCTTGGCGAAAATGTGGTTTTGGAGCTGTTGGTCTTGCTCGATGCGTTCGGTCGCGCGCTTGGAGGCGAGTGTGGCGGTTTGGACGGTGGTGTCACGCCAGAATGTTAGGGTCGCGTCGGCAGCGCCGGATATTAATGGATAGGGATAGGCTGCGTGGGATTTGGATGGAGTCTGCGAGTACGAATTGGGTGCTGCGAGGGCCCAAACCCGGTCAGTGTGGTTGTCGAGCGTGGCGAGGAGGTGGTCCGAGTCTGTGCCGGAATAGGCTGACCAGAGCTTGACGAGTGTGTCGGAGGACGCTGATGCTATCAAGGGTTGGTTTGTTTGAGATTGACGGCTTTCAGTCTCCGTGTCGGATTCTGAGGGTGAATTGCTGGGCGGGATCCAGATGACTTTCAGGACAGAGTTGCTGTGGCCTTCGAAGGTTTGTAGACAGGTGTATGTCGCTAAGGACCAAACCTTGACTGTGCGATCGCCTGAGCCACTGACTAGCAGGCCACGGGAGCCGCTCGAGCCCCCGTCTGGAAGAGCGAGTGGAGGTGTGCCCGCCGGGGAGAAGCGGATAGACCATACGCCTCGTTTGTGGCCACGAAGAATACCAGCGACTGAGCCATCTTCAAGCGACCAGATCTTGATGGTACGGTCTTGGGAGGCCGACGCGAAGAGAGGAGCGATTGGAGATACGTCGATTGCGTTGATGTCCTTCTCATGTGCCACTCTCGTAAACAAGGCTTTGACGCCAGAATGAGGTTCTGCCATGGACTTGCTGTACTTCAACCTGGCCGTCTCCCACCGTTTCACGGTCTTATCTTGCGAACCAGTCAGCAGAAATGCAGGTGCATAGTCTGCAGGTTTCTTCGCTGCAAGCCCGTCATCTGGAGGACTTCTCGGCAAGGCTATCGCACCGAGCGATTCTGCATGTCCTGCGAAGACGGCGAAACATTTGTAGGTGGACGAAGCTGGGTCCAATCGCCATAATCTGGCGGTGTTGTCCTTTGCACCGGTTGCCAACCAGTACCCTGACCAGTCAACATCCAAACATATTATGATCTCTTCGTGTCCTTCTAGAAGGGCAACATCATTTCCAAATGGGGTCGTTTCTGAAGACTTAGACCCATCTTTGCTATCATCATTGATCGAAATCAACCTGATACTTTCGGTATTCGTGGCGAGAGCCAGTAATGTTCTGCCAGGGCCGACGCAAGCCATGTCGATAACTTCATCGTAGTTACCAGATATCGTACGGAGGAGAGGTAGTTCTATCGACTTGTTGTCGGCCAAATCCCACAGCCCCGAAAGGCTTCGCTCCCTCATCGTCTGATCCTGATGTATCGAGAGAAGAGTATTGCCCTCGGTAATATGGACGATGGCTGTAATCGCATCGTTCTCGAGTCCGGACTTTTGCTTGGTCGTGACTTCACGCCCCTGAAGAGCATCCCATATCCGCACCACGCCATGTTCTCCTCCCGCATAGCAATACTGACTGTCCCCGATAAAGCCTGCCGTTTCTAGCACTTCCAAGGCCGGAATGACTTTCTGTTGTTTCCAGCTTTGCGTGTCCCATAGGATCAGTGTTCGATCACGATTGGCAGACAGCAAAAGCTGTTGCTGCTCTGAGAACTCTAGACTGCGGACCACGCTGACATGTGAATCAAGGGTGGCGATCGAGTTTCGGGAAGCCAAATTCCACACTCTGATCTTGCCGTCTTCACCGCCAGATGCTAGACAGATTGACGGACCTGCAGACGTCTCTTCCACTTCCGTCTGCTCAGCATTGCGAATCTTCCGTTTTCGACTCGAATTTGCGGCCACTTGGCTGGATGCATTCCCTGATTTTGTCGAGAAAAACTTCAACGCTGACACGACGCCTCCATGTCCATGGAAAGTGTGCGATACATAGCCTCCTCTGACGTCCCACACTTTCACAGTCCCATCCGCGCCTCCGGTCGCTAACATCGAGCCAGTACTGTCGATGGCCGAGCAGACAACTGGGGTACTGTGCGGCTTTAGAGTACGCAGTAGATTCGAAGTAAGCGTGGCAGAATCCTCTTCGGTGTTGATCGAGTATATTCGAAGTGAAAGTGATCGAGAACAAATGACTAAAGAGGATGCATCTGGGGCCAGGGATAAACTTGTCACAGCTTCACCGTCGCCCTCTATCCGACACAGGACCTTCCCGGTTTTGACCCTAACGACTAAGACATCTTCTTCGACAGATGTTGCGATCAAGGTGCCATTCGCGTTGTGAGAAATGTCGCCTCCCGTGTAAATTGGTTCGATTGTCCTAGCAGCCTCGAAGGTCGTTTTGAAGTTGACCTTGGTGGCCATTTGGCTATGGATTGAGACTCGATCTATGACTCTGCCATCGGTTTGGGCAATGAGTTATGATTCAGAATTTCTATGTCGGTACTTGACGGTGGTCGCCGCCATAGTAAAAAAATTCTGGACATCGGGGTAGACAACATGCTGTATCCCGATTGGCGGAGCGCTGAATTTCTCCGATCCAATCTTGGCACATTTCATCTTCAGCCTTGTCGACATCTTTACTGTGTCCGTCTCGTTCCTTCCTGAATCACCCCATCTCATATCACGAAGCCTGGACATTCTTCCGTGCTTCCTGCATGCAACTTCGGCAGTGTAGTCTTCCATCGTGTGTGAGCATATGTGGTATTTTCGGAGAAGATGAGACCAGGTGGGGGAGTCACTCATAGGCGCATGCATAGCCTCGCTGTTTGATGGTCGATCGATGGGTCGCCAATCTCATCTTGCCCGGCTGGCGCTGGTAAGCTGGCTCACCCTCGATTATTCATGAGAGCATTTCCCATGCTTGCCATGCGATGTTCATTCAGAAGTCGTACTAGTACTGATGCGAATGTTCAGGGCAGGTCACCGTTCGATGCACCACTTCAAGACGAGAATGGAGAGTTCTTTATGGGACCAAATGCCCAACATGGCACTGCACGAGGTTATGTGCAGCAATTTGACTCTCGTGGTCATCCGCAGAACCTGGAGTCTGAAGCTGCAAGACGAAGGCTAATCCGTGCACAAAACGATGCACTATCCACGGTCGGCGTCGTCGTACGAAAGGCCAAAAAGGATCGCACTAGCTGGCAGAGGATGAATGAGAAGCAAAAGGTCCAAGTTCTGTTTGACGAGAACAATGCAGGGGCAAGATTCGCCCTTGTGGAGACGCTTCTTCATAATCTTTCCACTCGATGGATAGCGACCTTGAGGCACCGAATACTTGTAAGTCGGGACTTTCAGGAAGTGGCTGATCCTAACGTACACAGACCTACAAATCGTACGTTGGCCTTTCAGTTCCTCAGATAGTCGCCACAGAATGGAAGGTCGTCGGCCCCAGGGCGTTCTTCCTTGCTGGTCTCCCTTCTGGAATGATTGCAGGGGTCAGTCAGTCAATGAGGGATGACGCATTGAACGACGAGTACTATGCAAACCTACTGCGGCCTGCCGGAATATTTCACCCAGCTAGCATTGCCAGATTGATTCGTACTCATTGGTGAGGTCATTCCGGTCGAAAGCTGGTGTAATGAGCTAATGTATTCTTGAGCCTTCGTATCCTCTGGTACGCGATCGAATACCCTTTCTATGCTTCTGCAGTACTACAATCTCTGTACATCCTACCAAGTCATGCTGTCCCGCATCCTCTCGCCTTGATCCCGTTCAGTGGTAGATCACTTATCCGGCTTCCTCACCCACTTTCACGTAACTCCTCACCTTCATTGCTGGCGTACGCCGCCAGGCTATTGTTCACCCCTTTTGTACTCGCCTATATAAGAGACCAGATGGGACAATATCTGTTTATGCCTATCTACACACTGGTTGTTGACCACGTTGTTCGACCCTTTCGGCCCGACCGACTATCCCTTCAAGGCGCAAATGTCCATTCCACGAATGAGATCACAAAGCACCGGCATCTTGACACGAGACTGGAGCTTCGCCAATACGAGCCGTCCACATGGGTGGAGACTTTCGGGGCCTTTTTTCCGGCAATGTCCTGGTTGTGGCAGAAAATGTTGCAAACACAGGGCGCTTCCTTTGCGATCGAGCTCACTCCGAAGATCAAAGAGGACTTGTATCTGAGGAGCTGTCATTACTACCAAGACCTCGTCCGTCGCGATCGAGAATTGCCTTCCAGTCCCAGACGTGAACCTGAAGAGCTGCGCGGCATGGCCATTCGTGCCGCCTTCACCGACTTCAACCTTGACCCAGACCGGGCCATGGGTTATATAACCGAGATGGAAGACGACATGGGTATATCGGGCAGCGATGCATCGACTTCAACGCCAGAGCCAGAAGAAGCACTTCTCAGCATGTTTATGGAAGATTCGAGGCATGAAGACATCGTTCGAGACCGACTGGCGGATGAAAGACAACCAGACATTGAAGCGAGACACCCACAGTCCTCACCAGACATGACCACCGAAGAGAGTCAGCCACGTGTGGATGATCAGGGAGAGACTTTCACAGAGATTCGTCGAGCTGATTCAGGGCACGACACACCTTCGACGGGGCCCATTGCCCAACCTGCTGTGCCTCTGGAGACTTTACTGGAACCTGTATCATCAAGCACGGAAGAAAACACGTGGGGTCGTCCGTCAACCCCGATACCAGGTCGTCTCGAGTCGGACTACGCTTTATCGATCCCGTCTAGTCCCTCCGACATTCCGATACCTGGCATATCACGAGCTGCCAGCTTAGCAACCACGCCCTTGAGACCGGTGCGACGGCCTACCGATATCAATGAAGATGATCGCCCATGGAGAGATGATTTGTTTTATCATCCACGCCCAGAGAAACGTGTACGGCATGAAGATCGCGGGACGTATCGGGTTACTCTGCTATCGAATTTTCCGGCGGATACACTCGCTCATGGCGTTGCATCCGTCGTCACTTCCACTCTGCTGCTGCCCATCGACATACTCTTTTTACGATCTCTCGTAGAGAACTTTCTACGGCAGCCTCCTCTTGGAGTTCATACTACACACACATCGATATTACTCGGTGAGCCGTGGCCGTTAGGGTTCTTCTTTCAAACGGAACATGGATCTCGATGGCTTCAAACACTGGGGAATTGGTCCATCACACTTGCGATGCAGAGCTTGGTAAAGATTCTGATGTGGAGGGCTAGCACTCAATGCGTACTGTACCTAGGGCGTCGATTCGGCTGGGGCAAGATCTGAGAGGAGGTAGCAGTGATACCGACAGATGCATGTTTTTGGTGTTACTTGACATTAGCGATGCACTAGAGCACTATTGTAATAATAAATATCGCCAGGCGAATTTATCTTGTCAATAATATCGTTACCCTACTGGCATGCTGCAGCCTTGCAGGAGCACATCCCGCCAATAACGTTTTGCGAGGCTGAACTTCCTCCGCCTGATTTGCATTGTTTGCTCTTCTGCCCGCAGCCATAATTTTTCCCAGGCCCACCAGTCACTGAGCACAACAGAGCACAACTCTACCCATCATGGCGAAGCGCAAACCTGAGGAGTCGCTAGAGAGCGTTGCCGCCGAAACCTCTCCGCTGAGCAAAAAGGTGCGCGTTGAACATGTCCCGGACGAAGATCTACGGAGCGCAAGTGTTGTTTCCACGAATGGCACCCATCACAACGCCGCTACGCCTGATGCCCCAGGCGAATTTCGGGACGGCAACGGTGAACATGAAGAGGAGGAAGCGGAATCAGATGTCGAGGATGACAGGTTTCCCGTTGCGCCGTTGCGGCAGAGCGCTCCTACCGAAGGGTATAGCGACCTTTACCTTGACACGATAAATCGATCATTACTCGACTTCGACTTTGAGAAGTTATGCTCGGTCACACTGTCAAATATCAACGTCTACGCATGCTTAGTGTGCGGTAAATATTTTCAGGGAAGAGGTCCAAGATCGCACGCATATTTCCACGCGCTTGAGGTCGATCACCATGTCTACATCAACATGGAAACGAAGAAGGTCTATGTACTCCCCGAGGGGTATGAAGTACATAACAAGAGCCTGGATGATATCAAATATGTGGTAGATCCCAAGTTTACTGAAGAGGAAGTACGGAAACTGGATAAGGAGCCGCGGATATCGATAGACCTGTCGAACAAGAGATATCGGCCTGGTTTTGTCGGAATGAACAACATCAAAGCCAACGACTATCTCAATGTGGTCGTGCAAACGTTGGCGCATGTGTCGCCTGTGAGAAATTTCTTCCTTCTCAACCAGTTCTCGCAAACCACGCCTCAGCTGCCCGTCAGGTTCAGTACACTGGTACGGAAAATATGGAATTCGAAAGCATTTCGAAATCACGTTTCACCACATGAGCTTTTGCAAGAGATTGCATTACGTTCGTCCAAAAAGTACTCTTTGACACAGCAGTCGGATCCGGTGGAGTTCCTGTCTTGGTTCCTCAACAATCTACACCTAACGCTTGGGGGTTCGAAGACGAAGTCCCTGTCGTCGATAATTCAGAGGACGTTTCAAGGAAAGCTGCGAGTCGAATCGCAGGCAATCACCGCCAAATCTGACGCCACTGGCGACCGACTCAGGTTCCAAGAATCGTCCAACATTGCAACAAACGTCACGCCTTACTTGATTCTCACCCTTGACCTACCACCGGTGCCACTATTCCGTGACGCTGTCGAGTCCAAGAACATCATCCCACAGGTCCCACTTGGCACTTTGCTGCAGAAGTACAACGGCATTACTGCTTCTGAGAGGCAAGCCCACCGTGTCCGTCATCGACTACTACATCCGCTACCTCAATACCTCTTGTTCCACATTAAGAGGTTCAGCGTCAACAAGTTTGTGTCGGAAAGAAATCCGACTATCGTAACGTTTGGCTCAGGCCGCGGACTGGACATGTCGCCTTACGTAGAGCCAAACCCAGCTCTTCACCCACCAGGTGAACCCATCATGTATGAAATGGTGGCGAACATCATCCTGGACACCACGTCTGTGGCGACAGGTGGCGGTGAAGACTCTAATGCTGCTGATGCAGCAAATAAAGCTGTAGGTGCCGACGCCCAGAAGGTAGCATGGAAGGTGCAACTCCGGGACAAAGCTGTTTCGAATTCAAAACGAACTGATCTGCCGGAGTGGATGGAGATCCAAGATCTTTGGGTCGAACGAGCGGAAGCCGAAACGCTGTTCACCAGGGAAGGTTATCTGATGGTCTGGGAGCGACGAAAAGCAAAGCCTCAATCCAATGGAGTTGAGAAAGGCAAAGGCAAAGCATAGTGTAGATCTAGCAGCAATGCAGTGTATCGTCACGTTCAGTGTTGTGGTTCTGTGTCGTAGTTTTTCCGACCATCGCCATGTGTGGTGTTGATGCCGGAGATGTCCCCAATCTGTGGACATTGCCGGCGTTCAGCGATCTATTCGACCACATCAAATAGCCTGAAATATAATAGAATATCCTGCATGCACCAAGCTATCAATTTTATGGCTTGCCATCCTTCTTGAGGCTCTCCCAAAGAGGACCACCTAGCGATCATCAGCATGAAGCTACTTTGGTGCGCCGTAGCAGCGCTGGCATCGAGATGCGCATCCGAAGCATTGCACCTTCAGCAAACAGTCTTGGATCCAGCCCCAATTCCAGCTGCATCGGGTCAGGACCAGCTATCCGACGTGATTGCCGCATCGCCTCTACTTTCACTTCACAGAGCTATATGCGAACTTGAGTCAGTCACGGATGATGAATTGGCAGTCGGCAAGCTCGTCATTTCTATCCTGGAAGCTCACAACTTTACCGTCAAGACTCAGAGCGTGCCACTTCCAGGCGCGAACAACAGTACGAAAGACCGGCTCAATATCTACGCTTATCCAGACGCTTCCAAGTATGACAACGCACGAATTGAGAGCATCCCGAAGCCAAAAGTGCTCTTGAGCTCGCACATCGACACCGTTCCGCCGCACATCCCGTATGCACTGTCGCAACCCAAGAAATCGTCATCGCGTAAGGACATTTTGATCTCGGGTCGTGGCACAGTCGATGATAAAGCTTGTGTGGCTGTCCAAATTCAAGCTCTTCTGGATTTGCTTGAGGACCCTGACACCAAGTTCGACCCCTCTGAGGTAGCATTGCTGTTTGTGGTCGGCGAAGAATCTCGCGGCGATGGCATGAAGCATTTTTCCAACTCGAAGCTGTACAACGAAACCAAGGCAGACTACAAGGCGATCTTATTTGGTGAGCCTACGGAAGGAAAGCTCGCTACAGGTCACAAGGGTATTACGATGGTTTCTATCAAGGCGCACGGCAAGGCAGCGCATTCTGGATACCCATGGCTTGGTCGCAGCGCGAACAGCATGATTTTACCTGCACTGGTCGTACTGGACGGTCTAGGCGACATCCCAGAGGACGTGGGCGGGTTGCCACGCAGCAAGAAATATGGCAGGAGTACAGTCAACGTCGGTTTGATGCAGGGCGGTGTGGCAGGGAATGTCGTCCCGGAGTATGCTTCGGCGGATGTGACGTTCAGATTAGCGGGTGGAACGATCGAGGAAGTCAAGGAGCTTGTGACAGAGGCAATCCGCGAAGTAGATCTAGATGGGCTGTTGGAATTGGAATTTGCCCAAGGATATGGCCCAATTTCGCTGGACGCGGACGTTGATGGATTCGACACGATCACAGTGAATTACGGGACAGATATACCCAATTTGAAGGTTGCGAAGGGCGTGAAGAGATATCTGTATGGACCGGGCAGTATATTAGTGGCACATGGCAGAAATGAGGGATTGACGGTGGGCGATCTGGAGGATGCGCTGGAGGGGTACAAGAAGTTGGTGTTGCACGCATTGAAGTTGTGAGTGATATCAATCACCGGCTCTGTAGCGCCCCAAATAGACCCAAGACAAAGTGGTAGGGGGAAAAATTACTCAGGTACAGTGATAGCTACCTGGTAGAAGACAAAGTGAGTGCAATAGATGAGACGCGGAAGTTGAAGTGACGGATATCGGACAGAGCCACCCATGATGCCAAGACCGTTGATGGCGCTTTCCCTTTTTCGGCGGCCCGCTAGACCTTCCCGCACATTTTCACCGCGGCTTGGCAGAGATTTGCTTCGAGAGGGAAACTGCGGCTTTTTTGCAACCAACTCATCAACGACAAGCCAATTTACCACCGAAGTTCTTGTCGCCAACAGTCATTTAAGATGGCCAAGGAAGCGACTGAGAAGTCCGGCATCGCCGCCGGCTTGAACAAAGGCCATGTGAGTCGCAACTCGAAACCCACGACTTCGCCTGAAGATGTTGGACGGACTGAGATCGACCCGCGAAACTACTTCTTCTTCATCAGAGCATTGTCGAGGAAGATCTCATCCTCTACAGTTTCACAGCGCCTGTCTGTGTCGGAGTTATGAGGAACCATACTAATTGGATCATCTCAACAACAGAAAGTCACACCCATCACACCCAAACCTCGCATCAGCCGCCGAAAGGGTCTCCAGAGCAAGCGCACCGCCTTCGTCCGCGAGATCGTCAGAGAAGTCGCCGGTCTTGCTCCTTACGAACGCCGTGTCATCGAATTGTTGAGAAACAGCAAGGACAAGCGTGCGAGAAAGCTGGCAAAGAAGCGGGTACGTTTGCTTTCCCTGTGCACATACACTCCGACATCCATGGCTGGGAAAGTTTTCAACATCTGCGAACGACATTCCCTCGAAAGAAAAAAAACAGCTCTTACACCACTCCCGATCTTACGACTATTTACTAACATACTTTCTGTGTAGCTCGGTACCCTTGGCCGTGCGAAGAGGAAGGTCGACGATCTGCAACGAGTCATCGCCGAGGCGAGAAGAACTGGTGCTCATTAAGTACATTGTTATCTTGGGGACGAAAACCGAAAAGAAAGTGGTCAAGAACGACAATTTCCACGACTGGCATGGCACAATCAAAATCGGCTTCTTTGCTTGAATGAATCTGTAAGGGTGTATTGCAGAAGAACCCATGGATCGAATGACGCGGGCTGTTTTACGTTCCCGCAACCAAGTGCATCGGCAGTCTGGTCTGCCGGACTATCCAGGTCAATGCTGTCCGCGGAAGATGGACAAATTGACAAGTTGAATCGATGAATCAATCAATCAAGAAAGACCTCATGGAACAACTTTTCCATCTCTTACATTGCTCCTTTTCACATTATGATACTCGTGTTTTGACTAGTTACCGTATACTGACTTCGACCTTGTCTTCATCTTCCAAACCAGCATCCTCGACAGTTTGCTCCGGTTCCAAGCGGTCTCCATCAAAGATGAGCCAAGGCGTTTTCCCCTCAGCTACATTCCTGGTCGCCGCATAGCCTTTCATGATCTTGGCTATAGTCGTATGTGGCCGCACGCGCAGATGCATCGGCTCCAGGTTTGGACTGACAAGCTGGATCACGATAGCACCATCATCGACTGGCAGAGGTGAATTATCTTCCTCGTCTTCCGCGTGTTCGCCATTGCCAGCTATAGCTGCACGCTGTTTCTGTTTCAACTTCTCCTCATAAATTTCGGGCGTGGTAGCCTCCAGCAGGATGTTGCCGTCACTTGGATCCTTGTCATCGTCTTCGCCTGTAGGATCCACGCTCGCGCTCTGTTGGCGGTAGTCGAGCTTGAGCTTCTGGATGATCCCACGCATTGTAGTCGAATCGAACAGCCTCGTGCCACGCCAAGTGAAGAACACCTTTTTGCTGATGGCCTCGTCCAGTCCGTACTTCTGGCACCAGAATTCCCGGACCTGCTTGAGGGACTGCGACGCCTTGCGTCTGACGATCAGGGACTGAGTGTTGGGTATGTCGGACTGAATGAGGATTTTGACTTGAGTGTCATCTTCCTGTTCGGATGTTGGTGTTGCGCGACCAAATTCTTGCGAAAGGGCGGAGTTGGCTGAGCCAGGACGGGTTTGCGTCTGCTCTGCTATCCACGATCTTGTACGTTCTACTGCTGAGGCCGTGGTGGATGTTGGGACTGGCATCTTAGGCCGTTCTGGTTCGACAGCTATGCCCAGTCGCTTGAGGCGCGCCTTTTCCCGGGCTTTGGCTTTTAGGTCGCGAGTGTATTCATCGTCTTCGTCGGACTCGTCGTCTTCGGAAGGCGGGTTCGGCTTCGCTTTGAGCGGCGCATGCTTCTTGGTCGCTTCGGGAGGGGCCCAGATTTCCAGGTCGTCATCCTCCTCGTCGACTCGAAGTCCACTGGTCTGCCTTTTACTGGGCGAATGCTTGATGACAGGAGACTCCTCGAGGCCACTGCTCAATGCCTTCTGCTTCTGCGGCGTGCTGCGCGTTACGCGCCCGTCATGATTCCTCCTTCCATTTCTATCCGCAGGGTTCTCCACATCCGAAACATCGGCACTGATTTTCCGCTTTGTCGCAGGCTCGTACGAAATCCTTCTCTTCTTGACCTCGGGGCCTACACTTTCCTCCTTACTATCCTCTTTGTGTGCGCGCCGTGCAGCCTTCAAAGCCTTCTTCTCGCGTTTCGCTTGTTCGGCTTGGAGGATGTCTTCGTAGATGTGATTGCGGCCAAAGACGGGTTCTTCTGTCAGTTTGGAGGTGCTGGAGGCGGCGGGTGCAGCAGCCCAGGCTGGTTTACTGAAGATCGAGCGTTTGACGCCGGAGGTCATTGTCGCTCGCAAAATGGGTCGGTGCGTGGTCGTGCTCGTTGCATGATGTACGGTGGGGAAGATGACTCGAGTCGCGCGCCGACGGAGTGGCAGCCTGTGTTCAGCCTCGCCGGCGGTCACTTCCACATTACAGCACGGCTTGTGATTTTAAAGACCAATCGGAAGCACTGGTTTTCAGCCTGATGATCGAATTCCCATATGGTATTTGCCCGGCTACCTTGACCCCTTGTCATCGAATAACGACATTTTCGGTGTCAATCACTGCAAACTTTTCAAATATTCAAGCAGCGGGCTACACTACATTCACTGTGGCTACAAGCGACACAGCCTTTGATCGACGAACCTAGTGAGCCTGGGGCAAGGCTGACCTATCTGCACCCCGTATTGCTTATCTATGCCGATACGTAACCAATCCAGTTTCCCACTCTGTGCCTGGACCCACCAATCAACATGTGCAAAGCTGCGCTCATCGGGCTGATATCGTGGAGAGGAACTCAGTGACTACCCCTGCACGACTGCGACATCAACAGAAGAAACGCCTATGACGTCTTCAGGTTGTGCAAGGAGATACGAAGCAGCGCATTCCCTATATTAGAGTAAAAGCCACAAGGGTCAGGTCAAGGTAAGCAATATTCTATCCTCAAATCTGCACGAACATTGCAGGTCTCGAAAGGCACGTTGATCGACACCACTCAACACCATGACCATACTCGATAAACTCAAAGTCGCAAAGAGCGATGGTATGGGCGGCATTGGGGCAGATCAAGGAGCATTGCAAGACTCAGAATCCCCATCTCTGAACCCTACGAAGTCTAGTGAACCAGATCCAAACTCGGATCTCGGAGTTAGTGGTGATGGTTTGGACAGAGCCCCAAACTCGTTCGGCGGTCCATCATTTGGTCGAGTCAGCAAAACCGAAAAACACAAATCCGAGTTTCTGAACAAGTTGGATCCGCGCGTTGGATACGACGAAGATGAAACGCGCAAACAGGACGAGCAACGGTATGAAACCAAGTATGGCAAACCTGAAGACGCTCCTGAAGGTCACATGCGTGGGACGGAGATGGCTGGAATAGGTGCAGACCAGAGAGCGCTTAGGGCAGATCCAGAATTCCGGAAGAAGGAGGAAGAAATGCTGGAAGCGAATCCGAGTGAAAAGGAGTTTTAGCACGCTTTCTTCAGGCCATTGTGCTGGTTGATATGGCAGGGGAATAATGCGGGTTTTGCCTTGGGAGTGAACGATGGGGAAGAGGTTGTGTCCGCATCAAGACAGCTCTAAGAGCAACTCGGAGCGGATGCGTGGACCCTTCTCGCATGTGAGGATAAGGTGCTTCCATCCAGCTGTGTGTATTACTATAACAATTTGGATACAATATTTGAATGATGGTACAGCCGCCACAGCACATGCTGGTACCTAGATAAATGGGAAGAAGATGTGACGTCACTGGATCAAGCCAACTTTGATTGCGATCCATTGAACTCAGGACACTGGCAGTGCACTTACCCATGAAACATCAAGATAACAACCTTCTGGCGCGAAGAGGTTGGTAAGACTTCTCTGACAGCTGAGAGAGGGTTATATCCCAGATTCGCCATGTGAAACTTGAACGCTCCTGAAGACATCTCTCTTTCTCTCCTGTTCGCGTCCTGCAATGGTCACCCAACTCCTGGCGCGCAGTTGCCGTGGCCGTATCCTCCCTCGGTATCGTGGCTTCAGCAGAAGCGTTTTCACAAAGGATCAGATCAAGACGGCCGAGCTGCAAAAGACGCCTCACACGCCAAACCAAATTGCGACAGAGGTGCCGCACTCCAAGGAATCCTCCTTCATTGACGTCCCCAGCCCTCTATGGTACCACCGTCTTGGACCAGTCAAGGACTTTTTCAGCTGGTTCAGTCGCACGCAGCGTCGAAGACCACTGGTCACGACCCTCTCGACCTCGCTGACCACATACCTGCTTGGAGATCTACTGGCGCAAGAGATAGGAGGCGAACCATACGATGGGGTCCGTACGGCGAGGATGCTGTTGGTGGGAGGTTTGGCGTCAATCCCAGGATATAAATGGTAGGAGCCCAGTTTGCTGATGGTCGTTTTGCGCTTCCTGAATGGACTGGTGTTGACGTTGGCCTACTGAAAGGTTCCTCTTCCTCGGCAGTCACTTCAACTATGCATCCAAATGGACATCCATTACGGTCAAGGTTCTCATTCAACAGTTCGTGTTCGCACCAGTATTCAACACGTATTTCTTCGGTATGCAAGCACTCCTGACGGGCAATGCCCCCTCGGTGGTGCTGCATCGCGTTGTGTCGGCAGTACCAGAGAGTGTGGTCAGCTCAGCCAAGTTCTGGCCTGTAGTAACGGCTCTGAATTTCACACTTATTCCTGCACACCTACGTTTCGCTTTCTCTGCGGTGTTCGCCGTTGTTTGGCAGACGTACCTGTCCTTCCTCAATCGACGGGAAGAGAAGACCGGTCCGTTGGGAACGCTAGCAGATCAAGCTCGACAAAAATTGTATGAGGACGCCCCGTCGGCTTCCGTCGCTGATGTTTTGGACAGCCTTGACTCGGAAAAGTCATCCTTAGCTCCACTCCTAGAGCCGCTTACTTCAGAAGACAAAAAATGAGCCTTATGGCAGTGTTCTTGTTCAACTGTTGGCGAATGTTCGAGGGTGGTTCACTTGCTTCTGAGACGTCGAATCATTGCAGCATGACATCTGCAAAAGCCCTCATTCGTGATGCAAGTATTGTGGCGCACCCGCGACAGAACAATAGGTATTGTCGTTGAAGCAGAAAGATTCGATACCAACTTACCATAGTACAAGTAGCATCTAAACGCGTCGCATGGGAGAGGGCGGCCCAGGAACACGAGTCGCGACCCTAGAACAAACGCCTAGCCACGTGAGCCGCAAGCCTAAATGTTCCTCCCGCCCTAAAAGTTTCCGCCTACAGCGTCTAAAGTTCCGCAAGGCTCTGCCGTACTGCAACGAAACGTCAACGAAAAGCTTCCTTTTCCTTCCTCTGGAATCCTTACGTCGCACGGAACCTCGTCCTCGCATTGGCTCCTGTGGTCAACTTCCCAAAGCGTCCTTTAACATCGTCGAAACGCTCAGCGCCATGGAGAACCACAATGGCACCGACCCAAAAGACCCCGCGAGTTTCCTGTCCTCCATCATCGGCGTGCCCGTCACCGTCAAGCTCAACTCTGGCATTGTATACAAGGGCGAATTACAGTCTGTGGACGGATACATGAATATTGCGCTGGAAAAGTGTACGGAGTATGTCAACGGGCAACAACGGCGGAACTATGGGGATGCGTTTGTCAGAGGCAATAACGGTATGTGCGATCATTCTGACGAAGACGGTGGACGGGCATTGTGATAAAACCGCAATGAAAAGCAATGACTGACAATGCAATGTGTTGCAGTGCTTTACATTTCGAGCGAGTGAAGACCACGATGTGCACGAAGCAAAGAGCAATCAGGATTTTCGGGATCAAAAGCACGCGGGCATTTTGAGGGTTATGCCTGTCGGCTGGGTCAATATATCGTCACGGCGAACGTTGTGCATCGACTAAGGTAGAAAGGTCCATCAGGACATAGGATGTCTCAAAAGCCGACGCGCCAGGTCGAATGTGCCAGGGATGAGCAGGGTGGGGTGAAGCGGCAGTGAGGATTCAGTTGGGGAGAGTGCGCTTGATCGGCTCGACGACGGGGACAGAGATTTTCAAGGGAAACAGGGTCGAAGACTGTTTGGCTGGAAAGTCTAGCCACCACTCTTGAGCGGCTCAGCAGGTATTTTACTCGTCCAGAAGAATACAGTCCGTCCATGCACAGCGACTCGCCCATGTTCGTCTGTCTCCGTGTCTGGCGAATTTACACTATCAAAGAACATCTTTTTCACTTTCTCCAGCTCATCTCCCTCCAATACTGCGATCTGGGATAACGTCCTCAATCTGGCCCACACGTCGTCCTTGGACAGCCACGTCTCGAAGTCCACCGAGCTTTCGCCAACGGGCAGACCGAACAGCGGATCGGCAAAATGTAGAGTCAGCGGGTTACTTCGATTTTGCTCGTCGAATACTTCGCGCCATTTTTCGTGACGAAATCGAGGCTGATTGTCGTCGAATGTCCACACCACGTCCCGCATTGTGCTTTCCCATCCCGAATGGATCTCCCATGATTTGGGTGAGTTGTCTATGATGGGACATGTGAGTTCAGCGCCGATGATATCCTTGTTCGATGCCAAGCTACTTACAGTCTTCAATATTCCATATCCCTCCAAAAACGCCTGTCGGTTGCAACACTCGGGCTATTTCCTTCAACGCGTCCATGTTGGCGAACCAGTGAAAGGCCTGGGCTGCGATCAAGCATGCTAGACTCTCGTCTGGAATGTCCGACATGCTGTTTGCTGTGCCCTTGACGACACCGACACGGGGAAGGGTTTTCCTGTCTAGCTCTCCGCGCATCCCATCATGCGGTTCGATGGCGACGACGTCATACTCCTCTGGCCTCCTCGCGAGGATCTCGGTGAATTTGCCAGTTCCCGCTGCAAGGTCGGCAACTTTGGCACCCTTGACGCCGGCAATTTCTAGCTTTTGGAGGAATTGCTCGACCGCTTCCTCTGGATAGGAAGGTCGATGAGCATCGTAAGCTTTGGCTGGGGCGAAGCCTGCCTGAGCCGAATGTGCAATCTCTGAGGCTGGCATCTCGAGATATCGTCCGCGACCACAACAAATAAAACTTGCGAAAATGCAATTCAGCTATGTTGCAAGTTCAAGTTTCATAAACATACGTCAATGAATGGACCACCCAAAACCGAGGCGAGTCAGGTTTAAGGGTGAGGGGTGACAAACTGACTTGCAAAGACAATCCCCGCAGTGGATGGCGTTTTCGAGAGAGAAAATGTTGACCCTTGTGCTGCACGTGTAACAGTGGTTCGGATTGAATGGCCACCAGCAATTTCATGAGCAGGAGAAAGTTACAAGTTCTTCAACGTTGATATTCGGCCGTTACAAGTCCTCCACTGGCTTTGTTGACGGCGGTAACAATGGTCCTCCAAGCCATCCAGTATGAGCCGGCGTCTGGCTCGTCGCCTCCTGCACTCCGCGTCCTCGATCAACTTCTTTTGCCGCACCGGACGACCTACGTCGATGTCCTCGATTGCGAAGAAGCCCATGCGGCGATTAAACAGATGAAGGTGCGAGGAGCTCCCGCTATCGCCATCGTGGCCGCTCTCGCCTTGGCTGTGGAGATTGGAACCAAAGTCGCAGCGAGAAAACTGCCCAGTCGTGCAGACGATGTAAAGGAGACGATAGGACAACGATTAGACTACTTGAAGACGAGCAGGCCGACGGCCGTCAACCTCGGCGATGCGGTGAGCAAGTTGAAGATCGTGTCGAAAAAGGCCGTTATACAATCTGGTGCGAGTGCGGAATCCGTAGCGCAGGCATACATCGTGGCTGCTGAGCGGATGCTGGTGGACGATGTGTCTGACAACAAGGCTATTGGCGGATATGGCGCTAGATGGATTGAAGAGAACACAGTGGCTGGGAAGAAGCGTAAGCAAGACCAAAGCCAACAGCTGAAAGTCCTGACACACTGCAATACTGGGTGGGTAGAAAGCTGCACTCTATATGAGTATACACATACAATGGCTGACACAGGCGCAGGTCTCTGGCGACCGCAGGCTATGGGACCGCCCTGGGGGTCATCAGGTCTTTGAGAGCCGGTGATATGCTCACGCAGGCTTACTGCACGGAGACGAGGCCTTACAATCAAGGATCTCGCCTGACAGCTTACGAACTTGTGCACGACCAGATACCGGCGACACTGATCACAGACTCAATGGCCTGCGCCTTGTTGGCTAGGGAAGGGAAGAATCTTGCAGCTATTGTTGTCGGAGCTGACCGAGTTGCGGCAAATGGTGACACGGCCAACAAGATTGGAACATACTCTCTTGCTGTACTTGCTCGCCACCATGGAGTCAAATTCCTTGTTGCTGCTCCGAGGACCACCATCGACCTTGCCACCGCCTCGGGTCAGGATATTGAGATAGAGCAAAGAGCACCAGAAGAAGTCACCAGGATCAAAGGGCCCAAAGTGGCGGCTGACGGACAAGTCCTCGTTGATGAGGGCGCAGAGCTTATCAGCACCGCCGCGATTGGCATCGATGTGTGGAATCCTGCTTTTGATGTTACTCCCGCCGAGCTCATCGATGGAGTGGTGACGGAGCGGGGCGTGGTCGAGAAGACTGATGGGAAATTCGACTTTACAGGGGTTTTCCAGCAGTCCTAGTCCGGTGTCGAAGTCTCTCTCGGTCCTGAACGGGAATGGAAATCTTGCTTCAAAAGTGGTTTTTTTAGCAGACTGCCCATTTGAGGCATTCGCGCACGGGCGTTTTATTGAAGTCCACCCCAGCGGAACCGCTGGAAGGAAGTGGCACCAACCCGGGAGGCGTCCACGTGGCTCATTGTTGAAAGGCGAATGGATTGATTATTTGGATTGGGAGGGCGTTGAATTTTGACCATGGTCTTGAGTGCTGTTCTCCATAGTAGCGAGCAATTGTTCGATGCGGCTTTCAATATCGTCAAGCTTGGACTCCAAAGCCGATGCTGTCCGTTCACCGCTGAATAGCCGTCGGTTAGAGAGTTATTCGGAATCTATGGAGCCTCTTGGCTATCTTACTGTGCAAGTTCTTGGAAGGCCTGTTTTTGGATCGAAGATGGCAAATGGTCAGCGGAAGATGCCGGGCTAAGACGACTAGAATGTGACATGACTTTTGCCCCCTTACCTTGGCCATTTCGGAGGTCACCTGCAAAGGATTGCCATTCTCTCGGGCATCGTCTGCTTGGTCGTTGGATTGGTGGGAGTCGGCCTTCTGTTGTGCCATTGCTGCTTGATCGTACCCCGCCCGTCGGGATTGAAAGTCTTATCAACTGTCCGAAGGGAATCGGGACAGGACTCGTAAGCAGAAAAGCCAAGCAAAGGCTCGGGATTTGCGGGTTGTTGAACCAAAAGAGTATCGCGTGTCAGGCTGATTGAGAACAGAATGCAAGGGGTTTCGTTCTCGTATGGAGGAATCTGTCCGTATACAGGAAAGTCAGGGAAGGAAAAGGTGGGATTGAAGAACGGTATACGGAGTAGATGAGCATGGAAGAAAAAGAGAAATGGCACATGCCACGTCGTTCGGGTAAACTTTACGCAAAAAACTCGCAAAGCTGTGGTTCGCTGGTTCAGGCTTTGTGCACTTGCAAAAGACCGTTGAGCGGCTGCATATCAGGGGTTTATTAGCCTCAATGACTACACTCCAAGGCTCCAGGGCCTGATAAGTTCGGTCCGCGGCGACACTTGCGGTTGCCTACTTTTATCCTTCTACTCAGGGTTGCCTGTGTTGATTATAGAGGCAGGAACGGTATTGACAGCTTTGTCGAAGACTGATACCACACATCTGCTATCCCTGTGGGCTGGGCCAAGGAGTTGCTGAGTATCCCGGGAATAACATTAAGGTGTCATTCTCGCCCTGATCCGTTCATGAAACCTTGATGTCTCCTCCAACTGGGTACACTCGAATCGATAAGGTCGATCAAAGTCACTATGCTTCCCGAAATCGCACTTTTACTCTTGATCTCTCCAAGTCTAAGCCATGTCAGCCATTTGCAGACGGCAGGGGCGTTCCTCGCCAGAATTGACCTTACATGATGAAGGTTATGCTCAAACTTTGCTCCACCAACGAGCTTTGATCAAGATGCCAAATGCAAAAATTGAACCCTGCAGCAGAGTATACTTTGTGACACTGGCTCCTACAACCGTTGCGACGTTCACCCATAGACAATTTGAAAACAACTCCCGTTGTTATGCCGTGGTGAGCATGGCAAGAGGTGGCCCAATACAATGTGGGCTCGAGAAAGGTAATAAGCGATGTCATTGATGACATCGTGGACAGAGAGTCATGAACACCGAAAGAACCTCTCTTCATTTGGCATTCCATCGATGCGACTAGCACCACCACCGACGATCGCCGACCTAAGCCTCGAAACCGGGTTGCAGGAGGGCGATCTACGGTTCCGTTGGTCCAGTTACTATATCGCCATATCACTGTAACTGACCAGTTTCTGTCCAAAGTTGCCAAGGTGGAAGATTCAGTGATTCTCCCGGCTAAATCTCGTGAAAGTCGACTCCATCTTCTGCTAGATACCTGCCAGTGATACACATTGCACAAAAGTCTACTAACAGCAAAGTTCTGGCAATTTTCCCGTCCATGATCCATATCAGAAAGCTCCCGATAAACGTGGGGGCCAGTGCTTCCCATAGCCTTATCGGGTGCTGACACCAATTGACCGCGGTGTTGCGTTTCCGTGATCAATGAGCCTTGCGGCTACGCAGTGTCGGCACGGCTGCCGATTGAACGAACAAGAATGCTGCTTCTTAGCATCGTGCATTGGCTGGCTACAGAGAGAGCAAACCGCAAGTTCGTTCGACAATGCCAGCTTGTATTGACCTACATGCGAACGTGGGCTTACGACGATGGACCACAAGACCCTTTGTGATGCATCGGATTAATCACAGACACTCGCTGGACGGCGACAGTGCCCCTCTCGGATTCTTGATATTATTGACGGATGCAACGTCTCGTCCGTGCGATGGAACCTGACTTTCCTAAGTTCCATAGTTCCGTCGCCCCGTCATCCCAGGAATTGGACACAATCCTGTTATTGTGCGCCCCTCTGCTGATCGTCCCAGGGCTGGCGGAAACTTGGAGTTCTGCATAGTCAAGGAGTTATCTATCAAGTAGGGACTGATTCGGTTGCTGTGCTGTGAATAGCAAAAAGGGAATCGTGTCCAAGACATGGCCCACGGACCCACGGCGACCCTGTGTTCTGAAGGATCGAGCATTGGCAGAGAAATCGTAGTTCAAGATCACAATCCCCGGTTTCTATGGTGGACTGCCGTGTACCGAGATCGAGGTCCTGGGCGGCAATCGACGTCAACGAGTCCCTGAAAAAAGTTTCCGGACTTGTGGCCTTGCCGCTTTTCCGCTCTTGTCGAACACCACCTCCAAGGGCTACTCTGCCCCTAGCAAATCAACTTACCAGACGCCAGATCGCCCGGGCTACCAAACACTTTTTGTCGCCTTGCCGTCCAATGCTAAGATCTGCATCTCGCAATTCAGGTTGGGCTGCTTTTCGAATTGCCTATAGCGAATGCGGTAATCACCTGCTACAAGTCAGGCCTTGTCGAAAAAGCTTGCCTTTCGGGAGGTTCCTACGCTGAATATCCTCCATGCGACATGCTTGGATAATAGAGCAATACCACAGTAATGCTCTTCGAATATACCCGATGGTGGGATCGCGATCGATGGAGCTATCAGCCCATCCGACTACCAGGAACCTTCACTGTGCACCACGTCTGTTGTTTCAAACCTGTATCCATGTCTGTCTCATAGGCGCTTCTCACGTAAAATGGTGACGGCAAAGTACTCCAACTGTCATGAAGTAATCAACACGCAGGTACCTGCACTGAACGACAGGCTTGGGACAGCTGTGACTGGAACCAGATCCAGCATCGGACCACGTTCGAGTCAGAGAAGAGGCTCCGGGATAGGTCACCATCTTCGCAAACAAGAAACCCAAATAGTGCGACCCCATCTTTCATACACACCTTGCTCGAAAATAGAAGACCTTTGCGTCTGCGAAACTTCCCATCAAATCCACATCTGATCGTTGATACAGAGTAATAGCAGTAGCTCCTCGCTAACGGGCGAATGACGGCACACCACGAGACCCAGGAGCTTCCTTGCATCACCATCTCCACCCTCACGTCGACGTGCACCCAAAGCTTGGCTCGTTCCTCTCCCTCAGAGAACATCATCTTTTCCCAAGTTCATGAACAGCCTATAGCCTTTTACCACCGGCCCTTTCTCGCCTCTTTCCCATCTTTTTCGTACATAGGCGCTTGTCGCCAGTTTATTCCCTCCTGGTCTGATCATTGCAACGGTCACTGGCCGGGGAGTATTGCGTTTACATTGGGGGCCTCCTTTCGCATCGATTGCCTGCCGCCGTCTGCCCCCCCTTTGGAGCGTGTGTCCCGAGATCTTGTCAACATCAGCATTCACCGGAGTCCCAGGTCAGGATCTGAACTCTCCCGTGCTGGGTCTTTCCAATCTGCTGGAGCAAGCACGTATTAGAGCCGCATCTGTCCGGGTTCCATCTCATGGTTCTCCAGCATTGTGTTTAATTCGCTTGTTCCCCACCGCCACCTCATGGGTATTGAAGCAGACCCTTTGAGACCCTGAAATATCCGCCCGGATTAGTTTCATCATTAGGTCGGCCGATCTGATCGACTTGGCCAGGTCCGAAGAGAAACAAAAAGCGCATCTTTATCATCGTCAATCCGAACCCGATTCCTCCCCAAAAACCACTTTTGTCCTTGCCCAATATCGATCTGTGGCTGGTGATATCGCCAAGGCCTTTTAGACACATCGCAACCGACCACCACCACTGGCTTAGACAACTCACACCAATCACCACCATATGTTCGCACGACCAAAAGGGCCCGACCTTCTGACGTATCCCATAACGACTACTTCCACATGAAAAACCGGTTAATCCCCATTAGGATTATCACTTGCAGAACAGATCCTCCAGATCGAGACTTGGGGTCTTCCGCGGCAATCCAAATATCGATGAAACAACTCGTACGCGTGAATGACAGATATCGCGCCCCATCTCGAGCGCCTAGGCCTTGAGCAGTACCTCGACATCTTCCTGAGCGAGGGTTTCGACACATGGGAGACCTTGGCCGACATTCAAGAAAGTGACTTGTAAGTCGGACGCCGCAAGAGGGAAAGGACCGTGAACTGACAATGTATCTAGCGATGCTCTCAGCGTCAAACTAGGTCATCGCAGGGTAAGTCTCGCCTAGTTCTGGTAGACGTAGCGCTTGTGTAGCTGACTTTGACAAAGAAGCTGCAACGTGCAATCGCTGACTACCGTGGCATCCCGTACGAACGAGTCCTTGGATCCCCAGCCCAGGAAGGACCTCCGGAAAGCGGCAAGGCTGCTGAGAGTGCTGCCACCCCAGTAGCGTCTACCGAACGCGCCTCGGGCCCGGCCGCTGAAACGAAGAGGAAGTATAGGCGTCACCCCAAGCCTGACGACAATGCACCTGAACGCCCTCCCTCGGCCTATGTCATTTTTTCCAACAAGATCCGAGAAGAGGTCAAGGACCAGAACTTGTCTTTTACACAAATCGCCAAACTCGTCGGCGACCGATGGCAAAAGTTGGACCCTGCGGGCAAAGAGCCGTTCGAGGCTCAGGCAAATGCGGCGAAGGAACGGTATAACATACAGCTGTCCACATACCGCAAGACAGATGCATATAAGGATTACATGCAGTACCTGGCAGAGTTTAAGAGCAAGCAAGGACAATCGGCAGAGCCAAAGAGACCGAAACTCGAACCCGAATCTAGTGACAGCATCATCTCGGCAAAGTCACTGGAGCTCAACCCGGAATCAACAAGCCAACTTTCCGGTCATGTCCGAGGGGGTTCGATGGGATCAGCTGCTTCATCCTCCTTAACCGGTGGACCTACGCAGTCGGCGCGAGAAGCTGCAGGCCTGTCACGCCCACCCCTCCCCTCATCTCGCAGCGGGTCACCTCCTTCGCTTCCGCATGGGAGAGATTATCTGCGCCCTGGACTCCTATCGACCCAAAGCTCGGTGTCGGACGACTCATCAGGAAAGCGGAGTGATGTGCCAGACTCTTTGATGCGCACGGCGGCATTGTCGTTAGGCACCGGTTCATCGTCAGGGCCAGCACCACCACCGCCAACACCTTCGCTGCTGACTCCGGGGGCACCAGCTCCACTAGGTGAGGTCTTGGGTACCCCTGACTATGTCGCGCGGACCCGGATGGCGTATAATGCCGATCAGCAGCAGCAGCAACAACAACAGCATCAACAGCATCAACAGCAGTCACAACTTGCTTCTGCCACACCGCCGTTCGGTAGTGCTCAAGCTAGTATGAGTGCACCAGCACTACCCTCTTTTGGCATGCAGGATTCATCGTGGAGAAACCGCTACTCTGATCCCAGGGTGCACCAAGAAACACCAAGGGCAGTTCATGGCTCTCTGCCGTACAATAATCCTCCTTCGCAGCACTTTAATCCTTCTCATCGTCTGCCGAACTTGTCACCCGATCGCCCTCCCGATTATCCTCAAGGGTCGAGTATGAGGACCCTCCCTCCGCCTCGACCACCTTCGACGGGCAATCCGGCGCTTGGCAACCTAGGATCACCAGCATTGTCCGAGGAGGCCTCATACTTTCGACGACCTGCACGAGAGGAGGCCCGACCCGCGCTAGATCGGTCAGAGAGCGATGCCGCTTCTACGCTAGCTGGACTGGCAGCAGGGGTGTCGCGCCCTGAGACCACGAGACCCCTCAGTCATCCACCCCCACATTCCTCGCCTCCTTGAGATGGCGGCTTCAGCGACGGGACTGTTTCCCAATGACGATATGATAAGACATAAAATGGCATGATCAACGGGTCATTGCAAAGGCGCGCAAAGGCGGTGGACCCGAGCGTCTAGCATTATTTCTCAGCGCGTTCTTCTAGACGCAGAAAGCATTTATTTATATGACAACATCTCAAAATTGCTCAGCGCAGTAACAGCGACCTCGTGAGTCGAGGCCTGCATATTGCATAGCCTTTCCGTGTGACACGAGATCGCGAATGCGCCGATGGGTGTTCTTGCGAGGAAAATCTGTTATACTCCTGTGATACTTCTATTGCATCTCGCTGGACTTTGACTTCATGGAGGCTTCGTATCTTTTACGAGCCATACGACGAAGACGAGCTCTCACATGCAATCAACCGATACTTTATGCCGCCGTCGTATGCATTCTTAGTCGGTTTTCTACTTGCACAACGGATCACACGGGCAATGTGTACAGGCATGATAACGTTCGATAGTGTTCGAGAACGTGCAGGGGAAGGCTTGAGTGATAAGAGAGAGTGATTGAGGGGCAGATGATGCTGTCATATGGATATTTGGTTGCATTCAGCCACAATTCAGCCGAGGCTAGCGATGACCTGCAGCAGCTTATGATTAGCAAGGACGTTCCCCATGCCGGGCTTGCTCTCAAACCCCCCGGACTGGACAACCGTTGGCGCAAGGATGAGGCTCCGAGGTAAGTCTGGGACGGGAGGGGCCAGTAGTTGATTTCGAGGCTTTGACGAATAAGGGGTTGAAGTGTAGTATAGCACTATCGAATGCAAGCCTCAAATCTTATCTTTGAGATTCGAGAAGGGGTGGAAGGAGAGGGCCGCCATTTGGAGGTTGGAGAGATCATAAGGGTCGTTGTTAGTGTTTAATTTAGTGTGTTTTATAACGTCCACCAACCAGACTGGCCCACGGCAGTTTCTTCTTCCAACTTCATCTTAACTCTCCTCCAACAACGACCTTCCCATTCCATCCATCCAGTCGTCTCTACATGAACATCTCGCTTTTCTTTTGTCGTCACCAGTCGTTCACATGCATGCATCATATCAGTCCTTGTTCCACTGGCCTCGCTCTCAATCTCCTTGAAGCGCCCAGCTAAGTCTGTATAAACTCCTCTTCTACAAGGTCAGATCTTGCCGCCTGTCCAATGACGCTCCTCCACCACCCTTCCCGGTCAGATGAGGGCCGTTGGTGTCTCCGTACGACGCTTGATATCTCATCGGTGTGCTCGAATCACAAGCGGCAGTGTGGCATGCGCTCTTGAAAGTTCAAAACTAGCAGCCCTTATCGACCTTCTCGAACCGTGCATACCTCCGCCGAAGCAGGTCATCTCACAGTGCGTCGATAGTCCTCCAATATCAACTGATCGTCGTCAGATGGGTCCCAGAGTATCATCGCGTTCCCAAGCATCTTGTTATCTCGCAGGTTCTAATGCAGAAGAACATGGATGTGTTATCGAACGACAACTGCACTATCCTCGTCGCTCGATGGCTATATAAGAACAAGGTGAGCACCGTCAATCAACAGCTTGCACTCCTTCAACAAGTCATTCATTCTCTTCTTGATCAACAAGCCCATCGCTTTTGCTTCTCAGCAGCAAATCGTTGCTCATTCTTTGTCTATCGACATACCTGCCCTCTATCTCAATCATGCATTCTCTTGCCATTGCGCTGGCCATCTCTGGCCTTGCCTCCACTTCCCTGGCCGCTCCTGCCCCTTTTAAGAGAGGCACGGCATTCACCGTCAATCAAGGTCCTGCGAAGCCCTACCAAGCTGGTCCTGTGATCTTGCAGAAAGCTTACAGCAAGTACAACAAAGTTGCCCCAGAAGATGTCCAGAAGGCCGCTTCCAGTGGCTCCGTTACTGCGACTCCCGAGCAGTACGATGCCGAGTACCTTTGCCCCGTCACCATTGGCGGCCAAACTTTGAACTTGGACTTTGACACTGGTTCCGCCGATTTGTAAGCTACCTCACGCGTCGCAGTTGACCATCCCGACAACTGCTGACTTGCCCTTAGGTGGGTCTTCTCGTCAGAACTATCCAGCTCCGAGCGCTCTGGCCACAGCTACTACAATCCCTCCAAGTCAACCACCGCCAAAAAGCTCTCGGGCGACACCTGGAACATCAGCTACGGCGATGGGTCTGGGGCCAGTGGCAACGTCTATGCAGACACTGTCACGGTCGGTGGTGTCACGGTCACCTCCCAAGCCGTTGAGCTTGCTGAAACTATAAGTGCCCAATTCCAGGAAGACCAAGACAATGATGGCTTGCTCGGCCTGGCTTTCAGCTCCATCAACACTGGTGAGTATTCACAATGCGGTCCAAACAGACATTAATTGATTGTTCTTCTCAGTTACCCCGACACAACAGACCACCTTCTTCGACACTGCCATTGACGAAGGTGTCCTTGCTCAGAATGTGTTTACTGCCGACTTGAAGAAAGGAGAGCCAGGGTCATACTCCTTTGGCATCATCGACAGCAGCAAATATACTGGTGACATCACCTACACGCCTGTCAACACCGCCAATGGCTTCTGGGAGTTCACTGGAACTGGTTATGGTGTTGGAGATGGTAGCTTTACCTCTGCCAGCATCGACGGCATTGCCGACACCGGTACCACTCTCCTTCTTCTAGACGACGACATTGTGTCCGCGTATTACGACCAGGTTGATGGCGCTTCTTATGACAGCAGCCAGGGTGGCTACACTTTCTCCTGCTCTGCCAGTCTTCCGGACTTTGTCGTTGGTATCGAAGACTCCCAATTCACCATCCCGGGATCATATATCAACTACTCACCTGTTTCTGATGGCTCATCCAGTAAGTCCTTCATTCATCTCCTGCGGGGTTGCGACATGGCTAATGCAAACGTTCACAGCATGCTTCGGAGGTATTCAGAGCAACACCGGGGTCGGCTTTTCCATCTATGGAGATATTTTCCTGAAGGCGGTCTTTGCAGTCTTCGACAGTGCCAACACTCAGCTCGGCATCGCCAACAAAGATCTGTAAAGGAGTGATCCTGTGAGATCTGCATCCGCGATGCTTCTTTTTTAAGTGACGACCATGCAACCGACAACGTCCAACGCTCCTGGTCGAAAAGTCTTTGTTTGATCTTTGATTTCTAGGCAGACTGACAGACCACATGAAGGGGGCATACATGCGAGAGGTTGAAGAGGGGATTTATCTGACTTGCGTCTTTCTATGATTTGAATGTACATACTTTCTGAACGATCATTTTTGAATATATTCATGTTCATCCACTTTAACGACTTACGTCATTTGTTGCGGAGATGTACAGTACTGTGATGCAGTTTCTCGTGTCTGGCACCCAATCAAGGTCACCATCTCATTGCCAGCCAATTTTCTCGGCTACAAGTCTTGAAGCGAACGTCAACATGTCCTACCTCGCTTTCCTTCAGCTTGAGACAAGCTCATCTTCGTGATTCATGCTGCAGCGCGGCGACTCCGACTTTGCTTGGTTCCGACAACGCGCCGAGTCCCTTCACAGTGACTCGTTGTCCGCTTACACCGAGAAGATGACGTCCTCCTCCATTGGTGCCGATAGTGCCGGCCTCAATCCTGAGCCTTCGCAACCTCAAGATCGTGCTGCGCATGACCTGCCTCCGAAGTCCTATGCGGAAGCTGTATATGAACTAGACGACGAGCGAGAGCAAACCAACGGCCTGCCTAATCACTCGAATGGCGACGGCACTTACGACCCTCCTTCCTCGAACTGCGTGAACGGATCTGCCGACAGTAAGACTAATGGTCATACTGAGAAACTTGGTGAAGAGAAGGTCCTGTTCGAGAAACACACGGGTGAAGACGGCTACACTCTGACTAGCATCAAGCCCAACGAATCCTACGAGAAGAGCCTGAAACATGATGCAAAGACGGCGCCCAAGAAGGATCTTGAGGCTAGAAAGACTACGAAGCGGCAGGATGGTGCTGGCTCGCAACTTGCTAGCGGACGAGAAGCCGGAGCAGGTTGGAACTCATCTGCGTAAAGAAGACCCATGATACCAGAGGCCTCACGATCTGTGCTAACTATGCTGGCAGTATAAGATGGGCGCCACTAAACGTTCCGCTCCAACGACGACTGCAGACCCTCGCGGTCTTGTGGCATACGATGTGCATCCCCGTGTTCATGTCCTTGTTCTTTCTGCTCTGCGCCATCCCTCTGACCTGGCCACTCCTGATCCCCTACCTGCTCTACATCCTACTCATCAGCGAAGAGTCCACGAATGGGACACTATCAAGACGGTCGAACTGGTTCCGCCGCTCCAAGTTCTGGTCATTGTTTGCATCTTATTATCCTGCCCGCTTACATCGGACCGTTGAGCTGGAACCGACCAGGAAATATATCTTCGGGTATCATCCGCACGGCATCATCTCTCATGGCGCCTTCGCGGCGTTTGGAACTGAAGCCTTGGGATTCAGTGACTTGTTCCCTGGTATCACGAACACTTTGTTGACGCTGGACACGAACTTCCGCGTGCCGTTGTACAGGGACTACGCGCTGGCCATGGGTCTGGCGTCGGTGTCGCGCGAGTCAATCGAGAATTTACTGTCCAAGGGCGGTCATAATGGCGAGGGCATGGGCCGGGCGGTGACCATTGTCGTTGGTGGAGCACGAGAAAGTCTGGATGCGAAGCCACATTCCCTGAGATTGGTTCTGAAGAGCAGAAAGGGTTTCGTGAAGCTGGCGATCAGAATGGGCGCGGACCTGGTTCCTATCCTTGCCTTTGGTGAGAACGAACTTTACGATCAAGTCGATAGCGTTGAGCATCCTTGGATTCACAAATTCCAGATGGTGGTCAAGAAGGCGATGGGTTTCACGATCCCGTTGTTCCATGCGAGAGGCATTTTCAATTATGATGTTGGGTTGCTGCCGTATCGGAAGGCGGTCAATGTGGTGATGGGACGGCCGATCAAGGTTGTTCAGCAGGGTGGTAAGGATGGGAAGGTCGATGAGGCATACTTGGATAAAGTGCATGCCGAGTATGTGGAGGAGTTGCTGTGGTTGTGGAATGAGTACAAAGATACATTTGCGAAGGACAGGCAGGGTGAATTGGAGATTGTTGAGTAGGACGGTGTCGAAGTGTGTATGATATGTTATATGGGATTGGATCGGGTCAAGCTGGAAAAGTCGCTTCGTTAGTGAGCCGCTGGCTTGTTTGATAAACGACGCTTTACTCAAAAGCTCGATGGAGTCAGAGGAATTGTATCGCGTAATGATGAAGCGCCATGTCACTGGAAGGAGTACAAAATATATCTGTTGGCAAACACCAATGTGCCAGTACCCAGATTTGTTTGAGTCTTACTCGAAATCATTATCTTTCTACGAGTGTCAAACCTCATTTGCTTCGTTCCCACTCGACCAGTATCGCCGTTTTCTTCTCTTCCACTCTTGTCCTCATTCCACTTTACCTCGCTTCAACTCTGTCCACCAGCGTATGATGTAGGTCAGCATGCCGCCGAAACGGACATCCAGAAAATCTGCTCCAATGCAGCAAACCAGATCGTTCCTCCGGGGGGACAATGAGAATGAATGGGACGATGGGCATGGCGGCGGAAACGACTCTGCAGAACATGAGGCCGGTACGACCGTCGACCTGCGTGAGGTGGAGGAGAATTTGAAGAGGAGCATGGCTGTCGATGTGAGTTGTCATATACCCTAAGATTGATGAATTACTCTGGCGTCTCGAACACACTTTGGTTCGGATGAATATGATGGTCGACGACGATTATCACACTCTGAGGCTTGGACCTCTCGAGGCGAATACCTGCATCGCATCAAGGGCTGATATGCCAGGGTCTCGGTGTCGGTTTTGACCGAGAAGAAAATGACAGGGACCGGCTTACTGACATTTGCACCTTCGTACTAGACCGGCTTGCGGCAAGAGCAGAAGCAGCTGCGGCTCGAACGGGAGTTTGAGAGGCAAATTTCGGACTTGGAGGGGAGCATCCATCAGAAGGAGGTGGGATGTCGGGAGGAAATGTGAGTTCTCTTCGCCATTCTCTCTTACGAAATTCGACTTCGACGTTTGGTGCATCTCTTCATATCCTTACTCAACCCCCCGCTTCGCGGCAACTTGTGTCCCTCCTGCATCTGGATTTCTTCTAACGTTGCTTCTTTGGTCAGGAACCGTGTCACACGACGCCCATGTGACCAAACTCCTCACATTGACACTACGCAAAGGTGAAATAGAGGCTCAAATCGTCAAGCACACTCAAGAGCTGGCGGATGCATATATTGCCATGAGAGGGGAATTCGAGGCAGTCGTGAAGGGTCGGTCCGAAGATGTCGATGGGGCCATCGAAGCGCTGAAGAAGTTGGACCAGGAAGCCACTCAAGGCGAAGCGTGATAAACACTCACATTCCGAGAAAGAGATGCGGCAAGGCTTGTTATCATTCCTGAAGTCCAAACAAGACTTTGATGAACAGACTACAACCTCGACAGCCAACATAGACCTCTCCATGTTGACTCTCCCTTTCCAGGTCTGATTCTGTCAAGATATAGCCATGCTCATCACCACAACGACAGCTCTTCGACCAGATGCTCTCAGTCTCGTCATAATTCAAATCTTCTAGGTCGAACGCTTCCACGCCGATGTGCGCGCTCTTTTCCGTCAATACTGAGCCATTCGGCGTGTCAAGTGTTGCATCGTATGCCCTGCGCTTTGCGGGATCGGATAGAACCTCGTATGCAACCGCAATATCATCGATGGAATATGTACACGTTGGGGTGGGCTGCGCCGGCCTCGAACTGATGATAGTTTTGTCTGGATGGTGGATCAGCAGTGCACGCCGGTATGCGGCTTTGATGTTGTCTAGGGTCAAGCGGCTCCAGTCTGCATGGCGATCAAGCTGGAGGACATCGTAGTGGGTGGGCTGTCGTTCTTCTCGAGGAGTCGGTGGATCGGGCATTAAACAGTTGACCGGGAGTAGAGGGGAGCAGGGTGGTGGTCACAGGATGGTGGGAAAATAATCGCACTTTGTTACAGGGATGAGGGATGAACCATGGAGGTTTTGGACGGCCACGGACAGCCTAAATTAGAACTGCAAGCATACCTAGGTATGGAACTGTGATTGTCACCGATCAGCAGGATCATGGATGGCTCCTTGCTTTTCGGCGCTGCATCACCATTTGAAGTTGCTGACACGCGTCGACCATACCACGGTAGCGGTGCTGATCCAGAGAGGATGCAGAGTCAAATGGTTTTGCAGGTGATAGAGAATCCCATAGGACATGGATTGACTGGATATGCCCGGCTGTGGGGTAAACTGAGTAAACTTCCAGTATTCCATGTTGCACCTGCATTGCGTCTGCGAAATCGACGTCATTCACGCCTGTTTCAAGTCCTCAAGCCCTGACAATCCTGCTTGAAAGACACAACTTGGTGGGGTTGATGATGCTTTGGTATTCATGATGCCCTATTAGTATTAGTTGTGCATGGGCTCTGGATTTGAGAAGAGCACTGCACTTTTGGTACAGTACTCATATTGACTCTTTACTTTGTTATTGCATGGCATTCAGGTAGGCTGGTCCTGTCCATCGCTTTCATTCATCGTGCTTCGTGCACTCCACGAACAGCTTTCGCACATATCGCCTTTTTCACCATGGCGACCAATGATGAATTTGAACCGGACAGTCATGAAAGATCGTACCAGCAGCCTTACACTTCACGACATCCCATTCCTACTGTCCAGAAATACAGAGCCGAGAGAAGTGAGCGGGAGGACAACCAAGAACAAGCCCAAGCGGCACAGCAGGATGAAGGAGACGAATCCACCCTGAAGAGAGCATTCCATGCCGCCAAAGGTGTAATCAAACACGAAGACCCTCCACAATCTAGCCACGACCCTTACAAGACGGAGAATAGAAACGTTATCGGCACTGGGCAGCCAACGAACGGCTCGAGACAAGATGAACCAAATGATGATGGAGCACGGCAACAAGGTCAACGTGATGAACGGAGTCAGAAAAAGAGTCAAAACAATGACAAGCCAGGTCAATCAGCTACCGAGGCTGTCGCAGGCCAGACTGACCCTAGGCAGAAGAGAAAGGCTATGAAGCACAGGAAGCAGGACGGAGGCAGAGAAGTTACTGATCCGGTCACGCATCTGCCCATCATCATCAGGGATTCGACACCCAAGGATTTGCAGAATGCAGGCTTGAATATACCAGCTTCAGGGACAGAGACGAGAACGAGGACCGGCATGACTGGGGCCAGTAAGTCACAGGATGAATTGGATGCGGAAAAGGACGAGCTGCAGCGGAAATATAACGGCATGCAGAAGTTGTTCCCGCCGCCCAGCTTCGAGGACGTCAAGAATGAGCTGGCGAGGACATATCGACTCGCTTTGGCAGTGGGTTTGGGAAGTGTGGTGCTCCTCGTCTCATTGGCCATGGCAATTGTGCAGCTTGTCGACTTCGATTTCTCTCACTCTCACTCTCGCAGCAGCAAGACCTCAAGTTCGAGCTTGGACTCAACAAGATCAACATCAACATCAACCTGGTTCTCGATCATTCCTATTGGTATCATCCTGATGACTTCTGTTGGCATTGGCGCTGGCGTGATTTGGGTTGTTCAAGGCTGGTTGGGCAAGAGGGTCGAAGATGTCTGGAAAGACGAAGTCTGGGATGCAGCTAGGTCGGAAGAGCTTGAAGCCAACGAACAGGACGATGTCATCCCCGAGTCGGTGGCGTGGCTCAATAATCTACTTGCTGCGATCTGGCCGCTCATTAACCCGGACTTGTTCGCGTCTATATCGGACATGCTCGAAGATGTTATGCAGGCTTCCCTGCCGAAAGTCGTGCGGATGGTCAGTGTAGACGACCTTGGCCAAGGTAGCGAAGCATTTCGCATCCTCGGCATCAACTGGTTACCAACAGGTGCTGCTAGCCAGACTGTTGGAGGTAATGGCAAGTTAAAGTCCGCCAACGACCAGGGTCAGAGTGATAGGCTTGCACCTGGTGACGGGCAGGACGAGGGCGCCGATGACGAGGATTCAGGCGATGACTCCAACGACTCCAACGACAAGAATCAGGAAACCAAACAAAAAGAACAAGAGCAGGAAGCTATTCGTGAAGGCATGGAAGCCGAGCAAGGTGACTTCGTCAACATGGAGGTGGCATTTGCATATCGAGCTCGATCTTCAGGAAAGGCTTTGGAAGCAAAGGCGAAGAACGCACATCTCTACCTCAAATTCTACTTGCCTGGAGGCATCGCCGTCCCTGTCTGGGTCGAGTTGAGAGGCATCATTGGCACTATGCGATTGCGGTTGCAGCTCACGCCGGATCCGCCTTTCTTCAGCCTTTGCACGTTGACATTCATGGGACAGCCGCAGGCGGATCTGTCCTGTGTGCCATTGTCGAAACACGCACTCAACCTTATGGACGTACCCATGATATCTTCCTTTGTGCAGTCTTCCATTGATGCTGCTCTAGCCGAGTATGTTGCTCCGAAGAGCTTGACTCTGGATTTGAAGGATATGATCGTGGGCGACGATTTCAAGAAGGACACTATTGCACGAGGTGTCGTCATAGTCTATATCGAATCTGCGAAAGACTTCAAAGAGGGCGATGGTGGCTTCGGGCCGTTTGGAGGGTCAAGCGATGCGTATGTGACTGTTTCCTGGGGAAAGTTTGGTAAACCTGTGGCATCGACAAGAGTTATCGTGGATGATCAGAAACCGAGTTGGCACGAGTGGGCGAACATCCTTGTCACGCCGGAAGAGCTTAATGCGGACGAGAAACTGCAACTACAGCTCTGGGATTCGGACAAGTATACTGCAGACGACGATCTGGGTCGAGTTGAAGTCGACCTGAAAGAGCTGATGCACAGTCCGAAGACGAAAAACAGAATGTGCGAAAGGGAAGACCGTTTCCAGGGCGAGGATCCCGATGAAAAAATGCCGGGCACGTTGAAGTGGCGCGTAGGCTATTTCTCGAAGAGCAAGATCACTGGGGAACAACTTGCACGGCAGACTGCCGATCCAGATATCAAGTCCCATGAACAGCTGAAGGAGAAAGTCAACGAGACGGCGAAGAACAAACTACGTGAAGCAACTGCACACGATGAGAGCAAGGAAATCCAGCAGCAGGAACGCGAGGACTACAAGGAGCGGGAAGGCGCGATGATGATCTCAAGTCCACCGCCGGACGATTATCTTAGTGGGGTTTTCAGCATCCAGATCCACAACATTACAGGTCTGGAGGTGCAATCGCTACAGAAGCGCGACAAGAAGCATGGCGATGGCGATCGGGAAGATGAAGCCGAACAGAGTGATGACATGCCGAGCAGCTACGCGACGATCATCTTGAATCATCAGAAGATCTATCGGACGAGAACTAAACCCAAGAATGCGAAGCCTTTCTTCAACGCTGGAACTGAACGATTTGTCTCGAATTGGAAGACCGCAGAGGTCATGATTGCGGTACGCGATGACCGTGAGCGGGAGAATGATGCTCTCCTGGGTATGATATACCTGCCACTCCACAGAGTGTTTGAGAAGAAAAGCCAGGTCATGCAGTCATATCCTCTTGTCGGTGGGATGGGATATGGCAGAGCTCGAATCAGCATGGTTTGGAGAAGTGTGGAATTGAAGCTGCCTAAGGAGTTGCTTGGTTGGAACTACGGAACTCTGGAGGTCAGATGCCCGGTAAAAGCTAAGAGTGGCGCATCAGACGGGGCCTTCATGCATAATCGGATCAAGTTGAGGACGAATCTGATGAAGGCAAAGATGGCAGCTGCGGGAGATAACAATGAAGGGCTGTGGAAGCCTAAGCACGACAAAGATTCCGTGTTTCTGGCCGTCCGCAAGCGCTATTCGAGCCCGTTGATTATCGAGTTCCGCAGGACTGTCTTGGGTCCGGACCACACTTCTCAATTCGGCGTGTTCTGGCTGAAGGATATCCCCGATGAAGAGGAGACAACTGTGACGGTCAAAGTGTGGAAGGGTAGCAAAAAAGCGATGCACCGCGCTACGACGAGCTATGGATACGACGGCGTCGAAGATGGCGAACATGCACTCGGCGAGATCGAGCTGACGCTATCGTTCTGGAGAGGGTTGAGTGGGTACCACAAAACCTTTGCGAATAAGGGCGCCAACTCGGATATTCGAGATACGATGGAAGTGTTGGACACTGCGAACGATGAACACCAAGTTTCTGACGACGAAGACGAGGATGACAGCGACAGCGACTCGAATTCGGATTCGACTTCAGACACAACCGCGGCCTCGGAAAAGCAGGCGAAGCGAAAGAACAGAAAGCTGAAGACCCATGTGAATGATGACTCGGATGAGGCGGACAGTGATACCGAGGAGACCGGGCACGGCAAGCTCGATCCGACGCAGCTGGCGCAGAAGCCCTTTAATGTGGTGAAGGATGTAGCTGCCAAGGTGCTCGACGTGGATGGACACAACGACGAGAACAACGGGTCAAGAGGTGTGAGGGCCCAGATCAGAGACTACAAGGACCATCGGAAGCAGTTGCACAGGAAGCACCGTGGGATCATGCAGTGGAGGGCGACGAGGACAGTGGGTTGGATGGCGGACAAGGTGAAGCGTGGGAAGGGTCGGATCGGCGAGGTGTTTGAGCATGATGATGATAAGAAAGGTGGTGGTGTTGAGACTGAAGTGTAAAGATCGGCACGCCGGAAACGACAGAACCATCGCCTGAACCGACCTAGTGATGGGCGAAAGGCAGTGCTTCGGACGGTGCACGATGAGTGCGTTTATAAAGGCGTGCCAATTCACAAGTGTTTTCGTACGGCGGTTTGCGATCTACTTGGGCACTACTGCTTTCTGTTGCAAGGCGCGGCGGGAAAGGGAAAAAGGGAAAAAGGGAAAAAGGGACACAAGAGTAATCTAAAAATGTAATACATGTAATCAAGGCATTGTCGACTCCATGGTCTTGTCTGGTGTGCATGGCAGCATAGCAGACTATCGGGGAAATATGAGTCGGCACATGATGATTATTATATTATATTAGATTTTTGACAACACCAACGTTGAATATGTATAATTCATGAATGAAACCGAAACTTCAATTTTCATGTATCAGCGAGGACGGTCTCGCATGTTAACCTCCAGAATGCCTTACCCTGGCCTTCACATTCGTCTCCTTCAAACCATAAGAATCTGCCACACATGTCCTTAACCAAACCCCATGCGCTCGGTTGATGCTTAACACCAGCCAACGTGGTCATTCTCACAAAGCGTGAAGGTAGCATGGCGGCTTCCTCGTCGCACTGCGAAGACGGGCTCGAGCCTGGATCATCCTCGCCATCACAGTCGCTTAGGATACCGCCGAGGATGGTACTCCAGAGCAGCAGGCCTGGATACTCATCCCAGAGCCCAAGTCCTGTACATTCATCAAGAGAAGAAATTAATTGTGGCGCAAGCTTGGCGTGAACACCTGCGAAGCGAGGAAGAGGAAACAAGACCAAGACCATGTATGCCAGAGTGCTGAGTCGAATGAGCTTGTACAAAGCAGCTTCGGAGTCGCCCATGACTTCTGCTGAAGGTTCAGCGAGTGACAGGAGGTCATGCTGGACGCTGTTACGAGCCCAGACCATACGGGCCAGCGACGGTGCTTGCGGATGGCCAGAGGTATACATTGAGTATCCGATCGTGATTATACGAATGTTCTGAATAACAGTAAATAATGGTAATGGAGTCAGTATGCTCGATAAGGTTTCGAAACCGGTGCACAGATCGTTTTGACCACGGCTGAGAGATATGGTCGGAATCGGCCATGTGGACATGACGAGGCTCGTAGGTACAAGTAACGGGATGTACGGTTCACTGAGGAGCTCGAAGGCGACGAAGGTAAAAGCACTAAAGTCATGTCAATTGCGCGCGACAAATGAAAAGCCATTGGTCAACGTACAGTTGTATTGCCTGCGCCAGACCCGGCATCTTCACTTTCTGAAGACCACCCTTTCGCTCAAGTAGCACGGCCAGTGCTTTGAGATGCGCCATCTCGAATGCCATGCTGCCGTAATATTGGAAGTTTTGTGCGTTGGACAAAGCACTCGACGTCGCTTTCTTCGGTGGAGTCAATAACTCAGCGGAACCGTGGGCACACAAAGCGAGGATAGACAAGAGTAACTCGTCCGACGGTTCGCCATCCAGGGCCTGGATTTCTTTTTGCAGGGCTCGGAGGGCTTGATACTTGTATGATAGCCGAAGCATTCTGTTCTCCTGTGTTGCCTCCACATTTGTATGAACAAATGCATTGTGCGTTGCACCGGCGAAGATGATGGTGTAGAATGACGAAGGACTGGCCATGGCGCACGCGAGAATTGCCCTCTTGATGTTGCTTACCGACACGACCGTTTTGGAGGTTGAGAAGACAGGCCATTGGGATGAGCTCGCTAGATGACAGGTTTATTAGCCCTAACCTTAGCAATGTCATGGGAAAGCGATTGATGGACGTAGTTGTGCAGAGGTGCAAGCTAGAAGATCAAGTGTGGTAGAACGTGTCCAACGTCAGACTCACTTACCATGGTCTAACATTTCCAGTCCATAGGGGCTTGTATCTTGGGGAACCGAGACATTGAACGGATCGAACCGACCAACTCCTATATCCCATATGTGAAGCGACGGACGTTTGATTTGATCCTCATCATCAGTCGTCCTACTTTGACTTCGAGGGCACAGCGGTCGCTTCAAAGAAGTTTGCGTTTGTTGTGTGTCTTTCTCGACTTCCCTGCGTTGCTGAGACTGAATGGCACCATCAAATGTCGCAAGACGTTCCAACTTCAACCTCCTGTGATATTCCAGGGCAGCATGCTTCTGCTGCGATATTCGCGTCGCACCTTTGGGACCTTCCGGAGACGAGGAAGGGGAGGAGGACGAGGTTCGATAAGGAATGAAGAGGACCTTGCAACAGGGAACAGGCGCCATGCTTGGACCATTACTTTAGCAGCATATGGGATAAAAGAGTCCGTTAACGAAGACGTGGGTGCACTACGCCAGAAAGTTCGCGGAGACTCGAATGAAATGAACGATCACTGGATATCAAAGCAACGTTTTCAAGCAGCATAAAGAGAGGAAAATGCACAAACCGTTGCTGACCAAGAGGTAGAGGGAAAGTGAGCAGACTTCAGCTGAACCCGGCGCCAAATGCGTTTCCAACGTGTCGTGGGACAGGGTTGACATGCTGCAGGCATTTTAGATGGCATAAGATCCTGGAGTACTGAAAAGACGAGATCTGGAGGTGGTGTGGGAGCATGGTGCAAGGATGGAAGAGAAGATGATTCGGTGAAAATGAAGTTCCCCTCGCAGCAGTGGCGACTGACTAAGCATGCTTGCATAGATTGTACATTTCCACGTCGTTTTATTCGCATACAACACGACTTACACTGAGATTAACAACAATTTTGTAATCAGGCTGCGAGACTACGTCGACCTGATTAGCTTGCTTTGTTCATCCCTACCAACGTCGACCGGAAGTCAGAGACGATACCGGATTGCAACACTTCTCCCAGTCCGCTCTTTGCATTTCAGCATACCCCTCCTCCTTCCGCCATCATGTCCAAAACCGTCCACATCGAATCTACAGCCCAATTCTCAGCCCTTCTGTCCTCCTCTGCCATTGTCGTCGCCGACTTCTACGCCGACTGGTGCGGACCATGTCGTCAGATCGCCCCAATTTACGAGCAGTTGTCTACTCAACTTTCGCGGCCAAACAAAATCACCTTCGCAAAGATCAATACGGACCAGCAAGTAGATCTCGCTAGGTCGTACGGTGTCAAGGCCATGCCAACCTTTATGATATTCAAGAACGCTCGCCAAGTTGAGTTCATCGAAGGCGCTGACCCACGAAGACTGTCGGAGGTGGTCAAGCAACTGGCGAATGAGGCAAACAAGATGGAAACAGAAGAGGTGGGCGGATCTTCGACTGGAGGCTCCTGGCTTGGTGCAGCACTGCCGCGGGGATACGATGATGTGACAAACCAAGTCGAGTTTCTGGGGTTGGAACTGATGAACTGGGATTCCGAACACGGCAATGCGAGGACGCTGATCAGCGCAGACAAACCAAAAGGTGAGTTTTATGCATGACATATCGCCTCAGACAAGGATACTGACCATACTCAGGCTCAGCTGAAGCAAAAGCGGACTACGTCGAAAGCGATACAGACGAGCAACTGATGATCTACATCCCTTTCCAATCCACGCTCAAGATTCATTCAATACATCTTACCTCGCTGCCAGACAACACGGAAGACGATGAATCGCCAAGCAGACCTAAGGTCATCAAGATTTACTCAAACAGACCTCGCATTCTTGGATTTGACGACGCAGAGGACGCTCAAGCATTACAGGAAGTCACGCTGTCAGAAAAAGACTGGGATGCTAAAACTGGTACGGCCAAGATTGACTTGCGCATCGTCAAATTCCAGAACGTGTCCAGCTTGGTGTTGTTCATTGTAGAGAGCGAGGGAGACAATGAGAAGGTTCGATTGGACCGGATAAGGATCATTGGCGAGTCGGGTGAGAAGAGAGACGGCAAGATTGAGAAGGTTGCATCCGACGACTGAGTTTGTACGATTGCAAGACGAGGATGAGAAACGAGAAACGATTGCATTGATGGTCATAGATCTGGGAGACATCGATATCAAACCAAAAGTCATAGAGCGCAACACAGTTTGACCGCCTGTAAGCAAGAGTGCCATGCCCGTCGGGCCTGAAGCTGGCGCTTCCAAAGACAGATGAAAACACACCCTCGTCGCTTCATCCACAAGATGGTGATCAAATGCCACCAACTCTTCTAAACCAGCCGCAGTCTGGATCTGTTTCTCCTCTGTTCAATACCTCTCTCACAAATCCATTTTTTGAAAATCATTATGTTCGACCCCACGCATTTACAAGCGCAGAAACACGCGACGAGTCTGAACTGAAGTCCAGACTTTGGAAACCGAAGCTTCGCTCGCCGAGGAGATCGATCGCAATTGATTGCTCTGTGCTGCCACTGACACTTGGTATCGTTATTGAGATATAAAAGCGACCAAGCAACACGGTGATATAAAGTGGCAGCGCCGCACGAGAGAAGAAGAAAGAAAAATTTGGGAATCGGATATTCAGTGATATGGATTTGCAGAACCGCGTCAAGCCTATTCGGGACTAACGCGTGGCTTGGCAATGAAATTGAGAATTTGGTGACCTTGAACGTCGTTTCGGCCTGGTCGACTTGGAAATTTGCATATCATGAGGCTTGTGATGAACTACAGTTTTATTATTGATAGGAAGAGAATGATTGCTGGTCTTTCATTGTCGGGATCGGGCTTCGGTCTGGTTCGCGATGTGGAAGATTAGTGTGATCTCATCGACTTGAATTCTGAAGCCAACCTACATGTGATCATGGCCCGATGCTTTTTTGCACCCGAAATCTCTTGCCTGGGCCGCAATGACTTCGGCTTGCAGAGATATGACTTGCCCGCACCGGAGACGCTGCAGTGCATGAAGAGTACCACGATATGAGGCTCTGGCCGCTGGTAGGACAAATCGCTCCGGCATCTCAGTGAAGAAAGCTACAGTCACAAACTGCGAAGTGATGCACTCGATTTCCGGTAACACAGAAATTGCCTTCACACATCCCGAAAGAGTGTAATCCCGGAGCATGATAACGAAGCAAGGAACCATGCTTGAACATTTTCGGAAATCTACCTTCGTTGTCTGTCTTCTGATGGAGGTCATGGCTCGAACAGCTACCACAATGGGGCAGCCTGAAAGAGTCGCAGTCAACAAGGGTGCAACGTGATAATGATAACTAACAGGCTGTCGCAGGCAGTGTGCAGTTGCTCAATCTTCGGGCGGGTTGGAAGGCGGCTGGCTGGCTGGCAGCATCTCGTGCTTGGAGTTTCAACGTAGCCTCACACGTCCTGGCTTGTGTTCTCTCTCTAAGTCAGGGCTGCGGAAGTAGCGTCATGCGGGAAAAGGTGAGCAGGTAAGTGATAGAACATGAGTGATGCCTCTTTGAGTTCAATACCTTGGACTATCAGAGATTACTTAGGCTGTCCGCTATGGGCTTGAATGGTATCCCCAACACCATTGTTCGAGGCATTGTAGGGTTTCTCGTCGAGCGCTTCGACTTTGTCAGTGCGCTCGCTGAGTTTCTGCGCACTCGGAACATTCCCAGGTACGTACCGCTGGTTCGGGCCTTGCAGACCGTTTCCGTGCCATGGCCTGTGCGCGCTGCCGCTTTAGAAGTCTATTCTCGGTCTGAGAGTCTCCAAAGATCCGTCTCATGCGCCCTACAAGACCTGCACAATCTCTTCTCGATCGCCCACCTTCAGTATAACTACTGATCATGGCATTGGTGGGAGCCGCTTTTACAGCACAGATCGGGGACACGGTTTCCATGGTCTCGATGCGGTCCTTCCGTCGCCATATTGATACTACTCTTCTTCTGAAATCGCTGCGTCGCTGCTCCTGCATCATCGCCACGTGGGGACCCTCACTATGTCGGCGAGACCGGTCACAGTAAGCTCGACTCGAAGCAGCTGGGGCGCAGAAGCCGTTGAGTAAGGCGATGCATGACCAGCAGAAGCTGCCAACATTATGAGGGCCGAGAATCGCAAGCGCAGACGCAGCAACAGTGTGTGCGGGCAGATGATCTCTTTGCAATTTTCGTCTGTAGCTCTGAGGATCTCGAGCTCAACGTGGCGTGTTAACATCGCTAGATATGGTGTATCTTGTCGATTGACGGTACACAATCGCGAGAGTCCAGCGCTGTTATCAGGATCTGCATTGCTGCTCGACTTGTCAAACGTCAAAGTCCGTCACTTGCCTGGACCAGAGAGCGAAGAGCAGCCAAATCGAACATTCTGAGTCTTCGTGTATCCAGCTCGACAGCGAGATCAGTGATTTGCCAGGCCGATTTGACCTTGCTTTGTGATTCATTGATGAACCATGCTCGCGTGTTCCGTGTCCCGTGGTGGCTGGGAGAGGTTGTGTTCTACTAGATCTAGACAACAACAGCCTGAAGTACGTAAAGGTCTCCTCCTTCCCAGAAGAAAAGAGGTAAGTTTGGCACCTGCCCTAGTAAAGCGCTATGCTCCGAGTCGATCTTGCACGTTTTGGCAACTTTCTTCCCAAGGTCAAAGGGCCCCAAGGGGACATGACAAGTGCATCTCCCGAAATGCACATCTTGCCCAAAAGGGAAGTCGGATTCTTTGCGCAACACTCTCTTACTTTTGACTCTACCTATCTGTACTGTGTACCATGCGGCAGACGGGGATGAGGTATGGATGATGTGCTAGTGAATCACATAATCTCCTGAAATGTCTCTGGCATGGTTTTCTACTGTCGGAATGGTGAGTTCGCACAGGAAGGTCAGCAATGATTTTCCTCTAAAAAGGCGAGAAGCGGAAAATTATAACAGCCACCAAAGGCTATTCAGCACGATCATACTATGCTATTCGAAGAGCAATTAGCCGGTGAGAGAACTCTCGATTTGAGGACACTGCCGTTGACCCAAAACGACAAGGACGACGCGCCAAATGCTCATCCCGCTGCCAGACGCGATAAGCAGATAGAAGGAGTGGACATCCAATTTCCCCGGAAGCGCTACTCCCTTCCCTCCGCATGAAGTCTCTGTTGCTTCCACCACTCACAATGCAATGCGAAATCCCTCGTCACAGAAACTCGAGAGCATTCCCCATGGAAGGGCTAAAGGTGGTTAGTGAGGAGCAACTTGCCTGTCTGTCCGACTGTTGGCATCACTTGTGAAAGATGTCTAAGCCACTATCAGTGCAGCTAGAGGTCGGTTAAGTCGATCGAGCTTGGGCCGGGTGGGAAGGTGATAGTACCTCAAAAGCAACAAGACGAACGTGGATATGCAAACGTTACATTCGAGACTGCTACAGGAACTTGAAACCTCGCAAAGAATGGACAGCGAGCTTGAAAAAAAGACATTATAGGTGATGGGCACGTTGGTTTCCAGATCGCCTCGAACATGAAACACAAGCTGCAGGTTTCGGCAATGACGAGAGAAAAAAGATCGATGCTGATGGGCGAGCAAGGCAAAGAAGACTTTTCGTACCTGCATTAACTCACGAGTCTAATTGGTCTAGAATATCTTGGGCAGGTCGATCGATACCTTCTGGCCGCATTCTGCTCCAGTGAGAAGGTCGCATACAGAAGCACCACTTTGTTCCTGCGTTAGGGTCCTGCTGGATGAGGTTGGGTGGTGGACCCTCCACTGTGCTTCTGGCGGCGTTCTCAGAGCTTTTCGGGCAGAGGATGGGCGCAGAATTGCCACGCTTTCGACCAGGTCTAAAATATAGTGCAAGGATACTTTCTGCTGTACCGAATCAGCAACGGCCTTCTGGAAACGCGCTACTCTGATTAGGCTCACGCCGTAAGCTTGGCACGACGGGAACACTAACCACAAGACCCGTACCAGGGCAAGATGGCGTCTCTGACGGGGCTCGAGTGGTGGGCTCAAGGGACTGGCAGGGGATAAGCCCCATCTCTTGCTTAGTGGATCGGCGGGACGCGGACGGAAGACAGTTTGGTGCGTTGGGGCGCTTGGGATGCTCGGGTACCTGGCGACGCGATGCCTAGCGGCCCCAAAGTGTGATTTTGGGACATTTCACAAATCATGGACCCTTCGGCAGAAGGAAGAACTCGCATGGTGTCATTTCGCCAACCAACATTTGATGAGCATCAATGATATCACGCCATTATTTTGATCAGGTCAAAGACAAGTAGTGCATGCTGGTCTGTCCATGCTATGGAGCGCTTGATTAGCCTCTTCGGTCACTTGTGCGCGTCGAGCTGCCCACATGCGAGCAAACGCTATCTTTGGGCTCCAGCGCATCCTTCTCGCTAGACAATGCAGGTACGTACGAGGTAACTGCATGCAGGCCGACATCACTAGAGGATTTTGCATGTGAGCGACATACAGTATCAGTCCTGGTCGAGGGGGGTGATTTCAACTCCACAAATTGCAGGAATTACCATACAATATCACACGTTAAAATATATGCCCGGTAGGATTACGCACTATTGGCTGGAAATTTTGTTATGGCCTCACCATAAGGAAGAGCGTAACGACGTTTTCGAAGCAATTTGTTATGGCCCAAGTTCAAGGGCAGCTGGTTATGCTCACGCCATGATCGGACCTAAGAGGTGCCTATCGATATGGGAGGAACATGAGGGACCCCACTACCCTCGAAGAGAGCCCAGGGTCCTACGCAAATTCAAGGCCTGCTAGGGAATCTCTGGGTTCGGGACCTGACCCTGATGAGCACAAGTTAACTCACCAGGTTGAAGATGCCCTCCCAGAAGTTGGCGGGTCGATGACTTAATTGATGCTACGGAAGACGGGGATGTGCTAGGCAATGGATTCACACGTCGCCCAGATTTTATGACCAGACCAGTCTTCTGACCCGCCTTTTCAAAACCTCAAAATCACGATCGAGCCTACGAGAAGCCAAGGACAGGTTTGCTGGATCCTTTTGTACAAGCATGAAACACACGATCACCTGTGCTGCATCGCGGCAATTGGCGGGGAAAAGCAAGTTTTTGCCATCTACAGACGAAGACTGCTGCACCGTGAGAGCGTATTGATTCCTTGAGAACCATATTTCGCAATACTAACGACATGTCGGCCACTCGAAGCGAAGATACCACTGATCCTGAAAGCCTCTAAACCCGCTAAGATATGCGTGACTGGAGATGACTGCAGTCAGTGCATATGCTCGTCGAGACCGACGTAAGCATTGGCCCACTGAACACGAGTAACACGGGACAGAGAGCAGTAAAAGGCGAAGGAAGGCTAAAAAGCAAACATTTTTGAGTCGCGTCAAGCGATAAGTTAGCTGTTGTTGAGGACGCGCGAAAAGTGTGGTGGTGGCAGCTCCAGCCCTCTTTGACGCGGACCGGTCTTCGCCACGGCGTGTTGGTGAGTGGTGAGTGAGCACCGAGCACGCTGTTTGCGGGCACGGAGCTTGCGACTGCTGCATATCTAGGTACGGCAGTGGCTACGGTAGAGTCTGAGACACGTACGCCAGTCTGCACGACCTTCAAACTCTGCCTCTCACCTCGAGCCGACGTGATATTCTTGCCACCGTATCCGAACCCGATTTTTGTACGGACAAATGTCTGAGCGAGTTGATGGCCATCACTGTCAGTTCTTCACGCATTGACTTGTTTTGGTGGCGTCAAGGCCAACCTAGTCACGAATCCTTCCGTGCTGCAGATCCTCACACAAACAACCATTGCATTCAATTCCAACCAATGTTCGGCCCATATCAACGTTCAATATAGTATGAGAGGCGTCCAGCTGACCTGTGCAGGGAATCAAACATGGGTTGAATAGCAATAATGTTGAACATGGCCACCAACGTGGCCGAGTCCCAAGAATAGGACCAGCAGCGATTCGCTTTGCGGACCGATGGGAGTAGCTTATCACGGCCCTCTCCTCCCACGTCACGCTCCTGATTGGCGTTGGACGCCCAGGCGACTCGCCCAGTCATTGACATCGATCGCGCGTGAACGGTGGCATCACAGACTTTCTCGATATGCACAACACGCCAAATGTATTCCAGGTCACTGATTCGAGCATCGATTTTGGCGTTGGTGAACGACAGAACCTATCAAAGCCATCACTTACCATTCCGAATCGAATGGGTACAGTTGACGATGCACTCTTGACACGTCGACTGATAACACACAAATCAACCTTCCACTCCAGCTTCTTCCACCTGGTTGGCGGTGGATGGAGGACGATACTTTATGGCTGCTGTTTGGTCGACCAAAGAAAGTCATGAGCCGACTGTATAACAGCTGCTAAGCCAAGGATCCTATATACTTGTACCATATCTATAAAATTCTGCTGACCCATCCAATTGCTGATGCAAGCGCGTTTTTGTGACGGATTCATTGCTGCTCAACCAATGAAGAATACGACGTCGTTGATCAGAGCCGAATTGCACTCTCACAGGATGCTGATTTTCTTCTTGGGCCTCGCGATAGAAAAGACCATCGTCATAAAAAGTCTCGTTCAGCCAGGCCAACCGATGGTCCTAGTCCACCATGCGTCATCGGCAGTCATATCTTGACAGAGAGGAGGGTGTGGTCGAGCAAGAGTCTTGTGCAATTTCCCATGCATATCAGTGCTGCGTGACAGGACTCAACAGCGTCACCCAGCACAGCCCAGAACTGCCAGACGCTAACACGAGTACCTGGACAGGCACCAGGCACGCTGCTCTAGGAGCTGCGGCTGGCCTGGGTGGGCCGGTGTTAGTGGGTGATAGTCTTTGAGACGGACTGGGGTGGTGGTGAGACCAACAGGCCCACCATCCTTCATGGGTCCTGCATGGACCGCGACGACGGTCCCGAATGCAGCGCCCGTTCCTGCAACCACTACCCACTCCCCATCGAGAGGTGGCCCAAGTGACTGGTTGGCGACCGGCCTCGCAGACTCTCAGGGCACTTAGCGATCTTCTTTATGGCTCGTCCTTGCACCCAGCTCTTATCCTTTTCTTTTCGTTTCTCATATCGAGGCAGTCGCTCATTGATCCCCGCGATCTACACTTTCTTTTACCTTTGTTATATCTCTCGTTGTGACCAGGCTCGTCCCGGATCTTGTTCAATCAACCTGTACAACACCTACTGTACTATTGAGTGAACAAATCATCCAGTCCTTCTTTCCAAAGCCTGTGCCAACATTGTATCATAATTGTCCCTATCTACCTCCCGCCAGACGACATCGCTCTCTTTGCTCTGCGGCTACCAGCATATAACATCTGCAATCTATATGTACAGCTAGCTACGGAAGGAAATTGAACGACGTATCTGAGACGACTACTGCCATTCCTTGGACAAGATTTCCATTTGTACCGATTTTGTACTACAAGCAAGCAACTTGCCACCATATCGACGACCTCTTGAAAGCTACTGTTAGCAACAGAAGGGGGTAAGAAAGAACGTTAAACACAAGAAACAACGACAGTCATCCGAAATGGAAACCCCATACCCAATGGCTGCTCAACAGATTCAATTCTACCAATATCGTCCAGACACGGAGGCACGGCATAACGCTGTGTTCACTCCCATGCCGAGTGAGCAACCTATGTACAGCCCCATGGCTGGATATCCTCACCACTACATGGCTCCTCAGTACTGGCAAGCACCCCCTCACGCGCACGCCCACTTTGTTCGGGGCCACTTTATGCCACAGCAGATGGTTCACCATGCCCGACCATCACCACCTCTGACGCTGGCTATGCCGATGCACAAGATGTATCTCGACAGCCAAGGCCATATGGAGCATGGACACTACCTTGAGAGCAGGCACTCTTCACCTCCAACTCCATGCCTTTCGGCTTGCCCAAGCACCGCCAGCAGCCCACTAGCCAGCAGCGTCAACCACACACCGGTGCACGCTGGAGGGTACTTCAACCTGCCCATTGAACCATCCAAAGAGGAGTTCCAGCCTCTGCCATACTTGGATGACTGGTCGGAGAACGGACGTGAGTATCATTCCAAAAGTGGAGTTGAAAGCAAAGTGAATGCTAATGGAGGGTGAATAGAAGTGCACATTTTCCCGCATCCTGGTGATGCCAAGCTCTTGCCCAGCAACTCCTTTTCCAGTGGCTGCACCTCGCCTTCTTTGGCCCCTGCAACGCCTCAATCTCAAGTCTCGCCAACTTCTGCATATCCCGTCGCTGAATTTGTCAACTTGCGCGAATTGTCCTCGACCACTTTCGAGGCTGTCCTGTCGGCTCCCGCTCAGAGCTTCCCGCCTCTGCCCACCTTGTCCGCCGAGGACGACGAGCACAAATTCGCTCTCGCCAACGCGTTCCCAATCACTCCTGAGCATGATACGGCCGACCCATTCAGTCTGTCCGAGAACCCTTCCTTCGAGTCATCCTTCTGCACTGAGCTTGACTCTGAAGACGAGTTCAGCTTCGTGAACTTCACCGACCCCGAGATCGCCTACAGCGGTGACAAGAGACAGAAGTTGTCCATTGTTGGTGAAGAGGAGGACTTCCTCAGCGTACACAGCTTCGGCAGTTTTGATGAGGAGGAACTCGCTGCCCACGCCGGCCTGCCTTCGCCTCCTGCCTCTTCCTTCTCCGACTCTGGCTCCTGCTGCGGAAACAAGAAAACTCAACGCAAGATGAACCAGCGCAACGGTTCCGAGGAAAGTGACTTCGACTTCCAGCAGGCTGATGGTCACATTCACAGCCACACTGATGGCCAGACCACCTCTCCCACCACCTCTCACGCCCAGCCAAGCTCCGCAGATGACAACAACGCCTCGGGCAATGTTGATGGCTCTTCACAATCAGCCCATGCCAACCGCCGAGGCCGCAAGCAGTCTCTGACCGAAGATCCTTCCAAGACCTTCGTCTGCACATTGTGCTCGCGTCGCTTCCGCCGCCAGGAGCACCTGAAGCGTCACTACCGCTCTCTCCACACCCACGACAAGCCATTCGAGTGCAACGAGTGCGGCAAGAAATTCTCTCGCTCTGACAACCTTGCCCAACACGCCCGTACCCATGGCAGCGGCTCTATTGTGATGGGCGTCCTAGAGAATGGCGAGCTCCAACCTCATCAACCTTATGATGAAGAGATGGGTCATGTTCTCTACGAAGCTGCCCAACGTGCCGCCCTTGCCACCTCATCTAGCAGCAGTGGCTCGGAGTCTTCATCATCTGGAGAGAGCAAACGTGCTCTTAAGAAGAGAAAGCGAGACGAATCCCTGTAAATACCACCAGATTTGATTTGACGAACAAAAGATCATGATAACAACACCACACAAACCAAGCAAGTACGACGGAATGATCCTTATGATGTTTTTACCGAGAACCGCTTCGAAGGGAACCAGGGAATGACCCGCTCTCGTCTGTCTCTGCGAGGAGCAGCGTTAGGGGCTTTCAAGACTGTGTATGCGTATTGAGGAAAAGTGCGTTTAGAACGCGTTTTCAACCCCTTCCACCAACCATGTATTCTACGGGCTCTTTTTCCTTTATGGCGGGAGAGACAAAGACTGCGCGAACCGAGAGAGACAATTGTGAACATTGAGCTGAGCTGGGTCTTTTTTCAGTTTACACTTTTTATTTCTCTTGTCAGTGCTTCTCAAGCCTTTTTTTCTTCGTGTCTGTCTCGAGAGATGGAGGCAGGAGATGAGAAAGATTGTACTACACCGGCACAGCATTGCCTTCCAAGGTTTCTACACAGCAAGTTTTGGCTCTGTATGTAAATTAACAAACCCCAACTGTACTATTAGAAGTCTACAATCGAATTGAGTTGCTTGCATATAAAGAGTCTTCTTGCTTCCTACAGTATCTACGATGAGTTTTATGAAGAGCGTCCATCTATGGAGACTTGTTGTATGGTCGAAACGTCACATCACGTCACGACGAGTGCTGCTGGGCTGCTGTACGTGAAGAGACATCTGGCGGACGCGATGCTCCTTCTTTACGTGAAGGCCAGAGGCCCAGAGGGTACCGACTGGAGCTTTGGGTTATCTTTTATCGACAACGATTAGGTGCCGTGATAAGTTGATAGCCTAGGGAGCCTAGAGGGTCGATCATCGATAGGGGCATCGATAGGCGTTCTGGCGCCTGGGGAAAACCATTTCTTGATGTCCACTGGACCTTGGAATTTTCTGGGACCGAGACTTGCAGATTCCAACGCCATGGCTGTGGCTGCCTGTCTACAAAGTGTGAGAATTTTTTTGGGCCCTGTTGTTCTGGTTGTGTTCTGGCGGCTCGCGTGGCCTGTTGGGCTTCTGGCCTGTTTCGCGTTTTCTTCTGGGCGCGCGCCGCGATGACCCGGGTCGTACTATCGTAGAAGGTTTAGAGCGAATAACTACAGTAACGTTACCGTAGTTTTTGTGAGGGTTTGGCCCCAGGGCCCGGAAAGACACGCGCGCGACAGAGGAGAAACATGAAACGAGGCTACTGTGGGAGTACCATTAAGTTAGTGCGGTAGGGTTTCGCGGCAGGCCCTGCTGGCGGCGGTCGGTTAGGCCGACCGCGGGGCTTCTCACTGTCTCAGGGGAAAAAGTGAAAAGGAAAACCTTGGAAGCTTTCAACAAACACTAGCCTGGGAAAGGATTCCAAGGCACGACGAGCTTAGTGCTCGGTGTTATTGACTTACTGTGTATGTAAATGTGGTTTTTGCGGGTTTGCTCATATGCAGGTACGGAGGCATGATTCACAGCCACCAGAGTAAGAATCGTCGCGTGCATAGGTAGGGATACTGGGTAGTGGTAGGCATGTGGCTCGGCCGTGAAGATGACAGCCGCGAGCGGAACATACGAGGATGGAGTTCACGTAACCATCTACGAGTACGGCTGTGGCTACCTTACGGCTTTCTGATGAGGTGAATATCATTTCAGATGGGTTGATGCTTGCTATTGCTATTGCCGGAGGTCAACTCGGTAGGGATGGGTCGTGTTACGTTATGTTGCAATTGATACGATGGGAAACAGGTTTCTGGTGCATTGCAGGGCTTGTCTGCTTTGGCAAGAAACTCGGTTTTATGTGGTATTGCTCTTGCTGTGCATGAGTACAATAGTCCCTGAAGGAGGGGATATCTTGGTCACCATCTCTTACGGACGACGAAAGCAGTGGTCTGCATTGGGTCATAGCAGGCGCCATGGACATGCGGCCCCATGAACGTTGGAAGATGCCACAACGATGATGACATCAACATGGTGAGGGCCAGCGAGAGGGAGCATTAAGCGTGGGATTCTCCATCCGAGGGTGCCATGCTGTGGCTAAGAAGTATCAGCGTTCGCAAACGCCAAACCGGTGGTCAGATTGGGAGCACAGAGCATGATCGGAGCAGCACCATAAGTGTGGTGAGATGCCGTCTATTGTGACCCGGCTTCAAAGGTCGGCATTGGCCATCAGCGAGATGTACCTTCATGTGGTCTGCAAAGTACTCGTGCAGTCGTGCAGTTCTGGATATCATCTCCATTCCGATTATGTCAAGTGGGAAGAGGCTCGAGAACTCTGCTGACCCTGTCCGTATGTGGAGTAAGAACCCTTCCCGGCCAACTTGTTTACCGCTGCAGGTGTAAAAATTCTCTCTCGAACGCGTTCAAGACGACGCGTTTTGTTGTGCTTGACCAAACGGGAAGATTGTAAAAGTCATGAGAGAGAGGGTTGGTATGTCAGGTGCTGCAGAAGAGCATGAAGGTCAGGACGTTTTGACATGACCCTCGAATCTCTCTCGAGGCTGTCAGGCACGAGAGAGAGACGTGTCTTCACCTCTGCGGCCAGGCGTAGTAAGAGGTCAGTGTGTTGAGGGCAGATGGTGGAGTGAGTGAAAGGCTTTACGTCCGTGCAGAAAGCCATGTCACGGTCCCCAAAGTCCATTGGCTTATGGTGTTGACGGCCAACATGGGCGACCCGAAAATCCACACGACAAAAACACCATTCTCGTAGAGCGTCGACACACTCTCATGACGCAAAAACGGTGATCGACTCAAGGATCAGGTAAGTTCATCAGGTGGAAGAAACAGTCAGACCAATTTCCGACTTTCCAAGACCAGGGCTTTGTCAACGCCATTCTCTGTTTTGTCATATGCAAGTTATGAAGTCTTCCTGCAGCGGGGAAGTACTGGTGACTGCAATGATGTCTGCAGGGCATGAATGACGTTGGTCCTGGACCACTGAGCAGAAAAGGCGGAAGAGCCCACCAAGAGCCATGCCGAGCTCGCCTATCGTTCGGCCGTTGGTCGTTTATCAGTGGCATCATGGCGCAACCTGTCAAAAGATAGGCTTGCACATCCCAAAGAGAAGCACAACGCGTGTCGACGCGATGTGTGTAGACGCCATGAAAACTCTCTTTCCACAACATGGAGATCCACAGCCAGTTGTGGATATCGTTGGACTCTCGCGTTTTTGTGGGGTTAAACCTCGGATCGAGCAGGGTCTTCGAGCTTGTTCGGATGTCTGTGCCCACTACGCGTACCAAGGTGAAGCCCACCCGTCAAGTGATGGGTGGGGAGGCGCTGCGTCAGTGCATCTGGATGGCTGGTTTATCTTTTGACAACGTGCCAAAACCTGTTCGGTCAGAAAGGTCTAAGCTAGACCTAGCTGGTCGCGATTGAGTCGATACGCATGGTCATAGCCAAAGCAAGAGGTTGACATCCCGCAGCGTGTTTACTGCCAAAGGTGGCGTGCGTATGCTTCTGTCCAGAAGCGTCAGAACCACCGCCGCTTTGCGCCGCCTCAGTGCTGTCGTTGATCGTGGTGGAGAAGTCGGACTGGCCGTACACTGACTTGCAGGGAATGACTGTCAACTTGGCGAAAAGACTGTGCCTGGAAATCCTGCACCACTCAGTCTGGCCAGGTGTCGATAGATACGCCGTCCCGTGGACGATTGCCAGCGGGGTGTTTGCCGATGTTGATGCAGAGTTTCTCGAGCCTTTTGTCTGTAAAAGGAAGTCGCAAAGGTCATGCTCGGCAGTTGTGGCACTGCGAACCAATTCTGATGTCGAAGACTTCTTTACAAACACTGTCACTAAGTGGACATAGGATTTTGGGGATGCATCATCAGCACTCGAGGGAACGGTCAATTTGAAGACTGAACCCCAATTAAAATCCTTCCGGTCGGTGATTGCTCCCAGTGCTGAGGCATGCATCCTCATCAGGTGTGCGATACCTAAGCTCCACCACTCAATGGAAGCATCCTTCGGCAGAGAAACAACCTCTGCTGCAATGAACGGCGGAATCGTTGGCGAGGCGTTAATGTCATCTTCAAAGAGACTTTTATTGGGAAGGACATGAAGGTGTTCGCCAACTGTGACAGTCTGCATGGACGAGGTGTTTGCAAATCGATTGTAGCGCATGTCCCATGCGTCCAGACTCTCCTCATGGTCGTCATCTTCTTCTGGTAAACCTTTCCTAGGCCTTGTGCCTGTGCGATGAGCTTCCTCCCAGACCTGTGCTGCTGTTGATGCGCGGCCCGAGATAGCAGGGTGCTGCTTGAGAAACGCGACGCCCCAGGGCCAAATGTCGACCTCTCTTTCTTGTCCTATCCGCCACAGATGCTGAAGGCTTATCACCGCTGCTCTCAAGAAGGCTCGTGCTGATACCACAACCGGAAGTTGCATGGTGTGAGGTACCAGAGGTATTTGACCCGCCATATGGACGGTCTCCAGCAAACCTGCATCATGGACGTTGAGGTCGACATCTTCACCTCTCTGTATCGGCACACATATGGCCTGGCTGTAAGGCCCAATGTTGGCCGGTGCCCAGTAGCTACGGCTTTGAACATGCAGTCCACGCCGAGCGCTTCGAGGTCCAAGGTCCAATATAATGCTCAAACTTACTTCAACATCATCAGGAAGCCCGCAAGCAAGCGTCACGCGAGCTGGTGGATTTGGCTCGCCAGGTCGGAACAGTGCGGAATATACTGAGTTGACCGAGGCAAAATTCGAGATGTCCTTGAGCAAGAGGGTTGAAGCCACGATGTTTGAGGTGCTTAGTTCCGTATCGAGGTGGTGAGACTCTGATATTGACTGAAAGGCGGAGTTGAGATCCAGAGAAATCTGTCTCATCTGCTCAGCAGCCACCGTGGACCCGGCAGGACTGCTTTTGTTCATTGCCGTCATATTGAAAATGCTCAGATGTGTGGACGTCAGAGTATATGCAGAATATATGGAATCCTGCGAAAACAGATGGGAGCCATGATCCATTGGCAAGTCACCCTTCGGGTAGGTATTATGTGCCGCACTCAAGTCGTCGTTGTTTTGGGCCGCACTCGGGGTCTCTTTCTGGGCTGCACTCGAATTGCCACTATGACCGGCACGCGAGTTGTCGTCGTCGGGTGAACAAATTATGTTTGAAGTTTGCAGTAATTCGAGAACGGTATCGAATTGGGGGTCATAGACTCCGGGCATCCGCACGGAGGACAAGCCACTCGACTCTCCCGTTGTCCCATTCTCGACAGTCTTCGCTTTTCCAAGACGGAGATAGCTGACGCCTCCCTCGCCGGAAAATGTAGAATCGTCGTCCGGCGACAATTCAATTCTCTTCCTCCAAATATCCGGTGGCCCATTGATTGCCAAAGACTCATACTCTCCGCCTTCTCCAACGACAGCAGCCCGTAACCAGAACTCGTTGTCTTGATAGAAAGGCCGGAGGCCTGTTAGCAGCCTTGACTGTGTTCTCGGATCGGCAACATTAGTCCACAGGAGATTTTCTTTGATGCCGCCACTTGCAACCTTGATGATCCTGGCATCGCATCCAGCATGGTGCATGTCCTCTAGCAGCCCTGTCAGGGAGTCGGCACGGTCAGGCGGCGGAGGCAGAGCAGGATAATGCCACAGGTAAGAGAGTGGTACGAGGCCGAGTCGCACAGCTACTGACTCGACCCTTGTGCGCTGGTAGGTTGACAAAATTGCGCCTGAGCATATAGCATTAGCTTTAGGATGCTCTCTTAGAGCCTCCTGCAGCAGCGGAATCAAGTCTTCAGTCTCATCCACTGATCCATCGACGCTGCTCGCATCGTAATATCGACCTGTTTGGATTGCTGAGCCCGTGATTTCTTTTCGGTATAGTGGGATTCCAAGACATTCAGAGTAGAGAGGGATCACAGAGTGGCCAACAGTCTGGTACATGAAGCTGTTGAGATCTTCGCCCTCGCGCTCATGTTCAGTCCCGTCGCTGTGGGAGGTGCTGATGTCGTGCGCGTGTCCTCGTGGGGGATGCAAATTGGCTAGCGCGACGACTTTGTGGCCATTCTTGAAGCAGTGAAGGACGGAAAAGAGAGAATCCTTGCCCCCAGATATCAATGCGATGACCTTCAATGATTCGGACATCTTTGAGATCGACAAGGCACCTGGGAGGCCGGCAGGATCTGTTACATATACGTCACCTAATGCATCTTGAGCAAAGAGCGACTCGGACTCCTTAAGTAAAGGCACCGAAAGACTCTTGCAGAAACTGTTATAAGATGTCGAACTTAGACATGTTGGTACAAGAGACTATCTTCACACTTTTCACATGAAGTGAAAGACAAGTTGCTTGTATGGGGCTCTAAGATTTCCCGTAGACGGAAGGCGTATATTATACGGCGGAGTACTTTTCCGGGCGTTTTGCACTCGACTTTACTCTCACCCCCAGGACGGTACGGCGTTTGGCCACTAATAGTATTCATCATCCGGCTTTGATGCTCACAGTATGAGCTGGTGTATCTTGGACATGTACACCATATAGCGCTGTACAGATGCATCGGCAAAGTCAAAGCTTCGCGCTGTCCTTGAAGACGTAAAATGCCTGTCCGCGTGGTCAGCAAATTGGAGAACCAACTCTTGTCGGCTCGTCGTGCACTTACCTCTTGAACGCAAGTAGCAATCAATAAGCCTCGGTGACTGAAGATCTTAGAATGAATCATAGCCCTTCCGTCCTTCGCCCAGGGTGTAGTCGCCTCGATATAAACGTTCTCATCAGCCCTAAACCCTTCATGGGCGTGAAAGTGGACGACATGGTTGAGACTGGTCATGATCTTCATTTCATTGGGTCGCTTTGCTCTCGTATGGTCGCCAATGGCGGACTCTCCGGTTGTCACCTTGTGTAGCACAAGTGGACAGTCCATTACATGATAATCAGAAAGATATATGATACCCAGCAGGTGAGCTGGCGAACCCTCAGGCGCCGTGATGTTCGGACTGACCTTCGCGACAACTGGTGCAATACTTGTGCTGGGGTTTTGCGGTCCTAGAAGGAATTAGCAGTCTTTCAAAACTTGTCAGGATGGCATCTGACCTTGGTGAACATGTGGAAGCCTCTCAAACTTCATGAACGGACCCAAATGTGTACGGGTCGGCTCAAAATCATCGAGAGTAATCTCATCGATAACTTTGTGAGTGTTCCTCGATTCCGAATGCTCCATTGCTCGACCTGTCCAGCTTGCTCCACTGACAAAACTTATTGTTACCGTCACACATGGCTTGCCATCCTGCTCGAGAGTCACGAGGCGCACCGCGAATCGTCGTCCTTGGCTGAGCCGCTGAACCTTGTAGACCATCGGTCGTGTCCCATTTGGTGCCAGCATGAAAGACGTTTGTAGGGAGTCCAACTTGAATCCCTCGGGGACAGTTTTATAGGCAGCAAAGGCAGCCTCGGCCATCATCAACGGCCCTGGCACTGTGCCTGTGATCTGAAAGAGCCATGGTTGATGGACATTAGCGAATGCATCCTGCGACTTTTCAGTACTCAGGTTCCGAGGTCGTAGTGTTGACGGCTTTCCACCTGATGGGACTTACTGGACCCAGCTGCTTCAGCTCAATATGGCTCTCGAAATCGAGGCTCTCTGCCGCCCCTTTCTTGCTATGCGCCATGCCGAGCCGAATGGTCGGTCAACGACTGTCATAAATGATAGGATACTTGGTCACATCAGAAGAGTGTATATTAGCTATTCGTATGGTTATGTGCTCTGTTCGCGGCTGTCGGCATGAGGGAGGACGATGTTCAGGTGCTCGCTGGTAAGCCGAGGCTCCCCATACTTGGCTATTCCAGGCTGGATGCCCAGGATGTCATAGTGGTTCATGAACGACCGTGGTGCTAAATTGTGATCTCGAGGCTGTATCTAGCACCTACAGGAATACTCTGGCTGTCTACGAAACAGTCATTGATGTAGATTGACGACCCCTGCCCATCATAAGTACCAGCATAGGTGTAATTACAGGCGTACCCTGCGAGGCCTGGAGCTCGGGGCTCTTCCCTTTAAACGGCTGGTGACCGCGTTGCCGCAATTACGTCATCCACGTGAACAAAGTCTCGACGCCATGCTCATCCTTGAAATTGTGCAGCCTGCGCCCACGACATCATAAATGCCACCACCAATACCTCGTTCCTTCAAGCATCTATCCTTCTCGCAATCGATGCCAGTCACCCAATACTCTCACGTCAAGCCCGGTCTCGCAGTTTCGATAGTGCTGAAAGCAGACCAAAGAACCGGCCGACAGGTTCAAGGCACAGTCTCCCAGCTCCTCACTCGCGGCAACCACCCTCGAGGCATCAAGGTCAAACTCACGGACGGTAGAGTCGGACGTGTTCAAAAACTCCTCCCCGCGCAGCTCTCTCAATCCTCTCATTCCGGACTCCCTACTAAGCGAACCATGACTTCAAACAACCCTTGGGAAGACGCTGCAAGCCAAAATCCTTGGAGCGAGGATCCCCCACGAGCCAGCGACACGAATCAAAATTCCAGCACTGCACAGTCATATTACCAGTCAAATCCGGACTCCTCACAATATGAGGCGCCGTCGCATCCTCCTCCCGGCCGATCGAGCGAGAACCCGTGGCAGCAGGGGCAGCAGGGGCAGCAAGGACAGCAAGCACCTTCACTTCCACCTCGCCAGGCACCGGGACGACAGTCCGACACGGACCAGATGTTAGAAGGTCAAGGTGATCGCGCCGAGCAGATCGAGCACATGCAGCAGTACGAGGCGAGCGCGCCACAAAGTGAGAACGACAGAACACAAGCACAACTAGAAAAAGAGTTTCCCAACATCGACGGCGCCTTGATTGCAGCCATCTACAGCGAGAGACCTGGAGATCTAGCCGAAGTGAGAGAGATGTTGCAAGAGTTGAATGCAAGTTGATATGCTCGACCGCTTTGGGTAAATAGTCTTTAGAGCGCACAGGATGTAAGACACAGCAAGCAAGGCTTATGATATTACGACATTCGAAACCTCCCTCCACAACCGTCACGATCCGTCTGAAAGATGGCAGAGCACAGCAAGGAGTTTTAAGAGAATTGTGCGGACATTGGAATGATGGATCTTTGAGGCTACATGCCTCCAGTCGCTTCAGCCACGTGGTACGACGACTTAGGAGACTCCGCCACGAAGTCCTTGGGTAACGGTTTGGCACGGTGCTTAGATATCGCAGCCATTGCGGTGCCACTGCTGCGAGATCATTCACAGGTGCTCTAGCACGCTCTCATGAAATGCAAAGACAGCCTCATTTATTCTTGCAGTCTACAGTTGTGTTCCCACGTGCTTCGATTGCAGCTACTAGGACACGACCTCCAACTCATGTTCAAGATGCGAGTTTTGCGCTTTCCGTCTTGCAAACTCCTTCTCCGCTCGCCAAACCAGCGGACTGTCGCTGGCAAACAAAATATCTAGGTCCTCCAAGTGACGATTTGCGGTTTCAATATAGAACAGATAGATCGGAATGAGCATCAAGAGATTGATGATCGCGAAGATGATGAAAATCCAAAAATTGACGGCCGAAATCAGGTACGGAATGATGGTGTTGATCACTCCTCCTGCGATCGAAAATGCCACAGTCGCCAACGCTGTTCCCTTTGCACGAGTTGCGAGGGGGAACACTTCAGTAGGGTAAACCCAGCAGGTGGTGAGCCATGTGCTTCCGTACAAAGCTGTATAGATATACAGAATCGCAGTCACACCGGCGCCATAGCCAGTAGCCTTGCTGTTGCCTTTGTTTGCCATGGTTTCATGGCTGAGGATGCCGCCCACAATGAGGACGATTGCCATCATGGTGCACCCTGACAGCATCAAACGACGTCGCCCGACACGGTCACACAGGTAGATGGCCAATGCCAGACTAGCTGTGTACGAGATGAAGTTTCCACCAGCGAGCAATGCCGGCTTGTCGCCAGAAAATCCTCCGAGAGCAAACATCTCTGGAGCATATGTCGCAATGAAGTCGATACCAGTCAGCTTCTGCAGAACCTGGACGCCGCCTCCCAGCATGATGCGGCGGCGAGTATGGAGCTCGTCCTTCTTGAAGAGCATGGTGTAATATGTCGAGGCAGCTGACTTGGCTTCCAAGCGGATCGCTTCTTTGATTTCCTCCATTTCCTGCAGGATTGCCTCGTGGTCCGGGTGCGTGCGACATTGCTCCAGGATTTCCTGGGCCTCATCCAAGCGGCCTGTCTTCGCCAGATGTCGAGGACTCTCCGGAAAGAAGGGAACCATGACTAGGATCAACAGTAGAAAGATGATTTGAAATCCCAACGGGAAGCGCCAGGCGAATGAGACTGACTGAGTTTTGGTGCAGCCGTACTCCATCCAATATGCCAGCGTGCTTCCTGTCAACGCCAGGGTAAACTCGACTGCAACAAACGCGCCACGCAGGTGTGGGTCGGCGATTTCCGACGTCCTGGTCACTGTCAATATACTGCACTCGACTGCATTGGGGAAGGCATTTACCATATGGGCACGACCGTGTTCAAATGGCCGCAACCAATTCCCCCAATGATTCGTGCGACCATCATCATGCCAACATTCTGCGCAGCTGCTTGCAAAACGGCGCCAACGATACCCCAGATACAACCAATCTCAATCGTCTTCAGGCGACCAATCTTGTCGGCATATGAGCCCACAAAGAGCGCACCGATGAGGAAGCCGAGAAACCAGATGCTGACGATACCGCCGACTAGGGCAGCATCTTTGGACGTGCCACCCGCAGCGCCCATGAGTTCGAGATACTCCGCATTGGTGTTGACTTGGGCCATGACACTGGCATCATAGCCGAAGAACATGATCGAGATGCCCGCCAACAACAGAACGGCGTACATCATCGGCCTGCCGCGCAATTTGAGACATCGTGACTTTGAGTAGCCGCCCGGAATGTACTTGGATAGTCGTGACTCGGGCTGCACAACGTCGAGCGTGGAGGGTCCCTCCACTTGCTCGAGTTTCTCCTTCTCGTTCAGAGTAGTAGTGGCTCCCTCAATGATAGCCATGGTTGGAAATTTGGGGCAGACGTAAGGCCTAGTTGACAAAGACTGCTGGACCTCCGCGCATCATATTCATATTCCCATCTCGGTACAAAGTTCACACGACGTATTCGACCGAAGGCCAAAGTTTCCTCGACGTCAATGCCAGCCGCATGTCCGTTTTTGAGCCCCTCTGTATGGGGATCCCCCACTAGGTTTGCACGCCTTGCGAACCAGCGACCTGGAGAAACTGGTGAATGGTGGCAAGGCCCCGGTGGGCTCGCCATAGCGGCATTAAAGCCGTCCTACCCCGAGCATGGGATGGCTGACTTCGGTGCCTTTTCTGCCGAACTGGAGGAGCGCGACAGGTACTGGCTCGCTTCATTGCACCAGTCGACGCCAAGCGATACTACCAGCGAGCACCACCCGAAGCCATAAGAGTTTGCCCTGGATGGTAATTGAGTCTGCTTTCGCTCAGATACCGTTGCTCGGTAGAATGAAACAGAGTCTGCAGTAAGCTTGTGACGACACGGCCGTTCTCGCAAGATGAGATATTCTGCCTCCAAGCTACTTTAAGCTTGGCGCGGGAAGACTTCACGGGTACGCAGTGTCCGTCTCCAGCCTTTCACTTCGCATCACCTGTATCAGGATGTTGGCGAATCGTTCGGAGATCTTCCAGACTCGCATCTTCTGCAAGGTGCGAACAGCCTGCTCTACGACTATCACACGTCCCGATGCCATACTGAGGTCGGACGCGCCATACATACTGATTATGAGGTTTTCCCCATCGTTGACCCACGTCGTGATATCGGAAGCTTCAAGAGGGTCACCTCGAACAGGCTCATCGATCCGGAGCGGCAAGCGATTGCTCTCGCCGCAATTGGCCGGCGCCAGGAACGATGAAGCGTACCAGAGGACCGCGCCGGCATAAAATGCGTGGAAAGCCTCTGTGGGAGTGTTAAAAGTAAAGTCACGACAGATCGCGAGAGTTTGCGCGCTGTGGTATATCACCGACCGAACTTGAACCTGATTCTCCTCACTCCATTGGATCATCCTTTGTCTAGCCGCCTCATTCCGACCTGAGCAGCGTAGCAAAGCAGGCAACCAATCCATAAGATCCGAAGCTGCATACAGATGACAAGTGTGAATGATCAACGCTCGTTGTACTGTTCTCTGGACGTCATCAACCATCATGGTGTCCCTCGCCACATAGGGCGATACGAGATAGGAATCCAACTTTCTCAGGAGATTCTTCTTATGCTCGAGGATAGGCCATCGCTCAGGTCCCATATCCATGATTGGACCCTGCTGAAGCTCTTTCATCGACCATAAGAAACGGCTCAAAGTGACGACAATGATGTGGATGTGTTGGACGTCGGTGAATCGAATGGTCTCCATAACACAGGGATCAAACACGCTCCGCATCGTGTTGCGAAAATCGATGGACTCGTCTTCTTCCGAGAAGTCTGAGGGCCGAAGGGACATCCAGGAAGACGCCGAGGAAGCCTGCCACCGTTCAGTGTCCTCCGGAAGACTGATTGTTAGGTCTCCAGTGCTGATGACTGGTCTTTGATTCCCGAGAATGCTTGCCAATGCATCAAATTCCTGTTAAGCGGGTTAGGGACGTTTTCTGCAACCAGAGACATACCAGCACTCACATATATCGCCCACGCAAGTCGCTTACGTCTCTCGTGTTGGATCCACGCTTGCCATTGTGCCGTGCTATCCCATTCAACGAGTGATTGCATCCTTTGAGACGTGTCGTGGAATAGGCCGGTGAGCTTCGCATTATGGATAAGTGTGCTTCGGTAGGCTTCTCCCACGCTGAACAGACGTCTGTCACCACTGCTGCAACCATATATCCCAAGGAGTATCTGTGAAGTCAGGTATGGTTCGGTTTTGACAAGCTGTGTGGTTTGTTCTTCCGTCGCTAGGAGCATGCGTCTTGACAGCTCTGCCGTTGCCTTTGCAAATGCTTGTGCACCATCTATGTTCGTAAAACAAGCACCAATGCTGGTCATTGCCAGGACAAGGACAACTGGCGCATTGGTAGGATCGAAGGTGGGTTGGTGGATGAAACTCACAACCTATTGAATTCGGTCAGTATCCCGGGAGCACATACACGACTGCGGAATTGGTATCACCGGACGGAAGTTGGCAAAGAACAGATCGATACAATGGTCCAATTTCTCCTTGCTGGGGAAGTTGGCAAGTGAGATGGCACTCCACAAGGGCTTCTCAAGCAGACAGGAAATGCTGCGTTGAAGTTTCGCCCTGCCATCCTCGGTGATCCAGCTCGCTCGAGAGAAACACGGTCGGTTTGGTAGGCTCGATCGATTCTCTCCAAGCTTCGGGATGTCCAATCGCCTGCCGGTCGGGGTGGCACCATCCAAGGGCCAGTCACATTGGCGGTCTCGAGAACTGAGATATTTTGCTGCAGGCTCCTGGGAAGTGCTTGGCCAGCTCTGTTCACTATATGTGAAACTGTTGGTGTTAGAAGTTGGTGGTTCGTTGTTGAACAAGAGGTCATTGAAATAGTTCTCCTCGTGAGGATCCTGAAACAACCAGTCCATATCTGACAGTCCTGTGAGGTCCATGGGGAAAGCATTGTAGTCGGTAGTGTCGAGCAGTTGAGAGGAAGAGTGATGTGCATCTGGAACTTTTGTGGGGGAGGTCGAGTCGACACCGTGGACCACGAGAGCCTCATCTGGAAGGGCTTCTTCGGAGCGGGTGTAGAAAAAGGATGAAGCTTGTTGATTCGATCGCTTGATGGCTTGAGGCGGTGAATTAGGTGGTTCAAGCTCGAGGATGGGAGGTACATCAATGCTTGGATGGACGTCGCTTCTCGACTTCGATTCAGGAAACCGTGGATAGATGCACGAGGCTCGGCGATGTTCGCAGCTTCGACATTGGGGCCGTTCACCAGAACACTTGATTTTGGATCTGGGGAGGCGGCGGTCAGCTTGCATAAGGCGAAGAACGATCTGACCAAATCCTCACTTCTGACACCTATCGCACGATTTCTTTCGGATCTTTGGCCCTCGTTCATGCATCTTCAAATGCCGGTTCAGGCTATCTCTGAGAAAGACGTCAGCCACAACAACCCTATAGGAAGAAGGTCAACGAACTTGCGCACGAAGGGCTTTGAACAGGTGTTGCAAGCGTGCATCGCTGCAGTAACCGTCAAGTGCTGAGGCCGGCAGGTAGAGGTCTCGACTTGAGTATTCTGTTCTTGCCTGATTTGGTTGTCCGGTATCGAGGAAGCTGCGTTTGTCCATGGTCTTTTGTGCTTGACAGCGTCGAGAGTGGTGACCCTTGCAAAACTCAGGAGCCTAGAGATGTCGGAACGGTCTCGTCATTGACGACCCTGGTTATATCTTTGGCAAGACCCCTAGCAATAAGGACGTTGCTGAACAATGCTTAAGTAAAGGGCCCACTGAGATGTAGCTAAGATCTGACACCACTCTTATTAAGTCTCGGGGCGATTCGGGGAACAACACAGACCCCGAACACCCTTTCGATATCCATGTCCTGCTTGACTCAACTGTCAGATGATTGTCAATTTCATAGTCGTTACAGTACATGCAGATCCCCTAGTCACAGCACCTTGATTCGAATGTTCAATTCGGTACTCGGGCCAAATATCAGGGACGATGAGCCGTACGCCACTCGGACTACGTGTGGTGGCGCAGGCTCTGGATCGGCGGACAGACCTTGGACAAGGACAACACACCTGAGACCTCGTAGCGTCTGACTGAGCACTGGAGCCCATGCCCAACCTCGTGCGTTGCGGAATCCGGCCTCGGCAGCATTCCTGCGCTAGAGCGGGATTTGGAATCGCCATGGAACGTGGATCCAGCTTCTTTGTGGCATGAAGTGTAGGATCGTGTAAGATAGGATTCTCGTCAATTGCGACTCGGTTACTCATGGTGCCCGAGACCGGGCTCATGCCAAACCGTAATGCGGGTGAGCGATACCCGTCCTACGAGACTGGCGATCCATGTCAAGGGGCATTCAGCCTTATAGCCTTATCACGTGGTTACATAAGCAAACCTCCTCGAATCTTATCTGTCCCGGCGCCTGACATCCACGTAGAGTCCTCGGATGTTCATGACCATGAAATTGCTGATCTTGATTGGTAATGACGGATCTGACAGTCGGATCTAAAACATCCAGTGGAGTTAGATGTCGAAATAGTATTTCATAGCTGATGCAAGCCAGTGCGAAGGGGGACATATGTTCTGGGATATAACTCACCTCAAAGCAACGCAAAATTGTTGGAATTGTCTTGTAAATCTCCAGCAGTGCGATGTTCCTTCCTAAGCAGGTATGTGGACCAATACCGAAGACAAACATTGCCCGATTCATAGCCGCGAGTCGAGCCTCTTCTTCCGGTCCGCCGTTGTCAAGCCACCGCTCAGGCCGATACTCTAGGGCATCTTCGCCGAAAGTGGGTTTGTGTCGGTTCATGAGGTAGGCAAGGCCAGACACGGTTGTCCGACCAGGAATGAAGTGGCCAGCGATCGTTGCTCCTTGCGGAGGGGTTACACGCTCAAATGTTGCTCCACCTGCAGGCGGATGCAACCGGAGTCCTTCTTGGATACAGGCATCGAGATAGGGCAGTGATCTGCCGTCGCTGTACGATACCACGCCCTCACCAAGAGATGCACTCTTCGCTGGTGGAGGGAGTTTTGAGTGGATTTCTTTCACCGCTTTCTCCATCGCTGAGGGATGCTTTAGCAGATAGTACAGAATTCCAGATAGCGCTGTAGACACCGTGTCGCTTCCCGCGTTGATCGCTGACAATGAAAGTCCCAGCAGCGTTCTGTCGTCAATGAGATCTGGTTGCTGCCTTTGCGCCTCGAGTAGTTTCTGCAGGATATCTGCCTGACGACCCTGGCCAGGGTTTTCCGCATCGCTGCCCTCAACAAGCTGGTTGCGTTTTCGAGTTGCAAGCTGCTTTCGGGCATATGGGACAGTGGGAGTAGGTTTGTCGTACCAGCCGTGTCGTCCAAGAAATAGGAGGATCGGGTTCTTTCTCAGGAGACGATCGAGCATAGGCCAAACGCCCACCTGCAAAGTTATGAATCAGCTTCGGGCCAGATGATCATCCACGTGGGCATACCTACCATAGCGACATACTCAAAGAAGCGCGAAATGGTATGTATCATAGCATCATCTTTCCCATCCGACTCAAGGATACCGTATGAAGAGCTGTAGCTGAGCTTTCCAATCACGTCGAAGGCAAAGTATTGAAGCCATAGTCCCAGGTCCATAGACCCCATTCCCTTCTGGTGGATAAAGAGACTGTCCATCTTCTCCAAGAAGGTTGCGAGTGTTTGGTCGACTTGAGCTTCATACTGGACGATCGACGTCAATGAGAAGGCGTTGCTGACACAGCGCCGCAATTGACTGTGCCATTTTTTGTCGTGGGTCGAGAAAATATTAGGAACGATCTTGCCTTGACTCACCCCTGCATTGACCATGTATTGCCCGGACTTGAGATCCTTGCGTCAGCTGCTTGCCCGGGACCAAGGACTGGATCAAGCTCACCTTGTCGAAGCCAGAGGTATAGATGTCCTTGATGCAGGCTGGATCTGTAAAGACGAGCATATTTGGACCAAGTCGTATCACATCACCATACTTCTCCTGCCAGGCGAGAAAGGGAAGATTCGTGGAATTCCGGTAGGTGTTCCAGACCCTCCATAGACTTGTAAAGGAGGCCAGAATGGGCCCATTGTACCTGTTGAGACCCTTTTGATAGCGCTGCCGGAGAAGTGCAGCAAGCAGGTTCAGTGCTAGAGCAGTCCAGAGCGACCAAGTTGAAGTTTGTCCGATCCCCAGCATATTGAAGGAATGTGTATGCTCTACAAGTCACAAAGTAAGTGCAAAGTCGGTCAGCAAGCTCTTACCTGAAGTCGCTGCTGACGGAGATATATGTTTGACCCATCTGCCTACGGTTTTACAACATCATGACTTTCCTAGCCTTGGTCAGGCGTCGGGCGAGCCGTGGTGGCTTGACGAAACTCAACAATGAACTCTCATTTACGTTAACGCATCTCGGCGTAGCAGGTGAGGGAGGCCTGAAGCATCCATGCAACGCCAACTCTCCACGTCTCCGGAATAAGAAGATGACATGAAGTAAGTCATCTTGAGCAACGGGATGTCGTGGCCTTGACTGGTGGAAGTGTTTGGGTTTGTACACTTCACCCCTGTCTATGAAAGCCTTGGATGTAATCGGGAAGAGGATGCATTGAACTGACCCTGCATATCACTTGATGCCGCGTTGAACTCTATCAAATCTGTTGTTGCTGACATATACCAGTGATACATAGTAGAACAGGTAGGAGAGTAGCTCTGAGAGGTACTTACAGTGGCCTTAAGTTAGTAGCGATACCTGGACCCCGGAAATGACGTTCTTAGCCGGCTGTCAAATGGGCGATCCGCGCCCCAACCTCGCAGTATCTTGCGACGTGTTGCTTCTCCAACTCCGAAAGTGCATGCTTGAGAACCACACTTTGGCCCAGAAGTGAGCAGTCGATACCATGAGGCGGTCGTTATGAAGGTGTTGCCTTTAGCCGCCGTTGTTGTATTCGTTGGACGCTGTCTTGCAAGCGAGAGCGCCTTCAGCGTCAATGATGATCTCTTTGCATTCCCACAGGTTGTACCATACGCTTCCTCTATTGTCAGGTCTACCTGCTAACTTCCAACAGTATGCCGTAGAGTTCGCCGACTCCTATGTTCTCGAGGCTGATGCCTCCTTGCTGTCGAATGGCGATGGAGGCAATCTCTTCTCCGACACGGCTCCGGCAACTTCGGACGTGAGTGACCTATCCTCCAAAATCAATACCGAAGGTCACGAAACTGCGCCAGAAGCCGAATCCTATCCCCCTGGCACATATGAGCGCCTTCTGCTACACGGGTACCCCCATCTGTGCTTCATACCAGAGGCTAAAGCAGGCGTCAACAATGGCACACGAGAGGAGCCATCGGCGGCAGACCGCGAGAAAGAGCTGGATCATGCAGTCACTCGAGGGTCAGAGCTCCTGCAGGGAATGGCTTCAAATCAGTGCCTATACTATTCGACGGGATGGTGGACGTACTCATTCTGCTACAATTCTCAGGTGACCCAGTTTCACGCTCTCCCGCCTGGTGCCAATGGCAGAGTTTGGCCGCCGCAGGAGGATCCCACCACTCCTAGTTACGTCCTCGGCAAGTTTGAAATGCCAAAGAAGCCCGAGTCGGCTGGACCGAATGATCTGGCTCCGTCAACAGAGGTCAAGTCTCAAGCAGAAACAAATTACTTGGTCCAGAGACTCGAAGGAGGAACTCCATGCGATCTCACTGGCAACAACCGCAAGATTGAGGTACAATTCCATTGCAACCCTCAACTAACAGATCGGATTGGCTGGATCAAAGAAACAGCCACCTGTGCCTATCTGATGATGATCTATACACCACGATTGTGCAACGACGTAGCCTTTCAGCCGCCAAAGGAGAGCCGAGCTCATCCCATTACTTGCAAAGAGATTATCACAGAAGACGAGGTCGCCTCGTGGGATGCTGCCATTGACGAGAGAAACACGCGGCAGACACTCGGTCAAGGCAAATCGGCGCAAATTGTGTTGGGCCATATCGAGGTCGGTGCCATGAAATATGTTGGTCGTGAGGGAAAGAGGCTGGAAAGAGGACGCATCGTACTTACACAGGACGAGAAGGCAGAGACGGTCATCATGCAGAAGGATGGTCAGGTGTCGAGTTTGTCCGCCGCCGAACTCAAGAAGCTCGATCTCAGTCCTGAGGATGTCGAGTCCTTCCGCAAAGAGTTGCAAAAGCTCGCAGGCGCCAAAGACTGGAAGATCGAGCGACTAGATGATGTGAACGGCCATATACAACTGCGAGGCATTGTTTCAGCCGAAGACGAGGATGAGGAAGAGCCTACCCAGACACCCAACACAGACAAAGACAAAGACGAAGATGAGACATCTGGCAGTCAGGAAGAGTACGTGGAGGAGGTGTGATAAGCGGTCGCCTACGACCGCCAGTGCTCCTGGAATACGTCCCTTTCCCAAGCCATCAAACGCCCAGGTAGCGTTGAGGAGAGTTGTAAAATACTAGCACAGTAAGAAGACACTTTGGCATATTGTTCTCCGCTCATCCCATTGTGAGAAAATGAATGTCCGTATTAATATGGCTCTGCATTGAATATGGCATGTAAGCATGAAGCCTGATGAAGGAGAGTTTGGATGGAAAAGCCCAATGAGGATTACATAATGGCTTGGCAGAGTCGTCGTCGTACCGTACCAGGTAAGTTGAGTTACAGCTGGCGGGCCGACAATAACTTAGTAGCAGTAAGTTCCTCCGTAAGGTAAGTTACTTGGTGCCATGCTTTGCCATGGTTCCTGGAATCGGAGCACCTGCGTCCCATCCATCCATCCATGACAGCAACTCTATCAATCAACCCATGAAACTAGACCTGCATTTCTCTCGCAAGCCTTGCATGACTTGAGCGACTTGTCTACCTCAAGCTCTTTGTCCCTTTCTCCGAGGGAGCCTTCCTCTGCAACGAGTAATCCCCAAACACACCCGCGTCGTCGTCGGTCAACTCATCTCATCTTACGACACCTGCTCGCTTAAAGAGCCACACGAAACACTCAACTTTCGCTCCTTCAACAAGTCCGGCATAATCTATCGCCGCATTTCAGCTCATGGCATTTGGCTCATAATCCTCCTTTCCCAGTGTCGTCCTGCTTGACTGCCATCCATTTTGTTCCCACTATGGGCTTCGTGGCAGTATGTACGGCAGTTTACGATTACCAGCCGCAAAGCACCGGTGAACTAGAGATCAAAGAGGGAGAGCTACTATATATCCTTGAGAAGAGCGCGGAAGATGACTGGTGGAAGGCGAAGAAGAAGGCAGCTGGAGACGATGATGATGAACCAGAAGGGCTGATCCCAAATAATTACGTCGAGGAGGCCAATCCGACACACAGCGCAAGGGCACTGTACGACTATACTCGGCAGACGGACGAGGAGGTCTCATTCACCGAAGATGCTGCGCTTGACGTATACGATACCTCGGACCCCGACTGGACCTTGGTTGGCATAGGCGGTGAGTTCGGCTTCGCGCCTGCGAACTATATCGACATTACTGGCGATGCGTCCTCGTCTTCCCCAGCGGCTTCTTCCAGGCAGGCTGCTCCAGCTGCACCAGAGCCCGCCATGCCAACACTCCCGACGCGAGCACCTCAAAGTCCCGCCGCAGCCAGCCTCGCCCGCGTCCTTGGAGGAGGTGCTCCCACTTCACCTACAGCTGCCCGCCGCATCCAGTCACCACCACGGCAAGAACTCACGCCGGAAGCATCGGACGACGACGAAGAAGCCCCAGCTCTGCCACAAAGACCTCAATCCCAGGCGCGGCCTCCTCCAATCTCCTACGCCTCCCAAGACGACGAATCACAGGGAGTTCTTCCCTCTCCTCCCTATAATCGCGCGATTGGACGGCCTGATGATGACGATGCGCCAATCAACTCTCCGGGTGGTTATCATTTGTACAACATAAACGAGATGGTTTCGGCCATGGGCCGCAGAAGAAAGATGCCCACCACATTGGGCATCAATATTGCGACAGGTACAATCATGCTGTCTCCGGAGAAGTCAAGAGACGGCCCTTCGCAGGAATGGACCGCTGATAAGATGACGCATTACTCCATTGAGGGCAAGCATGTCTTTATCGAGCTCGTCAGACCCAGTAAAAGTCTAGACCTTCATGCCGGCGCCAAAGACACCGCCGAGGAGATTGTCCGTGCCCTTGGCGAAATCGCCGGAGCGCAGCGCGCGGAAGGCATAAGAGAAGTCATTGAGGCGGCTTCTGGCGGCGCTAGCCACAAGAAGGGGCAAATCCTCTACGATTTCATGGCTCAGGGTGATGACGAGGTCACAGTTGGCGTAGGAGATGAAGTCATTGTCCTGGATGATACTAAATCGGAGGAATGGTGGAACGTGAGGCGTCTCAAGAATGGCAAAGAAGGCGTTGTGCCGAGTAGCTATATCGAGGTGACCGGATTCGTCAACGTTGAGCCGCCATCGCGATCCGGCATCAATGCCGGCCTATCCACCATCGAACAGAACCGGCTGGAGGAGCAAAGGCTGGCCAGAGAAGCAGCAAGGGCGGACAAAGCCCGCCAAGAAGCCGAACAGGCACGGTCGCGCAACGAGATCCCTCAGCGCGGTAGCAGTCTTGCAGACGACCAGTCAAGTCGCAGAGACCGCAAAGACAAAGATGACCGGAAGAAACGATCCAAGCCCGATACAGCTAAAGTACGGACGTGGACTGACCACTCTGGAACTTTCAAAGTTGAGGCCCAATTCCTAGGAGTGGCAGACGGCAAGATCCATCTGCACAAAGTCAATGGCGTCAAAATCGCCGTTCCCGTGACGAAAATGTCGCCAGAAGACCTCGAATATATTGAGAAGGTGACGAACGAGTCGATTGAGGATCACATCCCAGTGGCTGATTTGATCAAGAAACGCCGAAGTCAGCAATCATCAATGGACCAAACTAATTCTCGAAGCGGAGCCAGCATCGTACCTCGCGGTTCCGACCAACCTAAGGTCCCTGATTATGACTGGTTTGACTTCTTCCTAAAGGCCGGCGTGGGACCGCATCAGTGTGAAAGATATGCTCAGGCGATGGTACGAGACTCCATGGACGAGAGTGTGCTACCAGATATCACACCGGAGACTCTACGTACCTTGGGGTTGAAGGAGGGCGATACACTCAAAGTCATGAAGTATCTCGACCAGAGATTCGGAAGAACCAGGTCTGCAAGCGTCAATGGGACCAATGGCGAGGCTCCGGCAGGAGGTATATTTTCAGGTCCTGGTGGGGCACTGCACAATAACACTCGCAGAGGCAGGCCTGATGCCAATCGCCAGACCAACGACGTTGTCGATGCAGAAGCATTTTCGACCGTGGACAGCGACACTAAACCCAGGACCGAGGCAAAAGCGACACCTTTGGCAGAGGGGCCTTCAAGAGAGCCGAGAGGTGGGTTTGATGATGATGCATGGACTGTGAAGCCGGCACCACAATCCGCTGCTCCAACACCGGCACCGGCGGCTGCCAAACCACCCACAGGCGCCATCCGAGATCTGTCTCTGCTGGATGCTCCCCTCGTGCCGACACCTGCGCAACCCCCGGCACCGGCAGCCTCTCAGCCAGCGCCAGCATCACAACCGCAGCCAGCTCCTCCCGTACAACAACCGCAGCAGACAGGAGCCAATGCACAATTCTTTGCACAGCTGCCCCCTCAGCAGACTGGAATACAGCCACAGCAGACAGGTTACCAGCCTCAGCAGATGAACCCACCACGTCAGAGACCCATGGCGCCACAAAGTTTTACTGGTGCAAGTCTTCTACCCCCACCGCCACGGCCAACGTCTGCACCACAGAATCCTCAGCAGAGTCAGTTTGGCCTTCAAGCTTTGCAACCACAACTTACTGGTATTCCACGGACTTCGGCACTGCAAGCACCTCCTGGTCAGAGTTTGAATGATCTTAACCAGCAACGTTTGCAACAACAATACCAACAGATGCAGTTGCAAAGTCAACCAACTGGCTATGGTCAATTTGGTCTGGTTTCACAACCTACTGGCTTCCAACAACAACAGCAATTTCCGCAATTCCAGCAGCCATATCTTAACGGGAACGCTGCTGGAAGTCCTTTTGCAGACCCTCGCCCGTCGTTCCAACCACAACCTACCGGGATTCCCTACCAGCAAAGTCCAGCACCTGGCGGTGTGAACTCCGTTCTTCCACCGGCTCTACAGCCACAGAGAACTGGGTATACAGCACCGCTCCAGCAAGCCCAAAGCAATGGTTTTGGTCAAGGCATCCAACCCCAGCCTACAGGGTTCGGTCAGCCTCAGCCGTTTCAAGCTCAGCCTCAGCCGTTTCAACCCCAGCCTACAGGCTTCCAACAGCAACTTCAGCCACAGCCGACAGGATTTGGTCAACCACCACAACAGAATGGGTTCCAAAGCTTTTCGCCGCCACCAATCCCTCAATTCCCTACCGTTGCACCATTGCAGGCACAGAAAACCGGGCCGGCTCCCAACATCAAGTTCGGATCAACAGCGAAGAAATTGACCCCTCAACCTACAGGTCGCCGTGCAAATCTTGCCAATGCTAGTAAGTTTTATGCGGTTCTATCAACCTCAGGATGAATATTGACTGTGGTACAGCCGCTGACAATCCCTTTGGGTTTTGATGTTATATACTGGAATGCACCTGGCGCTCTGCAACCCATGGCGTTCTACAAATTTCGTGCCTGAACACCTGTCGGTTACCGTCACACGCACATTTCTACTGTTGTGCAGCATCATCGATATCGGCCGCTAGCATGAGGGAACACGGGAAGGGCTGCTCGAGGCTAGGGGTCATCTCCCAAGCCGTTCCTTTCATGACCAAGGCCTATATCTGAAGCCTGTATTTAGATGGAGGGTGCGAGTCTGGTTGATTGTGGAGCATTAGCAAAGGAGTTTCAAGGCTCGAATCACGCGTGAAGGGCAAGGTTTATTTTGTGGTTTGCAAGCGGCATTGAAGAAGCATTTCGTGTTTGCACAGAGCTTGCAAAGCTCTTTGCAGAGGCTAAAGCTCGGGGACATTGTACCATGTAGGCACGGCACGCACGAATGGCACGCACAAGTTCGTATATATGTTGGCGCTTTGATTTGATGAGAAGAGAGTACGTGTTGAACTTACTCGCTGGGGTTGAGGGTCGAATACAGCCTCAAGTCCCTTCAATGCCTGTTTACGGTATTGTACTGGGTCTACTGGACGAACCAGGTACAAGTAATGCACTTACTGGAGCTGAAATGTTAAGCCTTCCTATTCGAGATTCCAGGGACTCTATTTGGAGACAAGAATATTTGTGTGAGATGCTTTTTGGCCCAACCCTGCTTCCGTGTTTCGGATTATTGCGCAATCACGATGCGATATATACGAGGATTTTCCAGTTTGGGAAACATGCGGTATTCGACGGTAGCACAGCAGAAATCGATCACGGATTCACAGTGATGATCGGACAACGTGGGTGGCCTGAACGGCGGCTATGCACTGAAGGCAGGGTCTCTGAGTCCCTACACCGTCATGCCGGATCGGGACATCTCAGCGTTCCGGAGGATGTTACAGGCGCTCCATCTGCTTTCCCAGGCTAGAAGTCAGGCACGTTCCCAGGGGGGCTATGCATGACAGCATACCGAGATACTGCTCCACTTCTCCGTGGCTTTAGACTCGCGTTTTCTTCTGCTTTTGTTCTCTTGCTTTGGCAGTTCACGGCTTGCTGCCATCCCAGATGTTGCGTCAGCTTCGAGCTGCATACCCAATGTCGAATATGGATCGCTACAACACAATGCCATGCCTTGCGGATTTGAAGCTGAGATCGGTGCCTCGTGTGCAAAATACGCACCGAGGAGCGCTGCAGTTAGGTATTTATTGTCCTGGATGGTCCCAAGGTCAAGTTCATCCTCATCTTCAAGATACCCTCCTTATCCTTTTCTTGTCTTTTCTTGCCCTAGACATTGATGTCCTGTTCTGTTACCTCTGCTTGATTGTCTAATATGACGGAAAAGATCCCCGGGCCACGCGGACTTCCCATTATCGGCAACCTCATAGATTTATGGGATGGTGAAGGCAGCATTCTTCGATCTCTGGAGCGTGTTGCTGATATCTATGGACCAATCTATCAGGCCTCGGTAGGTCCAGGACCTCGCCGTATCATATGCAGTTCAGAATCTCTGCTGGAAGAATTGACCGACGCGCGCCGCTTCGTTAAGGTACCTCCAGTGATTGCGAACGATGGAGATGCGAAAGGTCTTTTCACAGCCCCCAACGAAGACCCGGACTGGGCTCAGGGCCATCGGATTCTGATGCCAGCATTCGCACCGCTGTCGGTTCAAGAAATGTTTACAGACATGAAAGACATTGCCAACCAACTCATTCTTTCCTGGGCAAGAAAAGGCCCCGAAAATCGAATATGTGTCACGGATGACTTCACGAAACTGACACTCGACACCATTGCGCTATGCACCATGAACTATCGCTTCAATTCCTTCTACACCGAGGCTATGAACCCTTTCGTGGAAGCAATGCTGGTGGTTTTGAAGGAAAACAATGCCAAGAACAGCAGACCTGGTTTCGTCAACAAGCTCATGTTCCGAAAGGAAGCTGAACGTCAAAAAGGCCTTGCTTTCATGAAGAAGGTCGGTATGGACATAGTCGAGAACAGACGGGCCGACCCTGTGGAGAAGAAGGATTTCTTGAACACTCTGATCTATGGGAAAGACCCAAAGACAGGTGAAGTCATGCGTGACGACTTGATCACAGCACAGATGACTACCTTCCTTATTGCTGGTGAGTCAGAATGGCCCGGCTACAGAAGCTATACTAAATCCTGATAGGTCACGAAACCACGTCCGGGCTCCTGTCATTTGCAATGGCGCATCTGCTGAAGAACGCTCACACCTACTTGAAAGCTCAGAAAGAGGTTGACGACGTCATTGGCACCAGAGCGATCGAAGTCGAAGATATCAACAAGCTCAAGTATCTGAATGCGGTGTTTCGAGAGACTGCTCGTCTCTCGCCCACTGTCCCCGTCTTGCAGAAGAAGGTAAATCCCGACATAGCACACAATATCGTGACTGTGGATGGCGGAAGATATAAGATCGAATCGGACGATCAGGTGGTGATCCTGCTGGGCAAAGCTCAAAGGGACCCCAAGGTCTGGGGCGAGACTGCGGCAGACTTTGACCCTGATCGTATGGCAGACGAAAACTTCGACAAGATCATGAGTGAGCACCCTGGTTGCTGGAAGGTGAGTTGACATCCTACATATTTGCTGTGGCACGACGTTGACAAAGCACAGCCTTTTGGAAACGGAAAGAGAGCCTGTATTGGCCGTCCTTTTGCCTGGCAAGAATCGATGCTCGTAATTGCCATGGTGCTCCAGAATTTCGATGTGAAGCTGGATGATCCCAAGTACATATTGAAAATCAAGCAAAACTTGACCATCAAGCCTGACGATCTCTATGTCCGAGTCACGCCACGGAAGAATATGGACGCAACGACTGTCGACAGGATCATACATAACAAGACTCGAATGGGCGGCACCAACGGCGTGACAAAGGCGACGGAACTCTATGGGGACATTCCGCGCCCTGGATCATCGTCGTCGACGACAAAGCCAATGACAATTCTGTATGGCTCGAATACTGGGACATGCCAAGCTTTCGCTCAGAGGTTGGCATCGAATGCTGCGTCTCACGGGTTCCAGGCCAGTGTCATGGACATGGACGGCGCTACAGACTCGATGCCTAAAGGCTCACCTGTTGTTGTTATCACCTCATCCTACGAAGGACAGCCTCCAGATAATGCAGCCAGATTCATCGAGTGGCTTCAAGGCTGCAAAGAGGTTTCTCTGTCCGGCGTCGAGTATACCGTGTTTGGGTGCGGTCATAGTAAATAGCCCCTCTTTCTACTTGGTGACCTGATGCTAACAACGTGCTTAGGAGAATGGTCTCAGACCTTCCATCGTATCCCCAAGCTGACCGACAGCCTGCTCGCAAAGTACGGAGCCAGACGCATCGCACCTGCAGGCTACGCCGACGCAGCCAAGGGCAATCTGTACGGCGATTTCGAAGACTGGCTCGATACCTCTTTGTGGCCGAACGTGTCTGGGCAAGCATCGGACGACTCTCAACCCACCATTCAAATGGACGTCGAGGTCTCGACCAATGCTCGCGCCTCGAGTCTTCGCTACGACGTCAGCATCGGAAAAGTCACGGAGAATAGAGTGCTTACTGGCGCTGGAGAACCGACCAAGTGCCACATGGAGATTGAGCTGCCGTCCGACCTGACTTACGAATGTGGCGATTACCTCGCAGTACTCCCCCTCAACTCGGAAAAGAGCGTCAAACGCGTCATGGCGCACTTTGGCCTGCCCTGGGACGCGGTCGTCACTGTGAAAGCGACGGGGCCATCTATCATCCCTAAGAACGTTCCGCTCTCGGCGTTTGATGTTCTCCGGAGTTACGTTGAGCTTTCGCAACCTGCGACGAAGAAGGTATCCACTTTGCGTCCTTGCTCTTCGAACTGCTGCTAACGGCTTTGTCTAGAATCTGCGCACACTAGCCATGTACACCGCCGAAAACACCGATAAGACGTATCTGGAGGGTCTCGCCGATGATGACACGAGGTTTGAGACCGAGATGGTCAGCAAGAGAACAAGTCCATTCGATCTTTTGGTCAAGCACGCAAGTGTCAACCTTCCTTTTGGCGAATTCTTGGGCCTCCTCCCACCACTGCATGTGCGGCAGTACAGTATCTCCTCGTCCCCTCTGGCCGACGCGAATAAATGCAGTATAACTTACGGGGTGATCGAGACTCCGGCATTGTCGGATCCAGAACAACGTCAAAGATTTGAAGGCGTCTGTGGGAGTTACTTGCGCTCATTGACAAAGGGTGACTCCATTCAAGTCAGTGTAAGGCCCAGCGCGAAGAAGAGCTTCCGATTACCTCTGGACGCTGAATCCACGCCGTTACTCATGTTCGCTGCGGGGACTGGGATAGCGCCTTTCCGCGGGTTCTTGCAGAGCCGGGATGTTCAGATGCGTGCTAATCCAGGACGTAAAATGGCGAGGGCGCAGTTGTTCGTCGGGTGTCGGAGTAAGACTGAGGATAGGTTGTACGGCGGGGAGATTGATGAGTGGGTGAGACGGGGCGTGGTTGATGTGAGGTATGCTTTTTCGAGGGACAGTGAAGAGTCGGAAGGGTGTAAGTATGTTTCGGAGCGGATGGTGAGGGATGCGAGGGATGTTGTTGAGGTGTGGAGGGGTGGGGCACGGGTGTATGTCTGTGGGACGGGGAGTTTTAGGGATGGTGTGAGGGAGGCTGCTGTCAAGATCGCTGAGATGGTTGCCGAGAAGGAGGGAGGGCGCGAAGGGTCGGACGAGGAGAAGGCGGAGGTGCAAAGACGGTTTACGGCAATGTTGGAGGAACGGGTTGCTAGTGATGTGTTTGATTAGATTTTGCTCTGTTGGCATCGGGTGGAGACTCATAGATGGGATATTGACAGATTTTTCCACAGTGTGGTTCATAAGATGGCACGATAGTGCTGCCAAAGCTGGTGCTTCTCTAGGAGTCTTTGTATCGACGTGTCGTTCGGTCTATCAGTTGTGTGAGGATCCCCTCGACATCTGGGCCAACGTAACAACTCGTCGTCCATCGCGCGGCCTTCCTATGACTCTGTCAGACACCATGACCTGTGTCTGTATACATCTATGTTCAGGCCCAAATGACCATGCCTGACAGGTTGCCTGTCGTCAGTCATGCTATTGGAGTTTGAATCATGTGGTAACAGCAAGAACCAGTCCGACGACTCAATCCTGTGTTTGCACGATGTCAGAACAAGGGTGTGCGCAGTTTGCCAGCCCTGTAACGTTAGGAGAGATTGTGAATTGAAAAGAGCTTCAACAAAAGGACAGGAGGATATCGAAATTGCAATTTCAAACACAATGCGGCATTTTGATATTCAGCCATCCATAAACTCCATGCTAACTGCCATTCAACCTCTATATACGTGTAGACCAAAACCGCCAAACGGTACCCATTCAGAACTCCTCAATCCCGTCCCCAGAAAATCAATATTCCAAAACGATCAAACACCTCAACACCGAGCTCATCACATAGTCCTAGACCTTAGCAAACCCTCCAAACGCCAAGATGATGCCACGGAGCAGGTCCGTCGGGTTAAGCGAGTTGAGCAATGCTCCTGCTGGACCGTAAACGGTGAGAGAAGCACCATCCTCCTTCTGACTGTGTTTATACTCGCTAGCACGGAAGACAAAGTAGAAAGAGACCACGTTGATCAGGGATTCTATGCAGACAAGTAGAGCCTGTATACCGATGGTGATGTCGTGGTATGTTACTTTTGAGTTGCCTGAGACATGCGAGGAGAGGATGCTGAAAACAAACTGTGATCGGATTAGCTTTCCTTCAGGGTGGAAAACGCTGCTGAACTTACGTGCTGAATCGTGGTTACGGCGACGAAAAGTTTGAAGCTGAGGAGCTTGGGAAGAGCCTTGCGTCCAACCATGTGGTGTTTGAGGCGACGCTGGAAGCGGATCACGTTGATGATGGCGATTATTGTAGACCCGAGTTCGAAGACTTGTAGCTGTAGAGGGAGAGGCGTTAGTATTGGTTGTTCAGTGTAGAGGAGAAGTCCGTGGGAGGACGTACCCAGACATGAGCGAATCTTGGCTTCATCGAGGTCGCGCAGTAGACTCCAACTGCTTGGGTGATTTCTTGCGCGACGATGAGGATTGTATATGCGACTAGGTAGAAGAAGACGATTCTCCAGGTGCGCTGTGCTAAAGTTAGCATAGTACAGGATGGTCTGAACGAGAAAACGACGTACACGAAACCATTTCAGGCTCCCCCCAGGAACAAGTCGTCCCTTTTTCTTCGTGTTTTCGAGTTTACTGAAGAATTCGTCTCTGGTGCCGGCGCCAGGAGCGACGAAGTCGACGTAGAGCAAGAACAGGGATGCCAAAGCCACCGCTTCATAGAGCGCCGCGATGGGCTCGAGGTATTGCGCGCCGCTATAGGTCTGGAGTGAGACCGCGTAGACAAGAGAGTAGACGACTGGTAGTAAGATGATGCGGATGATTTGTCGTTGTTCGTTGGGAACTCTGTAGTGCAGGAAATGAGGAATCATGAGTCCCAGGGAGAGTAGTGCCGTGACGCCAAAGCAGACCCAGCCGATGATTTGCATGAGATGCTGGAATGTCAAGGAACCTGCGACAGGCACTCCTTTCGCATTGGCATTGGCGGGCTCGGCTGGACATGTTGAATTTCCACCTGAGTGGGAGAGGATGCCCATGTTGAGACGGGGAAGGGAAGTTAAGTTTTGTGCAAAGAGGTTTTCAGGAGATGTGTGACGTTTGTTATCTGGACGAGATGTGGAGTGCTGCTTGAACAATGGACCCTCTCGAAGTACGGATACCTTCATCTTATATGTGTATATCCATGATTCCAGATTGGGCGCCTACCCGCTTGACCGAATGTAGAAGTATTCGCGTAAACCATGTCAACTTCTCCGTCTCGGGCCCGGTCTACACAAACCTCCATAGTATGATGGAGAGGGAGGGTACACTGCCACAGCAGTACCTACCAGATTGCGAGCCGCCTCATTCCCAAGATCAAGTTGTGTTGCGTCCACGTCAGATACACAGAGAGACCTGAGAACGGTCTTTCGTGGATATGAGAGATTGTCTTCGGACCGGCGAAACTGAACGTCCGGAACAGCCTCATGGGCAATCCAGTGACATGACAACCTGGCACTTGCCGGGAATGTACTTAGTACCAGGGTTTCTCCTGCCGTAGCTGCCAACTCGGGCTTACCTTTCTGATTGGGCAGCTGCGACGCTCTCGTTTCAGCTGGTTGCTAAAGCATTGTTTATGTCATGATGTCTACTTGCAGGCACTACTGGGGGTCCCTAGGGCTGTGACGTTGATTCTCCAACACCAGGCTCCCTGTCGGCGGGGTCAGGTTTGTGGCCCGAGTTGCGAATGGCACAGGCTCGAACACTACTCATCCACATAGCTGAAAGGCGAAACACGAGCAGAAGATCGCAAACCGCGCCTCATGCCTCTCGTCATGTTGGTCAACTCGTGTTGAGATGAACCTTTTCTTTAAGCACCGGGGGCTTGCGAAACCTTGCGACTGGATTCGGGAGCTCCATCCCACGGGATACGGGGGTTGTTCTTTTATTAGGGGTCTCTTTGCAGCAGCAATCCTGCCCAAATGGGGACATCCATGCGACGCCTGGAAAGATCTTTCGGCTTTCCAGGAACTAAACCCTCATTCAATCATTTAGGCCATCCGTTGAAAGGGGTGGTCCTTGAACAAGCGATATGATTTACCACTAATTTGGAGGCACGGTTTGAGCAGCGGTCACCTAAGGGTCGCGAAAATGCCCGTATTTGTGAGTTCAATTGTTCCGGTGCGATGCAACCAGCCTCGTGAGCTTGATCGCTTTCATCATACAGCATGGGTCGCATTGCGGTTCGGCTCCTCGATGTCTAACTCGGATCCTCTGTGCGCGACTAGAGATGCTCACATGGCGGTATCTTGCTGGCGAGACATAAGAGGGTCTTCGCACAAGACATATGGAGCTCGCAGGCAATTAAAGCTCATCTCCTCAAAAGCAACACCTCATGTTGTTTGCGGACGGTCAGGTCCAAGCATCGATCATGGCTTCCACAGGCAGTCGCAGATCGAGCACAGAGTCCGATTACAGAGAGGTGTTCACAGCTGCCATACATGACCGTCTGCGAACAGGGTTAGAGGCGCACGTTCAGCGTCAAAAGTCCAAACGAAAACACCACGGGCTACCTCATAAAGCGTCGCGGGATGCAGATTTGACTCGAATTGCAACAAACCTGTCCAAAGATATCGGCGTTGCACACCAGACTCTTTCAGACGTTGATCCACGTCTGGATCCAGAAAATGAGGCTTTCGACTTTCGATTTTGGGCATCCACATTCATCCACTTGGTCAGAGAGGATGGTATCGGGCGAGCGTCCGTGGGATTCTCGTTCACATCACTCACGGTATCTGGGACAGGGTCCAGCGTGGTCGTCCAGAAGACAGTTGCATCTCCCCTCCTTGCATTGGCACGGCTCCCATTGCTTTTTACGAAGCCAAAAGGGCAGCCGAAGGTCATTCTGAGCAGCTTAAATGGCTCGGTCAGGAGTGGCGAAATGCTTCTTGTTCTTGGAAGGCCAGGGAGCGGCTGTACAACTTTCCTTAAAGCCATCACTGGTCAGCAACATGGCCTGGCCCAGTCCACTGACACGGTGATTACCTACGATGGAATTTCTCAGGCAGCATTCATCAAGAACTTCAAGGGTAGAGCCGTGTACTCGGCAGAGAATGATGAGCATTTCCCACACCTGACCGTGGGCCAGACACTAAGCTTCGCTGCGATAGCCGAGACTCCTCGTACACGCGTCCAAGGCGTCGATCGAGAATCTCATGCAATCCACATGGTTGAAGTTATGCTGCGGATATTTGGCCTGACACATACTCGAAACACCAAAGTTGGAAATGATACCATTCGTGGTGTTAGTGGTGGCGAGCGAAAACGTGTCAGCATCGCAGAAATGGCTCTGGCACGATCCTCTGTTGCTGCCTGGGATAATTCCACACGAGGCCTCGACTCTGCAACAGCCTTGGAATTCGTTCGGTCCCTAAGGACCTTGGCAGATATCCCCGGAGTTACTCAGGCCGTCGCCCTGTACCAAGCAAGCCAAAGCGTCTATGATCTCTTTGACAAGGTCTTGGTCTTGTATGAGGGCCGACAGATCTTCTTCGGCTTAGTCGAACTGGCACGTCCGTATTTCGAGAGGATGGGATGGTATTGTCCTCCACGACAGACGACTCCGGACTTTCTCACATCCGTCACAAACCCTGCTGAGAGACAGGTGCGGAGAGATTTCGCAGGGGCTATCCCAACGACAGCTCTGGAATTCGAGAAGTACTGGCATCAATCTGGAGAATATGCTGCTTGCATGGCCGAACTCGCACAAAGCCAGATGGACGACCAGCATATTGGACGCCTCCAAACACTTCGTGATGCCCATCGCTCAGCACAAGCGAAGCACACCCGAGTGAAATCGCCCTACCTATCATCAGTGTGGATGCAGACCAAATTCTGCATGAGAAGATCAACACAATTGCTCTGGAATGATCGTGGAGCGACCGTGACGCTGACAATCGGACGAGTTATACTGGCCCTCATTATTGGCAGCATTTTCTATGGCCCGCCGGATACAACGGCAAGCCTGCAGTCAAGAGGTTCGGTCATCTTTCTCGCTACCTTAATGAACGCTCTCATGGCGGTGACGGAGATCTCGTCGTTATTCTCGAAGCGTAGAGTGGTCCAGAAGCAGAAGAACTATGCTTTCTACCATCCCTTCACCGACGCTTTTGCAGCCTATCTGGTCGATGTACCTGTGAAATTCGTCATCGCGACTCTTTTCAATCTCGTCTTTTACTTTTTGACTGGTCTGCGGCGGGAAGCCTCCAGCTTCTTCATCTTCCTGCTTTTCAACTTCATCAGTCTTCTCTTGATGTCAGCAATATTTCGGAGCATCGGCGCACTCTCGAAGCAACTTCCTATGGCCTTCGCAATTGCTGGTATTGGAATCCTCGTCCAGGTCATCTACACCGGTTACACGCTGCAAACGAGTTACATGCACCCGTGGTTTCGATGGATCAATTACATCAACCCAGTTGCGTACATATTCGAAGCACTACTTGTCAATGAGGTGCACGGTCGAGAATATCCTTGCGCACCACAAAATATCATTCCGCCTTATGGTGGCAAGTCGAATTTCGCATGTGCCGTTATTGGTGCTCAACCCAACTCACGCTTCGTCCTGGGAGACGATTGGGTATCTTCTGGGTACGATTATAGCTATTCTCACCTTTGGCGGAACTTTGGAATTGCGATTGCTTTCATGATGTTCTTCCTTCCGCTACATCTGATCGCCACAGAATTTCGCTCCACTGCGGTAGGACAACCACAGCGACTGATTTTCCGAAACTGGAAAGCAGCACAGTCTCTGGCGGAGGCCGCTCAAGATGTCGAGGCAGCGGGATCGGAGAAGTCGAACCAATTCGTCGCCGCTTCTCTCGATATCAAAGAAAAACTGTCAAAGACTACAACCATCACGGAAGCTGAGGCTGCACGAGAGAATGTGAAGGTTGCAAAGACATTGGACCATAGTGGAACGTTGACTTGGCAAGATGTGACGCTCGACATCAGCATCCAGGGTACACCACGACGACTCCTTGATAATGTGACTGGTTGGGTCACTCCTGGTACGCTTACCTGCTTGATGGGCGTTTCAGGTGCCGGTAAAACGACACTATTGGACACCCTGGCGCAACGTCATAACACTATGGGCAAGGTCTCTGGGACTATCATGGTAGACGGCATGGCATTGAAACGATCATTTCAACGCAAGACCGGCTACGTGCAGCAACAAGACCTGCATCTTTCGACAAGCACAGTCCGAGAAGCCTTAAGGTTTTCGGCGGTCTTGAGGCAACCAGCATCTGTCTCGCCGGAAGAAAAGTACTCACACGTCGAAAAAGTCATCGAGATGCTGAACATGGTGTACTTCTGTGACGCCATCGTCGGCCAGCCAGGAGAAGGACTCAATATCGAGCAACGAAAGCTACTCACCATCGGCGTCGAACTTGCCGCCAAACCGGCTATCCTGTTCCTCGATGAGCCGACATCCGGGCTAGACAGTCAAAGTGCTTGGACTATCGTGTCTCTTCTGCGAAGGCTGGCAGATCACGGTCAAGCTATACTTGCGACTATTCATCAACCGTCGGCAATGATGTTCCAGCAGTTTGATTCCATCTTGCTCCTCGCAAAGGGTGGTCGAACGACGTATTTCGGACCACTTGGTGCTGACTGCCATACCCTCATCAGATATTTTGAGGCTGGTGGTGCAAGACATTGTGACCCGAACGAAAATCCTGCTGAGTATATCCTTGAAGTCATCGGTGACCCTGCACATGACTGGCCGGAGGTCTGGAAGTCAAGTGAGGCGTTCGTAGCCACCAAGAATACCCTCCAAAGTGGTGTTCACCACCGTGTCGACAAGCCCGCTGATCCGGATGACCATCTAGAGTTCGCTGTTCCTTTCCCAACTCAATTCCGTCGTGTGCTTGTCCGTCAGTTTCAGCAATACTGGCGCACTCCAGGGTACATCTACGCCAAGTTTCAAGCAAGCACGATGGCCGCATTGTTTATTGGGTTCACGTTCTTCCTGCAGAACTCCTCGATAACTGGCATGCAGAACACCTTGTTTGCCATTTTCATGCTGAACGCGACTTTCTCAACCGTTGCGAACCAGGTATGCTGCATTGCACCAACATCTCCGATTGTGAGATAGTCTTCACTAACCCTTCTACAGATCATGTCACGATTCATCCCACAGCGGGCACTGTTCGAGATCCGAGAATCTCCATCCAAAATGTACAGCTGGTTCAGCTTCCTGCTGGCAAACATCCTTGTGGAGATTCCCTACCAGTGCCTGCTATCGGTCATCGTCTGGGCGTGCTGGTATTTCCCTGTCTTCGGCTACCACCAGGACTCAGAGAGTAAAGGTCTCATGTTCGCTTTCGTCCTCCAATTTCTGCTTTTTGCTTCGACGTTCGCACAGATGATCATCTTCACAATGCCAGACATGCAGACAGCAGGTACCGTGTCGACCATTCTGTTCACCCTCACGCTGCAATTCAACGGCGTCCTACAGTCACCAACTGCCTTACCGGGATTCTGGATTTTCATGTGGCGAGTGTCCCCTTTCACGTACCTGATCGGCGGGTGGGCGGGGACCGGCCTCGCAAACAGACCTGTTGTCTGCGCGCAGAACGAGTTGGCTATCTTCGATCCGCCAAGTGGACAATCTTGCGGGACGTATCTTGCGAAGTACCTTGACGGTGGAGCGCCGGGAACTTTGCATAATCCCTCGGCCAGCGTTGGGTGCGAATACTGTCCCATCCGCAACGCTAATCAGTTTCTTGCTGGATCTTCAGTGTACACTTCGGAGCAGTACAGGAACCTGGGCATCATGTTTGGATATATTGCTTTCAACATGTTGGCTGCCATGGCTTTGTACTACGTCTTCCGAGTCAAGAGGGTCTTTCGGAAGGGCGGCAGGCGTGGCAAATGGAAGGCGAAGAAAGTCGAGAAGACGAAAAAGGAAAAGACTCCAAATGATGACCGTGATGACGACCATACGAAGCGTTGGAGCAAGCTTGGATTTTATTACCATCTTACACTGGGAGTTTTCAGGAATGTGGTCAAGTCATCATACACGGTATAGACGGGCTGAAGTACGATCACTTTCAGATAGACCAAACCGCACAACTGCAACAGTCAACACCTTCGGAGTTTCGTCTACAGCGTGCTTGTGAAAAACATCTATCGAGTACCAAATGAAGGGTTCATGGAAAACGCGGCGGATGCTTTTTCCTGCTCGAGAGTCTATCGTCGTTAGATCAGGGGCTGGCTTTCACAGTCTTTGGGACACTCACCTCCGTGACCTCGTCCATAGGAACGACAATGTGTCCAATGGGATTTAATTTGCCGAATGCAGCGATATCGCGTTCCAGCTGCATCAATAACGATGAAGTGTAGGGGTTCTTACTCTTCATGTTCCGCAGCACACTCATCAGTAGGCCGAGAGACTCGAGGTGTTTGGCAGTCTCGACATTATGTTGCTGATCTTGTTCCGAGAGCGTCTGTACAAGCACACGTGCGGCGAGATACAGGCAGTAGGGTAGCCATGGACCGATCTGCCAGTTCGAGAATCTCGTCAATGGAAGGTCCGAACGATGTGGAAAGGAAAAACAGAGAAAGCAGGGGATCTTACATTCTGTAACACCGCCGGGTCGAGCAGGCGGAGTATAGTCATCATGTTCTCGGTCGCGTGTAAACATCTGGCCTTGCTGTCTGCAAGCGTCGTTTCTTGTGGCGTGGGGGAGTTCTTTGCTTTGAATATCGCGGCTTGGTGCAGGCAGATTGTGCTGGCTTGGATGTTGATATGAAGGAGGACGATTTGGGGGCTGGAAATACCGGTGCGGATGCGTAGGTCGTCGGGTAGGTACTGGAGGGTGTGGAGGAGGACGGTGTCGAGGTATTGGTGGCGGCGCCAGAAGGCGTCATCCTGATCAGAGGTGTCGCCTTCGTATGGCAGGTCTTTGCGGTGGAGGTGCGTCAGTGTGCGACCGAAGAGTGCTGCGATCGTGGCGTTGGCGGCGAAGAGGGATAGATTCTTAACGCCTAGGTCTGCCGGTTACTACGTGCACGATTCAAGTGAGGATGGTGAGAGGCAAGGTACCTGTGGGTGTCATGCAATTGTTCAGTGAGAGCGAAGGGGTTGTGGGTAGGCCGGATGTGAAGTCTTGTTCGCTGGAAGGGAGGTTCGTGGTTATCTAGACAACTTGAGTCAATTCAGGGTTCAAGAAGTGGCCGTGAGTGCGGTCGCGTTGTAGGATTATGCTTACGTCTCGCTCATCGATGATCATGGGCCACCCGGAACTGATGCTCTGGTATCTGTCTTGCACGAAGACGGCCCAGAATACTCGTCGTCTTTCTTCCAGCTCGAGCCAATTCATGGGGGATGACAGTGTCTCTTTGACGTCGAGTTCGCTTCTGTCGTCGAGCCGGTGCAGATTCATCATGTGGCAGAGGCGCACTGCTCGGCCAACGTTCAGCCAGGCTCGAGGGAAGTAAAGCTTGTTCATCTCGTAGGTGGCGAGGTAGGCTGTGGCTTGGGCATGAGCAAGGGTGACGACACCCTGGCCGCGGCCCTCGATTTCATCAGCATCCATGTACTTCCGGGCTCGGAGATAGAACTGCTCTGTGACGGCGCTATAATTTTCGCTGACGGATGCTGCTAATGTCCACAGAGAGTAGCTGAGGCAAACGGGCGGGCGTAGCCGGGACGTTGGTGGGAGGCTCATGGCTGCAAGATAGCGACCTTTATGGATGAATGGGGTGCGAGGGTAGATCTTTGCGAAGAATATATCGTGCCTTGATATTGAGGGTTTGGTTAACGCGTCTCGCCGCAGTTGGTCGGATCGGAATCAAACCTACAATTCATCAATTGCTTGCTGGCTAGGTAAAGGCTCTTGTAAACCTAGGGCGTCCAATTCCCAGGACGGATTGCTGTTCGGCAACGAAGCGAAGGCGCTTTGAAACGACTGGTCGGAGCGTGAGGCTGACAATCCTGGCCCCTGGTGAGCCACGATATTGTCCTGTGCAAGTTGCGTGGATCCTTCGATGTCGAACGTAGTGTTGGCTGGCCATTCTTCTTCGGCGAGGAGGACATCATTGGAAACTCCCAACCCGGCCTCTTCCTCTGGTGGCAAGGAGTGTGTTGCGCTGCGACTGCCTTCTTTGCCTGAAAGGAGGGACTCGACTTCGGCTTTGGGAGGGGTAATCAACGTATAGTCCACCCAGAGAGGAATGAGACCAACCTAAACGAGCTTCCAGCGATCTCACGTAACCCCGTCGTGGACCGGTCTTCCGGACAGTATCTTCCCATTCACAATCACGACCGGCTTCCTCACACGTCTTGCAGAGCGGACGTGTCCCACTGCAGCGTAGTTTTCTCTTGCGACAATCGTTGCACGATCTGTGTTTGTATCGATATCCGGCTTTCTCAGATGTGGCCGTCTCGGTGCTATTCATCTCGTGTTGATCAGCCTTGCAAGGCCAAAGCCAAGACAAAAAGATACTGAAGCAGCGGACTTCTGAAGCGAGGAAATAGGGGAATCAAAACCTGGGGAGCCAGTTTGGAGGGTCGAGACCGAGTGGTCGTTGAGATTAGAGGCGGGGCCTGAAGGCTATGGTCAATTGCTTTTTGGCGGGGATGCTTCCTTCTGGAATGTCTGGTTCGGCCAATCCCAGGTGCGCTCAACGACAAGGCCAAGACAATATGTCAAGACGCCGCAGATACAAGCCACATAGAGGATGTTATACGAGGTACCATTGCTGCTGCAAATCAATGATGGAAACATGTGTACCTCCTCGGCTAAAACTCATTCAGCTCGACTTCCGGCTCGCTTACCCTGGACTTTCCGGGAGCTGATCGGATCTGTGCTACACAAACCGCGTCTGGTGATAGAGAAATTTGCGAGGCCTGGAATTATTGATGGCATACAGTTGGAGGATTTTTTTTACCGTCAAATGCTGGCAAGGCTCATGGCTCAATCTGGCTGGCGAGGAGCAGAAGTATCCCCGGCTAGTGAGGTCAAAATAGGCTTGCCAAAGTCAAGGTATCTTAGTTCAATAATCAAGTCGAATGTGAGCTGCCCTCTGTTAACGACAAAGCTGCTGCCAACTTGAGAGACGGGCATCTTAGAGCGACTGTAAGTGACCTGTTGAGACGTAGCGATGATGATCGATGTCAGAAGAATGGGCAATGGCGGCGCGAATCTGTGCTGTTGAGTCACGCGATGTTGAGGTGCTTGTCATTCAAACACCCGTGCGTATCTCACGACATACAATCTGACTACTCTGCTTTGGAGCACAGTCAAGAATTCGTCTTGCAATTGTGCCGAGGCAAGATCGAGGTGACCTGTTCTAAGTCAACGCGTCGTGGAAAGTGATAGATACGGAAAGGATCCGAGGTTTTGTCATGGAGGACAACTGGACACTGCCGGAAATCTACCGGCGCCTAGAACATGAGTTCCACTACCTTGGCACGGTACTTTCGGGGGTGGATCACCTAGAAGCCGCTTGGAAGCCCTTACCAAAATCCCCCCATCTTGGCAGGGCTGATCGCCCCGTCCTATTTATATCAGGCAGCCACAACTTTCAGCTTTCAAACAGTTGCTCATCGAGGAAAGCGCTGGAACTCATTTCCCATATCGTGTGTCTTGTTAGCTTCTTCTGACTATCAGAGACTCTTGTTGTACACATGCTCCGTCTTCACGATTTTCAGGCTTCCTGATACGGTCGAGCTGACCACCAGTAGCATGAATCGTGATCCAAGTGGGTACGGTGAAATGGCTGACACTCGCCGTAAGCTGAAGAACTTTGAGCCATTGCTTCTCGATATCAGCTCCACTGCTCGCGTTGCGCTGTGTTGACAATTTCTAAAGGGGTCAGACGTGCTTACCAAAGGTCGGATCGATAGGCTGGCATCTTCTCAATCGTCAGCCTGACTCCATCTGTACCTTACGACATGGCCCACACTTGTGCCCTTGCATCTCTAGACCACACGAGCACGGATATGGGATGTGATAGCAGCATGGACATATAAGGCCATCGTCCTTGAATCTGTCCCGGACTTCGCGTTCCCGCCATATCGCAAGCCAGATCAATCGCTCCTAGTTACCAGCTTAGCATCCCGCTGGTTGTTATCAAGATCCATTACTGCTAATTCTTGACGACGTCTGATCCCGAAGCACGATGCCTCGCGTTGAAGGTACTCAAGAGCTGCAACAGAGAATGAAGATAGGCCGACGACCTGCAGCCTCCCGAACAAGCTCAACATCAAGCCACTCCTTACCGCCAGTACTAGAAGAACCGCTCGAAGAATGCCCGACTTACGACTCAGCATGTTCGACGCCATGTCAGGAACAGCCAGAGTCCTTCCACCAACAACCTTTCAGATCTTACGTCGACGAGACTCTGGAAAATGAACCAGAATGTGACGACGCGCTGCCTCCCTACAAGCCGTGCGAAGATGCCATCGCGAAGCCTGCGTACTCAAGACATGAAGAGGCGTCCGCTCGACCAGACACACAACCACCTTGCAATAGGGTTGATAGGGCGATGTCTTGGTGGCATCGACGGAATGAGCAAAGGCCAAAACGTCCAAGGTCAGTAATATTGCAACATCCGCGTTGATAGATAATTCTGACATGAGCAGGCCCAAAACTAAGCCCATAATCTACACAAGGGAAGACCTCGACAATGCTCAGACCCTTGCATTTTACCTCTTCTGATCCGATCCGAGAAGGGGTCAATACGGCTTCCGGAAAGCCTTGTCATTTCATGTTCAAGATACCACTGTGCAATATGATTTACTTTATTCGAGATTATTTTTACATCCTGAGTTTCATGTTGCGCACGGGTGAATTCTGGCCATCGGCGTGTAGACGGCAATTAATCGATTTTGGTCCCTTTGCGGTGCGCTTGACGCACAGATCATTACTCACTTGAACCCTCCTACCAAACGTGGCAAAGTAGAACCAACTCACGGCCCGCAGTTTGGTCGATGCTTCAAATTAACGAGGAACAACAGAGATGCCTGAAAAGCGATAATACTTGCCATCACGAAGCAAAGCTTGCCGTTCCAGAGTGACCTGTCTACCAATCCTTCACTTCTTGCGAGTCCTGTACTGGTATCGCGGCCTTGGAACATTGTTGTTGCAGATACCGAGGAGAGGCGAGGTTCTTACTCTTGTGAAAACGTCTATGTCTTGCGTGTAACGACAATTATCCTCGATCCAGTGCTGCACCGCATGGGGGAAATAGCGAGAATGTGGACGTGGCCAACGACGCCCTTCGACCACTTATCCGCAAGTCCCGCCAACGACAAGACCCATGAAAGCGAACCCTCCTCATCAGAGGTATCATCGCCTGGTGCATCAGCCGCCGCATCTCAGAAATTCTCTGAGACAAAACCAGCTTTCCATCACAAGCAGGAATCGAGCCAGATTGAGCTGTTCTACGACCTGTTCTTCGTCGCAAACCTCGCCACTGTTACCATCAACAATGAAATCGTCGATGTCGCCAGTAAGTACCGAGAGTGCACCCGACTCTGATGATATGTCGCTTACCACGGGCCAGCGTTCAAAGCGATCCTGGGCTTCTTCAGCTTGTTGTGGTTCACCTGGTTGCAGACCATCCTGTACGATGTCCGGTTCAGCTCAGATTCAATCTTCCATCAAGGACACAAGGCAATATCGTGTGGGATAATGTTAGCTTTCGTGAGCTGCGCGGCAATTTATGACACATCGAACATTGATTTGACCCATGCTGGCCTGAAGTACATGTCCTTCGTGCTTATGACTTCTCGCTTGGCACTGTTTCTTCAATACGGTATCGTGTTTGGCCAGAGTCGTGGATATCAACAGACTGTTGTCCCATTTCTTCTCACCATGGGAACCTACCTTATCACCGCAGCTGGCTTTTTGGGTGTTGCCCTTGGAGTAGAGCACTATCCACGTTGCTATCTTGCCTGGTTGGTCATTCGCGCCAATTGATGACAATGGACCCACTAACGCCATCCTAGGTACGCGATTTGTGCCTTTGAGGCAGTGTTCGTCATCGCCATATCTTGTCGTTGGAGAGTCGTCAGCTTCAAGCGCACGCATCTTGTCGAGAGACTTGGTGATTTGACCCTGATTGTCATCGGCGAGGGCATTCTGAGCATGTCAAGGAGGACATACATTTTGTTCGGAGCTGTAGACTCCCCAAGGGCAGCCACATACGGACAGATAATCTGCACTGTATTTGTCGCGGTAAGTACAATATCCCCACGAGCGGTGTGCCATATCGCTCATGATCGATCTCAGTACATGGTATACCTCCTATACTTTACTCACATTGAGCACGACAAATTCGGCACCATTCGTCAACAAATCTGGACGATCTTGCACTACCCCCTCCATTTGGCCATCCTTCTCACCACGGACGGAGCGTCCTTCCTCATGTTATCTCGGTCTATGTACCGTATGACCAGGACCTGGGTTGCGAGATGGCCGCTTTATAAGTATCACAACTGGGGTGACTTCTTCGGCACCTTCTCAAGTCCTCAAGACGTTGTATATCTTCTCAAAGCAGACATGGATGTTCTGTGGGAAGTCATGCTCAAGGACCCGATACGTCTATTGAGCCTGTACAACTATACTCGGGCCATCGATAGCATTGAGACAATTGAGGCGCCATTCAATTCGACTAAGTGGCAGAATCAGGCGGCGGCGACCATCTCTGAGCTGTGGAATGGCGTGGAACTTGCGATATTCCATGAGTACGGCGTCGAACCGCATATCCCTATTGGTCAGTCATGGACGATCAAGGAGCAAGCTGAGTCCATTGAAGGTGTTTTGGGCTCCGTCTACCTGTACTTCTGCTTTGCGGCGGGCAGTCTGCTCCTCGTGCTAGCAGTCATGGGCTTTTTCGCCAAGCGGGAGATATCAAGGTCGATGTGGCTATCCATTGGCATCAAAGTTCTGATGGGAACTGTGGTCATGCTGCCTGTCATAGCTTCTTGGTCAATGGATATTGACGGCATTGCTTCTTTTGCTCCATGGAGTGTTGCCATTGTGACACTGGGATATTTCGCTGGTAAGTGTTCCGAGGGATCTTGTTATACAAGAGCCGTACTGACATTGTATGTGCAGTGGTTGTATCAGACCATCTGATCGCCTGGTTCGAGAAGCGCAGGCGGCCATCTCACGTCGAGACGTCACATCTTTGCGCTTCGCCCGCCCAGATGACAACACGCACGAATGCGGCATTTGAGTTCAAGAACGAGTTATCTTCGACTGAAGCTACGCTTCCTCCACTGAATGCGTCACTCGTGATGAACAATCAGCCGTTTCGCTTTGGGAATGAAATATAGGAATGAAGCATGAATCCGTTCTCTAATCTGCACACAGTGAGAAGAGAATATCATTGCATGGACCGTCAAATCAATTGACATGAAGCAAAACAGATGGTCTTCGCGACACGCAGGTCATGAAGACCCATTGACCAGAGTGTTTCCCGTGCGTTCATGTAATCCTGCAAGTCGAAGCTTGGTGAGATGTTCAAGTGAGACCGTATAGAATGCAAACATGCCAAGCCCGTGGGCAAACATCTCAAAATCCACTCCAAGTAGATTGAGATGCGTCGAAAGCTTCAATGTTTCGATACCGCGGACTTTTTCTCTCACGACCAGAATCGAGAGCACCAGCGACACTTTCAGGTCCTATTTCAGTCACACATATACCCCTGGCTCCTCGATGCACCTCACGTGGCCTGTCCAACCTCTACCTTCAGTCCGCCGCCATGCTCTGCTCTAGCTGCCGCCGTACATTCCTTACCCGATTCCGCTCCCTCCAAATCCACGCCTCACCCAGCAGCGTACGGTCCGTCGCAACAGTCCCATCGACTCCCAACGCCGCACCGATCCAAGCCCCTCCCTCGATCTCGATAGAAGGCGCCCAAACGACCACATCCTCCAAAACCCCCGGAAAATCGCAACCACTCTCCGAACCACACACCCCATCCACATCGACCGCAACCTCAATCCCGCACCCATCCAAAAAACCAGCTTCCAAACCGAAGAGCTCCGTACCAGGCGGCGTAGAACTCAAGGGGCTAGCCTATACCAAAGCCCTGCCGCGCATCACGGCAATGGAAGACGACGAGTACCCGTCCTGGCTGTGGACGTTACTTGACGACAAGAATGCCGCGACGGGGGAATTGAAGGTTGATTTAGCATGTAGGTTCCACACGAAGTTCCGCCCTGCCTGGAAGAAGCCCTATCCAAAGGCAAAGAAGATGTAGAGAGACTGGTGCTAACGATCCCTTGCAGCAATGACTAAGAAACAGCGCGCCCGTTATGACAAGAAGCAGGAGCGCCTGCTCGCAAACATACCCAAGACTGTGCCGCTGCACGAACAATCCCGCGATCTTACGGGGCCTGGCGACGACGCTGTGACGAGTTTGCAGCGACGGCAAGAGATTACCAAGTCGGCGAGAGCTGCGAGGAGGAGGGATATTCGCGAGGGCAATTTCTTGAAGTCGATGTAAGAGCAAATATTCCAGTTTCATTTGTTACAAATTCGTGGGTGCGCGGGATCTGTATAGATTGTGAGGCATTCGGGGCTTTGTATAAACAGTACTGTATTGATCTAATCAAGCGGCACATTCCTGTTTTGTACGGAAGAGCCAGCCTTGCGGACCGCAAAAGATTTCGTTCGGAGCTGAGCAAGCAAGAAAATCCAGTGCTTGATTTTGAGCACGGCACGGGAGCGTCGGTATACAATATCTCTACGGAATATACCTAGGTTATGTATCCAGCCCAGCTTGCTATACTTCAACGAAAGATTCCTTTGCCCAATGCCAGAAACCAGCACCAACGCCAGCACGCCGTTGAATTATGCTCGCGTCCTCACGCCTAACCACGCCGTTTCATGTTTCATGCTTCGTATAAATCATCGAGGAATAGCACCAGCACCACGTCCCACCATTGGCATACAAATGGGCCACCAAGGTATCAGTCCATGCTCATCATTCATCTTACCTCGAACCACCTGTGTCTTCGCATGACTTGGGGATGTTTCATATCATATGTCGGTCAAAGAATGAAGTGTGACACGGTACTCCTTCCGGGGACAAACGCTCGAAAACAAACAAGTCTTCCCTTTCACACTTTAGGCAGTAATATTGCTCGGTGCTGCAGTCCATCTCAATCGTCTCAATCCGGAACCGCTGCCGCGGAGTGCCTCGCGTCCACAACTGCCGCCAGGAAGACCCATTTCGCCTTCGATCCTACCAACTTCCTTGCCCCAGGCGTATCCTGCGCTGAAGCTGATGGCTGAGAAGACTAGGACGACACCGGCTGAAATCATCCATGAAGCCAGAGTTGGACTTATCAAGTCGTCATTGGTCATGGTTGCTTTGGCGGCTCGAACCTTTTTCACGTGCCGCTCCTTGCTGGATTCGCGGGATTTCCTTTTGGTCTGCTTTGGTGGTGATGAGGTTCGTCTGGGTCGTTGTCGGGCAGGATCTAGTTCGGACTCGGGCACTAAGCGCAGGGCGGTAGGTTGAGTAGATGGTCTAGGGACAGTCGTGGCTGGCCTTGACTCAGATCCTTTAGGACGTACGGCGGCGGCGCACGAGAGTAGAGTGGTCAGCGACGCCCGGAGTGCGGCATCATGATCAGGCTGGTACGACGACGTGTATGTTCGGTGCCTTGACTGATTTTGTCGTTGATAGCTTCGTTGTGTGACTGTCCTTTGATTGGCAGGCCTCTCGAGAATCGTTGACGGTAGAGCAGGGAAGTATGAATCTGGGATGGGCTGGCCTTGTCCATGTGACGAGGGAGGGTGAGAGAAAGCGTTAGGTTGAGGTGTGAATACTTTGTTCATACTGCCGACCCCAAGGGCCGTTGCGGTATCATCGTCATCAACATTTTCATCCTGTGAGATGTCTTCATTCGAACTGCTCATGACTCGGTCGCTATCACTCGAACTCTCCTCGTATTCATCTTGACTGCTTCCAGTAGCGCTTGTGGATCGTGGCTGGGAGGATGAGATCTGAGAAAGCTGAGGTCCACGGGATACGCGGTCGTCTTGGGGCCGGATTTGCAGACCCGTTGTAATGATGTTATTGCTTGTCGATGATAAGGAGGACGATGATGGACGTGAAGGAATCTCAATCCACGAATCTATTACCATGTTAGCGAAGATGCCCATGGTCCATGTCGTATGAGGTCTCTCCGCATCAGTACCTTCAGAGCGCACGCCTCGAGTACTCGACATCGAAGCCATTGAGGGGTTGTTGGCAGTCATGGAATGTTGGGTTTCTCGCTCGACTTTTTGAGTGTCCTGGAAGCCGTTATCGGCTGCAGGCGGCGTCATGATGGGTCTCTGTATTGAATTGCGCCTGCTATTCTTGACGGTAGAGGGGCCCGAATCCGCTGCTGTGTCTTTGTTTCCGACTGCGTCTCTTTATTTCAAACCCGGTGCTCTCGACTGAAAGAGTGATGTGTTGAGGCCGTCTGGTTCAGCCTCCTGAGGTCTGTCCGTGTGGTACGCTGGTCGTCTCACCGCTGGCAGATGATGGGGGAATGGTGGGGTGCGTTTGGGTGGGTGGTAGGCCTACGCGAAACGCGAATGATGACCTAAACCGAACCACGCTTGCCTAATAGCGCGGGGCTCTGAAAAGGATAGAGTTCGTTATCAGGCTGATTGCGTGCTGCGCAAGATCACGATCGACTTGCGAAGGTGTTGAATTCGATGATAGAAGTCGTCCGGTACGAGATTTCTCGCCAAGGGAAGGGTGTCTCAACAGTTGCCAGCGGTACCTACTTGAGAGCCCACCATCAGGTAGTATAGGTACTGATGCAGGGCCGGGCAGGGGACCAATCTTGATATGGAATGTGGGTAGCGGCACGGCGTACGGGAGGGTTGAAATCTGGAAAAGCCATCGGACTTGGGACCAGGAAGAGCGGCACCTGTCTGGTTCGATGAGCACAGACACTGCAAGACGCTGCCAAAATTGCATCAGCTGTCAGGAAATGCATCACGCGGGTCGTCGATTGTCAGATGAGTCCAATCAGAATGTCAATGCAGTCACTTTGTCCCCCCCTCCATCACCGATGCCCAAAAATGGCGGTGACCAGGCCCTTCGGAATTATCTGGCTAGTGCGTCGTCCGGCAGGGTGATGGGCAGCCTAAAGATGTGACGAACAGCGGATGCAGGCACTAGACATTGCCTTGCATTGAACAGTTATACAGAGTATAGCAATTGAACGAGGAAACCCATGTTAGAGTACAATGGAGATTGGAATTGCATTTACCCATTAAGAGAGAAAAGGACGACCGAACTTTTTACATACATTACCTTTGCGTGACCCAGTGCCTTTCCGTGCAGAAAACACAAAGACCAGCAAGTCATAAGCAATCCATCAGGTATTCAGCGGACAGATGTAGTTATCGGTCGATACAACACCACTGAACGTGTGCGATCAACTTTTAGAAAGTGGTCTTTCTGCCAGAGAAGTCACCGAAGCCACCACGGTTGGTAGAGGCTCCACGACCGCCACGGCCACCACCTCGTCCACCACGACCACCGAAGTCTCCTCGGCCGCCACGACCACGGCCGCCGCCAAAGCCGCGACCACCACCGCCACCTCGGCCTCCACCGAATCCTCCGCGACCACCGCCAGGAGAATCGTTTTGTGGACGGGGCTGGCTGTAGTCGAGACGCACTGGACGGCTCTTGATGTATCCTCCCTGCATAGCTTCGAGGGCGCCGGTAGCCTCCTCGGCAGATCCGAAGGTAACATAACCAAAGCCCTTAGGAGCACCGGTCTCGCGATCAGTGGGAAGTCGGACTCCCAGCACGGTTCCATGAGGACCGAATGCGTCGCTGATGTCCTCTTGGGTGGAGTCGAAGGACAGGTTTCCAAGGAACAGTGTCTCGGTAGGTTCACCAAGCTGGTCTCCGTATGACTTGCGGCGGTTATCATTCCCAGGCTTAGCGTCGTTGCTGCGAGCATTCGCAAAGTCGACATTCAGGGCACGACCATCAAGCTCAGCGCCTTGCTTCGCGGCATGGGCTTTGGCTGCAGAAGCGGCCTCAACGAACTCAACATAGCCGAATCTATAGTTAATTAGTAACGGTCAAAGAACGGAAGAAGTGGTGCAGCTTACCCTTTGGAACGGCCAGTGGCGCGATCAGTCATGACGCGGACACCGCTGAGATCGCCGAACTCTTCAAACTCTTGTCTCAACCAATCCTCATCGACGTTCCATGAGAGGTTACCGACGAACAAGTTGGCACCTTTGGAAGTGTCGACATCATCGGTCTTGGTCTTCTTAGCCGCAGGGACGTCATCGTCCTCAGCCTTGCGCTTGGAAGACTTCTTGGCAGGCTTCTCCTCTTCCTCATCGTCGTCGCTGTCCTCATCTTCTTCACTGTCATCGCTGTCGTCATCGTCATCCTCGGCGGCAACCTTGACACCATTTGGTTTGACAACAGCCTCTTCTTCGTCATCTGAGGACTCTTTGTCAGAGTCAGCCTCCTCGCTGTCATCGGAGTCATCGTCTTGAGCCTTGACAGGAGCCGCTGACTTGGCGGATCCGTTGACCTTGGGGGCTTCGTCCTCGGAGTCGGACTCCTCGCTTGACTCGTCATCGCTGGAGTCAGCCTTGGCGGCGACCTTGGCTACCTTGGTAGGCTTTGTCTCGACTGCGGTTTCTTCGTCGGAGCTTTCCTCGGAAGCAGACTCATCAGAGTCTTCCTCCTCTTCCTCAGAGCTTGGCTCTGGTGTTGGCTCCTTGACGGGTACCTTCTTGGACTTCTTGGAGGCTTTGTCTTCTTTAGCAGCGACCTTTTTAGCAATTTCCTTGCTCTTACTCTTGTCGCTCTGTGCTGGTTTGGCCACAGCAGCGCCCTTGACCTTGCTCAGGACATCGGACTTGGTAGCCTTTGCGGCAGATGCGGACTTGGATTTCGACATGTTGATGTGTTCTATGACTAGTTAGCTGAGTGATGCGAGCCTGAAGAGGGGCTCAACCGACTAGAACCCTCAGTTGTAAAAATCTTTCACCCTCGATAGTGTACGGTAAAACCTCAACCCACAGTGTGAATTAGAGCCCTCGACCTCGACCTCAAGTTGTCAATTGCTTCTTGGCAATTGATCTTCTGCTAAGCGCGCAACTCCCTCAGAGATGTAACTCGGACTGGAACTGGAACTAAGCCAACAGGTGACAAGCAAGACCTGTGACAATTGGAATATGCCCTCGGTATCAGACTCACGGAACCCTCGATAGACGATCACAAGATGCCCTCGATAGAAATGCCCACGATGGAATACTGAAGTAAGAGAGTAGTAAAAAGATGAATGATGAAAGTAGTAGAGAAGAACGATGAGGGAGAGGAGAAAGATAGCAGCCTTTTTGAAGAGCGGTCTCTGGAAATTTTCTGGTCGAACTTTTCTTATCTTAGCGTCATTTGGGGCCCTTATCTTTGAAATTTCAAGGCAGGGAAACCATCCAAGCCTAATGGGGAATGGTCGAGGTTCTTTTCTCCGCCATGGTTAACTCCGTAGGTATGGAGCCTTCGCAAATGGACCAGGCTGGCATCAGAGCTGTCGAGCGGCACACGTAAATAGACACAAGTTGTCTCCCCCTTCAATTCTAACACTCATTTCGTCGACTCTGACGAGATGTCGAGTCCATCCAAAAATCACAGACCGCGCAAAAAGCGAAAGTCAATCCAGACATTGACTCGGAGTGCAACCATCACCGATATTGTGAAGATCGACTCGCAGGACAATATTGTCACCCCTGAGTTTCCTCTAGTGGCTTTCCTATGGCCAGCCCGCGGCACCACGTCTCAATGGGTTCTTTTACCCTTGATCCTGATGATCGTGGGCCTGTTCCGCTGGTGCGTTGGCCTTTGGGGCCATTCGGGCTACCAGAGGCCTCCCATGCATGGTGATCTCGAAGCTCAACGACATTGGATGGAGATCACAGCGCATTTACCCGTATCAAAGTGGTACTTTTACGATCTACCACACTGGGGGTTGGACTACCCTCCCTTGACAGCATACCATAGCTGGCTCTGCGGCAAGATGTATGTTTTCTCACTATATTTTGCGAGGACATGCTGACTGATACAGCGGTTCTTTCTTGGATCCAACATGGTTTGCCCTGGACGAATCTCGTGGTCTGGAAACACAAGACCTTAAGCTGTTTCTGCGCGCCACCGTTATCGTCTCAGAGTATTTGATCTATATCCCAGCTTTGATCATTCTACTTCGACATTTCAGCCGGAGCCAGGGGACAGGAACAACGGCCTCCTCTATCGCACTTGTAGCCATTTTGATGCAGCCTGCGACCATCCTCATCGATCACGGTCATTTTCAGTACAACACAGTAATGCTCGGCTTTGTCGTAGCGACACTATCCAGCATATTCGCTGGACGGCTCCTATGGTCGTGCATCTTCTTCGTTGCTGCTCTTGGCTTCAAGCAGATGGCCCTATATTACTCGCCAGTCATCTTCGCCTTTCTCCTAGGATCCTGCTTCTCCCCATCACTCAGACTCGGTCGACTCGTATCAATCGGGTTGATCACGCTGCTTGCCTTTGCGGTACTACTTGCACCATTACTGTTGGGTTCGCTCTACGACAGCTACAGGAAGATAACACCACCTGGATCGCTACCTCCAGCACCTTTCCTCGCCGAACACCGAGTATCTCTGAACCCGGATAATCCATTTGATATGGTCCTACTTCAACTCAGCCAGGTGGTCCACCGCATGTTCCCCTTTGCGCGCGGAGTATTCGAGGACAAGGTGGCCAATTTCTGGTGTTTTGCCAACACCTTCTACAAATTGCGAAATCTCCAGAAACATATCGAGCTTCCACGACTGTCGGCTATTGCCACCCTTCTATCGATCTTCCCTCCTATGCTTGTCATTGGTGCTGTGCCGAAGAAGACTCTACTGCCCTATGCCTTGGCGACATCTGCATGGGGATTCTTTCTCTTCTCCTTCCAGGTCCACGAAAAGTCTGTTCTTCTCCCGCTGTTGCCGATGACTCTGCTGCTCGGCACTCGACAAGGTCTGAGCAAGGAATATCGCGCGTGGGTTGGCTGGGCGAACATCCTGGGTGTCTGGACCATGTATCCCTTGCTCAAACGTGATGGTCTTACAGTTCCCTACGTTGTCATTACCTTCTTGTGGTGCTACTTGCTAGGTCTCCCACCGACCAGCGTTGGCGCTTACCACGATCCTGAGCTTGAAAATGTGCCCGGCCGTCCGCTCGCTCCGGACGAGTTACGCACACCAACGAAAATACTGCATTTCCAGACCTATATTATCATGGCGTTCTGGCACTTGCTGGCAGCATTCGCATCTCCACCGGAAGACAAGCCTGACTTGTGGATTGTGGCGAACGCGTGTGTGGGTGCGGTTGCTTTCGGGATATGTTACCTGTGGTGTCTGTGGAAGTTGGTGTCCGAAAGCGGCCTGCTCGACGGTTACTTTGGAAATGAAGATGCAGATGAGCATTCTCCGCCTGGGAAAGACCGATCTGCTACGCCAGAGAAGAAGACCAAATAAGGATATTGCCCCTACCAAGCCATGGCGCCAGCCTGGTGGTAGTCGGGATTGTATAAAAGTATAGCCATGCTAGCCCTACCCAAAATTGTGTAAATACGTAAAATCATGCATCGTAATCATTCCAAGGTCTCCTTCTGTGATCCCTGTGCCCTTATGCGTAGTTGACCACACCTTTGACCGCCCAAATCTCTCCATTGCCCACTCTCCCGACAACGCCATCGACCTCTAAATGTCCCGGCATAATGACCTTCTTACCGCCTGTCTGCTCCCACCACAACTCCTGGCCGCCAAGGGTCTTGATTTTGTGTTCTTTGCCTTCTTTCCACGGGCTCGTCGGCACGACGTGCTCCTCCACGAACTTCTGCAGGTTGCTTGCGGCTTTGTCCTCATTCCTCTCCGCACTGACACCGGTATCGTCCCCTGGTCTGTCTTCCCATGGCTTACGTGGCAACGCCTGCATTGCGCTGTTCAGCGGAGCGAGGAGTGTGGTGTTGTCTTGAGGCTTGGTCGACTCCAGGCGGCCCGTGACCGTTGAAATGTCACGCGTCAGAGAAGCGAAGATGTTGATCTTACGGGTTTGCGGGAGGATGTCGGAGATGGTGAGTGTGCTGTCGCCGTCCCCGCCGCCTACACCGCCACTGTATTGATCATCGGGCTTTGATGGGTCGACCGGGCCTGGATTCATCGGGTTCTGGTTTTGAAAGGGTTGCGCAAGAGAGAGGGAGTTTGAGGACGGGCCGCCTCGGAAGAAGTCGAGCGGCGATATGGCGGCGGCCAAGGAGATGGACGAGAACAATGATGCGATGAGGATTGTGCGACGCATGGTATTGAGCAGATTTGAGGATTTGCAAGGATGGTCGGTGATATGAATGATGGATATCCGTTGACTACATCAATCTCCAGGCATGAGCTCGTTTGTTGCACTTCTTAATCACGCGGGTGAGTTATGACATCATATCATGACTCGTTGCATAATTACAACATTTGTGCTGCACCTTCTTTTCTTAGGAACCATCTTTTCTCCCACGCCATATAGGCACGAAGAGATCTTATCTCAGTCCAACACAAGCTCGCAAGTCTCATGCCAAGAGACCCAGTTCGAACTGTCATCGGGGTTGGCAAGCAAAGTGTCCATATCCTTACATTTGGTCAACTTGACAAGCGCTTTCTCCGAGCCATCACTATTCTCCATGATCTCAAGTAACGTGCAGCCCGAGAACCTATCTTTCTCCAAGAGCTTCTCTGGTAATATCTCACAAGCCATTTCCGTGGTTTGAGATGCTTGCCTCACCGAAGCAAAATAGGCTCCCTCCTCGGCCCGGACGAAAGCTTCGGCGGTAGCAGCTTCGACATAGTTACACCATGGCCCTTCACGGCCGCATCTGCGCAGCAATGAAATTGCCTTGGAGCGCCATCTCGAATGACGGTAGTTGATAGCTGTGAAGAAAAGCGGCTGGATCACACCAATCTCCGGAATAAAAATGGGTAAGCTTCTCGGACCTTTGCTTACTGCAAGAGCTTGTTCAACATGCTCCACAAGCTCCTGGAACTGACCTGCGTACTGGTCGTATGCAGTTTCGTAAGGATTCAGGATCGTCGAGACACAGATGAGCGCACTGAGACATTGTGCTTGAAGCACAAGTCCTTGCAAACGGTCGGTATCTGAGATTTTCAGGCTCGAACTTGAGCAGTCCCGGCGATACCAAGAGAGCCAATTAGTGAGGTTGGCGATATGGCGGTATTGCTCCAGCATAAGATAGCTCCGTTGAGTGGCCTTTACTCTGTATTTGTACTTGGCTGCTTCCGAGGTAAAGCGGTAACAAGTGTGAAGGATCCGAATTAACGTCCTGTCCGCCATTGCGACTGTGACAGGTGTGCCATGAACGATATGTGTCTTCTCAATATTCAGAGATGGCAGTATCGGAGGTATCAATCCTGTGGAATAACTGGCTATTTGGATGTCGAATTTTTGGAAAGTGTACGAGGTGTCTTCGTTCCAAGGTGTCAAGTCTTTTGTGGCGGGCGCCTGCTCCAAGGACATTGCTGCAAATGCTCCGCGCAGGTGAAGCAAGGCGTCGGTGTTCCTGTGCCCTATTGTTTCTGCGCAGGCCAATAATACGCATGCCGCAAAAACCGGAAGAGGGCCGGAAGGAAGTAGGACAACGTCGTCTTGAAGCCTTTTCACTGCGGTGGTGATCTGTTTCAAGGCCAAGAACTTCGATGATCTATTTCGGCGCCTGAGCATTTGATGTTCATAAGATGCACCGAACGCTGCTGCTGCTTCTATAACGCACGGAATAGAGTGAGCTAGCTGTGGTATCATCCGCGTCCAAAACGCGAGATCAGGACCTGACTTCATCCCAACTAAGCCCTCGGCCAGCGCCGTACAGGCTAAGGCTTGCCAACGACTCTTGTCCTGGTTTCGTTTAAGGCTTGTGCTAGAAGAAATGATCTTCCCGAGTTCGTCCGGACTGAAAGAAGCCACAGGGGCCTCTCTGCGCGATTGAGGGTCTGAAGGTGCCCCTACAGGATAGCCCTGACACTTTCGGCGTGACTTCTGGCAGCGCCAACAGATCGGCTTTGCCTCATCGCACTTTACTCGCCGAAGCCTTAATACTGTGTCAGCATGGAAAATGAATCTACCAAGATCGATACAGCACACGCAACGCCCAGTCCAAGCACGACAAGCAGCAAGCAGCAAGCCTTCGGCAACGAATGGGGACGTCTGCCGCGCAGAGGATTGCCACCGAACAACGAAACGGCAGCGCGCCCGACCCCGTCAAGTCCAGAAAAGCCATCAATTTCTCGAAGAGTTGTGCATCGCGATACCAGTCTCATGCGCACGTCAATGGCGGCACAGGCGGTTTGGCGTGGGCTTACCTGCATGTAAAACAACCGAATTTCGACTGTCGGACATTTGTCCGTGTCTTGGACTTTGCGATAGATTGTGGTGCTTCTTCAGCCATGAGATTGGTGAATTCGCAGGAAAGCCAAAGACCGAGATGTTGAAGACAAAAGACCGAGATGTGGAAGACAAAGAACGAGCCTGGATCCTGGGGTGAAGATACGTCTTTTTAAGACCCCTCGCCGGAAAGTGGAGTTCCTCAGGTAAGTCAGGCCCCCCAAAATGTCTGCCAATCAGATTTCCTAAACACCGAGATTTGAACTCTATAGCAAGCGAACCAAGTATCGCGCTGCATGCGGCTGTCCTGCAAACCGGCGGTCATGTAATCAACAGTGCTGTGCATTGGCGTTTGACTTCATTGCAGAGACCTCGCAAGCCGTGGTCTTGAGTATTTTGAGTTTGCTTTGATGTCTGCCTGTATACCAAAAGACACACGAAGCCTGTGCAGATAAAAGGCCATGCAGAACATGCGGCAATTGCGTTGCCCAGTTTCTGCATACTCGATGTTCAATCCCTTTTCGAATACTACTCATTTTCAGTACTTCCTGGCACGTTCTTGCCCATTTCTGCACACTTGCGATAACGAAGATGAACAATAACACCGGCTTCGATCCAATCAACTGCACTTACGCCACGTGCTCAGTCCAGGAATGGGGCCAGCTGGATTATATACCGTCGCTTGCAGGCAATGCTCTTTACGTGGCGATATTCTCCTTGACCTTGATAGCACAGACTATCCTGGGCATCTACCATGGAACATGGGGCTTCATGATTGGAGTAGTGGCGGGTAACGCTCTTGAGATTCTGGGGTATGCGTACCGAATTGAGCTGCACTACGACGATTTCAACAATAACGATTTCATCATTTACCTAGTTGGTCTCACAATTGCACCAGCATTCTACTCGGGTGCCATATACTTGTGCCTGGCCCGGATCATTGCAGTGTACGGCACCTCCGTGAGCCTGCTCAGTCCACGAGCTATCACCACAATCTTTATCGGCTGCGACTTCTTGTCTCTGCTTCTGCAAGCTGCGGGAGGTGCAGTCACCAGTCTAGCCATATCCGAAAGCCTTACTCAGACTGGAATCAACATCATGATAGCTGGACTTTCGACACAGGTGGTCTCCACCACTGCCTTCTGCTGTATCTGCTTGCAAATGATGTTCCAGGTAGTCAAACAACCGGGGTCGGTGAATCCGAACAGCTTGTCTTTGCGCATAACGCTGAGGTTTCGCTTCTTCCTATGGGGTAAGTACTCGCCGGCTCTTTGCGTATAAGATCCATGACTGACAAGCCTGCAGCCCTCGCAATTGCCACTGTTGCCATTCTTGTGCGATGCTCTTTCAGAGTAGCGGAGCTCAGCAAGGGGTTTGGGAGTAACATAGCAAACAACGAGGTCGAGTTCATGGTTCTGGACGGAGCCATGATGTCGATTGCGGTGATAGTTCTTACTCTTGGCCACCCTGGCCCTGCACTTGGACATATGTGGCAGCAAGGGAATTTCAAGCTTTGTGGTTCAAGAAAGTCGCGGTGATAGACTACTGAGGCTGTTGCCACGGAGCTGAGATATCATGTTGAATGAAGTTGGGTAATATTTGGTACGCAAGGACTCGTCAAATGGAGGTACACGGCGGCAGGGGGAAGATGGAATTGCGGTACCTATCAATTATGTTAGCGCCCATGAGGGGAAAAGTATGCTCTCCATGTTTCTTGTAGGTTAATCGCAGGATTTCCAGATTTAGCTACACAGCTGCACAGCCTCCCAAATGACGTTTGTGGGTCAGGGGTTCCACAGCCTTGCAACGCGAGTACGAAAACTCGACAAACCACACGAGTTTGCGGCAGCAAGCGAGCCGAAACCGACCAGCTAAGCAAATCAGATCCTTCCACAAGACGTTTCAAGAATCTCCGTAGCTTGAGACTCGCGTTCGTCATGTCCGTGGCACTTGTGCACCTGTTGCTCGTGTCAAGCTTTGAAGCTTTAAATGCAGAGCTCCCCATAAAAGCCAAAGAATGCTTCTGCCTGACTCAGCCATAAATACTATTTTGGGGTCCAAAAACGCGATCACTATCTAGATGCTTAAACCAGCCTCTAGGCTGCAACAATAACTCCAAGCTTAAATAGTTTTATCATTGCTGAATCGGCATTGAGAAGATGGGAAGAAACGCACCATTAAGAGCACCGAGTGTCAGAACTGCCGGACTGAACAACATGGCGCCGATGTCGACGGAACTTGAAGATCGATGTACGTGTCCTCCCTCCATTGTGCCCGAGGTGAATATCTTGGGTTAAGCAATATCCTTAAATGCTGACTCTGGGGGTCCAACAGCGCTGCCACCATATCAGATGACCCCAGTGAGTCCGAATCGCACATCAGGCATGGAAAGTCATCATTCAGGTGCTCTCGCGCCGACGACGACAGAGTGAGCAAAAACACTTTCTCCAATATTTGGCAAGCGGGAGTTATGCTGACTTTGTTACCCTGTTTTAAAAGACAATACTCGGCACCAACAGCGCCGGTCATTGCACCAGACCCAGTGCCTAACGCAACGAGTGAATGGCCCACTGTCAAAGCACCAGACGGGCATATTTATTACCAGGCACCAACGCCGCTGGGCGATCTGGGCCACATACCGGCACTGGTGGACTGTCCTTACTGTGGGAAACGTGGCCAGACGGCGACGTCGTTGTCTGCTGGGAACATGAATCACGCTTTCGCTTGTTGCGCTTTCTTTCCCTTTGTCATCTTCACGTTTATCCCCTATATGATTAGTGGGTTGAAGAATGTAGTGCATCGCTGTCAGGGCTGTGGGAAGCGGCTGGCTGTCTGGCATCGGACCGGGCATACGCAGGTCAAGTAGGGGTGGGGTTTCCATCGTTGGATGTGGGTGGTTCTGACCCTTCCGAGGAGGAATGAGTTGTTCAGGTCATGTACCAAAGCAACGTGTGTTATGTTCAGCCCGAGCTGAAAGACTTTGTGGGCCCCAGTAATGGTCGCACGAGCCTGATAGATTCGACCATGATGTGTCGAAGGAGAGGATGCAGCTGATGCAAAGTTGCGTCTGTACCCAAACATGAAGGCCATGCTCCTCGCGAAAGGCCTGCAAGTCGATTTTTCCTTGCTGAGCATCATCATCAGGACTTGACAATGGCATAGGAGAGTAGCTAATTCATCCGCACTGATATCTGGCGTTCCTGCCGTGGTCAAGTTCAGCAAGTATGGTCTTGTGAGCTTTTACTAACGGTTTTGGCCTCGCCATTCCTCTCTGCATCATTCTTCAAGGATTTTAGGCGGGTTCAATCTGAGATGCTGCTTGAGCGACGGATTTTGATCTGTTGAGCATGCCAAGTGTCTAAGGCCGTCTATAAACATAGGCAATGGCTTCGAAGTGCGGGGAAATGAGGACATTGTTGGCATCACCGTATTGGAGTAGTTAGGCTGATAGGCCGTTCATGTCCGGCGTAGCTTACTTGACCGAAGTCTTTCACGCGCACATAACTCTAAACAGTATCAATTGTGAGTCCTACTCATCATGGCGTACGCTGGGCGCCTGGCGATTATTGCCGGCGGAATCGGTATGTCTAGTGCCTCAAATGGCGCATAACCGTCTCGCTGACTAGCACAGGCGGGCTGGGATCTGCGACAGCTTCTCGTCTTCGAGACTTGGGCGCTGAAGTTGCGCTCTTATACGCCCCTTTTGAAGTTTCCAGAGTCAAAGACACGCTCACACGGGTCTTCGACAGCGGAACGCCGGAAAATGTCTACACCTTCGAATGTGACATTACTTCGGAGTCTTCCGTGAATCACGTCTTTCAGCAGATTGGTCGACTGGATGCATTCCCGTCCATCTTGGTAAATGCTGCAGGTTATGTCTCAGTCCAACCACTAGAGGACACCTCCGCCGAAGAAGCACTGAAGAACTTTCTGCCCAACCTACTTGGTCCTTTCATAACCAGCAATGCCTTCTTCCGTTTATATCAATCTAAGGTTTCGAAACTTGGAGAGGGGAAGGCGCCACCAGGCCGGATCGTCAGCATCGCCTCGCAGGCTGCCCACGTTGCATTGGACGGGCATGGAGCATATTGTGCATCAAAGGCCGGACTCATTGGGCATACCAAATGCATGGCAAGCGAATGGGGTGGCAAAGGCATAACAGCAAACACTGTGAGCCCTACGGTCACGTGGACGCCACTGGCCGCAAAAGCATGGGCAGATGAGGCAAAGAAGGAGAAGCATCTTGCTCAGATTCCGACGGGAAGATTCAGTGAGCCTTCAGAGATTGCTCATGCCATCGAGTTTCTTTGCCGCGATGAAAGCGCCATGATCAATGGCGCAGATATCAGAGTGGACGGCGGTTTCACAATTGCCAGGTAGCCGATCCATATCACATCACTGCTAGTAATATATACCTTCTGGCCATTGCGCTGTGCAGCCGACTTCGCATTCTACCTTGGGCGCCATGCAGTGGCAGAAGCGTCCTGTGAGGTATTAGGTTCAGAATGAAAGTCCGGGGTACCTCGATTGTGCGGGGTCGAACATGCACATCCGAGGCACGTCCGAGGCCTCGATCTCGGTCTCCTGATCGGTCCCAAGCCTACCGCGGTGGTACCGGAAGTTGCCTCGGTGCCATGTTCATATGAAACTACAAGACTCGCATTCTCATGGGAGCGACGTCCGGATCTTGTTATCAAATTGGTAGCCATGACATCTCAAATTCGGTACGATAATCAAGTCGCCGTCGTTACCGGCGCCGGCAACGGCCTAGGAAAGCAGTACGCCAAATTCTTAGCTTCTCGTGGGGCGAAGGTCGTCGTCAACGATCTCGGAGGAACCTTCAATGGTAGCGATGCCGGGGGACGAGGTGACTCCAGGGTTGCTGATGTTGTCGTCAAGGAGATTACAAATGCTGGTGGCATGGCTGTGGCCAACTACGACCCTGTTCAAAATGGCGAGAACATCATTAGGACGGCCATTGATGCCTTTGGAAGAGTGGACATACTGATCAATAACGCTGGCGTCCTTCGTGACATAACATTGAGAAACATGAAAACCGAGGACTGGGATATCATCATGGACGTTCACGTTCACGGCGCCATGAAAACTGCACGGGCGGCATGGCCTCACATGCGAAAACAAAGGTACGGCAGAATCATCAACACCTCCTCATCATCGGGCCTCTTCGGCAATTTCGGACAGGCAAACTATGCAGCCGCGAAGATGGCACTGGTTGGTTTCAACGAAACACTGGCAAAGGAAGGAGCAAAATACAATATCTACTGCAATGTGCTTGCGCCGTCAGCAGCAAGTCGACTCACGCAAACGGTGTGGACGTCAGACATGATGGAAGTCATGAAGCCCGACTGGGTCGTACCCTTGGTTGGTGTATTGGTGAGCCAGAATTGTAAGGAGAGTGGAAGTATTTTCGAGGCTGCCGCGGGCCACTACAGCAAGATCAGGTGGGAGCGAAGCAAAGGCTTTCTCGCTCACCCTGAAACCTTGAGCCCGGATCTGGTTCTGCAGAACTACTCGAAAATCGTGGACTGGACTGGCGCAGACTATCCAGATGGAGCTATTCGTGCCAAGGCACTTTACGACGAGACCTCCGCTTTGCCAAAGTCGAGCGATGTCCCTGCTGGTCAAGTCAGCTTCAAGGGTAGGGTTGTACTTGTCACAGGCGGAGGTGCAGGCTTAGGTCGTGCTTACGCCATCGAATTTGCCAAGCTAGGAGCACGAGTGGTTGTCAACGATGTTAAAAATGCAGACAAAGTTGCTGATGAGATCAAGTCGGCGGGTGGTGACGCTCTTGGGCTCACAATGTCGGTGGAAGAAGGCGAGGCCTTGATTCGAAAGGTTCTCGACACTTATGGGCGGATCGATGTTCTTGTCAACAATGCTGGGATCCTTCGTGACAAAGCTTTCGTGAATATGACTGACGCGGAATGGTTGGCGGTGATGAGCATCCATCTACGCTCAGCCTTTCTTCTCACAAGGGCGGCCTGGCCTCATATGACGAAGCAAAGGTTCGGACGTATAGTGAACATCACCAGTACATCCGGCATATATGGCAACTTTGGGCAAGCAAATTATGCAGCCGCGGTCAGTGACATGCTAAGGAATGCCTACGAGTACGCTAACGTCCACTGCAGAAATGCGGCCTTATCGGCTTCACGAAGACGACGGCTCGAGAAGGTGCCAAATACAATATCGTGGTCAATGCCGTGGCTCCCTCTGCTGGCACGAACATGACCCGCACAGTTTGGGCAGAAGAGGATGTTAAGGCCGTGAAGCCCGACTACGTTGCACCACTTGTCGCCGCGCTTTGCAGCGAGAAGCCGCCAAGTATGGGGCAGCTATATGAAGCCGGCAGTGGCTGGTTTGCCGCAACAAGGTGGCAAAGAGCCAGAGGCGTGGAATTCCCTGTCGACCAGGACATTCCCACTGTGGAAAAGCTGGCCGAGGTGAGTCCCGTATCTCAAAGAAGCCACTACTGGGCTGCATGCTTAACAATGTCTAGGCATTCCCCGAGATCTGTAACTTCGACAATGGAAAAGCCGACAACCCTGATACACCGCAGGATGGAGGTCGGTGGTCGATGGAGAACATTCTTAGGAACCCAAAGATTGTAAGTTTCCAGGGAGTCCACTCTGTTGCACACGACTAATTTCCACCTCTGGCTAAGAGCCTGTCTCAAGAAGATCGCGCAAACAGGAAGTACATCACTAAGATCCAAAATGCTATCTCCATGAAACCAACGCCAACGACCTATACCTATTCCGACCGAGATGTGATTCTTTACAACTTGTCCCTTGGTGCCCGTTGTACACAGCTCGACCTGGTTTACGAGAACTCCAACAATTTTCAAGCTCTCCCGACCTTTGGCATCGTCCCAAATTATCACTCCACTGTTCCCTGGCAAACTAAGGACATCATTCCCAACTATGACCAGAGAATGCTCCTGCATGGGGAACAGTATCTCGAAATCAAACAATTCCCATTCCGACATCAGGTACCACGAAGACCGAGGCACATCTGATTGAGGTGGTGGACAAGGGAAACGCTGCACTCGTCAGGCGCGGTAGCACGACGTTCGATGGTGCCGGGAAGCCACTCTTCTACACCGAATCCCTCGCCTTCATCCGTGGCTCTGGTGGTTTTGGCGGCCAGAAGAAGCCTTCTGATCGAGGCGCCGCTACTGCTCCGAACGACCCGCCTACTCGTGCACCAGATCACGTTGTCGAAGAAAAGACGTCAGAAGACATTGCAGCACTGTATCGGCTCATGGGCGATAAGAACCCTCTCCATATCGACCCAAAGTTCTCGTCGGTAGGCGGCTTCAAAGTACCCATCTTGCATGGTCTGGCCACTTTTGGCATTACTGGAAAGCACGTCTTTGAGACTTATGGTCCGTTCAAGAACATCAAGGTGAGGTTCAGTGGAACAGTCTTGCCAGGCCAGACCATTGTGACGGAGATGTGGAAGGAGGGAAGGAAGGTGATCTACAGAGCAAAGGTGAAGGAGACTGGGAAAGGTTGCATCAGCAATGCAGCTGTGGAACTGTTGGGAGCAAAGTCAACGTTGTAGTCGAAAACGACCACGAAGAAGTCAGCCTTGCCAGGTAGCGTAATGTTATTCCTCCCACCCCGCATACGCTGTGTCAAGATCATCCGTAATGTCGATGGAAGGAAAAATGTTCCAAGACTCCATGTCAAATTCCATCGGATTGAAAGAATTGTCCTGGAAAAAGCGACATTATTAGCGTGGTCAGTATTTGTGTACTGAGGTTGTACTAACCGGGTTATGCGGCTCTAGAAACAACCGCAGATCCGTTCCGTTGCCCACATCAGCAGTTCCAATCGACATCTCTGCGTCTTCCAAAGCAGACAATGCCTGGGGTGTTACTGGGACCGTGACGTTATCCCTGTCGGCTTGCATTGCGGCCCTTACGACCTTTGCACAAAGGGCTGCCGAATCCCGTGGAAAGTGGAACGACATTTCAGTACTGGTTGCATGCTCAACATGACCGAAGTGGCCCGCACAAATGTCGAGTAGTGCGAGGTCCCCTGTGGCGCTAGATTGAGATGGGTCCATCAGTATGTACATAAGAAGGTTCGTATGAGCATAGATTGGGAAGTAGAATGCCAGCCAATGAGCTATGGCGGCATCCGTCGTGATCGTTCTTAGGACCAAGATAATCTGCCTGGCGGCGTAAGCGACAGTCTCGGCAGAATGTATGACTTGGTTTCGAACAGCAGGATCGGACTCGGAACGGAAACGAACTGCAACCCAGGGGTAGAAAAAATGATATGTGCCGCCACGAAATTGCCCCAGATGGAGAAGTGGAGGTAGATACTGTAAAGGTGACGAGGTGTTGATGGATAGGATTTATCCTGGAGACTTGGAGGAATAGACTCCAGGAGCTTTTGCAACCGGTTGTGAATATCTCTCACAGTTTGCATGGCTTCCGCTGGAGACTGTCGAGAGGCTTTCACCGACATTATCCGCTTGGCGATCTGGCTGGGGATTTGTGCATTCCTGATGAACAATGTAAAAACCTCCACATCGATTAAACTGCCTGGAGGTGCCTTGAGCGGTATTGGAGTGCTGATGTTGTCGTCGTCAATGGTTGATGGCCGACCACTTCTTTGGACGATCTGCTTTTCCAGACAGTAAACTGCCCACCAGAGCCAACTTCTGGTCAATATATCTGCCTCTGGCAGATTCCAGGATCGAGAAGGTGCCCGGTGCAACCCCTTTGCAAGAGCTAGTTGAACGGCGTTTATAGCCAATGGGTATTCAATCGCATGACTTCCGAGCCCTTCGGCGTAAAACCCCTATTGTAGTGTGAGCATTTCCCACAATCCACAAGTAATGGACTTTCCCCGTCCAGCCTCTGGAACTGGAGTCCACGTACCATGAGGACAAGAGCCTGGACAGCAGTAAATCCAGAACGACCTAGGATCATCTCGCCAAGTACAGACAGCGCATTTTGAAAGAAAGCTCTTGATCGTTTGCCAGCTTGGAGAAACGTCAAGGAAGGATCGGTTGCCCCCAAAGACCTGCAGCCTAAGGCATAGACTATATTTCGCAGAGCGAACTACGAAGGATCCTCGGCGTGACTGGTTCCTACCTGTGCAAGATGGGTGCGCAACCGAGCTTCAAAAGTTGGACGATGCACCACTCCGAATACAGCATCGTAAGATCGCTCGAAATAGGCTTATCAAAAATTCAGAGGTGATATCATTCGAGAAGATAGGGAGAAATACCTGCAACGTAAGCCATTGCAGATGCCGAGTCTGGCTCGGGATTTCTGTCTTTCAGACTTTGGAAGCGCTTCATCTTCAATCTTCGGCTCCACGTCTTGACGAGACCACTGGCAATGTCGGCAAATTCGCCTGAGCCTGTCTTCTGGCAGACCCACTTCTGACCTGGATGCGAGCAGATCGAGGCCCAAGACCAAGGTCCGTGATGCTCCCAATTGACTTGATGAAGAGGAAGGACACCTTCTTCAGGATCATGAGCCTCTGACCTGTTGTCCTTTGAGCATGTCGGAGAGGCAAGATTAGGTAGCCAATCAGTTGCACTTTGTGGCAACAGAGGAGTAGAAGTTGGAAGAGTTGAGCCACGGTTCTGACCGGCCTCGTCTCGAATCTCGTCGTACACCTCCGCGGACATGCATGATGGTGTTGGAGGCAGAATAGGTGCCGGCCAATAGCCACTAGGCATAGGAATTGCTTTAGGACCAGAGCTCTTGGCACGTTTCCCCCGGCGCGACTCTGGATATGAGCATGATCGTTGTTGGCGCTCACAGTTTTTGCAAGGATGACCTCCGCCGCCTAAACAATGTCAGCAGAAAGTATATGGAATCAAGCTTTCCATGCTCACCGTGCTTCGTACATCGATTCGAAGATACAATCAACAAAATGTCAAGGCCATTGGCCTTGAAAGACGGACGTTTTGACAACGAGAATGTCACTCAGCCTCGGTCAGCCTTTGCACAGCCCTTCCTTCGGAGAACTCGGGCAAGCTCTGGTCGCCGAACTCCGTATCCCGCCACAGCAATGGCATCGAAGAATGCTGGGTACACGCCTTTCGCAGTTTGGGCCGATTAGAATATTGAATTCAGATGCGCGTCTTACTCATCTGGACGTGGCTTGCGTTTCGGTCCCTTTAAAGCAGTTTGAATCCCCAAAGTCCACGAACAATGGCAAAGTCTCCCGTGCAATTTGTGGTGAGGTTGACCAAAAGGTTTGAAAGTAGACGTTATTTGTAAATGAACTGTGAAAGGGGTATAGATCAATCTCGATGAGCCAGACATGGCCTGGCTCCAGGTTTCCAAGGAGACCAGCTTCGACCTATTCATGTCGCGCACAGTTAAGACCAAGACGACACGTGTGGCAGACAATGCTCAGCAGCCTCGACACCGGTTCCAAAAGCCGCAACAGTGATGACCCCCACGTTGCCGGCGAGTTTGCTTTCCAGTGAATCGCCACGAATGCTTTGGAGGGAGATTGAGCTGCAATCTCCAGCGTCTTGATGAATTTCATGGGCAGCAGCGTAGAGACAGGAAGTCCAGAAACAGATCGAATTTATACTCAGATCTACGACAACACAGCGCCTGATGTGTACTTTTGGGAAGATTGAAAGGGCCGGTAAATTTACAACAACCGCCATTGGCTGGGTGTCTCCAATATGCCGTTCATGCTCAACACGCCCTGATTGTAAATATTGTATGGAGTGTTCCAAACTAGGACGAGATGCTCGACCAGCTCACACTTCCGAATAGATCTCAAGACCGCAGGCCTGCGGTTCTAGGACCGCTCACGCTCCTTCCTCGGTGTGCTCGACAGGCTCCTTCTCATTTGTAGCCAGCACGTCGATGTTCCTGTCGCCATGGTACATTTGTTTTGCGACGTGGTTGGTCATTCTGTCGTCGTAGTCTCTCAATACTAATGCGCTAATGATGGCGATGCAGCCGACGGCGATGGCCGCGTAGTATACATACGCGTACGCTGCGGAGTACGCATCTGCGAGAGCGTTGTTGACGGCCAGCTCAATCGATTCTGTCATGCCGGGGACGCTTGCCAGTGCACTACCAGTTCCCTGGGCCAGGGCATTGGTAAGCGCGGTTAGAGATGAACGAGGAAGGCCGGCCGCAACAGCTGCGGGGGGCACCATCTCTGCGATTTTCGGACCGGTCTTGCTGTTTAGTATTGCGAGAAACACTGCCGTGAAGACGGCACCACAAGCTGTCCGGAATGCATTCATGAAAGCTGATCGACTGTCAGCAAAGGCTCATTGCTGAAGGACCAAGCTTACCGTAGAATACTCCTATCTCGCCATCTGGAGAGTCCATTTGGACCACAACCTGTGGAGTGACCTCCATGGCGCCGACTGGGAAGCTGCCGATTGTGGAAAAGGCGATGGCTGCCGATAAGTCGTTACGTCCGCAGGAAGCCAGAGCTCCAATAAATGTGGTCGAAAGAACCGCTTCGAAGAGAAGTTGGTATTTAATCCGCTTCATGATGTGGAAAAAGAAGCCGAAGAACAACATGCCTGAAGTCAAGCCAAAAGCGATAGTAGTCTGTGTGAGTAGAAGAAAGTAATGAGCTTCTTGGCCTAGATCGTGCGTACCACTGGTGTTCGAGACTTACCGTCGTCCATGCCTCAGCTTTCCAGCCAGTGAAGTGCGATCCGTATACTCGAACCACCTCTAGTGGGAACCAGTTAGCCTAAATCGATTTTGTAGTCACTGTTATGCTTACGCGCAGGCCAGATGATGACCGGGGCAACATACATCGCCCCAGCAGCTCCAGAAATGCAAGCGAGAGGCGCAAATCCCCTAAGGTCTTTCCATGCCCGGACCGGGATAATCGGGTTCGGAGTTTTTGAATAAACGTCTGAACATGGTAAGCAAAAGATGGATTGACTTGGGAGAGTTTCGGAAAGACCATACCCCAGAAACATAAAATCAACAGGAGACAACCGCCAACAACGATGAGGCTAATAATCTTGGCCGATTTCCACGGTGTGGGTTGACCTCCTATGTATTTCGTTAGCATCTTTGCCTTGATATCACAAGCAGCTCGTGGCACCTTACCCCAGGACACTCCCAGCAAGAACATAGACAGGCCCGAGACGAGCAGAAAAATGCCCACATAATCGACTCGCATCAACTCTCTTCTAAAGCTTCTTTCGCCGTGGAGTTGTTTGAAGTTGGGGGGTTTGTAGAAAATGATTTGCAGGCCCAAGGCACAAGTCATCAAAATGATCTGGATGTAATATATCCACCTCCAGCTGGAATTTTCGACCAACATGCGAGCTAAACACGGCTACGGATCAGCCTGTGGAAAAATCGCCGCCGGACATCCTGGGCAGAGGGTCTTACCCAAGTAGGCACCAAATCCTGATGGAATCAGACTGGGAACAATGACAACCATGATACCCAACCACTTGTACTTATTGGGCACGATTTCGCCGACCAGCAATGCGTAACAGGACTGAATTCCAGCCGCGAGACCCAGGAGAACCTTTTTCACGTTTGTCAGCTCATCAAGGTCTCGGAACAAAAGAAGATAACGTACATTTGCTCCAATCAAGGCGTTCATGGTCTTTGCAGTGGCTGCGATGATCGCGCCGACTATTGATATCACGGTTGCAGACAGTACGAAAGGCCGGCGGCCAAACTTGTCCGACAGCCTGCCGAGTAGCAACATGGTGACGGCCGCGCACATGGTCCACACTATGCTGAAGAGACTCTCGTTGCCGCCGCTGGTACCTAATCCTAATTCAGTACTACCCTGACTGAGTTGTCCGAGAGACGATCATCTTACCGATGTCTTCGGCTATGAAGGTGAGTACCGCAGCTGGAGGACTGAAGCCCCAATAAGCCGTAATTGCTGCGAGAGAGATCGAGCACAAGCTCCCGAACAACCTGAAATTCAGGAGATAGCTGGCGCCTAGGTCCGTTTCAGTCCCCAAAGCCGCGGCACGCTTGTTATCTTCCCTTCCTTCTGCGTCGATATGCTCGAGCTCTATCCGTTCAAGGACAGTAACGGGTCTTTCGGTCTCATGGCCCGGTTGCGCCATCTTTGCATGAAGAAGAGTGTCAAGGTCTGGGTAGCGTGGCGGCAAGAACTGGGATCGTGTGGACAAGGTAGAACTTGGAGGAAAGGGGAAAGGGCGATTATCTAGAGCTCAGTCCATATTTAATCCGTCGATTGATGGGTGGGTCGAATCATTAATCACAGCCATCAAACAGTTGACTGTACTGGAGCACACGTGTGTGACAGGTTTAGTGGGGACACGGCTTGGGACGAGTGCCGCCCCGGACCTTAATACAGCGGCTTGGATGTCTGGATTACAAGACGAGTAACCCCGTATGACTGTACGGAGTCCGGTTATATAGGATATTGAGTGCCGTGCTAGGTATGTCCAAGGACCGTTAGAGAGGCAGAATGGGTTTCTTATGTATTAGTTAAACCAAAGACCAAAGGTCAAATCAAACCTAGACCAGACCATAGAAGGTTTCAAGAAGCTAAAACTTCGTATGATTATAACAAGTCCCCTTTCTAGGTGACAGTCTTCCATAGCATCATCTTGTATTTCATGATAGTGGCTCTTGTCAACGGCTTTGGCAGGGGCACAGGCACGCTGTTGACCTTGAGCGTGCAGTCCATTCCTTGGGCCAAAATGCTCGGGTCATCGCAAAGTTCAGGATACTTGAAAGCAAATAAGGGATCCAACCTGACTGACTGCCGGTCATCCATATGCAGGAGCTTGAAAAGTCTGATCGCTGCTTTTCGAGAGTGAAAGATTTGTGCTAGCGACATGGGAGTCCACTCTTCCTCGGATTCATCTTCGTCAAGCTCGAACAGACTCAGAGGCACCCCAAGAGGTAGATCTCGCCAGACCATGTCAGGGTCCATATTGGTGGTTGTCCCGTCGTCTGCATCTTCTTGAGCAATTGTCCGGACGAGATCCCAGATTCGAAAATACCCTCTTTTGGGTGAAGCATCGCCTAGGTCGGTGATCAATTTGCTTAAGTCAGCCTCGACAACGTAGGCTGCCAACAGCTCGCACATGAGCTGATCCAGCATCCAGCTATATGAGTAGAGTTCCACTACACGGTCTCTGACTGAAGGGAAAAATAGCCAGTCGATGATTGCCGGGTGGACCACGGTCAACTGTATGGCTGTCGGTCGATGACATTCTTTCATTGCCTCATAGCTCTCCATACACGGATCGAGTCTCCAACGCATAATCTTTTCGACTGCAGCCGAGGATTGCATGTATGCCCACCAGACGCGCATCTCGGGCCACGCCGTGTTGATGAACATGTTCACCATATTCGATACCAGTTTCGGCCAGCTGACCAATGTTAGTATTGCGGGTTACGCGGCCAAGATGGTTACTTACGCCTCGTGGGAGTCTGGCTGGTGACGCTGCTTATATATCTTGTTCTGTTTGATGAAAAACTCGCACGCAGCCAGATGCGCTGAGAAGGTGGAAGGGAAAGTGGGATTGCCTGGTGGGAATGTGATCCGCGGCGCATAGGTCGTGGGAGACGGCTCGCTGTCGCGAGGGGCGACGTGGGGGTATGAGTGCGCCATAGGGGGATGCATCGTCTGGAATTCATCGCTCTGCATATACCAGGACGCATCCAAACTGGCTAAAACTGACTGCATGTTGCTGCTCTCGGGTATACATTGGCCATTGACCTCTTCCATTGGCCGCCTGTGGGATATTAGCGCCTTTGATGGGGGTGACTCGCAAGCGAATTCTAGCACCCCGCCGTGTTCCACGTAAGGGTCAATAGTTGTTTCCTGTGTGAAACCTGCTGCAGAAGTCGAGTATGCTGGCAAATCGTTTGATGAGCCGAGAGGGCGTTGCTGAATTTCGATGTTATGGAGGCACTGACTTTCAGGCGTTGCGACCGTAGGCATAGCTGAAGGTTGCGCCTCGATCTCGACACTTGTTTCGTCAATAAGATCTGCGGGACTTGCATCGTCGATGTGGCTCTGCCGAGTAGGACCGTCCTCCAAGTCCAAAGCTACGGCAATGTCGTCTGCAACGCTTGTGAGAGCGGTAGCAAGACCCCGGATGCGCTTACGTGCTGCCAGAAGCCCCTTACGAAGGCTGTCGGATCCCTCTTGAGAGAGTCGCAATCTTACGCTCTCATCACGACTTGTGTCGGCCAGCCGGCGTTCTAATTGTTGAATGTGCAAAGCCTGACGCTCCCGGAATGATTTCTGCGACACGCGATTTCGAGCTCGGCTGGTGGACGCGGGCTTAATTAGTCACTATCTCCCAGGGAACAATTTCAGGCTTCATGGAACATCAAAGGTCACTGACCGTTTCTCTATTGCTGACTGGGCAGCGTCCGTACTGTCTGCGAGTCGTAAAGGCATGATCTGCTGTTCGTCGAAATGGTGGGCAGCACACCTAAGCAAAGGTACAGAAGTCGTCTTCAGGGGGATCTGTGGAATATCTATCTCTGACTCACCTCCTGGCCGGGGCCCCGCAGGCCAATAACTTAGAAACGCCACCGAATACACCGGTGATGAGCCAGCGGGCGGGGAAATGAGATCCTTGCCGATTATCCGACGGTGCGGGTGGAGTCTGGACACGGAAGCTGTCTTTGTCACCCTTCAATTATGTCACCGCTAGACAAGCAAGCGTCCGACAGCCAGTGTCATGTGGACAAAAGTAGATCAATGATGATGCGTCAGTATAAGGATACGTGACAGGTGCGAAGGTTATCCTCGACAAGGCAGCCTACTAAGCTGTGTAAGTTACTATCGTTCGTTCCCACACTGTTGACCACGATTTCCTGGAACGTGTTTCCAGTCTTGAAGGAGCAGGTGGGCAGTGCGAAAGAAAGATGGCTCCAGCACCACATCGAATGACAGGGTGAGTGTGTCCTCCAACATGATAAGACAGATGCCAACAACCGATCAGAGTTGCGCTCATCACAGGGGCTGCATCGGGCATTGGTCGTGCGACTGCCCACACGTTCGTTAAAGAGGGCTGTACAAGACTGGTCGTCGCCGATATCAACCTCGACGGGCTCAAGGCTCTTGCCGAGGAGCTCAAAAGCTTGGACGATAGTGTGCAGACCTGTCTTGTCGGGTGTGATGTCTCGATAGAGGCCGATGTAGAACGAATGGTGGATAGCGGCGTCAAGGCCTTTGGGGCCATACACTACGCCGTCAATAATGCTGGAGTCTCTGGGAAGCCTCGACTCAGAACCCATGAACTGGAAGTGGAGTCTTACGACCGGGTGCAAAACATTGATCTCAGGGGGGTATGGCTTTGTGAAAGAGCCGAATTGAGGCAGTTCTTGAAACAAGAGTTTACGTTGAAACCAAGGTGCGTCAACCCCTGAGGAGCAAGATCGATACGTTGACTGCTTGTAGATCAGGGACACCCGCCCAACGTGGCGCCATCGTGAATATTTCGTCCATCTTTGGACGAGTTTCTCATCCTCTCGTTGGCGGGGTCGGTATACCTTTATTCCTTACCAACGAGTAGTACTGATGGGAGATTGGATTTTCAGTATGCAGCAGCAAAGGCAGGTGTTCTGGGAATCTCCCGAACCGATGCAGTAGGGTATGGTAAAGATGGAATTCGTGTGAATTCTGTCTGTCCTGGCTATATCAAAACACCTCGTGAGATATCTTTCCGCCCTGGTGAACATGCCACGCACGATTCTGACCTTGAACAGTGGTGGAACTAGCCATCCGAAATGGAACATACCCGGCTGATGTCTACAAAGCTTCCCCCATGGATCGATGGGGATCCCCCGAGGAGCTCGCGGAAGCCGTTGTGTTCTTGGCCAGCGAGAAGGCAAGCTGGATCAATGGTGAAGAATTGATCGTTGATGGAGGCTCCATTGTGTCATCAGGGTAGATCTGCTATGCTGTTGGCGATGTTAGGCGGTGCTCTAATGCCTATTCAAAACATTCTGTTCTTGACTTAAAGGTTCGCATGAGCTGATCCAGGTTGAAACATAGATGCGTCCCTTTCTCAAGCTCGGCCTCCTTCTATTCAATATCTTTCTAGAATCCTGTGTTCAGACTCGAATATCAATTCATAACACACACACACACACTCTCTCTCTCTCTCTCTCTCTCTCTCTCTCT